TTAAAGGTTAGTAGAGATACCTAGTTAAATAGAAAGGATGGCTAGAATAGTATAATATATAGGAGCTAATAAGAAACCTTATAAACTATAAGGAATTACTAGAGAACTTTTACTAAGAAAGGGGACACCCTTAGAAAGATTATATGCTAGTATAGTAGGAACTAGGTTAGGAAAAGTGGCGGTAAAAGCTAAAAGATTAAAAGAAGGGTTAGCCTACGGCTAGGTAGAATTAGTAAATAAAGGTAAAAATAGTAATAGTATATAAGTGCCACTAGAAGCCCTACTCTCTACTAAGCCCTTCTCTTGCAACTAATCTATCGCGTTAGTAATCTAGAGATTATAATAAGTAAAGGAATATTCCTTTACCTTAATCTTAGCTAACTCTAGTTTAAGGTAGGCGGTTTTAGTATATACCTAAAGAAGAGCTAACTACTTCTACTTCTTCTCTTTATAAACTAAGGTCTAATCGTCCTTAGGGACCTATAAGCTATAATTAGCGTAAGCTAAGATATAACTAGTATATTAACCTAAGGTCGCATTTACAAAACAGTGGAGTTTTAACTTCTAATAATACTTATAACTAAGTAATATCTTAAGGCTTTAGGATTTAACTTTTAGTACACGAGCACGACGTTTCTAAACTAATAAGTAAGGGGCTTTAGGCATGTTTAGGATGGAAAGGAAAATCTAGGTTAGGGTATAACCTAAGTAGGTAAGAGGGCTAGTGTACCTTTATACGTCTAATAGGCACTAACGGGCTAGCTACGCTATAGGAAGCTAGACTAGGGTATTAGGATAATACTCCTAAGGAGGGGGATAATATTATAATTATAGTAGGACTAAGTAAGGCAAGTGGGGAGGATTATACTTAGAATATTAGTAATAGAGGTAAGCTAGATTAAGCCCTATAGGCTAGCTAGATAGGTAGCTTATATTATCTATTACGTAATAAGGTCTAGTATAAGTAGGAGACCCTAGGGACCTTAAAGACCCTAGGGACCTTAGGAGGTCCTAGGATCTTAGAGTCTAGGCGGGATCTCCTAGATAATAAAAAATAGTATATAGTCTAAAGGGACTTTAGAATCTTTCCTATTCTTTATAGTTAAAATTCTATAGTTAAAATTAGAGCACATCTTCTACACTAAAATCTATTAGTCTTCTTATATAATTATTACCTTACCTTCTATAGTAAGGTTAGGATATTCTTTTACTCCCTTATTATTATTTATCCACTCTTATCTACTAAATACCTGCAAGGTCCAACCTAGGTTAGGTATATAGAAACCCCTTGTAACATCTTTCTATAGGAGCTTATAATAAAGCTTAGAAAATAAAGGAACTTTACAAAATCCTATATAAAAGAATTACACGAAAATCCCTCTTAGTATCTAAAAACGTAAATAAATAAAGGATTAAGGGACTAACCTTTAAGAAGGGGGATAAAGTTTTCCTATTATAAAAAAATCTAAAAACTAAAAGGTAAAGTAAAAAACTAGATTACCTATAGGTAGGCCCCTTTAAAATATAAGAAGTTAGAGAACTAGTTATAAATAAATTACTTCTACCTATAGGCACTAAAGTATATAATACCTTCTATAAAAACCTTCTAGAACTAGCACTACTAGACGCTCTAGTTAAGACCTAGCTAGAACTAGAAGATAATAAGTATAAAGTTAAGGATATTAAGAACCTAAAAATAGTTAAAGGTTAGTAGAGATACCTAGTTAAATAGAAAGGATAGCTAGAATAGTATAATATATAGGAGCTAATAAGAAACCTTATAAACTATAAGAAATTACTAGAGGACTTCTACTAAAAAAGGGGACACCCTTAGAAAGATTATACGCTAGTATAGTAGGAACTAGGTTAGAAAAAGTAGTAGTAAAAGCTAAAAGATTAAAAGAAGGATTAGCCTATAGCTAGATAGAATTAGTAAATAAAGGTAAAAATAGTAATAGTATATAGGTACTACTAGAAGCCCTACCCTCTACTAAGCCCTTCTCTTATAACTAATCTATCGCGTTAGTAACCTAGAGATTATAATAAGTAAAGGAATATTTCTTTACCTTAACCTTAGCTAACTCTAGTTTAAGGTAGGTAGTTTTAGTATACGCCTAAAGAAGAGTTAACTACTTTTACTTCTTCTCTTTATAAACTAAGGTCTAATTATCCTTAGGGACCTATAAGCTATAATTAGTATAAGCTAAGATATAACTAGTATATTAACCTAAGGTCGCGTCTATAAAATAGTAGAGTTTTAACTTCTAATAATACTTATAACTAAGCGATATCTTAAGGCTTTAGGATTTAACTTTTAGTATATAAGCACGACGTTTCTAAACTAATAAGTAAGGGGCTTTAGGCATATTTAGAATAGAAAGGAAAATCTAGGTTAGGGTATAACCTAAGTAGGTAAGAGGGCTAGCGTACCTTTATATATCTAATAGGCGCTAATAGGCTAGCCACGCTATAGGAAGCTAGACTAGGGTATTAGAATAATACTCCTAAGGAGGGGGATAATATTATAATTATAGTAGGACTAAGTAAGGTAAGTAGGGAGGATTATACTTAGAATATTAGTAATAGAGGTAAGCTAGATTAAAGCCCTATAGGCTAGCTAGATAGGTAGCTTATATTATCTATTATATAATAAGGTCTAGTATAAGTAGGAGACCCTAGGGACCTTAAAGACCCTAGGGACCTTAGGAGGTTCTAGGACCTTAGAGTCTAGATAGGATCTTCTAGATAATAAAAAATAGTATATAGTCTAAAGGAACTTTAGAATCTTTCCTATTCTTTATAGTTAAAATTCTATAGTTAAAATTAGAGTATATCTTCTATACTAAGATCTATTAGTCTTCTTATATAATTATTACCTTACCTTTTATAGTAAGGCTAGAATATTCTTATACCCTATTATTATTTATCTACTCTTATCCACTAAATACCCATAAGGTCCGGCCTAGGTTAGGTACGTGGAAACCCCTTATAATAGTAAAGCGCTAGTATTAAATAGCTATAAAGTAGTTAGGTTAGAAGTAGCTACTATATTTAGTTAATAAAGAGAGATAGCGTAGGCACTTATATATTTATAGGCGTATTTCCTATTAGTATTAATTCCTAGTAAGGGCGTTAATAGTAGTATACCTAAATTAATAATACTAGTAATAAACCCGTTTACCTTAGTAATTAAGTTATTATTATTATTATCTAACTTACTATTAATAACTTTAGTAGAGTTACCCTTCTATTACTTACTATACTACCTACTAGTAACTTTCTTATCCTTTAGTAGAACTTTCTTCTATTACTCCTTATATTAGTAAAGCTTATTATAGTTACTATAGACGTAGCTAATAAATATTAAGTTATATTTTTAATACTAGGTACACTTATTTACGTTAGTAGTAGTAGGTAAAAAGAATTTTTTACTAGACTATATAGTCTAGTATAATTACGCTATAGTTTAGTGCACTATATACATAGTTAAGGAGTTAGTAGTATCTAATAAATACTTTTTACTAATATTAAGTATCTTAGGCTTAATATCTTAAAAAGTAGTAAGCTAGTAGGTAGCTAGGTTATTAATAATATTATCTATTATATTAGGTAATATTACTAAGAAGAATAAACCCTTAATATTATTATTATTAAATATGGCTCTTATAGTAATAGCTATAGGCTAGGTTAATAACGTAGAGCACTTAGATATATAGGTCTAGCGCTAGTAAAATTTATTAAGGTAGAGGTAAAGGTTATTACTATTATAATATTATAGGTTTATAAGGCTATAAAATAGTAGGATTAATAATTAACTAGTATTATAGTTAAAGTAACTAGTTAGGTAATCCTATACCGCTAGTAATATCTTATAGTTAGCAACTTATTACGTTAAGTCGTTATAAACTAATAAGAGTATTATAATAAGAGTTTTAGTGTTATTAGTGTCCTATATATTAATTACCTTAGTATAAGTAGTTAGTATTACTATATCTATATTTATAGCTAATATAGGCCGTAGCTTCTTCTTTAAGATAACTAGCTATAGGCTAGTGTATTAGAAAGTAATTATCTATACTAAATAGTATTCTATAAAGTTATTACTATAGGTAGAAAGCTTTGGTAGTAATATAGGATTAAGCTTAAATAAGAATATTAATATTATAAGTATACGTTAGGGTTAGCGTATAACTTAAATTAATTAGGTAGGCGTTAATAAGGTCCTTAATAATAGTAGTGGTAATAGATATTATTAAAAAGCTCTTTTAGAGCGTAAGCCTTAAACTATATATTCTAGCCACTATTATAGTGGGTGTATTATATAGTAATTAATCTGCAGCTAGGGTATGCTGTAGGTATTAATTAGGTAGCTGAGTGCAGCAACGCAATGCAGTAGAATTACTAGTGGCGGTAAGCGTAGCGATGCCTACGGACGCATAGACGTGTAGCTAAGTAGAGCGTAAAGTAATGCTTAATATAGGTAGTAGAGCGCCGGGCTTATAACCTATTAAAGTAGTAGGCCAAAAACATACAGGAAAACATAAAGTTGAGTGTAAGAGTGATAAATTGGTTAGGCTCGGCGGAGCCTCTATATAGGGCTAGTGCCTAGGGCGGCACCTGCCAGCTGGTACGGAACGCCTTCCGCCAACAGAGACAACGACCATTACTATGTTCGGCGCGCATGTCATGCCTGGAGCCTTGTAGCCTGATATTGTGTATTAGGATAATGAGAGCAACCCTAGCTTCTCCCTTGGCTCTTTTATCTTTCCAGGACAGCATGATGTTCTTGTTTTCCCGCCACCTCAGCGCTGCGAGGTAGCTGGAGCCTCATCTAACACTTGGCGTTACAGCCCGGGTTTGACATGCAAAAAACATAACGCGGTTGCCAGGTCCTCCTTCTTCACACCGTGTAGAACAGGCACGCACAACCCATTTTTTCACGATACATCGTAGTAAAGCCCCGGTTCAGATCGTACCAATCGACGCTCGACATTCCAAAGATGGGTGTCGCAAGCGAGACCGAAACTGATGGTCGGTACAAAGCGCTTCGCAATCTTGAAAGTCATTCAGACTCGGACACAGATGTTGAGGACTGGGAGGACGGAGCAGATACACGACCAAGGCGGAGCAAGAGGAGGAATTTTTGGCGGAAGATTAAGCTATATCGGTGGATGCTCGACACAGCGCTGCTGCTTGTCATCGTAGGGTTCCTGGTGGAGAGGAGATGGAAACCGAGGAAGGGCCACCTCTACGAGCTGGCAGGAGATATGACGGGGTTTTCGCCTACCTGTACGGACAGGCACCTTTTGTTTGCACAGCAATACTAAGTCCCCGCAGTTTCTCAACAGATCGTCAGCTTCAAGCCGGACCCCATTTTCGCCCCGGAAAACGCATCAGACTTCTGGAGTAGAGAGACCCAGAAAGCATGGCTTGACATCGTCCCGGAAGGTCTCGGTTACGTTGAAGTCAAAGAGCCTTCCCAGTACTCCAACCTACCGAAGCCGATCCACGACTACACCAGCCAAGCCGTCTTCACGACGTCGATGACACACCAGCTACACTGCTTGTACACGATCTTAGATGCCTACAACACGGTTCGAGTCTCTGCAGCTCTGGGTTTCCAGAACGAAGTGAAGATGCCATGGCACATCGACCACTGCTTCGACTACATCAGACAGGCGATCATGTGTGCGGGAGATGTGGCGCTGGAAGGGGCTGCGACGACGTTCCCTGGCGACCCAATTACTGGCGAGGACCTTGGTGGGAGTGATGGATGGGATGCAAAGCATGTGTGCAAGGACTACAGTCAAGTGTACGAATATCTGGAAAAGCGGACGATCAATCACGTGAAGTGGATCAAATCGGAGGAATAATTAGGTGGCCTGCATGTGAAAGCGGAAAGTAGCAAGCTCATAGGCGACCTTGATTTTGACACAACGTGTGCCCACCTTCCAACCGGAGACGGCCCTCTGGTCCGCTGACGGCCGCGTGGGCGTGTGGAACCCGCAGCTGAGCTGGGCCTCTCCGGTACCAGCGATGAGACGGAATTCGCTTTGCTCCGATTCGTGCTGTGGGTGAAGGCTGTGCCTCGGCTGTTCCGCTTCTGTGCGCATCCTGGTCCATCAGCATCGCTACGAGCGGAGTCAGCGAGCGTGGCGCTACGACCATCAAAACGGCTGAAGCCACCACGGCACGGGTGCTAAATGCGCTGGACAGCTGCTCAAATGGCCGCCGCATCCCTCGACGAACGACCAACATCGGTCCCTGGGTTGCCGTCCTCCAGCGTCTCCACACATCTCCAGAACAGTGCATTAGCGGTGTGAGCGAAACGGCGGCGGCACTTTGAATTCCTCCGCTCGCGCTCTCCGGGGACACTGTTTACTTTACTTTCCGTTGCTGCCTCGGTGCTCAAGCTGCAGCCAGGTCGGTCGGCCGAGCTTCTCTTGTATACCAAGCCCAGGACTATCTTGCAAGGGTCAACCTCCCGTTTCAGGCCTTCTTGCGAGGTGCGTGCTCCAACTCCCACCAGCGACATAAAGGAGTGGAAGCCCTGGACTGTTGGCTAGCGTTATCTCACGCCCTTCAACTTTACTCAAGATAGCATACCGTCTTTCGAAAACCCATTCGCCTTTTTTTCTTCACTCAAGGCGACTGTTTGTGTTGCCAAGGAAGCGAGCTACATCACAGTGCACCATCACAGCATCGTAGCTCCCGTATTTGAAGAGTGGGACCCTGGAACCTCCTCTCAACTAAGGACATCAAGCGAGTTGGCTGCTTTGTCCACGCCTCACTAAAGCAGCGCACAAGGCGCGCCTATATACCACCAGCTCTAAGCGCTTTACTTGCCCACGTCTCCCACCATGGGTCTCGGCTCCTCACCCATCACCTTCGTCGTTGCAGGCGCCCTACTCTCCTACATTCTCTTCACCCGCCTCCAGCTATACCTCGCACGTCGAAGCTTCATCAGGCAAAATGGCTGCGAACCGTGCCCGAAACGCTACAACAAAGAACCCCTTCTAGGCTGGGATGTCGTCAAGGAGAATATCGCCAACAAGAATGAGCGCAAGATGCTCGAGCGCAACCAGAAACGCTTTCATGACATGGGCGTCAACACGTTCCTGAACAAGATGCTATACATGCCTATGATCATCACCTGCGAACCTGAAAACATCAAGACTATCCTAAGTCTCAAGTTCAAGGACTACAGCTTCGGTAACCGCAAGCATGCCTTTGGGCCGCTACTCGGCGACGGCATATTCAACAGCGATGGTGAGAAGTGGCACAACAGCAGGCATCTCCTCAGGCCCAACTTTGCGCGCGACCAGATTGCAGATTTGGAAGCCTTCGACCGCCACTTCAAGCTCATGCTCAAGCACATTCCCAGGGACGGTTCCACTGTCGATTTGCAGAATCTGTTTTTCAAGTTGACCATCGACTCGGCAACCGAATTCCTCTTCAACCACTCCACTAACTCGCTGCGCATGAGCGAGGACGACACCAACAATGAGGACGCCATCTTTGCCCGCGCCTTCCAATTCGCTCAGGATGACATCATCACTCGCCTTCGATGGAATGTCTTCAACTTCCTTCGCAAAAACAAGGAGGGCGAAGATGCGCTCAAGATCTGCCACGCTTATGTAGACAAGTTTGTTGAACAGGCCATACGGGAACACCAAGCCGAGAAACTTGCCGGCAAACCTGACGACGACCGATATGTCTTCATCAAGGAGCTGGTCAAGCAAACAAATGACAAGGAGCGCATTCGCAACGAGTTGATGAACATCCTTCTTGCAGGCCGCGACACAACTGCCAGTCTGCTCAGCAACATGTTCTTCCAGATCGCTCTGCGTCCTGACATCTGGGCGAAGTTGAGGGAAGAGGTAGCATCTTTGGAAGGCAGGCTCCCTACCTACGAGGAGTTGAGGAACTTGAAGTACCTCAAATGGTGTTTGAACGAATGTAAGTACAATGAAACCCTCCACTGCCGTGCGGGCATGCAGATGCTAACGGTCATTTAGCACTCCGTACCCACCCCGTCGTCCCTGGTAACTCCCGCTTTGCTATCAAAGATACCGTTCTTCCTCTTGGTGGCGGCGCCGACGGCAAAGCACCTCTCTTCGTCAACAAAGGCACCATCGTCGCGTACTCTCCATACGCCATGCACCGTCGTACCGATTTCTACGGTCCCGACGCAGAGGAGTACAAGCCTGAGCGCTGGGAGTCCCTGCGCCCTGGCTGGGAATACTTGCCCTTCAATGGCGGCCCACGGATCTGCCTTGGCCAGCAATATGCGCTCACTGAGGCGAGCTTTGTCACAGTCAGGCTGCTACAGGAGTTCAGCAAGATCGAGAGCAGGGATCCGAATGGCGGTCTTTGGGAGGAAGGTCTGACGCTGACGGTATGTTCTGGAAACGGTGTGCAGGTCGGATTGACGCCTGCGTGAGCGATGCGATTCTCGCGGCGATGGTTTTGCGATGGTATTTTTCATGGTCTGGATCGATCTTAGCGATAAGTATTGGCTTAGGGACAAATTGAGCAACCGTCATGGCTATGATGGTGTGCAAACGGTACTCGAGACTGAGGCTGTAGGCGTTGGTAGCGATCTTCTTCCGGAATAAATTCCTCATGATTCCCATTTTGGCCGAATACATACTGCGAAGTGACAGCGGCAAAGAAAATGACGTAATTAGCGATGGAACGATACGCAGCTGCCAGTCGCCCTTCGCTATCTGCTGAAAGGCAACGTGATCATAGTGAATGTTCAAGTGAGCGAATGCTTCCATCTCAGCATACAAAAAAACAATAGGAGTGGTCAGACAAGCAACACAGCGCGACCACTTTGGATCGATAACAGTTTTCGTATACCTCGTCTCCCATGTTATTTTACTTCTTCACTTATCACGTCTTGCATTTCCGGACCACCTCGAATGGACGCAGAAGCAAACAGTATAAGTAGATGCACGAGCAGTAACCGGCTCCTCAGACCGCCACACAGTGTAGCCAAAGAGACAAACGTCGCGTGCTATAATCTGTCCTCACAGCATACGAGCGATCAGCACATCCATGAACAAAGTGAATTTCGTAGTGTGGTCTCATCAATACCCGCCGTTCCAAAACCGACAGATGTATGTGTAACGCACGCTTGCGCCGGACGCTCTACCAACCCAATCATCCCTCGTATGCTATGTACCCAAAACGAGAAAGCGCCAGAATGCCTCCCAACCCTTGGAATATGAAACAACAAAACAATAGAAAGTAAAGGACTGGTCTCACCGCCTGACACTCCTTTTGCTCGGGCTTCGTAGGCTTTCCTCCTCTGTGCTTGGCAGCGCAGGCATAGTGTGTGCGTGTTGCAACATGGGCCGCTGGTCCATGTTTCCGTATGGCGTCATGTAAGGACCAGGGGTAGGCCAGCCGTTGTTATCGACCATGTATCCACCGCTGGGGTATCGCTGAGGCGTCTGCGGAACGGGCGGGTACTCGTGGTGTTGGGGGTGTGGTTGGGCTTTTTCGCGCCAGAAGCCGAAGGCCCAGTTGGAGAGGTTGAAGGAACCGAAGAGGATGATGGCTGTGAAAAGCTATTGGGGGAAAGAATCGTCAGCGAAGTCCTCATCAGGGAGGATAGACCCATGGAGGGGGTAAGGGACGGGTTGATGGACGGGTTCAGGCACTTGATATTGGCCCTGCGCGCTCATGGTGGCAACATGCTGCAGCTGGTCCGCTTGATCTGCTACAGCTGCACCAATCTTGTCGCGCTTCCAGTACAGGGAAAGGAGAAGGAGGGTAAATACCATAGACTTGTAGCTGAACTCCTCGACGAAGCTATTGAAGATCATAGCGAACGTCCGCGCCCCGACGCTGGCGCGCGCGACCTTGTATGCATCGCGCTCTTTGCACCGCTTCCAGTTCTGGCACAATGATTCGACGGCGGGCACTGGCTTCGGCTCGCAGCCATTGCGCTCGTACTCCGAGGCGCAGACGGCGATCTCGTGCATGATGTCGCGCACTTTGTTGCTTGCCTCGTTGTCAATGTCGGCCATGACGGCTGAGTAGACAACATATACGATCCACAGAAAGAAGAGGCCGAGGACTGCATTTACGATGAACTGCATATAGTAAGAGAGCACATTGGGCAGGTTCGGGTGTGCTTCGACCCATGCAAGGACGCCTGGAATCTTGGCCGCGAAACCGATTGCCGGCGCTGCCTGCTGGATGTTCTGGTCTTTGGTGGGCGATTCAGCATCTGAATCATACTCGCTGTGCCGCGTCCGCGACTTGTGCGCCCGTCGCTTCAGCACGCGGTTTTCCGCCTTCTTGGAATACGGCTTCTCCCGGGAGCTCTTCTCTTTGGAGGGGCTCTTGTTCCACGGCAAGCTCTTGAAGAAGCTGGACCGCTTCGAGGGACTCTTGCGCTCGCGCTCGCCATGCGTCAAGCCACCCATAGTGAGGGCTAGCTGCTGCGTCTCTGGTGTAGCAGCGTCGCTATCCTGCGCCGGTGTATCGTAGTTGGGGGTCTCCCCGCCGCTGCTATCGACGATGCTCTGCGGCGTTCGCAGGTCCCACACGTTCTTATTCTGTGGCGTCTGCGGTAGCGCCTTCTGGGTCGTCTGCGAAAACAGGAAGCGCTGGCCGTTCGGGTCGCTCAGCTTGGGGTGGTTCGGCGTCGCAAACGTGCTCTTGGACGGTGAATCGAAGACGGAATGTGTGCCTGCATCAGGATGGCCAAAAGGCGGCCCATCGTTCAGCTTCTGTACTTGCTCCTCGGATTGGGGATGGGACGACGCAAAGGAATCGATCTTACGCTTCTTGGCCGCATGCGAAATGAAGGGAGACTGCGAATCAACGGGACCGACGCGGTTGTCGTACTCAAAGTCCATGGGCACAATGGACTCGCGGTCACGGTAGCCAGGCATTTCGCAGGCTGGATGCGCTGTGTGGACGATAGGTGGTCGTGACAAATGGTCTTTGTGTTCAGGTGCACTCGGCGGTTGCTATGATGTCCCGCTCTGTAAACAAATTGAGCCTCTCGGGGGTCCGCGCCACACCAGTCAAGCCACAAGTGCAGGGGTTGGCCTGCGATCCAGTTCTCAACTTCCTCAACCTACGCTGGAGGGGGGCGTAGCACAGTGAGACGTGGAGGATATTGGGGCAGCTCTTATATGCAGCAGTGTTCATTGTTTCACGCTGAAAGTCTGATTGCGGGGCTGCGAAACTTGTCGAACCGACCCGCTGTGCCTTTCACCCTCTTTCTCAACGCGACACCCTTGCCCCACACGACCGACCATTCACATTTTCTTCACGAATCTGACAGGAGCAGTTGCTATACCGAACATGGTGACATCTTCGCGTAAGGATTCGTCTACCTAGTGAGGATGCACCATTCCTACAACGGTACATGCATTTTCCTAATCCGAACTGCTTGTACATCAAGAAAGAGCTCCACTTCCACGACACATGCAACTTCCATAATGGTAGCATCTACTAATCTTGCAGGAAGATCCTGGACGAAAGACCCTTTACGTGGCAAAGCAAACCAGTGCTACACCTTCCTACGACCTACTGAACCAAGTATTCTTGAACGCCTCTTGATGTAGCGGGCTCACTCATGAGATTATGTGAAGCTGTTGAAGTAGTTTGAACAAGTTCACGTTTATGGGCAAGCACCACTGTATATTTAAGGCGATCGCTTGATGTTAATCCAACCTTAAAGTATAAGAACGCAGATACAATATAACTTTCGTCGATTGAGTAGCGACTTTCTACCGATGCTACCGACGTTGAGCACGTCTATTTGCTATCCTCAGCCGCTTGATCTGATCCAACGGCGACAAGCACGCCTCCTGACGTATGACAAATATGCCACCCATATACCTATGCATCCATCAACTCCAAGGCCCGAACGACCTTTTGGAAAACAATATGAAACACTATAAATACGAGAGTGGCCTTTGTATCGGAAAGGCTAGGATTAGGGATCAAGACGAAGGGTCGCCGTCCCCACGTTCTGCACCGAATGACCACCAGTCCCAACCGAACGCCCCGATGCAAGAAATATAACAAAGGGAACAACAACCGTAATCGTAAATCTACTGCGTAGGCTGGTGCTGCCCTATGCGGTCTACCATGCTTACATTCCCAATGTGCTTATGATCGAGGTCGCTTCCACCATTCGCCAGAGCTTCAACACGAGGCGCAGGCTCAATTTCGTCATCATCATCCACTGATCGATCACTCTCATCCGGTTTGAGCGTCGCCATGCTTGCGTCCAGTGGCGACATGGGTTCCAATGCAGGTAGCGCAAAAGCTTGTGGCGGCTCGATCGCGATTCTGGGGGGTGATGGCGTGGAGCGGTCGGCGCTTGTTGAAGCGGGCGCATTGGGCACAGAGTCAGGAGCAGCTTTACCTTCTGCGACGTTTTCTATATGCTGAGGATTGTCACTGCCCTTGCCTTCCTCTTTCGTTATGACTTCTGCTAAGCTGCGGAAATTGAACATAGGTTCGGTGCCCGGTGTACCTTGGGGAGGAGTGTCATTTTCGACATCCAGACTAATACCTGATGCATTGGGACTTGGGCCGAATGACGAAGTGGAAGCACCGAAATTTCCTTGGCCATCATTCTGCAGCGATCCCTGCAGCGATTCGGCAAAGGAGGATGCCGATGAGGAGGCATTTGAAAGATTGCGCAAGGCCGAACGGTGAGATGCCTGCTCACCACCAAAGGAATCGGCAGTGGGAGAAATTCCTGTACCACTTCCTTCCCTTTGTAAAGATGTGTTCAGGGTAGATCGGCTCTGCTCTAGATGCTTCTGTGGATCGTCCTTGGAAGACGAAGCATTAAGTGTGGATGTCGGCTCATTCAATGGGTTAAAACCTGCGTATCCTCCCGACCGGTCAACCGCTTTTCCTTTCCCTGCAGCGGAAGACGAGCTGCCCGTGAAGTCGTCTTCAGCACCGTCCTGGTTTGGGCTCATAAAAAAACCACTTTTACGCGCAGCTTTGTCGGCCTTCTTTGCCTCTTTTGCCTTCTTTTTCTCCTCTTTCTTCGCTTCTTTAGCAGCCTCTTTTTCCTCCTTTTTCTTGCGTTCCTCTTCAGCAGCGAGCGAGAGCCTGATAGCTTCCATCATCATAAGATCTTCAAGGTCTTCCAGCCTATTTCCTCGGCGAGAACTCTGCCGGTTAGAAGTTAAGTCGCTTTGGCCATCGTTGCGGCTGGAAGATCCTTGCGCTGCCGCTGCCGCAAGTAGGGCATTAACATCTCCACGGGGCGTCCCGTTCCCACTGGTGCTGGCGCTGTCACTACCAAACATCGTTCGTCGTCGCCGTCCAAGGCTAAAACCTCGGTTGTCGGATTGCATGTTGCCCATCATATATGCAGCGTTGTGCAGCGCTGTCGCTGCGGCAGCTCGACGCAGGGCATGAGCTCTTGCATCGGCCAATTTCTTTGCCCAGTCGGGTCGAACGCGATCCGTAGTGATGACTGATGCGTCTGTGGCTGCAAGTGAGCCTGCTCTTCTCCGGCCAGGTGATGTGAGTCCCTGAGAATTCAGGGAAGACGTTGATGACATCGCCGAAGCAGCATTTGCTATACCTGAGCCAGCAAAGACTAGTCCTCGCCTAAATGGTGGGGGTTCGTAGGTAATTCCAAATTCGGGTTGTACACAGAATGGACAGCATGCCGGCTCAGAGACCAACATGCCATCCTCTTGCGGCTCTGGTGGGGGACTGCCTGCATCGTTCGAATCGGCATGATGCTCCGGTGGATGAGGGTCTGGCCTCTTGATCTGTACAAAACATTCAGAGCAGATGGGCTGGTCGCAACACCGGGTTTTGTTTAGATAGGGAGGATAGTAGAGAAAGCAAATAGGGCATTCTGAGGCGTCCTTGTACAGGAATACTTCAAGACGCTGGCCATTGACGTAGGGATCTTTGGGAAGCTGAACCTCCTGGGGAGCCATTTCAATTTGAGAGGCATTGCGGGATCCTGATGTAAGGGCAGCAAGAGTTTTCGCCCGGCCACGGAAGAACGGAGATGGTGAGGGTGAATTTGCAATCGGAGACGTCGGTGAGGGGAGGGAGAAAGCGGGATGTGATGCAGTGAGGTTCGCAGAGCGGTCGGAAGCCTGCGAGATGGTGCGCCCGCCCATAGGAACGGTGAGATTGTTTAAATTTTGATTCGAGGTGCGAGGATTCCATTCGGTGCTGAGGTTGTTCGGGCGCGGTGGCTCTTCTTCTGGGATCTCGTCGGGCGCGGGAAGGGGCTTGTCATTGACTACAGCTACCAATTGATGCTCAGTCCATGTGTCCTCGTGATCGTTGAGACCCTTCCAGAAAGGCGCCAGCCGGCGCTCTATCTGAAAGTATGTGAGATGTGATGATCAAGTAGCCTCAACGGTACATACCTGCAATTGCCGGACCACAGGCTTGCTGAAGTCTTCGGGGCCAGTGTAGGTGCCTAAAGTGACCAGATAGCCTCCATCTACTCCCTCCTCGCGGATACTGCGCTCCCGGTCCTGCGCCCGCTGCTGCCGCTCTTTCTCCAGCTTCCGCGCCTCTCGCTCCGCCTTGGTTTCGCGCCTAGGTTCTAATGCCGTGTCCCGGTCAGAGCTGGCCCCAATGCCCAAGAACGAGAGGTCTGGCCTGCTTCCACGTCCACTTCGAGCGTTCCCGTATACGCCGCTACCGGATCTGCCGTGCCGCGTGAACTCCTCCGGCCCGGATGCGGTGGGTGAGCTGGGTTGGCGGTTGTTCGACGGGCGCCCTGTACCGCGAGAGGACGCGGGTCGCGATTCCTTTGCCTGACTGTTTCCCATTGTGATGGCGTATCTCTGCGCGCGTGCGGACGATTTTGAGGAGGCGGGCGATGCACCGAGGCAACCGACGAAGCAACAGAGTAGATAAGCAAGGGCAACAGATTATCAGCTGTGCTAGCACGCGATATCCTTCCCTGTCTGTTAATTGGAGCGAGCGAGAGGATGTCGAGGGGTGCGAGAGATAGCGCGTGTCACAAGGACATGATAATATGGCGTGTATGCACAGCGCTGCTCACAAGGTCAATGGTGCTATCGCGGGAGCCTCCGGTCGCACGGCGAGCGCGGGCGTGCATGGACGGGGGCTCTGGTGAATAGAAATGGCGACAGCAGCGACGAGTGTTTGGGCGCTGAGGTGGGCAAAGCAGAAGGGCGAGGGAGGCCAGGATGATGTATGCGTCTTGGCACGTCCAAGTTATGGGTGTGAGCCGTGGCGGGGAAGGCGCAAGGTCCAGGGCTGGAGCCAGCTCACATGCCATTCACCAACACGTCCCTGTTCGTTCGCATGGGCTGCCAGGGCATCCACGCCTAGGCAAGACAAACGCGCGCTGAGACAGCCTGCCTTTGTGACGCAGCTGTGCAGCGACTACTTGGAGCTTGCTATGCTTAGTTCCCCTGGGCCCCGCCTCTCGGCCTACCCGGGCAGTTCAGCTATTGCATTCAACAACCACACAAATACACCGCGCCGCATTCGGAGATTCCAAACTGCCAGAAGCCAACGGTCCCAACAAGCCTGTCCACGATGGGCTCATCTCGCAAGACTGACGTGGATTATGCGACCCACAACGGGCAACCCGTAGCAGCCCAAAGTGAGGCTTGAGCTCGCATCGATGACGAGCTACACTAGCCCTTACTAAGACAGGCATTGGCAGCAGACATTTCCCTTTTCCTAGCCATTTGGGATGCGCGCACCGTCTGATACGGTTTGTGCAAGCTCGATCCGGGCGAGCGAAACGCCGCAAATAGATGTTCGGCTAACATTTTGCTACTGTGGTATGTCTACCATGTGCGTCGGCACAGCTGCCTCAATGCATTTACACATGCTACCATGGTAATCAGACAGTGCCAAACTCCCACGACGATGCCCAATGGTATTTCTCTCCAGGCCCAGTGATCTGCTCATCAAGACGACCCCACTCAGGGCTTGCGCGGGATTTTCATCAGCATGTGACGCCCCTGTATGGATAAGACAACTTACTGGTTGATTCCGTCAACGTAATCCTGGGCTTCAATGGCAATGCAACCATCGCGCGGGATGAATTTGTCCTGGCCTGCGACACCCTGGGTGCTCTTGAACTCGCTCTTCCCATCATTCCAGTTGCACGTGTACAGAACAACTGCATCCTGGTCGGTGGTGAGCTCAGCCTTGATGCCGCTGAACGCACTGCTGAGAGTGAGCGCAACATCTTTCTTGTTTCTCTTGTTGTTAAAGGCCAAAGCGCCGTTGTATCCGTGGCAGCCGCTACCGCAGTGGTTCTCAAACCCGACTTCGCCTGATGCAAATCCAAGCTGGTGAGGCGCGCTCCAGAAATCATCAATACTGTTTTTGGTGATATTCGCGATCTCACCAGTGGGCAAAGCGTTCTGGTCCGCCACCAATGCCCGCTTTGCGGTCGGTGCATACAGAGTGTGGTTCCAGACGGTCCTGTTCGTTGGGTTCTTGAATGCATCAAGCTGGAAGTAGGTGTGCTGCGTGAGCATAACAGGTGTTCTCTGTTGCGGCGAGATAGCATCCATCACGATACTCCATTTATTTTTCGAAACCGAGTAGGTCACACTAGCATCGACGTCTCCCATCATGCCGAGGCTCGAGTTGGATGGGTCGTGGATTGAGAACGTTATCGATGAATTGGTCACATTGGTGACATTCCAAACTCGGTAAGACCAGTTGTTGGTTCCACTGTGAAGGGTGTTTGGACCGTCGTTCTTCTCGGTGTGGTATGTCACACCGTCAAGAGTGTAGGTGCCGTTTCCGATACGATTGACATAGCGCCCGGGGATAGCATTGTAGACTGGGTGTCCGGGGTCCACAGCTATTTCGTAGTCAGAAAAGACACTCAGCTGATGGTCGGAGACGTACGGTAGTAGGAGGTGTTGTCGTAACCAAGTACGATGTCAGTCTCGACGCCGTTCTTATCTGTGCGTGTCAGCGACGAATCATACCCTGGAGTCGGTCACTTCACCCTTTACAAAAAGATTCGTAAGAGTAGCAGCGTAGGGAATGAACTGTAGACAGTAAGCAGTCGCGCGCCTTTAATGTATCAACGGGAACTATCGCGCTATGAGAGTATCCTCAATGGTGTAGCGAGAATAGGTGCGTGGATTTGAGGGGGAATGATGGTACCTGAGCCCTGATGCCCGGGGCCGTGAGAGTAAATTTTCCATCCGCGTCAGGCTGCGGCTTGGGTTTGTGACTCCCCGGGAGTGCTGCAGCAGAAGCTGCAATCGCGAGCAGAGCGCCAGAGGTCTTCATTGTGGATGTGGATAGAGTCCCCAGAATGCACGAAAGAGTGGAGCAAGGTTCCCTTTAGCTGGCTCCATTGACGATTTATATATTATACAAGAGCTGCAGGCCCGCTCCTACCAGCGCGAAGATTCATCTGTCGAAGTGGCTCATCAATCCCGGCTCTATGTGCTGGGCCAACTGTACTGTCGGTCCGGCCGCCACAATTAAATTTTTTAATATGCGTGAGATGTACCCCAGTACTTGCAGGCCCAAGCTGATGTGAGAGGTTCATGATTGGAACGCCGCCATTCGCAATGCGCCGCGATGCAGGAACGCAGATTCTGGAAGCGAAGGAACAGGCTCAATTAGAGCTAATGTGGAGTTGTGGAGGAATGGTTCCTTGCGGTGCCGGATGGAATTCCCTTCGAACCGGCAGGGCGGGCACGTGTAGAACCCTTGAGAGGACTAGTATAGCTTCCTCCGGTTTGAGTCCATCCCGCTTCCCTACCTTTCTACCAATCTGTACAGAATAACACTCGCATGGCGTCAGCTACCAAGACAACCGAAGCCTGCACGTCGGATCAGATTGGTTGAACTGTAGATCCTTCGCGAGACTACTGCAGCGTAGCAAAAGTTGTCATGAAGCTTACGGCGCATTACCTACTTTTTTCCGTCTATCACGAAAAGTATGGTGGGTCATAACAGGCAAGTAGGAAGAAATCTTATAGTTGGCTGTACGAAAGCCAAGGCTCACCCATCGACTTCCTTGGAAATTTGACGTGCGAGTTACGGGCTTCGTCGTGTCTAGTTGCTACGCTTGTTACATCAACAACCTAGAGCGATGTTTGCTATGCAGCCTGATGGTAAAAGAAAGAGGTCTCATTCGAACCCTGGGGTAGGGCTCATTTTGCTCAATTTCCTTGCCAGCGGACACTTCTAATATCCGGGTAGCGGTTACACCAGAGGAGATGAGCATGAAATGAAGGCTTCGCTTAGGGTCTCTATCGTAGCAGGTCGAATCCACGAGCTCCATGCAGTCTTATAAAGCGTAGCTGAATGCTGGGGTAACAGGGATATTTAGCCGCGCTTACAAAGTGCAGCGAGTGTAGTCCATCGACAGCTAACACAAAGACCAAAGCCGAGACAAGCATTCAGCTTGCTACACTGCATCTATCGAGCTCATCGCATAGAGTTTGCGCAGCTGGTCCGCTTTGCTAACAAGTTTGTCTTCCTGGGTGGCTTGAATAGCAATGCTTTGCAAGCGATCAACATATCTCGACCAAGTCCTGCGTGCCCCGTTTCAACAGCTGACAACGTCCATTGGTCGGAGACAGCCACAATGGCTGAACAAGTCCCCTACGACGTCGACCTGAATGATCTACAGTAGTAAATGAGCTCCGACGCTTCATCGTATCTTACCACTTCGCTGAAGCAACAGCTGGCCAATCAGGGAACGCGCAGCTTTTTCTCAAGAAGCCTCAAAGCTTCTCATGAAGCTCACCGGAGAGAGACGGTCGAACATTGACGACTTCGTGCCGGTACTATCAGGATGCACGAAGAGGAGCTGGCAAGAATTGGAAGATCGACGCATTTCACGCTCAGGATTATAAAATGGTTGGTGAGAAGGGGAGACTGTGATTTGACAGTTGCCGGATACCCACACGATCTTCTTCCGAGAGTACAAGCATACAGTGCACCTGAGTCAGACGCCACGTCGGCGACGAGCAGAGGTTGAAGACAGGTTGGATCGTAACGATCTACGTATGGGGCTGTAGATGTTTGGCCGGAAAGCGTTGCTATAAGTAGTTTGAGCTCTGTGAGCAATTCCTGCACTTCCCGAATCTTTCGCGGACCTGCGTTCGCTACTGACGCAAATGGATCGTCCTTGGTCTTTCGCGCTGGACGAATTAATCCAGTAAAGCACCATCGCATCTCTTTACCTTTACTGGCCGTAGGTAGGAGATCGGCGAGCATCAGGTGGAGACAATAGAAAAGTGGGAGGCTTCGCGATCTCGGGAGATGCGTCCAAGCATAATGAGATGTCGGCGTACACAGTATGCAACGCGTGTGCAGCAGGATGTTGGGTGACGAAAGGGCCTTCGCGGTCAAACATTGGGACCCATTGTCTTCTTCAACGTTGTTGCGCGGCTTTGTTCTAGACGTCTTACGAATTCCACCCCTGCACTAGATCTGCAGGGAAGTCGCCCGCCAACTGTTTTTGACAGGTTGTGGGGTTCCTCTCGCGATTGCTTGGAGAAAATTTCTCGAGGGCTGCTGAACCGACGCCACATGGTTTCACAACGTTGACCGGGCTGCGTGTGGAAATATCAGGGCGTTTTGGGTCCAGCTGCCCGGTAGCTGGTCTCACGGACTCTCACCCCAGGTTTCGACAAGCCGACAGCCGACAGCGGCCACAATTGTTCGGGCTTGTACGCGTCGATGGCATGAACGAGTATGCGATACCCACTGCGCCCCGTCCCCACCGGACATTCGGAGTTTTGGCTCCTTCGCGCGAGGCGTGTCTTGGAAGCATGCCCGGGCGAGGAGCACGCAAGCTCGGCTGTCCCGAGCAAGACCATCGATAAGAGGTGTGATGCGGCTCAGGGGTGCGCGGTGGAGCTCCTCTCCTGTTACGCAATGGGCGCTCTTCGCAGGCAGGATCAGCTACCGTTCCACTCGAAAAGGGACGCAGACTTTGGGTGCGCTGGCGGATGATTTGCTCGAGGGCGCAGCCTGCCGGACTCTAGCGCCGTTTCAGGGTCCCGAATGGCTAGCCTGTGGCGCGCGTACCTGCAGCGTGCAGGGGTCCTCCGACACGAACAAACGCATTCCACACTCAAAGAAAGACTCTTCTCCCTTTGTCTGTCCTCTGCTTTCCTTGTTTCATTGCCCGAGCCCGACGCTGCGCAGTCCCCTGGAGCGACTACATACACTCGTTACTAATCCCGACGGCCGTTCTTCAGTGTCCCACCTTCCTTCCTTGTGCTTGACGCACATCCCACGACTCTCTCCACTCTTCATCTTCTGTCCCAGCTGATCGGTTGATCGGAGGCTCCACAGATCGCATTCTGCGGTGACGACAACCCTTCAGATCCCCCTCTACCCACTGCCGGTGCCATCGTGTGTCCTGGGGTACCTCGCAACCCCTCGATGTCGGCGAACCTCTCCAAGAGATCATCTTCTCGACTCTCCCGCCAGGGCTTCCAGCCGCTGCACGAAGAAACAGACAACAACATGAGCAACAACGCAGATATACCCCTACAGACTGTCGTCAGTCACTCGCCCTCGCACACGGCTACCCTGAGGGAGGAGAAGTCGGGCTCTTCCGAGAAGAGAGGCCTTTTCCATGGCAGGCGGCGCGTCCAGAAGGTCGACTCCAGGAACAACGGATATGCCGCCCCTGGTGCCGGCAACAATGATGAGGACAAGACCGCCCTCACCAAGATGGGCAAGTTCTATATGAAGGTTCTCAACTTCAGCATCGTCACACGCTATATGATCTATGTTGCTCCCTTGGCACTCATTTTGGCTATCCCCATCATCCTCGCCGCGACAGGCGTCATATCGAAGAAAGCCAGGATTGGAGGTGATTCTGACACCGGCGCGGAACCGCGCTTGTTCTTCATTTGGATCGAGATCAGTATGTATACATAGATACGGGAGACGATAAGTGTTGGCACTGACTCTATCTCTAGTCTGGCTCAGTTTCTGGGCATGCAAGATCGTCGCTCACTTCCTTCCCCGCATCTTTGAATTTCTCGTCGGCGTCGTCAGCCCCGGTATTAAGAAATACGTTCAGTTGCTTGCCGCCCTGGAAAAGCCACTCTCTTTCGTTTTCTGGATGATCGTGAACCAGGTCACCTACCAGGTCCTCATCGTGCAACCAGTAAAAACCCAGCCATCTTGGAGCAAGAAAGTGGGATCCGTCCTGCTTGCTCTACTCGTGTGCACCTGTATCATTCTTGCCGAGCGAGTGCTTATTCAATTGATCAGTATCAGCTACCACAGGAAGCAGTTTGACCAAAAGATCAAGGACTCTAAACACAACATTCATCTTCTGGGTGTCATGTACGACGCCTCTCGTGCTCTCTTTCCGGAGTACTGCAATGAATTCGCCGAGGAAGATTACATCATTCAGGACAACTTGCCCTTCACCATAGGAAGCAGGAAAGCGACAATGGGACACAATCGTTCAGGCTCAAAGACCCCGATGCGTCTGCTTCAGAATGTGGGACGTGTCGGAGACAAGGTCACTGGCGTCTTCGGTGCCGTCGCCCAAGAAATCACCGGCAAGAAAGTCTTCGACCCTAATTCGGCGCACTCGATTGTCTTGGAAGCCATTGAGCACAACCGCTCTGCTGAGGCCTTGGCCAGGCGCATCTGGCTCTCGTTTGTGGTCGAAGGCAAGAACGAATTGTATCTGGAGGATCTAGTTGAAGTCATGGGCGCTGGTCGCCAAGAAGAGGCCGAGGAGTGCTTCGGTGCCCTTGACAAGGACGGCAACGGTGATATCTCCCTCGAGGAGATGATCATGACTGTGGCAGAAATCGGACGTGAGCGCAAATCTATTGCGTCCAGCATGCACGACGTTGACCAGGCCATCAACGCCCTTGATGCCCTTCTGTTCACCATTGTCTTTATTGTCTGCGTCTTCGTCATCGTCTGCTTCCTCAGCCCAAGCTTCCAGACAACTCTTGCGACCTCCGCCACGGCTCTACTCTCGCTGTCCTTCGTCTTTGCTGCCACATGCCAGGAAGTCCTCGGTTCCTGCATTTTTCTCTTCGTCAAGCACCCTTACGACATTGGCGACCGCGTCGATATCAGCACCGATCAGTTCACCGTCGAACACATATCCCTTCTCTACACCGTCTTCAAGCGCGTCAACAACGGTAAAATCGTACAAACGCCCAACATTGTCCTTAACAACTTGTGGGTTGAGAACATTACACGTTCAAAGGCCATGAGAGAGCAAGTCTCCATCTTCTGCGACTTTGGCACCTCGTTCGAAGACATCAGCGCTCTCAAGCAGGAATTGGCGGGCTTTGTCCGCGAATCTAGCAACACTCGTGACTTCCACCCGGACATTGAAGTGGAGGTTGTGAGCATTGCCGAAATGAACAAACTTGAGCTGCGCGTCGAGATCCGTCACAAAAGCAACTGGTCCAACGAGAGTCTCCGTGCATCCCGAAGGTCCAAATTCATGTGTGCTTTGGTTGTGGCCCTACGCAAGGTTCCGATTGCGGGCCCTGGTGGTAGCGACGCTGCTCTTGGTGATGCCAACAAGCCTTCTTGGTCCGTTGCTATCTCACCCGAGCAAGCGCAGGCAGTGCGACAGAAGTACCTCGACGATAAGGACGCTGGCCGCCTGTACCCCACCAACAAAAAGGATGATGACAACGACACGGGCAAATCTACCGGAGTCGATTACCTCGGCACTGGTACCGAGAGCGTGGCTATCAACCAGATCAACAATCGCAAGCCCGGTGTAGATGCTGTCCGCGATGACACGTGGAGAGCACGCGACGACACATGGGGAGCACCCGACGATGGTAGCACCATCGGTCGCCCGAGTCTAGATGGCCGTCCTAGTATGAGCGCTAACCGTCCGGAACTCGAAGAAGTTCGCGGTCTCCTGCACAAGGCGAGCAGTGGCGGCCGCCGCAAGGGAGGTGCCTCCCTTGCGCCAACTCCCAGTGGTTACAGCACCGAGACTAGGCAAGCCATGCCTCCTCTACCGCTCGCTGTGAACCCTTCGCCTCAACATCCCAATGCCAACAGCAACCCGTACGCGCCTCCACCGCTTTCGGCACCACGGACGCCCGCCTCACCGAGCTCCGTTTCGACCGGGAACATCGAGGAATATCAGTATCAAACGATGGTCCCACCGCCTCCACGCAATGACGCTCGCAGTCCCCCTTCAATTCACCTCCAGCAGCATCGCTCACCGCAGGCGTCGACAGGTCTGAGGCCAACGCCTTCAAATGCGTCTACAAACCCTTACCGGACGCAATCACCCCCAACCTCACCGCCAGCGGCTAGTCAGCATCCGTACCGCCCTTAGACGGTGATATCCTGCTATGCCTAGGTACCGAAAAACTCGTGTGATCCTGCGGCCCAAATGTTCCCGTCATTATGGTTTCTATCGTCCAATTTTTGGGACATGTACTTTTTAGCGACATGATGCATAGCCATGAGTTTTCTTTCCTTTGGTGGGAGGTTCTGCATCTGGTCTTTGGTTATTTTGTTTTCAGAGAGATTGAACTTGTACTGCATAAGCATAGCTGGGACCTTCCAGTGCGGAACGGACAGCGTGCCGGGTTTGAATAAGAAAAAAGATAGAAAGCTTAGAGGATAGCTGCTAGCATTGGAGCAAGTGGATCAATCATAGTTAAAGTCAATCACGACTTCATACAGGTGCGTGCAAATGTTTTTGTGAGGTACCAGAATGTGGACAATCATCCTCGTCGCGAATAAAGCCGATGAATCCTCATTAGCTCCTTATGCTATGCTACCTATCCAAACGACGTATCACACATCGTTCTATCACCGAATTCATCTGATTCAAAGACGAGACGAAATCCAACGATCACCGGCCAACCGATCCATGCACCTCTCCACCTCATGTGCCTACTGCCTAGCTACACGCAGACCATCATTTCTCAGCCTGAGCCTGAGCCTCAGCCTCAGCCTCCCTCTTCTTACCGCCACCAGTGTAGTTCTGGGACCCATTGATGCGGGTGTTGATAGTCTTCGCATCCCGCTTCTTGCCTCCACCAGTGTAGTTCTGACTCCCGTTGATGCGGGTGTTTATCGTTTTGGCGTCGGCCTTGCGCGCCTCTTTGGCGGAGCGCTCGGCGACCTCGCGCTTCTTCTCGCACCAGTCGCCGTAGCATGCCTCTGTAGAGAAGGCGCCCACACGAATGTTTAGCGTGGCTTCGGCGGCGGGCTCGCGCTTCTTCTCGCACCAGTCGCCGTAGCATGCCTCTGTGGAGAAGGCGCCCACACGAGTGTTGAGCGTGGGTTCGGCAATAGGGTCGGCAAGAGGAGCAGCCGAAGCCACGGCAGCGGCGAGGACCAGAGCTGCGGTGAAGGCCTTCATGGTGGTGATATGGAAAGTGAAGAGAACAGAAGTAGTGAGTGGATGTGGCTTGGGCGTGAACGAATTGTCGGTGCCTGCAGATTGTTCCCAGTCAGAGGGGCTGTACTTATAGATGGTTGGTGATCCTTCACTTGCCCGGGAGATCGTTGTACCGTCGACAACCGCTATGGAGTCGATACTGCTATCTGGCTTTAGCTATAAAGGGGAGGTGTCCAATTATGGTGAAACCGTTCTTCAGTCAGGAGTAGTCTCTAAGATCGTGTGTCGCGTAGAGCATGCCTTGAATGCGTTACAACCATTCCCCTAGAGTACAGTGCCGTCCACTCAGACGTGGTACTTAGGTCGGATAACGTCTGTGAGAGCAAAGTGATGCCGAACGGTTGTTCTAGAATGGTATCGGAAAGGGAGGAGATTGGCTGCGTTTGTTGTCTCCTGCTTATTGCGGCCTGGAGGCTACCAAGCACCGGGACTGTGACTGAGACTGAAGGATCTTGGATACTCTCCATTTGTGAGAGCACATGTGGGGCTGCAGATACGAGCTCGTTACGCGGAGATAGTATACGCGGAGTTGTCTCAAGATGAGGATGTTTCTAGTACCTGGAAGAAAGTCGCCCGCAGTTACGGATGTGGTGTTATTGTAGGTTGACTCCTAACCCAAAGCTCCCTGATCCTGCGCATTTTCTTGGTGTCAGAACATGGGGTGTCCATGTAAGGCCGCGCTCCAGTCCAAGTTATTTCAGACTCTGCATCTAGACACCGATCTTAAGCAAGGTGTACACGAAGTAGACACTGGACAACAATGCGTCCGCGAGTCGCCCGAAGCTGGTTGTCTCGGTAAAAACCTGCTGCGTAAGGGAAATACCTATGGTGTGAAGTATTCGCATTGTGAGGCAGCATTTTGCGAGTATCTGGGGGGCTAAGAATCCTAAGCAATCCTCTGAGTGAGATCTACTCGCTTGGTCCACCCCACTTAAAACCTGTGGATGGGATGCTAAGGGTATACCATCAGTCTGCATGAGAGCATGAGGGAATAGAGTGCAGAGTGAGGCAAAGATGAAGAAAACTCATCGGTAAATACATAACTTTCTGTTTGATGAAATTACAGTTCGTATGATGCTACTACAGTTCGTGTCGAAGCTTTGACGAGAATGGCAAGCGAAAAGCTTAGCGAATTCTCTCTACGTTAGCACCTTTCAAAGATTCGCCAGTAATCGATGTCGGACTCGCTTTGGGATCAGCAAACGTGATTATGGAGAGGCATCCTTCTGCCGAATCTGCCGAATTTCGACGTTTGAACATGCTCTGAGAACATCGCAGAGTCTAACCCAAACCAGCCGGGTATCCGTAGGAACGATAGCAACGCGAGACGTTGTTTCTACATACCTTCCAAATCGAGTTAGAGCGTCAGGATCCATACTGTAGGGGAATATGAACTATGCAAGGCTGCTTTGGGAGGCGGGAAATACGTAGACAACAGTCTAGCACTTCTCGTCGATCTACTTCTGCGTTTGCTACTCATACTGTGCTTCTGCTCAACACTTCGCTATGGCCTTTGGATCGACACGCGGTTCGTACCGCAGCGTACCCAGCTCGGAAACATTACATGAAGAGGACCATGGTCTTCTCGGCTCAGAGAAAGTGGCAAAGTCACGATCAAAGTGGAGGTCATTAATGGAAAAGCCAAGAATCTGCAGCGGTCATTTTCTCCTACTGTCACATATCGCGACCTCCACTTTCTATCTCCTTGTCATCTCTGCTCTTTGGCAGCAGTCGTCTCTCGAGAGCTGCTCGCTGAGACTCTCGACTTGGTGTACATGCCCCAAGCCCGATTAGTAATGCAATTCAGAGTCACTGATATATCATACCAGCACCTGCCCTCGTCGCAGTCAAGTACAACAAACCCGAATTCTTCAAAGCCCAAATCTCACAGACCAACGCATTCCGGGGTCCAAACAGCGAACGTCCACCCAAAGAAGTTGATGAAGCATGGACGAATGTCGGCATCGGGATGCCGGGTCTCAGGTTGTCTGGCGAAGAAGTCGAGAGTCTGGGAAAGAAGCTCGTTGATGGGACTGAAAGCCAACATCCTATTCCAGACGGCAAAGGCGGTTACATTGCAATGCTGGAGGTATTCCACATGCTGCATTGTTTGGTAGGTGAATGTTCTGCCAACGTGACCGAGTGGAAGACGTATGCTCTGGGTATACTGATGTATTACAGGATGAGCTGAGAAAGGCCTTGTTCTACAATTGGGATTATTACAGCGCAGACTACCTGGCTGATAATGGAACCACCAGTTTTATCCAGGTCCACCATGGTAAGTACCTTGTGGGTCTTAATTATACTTCTGAACTAATAACGCAGATCATTGCGTCGACGCGCTCCGGATGAGTTTGATGTGCAGCGCAGACGTAACTCCTGTTACTTTCATCGATGACAGTGCCGTGCCTCAGCGACGAAATTCGCTACCGGATTTCTCCACGAAACACACTTGTCGCAATTTCGATGAGATCGTAAATTGGAGTTGGGAAAACGAGCGAGCCATGATGTGGGAGGACGTTGGGGACGCTACAACTTGGGACCCGACGTTAGCGAAACAAGAAGCAGGACATTCTCATGGAAGCCACAAGCAAAATGACCGGTAATAGTACAATGGAAAGGTACCTACAAAGACTTGAATTAGTGTTTCTTCCACTCGCATGTCAGCATCAACATGCCGATGTCTCCTTTATCTAGTCCCAGAAGCAAAAACGTGATAGAGCGGGAAAAAAACATCTTTTTAAGGGTCAAACAGCCCTCCTCGCACGACCTCTTGATAAGAGGCCCCAATAACGCTCGCATATGATGTTGACTCTTAGATATGGTATTCATTTTTTGCTGGTCTCATCCAGTTCCTCGACACTACGTCAACACCTAAGTCAACACTCGGAACTGACCCAACGCTGACCAATCGATTAGATTGACGGCTTGAGGGCTTGGGGCGGTGAAGCGATAAATAAAGGTGAAGGCGGTGGGATGCGGGAGGTAGATCGAGCTGAGAATGATATTGATAGGTGCCCTTAAGGTGAAAAATGCGCTGATGTAGGCAAGCGAATGACGGACGTGGTGTGAGAGAGAAGCTCAGCGTGCGACAATGGCTAGAGGTGCTTTGAGGTCTCTCATTGAGCCCTGTTTCCGACCGCTCACCACGTCAGCGTCTCCTCTCGCCCCGGCCTCTTCGCAAGCCAATCATCCCACGTTTGTATCGACACGCGTGCTCTGTTTGCCTTTGTAAACGTCACTCCAGCCCCATACACCTTGTTGCTCAGCACTGTCTCCGGCGCAGCACCATTGATCTCTAGTGTCCCATGTCGATCACTGGCTTCCACTCCCAATATTAATTCGCAGAGCGCCGCGGCAAAGCCGCTCTCGAGGAAGACCTCCTGTTGTGGGTAGCGGCGCAGCAAGTCTATGACTCGCCTGCGGAGTTCCGTAGTAATACCGCTGATGTGCGCCATGATTAGTAGTGGCGTAATGGCAGGTAGTATAGGGATGAAATCCGATGCGGTATCAGACCGTGTTCGTGAGATGGGATCTTGCAGAATGAATTCGGCGAGAGTCAACGCTTGTTCGAAGTGTATCGCCAAAGCTTCTTCTGGGTCTGCAACTGTATCCGTGAATTGCGTATATTGGACATTCGGCGGAGAATTGCTGGGATCGTCTTGATGTAGTATGGGCCCTCGACGCCGCTGATATACCAATCCTCTCGCCGAGCCCTTGGATGCCGCGAGAAGCGGGTGATACGTGTCCAAAGAGAGCATGTGATCGGTCGGACTTTCGAGAAACAGCGGAAAGCACGTTGCGTGGTACATCCGGAGCCTGTCTACGGCCTTCTTCTGTGATGACGTTGGGGTGGCATTCGAACCGAAGCACGTGCACTCGGTGAACGTGTCCAACACGAAGGTGTCGATCGCCGTACTCAGTTCTTTATAGGCGCGGATATAAGGCTGTTGCCGACGGATTAAGGTCACAAGGACGCTTTGTTCGGCGTGCAGCACTAGACGTGCGACGTCCCCAGCATCGCGTTGTGACAGTGCCATCAGCCCATAAAGTAGAGACTTGATTGCTCTCCCAGCGTGGCTGAGATTTGCAGGTGTCGCTCGAGAGGGGAAGCACCTCCCATGTTCGCATATTCCAGAGGAAGTTGGGGTTGAGGGCGCACTGTATGTTCTCCAAGTGATGTATGCGCTTGCATCGCTCAGAAGTGCCGATTCGTCGGGAACTCCGCTACTATGGAGTAGTTGAGCCGTGACCTCGAGACAGGCAACAACTGAGAACAAATCATAGTACGGTATTGGCGCGTTGTGTAACAGAGAATGTACATTCTTCGTGCCTATCGACTTCGTTGAGTAGGGAGTTGTCGATCCAGCGGGCGTCTGTTTCATTTCATGGAGCTCTTGTATCAGGCTTTTCGCCGCGCTAAGATGAATCGTGGCCTCTGAATGCAGGCCTTGGAAGCTGCACAGATATGTGAATACCACACTGGCGGTCAAGGCTCGCCACTTCTCTTCCTGGACGCTACATGGAGCTCTTGGGTGGACGAGATGATTGATGGCAGTGCTGATCTGTTGCATAGCAAACATCGATCCAGCCTGAGCTGTTCCCCCCCTGTTGCTAGTTGAAGCTTCGTGCACTGCGCCTAGAGCCACCACAGCGTGCCAGATGGCCGAGTCGACATGGCACGTCCGTGGAATATAGGTAAGCCAGAAGTCGACCTCGAAGACGCCAGCGATTGCCGGTGCCGTAACGTCCAGAAAATAGCGGTAGCTCCGGAGTTCTTGATCATTTTTCCTAGGCAGAGCAACCCTCAGTTGCTTCGGTATAGGTTCTGGACTGGTACTCGATGAGTCTTGAGATCTAGTTTGGGAGCCCTTGCTATCTTTGGATTGGTATCCGTCGCAATTTCTCCCAGTTGAAACGCAACGATTGCATTTGGGCTTTTCCTCGTCACATCGAACTCTTCGAACCCTAATCAGCGTCAGTGGTTTTAGTAAACCATGGACGAAGAGATGTGTGGAAGCTTCTTACTTGCATGTGATGCATCCGGTCTTCCCCCTCCTGAATCGGCGTGGACGCTCTGGGTTGCATTCAACTATTCTGTACTTCTGTGTGTGCCCTTCTGAAGGCATCGCGAGGTCTTTTTCAGGACTACCAAGGCGTTTGAGCATGCAGGTCGAGAGCCTTAAGCGTCTAGTGACCGAGAGGCAGTGCATATATCATCTGAGTGTATGCCAAGAAGCAGGATGGGCTTCCATTACTTAGTGGCGGTACACGCTGTAGACGAGGTGTACGGCTCACCCCGTAGCTTCCGATATTTGAGATAGAGCTCGTCCCTGTACTTCTGCGCAGCCGTTACGTGCGCTGACTAAGGTGCTAGGGTGAGGTGCGTCTAGGTACGCTACCAACGGCCTATAGGAGGGGTTTCCGTCACGTGTTGGCTCAGCCAATGGAAACTGTCATTTTCACTCCACTAACGACAATCTCAATTTTCATTGGCTGAGCCAACACGTGACGGGAAACCCTCCGTGGACCGTTGGCATGACAAATGTATTGTGCACGCAAGGGCTGAAAGGCTGTGTGTATGCCTCTGAAAGCTGCGTGAACACTGTGAAGGAAATGTGGCCCCCATCTGGCTAGATCGAAAAGGGTCAATGCGAAGCGACCAATGAAACGACTCTCCTTCTCGCACTTACTCCTGATTGGCTAATTCCAGTTCCTACTGAATCTTAGCTGTCAGCAATCACGACGATTTCTTCGATCGAAGCCTCGATATGACAAATGTTTGCGCCTGAACGTTGTGGCTGAACACCGAAAATGACGTCGTGGGCTCCGACTCCGGCCCAAGAGGCTGCGCAACGGCGACCTCGTTGACTAACGCGTACAGACCGTGTTCACCGCTTAGTCTGGTCCTTGCCCATGTCCAAAGTTTGTGGGTATCGTTCCAAAAAGGAACCATGCTGCGAGATTGCCGTAAGTGGCCTAGCTCAGCAAAGGCTTAGAAGCAAAGTGCGGTTTGATCTTTCACGCTCTATGTCTCTACAAGGAACGGAGTACAACTCGGTTACGGACCTCTCATATTACGCCCCAGGGCAGTCAGCTCTTACCTTTTGCTTGCAGCCGAGAGAACCAATGGCTTTCCATCCATGGAGTGGTATCGCTTGGGTTGGAGGATAGAAAGAACATCGCATGTGTACAGAAGACTGTGCGTACTTATGGATTCATCTAAACTTTTAGAATGAAGACAACTGAGCATATAAGAGCTTCATACCTATAAACAACATTCCTGCAGATTCTAACCAGCCATGTCAATCACACCAATCACACCAATGGCATACATCTCGACCCTCTGGGGGTCCTTATGTCTACTTTTTCTCTGCTCCATCACTCTTACTCTTGCCCAAACCGCACCAAATTGTCCCCTTGGCCCAGGCTCCATCTATCCTCTTCCAGGAAATCCTCTCCACATAAGTTCCTTCATATCATCTGCCCTATCCAACTTGAACCAAACCCTCACTTCCACCCTTCAAGACTGCACTAGCACCCTCACCACCTCCAATGTTTCTTTCCACTTCAGTATATTCTCCTCGTCCTCCACCTTCTTCGAATACAACCACATCGCACCAGGTCAGGAACATTCTCTCAGCAATGGAGACATAGATCGCAACACTGTTTTTCGTATCGGCAGCGTTTCCAAGCTACTCACAGTGTACACTCTCCTAGCGACAACAGGCATCAACCACCTGAACGATCCCGTCACCAAGTGGATACCAGAACTAGCCGCAAAGAAGTTCGAGGATGAGATCAGCACGGCCAAATGGGCAGACGTAACGATTGGAGCGCTGGCAGGACATATGGCGGGCGTGAAGGAGCGTAAGTAACCCCCTATTTCCGATCACTTGGAACCTAGACTAAGGGCGATCCAGTGTCTATGGAGGACCTCGCCACACTTTACGACGCTGAAACGGCGGCGATGTATAATTTACCACCTCTACCCATGAGCGACGTACCCACGTGCGGCACCGCTGGCGAGCTACCCGCCTGCTCGAGAGAAGAATTCTTTGCTGCGTTCACGCATCTGCGCCCTGTGACCTCACCGTTCAATATGCCGATCTATTCCAACGTAGCGTTTCAGATCCTAACATATGCGATCGAAGCCATGACGAACCAATCGTTCGCAGATGTGTTTCAAAGCGCGCTTGTAGGGCCTCTAGGGTTGAATGGGACGTACTTGACCATGCCACCAGGTACAGTAAGTTCAATCATTCCGGGGGAACCAGTCCATACTTCCGTGGGACATGGACGGAGGCGATGGGACATCGAGCGCGTGAGTCACCTGCACCTTCTCTGAGAGACACGAATGAATGGAGGAACTAATTAACAACAGCAACGGCTTGATGTATTCTACCGGCGCGGATCTCGCAGCCCTCGGTCAATCTATCCTATCTTCCACACTGTTACCACCCCACGTAACCCGCCAGTGGCTCAAGCCCATAACGCACACGCCCGACCTCCGTCTCTCCGTAGGCATGCCGTGGGAGATTTTCCGCTTGGAAGTTCCTGTCCCATTCAGATCCTCTGGCTCCTCAGAAGAGCAAACAACGCGAATCATAGACTTATACCTCAAGAACGGCGGCACAGAAACGTACAACACGCAGTTCCTCCTCTCGCCAGACCATGGTTTCGGATTTGCGCTCTTAACGGCTGGTCCACCACCCACAAGGGGTCCGGATATGCGTTTTGCCGCCATGCAAGAAGTGAATGAGATGATTACCTCGGTCTTGCTTCCTGCATTTGAAGCCGCAATGCAGGACCTGGCTATCGCCAAATTCGCGGGTAACTACACCACCAGCAGAGAAAACGCTTCATCCACGAACCTGGAGATCGTAGCCGGCGACGGCGGCCTGGGTCTGAGCGTCAAGAGCTGGATGGACAAGGGCGGAACAAGAGATTTGTTGAAGACGTATTTCGCTGCACTGCAGATGGCTGAATCGAATGCTCTGGAGGAGGATCCAAGTCTCCGGCTGTACCCCGTAGGCTTGCAGAACAGGGGAGAAGTGGCATTCAGAGGCGTGTTTGAGTACCAAGGCAGTGCGGGTGCGTTCAGCGACAGCAACACGACGGCGTTTGGAAGTAGATGCGGAGCGTTTGCAGCTGTCGATGAGCCCCAATATGGTAACGTTGGGCTGGACGATTTTGTGTTTGGTGTGGATTCGGCTGGTATGGCAACGAGTATTGCTGCGCGAGGGATGAGGATTACGCTTCGAAGACTTTAATTGCTTTGTTGTTTCTTCTTTACTAAGGTAGTTTATTCCTCTGTTTCAGCTTTGAACGCTACTCTCTTGTTGCTGTTCTTCTTCTTCTTCTTGGGCTCGATACTCAATGCTTTGTCTGCAGGTATTGCCGCGGCGGCATCGAGGTCTCCCTCCTCATCGGACATCAGATCGATCAGATTCGACGTTTCGTCAACCGTCATCTGTACCTCACCCGATTGTGCCGCCATTTCTGACATCCATGCTGCGTCCTCGTCTTCAGAGTCTTCTTCCTCTTCCTCTTCGTCTTCTACTTGCTCGTGCTTTTCTCCTTCCTTAGCTTCTGCCTTCTGAGCTGCCTTATCAGCCTTTCGGGCTGCCTTCTCAGCTTCCTTCTCAGTCCAATGTTTCTTGGTGGGCTCCTTGGCAGCAGCCGCTCGTTGCGCACGCGACTTGAGGCCTGACACAATAGCCAGAACCGTGGCTAGCAATACGCCTAATGCTACCAGGGCAGAGTTTCGGGGGTCATTGTACACCTTTTGCTTCGAGATCTCCCACTGTTCCACAAAGGCATGCCTCAGTGAGCCAATTCTGCCATACTGGTCATACCTCTTCCGCCAGATGAACCGATACGGTGTCCGGTACGGCGAGCCTGCCTCATACACGCCCTCATCAGGACATTTCCAGTTCTTCCGCGTACATTCCTTCTCCTGGTCTGCCTCAGGCCCCATGTGATCTCCTAGCGACGTAGACAGCTCAGCGTATACTTTCTCAGCGGGTAGGAGCTCAATGTCGTCGATTGTATACGAGCTGGCGGCGTCGTTGGACCACCCTCCTTCGTTTTGATCTCGCATGGAAACTTGAACAATGTCTTGTTTTTGGGGGTCTAGGAGGGTATCGGCGCCATCACTGCCGAGCCCCATGAGGCGGAAACGCAGGGTAGGCTTGTGGTTGTAGTAAGGCGGGCCGCCGGTTGGATCGCCCTCTACAAGTCTGTCGTAGTCCAGCTCCAGCCTCTGGCCACGAATAGATTCCTTCCCTGCTGTCCTGCTTTCCGCAATCGCTATTATCGCATCCTTCTTAATGTCGTCGGGCACATGGTACGCTGATATTCGCGGAGGGATGTAGTAGTTTTGCAGCGGAAGGAACGGCGTGCCGTCGAGGAGAAGGGTCTTGTTATCTGCGGACAGCTCGAATTTGAGTATTATCGCATGTTGGCCGGCTCCTTCTTTGGAGGGATAGCCTGGGGTCGAGAGCTTGACGATCGCGCTTCGCTGCGGTTGTAGCCAAGTTACTGAGGAAGTGGCAGCCGTAAAGCTAGATTGCGTGAGGACCGCAAACGCAAGAAGTAGAGGAGTGAGCATCTTGAGGGTAGAAAGGAGCGTGGTGGTGGAGCGAAGGGAGAGACATGAAACCAGCATTTGGTAATTCGCAGTGGAAAATAAAATCTCGGAAATCGCGCACCTTTCCGAACATTCCGAGATTCGACAACCGATCGTCATAACATGCACTGGGCACGCTCACAACTTATGACACTCTTTATAAGTGTAATAATGCAGCACTTTTGTTCAAGATCCATTTGCGTTCCACGACCGCTTTTGCCGAGCACATTCGAAGCACGTCTCAATCAGATCACTCCAAAGTCACCAGAGCCATGCACCCTGTGTAGAACTGTTCTTTCGTACGCATTATGCAAAACCAGATCCGCACAAGGAAAGCAATAGTCAGTATCGACTTTAAGGTAAGAATCACGAGTTGTCATCACGCGGGATTTTGGACGTTAAACTCCACGAAACCCGCAAGGTACGATATCCCAGCCCCAAAGACACCCGGAAGCAAGTACGGCCAGAGGGCAGAGGAGCTTGCTGCCGACCTGCCATTCATTTACTTCTTACATGTCGTCATCTTGCAGAACGACTTGCGCTTGGTCCTCATCGATAGCCACCATGCCCTCGTCCACCGGCATACCTACAATGCTTGCTAGTGACATTGCACGCCCTGCAACCGGCTCTCTTTTGGAGAGAAGTTGTAACAGGGTGTCACGCTGCCAGAAGATATAACGCCCAACTCGTAACCGGAGGAGGGCCCTGGACGCGCGCTGTTGTGAACAGCACCAAGCCTTGATATGTACTATCGGAACGGTCGAGGCGGTCTCGGCTGTTCATGCCTCGGGAACGGTGACCGGCAATAATTTTTCATAGATCCGACAAATGTTCTTCGAGTGAAGAAGCTCGCGCTCCACAGCGGTGACCCTGTCGATGGCTTCGGCGTCTCTCGCAACGTCGTTCGATGAAAGGCATCGGATGGTGCGGAAGCACTGTACAGTAGATCAGTAGTCAAGAGTCCGCTTGTGCACGTATTCATCCATGTGGGCACGCCACGTGTGCGAGACACTGCAGGTGCCCAGATACAAAGCGCAGACGGCAGCGCATTCAGGTCGAACCAGTAGCCCGAGGTCAGTACATAGGCGGTCTGCGGCGGGGCGGTGGCCAGGTGCGTCGTCGCTGGCAAGTGAATGCAGGGCGTATAGGCAGCGACGCGGGTTATAGGCTGTAGATTGGCAGTGCTGGATGCTTGGGCGGTGGCGGTGGTCAAGAGCAGGCAATATATCGAGGAGCATGTGGGATGACAGGCCCAAAGCTCGAGGCTCGCCGAAGCCCAATCAGCGCTGGGTTCGTGGGTAACAAGTGCACATCTCACGTGCTGCAACCGCAGGCCGACGTTTGCTTGACCGTCCAACCTCACAGCAAGAGAGCCTACGAGCCTGCCATATTGCTACTGCAGGCTGCCCGGCATCGCGTCGCCGCCATGAGTACTATGATCACCTTTGCCGCGAATAACGAGTTCTTCAGGAAGCGCAAGCGTAACGCGCCCCCGGTGCTGTTCTCCGCGCCCCAGTTTGCTAATGTGGCTCCACAGGCGTCCACCGCGCATGCGACTCGTGCAAGAAACGTCGGGTAAGCAGCAGACGCACGCAGAATGGTGGCGGTCCTCTCCCTCTGACCGTCCAGTAGAAGCGATGCAGCCATACCTTCGACGACGACGCGGATGCCGGAAGCTCTACCAAAAGCGGACAGTCCGCCAACCCAGGTCAACAAGACCCTCATGCATCAAATGCCAGCTATCATGATCAAAGGGGCCAGCGGGGCGACCCTCAGCGCGATGGAACCCGCTCCTCCATGGCGCCCTACAGCCCAAGCGATGACCCGCCTGCACAGACGCCTCCCAACTTCCTCGGCTACTTGAACCCGGAGGCCGTCCTGAGGGAACAGGTCTACGCGGAGAAGGGCAAGTCGACGCAGTCTCCGGTCATCCCATCCATCGGCCAGTGGATAGAGGGCGAGAATCCGGCTTTAGGTAGACCGTTAACAAGCCAGCCTGGAGCCGCACCTGCAAGATTCGATGATACGAGTCCAACTGCAAATCAGGATGTCAAAGTCCAAAGAGCTCTCCGCCAGTACCTGGAAGCAGTAGGCGTCACAATACTGCCGCCTCGCGAGTGTCAAGATGGCTTGCTCGACCTTTACTTCAACTATGTGCATCCGCTGCTCCCACTCATTGACCAAGATGTCTTCGCAGAACGGTATGCCCAAGGGCATGAGTCTCGTCTGTTGATGCAGGCAATATGCATTGTGGCATCGAAACACGCTGACGCTGGGAGCTACCTGTGTCTGGGTGACGACCCTCGCAAGATGGGCCCGCGAGAATTCTCGCACCGGCTATATAATGCTGTCATCGCAGGCATCGAAGCCAAGATGGAGAAGAATCGCGTCGTGTTAATTCAGGTGCTAGCACTTATATCGCTGCATTGCGAAGGTCCCGATGGTGCTGAACAGGCGTCTATGCATCTTGCACAGGCTATTCACCATGCGCACACATTCGGTCTGCAGTTCGGACACCAGTGGAAGAACCAAAAATCAGACGATCAAGAGAATCTAGAAGACCTTTTCTGGTGTCTATGGAGTCTAGACAAGATCAACGCTTGCATGAACGGGAGACCGCTCTTGATGCATGAGCGCGATAATAGTCTGACGAAGCTACCAACAGATCCAGAGAAAAGGCAGAGTCCGTTTGGAGTATGGCTGCAAATATCAGAGATGCTTGACAAAGTCATAGACTACTATAGACCGGGAAGTAAAGCGGAAGAGACAGGCTGGGAAGGTGACGACTTCTTGGGTTTTGAAGAGATGGTCGGCGATGGAGAGGACAAGCTTGAGGGTCCTATCATGAGTGAGTATCTTTTTTGGAGGCGAAGAAGCGGGATACTGATGAGTTGGCAGGTCTACTTTCGCTCTTCCATCACACCATGTGCATGGCATCACACAAGTCCCTTTCTATCAATGCCCCCGTCAAATCAACGCCTTCCTACGTCCGGCAGAGCCTATCGGCGACCCGAGTAATCCACCTCCTTAACGCAGAAGCTCCAGAACGTTTACCACCTTTACCTTTAGTTCCCTACGCACTGTCCGTCGCGCTAAGTGTGGTATACCGGCACTTTCGCTCCAGGAGGCTAAAAGTGCATATCAACCGTGCGACCGAAGAACTCAGGCAATGTGTCATGCTACTGAATCGCCTACGCTACGCGTGGTGGACAGCCGGCACAATGGCTGACATAGGGACCGCCGTCCTGAATAACGCAGACCGCAATACGCGAACTGCAAACACACCTGCGCCCCCTGCCGAGAATGCACACCATCCCGCGATGAAACCAACCCCTGCAGGGGCTCACAACCAGCAGCAGCACCACGCGTCCACCCCAAGTAACTGGCAGACACTCGATAACGCCACACCGATTGACCCGCGCTTGCAACAGCAGAACCCAACTTCTGCACCTACAGCAAACATGACGCATCTTCTCAATCCCCTCCCACCACCACCCACGCCAGGCCAGCATCCGACAAGCAGCGAGCGCGGCTCTCACGTCCAGCATCCCGGCGCAACACCGCAATTAGCGCATGCGGGCCCGCCCTTCGACTTCTCGGAGGCGAGCCCAGACTGGTTGAATTTCGACACTGCGTTTGAGAATTTCGAGGGCTTGCTGGGGAGCTCGGGTGCGGACTTGAGCAATGAACTGTTTAGACCGTTGAACTATGAGAGCCTGGATGGGTTTCTGGATCCTGCGGTTCAAGGGGAGATGTGAAAGAGTTCCGGCGATGTAGGGATATATGACAGCGAACGAGATCGCGGCATCGCGATTATTATGGGCGAGGAAGAAGAATGTACAGTTCGTGTGTGTCTGTAGATGTTTGAGTTTTTCTTTTTTTCATGTTATTACAGAGCCTTCACGAGATAATTTCGGTACTGTGGTGGGGCTTTACTCGGTAAGAGGGAATTTCTTAGGCGAATCCGGCAAGGAAAAGGGCACATCTGGGACTTCTTTCTGTAGGGCATGGCGCTTGTAGTATACCACTTCTCATGGTCTTTTAATGTTTTCAAACACTACCTCATTGCATTCAGCCGACGTATCCTTTTAGCCTTCACAGACTTTGTCAGCCATGGATGCCTATACGCCAAAGAGTATACCATTGAGAGTTTTACGACCAGTTCGATTTCAAGCTTCAGTTCTTAAAGTCTGTGGGTATTATGAGATGATCAGAGCGCAATTTGATCCACGGAAAAGTTGTCAGCAAAGGGCTCTCGTGAAGCTTGAGCCAGTGAGGAGGAATTCATTCAATTGAAGCGACTGCAGGAGATATCATGTTGTCTCGTCATCGATTGACGACGAGGGTATCACACAAGTCGTAATTAGTCGATTTAGTTGAAGTCTAAGTGGAGTTAGGTCAGGTCAGACTCAAGTCAGGTCAGGTCAGTTCAAGGTCAAATCAGGTAAGGTCAGGTCAGATCAAGCTCTAGTCAGGTCAGGTCAAGGTCAAATCAGGTAAGGTCAGGTCAGATCAAGCTCTAGTCAGGTCAGGCCAAGCCCAAGTCAGGTCAGATCAAGCCCAAGTCAGGTCAAGCTCAAGTCAAGTCAAGTCAGTTGAGCTTAAGTCAGGTCAAGTTGAGCTTAATCCAAGTTAGACCAAGTGAGTGAGTTAGATTACTTGGATTTCAACTCGGACGATGTATTCCAATTTAGGTTAGGTAAAACTCAGGTCAAGTGAGGCAGATCTCAGGCCGAATTGGGTAAAGTCAGGTCAAGTCAAAAGTCCAAGTCAAGTCAAGTCAGATCAACCAAGAAGTCCGTAACAAGAGAAAGCAGGATTCCCCAAAGAAGCCAAAAGATAGATTAATTAAGTAATTGAATATGGCGAGTACTCGCAGTGATTACCACTACATAAATTCGCACTGCCGGGTCTAGTAATAACAACTTCTCGCTCCCTGTCCCGCTTGTACGCATCCCACTTACAGCACGCTCAATCGCCGTTTATCCTGAGGAGAAACCAACTCGACACGGAGTGGGCAAAGCGCTGGACCGCATTGCAACATCGTCAGTGTGAACTAATGTTACGTCCAATGCAGACGCGTGCCTCAACGGAGAGGCTGGTGTGTACGCTCCTGAGCCTGCGCGTAGGCTCAACCCCCCTGATTTCGCTCGGATGGTAAGTGCATTATCGGTGGCTTGAACTACGTCGTAGAGGGACTGTTGACTTCAGAATGTATAATGATGTCTATCGGCCTACCTACGGGCGTCGCGAAGTTGAACTAGGGAAAAACCATGACAAGTGTGCCTAGAGTTGTCTGCACGTGCAGAAGTCAATAGCTCAACGGATAGTTGCAGCTTATGCTTTCCCAATTTGAGCACTGCGGGCTCTATCGCCGAGTCGGGTGTCGAGAGAGCGAATGGTTCACGTCGAGCGGACGCAGGGAAACGTTCTCTAAACTGTTCTTAGTGCTTGATGAAGATTGTATGGATAGAATCTGTAATGAGATGGCCGTGACCAGCGGACATGGCACCTTTCCGGATGGGAGAGAGCTCGTGAACGTAGGGTCGGCGTTGCTTGAGCCCAGTAAAGAGTGCTCATGGTGTCCGGAGCGCTGGAGGATGGCTTAGAGGTACACGTGTTGTTGTGTGGTGATGTGGAAGCTGTGGTTCATAGTGCAGCAAGGGTAAGATGAACGTTGGCTCGTTCACACTGGCAACTCGATGAAGAAGGTCACTGGTGGAATTTCCGGTGTGGAAACTCTTGTCCGGTGGATTGTTCGGTGAAAGGTCCAGTACGATACTCAGAAGTCCACTGTAGCGACGGAGACTTGAGGCGTCATGCGCGCTCCGCGGTGTCCGCAATAGGTAATTTGGATTTCGGAAGACATGGGATCCTGCGAGAAGGTTTTCAGCACCACCGATAAAACACCGCAAGGGTTTTGGGCTTCTGTAGATCACTGATGCGTTGGCACTGTTCCAAATGATTGACAACGGCAGTTATTGTGCTCAGAACATGGTTGTCGCTGGAAGACACAGTGGAAGGGTACCAGAATAGGAGCAGTGCGGTTGAAGATGCACGTTGTTCACATCCACACGAAAATAGCACGGTAAGTGATGGTTCCGAAAGCGCCCATCAACAACGATACCGTACCTCTGGTAGTGTCTCGCGCAACATCTTCTAATTAAGACAAAATGTCACCAGCTCCGTAATTAGATCAAGAAAGACCATTTACACTTCTCCGTGCGTCTCTGCATTCCCTACTATTTCCAGTTGTGCGTTGGTGTTTCAAGCAGATGACCTCACGCCGCACGCTCCTCGCACGCACGAGAGCAACACCCCACAGCTGCGGCATGCACGGTCAGAACAGAGGTCGCTCGGATGCTATTCGAGGCCTGCCATCCTGGAAGCCTACATCCTTCAGATCAAGCTGTGCCGAGGATCTAAACGATCGCAACAACGTGCTGATTGCGTCTTGACACGGTACGGCGCAGTTCATCGCGTATGCAATGCACCACCTTGTCGAAGCATCTTACGTCCATCTCATCGGTCTATCAGATGCATGCAAGTTCTCCACAGAGTCTGATGCATCGTTTGGCCTAATCTGGGAGGAGAGCGTCTACGACAAGGTTGGTGGAGGCGCGTACGGATTGAGTATTGTTGGATCTCGGGCGAAACTTCGTTCCATCGGGTGGAGATGATGCTCACGATGATGTGGGATATGTTATTTGCGACTCAGATTTCGAGCTTCTTCGTCAGCTGGGAATGGTAGATTGCGCGCATGATGAGAACCTGCGCCTCACGCCTGCGTTTCACGTCTTCAGTCGGGGCGCGCCTTGTCCCGGCGCAGCGGCTTCGACGACGATAGTAGAAAACTGGCGGCTCGTGGCTATGTTCCACGTCTAACCACCCGAGGAAATTATTGGGAGGGTCGGCGTGCGTGAACCGCGGTGTAGGCCAGAACTTGGACCCCAAAGGTGCTTGAGCGCGCCGCATCCTGAGGCGTTGATGATTGCATCATGAGGAAGGTGTTCGGAGGAAGGATGCTGCAAGGCGGGTACCACTGGAGGCCGTATAAACAGCGATGGCTGACGCTGAATCCTTCGCTGCCCGAATTGCGGGTCACACAGCCCTGCAGAGGACGTAGGACTGTTACGTGCGAGCGGAAGTAAGATTAGTGACTTCGCAGTCGCCGAACTGATAGTAGAGGTGCTGCTTCGGGCGTAATTGCAAGTCCTAAAGTGTACTCCTCGACCGATTGGGGTGCACGGTTAGCGGTTACGGGGCCAGTGAGTAAATTGCCCGTGTACTACAATAGCAACTCGCAAGTGAAGCCTTCAAGGTGCGTGCAGCTTCGCGGTGCCCGAACAACAAGATCGTGCTCTGAAGGACCTGGGGGACCGCCTACGGCACTCTTGTCCCATGCATTTCCCAGCCGTTATGGATCCTGGAGGACGTCGCGGAAGAGCTATCATTGTAGGCTCCCAGCACGAGCGCTCGGTAGTGTACATGGTGAAGGTAGAGGGACCGTGCTCCACGCAACTCTTGAGCTGATAACTCGGCTACAGTTGCAACTGTCGTGATGGAGCAACGGTCTGGTTCAAAGCTTAGCGGGTTCAACCACGAGGCACGTACAGTCTCGACGGCATCGTAGTCTACAGCTGCTCGAAGCCGCTGAATCTTGGTAAAGGTCCAGTGGTTCCCGGAAACCTTCCATTGGTTCACCCAACGGTGGCCGTTTCGCTACCGGTAGCTTACATTGAACAGTGGGCAGGTGTAGTCGAGAAGCTTGGTATGACGCTCTGCATTCTGCAGGGCGACGCGCAAACGCCCATGATATTCGATAGAATCAAAGGGAGCTACGGTGCACTAAGCGGACGCTCAAACGCTCAAGCGTTCCGACAAAGTTGTCAACCCGGGACGGTGGTCGCATGTTTATCTGAGTGCATCTCATCACGGTCCAGTTGTTAGATGGTGAGCACGTTCCCAGCGCGCTCATATGATCTAGAGTCATCATGTGCAAATTGTCTATACGTGTATGATTGGGATCCTTTAGCAAGATGGTGAACCAACCAAAGATTATCGTGGCTTGCATGTGCTTAGACACCCTCCAAGAGATAGGCAGCATCATTGAGGATTGGCATGCAGTGAGCATGTCAGTCAAGAGACACAGAATACTAGTCGTCGCAGCGCAATGTATCGTACTCGTAATACTACGTACGATATGGCGATCTTTTGCGGGTGATCGGACAAATCAGACAGGCAAGACTTTGTTGGTGCTTCCTTCCAAGTTAAAGGTCTGACCTCAGCCTCCTCCGGCTGGATGAAACGCAAGGCTCTTTCGTCATTGGTCGATCGCCGTTGCCTAGTCGAAGACCAATCCACAACCGTTGGTCGTAAGCACTTTACCTCGCACGCGCTCATCAGCACTACCTGCCCGAAAGATATTCCGTACCCGCGCGCTGATTACGATGGCTGGTTTTGAGGTTGTTGTTCGCTGATGGCTCCCGGGATCAATATGGGTAACACCGGACAACAAGTCGCTTTCAGAAAGTGCGAACCCATGCTCGGTGCATCCAAAGCATGAACAGCGAGAATAGAATGTTTGCGGAACCACAGCAACGAAACGCCCATGCCTGGAGATCATGTCTTGGATGTACTGGCCGCGCGGGCTGTCGCTCGCCAATCACTGGGATGATGCAGAGCCATGTTGAGCAAGGGATGGCATGTCGCTGGTCGGCCACTCACCCTGGCAGTGAACGACAAGGGAGACCAACGATCAGTGATGTTCAGTATCGAGATCGTCTCGACGCAACACAGCGGTGCCGTGTGGTCATAGGTCCATCACTTGCCAACACGAGGATTCTAGACGAGGCCTGGATCCCTTGACCGGAGGCTGGTGGGTCTCTGTGAAGCCCTGCGCTGCGGGAGAGAGATCGTCAAGGCGACGGCGTCACTGGTAATGCCTCAGCAAATTCACTCGCGACAGCCACGTTGCGGAATCTCAAAGGTCATCGGGCCGGACGGCGGCACGCCAGTCTCGATTGGAGACAGTCCCTGCAGGCGCGCGGTATACTACGCACGTAGCGCTCGTTAGCATTGAAGACGTGCAGATGGTGAAAGTCCTCCAGTGGCGGGGCGGAGGGACTAGAATCTCATCAAATCGATAAGCTGTCGGTAGTGTTCGATGGTCACATGACAAGAGCCTTGGCGGGTCCGCTTTACCTCACTTAGCACTAGCAGACGTCCTCAAGCAGCGGTGAGCGACCTGACACTTTGGCTGAGACACTCCGAGTACGTACTCTTTACTACGGAGCCATGCGTTTGAAGGGTCCGGTTCTGCAACGGAGATGCAGGCAAAGGAGCCCGTCGCGCGATAACCGTGAAGCATTGGTCGTGATCCACTGGTTTGGTGGACCCTCAACGTCGGCATACAGAAGCGCGCAGTATTGATTTGGCCTCACTGCTCCAAGACGTCCAATATTGGCATCAGTGGAGGACGGAGGACGAGGGACTCAGGGGCTACGTTCGGTCGTCGACAAACAGATCTATTCACAGCGACTCTAAAAGAGGCATGTCCTCCAGCAACTGTTTATTGACATGTGCAGCGGCTCACAACCATATCCGTAGCCGCGTCCTGGGGACGAAGGCAAAGTCCGGGACGGTATGGCAGGTACCATGGGCGTGACGAGATGTGCAGGAGTGCAATCTCGCTCGGACATGATCAGCGGGCCCTGTGCTCACAGAACTCCCGCTCCAGGTTGGAGACGGGAAGCGAAGTCTTGCACGGATGCCGGCGGCATGCGTGAGCGATGAAAAAGAAAAACCTGCAGCTGCCACCCTCGTGCTGGCACCTCGTCTTCCATGTGAGCGGGTGGCATTCTCTGGCTCGGCCCCCGGCCAGATTTGTCAGTTGAGGACAAGCGCAGATGGCTACGAATCCAACGGGCGTGGATACGAAGAAATGAGGATGCGCCGGTAAAATGCCCTTGCTCGATCTCAGAGGCAGCCTATTTGGATCCGCGCCCCTTTCCATCTCGCGAGCGGTTCGCCTGCGAGGTGGTGAGAGCAGGCCATGACTGACTGTGACGGTCACAGGATCTGTGCAACAAGCCTCGTCTGGCAGAGGCCGTGAGTCAGAGACGGGCGGCGTGATTGGCAGGCTGCAGAGATTGTCGGCGCTGCGATTGGGCGGCTGCGAAACTCTGTCGAAAATTCTACGTGGCGTGGCGTGGTCAGTGGCCGGCCAGCTACTCGCAGGGCCGTTAGTCATGGCTGTGGCAGCAAGATTGTCAATATATCGACGCGCCAATGAGAAGTGGGACGGACAGCGATCGAAGCACTGGGGAAGCTCCAAGCGCAGCGCAGCATGTCACGGCCAACCGTCGACGAGGCAGGGCCTGGCTGGGGAGCGCCACGGACAAAGGGCAGGGTGGGTGTGCTCCACCAGGGCGAAACCGGAAACGTGACCACCAGCAGCGGGTTCAGGCAGCAGCAGGTCGAGCAGAGCATGACAGTCGGAGCAGTGCCGCAGGCGTTGCGGCTGGTTTCGTCATGTCTGTACGAGACCACAGACGTCGTAAGCCTGCAGGCTCTGCATGGGCTGTCATCAGGGCCGCGAAGGCTGGGGCCGCGGGCGGCGATTCGCCGCGCCAGGTGGCCTCTCCACCGGCGCCTCGAGACCCAGCAGAGCCTGCTGCAGCGCGCTCCTGGGGCGTCGCCACTCGCAGTGTCACCGTGTCTCTGCCAGGATGCATGCGACCGGTGCTGACGGCGCGAAACGCTCGATTGGCTGCTGCAAACACAGCCGCCCGGCGAGCAGCGGAGCGGTGCAGCGCCGGGGCACGCAGCGGGTGGGTGGCATGAATCAGCGGACGGCTTTGTTGCTTTGTTGTTGCACGCGCCTTTCCGCAGCGGGCATGGCCCAGCGCGCCCTCGCGTTCGCCTCCCTGCTCGAGGCGTGCAGATGCACGGTTGCAGCGGTGGGCCCACTCTGCGCTAGCCGCACCCACGCCGTGGCCTCTAGCCCATCACTGCCATTCACTGCATCCTCCGCCCATCGACCGCGGGCGGCCTGTCTGCCCTCCCGTCTTCGTCATAGCGCCCCTTGCTAGGCCCATCCTTCCCTATATTTACAGAAAACCGGGGCCTCCACCGCCGCCCAATAGCCTGCAGGGGCCGCCCACACACGAGCCTTTATCACACTGGTGCCCAGCCGTGCTCTACAGCATACATCATATCCCGCCTCACCCAATCCTCATATACATCCTCCCCATCCCTACTGCGAGCACGCTCCTTACCATCAACAACACATACTGCACACCAAATCAACTCGACTCTCCCTACAGCCTCACTGCCGGACATCCATGGGATCTCTGTCTTTCTAATCTGTTGCCGTCTCTTTCTCAACGCTTCCGTCACGGGACCTCACCTGGACTCATCGACCCTGTCACAGTCATAGTCTGCCCCTTCTCCCAGGAAGTACTTATCCCGTCCTTGAGGCCTTCAGTGGACCATCGAGGACTCTTCACAACCACCCTTTACCAGACCATGTTGCCGACCCCTCCCGCGTCTCCAACCCTCAATGGATTTTGTGCGCCCGAAGACCGCCTAGGCCAGATTCTTGCCGGAAGACTGCAACTGACCGGTATCCTCGGAGTAGGTGCTTATGGAGTCGTCTACACTGCCGTGGACATCCAAACCAACATTCCCTATGCCGTAAAGGCTCTCAACAAGCTTGGCTTGGAGCCCCGGCAACGAAAGTTCCAGCAGAGGGAAATCCAACTCCACCACCAGGCCAGTGCTCATCCCAATGTTGTCTCCTTGGTAAAGATCATGGACGCCCCTGACTGCACATACGTTGTCATCGAGTACTGCCCAGAGGGCGACTTGTTCTCAAACATCACCGAGCACGGAAAGTATGTTGGTAACGATGCACTTGCCAAGAGGGCCTTCCTCCAGATCTTGGATGCCGTTGAATACTGCCACTCCATTGGAATCTACCACAGGGATTTAAAGCCGGAGAACGTTTTGGTGACTGACAACGGAATGACCTGCAAGCTCGCCGATTTTGGACTGGCCACCAACGACCACATTACGTCTGATTTCGGATGCGGCTCGACTTTCTACATGTCGCCTGGTAAGTTTTTTGTGTGGTCCGAGCTCGAGTCACGTGCTAATTCTTGGCAGAATGCCAGACAGCTGCGCCCAAGGCCTACTCCTGCTATGCATCAGCACCCAACGATGTGTGGAGCCTCGGTGTGATCCTTGTGAACTTGACATGTGGACGCAACCCATGGAAGCGCGCCTCGTACGAGGACAGCACTTTCCGCGCCTACATGAAGGATCCCAAGTTCCTGAGGTCCATTCTCCCCATCTCCCCAGAGCTGGATTCCATCATGAGGCGCATTTTCGAGTTCAACCCGGTCAAGAGGATCACCATCCCCGAGCTCCGTGAGTTGATCATGCGATGCCCTAGGTTCACTGCAACCAAGTCTGCAGCTCCTACGCCAATGGCTTCCCCGCCTTTCACTCCTGTGGACTATGCCCAGGAGGCTTCCTACTATCACGCCGTACCTCCTGCGGCTGGTCTTCCTGGACCGGTCTACTCCCCACCGGTCTGGGAGCTTCCCTCTCCTCAACATTCCATCTCTTCGGGAAGCTCCAACTCGGACAACGAATCTGTCTTCTCTACTTGCTCATCAGCTTCGTCCGCCTCCTCGACTTCCTCGTTCACCCACATCCACCCGGCTCAGAAGCCGTCTGTCCGTCAATCTACATACGTTTCTCCTCCCCCCGCCAGTGGATGGTTCCATCCCTTCTTCCAGGCAGCCAACCTCGTTAAGCATGTGTCGTTCCAGCCACCAATGATGGCTCCGGTACATGTTTACTAGACGGCGCGGCTTCCACATTCACGATGTGTCAATATTTCCTTCACGTTCAAAAATCATGACGAGATGATATTCTGCAGCGACTATTGTTACTTTATGGTGTCAGTGCGGATCAGGATTCCCGGCGTTTTCACAAAATAGACCTTCCGCATCAGACCTACCAGGCAAAGGATCCAACATTATTTCCCTTCAGGACCGGAAAGCCTCGGACTAGAACATGTACTACGCTTTTTAACTTTTTGGGAGGGCGAAGCCTAGACGGCTCGTCTCCATGTGTGGATATTTGCGCGGTTCTGTCGTTGCACGAGACAACGATTCTTCGGAGGAGAGACAGTCTTTGTTGCATTTCATGGAGCTGCTATTTCTACGATGGACCCTGGATACCTATGAAGGTTCCTTGGTCGTTTACGATCACTTGCTTTTTCCTTTTGTTCTACAAAGATACCAGAGCGGGTTAATCACCTTTTGGCTCAACAATGTACGGTAGTGGTCCTGAAAATATGGACGGAGACATCGAGCCCAGCGGCAAGTTCAACAATAACAACGAGACATTAGGGCGATGCAGCAAAATGTTGCATCTGCCGAAGGCGAACATGCATTTTCGTTGTGCTTTACGGTGAATACGACGTGATGATTGCTCACCCTCTGGTCCGAAATCTCACCTGTTGCCATTCCGCTTTGCCTATCTTGGTACGAAGATGCACAACGCCTATGTCGTAAAGTCGGTGACACAAGGCAGCGCACCACTGCAGGACCCTTGTCTCGCGTCCTTGGGAAAACGCAGCTGTCTGAAAACGGCCGTTCTACCTGTGCGTGAGTGAAGCAGCCAACCACTATCCATGCACCCCCACCCGTATAGAGTTGGCTGGGCGGAGGGCTGGGCCCGGGCGTACACGCTTCGCGCATGCGACGTTTGCGCACTGTCGTCAGCGAGCGAATGGCACGCGCTGCGAGGCCCGAAGGTTTGCAAGTGCGCAAAGTGAGGGTGTAGCGTGCAGTAGACTGATTTGACAGCGACGTTTGCTGGCATGGGCAGGATTGAGCCGGCCGCTGGGTCTGCGTCCGCCTTACAGGTGCCTGCTAGACCACACGCAGCTAGCCAGTCCGGCGTGCTCAGCAGATAGATGGAGCGCGGACGGCAGATTAATGATGAGATGCTCGATCGAGACTCCATGTCTTGCTGCGGCTTTGCATGCCACCGCGTGTGAGTTTGGCGGAGAGGCTGAGCGTGGCGTTGGGGATGCCAATGCCCCAAGATGCAGCCCCCATGCACGCTGGAGGATTGGATATTGAATTGGGCTGGGTTCCATGTATTTGCTGCAAGGCAATCGCAAGGGAGTCTGTATTCTCAACACCATCACTGGAAACATCTCACATTGTTGAGATCACGATCATCCATGATGAGCAACGACCCAGGCACCAAGCCGTCCCGCGTCTCAGCCATCCACTAATTGAGCACTTGTGTCGTCCCGCGGCTGAACATTCAACCACAACTGTATCTCAGCTTTGTCTCGCAACGATAGGCCAAAGTGCGTACCGGGGGCGTCACCGGAAATCACGATGCACCGTTGTGTGTAGCAGAGCGTTTGGCGGCATCGATTCCCTAGCGATCTGGCGAGCCATCATCACCAAAAAGCAAATCCCACTCACTCCGCGGGCGCATAGGTACGAAAACAGCCCCGTACACCGTGTAACACCTTCGCTGAAGGCGCACGCCTTGACGAGATGGCGTGCAGCCTATGACTTCGGCCAAGCCTGCATTGTCTCGCGTTGGTGGCAAGCATCACGACCTGCTTCTCACCACAACAATAATTCCCTCATCTAACCGTCCCCTATCACGTCGCAGCCGATCCACCGCCGCGGGATTCTAAACTTGATCGCGCTCGATTCAGAAGCTTCCTGAGCGCTCGGCTATCCGCAAGTGGCGACCTCCATCATCTGATTGTAGCTGCTACCTGGTTTCGCGCTGCATGGAATATATTGCCCATGTCCGATGATCCGTCTCCATTCGCTGGGTGCTGCCAATCCTAAGCTGACCGCCATGTAGTCCTGTGTTGGCGTGGCTGGAGCAATATCCGTGACCTCAATAACGGTTCCACTTACCCTACGCGGTAACTAACTATCCAACAATCGCATTATCGTTCAGGGGAAGCTACGGAAAAGCGTTCGAACCTTCGAGCCTTACGAAGAATTCTCTTACTTCTAGGCTGATTGCGACAGGAAAGCCAAGTGCAAATCACGCCATCGTCTGCCATGCTATATTTTTCCGATGGGCGAACTGCAGCCTTGATGCCCGGTCAACAACTTTGTTCAGCCACGCGAAATCCAGATTGTGTCTTTCAATTGTGTGATCAGGCGGAGTTTGGGAAGTCTGCATCAGAGCACATGTTCATGCGCAGCCATTTTGACGAGTGAGGACAGCAGGTGCATACCCGAGCGATTGGGACAAAAATTCACTGCAGCTTATTGTGGCTGTTACCTGTGCTACTACACCTCTGTGGCTGTACTCTGCCGGGGCGCATACTACCTTTCGTTTCTGACCCACATACCGATGCTTTGCTTTTAGCAAAAGTCCCGAGAGATGCCTGATGAAGGCTTCTTGCTTCCGCATTGTTACCGAGTTAGCAGGTTCTGGCACAATGCCAGTTGACCCAGGCTGTGGCAGGATGCGTAGTGACCATCTCGCATGTTCCTTCTTTGTTCGTACAAGACGGGTTTCCAAACCTCAAAGCCAAGCTTTGATGTATGCACTACAGCCAGCTCACTGTAAGATCTAGGCTCAGCCATCGAACCATGAATTAGACGGCGAGACGCGTTCCAAGCCGACCTTCCATAGACACGCGTTAGCTGATGTTGTCTGCATTTACCACCGCGAGCTTCCCCGTCATCGTTTCGAAAGCCGATCAACAACACCACCGTGTCACGGAAGTGTCGCCGATGGCCTTGATGTGTCGCTTGGTCGCACTGCTCGATCAATATGGCGCACCTTTGGTCGTTGGCGGAACATGGCACGACTTCGTCGGGTCGTTGCACTATCTGTTCGTGCCTTCCCCACGCCTTCTCCAACGTTAGCTATACCCCCAATCTCAGGGTTCTTCGGCTACAGCTGTCGACCCGAGTAGCACTGCAGCATCTCCAGCTTTGGGACTCCACAGCAAGCAACCGTGTACTCTGGCCAGCCTTCTGTGTCACGTTACTCCAGTTTGCTTCTCTCACCCTTGCATCTCCACGAGGTACCGACTGTCAGCTCCAGCGGCTACCCGTCTCTGTGGCCGACCCAAGGATGTAATCGACTGGCCCGGTGCGTTGCAGCTCTCGGAGGAGATCTCTGATCTCGGCAGGGTGCTTATCGCGGTCAAGTCAAGATTGCTTGTGTTAGAGTGAGCAAAAACATGTTGAACAGTCTCTGCAATGTTTCAACATCGCGGAGGAACCTTCTATTTGCAGTATGTTACCTCCGAGAGTACACCAGAGTCGTTGCCTTCGGTTCCCTAGCCCAAGACAGCATACAACAAGACTGAGTTGTTGTGCTGAGTCTGACAAGTACGCAGGAAGCAACGGTGTATCCTCTCAAACGCAACTGTACACATGAACTGTCAGCGTAACGGCGGTTAGGTACGCAAAGGTGCAGGATCTCAGGCAAGATTCGCGGTGGCACGTGGTCTAGTGACATCCATGGATACGGAAGCAGCGATGCCGCGTATGACTTAGCGACACAAACACAACGTTCTTCACCGGCCCTTGCTATCCCTTTCTTCCTCGCTTTCTCCCTCACAAGCGCTGGTGCTGGGGCTAGTCACTTGTGTTCGTGTCACATCTCCACCAAATGAATCCTCGGCACCTGGGCATGCGGCTACAGCCTATCTGTGTCCCTTCCGGAGCCAACAGGAGCCTCCGAACGCAAAGCGAGCAACGGGTGTGGAGTTACGAGAAACGCGATCTGCCTGCGAGGCAAACTTTGGTTCGGGCCTGCAGCTCAGTAAATTCGGAAGTTGGGACAGCTAATACTGTCGACCCGAACATCTGCTGGGTGGCTGCATTGTTCTTCCGCTACCGGTCTTGCAGACCGCAACGCACCAAGTGCAAGGAAGAACGGCTGTTTGACTAACACTGTAACAGCCCGCGATTCTCGTGCTGAACATGGCCTCTATTCTTATCGCACAGCTGAGAATGTGATGAATACCTCTTCCTCTACAGTCAACACTGCCACCAGATCTTCACTACAATGAGCTTATAACGCGTCTGTTGTATACCTCTGGCGGCATACGTGCCCATTCTATCTATTACCGAGCAAGACAGCCTCCCACGATTCCGACCCCTGTTGAATATCGCGGAAGCGTTTGTCCCACAGGCACTCCCCGGACCCACACAGGCATCGGAGAATTTGAAACCAACCAAACCCTTTGCTCTCTCGAGTATTCGCGATGCTGTGCCAGCGCATCACGCGTACCACAGCATAGACGTTCTCTTCCCCGCGTTAATACCACATTGCCACGAGGCAGCTAGCTCAAGCTGCTGTCGCCACCGTGTCCGCTCTGCGGGCTGTTCTAATTGAGTCGTTCTAGCCTCTACGAATGCATGTACTTACTTCGTGCCGCAGTGACAGCTTGAGGTAGCGCTAAGCTCTGTGGAACATAAGAAGGCATCTGTTGCCACTCCTCACCGCCATCCCGTAAACCCAATTCCCCTTTGTGACCACATCACACACAACGCATATATGCAAGCTCAACGCGATTGAGAGGTCATTTGACACTTTCTCCTTACATCGGCGCTGGATATGAGTCACCAGGGAATGAGCAAGTGGCCGAGTTCGCAGTCAAGCCGTCCTCCAGCAGACTATGTTTGTCTTTGAACAACATCTACCGCAACTTCAGCCTTTCGATAAAGGTTATTCCAACTCTAGAACACTAAGCTTTGATAAGAGACGTTTTTCTAGTCCGGTCCTGGCTGCACATGGTTGACGGCGAACCATTCGGAGATACTACTCGGCTGAAGTTCAGTCTTCCACTAGACTCAGAATCATCGCGAAACAATCGCATCGCAAGATCTGGCACGTTGTTTCGGCGAAAATAGGTCGAATATCGTCGAAAGAGCGACAGGTATTTCCTCTACCAAGGGCGTTATGACAGGAGATAGCGGCGGCCATATGGTGCGAGGTCACAGCTACCTTTGAAGCATTCGATCGAAAAAATTGTTACCATGATGATGGTAGACGGGATTCGATAACGCGACTCTGTTATGTCGGCTCGAGACCACTATTACTACCACTCTCCACTTCACACCATGCATACCACATACATGACGCATATATCGCGGTCGATCCTTCCAGCTTCTGCGCCCTTGATCGAAGCTTCCTCAAGCTCTTCTCACCGTCACGCGCACTCTGTCGCTTATTGCTTTCCTGTTGTCTTGTTTTCCTCATTCGCTCTGATCCCCGTGACAACGACGAAGACACGGCTTCGTCGGACCTCTATTACATGGATGTGTTCTGTGACTCCATTAAGCATTCAATCGAAGGTAGGTAGGCTGGTGTCACAGATGCTGGCTTGAAGTTGCGCGGGAACGGTAGAAGGAAGGCGCGATCAAGCAGAACGCTATTGACCTCGACAGCTCCTTCCGCTGGACGGCAGGCATGTCTTCGCTGTTACAGATTGCAACGGAGTTTCGTGCATCCTCGCCGTATCTCGATAACAGCACCGCATTACTCCTGGCATATTTCATAGGCCTCCATGGGCATTCTCTGGAGGTAGCGACAGCCGCAGGAAGTGTCATCGACATGGTCAGAGGCAGGATGAACCTTCCGAGACCAACGGACCAGTACTTCTCCGGATCAAGACCCATGAGATACGAGGACGCACTCACATTTGCTACTTCTTACACCGTTATAATACATACATCGAGTCATCACTCGTCGCTGCTGGGCTGCCCTTGGCCAACCACTGCGCATCTTCCTTTCGCCCTTGTTACTCCTTATTTCTCCCGTCGGTGCCACAGGCTTTGCATTCTTATTTATTACAAATCACTCTTTCGTCAGACTTCTTTCTAGTCTACCGTATGTGTCATATTGTATGGGAGGTATTGTGATCGCTCTAAGTATCATACCGGCATCTTATATTTTGCTCAGAAGAGGAGAGAAGCGGGTGTGAGAAGGCCTTTTCTGAGGTGAATGTAACGCACGTTCTTCACCTTACGCGTTTATCATAACGTTTGCTATTGTTCACTTATTGACCGCCTCAACCTTCATGTTTGCTATTGTGACAAAATATCGAGACGGTCCTCCTATTGTCTGTTCAGCACAATATCGGCTCTTGTACGCTGAGTAGATATAAATATAAGCTCTTCAAACACTACTTTTCCTTTCCTTAGTTCTGCTTCATCGCTTCATCCACTTCATCACACATCGCAACAGCACTTCCACGCTCAGCTATCAATTTTCACCAATCTCTTCATTCTCAAGTCGCAATGCTTTCTTTCAGCACTTGCGCCATCATCTGCGCGATCCTCACTGTCTTGACACTGGGGTACGACGAGAACACCTACTATCCTAGCGTTCTCGGACCAATCCTCGACCTATTCTTCGAGCGCGATCCCCACGATGATCTCGTCTCCGGCAGCGGCTACACCCTCTTCATTGACGACAATTGGAAGACGATCTCCAATTTCGTCAACTTCCTCATCACGACATTCTGGAGCATCATCCTCCTCATTTCCCTACCACCGATCATCGTTCTCATCCACATGTTCCGCGAAGCCACCAAGCGAGTCAACGAGCGGGATGCCGCATACCGTTACGCAGAAGAGAACAATGGAGCGATGCCGCCGTGGCGCGTGAAGGCGCAACCAATTCCGCCACCAACTCGCGACACACGATACATGTTGCTCGGTGGAGACGGAAGGGTGATCTGGGTTTGTGGCGTGGGCGGTGGATTCGAAGATGTTATCAACGGGGACATCGAGGGGGCTATCGCTCGCCGCTGGCGGCGTATGGGAAGGAAGCAGTTTGCTTGAGCGTCTCCTGTTGGCCTGGGTTTGATGTTTGGCGTGTTCACTGGCAGTGAATTTGCGTGCGGCGCCCGGGCAACCTCCATAGTATAATTGAAAGCATCGGTGCGCGCTGGTCGCGTACCTGATTTACACCCACTCTTCAACTACTGTTCTTCAATATCAATGGGTGACATGCCTCCGCCACATCGTTTCTTCCAATCTGCATTTATCCCACCAGACAATGACACCAGCGCCACCGCATCGAGCCCACTCCCTGCAATGCCATCGAGCGACGATGATGCGACTCCCATCGATCCTGAACTTCTAGACGCGCGTCCCGTCGGAGTAGCGACCCCGGAGCCTGCGTAAGTTCAGCCTCAGGTATCTGTCAAACGCACAGCTAAGACGTCCTGTAGCAGCTCCTTCGTGGAGGTCATCGTCAACATCTCCCCAACGACACAGCGCACATGGTCAATCCAGAGACCAGTTGTAAGCCGCCACTCCGCATACTTGCGCGCAGCATGCGATTCCTCTTCGTCCATATCCCTAGACCTCACCAGCGACTCCCTGACCCTCGCCGCCCTCCAGAATTTCATCGATTTCTCGCATAGTAGCATTTACAGCGTCAACAAACGCGCAGCGGGCCACCACATCGTACAGACGCATCTACAATCCTGGGTCCTCGGTGCGAAGCTCGAAGCGCCTACCTATCAGACTGCTGCCCTGCAGGAGCTCTACACCTGGATCGAGCCGCTCGCGCGAGCGGTAAACGGCTCCGTAGCGGACAGCCCGATCCGCGTCGAGGATGTCGACTTTGTGTGCCGCAGGACGCAGGAAGGCTGCGTTCTGCGCGCCCTTGTCTTTGACGCGGTAGCGGCACACTGGACGCAGCAGGATGCTATAAACATCGGCACCAACCTGGTTCGCAAGTCCACGCGCGAGGCAGCACCCGAACCGGGTCCTCAACCTACAGAAGTCTTGACTTGGACCGGCCTCTACAATAAGTACCCCGATTTCCGCAAGCGCATTTCGAGTAGTCTGAAGGTGCAAGACAGCCAGCGCACCTGCCTTTTGCGACCTGTAACCGACTACATCGCGGGTAAGACGGGCATGCAAGAGGAGGAATTTGTGAGCGAGGGAACTGTCAGTTCTTTCTTCGGGATGAGACCGAGGGCGTCGCGTGGCGGGGGCCATATGAGGAGCCCGAGTCACAGACGGAGGAGCAGCAGCGCGAGTAGTGAAGGCTCACAGCGGGGAAGGTCGAGGGAGAGACAGGTTGGTGAGAATGAGTACATGAATCTTGAGGATGCTTGAGTTTGGCGCGTGGGGATAGATGTGTGGGTGCTCGGATCGTGGATGTGTTGCAGCATGGTAGCGATTGATTGTTCAACTTTTCCTTGATCGATGGAGCTAGATACTTGAGGCATAGATGAATCCAGCGATACAGAAGCCGCGTATGTCAAAGATGGCAGCAGAGTATTGATGCTCAAGTATAAGAGAGCGGAATGCGCGATGCGCGATGTACATCTGTCGTTGTCGTAGAAGGTTCGGAGTTTGGTCCGTAAGTCCGTTGTGCTTCCCCTTCCATTACGCCTGTCCATTAACGTACGCCGTCCACGAAGGTCTTGTCTCATTGGGTTTCCGATCCAATGTTACCAGGTGACTAGGACATAATTTCCCTATTGTCACTAAATTCGGGCAGACTTCCTTGTCGGGGCCCTCCTCCGAACCTTCTGTCGAGATTGGAATGTGCCTCAAGCGCCTGTACTCTATGAACGACGGCATCTGGAACTCTACCATGTTGCATCTATTGAACTACTGAGTGCTTAGACCATACAATCACGAGGCATTGTAGAATCCACCAATGCACGGCAAGACATGAGCGCATCTGATGAATGTCCACGCATATGATTTTGGACTGGAAAAGTTGTACGTATGTAACTCTTTCGTGAGGGCATTCAGGTCTAATTCTGTAGGACGTCACCCTCCAGTGACAAGCCAGCGGGATTGCCAACCCGCTTTCCCGTGGGTTTAACTGTCGGGGTAGCTGCCCAACCATGCGGCTAGACGTGTTACTGAAGGCGACACAAACGGTGTCACTGCGCAATGGCAGTCGAGACACCAAAATTGCCAGCTGCATCCCTGTGATGCTACAAAACCTTAGTGGGCATGTTGTACGTATCACGAGTCGCCGTTTGCTTCATGGAAAGTGCGTTCAGCGATGCCAGTGAAGAGGTGGGGCCTTTAAACTACAATCAACAACTTGACCTGTGCGAGCTTGGTGCCCAACCTCCGTGAATTACGGGTAGAGACATAAGAACACGTTGTACATACCTTGGCGTTTGCCTTTGGGCTTTCCCCATATCCAATCTCTACCGCCGCCCCCGCCTCCTACTATCTCACCCTCTTTCCCCTCGCTGCCGCGCTCACTTCCGAACAGTCAGCGCGAAACATTGGACTCAGATTGAAATGGAGGATCACCCCGCGTACAGAGAGTCGAACGAGAAATCTACAGCGGTGGCTGCTGAAAGCGACCTACGCCGCCGTGATCATGGAGCCGAGACGGAGCTGCAGAGGCATCTCTCCACACGCCACGTTACAATGATAGCCCTTGGGTCCTCGATCGGCATGGGACTGTGGCTAGGCTCCGGAAAATCTCTTGCTTCAGGTGGACCAGTTGGTGATTCATTCCAGGCTACAGAATGCAACGGAGCGATGTGAGCTGATCATAGAGTATCCCAGGTATCTTCCTAGGCTACGTACTCGCCGGATCAATGGTCTGGGCCGTCAGTCACTCGATCGGAGAGCTGGCTGTTTTGTACCCTCTCCCTTCGGCTTTCGTACAATGGACGAACAAATTCGTCACACCGTCAGCCGCCTTTGCTCTCGGCTGGGCTTACTGTAAGTTTTGCTCTCGCGATGTCGATATGTGACCTACGAAAGGACTAGTCATAATTGGCGACAGGGTTCAACTATGTCCTCACCGTTGCCAACGAGATACAAGTCACCTGTGTCGTTATGGGTTTCTGGACAGACAAGCTTCCAAACGCCGCATGGATCACCATCTTCTGGGCAGTCGTGATTTTAGCAAACGTCTTCGGCGTAAAAGTCTTTGGTGAAGTTGAGGTTATCGGCTCATCGATCAAATTTGGCTGGATCATCGTAGTCATCTTCTCAATGATAGGTAAAAACGCCCTAGGCGGCGGCTACACGTTCGGTTACTGACGAGCATGCTGCAGTCACCTCCGCAGGTGGTGCTCCTGGTCACGGACCGATCGGCTTCCGTTACTGGAACTCGGACCCATTTACTCATGGCTTCAAAGGCTTCCTCTCAGTCATACCAACATGCATCTTTGCCATGGCCGGCTCGGAGAACTGTGGTTTAGTGGCTGCCGAAACAAAAAACCCCAGGAAAGCCGTTCCTCGCGCGGTGGGCTCAATCTGGCTGCGCCTATCACTCTTTTATCTGCTGGGAGCTGTCATGGTCTCCATCAACGTCGATCCACGCAACAAAGACCTCTTCGGTCAGTCCGGCACCAATGCCTCTCCATTCGTAATTGCCTACCGGGAAGCTGGCCTGCCCGCCCTTGCCCATATGATGAACGCGATCATCCTTATATCCGTCGTCTCGACCGGCACCATCTACGTCTATGGTGGTAGTCGCAACGTTCTCGGACTCGCGCATCTAAACATGGCACCGAAGCAGTTCAAGCTTGCCGATAGTTCAGGTCGTCCCTGGCCAGCTCTAGCCTTATCGATTATTCTCGGTGGCGGTCTCGCATACCTCAATGTGAAGAACAGCTCTGCCGACGTCTTTACTTGGCTTTCCAACATGACGTCGCTATTTGCACTATTCGGCTGGGGCATGATCTGTCTAGCCCACATTCGATTTCGTCACGCATGGCATGCACAGGGCCGGTCCGCTTCCGCACTCCCCTGGAAATCGTGGACGTACCCATACGGCGCCTGGTGGGGCCTCGTTTGGTGCATGGTTCTCATCGTCGTGGAATTCTACCTAGCGGTGTGGCCTTTGGGCTCGCCTCCTTCTGCAAAGAGCTTCTTCTCGAACTACGTGTCGGTTATTGCCATCCTTGTCCTTTATCTGGGCGCGAGGCTATACTATCGGGGCCCGTGGTGGATTAAGCTAACGGATATCGACCTTGATGCGAACGGGCGATTCTATGTCGATGGTGAGGTAGAGAAGGAGCCTAAGAAAGGTCTACGTGGTAAGGCAGAGAAGGTACTCGGCGTTGTTTTCAATTGATTGATAGTGGGTCATATAGACCGGCGGTTGTGGGAGGGGGACCTCTTCATAGCAGGGTTAGTCGCTTCAACGAACGGATGAGGTCAGGTTTTCGTGCGCCGCGAAGAAGGTGATTGGCTGTAATCACTGCTCCTTCTCTTCCGCACGCTCAGCCTTGCTCTTCTCTTGCTCGCTCTCCTCCCGCAGCCTTTGTCTGACATTCATCAACGCCTTCCCCAACAGATTCTGCCCCCATCTTATCCTATTGTGCCCCGCGTTTTTCTCCGCAAACCCCACGCCCCAAATACGATCCATAGGACTAGCTTCCACCAGCTCCCTCTCGCCCGTCGCGAGTAGCATTGCCTTCAGACTCTCAGCATCCTCGGAGGTGGTGAACTTGTGATAGTTGCCTTCTTCGACGATGCGCAGCTTGCCTAGCACATAATAATCAGGCCAGTTCAGATGAAAGGCAACGAAGACCTGGATACAAACGGGGAAGCATACTCGCATCCCAAATCTTTTCATCGAAGTTTCGAACTTTGCGACCAAGCGCCCTCTGCTTCCTCGGGTTGTCCGCGGCAAGGATTTCCCGCGCGACATCCTACATCATCCTCGCGTCAGCTGTATAGCAAATCCAATGCTCCAAGCGAGCGGAAGGAAAATACATACTTCATCACCAAACAACCACGCCTTCCCAACCATCATCCACATTTCTGCCGTCTTGTACTCGTCCCCTTCGTGCGACCATGGGCTCCAGAACCATTGGCCTAGATATCCGTGCCCTTGGTCTGGTTTCCAGAAGTAGACGGGGCCGTCTTGCTGAGACTGCGAACTTGAACTTGAAGCCATGGTGGATAGAGAGAGCGGTGCGGCGGGCTTTGTGTACGAGCGGTGTCGAATGTGGGTGTTTCGTTACCTATTCTTCTGGTATTCCGGGTGGTGCGGGCAAGATGTGAGGACTGTGGTGTTGATGAAGATTTTGATGTTGTTCTTGGTTTTGTGACTCGATATGCAGATGCTGCGGCGCGTCTAAGTGGTATGCTATCAATGTGTTATGGTCGTGACCTTAGGCGGATAGCGTGAACCTTGGTTGTGACTCCCGCCTGCGCCCTTCTGTGCTTTGCCCACAGTCCTCGCAGGTGCCTGCACTCCACAGAATGATTCCGCGATTAGGGGGAAATTGGCTATGTAAAAAGGGCGTAGGAACAGGCGAAGACTCATGTACTTGGGCGCCCTCTGAGTGCGTATACGAGCGAGGTGCGGCTGAGTGATACCCACTAGCGCACGCCGGCCTTTGAAAGCACAGGAAGGCGCCCCCCTCCACACCAGCAGTAATGAAGCCCTTGAGCATTGAGTCCAAGCTAGGTTATCCAACAACAGATAGGGTGGTCATGGTTGAGGGACCGCACTGTGAGTCACATACCACGACATTGTCCACACCGAGTCGATAGCTCGCATCCATTTCAGCTCAACGCAGCCTAAACATCGCGTCCAGCAGCACGGAAAAAGGTTCACCATTCCAACTATCTGTCCAAGGGTATGTTTCTCCCACCGCCAGCGATCCACCGGTAGTTTTTGGAAATCGCTCTTTGCAAATGCACGCCAAAGCACAGAACAACGTCCCATCAGAACATTAACTGATCAGCACTCGCGCCAATCCCTAGATGTATTACACGAAAAAGTCCTAAGGAGGTGAAGAATTGCCGCGCTATGAGCCGACAGAAGGTTTCCATCGAACCACTACAATACACCCTCGATGCCTTGCGACAAGCGCTCTTCCATTGCCTTGATGAGGATTGGAGGGACGCCTTCGTCGGTCGCGCGAATGGTGATACGGAACATCTGCAGTTATTAGCCATGTTGTCGAGGCAACAATACTGATGATTTTTACCTGGGTGTCCATATTGGGCTCCAGTCTAAGTAGACACCCAAATTTCCCATCCGTCGTATGCAACACTGTAGCACCAACAAGGTTCTTGGGGTTTGGATCTACACCGTCCAGGATGCCCCACTTAAAGCCGTGCACCACCCGTCTCACGAATTCCATGCTCATTGTGCGGTTCTTGTTCACAAGACCAAAGATGCGTTGGGCCTCGCGCGGCGCCCCACCAATCTGTTTCCACCTCTTGAAGAAGTCCTCGCCACTAAGCTCAGCAGCGTCCATGTACTTGTGGAGATATACGGGTAGCTGAAGGGTCAAAGCCTGGAGCGACCCGGCGAGGTACGATATACGGATCGTCGGCGGGTCCTCAAAGACGTTCTTTGCCTCGAACATGATCGTTTGTTGGGTCTGACCTTCCGGAGGGATGGTCGTGTCTGGCAAACCCTTGATATCCGTTTTAAGAGTCTCGGCTGCTCTGTTGTCGAGTGTAGTAGTAAAGGATCCCATGGGGAAAGGCGATCGGTTGGTGAAGTAGAAAATGAGGCAACCAAGCTGCCCTCGGTATTCTGTGCGCAGACCGATCTGGATCTGTGCGTCTTCGTACAGCACGCCTTCTGACCGGAGTAATAGGCGATAATATCCAATCTCCCAGTCTGGACTGAGATGCGCAGCGCTCGCGAGATTCGGAGCCTTTAGAACTTTGTTCGTGTCAATGCTCATATCGAGCCCGGCCAAATCGTTCGAAAGGGCGTTTACGCCATTGGTACCATTGGTTGCGCTGGGTGCGCTGTCTTTGGGTGTGGCGTTCGTAAAACTCCTCTTCAATCCAGTGGGCTGGTTTGCGAGGCTGAGCTCCTTCAGATCGGTGTTGGCGTCCTTGCCACCTACCACCCAAGTGCGCTTGTCACTCGTAGTGGCATGTTTCTGATGCAGCCGCGATAGAAGTGCTGATGTTCTTTCGGGGAAAGGCGGCATTTCATCGCATACGGTTCGCAGCAGGTCGTCTGTGGGCTGTGTCGCCAGCGCGAGGTATTCGCATGCTCGTTGCTGCAATTCGGAATCCAGCGAGTGACTATACGCGCGGAAGGTCTGGAGTAGCTGCGGCTTGATTTCTGGGAACAAGTTCACGAATTTCACGAAACATGAAAGTATTATCGCTCTTGTACTCGATGAACAACCTCGCATCTTACCGTTCAGCGCCATGTACTGCTCAATCGGACTGCAGCCCTTGCTATCTGCAATCAAATGACCGAATTCCCCAAGCAGATATCCGCCGATCTTGACAAGCGTTTCGTGGCAATCGGACTTGACGTACTGTAAGATGTTTTGCGCTGCGTATACCTGAAGCTCCTCGTTGTTCGTCACGATTTGAGTAACGCGCTGCCAGACTTCGTCGCTGACATGATCGCCGGCCATGGAGATGAGTCGGAGTGATATATCGACGTACCATTGCACATCGGTCGCGTACTTCTCCGTTAAGATCGCTATCTTGAGTACCATCTCTTCTCTGATAGCGTAGTCGGCTGATTGAAGATATCGTAGGAGTTCTTGGACGATAGCTTGGGCGTTCGTCGTGTCACACATGCTATATAGAAGGTCTAGACCCTGTCGTCGCACGCTGATATCCCGATCTCTTAACGATCCAATGATGATGGACTGGTGCTTCTTGATAGGATCGAGTGTTTCCGCACGTGCAGCTAGATGTGTCATGGCTTCTAGCCCCAAATATCGAACGTTCGTTTCCCGAGATGCGATAAATTTTCCTAAACGTGTAGAGATTTGAACCATCAAATCTTGTTCCGTATCGAGGTGGATGACCAAATTGATAGCCTCGAAAAGCACGGCGTTTTGGGCATTGTTCTGCTGTACGTTCTTTGGCATTTCGAGCGCAGAATCCATAATCTTTTGCAATGCTTCTCGAATGAGCTTCCGGATATGTGAGTCTTCTGTTGACGTTGGTTAGCACACGAGTACCGTATCAGGATTTGTCTGGCGCACCTGGTGGTGGGTAGTACTGCAACAACTTGAGCAGCTTGACCTGTATCCATGGACATGGCACTTTGTAGTAGTAGTACCCTTCTGCGCACTCGCCGTCAACAACGACCCTCTTGAGCCTATTCGCTGCTTTCACATAGCTTCCTTTGTACTGCTCCTGATTATCCTGAACCAAAGCCATGACCAACGAGGTGACGGAGAGGGCGACACCCATATCTGGGTCGTCCATAAGCGATATTATCCGTTCTGCCCATTCGTTCATTACAATGTTTGGGTACTTCCGGTACAACCGTAAAAGGGTAAGCGCGGCCTTCTTCTTCACAAACGCTTTCGATGCCCTGCGACAATTAGCTCCCGAACCTCTTCCTGGTGACATGGCACTAACGGTGAGATCAGCAGCCGGTGCACATCCCCACTGAGCGCCTCGCCCATCTCTTTTCCGCCCACGTTTGCAATCGCATGCAATGCCAGGCAATTGTTGAGCTCATTGTGGTCCAGTAGATCCTTCCTTATGCTGTTGACGACCAAATGTAGCAGCTCGTGCTCTTCGTGCAAGAATAGGGTGACGGCGAGGTATCCGATCTGCTTTTCCGAGTACTTCGTGGCCGAGATGAGATTGACCGCTTCAAGATGTCCGAAATCGACGTTCCAGCCCAGGATATATATGTACAGCAGCTTGCAGACATATTTCTTCTTTTGGTAGCCGTTCAGACCGCCATCCCTGAACTTTTGCCGTATGTTCGCCAGTTCCTTGTTTATGCGCTTCTCTTCAAGTTCCCTCGCTCTTGCGTTTCGTAGGTCTGCAATGAACGAGACCAGGCCTCGCATGGTCGGAACATTGCCCGAATTGTTCCGACTGAACAGACTTCCACCACCAGATCCTGAAGCCATTTTGAGCGAGGTTCGATGCCCTAGGGCGGGCGATTCCCAGTGGAGAGGTAGCCAGGCAGGTTAAAGTCGCGGATGATGGACGTTCTGACGGTTCAGATACTCGAGGGGTGCGTGCGTCGTAGCGTGGGGCAAGCGAAAGGGGTAAGCCGTGGGCAGATTCGGTCGTCAGTCATGAAGTAAGATGCGCGCTGGTCAACGAGGGAGAAGAATCATTAGAAAACATAGAAGAGAGCACGCTGCAGCTTGCCGGGATGCATATGCGGGAGCTGCGGGAACGATTGATGGTCGAGTGGAGAGATGTGCCAAGACCTGTCGAGCGGTCAATGCGCGTCCCTCTCCCAGTTCCCGTCTAAACTCCGTTCATTCCCACAGCGCGATGTTTGCTCGTGATGACCATCGCGATTATTACTGCGAGGCTTGAGATTCATCGAACACTTTTACTGCTTTTCCTGTACCACAACCTGAGCTTTTTTCTCGCATACCATAAACCTCATGTAATATAAGCTAAGGGCTCTGGCTTGCGCTATTGGACCAGTGATTGCTGCTGGATATGGTTGAGAAGAGCTATTGGGAGTCTTTTCGGTGTTGAAGCGGGTCGGTCCCGGTGAACGACACTGTTTCATTTCAATCTGAAACCAAATTTCACAACTGGAAAAGAATGACTAAACACACATCAAGTTATTCTCAGATGTCTGATTACTCTGCTAGTAGTACAGTACTCAGATACAGTCGTCCCGTGCTCATAAAGTCCGATCTAAGCCTTCAGCAACCCGTTTGAGGCCCACATACCCGCCGCCAGAACGCCAAAACACCCCGTGTCCAATGCATTGCTCTCAACCACTACTCAACGGCCTAGTTCTTCTTGGTCGTGAAGTCGGTCTCGAGCGACGAAGAGCCGCCCTCCGTGCGGCCGCACGTGCAGCTATCTGAATACAGTGTTAAAACTCATGTTGCTTGCTTAACAAAGAAGAGGGCGAGACGTACCATCAGCGCGCTTTCCGCACGGGCAGGTGCTGGTGGGAAGCTTGTTCTCGGTTGCAGACTTGTCGCATGCTGTGGTGGTCCGTTAGCATACGTCCATCGTCATAGTCTTCCGGTGATGGGTGCAGTGTGAGGACGTACTGCACTGGAGAGCGGGCTGCTTTCCGCAGGAGCAGGTCGCCTCCTTCGCGCAGAGGCACTCGCCATTGTTACGTCCTAATGGATAATCAGCAAAGATGTTCTATACAGAGTGCGTCTTGAAGCAACTCACCGCAGCAAGTCATCTTGAAGGTAGTAGTAGCGTTGGTGGATTGTTTGTGAATGTGTCTGGTCGACTAGTTGATCGTCTTCGAGGAGAATGGAATCGCGAGAGCTGTATATGAGGGAAAGCAGCAAAGGAATCTGCAGCTTTAAATACGTAGAACGAGCCCTTACTACCAGACCCTCGCGGCCTGGCTATGCTCTCATCGCACGGCGCACGGCGTTATGTAAGCGAGCTTCCGGCCAATCACATGCCTTCTGATTACGCCCCCCTTCCGTGACTACAAATGCAAAGCGCTTGATTCGTTCTCACTGAGCACGATTTTCGCACATGTGGTTCGATTTTACGAATCTATGCTGTGTAACGCGAAATGCAGGAACACTGCGCGGCGAATTGGTGGGCTGATGCTGGCTTCATACCTGCGATATGTTTTTCTACTCGGAAGCGCCTCTCTTCTACCAGACCCAACCCTTGCCCGGACTTGCCTTCTCAAACCATGAGCTTGCTCAGTTCTGCCTGCAATGCCTCCACGTTGCTTCTCAGAGACGCATCCATGCCATCGCCCTTATTACACATCGAGTCAGCAATGCAACACCGTAAGAGCCAGGAGGATTTGTTCGTTTGCACTTACTCCGTTGGTCGCCAGACCATGCAACAACACCACAGCATTCTGATAATCTCTCCCTGCGCTTTCGTTGCTCTGCTGCCCATCACCCTTCTGCTCCCCCGCAAATTCTTTGATGGCATCAAGCAACCCGATATCTATCTTCATTTCCTCAACAACGCACGATGCACCTTCGGGAGTCTGCGCCATAAGCCCTAAGCCTAGGAGCCCTTCAGATCTCGCGTCGGCGTAGAAGCGTTGGCGAACAAGTCTGGCAATTGGTCGCGCCACCGCCGGTACATCGAAGAAACAACGTGCGAGCTCGCCCAGGTCTCCCTCTGAAGTAGGGCGGCGTATGTACCTTAGTATGGTAATAAGAGTCCGACCAAGCTCGATCATGGGATTCTTCATAGATGTGCTAGGCAGCGGCGCCGATGGTGTCAGCGCCTGTCTCACAACGTGGTGTAGATACTTTGGTTCCCCGGGAATTGGTACATCCGGTAGCCGGGCGAGCATGATATTCGGCGGCAGACCACGGCGTACTACTATGTCGATGTTGGGCAAGCAGTTTGTGACTAATTTGCAAAGGGTAGCTGCTCCTTCTCCACGCACGGCAGGATCTTCGATGTTGCCGAAAAGGTGACAACAAGTTTCGACGAGCCCGGCGGCCCCCAGTATCGGTCGATTGGATTCTGGGAAGGCGAGATGTCGCATGAAGCCTGCAGCAGCGTACAGAAGCGCTTGCTCTTTACGCATCGCGAGCATTTCGATTAGCGTTTCGTGCAGACCTAATTTCTGGACCATGTCGATGCAGACACTATCCGAAGTCGCAATGTTACCCAGCATGACACAGGCGCATACGGTGGACGGCGTTGCTTGTGGCAATACGAGTTTCTCCTTGAGCGTATGTACGATTCGAGAGTCCAGTGTGAAACTTTTCACAAAAGCGTCGGTCGCGGATAGGGCAGAAACACAGTTGACGAGGCGCACCATAAGTATTATGCTTGTCTCTTCTGAAGCGGTCTCGTTCGGGTTATTTTGGGTGCCCAACTCCTGCATAACAACTTGCACTTCCTCCTTGGTTAGTTCGTTGAACTCAAGGTCAAGCAAGAGCTCTAGGAGCCTCTGCACAACATCAGGATGGGCGACCTTTTGCTGGAACTCTGGGTCCTGTAAGTAGTGTACAATGAGAGCCACATAGTCTTGGCAGTGATCTTCGTCGTATTTTGCCGCAGTCCGCAAAATGTTGTCGAAGACTGCCATAGATGTTTCGTCTCCTAGCTGTGCTGGTGTAAGCTTCTCTGTAGTCCTATTTGTGATGGTTGTTGCGAAGTCGATGGCTTCTTCTGGAATCTCATCTGCCGCCAAGTGTTGTGTGATGGTTCGATCAAGTCTGACTTCGGCTGCTCGAATGTTTGCAGGTTCTAGGCGCATTAGGAGGTTATCATATGTCCTGAATGCAATACATACCGAAATCCTGGCCAAGGTTATACAGCACCGCTAATGCAGTCCTTCTTAGTTCCTTATGCGCTAGACAGCCCATTATCTTTGTAAAATCTACGAGAACCACTTCGCGATTTGTGTCTTGAAGGCGTCAGTTTATTCAAAAAGAGTAGAACACTATCTTACCATTGTAAGCAATCGCATTACCAATGACTCGTAGGTACTGATTGTCAAGTGCAGGAAAGGCTGTCGAGGGTGTAAGATTCTGTAGGACACTCGCGAGAATCTCATGTTGCCGGAACAAATCTTGCCATATTCCTATTACTGTCAGTCTATGACTGTGTCATGGTTGCTCACTACCATATGCCATACGTTGTTCATCCCACTGCTTTCCCGCTGCAGTACCTAAAAGCTGGACAGCTTTCACATCAGTCTCAGAGCTCTCCGCTGACTTCAGACGCTTCAGCCACAAAGCTATGTCTGACAGCTTTTCCGGATTTGCCTGTGGACCTTGTCCCAGGTATTCCTCGAGGTCCGCCAGAACTTGCTTAGAATTATCGTTCGTGGATAACATGCTGCTTCAGAAAGTTGGTCTGCGCGGACCAGATGTGCAGAAGAGGTCGTATTTTCAAGTAACGTCGATATCTATGGTAGCATTGTGAAAGTAGGATCCACACAGATTAGGAAAGTGATCTGGAGGCACCCAGTTAAGACTTCGTTTGCCTGAACCTTGATGGCCTAGAACGGGCGCTCATGCATGAATGCCTTATGGTACTTGTTCCCGGTGCCCGAGTTCCGCGCGCTGAGGGGAAGACTCCAAATCTCCAAATCTACAAGGATGTAAAATGTTAGAAAGGCATAATGCTGGTCGTACTTTTGTATGCATCTATGCTGATCAATTCGGGCAGCCAGTTCGCTTAGGGCACGTGCCAAAACAGGGGTCTCAGATGTTCGTCTTGGCACATTCATTGAGATGTGGCAGCGACGATTTACCAACAACAGGAGCTTAGTTCTACTTGCATCCCACGACAGTCATTCGGACCCAAACGCCGGCAACTCAACAGTCCCTCTACCGCAAGCATGACGCGCGCTCAGCAGACAATCTCCATTGCCCTCCTCTTCACCTCAGTATGCGACCCCTCAGACACATGTTGTCGAGCATGCTTCTGACTTGCGTAGCTCTACTTGGCGGTCTTCATGGAGATAGTGTCTTTCCCCGAGAAGATCCAGAAGGATGTTGTCCCTGTGGTAAGCTTCACCCAACATCAACAGTCATACCAGCTGATCACATCGCAGCTCCCATTCTGGGCTCTCGTATCGTTCGGCGCATACCTTCTCTTCAAGCTCGGCTGGGGAGTCTTCACCTTCAACGACGTTCCGGAGGCACACAAGGAATTGATGTCGCAGATATCGCAGGCACGCACTGAGCTCAGCGCGAAGGGAGTGGACGTTGGTTCCGATTAAGCTCAACATGGATGTCTGCAGTGGGATAAGAGGGGAGCATTACAATTGGCGTACAACGGGGAGGGAGCTACAGGCAATGCTTTTGGAATGGTCGATGTCATGGGTATTGAATATTTTCGCTATGCTGTTGCGACACGCTCTGCCTTGTGCTTCTGCTTCAGCTTCTTCTCCGTCCTCATGAACTCTCGTATGCCCACGGGTATATCGTCAAACAAGGCATCCTGGCTTGCAGGCGCTGACCAGTTCGTTTCACTACCTCCGCCGTCGTCATCCATACTCGTTGCGACATGTGTGGGCGTGTCCTTGCTCGCTATGCTGCTTCCAGTCCCTTGACCGCTTTGTCTCTGAGCTTGCATCTTAGCACGAGCTTCCGCGCTCTTCGCTGCCCATTCTTCCATCTCGTCTCTATACAAATCCCATACGCAATTTACGCAACCGGACATACAGCAGTTATCTGGTTCTGTAGGCTTCGGTGGGACAACAACGCCCGCAACCTCGTGCGAGGCAGCTTCAATTTCCTTTTTCCTCTCAGCTGGGCCCGCTAGTTTTGATCCAAATACTATTCTCGCTTTTGTGAGAGTCTCTTCTTCGGTAGTCTTGGGGAGGGAATCAGGCGGCGGTGGCGAAGGCGCGGTGCGTGTTGCGGCTGGGGTTTCGGATACAGGTTTCTTTAGAAGCTCTGAAGTAGAAGTTAATTATCGCGACCGTGTCTCTGGGAAAGCACGACATGTACCTGCGTAGAAACCTTCAATAGGTCTTGCTTGTTCTCCGGCCGGTGCAATGTAACCTTTGAAGCGTCGTTGTATCCGGTTACTATTTTGAAGGCCTGCGCTTTCCGTAGCTGGTCTCAGGGAGCTTCTGGGTAACGCTCGAAGACAGGATGCGCAAAGGTTGCGGTGCAATGCTAGAGGTCTAGCATATCGACCGAGGTGCTCCATGCTCGCCTTTGAGATTCGCGCAATTCGTTCAGCAAAAGCGCCACCTATGTGTTCTCATGTATGCGATTGTGTGTTTGTATTGAAGCAACGTGCTTCTAGAAGGTTGCTGAGGCGTACAAAAAGTTCGCGACGAGTCGGATGACGAATGCAGGGAACTCGGCCATGAAGTCATCTCAGGCCCGCTTTCTGCTTTCTCTCTCGGCTAGTTTAGCTCCCCGCAACCGCCGACAGCCTTACCCGCAACAAACACCACGCGACGCGCGCCGAGACATTCCTACACGCGCAGCAACCACCCTAAGCACGCGTCAACGCAGACTCTCAATGTATCGATAAATCAATTGCTATACGGTGACGCGTACGAAGTTCACCATCACATATCCTCAACCGCATACGGTTCGTCGCGACTAGCAAGCGACCATGGACAAGCCTGCGAGAAAGAGAAGGAAGACAACTTCACCAGAGGGAGAGAGACTGCTCAGTCCGCTGAAGCAACCACCTCGTAGACCTTCGATACCTTCTCGTTCCTATTTCGCCGACGATAGACGATCAAGTCCTTTAAAAGCTCCACCTCGTCGCTTTTCCATGTCGCCCACGAAGGGCGCGTCCGGCAGATCGTCAAGTCCTCTCAAAGAACCGCCGCGCAGGACCCCACGAAGACCGTCATTTGCATCTCCCACGAAAGCTAGCCTTGCGCGCGGATACCCCGAACTCCTCCAACGACCTCCAGATGTACCAGCGCAGAATGGCCGGGCAGACATACTTGCGCGTGGGAAGCAAGCGCGCGCATTTATTATGGGCGAGCAAGTTAATGAATTGCAGAGTGCGCCAGTGGCAGCCGAGGAAGAAGGAGACAGGACCGTTGCTGGAGCTCAATCTAATACAACTCCACGCGCACAGAAAACGCGACGAAGAACAAAGGAGCGCACAGCGGATAGTAGGCTGGAGGAGGAGGCAGACTTACCAGCGACGCCATCCCAAAAAGCAACAGAGGAACAATACACAACACGACCTGGCTTATTCTCCTCACCGAGTAAGCGACCCCCGCGCCTGAACGATCCCATGAAGAAAACGCGTTCAGCGAGGGAAACACTTAGTATACAACAAGATGGATCAGATGTGCCTGTGGATGGGCCTATGAAGAACGCCGAGAATGAGCATCAACAGCCACAAAAAGATAAGAGACTACCACCTGATCCCGAGATCGAGGAAAAGAAGCGCGAAAAGGTACGTTTAGAGAAGGAGCTTAGGCTCTTAGAAAAACAGGTCTCGAAATGTACGGAGGAGATAGCGAAATCACAAGTACGCCCTGCCACGCACGTGGGTTCACCGGAAGAAAGAGAAGCTCTAGTCAAGCTCATCAATGAGCTTGTCAAGACTGGAGAGGAAGACCAAGAAGAAAGCTCGCCACCATTGTCTTCGATGTTGTGTTCATTTCTGCCTTTCGTAACACAACAGATCGCCTCGCCTAAGGCACAACCTGGGGGTCCAGTTGCGTCCCATCGACCCCTGGAGCTTGACGATCCGCTTCCTTACCTACAGATGTTCACATCATTCGACTTCAGCACGAAACTGAGCCTTACGCGTGGCCAAAGTCCCCTTTCTTCGAACCAGGTCCATCAAAAGCACGTAATCGACCTCACTGGTCCGCAAAGCCTCCTGACAGCGTCCGTCTCGGCCACTATCGACACAATAAGTAATGCCATAATCGATCTGAAGCTTCTACAACTACCCCACTGGGCAGACCGCGAGCTAGGCTCCTTCATACGCGCACGAGCGCAGGAACAAGACTTAGGCAACGCTTGCTGGGCGATTGGATCATACTGGGACATTGCGAAAAAGCGCGCCGAATACTGGCATCGATGCGAAGTCGCCTTTGGACATCTGATACCTGGACGAACCAGTGAGGATATCGAGAACCTCGATGAACGAAATGTCGGTAAATCGCGTCACCCGCTCTCACGGAGAGACCTAAACCGGCATCTTGGACGCGAAACACTAGTGCTGGAAGACAGATATGTTTTGTTGAAGATCACCTGGAAAATCGGTTTTGATTGGACGGGCGAGGTGGAATCTGAGGTTGGTGTCGTGCCTGCCGTGCCACGAGTTTGTGAGTGCACTCATACATGACCCACCAATGAAAAACTTGCTAATATAGAATACAGGGAGGGAAGCAGACAGCAATGACAGCTTCAAAAAGATACCTGCGACTTTTACGTCTCTTCTGCAGAGCAAAGGCGCTTTTTTAGCGACGAAGACGATGGTTGCTCTGCTGTTCTCCGAAAGATGACATTATCCTTCTAGCGATGGCGTAGTTGCTGTGGCGTATGATACCCCGAGAAGCGATTGTCAGATGGAGATTTTGCTTAAGGATGGACGTATGACAGAATAACGAATGCGTCTGTAACATCTAGTGCCAGCTTTCTGCGTGTCGTGAAACATGTCCGGGATGTTCTTGCGGAAAAGTGAGTCCAAAACGCATTTAAGATATAGACAGATAGCTAAGGAGGTATGTAGCCTGTGGTGCGGCTCGATTGAAGAGGAACCAGCATCAACAACAGCTTCTTCCTCCTTCCCTTTCATTTACCGAGTCAAGACTGACACTTGCCACTCCCTTCGCCCTGTTCTTTTCACAACACGGCCGCCAATGAACGCCACTCAATGCCAACAAACCATGAAATATTCCTTTCGGATGAGACTCCGTATGTTCTCGACACCTGGGTAGGGCGCGAAAGATACGGTCGCAAGCACCTCCATAAGATGCAGTGACCTCGAAACAGAATTCCTGAGTCTGGAAAACACCTTGCCAATCAGAGCTCAAGACCGTTCAACACCTCTGATGACGACTCATGAGATGCAAGATCTTCCCCAATCCGAGCATACACTCCAAGAGACGAAACAACTTCCTCGATCCGATCGTTCTCGATGCCGTTGCACCTAGGCACACGCCTAACCCCCCGCGCCTCTATTGGCGTCAACTCTCCATCGACAACCAGCTCAACGGTGTTGCCGCCGCGATACTGATTGTAATTGTTCAGGATCGTCAAGAGCAGCTCACGCGCTAGCACCCTGCCCTGCCACAGGGCTTCGGCTGGGTCTTCAAGTTCGTCCCAGTCATACTTGCTAGGGTCACCAATCTTAAACGACTCCCAGTCAATCTCACCACGGTCCTTCCGTGAAGAAGCACCGGGTTCATTCTCCTCAGGTTGTTTCCTGAATTGTCCGCCTTTGAAGGCAAATGACTCGCTCCACTGTCCATTTGTGTTGATCTCTGCCTTGATGTAACGATTCCAACACACGTTGAAGCCGAGGTCGCTGAATGTTCCCACAGTGACTTCGTTACCATCCCTTCGGATAACGGTTTTGAAGACGCCGGGGTAGCTGTGGTGCAGGCTGTGCCACCATTCCACGACCTTGTTTGATGGATCGAGCCAGGCGTCGAGAGCGGATGGGTCCGATTCGAAAAGGAGTGTCGCTACGACGTCGCACAGTCGTGGTTTGGCGAAGTGCAAGAGAAACTTTCCCTCGTCGTCGGGGTCTGGACCCAGATAATCCGGCCCCATGAGCGTCTTCCAGTCGATGATGTGCATCTGGCCACTCTCGGCGTTGCTCGGAAGCGCAGGGTAGATGTCGCTGAAGACAATGCGCATGACTTCGTCATGTGAGTCCTGCTCTTGCGGCTCGGTCGTTGAAGGTTCTTTGAGAAGATCGATTTTCTCGGCATAACGCTCCCAGAGCTGCTGCATCTGGATCTGGTACGCCTCATCCGAGTCTCGTCGATCCTCTTCGTTGCGATAAGCTTGCACGACGTCGGCATAGTCGTGGTAGGCGAGAGAGCGCGAGGGACCGGTGTATCCTGCGCCGTAGTCGGACTCTGAGGAAGTGTAGTGGGAGCATGATGTCCCGACATGTGCGCCCTGGAGTTCTTCATCGTTCTCTTCGGATGTCTCGTCAGCCGGGCTCTGGTTAAAATTGGTGATCTCTTCACCATTATCTAGGCCTAAATCTCCTACACCATAATCGGAGATGGTGGGGAGAGAATAGGATGATGGTACACCAGCTTCTGAGCCCACGTTATCTTGTTCAGCTTCTAAGGACGTCTCGTCGATCGGGCGCTCTGTGATGTCGGCATCGGCTTCTTCTTCGCTGTCGGCAAGGTCAGCAACGTCCGCTTGTGCATTGTATTGGACGTACGAGTCAATATCTTCTTCGCCGTCCTCAAGGACATTGGGATTGTCAGAAGCATGGCCGGCCCTCCACGCCACGGGGGCCTCCCAATCATCATCATCCTCATCCAAATCGGCCCAGTTGGGGCTCACGATAGGCTTATGCAAGCGCGCAAGGATGACGCTAGCGCTGGGTTTCTTGACGACAGCAGCCTGCTCTTCCACAAGGATAACATTCGGTTGCTCATCCTGCTCGTCTTCGTCCGCATTGGTATGATCTTTATCGGACGGGAAGTTACTATGCTCATCTTCTTCAGATGTTGTAGACTTCGGAAAGGTAGACTGCGCGAGACTACCTTGTGTCGTAAGACCGAATGCTGGTGACTCCCTGCTAGCAAGGTCAGTGGAATGTACCTATTGGTTTGAGAATTTACTTACACGTCTATGCCGTCATCAGGTTCTTCGTCTTTCTCGCTTGCGTCCCCATGATACGCGCCATCTTCACCGCATGGCTTGTTGATCTCCTGGCTCACGGAGACCTTGCCCTTGTCTAAAGGAAACCCTCCGCGTCGCTGGAATTTCAATGGTGCAGAAGTCCCCTCAAGGAGATCCCCTAGGAAGTCGGTGTCGTCACCCCCGAATAGTTCTGCTGTGCTGAAGGACGATGAACTTGCGATCAAGCCAGTCGGATTGACAGGACCTTTGGCCTAAATTTCTGTTAGAGCGGGTTTTAAGGCCCTGTGTAGGTGTCGTGAGACACTTACCCGTGTTTTGCTCGAAGATTGAGCCTTTGGGTAGTGGTTTCGTTCATCGCTGGAATTCATCTCGGCGCTCAGGACACCATCATCGCTCTCGAGCTCTTCGATCACCATGACGTTGTCGCCGTTGGTAGAAACCATCTTCGAGAGAGCATCCCGACTGCTGATTTTGACATGGCTGTCGACCTTGTCGGGCTTCGTCGTGGAAGATGACGGTGATGGACCTGAAGCCTCGGGCTTCTTGCCAAGAGCCCAACTTATGAGCCCCATCTTCAACAAATAGAGGTCAAAACTGGGTTGTTGTGGGCATCCAAGCTGGGAGATATCAAGACTTTAGTATTAACAGCTAAAGCGCAAGTTGAGTAAAAATGCAAAGTGATGCGGACTCGAGCAGTGCAGGAGAGTGGAATTGACAGTGCAGTGGAAGGTAAGTACTCATAAAGTGTACTAAAGCACGCATTCGATCGCTTACATAACATTATAGTGAAAGAAAGGGTGGCGTATTTCATCATGTGACTCGCGGTAGAGCCTATAGGATTGACTGTTTGGACACGAGCCACTTTCGAGTATTTCAACCTCAAAGCCTCTCGTGAGGCTCTCATACGAATCGACGACGATCAATTCTTCAGGAATACTGCTATTATATCGCTTCCCAACGGTGTCAGTAAAGGTATACCGAGTATCCCTAGGAACTCCAGCTAGAGGTACGCCTGAAAGGGCGTTGAACGTTGAAGGAATCATCGAGTCCTTACGATTACATACGCCAAATTGAACTTCAAGTTCTCTACACAATGAGACCCTTCATACGTCCTGACAGAGGTCTCAGCGCTCAATAGGTAAATGTGCCAGACTTGTCTCCGCAAGATGCACCGCTTCACAATCACAAGAACATGCCTATAGTTACTCCACACGACGTACCTTCCACGAGCTTATATGTATGTATGGTGATGACTTGTCCTACACGATACCTTTAGCAGTTCTCCAAATATGGTTAAGCAAGCCGAGCCTGCAAGACTGTACATTTCACTGCTGCACTTAAGCGTGCCAAGGCTGACCCAACATTTCCTAGTGCAATTCCTAGTGCAAGAAACGCCGCATCAAGTTAAAAAACTTGAGCAATGTTGATGAATGTTGAGAGACTAAGTGTGTCAACAGTACGTCCAGGCCCGCCTTCGTTGTGGTTGTTGCGTCAAAGCGAAGTTTCACTGTTCTTGGAATACCGAACAGGACGAGTCCCTAGCATTTGGAAGCGAGATGCATTTGCGAGCGGGAGACGGAGATGTAGACGGTGCGAAAGTGACCAGAGTTTTGTGTCGATGCGAGCTGCTATATCGCCAAAAATGGAATCCCTAAGTATAATTACTGGATCGAGAGCTTCACTCATGAGCCACCAAGGTTCCCTTCGCATTGGATATCGAATACGGCCCAGAAGTAGTCGCTTGCTTTTGCGCTTGGAAGAGCCAACAACCTGAGAGAGAGGTCGTTCATCGGGCAAAGCTTGCATGCTGCAAGGTGATCTGATTTGATTCAGAAAGACATTCAAATGGTAGCAGACAATCACATTGATCAAATTTTGCTCGTCTTGATACTTCTAGGCAGCATTAATAGAGCTTGTGGTAGACAACGATGATTGTGTGTATGTTGATATAACAGTCCCATTCGACGGTCATGACTTCCGTCACGGGAAAAGGAACTAGTGCTGAACTCGTTAGCCCCAAAATTTCCTTCCCAGAACCATGGAAAATCACACCAATTTCGTCCATCATTTCTACGTCTCTCCAAGCATCCAGATCTTGAACGCTTTTGTGGGGCATCTTCGGCGATTTATGTACGATCTTGGGGTGAACGTTCTACAGACCAATCAGACAGCGCTGTTCCTGCACTAATCGCATAGTCTCCCCGCATTTCCCCCGCAGTCACAGCCGCGACTCATGAAGGACGTCACTTCGGTGTGTTGTCGTCCGAGAGCAAGACCTTTGAAGTCTAGGTGAGGAGGCCGGCAAGACGTGTCGGCTGCTTGCTCTGGGTTATGATGGGCCTTCCATAAAAAGCGTGTCGGATTGCGGTATTTACAATTCTTCAATCGTGTTGGATCTCAGGTGCTTGACAATGAAGCCTTTTTTGACAGTTTCCGCATTAAATTTATTTTCTTTTGCCTCGGCGGTCCCGTACGCGGAGTATATCCTTGCGCCAGATTCACGAACACTCTTCCCAGTCTCCGTGCACAACTCCAATGGTTCGGTCAGCAATGCTGAGACCCTAACATCTCCATCCGGAAGTGCCGTCTTCGAGGATGATGCTGCTACGGCGTATGATTTTGGGAAGAACATCGCTGGCGTAGTTTCCTTGAATATCGGATCCGTATCGGACTCCAACCAATACATCGGCGTTACATTTTCGGAGTCCTCTCTCTGGGTTTCCAACAAGTCGTCGGACGCTACAGCGGATGCTGGGAAAGACGAAACCTTGTGGTTTCATCTCACAGCACCAGGCAAATACTCCGCGCCTCGGGACAAGGAACGAGGAGGATTCCGCTATATGACGTTGGTGCACAATGGTACAGGGAAGGTCGAAATTACATCTGCAGAAGTTCACTTTACCCCGATGCCACATTGGAAAGACGACGCGCTCGGCAATTACACCGGATACTTCCACTGCGATGGTAGGTCTTTTGAGATGCACAGACTAGAACAGTACTTACATTGATAGACGAACTTCTAAATCGAGTCTGGTAAGTAAGGTTGGCGTACAAAGTGGATGTCCCAGCTGTCGCAAATATTTGAAAGCTTCATACTCTATGGCTGAGTTTAAAGTTTTGGACACACGCAAAAGACTCTGATTTGAACATTATACTGACTTTGTTTACCCCACCTCTAGGTATGCAGGCGCATACACAAATCAAATGTGTACTATTGATCCACAGCATGGCAATGCCTTGGTTCACCTAGGGACCATCAATAGTTCAGTCTCTGATGCAACCAACGTTACCTGGTATTACAATTATACGATCACTAATGGAAGTTCTGCTTTGACCGATGGAGCGAAGAGAGACAGGCTTGTATGGGCTGGAGGTATGTTTTTCATGCACGATAAGAGCTGCACTACTCACGCACTGCAGACATGGCTATTGCTGTTCCAGGTGTGGTGGCATCGACAAACGATGTCATCTCTATCGAAAATTCCCTAAACTCGTTGTTTGCCGTGCAGAACAGGTCCACGGGTCAGCTTCCATATGCTGGGCGTCCGTTTCCTTCCACATTGTCTTTTACGTATCACCTATACACGTTGATTGGTGTCACCGATCACTACCTATATACCGTATGTCAGCCTGAAATTGGCTTACTGTGCGAAAATGGTGAATCTGGCTCACAATCGTAGGGCAACCTTGACTACGCGGCATCACATTGGTCGGAATGGAAGCTCGCGCTGAACTTCTCCTTGGGCTTCATTGACGATACTGGCTTAATGAATGTCACCTCACCACCCGACTGGCTGCGGTTTGGCATGGGCGGGCACAACATCGAGGTATGCTCATGCTGCGATACAATGAAAGTCAACAGACTAAGAAGAGATCAGGCAAACTCGATTCTTTATTACACTATCAATCAAGGCATTGCACTCGCCGAGGCACTTAACGACACGGAGCCGGTTGCGTCTTGGCAGGCAACGGCCGAAAAGATCAAATCCGCCGCAAACGAACTTCTCTGGAACGACAGCGCAGGCATGTATATTGACAATGAGACCACAACGCTCATGCCACAGGATGGCAACTCGTGGGCAGTGGTATCGAACCTCACTCTCAATTCCTCACAGATTGAGTCGATTAGCACAAAGCTAGCCGATCGTTGGACGCCGTACGGAGCACCTGCACCTGAGGCAGCTGATGCTATTTCACCCTTCATTTCTGGTTTTGAGCTGCAAACGCATTTTCTTGCGGAAAATGTAACCGCTGCTCTCGGCCTGATGAGGCTGCAGTGGGGATTTATGTTGGATGACCCAAGAATGACAAATTCGACATTTATTGAAGGGTACTCTACGACTGGAGAACTTCATTATGCACCATACTTGAACGACGCGCGCATATCGCATGCCCATGGATGGGCGACAGGACCGACGTCTTCGCTCACCTTTTACGTTGCCGGAATACAACTGCTGAGCGCTGGAGGAAAGGCGTGGCGCATTGCTCCTTCCCTTGGCAATCTCACTGTTGCAGACGCTGGTTTCAGCACTGGCATTGGCTTCTTTTCTGCTAAGACTCAAATGGCCAGCAACGGCGGCTTCCAGATCGACTTCGAGACCCCTGAAGGTACAAGTGGTGAAGTGAAGATTCCACGAGCGTCTTGTGCAGGAAACATTGTTTTGGAGGAATGCAATGGTAACCACGGAACCCTAGAGATCGAAGTCACGCACGCGAATGCTGGACCGATATCTGTAGCGGATGTTCCTGGGGGCAAATGGAAGGTCACCTTCGATTGTGTCTAGGCAAATGTACATGACTGAGCTTGATAGAAATAGGAAACAAATGTACATATTTCTCTATGGGAAGCCATATACCATATGGGCACTCAATAAGGCTTTTCGCTCTTGTTAACGAAGCGTCGGCGCGGAGCAAACTGCTCATCCGATCCGATCCGGCTCCACAAGTGAAACACCACCACTCGAGGAGCAATATTTCCAAGATCATGATTGGATGAGCACGCAAAGTATTTCACTGAGTTGGATCGAATGGCCGTTAATCTGGCACTAGGCACGTATGCACAGTCATAACTCGGAACGGATGTACACCCCGCCATGCTTACCACCGTAGTACTTTCAGTATAAAAAGCTTCTGGAATGATGGGTCGGGCATCAGTCACTCTCTTACCGAAGTACTTGCGTCCTGATACTCCCACTCCCCGAATTCACTATGACTGTCACTGCTCCTAATGCCAGCCCCAAGCCTCTCCGCATCGGCGTTCTATACGAAGAAGTCCAATTAACAGACCTAGCAGGTCTAGATATTCTTGGAAACATGTCTTCCCGAATCGTCAACATGGTCTCCAATCTCATTCCCGCCATGGAAGAGCTCAAACCTTATGCTAGCGATATGGAATTCCTCTACATCTCTTCCTCACTCGAGCCAGCCTGGGCAACGCCAGACATGTACATCCGGCCTACGCACACTTACGAGAACGCGCCGCGTGACTTGGACATCATCTTACTCGGGGGACCCGACCCCCAGAAGGTCCCCGAAGCCAGTCTGACGTTCCTGAGAGAGGCGAGCAAAGAGACGAAAGCCATCTTGGCTACGTGTACGGGCGGTATGTGGCTTGCCAAGAGTGGCATACTAGATGGGAAGAAGGCGACTACCAACCGATTACTGCTGCCTGCAGCGAAGCATGTGTTTCCAAATGTGGAGTGGCAGGATGAAAGGTGGGTCACTGTGGGCGGCCATTTTGAAGACGCGCAGATATGGACAGCGGGAGGCGCAAAGTGCGGTAAGTTTCAGCGGAAGTCTTATGTCTACACAAGAGCTAATTCGAACACAGGAATCGACATGGTGATCGAGTACGCCCTAGGAAACTTCCACGAAAAGCTGGTGAAATCTTCATGTGGGAGCTTGGAATTCGAGATCGAGGGAAGGAGCAAGAGTTATAAGGGCCCATTTGTTCCTGTTGTATAGTCAGGAAAGATTTGGCACAGTCTGCGTGGGAAGATGCTGGGTTTGGACTAGAAGCCTGCATGGACATGGGTCGCAATTCTGGGAAACCGGATGATAAAGGTCTATCAGATAGCTATTATCGCTACAATTGAAATAGTTGGTGAGGCTCTTTCAAACCCCGCGGTAACGCTTGATTCTTCCTAATACAGATGCAAGCCTAAAAAGTATACTCGCCAAGATTCCTCCTGCCACCCTTTCTCCTATTTCAATATCCGCTAGCTATCTCGAGGAAGGCACGCGGTGGACGACATAGCAACCCACAGCCAAATATCTACGCCTTCATCTTCGCAAGCCGCGAGTAGACCTCCTCAATTTCGGCATGGTAATCTTTCTCAATATCCTTGCGCATCAAAGTCTGCTTGAAGCTTCTCTTTAACGGCTTGCCCGGCTTGGTGAAGAAGATGGTTTCCTTTGGTATGCGGATCTCCACATGAGTGCCGTTGCTCTTCGACAGCGAATCATACAGCTCATCCAGAAGATCACTCGTTTCCTCTCCCTCATTGCCAACGTTCTTTGGCTCGATGATGACGTATGGCGTGGGCCGCCCTTCACCACCTACGAAGACACTCGACACGCCTGGATGTTGCTGGATCGTCTTTTCGATGTCCTGAGCATGGAATTTAGTCAGCCAATCTAGCTTTGTGAGATCGTCTTTCCGGGCACTGAAGATCCATCTCGTGCGTCCATCATCATCTTTAATGGGAGCATACAGCTCCTTCGTCTCGATTCTGTCGACACCATAGAACTGGGGGTTCCAAAAAGCGTGCTGAAAGAGCGTTGGCTCGCCGTCCTTGGGCCGATCGATGACTAGTTCGTGAAGATCCTCTGAACCATCCGCCGCAACCCCAGTTCCTTCGATACGGACCATCTGACTTCCGTTTTCGGGGACATAATCGTGTGTGTGCCATAGTTTCCTATTGACTGGCATCAGGTCCACCTGCTTTCCAGTTTCGGTGGCTCCAATCAAGGACACGACCGGCGTGTGTTCGACTAAATCATCTCCAATCTTCTGGTCTAGGAGGACGTTGGTCAGCGAAACTCGCATCGACATTCCTTCCGTATGCTTACCTAAAGCCGCGCCTAGATACACGATGAACTGAAGCTCCTTGAGCAGCTGTTGTGTGTCCGCCTCTCCGTACAACTGATGTATAGTATGTGGTGGACATTTGATTCCGTCCACGATGTTGCAGCGTAGCAACTTCTTGAAAATTTCCGGGGGAAACGTTGTGTGATCTGCCGGCGGAACGATGCAAATCGTATCGTTATAGACAGGAAAGTCAACGTAGTGAACCATACCACCCAGCCACTGTGGGGGGCATGACGACAGCACGGATTTTCCGATCCAGGCATCGTACACAGTCCCACGTGGAAAGTGTATCCTGGAGAGTTCTCGTTCCCTAAAGCACGCGTGCCAGCCGTTCGTGTGGTAAATCGGCTTTGGAAGCCCGGTCGTTCCAGAAGTATGGATGATCAAGATCTCATCCCACTTCGCCTCAACCCACGTCTTTTCGTAAGGGTAATGCTTGTGTGATAAGGCATCAAGACACCATTCTACAGATGGCAGTGCAATTTGCTTCAGACTTGTAGAAATAGAAGTAGGCGGGTCTGTTGGATCGTCCTCAGCGGATATCCATATTTTGGCCTTCGTGGCTTTCAGCAAAGTCTTCAGGCCGTCGTCTGTGACCCTCCCATCTGGGACCATGAGTTTCCTTCCTGTCTTCACCACGGCTGGCCACAGGACAGCATATCTCAGATCATTGGGACCCAAATACGCCACGGTGTCGTTCTCGGTGGCCTTGCCTAGCTTTTCGTCTAGCCAGTGTGCCACTTTGTTGATAGAGTCGCCATACTGTTTATAAGTGAGAGTGCGATATCCGTCCACTTCCCAATTAGGCGTGGGGTATCTCATATACGTCTGGTTTGGTGACCACTTGACCTTCTCTTCGATTGCAGTGACGAGGACGGTACCCCGTTTTGGGTCTTTGTTAATCCGTTGGGGAGCGATCGCATGAGGCATGGCGAAATTGTTGCGCGGTGTAGAAGTGTAACGATTCTCGTAGCCCTAGACCTGCGGCTGGAGACATCTTTAGCTTTGAAATGGGCTCGCTCAGGTCACCCCCGCGCGATATCCGAGCTAGCATTGGCGTTACCGGGCGTTTGAGGGTACTTTGACGCTTCATGCTGATGGCTGTCGTTGCAGGGACCAGCCCTTTAACTCGAAGCGGCTAGTGCTGAGTCGTACAGCGAGGCCGCTCCAGCGTGGGGATGCTAATATCTATCGTGATTTTTGCAGGTCATGTTTTGGTCGATCTATGCACCTTAGCTTCTTCAAGTAAATGCTAGGCTTCTCCAAGTAAGGCAAGTAAGGACGGAGCTCTTTCCTAGCTAAGCTACCTTACTTACACAATAGAATCTGAGCCTTGAAGAAGCTGAAGTGTATGGATCGACCAAAGCATGATTTGCAAAAATCTACGGTAATATAGGCAAGGAGTGATGTAAGCTTACGCAGGCTAAGTGTGCGTACAGCATCAGCATCAGTGAATTTTAGGTAAGGACGCTTGGGGCTAGCGAAGGCTTGATCAAGATAAGACACAGAACTAGATCCGGCCGTGGAAGACTACCTTGCTCTGCCCCACGTCCGTCATGCCAATTCCTGATTCTGTATCCCATAGGACATCTTGAGTGTACAGTCAGCAGGCAAAGCTGGACGCACGATCATAATTCAGAAGCGGGTCGGAGCTTGTCGCTTGTGATATTGTGATCGTGCATTAGATCGGGCTTAGTGTAGGCAATACAGTGCGAGCATTCGCATGTTTGTATTTCAATTGGAAACAATGATATAGATAGGGCTTGAGTTCACTTGCCCAAGATTGGAAGATCAATTTTACTGTGGCGGAGTTATGCACCAACGCCCCATCCTTCCACGCTAAGCTAGGTACCAATTGCTATGCACCCTTCGGTACCTCAATAGTTTCCGTTTTCGCGTCCACCTTATACTGTTCCTCAGCAATGACATCAGCGGGAATGCGATCAGGCACCGAATTAACCAGCATGAGCATCGGAGCAAATGCAAGCGCCATCAGCCCAAAGGTAACGCAAAATCCAATCAGCGGGCTCGTCTTGATCTGCGTGTTCATGCCGTAACTGACGGCTTGGCCCACCGCCTCAAGACACCTAAATGCTGCGCCGTTGCGCACGTTACTCTGTGCGTCTGTCGCGAAAGAGCTGAGAAGCCAGTACATGTACGACTGGGACAGGGGCCCGGTGGTCTGGACGAAGAAGTACGGTAGGAAGGCGGTGGGGTAAAGTGGCTCGTCCCAGTCGATCTTACCGGGAGAAGAGGCGTTGAAGCGAGCTTGCATGACGATTGACCAGATGTAGACTCCGAGATTGAGGATGACGACGGTGACTAGACCGATCTGAGCGCGGCGGCGTTGGGAGACGTTTTTCATGTCGAGGATGAAGCCTAGACCAAAGCAGCCGATGATGCAGAAGAAGGGCGAGACGAGAGAGGAGAGGGCGCGCGAGCGGACGGAAAAGTAGGTTCCGAGGTAGGTCGACCAGGTGCCGCTGTGCTATATTTAATACCTGCCTGGAGCGGAAGAGGTGGAGTAGCTTACCTGTAAAAGAAAGACCAGAAAGCCCAAAGCGCAGACAAAACAATCAGCTTCGAAGTCATGGTAAACCTGATCTTCTTGAACTCTTGCTTCGTGCCAATAGGCTCGGAGACCAGAATTCTGGTTCCGTCCGAACGGACCACATTCTCCAGCGGCGATATCAAGAAGGCAAATGGTAACGCCATCGACTCAATGATGAGGAACGCGATATACGTATCCGGGGTAACACCTCCTGAAGCACCCTTCTGGTGGTTCTTCGCCAAATTGATCGCACCACCGACAAGCTGACCCAAATTTCGGGACACAATCCACAGAGCGAGGTATTTCCCACGAGCTCCTGAAGGCGCAAGCGACATGATAGATCCTGACTCAGCAACATACCAGCACCCTGTGCCAATGCCGGTGAAGAAGGACCCGAGAATGAGATACCACTGTGTGCCGAACTTGCTGTTGCAGTAATACGAGGAGCCTCGAATAGGGAAAGACATGGCCCCAATGACGAGTGCCCACTTAGTTCCAAGCTTGTTCACGATCGGACCGCCGAGCAGACAGACAATGGCTAGAAGGGCGTAGTTGATTGCAGTAGCAATGTTGCTGGTCTGCGGCGTTGCTAGACCACCTCCACCAAGGCCTGTATCGAGTCAGCGTACGAAGAGACTTCCGTATATTGGAAGATACAAACCTGCAATTGCATCCGTCATCGCAGGACCACAGAACGCTTGGACGCTGAGGAGCATCATTTGCGTTAAGCTATGCTGGTATACGCGCTTCCACAAAGGAACGTTCTTCGAGTAAGCGATCATGTCTACCGTTTCGTCGGCATATTGAGCAGGTGCGGGAGGGTTCATCGGGTCGTCCCCCTTCGCTCGTAGGGCGTCATCATTGCCGCCGGCATGAGTGTTGGGAGGAGCAGCGTCGAACTGAGACATGAGTGAGGAGGTCTCGCTACCGGGGTCTACAGACAAAGAGCGACCTAGGATGAAGAACGATTCTGACAGAGTTCTACAACCTTGAGAGGTGCCTCACACGGCTCTTTATATACGACATCGGAAGCCACTTCAACCTGTAGCGTCGCCTATCATTTCGTCCCTCTCCGTGTGCCACAACCAGGGCAGCGACTTATCTGCGGGTCCGAACTAGCCCACAAGCTAAGATTCCCCAGATTGTGTAGATATGGGCTGTGGAGCACGGTATCGTGCTCCGTGCGGTGGAAAAGCGGTGGTGGGGAGAGCTGCGGCACCAGTCACCAGCCGACCGGGCAGAGTCCGTTGATGTTTTGGCTAACCGCACGGAGACAAAATAGCAGTTCGAACCAAGGCCTGCAAACGCTAGCAACTCGTTTATTCGGCAGGGCAAGAACCTCGGACGCGCGCCAACTTGAACCACAGTCTCGGAGGTAGGCGCCGAAGCGGCGTGCTGACTCAGTCATCAAGGACTCCGCGGACCACGCGAATCAGCGTTCGCATCGCAGACGAGCAACAGAAATTAACACATCGGTATTATGTGCTATCTACAAAATTTAAGAAATTATCATCCATGCTGGTTCAGGCCTCGATTACCAGAATGCTAGACTCTCTAAACATTTGCTGATAACGTGTGGGGATGAATGCATCGATGTGCAGATTGAGGGCCTTTTGCACTAAACCGTAATGGGCTATTTTAACAGCACTCGCTATCGGCTCACACTCACTGCTCCGATGTCATGCCGGAGGGATAGACGATGCCTCGCCCATAACACCATTAGTCAATCATTCGATAGCTCCAGGTCACCCAGACCAAAGCCACCAATGTTGTGCTCGAAGGTGGCGTGTTCGAAAGCCCTCGATACTTAAGCGCTTCGAATGACACATCTCGGGCGCCATTGTCGGTAGTAATTGAAAGCGCTATCAGCAAAGATGGCGGCTTCAAGAGGGAACACGAAGGTCGTTGTTGTCGGAGGAGGAGGTACCATTGGATCTTCGACAGCGTTGCATTTACTTCGGAATGGATACACACCTTCGAACATTACTGTTCTCGACACATATGAGATCCCTTCTGCTCAGTCAGCTGGGAATGATCTCAACAAGATCATGGGCATTCGCCTGCGGAACAAGGTGGATGTGCAGTTGAGTCTGGAAGCGCAAGATATGTGGAAGAATGATGATCTGTTCAAGGCCTTCTTCCACAATACTGGCAGAGTATGTCTGATACCTGAGACTGAATGCATTTCAAGGCTGACTGTATCATAGCTCGATTGTGAACATACGGAAGAAGGAATAAAAGGGTTGCGCAAACAGTATCAGACCCTGCTTGATGCAGGCGTGGGACTTGAAAAGACCAACGAGTGGCTAGACACCGAGGATCAAATACTGGCCAAGGCCCCTACGCTGGAGCGCGAGAAGATTAAAGGCTGGAAAGCTATTTTCAGCGAAGACGGTGGCTGGTTAGCAGCTGCAAAAGCAATCAGAGCCATCGGATTATACTTGAAGGAGCAGGGTGTTAATTTCGGTTTTGGAGGTGCCGGAACGTTCAAAAAGCCGCTGTTCGCGGAAGACGGTATCACCTGCATAGGGATCGAAACCGTCGATGGCACAAAGTACTACGCCGACAAGGTGGTACTTGCTGCAGGAGCCTGGAGTTCAGTATTGGTAGATCTCGAAGACCAGTGTGTCTCAAAAGTGAGTTACCTATGCTATGCAACCGTGTGGCGGGCGGATCGATGCTAATTCACACTTTAGGCTTGGGTATATGCTCAGATGCGTCTGACCCCTAAAGAAGCAGCGGAGTACAAGAACTCGCCAGTAGTGTATAACGGCGACGTTGGCTTCTTTTTCGAACCGGACGAGTACGGTGTGATCAAAGTTTGCGACGAATTCCCCGGCTTCACGCGCTTCAAGAAGCATCGACCGTTTGGCGCGGATCGTCCTAAACAGATTTCCGTGCCCAGGTCGCATGCGAAGCACCCGACAGACACCTACCCAGACGCTTCTGAAAAGAGCATTCGGAGAGCCATCGATACGTTCCTTCCACAGTTCAATAAGAAGAAGCTATTCAATCGAGCGCTGTGCTGGTGTACAGATACTGCGGATGCTGCACTGCTGATCTGTGAGCATCCGAAGTGGAAGAACTTCATACTGGCCACTGGCGATAGCGGTCACACCTTCAAGCTTCTACCAAATATCGGTAAACATGTCGTGGAATTAGTAGAAGGCGAGTTGGCGGACGATTTGGCAAACGCTTGGAGATGGCGCCCAGGCGGGGACGCGCTCAAGTCGAGGCGGGCAGCGCCGGCGAAAGACCTTGCAGATATGCCCGGTTGGAACCACGACGCTGCAAAGGCGAAGCTGTAGTAACTTTCAGGGGTACGTATGTGTGATAGATCACAAGCAACATGACGATGTGGGCAGGCAATAGCCATTATAAGATGGTTATGGAAAACGGCAATCTTTCTTCTCATAGCCTCTGCAACTGTACATACTGTGTATATTCCGCCAATATGCTCGCACACGCATCTAGTATATACAACGTTGAAATTGTAAGAATGCATGGATGCGTTTGGTGGCAAAGTGCTTTGTCAGGTGAGCACGTGATGCCGCGTTCGCGACCAATCAATGATGTAATCGCCATGCGACTGCCTAAGCTAACAAAAGAGTCAACCTTCATATTCACCTCAACTTTTCTCCCACGGGCCGACTCGCCATGCGCTTCTCTGTCCGTTGCCGCGCAGCCCGGATCACTTCCCTCGCCACGACATAGTCAACGAACTCGACTGTCTTGTTCTCGCCCGCACACCCGGTTGTCGCAAACCGTCCCTCTCTTTCCAGCGCACTTACCCGTCGCAATGTCCTCCTCGCCCTCTCTAGAGGACCCCGCTTCGAATGCGACCCAAGACTCTGACACAGATCCTCACACTGTGAATGAAACTGCACCAGAGCAGGTTGAAGTAGAGGATGCGCCGCCCACCGCCGACGAGGAGACACGATTGAAGTATCTCACAACTGGGACGAGGGATCAAGATGATCTGGAGCGCGATATTGGTAGGCAGGCCGACCAGCTGCTCACAGAACAGGCCGATGAGAGAGACAAGAAGCGCATGGAGAAGGCAGAGGCAGAGGCTAAGCGGGCGCAACAGGCGCTACAGAAGATGCGGAGTCGGCTGGCGATGCCTCTACTCGAGCCCCAAAAGCTTAAGATAAGGGTTGATATCCAAGAACTTCAAAAGAAGATCGATGGTTTAGACGAAGAGCTGGATGTGATACAGCAGCGCATAAACGATAGACATAAGGTGGAAGGCGAAGACGAATCCACTCAAGATGGAGTCCATGGACCCATGCCGAATGAAAGCCGTCGCGAATTTCTCATACGCACCGGAAAAATCACTCCATTTTCCAAGCTCGCGCAGGACAAGCAAGAATCTGGAACCCTCGCTGAAGTGATGCAGGATGCAGAGGTCGACGATATGGTTGAAGAGGCCAGCAAGGGCACCAAATCTCATCAGAATCTTATGAAGCCAGGATTTGACATTGCAGATACAACTTCGAATGCAAGCACTCCACCCGAGACACCGCGCCCTAGAAAGAAGCGACGGACAGGCCCAGCTCTGGGCACTGTTAGCTCACGAGAGGGTAGCAGTGCCCCGGAGACACCTGGCGATGCATCTGACGATGCATTTGCCCCATACATGAGCGATCGCCAGCTTGCAGCTCTCGGTGAGACCGAAGACGACACCGAAGACCCTACGAACGACGATGAATACTCGGAGGAAGAATTCGGCCGAAAGCGCAAGGTGACTACAAAGAATAATAGGAAGAAGGGCAAAGCCACTCGATTTGCAGACGAGCAAGATGACCTAGCCGGTGTTGATGACGGTAACGAGAAGATGTACCAGAAGCGAATATGTGCTTGGTCAGAGAAACGTGCTGCAGCGCGGAAGCAAGCGGCAGAACGAAACGGCCAGTCGTTTGAGGATGACGAGAATGAGGAAGAATGCTACAAGCCACATCCTACTGAGCCTGACACCGAATTGGAAGGCGACTTCAAGATACCTGGCGACATCTATCCAGCTCTATTCGACTACCAGAAGACTGGTGTGCAGTGGTTGTGGGAGCTATTTTCGCAGAATGTCGGCGGCATTGTTGGCGATGAGATGGGCTTGGGAAAGACTATCCAAGCCATATCCTTTGTTGCTGGCCTGCACTACTCGAAGAGACTGACCAAGCCCGTCATCGTGGTCTGTCCGGCCACAGTGATGAAGCAATGGGTGAATGAGTTCCATCGATGGTGGCCGGCGCTTCGTGTATCGATCCTCCATTCGTCTGGGAGCGGCATGCTTAACACTCGCCGCGAAGACCAGATAGAGCGCGAGATGGAGCTGCGAGGATATGGAGATTACGATGACACCCTGACAGGTGCGGGCAAGGCAGCCAAGAAAATCGTAGAAAGGGTCAAGCGTGAGGGCCACGTCTTGGTCACCACCTACACTGGGCTTCAAACTTACGCGGAGTTCTTGGTGCCGGTCGATTGGGAGACCGCTATTCTTGACGAAGGACACAAGATTCGGAATCCTGACGCTGCTGTTACAATTCACTGCAAAGAATTGCGCACTCCGAGCCGCATCATTCTCTCGGGCACCCCGATGCAGAACAACCTCACTGAGCTATGGTCACTCTTCGACTTCGTGTTCCCTATGCGTCTGGGCACTTTGGTCAATTTCCGCAATCAATTCGAGTTCCCCATCAAACGAGGCGGTTATGCGAACGCATCTAATCTCGAATTCGAGACTGCTATGCGATGCGCAGAAACACTTAAAGACGCCGTCAGCCCATACCTCTTGCAACGATTTAAGGTGGACGTTGCAGCTGATCTTCCGCAAAAGAAAGAGCAAGTGTTGTTTTGTAAGTTGACGCGTCAGCAGCGAGAAGCATACGAGGGCTTTTTGCAGTCCGACGAAATGAAGTCCATAGCCAACGGCAAACGACAAATGCTCTTCGGCATAGACATCCTACGCAAAATATGCAATCACCCAGACCTTGTGGACCACAAGAACCTGTCGAAGAAGGCTGATTACGACTACGGCGCTGGGAATCGGTCGGGCAAGATGCAGGTTGTCAAAGAGCTGCTATCGCTCTGGGTCAAAGGCGGACACAAGACGCTTCTGTTCGCCCAGCATCGTATCATGCTTGACATCCTTCAGAAGTACCTCGACCGCTTGCCCGGCGTCAGGTACCGGCGGATGGATGGAGAGACGCCCATCGCTAAGCGGCAGGACATGGTGGACGAGTTCAACAACAATCCGAACCTGCATGTCTTCCTACTCACGACGAAAGTCGGAGGCCTCGGTGTCAACCTCACGGGAGCCAACCGCGTGATCATCTACGATCCCGATTGGAACCCGTCAACAGACATCCAGGCTCGCGAGCGCTCATGGCGCCTCGGACAGAAGCGAGAGGTTGAGATATACCGTCTCATGTCTGCTGGCACCATCGAAGAGAAGATCTACCACCGCCAGATCTTCAAGCAATTCCTCACGAACAAGGTACTCAAGGACCCGAAGCAGCGCCAAACGTTCCAGATGAGCGACCTACACGATCTATTCACGCTTGGCCGCGATAATGCTGAGGGTGAAACGGAAACTGGAAACATGTTCCGTGGCTCAGAAGTCCAGTTCGATAAGGATGGCAAGACCACCAATGGCTCGACGCAAGCTGCATCCGATGCAACTGCGCAGGAGGATCTCAAAGCCATGGTAGGCGTCGCAGCAGCAGAGACGTACCAAGCTCCCGCCTCCGACTCCGAGGACACAGCCAAGGAGGATGGCGACGAAGGCAAATCCGACTCGCACCTTATGTCCTCCATCTTCGCAAAGTCCGGCGTCCACTCCGTCCTCGAGCACGACACCATCATGAACACCACCGCCGCCGGCCGCAAGCGCAAAGTCCAAGCCGACCCGGCTTTCGTCCAGCGCGAGGCCAAGCGTCAAGCTGCCGTCGCAGCAGAGCAGCTGAAGAAGAGCATGGAGGAGGCGCGCCGCATGCCCGTAGGCGTACCCACCTGGACAGGCACTCACGGCGAAGCTGGTCGTCCTGCTCCTCCTCCCTCACGAGGCAATCTATTCGGCTCCCGCGGCGGTCGCGGTGGCGGACGAGGCGGCGCTGCAGGACCATCTTCTGCATCCGTCCTATCGAACCTCGCAGCCCGCCAGGGCCGCTCTCTCCCGGTCACGCCCGCAGGTACGCTCTCTCCAGGCCCTGCACGCGCACACACACCTCAACCTACCTCCCTACGCGGCCGCCAGATGCTGGAGCGCATCCGCGACTTCATGCTCACGCACGGCGGGGTTGTGCCCACGAAAATGCTGGTTGACCACTTTGATCACTATTGCCGGGCTGTGCCAGGGCGGTCCGAGGAGTTTAGGGAGATGCTGAGGGTGATTGCGGTGATGGAGAAGGGTGGAGGGAGTGGGAGGGGCAGGTGGAAGTTGAAGGATGAGTGGAGGGGAGAGCGATAGTGGTGCTGGAAGGGGTTAGGAGACGGCAGGGAAGGTATGGCACCCTTCCGACACTGCTTGCTCTGTCTGTTCGAGTTACGGTTGCATGAGTGGGCACTTTGGTTTGCATGGAAGGGTATTTGATGCGAGCATTTTCAGGGATCATGGACGTTCGGCGTTATGAAAGAGAGATACCACAGCATTCTTGCCCAGACCTTGTTACTAGGGCAAGAGCGAGCGCGCACATTCCGCGCGTCAAATAAGATTACAACACTATCAAACTTCCCGATGTGGACAGTTCATGTTATCAACAATCTCAATTGCGTTGGTTGTGATATTGACAAGACGCTACATACATACATCATGATGGTAGGACATCTCGCGATTTCCATCCCTCTTCAGCCCGTCTACTCCAAATGTAACGAGATATTACGAGCATATCCAAGCACACGCTTTCTCTCGTCTCTCAATTATTATAGATGCGTATGTTCCCAAATGCGACCTTTCCATGCTCCTAGAGAAAAATGACCCCGCCCAACACCAGGTGCCTTAATGATCGAGATTGATTGAGTAAAAAGATCGGATATGACGAACGCTGCAACCAATAGTGCGCCGTGTCCCATTTTTGGTCCCAAGTAAGGAGTGTAATATAAACAATATGTGAAGGGAAGGAATGCCGTTATCGTACGTGATGCTAAAGCAGCTCTGTGGTGCGGTAGTTTTCGAAGGCGTGGAGCGTGGACGGTGTTCATATTATGCCGAAAGCCATGGCGAAGTACAGGAAGGAAGCGATGGTAGTCCCAAAGGTGACGAAGAGAACCTTGGTCGTGCCGCTCGCGAAGATAGAGAAGGCGTCGTTCTTCAAGCAGTTGGCGCACTCGAATTCTAGAAGATGTCAGTATGCCCTTCTAATTAGTTAAGCAAGGAATGTGTCTTACCAGACCAATTGACATAAGGCTGCGGTGTGTACATGCCAAAGTAGAATTGGCTGTATGGAGCCAAGTAGCCAGGCTTAGCAGTAGCACTGACACTGGACTGGGCATCGTAAATGAGCAGCGTGTAGGTCTCACTGACGAATTCGGGGCCGTTAGGGTGGCTGCTCTTGTAGGCACCGGTGTCCCAGTAGATAGTATCAGTCGCTTGCACAGAGTGGTTCACAGCGATGGTGTAGGTCTGCTGGTTGACGGAGCACGAGGCCAGGATGTCGATGGCCGAGGGTGTGATGGAGAGAGAAGTGTAGTTCCATGCGAAGGTGACCCAATCGCCAACCTTGTAGTACTGGGCGCCTAAGTATGGGTTCGGGGTGACCATCTGGATGCCTCCAGCTTGGACATCAGCGCCGAAGTTGGTGACCTTGGCCTTGCTCGTCGTCTTAGAAGCCTTGTCGCTCGAGTCTTTGTCGGTCGTGCTGGCGTCCTTGGCGGTCGTCTTCGCATCGCTCTTGGTTGCTGTTGGCTTGTCGGTCTCGGACGCCTGATCGGTCTCCTTGGGAGCATCTGTGGTCGAGGCCTCCTTCGCCGAGCTGCTCTTGTCGTCCTGGTCTATCCCGAGTTAGTAAGAGCGTCACCAAAACAGCAGGAGCCATCAACTCACTGTCTTGTCGGGCAAATAGCATGTGCTTGGCATCTGCCAACGCGTTTATGCTGTCGAAGACATTGGACGTGGCGGCAGTGACAGACGAGAGAGCCACTACCGCGGCTAGCAACTGGGACGGCCTCATGGTGTGGACGGAGAATGCTTCGGTGAGGTTGAGGGGACTGAGGGCGGAGGGGCGGCTGTCGAGCGGAGAGGCGGGTGTGACCGTTGAAGTGACCTGTTTGAGCTCGGTGGTGGTGCGAAGTGGAGCTGCGTCGTCGAAGGGGCCACTCGGAGGCTGTCAACACAAGCTGGAACGCGTCAAGGAAAAGGGATGCAGATTTCACTCCCACGCCCCGGAAAACGAGCGACTGGCAAAGGAGTAAAGGAGATGCGGCGATAACGAAGGTCGAAGAGGAGGTTGGCTGTTGTGAGGTGATTAGGAGACGGCGCCGTAATGGCGAGCGGAGAGCAGAGAAAAGCGGCAGGGGGGTTCGCAAGATTGGCCTAGCGACCGGGGCATAGCGGTCAATAGTGCGCCACCATGCGCCTATTTTTGGGGAGCGGCGTACTGTGTAAATCATCGATAGTGCTATCGTCACACATCCCCGCCGCATCGTCTTTATTGATCGCTGCGCGGAAGCTGTTGAAGCCTGCAATGCCATCATCTTCCAAGTGTTTCGCACCGGCTGCGTCGCGTGTGGTGCACCTCGCTCGCTCCTTCCGTCTTGTTGTTTGTTTGCAAACCGGGCTGGGGAGGTGCACGCATAGCCACTCAATTTGCGCTCCTCTTCAGCCTCTTCATGCGACTGTGTGATCATCGCTCGCTGTGCCGTTTCCATGTAACTCGGTTTCAGTCATCGTCGGGTCTTGCCTTATTACTATGCCGGCCGTTGTTTGAGGAAGTCTGACCTTTGTCTGTGCTGCAGCCAACCACGCGCGTGGCACTTGTCCGGTTCCCCTCAAGGCCGCCTTCGCCGCATCTGACCACCTCTGCTTCCGACATCCACTGCTTTGGGCGCATCGGGTGCCCTGCGTCTTTGCGATTCGTACCACCGCATCGCTTGTATCCGCTGCCCCAGCTGCACGTGGCGGCTGCTGCATCATCGTGTAGTACGCGGGAACATTAAAAAGACCATAGAAGATGACGATAGCTTTGACAGAAGACGAGGACCATGGCTCCAGTGCTACACCCCATACGCCTCTCTTAATAGTCTTTGGTTCTGTTTGGAAGCATACAATTGTAGAAAATCCCGTCAGAGCACAGAGAGAGCTAAAAGAAGACGTTTGGGTACTTGGGATCCTTTCCCAAATATAAGGTAGATCATAGTGCCTATTTGGTCCGGAAAATGTCACGGAGAAGAGTGGTGACATTATTCAGCAGCGCGTTCGCTCACCCCAATCGGAGCTTAATTATTGATTTCGAAACCGGGATTCGAAGCACAGAAGAAACATCTTGAATAAGATTTCCTGTCTCAAGCCTAAAGGGAGTGCTTGGTACCGTCATGATAGAATGGTGGAGCGATGATTCTAACAAGAAAGTGTGCTGCCGAAACACATAAACGAAGTCGGTTTCACTTTTGGACTCGTCTTCTGGTCATGCTGTTCTGTCTTGTGCATTTCGACAAGCAGATTGGGCACAACACAGCCATTTCTGTAGGCTGGGTGTATTTGAAGACTCGTCACAGAGAAGAGGAGGGAACAGCATCTACCCTCATGTTTTCGTGTAAGATATGATTTGGGTGTCAAACTTGCATCACATGGCTTTGTGCCAGGTCTTCTAATTGTCTCAGAAAAGCTGTGCATGAGCGTAAGGATTCGAGAAGAGAAGCAAGGTGCTACAGCTATAGCTTAACGAAGCCTGAACTTATGTTCATGTTTCACTCTCACTCATTGATGAAGATGATGATCATCCATTTATTTCTTACATTATCATTTACAAAGACACTCTCAGTCTTCTTTAGCAGCGCCACTTCCCAACATCCTCCTCACGCCTTCTTATAAGGCGGCTTACTAACCGCATGTAAATATGTCGTCTTGCAATCCGTCCCATTGCCCTTCCAATATAACACGTCCGTCCCACTGTCACTATCGCAAATCGCCCACCCCTCCTTCTCTCCATCCACCGTGACCAGATACCCTCCGTCCAGACCTACATTTCCATTCTCTTGCTTCTGCGCCACAAACTGTAGCTCCTTACCCGCGGTTATCGTCGTGCTGTTGTACTTGTATGAGCCGATGCCGTGCGGGCCTGCGGTGAGTGTGGAGAGCACGCCGTCGGCGAGGGTGAAATTAGGCAGGGAGTTGTAGCCGGAGCCGATGAGGCGGAGGAGGAGAGTTGATTGAGAGACGGGGTCTTCGGCCTGGCGGGGGCGTTAATTCTGTGACTAGAGGGAAGAAGGATGGGGAAATGAGCTCACGTAGGGCGTTGTCGCATGGACACCGCGAAGCTGAGAGGAGTTTGTGCTTGGGTCTGACTGGTCTGACGTGACTAGGAAGAACTCTGTGAGTTCTGTGGGGAGTGCGGCAGAGAGAAAGGCACCGAGCGCAGAGAGAACTGTTAATGTTGTAAAGCGCATGGTCGTAGAATGCTTGCAGGACGATGGATCAAGCAGGCGTGTCGAATGTTACTCTTGCGATTCTCTTTAGAACGGAGGAAATATATGGATAGGTTTCGAACGACGTGATTGAGGGGTGTGCAGACGGATGTATTCTCCTTAGTACTAAGCCCAGCTGGCGACCACTTCGTTCTTTATACCTGTAACGTGTTACAAGGGTGCGCATGTTGCCAGCCAACGATTCGATGTCATACCCCAGCCACAGGCACAACAAGGGGACACCAGTTGTAGCAAACATGGCCTGCGAATGACAGCCACTCGAGCGATCCACTCTCCTGTCGATCGTGACATCAAACAGCGGGGACGATGCTAGCGCGAGAAACGAAACGAAACGGGTGGTTTTGCCCTGCGTCGAGCTATTCCTGAAGATTCAGGCTGAAGCCTTGTAAATGCGGCTATCATGGCGACCCTTTCTTTTCTTTTTTTGAAAGGCTCGCGCCCGCAAAGCTGGAGCATCTGGGATTATAGATCCACGAAGTTCGGAGAGATTGGATCGGCAACGGCTGTTGGCGATCCTCGAGTTTGGCGCCGGTGCGGCTGTGGCGCTAAGCCATGCATGCATCCACTGTCCACGCATGCGTGGCTGGATCCTTCGTGGTTCGCGTCTTCCATGTGGAGTTGTGGGCTTTGGAGATTTGAGGAGTACCATGGAACGGATCACAGGAGTGGAAGGTACAATGATGCCATGCGACGCTACGAAATCACGAGGCCTTCCAGCAGCCCTGGAGTTGTCAACGTTGGTGAGTTGCTCTATAGAGGATGTATGCGAAGTATTTAACATACAGGCCGAGAAGAACCTTGATTGAGATAACGTTCAACATAATGAAAGGTACACTTGTGAAGGTTGGAGCTGTCTATCTGTGTTTTTCCCTACTCGTACAATATCTACATTGCCCGCTGTTTCGTATGCTACTACAAGAACTCCACACCCACTCCAAAGCTCAGTCCCTTCCTCGCCTCTTCCTTTGCCCTGATCACCAAGGGCAAACTGAAGTTGATCTCGAATCGCGCAATCGGATGAGCGTAAACGAGGCCAAAGCCAGCCGCGGCGCTAGGTACACCATCGCGCAAGCTGGCGAGTGTCTTCTTCACGCTGCTTTGCACAGCATCGGCATCCATTGGGCCGCCTTCCTTGTTCGAGTTCTTGAGAGAGAGCAGACGTCCACCGTTGATGAAGGCTTGGAGACGCAGAGGGATCTCCTTTCCTACCTTGGGCACAGGAAAGAGGAGCGAGGCTCCACCTGCGGCAAAAACATCGCCTCCGACAGCGTCTGAGCCATCGTGAGGCCCAAGACCGCAAAGGCGGAAACCACGAACGTTCGTAGGGCCGCCGAGTTGGAAACGGTCGTTGATGCGCGACTGCTGTGGGGCACTACTTCCACCAAGTGCAAGAGGGTACAGTAGACCTCCACGTAGGCCAGCAGTCAAAGTGATGCCAGTATCGCCGAATGGCAGTACTACCTGCGACTCGGCCTCGGATTTCCAGAAGGCTACATCGCCCTTGAGCGGTCCGTAACCGGCAAGCTCAGACACCGTCTTTGCTAGGTAGCCTCGTTGCGGCATCATTGGGTTGTCTCGCTGGTCATTGATCCACGTATGGGTAAGGCTGGACTTAAACGAATTCCCCGCCTCTGCCCGAACCGTGGGAGACGCGTTCTCTGCCAGACTGGTCACTTGCCGCAAGATACCAGAGTAGCCAAACTCGTGCTGATGTCCATTCTTGGTCCTCCACAGAAGCTTAGAGTTTCCACCACGCAACACCTCTTCGTGGCTAGCCCAGCTCTTCAATGTTGAGCTCGCGAAGCCGTTAAGCTGGAACTTGAAATCGGGGTTGGATAGAATCGGACTATCAAAGGCAAGCGAGTAGGCCGATCGTGTGCGCGTTCCAAGCGAAGCATTTGCATTCAAGGTCTCTGCGCCGCCGAACAAGTTCCGCAGCTCTGCATTGATATACGCGTCTCCCTCCGAAGATCCAACCTCGGTACCAGTCTTGATGGTGTACGAGCCTCGCTCTTGCGCCGAAATGTAGACATCAACCTCATTAGGTGACGAAGTAGGGTTCGTGGGGTCGGGTCGATCGAGGAACACGGATATGGGCGACTTGAAGATGCCTATCCACGTCAGACTGCAGGCTTTTGGGTAACTCGTGTGCTTTATTACCAAAGCGATTCAGCTTGTCTGTCGCATTGCCAACCTCCTTCAGGGCCTCTTCCAATGTATACTGTTCATCTCGGTTCGCGCTCAGTATGGGGTTGACCACACGTTCCAGGAAGCTTCGTCGCGTGCGGTTGGCATGGAGGATGCGGACAGAGGAGATGGTCACCGGCAGGCTGGTGTTATCGTCGATAAGCTCGGCGAGCCTTTCCTGAGATCTCTGATGTTGAGCAAAGTTCCGCGCATTGAGGTCATCGTCGTTCTGCTTGTGGTCCGTCCTGTTTTTCAGCTTCTCGAAGACCTGGAGCACCGATTAGCCGTCTTCAGAGATATTGTTGGGCGATTGGTCCGCTGGCTGGGACCAATGACCCAAAAATCAATTCAAAGAAAGCGAGTCGTACATCGTCTTCTACCGGCGAAGCCATGGAGGCTGCTCGTTGTTGATCAGGTTGTTCGAGCTGCTCGGCTTGGCGTTCGTGGAAGCGGAATCAAGCTGCTCCAGGGCTGAAAGGTTGTCACGTGCATCCGGCGCGGACAAAGGCGCTGCGCCTTTCCCCAGCTTCTAGAATCCAACTGCATCTCACTGATCACCATCGTCCCTTCCCGCAAGAAATCGCCTCTTTTACTTCACCAGAGACGATCGGAAGTGACTACCACAGAGATAAAATCCTACAAACGCCCTGTGACGTCTTCCTTATATCTTCTTCGCCTGCGCCCTATACGAGCGGACCACCTCACCCAAAGTCCGACGGCACCTCCTAGTGCACGCGACTCGCAGTCACTTCCTCAGCCTCTCATCTACTCCTCTCGCACACATACACTATGGCTACGCCTGCAGCGACCAAGCGCCTCACACGAGAATATGCGACCATCTCCAAGTCTCCCCCGCCCTACATCATCGCGCACCCGTCCGAGAAGAACATCCTCGAGTGGCACTATATCCTGACCGGCCCGCCCGACACGCCGTACGATGGCGGCCAGTACTGGGGCACCCTTATGTTTCCGCCAGACTATCCTTTCGCTCCACCCGCCATCCGCATGCACACACCGTCTGGTCGCTTCCAACCCAGCACTCGCCTTTGTCTCAGCATCTCCGACTTCCACCCTAAGAGCTTCAACCCCGCATGGGAGGTCAGCACTATCCTGACGGGACTGCTGAGTTTCATGACGAGCGAGGAGATGACAACCGGATCAGTGCGGGCGTCGGACGCGGAGCGCAAGTTGTTCGCGCAGCGTACACGGTGGTGGAACAGCACAGGCGGAGGCTCCAAGGCTCAGAACAACGGCTCTCGCGGTGCAGGCGCTATCAAAGCCGGTGATGGTGGCACGAAGTTCCGCGCTGAGTGGCCGGAGTTGGACGAAGAGAACCAGAAATGGATGAAAGAGAAGCGCATCAACCCGCAAACCGGCCTCCCTCTCAGCTCGTCATCACAACCGCATTGCTCGCCGGACATGGCGGGTCTGAGGAAGCGGGCGAATGGCAGCGCAACTACGGTTGGTGCTGTTGTTCAGCAAGGCCAGGTTGCGCGGGAAGTGGGCCAGAGCTGGCTGGGCCGCAACAAGTGGAGGATCGTTATCGGCACGCTCATATCATATATCATTGTTGCGCGGGTGCTGGGAGAGGGTTCTCTATCGACTGCTGCTTGACCACAGCAAGGTTTATTCTTATCAATCTAATACTGCATTTGGAGTTCAGGGATTGCATTGGGAAGGACGGACGCCATACTTGGGATCATGATGGCTCATTAACAGGGTAGTCTACTTGAACTTATGACAACACACCATTCATATCTTCAACGCCTCCCACTCTTCACCTTGTTCTTGCATACGTCCGTTATAGCTGCACAAAGCTCATAGTTTGACGTGATCAATCATTACAGCGAGCTTCATTTGTACTCAGCGCCCTCTCGCTGTATGACTATCGCCTCCAATGATTCATACGTTCGGTTCCTGCACTCTTTGTGTGTCAAATGGACGGTGGAGGTAGAGGAAGGCACGACCTACCAGTGAGAACCGACATCGACCAGGTCTATGTCCGCCATCTATCACTCGAACACGCGGTCGAAGCCATCGGTTTGCTGCGTGTGATCGTTGCAACCATTGGTTTCAATGTAATCACTATGCGTAGCTCAGCCGGGCAACACTAGTCCACCGCGAATGCGTTGGCAGATGCTCTCATTGCCGCATTGTCTAAGCTTCCGTAATGATCGTGAGATTGTCCCCCATCTGCTCGCTGCCCGCAAGTGTGCCGGTATACGCGGTGGTGAACTGTGTGACTCGCTTCTCGTGGACAACGCGTTCATGCCTGCACAGCTCCCAAGCTGACAGGAGTTCTTGACTCAGAGGCCTTTGTTGCCTCCAGGATCAGCTTGGGGGGAAGTGCTCCCACCGAATGTGCTGCGCTCGCTGCTGCTGTCCTAGCCGATCTAGAAGACAAGAAAAGGAAGCTATAGCTTTGCATTAGCGACCTCGCCATGGGGCCGAAAGGCTCCTCAAAGATGCAAAAGCACTTACTGCTGCACCAAGATAAGCAAGTTCGGTTATCATCAGGTCAGTACTGGAGGTGACATGGACCGGATGGCGACGTTGATGTCTACACGGATATGCTCGTCCTCTTGCATGTTATTCCATTCTTGTATTGACCCCCAATACCGCAGATGTCATAACTCTGTTAGTACTTTCCAACTTGTATGCAGCTGTTCAAGATAGCCGTGTGTCATCTCAGCCCCAGCGTGAACTTCCGCCACCATATTGTTTCGGCATCTAAATACCACGGCCTTGTACTCTCGATCAGTTGCTCGGGAGATGGCATCGTTCTGGCGTCCATATATTCGAGCGCGAGCACGAACACATCGCACGTAGTAAAGCTCGTTCGAGCGAAAGCGGCGCTGGTAGTGTGACGCCCCATCTGCACGAGGATGGGGAAAGCAGGATGTTCCGGAACGGAGGTGAGAAGTTCTCGGAATCAGGGGACGCCAATCGCCGATCCGGTGTGAAGCCAGACGCCTGAGACTGCGGATATCCTGTAGTTTTCGACGACTATGTCCCTCCTTGCGGTCATATAGAAAGGGGGTTAGGATCACCGTTCGCTGTTGAAAATCGCACGCCTGAGTCGGTATAAGTCTCTTTTTTGGGAAGTACGTGGATAAGGTCGACTGTGCTATTATCGTTGATACTTAGAAAGTGAGTCTCGGACAGTGTCGGTTGATGCGTTGGTAACGGGGATGGGAAGCAATTAGCCAGCGTTTTCAGTCCTGGGCACTTGTGCAATGGTGTTGAAGATGCACCAAGTCGTTCCGAGTGCTATTGATAGGACCGTGTGGCGAGTATAAGGTCGAGAGGACGAATGGAAGCTGGAGTGGCACTGTTTCTGCGTATTGAAAACGGCGTGCTTTGTGCAGTATAGGCGCGATGATGTACAGTACAACTTATAAGTTGCTTCCTTTTCGGACAAGATACTTGCGCTCAAGGGTCTTAGTACTCTGCTAGTTCAGCTGCCATCGTCAGCATGTGCCCGCCATGCAGGAGGCTTTGTGTTAGTTCATGCTTTGCGCCAATCGGCAGCCGCCGACCAGGAGAGAGCCGCTTTACGTGAGAATGGTTGACCCGCAGACAATGCGCCTTCTTTTCTCTCGTGCCGAAACTGCAATAGAAGGTATTCAAGGAGAGAGCGATAGTTGCGGGTTATTGGGGCGACTGGCTCGGGGTTGTTGGCTAGCTCGGATGCTACTGGCTCGCCTGGGATGACGTGCAGCGAATAGTAAACATAACACCGGGATGCTGCTTCCAGAGTGGGCTTGACGATGCTGGATAGAGATACATGAGGCGAAAGTGGTGGGGGCAACATGCAGGAGAAGGGGATGGCAGCACGAGGCTCAAACGCAGAACACGCGTGCAATGGACGATACTTTCACACCAGCTTGAACATCTTGGAAAGAGCCTATGGTTTTCTGTCATGGCAGTTGTGCAGTGCTGTAGTTCCCGAGAATGTTTGTCGACACCGCCTTACAGTGAAGGACGACTCCATGGATCACTGAAGGCTAATCAAATAGTTATGCAATTTGGACTAACCTTCGAGACTGCTGTAGTTAATGTTGAAGAAACTGCAATTCGTAAGCGACTACGTGGCTTTACTTTGGTGTTGCCGCCTCCTCAGCCATCGCTGCGTTGACAGCCAACGCGCGAAAGTGCCTGAAAAGTGACAAGTGTAGCGCAGCGCGTCATAAACCGGATGCCTATGCGTATGGTCGCTGGTAGCTTAAGTGCATGAAGAAAGCTCCGGTGAGTGCTTTGCGCATGGTAGTCCAAGGCAGTCTATCAACATCTAGAAGTATCGTGTGCAAGCCACGCTCACACAGCATCCGTCGTGCCAGTATCATGTGCCCGCCGTAATATATTGTAGATCTCCGATGCATTGCTTATCGTCAAGTGTTTTGGGCTCCACGACAGATGATGCTTCGACGCCTTTCATTTTCTTGCAGGGCGACCCATAGTTCTGATGTTGCAGCGAGGCCCTTCTCTTCTAATAACGACGCAACCAGCGACGCAAGAAAGTTCGTGTCCCGTTCACAGTGTTGGAAAGATTGGAGCAAGATAAGGTGTGAGGTACATGATGCCGTGTGCCCTGCAACAGCACTAAAGAAGGTGGTTTGGAATACAAATGCTTTTAGTATTCGTAGTAGAAGACGTTTCGGACCAGCCAGCGAGTCTTGTTAAGTGTACAGGCTTGCCAAGGCTCAGGTAGTTCTTGCCCACCTTTGGACAAGTCACTACGTGATCTCGGTTCGTCAACACCAAGTTCAGTCAATATCCTCCAGCATCCGCAGTGCCAGATGGGAGCAGTTGTTGCTCCCGATAATGTCGTTCCGCAACCCGAGGTCGTCCTCGCGCTATTGGTATGAGCCCAGTCTGGCTGTCGCCTTAACACGTCGCCATTACAATTGTGATTGGTTACACTCGTTCACTGAGTGTTGGCGTCCTGGGCAACCAATCTCTTTTTTGTTGTACCAGCACACGTCCCGCCTGTCGGGTGGCATCGATGTGGTAGGTGGAAAGCGCTCACCGGCTGAGTTGCCGGATATCGTACTCCACACGCCTGTTACCCGCGCTTCAGGTCTGAATCCTTCCTGGGCATTGACACTCGTGGACTGTCATTGGCGACCGGTAGGCTTTCTCATGAGCGATCGCTCCGAGACCCTTCGTACTGTGTATATCCTTACGAGGCATCCTGGTCGTATCCCTGAGCGGAACTAATGCTAGACGCCTTCCAGTTAGGCTTCCTCCGCACCGTTGCAGTGGCGCCGGTACCGTCAGACGTCGATCGCACTCAACCCCAACCTTCGACCACTTGAACGTGTGACACAACATAAGGGCCCTTCAGCTCGTGCGCAGGAGCACATCAGCTCTACTTTTGAAGATGTCAACAATAGAATAATGCGCTCGTCGGGAAAAGAGACTCCAACTTAGTCGCCAGGGTAGCGGATGCAGCTATGCAAAGGATCAGGAAACCGGTTGGCGCGCCGATCAGGCTCAGGCTGTGCCATTCTGCTGCATGGCACCCGTCGCAGCCTGCATTCCTGTCTGCCGTCTCCGCGTGGCCCAAGCGAAGGCCTCATATCGTTCCCTCGTTATGTCGAATTGAAGTCATGACCACCTGCTTCTATCATCTTCAGACATATCACAACCGCGTTTGACATGTTCGACGAGCTACGAGCTACGAGGGAACAGAAGTTTTACTCGCTTCCACAACATGACCAGATCCCAAGGTTAGGCGTCCGGTGGGACGGGCGAGACATGTGTAGACAAGCACTGCTCTAGGTGGAAGGTGCGATGCTCAGGCCACTCGATTGGTGGCAGTGGCTGCAGCGTATTAACGAACGAGCAGGGGCCCCTGAATTTCCCCAGACATTGGCACCGCATTACACCTCCGCTTCTATACGAATGCTTGTTTGCGGGGTGAGTCGTAGCAGGATCTGGTGACCCTCGCGGAACGCCAACCAGCGTCGACGCCGTCCTGCGTTTGCAGGTGAATGGACTTCCTTGGCACACGCAGGAGCGCGCAGGCCACCCATCACGCGGTTGAACCAAACGCCCAACCATAAAGTCCTTGCCCGCCCTGCAGCTCCTTCTGCTTCTCTTACGACCCGTCGACCCACTTCTAACCAATTGGCAAGATGAAGGTAAGCTCAACCAGTCTCACCCTCCATCAACATGCTATGCTAATTCTCGATAGACGTTCTACAATACTTACGCCATTTGCTCGTTCGCCGCCATCGGCGGTGGGCTGTACGTAGCTCCTGGATGCAGTAGTCATGTCTTCCACATGGTTACCGTAACCTTCCTCACCTTTCAGACGTACGCTGACTTCGCGCAAACAGTTTCGGCTTCGATATCTCCTCCATGTCGGGCGTTCTGGGCACGAATGGCTACAAGAACTACTTCGGCAACCGTAAGTGAGGCGCATAAACAAACCATATCATCAAACTGAACATCGCAGCTGCCGGTTATCATCAAGGTGGTATCACCGCGTCGATGCCCGCGGGCTCTTTGGTTGGCTCACTGGCGTCCTCATTCATCGCCGATAAACTCTCTCGTCGTACTGCCATTCAGGTCGCCGCCTTGATCTGGATTATCGGCTCCATCTTCCAAACTGCAGCCAACGGCGTAGCTCTTCTCTGCTTTGGCCGCGTGGTTTCGGGTATTTCAATTGGTATCGCCTCAGCGATCGTTCCCGTGTACCAGTCAGAGATTGCTCGCAAAGAAATCCGCGGTCGCGTGGTCTCCCTACAACAATGGGCCATCACCTGGTAAGTGCAGACCCTTACGTTACTAGCTCCGTTCGCGAACCATGGAATCATTTCTCACGCTCGCTAGGGGTATCTTGATCCAATACTTCATTCAATACGGTGCCTCATTCGTCGATGGAGGTCCAGAGCACCCTGACCAGGGCACATCGGCCTTTCGCATCCCGTGGGGCATCCAGATGGTCCCTGGATTCATTCTACTCGTCGGCATGTTCTTCTTCCCCTACTCCCCGCGTTGGCTGGCGTCGAAGGATCGTTGGGAGGAGGCTGTTCAGGTCCTGGCTCACCTCCACGGCGGTGGTGACGTGAACCACCCCAAGGTCCTGGCCGAATACAAGGAAATCGAAGAGGCCCTTGCCTTCGAGCGTGAGCAGGCCGAGACATCATTCGGCGCCCTAGTCAAACCGCGCATCCTCAAGCGTGTCATTCTCGGCATGAGCATTCAGATGTGGAGTCAGCTGTGCGGCATGAACATCATGTAAGTACTCCCCGCGATTTTGACGTGTCAATGACTTATATACCACACTTAGGATGTACTACATCGTCTACATCATGAAGGGAGCCAACATCGCGGATCCACTGCTCACCTCTTCCATCCAGTACATCATCAACGTGGCTATGACCCTGCCAGCCATTCTGTACCTCGATAAGTTCGGCCGTCGTCCAGCACTGTTGATAGGTTCTTTCCTGATGATGTCTTGGCTCTTCATCTCAGGTGCGCTCCAGGCGGCGTACGGAGAGCCCTGGGCCGATCCCGACAAGAACACTTCTTGGCGCATCGTCGACCACAAGAGCGTTTCACAAGGCATCGTCGCTTGCTCGTACCTTTTCGTCGCCAGCTTCGCCACCACCTGGGGTCCAACCTCATGGACGTACCCAAGTGAGATCTTCCCTGCTAAGGTAAGGGCTAAGGCTGTCTCTCTTGCTACAGCCTCCAACTGGCTCTGGAACTGCATTCTCGCGTTCGGCGTGCCCCCGCTTCTATGGAGCATCAACTGGAAGATGTACATGATCTTCGCTACGTTCAACGGCCTTGCGTTCATCCATGTAAGTTGTTCCCTTCGGTAAGGATCGCATATTGGTACTGACTCACTGTGTAGATGTTTCTCACTGCTCCGGAGACCAAGGGCAAGACGCTCGAGGAGATGGACGAGGTGTTCGACAATGGCATACCAGCCTGGAAGACAAAGGGCGGTAGCTCGCGTCTCGACCAACTGCAACGTGACATCGAGAAAGGCGAGCTCAAGATCACGACTGCCGCGCACCCTACCAACACGCACATGGCCGAGCCGAGGACGACGACCGCTTGATTGCTAAGTTGACGGGTGCTGGGGGAACGGCGCTACGAGTCGTCAAGTGTTGGGAGTTAACTGGGAACGGCAGAGCTCCAGAATGGCATGGTACTATAATCTCACGGCATGTCTTTTTTGGTCGTGCTACTGTACGAAATCATGGAAACCCTCGAATATAACAGTGCAGAGAATAATGCACGTCACAATTGCCAATGTTTCATCACATTGCCCACTTCTGTGACCAACGCCCCTGAGACAAAGCTTCACTCCTTCGTTGCACATGCTTATTTATTCGTTTCTTTTCTCTGCAGCTATGCTAACTAAATATGCACATGAAACATATACAGAGACAGTGTGGAAGCTGCTCTTCGTAGTCAATGCTTCCAAGGATAATCATACCTCAATATCCCATGAGCTGACGTATACAGGACGTCTATAGTTGCCTGTTATCCCGCCGTCGGTCTCTGGTGCTCATCTCCCACATGAATGCCTCCGTAATGCTGACATTACTTCAGCAATGAAATGCTGTGCAAGACGATCAATTCCACGACCAGTATGCCTCTTAGTTCGGCTTATCAGCTCCAGCTCCAGCTCCAGGTGCAGGAACGTCTGCGGCAGCGACCGCAGCACTAGGCTCAACCCCAAGGCCAGGTTCACCAGCACCAGCTCCCCCTGCCACAGGCGCCGCTGTCTCAGGCTCGGCGTCGGTCTTGTTCGGCGTCACTGGAGGCACCTGCTCGACCACTTCATCGAACAAGCCATCCTCGGGTGTTTGTCCCCTCCCCACAGCATTCAATATCCGACCCGCACGCCTCAGCTCGTCCCGTATAGCCACAATACCATCATGTGTAACCGTGCGCGCGACATTGTGATCTAACTCAAACGGATCCTCGATGGAGAACAAATAACGCTGCCTCACCTCCTTCCCATTCGAAATCGTGGTCGTCGCCTTCGTCCAGCCCTTCTCAGTCTTCTGGCGTATACCACCGGGTGTCCTGAGACTGAGAACTTCAGTCGCCCAGAAAAAGCACCACTGCTTCTGGCCGTAGGCGTTGGGCTGCGGGATGGAAGCGTAGTACTGGAAGAACCCACGCAGGAGCTCGCCGATGGACTGCGTGTTGCGGGTGAGTTGGCCGGTGTTGGCGAGGTGCGCGATGGTAGTTTCGTCACGCCAGAAACGCACGGCGTAGCCGCCGACGGTGGTCTCGTGGAGGAGGTTTAGTATGTCTTCGGCTTTGGCTGTAGTTGGGCGCCAGCTTATTTGGAGGTTTGGGCAGACGGGTGGGGAAGCCATGTTTACGAGGTAGTGGAGGACCATGAGTACCCATCCGTACGAGGACAGGGTGCCAGAGTAGGCGCTGTTAATCTTGCGGCGCTTGGCCCATGCTTTAACGAAGAGGACCATGGGGCGTACGCGTGGGTCTGCAAGTGAGTAACAACGTAGTAGCTCTGTGTTATGGATTGCAAGCGGGTTCTCGAAGTTTATGTCGCATTGGATTCCAACCCCCTGCTTTGGGAAGTCGAGTGGACCAAGTTTCTTCTCTCGCAGCCACTTTCTGGGGGCGCGGGGATGACGGTCTTTCGAGGCTTCAGCGGTGTCTCCAGTTTCTTTAGGACCATTGTTTTCTTTGGGGATGTCGGTTGCTGGTGACTTCACTACTTCCGCCTTGCTATTATCAGCGTGATCAACGACTTTCACGCTCGTCGGTGTCCGCGCGGCGCCTTTGACAGCCTTTGCCTCCGCGAGCGTGGGGAAATCTTGCGAGTCGTTGACTTGTGGAGACTTCACCTGTCCATGAGGCTGGGTCGGATTCTGGGAGGCGGCACCAGAAGCAGCAGATGGCGGATACTGTTCTTCCTCCGGCAGTTGGTCCCATTTATGACGTTCTTCAAAGAGAGCATTGTATAACTCGTCGGTAGGTTTCTGGCATACTTTTATGATAGGCACGCGTGTCCTAGTCAGCAGACGCCCTCCCATCTTCGCGTCGAGAATGGCGCGTTCCAACAAGCGCGGAATGTTCCGGTCGATGCCCGCTTCGAGCGATTTCGAACGGTCTTTCCACTCTGGAACTATAGCAAGATCCATATCTGACCCCGGAGTGGCAAATCCAGATGCTAAACTGCCAAACGGGACTAGTTTGATGGAAGCAATATCACCAGTGTACTTGTCGGCGAAGTCCTTGTGACAGACCGCTTCCAGTTGCTGCCTGAATGCTTCCTTCTCTTCGAACTCTTGTTTCGTCATCTCTGCTTTCGGTATCTCCTGGGAAGCTAGATTGTCTAGGTATTTGACCTGGAGAGTGGGATCTAAGACCTGGCGCGGTTGGAAGCTTGCGTTCAATGTATTGGCGTACGGACTCCTCATGCCTCGACCACGATACGGCTGATGTCCGGGAGGGGCAAATGGTCGGGAGGGCACGGTAGACTGCGCAATGTTTGAGACATTTCTATTCGGATCGTACGGTCGTTGAAGAAGCTGAGGCCCATTACCTACAAGCATATGATCCCGGTGAGGCGGTTGCGGCGCCATGTTCTGCTCGGGAGGTGCAGCAGGGAATTCTCGATGTCGATGCTCGCTTTCAACCCAATGATTCGATCTTCCACGATGTGAGTACGGCCGTCCGCGCCCTCTTCCTCGGCCTCGTGTCCTTGGCTGTTGCTGATGGGAATTCGACATTTGGCCGGTTGCTGAGTCCGAATGGCTGCCGATGGTGACGTTGGTGAGGATCATGTTGCGCAGCTGGTCCTCCAAACTCCCTTGCGCCTGCTGTTCTGCCATGTTGAGAAGTTGTGATGATTCTCAACCTGCACTATAGTAAAGAGCAACTAAACTGTTCGACATAAACCCAGATTAGGCCCTAGGAAGACGGTAATGTACGACGGCACGTGCGCACCAGGCCAATTGGATGACCACGAATGCGCTGCGACTTTCTCGGCTCATGCTGTGTTTGTGGGCACGCGACGCAGGTGCCAAAGGTGAATTACAGGGTCTGGCTAGCACACGGACCCCTGGACGCCCGCCGCGCGCTATTACTCTTGGCATACGGGCCCCGACGTCGTTCGCATGGTAAGTAACAAAGCTGCGGCCTCTTTCTTTATCACTCCACCAAACACCTTTATTCTTCCACCCACAGACACCAACACGTCTGAGACACTCCGGATAGACACACACACTCGTTCAGAACGACGATCCGCGCGATGATCGGAGGACCACCCCCTCCCACGAACGCTGTGCCCGCCGCACCAGCGCCAGCTCCCGTTGCGAAACGCCGCCGGCCGCGTCCAGCAGCGAGCGTGCTGCGCGCTCCCCAGCGGCCGCTCAAGAACGTCTCACGCCCGGTCACTTCGCTTACTCAACTGAACCAGCGCGATGCTCCCAACACGCCCATTAGTATTGAGCAGCTCCGCAATGAGTTCATCGACGCTGGTGCCTCGTCGTATCCGCTGGTTGTTACGAGAAAAGATCTCAAAGAGCTGCGCCATCACGTCATGAGGCTGCAGGCCAAGGACCGCGTCAACATCCAGAGTGAGCAGCAGTTCACGCCGCCCGTCCGCCTCCATCGTCGTGACCAACGTGCGCCACCCGGTGGCAAGGGCGCAGAGGATGAAGAGAAAGAGGAAGACGTAGAGGAGGCCAGGGAGCGCGAACGCCAGGAAGAGGAGAAGGAGGCACGGCGACTCAAGCGCGAGGGCATCCAGGCCCAAATCGCGCCCACCGGAACCACCAAGGGGAAACCCTTTGGCAAGAAGACGGAGCAAAAGTACCGCCCGGATGACACGCCCGAGGCGAAGAAGCGCCAGCTGCTGCGATACGAGGAGACTTTACCTTGGCATCTAGAAGACGATGACAACAAGCAGACCTGGGTAGGACTGTATGAGTCGGAGATGTCTGAAAAGCATGTCATGCTCACAGTGGAGAATGGGCCAGATCAACTTCCAGTCATTCAACTCGCACCCTTGGAGCGCTGGTACCGTTTCAATGCCAAAACCAAGGCCAAGTCGACCGAGGACTCCGATCTCTTGAAAGCGAAGAAGGACTCATACTTCGAAGCGCGCGAGAGGAAGAAATTCAAAGAAGAGATGGAGAAAGATAAGGTATCACGCGCACGGCAAATTCGTACGAGGGTAGGAGGGGGAGACGACGATGAGGGCAGGATCAAACGCCTCGATGATGACGATATGCCTAGAGTCAAGCGTGAGGCAGACGCCGACGACATTGACTTTAACATTGAGGAGGACTTTGCCGACGACGAAGAGGGCCTGAACGGTCTCTTTGATGGCGATGATGAAACTGTCAAGGAGGCGCAAGAGAAGCTCAAGCGTGATCAGCTCGGGGCTGCTGCTTTTGATCTCCGGGATGAGCGACAGATCTGGGCACAAGAAGAACGTGAGAAGAAGGAGGAAGAGGAGAAGTCTCTCGAGGCAGAAATCAGAAAATCCCTTGTCAAGCGTGAGAAGAACTATGACTACGCAGGCAGCGACTCCGAATACAGCGAGACAGACTCGGAGACGGAGCGGCAGAGAGTCAAAGAGGAAGAGGAGAAGAAGGCTGCTGAGCAAACTGGCAAGGCTCCTGAGGGCGACAAGACCGTCTCTGGTGCCTCCACCAAGGGTGGCTCGACCCCCGCGCCCCGTTCTACCGACATCAACAAGAAGAAGCGGCCCGCGCCGGGCTCCCCGAACCTGTCTGAAGCCAGCGGCAATGAATCTGCGCGTAAGAAGCACAAGAAGAAGCACGAGAAGAACGCAGACGGTTCGCGCAAGGCTATACCCTTGCGTACAGGAGCTGCGTCTGGTAGCGACAGTGAGATGACAGATGCTGGCAAGCCGAAGAAGCACAAGCTCAAGGTCCGCCTCGGCGGTACCCCTGGTGCCAGCCCCTCAGCCAGCCGTGCGGGAAGTCCAGCGGCGCAGGTCAATGGGAGCCGTGCTGGCAGTCCGGCGGCTCCCGGTGGCGCACCGGTCACTCCTCGTACGTTTGATCTATTAATAATGCTTCTCAAGTTGAACAGTCTGCTAATTACATACCTTACAGAGAGCCGCCTTCCGTCTGCAAGCGAGATCTACAATGCCCTTCCACCCGAAGGCATGCCGATCCAGACCCTCATCAACAAATTCCGGGAACGTGTGGACAAGAGCAACATGAACGTGTTTATTAAACTGGTCAGAGCCGTCGCCTCATATGACAAAGGTCGTGGTTGGCTGAGCCCGCTACCGGAACTGCCATCGGACGAGCAAATCGCTGCTCAGACGAAGCCCAAGCCTGCTGTGAAAGCAGCGAGTCCGCCAGCCTAGAGTATTTCAATGAGTATTGAAGCGTTGCTTTACAGAACTTTCGGATACGGTATTTGATTGCATGGGATACGGCGTCCTATTAGTGGTGGTATTTCCATTGGCGAGGCGTTCTTAGAGAGTTGGGCTGCTTGGCTGAAGCTTCGTAGGCACATCGTATTCGGCTTGGGCCGTTGTCTTTGCCTTGTCTCAGGTGATTTGCTTTTTACAGTACAACCGATTTGAGACAAAACATACCAATTTGCAGCTCAATTCAGGAATTCTAATGACCATTCTAGGTGCATATTTCAGACACGCAAAAGCTACCATGAATAGATATATACCCTTCCCATTGTGTACGCTTGTATACCAATCACAACAGCACTACACGTTCGACTGCTTAAAGAAATCCTCCAGACTCGTTCTCTCCACTTTTGGAAACAGATTTTCATCCGTCAGCACCCACCGCCCATTGATCGTGAACAGTTGATAGAACGCCCCGATATATCCCCAAAAACCCGCCGGGGTACCCCTCGCCCTATCTGCCAACGCCTTTTCCTCCAGATCCTCCACGGTACCCATATTCTTCAAGCTGATCGACTTGCCATGGACCTTCTCGTACACCTCCGCAATCTCCTTCACGCTATGCTCGCCGGACCAAGCACTGAAGAACCCTCCGTTTCCGGACTGTGCTTCTTCTGACATGATAAGCTCGATGCTAAACTTCGCAGCATCATGCTCAGTCGTCCACTGATACTTCTCCTCCCCCGTCCCATAATACTCCATACACTTCCTCTCGGGATCAAATACGCCCCCGCTCTTGGGACTGAAATCCGCGCGTCCTTCCACGCTAAACAGGACCTCCGTGAGCACGCCAGAGAGCATGTAAATCGGCTTTATTGGGGAGGTTAGCTCCGCAATGCGCTGGAAGGCTACAAACGGGTCGTAGCTTTCATGTTCAAGGAAGCGTGTTTTGCGGAAGTCGAACGTCCAGGTTGAGGTGTGGAAGACACGGACGCCTGCGCGCTCGGCAGCGCGGAGGATGAGAAGATGGCCGTCGACTTGGAGTTCGGGGGTTCCCATGTAGGCGACGATGATGGCGTCAACGCCCTTCACGGCGGTGTCCAAAGCGGGGATGTCGTAGTAGTTCCTGCTTTGGACGAAGGACTCGAGCTTGATGCTGGGATCGAGCTTGTCGGGTGAGCGACCGAGACCGCGGACGGTGAGACCTTTGGCGAGGGCCTCACGGGCGAGGTGTTGGCCGATGTGGCCAGTGATGCCGGCGATGAGGAGGAGCATTTTGGTGGTTTTGGTGGTGAATTGGTTTCAGAGGTTTGATAACACTTGAGGACTTCAAGAGCTGGGTATGCAGATAATGGTTTTCATCTTCATTGTTTCGTCATTTTTGTACTCTGGCTCCTCGCTCTTTCGGCCTTGCCTGACATCTGCTTTACGGGTGTCTTCCTAAGCCGAACCATGTCGATGTCTTCTGGACAACATTGGTAATGAGGATCTAATTTTGAGCTCCATCAACTAAATATCAAACGGAAAGTATTTGTGGGATCGCATTGGTAGGAGCGATGTACATGGGAGCTTTGTAAGGTGGGAGCGAAGGAGGTGTTAGTGGCGGAGGCTATGGAGTGAATTTGATTGGATGGTGTTGGCCCCACTTCGCTGGATAACATCGACTTGTCGAACATTCGACTTCGTCCGCTACATGATATTCTGTAATAGTGCGAATTTCGATTGTATCTCGAGCGATCAACAGGTGACAAGTTGCAACTCCAGGTGCCGACAGGATGTTTTCGAAAACCTTAGGTAGCTTCGAGCAAACCTCACTTCCGGGCCCCTTACGAAACGAACTGATTTAGACTCAGTCAAATGAGTTTCAACCGTGCCGGTCCATATGGACGGAGCGTCGGTATTTTCTGGGTTTCTCCCCAAGAGCAATTGTTGTGAAGCTGCTTCATGCTCCCAATATTATCTCACAGGCCCGACCTCTGAATTGCTGAAGCACTTGGATTAATCGAGAGCTTTCCGCATGAGCTCTAGGTAGGGTTACTTAGCCCTCGAGTATTACGTCCCTTCTCAGTGCCACAGTGGGAAGCCGCCACATGTGTAATGAACAAGCTCGTCTTGAGTCAGAGCAAGCTCTGTTTTCCTAGAATCGTCGACCGGTACGGAGCACAGCACCACGATAATTGTTTTCTCGATTCTTATCGGGGATGTATGCATTCCTTTCGCATCATGCCTTTGAACCGGAGAGGAGTACATGGATGCCAAACGGCGTACTTTCCAGGGTCTAGGACACTTCTTCTGCACTGGTGTCAATTCTAGACCACAATTCTAATCGCTTTTCCAATTCACTTCCTGTATCGTGCCGTGAAAAGATTGAGCCTGGAGAAAGAGGCAGTACCTATACCTCTGAGATTCACGGTCTATATAGCATGACAACCTTCCCCAGATCAAATATCTTAAGTACAACGTCTCCTCCTGTGTCTACCGCCATGTCCCCTTCAAAAACATAAACTTCTCGACACCACCTCTCGAGCTATGCTCATAATCAAAAGCCTTCACCAAACCCACAAGATGGCTCATCGCCGCCAACACAACCAGGACATGAAAGATCTGATGACTAGATCCCCAAATATCAAACGCACCGGGCCGAAGCCGTTCTGGGAACCTCGCTGCATAGATTCCCGCTCCAAGGATATACAGTAAGCCCTGTAAAAGAACCCAATCGAGGCCAATCGTTTGACGCAGTTGGGATAAGCCGTATAGACGCTGGGCGTGCAAGACGGGAAACACAGCCGACAAGCCCATTAGCACGAACATGAGCGCGCGGAAGGGGCGCAGAGCAGGAGTACGGAATTTGGGATGGACGGAGACGATGGATGTCCCTGCTGCTAGGGTCGTAATCTTTACCCAACTTAGCCCTCAGTCCCAACATCGTTCATGAGTGAGACTTACCATAGCAGCATACGTCTTCATCAACTGCGGCTCGCTTTGGAAACCGTAATACAAGACTGGAATGAAGCTGCCCCATATCAAAAACACGATTCCTAGGTAATCCAACTTGTTACCCCAGACGGCGACTTCGTGGCTGTGGTTCGAGATGGTGTGGTATGTGGCGCTCATACCCAAGCATGCTACGGCGCCGAGAAAGTAACAAGAGAAGACCATTACATCTTCCCGGGTAGCGGAATCGTAGCGTGGACCGAGAGTGCGATAGATTACGGCAGATCCAAAGAGTGCTAGGATTGCTCCAATGAGGTGCGACCAGATATTGACGGTTTCGTTGTGGATGGACCTGACTGATGCGAATGACTTGCTGTAAGAGTTTGTCGCCGGTCGGTAGCCGGATATGATGTAGTGATTGTCTTGTTGCCAGGCGGGAAGTTCATTCCATAATACCGTCAATTTCTCTTCAAGTTTCTGTTCCAACTTTTGTTCGCCTTTGGCGATTGTCTTAGCGGTATCTTTTGCAGTGTCCATGATGAGATAGCGGCGAACGATGTTCCGATGTAAAAATGAGGAAAAGAACAGGGCGTGGCAATATGTCTAGTGAGTGTTGTGGAATACTGCCTTTCTATGGATGATTGGGAAAGGTTGAGGAACAGGTAACGCGACGTGGATGTTGAGAGAAGATATTCTACGCTATACCGCATGTGGTGTCCGTTGCGAGGTTTAGGAGCGAAAACAAGACCTTGATCGACTTTGCGGCATGGCAAATGGCGCTGCAAATCCAATAGAAAGGTGAATGGCATGTGCTCTGCCGAGCGAGTTCGATGCCGCGGTTGCAGGTGGACATGTAGTTCCGCTTGTGCCCCTCCATCTCCGAGCCATCGCCGCGTAGGACATCACCTCTTTCCAACATGTCGCGGGTTGACTTCGACTGCGTTCGTCATGGTTTAGTGCTAGCAGGTACTTTCCTTGTTAACAAAGGCCACAATGCTCCTTCCGTATCAGCGTTTCTCTTTGCGCTTATAAACGCACATTGAGTGAGCTGCGTTATCACCACTTAACCCTACCTGTACGACTAACCCAGCCCAAGCATGATGACCTCGAGGACCAACGACCAGCTGCGCCCGACGAGCCGTCGTGGTGCGTCAGGCGCATGGCGTCGCGGCGACCGCCTCAAACCCGCACCTGCAGATACGCTCGAGCTGTACGGACTGCCTTCTAAGGGCGAGACGAGGCATGCCATCCCTCCTTATGCCAAATTCACCATTAACGCGAGCGCCTCAGGCTGAACGACTTTCGCACGCAAGAGTTCTACTTCTCCAAGCTAATCGAGCGCTACATGCGCCTCTGTGCCATCAACCAAAAGCAGCTCTCCACCCTCTTCGCCTCCATAACTCTCAACGACGCCCCCTCCACCAACGCCCTCGGTCTTCCTCTTCCCACCGCCGCCTCAGCTCCACCAGACACCCTCCCCACCTCCCCTCCAAACTTCAACAGCCCTCCTATAAATGACCTCGCAACGGTGCTCAGTGCCTTCCGTAAACTCCGCGAGGCGATCATTGCTTCCGGCCGCAAAGACGCCTTCGCGCGCCGCGCATACTTCTTCGGCATTCACGCCGCCATCCTCTGCAAAGACTGGGCTTCGTATCTGCCAGCCCTGACATACCTCCTCACCGTCCTGCACGCCGCAACACCGCTTTCCCCGCCCGATCTGAAAGAGTACGTAGGCCTGCTTGTCCTCGATCAAGCGTGTCGGCAAGGCGACATTGCCTTGGCACACGAAACGCGGCTTAGATACGCGTACAAAGACCGGAGGGTAGAGCTGGTGCTGAAGGCGCTGGTTGCGGATAATTGGGTCGTTTTTTGGAAGATGAAGAAGGCGGTTGATGGGTATCAGAGGAGTGTTATGGAGTTTGCGGAGCAGGGGGTCAGGTTGCATGCTTTGAAGTGTTTGGGGAGGGGATATTTGAGTGCGGATAAGAGATTTGTGGAGAGGAGTGTGGAGAGGGCATGGGCGGAGTTGGTGAAGGATGGGGTAGGGTGGGAGTTGACGGAGGAGGATACGGTTGTTATCAAGAAGCCCAAGGGAAAATAAGGCCATGCGAGAGAAGTTGTGGATTTAAAATGCGGAATGATGGAGCTGTGAATTGCGTCAGGCTAGGTGCTGCTTCCGAGGATGAACAGTCGCAGACCAGGCCTGTCGATCAGATAACTTGGTATCTCTCCCATCCGCTCTGCTGTAGCTGGATTCGCTGACGCAGAGACAGCTCCACGAATAGTATACATCGCGACGAGATAGATGGGAAATGGGTATCATTATACGCTCATGAATGCGTCCCAGCTATTCATCATCATCTTCATCCTCCTCAACCTCTCCATCCTCATCATGCCAGACATCGTCATCCATGTCATACTCGTCAACATCTTCCATCTCTTCATCCTCATCCACTTCGTCTTCGCCCTTCTCACCCCTCTCCTTCCTCTTCTTTTCGATGTTCTCCCTTTGGATCCTCCTTCGCTCTGCCTTCTCCTTATTGCGCTTCTCCCACAGAACATCTAATTCCTTTTGCTCTTCTTTAGTCTTTGTGACAAACTCGTGCCACATGACCTTCCCACCAGCAACATCCTCCTCCACCTTTGTCAGCCTCAACTTCAGCCTCGGACCAATTTCGACAAGCTTAACAGCGCGCTTCTCGACCCTCGGCCCGCTCGCTTTCGACTTTGATGCTCCTTCGCCCAACTTCAGGCGCTCACGCTCCTTCTTCGACATGACCTTTGTCCGTACCGGCGCGGTGACCTCGACCTCAGCGTCCGTATCAGCTTCCGTATCGCTAGCAGATGTGTACCCTGCGGCGGATGGATCCAGCATATAATCTGCTACGTCCTCGAGCTTTCCCAGATTTGGCAGTCCCCGGCCCTTCTTCTCCCGACTCTTAATGAGCTTCTCTGCAGCGTGTAACCTCCGTATTGCTTTCGGTACCCCAGTTATTTTGGTTGTAATAGCATAATGTCTTACGCTAACCGTAATTGTTCCATTGTCATTCTCCTTCGGCGGCTCGCGGTTGAGAAGTAATACCCGTTTAATCGTGTGTAAAGGCGTAGTATGCGGTTGAATAGGCGGAAACAGGCCCTGGAACATATCTGTGACTAGTTTCTCGAGATGTTTTGGCGGTGCTGCCTCGCCCAACTTATCGCGATCGGCGTCTGAAGTGAGGAAGTTGTTCATTACTAGGAGGGGAGCGACGTTGTAAGCATTCGCGTCGGCGCGGTAGTGCTTGACGCTCTTCATGATGTCTTTCGACAGCGAGTATTTCTCGACGCGGAAGTGGAGGGTGGGACCGTGGGGTGTCTTTGCGAGGCGCATGTTTGTGTTCCCAGACTCGGAGCGCGAGAAGAGGAGGAGGTGGGTTACGCCGAGAGGGCCGGCCATGGTGGTGTAGTCTCGGAGTTTGTTCGCTCTCCGTTCCTACATTTGGTCAATTGCTGCTCAAGGCGTAAGCTGGATGGTAGGAATGCGAACGAACCTTTAATCGCACTGCGGTGTCTGGCTGCATGACTTGTCGTACGTCCTGAACCAATTGCGTGACGCTGGATCCGACTTCGCCGGCACCTATCCGAATAACCATGCTTTTAGGGTTGCCCTCCTTTGGCTTTTGCACGGCTTGCTTGTCCGCGACGGACTGCTTCCGGCGGCCGCTGGTTCCTCGCGCCATGACGGAGAAGTATAGCAGGTCCGAAGAGTGTGAGTCTCAGAGTTCGCTAATTAGAACAACTGAGTAAGACCTCGCTCCCGGTAGGTCGATGTGTTTGCTTGACCGTTTTTGGAGTGCGGTGAAAGGTTGCGACTACCCCAAAATTTCTCGAAATCTTGGCGCGCGTTGAGCTTATCGATAGGGAAATTTGTCTCAACGAGTCGTCCGCCCGCCCATCGACGCTTGCACAGCAACACGACAATATGCCTGCAATTAAAAGAAGAAAGCTCGATGCGCCCACGAATGCTGCGGGGCCTTATGCACAGAAATCCAAAGTTTCCAAGCACTCCGAACGACCTTCCAAAACCACCCCGAAGCCCGCCGAGCGCAAAGTCCCAGAACCCGCGCCTGAATCGAGTGAAGATGACGTGGTAGACGGTGAAGAGGAGGTAGACGAAGAGGAAGAGAGCACACCAGCCGATGTAGGAGAAACTTCAAAAAAGACTTTTGCAGACCTCGGCGTACGAGAGGAGCTTTGCGAAGCCTGCGCCAACCTCAAATTTACGCACCCGACGCCCATTCAGGAACAATCGATACCGCTGGCACTTGAAGGACGCGATGTAATTGGGTTGGCGGAGACAGGATCTGGAAAGACAGCCGCATTTGTACTACCTATCCTCCAGTCGCTCATGGAGAAACCACAAGCTCTGTTCGGACTCGTGCTTGCGCCAACGCGAGAGCTGGCGTATCAGATCTCACAGCAGGTCGAGGCGCTTGGAAGCATCATTAATGTCAAATGTGCTACGCTCGTGGGCGGGATGGACATGGTCGCACAGGCTATCGCGCTCAGTAAGCGGCCGCATATTGTGGTTGCCACGCCGGGACGATTACTGGATCATCTGGAGAACACCAAGGGCTTCTCATTGAAGCACTTGAAGTACCTAGTCATGGATGAGGCCGACCGGCTCCTCGATCTCGATTTTGGTCCCATCCTCGATAAAATCCTAAAGGTACTTCCACGAGAGGGGCGCCATACCTACCTCTTCTCGGCCACCATGTCCACCAAAGTAGAGAACCTCCAGCGCGCCGCTCTCCATAACCCCGTCCGCGTCAGCATCTCTTCCAGCTCCCACCAAGTTGTATCCACCCTGATGCAGAGATACATCTTCCTCCCCCACAAACACAAAGACCTCTACTTAATCCACATTCTTAACGACGCTATCGGCCACCCAACCATCATCTTCACGCGCACAGTGAACGAAACACAACGGATAGCCATCCTCCTCCGCACCCTCGGCTTCGGCGCCATTCCCCTTCATGGCCAGCTAAGCCAGTCAAGTCGTCTAGGTGCCCTTCAGAAGTTCAAGTCGAGATCCCGCGATATCCTTGTTGCGACTGACGTCGCTGCCCGCGGTCTGGACATTCCCTCTGTCGACCTTGTTATCAATCTTGATCTACCGCCCGATAGCAAGACCTACGTGCACCGCGTCGGGCGCACAGCCCGTGCTGGTAAGAGTGGTAAAGCCATCTCTTTCGTCACGCAGTACGATGTGGAGATATGGCTGCGGACGGAGACGGCGCTGGGGACGAAGATCGAGGAGGAGGTTGTGCACAAGGACGAGGCTATGGTGCTGGCTGAACGAGTGGGTGAAGCGCAGAGGGTAGCTGTCAAGGAGATGAAGGAGATTCACGACAAACGTGGGAGGCGAGGCGGTGCAGGTGGGTTCAAGGGAAAGAGGGGCAGAGACGGGATGGACCAGGAGGAGGGTTAGGTTGCTTGTCCAGCCTACTTCATTTCGGGCTTCTTCGTGGGCTTTAGGCACTGTATGCTTGAGGAGTTAAGGGATTGATTCTGTGACCAGCGAGTCGTGCAGAGGAGAGTTTTGTTGATACCAGTGATTCCACAAGAATAAAATACAATATACTTCGGTACTGTCAAAGAAAAGGTAGTATTCGGGGGGATTTATACCGCGATCAATCACTTACATGCGTGAATAGATATCGAGAAGAGGATCAGACTGCTGTTGAACGTCAGAGAGCATTTAGAAATACACATGGGCTCATTTCAGCAAGCTCCTCGTGTGACACTTTGTGGCTCGATACACAAGAAGAGCATTCGCTGTGCGTGAGGTCAAGTTACCCTAGGATACATTGTCCGATCCCGAGTTTACCTTGGGTACAAACGTAACGTACCCAGAGACGCATCACCACTATGCCATACAATTTCCGTAAGAAGCATTGTAGAATACTGTTTATTCATGTTCATCCTCGTCCGGCGTCGGCGAGTTCGAGAAGACTGGCATATCCCTCCAGTTCGGAGGCATCATCTCCGCCAAGAGCCCCCTCATATGGCCTTCATTCATCTCGCTCAGCTCACTACTCCCATCACCGTCATCCGCCCCGGTCTCCTCATGATCGCTCGGATCGATAGTCTCATCCTCATGCCAGAACCTCACCCTTTTCGTCCGCTTCAAACCGCCAGGCCTGAACTGCGAATTCACGCGCGGATTGCCGACTTGCTAAGCCCTTCCAGATTGAACGCCCTCCATCGCGTCAGCGAGGACGCCATCGGCGCCCATGCCAGAACCATCTCCCTTCCAGCCATGAGAGAACACTTCAAAATTGTCATCTACTAGCCATTGCAGGTCTTCAGATTCGGGACGGAGCGTGCGCGCAAGGCCATTTCCGGCTTTGGGGTAGTTTGCAGGAGGATCGCTGTCGTAGCCATCATCATAGTCTGCTTGATCTGATCCGCCATTCGGATTTGATGGAGGATTCATAGTTGAGGGGCGGTGGATGCTCATCTCGCCGAGGAGCTGAGCCTCTGAAGGGTCGACATCTGACCCGCTTGCATTTGTGAGCTGCTGGAAGCGCAGGGTGCCGCTTGTTGAGCCGTGGCCGTTCTGTGGTCTCGATGTTGATGTTGACTGTGGGACGAATTTGGGTATTGATGGATTCGAAGGTGATGTGGCCTGGTCTGGGATCACGTCGTGGACGTTGGGGGGAAAGACCGGCAGTTCTGGGTGGCGTATCGAGGCATGCAGGAGAAGAGATACTAAACGTGCTTGTGGGAGGGTTGAGAAATATGCGCGTTTCTATTTCATGTCAGTCATATTCGCGTAGGGGTTATCAAGGACTCACTTCATCGATAGACAGTCCTTCCGCAGCGGTCAGGCCGTCTGTTCCCTCGATGACGACCTGTTTTGATCGCTCGCAGGGTCCGCACAACCATTCCTTCTCCAGCACATTGACAACTTCATTGTTTATCGGCGGGTTGTGACAGTATTGATGATATGCTGTATTGCAGCTATCGCAGAAAACGATGCGGTTGTTGGTAGGATCGGTGCCGCGATGGCAAACCTTGCACTGCGCCGCGAGGATCGTCTTTGTAGATCTCCTCCGTTTGACCGTTTGTGTAGGCTCTGGAAGGGTGGGAACGAATGCGACGGGCCTGTTCACGCTGCGACCAGACTTCGTCCGTGTTGGCAATGGCGTATACGAGTCAGAGATATCAGAGTCTCCCTGTTAGGAGTCAGTTTACAATAGAACCAGAGCCAGATGCGGCGCATTCACATCGCTGTCCTCGCTCTCCGTCCTCTTTCTTTTTCCGCCTCTTCCACCACCTCTCCCCCGACCTCTGCCTTTGCCTCTGCCTGATCCCCTGGAAGCGGGCGTCGACCCCGCTGAGCCCGCACCACCCTCTGTCTTCAATGGCGTTCCCAGTCTTCCACCTCTGCCCCTCCTTCCATTTCCAGCTATTGGTGGGGGCGTCGGGAGCTTATCGCTGGTAACGTAGTTCTGTAGCACCTCTGCTCGCTTGGCCTCGAAAGCAGCGGTTCCAGCTGTTGCATTTCCCTGGTTTGCTTGCAATCTTTTGAGAATCTCAGCCGTAGCAGCCGAAAACTGTGGAAAAGACGGGCCGCTAATGTTCGAAGTAGAAGCGATAGTGTTTTGCGAGGCCCATGGTGAAGGTGGTATGGGTGCGTTTGGTGCGGGTTGCGCCGTAGATGTGGAGAGGTTAGTTTGGGCAGATGCGCCGCTCACGGGACTTGGGCGATTGAGCGCTGTGGGATCCGCTGTCCTATGATTTGGAGGATCCATGTCCTATAAGGAATGTTTGCGACAGTATCGCAGGTAAAAGATAGGTTGTCTGCACTTGCGGGCGCAACTGTGGAAGGGCACGGTGATGCGCCGTGTGGAGTGCCCGATCGGCGAAGGTTGTTGCTGGACTGGACCTAGCGGCGAATGCACGGTTGACTAATGCGAGGTGCAGGCGAACGTTCCTCCTTCAAACAGCTCTGGAAAAAAAGCATTGTTTACTAGTGTATGTTGACATCCAATGCCAATTCATATTGTATAGGTCTATGCTACAACACCTTCACTTCGCAAGCTCTCAATGTCTTCCGATCCCATACCAAGTGTATCTCGCAGTATCTCGTCAGTATGTTGGCCCAGAGTTGGAGGTGGCGTTCTAATGCCCGGTGTCGATTCGGAGTATTTTACCGGCGTATTCACGAGCTTGATCGGGCCACAAGATGGGTGCTCGACTTGTTGCACCATTCCGCGAGCGATGGTGTGGTCATGATTTAGTGTTGCTTGAACATCATTGATGGCTGCGTATGGCATCCCACAGCCTTCTAGAATGTCAAGCCACTCTGCTGTAGTCTTCTTCTTCGTCTCGCTTTCAATCAAGTCTTCCAAAGCATCGCGGTTCTGTACCCTAAGGGCGTTCGTCTTGAATCTTTCGTCTAGTATCCATTCTGGCTTACCGATCCTTGTGCATAGCACACCGTACAGGCGGTCATTGCCCCCACCTAGAAGAATATCGCCATCGGAGGTTTTAAATGCCTTGTACGGTACGATTGACGCTACAACTGGTAAGCTTATGGAGTATGCCCATGCACGGTTGAACTCACGATGCGAAGTACCCCATCGTCCCGAGTCCTTTTGGCCACTGATGAGGGCCGAGCTAGCGATGTTCGCAAGTGTTGCAATTTGACAGTCACTGAGCGCCACGTCAATATGCTGACCTTTTCCAGACTTGACTCTGTTGAGCAGTGCCGCCATGATCGAGTTTGAAGTATACAATCCCGTGGTAAGGTCGGTCACAGCGACCCCGACTTTGACTGGAGGACCGTCGCGGGCACCCGTAATGTGCATCAATCCGAACTCGCTGCTTCATGTTAGTATGCTACTGGTGCGAGACTCCATGCACGTACGCTTCAACCATTACGTCGTAACCGGCCCGGTTGCTGTAAGGCCCTGTCTGTCCATAGCCAGTTATGCTGGCATAAATAAGGCCAGGGTTTATCTTAGAGACTGTAGCGTAATCCATCGCATATTTGGCCAGCGACCCGGGAAGGTAGTTTTCAACGAGTACATCGCATTCCTTCACTAATCGGTGCAGGATATCGACGCCGGCAGGGTGAGCGAACGAAAGACCAATGGATCTTTTGTTTCTGTTGACCTAGGTCAAGTCAGCTCAATCCTTGTGAAAATTTCGGCGTAATTACAGCTAGATAATAGGCACTTTCGCCAGGCCCTTCCTCGTTACTGTTGACGTATTTAGCGTACGGCGGGCCCCAAGCTCGAGTATCATCTATTCGCAACAATCAACAACATGCTCGGACGCGCATAGAACACACGCATACCTCCTCTGGTAGGGTGCTCAATCTTGATGACATCCGCTCTGAAAAAATGTCAATTCGACCCTCAAAGCTCCCAACTTCGGATCGTTGGACCGTACGGTTGCCATTTACCCAAGGTCACCAAGAATTTGTGTGCAATAAGGCTATCCCATGGTTAGTGAAAGAATGTGAGATCTCAGCGACTGGACATACACCGGCTAAGACTCTGGTCATGTCAAGGACCTTGATGCCCGCCAGCGGAAGTGTACCGTTGCCATCGCGTGCTGCGGATGCTAGGCATCTTCGCGACGGGGTTCTGGACCAATTGCTTCGGATTTGCGAAAGCGAAGACCGAAAAACGCTTTCGGAGGATCGGACGAACATATTGAAGAGTATATGCGCAAGAGGTCAAAAGATCAGACAGCTTGGCTTCACGCATCTAAGAGATCTCGAGACCCCCGAAGTTCCCCGCCCGAGGCCAAAGCTCTGGCGCAGACGGCAGACCGAGGCATCTTGGCTCTGTTGACCCCGCCACTGCTAATGTGTCACCCACCATTGACAATGTTTACCGGCCTCGTGGAAATTATAGGGAGTAAGGGATCGGTTCCCATTCCCACTGCCTGCATCTTCCAGCTAACAATGCAAAGCTGTCACTGCCCTAGAGCAGCTTGACAAAACAGCGAGCGGAGGCGGCGGAACCTCGCTCACCATCAGCGATGCACAAGCCATCTTGGAAGGCGCTCAATTGGGGGACAGTATCGCCATCAATGGTAGGGCAACTCTAAATGTTGCAAGAGAGGGCTTAACAAGTTCATAGGAACATGTTTAACTGTTACGGATTTCGACAAGACTTCCTTCAAGGTCGGCGTCGCTCCCGAAACTCTCCGCAAAACGAACTTGGGCTCGCTCACACAGGGCTCCAAAGTGAACCTTGAACGCGCTGTTTCAGCGTCAACACGCATGGGGGGCCACTTTGTGCAAGGCCATGTCGACACGACCGCGACCATAGAGTCTATCACTCCCGACGGAAACGCGCTCACCTTTCGCTTCAAACCGCGCGATGCAAACGTTCTTAGATATGTGGTGTACAAAGGATACGTCACCATCGATGGAGCCAGTTTGACTGTGACAAAAGTGGAGGATGGGCCTGAAGGCTTCTGGGAGGTCATGATTATTGCCTACACACAAGAGAAGGTTGTTACGGCATCGAAGAAGGTTGGCGAGGAGGTCAATGTTGAGGTCGACCAAGTGGGAAAGTACGTTGAGAAGAGCGTAGCCGGCTACTTCGAAGGTACCGCAAATGGCGAGTTCGCGATCCTCGAGAAGATGGTGTCGAAGCTGGTTGATGAGAGACTGAAGGCGCTCCAAAAATGAGGCACACTTTGCGGCTTCGGCTTCATCCTTGCTAGACCAACAACCCGCTGCCGAAGAGACCATGCGTGCGGTCCGAACAAGACCGACAGGCCCCTAGCATGGCACACCGGGGGCTGATCAGGCTCCCAGATATCCGTCCTTCGCACTGGACCTATAGCAAGTATTTTCGCATCGCACATTTCCGTTGATGCCTGAAAGTAGACAACCAGGGCGGCCAGCTGGCCGTGGCACTGAAGAATGAGGCGCAGCCTTACTTCTCCTCTCTCTAATATAAAGACGTGATATCTCTACGAATGTGCGCTTTTGCTCTTCACTTCTTAATCTTGTGGTTGCGCCTTTGCATTTGGAGATGCTCTTCAGCATTACCAACGAACATCTAGCGGGGACGCTGTTGCCTAGCAGCGAGTGCAGATGCATCGCACCATCTGCCCAACCACAGAAGGAAGCGCAGAAGCATTCCGATGTCATCGGCACATATTTGCAGCTTGATGATGAGTTGTTCTCTATTTTGATGCTTCCATGGCTTACAATGCTCGACTAATGTAGGTTTACGTGCGCCCGATCAGGCAGAAGCTCGTTCCCATCAGCAATCAGACGCCTTTCCAATGCGAAGACCGCAGATTCTCTCGGCAAACATGCAGGACGCTTCCATATTTGATGGATGCGGTCATCCCAGCCGTGCCGCACGTCTTTGGTCCGTCGCCCGACGCTGCTAAATTGGCCTTGCATGTCAGGCGCACGAAGACGGTCTCGTCTCTCAGCACGCCGCACGCACATGGGAAAAGGTGGCCCGCGGATCGAAAACTTCAGTTTGGGGGCCAAAACAACGAGCAAAAAGGCATTGAACGTGAAGAGTTGGACAATTGCAGCGGCAGACAAGGTGCAGTACGATACAGGGTTTTCGTTGATTGGTGTGCATCGGCTTGCCTTGCTACTCGCGCTGGACACGTCAACAACCTGCCGTCCCTCACTTTGAAGCCGCTGGTCCCACGCCAGAGACGCTTATTCCCAGCCTTGCCACTCGTCCGCCCTTTCGCTCTAATTCTCTCGTTGTCTTTTGAATCTCGGGCATATCGATGCCGTAGTCTCTTTCCCCGCTTGCAGTTATCCTATCACGCGATTCCCCATGGACTGGCGGCTCCTCGACCATGCCAAAGATGCGCAAGACACAGCGACCGCGCTCAGTACTTTCCTAGACGAGATTCCAGAGTACTCAAAGGAGATCAAGGGCGACATTGCCGAGCTCTTTGCCATCTCGAGCGCCCTTGATGTACTGCACGAAGACCTGGAATTGTCGCGCTATGGCAGGTACGCTGGCCGCATCTTGCGTGATCTCGAGATATGTCTCCCTAGCCTGAGTTATACGCTGGAAGACATCCGAAACATCTTCAACAAGTCGAAGCGAAAGGGCCGACAGCATCCTGGAGCTTTCCCCGGTACCCCACCGTACGCGCAAATCTGGGAAGATGCGTGCGACGAGATGCGGGGCACAAGGTATCCCTTTAAGTGCGCGTTTGGAAATGTATAGAACCTATCTGCAAGGCTTGCATGATATCTTGAGGAGGTAGGTTGTCGTGGTGGCCTGTGATTGATGTGTTTAACGACGAATAGCAAGGAAGAGGACGGCGAAGTCGACCACATTCGGGCTCGGCTATCAAAGATACTGAAGAAACAGGAGCCAATTGACGATTATTTCACCAGGCTGTCGGTGGATCCACGTGCACATGGTATGCTTGTGTTCTCTTCTCTACTTGTTCTTAGCCTCCATCTCGCCATCTCCGAAAGGGCCCCTCCGCTTGGCAACTGGCGATACCCGTCTCCGAGCGATGGCTTCTTTCTTGTATCAAGACGTATATTCCTGCTTTCCGCAAACGCATAGCGCATATGAGTACTATCTTCAGAACCCGTACAGGCCACTAAGTCCTTACCCCACAGCGCCGCGAACGCCCCAGCCGTATCACTACCACAACCCTCCATTGCCTCCAAGGCCGATCGTTGAACGGGGCACCACATATCCAGCTTATCATCATCAACATCCACCTCCGCCGCCTCCGCCACCACCACCTCCCCCACGTTCTCCAGTCTATGGCGACATACCATTTATACCGCCGATCGTACCAGAAGTGCCGCAGTCACCCACCTACTCAAATGCATCTTCAAACACTTACTCGTTAAATTCTAACGATTCGGGTGGCCCGGCCGCTCATTGGGCGATGAAAATTCTTGATGGAAGGCATTCTTCTACCCCCCTTCAAGACTCTCGGACAAGCGTAAGCAGACTCATTCCATCCATTTAACCTTGACTGATTGTTATCAGAACTCGGTGCCTCGGACGAGATGAGCCACAAGCTATCGAGCGTCTAATGAAAGACGGCTTCGAGAAAGTGCTGGAACTGTATGTAAACCAAACGCAACGTTTGATCCGACTAATATAGCTAAGGCCTTTTGAAGCGACAAACGTCTGGGTGAGGCTGTATTGGCGATCTGACGACAACCGAGCAAGGATCCTGTTCCTGACACTCGATCCAAGCGGACGAAGGATGCGTTACTGCTTCCCGCTTACCGGACTAAAAGTGTTGCGAACCGAGTCGAGTTTGCAGCTCTGTCGTGTGAACCGCGAGGATGGCCGGCTCGACCTTTGGGCTAATTTGCGCTTCACACTATACGAACGTACGTTCTCAGAACCGGGCGAGGATTCACGAGCTGATCTGGCCAGGTATGGTGCTGTTCTATAGCACCATGGTAGCTATGAAACGACAGGATAACACTCAAGCACCGCCAGGTTTAGAAGACATCTTTCAACCTGGAGAACGAGAAGAGTTCGGAGGGTACGGTGCTATCCCGTTGCCCTGTACAGAGGCGTGACTGACCAAATACAGGGAAATCCAGGATAACTCTTACTTGCATGCAATCCGCATCTTCCGTGACACGGATTCAGGGTGCGTACGGTTCGAAGCTACGCCTCGTCGTGGACCATTGAAGACTATTCCCATCTGGACGGCCTTCGTCACCCAATACATCGGACATAAGAGCTGGATGAAGCGGGTGGGGCCACAGACCATTTCGTTCCGTGAACTTCACCCTTACATGTTCACTGATGGGTACAAATTGCCCAAGGGCCCGTCAGGCAGGTACCAATTGACATTCACCACACCGAAAGGTACGTGTTGCGCTCCACATGTGCACCTCAGCCTGGCTAACCAGCACCAGACATGCGAGACTTTATGGAGATCTTCCACAGGATTCGGGTTCGATAAGCGGCCCCATGAGTCCTGTAATATGAGGCACGACGCCGTTTTCCCTACGGCCATCTCTTCCTTCCGTTTTCTATCTACTCGGCATCTCAAAAGCGTCCAAAATTGTTTCGCGAAGGGGGTAATACTGCAGACGCCGGCAAAATTGATCGTCTCGGACTGTGGCCAAAACCCTTTGAAGGGCCTGAGTGCCTTCTAGGTAGGATATCTATTTCAGCTCGCAGCACAAAGGCCCACGACATGGCAGGCAAAGTGTACGATTGCGCCTCCACTAATATATCATGGAGATGATCCTCAATAGAGAGCTTTGGTTCGATCATCTTATGAGGGCGAAAAGAATTTGGATTAACGATTACGAGACCACGACTTCAATGATTGTAGGAGGAAGGTGCCAAAATGCAACGATATACCCCTCTCAGTACGACTAAAGTTGGAGGGAGGCAATCTGCTGTTTAGCGTCGCTTATCTGTATTTAGCTATCATCGTTGCTTAGATCATTGCAATGTAGCGTTTCTGTTTCCCGTAATTCTTAATGTGAAGCTTCAAAATGTTGAGACTAAGACCAATCCCTTTTACGGTTGATCACTCTGGGCTAATTCGGGCCTAGAACGGTTTTCGCGCCGGCGGGGCAGAACTCATGCTGTGCATGTGGACCGTGCATAGAATTTTCGCTTTGCAAACTACTACCAGGGAGGAACGCTCAGTCTTGAACCTTCCTCTACAGTGTCTGGTACTCTTGCTTCAGAAATCACTTTCCTCACCATGGCTTCTTCACACACCGGGGGCAGAAGCGACCCGCTCGCTGCCATGGCGCACTCCGAGGCGCATTACTTTAACAGGTGGGCGCTCCTCGCTCCACAGTGGCCAGCATGAGGCTTGACTTGAGAAGAAGGATTTTGCTGACTATGGTTTGCAAACTACAGCTACAACCACCATGGTCGGTTACAGCAGTCTACAAATATTCGAGAGTTATACTAATATGCGCATAAAGGTATTCATGAGGAGATGCTGGTGCGTACCGAGCCATCACACGACCGCAACAAAAACAGTCGCTAATCGTTCTGTTTGTAGAAAGATGAGGTCCGAACCAAGAGCTACCGTGACGCCATCTACCAAAACGGGCACCTCTTCAAGGACAAGGTTGTCCTCGACGTCGGATGCGGTACATCCATCTTGAGCATGTTAGACTACCTACCCTCCTGCCCGACGGCAGACGCTTATACATGTGTGATAGGTTCGCTGTGCGTGCAGGCGCTAAGCATGTCATCGGTGTCGACATGTCCACCATCATCGACAAGGCGAAGGAGATTGTCGAGCGCAACGGCATGAGCGACAAGATCACGCTGCTACAAGGCAAGATGGAGGAGGTCAAGCTACCGTTCGATAAGGTCGACATTATAATATCGGAGTGGATGGGATACTTCCTTCTCTACGAGTCCATGTTGGACACCGTGCTGTATGCGCGCGACAAGTACCTCGTCAAGGATGGGTTGATCTTCCCGGACAAGGCAACCATCTTCATGGCGGGTATTGAGGACGGAGAGTACAAGGACGAGAAGATTGGCTGTACGTAGCGCAACTTTCTTTGAAGAGTGTCACCCACTAACAGGAACAGTCTGGGACAACGTCTGGGGCTTCGACTATACCCCGCTTAAAGCCACCGCCATGACCGAGCCCCTCGTCGACACCGTCGACCTTAAGGCTGTCGTTACCGACCCCGCCCCCGTCATCACTCTCGACCTGTACAAGTGCACCGTCGACGATCTCTCCTTCCGACTGCCTTACGAGCTCAACGTTCGCCGCCCCGACTTCATTCACGCCATTATCGCCTGGTTCGACATCGAATTCTCCGCCTGTCATAAACCCATCAAGTTCTCCACCGGCCCTCACACGAAGTACACGCACTGGAAACAGACAGTATTCTACCTGCAGGATGTGTTGACCGTCGAGGAGGGTGAGAAGATTGTCGGCGAGCTCGAGAACAGGCCGAGCGAGAAGAACCACAGGGACTTGGACATCACAATCTCGTACAAGCTGAACACGGAGGACATGCACAGGCAGGCGACCGGTCAAGGCACGTACAAGATGTGCTAGTGGCTTTTAGACGGTGCTTATTAAGGCATTCTTATCGGCGTACCACATGAGTAAGGGTCGGACTTCACTTCTCGGATAGACTACCTTTTGTATGGCAGACCGGCGTTAGGAGCCAGCCCGGGAGAGTAAATACCAAGAAAGCTGCGTCGGCAGGATACGAGATCTGCGGCGGTTGGGGCTGTTGGAGTCCGAAGGGGTGAAAATATCTAGGGTAGCATGATACGATTCACGAAGAAGGGACCAAGTCCAACGATTGGGAATTCCTCCCCTACGAACACAATCATACTCACGTATATGCAAGAATGTGTTTCCAGAGAGCAGAGCAATCAATCATAACGCGAAGAACCACGGATATACAAAGACTGCTACTACATCGTCCAGGAATATTAGTCAATTATGTCCCAAAAAACACACAACGCCGCTCATGCAATCATGTCACGTAAATACGTAACGTCGTTAACGAGACCTGAGCTTCAGAGCGACTAGTCCTCAAGCCCTATCCCCATCCCACTCTCAGGATCCTCCCACTTCTTCGCCTTAAGCACCCTCATCTTCTTCACCGGACTCGAACTCCTCAGCTGTCCTTCGCGCTCCTTAGCCTCCAATCTCGCCATCAACACCTCGTTTACCCTCTCTAGCTCATCCACCCGATCTCTCAGCGCAGGGTCAGGGTCCTCATACACCTTAATCTCATCCCGCATCTGCGCCTTAGTCGCCTTGATAACGACATCAATCTTAGAATCAAGATGTTGCGCCTGTGAGTCTTGCTCGTTGTCCAGCGCGGATTGCCATCGCCGGCGCTCTGCGGCGACGGCGGATTCCATGTCGGCGAAGCACTCATCGCGGATTTCTTGCTCGAGATCTTGCATGTAGTCTTCGGCTGCGCGCCAGGAGGCTTCTGCTGCTTTCCTGCGGGCGGTTTCTTCTACGAGGCGCAGGGCGAAGATCTCGACTTCGGCGGTTAGGCGGGCGATCTCTGCGTTAGCAGCGTCCATCTCTTCAACGATGGCGGAGGGTGTGGTCCGGCCTGAGGAGGTGCCTGTGGACTTTGAAGGGCCCGTTGCAAGGATATGTGTTGAGGTGGTAGAGGGGATGCGCGGGACGGTGACTTCGCGGGCGAGCGCGGAGTACCGGAGGATCTGGGAGGTGGCATTGAAGTCGCCTTTGGGGTCGGCGGTGACGACCATGATGGATTTCTGAGGGTGGTGGTGGTGGGTTGTGCGGTTGGACGAAGGGAATGAGTTGGAGAAGAGGAGCTCTGTGAGTTTGCATTGGCGGAAGGGTACGACGTTCTAGGTGGTGTCAGTAAGGGATTGTAACAGGAGCGTCGGTGAACGTACTCGTGAGCCTGCTTGATGGTCGGACTGCATCTGCATGCACTGACCGAGATACATGAGGGACTCGTTAATCTTACCAGCCTCTGCCAGTGTCTCGCCAGCCGTCTTCGCGTTTCGTGCACGCTCAGACCCAGCCAAGTCAACGATGGTGAGCGTGCTGCTTGACCAGGGTCCTTTGCGCTGCATATCGCGCTTCTTGACCTCTACGCAGAAGAAACCATGACTCCGCGAGCTGACGGCGTTGCTTCCGGTGCCTGCTACCTTGCGCTCCATGAGTCCAGTCTCGAGCACCATGAGCGCCTCTTCAAAGCTTCCACAAATGATCTTCGTAAGACCAGCCACGACCTTGCGGTCCGGACTCTGTTCCGTGCTCTTGAATAACAACGCCCGTCGCTTCAGATTCGGATGCTTGCTCTTCGTTGCGCTTCCGGTCAAGAGATCGAATATACGGTCATTGTACACTTCGTACATGGAGATTACGATCGCATACTCGGCGGTCTCGTCAATGGGTAGATCGATATCGTGAACGCTCGGCGACTGCGGTAGCGCAGAGGGTCTAGGTATCTTGTTCGAGCGCGATCCGCCATTCGTTATGAATGAACTGCAGTCCTTTTTCTCGGGTAAGCCTGTATTCGAGACACCTCGGGTAATGCTTTGAAGAGCGCCATTCACGGGACGAATCGAGTGTATGGCCGCACTTGCGCGGGTGGAGAAGGTGGCTTGGAGGATAGAATGCCACGCATCCTCCGGAGGCAGTTGAAGGAATGATGACAAGGAAAATTAGATAGAGAAAGGAGGAGACAAATGAAAAAAGTACTAACCGCCATGGGTGTTTGCGCCCGGGAGAAGCGCGCTTCGGACTGGTTGTCGCCGTACAGAGAATCTAGGAAGGCGGTTGCCGTGAAAATGTGCGCTTCTGATACATCGGCCGCGGCGAGGGATGTGAAAGCTGGTGCGCCGTAAAAGGACTGAACCAACTGCTCTCCGGTGGATTGGAAGAGTACGTCGAGCGCCATCTGTGTCAGGCCTCGTTGTGACTTTGTTCCGAGAATTGTATGACTCTGCGCCGTTTTGAGTATTGGATCATAGGCGGAGATGCATCAGTAGCCTTACCTTGCCAGAGCCGGTAACGCCCAGAGTTGCGAGTAATCCATCTCGTCCATGATGTCCTGGAGCGCCGAGCACGCCCTCAATCATAGGGATCACGCCAATGCCCTTGAACAGTTCCTTTTGTCGCGCCTCTTCCTCAAACACCTGCGTAAACGCAAATCGCTCGACAGCTCTCTTGCGCTTATCATCGGTAGGTGGTTTGATAGTTATGTGAGTGGGGTGGCTGGCTTCGCCATCCTCGACGGTAAGAAAGCGATCGCCAGCTTTAGACGGGCGCAGGCGCAAGTAAACATCGAAGAGCGAGCTCGACGGTCGCGGTGGAGGTTCCATAGGCATCATTGCGAAGTGCAGGCGGTGTGGATAGAATGTTTTGCGTAAGTCTGCAGTAGTATACCACCGGTAATGGAAGTGAGTGACGCACGCGCTCGCTTGGTAAACAAGCGCGCGAGTCGTTGTCGCGGCAACAACGCATCGGATCGCCCCATCACGAACGTTTCGTCGCCCCCACCCCCTCAATTCATCCGATGTTGTTGATAACCTGAGCTTGTCTTGTGGATGAGATTTTCGATCTAGAGCGTCGCAGCATTGTCACTTAAACTGCCTAGTCGTGGCAGGCGCTGATCTGGCCCCGTGTTTTGGCCTGCTGAAGAGATAGGACGGTGGGACATCGCTGAAAGTGTATACATTTGCGCAGAACTCGTGCATTATTCAAGAGGAGCTTTCTGAATTGACGCGAAAGTCCAGGTCGATTGTCATTAAAGTCTACACGCTGTGGAACAGTCAGCAGACTCAAAATGTCCTCTTGGTCTTGAACACTAGAAACACTACTTACGCAAAGAGTGGCACGAGGAGGTGATGAAGCTCTGCCAGGACGTCAGAGGATACATGGCCTTCGACGATACCAGGAGGTGATCGATTGGGGGAAAGGGGAAGCACGGTACACAATACACACATATGCTGCGTCTTCAGCATTTTGGCTGGTTCCTTCGGACGCAAATGGGAGCATCACTTTCATCGGGATCCCAGGAGCAGAACGACGAGTTGCTGCACAGTCGAGGCATTGGTCTTGCGAAAGAATGGCTTCCATTTTGCTGCAACTAGCATCCTGACTGCACATGATCACGATCCATTTTGATCACAGAGTTCCAGGACAAACAGCCCTCGACGAGATGCCCGATCCGGGCCTTTCTTGAGAACCTCCTACGACATTGAGGAGGTCTATAAGAATCATCGAAACGGTGTCTATACTGTGACTTCGGATTGATAGTGGCTCGCTTAGAATGAAATTTGAGGGAGAAGTTCGACACGTGTGCTACACTTATGGCTTGTGCCTTCGTGCCATGACGAACAAGGTGCGTTATTTACCATAATTTTGTTAGATATCATGCATCCGCCACAGACTACGTTCACGGTAGTTCACTGGGCTTTTAAAGCGCGGAGTGATGTGATCAAGGTCCGAATTTGAGTATAACGCATTGCCAGTACTATACTCAACCATAACCGTAGATCTATGGTCTTGTATGTTCATCAAATTGATCCTCGCTTCCTGACCCGCTCACTGCAGTGGTTCCATTCCCCATTGTTGACCTTTAAGCGCCAGCAGCCAATCTCCAGCAAACGTTTATCAGCGCACTCGTAGCACTAATATGCGCCAGTGTCCTAGGCACCGCAATATTTGCGAGGTACGCCGGATAATGCACCAGCAATTTCGCAACCACGTGGAAACCCAGCAGGTTCACCACCTGGGAATCCGTCGGAGCGATAACCTGTGCCAACGCGGCAGCCAGTGCAAAGCCTGGGAAGTTCTCCATGAGGGCATAGTGCGCAGATCGCAAGCGCAGAGGAAGCCCCTCTAAATTCGTAACGTGCTTCCGCGGATGGTCATTGTCGAGCCCCTCTTCTCGAGCCATGGCCTGTCCGGCAGCAGAAGCGGCTCCAGAGGCTCCGAACGTCCAGAAGAGATAGATGGCGGCGAGGGCTGGAATTGCTCGACCACTGGAGATGGATGAGATACCAACACCGGGGACCAGTTTGATGAGAGTCTCGCTGAGCTTCTGGACGACGCTGTTGGGTTTTGTGAGATAGGAGCTGGGGCATCGTCAGTGTTTTGTAGTTCTAGCTATACAATTGTGGATACGAACGTCAACGGGACCAAGGCAAGATATAAGGGTGCAGCGCCCAACACAGCTGCTCCAGCTGGATTGATTCTGGTCACCGTCAGTTTCCAATTTTGGTCTAAAGCGTTAGTGGTCACGGACACGCCATTCTCGGCAGCAACCTGCTTAGCCTTCTGCTTCTTCTCGTCCGACATGTCGTATGCTTCTTTTGAAGGCAGCTCGAATGTTATGGACGTTGTCCTACTGTAGGTATAAGAAGGTTTGCTCTGCTTATGACTACACCGGGTAATTACCGAGGAACCCTGTTGGCGATGACGTCTTCAGTATGCGGGGTTGAGCTGCTCTCTTGATGATGTACAGAAGGCATTTGGTCGGCGCGCCGAATTATGTTATGAGGAAGGCACGCTGATCATGGATTTGGAATTGAAGCTTAGTGGGCCCTGCAGATGCAGATGTCAATAGACAGACCCTAAGGGTCGCACCCGGTGGTAGCATCACGCGGACCAGCGACGGAGCTGATTGAGATATGCAATGCTGCGATCCCTGGTACTTGGTATGTTGTTTGCGACGACGAGCAACTATCTTTTTGATTTGTGTGGTTCATTGGGTGATACAGAATTGGTAGTGTGGCACGGCAATTGCACCGTTAGACGTTGCCAAGTTCGAATGTCTGACGAGATGGGCATACAATCCTCCTGACTGCTTGAGACGGGGTGATTGTATCGTGAGTAGCAAGTCGCACACTTGGAAACATGGAAACAAGGTAGCTGGACAAGGAGTGGATCACGATCGCAGATCCTCGATGCGGTATAGATAAGCGAGCGTTTCCCCAGAGTGACGGGACCTCAAGAAAACGCACTTTGAGGGACACGCTTACCGGAAGCATCTCCGACCCGTGCAAACCCTCACAAATGTAAAGCCTAGTGTAATCCCGCTTCCCATTTGAAGTACAGTTAACGCGAATAAAATTACCACTTGGGAAAGCGATGTTGCTCGTTATCGGCATTTCAAGATCTCCCTCATGGATGATGTAGTGTGGCTTTGTGCACGCGCCAATGACGCAATGGCAGGGACGCGTAGGTTCTGCGCAAACAAACCTCCAACGACACAGTTTCTCCAATACACCTTCTTCCCATCCTGTGAGCTTTATTCTTAGCGAAAATGTCCGGCGGGGTGGTCTACAAAGATTTGCTCCCCATTCCCGCGGAGGATCCTCGTCAAGAGGAGGGCACAACACCTACATTAACAGACAAACCGACTGAGAGTCACGCCTTGGCTCTGGAGGCTGCAAAGAACCCAGAGCTCGCTGGAGCTGCACAGATGGCCCATGGAGAAGAGGTTGTAGATCTGGGCTGGAATGAGCCTAAAGAAAAGGTGGAGGCGCCGCTTGTGGGAGGATTGGACAACGAGGATCTCTGGGTGTTGGTTCGAAGATTTAATAAGGTAAAAGTGCTGTAAACTTAGCTCCAACTTGTACTGACGCGAGAGTAGCAAATGTATCATGTCAAAGAGATCCCAAACCCGCCTCCCGGTGGCCTCGACCTCAATATTGCCGACGAAGAAGAGTTCTCACCCGACAAATTGAGGAGCAATATCGAGCGCCTCTATATGACAATTGTAGGTCCTTGTATCCTTAGATGACCTAATCCTTACTTACTTTACAACAGGGTCTCGGGATGATGGGCTTCGGAAAGCATATCATGCGATTGCGATCATGGCGCGAGACGAGACGAACGTCCTGGTTTTGCGCGGCGTACTTTGCTGCTTGGTTTCTCGATCTACTAATCCCTGTCCTATCCCTTACCGTCGTGGCACTCATCGCCTATCCACCGATCCGTCCGATACTATTTCCACCTGCCCCAATCGCTCTGGTGTCTAGTAACACTGGAGGTATTCAGAAGCCGAAGGCAGGAACATTGGGCAGTCATGACAGTGCCACGGGTGCCCCGGAGAACCACAAGGGAGAGGCAGTTGAGCAAGAGGCTAGCAACTTTGTCAGTGGTATTGCTTCTATAGCACTATCAAGCGCGACCGGAAAACATCCTCAAGGTGAACCGCCAGCGGAGGATGATTCTCCAGCAGATGCAGTCCCAGACCCTACCTCTATTGCGATGAGCGCAGCCGATGCGAAAGACAAAGCTGCCGGTGGCACGCCTACGAAGAAACATGACAAGACGAAAGTGCCCATGGAGACCGCGATGTGGAGTAAGATGCGTCCCATCATGCACGGCCTCGCTGATGCAACTGACACCTGGGAGCGTTTCGCGAACGCACTGTCGCCTACGCCTCCCTTTCCTCGAGATCGCTATCGCATCCGCTTAGCTGCGGTCGTCGCGCCTATTGTCCTCATGTCTCTCTTCGTCACTTCCTACATGTTCATGAAAGGCATCACCTTTGGCGTAGGCTTCAGTTTCTTCGGCGATCCAGTCATTCAGCCAGCGTTCGCCTACCTGAACCGTGAATTTCCCAATTGGCAAAAACTTCTCGAGCTGCGCAACACCCTCCTTAAAGGTGTTCCAACGAATGCTCAACTCACCATCACACTGCTGCGTATCGGCGAAGCGAACAAAGCACCACTTGTGCCTCCACCTCGCATCGACGAACCGCCGCCAGACAAGCCCGCCGAGATCAGCGAGAAAGATCTGCGCGCTGCTGGTGCAGACTGGCCCCTCAATGCCACTCAGGAAGAGCTCGACGAAGCCCTGACGCATGATCCAACCACCGCCCACGAGACGGCAGGCTCGGATATCGACTCAGCCAAGGATTCCAAGCACGGCAAGAAAGGAAGCAAGATCCTCAACTTCTTCAAAGGCACCGTCAAAGGCGGCGTCGAGACCTCCATGGGCGCCGACAAAGTCAAAGCCAAGGTCGGCAATATGCACGCGAAGAACCGGCTTGGTGCTGTGCCTAAGCCTGGCGAGAATCTCACGTCTGGTCCTGTGGAGTTCAAAGGGAGGTATCACGGCCACAAAGGCCATGTGTACATCACGTCTAAAGCCACGGTTCCATGTGTCGCCTTCTCCACGGACAGCACGATTGAGAAGGTCGGTACCGAGGAGAGAGAAGATTTGCACCCTCAGTGGAGCATTCCCATTGGCGACATCAGCGAGATGAAGAAGGTTGGGGGGTATGGCTGGAAGGCTAAGCTTGTCATTGGCTGGGCGATGGGAAGAGAGGTTGCGGATGGCTTGGAGATTGTTCTGAAGGACAGACCTCCGATGCCAGGAGACAAGAGTCAGAAGGCTGGCGAGCCGATCAAGTACAAAGTGACTGCTCTGCCGTTGCGAGACGAGCTGTTCAATCGGCTGGCTAGTATGGGAGGGCAGAAGTGGGAATGCTGGTAAGCGCATGGAACTGGAGGTGTTAATAAGGGTTGAGGTTCGCTGGTAGGCAAAATACCCTGAACGGTTACTGGGAGGGTTTCGTACGAGTGATGAGTGCACGAAATACTACGTTATTGATAGCTTCTACGCTGCACATCCTGTCCTATTCTGATGATTTTGCGGAGAAGGCTGTTACACTACATTGGCTACGAAGTGTATTCAGTCCTGCGCATAAAACCTATGCTTCACCGGCTGAGACACGATATCCGCGTTCATCTCCGAAATGTACACGGACCCGGAGGTACTGTGTACACTGCGGAGATGATATACATAATGCGGGGCCAAGGTTTTTCCGATGGAGATAAGGTGTCGTTCGATCTGAAAACCCCGCGACGCCACGTGCAATCTTTGAGGATGCTTAACGCCGGGTCGATCAGTTTTTAACACCGCGCGCTGCACGTGACTCATCATTCACTAATGGATGGATCACGAACCGCTTTATTCTGGCATCCTTTGAACGAGAATCTCAAATCTGAAGATCTACATCATCACTACGTTGGCAGATCCCGCCCAGCCTTGCAAAAACTGAAATCTTCGACCTCGCACAAACTCGCCCGACCATCCGTCCCGCCCCTCCGCCAAGCATCGTGAGATGAGCATTACAATTTTTGCGTCAAGAAATTCCTGCCCTTGCCACGACAAGATCCACGACAGGGTCTCACAATGACACGCACCCTCCCGCTAACCCACCTCCAGCCGCTGCTAGAAATTTTCCCTTTTTCTGCCAGCAATTTTCGCGGCGGAAAAGTGGGTGGGACGGACACATGCTAGCCTCGGGCTCAAGCGAGGCTGCGGTACCCTGCGGCAGGGTCTCGGTATGTACGGGTGCCCGCGTCGCCGAAGGAAATTTCTAGTCGGCGTGGTCTTGGGTGGCACGTGCGGCGTATCCGGTGTGAAAAAACGTTCATCGTGAGTGTGGATGTGGCTAGTGTTGCGCAAGGGCGCTATGGTGCGGATCATCCGCTGCTTCGCATGATCCGAGGTTAGGTCGGAAATTTCGGCAACGTGGTGTTTAGCTCGTGAGGATGCATGTGCGGTCGGACGGTGGGTGAAAATGTATCCGAGGTCAATCAGGCTGGGACGGGTAAGGCAGGGATATCAGGGCGCACGAGATGTGTGAAAGCGGATATCCGACTGTCGTCCGACCGAGATGCGATAAGATTGAGGGGTTGATCGTCAGATGGAAAGGGAAGTTTAGGAATCACCGGATGCGGTCACCGCTGGGTGGATGGATGAGTATACAGCGCCCGCAATCTTGTTCGTGACTCAGATTTGAGTGTCTAGTGATCTGGTCCAATCTCGCACATGACTGATATGCAGAGCTGCCATGTAACGGTATTAGCTCGAAGCCTTTGCTGATGGGCTTGATGGTAGCTTCCATCACAAATACTGAGTTGAGGCTGCTGAACAATTCGTGATGTTTTATCTCCGGATTGCTCAGACGGTCGAGATCTACGCCCAGAATAGCAATGATCCTCGCTACTGATTTGGTGAGCAGACGGCGAGCGAATCGTAAGTGGTTGGCTCGTCTGTTTTGCAGGTATTACTCATCGCTAGGCCCAGCAGGGTATCCCATTCGCATCTGCTGCGGATGAATGATTGGCATGGCGCCAGAGACGCGATTCGCGAATGCTGTGTGCTGGCGCGTTGTTGTCCTGCTTAGGAAAGCGCAGCGCAACGGAATTGCGATATCGCAAGCCAGAACGTTGACCGTTGTGAGCCAACCGCGCGACTCTCAACGAGATGTATACCCCATTGTACTTGCCAACACAACCTGGAGAAACATTGAATCTCGGGCCCCGAGTTGAGCCACGTCGAAGTCAGGAACAGGGCTAGCCGATGCTAAGGGGCTTGAGGCTGGGGCCGGGGTGAGGCGCTGGTAGTCTGGTACCTGGGTCCTTTGAGGCTGAGCGCAAGGGTGGAACTGACAGCACCGTTTCCTCATTGTAGTTAACAATATGGATTATTGAGGCGCTCTTCTTCTCAGCGCTGGAGCGCCCGCCCCCAATAGTCGGGCTGAAAGTATGTCGCCGTCGCCGTGCCGTCCTCACCTCATCGCAACTCGTGCCAACAAACGCGCAGCGCAGCGAGTTGGCCTTGACGTACAGTAAGGGCACAGCGTGGCCTGCCAATTACCCGCCCCTTTCAAGCTGAGGCAAGGGCGGCGCGAGTGTTAAAGGGGATGACATTGGGGCGTGGGTCACCAGGTACGTACCTGTGCCTGTTTCACAGCATGAACCACTTGGTTTCGGGGAACAAAATCATGCGCGCACGCACCAGAAACCCACCGCTTGCATGAGTGGCCTGCGTTCAAAACGAAACGCATGTCAAAACATGAAACTGCCATCGGGATTGCACAGCGGGGAATTAGGGGTGTTGAGATCAGTGAGATGGGAGCACGACCCCCATCGTGCATACGAGTAGATCCCCGCAAGGACAGATTACGGAAACTTGCTTTGCGCGTGGGCCTTCGATGCGCAAGATCGATCGTGAACATGCACGCAGTATCGACGACGCGCACAACTGCAAGCCACGCGACGGATTCTCGCCAACTCCGCAGGGTATCGATGCAGATCAACGTGATAGACTTTCCTGTTTGACCTCGCACAAGAAGCGGACGGTGCGCGTGTAGACTAGCGAACGTGACCAGAGGAGCCCGTCGCACCCGACGCGGAATCGCTTTAACCCCGAGCCTGGTCACTCGGAATGCTCGTCCTCATGCGCCGACTTGGCCCGGCTGCGACCGGACGCATCTCGCTGAGGCAGAGCTGCCTTGGCTGTGTTGCATGCTGTTGCGTAGGCTTCGTCCGCAGCACTTGGCAGGATGCGGGGCGCGTGTTCGCAATGCTCGTATCTGGCCGTTGCCTACAGGCGCCGTACACTGTGTACGTGTATCCGGTGTACGCTCGCAGTGTTGTCCGTATCAGGTTTAGCCTCAGCCTTGCCGCAGCCGGCGCTCTGGGCTCCCGTGGGGCGGAAAGGCGGTCAGGCGATAAATTTCAATGTTCATGCGACGGAAAAGGTGCGATAAGGAAATTGTAGTGGTGGGTAGCACGGGCAAATGCATCACGAGGCAAAGTGGAGAAGAAGTGTTTTGGTAGGATTATCGTTTTTGATTTCTGTTTGCTAGGGGGGTCTCAACCATCAATGTGGGAGATCTCATACCAGCCTATGTAGTTCCATCCATCATCTCGAGTATTCCGTCCATAGAGTTGGGTAGATCCGTTTCCATAACCATCGCGTCGTACTCATGGGCCGCGCTTCAAATTCCCTCATGTCGATCCAGTAGACAAAGAAAATGTGATATAATGCTCCCAAAGCGCCAATGCTTAAAAGACTCGCTCGCTAAAATGCTCAATCAAAGACAAGAAGAAAGGTCGACACATGGTGGCGTTGGCCTAGTAACTTGTGATGAGCGGGGCTGTCGATTGCGGCATATAGATCTCTTCGGTTTCAAAGAGTGGTCGCGACTTCTCGTCGTAGAAGGATGTGGTGAGCATGGCCTCCTTCGCCGAGAACTCCATTGTGGGTTGCGGCGGGGTAGGCGGCGACTCGTCGTCAGAGTCCTCGTCGTGAACGAGCTCTGGTGGTGATTGTGATGGTACGCGGGTGAGGGCAAGACCTTCGTCGTTCTCCAAGTCGTCGTACTGGTCGTCCTCCTCATCGACCTCCTCGGTGACAATCTGTACTGGCGCTTGCGCGATGTGGCGGGGCATGACCATGTCGAAGTCGCCCTCCTCGTCGTAGTAGTCGGAGTCTGAGTCGGAATCGGAAGAATCATCATCGTCCTCCTCCTCGGCGATGCTGTCGGCCCACTGGATGTGTCGGGGCTCTTCTGACTTCTGTGCCTTTGCGACGGTGCTGTGGAACCAGGCCTCTTGCTGCCTCTCGGCGTCCTGGAGTTCGATCATGAGCGAGTCGAGAAGGTTGGCGTGGCCGACGAGCAGGCGGAGGTCGTGGTCGGCGCGGCAGGCCTCCTTGCCCAGCTTGGAGCGGGCAGAGGCGGCGATGTAGTAGGTCTGGGTGAGAGACATCTTTTGCTTCTTTGCGGGTGGTGAAGAAACAAAGGGAGTGCGAGTCGTCTCAGCAGAGAAGGGCTCAAAGTCCGTTTGGAGACGGAGGTGCGAAGTGGAAGGCATGTTTGATATGTAGGCAGAAATGTGTATGCCTGAGCGGGTGAGTCAGTATATCGTCGGTGACTAGAAGGGCGGGCTGCACAAACCTAATGCAGTAGCCAATGGCGTGGGAAGGTGGTCCGAGCAGAGTGTTCCGAGGAGTGATGGATGGTTTGGTAGTCGTGATGTCAAGAAGATTCTTGTTGAAGCTCTTTGACTGGGTTGCTGTGTTGAAGCTGGTGTATGGCCTGAAGCGGACGGGCGCGGTGTATATATGTTTGTCTGACGGTGGATGACCAGGCCCGGGATGCTCGGGCTTGAGCATAACACCGACAAGTGCTCACCGCAAAGAAAGCCTGCGAAAGCGTCCGAGCGGACAGGGGGGTGCTCGTCGTCCGCTAGCTCCGCCCGTCAAGCGTCCCCTAGTGATTACGAATTTTGGCCCATGCTCGGCCGACTGCTTTCGTTCGGGCTTTACGCGCTTTACGCAGCAGATAACTCATCATGCTGGATGAATCATAACGACGCTGCGCGTCTAATCGCACCGCCATGCGTGCGCCCTTTTGGTAGAGTCACAACGTCGCACGCCTGCAGACCGCACTTCTGTGCACCAAGCGCCCCTGCATGGAATGCCAATGCCAGTGCCAGGTCGAGGACGCGCAAAGGCGTCGTCGCCAAATTGCTGCTGCCTGAGCCCGCTCTGTGCTGGCGTGCGCTGGCACGCTGGCTCCAGTCACCCTCAGCCTCCGCGTGCTGCGAATCAGGGCCTCAGCTGATAGCGTGGCCAGCGGGCAGCCACAGCGCGCGAGCAGACCGCCCGGCCAGCGGAACTTCCGTCGCAACGTCCGTCTACAGCACGCGTACCAGCCCTGGCGTCGCATCGCAGACCGTCGCGACCGATTGCTGCAGACACGCATCGTACAGTGGATTGCACGGTTCTAGATCACTGTCGCTTTCGTCACGCCACCGTCCGTTTCCGTCGGGCCCGTCGAGTCTCTGCCCTACGAGACTCGGGCTCGGAGCATACAAAGGTGCCCGTCCCTGGATGTTTCCATGGTAGCAGCCTGGTTCCAGTCATCACGTATGCTCGGACGAATTGACTGCGCGTGCGCCGTCTTAGCGCAACAGCGGGCACTCGGGCACTGGGACTTCGACACGGGCGAACCGGCGGAACACCAAGAACGCGGCCGTCCGCCCAAGTGTGGGGAAACGTCATGCCAGAATCAGGCCTTGCGCTAGCAATCACGTCTTTGTTGGTGTTTGAAATTGTCGTCGATTACTCACGCATGGTCCGCCAGTGATTGGCCTCGCTGCCAGCTTTGTCGGCGTGCTGAACAATCTCGCCCTGACAAATGCCCCTTCCTCTCCAACCAGCCAATCACAGCCGCCGCACCGCTTAACGTTAGTCTGATGACACGATCATGAAGCGCATTACCATGCCTTTCTTTCAAATCGCTCTCCTCCTTGTGCCAGTCGCCGAACTCGCAGCACGACAATGCCCTCATTTGCACTTGTGCATGCACTTTCCAAGTGCGGCCATGGACCCTTCCTCGTCTACGATGCGAGAGATGCACCAATTCATCGCACAGAGGCCAATATTATTGATACCTGTTCGGGAAGTGCATTCCTCGAACCCGCCTATTCTCGCGTTGTGCACACAATCTATTCTTGCCTGGATCCACAGGCATTCATGCGAGCCTCGCGCACCAGCCTGTAATTGACCCCCCGCCAACCTTCTCACCAATCGCAAACAGGCCTTCGCGTTCCCAAGGGCTGAACCTCCCCAAAGCGGGTAGCCGGTTACTCAGCTCTCGCTACCCTGCCTTGGCCTACCTTTCGGCGACGCTTCGCACAGCCCTACGCTGCCATCGCGCTGTTCACGGTAACACACATGCAAGGACAGAGCCAAGCGTCTGACATTGTTCCCTTCTGCCACTTCAAGCCCTTCACCGCTGCATCTGTGCGCCTCGCCAGCCGGCCTCACCGCAGCCTCACCGCCAGCGTGCAATATGCGCGGTACCGAGTAATGCAGACGCGCATACATACCGGCGAGTACCCGCGTTTGAACATGAGTCGAATTGACCAACCGTTCGTTGCACAGCCGCGCACAGTCTATTTTGTCACCGCTAAAGCATGACTCAAACTTCTTGTTGTTGTTGTTGTCGTTGTCTATTGTAGACGCGTAGTGTACAACGCCCGTCTGGAAGTATTTGGCATTATGAGTAGACCCGTTCGGGTGTTTAATTGTGCAATCCGTGGAGTTCTCCGCTTGAGGAAGTGTGCCACTGTGCCTCGGGCAACATCACGCGACCACCACATCGGCCCTAGAACAACCTCCCGGATCAAGACGTCTTGGATCATATTCAACGTTTCATGTCAAAGGTTTCGATATATTCAGCGGCTTTCGACGACCTGCGGCTGCGGGGTAAGTCACCGAAGTCCGCACGCCAACGCCGCAATGTCGAGAATTATTGCGGCACGGTATATGCAGTACCTCTCGCACATCACAACGGCTGTCGAAGTCCGTTATGCTACAAGCGGGGAAATCGATGTTGAATGGATAAAATGTTGAGGTGGGGCGGATGATATCAATGATTGTCGTTCCAAGTCGAGGGATTGACGCCTGTTGGCTTTTCTGTGATGAGCAAAGTCCGCGGTCAGGTCCGTTAGACAGAGAGCGTGTGGTATTGATGGACTTTTCCCGTGATGCAATAGGCGTAGAATGTGAATTGAGCCGTATGACACTGACTGACAACAGATGCTGCGGTTCCGGTCTGGTTGGAAGCAGCTACCTAGATGTTTACGCACGTGTTCAGTTGCATCGCTGAAGTGAAGAATACTGGGTGCTGGTACCCTTACTTCAGTAGTCAGAGGGAGGAAAGCGCGAGCGCGCGGCTTCTTCATCTTCAGGTTTAGGCAAAACAAAGCTGACCTCTTCAAGCGACCTGACTTGATCCCGCCTCCACCTCTTCTTTCGCCTGCAGCAACAATTGACATCAATCATCTACGTCCCCCTCGCGATGGCGTCTCAAGAATCTCACAACCTGGCGATGGTCCTGCGATCGCTGAAGTTTCCCGGATGGAATGTCAGAGGTCTTACAGGTCTCTCTGCTGGCATGTACGGAACGCCTCTCATGAGTGGTACAATCCTCCTCGCAATGATTACAGCCGAGGAACATGCAATTCGCCCCAACCCCTTTGCTGAAACAATCTTCAACCGCCTGGTGGGCCCACTGTGGATCATGCATGTGGACAATGTCAATATTGAAGTGTTCAGAAAGTACGTCCGGTTCACCAAGAACCCTACCAATCCGGAGTGGGCGATTCTTGAAACGAAACTTCATGACGCGAATATCTACTTCCGCAATTTTGTGTTTGGCGACAAAAATCCGGCTCTGCGTGACTTTGTAAGTGTAGAAGAGATAAAGCAATGTCCTTGACTAATCATCACAGGCATGGGGCCGCTTGAGAGATTATGACTTCTGCCACCAGGCCGATCCTTCCGGCACCTTGATCGCCGTTCGCGACATGACTGCCGACCAGTTACTTCGCCAATTCGCTGAAAAATATTCCTTCGAGGAATTTCTCATTGTCTTGGGTCCACTGAAGAAGTCCATCAATTCATAGGAGATTTGGGAGCGGGCCACAGAGGGACAGGATGAAAGGAACGCTGGTCGGACTTCAACATTCGCACATAAATACTGCAGAAAATTGGTCACTCGCTCGATTATTTATTTCATCAGCTACTGCCTAGCCCTCCAGAGGCACTCTGATTCTGCAGGATATTGGCCAAATTCGCCCGACGACTACACGTTTCCCCCAAGGGCAGATTTTGTCGGCGCATATTCCTATGTACTCAGAACTTGGGACTCTATCATGTCCGAAAGTCCACTTCCCTACCACATTCCTGTTCCGCAAGTATGGGAAATTTGTGCACACCCAGGAAGTTCCAGAACATCACACAGTCTCTGATGCGTCCCCACTGACGACAGAGGACTCTTGTCTATTGCAGAGCGACCATAACGATAGAAGCGAGATGAAAGCCCAACTCCAGCAGCCAAGCGAACCAGAGAACTGCGTGCGCAGCCGCATCAAAAGAGGCACGTACGAACTTCCAGTACTAAAGTAAACGTTCAGGTTCGAATGTTAACCCGCAACAGGTGATCCAGAGGCTGTTTATTCTTTCTAGCAAATTGATTGGAACACGATAAAGTTCGTGTGCATCCACTCTCCGTCTTACCATTCGTTCTTGCGAAGAGTGGGTACCTCTGTTACTTGGTCTATGACTTGGACTTGCATTGGCCTCAGATATGTGGTTTGGGTAGTGAACTAATCACATTAATTTGACATTACTGTCCTGCCGCATTGCCTTCTTCATGTATGACCCTTTGTACAAAGTGAACTTCATTCTCGGTATTGTTTCTGGATCCGGTATCCGGGGGAGTCTGTTTCTAGATCTGCTAATCATTCGTATGATTAGTTTTTGCTATACGATACCGTAAATTGGAAAGCTGAATCTCCTCGAATTCCGAGATGAATTGCAGTCAGAGCATATGTGCGAGCCATCCACATGCCGACTGCCGAATTCGATAACTTGTGCATATCGTGCACCGACCACAGTATCTTGGTGAAGCACACTATACATCATACTGCAGAGTGGTTGCAATATGTCATTCGCTAGGTGTGGGTTACCACGTCTTCATGTCACCTTGAGAAATTGCCTAGACGAGCTCAACATTGGGCCCTTTGCAACCAACTACCATTGTTCTTTTCCGCGGATCGGTCAAACTATTCAGCAAGGCGAAGGCAAAGGAAAGTTGGAGTCGGAGATAGCGAACATGATTCCCAAAGCGCGCTCGCAGGCGACAAGAGATCCTGAGCTAGAGCGGCACGGAGCGTAAGATAGTCACGTGATGTCGATGAAGGGTATGGTAACCCACGCGACCTGCCCGACTCAGCTAATGGCGATGACCTTGACTTGGGCTACAAGGACTAGGCTGCGAAGGGCTACCACGAAGAACACTTCAATCTGTACGCTCAGAATCAGGATAGTTGACATCAACTTCTTGCGAGCGCATGGCTATAACACGTAAGGAATTTGTATGCTCAGTGTGAAGGAATCCATGCAGATGTATCATGCTAGCCAAATCATACCACGTTAGATCCTTATGTGTCCCGAACGCCCTCTAAATGCTCGCTAAGCGCAAGTTATGCTGATGAGCCATCATGCCAACAAAGCAAGGTATCTAGCTGACCAAAAATCAAGACGCAGAATGCAGAAGACATCACCACTTCGGCGGTCCAAAGTTTTCACCATCTTTGACCGTTCTGTACGAGCAAGCTTTCCAGTCGCAACCCTAGTATTTTGTCAGTGTATGAAACATAGCGACCACGGATCAAGGATAGACTTACCTGCTTGTATACCTCCGTACCCCACCACTTGAATCCATCCATCCATCCCGGGAAGACGAATACGAAGAAGATGATCACCACACCAACCGCCAAACCGCTGTCCAAAGCTGCACTCAGTGTCATGTTGTATTTGTTCCACCACTCCTTCCTCCGATTCCGGATATGGTAGTTGAACACATAGCACACGATGGCCCAGACGCTGAAATTCAGACCAGTTGCCGGAGGGATCCATGACAGGGACCCGAAGACAACAGGAAAGCTGATACGGCGGAGGATTGATTTGCGATTGCGGCGGGCAGGGAGCCATAGGAGGATTGGCGCGATAGCACCGAGGAGAAAGGCCCACACGAGCGGGCGGTAGAGCGCGCCCGGGCCGAAGAACTGTTTGGGGCCGACCACGCCCCATAGGATACTGCCGTTGAAGTGAACGCGCGCGATGGGGCAGGTGAAGCCGTTGATGGCTTCTGACGTACAGATGCCGGGTACGAAAGCGAGCATCCAGTTCAGCACGCCAATCTGCGTCAAGCTCGAGATGACGGTTGCGGAAAGTTGGAGGTTGAAGAGTATCTTGGGCGGTATCTTCATGTAGTGGCCCAATTTCAGATCCGAGGAGAACTTAAGTCCTTGGGTTGAGGTGATGTAGCCGTACGTTGTGAAGACCATGTTTGCGACGGGGCGGCCGGGAAAGATTACTCCGCAGATGAGCTGGCAAATAAGATAGAGACTGCTCTGCTGGTTTGTGATGGCCATTATGATGCCGATTGGGACGAAGAGGGTGACGGCGATACCGAGAGCCAACAATAGGCCGTACCAAGGTAGATGGATGGGATAGTACTCGACAACGAACATGCCTATCGCGCCCATGCTAACCCCCGTCATCAGATACCAGAAGATCGGAACGTCGTCGTATCTTCGCATGAGGCGGTTATGGACATCTTCGGCTGTGAGCAGGTTCTCAAGTTCCGGCTCGGACGAGGTGCTCATTCTATGAACCCTCTCGGAGCTAGCGCGACCGTTTTCCGCAGTCTGTAAAGGTTCATAGGCAGCGCCAGGTCTTCCTCGTATTTCCGCCCATGAGTGACGCCACTGCTTTACGATATCTTTTCCGTGCCAGACAGCTGTGTGAGTGACCAACGCTGTGAGCGCAGCGAACTGTAGCGCATAGCTTAGAACATAAGTGATAGGAAGGAAAACACGACTATAGCTTTCGTATGCTTCTTTGTCAAACAAGAAGTTGTCAGTTAATATCTTGTCCACGTCGTAGGGCTTGCCGCGATTGTCGAATACAATCGTCGAGAGTATCGGCATGTACGAAGAATACATCACGTTCATGTAGTCTATAGATATTCAGCGTGTTGCCGGTTTTTGGATCAAGCACACGTACACATGATTGGAGCCAAGATCCACATGACTACAACGAGCCCGCCGAGGATGTTGAGGGCTGCCCAAAACGGAATGATGAGCGGAGATCCAATGTAAGCAATTTGCGCCCAGTCAAATGTCACAGGGAATAAGCCGAGTCCAGAAGATACTCCAAACTATGATATATTAGCGGGGAATCACATTAATGTGCGACAGACTTACCAGGTTGGCAATCACGACATTTTTCGGTGCGAACCATGTGATGACACTGAAGTAACTCAGTGCGGGGAAGAGAAGACCAGGTAAAAAGTAGAATGCGACGGCGCCAAGTAGCACGCGTACGAAGAACTTAGATGGCGATATGGTCCATCCATTGGCTGGCTTATTTTCGTCCTTGTGCAGCGCCGTGAACATGGTGGCCGGGACAAGCGTGCCCGGCCATATCATGCCGCTTGGTCGAACAAGGTATTGTCGTGTGAGACCAGCGAGGGCATAGCCGAGGATTTGTGTGGACAACGTAAGCAATACTTGATACACAATACCAAGATCCTGATGGTAGAACTTGGTTTGCTCAACAATGACCTAAAGCTACATTAGCGTTGTGTACCGATTAACGTCCGTCGTAAGTGAATACTGACGTCTGTGGCGAACGCGAAACCAAACGATACATTGCTGCTAATGTACACGCAGCAATGCTCTTTTAGATTCCAGCGGCCCTGAGCCAGCCAAAGTCGACATCGTGTTTTCAAAGGAAGAGAGGAGGAGAGGACATTAGTGCTGTGCCTTGACCCAGTCTGGCTGTCCCCTCTTGAGGCAAGCACTCCATTTTCGAATAATTCTTCAGGATCATGAGGTCGTTTCAAGACCTGATCCCACAGCAGGCCAAGTGGATGAACAAGCAAAAGAGCAATGATGGGCGTGATGCTGACGCTGGGGTATCTCAAAGAAAAGAAAAGGTTTGTAGAAGATCCTAATATGGCAAACAAAATGGACAGGATCCACATGCGTGGCGTGTTGATGGACAGTGTAAAATCATCACTGGCGCCTACTGCCGCTCGCACCTGGGCGTAGGGGGAGTTGTCAGCAACGTGGCCGTTGGCTTTGCTATCATGCAGGTCTGCCTCGGCAGATGAGTCGTCGTCGTCGTCTTCGTCGGTTTCACCCAGGGGGCTGCTTGTGGATGATGACTGTAGGCTCTCAAAGACACGTGGAGCAGCAATACCAGACGCCGTCATTCCACCCGTGTTGAAACGTGCTTCTAGCGATTCTTCCTGGCCAGCAAGTATGTCGTCGAGAGGCGCGCTGCTGTTCGCATCCCTAGGCGTGCGGCGTCGTGCAGAGGCCGAAAAAGGTGGTTCGCTCTGGATGGAATCATCGTTGCTGGATTCGATATAGTTTCGTCTCATAGAGGGCTCGCTGTTTCGCAGCTTGCTTTTCCCTTTCTTCTTGCCGCGTCGCAGAAGGTTGGTCACATGACCGTCTGAGTCGTCCGGGCTGGAGCTGAGCGACAGGACCGGCAGACCGCCATAAGAACCGGTGCCCTGGGCTGGCGACGAGCGCACCAGCAGCGGTGCGCGCGACATGGCTGGGTCGTCGGTTTCGGAGGAGAACTCAGGTCGCTGAGAAGGAACGGTGCTGTCGTCATGGGGGCTGAAGCGAGCAGGGGCTGTTTTAATGGGAAGCGGATGGAGCTCGTAGCTGCCTGTCTGCGCGGGCTCAGGCGCCCGTGTTTCGGCGTCAGACAAGCTTTGGCTGGTAGGTATAGCGGAGTCACGCTCTGGCCGCGCGAAGCGGGCGTCCGCACGCATTATACGGGGAGACAGGCGGCGGCATGGGCGCGTGTGAAGACATGAATGGGGCTAGCAGCGATGGGTCTGGTGGACGGCTGGATTATCAGATGGAATGATAACGGTTAGATCCGCGGCACACCTGCGGGCCCAATCGAGCCTGACTGGCTCGACCCGACGTCCCTCACGCCAGCGCTGCACGCCATCACGTTGTTCTGCATGATCGGCATCTGCGCGTCTTCGGCGCGCTGTCACGACGAGTAGTTTCTCCGTTTGCATTTTCGTTGGTGTCGCCTTGTTTTACATACTGGGTACAACAGCGTGAGTCTAACCGCAGTGCATCGCACTAGCGCTGTGCCGCTCTGTCTTACATCATTTACATCAACGTGACCAGGAAACTCCACAGGGCCATCGGCGCGCCGAGTGTGACCGGTTGTTCTTCCTTTGGGAGGTTGCGATCGTGGAATGTTAGTCGATGCTAAGTTGGTTATTACGTTCGGCAGAATACCTGCTGAGCAGTATCAGAAAGCAAACCCACCATCCGAGCAGTGGCGATTTCGCTCCCACCTGAGCCCTATCTATGGTCAGATCCCAACGTTGATGGTGCATAGAGACGACCAAGGAGCCATTATACGGATTGTGTTGAACCTCTACCACCCAGAATCTTTTTTTCATACTCCCACAAACCCAGGATCATCAACGAGCCGAAACACGCCGGTGACATTATCGCTTATTCGATTGATGGTACTGCTAATGCGCAGCAAAAAAAAGCCAATGTAGTACGTTCGTTTGCAGTTGGCTGCGTAAACTTCACGCTGATATCTTACCCCTTCTTCCTGGTCAGTGCCTGAGCGAGATAGGCACCTCCTCTGGAGAAGCGCTTATTGAGGGCTTTCTTGAAGATGGATCTGTATCTCTCACAGACCATCTTTACCATGTGCTAAGGGATCAAAATCTGGACAAAGACTTTCTACTCGAGGAACTGAATAGGCTGAATTTTCTGGATATGGATATGATTAGGATGGAGAATCGTTTCAGATACAAGACAATGCAAAAGCCTCGCCAAGGCGTGAACGAGAAAATCGATCGCCGGGCACAAGACAATGTAGGAGGTGAAAACCCCTCTCGCCAAAGTAAGACTGGTTTTGTGGACATGGACAGGATGATGCTGGGACACTTCAATGCAACAATGGGATACCTGGGTGCTGTTAAACACGCTTCAACTGTTTCGCCAAAACAAAGACACCCGAATTCTTAGTTTCTGGTGTTTTCACAACGAACAGTTTCTCCATTCGCATTTTCATGGTCTAGCATTAATTTACATACTATCTTACATTATTTACATCAACGTGGCCAGGAAGCTCCACATTGCCATCGGCGTGCCGAGTGTGACCGGTGGCGGTGAGGCCCTTCACCATGCTGATAGCGCCCTCGGGGTCGTCTTTATTGTACAGAAATAAGCCTTGCAGCGCTGCCGTGCTCACCGTGTTCTTGAGCCCAAGCTGCGTGACCTGGGCCAGGAATCGCTGCTTCCCCGCTCCCTCGGCGTCGAATTCCGCGTAAAAGCGGTCCCACAGCTCTCCGATCTGATACTCTGTAGCTTCGCCAAGCCGCACAGTCATGTCGACCCGGCCAGGACGGATGAGCGCCTCGTCGAGCCTCTCTACGTAGTTGGTGGTGAGAAAAATGATGCGCTCCTCACCACTGGCAACGCCATCAAGCGCATTGAGAAGGCCCGAAAAGGTCACATTTGCACCCGAATAGCCATCAGCCTCTACCTTTCGGCGGTTTGCAAAAGCCACGTCAACGTCTTCTAATAGTACGATTGTCCGTGGTGGGACCTTGCTCAGCAAATGACTCAAGCGGTCGTCGTTCAGACCACGCTCGCTGACGTTCAGTATGGCAATGTTAAAGTCCAGATGGCCAGCAAGAGCTTGAATGAAAGAACTCTTGCCCGTCCCTGGTGGTCCGTATAGTAAATAGCCTCTCCTGTAGGGTATCCCGCGATCGAGGTACCAGGTTCGCGCCTCGATGAAAGCCTGAACATCTTTTACAATTCTCTCTTTCACGCCACGTTCTAGAATAACGGATTCCAGAGGACGTTTGCGCTTTGGATCTCCAAACGGCTGCCAATTCGGTCCCATCGCATTGTATATGATTGTCTTTCCTTCCTGCATTTGCTGGTGCATTTCGTGCGCTTCTGCGAATATCCGCTCGAATACATTGCGTTGGGAATACAGGGTCGTCATCGTGATGGTCTCAAACGGTATGCCTGTCGACATGTCGAATGCCTTCTCTCGCTGTCGGTCCACCAGGATGAACGAGCTCCCATAGCGCAAGATGTGCTTGCCATGACCAGGGACAAATGAGAAGTGTGCCGCATGTGACGGGCCTTGTGCTGGTTGGGCGGTGCTCACTTGCAAATGGTGAAGGCGTGGATTAAGGCGTTGCGCCAGTGATGACAGTATGCCGCCCTGCAAGCCTTGCCGTGCTCCGGCGAGCTGTGTGCGATGGAAGTTCGTCATCCACAGCAGCAGCCATGGGTATGCGTGGTCACGATGTGTGATTTCGAGGTCGACGAGCATGCGGCGACGCAGTAGCGAGGCGCCCTGCTTTAGGCCTTGTTGACCAACGCGCGCTGCAGTCGCAAGCGCTGCGAGACCGAAGCCCTATGGTGGATGTGAGCACATGTACAATGCAGTACCGGAAGCAGGCGTACGGCGGTAAAGAAGGGGTTACCCGTCAGCTGGCCAAAGTAGGAGCTGAAGCCATCGCTACCCTCAAAGGGCGCATGCTTTGCGAGCTGCTGCGATGGGCTCGGCGGGATGGGATTGGAAGTGGGAGAGTCCATAGAGAGGTACGATGACGCCGCAAAACTTTGAGCTATCACTTTCCACGCGATGCGCTAGGCTCGCTTGGTGCGGTAAGAGGTCAGGGGTCTGCAGCAACAGTTCCATGGAGACTCTTCTATCCACGCCACAGAACGAACTCCGGGTTACGATTTCTCAATGCACGAAGGCCTCGCTGGCCTGCAGCAGATGCCAGTATAACAAGGTATCTTGTCAGTGAGCGGAATGGGTCTATCGCGGGGCTGCAGGGACGGCGGCGGCTGCGTTTATAGTGCAGATCCGGGGAAAGAGCGAGATGACTAGCGTGCTCCTACCGAGGCGGAAAGCGCGATGCAGTGATGGAGCTTGGGCCACTACTGATAAAACACTCCCACGGTTGGGGACCATCTCCTTGCAAATCCTCACTTCCTGCACCCTTACACGCACCTCATAAAGGCGCTCGTCGGCCTTAACGTGATTCCTTCACCATGGCAGCTGTCACCATAGGCAGATCTTACTTTGATGCCCTACTACGTCGGTGAGTTAGTGCTGCTGCACCGTATCTTGATATCTTTTACTGATGGCTGATTGCTGATTGCTGGTTGTTGTAGAGCTGAGTTTGTGAGTCGTCTCCAAGATGTATGCACCCGCCACAATGGACTTACCCATCCCGCAGCATACTTCTGGTCGCAACTTCGATACCACTCCGAGCTTGTCCAACAATGTGACCATCTCCAAAGCCGAGCACGACTACTTGCTACAAGCTGTTCAAGAGTATAGTACGCTCTCTCACAAAATATGAAGCTTTCAAGTTCCTTAAAATTGTCTAACGCATGACAGATCTTCTCAGAAGCGTACTGTTTCGCGGCGGACTGACGGTCGAGACCCTGGACACTTTGCTTGCGGGTGAAGGTGCTATCCACGATGAATCGAAGACGTACATGAGTCAGTCTAGCTCCTGGGAAGAGACGTTTGTTCGACCACACTCCGTGCCCGTGGTCGTGAGCCGCCCTCGTCCCGAAGACTCTCCGCCCGACTCAGACACGACAGTCGGAGAAGGCCTCGTTCGCCCGCGGAAGCTCTCCCAGTCCCACAATAGAGTCTACAGCTACGGTCAGCCCGATTCTTTTGATACTTCGGAGAAGGAGGAGGACGATATACACCAATCGGCCAATCGTATCCCCGTTCACGACCAAAGGACGATACTCATCACTAACCTTTCAGACCGGACCACACACAAGGACCTGGCCGGGATCGTCCGAGGTGGGCGGGTGCTGGACATTTTCCTTCGCAATGATCGTTCAGCCACTGTTTCGTTTGTTGAGGGTGCAGGTGAGTCTGTCGGCGCTGCGGCGTGCGAGTTGCTCATGATGGGTTCGCTTTGCCACTAACACACAACAAGCTGACTTTTTGTCCTACGCAAAGCGCAACGACATCTACTTGCATACAAAGAGACTCGAATTTCGTTGGAACGATCGTCAATTCCACGTACCACCGCATGTAGCAAACAAAATTGCCAATGGAGCCAGCCGAAACCTCGTCATCCGCGGTGCACTTGGGAAACTCACGGCAGATCAGATTCGAGACCACCTTGACCACATTCACAACCTTGTCGTAAGTCAGCTGATGACCGGAGTTCGATACTTGTGGATCGGTAATCTCACCTTCGCAGGTTGTAGACATTCATTTCAGGGGTGGCGATATCTTCATCTCCACCAACTCTATTCACAACGCTCTGTTCGCGAGGACTTGCATGATGTCGCGGACAGCATACAAGGGCTTACGCATCGACTGGTAAGTCGTTTCGTCGCACGATCTTGATAGTTTCATGCTGACTTTACAGGTGCCCCGATGAGTGTGCTGCGCCTCTCCCACGACCGATAGCAAAAGCCCCAGCCTGCAAGACGAGTGCTCCGATCAAATCAATGCCTATCACCAATCGCTACACTCTTCTCTACAATGCATCCGAATTGGAGTCCGACTCAGACGAAAGCTCTCACATGACGAATGGCATTCAAGTGAGCAGACAATGGGCCGATGCCGCCGTAGCTTGAGGGTTTCTGTCATCAAAATCCGTGGCTACCTCCTGCAGACCTTGCTGGCGGTCTTCTACGATATCACATAACATCGTCCTGGAGGAGACAAGAACTTATCACCAATGCCGCAGCTTCGCTCTACTGACCCAGAGACCGGTGGCGTATATTGCCTGTATCTTACCTCCCTTGTTCCTAACTGTATCACGGATAGCTGGCATTGCATACGATGACCGGTCCGCTCAGTGGGTACCTTAGTTTTCCATCATGCATCCTTGCAGACGAAGTATGACTTCGCGTATACCTTTTCGATGGACGTACCATATTCTAGCATTAGAGCGTGTGGCATTTCTGGCGTCCCGTGGGGCCCGTTGTTCTCTTCTTCCAATTATGTCTCCCCTTCTAAGCATAGATACCCCAATTGTAAAATTTCCCACGGCCTTCATAGTGATTTGGATTATTACCAGACCCTCACCTGAATGTCGAACGGCTGGCCTATACAGCCATCCAAGAGCGATTGCCAAGCTCACAACATCTGTACTGCGTATGAGAAGCTTTAGCGCTCGACGCGGCTGCATGGCCAAGGCATCAGAGATCAAAAGCACTCAAATTCTGGGCATGGCAACGTTCCCATTTCGGAAAGGGGATACTATTAACCCGCCGGGGGGTCGGCAATAAGAGCCAGGCTAACTCCGCGCACGCAGCACGACTACGCGACTGCCTTCCAACTTCGTTCTTCCCCTCACATCAGTCATATGGAGAAGAAGAGAAAACGACAATTCGGCTTGCACAACGTCACGATCGGCTCTAACATTCGCCAATTACAATGACATACTCCGTCATACTTCACGTCCCACGCAAACCGGGTATCAGCTCTGAAGAGTTTAAACATCACTGGGAAAATGTACATGTTCCGCTTGTGAAAACACTTGTTGGACATGAATTCCCACTGTCTTACACGCGACACTATATTGAGCGCCCCGTATACTCTCCACCATCCACGCCTTCTCCGGTCGACCCTGCTCTTGACCAAGCTGGAACAATCACTGAAGACCCTCAAGGCTTTATCGATGTAGATGGAGTAGCTGTCCTCACATTTGCGAACAAGGAGCACTATGATAGCTTCAGCGCAAAGTTGGTGGAGACGAAGAGGAACCACGTGTATAAGGAGGATTTAGGGGGTTTTGTGGACATCGCGGCGTTGAAAGCCATGTTTGTGGTAAGTGCATATGCTTGAAGTGTATTGGATGACACCGTCGCTGAGATGAATCGCGTTGTTCAGGGTGAGACCAAAGCAACTGGAAGGGATGGGGGTATGGTGGGATGGAGGTTTGTGGGGAGTATTTGATGGTCAATCCTTATAATGGCCATCCCCAAGGTTTCTTACTTCTGATGTTGGGGACGTTCGAATCTCCATTTCTTGAGTGGCTGTGGTCTTATCCAACGCTGGCGCACCTGATTATACCCTTTCAAATTTTGATCAAGTCGTAAGCCACGCCCATAACCCTGAGCTCATACCTCACCAGCCCTAAAGACGGAAATTATGCTCTCGCAATAACCATGAAAGATCACGCATCGCATGCCACTGGAGTCTAGCGCACTTTCTATCTCCGCGCCGTACATTAACGCCGAAACTCCACCTTCTCCACCGCCGCACCGGGCACACTGCATTGCAAACACAGCACACTACCGATTTAAGTTACTGTCGCTTACCACCTACACAACTTGACTGAACATGGCTCCACTGGTCAAGGTTGCTGTGATACAATTGTATCCAAAGGTAGGCGAAGAAACGCTGCGACTGGGATGCGTCATTTTGATGGGGTATAGCCGATGCAGCCCGAGCACAACTTCAACAAGGCCGCAACATATATTCGAAGTGCGGCTGCGCAAGGTGCAGAATTGGTTGTATTACCTGGTAAGCTCATTCTTCCGGCACGCAATCATTACATAATCCTGACTTTCATCCAAGAATACCACCTCACGAACTGGCTGCCCAAGGATCCAGCATTCGTCGGCTTATGCGACCAATGGGAAACGTACTTGAACAAGTACAAGGATTTGGCCAAAGAATGTAGAATATGTATTCAGCCTGGCACGATTGTGGAGTCCCATCCCCAGGAGGAAGCGGATGAGAACAAGCTGCTCAATGTAGCTTACTTTATTGATCATGAGGGTAATGTCGCTGGTAAATACGTTAAAAAGAACTTGTGGTATGCTTTCAAACGCTTCCTCTTCGCTCAAAGACACTCAATGATGTTACTGTTTGATGGACGCTGACGGCACACCAGGCACCCCGAACGCGAGCATCTAACAGGCAGCGGGCGAGACGTCCATGAGGTCTTTGACACGCCCATCGGCAAGGTGGGCATGCTAATTTGCTGGGACTTGGCCTTCCCCGAAGCATTTCGCGAGCTCATTGCCAATGGTGCGGACATTATCATCACACCTACTTTCTGGACGCTGAACGACTGCAATGCTGCGGGGTTGGCGCTGAATCCGAGCTCGGAGGCGCTGTTTTTGGATAGTATGTTAACGAGTAGGGCCTTTGAGAATACGTGCGGTAAGCTTCATATTACTAAAACGTTCACCCAGATGAACCTGGACATGGGCCGGTATGCTGATTGATGTGTACAGCCATCGTCTTCGCCAACGCGGGAGGCCCGCCCGGTCACGGCTACGCCGGCCTTTCGCAAGTCGTAGTACCGTTCATAGGACCCCTGGTGCGCATGGGCAGCTGTGCGGAGGGAATGAGCGTTGTGGATATTGACATGCAAGTGTTGAAGGACGCTGAAGAGAACTATCAAGTCAGGGCGGATTTGGCGAGGGACGATTGGCATTATGACTACAGGCATTCGAATTCGAACACGAAGGACAGCGAGGATGGGAAGGCCAGAGAGAGGTTGTAGAATAGTCTGCATGGCCAAAGGTCGCGCCATCAACAGCAATCAGGACGGATCTCAACCAAGCCTAGTTTCCGCACCTTGCATGCGACTGCGTGTGGGCTCATGGAGTAACGGATCAGACTTACACACTATTATGGTGCACTCTGCACACTTGTACAGATTGCTCGACCCCGATCGAATCCGCAGGAAGCACAGCATTGTGTTAAATGTATCAGAAATGGGGTGTGAGGGGGTCGGGAAGGTTTTGGGCGCACTGCTAATCTGATGAAAGGATGCCCAGGTGTCATGTGTTGGTGCCCTACCTTCCTAAGGCGTGCATGTACATGACTATTCTATAAGGAACGTGAGAGTTCAGTCTTGTTGTGAGGTATTTCTCGCGAGCCTAAAGCTTCATATCAATTCGAATTGAACAGTGCAAGCAAAAACATGTCGACGAGGAGCCGTCCCACAGTACAAGAAGCCCAGTATCTATTATTATTCCACAGCTAAAACCTTAGAGACACTAGATCCTCTACCCCTCTAGAAGTCCAATAACTGGCAATCTTTTTGACCTGACGCCTTCATGGCTCGAACTCGTCAGCTCGGAACAGCTGGTCTGTTCGCAACCCGTCAACCGCGATCTAGCGTACCTGCCCGTTCACTTGTTCATGGAAATCAGCCGCACTGGGTTTTACCCTTCTTGAAGACTGTTCTCAGGCCATGATGGCCAGGATAGAGATTGTAAACAATGATCAATCGTTGTTTGGCTTTCATCTAGATCTTGCTTCAAGTGGCATCATGCTCATCCGACTATTTGGCTAGAGGGCTGCTATACCTGGTATTGGTATTGCGGTGTGATGGGAAGAAGATGGGTGGAAAGGAACGCGATAACTCATATTAGTGTCAGAAACGAGGGAGCCGATAATTTGCGGAGACTCCGCGCACTTTGAACGGAAGAAGTGGATCGTGAGCGGATGCTCTCTGAGGAGCATATAGCGTGGCTCAAAGTCGGCCTTGTCTACATCCCATAAGTTATTCGTTCTGTCGTGTACGCACGCATCTGTCGCAATCGTGCTCAGCGAAAGCTAATCGGCAAGGAGAGATCACTGTCATCGCTTCAAGTTTTACTTTCCACTTTCCCTCCTCACCTCCAGATAATCAAGGCAACATGTCCACCTTTCGTCTAAAATTTCAAGGAGCGGAAAGGCCAAAACTACGACAGGGCGCCATTATTGCTCAGATCCGTCAGCTCGCGCTGCAGGGCCCTACAGAAACTCGTCAGTTTCCTAGGCCCCGCCGCTCATTGTGTCCTAGAACTCAGCATAAACACGCCAGATGGGCGCAGGCATCGCAGGCGGCGAGCAAAGCTCCCATCATTGCATCAATGTGGTAGTGGATCCGTGATGCTGGCGGCTGTGCAATGTCCCGTGATCGGTTTTTACGTGATCATATTATTGTGGTCATTATGACTACGCAGTCTAGACTTGCTTCAAGTGCGACAGCGGCTCTTCCGACTGGCGGCGACGCGAGCGATGGGCCACGTACCGCATACACCATGGGGCTGTTGCCTGGGTGTAGCTATACACAGGTGATAACGCAACTTGATGAGGACGAAGCAAGAATGAAAGGATGCATGGAGACTAGATATCGAGGGGAATATGTTGTTGGCTGAAGGGGAGCGCGGTCGTGAGTCGAAGATTTGAGAGAAGTAGCTCGTGAGCTGAAGTCCCCTTGAGGTGCGGGATCGGACATGAGCCCCGGGAATAGCGACGCCACAGGCACCGCCTCCCCAGCAAGAGTGCAGGCACGTGACGGGTTACCATCCATCCATGGATGCTGGAAGATCACTGTTGCTCCAGTAGTATGATGTATTCGAGTCGTGGTATGCTCTCTGCTCTCGATCCAGGCGACCTGTACATGTGCGGTGCTTCACTGGAATGTGAGCGTATCAGTCGGGGACATTGTTCGAAAGTATATTGATGTGTTCTGTGGGGATGATCAGGCGGACTTCAGTAGTGAATGTGTGTGAGACATGCACGCGTCGCTTCGTCGTTGCGAAAATGATTCTTGCGTGCCTGGCATAAGTGTCGCTGCTGTTTACAACCCCTCGCAAGACCTCAAATACAATCCGTTCAGAACACGATGAACTGCAGCTCCAGATTTGCCTCCACATCTCGCCTATCTGGAACTGTGTCGTCGTCGATCGCATATTTGCTGGGGCGCACAGGATAGGCGCATGTTTTTATGACGTACGTGCACGCTCAGCCACTCACGCGGGCCAGGGACTGCGATGTGATCCACCTCGAGCACTGACTCGTTGCAGCATCCCCTCCTCCACATTCTCACCGCCCGCAACAACTTCCTATTTCCAATCTTTCATTGTCAGTTGCGACTAGCACTTTAGTATTTACCATGAGTTCCAGCAAAGGTCAAGAGGGTTCGGCGGTGCCCACCAAGCAGAAAGGTTCATGGTCCAGCTTTCTCAAGGTATGCTTGCGACGCATGAGAGTTGGAGTGTTTATAGTGTTCACAGGCCTACAAATGGTGTTTCATTGTGCATACTAACAATTTGACAGTCCATAGCATCCTTCAACGGCGACTTGTCATCCATGACCGCACCTGCGTTCATTCTCTCCACCACCTCCCTCGTCGAGTTCTCCTCATACTGGACCGAGCACCCGTCCGTTTTCGTCGCACCCGCTGCCGAGAAAGACCCTGCGAAGCGATGCATGCTGGTATTGAAGTGGTTTCTCAGCACGCTGAAGCAACAGTACGCCAGTCGTAGTGAGAAGCTGGGTAGCGAGAAGAAGCCTCTGAACCCTTTCCTGGGCGAGTTGTTCCTTGGCAAGTGGGAGGACGAGTCAGGTGAGACACAGCTGGTCAGCGAGCAAGTCAGGTACGCCATATCTTGGATTGGAGCTTTGGGGTTAGGCTAACGTGGGTAGCCACCACCCTCCTGTTACGGCATACTCCATCTGGAACAACAAACACGGCGTCCGGCTCCAGGGCTACAACGCGCAGAAGGCGTCCTTCAAGACCACCATTAACGTGAAGCAAGTTGGTCACGCTATGTACCACATTGACGGCTTCAACGAAGACTACCTTATCACCCTTCCTCCGCTGCACATTGAAGGTCTGGTGGTAGGAGCGCCATACGTTGAACTCAACAGCGCCACGTACATTCAGTCCTCGTCCGGTTACACTGCGAAGATTGAGTATAGCGGCCGCGGTTGGGTTAGTGGCAAGTCCAACAGCTTCACCGCTAGCGTCTACCCCGAGGACAAGAAGAAGGAGCCCATCTACACGGCAGAGGGTCAATGGACTGGAAAGTTCAGTTTCAAGGATGCCAAGACGAAGCAGGTACGTTTCGGCACTAGCAGCGGTATTGATTCTCGAGCTCTTACTGACTCGCCCTGTAGGTTGTTGACACCTTCGATCACGGAGCAACGAAGCCGACTCCTCTGACAATTGGTGCCATCGAACAACAAGATGACTTCGAATCACGAAGAGCATGGAAGAAGGTCGCCGATGCCATCACAAAAGGCGACATGGACACTACGTCATCCGAGAAATCCATCATCGAGAACCGCCAGCGCGCTATGCGCAAGACCGAGAAGGAGCAGGGCAAAGAGTGGGAACGCAAGTTTTTCAAGCGCATTGAGAACGACCCGACTTTTGAGAAACTCGTACGTTGTCCAAACCCTGATAACAATAGTCGTTCGCTAACATCGCTTAGGCTGCCAAAATCGGTGAACAAGTTAACAAGGACGCGACCAACGGAGTATGGGCATTCGACCAAGAGAAGGCGAGTACGGCGAAGTCGCCATTCCACCCGGATGTTAACCCTCCCATTTATGTGGCTACGGACGACCTGAGCAGGACCAGCACGAAGAGTACCGCCGGGGCTTAAGCAAGATGCTTTGAATTCGCACTTTGACTAATGTTGTTGCATTCAGGGAGTACGTGAGATGGGATACCCGAAGAAACTTGTTACGGTTGGCAGGATCTGGGTCAGGAAGGGAGACACTTGGATCGAGCTTCGAAAGGATGAAACGAAATAATTTCAGGGTGGCGGGGTCATCATTATTCACGAGTGTATACCTAGATGTTACGACTCCCTAATGCAGTGTCTGATTTCTCTATCACACGAAGCATGCTTATTCCTCACCGAGTAATGAGCTATTACTCATTCACCATTTGTGCCTTCGCGCAACTGAACATTGGCTATAATACTCACCACAGCCAATACAGATACGAAGCAGAAACCCAGGCCCACAACGCCCATCCGAATCCCTACCCACATAAACGCCAGCGCAGTGGGCGGAAAAGAAGATGGGCTGAGGTTTGATGCAATGCACGCATGTCGTGTGGATGGTACCTCTTACACTAGGATGAGGGCACAACGCTCGTCCTCCCAGCAGCAAGGAGAAGGAGCAACCCCAGCAACACGGATCACTTCATCAATGCGTATAAATTCCCAGTTCCGCTGCTCTACACTTTTCCCGAGCAAAGATATAAGCGGGCAGAACGCGGCGATGCAGTATCCGAAGGGACAGAGGGACAGAGATGCTCCATACCCGGATGATGCACCACCTCTCCTGAAAACCCAGGGTACACGATGTCCTGCAAAATGTATGACGCCAAAGTGCCTACATGTGGCTTGTACAGATTGTGACAGATAAGTCTATATATGGAAGTAGAAGTCAAACAAAATGCAGAGATTCGCTAACACTATGTAGGAAGTATAACATCCAAAAATGTGCGTCAGGGATTACTTCAGGTCGAGCAGCCCAGATATGAACCATGCAAATGCAAGCATAACGCGGAACCATACCCACAACATTGTATCAAATCATATCCTCCTTAGTCCACACATTCACCATCTCTTCCATCTATCTTGGTGCCCATCTTCTATCTGTTCACTCCGCCTCCGAATCGTGCTCATCCCCAGGAATCGCACATCCGCACGGCCACACTCCACCTCTTGCTCCGGGATACTTTTCCGCAAACTCTTCCTCGCTCAACCCTTCATCTCTCGGGTCAATCTGATGCCCCACCCCAGTCTCCAGATCCTTATCCCCTTCAAACCCCCAAGCGTGCTTCTCATAATCCCACCCATGCTTCCCAGGCTTCAGGAATGGCAAGGTAATGTTTTTCTTTCGGCGGTGCGGAGGCCCGATCTTTTTGCCTGCGAGGGCGGCGGCGCGGGCGTTTTCGAGGTCGCGATGGGGGATGAGGGTGGTATTAACAATTGTGGACTTGCCGAGGTGGGAAGTGTGAGTATGCGCTGAGATGATGAGGTGCTCTCGAGTGGCTGGAAGTGGGAGGGCGCAAACGGCTGTGGTGCGGGAGGGCAGGCCTGGAGTTACTGAGAAGGCGGGGTCTAAGGAGAAGACGGAGAGGTAAGGGTGGGTTTCCACCTTGTGGACGTCATGGACTTTGGCTAGGTATAGGTCTTTGTCGGCATGGCTCCAGGGGAACGTATCCGGACGAGGGGCAATGCCACGAGGTGGTTGCGCTTTGATGATTTGAGTAATCGGAGGCTTGAATTGGGTATCAGGTTTGCCATTTGATGGCGCCATGCTGGTTGAAGTGGATGGAGCAGGAGTCGAAGTTTGAGGTTTTTCCGTATTAGAGGAAGGCAGTGCTGTATTTGCCTTGTCCAGCCTGAGCTTCTTGAAAGACCCTTGTGACTCTCGTGCTGGTAGCTTGCGTTTGTTACTGGCATCACCGTTTGTAGCCAAGGTGGGATCTCTATCCCCTATTTCTGGCTTTGAATTCGCTTTCTCCATAGAAGCAGACCGCTTCTTCGAGACCGGCGCCGGCACCATCACTTCATCCTCCAACACCAACAACATCTTTATCTCCTCACTCATACTCCTTGCGACCTTCTGCTGAGGCTGAGGCACTTCTTTGCCCTTGATAAACCCATTTACGCGCTTATCTCCTACACCCTCCCTCCTTGTCTCCTCTTTCCTCTCCTTTATCGTCCTCCCCTTTGGCCCCTGCCCAAAAGCCGTCGACTCCACCTCCGTAATCCAGTCCCCAATCTGATCCTTACTCCATTTTGGCTTCCCACTTTCCCCTTCCATCTCTTGCACTTTGGCATCGCCGGCGTATTTCCGCACATATTCTTCCAGCACTCGTTCACGAGAGATCTTATGCGCGATGACGCGGCCGTCGCGGGCGTATGTGAGGCGCTTCCCGCGGGAATCGTAGAGGGGAATGCGCAGGCCCGGAGCGATGTAAAAGCGTGAATCTTGGGATGAGGGGTCGGGAGTGGATTTGATGCCCTTATTAGGCGTCGATGTTACAGGTTTTGAAGGAGCGGTGGTCGGCTTGGTCGGCTTCACGATGCCGGTGTTCTTGGTGGATAGTGTGAAGCCCTGCTTGATACCCTTCTTTGCCGTCTTTTTTATGGATGCGGCTTTTATGGCGAGCGTGTTTGTGTCGCTGTGGACAGCGGTCTGACGCTCTTTCTTGCTGTCCATATTGTATATCTCTTGCTTTCTCCAAGGGGTCAATTGCTCTTGAACTTGAAGATGTGTAGTATGGGGAGTAGAGTCAAGCTGAACTATGACAATAAGCTCTCCCTTGCACAATGCGGAGAGCTCTGGGTTTGTAACCGTCGAAGTATATATGGAACAAAGCGACGCGCAAGTCAAACAAGGCTACTGTTAGCAACGCCATTGTCCCTCGGTCTCAATCTCTTTGACAATAACTCCACATTATTGAGGGGTGTAGGAGGGCTTATTGTTCGCCGCCCTGAGTGCCTGATTTGCTGGGATACGCCGTTCGTCTGAGCCACGTGCTCAACGTGAGCCTCACGGGACTAAGACTAGCTCATGGGCGTCGTAAGTAAGCCTGGCCTGGAGTTACATTAGATAAATCGCAAACGAAAACCTGCAGGTATATTTTTGGTGGAAGCAAGAGTAAAAGTTTGCCAATGATGTTGCACCTGATGCGGGCATGTGTTTAGAGATTGCTCAGCTACCTACGCCACCATGGAAAAGACCCATTGGAGCCAATTCGTTCAATTCCATTACCTAGAAACGGAACCGTTTGCACTACGATCCTGTTCACATGAGTATCGGAAAGCGGCTGGGACGAAGCGGGCGCGGCGTCGCTGTCTCCAACGCTGCTTTGTGCTGCGTACTTTCCGGGGAAAGTGACCCGAGTTCCGTTCCTTCATCGTCCTGTGGTACTTCAAGTGATGCATCTCGTATCAGGAAAGCCAGTATGATCAAGAGCGTTGATGCGACGATGCCAACAGCGCATAGATAGCGGTGACTTTCGACAAAGGCTCCTACAATGGCCATGCGGAGTGGTGAACCTGAGGGTGCGTCGACATCCCCGGGATTGGCGTATACCATTTCGATCTGAAAATCAGTCATCATTTGTCCGAGATATTCGTGAAGCCTAGGTCGCAGTGCGTTTGTCCAGATCGCGCCGGCAAGCAATTGCCCGATACCACCTCCAATTCGGCACGCCGTCATGTAGGCGCCGATGAGTGTAGACAGTTGCGTGTGGTCTCGCGCTCCTTGAACGAAGGCCATGGCTGGAAACGGGAAAAGCCCGCCAGCGATGCCCAAAAGTAATTGAGATGAGGTGACAGCGAGATGACTGATATTATCTACGCCGCTCGGGCGAGTGTACTGGACCACGAAGGAGACAAGGTAGAATATCGCACCAAAACGAAGATACCACCTGAGGTCTCGGGTTATGCTGATGATGACACCGAAGAAGAGCCCGACCAATGTGGAAGTGAAAGTGTAAAGGCCGACGATACGTATGGCGCTGTCTTTCTCTTCGTCGTATCTAATTCTCAGCCCGATATAGAGGTACGTGTGTTGCGCATAGTATGCCAGATGATAGAGAAACCCCATGCAGAGGGCTGTCATGATCCTCGTCTCTCCGAGTAACTGTACATGGTCAGCATTCTGAGTATAGCATCAGATCTACGAAATTAGAGTGGCGGTAGGATTGCAACTGAGTAGACTCGTATACCTTTGGTCTTTGACTTACCTGAGCTGGAAACATGGGGTATTTCGAGTACTTCTCCACGTAGTAGAGTATTGGGACGCAGAGAAACCCTGCAATACTGATGGAGATCATAGCAGGACTCAACCACAAGGCTTTACCATATGGCACAATAACCGGGACCGCTGCCCAAGGCGCTAGAAGGCACGAGACAATGGCCACGAAGCACATCCATCCAATAATATCCATTTGCCAGAATCGTAGAAGTTGGCGAGCGACGCAGCCTTGGGAAAGCTTCTGCTTGGTTTCTGATGTGTCCTCTGAATTAGACTGTGGTACTCGTTTCTTCGCGCGGCGCTCGATCGTAAACATGCCTACGATCAACGGCACCGAGCTTGCTGCCATAGTTGTTATTCATCACTTGAATAAAATCGTCCAGAGTTCTTCGACATACCGGTATACAGTATGGCAGACCACGCAAAACGCCAACGCCACGAAGGGTACGCAGCGGCAAGCGCGTCCCTTAGAGCAGCATTGATCCAGGTCGTTGCCTAGAGACCCGGCTCGTCAGCGATGTATTGAGTTGGAAAGATACTTCCCACTGATGGGGGGCTGCAAAGCATCAATGTAGACGATACAGTGCCTTGTCAAAAGGCTGGATAAACTATTTTACCCCAGGACGAGCGATGCAGTACCGGAAATTTTGACCTAGTACTATATGCCAGCTATCGCACAGACAGGACAACGTACCAGATAGGGAACAGCAGGTAGGTAAAACGCAATCACCCTCAGCTGCATTGATGTAATATCTGCGATTATGATTTCAAACATCGATATGACACCCAGGAAACCGATCTGATGCCGTTAGAAGAACCTTTTCTCTTCGAAGCTGTGGATGCTCACAGTCCAGAAGACAGTGCCAGTGCAGAACAATCCGATAGACGGAGACTTGGCTTGCAACGCAGTTCCTGTCACAGATTAGCTGCGTTTTGGGTGCGTTTTGGACCTTCTAGGAATTTTCCTAGAATGGCTCGGGGTATAAAAGCTATATGGCTGCTACTTGGGCGTTGAAGTTGTCCGGAAGAGCTTACCTAGCACATATGACACGACGCTGGCAAGGAGTGTCTCGGGACGACCAAACACGTCTGCGCTCTTCGAGATGATAGGGGTCAAAGAGCCAGCGCTAAGTGTTGCAATAGTATAGATGGCCCCCAGCATTCCGCTTTTTTGAAAGGCAATCAAAACCTCGAACTGATATAGCACGCGCAGAAAGTTGTCGAGGCTGTGCGCAGTCGCCAACACCATAATGAGAACGAAGATGAGGATCCTTTCTGAGGGCAGAATGTGCGCTCTGAGTATTTTCATGCGCATATATCCAGGACTATCGGCTCCAGTCGGGGGCTCTGCGTGTGTCCGAGAGATGTTTGGCGATTCGCCTGACGCAACTGAAGTATCGCGACGGCCAAGCTCAGCTGCACCCTCCTTGTCCTTCGGGTTCACATCGCCTTGAAGAGGTTCGGAAGACTTAGAGGAAACGCGCCATGACTCGCTCACGGTAATCGCATCGGGGTCGTACTGGTCAGCCGCGCTCATGGACACAATGCGCCCCGGCGGGTAAGTACTGCCTGGATCGGGATGCGTTGCTGAATGGGACCGGAGGCTGTCAGTCATCTCTGCGCACAACCTGGAAGATTTTGGCTACGCGTGTGAGCAGGGCCGCCTGGGAGCGAGGTTCTAATCAAGGAATTGGAAGGAAGGCCCCGAGACTGAGGCAGCTGACGGCGATTTAGCTACCTGTGGTGGAAATGATTGTACAGAGAGTAGCTGTGTCGCAAAGAGAAGGCGGGTGACTTGAACTTGTTGCTTGCGTTCAAGTTGAAGCAAACGGCGAGAATCGAAGAACACGTGAGAGTGAAGGAAAGCCGCGAAAGAAAATTATATTATTCCATTGTCTGCTACACAAAAGCGGTTCGATAGCAGCCTACCACCATTGTGCGCTGCTATCTCGCCAATAATCCACAGTTGATGATTACCACCAAAACTACGATAGAGAGGCTCTACAGTTGGATGGCTCGCGAAGAATGTAGAACACCGTCGTGGTGCAGAGCGATCAGTCAGTCACTGAGAGCAGTTAGTACATAAGCTTTACGGCACTCGAACCGCTAATGCGACGGTTAGGAAAGGACTTCACGGTTAAGAGAATGAACGCGTCGATAATCGCGTAGTCTTTGAGGGATGGCCTCGACGAAGCTGCGCCGGTAGGATCGAAATGGAGACCTTCGAGCGTACGAGAACAAAGAAGGACATCCAGGTATACATTCCTATCAACACTTGCTTGCTGACCTCAATATCGCCTTTTTGATGAATGTTGATGACTACCTTCTACTGCAGGGAATTGACGTCGGGAAAACAAGCCTGTTCCGGACAAGCACGGATGGGGAAACAGCACGTGAGGTTGATCGCGAGCCGAGGCAACTCCGCGCCTCCGTTATTTCGGGCCGCTTTGCGACTGCATGCTCGTCTAGCCATTGAACTGTTCAAGCGACCTTCCTCTGCTTGATGACATTGTGTGAGCGGTAGCTGTTCACCATGGTCATCCGCGAGGACCTCATAGAATCGGCAGTAAGTCATCCCAAAGAAACGCAACCGAGCGATACTGACAGCCGCAGGTCTCGTGTACGTTTATCGTGATCTCCGTCACTTCTGCAACCTCTGCCAGCCGCTGACATTGTTGCAGTCCTGCAAGACCCTTCGGTTGCGAGCGCGCCGTTGGAGAAGCGCATAGCCTTCCTCCAGTCGAAAAATCTTACGCAAGAGGAGGTAGACGCCTCTCTCGCGCGCGCCGCCGAAGGCCCCAGCCACCCCTCGCCAGCTCCGCAAAGCTCCACATCCTCCAACTATGCATACAGACCACCTCAGTCAGCTCCAGCATATGGGGGATATCCTCCGCCCGGGTACTGGCAACAGCCGCCACCGCCAGAGTAAGACTCGCCTTCACAGGTATTGGGGCAACGGACAGTCACGCTGACAAGTGCCAGGCCTCCGAAACGAGACTGGCGCGACTACTTCATCATGGCGACGGTGATGGGCGGTGTCGGTTACGGTCTCTACTTCACGGCGAAGCGATATATCGTGCCGCTCATTGCTCCACCTACGCCTCCTCAGCTCGAACAGGATAAAGCATCCATAGACGAGTCGTTCAAGCGTGCTTTTGACCTTCTAGACCAGTTGAACGAAGACACATCCGCTCTCAAGGCATCTGAGGAGGCCAGGACAACGAGGCTCGACAATGCCCTCGGTGAAATGGAAAGCGTTCTCGCAAGCTTAAAGGAGTCATCTAAGCGACAAGGCGATGACAATAGGCGGATAGAAGACGATGTTAGAGGATTGCGAGATCTTATTCCCAAGGCCCTTGATGCACAGAAGGATGCGACGGACACGCGCCTGAAGGAGCTGTCGAGCGAGCTAAAGAGTTTGAAGACACTTGTTGGCAACAGGATGGGAGCTGGTGCCGCGCGTCCGCCCGCGACCACGCCCGCAAGCTACTATGGCGCAGGCCAGACATTGGGCTCTGCCCCAACACCCAACAACATTAGCGGAGCAGCGACGCCAAACCCTGCGCCTGTCTCCGCCCCCGCAACCCCTGCGCCCGAGCAGCCAGCGGCTTCTCCAAGTGCGTCGGATATCCAGGCAAGCAGCGCAACAGTAGCCCCCACATCCGCGCCGGAAAAGCCTGCTTCAGCATCGTCACCTTACGGACGGATGGCGAATGGACGGGCTGCAATTCCCGCATGGCAGATGGCAGCAGCGAAGAAGAATGAGGAGACGAAGAAGGATACAAGTGAGAGCGGGACGGCGGTCGAAGCCAGCGCAAGCTCATAATCTCAATCTAACGTTGTAATCCCTTCTTCTAGCTTGTGTTACATTATTTTCATTTCAAGAATCTATCATGTCGGATGACGTATCCACAGGCGTATACCAAGTCTGCTATCTCTCACATCTCGGTCGTATCCAGCACGCGGTGCTTGCCCACCACATGCACTACCATGATCTGCGAGCATGTCGGAGATGCGGGCCGCATGACTTTGTGTACTCAGGCATGTAGTGTGGCAGCTGGCAACATCGCTAGTACTTGGGTATAGGTCTGAGTATTCTTTGGTGTGAGATCAGAATACGCTGCATGAGTCTTGCAAGCCAGGCGCTGGTGAAGGCGTTGTGGAGTAGCACGGAAAGAGCCATCTTACGCTACAATTTCCCCTACACCGTCATTAACTTCCGCTTTTCCACAGCCGCCGAGATTGCCTCGTATTACCCTCGTTAAAATTGCTTGCATGACACCCAACATCTTTGAGGGCGACTCCTTCTCGCGCGTCACGACGCCACTTGTGACTCCTGGAACGTCGCCAAGGACACGCAACTACCATGCGAAGCAAAACCACGAACGTGCACCCGTAAACAAAGTTTAAGATAGCATAACTTGCTGGCTGATATGTGCACAACATTGAGGCTGGATGGAGCTAAGAATCTAGGCGTAATCAACGAGGCGTACGAGTCACTTGGCGGTGATGTAGTCGATGCTCCTCTTCATCTTGGTCGGAGATGGATTCAAGGCTCAGACTCGCGAATAGATGGTATAAAAGGTCTCTCTGTCATGGCAATTCACAGTTTAAGCTCGACATCACACTCCACAGTAGTAGCAGCAGCAGCAAAGCAAATACACCTTCGAGATTTAGCATTCGAACATCTTGATCAATCCACCAGTTCCACAATGAAGAACATCTTTGCGCCTATCCTCCTCCTCGCTGGCCTCACCGCAGCCAACTTCGACCTCTACCAAGTCGATGAGAACAACTCGTGGGACGGTTCTGGTGTCTCGGGCCAGTGGATGATCTTCGAAGCCGAGCCCGACTGTGACCAGGCACTTGGAAAGCGAGGTAAGCATCCTCTCAAACAGCTCATAAGCATCCCGTCGTATACTAACCCTCATAGACTCTTTTAGGGTTCTTGCCCAGGACGATGTATCGGACGGCTCGGGCGTCGTCTGCGAGCCCGTGAACCAGTGCTACTACTACGGCAACCCGTCTGAGATCAACAGAATCGAGATGAACTTCAACAACGATGATCCAGCGAAGTTCCACTGGACCATCTATAAGGACCGCAACTTCGACATGATCGGCCTCGATGGAAATGTTTACGGCACCTGCATCGTGTTCCCCGGCGACGACTTCCAATGCAGCGAGGGCACCTGGTCGAACGGCGGAAAGAGGATGTTTAGGTGCCTTACGCCTCTCACTACACAGGATATTATTGCTGGAAACGGTGGAGGCATGGTTGGCAGGTAAGGGCTTTAGATGGCTTTTCGCTTGATGGGGTGTGTGGAGATGAAACATTGGGGGTTGTCGATGTTTGCCTGATCTTTTCTCAACGTAAATTTTGGTTCGTCATTTTAGTATGCCATATACAATCTTTGAAAGGTGTTCAGCAAGGACATTCAGGTAAACAACGAAACAGTGGTACAGTTCCTATTCATGACTAGGTCGCGTTGCAGCTGGCTACACGACATCTGTGCCAAAGCCATATTTTTCGTCTACAGCGAAGCCACTGCATGTATCAATCGGCTGATGATCTCAGTGCATTGGATTTCGCTTCATCAACCTCAGTCCCCCATGAGCTAGGAGGGTGCCGTACATAACCCAAAGCAGCATAGCGCTGTCCTAGCTGATAGCCCCAAACACGTGAGCGGTGGTCGCGGGTAGTGTCGGAGGAGCCATTGAAGCGGCGGCTGCAGCCCTATCTCCCCAGCTAACTAGGTACCTAGCCTTATCTGGGGTATCTCTTTGTACCACCCGGTAATACGCGACAACACCATATTATTCAGGTGACGCATATCTGGCTGCCACGCCACGATCGCCAGAATCCAACGGTTGTTTGGCTCCGACTACCTGCGCATCGGTACCTTTAGACTATGATAAACGTTGGTTACCCAAACAATAAGCGGGAATTGGCAAACACGCTGTGACCCCGGGGCCTGAACTGTGTCTTGTGACCCAGGTTTTCTTCCCGAAAGAAGCCTATCGAGCCTTCCTTATCATGTTGACCGCCAGACAAAGCAGCACGCCTGCTCCTATAAAGAGCAAAGATACGGTTCTTGCTTGCGTTCAGCCCATTGTTTGAATCCCGAGCCTCAAACAATATTCCCTACTGCCATCGAATTCTAACCTGAGCGTCCCGCTGCTCTCGTTACGCACCTGCCCTGCTATACCTCGACGCCGTGTGTTCATGGCCTCAGACTCCCTTCTGCTCACCACTACCGAGGACTACGACAACGACGTCACCGTTGGCACGATAAAATGTACCGCACCAGTAGCGTTCGGAGGCGAGAAACAATGGCTCTATTTACCAGCTACCAAGAAGTTCGACCTCACACGCGGATCAGCGCAGAAGATGGCCTTCGAATGCGATGCAGATGAGCGCCACACCGGCTTCATGATCGATCCTGGAGCATCAGTATTGGTAGTCGTCGACATGCAAAACTACTTCATCAACCCAATGTATCGAGACCATGCCGCAGGGATCGCTGCCATCGAACCGACCTTGAAAGTCATCGAGAGATGCCGAAAGGAAGGCATTCAGGTCGCATGGCTAAACTGGGGAATCACCGACCAATCCCTCAAAAGCATGGCGCCTGCAATCCAACGAGGTTTCAGCAAGAGCTTAGGCTGGCACATTGGTCTCGGCGCTCAACTTCCAAATGACCAAGGAAGATGCCTCTTCAAGCGCACATGGAACGCTGATCTCTACGACCCTTTCAAAGCTGTCGCTCAACCCGGAGATCTCTTCTTTGACAAGACGCGCATGAGTGGACTATGGTCTACTAAAGAACCACTGCACGAGTATCTAAGAGCTGTTGGGAAGCAGACTCTAATCTTTGCCGGCGTGAACACGGATCAATGCGTTTTCGGCACAGTGTCTGATGCATACTCCTATGGTTGGGACTGCATCATGCTGCGTGACTGTACGGGTACTATGACCGGTCGAGGTGCGCAGGAATTGACAGAGTACCAGGTGTCCACAAACATGGGGTTTGTGACAACCAGCCGCGCACTTTACGAAGCGCAGGTCGGTGACCACTTTGAGGAGTATTGAGTTGGCATACCCTGCTCCGTTTGAGTATTTTTCGTTCGTTGGGCGGTACGTTGATTGCTGTGCCCTTGAGCGTTTCTTGTCATACACCCTTACTGTGTATACAGCAGACATAGATACATGTGAAAATTCCATCCGAACCATATGGCGTTATCAAGGGGTTGCGCGGTCCAATCAGGAGAGTGCTTGCCTATCATTCTACCTCGTTCTCCATTGACGGGGAGCTTTTGCTGTCTGAGACAACGCAGCGCAGCAAATTCGGTCTAATGCATCTCCACTCCACGTATTGCCGGTTCGTATGATGTTGCCCTTCGTTCCAAGGGCCCATCACGTGCGCTTGTGACGCCCGCGGGCAGCCCTGTTTCTTACCCCAGCTCGGCTATTTCTGACTTTGCCACTTCCATGGCTCGCATCCTTGCACCACCGTTTCTGGACAAAATAACGGATTATCTACACGCTAACACGAGCTCAGATTGCGTTTCATCATGTTCTAAGCACACAGCCTTGCTGATGCTGGCGGCCGGAGGCCGCATAGCCTGCCTGAATCCCTGATCGACCTGGTATGACGCGGCACTAACTGGCCGCAATATGACCTTGCGTCCGCAGCAGGGAACGACAGCGGGCCTACTAAACCACAGGTCCACCTTTGTAGCAGCAGTCTCTCTACCAAAGTCTCTCGATGCTACTACGTTTGCACGATAATCCACCATATTTCTAAGTAGCATCTAATACGCTTTCAACATACGGTACGGCCAGAGAAGACATACCTGCTCTTCCGCTGTAAATGACACCCTACGCATCCGAACTCGACGACGAGCAAAACCCAGCCCCGATGTTCCAATCACTCGACTGCGTCGCCAAGATGCGCAGAGAAAGCGAGGAGCTGTCGCGGATCCGTACAAACTCTACATCATCCGATGCATCGCGGCGACCGTCTATTCCCGAGCGAATTATTGTCACCGAAGACGGCGTTGTAAGGGCGATCGAAACCATTGGCGTATGTGACGAGGAGGAAGAAGAAAGAGGCAGGAAGAGGTCCGAATCAGGGGCTGGGAGGTATTATGCGAGTTTTGGGGAAAGGCCAGTTATTGATTAGGACGGAGGGCTGGGGAGGGGAGCGGAAAGACGATACCCAAATGGCGTTTGAGCAGGATGCGAGTCCACATGACAGCGACCCATAGCGAGCATAGCGCCTTGAACGTCACCAATGTAATGAATTATGTCAAAAACCCCACTACACGTTTCAAGACTCAGATTGATTTAGTCTCGTGGACATAGTCACCTTTCTTTCCTATTGATTCACCCCTCAACCTACCCTTTCAGCATCCTCTTCACGTCCCTCATTTTCTTCGCTTTGCCCACATCGATCATATGCACCACAACAGTACACATCTCCCGCTCTCGAACATACGGAGCTTAATGGGTAGAATGTGAGGGGTAACCTTAGAATTGAGGTAGCGGGTGCGGAAACTCAGCTGGAGCGGAGACATGCATAACGACTCCCTCTTCGCAGAACCGAGTACAAGTCTTACTGTACACTCGTATATATGCTAGAACGAGTTGATTCACTTCCTAGTTTAGTCTACATCCGGCACTAGTTGGCCATTGATGATCATCATGTTCTCTCGGCCAAGCTTCTTCATCGCTTTCAAAGCCTCCTCATCCCGTAGCTTTTTCGTCTCTTCGTCTGTAACAAGCACAAAATCATAAGTCAACAGCTTGGAGCCCTCCTTGACATCGTACTTCTGCGCTTGTTCTGCGTTCACGGTGCCCAGATCCACGATCAGCGATTCCTTGACACCGAACACCGCGTCGGACGTCTCATAGGGGTCGCCTCGGAGGTACAATGCTCTGTATATGATCAGCCTAGACGCTTGCAACAGAAGGAAAGGAGTAGAAGGATAGAGAGAAACGTACGTAATCAAATGATCGAACCCCTGCTTCTCAAACATGAAATGCATATGACTCGGCCTCCAAGGATGTCTCCCCAGCTTCTCCAGCATAACACCCACAGGCCCATCATTCGGAATGCGATACGGCACCGGCACAATCGCCTTGAACCAAAACGCACCCTCCTTGTCGCTCCTCATGATACCCCTGCCATCGGGTTTCTCGCCGGTATAGCTCTCGTACTGCACGTCATACGAGCCTTTGCTGTCCGTTTCCCAGATGTCGACTTTGACATCTTGTATGGGTTTGCCGTCCGTAGACTTCACTGTACAGAGGCACAGCAGCGGCTCGCCGCCCGGGTCGGCGGAAATGGACGAACCGGTTGATAGGTCGTGCGCGTCGTGCGTGTGGTAGGGGCCAAGGACGGTACCTTCGGTGGAGGCCGGCGGTTTGGGGTGGTCTATTGAGTCGACGAGGAGGGAGAGGCCGAGGGTGTCGGAGAGGAGGATGAATTCCTACAATTGAAAGAAGGTCAGAAGCGTATTCCATAGCAGAGTCTACCGGGTTGAGGAAAACGGCATGCTTACCTGCCGCACATCTGTGCACTTCTTCCCAACTGCCGTCAAGAACTCAATACCTGCCATCCATTCCGTGGTGCTGAGACGCGTCTCTCGCGCAAAGTCATGCATGTGCGATACAAGCCTTTCCAGTACATACTTAAGCCGCGCGTCGGAGCTTTGCGAGTTGATCAAGTGGACATTGTCGGTGATGTTATCGATTGTGAGATCCTTGAGGATCGGTACATCGACTTTACCATTTGTTCCTGCCATTGCGGGGTCTTCCGGCCCGAACAATTATCAAATCAATTAGTGAGAACTTAGGTTAGTAGTTGATGTGGAAAAGACATAAAGACATGAAGAGACAGAGACATGAGGCAGCTATAGAGTTACCCGCCGGTGGTAATAGTATCAGTCAGGCATTAGCAATGCGTTCCGCGGTAGCACATCTCGAACGGGTCAATTCCGAAGGAGGGGTAGCAAGCCCTCCCCAGACATAGCATGCTGACATGACAGTAGATAGAGGGCTGCTCATAGGTTCAGAAGCGCGAACTAGGGGAGTGACGCGTGCTGTTTCGCCCCGCTTATTAGGGTCGCGAGGATGGAGGACGGAGTAGAGCTCGGTACTTAAACAGTGCTCCCGGGATGTGGGGCCAAAGCCGGGGCACATCACGTGTTCACACCAGGGCTACAAGATTCTTGCAACAAGAGCTGCCATAGATTGTATACTCAATAATGCAGTATTTAATATTCAGCGGCCGCCGAAATCTGTGGCAAAGTCAAGCATGCGGTCCATAGACCACCACGTATGTCGAAAACCCAGCCACCCATTACCATCCCTCACTCAACCACAACATCCAGCACCCTCCTTTCCTCCTTCCTTATCTCTACCCAGCCCCGTTCCTCAACCCTCACAATCTTCCCATCTACACAAACTCTCCTCCACCTATCTTCCTTCTCCTGAAACTCAATCCTTAACCCATCAACCTCCTCGTACCTTACCATCGGATCTTCAACATGCTTCCCGCCCTGATACGCCAATCCCATAACCCTCATTGCCTCGTCCCCGCTCGTGGGCCCAAAATGTACGAGCCACAAACTACCGTCCAGCGGCTCACTCCTCGGGCTTATGCAGAACGGTTTCTCAAGGTTGGACACCATGGTCGCGAGGACGTACATATGCTCTTTCTCCGGAAGAGGTGACCAATCTGAGCCGTGGAGTACGGAGACAGATGCGCGGTAAGGGTGAGGTGGTGAGCCGTCGGCGGGGTACAAAGCTTCCTTTGCGGCCATCTTGAAGCGGTCGATGCCAAACTTGCGGTACTCCGCAGTATCGCTGTCGGCGACGAGGGAGGCGTGCATAGCCCAGCTGGCTACTACGGCGCCGTGAAGGATTGGGCGGCCGCTTTTGGGGTCTTGAGGGAGAGCTTCTTCGTCGCGGGCTTCGTTTGTGAGGAGGCGTGCGCCGGGAGAGAAGGAGGCGGTGAATATCGGGAGAGGCTTCCTCTGGGCTTCTTGAGAAGCGTTGAAACAAAGCGCTCTAAGACCCCATGTATTTTGGTGGGGGTTGCTGACGTTAATGGAGTGGTATAGAGCGTTGGCGGTGCCAAGTGGCAACAGAACAACTTGTGGTGCCTTGTAGTTTGAAGACGGTGGTTGCGATAGGAAACCATTCACGAGGTCAACAATACCACCGTCTCCGGTCAGAAGTATTATCCGCAACGTTATACCCGCATTGGCTGTAGGGAAGAATATGTCGCTGGTCAGCTCTTGGATCGTGCTTACTGATTCGGTGCGGTGAGTGAGGAAATTCATGTGGCCTTCTGGCCAGAGCGTCTCTAATATTGGCTTCACAGCCTGCTCATAGAATACCTCCGCCTTTCCTGTGCCAGAGCCAGAGGAAATGATGATGTGCGTTTCTTCATCGCTTGTAACATTTGGACGGATAGATGGGTGTTCTTGATCGTTTTCTTTTATGATGACCTCAGGCACTGCATTCGGGTCCTTCTCTTCGCCTGCGGGTAACTGCAAGATTATGGCCGTTGATCGAGCTCCATGTTTGCTTGGAACAAATGCTACTGTAGTGAGATGGGTGGAATTTGATTCTTCCATAATGGGGTCAGTGGACATCGCTCCGTCCAGCTCGGTGCGAAGGTCGAAAATAAGAGTGGTCTACGGTTGAACCCTCAAGCCAACCGTTCCCACAATGATCGCTGTAGGCAACGATAACGCAATGCCCGCAGTTTCTCGCTTACACCATCACCCCACACAGTTGGCTGTCTAGCTGCTTTTGGGCCATAGCTTCCATTGCCCTCAGTAAGACTAAGAAGGCCACATAAAGAAAAGATCCTAATTCGCACTCGAAGTGCAAGAATTGAAATGGAATAAATGTACTCACAGCGTCTCAGCTAGCTGAAAGTGGTCAACAGCTCGGAAGCGCAGGTCAACCGTCCAGCTTTACGTCATCCCGTGCTATCTTGGCACCGGTGCTGTCGCGCAGCGCAACCTACCGAGCTCAGCCGGGCCTTGATACTACGCCGTCAGCAGGGACCACAGATCACGAAATTGCGCACGCTCAGCCTCAGCGCGTCTTTCGCATCTGATTACCTATTCAGCTCTTTCGCCCGGCCTTCACTCTTCGCTCTCGAAGTAGCTAGCTTCCCGATCTTCCCGCTCGCGCAAAACCACAACCACCTCTCCGCGCACATCTCGCACATGCGCACCCAAGGCCACCATCTCCCCTCCACCCTCGCTACCTTTAACATTCGAACGGCATCATGAACGGCGGCTGGGTCTTCCTCATCATCCTCCTCATCGCCCTCATCGGCGGCTACGGCGGCTGGGTAGCCTGGTCGCGCATCCGAGCCTCACGCCTGGGTCTCCCACCGCCCTCTCTCAACCCCTTCAACCGCAGCGGCGGTGGCACCTCGAACTACCCGGGCCCCGCGCCCACAGGCATCAAGGGCTGGATCGACGCCCAGATCCACAAGTTCAAGAACCGCAATAACAGGACCGCGTACGGCGCGTATGAGGAGAGTTCTGGAGGGTACAATAGCGCGAGGGGAAGAGGCGCGGGACATAGGCTCGATCCGGATGAGGCTTGGGACGCGAGGGTAGGGAACGAAGCGTACTATGAAGAACAAGAGCTAGGGCTGCATGAGCCGCCGACTGCGAGGTCAGAACTACAAAGTAGCAACCCGTATGAGAACCGGCCTTACGGAGCGCCGTCGCCAAGCTTCCAAGAGCCCGAACGTGGAAGAAGTCGCAACAGGGAGTACGATGAGCGCAGTGATGGAGGGCTGGGTGCGCGGCAGAATCCGTTTGGGGATGAGAATGCGGCAAGTTTGAGGGGGGTTAGTCCGCGCCCCTTGGATCAGCACGTCGATACGAGCTATGGCGGAGCGAGTGCTCAGCATAAGAAGAAGGGTAGTGTAGATAATAGTCCGACAGAGAGTCGGAGGAGTGTGTTCCATGAAGAGATGTAGAGGGGTATGATGATTTGTGGGCGTTTTTGGATGTCTCATGTGGCGATTGGAGTCTCTCTTACTTCTGAGGATATATATGATTGGAGGGGTTCTTGTTGCAAAATTTGTGACATGATGAGCCTGCAGCACGATGGCTGAGGTACATAATCTTATTAACACTGTCGATCTTCCTGTGCGATCGCCGAGCTCTAACTTAGATCCTGACTCGGATATGCTCATACGATATGGCCTCCCTAGTGAGAAGGCTGATTGCTTTTGCTCCTTCAAGTGTGCCGCACGTTCATGAACTTGAGCACATCGAACGAGTTGTTGCCCACTTTTACGCCACGTTCCTGCTTTCGCCTCTCCTTCCGCTCAACCTCCCTCTGCTGCTTTTTCACGCTCTTGTTCGACTTGCGCTCAACAGGAACCTCCACGTTCGCGGAAGTGTACACTTCAGCAATAAGCTCTCGCAGTAGTTCCTGCTCACCTTGCGGTTTTCTTGCCTGCCCCGGCACAAGGAACAAATCCGTAATTGGGCCCATGCTCCGCAAATCGGCATGTAATTGACTGGCAAATAGGAGCAGTGGAGGTGAGCCATCCTTGTGGAGAGATAGCCACACTTCAACACATTGTTTGAGGAAGCGAAGAGAATATAAGGCGGCATGGAGGCAGGCGGTGAGGTGGACGAGGTCCCAAGTATTGTCGAAATCGGCGCTGAGTACATGTAGCCAGAGTTCGATACCTGGAGGTGTTTTCAGATCACGAAGAACGATCCCAATCGCAAACAGAGGCCACACAAGGCTTTGAGGAACGTCTCGCTCAATTGTCCATTCTAACCAAGCACTGATGTTGCGGGCATATGTCTGTATTATGGCCAATCTTTCTTGAGGTGGGTACAGCTCGACATCTTGAACAGCGACCTTCTGAGCTTTACGTTTATGCTCTTGGACCTTGGAGGAGTCTGTGGCGAAAAGAGTGTAGGAAATAGTCCGCAGATCCTGGCCGTGGGTCCATGCTGAAGCTCGGTGTTGGTCTTCGACGAGAAAAGGAAGATAAATAACGGGTTCGACACTTGAGTTTATACCCTGACAAATGAACTCCGAGACCCTGACATCTAGACTTTGCAGCGATGAAATAGCCTGATTTGTTAGGAAGAGGTCTTTGATATTCGGGACAACATCGTAGCGCTTGATGAAGTCGAGATAGGTTTGTGAAGTTATGTCAACGCTTTGAGCTTGTCCGATTAGCCTACTTTCGGGACTGTGAGCATCTTGAGTCAAGCAATATGCGAAAGGCCTAAGACTGGCAAGGCCGAATTCTTTGCATATAGAGGACGGCGAGTAGCCCTTGAACTTTGGTTCGGGCCAGAGCTCAGTATCCCTATAGAACAAAAGCCGGAAGTCTTGTGGGTATTCGTAAAGTAAAAGATCGGTATCGTCACTGAAGATTAGCGACGGCGGCTCCTCTTTGGCTCGCAGCGCGCACCAGTCATCAGCTTCTCCTGGAACATTAAATGTGATACGGGCGTATTCGCTATTTGCCAGTGCCTCTCGCAGAGCTGGCGCGAGGAAGGAATAAGAGACCGAACCGAGAGAGGTCGGTATGGGACAGGCTGTAGACGGATAATTACATCTCAGCCCATTGACTTGCTGATTGTAGCGTGCTGTTCTGGCTATTCGTTCAGCCTGCTTAGTGTCTGGAAGCGCTCCGTCGAACAAGATGGCTGTACTGGGAACGTTATCAGCAAGGCTCAGCTAGGACTTGAATCTAGATGCATGTCGTGCATGCCTCGCGTATGCACCTGCGTTGTCGCTTCAATGCACGCAGCGGGATCTATTCGCCAAAAGAAAAAAGACGTTGGTGCAGTGGGATAATATCACCTCAACAAGAGCTCCCACTCGTCAATTCCACTAGATCCGCTGCAACTGGTATCTGATCATGGCGCATGCAAGATCGGCTGTGGTGCAGACCACACTGCGTTGATGCGGCGTACTGATACATGCAACAGATATGAGGCGCTGGTCACTCACACCTTGATATTAATAACCTCAAGGGTTCTAAGCCAGCGGAGAGCTTGTTGAGTAATGTCGGCGTACGACGGGATGCGCGGCACGTTGCTTGTGTCTCGAACAGCCAGAGCCAGCTTATGGGCGTGATATGCAAGGGAGGGACCGTCGATGATGGCGTTATATCCACTCAGGTCCTGGGGAGTATATCGACTCGCATGCGCCTCAAGGCGTCGGGCGAGCCCCGCGATGCCCATATTGGATAGATATACAACGTGTCTGGAAGGAATGAACCACGCCGAGAGAGTATGCCTCCCAGAGATTACAATGGACGGACTTGGGCGCAGTGAGGCATATCATATCACCTTGTATAGGCGCAAATGAAGCTAGCCACGGGTCGAGCGTGGCATGCCCGAGTGATGAGGCGAAGCAGGGATGGTGCAAGCCGTTGAGTGGTGGTCCTCGTATCGACCAGGGATACGAATGTACAGCCTTATCCGGACTGTGAAGCCATTGAGGACGTCGACTGTAGGGGAAAACAAATGTTGAGTGGAAGAAGATCAGGAGAGATGCAGGTGAGGTCGACAAAACGTGCGAAGGCTAGCAAAGGCGTGGCCAATGGAAGGGCAGCGGCGAAATGCAGGGGCAGGGGCCTGCGTCATCCCGCCGCGGGGGAAGCTACGCCTGCCCCTCACATCTAAAAGTCGTCAACAGCGGCCATAAACCTGCCCACTCAATTCCTCCACAACAGCCTGAAATCCCGAATACTCAAGATGAGCGTCCGGACCGTTTCTCTCAAGCCGTATACCGACCAGAAGCCCGGCACGTAAGTACCCAAACACCGTTCGGCTGTGTTTACACGCCTGTCTTAGCCGCCCCGTCACTGCTCGCATCCTTTCTCTATATGCAGCAGATTACATTCCCTGCATATCGCGCCTTCCCTTCCATTGTCCATAACTATCTACACCTCCAATTCACCGAGCTCCTGATGCATTTCTTAGAAGATCATGGCTAATGAATGGTTTCGCACCAGCTCTGGCCTGCGCAAAAAGGTCAAGGTCTTCCAACAGGAGAATTATTCCGAGGCATTCGTTGCCAGCATTCTCCTCTCCATTCCCGAAGGTGTCGAGGGATCTACCCTGGTCATCGGTGGTGACGGACGTTATTATAATCCCGAGGTCACACAGTTGATTGCCAAGATTGGCGCTGGATATGGCGTCAAGAAGCTTATCATCGGTCAAGACGGTATACTAAGTACACCAGCTGCTAGCCATGTCATCAGGATACGGAAGGCAACTGGAGGCATTCTGTTAACTGCCAGCCACAACCCCGGTGGTACGTAGTACCTTGTTCATCTACATACAAAACAATTAGGCCGAGTACTGAACGAGTTAGGCCCAACCGAGGACTTCGGTATCAAGTACAACCTTACCAACGGTGCTCCCGCTCCGGAAAGCGTCACGAACAAGATCTACGAAACCTCCAAGAACCTTACCTCGTACAAGATTGCCGACATCCCCGATGTCGACCTGAGCAAGCTTGGCTCAGATAAGTACGGGCCATTGGAGGTCGAGATTATCCACTCCACAAAGGACTACCTCGAGATGCTCAAGAATATCTTCGACTTCGACTTGATCAAAAAATTCATCAAGGACCACCCTGACTTTAAGCTTCTCTTCGACGGCTTGAGCGGTGTCACTGGTTCGTACGGTGTCGACATCTTTGAGAAGGAGCTTGGCATACCAAACAGTACTCAGAACTGTGTTCCAAAGCCAGACTTCGGAGGACATCACCCCGACCCTAACCTCGTATACGCCAAATCGCTCGTCGATGCGGTTGACAAGAACGGTATCCACTTCGGTGCAGCCAGCGACGGTGACGGTGACCGTAACATGATCTACGGTGCCAACACTTTCGTGTCTCCTGGAGATAGCCTGGCCATCATCGCCCATCACGCGGAGCTTATTCCTTGGTTCAAGAAGCAAGGTATCTACGGCCTCGCACGCAGCATGCCGACCTCCGGTGCGATTGATCTCGTCGCGAAGAAGAAAGGCGTTCAGAGTTACGAAGTTCCAACCGGCTGGAAATTCTTCTGTGGACTTTTCGACGCTGACAAGATGAACATCTGCGGTGAAGAGAGTTTTGGCACTGGCAGCAACCACATCCGTGAGAAGGATGGTTTGTGGGCGGTCGTGGCATGGCTCAACATCATCGCCGGTATTGGCGAGCAGTCAGGTTCCACACCGAGCATCGGCTCCATCCAGAAAGACTTCTGGAAGACATATGGCCGCACATTCTTCACTCGCTACGATTATGAAGGCTGCGAGACTGATGGCGCCAACAAAGTGGTCGCTCACGTCAAGGAACTCATCACCACTAAGAAGGATGAATTCATCGGTTCAACAATTTCCGGTCGCAAGGTCGTGGAAGCAGACGACTTCTCCTACACTGATCTTGATGGAAGTGTCAGCAAGAACCAGGGTATTTTCGTCAAGTTCGACGACGGTAGCCGCATCGTCGTGCGCTTGTCTGGAACCGGCAGCAGCGGTGCCACCATTCGTCTCTACATCGAGAAGTACGAGGATGATGAGAAGACATACGATCTTGATGCGCAGGAGTACCTCAAGGACAACGTCAAGCTGGCTACCGATCTGCTCAAGTTGCAGGAGTACATCGGCCGCACTGAGCCTGATGTCAAGACGTAAAAGCGAGAAGCTATCGTTGCATATACATATGAGTAATGGCACGAGGAGGGGCGAATATCACGAGACATGACTTGCATTAGCGATTGAAGCCTGGCCGGTACGAACGAGAACTGGAGATGATCGATAGACATTCCCTACTTATCGTAATTAGAAAATCAAAACGTCCTGCCAAAGCCGAGTTCTTTCGTATTCGTGTTTCGCATGGTCTGTAGCACGTCACGCTAACGCCACAGATTCCCAAGCCTCCCCTTGAGGAAATCCCAAGTGGAACCGACCACACTTTCCGACACCGATATGAGGATCGACTACCGCCTCGAAAGACTCAACCCTTCCTCCTGTGGTCAGATCATCGTTGTCGCTTTCTACACCCATCAAATGGCAGTGCAATTTCGGCCCACTGATGCTCTCCATCCAAGCTGGGACTCTGTATCCGAATAAAGTCCCTTTCATCCTCTTCACCTGACGTTTTTGCGTGGAATTCTTCAGCAACAGGTTTACGTTAGTGAATATTCCCTTGATCTTAAATGGCAGAATCGAATTCATGCCCCCAACGGCAGGCAGTGCCTCGGTTGACGCTAGCAACTCTTCCAAGCCCGTGTAACTCATCGAAGTTCCCCGTGCAATTTCGATAAGGCGTAAAGGCTGAAAAACGGTGACCATGGCAAAACAAAGTCGGTCATTTGCCATAGCCGGTGTTGCGTTCCCCGCATGCGAGATGGCGTAGGCTTGACGGTTCAACAGAAGCATGAGGTACCCGTGCTCGAAAACTCCGATGCCGTCAGTGCCATGGCTCGTAAGGTCTGCTGCACGTGGTTGGCCTGTGCTGAAGCCCTTCTGCACAGCTGTCCATGTGGAGAATTGGAAGATGTCGTTCGGGATGGATGCAACCATCCTGGGTTGTTATCTGACACGGGGCTGTAGTTGAGACTTGGTTGAGTTGTTTGTCAGCCCGCTAAAGCTTTCACACGGCGATGAAAAGTTCGCAAGATATCTCGCTGCAGACATAACAATACCTTAAAAAGTGATATTTATGTACGGCATTGGGGCCGAAATCATACATCGGGCCTCCACTTCCGATTCGATCATCTTTTCAGTCAACATCAGCATGTCTGTACTGGAGCGATTCTTTTGTTATTGATTTATGGGAGAGCGTAGTACTGCGATTTCGGATTTGCGCGCCATGCATCGTGCATACCCGCTGTATTCCGACGTCATTTCACCCAGGTCTTGGCTCGGCCTTATCTCGCGGAAGACGTGACATCTGACAATGGACCTACTCGTCGCCGATAGATTGATACCTTGGGACCTCCACTCTTCGACTTTCCATGCGCACAGCACTGAAGAACTCGACCGAAAGGATGCCGTTTGGGAAGGTAGACGGACATGTTCCGTTGTCGCGAAAGCCCTGGTGGTTTCTTGTGGGTCGCAATGTTAAAGGTCCGAAGATCAAGCGCGAACAGCATAACGTGGACCTGCGATCATTAGTCTAAACGTTTCAACCTTTACCGTCTCAGACGCTACAAAGAGTGCAGAGAGCGCGGGGTTTGTAGTTGTTAGAGAGACGCACAGACTCAGCTATGAGCACAACTCCGCCAGGGGTGACTTCAAAACAGTGGATTTTATCGCGACTAATTCCAAATGCTCATTGCGATGTTGTCCGTTCTTCTTCTGTACTATAGCTCGATCGGAGCACCCAAGGGTGCCCAGAGCCTTGAACAAAAATACCGTACAAATCAACTACTCAGGGTATCCACGACACGATCCAGAACCGAAATACCGAACACTCGCCTAAACCCAGCATGAACACCGGCGATGCAGACTTCCCATCGTACAACCCGTAGAACTCCACTCTAGTTGACATTGAGACAAACGAACGGACACTCAAAAATAACACACGAAGGACACCACTATGCATCGCCATCCCTCATCTCCATATCTTCATCCCCTGCCTCCCCTTCGCCCTCTTCGTCCCCTTCCCCGACCCCTCCGTATCAGTCTCCTTCTCTTCTCTATCCATACTCCTTTTCAAGTTCGGAAACAAACTCGGCCTAGGCGCCGATATAGCGCGCATACCCACACCTGATGCGTGAATCTGATGTCCCATCTCCTGCACTTCGTCCTCGTCCAGCTCGCTAAGCTCGCTCTCATCGTCGGCGTCATCGTGCACGGATGCAGGAGCGCTGCGCTCGTCGGCGGTAACGCTGGCGGCGGCGGTGACGGTGCCGCTTGTAGGGACGTTGGGAGGCTCGAGGGTAGGAGCTGCGCCAAAGCCTGCCGCAGGTGTAGGTGCGGGTTCGGGTGGTGTGGGCTTGTCGGGCGAGTGAGTGGGTTGCATGGTGGCGGTGGACGAGGGGAGTATTGTGTGTGTCGTGGCAGGCGGGGAGCGGATTGGCATCACGGATGTAGTTGGAGGGGCGGCCGCGCCGGCTGGTTTCTGCGCACATACTTCGGCACGACGTTGGATTTCTCTACGCCCGACGGTCTTGGCTCGAGGCTTCGGGACGGGCTCAGTAGGTGGCTGTGGTGGTGGCTGTGGTTGTGCCTGCGGCTGCAACTGACTTGGGTGGAAGAGGTTGAAAGGGGCACTGTGACCAGTGCCGGGTACGGCGCCATCGAGTTGGGCATGCGCGACTGGTGGTAGGAAGGGGTTCCCGGCTCCGTGGTGAGCGCCGGTTTCTGGCGTTGCAGTTCCTGTAGGGGGAGGCTGTTTCTGTTCTGAAGGTAGAGGCGGTAGGGTTGGGCCAACTGTGTTGTAAAGCAGGGCAAAAGTATCACCAAGGAGGTCATCGATTGGCACAGCCTTCATGAGACCGTTGTTGACGCGCTTCAACTCCACTGTATGCCGCAGAACATCGAGAGCGGGATGTTGTGAATGGGGATCTTGGCACCAAGCCTCCAGGCGGGTGGCTTGAATGTTGTATTCCTCGTAGTTGAGCGCTCTGAAAACAATGTCCTCCTGGCCATCTGGGATCTGGCCCATTCGTCGCAGTAGTTGGAGATATGTCTGGCACAGTTCATGCCATAGCTTGGTGTGCTCGAAGAAATCGGTCTGCTTCCTCCGAACACGTCTGGCTAAAGCCTCAAGGTTCGGTTGGTCGCCAGTTTGATTCAGCAGGTGAACGAAGAACTTGGTGTAACGACTGGTGTAGACAAAGTGCCTGCCAGGTCGCTCGTATTCGGGCTTCCATACTTGGACTGCCATGGTCTTGGTGAAGATCTGCTGCGTAAGCTCATGTTTTGCGCCTTGGGCGACCATTATGTCATTGGATTCGTCATATATGACATGAGCCGCACGAGCAATGATACGATGATGCCAGCTTGACTTGTCAGTGTTACGCAGCGCCTTGAGTACCCTAAGTATGTATCCTTCCCATTCGTCGGAATTTTCAGGGCTGCTGATGTTCTCCGAAAACGGCGTGTTGGATAAGAGCTCCACACCCTTCTCGTGATCGATAGCTTTTCGCAGGAAGAGTTTGTGAGTAAAGGACACGAGCTTGTAATGAGGCTCCAGAATAGGCTCTCTACCTCGCTCTTTCTTCTCAGGTACTGCGTTGATTGCATTCACGATTGCTTTGATCACCTCCTCCCAAGGTGGTCCGTTCCCTGCAGTTGGCGGTCTGCCTTCCGCTAGAGCTCTCCGTATTTCGTCGATGTTGGCACAGTGCATCTTCCAGAGACATTTCGCTAACATGTAGTGATTCCACCACTTATCTGGTTCGCCTTGAGCTGCACGCTTGAAGAGGACGCCCGCAAACTTCCAAGCTGTGTAGGGCAACAACGCGGCGAATGGCAAATTCTGGTATATAGGCGCGTCATTTTGCCCGCTGTAGAACTTGTGTTCGGTGTCCTTGATGGCGAACGCAGTCATGCTGAAAGGTTCTCGAGATGAGGCGTATACACGGTTACCAAAGTCTGCGTACATATGTGCGACTTTTGCGAGCGTCTCGGGGACGAGGTCTTCGTCGCGAACTGCACAATTCACTGCCATGGAATAGCAGTGAATGGCAGCACGCTGCCAATTGATGAGCTCTACGCTATTGCTGTTGATCTTCTCGGCGGTCCAGGATATAGCTTCTTCCAACTGGGTATCATTGGCTTGCGCGAGGCGGTACCATGTTTCCCACCGCTCGCTGCAAAATTCCAAATCTTGCAAGAAAAATGCTTGGGCAAAGTTGACGTCCTCGGTTGGTGCTTGAGTGGTCCTCTTTTGTGATTTGAACTTGGTGAGTGCAAGATTCCCCATCAAGAAATACCATCCCTTGGCGGCCGGGGCGACCGAAGCATCTGCAAGTATTGGCTTCGTGGGAAGTGTGCCGACACCCTTCAAGCAGCTGAGCAAGTCTGTTGGGTTTATAGGAGATTTAAGATAGGCCTTCAATGTTTTCCCATTATGGGTGATCTCTTCATGAACTCTAGGTCTACCAAGAGCTCCATGAACTCGCTCGATGGTATTCCTCAGCTCGTGCTTCACGAGATCCTTGATGTTCATCTTCGAAGCTTGAGAAAGGATGAATGTCATCAACTTCATCGCTGCGCTCCTATCGAGAATGTCGGCATTGGAGCCGTATTCTTGGCATTCCGATGGATCGATAAAGGTTTTCAACCCATACAAATCATAAAGGACCTGAGATAGCTCAGTGGCTAGTGTCTCCGGTTCAGGAAGGTCCTGGAACGACAGCATCTCATCCTTCGCCAATCTAAGGAACAGACGCCCGGCTGCGTGTCCACATGACCGTACTCCAAGAGTATGATGGACGTGCCGCAGGAAAACAAATTGCTCGTCAGACGGTGTCTCGAACTTATTCGGTGTTTGAGAGATGCCTTCCCTAAAGAGGTAGTACTGGAGTATCCAGAGTCGCACTTGGACATCGTTGAGCCGGTTGGTAAGGTTGGTGAATGTAGATGGTGGGAATCCGTCCATGTAACGGGGTACAGAAAGCTGTCCTACTCGGATCGAATCTTGCAGACAGTTTGCTGCCGACAAGATTCGTAACAATTGTGAAATCGCCGACATGGAAGATTGCATGTGCTCGTATGTTAGGCAAGCCAATGCATCCTTCTCATCTCTAATGATCTGAAGGACTTTCACCACAATCTCATCGACAATGCGAAAACACCTTATGAGCTCCACGTGTCGGTCAGCATCCGAGCATTCCTGATAAGTTGAGATGCTGAACTTTCCCGTCAAGGTTTCGATACTTCGCAGGTAGCAGGACAGAACTTTTGGTGGGTATTCGATTGCCTCGTAAGCTTCGCGCAAGCGCTGCCACAGCGAAAGTCTCAAGCTAACAGATGCTGAATCGAGGAACTTTCTCATCTCCTGCAAAGGCGATGGGCGCGATCTTTGCATGTCTGCCGAAACGAGATCATGGTCGATAGCCGATGTTTCATCATGATCTTCCCCTACACCGTTGGCGTTATCATCATCCATCTGGTCTGCCTCCTGTGATGGTTCTAGAATGGGTTCCAAGCTCTCTATGACAGCAACAGGGTCCTTCTCATCGGTATCGAAGACCTTCAAGAAAAAATCTTTCATACTGATGCGGACAAGCTCACGATCTACCGCAGCTACAGAAAGCTCTGGCATGACTGCATTATTCTGGACCTCAATGATATGCCCGTCTGAAGATTTGAAGATCTCCTTGAGTTCTTCCATTGCATAGAGGACGTTTTGAGGTAGAACGTCATCGCTAACGCTCAAATGAAAGACAGACGCCCATACGTGGCGTAGAACAAGTTCGTCATCGGATCCGGCATTCAGGTCACAGCTCGAACGTAGCTGCATGGCTTCGCGTGCCAGCGATACCCATCGTGATAGGCGATCACTTTGTTCGGTTTGTGTGCTTTGGTTTACGCCACTGCTAGGATGCTTGATTAATGAGTAGACGTCGAGATGAAGCTCGAAGATGGTCTCAATCATCTCAAACTGTGCGATGTCCAACTCTGAGAGCTTGTATTGTCGGGTCTGCTCCTGAGCTTCAAGTATTCTGGCGTTGAGCGCTTCGAGGCGGTCCAGCATACGGTCGTAAATAAACTCATCCACATTAACGAGAACCTGAACCACCTGTCGCTTGAGGTCCTCAGGCCACCGGTACTGTACGTAGCTAGACTTGCTGCTTTGCGTGCTATTGCTTGTCGCGAAGAGGGGGCTCGGCGATAGCAGTGCCTCTACCCAGGCAAAAGCAACCTCCTGCGAGGAAAGCCAAGCATCTTTGATGCTTTGAATAAAGGTAGTAAGCTTCTCGCTTTGTAAAGTCGCTTTCGCGCAGGCTTGCGCAGTACTAGATTTGGAGTAACCCAGAAACGCGTTCAAGCCCGCTTCCCGCGATGCACCGCCAAGATCCATAGGCTCTGCACTGAGTAAGACTGGTGCGATTTTCGATCCTGACGTGTGCAAAGCCGTATGCAAATCGCAGGCTGCCTTGTCGATGCTGTCGGTAGCGGTTGCTACGGGAGTAGAGTTGCTAACCAAATTACGCAACTCCTCCAGGACGCCGAGGCCCTGTACACCGAGACGCTCGAATTGATCGTTGATGACTTCACGCAGGCATTTGTCAGCGTTCGTAAAAGGCCAAAGCTGGTCCTCGAGCGTATTGCCAACAGTCTGCCCCATGGCTTCAACACCTGTGCCCACCTCTGAATCGCGGGCTCGAAGACGTTTACTCCTTGCGCGACCACCCTCAGCAGTTTCTGGCAGTCCGGCGGAGTCTGTTGAGCGCTTGCGTGACAGCTCGCGACCGTTTTCTGCCAGCGTTGCCGACTCTGCCTCGTCAGCTTTGCCGTCCGTAGGCCTCTCCTGGTCTGCCATCACCGCATCGTCGCCGTCTTTTGCGGCAGTTTTCGAGTCATTTCCGGGAGCGGCAGGTTCGTCCTTTTCCGATATGACAACTCCCTTAGGAGGTTCCGTCATCTCAGTCTCCGCCTGCACATTCGCGTTTTCGGTGGGTTCTGTGATATTTACTTCGGGCGGCACATCGAGGGCGATCGCACAGCCTGGCTGCGTGCTTTCGATCAAAGTATTCGTTTCGGTCATGTAGTGACGAAGGATCGCGTCTCCCGCACCTGCCCAGTCCCACTTGACTGGACTCAAAATGACACGCTGGGGCGGTCGGTCAACAGCTTGTCGTACGGGCCCCGAGATCTCAGAGGGAACTGGGGCCCAAGGATAAGGGTTTAGTCGCTTCTTTAGCGTCTCGGAAAGCTTCTTCTTCATCAGTGACGCAAGTGGGGGCTGTTGAAGGGACAATGTATCCTCAAGCCTCGTGACCAGTTCGCGGAGCTGATGTCCAGCAAACCCCTCTTCAAGTCCTGGGAGACGCAGGAGACTGTCGTACGCCTCGTCGTTTCCATCCAGCACAGCCTCCAAACAAAATCTAGTGATACGCGAGCTGCCGAGCATAGCAGCAACGGAGGCTGTCCGTAGCCATAGGTCCAAATCTGTGTCTTCTTTGTCCAGTGCTTCGGCGAAATTTGATAAAGCAGAGACTACGTGTCCTGGACTCTCCTGCTGCAAAGGAATGCCATGTTGGCTGGCCCAATGTTGCATCGTCTCGAGAATGAATTGGCCATGATTCTTGTATGAAAGATGAAGTAGTTGCGGGAGTGTGTTCGGTGCGCTCTCGTTGCCGCCAGCGGTCTGGACTGGGCCGGCATCGAAGTCATCTAGGATACTGTCGAATACCAGCTCGTCGCCAAAAAGCTCGTGGCGCTTGTACTCGGAGATCGATTCGTTGTACTTGAAGATCTCGGATTCGAAAAGTGCTCTGTAAGCTTCCCCGGTTTTCTCAAAGGATTGCGGACCTTCGGCGTGATACTTGAGGGCGGTTTGGTAGAGCTTCAGAGCTTCCTCTATTTGAATCTCTTTGCTGTCGTCGATCTCGACCTCTTCCTCGTTCTCCGGTTCCACGTTAAGCGCATGCCAGGACGACTGTATACTTGATTAGCGAAAGCGTCACAGAAGTGCTATAAGCTCCAGTGGGTGCATGTGAAGCTCCTCGAATTGCACTTACCATGGTGCGAGGTGCGCGCGGTGCATTTAACGGAGAGCGTCAGCGCGCAAAGAAAAGAATACCGGAGTCCAAGTCAGCAGCGCGTGCATCAGGCAGCCGTGTCCGCCTATCTCAACTTTCTACACGGCGCGAGTGTATGTCGGTCGCGTCTACGTCGTGTCGTGGAGCTAGTCGTTCCTTGGCGCGAGCAAGCCACAGTATTGAGGAAGCACCTCCGATCCGCCGCATGTTGTCCTCCAAGCAACGACGCAACCCTGACCCTCTCTCGCGGACCCCTCCTAAGCCCAGCCCGACACGAAAACTACGACGGTCGCATGCAGTTGTAGTCTTGGACCCCCCTCTGAGCTCCTTCCGTGCCCCGCAACAAGCGTGAGCCATGGTGACGGCGCCAGCTGTTCCTGAGTATGCAACATCCCTCTAAGCTTCCCGAACAGCCACATGCCTTGCCGGGTCAGATTTTAGACAAGACCTGCTATATTCGCAAGCGGGCTTTCGCAGCATTCAATTGATTACTTCTATCTGTAATTCATACTACCAGCCTGCTGACCGAATTACTGTAGGATCTTCGAAGAAGAGCTGCACTCCGCAATCGAAGCGCGCTCCGAGACCCTCCAAACGCTTCGAGAGCTAGGCCCTCCAGACCTCGTGCACCTTATCAAGCAGCCCATCAGAGACGTCAAGAAACAGGTAGAACATGTCCTGGGATATACAGCCATGAGATGAAGGCGCTAACATGATGCAGGTAGGAGTGTATCACCATGTCACCGGTATCGACGCCTCCTCTTCGGCCAGTCTGGCAGCCTACATAAATACTCTGACCTTCTCGCCGCATGATAAACAGCACAAGGTCGTCTCCGGTCTATATTGGTACGGGTGACCGAAAGAATTGTTGGGATTGGGCTGACGGCGCTTAGCTGCTACAATGCATTCTCGCGACTGGATATGCGCGTACAAGTGTACATTCCGGGTACCGTGGAGAGCTACTGCATCGATGAGCGCGGCGACAAGCGCGTTGCGACCGACGAGTTGTGGCTAGAAACATACCTCTGCAGTGTCCTCCGTGCATACTCTTATGCCGACGATGGATCGGGCGACACAATCAAGAAGATTGTTGGCGTGCGGAGATTTAACCCAATCACGAGCACCGAAAGTGAACACAAGTTCCTGGACGCGGCAGAGCGCTTATTCTTCAATGGCTGGCAACTCGGCTCAGATCCTGAAATTCAGGTACCCAACCTCGTCTCGAACCACCTCACTACCGGACTTCTGAATTACATACACACTACGGGTCGATACGCCTCGGGAATAAATCTATTCGAGAAGCTACGGACCAAGGATCCCGAAATCTCGTCCTTATTGGCGAGGGTGTATATCGAAGCAGACGAGGAGGTGAAAGCTGTGCAATTATTGCACGAGGCCATCCAAGAGCTGCCCATGGACTATTCGCTGCTAGACTGCCAGGCTGACTTCTGTAACAAGAAGGGACGCGGTGACCTCGCTTTGGAGATTGCGAAGAGAAGCGTAGTTTCCGCACCTAGCGAGTTCGGAACGTGGGCTCGCTTGGCCGAGATATACGTCAGCCTCGAGCAGTGGGATTTGGCCCTGTTGACGCTCAACTCATGTCCTATGTTCACATATCAGGACAAGGACGCGCCACGGATGCCGGAGCCACAGAGGGTTTTCCTGCCTATAATGCCAGAAGCCATCTGCGACGAGATAATAGATAGCCCAGTGGATGACGTGGAACTCGTTCACCCTACCCTCCGCAAACTCCACGCAGCCGGCTTCAAGGGCACTTTCCTCAAAGCTTACATGCTCCTCACCGAAATCACGAAGAAGATCGGCTGGGATCAGCTCCTCAAAATACGAAGCCAGGTCTTCGTCATGGAGGAAGAATACCGCAACGAGAAGCAGACCGCACCGCATGGTACAACTTCGCGCAACGCCAGCGTCACCGCGCTGCGCTCGCCTTCTCCGACGCCCAAAATCAACGGCGAGGCCCACGGCGAAGTCGAGGAAACCGCTTCCGATGCAGAAGACGACGTGCCAAACGGTGCGTCGTCTTCTTCTGCGGCACCCGTAGTCGAAGCTACTTTAGAAAAACCCTCCCACACCGTCGCCTCCGAAGTCGTCAAAGCCGGCTCCGAGGACCCGCACCCCATCTCCACACCCTCAAACCCCAACCAGCAGAATTACACGCACTTTCACAACAAGCGACTCTGCGAGCGCTGGCTCGACAACCTCTTCATGGTGCTGTACGAAGATCTCCGCGTGTACACGATATGGCGTACCGAGATGGCGCAGTACCGCTCACAGCAGCTGCTGTACAAGAAGTCGGCCGAGGAATGGGAGATCCTAGGCGAGCTTGCGGAAAGGTTGCACCATGAAGAGGAGGCGGTGGATGCGTATGAGAATTGCCTCCAGATGAAGTTTAGCCCGAAGGCCATGCGGGGGGTGCTGAAGTTGGAGGATGGTAGTGGTGCGAATGTGAGGGATGTCTGTGGGGCATTGATTAGGCTGGTTACGTGGCAGTATCGGTGGTACTCTGAGGTATGTGAAGTCTACTGTTTGTACAAGAGGGGGTGTGCTAACAAGAACAGTTTTCGCCGAACCTGCTCTACACCATCCGCAAGCTCATCGAGGAAGAGGGCGCCGTCAAAATTAGGAGTATCATCCAGGGAACTAGTCTGCCGCAGCACGTCTTGGATCTTACGCATCAATATGCGGCGTTATGTGCTGCTTTTAGAAGCAGTGGTAGCGATGGTTAAGCGGTAACTGTACGTCATCACCAAGCATAACGGCCTAGGAAGTGAGATGTTGCTGCTAGCTACTGAGATATTAATGTTCGCACGCGAGGAGCTGTTAGGTCCGGCGGTAGCCTGGGCAGCAATGATAGAGGGATACCCTGGTATATTTTAGTAGGGGTATGCAGAACGCATCCTTTTGCCAACGATACAGAAGTGGCCGTGCTGAAGCCCCATCGATTTCTGATTTGGTGCGTAGATCTTTCATTATAAGCGTCGGGGTGAAGAGCGCGTGTGAATTGGACGTGTTCGACTGTAGCCTGCAGCGTCCGTCAAGGTCGAATTCAGCACCTCGCATTCCGTGATATCACAATCCCCGATCATACAGATCGCAACTTGTTAGGTATCGTTGCAAGCCAGATGAGCGCTTGTAACTGATGTATTCATTTTTATCGTGACAAGATGTTCGTCCCATCAGGTCGCCCATAGCATTCCATCATGCTCTTCCTTGCAATTCAATGAATCCCATGAACCGATATAAAAGCCCACGAATGAACACCATATGCCATCCACACTCCCATATTGCCAAACGCACCGCAATCGCGCGCTTAACGGTACGACTTCTGGTACCTGGCGCGGGCACCTGGACCGCCGAACTTCTTGGGCTCGCACCGCCTGTTGTCGGCCACGAGGAGCGTGCGGTCGTACTGAACGAGGGCCTGCTTGAGCTGGTTCTTGGAGTGCTCGTCGACGTATTTCTGGTAGTAGGCGATGATGGATTTGGCGATGGCTTGGCGGATGGCGTAGACCTGCGAGGTGTGACCACCACCGGAAACGCGCACGCGAATGTCGACGTCGGCTGAGTCCAGGTGTTAGTAAATCCACTTTCCTTCGTTTGCAGGTGTGAGTGGGTGGGTGTGCGCGTACCGAACTTGTCGAGGCCGAGAATCAGAATGGGCTCGTAAACCTTGAAGCGGAGCATCTCGGGCTGCACAAGGCTGAGGGGCTTTCCGTTGACCTTAACGAGGCCCTTGCCAGCCTAGACATATCATCAGTATGATTGCCGTCACGGGTCCTGGCGTTCAATGTACCTTGCAGTGGGCGACGGCTGTAAAGTTATTAGCTTGTGTTCGCTATGCAGCGCGCAGATATGGGGAGAAGCAGGAGCATACCAGTCGCGGTCTTCTTCTTGCCGAAGCATTGCACGCTTTGGGTGGACATGTTGGGCGGCTGTGGTTAGTTGCGTGCGGTGGTGCTATCGTTCGTCGTGGAAGCAAAGATTCATCATGTCGAAAGTGTGGAAGTTCCAAAATGCTAAGCGAACCAATGGCGGCTAGCGCGAATTTCGGGGCGGCGTTTGAAAATGGTGTTACGTAAGCCTGCATCCCTCTCACAGAACGTTGGCAGCGAACTAACTCATCAGATCCCCACCAACTCATCTTTGCATACTAATGGGCTCCAATTCAAGACTAAGATTCGTAGCAGTATAGATGGAGCCCGGTGAGACTTTCGCTTCCAGTACGAGACCGCAGCGAAGAAAGGCCCGAGCACACAATTGATATGCCTTACCAACTGTACGTCTTCGGCAGCAATGGCGAAGGACAGCTCGGCATCAAGGCTGCAGAAATAATTCAGACTCCCACAATCGCACACTCATGGCCTGCAGAGCAAGGGATCAGAGTTGTCTCCGGTGGCGATAATCACACACTCATCAAATCTTCTACTGGGTCCTTGTATTATGCAGGAAACACCCGAGCGCTTCACAATGGATCTCTACCAGTGACAGGGCCGAGACTCGAGACCTTCGAAATATCCGATAATATGAACGTCTTATTTTGTGCGGCTGCCTGCGAATCCGCCGCTTATATCAGAGATCAAGCTCCTGATGGGCCTGTAAATCCAGATATAAACACCATCTTCATTAGAGGCACGAGTCATTGGGGTGAAGGAAGTTTCAGTGAACGTTCCTTGCCGCATTCGGTGCTTGACTTCGCCGCTGGCAATTGGCATTATGTTGCCATTCTATCGGATGGCGGCGTACTGGGTTGGGGAAAGTCCAGGCTCGATCAACTGGGCCCAAAGCTATCAGGGCAACAACGCGTCACTGAGCCCCGGCTGGTTGAAGATGATATCCCTTTCCGACCTGTCAAAGTGGTTTGCGGCAAAGACTTCACGTACTTCGCCTCAGATCCATCCACAGGCGAACATCATCTCCTCGGTCGGGACAAATTTTCCCTACGCAGCGCCCTGCCTGCGAATATCAAAGGATGGACGCAGATTGGAGCGACGTGGCATGCGATTTTTGTCCTATTCGAAGACGGCAGCCTTACAGCTTGGGGAAAAGACAACATGTGGAAGCTCTTGCCTGACAATTTGCCTCTTGTTGAACAAATGGCAGTCGGGAGTGAGCATGTTCTTGCTTTGACCAGAGATGGAAAGCTCATCAGCTGGGGCTGGGGAAAGCATGGGAACTGTGGGGACCTGACGAGGCATCGGGACAAGATGAAGAACGATATGGTGAGCGGCTTTTGGAATGAGATCGACATACCCGGGTCGATTGAATTCCTCGGTGCCGGCTTTTGCACGAGTTTTGTGCTTACGCAAATGGCTGAAGAAGGCTTTGAATAATGTTGCGTTGCGATTTGGCGCTTGCGCAGGTGATGCAGGCTCGGATAACAAGGCTGCAAGGCTGACGATCTGCTTTGCATAGCCGACAGAGGCTGAGTTGAGGTGGCGGGCGGCATTCCAGTCTTCCTCACCTCGATATCTTTCAACATTCGGTTCATAAAGTAGAATCGCTCACCCACCAATCTCGAAGTTGGCACATAATGCCCATTACTTTTGGCGCAGTCGGCGACATCATTTCTGTATGCCTCCTTGTGAAAGATCTCGTTGACGCCCTTGACGAGGCACGCGGCTCCAAGGCTGAATACCAATCCGTTGTTCGCGAACTCTGGATCCTTGACCGAGCGCTCTTAGAGATCGATCTGCTCACAAGAACGCATGAAAATGGAGCCACGCCTGAGCTTCGGAGCTTATGCGAAACGGCACAACGCGCTGCGGCTAAATGTAAGAGCCTGGTGGCCCAATTCCTAGAACGGATGAAGAAATATAAAAGGGCATTTGAAGACGAAAACAAGGTGAAGAAGGCAGTCATGGGAGTGCGATGGCGCGTGGGTGAAAGAGAGGCGGTGGAGCGATTTCGTGTAGAAATCGTGGGGACGAGCTCGAGCCTGCAGATGCTACTGGCGACAGCCAATGTGTAAGAGTCGCCTTTACGTCTCATGAAGGACTACTAAAGCCTCTCAAGGAACTTGCTAGCCCTTAGTAGGAGGGACGTCAAAGATCAGTTGAATCAGATCGAGCAGCATAACGAACAGCGAGATTCAAGCCAGCAGGCGCTACTGCTAAATATCAAGGACCGCATTGACAATGCTACGCAACATGTTACCAACGGCAACACAGCCATAAGTAAAATAGTAGATGCTCTGAGGCTCGACTGGCTACGACGACTGGGATCTGACCTGAAGTCACTCATGCACAAGGTGATAGCCACGAATATTGCAACCTATCATGCCGTGGTAAGCATTCAAACTGTTCTCTCAAGCCGCCTCGAACGCACCCTCATTGAAGAACCCATAATATTGGAGGATCCAATCGGTCGCATAGCACCTGTCCACCTACAATTTGTTACTTCTTGGGACGCGTTCAATGCTGTGCTCGAAATTCGGTTCCGCAATTTGCAGGGCTTCAAGAAAATACAAGACAAGCAGTATGGACTTCAAGAGAAGGCTACAAGGAGGGAAATTGACAAATCACGTCCTTGGCAAAGAGCTTTCCTACCTGGCCAGCGAATCGAAATGAGTTTCATCTTCCGCAGTGACGACAGGGGAGAACCTGAAAATGAAGATGCCAAAACCATCACGTGCCCTGGATGTCAGGCTTCCTCGCCGCATCCGAATGACACCGAGACGCAGTGCTCTACCTGTTCGATGTGGTTTCGCAGAATTACTGTCGTCACAGAAGTGGAAGCACCGTCACCCATCCCGCTACCCAACCCTTGGAAATCGACAGCTGCATTCGGGAAGCCAAGCTTCTCTGCGCAATTAAGCGGCCCACTTAAACCGGGCAAGCGTAGAGTGACGCAAGATGATCTAGAGGGCGAGGACGATATGCGGGAATTCAAGAGGGTGAGGCTTGTGGCGGAAAGGAAGCGCGTCAAAAGGCAGACCGTCTTCAACGTCAATGCCGAGAAGACGTACGCAACATTCTCCAAGATATCCGTATCACCAAGTTCGAACAGCTCAAAGTTTGCTACGCAGGCAGACCCATTGCCTGCGAAGAACAATCTAGGAGCATCCGATGTTCCTCCGCAGCACCGACCAGAAGACCATGCTTTCGATATTAAGGTAGAGCTAGAAAAGGCTCGTCAGGTTGGTCTGACATCGCGAGTTCCCGGAGAATATTCCAAGCGTCCGCATAGCGCAACTTTCGTAGAGCAGCAGGAGCCAGTAACGGCGGTATACTACAGTAATATGGCCACTCCTGACACCTCGTCAAGATATCTCCGTCGTCGCCACTCCCTTCCTGTGCTCTGCTGTGTCGAAGAAACAACCTTTCTCGCCTCCCGCGAAACAGTCGTATCATTGTTTCAAGGGCAAGTTCCTGTAGATATGTCTTTATATGAATGGCTCGGCATCGGGGATTGGCGCGCGTCACCACAAGAAATCGCCATCGCATTTGAGCGCACATGTCTGAAAGCGATTGCACCTCAATCATTTGACACTAAACCTAATGGAGTAGTGGCCGCATACCTCATCGTGTTCCATGCCATTTTCGAAGTCCTATCAGACTGTACTTTGCGAGACGAGTACCATCGAGTAGGGCTCCAAGATTTCAGCGATTGGTGCTTTCGAGCTGTTGCTCTGTTAACAGCAGCCTACAAGCTGGACATCGCTGGTACAGATTCTCTTGTCTTGACGCCTACCTCTTACCGACGAGAGCGATCGCGATTGTACACTAGACACCGCGTACTACCGGATTTCTCGGCAAGCGTTAACGTGCTTCGTCATTTCATTGATGAGAGCTTTCGAAGTGGGCCAATGTATTCATTGTTTCTATCCAATATGAGAATCCCGATCTTGAACATGAAACCTGAGGAAAGGGTAAAGGCCTGTTCTATCTCGCTTGCTCAAGAAAGGGATCGATCATAGTTGTCGGAAGGCTGCGATAGCAGATACACCTCGAGAGTTTTGTCGCTGACGAGGCTGAACAGCGCTTTCAAAAGTGTGGACTCAGGATACAAGTGACCGATCAGACAGAAGTGTATAGACTTCTAGCAGGTATCTGAGTCAAAGGCCTCTAGTCTTGCCTTGTTTGCACGGACAAAGTCATCGCAGTAACAGAGGCTTCAACATTGTGAGATTACATCGTCCCACTTCCGGCATCTCTGTTTCCACAAGCCTCCCTGAAGACCTTACCATGGGCCATAGCATGAAGACGGCCAGACGACCTTCATAGTGTCGGATTTTCCCAAAGACTTCGAATCATAAGTACGACGTCTTGACCCATGGATGCACTAGAACCTCGAGTTTCACCACGCTAGGGCATATAGACGAGCTATTCTGTGTGTTAGAATCAGTAAATAGATCGCGGATCAGTATGCTCGGGTCGCTATCTAGGAAGTGCTCACATGGTTCTTGACTAGAGCTTGATGTTCTGGAGCACCGCGCTCAGGTCGCTGTCTAAAAGGCGCTCCGCAGCAGCCTGCGGCTCCATCCACATAACGCTATCGATCTTCTTGGCGGGTTGGACGACTTCAATGTCCTTGAGCAAAGCTTGCGTCTCGGGGCGGGTGAAGTGTTCCGTGGTGACATAGTAAGGAAACTGAATACAGGAATATTAGCAAACTGCCGCCAGTAGGTCGCGTCACAGTGGGTGGAGTTTAAATTCGGACATAGATACAACGAACATTAAATAGGGGTCCGGATTTCCCCCATGCCCAGTGTGCACGTTTTCTGGTAACTTACGTCGTCCTCCACCCCAATACCAGCCAAGCTAGCGCACAAGTTATCCTCGAAGACCTCGGGCAATGCATTGTGCTGCTTCTCCAGATCCTCGCAGTAGACGTGGACCTTCTCAAGATGAAACAACCACCGCACAGCCCAGACGACGACGTACTCGCCGAAGATAGCGCGATCTTGAAAGCGGGCCTGATCAAGAAACTCGTCGGGCTGGAAGGGCATGTGGGATGGCACGTGCTTCATGGCCTTGACCTTCGCCATGATGTGCTTGATTTTGCGGGCCGGGAACTCAATGAGATCGTATTTGTGGTCCCACCAGAAGCGAAGGAAATCCTCCTGCTCATGGAATTTGTCAATGCGTGTATTGTAAGCGTGGAAGGCGCAGATGAACTTGAAGAGGAAGTGGTATAGATCTGGATCCTGGATTTGGTCGGGTTGGGCCACGACGATGCCGGCGAGGAGAAAGTTGACTAAAATTTGGTGGGAGTGGCGGGAGAATGAATGGCACTTGTCGGTGCTCCAGTACCAGGTAGCGCACGCGATATCGAAACGGTCCTCAAATTTGCAGCCCAAGAATTTGTTGGAAGCGAACAGGTTGTAATTTTCGAAGAAGTAGGGGAGTGAGAGAGAACGAGGAATATGGTCGGGGAAGCAAGCATCATTGAGTTTGTAGTAGTCATCGAGGCTGATATATCATGTGTCAGTTCAGTATATTCCTCTTCTGTGCGCTATGATGGATGTGATAGCTGCTTACGTGGGCTTGCGTTCACCTAAAAAGTTCAGCTTTCGGAGTGGTGCAAGCTTGTTGGCCAGCATAACGACTAGCTTCTGGTGAAGCGACACCTTTACTGAATGTGATAGCTCCATTACGGTGGGTAGTTGTCGCTGGCGAGAACAAAATTGGTATCAACGGGCAGGCGAGGTAGTAGACGCGGTGGAAAGAGGTGAGGTGCAGCAGCGGAGGCTGAGGAACCTGGCAGGAGCAGGAGTGGTCGGTGCTTGATTAAATAAGCAGGTGAATGTTGGGATTTGAGAGTGACTGGTGACTGGTGACTGGTTTGCTAGAAGCGTTCAAGAGTTCGAGGTCAGATGTGGTTGAGTTTCAACGTCAACCTTTGGTGACTGTCACTTCAGCAATGCAATAGTATCGCTCTTCGGCAGCTTCGCAATGATTGTCATAGAAAGGTTTTATTGCCAAACAGTGGAGCACTTGGGTAAAAGAGGCGTATCTGCGGTCGTGACAGCTGGGTGCGAGCGCACCATTGCCTCCGGGTCCTCGATCAAGAAAGAACGAAGGGAATCAGGCCGAAGGCTGCACTCTTGTCGAACTCAGACTCTACACGGTAAATGTTGTTTGGATCGAGAGTCAAGGTCTGGCGTACGGATCAACGAGCGTCTCAAGTCAATTCCATCTATTCTGCAAGCTTGAGCAGTGTGCGGCCTCAGAAAATTGTCCTTGCCAGCCTATGGTACATGTCCCAATCTCTAAATGCTCAGGAGAGCGGTTGATGCCCCGCGAACTGAGACTTGACATTAAACTCCATCAATGCTTTGGTGCTTCTCCGAGTACTTTGAAAGGCGAGGAGACCTTGGCCAAAAAGCGGCCGTGATCCGCTCACTTTCAACCCTCAATTGACTCAAGTCAGACTCCAGAAATTCCAATCTTCGTCCACTCACTACAAGCCCCAAAATGAGTCTCTATATAAACCAATTCATGCAGATAAACGCCTAAGGATCATCCGAGGCGGCGTGTGGCGAAGTGGTACATTTGCTACTCTGTCACACAAAGCCTTAGAAACCAGTTCGCTTCTCAGCGAAAGGTCCTGGGTTCGACTCTCAGTGTCCGGTCCTACCTTAAGCTATTTGCCTTTCCTTGACCGTCAGCGTGCGATGATGGGACGGGCATTAGCCGAGGAAGGGGTTGGACTTGGTTCACTTCTGAAAGGATCTTAGTAGGCTCTGCCCTTACCGACCAGCTCAGCCAGCTGGAAGGTGAGCCACAAGCGAGCCGAATGGGGACTCAGAGGTGTTGGTCCTTTTTTGCTCTTCCACCTATCTCACTTGCCTTACTCACCACATCCCTTGCTAATTCTCTGATTCCACGTCCTTCGATCTTTTTACAGTATTTTATCTAGAGTGTCTTTGCACAAATAGCACATATGCATCGAATCTTTACCTCTATCTCCTGTCTCAGACCAGCGCCAAAGTATACATGCACGCCACTGAAGCTCACCTCTTCTAGTACATGTATCACCTCGAGGCAGCAGGCTAATACTGTTATTACATGCGAACATATAACCGCTATCCGTTTCCCTGTTACCTTCTCGCTACGCTAATTAATCCTAAATTCTCTGACAAGGGCCTGGTCTACTTTACCAATTCCTTTGGACCATACGCGTCCTAAGTATCTGTCCACATAGCTATGTCATAGCATATGGCATTTCTGCGCTAATGTTGCCATCCATAATAAACTTTCGCCGTAGGTTTCCATCTTATTCAGAGACCATATTAGGTCACCATAGCACCCGCAGTAGCCACAATCGTCACTGTTCCATATCCTTCCGTGTTATGATATGTGTTATCAAGTATTACTCGCCAGTAGACTAGCTCAAGAAAGACATAAGAGGTACTGTATGCAACCACAAATATCGACTAAGTCCTGGTATGCTTCCGCCGCTAAATGTTGTGGCGGGAAACAATTGCATGATATGATACTGCCCTACCACTACCACTGCATCAGATATCCACGCGATAAGTCTTCATCTCCGCCACGCCAAAATCGAAATTGACCGACTCGAAGTTTGCCACGCAGGCCGAAGCGCTTATTGCGAAGGATTAGTACATTGAAAGCGCCAGATTGAAATTCTACGAAGCATGTGTCAACGTTTCCCACGCTGTGAACAGATAGTTCGGTTTCGCCGGCCTGCTCCCTTCCACAAATGCCTTCGTCTTTGGCATACTCCTGCCCAGCCTCCCTACAAACTGCGCATATCCCGGCTCCGCAACAGGGAGCAATTCATACTTCAATTGCCCTCCGCAGACCTCACTGGACACCGGGCCTCCTGCAGCGTACTGCGCATGCATTTCCAGCGCGGTCTGCAACTTGCTTCCCAATCCAGTTGTGTAAAGATCCTCGCCCTGTATTCTCGCAGTCTCGAACATGTGTGAAATAGAAGCGAGGCCGTAACTCGCGTGCTCGAGATCGCGACACGTTTCCATGGTGCGGCCATCGAAGAACGAGCCGTCGGACTGCCAGAGCGCACGCACACGAGCTTCAGTTAGGTACTTGGTCGTCCACTCGGGAATCTTGGGGAAGCTCCCGTCGCTCTTGAGATAGATGTACGACGCGATATGCAGCTTTGCCCTTTCCATCACTGCATCATAGAGGGTACGGTCTTCCAGGAAGACAGCGATGTTCTGCGCAGCCTCTAGCATTGCGGAGTCGATGTTATTCGGGTTATCTGCGCTGCCGTCGCGCACGAGAGGGAGATACACGTCCCTTAATATGCCCGAAAATCTTGTGATACTACCAGTGTCCCAGTTTGCATCTGTGTACCGCAGGATTTCAGCTGCACGCGTCCATGTCGAAGCGGCCCAGCCAGACTGCAATCCCGGCTGCTCCGGTGCACTAGAACTCACATGCTCTTTTAATGTGCCGCTCCACGCATCGATAATGGTTATGGCTTTAGCAGCATAGGTATCGTTGCCTGTGTATGCCCAGCGAAGGGCAAGTGAGTAAGCAGCTAAGGCATCGAGACGCTCTTCTTCACAGCCCTGCTCCTGGTCGTGCTCTGGGGTGCCGGGGTCTTCACAGCGCACTGTGGCAACGGGTGAGGGGCCCCAGGAGGGTTTGGTCCATGGCAGGTCGTCTAGAGCTGAGTACGCTGCTCTCCATGGGTTGGCTTTGGCAGCAAGGTGGGCTTTGGTAGAGTCGAGCTGAGCTTGGCTGACGAAAATTCCTGGGTGCTGGAAGGTGTTTTGTCGTGGTGCGGATGTAGATGGCAGAGCAAGGGTTGGAGATGCGGCGAGGTGCAGGAGGAGAAGCGAGGAAACCACTGTGCTAGCCATGACGGTGGAGAGAGCGCTTCTGAGCACGAGATGACGAAGGTTGAAAGGTGCGACCCTTCTGCAGCGCTCTTGCCGTCCTCAAGAGCTCCAACGTAGAGATAATTAGGAATCTAGGATTACTTGACAATTTTTTTTTTCGAGAGAAAGGGACTCGGAAATTACACTGTAGTTTCATGGTAGTTTTCCTTTTTGAATTGGCGTCGTTTAAGCCTAGTTTGTTTCGAAAAGTTACATCGGACCGCCGATCGTACCAAGCCGTCTACTGTTTCTAACGGCGTTCACAAGAGACTTGGCTTGCGACGCTGTTGCCGTTCGTATGCATCTCTAGTTGGTATACTTTCTCGTCTAATTGCCACTCTTCATTATGGGGCTATCGTTTTGACTTATAGTGCGTGCATAAACAGGAGCACTTGACCAGGTCTTCACTATGCTCGGGTCGTACTACGCTCACAACTCCAAGGTGCCTATCCTGCTACCTGCGCTCCCGCCTACACCCCACGGACCCTCATTGACTCTTCGCGTGACCATTTGGAGCACATCGTTCCTGCCGCCATCTTGCTCCAGCCTCCGTCCCAACGCTTTCAGCGCGTCGAAGCGTGACATTGCAACCTGATAGGCCGCATTTTCCGCATCGCCTCGCCCGCCCACAAGATTCGAGAACGTCGTCGCGGGCTTCAACAGCGCAGGCAGCACACCACCGCTGCGCGCCGGGTCAAGGACGAGATCGAGACCTGTACGCGGGAAGTTGTGCAAGCGAGTGTATGTCGCGTCGGAAGTGGGAATAATATCCGGGACGGATGCGGTCGACCATGATGACGTGATGATGGCACGGAGCAGTGTGAGAGCTGCTACGGCATTGTCTTTCATCGCAATGGTGGATGTGTGCGTGACGAGGTCAGAAAATAAGGAGGGGTGTTTGGTGTAGTATTGCGAGGTGAGGAGGCGCGCAAAGACAGACTCTATCTCGATGCGTTTGGGATCCAGACCGATAGTTTCTACCTGCGGAAAGGTGATCTCCTGTTTCGGAGGTCCGTGGAACACAGCGGCCAAAGTCTTTAGCGCATCAGGATTTGTACGAGTAATAGGTATGTCGAGCAGAACGCAGTCATCCCAGGCAAGACCTGTGGCACTGCGAGGTATGAGGGTGGCACGGGGCATTGACGCCAGTATGTTGAGGTCGTGGGGCTCGCATCGGCGTATGTTGCGGCCAAGGTAGGTTCGAATCGTTTGTAGCTCAGCACTGGTTTCGAAATTCTCAGGATAGGCGCTCGCGTAGTCGCTGATATATTGCGCCGTCCTTGGGCTTAGGAAGGAATGATCGAGACCAGGGCTGTCGCTAGTGTGGAAGTCGATTATCCGTTTGTGGATATTTTGCTCCTTCAGGAAGTCTAACGACAGACTCGAGTCGTAGTGCCTATGGCACGTCAGTTGCACCCCATCAAGTCATTGCAGGGATACGTACGTGAGATGAGGCTTTGTTTTCACGGTGATCATAAGCTCGCGGTAGAAGTTGATGAGCGTCATGTGCATTAACACGTCATCATCTGTGTCCACCATCCTCAGCGAGGCGTAGTGGAGTAGTCCTTGCCCCTGAGCCAGTCCGACCTCCTTTTCAATGTCTAGCCCATGGCTTGAGGTGATGGTGCTCCAGTCCAGTGCGCCGACCTTGGGTAGCCAATGCAAGAGGCGCGCCTGCGATATTGTCTTGTCCCGTTTGCTCAACAAAGGTAGCGGTGGGTTCGATAGAGTCTTCATGGAAGTATAGTGGTAGTATAGAGAGACAATATCGCGATCGGTGAATAAGCGCCTCCACATGGGACCAGCGCCGTATTTGTGCAGCGTTGCCTCTCCAGATACAGTGGCGGGCTCATTCTTGGACGCACGCAACAAGGAAGTAAGAAGATCTTCGGCTTGGGTGGCAACTCCAGCATTCGAAGTGCAGAGCCACAGCCGTACGATAGCGGCCATGACAGTTGGTCGATTCGCAAGGGCCTGTGCATCGTTGCTTCCTGCTGCAGCCTTCTCCAGCAAAGTGAGGATGAGAGCATGAACCGGTGTTGCTTGCAAATCTAGGCCGATCTCGAAATCAACATCTTTGATGTGCTCGAATCGGTAGGGTGCAGCGAGCTTTGTAACAAATTGGATGAGAGGTGCTGGTTCCTGCTGGAGCTTTGGCAGCAGAGCAGCGATCTGGAGGAACAATGGCCCAGTCTCCTGCCATATCCGGGCTTGATAATCGGGTGTGCTTGTGAAGAGGCCGCATTTCTCGAGCAGGTCTGCATCCAGTGTCGTAGTCGGATCCTCGTCTACCGCTTGTAGATGTGCAGAGAGTTCAGGGAGAAGAGCAGCGGATGTTTGCGCCATGTCAATGAATTTGTGCAGACGGAGGAACTGGGCTTTGGTTCATCAGAATAATAGAGCTATTTCAAGACAGCCTAAGCAGAGGTGGCGGCAAGTTTCCTGGTAGTGCCAATAGTAGAAGCTTCCAGTCCACGGTTTAGCTGTTCTCATGTGACTACGCGTACTGCAAGGGCCTGGGCGCGTCAACAGGCGTGAATTACTCTGACGCGGCGAGCGTTCTTTGAGCCGCGGGTCAATGTGTAGAGGCGTGGTCCTGAAGTTCGACCGATCAAATGACGTCAGAGCTTGCTGCACAGCGCAGTGCGAGAATCGTGTGTCGCCCGAAGAGAGACAGTATAGAGTGCGACACTACGATAGCTGGGGTGAGTTGGTTGCAGCGTGATGTGAGAGGCTGGGCGGGGCATCGGCGCTGGTGCCCCACCAAGTAAGGGCCGCGGCTCAAGTTGCTGCAGGTGTTACCCAAATTTTTGTCCTCGACAATGAAATTCCGCAAACCGGTCCGACGTCGCCTCCACGGCTGCAGCATCTGAAGCGCAGCTCATCCATACCATCCTACTACCAGAACAGCTATCGTCATGTCTCGCGGCGGAAGGGGTGGCGCGCGCGGTGGCGGGCAGCGCAGCGCTCCCGGGACAGTTATGATCGCGGGCACAGAGATGGCCTGGGACTTGACGGGCCTCGAGCTCCAGAAAGGGCCTGGCGACTTGTTTCCCGTATGTTGTTCTGATTGGCATTCCTTGCGTTCCCTTCATTATCGTACGCATCATGGGCTGCCATGAGGTCCTGGAATTGTCGCATGATGCTTCCACTCTCAACGCGACTCGACAGCCTGCTGAGACCTTGGACAGAGCGCCCCACCAGCTCAGGCGCCTGCGCCCTCCGAATATGAGAAGACAACTCTGAAGCACTACATCGCAATCCGCGACCGTGTCCACAACGGCGACTTCTTCACGATCCTGAACGATGGCATGAAGACGGGGCTTAAGCGCAAGGCCGGCGACATCGCGCCCACCGACGAATCACTTTTTGACCCCTTCGTTGGCAACGAAACATACTCAGCCAGATATCACAAGCGCCATCGGAAAGTTCCGAAGCTAGACAGTCGCCCGTTCGGTGAGTTCGCATGATGCAGCGGATGGGCGCATTCACTAATAGCACACTGCAGTTCACGAGCTATTCCCGCCCGAACTGCGACAGTACCTCGACCGAGGCAGCAACAAGAAGAAGCGCGTCCTCGCCGTGACCACCAAAATTAATGAGAAATCCTCGATTCAGCAACATATCGAGCAGGAAGAGGGACGAACACGCGAAGCCGAGGCGCGCGCTGAAGATGAAGACGAGGAGTTTGATGAGGACGAGGCAGCCGAAGACGAGGAAGAAAAAGAGAAGGGTGATGACGAGGACAACTGGTCCGCGGTTTCGAGCGACTCGGAGGAGGCAGACGACGACTACAACGCCGAGCAATACTTTGACAACGGCGAAGACGACGACATCGACGACGCGGATCCGTATGAGAACACGTACGAGTAGGATTCTGCATGGCAATTCCGGCCCGGTCGTCGACCAAAGGACTCGGAATGGAACTCGAAAACCATGTTCCGTGTGGGCAATTCGTTGGCGGCAGCCCTAAGTGCATAGTGGAGGGCGTTGCGAGGTGGTATGATACCCATTGATGTTTAGAACGTTGCAAGAGCAATGCAGTTGAAATCCAGTCTACTGATACGGCAATTTGTGGCCATGTGTTAACCCACGTTACCCCCTCAACAAGCCGGCGACATTATAATGTTGCGATGCGCAATGAAAGTCACAGCACTGCGGTGAAGGAATTGTTCTATGAATTGAGTTTTATTACAATGTACACGGATATGACTAAACCACGATGCGATCGTCGAGCGCTACCAGTTCAACTTCATCTTCTTCATCTTCATCTACCATATCCGCCCAGCTTTTGGCGAACGAGTGCTCTGAAGGCGACGTGGGCGGCGTGATAGGCTCGACCATTTCCTCGTTGTCCTCGTACTGTGTCAGCTCTGGGATTTGTTCTGACTCCAGCTTCTGCTTTCCCTCCAACAGCACCTCATTAACCCGATCCTGCTCTTGCCAAAGCACAAACTCTAGCAAGTTTTCATCTCCCGCGGGTGGCAGCCGCGATCTCTTCACCACCATCTCTTTCTCTCCAAACTCAATGTCCTCGCGCAGGATGTTGAAGCGCAAGCTGCTCGTTCTATCTGCACCTTTCCTGTGGTGATATGCATGTGCCTTTGGTCTGCGCTCTGGACACAGATTAGTTCGAGTTCCCACGCGAGGGCCTTCCTGCTTTCCCATCCATTTCCCCATCTCAAAAGGCGCTTTGTCGTTGCGCTCCGAATCACGCATTAGCAGAATACGCTCTACTAACGCGTTTCGATCTTCAGCCTTGGACAAATCATAAAGCAGAACCTTCTGCGGCATGAAATCATCTTGATCCAGCTCATCGATGTACCCAGCTTCCACTAGCATGCTAGACAGAATTCTTTTCTTATCTACTGCGGCTACTGTGGCGCCATAGCTCCTGGCGTATAGAAGGGTGACGCAAGACGATAAATCCAACCCGCCGTGGATGTCACTCTCAAAGCCGTATTTCTTTAATCTGAAAATTTTAGGACAAGCGTGTAGTTCGTTTGTCCTCAGTTCTTTGGCATCGAATGACACTGAGGCGTCAGAGAGGGTAGGCTGGAGACCAAATGGGGTGAACAACTCAACAACTGCATCGAGAAGATAGCCTTGCTCTACCATCGTTCTAGCTTCGGCGAAGGGTTCGAGAAGGTTTGGCGCATCTGAGCGTAGGGCTCTCAACAGTGCAGAATCTGTCCTTGGAACCAGGCGAAGCTGCCCACAATACGCTTCAGTCTCTTTCTCGATCGCGAATTCGAGAATCCAGATAATCAGTCCGGTGACATCAGCCTGGGATGTGATGGTGAAGGCATTGGAGGTGTTTTCGCGGGCCTTAACCACGCGGACGGTGTTGCTGGCTTTGCTACCTATGATGCGCAGAGTGTAAAAGAGAGGGGCGGTGGTAAAGGTCAGGATAGTGGAGAGTTCGCCGGTGAGAATACAAGGGAGGGCGTGCGCGTTAAGAGAGTCATAAAGAGTGGCGGGGATGTTGGTGATTGTTGGAGACATTGCGGTCTGGAAGAGGGTTCTTGGATGGCTTCGATAATTGTTGTGGTGGGAATGGTAGTGATGTTGAAGTGCCTTGAATCTGAGTTTGCTGCGTGATGAAGCTATTGAAGTATGTTGGATCCTCCAGAGATGAGGGCGGGGACTTTGTAGAGCACATAGGGTTGTGAAGATGGTTCACGATACCCGTTGAGAAAAAAGGCATTTTAAGATTAGTGTTGTGTACCAAGGGACGTTGCGAAGAGTGCTGAGGCCTACTAGGCTACGGTATCGATCCAACTGTTGTGATCCAAATTTTGCTACTTATTGTCACACTGTGGAGTATTGTGACAATAAATTGCAGCGCCTCCTAGGTGAATTTGAGTGGTGTCGCGCCCCCAGATACACAGAGGCGTACCAGCAGACAGCGCAAGACCTACTGACTGCCTGCCCTATGTGGATGGAGAGTTATAGTGCATCCTGGACTGACTTGAGCGGTGTTTCGTTTCTAGTGTTCCTAGGACGCAGCTTTGAGGTATACCTTTGGTATACCTGCTCGTTAACGGTAGCTCATCGGTCAACGGTCGAATACCGTTTCCTGTCTGTGGTTCGCTTTGATGCGAGTACCGTAACGCGGAGCGTTCAATATCTGTCGACCAAGATTGTGCAACATGTTTCCTGAGAAGAACATTATCACGTAGATGATGATGTGTAGAAGGATTGCATGGTGCTTTGTCGTGACGGTGGTACCTACGAAGGTAGCGAGACATGGAACGTTTTAACCACAATCGATCTAGCCAGGTACCAAATCCCCGCTCGTCGGTACGGACGAAACTCTTGCACCCGCCCCCCGTAGCCAAGCCATCTACTTTTGAACCCTTACAAAGCGCAGCTACTGGCCTTAGTTGCATGCAATATCCCCCTAGTCCGATGAGCAATATAAATGAGCACGTTTGCGTGCTTGGGAACGTTCTCGTGCGTATGCAAAGCCAATCGCATCGTGCTTGTGGAGAGGCTATACCTCGATGGTTTGCCACAAGGATTTCCACGTGGGGTCGCATGGGGTAGGAAGGATAATGGGAGTACCGGAGCGTCCGTGAGTTTGTTTCGCTGGGGATTACAGATGCGCGATGAGGGGATAGCGGTCTCTTCAAGTGTGCTCGCTGGGATGCCTGTCTGCCATTTCACCTCGTCAATCTCGTTCCTGCGTTTTCCCACTCCACGCAGCTTACAGCTTTTCCGTCATGCGTTCCTTCCTACCGTTGTCGCTCTCCCTACCCTGGCTCGCCAGCGGACAATATGTCTCGTTTCCTCGAAGGGACACACGAGCCACGCTACCATGCGGAACACTCGTCAACGGCTTCATCGATGCGAAATCCTCTTCTGTACGCCAATTCCTGGGTATCCCTTTTGCACAACCGCCCGTTGGGAATCTCCGCTGGGAGCCACCGCTCGCTAACAAACCCTCGTCGCCTGTGAATGCAACCGCATATGGCAGGTCTTGCACGCAATTCGAGCCGCTCACACCAAATCTCGAGAACACGGACGTTCCCGAGTTGACGATCCAAAACAAGAACACTGGCGAGGACTGTTTGACGCTAAGCTTGTGGACGCCTACGAATGCAACTAAACTACCGGTCGTGGTATTCTTCTATGGCGGGGGCTGGTATACCGGTGGACAAGATGTTCCTTACACGATCCCAACGCAGTGGGTGCAGAGGACGAAAGACTTGATCGTCGTAAAACCAAATTCGCGAGGAAACATATTTGGGTATCCGAATGCGGAAGGAGCAACGAACCAGAACCTAGGCATGCTTGACCAACGGCTTGCAGTTGAGTGGGTACGAGACAACATTGAAGCGTTCGGGGGCAATAGTTCCAAGATTACTATCTGGGGCCAATCTTCTGGCGCAGAACAAGTTGATTTCTACAACTTCGCTTGGCGCGAAGATCCCATCGTTCAAGGCCTCATCATGAACTCTGGAACTGCGTTCATCGAGGACGGCTCGGGTCCTAAATACTCCAACTTCTCTTACGTCTCCGCGCAGGTAGGCTGCGGGAACAGCACCGACGCCGGAGCCGAGATTGCGTGCATGAAGAAGATTGACGCGGCGACGATCGAGAAGGTCATTGCAGACAATCTGAATGGAGGAGGGGTGCCGCCGTTGGCTTTCGGTGCATCGGCTGATGAGCAGATTGTGCCTTCAAACTTGACGGCATGGGCGCTCGAGGGTAAGATCACGAAAGTGGTAAGTGCATCGCCAGTAGTGATAAAGAAGCCAGCAAGCTGACGAGATGACACAGCCCGCTATTATCGGCATCGATCGGAACGAGGGCGTAGGGTTCGTAACATACAACGCCAGCGGACCGAGCGCAGAAGATCAAGTTTTGTCGGAATTCTGGTTTCAGACGCTCTTCCTCTGCCCCTCTTTCAAGACGTCGAAGCTCCGTGCCGCAGCCGGCCTCCCAACATACCGTTACATGTATGCCGGCAACTTCAGCAACATCTCTCCACGACCATGGATGGGGGCTTATCACGGCTCCGAACAGCCGATGCAGTTTGGCACCCACGGCAACTACAGAGGCGCATCGACACCATACCAAATCGCCGTCAGCGAAGCGATGCAGGACGCATATCGTGCGTTCATCAACGACCCGCAGTCTGGGCTGAAGGGACATGACTGGCCAGAATTCACAGGGGATTCTGACGTTGTGAGGTGGTTTGCGAGCAACGGTACCGTGGCCAGGAATGCGGTCGGAGAGCTGAAGGCGTGGGAAGATCAGTGTTGAAGAACACTTGGCACAACACTGTACCGTAAGACAAGAACGACATGGTTGCCTTCCTATCGAGTGAGATTTCAGTTTCCTACGCGCGCGGATCGCGCAAACGCCCATTCTTATCTCCAATGTCTTGAGACGTTGACAATTCCGTATCAACAGGTCTCAATGTGCGACTCGCTCTCATTCCTTTTGATCGGTTCTCGTAATTGCAGAACACAGTGACAGCAAGCGCTGCGGACCGGATCACTGGGCCACACAGACTTCTCGTTGATGTTCATGCACTTTGCGCATTTGCGTGCTCCCAAGGGATGTTACTGTCACACGACACGAGCCTCATGTCCCATCATTGGCGTATTTCGTCGAAGGATTTGGCGTCACAGCCACGCGCATCCGGTTTGTCGGGCGCACGGCTGGGTGACACGACAATTGAATTGTTTAAAATTGTCCCTCATGCCTTGCGCGATACGCATCTTGCCAACGTCCGCTTCGCCACGGTGCCTCTAGCAGTGCGCAGATGTCTCCAGTGCAGTGGAGACATTCCAGACCACGTTGGTTGTTTATCTACCGTGCCATTGGCCTTCTTCAGCCTAGTCGTGACGGATAATTACGTATCAAGCTTCGATAGGTGGTGTCGATGTCGGCGCCGTCGTTCGAGAGGACCGTTGAGGTCGAGGCCACTATTGCTTTGGCATTCTTCCTGACTACCGCGGGTTTGTGTTTACACGAGGGGTCGCGGAGGATCAGGAAGGCTCGTTTGACAGCCTATAACCTTCTGCTATACTTCGCCTATGTAAGCACTCACGCTTTGAATCATATCTTTGCGCTTACGATCTTAGGCGGATGTCATCGTCAAAGACATCATCGCCCTGTGGTGTAAGTCGGTGAAATGCATGCATCCAGACTGTTGCTAACTTTCTTGAGTGGTCATCAAAGGCGCGTGTTCGGACGTCGTTCTATCGAAGCAGACCCCTCATGACGAGATCCTCTTCGAAAATGTACAGATTCTTTTTTGAACACTATCACATCAATATCTACTCATACACATCAGGTATTCTTCGCTCTGGCCGGGCTCCGGGCAGCGACCACCATCTCGGTCAAGCTCGCCGTCCTCTTCCTCTACAAACAAGTCTTCACATTGGACAATCCATGGTTCCGCATCGTCTGGTGGGCCTGCTTATTGTACTTAGTGCCCTGCTTCATAACGATTGACCTGACCTTCTACGGTATCATCTTCTCCAATAAGAAGCGAACACCTCATCTCCAACCCGCGGATATCATATTTGAGCGGATCGCGCATGTGATCGTCGCGTGGCTGAATACTATCGCTGACATGTCCATCTTGGCCCTACCGCTTCCGTCCCTGCTGCGGCTCCGCGTTCGGAGATCGCAGAAAGCGGCGCTGTGCGTGCTGCTCTGCATGGGCTTTCTGTGAGTCAGCGTTGCTTCGTCGAGGAAGGAACGCGCGCTAATGTTGACATGCAGTGCGACAGCCGGAACGTGGGCTAATGCCATCCTGCTCTCTGTTTCTCTGATGAAGGGTCGTGATATGAGCCAGGCCCATGCCAACACTGTGCTTCTTATCGCATCTGTAACAGAGTGTGCTGTTGGTATATTTTGCGCGTGCCTGGCAACGTCGAAGCCAGCGGTTTCTGTGCTTTGGCGCTGGCTTAAGGCTGCATTGCGAGGGGAGAAAACGCATAGCCACTTTACTGAGCTGCGACCGAAAGCTGAAAAAGCTGATACTCCACCTAATTTGAAGGAATTGTCAGTCAAAGAGATGGTGCAGAGTTGTTCGGACCCTCGTGGGTAGAAGCGCTGCAAACAGTACTACGATCCAGAATCTGCCCCTTCGTACCTCAAACCTGGAGAACGGCAAACGACGGCGCGACTGGGCAGCGTTTTTTGACGAGATGAAACTGGGAAAACAATACAATCATTGACGTCGCTTTTGGGCGCCCCTGCGATACAATGCGGCTGGCTTTCGTAGAGGTGCTGTCTTTCCTGTCGAATCGTCCAAGTATGCTACACATGCGGCCTGCGAGCGATCTAAATGGAAGAAGAACAACAATCACAGCTATTCAACGACAGCGCTCGAGCCGACCACATCCAACGCTATGATAAAAACTTTGGGAGGATGGTTTCTTCCTACGGAATGGACTTGTTCTTCAATTTCGAAGATTGGCTTGAGTAGGGGAAGTGACAGTTGCTCAGGCCGCTCTTGTCATTCACTGACCCGGACTTGATGAAACTGCGGCGTTGGCAGTGCACAGATCTCCTTGGCGGTACCTTCACTTTTACTGGAGTCCCAGGCTCAATCGTACGCATATCAAGAATGGGCGACAGCATAAGGCATACATGTCAAGGTCCGTCATTGCCACCGATGGCTTGACGCGTGGGCCAACGACCGACGATGATGCGAGCCCTGACATCCGCGAACTTCGAAATATCAAGATACACAAGTTGTTCACTCAATCAAAAGATCTGCAAGTATTGGTTCACACTATCCTTCAGGGCAGAATCATGCCATAGTCTGGGTCCATCTCGCCTCGTCTTGAGATGCCCGTAGTACAAATGGAATCTGGGCATGAAGCTTATCTGTGGAAGATGTGTCTTGTGGTCTGGAGTCAGCAAAGGCCCGGCATCTCCAAACCCGGATGGCGCTTTGCTTTAGCCAAAGGGAATGGTGTAGGTCTGGGGACGGAAGAAAATCTTCAAGGTCTAGCGGGCGCATTGCGGGAAAACTTGGCGGGTTGAAATGAGTCCCTGCCGCGAATGCCAGGCCAAAGCGCATCAGAATTGCTAAAGCAGTTCTACTGCCGATGCAGACGAATTATGACGACGATGGGGGTGATGATGATGGTGCCTGTTCACAAGGCTCCAGTCGTTTGCACAGTCCGGTCGAAATGAGATTAGGGATCAAACAGTAAGAATATAATGACAGTCTTGCTGTGATCCGTAAGTATTAACAGGCTGCCATTGATCTCCTTCTCATTTCGCTGCTCCGTCATGCTTCGCGAAATGTCAGCCACTCCGCCTCTGCAAGTGAGCATTGTGACTTCTCGATGGTATTCAAGGAGCGATCGCTTTCAAGCAAGGCTCCAAAGGCCGACGAGGACATTGTGTGAAGAGATTCTGCTGGACAATGCGCAACAACTTTCACCCTGAATAACATTGTTCACAAGTGGTTGCTGCACAATAGCCCCTCCACTCATGAGACGCACAATATTTATATCTACTCAACCTACCTAGCCCCAATAAGGTCAACAAAGTTGAAGCAAGGATGCCTTTTACAACTTCAGATTTCCTTGGTAGCGCCTCCGAACAGGATTCAGTGTGTCGTGGCTACTGTCAGCACACCTCTTGTCGCACATATCGACCCATACCTCAAATGCCTCGGCGAATCTGTCCGGATGCCCATCCCACACCACTGACACCCTTAAGCGTTTTCTCTACGATCCACATTACCACCGTTCACGAGAAGCTGGCCGATCTTCAACGGACTGTCGACGCTCGCACGCAACTGGTCGAACTTGCCCACCAACATCCGCAACGCTACCACCTCGACTCCTGGACGACACAAGCTTATCACACCTACGTTAGTCGACGGAACAACGACTTTGAAGAACTCTTGGCCGAGATTAGGCTCTCGGTTGCATATTTCGGTCACATTAACCTGCCGGGGCGCCGCGAATTTACTGACGCAGTCAAAGATGCAGGTCTCTACGAGGAAGAAGTCTCTCTCGAGCAGCTGCTTGCATGGCACGATGAAGCAGAGCATCTTCGAATGGCGGCCAGGAATAACTGTGAGTGGTTTGTTGAGAGTGGCGAGTATAGTGACCGTCGAGACGGGATCTTCAGCCCCGAATGGAGCTTCGCAAACTCAAATGCAGGAGGAGCGCGCGCAAGCATCGAGGAAGTCGCACCAGATGAGGTTCAGCAGACCTCGGACGCAGCAACTGCTGACAATGCCAGTGGCGTGGAGTAGTGGCTGGCTGCTGCACTTGATACTCAGTTAAGAACACTGGCTGGTATATTCCGCGAGAGGTAGTCCTTACTCTCTTGTTGATTGCAGATTGCGCTGCATTATCTAGCTTCTGATCATGATATGGCAGAGCATCAATTTCATTCATCCAATTTTATCCATTCCTTCGCAATTATGATCCACGTAGCAATTCTCTGTACTCTCACCGAACGCGCGAACGAGGCATCTTTGCCCGTCTAACCATGCCTAATTCGCTACCTCAGGGCTAATACATCGACACACAGGAAAAGGTATTTTGGATATTGCTCATCGTGTTTTTGCGTACTCCCGGAGCACAAGTCTGTTAAGAGGCTACATATACGTGAATAAAGAGATGCACTAGGATAAACGAACTGAGAGTGACCCTTACCCTTACTTTATCCCGCCAGCATCCGTCTCTCAATGAGCTATCGATGCCCTTAAGATACACACATTGATCAATAAGCGCAACAATTGCGGTCTTGAGCCCTGAGGGCAATTTCACTACGAGCAGAGACTCGGAGATATGCTTTTCCACTCTGCCTCCCAAAGGGTCATACGTTGGTTCATTTTTGCGGATTTGAAACCCCCTCGTGGTATACCTTCGACGCAATAAATTGCATCATCGAACAGCCTGAATGCACCCAATCCTGCTGGTACATACAATCAGTCCCGGCTCTTCCCTTCATCGAGCTGTCGCCACCAGATCGGCGCATTCCATTGCGTCAATTCTGTCCAGTGAAGTCTCATGGACCTGCACTTTCTCAAAAATTATGGTACTCAAGTCTCAGTGCGTGGCTTATTGGTAGTTATCGCGAGAAGAAGGTGACTGCAGGTATGTAGGCCAATATGCGAGCGGTGGATGCGAAGAAAAGAGATACAAAGACAGTTAGTGTGTGCTGAAAGAATATTGCGTGTTCCCATGCGCTGCTTGTTGGCCTGAAGCCCTTGTCACGGTTTTTTCTTTTCAGAAAATATCAGATGTTGCACATGAGGTGGTTGCATGTAGAGCGTCTGCAGATTTCGCCTTCTTGTGCGTCGCGAAAGCCAAGCGGATGATCAAAGAGAAGTAAGTCGAAAGCAACTATGTCGATACCATCACAATGCTTAGTATGTCAGGTGGTGTTCTTCTGGCTAAAATCTACTGACGATGATGATGTTGTCCGTAGTGGGGTCCTTTGCGGTAGCCTTCTCGTTGGCCTTCGCACTATCCTTCCCCAATCGCTTACCCGATCGCTTCTCCGAAAGTGGCTAAAGAACTGAGATCGGCTGAATCCGAAAGCGGGATTGACATTCCAATTGCTTTCTAGTAGCAAAAAGAAGTCCAATATGCTGATGCTGTGATGCTACGTGGTGTCACAGAGCGCTATCAGAACTGAAAACGCAAAATCAGCAAGTCACCATACGACATTTGTTTATGTCTTTGATGCATCTACAAGTACAATGCGCAGTTTGAACGGTTGTCTTCGAGAGGTCGAGATATCCTGCTCCCAAATTCAGAATGGCCTAGATAGAACCCATTTCCAATCCGGTAGCAAACCCCATCTAGGCTGGCCATCAATAATGCTCCCAAGTCCCAACTGTATGCCCCTGCACCCTCGCCTTTGTCCAATCCACCCCATACTTGTACGGCGCCAATACCGGCTCCTCATCAATGCCACAATGATCATCGCCATCCCTTCCTTGGAACCAACCTAAGGCATACGTCTTCCCCAACTTCTCTAAATGCACGGTCATCTGCTTGCTATCGAACTTCTCCGTGTCGACAAAGTTAACGAGCATTTTCGACTGGTGGATGAAGGCGAGGACGGATGCCATGGTGCCGACCTGCCGCGGCATGAACTTGTGCGAGCGGTGCACATACACGACGCAGGCGACGCCTACTAGGAAGAATATGATGGCGATAGAGAGGACGAAGGAGGACCAGAAGGAGCGGAAGGTCTGGTCTGTATTTGCACGGTCATCATGGTCGTCGCCATTTATGACGTCGTTGCCGCTTTGGCCAGGGACGAATTTTATACCGTCTACGGAGAAGGAGGAGACGCAGATAGTGAGGATCTCGGCTAGAATGGAACCGACCCCGACAAGGAACACGATGTAGTGCTTATTAATGAGGGCCTTGAAGGGGAGGACGATGGGGTTTGTGCCAGTGTAATCGAGCGTCAAAGTCTTCGCCGGTGCTTCGCGTTGTGCGAGGATGTGGTATGGTTGAAGAGTACGGATATCGCCGTTCAAAGTGTTCCAGAGTAGCTTGACGATCGTGGCCAAAGTTGTGAGAAGAAAGGGTAACTTGTCCGTAACAACCTGGGCCGGTTTGACGAAGAGAAAAATGGGCAGTACGACCGCGAATAAGATGAGGTAACAAATATAAGGTATGCCAGCTTTGAGTCGTAGCATGAGGGGCCGAGGATCGGAGCCAGTGTCTGGAATTTTTTCCCTTACAGTGCGGATATATTCTCCTTGCCAGAGCGAGCTCTTGTGAAGGATATAACGTCGATGGCGAAGCTGTTTGTGTATTTTATCCAGTGGTGCGGTGTCTAAGTTTTGAAAGTCGGCGAGAATGTGGCTTTTGGTAGCCATGGCCGCGACGCCAGCGATACCCTTGGGATCAGACAGTAAACCACTTTTCCTACGCATCTCGTACAGAAGGACCGTACCGAGGATAGCAACGATGATGAGGCAGGTGGTAACAGACCTGGACCACCAAGGTTGTATCCGTATCGATTTCCAATCTCTTACCTCTCGCTTTTCTTCTTTTGGATACATCTCTACGGATGCCGATTGGAGGATAGGCACCAGGCTACTCGCTATAAGTGTAGATATGGACACATAGATGACTGCATACTGCTTATGCCGTAGCGCTCGTAGGGGCACCAGCCAGCTCATGAACGTCAAATAGTCCATGTTAAGCGATTCACCCGCGGAGGACCCATTCTTCTTGGATAATTGATAGTACGGCTCCAGTCGCTTGACTTCATAGTCCACTATCTGCCATAGGATACCGTAGATGACGAAGAAGAGGACCGGGGCGTATTTCCAGGTGAAGTACTGTAGCACCGTCAAATCTTTAGCGCTTCTGAACTTGATCAGCCCTCCATCGTGGTCGTCGTCAGGATCGTGTTCGGATGCTTTTTGTGAAATCTGGCACAGATACTCTTGTAATCCAGCCAGAGCAAGCGCAATAATTACAAGAAATGTTAGGTACGGCCAACCCATCGAGAATGGTCGCCAAGAAGGCATGTCCGGGTCTAACTCACAGTCAGTCTGTGAAACCCCCGATGTTGCACTTGTCACTTACCTGGAGGAAAGAAGTAACTCATTTCATTGTTATTACCACGCTCAAAAACGAGCGAAGCGCGGCTGTCGAAGTCATTCCCATGTCCCGCCATATCACTGATATCCACAGGGATTTCTGAGACCGCTACGATACCCCCAGTCTTCTCAGCCTCCTCCTGTGCATCTTTCGCGACGACGTCAACGATATTTGCGTCAGATAGACCTCTCCTATGGCCACGTGTAGTATCAGCTTCAGGCAGTGCTGCTGTGTGCGTGAAGGGTACTTCCGTGATGGACGACATTCCTGCCCCAAGTTGTGCTTCCAATCTCTCGTACTCCGCAGCGTAACCGGCCTCATTGAGGTCGCGCTCTGCTTCCATTGCGTCAGCCGCGCTCGCCATCTTCTTAGGCTGCTCGAACTGCTTCATAGGCATGCCGCCATCGAATCCGCTCAAGTCATATCCTAGCGGCTCGTCTACCTCTTCGACCCCTTGTAGTCTCCTTTTGCCTGACTCTTCATCTTCCAACCTGTTGTAATCTCCACCGTGCAACCTTCCACTGCGGAGGGATGCGAGTCGGTTCAAGAGCCTTTTGGTGCCACTCCTGCTCTGTATCGTAGAATGTGATCCGGTCGGGCTAAAGGGATCAGGCGACGGGCTATATGATGTATTTTCGGGGAAGGACGGCGGCGCCGGGGCGCGAGGTATGCGGTACGATGGCTCTGCAGCGGGTATCAGAGGCGAGGGATACGATGTACGGCGCGATAACGAGGGTGTCTCGACGGGGCTAACTGATGCGATTGAGGCCGGACGGGAGGGAAAAAGCTGGGATAATCGATCAGAGCCAGACGTGTTCTGTCGCATCAGAGGAGGTCGCGCTTGCGACGTAGGCGTCCCGCTACCAACTGCAGGCGATCCAGCGCGCAACGCTGCAGGGACATGATCTTCTGAGGTGTTTCTTGTTGCGACTGGAGAGCCCACGTGTAGTGGGAAGGGCAACCCCTCCATCACTGTCTGTCGCGCGCCAATTCAGCGCGCTCAATCCGGTACGAATTGGGAAGTCGGGAGCTTATGAACGCTCGTCGAGGAACAGCTCCAACGGTCGCCTGCCTCCGCTAATCCTCTGTACGCAAGACAAGAGCTGTACACGGCGACTCCAAAGCAGGAGGTACATCAGCGGAAAGACGTGCCTGAATCGGACGATCGGTGGCTTCGGCTTCGTCGCATAGCACTCGGGCCAGACGTCAATACGATCCCACACGAGTAGCCAGCCGAACAGGCTGCTTGAGTTCCTCTCGGCAACCAGCGCTTGCAATATTACAAGTACAGGCCCACGCAAACGCGTAGGTTGCGGCTATCGTTGTCTTCGTTATGGAGTCGGGCCGAGCCAAGATCGTACTCGACAAAGCGGTGTCTGGGAAAATACTGCGAGCGATGCGTAATTGACGGAAAATCCAGAAGTCGTTGGACAATGTCATGAATTGAGGAGTCAAGTTTGCCCTTCTTCAGGGCAACCGTAGCAGCCAGTACCTGTTGTGACTGTGATTGTGTTGCGTGGTGCTATTAATACACAGCCGCATTTGAGGCAGCAGAGGCGAATACGAGGAGGGGCATTGCATTGGGGGCTGAACGACGGGGCGTCATTTCGCACGACTGACCCCCTGACGGTAGGCTGAACGCGCATTTTGGCGTTTGGGATGGTGTAGAGGTGGTGGAAGGCTTGAGAAGGCTATTGAGGCTCTAGAGATGTTGTCTCTAGCTCGGAGAGACGTGCGGGAGCTGGCCAATGAAGCTGCGTCCGCCCTTGCTGCACGATCCTGACGCCTGGAGTAAACCGTCAGCCCGGCCTAAGGTTGTCGCAGGCATGCGACAATGGCCTCTAGCTTTTGGGAAAGCTCTAGACGCGTTCACATGCAGAGGCGAGCTCTTGGAGCTTTAGCTAGTCGTGATGTTCAGTGCCCAGGTGATCTGTCTGAGCCTCGCATGCATTCGATCTACACTGTTATCTGCAGATTGAGAACAAATAAGTAGGAACGTATGCAGTAATTGGATTGCAATCATAAACCATAGAAAATGTCAATAAATCGCCTTCAGTGCTTTGGACCACTCGTGCTGCCTTCGTTCCGCCGAAAGATGAGATGCTTGTGTACCATGCTCCAATACATAAGTGAATTGATAAGAAGCCTACATTTCTTAAACTTGATCTAGAGACTCGACGTCGGAAAGCTCTTTAGTAGTGGCTACGCTTTTATCTGGGAATGTCTTGTACAAGCGGTGAGAACTCATCGCTCACTGCACTGAGCACTTTTGGGGTAAGAACTTGACTATATTGGGAATGGACTCACCTTACATCGGTTTGCTCACCGTCATGGCACACCCAAACGAAAAATGCAACACGACCGCCATCCCTTACCCACTCGCAGACCTAGAAAACCAGGAGGATCTGCCTGAGCCATCTCACACGCGGCAAACCTCCGTGTATCTCACTTCGTTGTCCAACCCCTGATACGGCCGTGTGCCGCTAGTTTCCACGCCGCAGCTCAACCCATCTCTTACTACTAAACGACTTGCCGGTTTCTGCCAGCGACATTGATCGAACTCAGAGTTGGTTCCTTCGGCTGCCACAATGGCTACGGAAATGAAGGTTCCAAACCATCCCAAATGCTTCAGAGCCAAGGGGCCTCACGGCCATTCTAGAAGTGCGAAGGTCCTAGCGAAAGCCGGCGTTTGGATTGGCTATGCTGCGCCAGGAAAACATGACATCTCTTTCCAAGGTCTGCCATCCTTTAGGGAGCTAAAGGGCAACTGCAACAACATGATACAGCCGTTTCCTCCTATGATCGACGGTGGGGCGAGCGATGCCAGTAGACATGCAGTCTGCCGCGCTTGTGGTGAAATATCCGAATTCATCCAGCTTCGTGAGATCCAGATCATGAATAGGCCACGTACAGTAAGCCACGAATACGTGCACTGTGCGTATCATCTTGAGCTGACCGTAACAGAAAGTCACCGTCATGCCTCTGCTTAACAAGGGCAACGGCGGCGAATTGTTCTGCATTCTGCTCCCGCAGCGCAACGATCGATCTCTCCAACGCCTTGAGCTCTTCAGGCCTTATGAGCTCACAGATGGGGAGATAACTTTCAGCAGCAACTTCGAGGTTCTGTCACCAAGGAACAGAAGCTGGGTGCATACCGAGGAAGAAGCGGCCGAAGCTTTGGGCATACCTCCTAACCCGACACCATCACCATCGCTCTCCTGGGAATCCTCCGAGAGGTCATTGCCCATGAGGCCAATGACGAAGACGCGGTTGAGATCGGGAAAACAACGATCGGCCTCGGGCGGGTTTGTTGACCGTGCTACACGTGCTCGAGACAGCCCCCAGGAGGATCTACAAGATAGTCCTAACGTCGGATCGTCGCAAAAGCGCAAAAAGCCACAAACTTACGACTCAGAGGACGTAGACACGCCACGACAGAGACGAAAGACATTAAGAGCTCCCGTTTCATGCATGCAGGCTCCTACGCCAGTGTCGCGGGAAGTCTCACATGCCGCACCAGAGATCATCAGCAACGAGAGTTCCATCATCCTGCCCGGCCTCAATGAGGAGTACGCTAAGCGGATCCTCCTCGTCTGGGTCGTTGTGGTAGACGACATCGAATACGACTTCAGCCACACAATCTATAACTGTCCCACCTTCTCCGACTTCCTTACCTTGGTCCGCACAGAGGCTGCATATGACCCTCAGGTGACCGAAAAGGTTGACAGCTCGCTCACGTGGCGACTAACGTACCAGATATCTAGTCAGACCAAGAAGGCCTTCACTCTACGTATTGATGACAGCGGCCAGGACACGGTCTATGAGCGGCTGTTAAGTTCTCTTGCGCAGTCGACATTCTGGCAAGAGAACAGTAACGGGAAGATCAACGTCGACCTACGGATTCTAGCCTAGGCCTCAATGGCACCTTTCAGGCTTGCTAGTAGCGCCCTAGTATACCGGTTATCCACCTGCGTCTACACACTCGTTTCGTGGGCTCTAAGGGACCTGGTACTACCTCTATAGGGTCCTCGACTACCGTAACTTCCGTCATTCCTGGGATTTCTATATTTTATGGCGTTCACACCATCCACTCATCTAGCGATATATACCCACTGGCGTCTTACTTATCTACCAAATCAATTCAGTAAACTTTTTCTTGTGCGCATAGTTGCGAAACGATGCTCCATGGTCATTTGAAGCAGCTGACCTGTACTTGTTCCAAGCATCAAGTCATTCGTAAGGATTTCATACTTAGTAGGGCTATTCATCAATGAGAAGTCTGTCTTGAACGGGGCTATTCATCTATCTAAGGCTCACCTTTAGCTGCATTAATGTAATCAATGCATTTCTGGAATACTGCAAGCTCACCGTCCAGGAAAGAAAAGGTGGCAGCTCACCGCTTCGAAAGATCCGCGCGGTCACCGTGCCACAAACGTGACGTGCAGCTTCCCGCTCGCGCATTATCGCCCAATCACGATGCGCGGTTCTGATGTCCTCAAGCCGCCAAGTTTCACTCACTGAGTGGTTTCTCCTCGTTTGCCATGGCCCTGTCGCGTCTGTGCTCGCGCTCTTTCCCTTCTTGCTGCCTGCTGGTTGTTTACCTCGAACATAAATTGATCCAACTTGCCATATTCGAGAGCATAATACGAACTTGGTCGTCTCGTTCAGCTAGGCGGTCTGCGATGATGTCTACACACCAGTCTCCAAGCACGAAGGCCTGGCCATCGATGGACCCTGTAACATACGGGAAGGCTACGCGTCAGCTGATTTTCGATACATCGATAGCCTCCCCGAAAATGACCCGATACAACCATCACATACGCCGCTCATTGGGCTTTCGCGAGAAGAGTGGTTCTGGTAAGGGCAAACCCGTCTTCGCCTCAGCGAGAGTTGAGACTCTGTATCATGAACTGGACAGGATGGCCGTCAACGTCCTTCCTAATAGCAGCCACAAAGCCCTCAAACGAGCATGGCAAGCGCAGACATATACCGACGACGTTAAGCACCTGCTTCGTGAACACGGTGGGAAGATTTGGAGCGACCCTATCGAGAAACGAAAACTATCATCCAATCCAAACTCCCAGCTACTAACAGCAGGAGACCCAGGCGCGTCGGGCGACCTTTTGTACGAGCATGAACGCCATCGACAGTTGTAAGTCAATATCGCTTCGCGCGTCCAAAGTGATGATTTGACCAAGACAGTATTGCTCTCCAACTTGAGCACCTCATGTTCGTGAAGGCCAAGGCCTATTATTTCAATCACCACGCACCGTCGGCTATGTGTTCGGCGATGAAGCCACAAGCAATCACGGTTGAGGGCCCACGCGTGAGGGCTCCTGCCCCACGAAAATTGAGCTCAGTGACCTTCACTACCAACAAGAAATGCATGGCCACCTTTCGCATGCCTTCCGACACGCTACGGGCTATACTCCGCCGGACCTCGTCAAGTATCTCGAAGAGGAAGCGAGCTCGCGATGCAGTGGGTAAATTCTTACCCAATGAGATGCTCCGTGAGAGTGGCGATGTGTGGTCTCCAGCAAAGAGCAGGCGAAATCCGCAACGCGGTAAGAGTAACAGCGCGGAACAAGGTAAGTGCAACGTGGTTACGGTACTAGAAACAGCCTTTCCATTTAACAGCTGAGTAGTAGCCTCACTTAACGATGTTTCACCTGAGGATGAACAGACCGGCGAAGAAGACAGAAGCTCGACCGCTATAGCGAACGAGGATAACGAGGCAGGGTCCGAGCACTCGGTATCGGAAGAGGACGAGAAGACTATGAGAGCGGATTTGACCATCCTCCTATACAGGGAATTATTTCTTGACGATGACAATTCCCACACGAAGCTCCCCAACGCCGAGTCAATGTTGGAGACGTCTAAACAGTTAGACGACATCATACGCAACCTATGGACTCGAGGCGAAGACAAGATCCGTGTAGCTCTTGGAGATTCATTCGAGCAAGCCTATCGAACATTGCATGCCTGGCTCTCTTGGCGGGAAGGCTGCTGGTCACTGTGCCACGCCACCGGAGTGAGTCTGCTTTTGCCTTGAAGACGGACGCTAATTTTGACTATTCAGGTACACCCTCTCGAAAGGAAACCGACTCCACGATTCACTTTAACTCAATGGGAGCAGAAGCTAGGCGGGGGGGAGGAGTGCCGGAAATTCCATCAGACGCTCATGAACCATCGTCGCACGCTGCTGGCCTCTAAGATCCATGGAGACGAAGATACGGCTTTAAGTACAGCAAAGTGCCTTTCGCGGGTGTTCGCTGGGATTGCCGGAAGTCCGATCTTGGAATACAGCCTTCGGGGACAAATTGTCACCTATAACGAATTGCTATTCGCATGGGACCTAGACTTGTGGATGTAGGGCATGTGCAGCCAAACGATATATGATGGGTGGCGAGTCTGAAAGCTTGCAGCTGTCTAGGTGGTTCACGGTTATTGTGTTTATTGTATGGAGCGGCCAAGCCGTACGTTAAAGATGTACGTCGGTGACTGTGGCGATATGGCACTTAGTCGCGGGCTGGAATCTTTGGAGGAATATCAAAATGGAGATACTGGGCGAATGGTAAGCTCGTTATCACCTGCTCAAGTGCAGGCAAGTAATTGGGAAGGTATGGCGGATAAGGAAGCCAGTATAGGTTGTGGGTTGTGGCGAGCAAGAAAAGTTTGTGCTAGGGCTTTGTTGAATTCTCGTGTTCCACCTGGGATGATCTGCAGAGCTCTTGGCGCAACCTAGTGTGTGAGAAGTACGCGAACGCGCCATCCTTGGATGGCTCCTGACTTCCTCCTTTTCTCAACACCAAACAGGTTGACCCCATCAAAAGTGAAGCGCCGTCGAGGGCTATGGCCGTGGACCCCAATTGCGCACAGTTCGACCCTCAGCAAACACCCCCCGCGGCGGGCAATGGTAACGTTCGCCATTCCTTAGCGGCGAATGGTAATCAGAAATACCGTTGAATGCTGTCCCCTGTCAATATTTCTTCTCCACACGTTTTGGTACTCGATAGTCTACATTGTTGCGAAAGCTCTACAACGACGCACACCATGGGTTCAATCGGCTACGCCACGTCGAAGGACTGGCTCGACATCATGAAAAACAGGTCGAAGTTGCGCATGCACGAATTGATCGAGCGCTTGGGGTTGCGCGCAAAATGGAGTCAGAACAAACGTGGCAAAACGAATTTTGAGAGTGCCTTGGTGCGCGACCTCGTCACGGACATGGGCGACATCGTTGCGACGGTCCCAAAAGAGTCGGATGATTTGGTGAAATTCTTATCGGCAGAAAAAAGCCTAAACGAGCAAGTCGAGGGCCTGTTGCAAAAACATGGCTCCGCGATATGGGGAAGAGTGGGCGATAGAGAGCACTTAATCAGCGTTGGTGAACCCGGAGTTGAAGAAGAGTTATACCCTAGAGATCTCTATTTCGAGGAAGAGCAGGACCGTGAACAGTGAGTTCATTCGCGTAAGGTTTCACATTTCAATTACTGAACAGATGCCAGAATCCGCATTCTGCTACATTGGTGGCTTGGAATGAAAGCTATCAATGTTATCCTGGCTCGCGATAGACTCGATCGGGAGAGGAAAAAGAAAGAGGAAAACAAAAGAGCTAGAATCGAGATGGAAGTTCCACTAGAGGGTGCAAGCTCAGCTTTCGTCCCATTAGCACCAAATTCAGGTGCACCGGCACCCCTAAATACGAACATTCCTCCAGTACCGCTGGCAGAGCATCCCCGGCATGTGCAACTCTACAAAGCAGAAACCACATCGCGTGGTAGCCCCATCTCCGTGGCTGTCAGCACCCCGCCAGAATCGAGTCAAAGTCCCATAGGGCCTGGGCAAGGCCAGCTGGGCGGTGCCAATGCAAGCCATTTCTCGGCGGCGAACCCAAGTTCATCGCATCCTTCGCAAGCACAAAGCGTGGTGGATGGAGTTTGGAATCGCCTTGCCGAAGTAGGCATCAACGGATCGCGCAATGGAAGCATGTCATCGCAAGCGGCAATCGGTACACCCTCTTGGCCTGCAGTGAACGCAGGGACACACCCAGTGGTACCTCGACGGGCGTCATTGGCCGCAGAGGTCTCATCGCAGCCAGCGCCAGTAGCAACTATTTCCACAGCAGGTATCCGGCAACTAGGCGCCGAGATTTCTCAACTTGTGTCAGATCTTACACCGCAAGCTACCGCCACAAACGGGCATTCTGCTGTTCCACCGGACGCACAACGGAAGGCGACAGCGTATCCCGGACTCGATGTGGAGACGTTGTATGCTCTACGCGAGTACATCTACCAAGAGAAGACAGAGGTGGACTGGGAAGAAGAGGCGCTGCTACGGCGCCTTGAAACACAATGGAGAGATGGCGTGCGGACAGATCACAACCGCATGCTCGAAAACGTACCAGCGTTTATCGCGCGAGAACGCGCGTTCCTTACCTGGATCGAGCTAAAACGGCATTTGGCCGACCTTCAGCGCGCTGGCACTCGTACGTACCTTGTTATTACCATTGCACCCTTATCCGAACTCGCTTAATTTTTATGCGCTTATACTAATGATGGCTTAGGATGGGGCGAGGAAGGGACTACAGCACCCGAGATCGAGCGCCGAATCGAGCAGCACAGAACGCTCATGAGCGCGACTCGCGAGATCATCCGCAGTTTCGAGGACATTGCACAGGTCGCGGGTGCGGGCGCAGATCACGACGAGCTTCTGCGGCAAGCGTTGGTGGTATTGGCAGGGAACAAATACGCGGTGGAGCTGCAGTGGAAGAACGTGGAATTTGTCGGGCTGATGCAATGGCTGGCGGGCGCGCTGGAGAGCTACGAAAAGGAGCAGGAGGGCGACACGGTGTACTATTTTTCGTAGAGTGTTGCCTCTTAGCCAGGGTGGGTGCATCTTTATCCTTTCCCTTTCGGCGAAATGTTACCCTTACGGTGTGCTTGGCCTAGTGTGTTGCGAGGTCGAGCAGGTGTAGCGCGCATAGGCGTTTGAGGTTAGTGGGCGGCAGGGTAGTTGTGAAAATCTTATTACAGGGTCAATTGATGACGGAGCTCGTTTAGGCCTGGGCGCCTTGGATGAGCAGACCATTTTGGAAAAAGGATCGCCGGGTGTACGGGCGAGCGTAATCAGATAATCGCGTGCCCGGGTGGGCGATTGCGCATGCCTGTGCTGTCTGGCATCAGAAATCAGCCTGCGAGGGTGGCGGTAGCGGTGATGCAGCTCGTTCGCTCGCTCGTGTGCACCAAACAGGCAATTGTTGGAAGGATTCTGGCGGGAGCGAACCGAGGGATTTGCCGCTACCAGACGCCCCTGTCGGCGTAGGCACTACGTATACGGCGTGGGTGCAGCTCGCGAGAGGCAATCGTACCGAGGGCAATTTCTATCACTGCGCGGTCCAACGGGCGTAGGGCTAGCGTCGTATCTCGGTTTGAGACCGGGCTGGTTGGGTATCGTGGTGTGCAAGGGCAGTCTCTGACTCGGGCTAGTCGGTGCGGCGTTTCAAGCGCAGCGTGCGAGAAAATGTCACTGCCTCGGACGCTGGTACAGGTACACGGGGCCGTGGAGCAGAGAGCGCATGGGCGCGTTGTTATGCGTGCAAGAGTCGACGCAGTGTATTGCAGATGCAGCGGCCCGGGGTTACATCGACGAGCGCGTGTGTAAGACGGTGGCACCTCGCACGCAATCAATACGGCCGCTATGGGAAGGCGTGGGCGGCCCCGTGCGACAGGCAATAAAACTTACGTTTGCAGGTGTTATCACGGAGAGTGTAAGGCGCGGATCATACAGGGCCGCCGCAAGGGTCGTCGTCATAGATGGTGTTTTCCCGCAAGCGGTTACTGCGCTGCGACGGCCCACGGGCGGCAGTAGATGGCGAGGCGCGGGCATTGGGCGGCTGGTGTAGGCGCCGGGTGTTTTGGCCCTGGGGGGATAGTGTACATCTCATCTCGGTGAAGGGTGGCATAACCAGGACATCATCTCGTGCGTCGTACATGGAATAAGCAAGGGAGGCCAGGGAGCCAATGGCCCGCCCGCCGTAGTATAGGCGCGAGTCAGCCAGTCTCGGATACTTTCTGGTGCGGGCACAAGCGCAGCAGATCCGCATCGGGCCAGAGGCCACCGGCGACATCTCAGCGACATTGGCAGCCAGCCTGTTCAAACTTTTTCTGCGCTGACTGACTTTTTGCAATACGCTAGTCTCTACCTCGCACCCCTTTCACAGCCTTTCCCCTAGTCCACCACGCCTAGCTGGAGCCGCCCCAACAACCCGCGTTTGGCCCTGGCGTCACAACACCGCACTTCTCATCTCGACATCACATCCTCCATGCTCATGCCGCCATGAGCCAGAGCTCCCGCAACTCGCCCTCCCACATGGACGACGCCGGCGTCGCGCGCTGGGACCGCCCGCGCTGGATCTCCGTCTTTAGCTCCCACAATCCAACCATCCGCGAGGTAACCGAGTGTCTGGGCCTCGGCCTGTCCGCCAGCAGCAGCACCACCAACCGTGGCATCCCCAAGTTCGACAACCCAGAGTACCGCAAGCTGTCCGGCGAGGTCACCCGCCTGTCCAAGGAGCTGCCCAAGGAGCGCGACGCACTGCTGGACTTTGCCGCCGACCCAAACAGCTTGCACCGCGAGCTCGAGGACCTGCTGGCCACCTTTGGCACCGCCATCTGGGGCCGCAACACGGATCGAACCTGCTTACTGACCCCGGACCCGGCCAAGAAGACGTACCCCAGACATCTCTTCATCGAGGACCCCGAAGACAAAGAAATGTAAGATGCAACTAGACGCACGTGACACGTGTTGATACTGACTCCCTCCAGTCTCAAGGTACATCTGCATCGATGGATCATCATCAAGGCATGCTATTACATCAGAAATATGAAGCTGAAGCGGCCTTCGAGTGCCAATGACTACGACACCGTCGCCGACATGGAGGTGGATGGCGAACCTGTGAGCCCTAACAAGACGACCCAGCTGGTAATAGCCACTTCCCCTTGTCCCCCATCTATGATGTCAAGTGATCTAATTTCAGTTCAGTCCCCAAATGACACTCCGCACTCGCTCACACCGTCAACTGCAGATGGCCCAACGACTGGCGGAGCCGAGTACGCTGTAAAGCCCGTCAACGGCAAGAAGCGTAAGAGCTCTGCCTATGCATCGCTTTCAGACGGGGACGAGATGGACTCTACGCCTGCAGCAAAGCGGTACCAGAGCCATACGATGCCCAGTTCGCGGAGTAGTCCGCGAAAGTCTATTATTTCTTTTGTTGCTGATGGGCCAGTCTCAGAGAATTCCCAGAATGTCCCACCTATGCCAAGCCTCCCTCACAGCCACTCCAACGGTGCGCACTCAGCGACTAATGGCGCCACACCATCCGATTCTACTAGACCACAGTTGACCACGTTGTCGAGTAATGACCTAAACGGTACGGCGAGGACGCCCTCCGCCCCGCCAGCCAATGGCTTCACGGCAGTCAACACCGGTAGTTTTACAGCCATCAACCCCTCGCCCCCAGTCAGGGTGTCTCCATCGCAGAAGCCAGTTGCCCCAGCGCCAACTACAAATGGACGCAACTACTCCAGTCCTTACGATTCCAGCCCATTTCATGGAGCGCCTGTGGCGCCAAAAGCATCCACCCCACCAAAGGCTCCACCGCTCGTGACTGCTTCGGCGTCAGCTACTGGGTTCCAAGCGGTCAATTCGCCAGTTGTCGCCAATGGGGTCAGTGCTCGGAACTCGCCTACTGTACAACACGTGCAGCCACCTCAGCTTCCATCCCAACATACGATTCAAGCGCAACCTCAACCAACAAGTAGATCAAATACCCCGATCATGCACCATCACCATCGTACGGGTCTGACTCAGCAACGATCAAGTAGGTCTAGTACTCCGATAGCGCCATCAGTGACATCTCAACCGATGCTACAAGTTCAACCAGCTCCGGCTCCATTAGCTCAAGCTCATCACTCACCTCGCCCAAGCGGTGCTCCGCTGATTCAGACTACTGCCGGACCGATAGCTCAAGCTCAGCCGCCGTACACTCAACCTGCGCCTACTACCCGAGTGCATCATGTTGTCAATGTCCCCCCAGTTTCATCGGCCCCTGTCGCCTACAATGCTCCCCAACCTGCGCCAATATTAAGGAGTCATCCTCAAGAAGCTGCCCAACTCCCTCCTCAGGCGCATGTTGAAATGGATCTCGGTCTTCTACAATGCGAAGTCCTGGGCTCCCTGATGCAGTATCTGTTCCCTAGAGTAACCTCTCCACCAGACGAAAGTGTGCTTCTCCACAAGATAGAATCCCTATGGCACCTCGGCACCGCGCACTACCGCAAAGAAACCGGCCAACTCTACGATCTTCATTCCAAAATACTCTTGACTTGGATAACTGAACGCCGTAAGATACAGCAATTGCGCCACACCTTCGCGTACTCCCCGGCTGTGCCAGCTACCGAGATGGTAGAACGACTGCTAGCGTTGAACGACCTGAGAATGATGCGACTCAAGTGGAAGAGCATGAGCAACGCTGTGGGACTAAGCACCGAGGACCTCCTATGTCGCACATTCACGATCATGACAAACACGGCGGGGACCGAGCACCTGTTCAAGGATGGGCTGGACAGGCTGAATGAGGGGATCTTCGAATTCCTTAGAACGGAAGACATGCGCATCCTCATGCACAGCAAGCGATAGGAACGTGCTAACTACCGCGACCGATCCGATTTCGGGGGCGATTCCACTTCCTGAGGCTGGCCTTTTTTGTTGACTCGAAAAGTTTTAATACTGGGTCGGTGTTCTGATGATTTTTTTCAGCTCCGTTTTCAAAATTACCACGGACGGCAGTTCTTTTGTCATTTTGCTTTTTTGACTGTTGTTGCTTTTGGGACCTGGGTCTTCATTGGGAGCTTAGCGCGGTGTTCATGGTATTCTCTCGCTTGGGGCGGTTTTCGGATACCTGGACTTGGCGTGTTGTATACCTAATACCTGTCGGACGGATGCTCTGGCCTTAGAATGGTTTGCTCAGGCATGGAAACTGGGATGGTGGGAGAGCGAGTGGTAGCTTAATGGTGCTGTGCAATGCAATCGTAGAAGCTATTTTCCGTCGTATCTCAACGTGAACACAGCGTAATTGGCCCCTTCAAACTAGCCCCTTCAGATTGGCCCCAGATGTATCTGCATCGGGTCTACTGTTTCCTACAAGGTATCGTGTACGCTGAAAGAAGGCCGATGGTAGACGTATAGCGCTCGGGCGGGGTCATCCGGTAGCGCATCGCATGCGGAACGACCAGCCCACAGTATGCGGCAGGAACGTTCTCCAGCCTCTCCACACCTACAAATGTCACTTGCAGTCAATCAATGGTCTTTCCGCCCCCATGCTGGCCCCGCACAACATCATGGCCCGGCGAATAATGCCCGGTTGATGCAGCTGCCTTCCATGCCAGTCGCTGGCTTACCACGCTGCAGCTGAAGCAAGGCTGCAGCCCTGTGATGGGCCAGCCTTGCGCCCACACAAACACAACATGCCGAGCTCGTAGCCTCAGCCTTGGATCCTTCACCGGTGCGGGTGGCTGCTGCTCTATACGACGCGTACGCCCGCGGTCTCGGTTTATGCACAGTCGGGCCACACGATGGTACTGCGATTGTTTGTTCCGCCTGGTGAGTGGAGCTTGCGCGTGCGGGGATGCGAATGGCGTACTGACAGGAGCACAGGAGAGGGCCAGCACCATATCGTCCCGAAGAGACCGGATCCTCTAGGCGCGAACGCGACGCTCCAGTACGCAGTCGTTTCCTCATCCGGGGCCGCCGCGGGTTACGCGTCCTACGCTGCGCGGTACAAGCGACGAGTCACGCCGAACAAGAAGGTCTCGAGCACAGCGCTGTTCATAAGGGCGTCGGGGAGATTGGGGATATGGGCCATTGCAGTCGGTGCTGCTGTCAATGCGTATTATCATAGAAGCTTCACGACTGTTGTAGTCTCGGAGCTGGTGAAGGACCCTATACCGCCTAAGCTGTATGAGAAGACGGAGAATTATACCGTAGAAGATGGTTGTCTGGCCGGTGCAGCAGTCGGCTTCGTTGCCTTTCTTCCCACACTGTTCATGCGGAGACCCACCGTTTCGTGGTGGACGCGTATGATAGGCATGGCCAACATCGGCGCATGCACAGGCGTCCTAGCATCCCACGCATACTTCCAGTATACCGGCGAACGACCAAAGGCCATGGAAGAGCTGGAGCGGCAACGGCGAAGACGCATGCTCGAATTCCACCACATCTTCTGGGACAAGATGCTCATGCAACAATTCGATCCCCTCATGCAAGGCTACATCCGCCACAACGGCGTCTTCCGCGCATACAACCTCCCCGCCGAAGTCTTCGACGCACCCGAGAGATTCGGCATCCTCTCCGCCCCCGCAACGGATACCAGCGCTGCCGCGGACGCCGCCGCAGCGGAGAACGCAGCATACTACATCGCAGCTCCGGACTGGACCCAGCACCTCAAAGCAATGGACAAAGACTCCATAGAAGCCGAGATCAACGACTGTGGACGAGAAAGGCAAGCCCTACTCAAAGAAGCAGAGTACATGGCATATCAACTCTCCCAGAAACAGTACGCCTTCGTGCACTCAACGCATCCCAACGAAGACGACAAGCAGACCCGCATTCGCGAATTGCAGCTCTTGGCTATCGCATACAATCGCCTCCGCGCCAACGCAGACGAGGCAGAGCGCCGCATGTTCGCCGGCCAGCACTGGCTCCAGCAAAAAGCGGCCATGGAATCTCAATCTCCGCGGGAGGCCTGGCTCGCTGCTCATCCTTCCATTGCCAAGCCGGAGACGCACGATCCTAGTGCTAGTATCGCGGAGTTGAAGAAGTTAGAAGAGCAGTTCAAGAACGAGGTGAAGGTGTTTGAGAGCAGAGTGCGGAGTCAGGCGCAGGAGGACGTGGAGAAGAGGGATAAGTGGATCAAGGATTTGGAGGATGCGAGGACGATGTTGAGGGCGGTGGACTGTATTTGTTGGGAACTGGAGAAGAAGGTGCCGAAGAAGGAGATGGAGGAGAGGGTAGAGGTTAAGGCGGTAGAAACTGCGAAGAAAGAGGAGAAGGTGGAGGAGCCGCCAAGAGTGGAAGAACCACCGCCCGGTACGGAGGAACCGAAGACAGCAGAGGAGCCACCTGAGGGCTGAGTAAGGGGAAGCCGTGATAGATAGTGGGTTTTGTAGGTGAGCGTTGGGTGCTGCGTTGAAGTGGGCATAGAGGTAGATCTCAGGCAAAGGAATATGTTTCAACTCCTTGTAAGCTTCTCTCCATATACGCTTTATATAGCTACGCTGCCGGGCTGCAGAACATCTTGACCGTGACCGTTTTCACGCATGCAATAACGAGTGGCGTATGGTTCCAGTTAGGGCAAGCGGACGCGATTGCCCATACTGCTTGGCCCATATACTAACAAGTGTAAGCTAACGAACTTGACTAACTCCTTTCGAAAACTTTTAGCGTGAACAATGATATTAAGTCGTACAGCGTGGGCGTCAAATCGGGCGGACGAACTCGAGAGCTCTTCGGATTGATCTGACGTAGCCATCAATCTGTCCCTTGGCGTGCAGCGTGCATTCGACTGCATATCGGTAGATCTTTACAAAAGAATCATTCACCAGTGAGGAACAAACCAAGATAAGAGCCAACGGGCCTTGAGCATCTTCTCGTGTATTCCGACATCACCACAGCATGATGAGCGATTCTGAGCGCTTGTACTTCGTTTGATTCCAGAAAACTATTTTGTGTGTCTGAAGTTGTCCCATAAACAATTGCTGTCTCACAGCACCGAGCAAGATCAGACCTTGTCGCAATTAACAAGCATGGCGGTAGAATGCCTCATGCCAACTTCGCTTTGGGAGCGATTGAGTACCCACCTCCGCTGCAATCTGTCCGACTAACCAACACATCCTCCAAGACAACCTTACTACTTGAAAGGCCTCGTACGGGTTGCGCCGTGGATTCTGTGCACGTTCAGTTGCGCTTGGCGAGCAAGTCGCCGTGGATGGATTTCATGAAGGTGTGGAAGTCTGGAAGCTTGGTTTTAGTGGTAGCCTGGGAGTTGTCGATGGGGGCTAAGGCCGTCGAAGAAGATTGAACTATGGCGAGCGCGAGACTAGAGGTTCATGTTAGCCTTGGAGTGGTAATGATCACCTGTTCAGCAATCAGATTCTAACAAGCGATGGCGTCTACATACCCATCAACAGAGGCATCATCGCCAGCCGCCGTGACGACTTGCTGTTCGTCGGGGACTACTGCCAGATCAGAACGGCCGTCGAAGGATCCTGCGTCTACAGACTTCTCGCCTTTCGCAACGCGCTCGCTGTCCTCCTTCCAGTGGATGAGATCTGCAGTCTCGAATGTGTTAACTATGCGGCGCTTCTTTGGAGCAGGAAAGTCCGCATGGCTCTCGTCACCAGAGTCGGTGATGAATTTAGCGAGCATGTACTTATGTGCGGCGCCTCGGTTTGTCTTGGGCGGTGCTAGCCCCGACGTGTCTTCATTGTTGGCGGGCACTCCTGCTTCAGTTTGTTCGTCGCTAAGTATGAATACCGTAGCTTCATCTTCTGAGGCCGTTGCCCGAGCATCGTCATGTCCTTCGGTTCGCACGGAAGGTGTGATTTTCTTGGTGTCAGGTTTGCGCTTCATGGAGCTACAGACGTAAGGTTAGCGACTATTGTTTAGAAAGGAAACCTTGACTGCACATGAACTCCAAGTGATCTGGATAAGTGACATGCCGCTCAAAGGGAGATCGATATACCTTGTGGCCTTGAGATCTCCCTGCTCTTTAGGAATAGTGCAGCCTGCTTCATCACCGTCGACTGTATTAGCCGTCTCCTGGTCTTGTGACTCTTCGCCCTCGACATCTTCGACCGCGACATCTGAAGTGTTCTCATCTACGTCATCGTCGTTAGTGTCGTTGTGAATGTTCGAAAGTAATGCTGGAGCTTTACCAGCCATGTTGCCCAGGTCCTTCTTCGCTCGTGATTTCCTGCCGCTGCCGTGCAACTTCTGGCGCTTGGCCCGACAAGCGTTCGCAATCTTGACAAAGACCCACAGATGTAAGAGCGCCTCAATTTTCGGTCGATCGACGTCATCCTCCAGCTCCAGTCGGTATGTGCAGCCCTCGCGGGCCGCGACATCCATGCCCCAGACTTTAGGGCCGAATTGATCGAAGAGCAAGTCATCCAACTGTTGGTTCATGTGCATTGGGTTGCTGGCTGCATCCACAAATGCATCTCGTCCTGCATCGTCGCGCTTCCGGCCTTGCATAGCGCGGGGGCGACCTCGAATAAGGGGGCCAGCAGGTGTCTGATCAAAGCTTTCGTTGTAGAAACTCTTGGAGAGCCCGTGGATCGCTTTAGACAGCTCAGTTAAAGTCGGGTCGTCGAAGTAGAAGATGCCTGTATTGTTCCTCACCGTAGTCCCGGGGGCTACAAGGCCAAGACGGCAGAGGATGTCCATCTGCTTGACGGTGCTTCGGTCCCAGACATTCACCATCCAATCGAGAACAGTCCACTTCCCGTCAACGTATTTGTCAAAGCCTTCCACGCTGAGAATCGGAAGTTTGCGCTTAGCCTTAGGCGTGGTATCTGTCTGTAGTTTGCGGTGGGTCTTTGGCGGCCAGCTGATGCTGTCGCCTTCGGCGGCTTCCGACTTGCGCTTGCGGCCGACATTAACGGTTGGGTTGGTCGTGCTACCCGATGAAGGACTATATGGGCCAGCGTTCGTGGTCGGATCTCGGCTGGAATACGGGGACATGATGCGTGAGCGGTCCTGCATTGTGAGGTCGGCAATCGACACCTTTGCTGCGCTGACTTCAACTACGGTACTGTTCAGCGCCCGGCGTAGTACGGCAAGGCGAATCGCACCTGCTTGCCGTGCAGTGTTTTCGAGAGATCTGGTTTTCCTCTTCAAGGTGAGCAATAGCCTGGTGGAGTTCGTCGTTGTTGGACGCCGTTGACGTTCGCGTCGAGTTAGTCTGGACAAAGCGAGGTTTGGTTGAGGGATTCGCTATACGGTGAATAGCGGTCGAAGCTTCTCCAAGAGGTCAGCATTAGGGCTTGTCGTCTGACAACGCTCGGTCAAGCGCGCCGGTGAAAGACAAATGATGCGCGCCCTTGACTGGTGTTGCTGTAGCAGCGCAAGGAGACAGGTTAAAAGAGCAGGCGTTGTAGGCAGGTACTCCAGGATACAACGATCGACAGGTCGTCACATCCCGCGCGCGGAAGGCTCGTAGATATTCTCATCCTGATGCTCCGACACAATGGACCATGCTTCAGCTTCCCCCGCTCCACTCCTGACTCCGAGCAGCAGGTCGTTGGCAACCGCTTCAGCGCTACCAGCACGCGATGGACGCGAACAAAGCTCCAAATGTACAATCCCACCCAGCCAGGGACTGACGTAAACGAGGGCAAAAAAGGAGAACCAGCATAGAGTGACCAGATCTGCGAACTGGAGTACTCACAGTCTCCTACCGCGTCTTCCTCTCTGATCGTTCTCTCCGGTTCCCCGATCTTCAGCCCTTTCCCGCTTCGCGCAGCCACCGCCTCCTTTCTCTCCACCACACCCGTGCATACAATGTCGCCGGCTCACAGCATTTTCTCGGATCATCATGCAAGCGACAGAATTCGCAAGATCTTCAAGCCAACTGCTGCAACAGTGCATGTGAAAGTCTATGGAAGAAGTGGCGCCTTCTCTTTTATACAAGATTGGCTGATCTCGTAGTCCGGCACGGCCTACTTCCGATGGATCGGTGGCGGGATTGTGGTACGAGAGCAAAAGCTCGGACTGGGCTCAGGACAGTGTTGAAATGTATGCAGCAATCAGGCGCGCATGTGACTGAGAATTCAGTGGCAGCGCCTAAATATCTCTTTCTGGGTATCGTGCCTTGGTGAATTGCGAGCCATTGATTATGGGTCGAAACAAAGTACGGAGGCGCTTGCTGCCTGGATAGCACCGCAAGTGAAATGACAAAGGAAAGGGATCTTGAAAGGACGTAGCGAAGGGAAACGAAGGGGGAAAGAGGAGGTATGCTGTAGTGTTGGAGGTAGTATAACGAATATGTACGTGTTACCTGCATTGTCCTGACCATGTGCCAAACGTTGCCCGCGGCTGCCTATGCGAACGCCTAAACTCCCACCATGCTGGTATAACGGGCAGACTCGAAGTCAAGCCCTCTTCCAAATTGCGCCATACCCAAACATCATCGCGTGCCTACTGGTCTGAGTTGACCGTTTGCTGCTTTCGTTAGCAACCGTTGCCCCAAAAAATTGTCGTTTACTCACCACAAGCCAATCCATGCCCTCATCGACACCTCGGCCATCCACAGCGGAGCATGCGACTATACTCCAGTTCCGATCTTTCAGCTCTCCTAACCGCAGCGCCTCGCTAATCTCGCCTGCGCCCTTTGCCCCTGGCTGATCCTGCTTGTTCGCAAATACCAATAGCGCCGCGTCCCGCAGCTCTTCCTCGTTTAGCATCGCAGATAATTCTTCGGAAGCGGTCGTGAGACGGTCGATATCGGTCGAGTCTATAACGAAGATGACGGCGGCGGTGTTGGCATAGTAGCACCTCCAGTACGGTCGAATTGAGGTTTGGCCTCCGAGATCCTGAATCAAATCAGTAAAGATGCTTTCGGGCGCTGGAGCTGAAGCCCACGACTTACCCAAACATTGAAGTTGAGATTCTTGTATGTGACCGACTCGACATTAAAGCCTATGGTAGGTATTGTAGTGACAACCTCTCCGATCTAGGCTGTCATTAGTCCTGGCATTCGCTAACTCACCGAATGTATCGCCTACCTTTAATCTGTACAGCAACGTTGTCTTTCCTGCATTGTCCTAGTCACATGTGTCATCAGTGCCTACGCCGCCGTGCTGGAGCAGGAGCGCATACCAGCCCCAGAATCAATATCCTGATCTCTTTCTTCGACCAAATGAGAGCGCTAAACTTCGAGATGTATCCTCCCATTGTATTACTGAGTTGTATGTATCTTCCGTCTTTGTTGCTGGTCGTTTTGGTGCGGTACCACTAGGGGCGTTCGTAGACTTGGTATGTGGATACGGAGAGAATATCGTAATCGAAAGCGTGCGTTATAAGTGTCGGTGTCGTAAAGTCGTAACGAGAAGCAGTATGAGTTCGAGTGTCATGTGCGAGGGGCTCAGTGAATGCTGCGTGTCTTAAAGTTGTCCAACGCCAAACGCCGAGGCCGCGGGAGTTGTTGTCGGAGCCAAGTTTCTCCGGGGTCGACGACCACGGGACGAGGCAGCCGTTGGGACCCATCTGCCAAACCCCTACTTCGGTACACACAAAATTATTCTACGAGCTCAACGCTATATAATGATTGGCAAAATCTTATCAAACGATGATTTTCGCACGAGGACAACGCTCTGAAATGGCAGCTACATAAGAGATAGTTTAGGAGAGTTGATCACGAACCGAATGTGTAATAATGCTTTTACAAGATAATCGTATCTCATGGACAGCGGACGTCCCAATGAAACAATCGTCTAGTAGCGGATTTCTTCCCTTTGTACTCAGTGCATACCTCGCGTAAAGATGCTATAATCCCTGTGGTACATCCCAGTATCTCGTCTTGTGTCCCCAATTTCTTGAGCTGCTAATGAACACGTATCTGCGCTAGCTTTGACGCGCAGCACTCTTCATCTCCCAAGATTCAACGACAGCGGCAACGATAATTTCCTGTACTATACGAAGCGCTCCCCCAAGCGGGCCCTGATCTGCACCAGACTCCGGAAATCTAACATCAAGGGGCGCGGAACATCGTAGAAAATCTGCATTAATCCTGTCCATTGGAGCACCTGGATCAGTAGAGATAGGAAGCGCTCTGTACCAGAAGCGCTCTGTAACAGTCTTCGAATAGCCCTCAGGATCAGCATCGAAAGGCGCGGAATCCCAGGAATGCCCCGCTGCGACGATTACGCTAAATGTTTGGATGGCAACCAGCCTCTGTAGGATGGTGCTGCCGCCGGGATGAACTTAGCATGAGGATGCTACGCTCGCATTGTTTCCATGGCTGTCAATGGGCTCGACCGTTGAAACGGCCATCCGTACCCAATAATCCAATCCAACGGCTATCACGACCCACTGTTGGATGACGATAGCTTACGTTTACCCTAAAATGCGATATGGTATCCTGTGGTAACTCAGCGTAGCCAACCCCATGACGGTATTTGTGATGCCTCCGACTGGCGATAGTGTATCCCGGGTCAACTCTGCGCATCGAAAACTTTGATGGTTCATGGCTCGCTCAAATTTTGGATGGTCCATCCAGGACAAACTCAGCGTGTCCAAATCATAGAATCGTTCTCTTCGGGCGACAAGCAGATTCTGCCCTCAACGGGCTATGGTGACATTGATGCAGGGGGACCGAAATGCCTTTCTTTCATCTCAACAGCTATCTCTGTTTATTTAATCCAGTCGCACTTCGTCTCTTAAAAGATTTCTCTATCACATCTTCACACTACCTCAAAATTGAAGACCACTTCCGGAGCCACTTCCAAAGCACCTCAAAGACTCCCACCGCTCCGACCAAAGCTACTATAAGCCACTACAGCTTACAATACCCTTTCCAAGTCTAGCAAAGACTTCGCGATGTCTCTGCTCATCTTCAACCACCCTCTCACCTCCACCCCTTCCACTGGCAACGCTAGTGCTCTCCCTGCTGTAGCTGTCCAAAACTGCAGCCAGCTCGTGGCCTTGAAGACCAGAAACTTCGACGAGCTAATTGCCCTCGGCTCCCAAGTTTACGAAGGGTTTTCCGACCATTTCGAGTTCGTGGTATCCTCCATCATCAACGATACCACTCCTGGCTCTACTGAGCATAAGCTCGCAGAGGCAATCTACTTTCGAGATGGGCACAACATGGCCATGCTTTCTCGCATCGCCGACATGACTCGCTTCCAGCTGGAACACGAAGCTCTTGCTGCTGGCCTCCTGGACAGTAATCAGATCAGCACGGTGAGCGATTTTGCGTTGGAGCTTCAGCTGAGGGCTTGGGTGAATAGGGAGAATGAGGAGCACTTTGCGCAGCTAAATCGTGATGATAGTGGATATCATACTACCGATCCTAGCATTGATATTGAGCCTTCAAATGAGGATAGTGAGGATGACAAGAAGGGAAAGAAACCAATTTTCATCAAGGTGTGGAAGAAGGAGCTTGGCAGATATGTCACATATGCGTACTAGCGGTTTTAACGGTGGATCTGCATTTCGCTTTCCACGATAACCTGCCGACTCTGTCTTCGTCCAAATTTTTTAGTTTTCCTCTTTCCCTTCACTGCTATAGCTTTGGGAGATAATTTTTTTAGGATATAGGATTGTTGCTATTGAGTTCGCATCCCTTCCTGGTAGCCGCGCTTTCCGGATTTTGGCTTCTTTGATTTGTTTGGATTTGCAGCATTGCACGATGTTTGTGCGACGTAAACGTACTAGGTGCAGTACCCGAAAGAAGACATTCAGTCTCATCTAGCTCCAATATCGATGTATACCATTTGTTCTACGCTACGCTATGTTTCACTGTGCTTGGCCAATAACAGATTCAACCGAACACTCACTTTCAACCCTCGAGGTGACCAGAGGGTTCAACCCTCTCACGTCCGCCTTTGGAAAGTCCGCACGGGGCTCGAGGCTCTAGCGTTTTCACTGTCACTGTCACTGTCAGCTTGGCAGGCTTCCCGCGGTCAGGTCGAGTAAAAGAGCCTCAGCTAAACCGCCACCACCCTCTTCACTATCCCCTACCCTCAGTGCGCTCACCCGCCACGGCGAACCACGCAGCTTTTCATAGCTTCTCTTTGTACCAGATCACCCACAACAAGCAGCTGGCCTCGACTCAGCAGCTGGCCTCGACTCAGTCACACCTCACCGTCCACCCCTGTAGTATGCCTAACATACTCGTACACCTTGGTCGTCCCACGTAACCTCCCACAACTACCGGCGCAATGTCCGAACAGGGTAGAAAGATCAAGCTTGGTAGTCCCGAGTTTAGGGAGCTAATGGTAAGTGTTGATGCGTACCGCGCGAGTACTTAATTCTGATTAACACCTAACACAGGCTAAGAAAGCTGCTATCGCTGCCGCAGCTGCCGCTTCTGCTATAGCATCGCATGCTCCCGTAGCGAACGAAACACCTGCCCCTAACGCTCCTGCTACCGGCATTCTTGCCCAAGTATCCGCTGCCATTCCACCCGGCACATTCAGGGCTACGGCTGCGCCTGGGCGCGCGCCTGAGACTGCACCTGATTTCGTGCTTTCGTCCACGCTCCAGTCTATGCCTACGGCTATCCCTGATGTTAGTACAACCCAAGCTGACGAGCCGGCCTACCATACTCTCGAATCAGGCTGGGGCCACTCAAAGGGTAAAGAAGTTGCGTGCCATAACCCAACGCTCTATCATGCTGTAAGCTATCTTTCCACCTATAGTTCTACTGTATCTGATAAGCACCAGCCGGCGAACTTCGGATTTGTCCTGAGCGACCAGCTCCCGTTCGGAGTCTCCTCAAGCGGCAATAGTTCATACTACAGCCCGATCAGAATCTTCCCTAGCATCGACGGTACCTACCGATCGGCTAATGCTGAGGTGCAACGTAAGCCATCGTGGGGCGCTGCTTCGAAGCCATCGACTAAGGTGAGTTTGGTTTCATTGTCCCCCTCCCGTCATATCCAACTCACGCACTATGTAGATTATTCCGTGGCGTGTAGAGCCGAGGCCAGCTCATATATCGCCCACACAACCACGTGAAGTATCCATCCACCGTCCTCACCTCGATAAGCCTCGCAAAGAAACCACTGGGCACCTTATGTCTGCGGTTCAGTCGAAACCCAATGAGCCTACCGTGTCAGTTGCCCAGCGACATAAATATGTTCAACACCGTGAGCAACCCGTCCAGCAGGACCACAAAACGTCCCAGCCTGAAGAGCGATCCGCTGCGCCTTCTCGATCTGCGCCACCAGCTCGTCAGTCAGTCCAACAGCATGCTTCGCAATCCCCTCGACCGGCTCATATACCAGTCAATGAGTGTCCTTCTCGTTCCCCACGTCTCGGCCACCAGCCAGTCCACCTGCGCTACTTTGATAGTTATGGTGCTCTCGACTGCGGAGCGCAGACGCTGGGTCTTTACCTCGACGGGCTTCGAGACGAACTCACAATCCGTGGTCTTCCATTCCCAAAAACTGATAACTGGAGGGATCTCGCTTCTGTCCTTGCCGAAAATGACAAGGAGTGGCGGAAACAGCTTTTCACTCTGGAGCGTGAAGTGCTCAGCAAGCTCTGTGGCAAGGAAAAGGTCGATGCCTTCATGCGAACTGAGCCCTTCAAGAACCAGGAGTACTTCGACTACGGTGATTTAGAAGCCGAATTGATCTATCACTACAAAGAAACTCCAGAGTTTTCTGAGCTTATGACTAATGTTTTGGATCTACGGAGCGTGGCGTACAACATGCTGCTACACATAGCCAACCACGAGTATGTGAGCCTAGGTACCAAGATGCCTGATTTTCATCCAGACTTCGCGAGAAGGATTGCGGACTTCCGCGCCCGGAAGATCGCTACAGAGGGCTCTCCTCTTAGACAGCGGGTTGAAAAGTACGCCCGCGGCCGAGGCACTATTTCTCCTCCCGAGCGCTCAGATACTGCTCCTGTTGGGTCGCAGGGGAGAAAGCGTCGGCGCGGAAAAGACCTACAGGAAGAGGGCGAAACGAAGCCAGCGAACAAGAAACCTCGAAAAAATGCGGCTTCTGTTTCAATCGAAAAAGAATTTGCCGCATTTCAGCCCGGATCCGCTACAGGGTCGAGTCCTGAGCAGTCTACCCTTGCTACACCAGCAAGCAGGTCCCCGATTAATGTAAACCCAGTCTCTACGCCAGGATCAAAACACACAAAGCGTCAGGGAGATACAGAGGGAGAGGAAGGGCTGGATACGGGGAAGAAGAAGCCTCGTCGTGACGCTACATTGACTAAGAAAGCGCCCACCACTACACAGGACGAAGCCGCTGCGGGTGCCACTTCGGAACAGTCAGAACACGAGATTCAGCCAATGAACAGAAAGCCCCAACAAGACGCTGCTCACGTTGATAAAGCATCCGCTTCGGCGTCCACTCGTGAGCGTTCCACCACCGCGTCTTCTATTTGCGAAACGTCGCAGGCGCAATCCCGCAAAACGAAAGCTGCAACCCAGTCCCCTCTTGAAGAAGACCGTGATCCTTCAGAGTCTGATACTCCTACCGGAGACCATGACTCTCTTCAGACCAGGTCCATCAAACGAAATCTACGCAGCAACAAGAGGAAGGAACCTGAACCAGAGTACGTGTGGGAATGGGAAGACGAGGATTTGTCCGACTTTATTGACGACGGTGACGAAGATGAGTCAGTTCGGCCCTCAAAGAGGAAGCGAAGAAACAGTGATGAAAAGAAGCGTTTCGATCGCGCGAAGTTCAGGCGGACGACTAACCTCGTCAAAGACTAGGTCTGCACTGGCCTCACGACTTTCACGGAAAAGGACGCGGATGAGCTTGTTCCTTTATTTATATGGTTTCGCGTAGAAGCCGTGTTTGTATGGTGTTTTGAGAGTGCGACATTGATCTATCCTCGTGTGCGCTTGGTTTTTTGTTTGCACTGGGTTTTGACCTAGCTTGCATTTGGTATGCTTGTTTTTGTTGTTTGCACTGGGTTTCGACCTAGCTTGCATTTTGTATGCTCGGTTGGCTTGCGCATTGCATCTTCAAGGCTTCGATTGGTGCATGTCGCTTTTGTTGTTTCCTACTAGTTCATGTTAGCCGGACGACAGTTATCTACCAACTCAACGCGCGCATCGAACCCTGCGGAGACGTGTCCCTTTAACAAGGGACTTTCCTTCTCAGGCATTTCGCATGCATGTCGGGTCGAAAAGACACATACATGGTTTCTCCATTCCCAGCTAAGAAATGGATTCAGTCAGAGATAACGGGCGCGAACGCTGATTATCTACATCTGGGAAGAACGTCAGATGAGACTGCGTCCTATATGGCAGCGGTAGTTTTCGCATACAGGCCGGGGACAAGGAGACTTGCGTGCTGGTCCATCCCACCAAGATATGGAGCTGGCTGCGGGATGGTGTAAATGTCAGAAGAGTTATTTCTAGCGTTTAGCAAGTTAATAGTAACTCTCCGTCATAACATTTTATAATGTGCGAAGTGCGGAATATTACATACGTACCGTGATAAGTGAAGGGTCGTGCCTTCCCTATTGTTCAATAACGCGTTGCAGTCCACGCTACTTCATCAGCGCGTTCCTTCCCACCCTATACTTCCCCTCGTTCTCCGGCGTGCCATCAAAAGCTCACTGTAGCATTTGCACTCGCTCTGAACTATCACGTTCGCATCAGCGCCCCCTTCCTCAGAGATTTCTGCCTGCAGAATGGGCGGCGGCCCCAAAGCCAGCGCGGCTAACCTTGAGCCTCTCGGAAAGCGCAGGCACTTCCAGACTCCCGCCAGCTCCTCCGAACCAAAGCCTTCTGCATCGTTAACTCGTAATGTGCGCGGAAAGGAGACGGATTCGACTTCTTCTCGTATTGCGAACAGCCGGAGCGCCCTGCTCTCGAGCACAGCAGGAACAGCTACCGATCCTACCGAATCCAAGGATAACGCGGCCTCTGGATCCGTCAATTCAACTGCTTACAACCTGCTACATGATAGCCGACCTCCCCCGACGATCGAAGCGACCAGTGATCATAACGGCGACGAAAGCTCCGAGCGACACTCCGATGCGGAATCTGCGAATCAAGTCAAAATTCCCTTGTGCAGAGTTCCTTCTCCCCAAACGCGCCTTGAGACCAGCACACGAGCTCTTGCTCTTGCACAAGAATGGCAAGCAAAGTTCAAAGCTCTCCCGAAGAGACCTCCTATGCCAGACTCTAAAAAGGGAATCGATACGCGCAAGCAAACAGCCCGTGCGGAAAATGATCAATACATTTTGAAGCACCGTCAGCCGCAGCCAACACTATACCACAACGAAGAGTTGGGAGCCTTGGAAGGTGATGCAGCAGACAAAGCCGACGAAGAACCCTCGCGCAAGCGTCGTCGCAAGAGCGGTCCGGGACCTCAGGCCTCTGCGGTGAACCTGGAGCCCCTGGGCAAACGCAGAAAAGGGTTTACACCCAAAGTCCTAGCTGATGGGACTTCAACTTCAACAGAGCTTCGGCAGAAGTTCTCTTTGGAGGCGGCAGTGGACAAGCCGGCAACCGTAGTCCATAAGCCACAGCTGGACCCCGCGCCCAAAACAACAGATCCATCGGAATTGAAGCAGCATATACGGTTGTCGGATGCGATTTCGACTCAAGCATCGTATGGTCCGGCCATAGGAAGCCAAGCAAGTCCGCTAATGGTTCGAGACACGGTCGTCGCTCTCCAGCAACCCACTCCCGAAACCGAAGATGGTAGGCGTGAGGCTGAGGAGAAGTCTGACCGCCTGATTATCTCTCGCAATGATCAAGTCCGTCATCCCGCAACTAACGGAAAATTCGGCAATGACACTAGATGCGAGGGCACGACTCGCACGCATAAACGATCATCCTCACCGCAACGACTGCGTGAGAGATACGATAACGCTTTTCATCGGGACGGTCGCGATCACAAGAGTGACAGTGTACGTGATGAGGTATTGGGCAGAGATAGGTCGCTACGTAGCCCTAGACAGGGCCGGAACCGAGCATATCCTCGTGAAGCATATCCTCGTGAAGCATATCGCTCGCATGCAGCAAGCGTAAGAGATGATCGTGTCTCCCGCAACGATCATGTCCCTGATCCAGCGAGCAACTTCGACGTGCGTCAGGGCTCCCAAGACCATAGCTACCGTGACCAACGCGCTGAAACGAGAATGAGAGATGGTCATCGTACCGATCGAGGCATTTCTCTTCAGGAGAGGTCTTCCAAAGGGGCGCATATCAATGGACGAGATCATTCCTCTTCACCTCGCAGGTCCTACGGCGACTGGCAGGACAGCCGCGACCATCATCGACACGGTGGCGAGCGCCGTTATCGCCAAGAAGAAGTCGCAAGCCCACATATTGACAGTGAGCGCACCACTTGGAGTGAATATGAAAGCTCTGAGTATCGAAGCCGTAATCCGCAATATTCGTGCGATGAAAGACTTCAATCAGCTCAACATGGCCATTATGAGTACGATCGCCGCCAGCGATCACGATCACCTGGAAGATATCGTCATTCTAAGGACCGATTCGGCTATCGCGGTTATAGCATAGACCCTAACTCAGGAGAACATCGAAATGACCGGTATCGTACGCGCGACCTACGCCGACGTTGACAGAGAAGGTAAACCCTTCTACAGTAGCTCTCAATCGTAGGTTGTCACGTAATTTGACTGAGTAGATCGGACAAGCCGGGGGGAGAAGGATACATGGTGATTGAAAAAACATTTTCATGCTATTATACACAACGAACATATGCTATTTACAGGACCGGCAAAGTTGAAGTGGGGATTCGGGGTAGAGGGGAAAAGATGAACAAGGAGTCGAAACAGGTGGATGATATCACAACGTCACTATTTCGGCGCTGCGATAATGACGCTCTGCATCTTGGCATCGTAGCGATGGACCTCGAGAATCTGCAGACCAGCTGCCTCTAGCAACATCTCGAATTCTTTCTTTGTCCGCTCAACACCACCCAACGATGCCATCATCGTGAGGTCCACTTTGCAAGAGTTAGCTGGGTCCTTGTCTTCAGGTGGAGTTTTGGGTTTTACGTACTATATGCAGCCTGCCATGGCAGCTTTTCGTCCGGCAACACGACCTCATCAATTACAAGGAGCGACTCAGGTCCCAATGCTGGAACTACTGCTTTCAGTATTCGGATGCTGTCCTCTTCCGTCCAGTCATGTAGAATATGTCTTAAGTAGTAAAACTTCGCCCCCTTGATCGGCTGTTCCTTGAAGAAGTCGTGCTCTTGGAACTCCAGTCCTTCGACTTTTGGCGCGCTGCTAAGCGTCGATGCGATGTCTTGTACCACGATCCTGCCCTCTACATCGAAAAACTTCTTCTTGAATGCGGACGCTTGCTGCCCAAAGCCGCCACCGATGTCAACGAGCACAGCCGATTCGGCAGAAGCTTTGAAGTCGCCTATAGCATTCATGACAGGATACGAGTCCAACCAGTGGCCTTCCCGCTGTATCGCCATCGCATGCCCAAGCGATGCCATCTGCTCAGGACGCTGTGCCATCCACTCAAACGGCGTCAAATCCGTCTTCAGCGCCTTATGAAATGGCAGATTCTTGTTACTAGAGATATCCTGGTACTTATTCTCTGCCAACCAAGACGGAAACGCGTATGCGGTGGGCAGATGGATGTCGTACCCGTGTGCTATCGCACCTGAAACGTGGACGTTAGCTAGCGTATGCGTGGTCCTGTTTGCGGCGAAAGTGTCGACTGATAACTCGTCGATAAGGCCGAAAGCTGCCATTGCGCGAAGCAGATGCGAGAGCATTTTGGGGGCTGCGGATGTACTGGTTGACAGGGTGGACAGGGATAGGGCTTCCTCGGAAGAGGAGAGGAGGGTGAAAAGAGACAAGTCAGTGCCGACTTTTACAAGGGGCATCTGCAGGGACTGGGTAACTTTAATTGGGAATCGGAATAGAGAGGGGAGAGGGGCGTACCCCGGACGATATACGGACTACGAGGTCCCAGTCGTCGTCGAAAGAAGCCTGGAGATCGCGGAGGTCAGTCTGCATCTTTTGGCGGGTTGGCTCGTCGGCTTGGGCGTAGAGGTTGCGAATCTGGGGGATGAGGGAGTCCATGGTGAATGTGTCAGTTTTGAAGTAGCAGGGTGGGCTCCTGTATTCTTGGTATAGCTGTCCTGTCTGTTGGGTATATTAGGTGATGGCTTGGATCATGTAAGTTCGATCCATGAGCCTCATTAAATATTATATACAATCGTAGATAATCGTTGTAGCCTTGTTACGGCCGAAAGGAAAAGCCGACAAGGACTACGGGTTGGGACTACAACAACAGCTGCTGCCTAACCCAGCTCCTCTGATGGGCTTAGTCGATCGCTCCATCGCATCTTTAGCGTATGTCTTAGTCCACTTAATTCACCAAATGGCTTAGGTGCGAAAGTATAGTCGTTCATAGAGACCGAGAAAGCCGAGAAGACCGAGCATCGCTCACATCGGCCAGCCACGCCTAAGGTTGGGCATCGTGTACGAAAGAGTCTTTTCAGAAGCATTCATGAATGGGCCTCCCGTGGTGATGTATCGCCGGATGGCAACCTGCTGGAAGATACACATGGCATTTGCAAACGTGGTGTTGAGGTTACCAGCTGGCCAGCCAATGATCGTGAGGCTGGCTTTCTGCTTAGTAACAGACGCGCCAGAAGGACGACGAGCGCCCCAACGCGACCTTTCCTCCCTCTCGTCAAGAAGTCGTATTTTCCATCTCTTAGTCGCCTCGAAATGTATAGATTGAGCACCTGGTCCGGACCTACTTCTTCCGCCTACCTAGACAGTCTCTCTTCTCAGCGACGAAAACGTACCGGCAGTTCGATAAGACACGCCGCGTTAATTTGTCATTGACCACTTCTTCAAACTCTATCAGACTTCCAGAGCAGGCTTATTGCATGGCTAGACATACTTTCCCGTTATGCTGGCGTGACGCCGGCATATACGACCTTGGGTATGCAGGTTAAAGTGTGCATGCACGGCAGTGGATGCGCGTCCTGTTCCGGATGCGTGTATAACACCCTATCATGTTTCCGGCATCACTTTCCGTATTGACACCGTAGGTCCTGGATCCGACAACCATTTTGGCGTGCGTACTGCCTACACAATGCGTTCATTGCGTGCGGCAGGGATTCGCGCCTTCAGCATCGCCTATCCAGGGCTGCAATGTACGAATGGGCATCGGGCGTATATTTGCACTGAACGGTCTACATGCTGCACCATATCCGTCCGTATTTCCCAACCCTGTCCGCAACAGATAATAGCCTTGTACACCCCGCAGAAGAGATGGAGACATGGAGCGCCTGCAGGCATGTGCAAGTACAAAATGCTTCATCACGCTTGGGCAACCCCCAGACTAGATTTAGGATGAATTGTTACTATGTTGTCTCATCACATTTGTCTAAGCTTTTTCATAGCAGTCAAGATAACTATTGCCTACAATTTTCCCTACGAAAGCATTCAACTGACCGACAAAGACGTGTCTAACAACAGTGATATCACATTCGGTAGATTACCTGCCGTTATTGAAGCACAGTGCAAAACCTTCCCAGGCGACAGTAATTGGCCAACCGCAGATCGCTGGAATGCTCTTAACATAAGCTTAGGAGGAACGCTGCTCAAAGCAGTTCCTCCCGCGGCAGCTTGCTATTCTGGGATCTACGAAAATGCCACAAAGTGCGCCGCTTGGTTCCAACAATCCAGGAGCTCGCTTTATGTGTATGGTGGTTCGCATATCTCACGCATTACACTAAGCTAACTAAGATAGGACGGAAGATCCCTTGGTACCGTTTCTCCAGTGGACGCTGGGGAACCCGTGTCCACTACCCACAGCATCGCCTCCAGGATCCAACGTCACGGCTCCGCCGCTGTCTGCTTGCCATATTGAGAAGTTTCCAGCCTATGTCGTGAATGCTTCTACAGTGAAGCATGTTCAGCTCGCTGTCAACTTTGCGAGAAACAACAATATCCGGCTTACTATTAAGTATGGTAATTTTTCGATCCAAATTTAGCTGTGCTGATGACTTTAGGAATACTGGGCACGATTATCTCGGTAGAAACACTGGAGGCGGTGCTCTTCAAGTGTACGTGCATCATTTGAAACGCTTTGAGTATCTACCGTTGTTCCAGATTGGAGAATATGAAGGGAAGGCCGCTAGGGTCGGTGCAGCACTGGAGCAATATGAACTGTTTCCCCATATGGAAGAAAACAATATCACTTTACTCGCTCCCGGATCCTCGACGGTCGGTGCTTACGGAGGTTACATGCAAGGAGGCGGCTTCTCGTACATCACGTCCAAGTTCGGGCTCATGGCTGATCAAGTACTGGCATTGGAAGTTGTAACAGCTGATGGCAGATTCGTCCATGCAAACCCGGAGGCCAACGAAGACCTATTTTACGCTATCCGAGGCGGGGGCCCGAGTAAGTATATGCCCCGTTAGATATTTAATGCTGACAGTCCTAGGCAACTATGGTATCATAACATCAGCAATAGTGAAAGCACACGACTCCATATCCGTCGCCCGTATGAGCTTCAATTTCCAGACCGGCGCAAATATCGAACAGGCCAACAGTACCACCTGGGCCGACAATACGACCGCATACGCAGAAGCCACAAACGAGACCTTCTGGAACGGTGTCAATGCCTACTTCTCTCATCTTGTGCGCATCAACAACGCAAAAGGAATTGGCTGGAACACCATCTCAACCCAAGCCCCCAACCCTATATTCAACAGAACCCAACGCATCTTCTCCTTCACCGGTCAAGTGATTATACCAAGCATGTCCGCGTCTGACTTCAATGCCTTCGTTGCACCTATAATTCAAGATCTGAGCGACATTGGTATAAAAGTCAATGCAACCGTCGGCTGGTGGCCCAGCTACCCGGCCTACTCCTTCCGACCAAATGGCCCCGGTGAAGCCGTCGGCAACGGCCGCTTCGCCTCACGTCTCTTTCCACGCTCCATCTTCGAGGACCCGAGCTCCCCAGAGTTCCTCAGAGCGATGGCTGCCATACGCACGTTCGTGGAAGAAGGCCACTACAGCTTCCATAGCGTCGACTACCATCCCTCTTATGCCACAGCAGGCTATCCGGGCGCCAATTCCGCGGTCAACCCTCATCTTCGGACTGCTATCATGCATGCGACAGGCTTCGACACCGGCAGCTACGGTCCCGAACGTACTCCCGAAGAGATGATTGCGAGCCATGCGAGGTTGAATGAGTACGCGCAGAAGTGGCGGGATGCAACCCCAGGGAGTGGAGCGTATATGAACGAGGCCGACACCGAAGAGCCTAATTTCCAGGACAGCTTCTATGGAAGCAACTATAAGAGACTACTAGGTATAAAGAGGAAGAGAGATCCTTGGGGCGTATTTTATGCTGTTACCGGAGTTGGTAGTGATGAGTGGAAGGTGGAAGGAACTGATGGGCTGCCGACTCAGCAAGGCAGATTGTGCCGGGTCTAGTTCAGAGTCAACTCTTCACTTGGTGACAGCGCTTCTGTATGGAGATGGTATGAGTTGCGAAGATGGACGTGAATATTCATGGACACAGGCACCAATGGAGCCACATCTCAATGTATGGTTTCTGTTACTCCCTAAAATATATGCTGGTATGAGGTACAGAGTTCGGTTATTTGCCATGGCTCTAAATTAGTACAATCTTTCGAACGTCTGGTGCTCTTCTTATTCAACTTGGCGGTTGATGCTCGGACGAGTTGTTCTTGTCATGGAAACAGGGAAGTGAAAGATATGGATGCTGTGCCCCAAACGGCATATCCGCAGATGTGGCTTCGACGGCGGTGGTATATATCTTTCATCAAAGCGAATTACCATCAACTAAGTAAAAGCATACGTGGGCTGGCGGTAGGACGCTGCCTTTCGGCCCCCCTGGTTAGTAGCCCGCTCCGCAAGTATACGCAGAGTGGGTGGTCGAATGGTGGGGATTGGTAGGAGAAATGCCGGTTCGAGTCTGGCCATTTGCAGTGGTTCTGTTCTAGGTCCTTGATATGATGATTTTCATGTTCCATTTTCAGGTTCTGTGAAGCGCAAGGTACAGTACTTCTCTTAGACTGGTAGGTGTGCACTCTGAAAGCTCCGCTGAATTGGAAGCAATTCGAATAATGTCAAAAGCATGTGGATAGTTGGGTGTGAAGCTCTGGTAGCAGAACTTGCAGTCTTACATGTCTCGCAGGTCAATATCTATCTCAGTGTTGGTTAGGAGGATGTGAGATGATGTGAAAGCGGGCAATACGAAGCAGCCAATCAGGGCCGAGAATGTTCCGATTATGACCGTCATGACGAGCAAGACCGTGCGCCTCGAGCATCCCAAAAACTTTCTCCTCCGACAATCTCCGCAAACAGTCCTCTTCACTATTCTACCGAGCGCATCAGTTCTTCTTCAATATCCTAGTCTTCTTTTAATTCTACCATTTTAACATGGGTTGGTTTTGGGCAGATACGACGCCGTCCGCACCCGTCGCGCGCGTTGCGCCACACCCCATGCCTCGTGGAGGCGACGCGCAACCTCCAGTATGTTAATAACTCACTGTGTCATCGTCCAATGTCTAATTCCTATTTAGCCTGCATGTCCTATGCATAACAAGATGCCACCGCCATCGGGCAGAGCCGAGCCTCCTTCGACACCAAAGGGTGCGTGCCCCTACGTCCCTCCGGAGACCTCTTCGAATGCACCTGCATCCACACCTACCGAACCACCACAGAAGACCGGCCTTCTCTCCCGTCTAAACCCGCTCAACAACATGTTCTGGACCCTAGATAACGACCGTGCCGAAAATCAAACGCAAGACCTCCCCCTATCACGCGAACAATCCACCATACCGAAAGCAGACGGCTCGCTCTGGGAGTATCCCTCGCCGCAGCAAATGTACAACGCGATGCTCCGAAAAGGCTACAACGACACACCAATCGACGCCGTCGAATCCATGGTTTCGGTGCACAACTTCCTGAACGAGGGCGCCTGGGCAGAGATCATGGGTTGGGAACGGCGCTTCGCGCGCGGCATCGTAGAGGGCTATAGTATCTGCAAGCGCGGCGAAGAAAACTCGAACAAGCTGCTCGGCACGGACGAAGACCCCTTCGACACAACGACTTGGGAGGATAAGTCTATCCCACCTCCGAAACTCCTCCGTTTCACCGGCCGACCTACAGAACTCACACCCAAGGCGCGGATGCTGCAATGGGCAGCTTGGGGCTGGCCGGGCAAGTTCGCATCGCCGCCGCCTTTCGATCGCCACGATTGGTTTGTGGAGAGGTGCAATGAGAAGGGATGCGAAGAGGTGCGGTACGTGATCGATTACTATGAGGGAGAGCCGGAGCCGACGGGAGAACCGGTGTTCTTCCTGGATATTCGACCAGCGATCGATGGACCTAGGAGCGCGGCGGAGCGATTAGTACGGTGGGGGACAGACACCTGGTGGACCGCTACTGGGGGTGTTGTAAGAGAAGTAAGAAAGGCAGAAGCTGCGAGGAAGAAGCAGGAAGAAGAGCTCGCTGCCAAGAGCAGGTCGTATAACTGAACTGGAGAGAGATGGGCGTTATAACGGAGAGGATACACGAATCGGCTAATTATGGATCGCGTTTATGGCGTCACGAACTACGGCTGGATTGTAACATTAGTGTTTCTATTGGACTTTGCGACCTTTTCTTCCTACAGTGTACATTCTTCCTTCCGATCTAAGTTTTGTCTTCTGTGTGCTGGAGAAGGATGCGAAAAATCGGACCCCTCCGCTCTGATGTTCATCTCGTTTCTCTATTCGCAAGTTGACTATGTAATCATATTCTCCAGTCGTCCACCCTAAAATTCGTCTTCGATCCATTGCCATCGTCAGTGCAATCTCCCAACCGCCGTGTACTACTGGTAAGGGAAGCAAGGGGAATGGGGATACAAAATTAGGGAAGTAGAAGGCACCCAGATGCCTGTATGCGGAGAGATGTGTCGTGCGTCTAGCGCCAACACATCAGGATTACATAATTGTTCTCCACGTATTCGTTGATGGTGTTTCTCCAAGCAACCGGCGGTTCAAGCCTGCTGGGGCTGCGGACGCCGACTGTGACTGGAATAAGTTAGTGGTGGTGTTGGCGGTGTACAGTGCGAGCGTACTGACTGCAAGAGATGGTTTTGTAGTAGGTCGTCATGTGCTTGAATGGCAAGCAGGTGTCGTCTGACAATTGGATATACATCGTCATGGACTGGTATCGTGGTCACAATCCAGAGCCTGCATGATAGCGCAAGGTCATGTAGCAGTAGGAGCCACCAAATAAAGTTGGGAAGTACGGGGTTTGTTGCCCTCTCTATGGAGAATCGAAGCACGTGAATCTCGTTAATGAAAAGATGCCAACGAACGACGACAAAGACGAATGTAGGGGACCTTCGCATTCGTTCCGTGGTCAATTCTTTGTCTCTGGACTTGGACATGAATATACAGTCCCATATGTTACAAGAAGATACCTGGGAGTTATCTGAACTCCTGATGCCATGCAGTTCCACGTAGTCAAACACATATTCTTAATACCATCACTCTTCCCACCCCTCCGCTATGATGGTGGCGCCACCTCCCCACCTTTCGCAGCCTTCAAGGTCTCCCTCACCTCCGCGAAATCTATTATCCCCTGCCCACCCCCATTGCTCACTTTCAAAAAGTTCTCCTTATACGGGTTCCCCGCCCCCTCAAATGTCTTCAGCCTCTCCAACCTTCCCTTCCGTAATCGATTCTTAGGCAACATTCCGCTGACCGCTCGCCTCAGCACCTCGCCGCCTCCCCATTTTTCCGCTAGGTTCTCCAGGCTGATCTCCTTCAGGCTGCCAGGTCGCGTGGTGTGCGTGCGGTACAGTTTCTGCTCGCGCTTCTTCCCCGTGACGTGGATGTCTGCGCAGTTGGTCGCGACGACGTAGTCGCCACAGTCGGTGGAGGGATCGAAGATGGGCTTGTGTTTGCCCATAAGGGTGAGGGCTATGCCGGAGGCAAGGCGGCCGAGGGCGCGGTCATCGCTGGCGACATCGATGTGGTGCCATGCGCGGGCGTAGGCGAGGCGCGTCTACCCATATTGTTAGTAAAGTAGGAGTTGATAGGGTAGATGCTCGCTTGTGCAGTTCGTGATCATAGCAAACGAAACCGTGTATGTGCACGCGGAGGTCCGATAGGCGACGTACTTTGCCCACGACTTGAGACATTGTGGTTGAAGGCCAATGGCTATTTGATAGTGTTTTTGGTACCTCCTGGAGCTGATTATGCTGTGTGTTTCGTCCCTTGGGGCTCCAGGTAGGGTCGGGGCTGAGTGCGGCCGCTTGATGCGCTCCGTGAAGTTCGACTGGCGATGCTTGGCAATTAATTTCGAGAGAATAGTGTCACGTGCGCCCTCATCGGCGCTTTCCTCGATGGTCCCGCCCGAGACCCGCCCGATGTCGTTCGATTTCAAAGCGAGGTAGAGCAGAAGTGATGTTCCAAATCTAAAACCAACAACGCAAATCCACCATTCTTACACTGCAAATGTTCAAGATGACTATTCCAACATTCGAAACGACCTTCGCGGTGCCCATGACGTGTGAGGCATGCATCAAAGATATCGAAGGCTCACTGCATCAACTAAGCGGTACGGTGACCCGGCCAAGGGTCTTGGAGAGCTCGCGTTGACAAGAGCAGGAATTAAGAAGGTCACTGCCAGTCTCCAGGACCAATTAGTATCCATCGAAGGCAACGCAGCTCCCTCGGCTATCGTTGAGGCCATACAAAGCACAGGCCGTGATGCTATTCTACGAGGAAGCGGCAAGTCAAATAGTATGTTCACCCTGACGGTATAGTGATGAGTGATTCTTTGCCGTCGCAATAGGCTTCTCTTGGCTACGGCGTCGTCGTATGGTGTTAATTAAAGATCTTCAGGCGCTGCTGTATGCATACTAGAGTCGTTCGCGCCACACGTGGAGAACAAGGTGCGGGGACTGGTGCGCATGGTCCAGGTTGCGCCCACGATGACCATCGTCGACCTCAGTATCCGAGGACTATCACCTGGAACGTACCATGCCACGATCCGAGAGTCGGGAGACATCTCGGACGGCCCCGAATCTACGGGGCCCATCTTCGAGGCTGCCAAAGCCAAGCTGCAAGGCACCCCGTGCCGCGGTGTGTTTGGGACTGTCGAAGTGAGCAAAGGTGGCGTGGGCACCGTGTTCCTGGACAAGCCAATCCAGATCTGGGAGATGATCGGACGCAGCATCGTCGTAGCGAGACAGCAGGACGGCGCCTTTGATAAGAACGATCCAGACACCCTTGTGGGGGTCATTGCCCGGTACGTCTGCCGTGTCCCGTTCTGATTGACAGATGCTGACGTGTGCCAGGAGTGCGGGTGTCTGGGAAAACGACAAAACAGTATGTTCATGTTCCGGAAAGACCGTGTGGCAGGAACGCAAGGACGAAGTTGGCAAGGGCATGCTATGAGGAGGCTGTATAGCAGGGAGGTGGTCGACAGTGGTTAGACAGCATTGCCCGTACTCGTACTATGTAGATCGCTCCTTGCACCTTGTCTACAAGACTCATAGCGACGGCAATTATTCGTTTCACTGCCGGTTCTGGCGTGCGTGAAGCGAGGCTTGCACCTTGATTTCCAGGCCGAAACGCTGCCTGCGTGACACAGAACAAGATGGCAGTGGGTTTTTCGAGCCTCAGCATTATGCGTTCATGCCTGAGTGCGGTCCGCTGGCAGTAGTTGCGCTGTCACGTGGCTGTCTCAAAGCAAGATGGCCATGTAACAGACCTCAAACGCCGTCGGTCGTCCGCGCTGGAGGAGAGCGAGCAGTGTCCGAAGGGCTTCTTCGCTGCGCTCGTCGACGGGCAGAGGCGCCCTAGATGGCACCTGGATAGCGGCTGGGCGCCTGTGGTCTTGCTGGACGGCATGGCGGCGGTGTCATTCTCGAATGGGTTGGGACCAAGTGTCGCGGCGGTCGTCGAAGCGCTGTGGATGCCGGGGTCGCGCACTCGGACGGCCAATCATGGCGGCCAATGCGTGTCGAAGCCAAGCCAGACCTCAGACGCGCTGGGACTCAGAATTGGTCTCCCCACTCGCGCCAGTCTCCAGCCGCCCGCCAAATCCTCCCTGTGCCACTGTCCCCTTGCCGTGCAGCCCTCAAAGCCTCCTCTCCTCCCCCAAACTCTGCATTCCTCCCTCAAGAGCCGCATCACCGTAGTCACTCTTTTGGCCCGCTCCCCGCACCCCACGACGACGAATCGACACTACACCAGCAATAGCCGAGGCAGCGAACACACAATCGATAACACATTCACTACCGTGCGCACTCCCAGAAAGCCCAGGTGGCTCCGTCGTGATCTGAGCAGGGACCGAAGGAGGATTCTGGCTACTTGAGCACCAGTCGAAGTCGAAAGGAGCAAGAGCTCTCTACCAGCCGTGGAGCGGTAGCAACGAGCGAAGGACGAGGCTTGACGACACCATACTGCCGGGTAACTAATTAGTATTCGTCATGTCTCTGAAGCAGGTATGAACTGTGCCGCTCGTTCCAGTGCTTCGGGATGTCACCGCTAACGACCGCGGGGTAGGAAATCGAGACTTGGGTGGCAGCCCTAGGTGCCTACGACAACAACGAGTTTGACGAGGCCCTGAAGACGTTTGACCAGATCTCGGATACCTCCAAGATCCTGTTTAATTGCGGTGTCATTCATGCGACGCTCGGCGAGCATGAGAAGGCGGTATGTAGCGAACACCTTCACGGAAGAGGCACGTGCTCACGCCTACCTAGGTCGATTGCTACCAGCGCGCTGTGCGGCTGGACCAGTACCTCGCCGTCGCATATTTCCAACAGGGTGTCTCTAATTTTCTCATGGGTGATTTTGAGGAAGCGCTTGCCAATTTCAACGACACGCTTCTGTATCTCCGCGGCAACAACAACATCGACTATGAGCAATTGGGCTTGAAGTTCAAGCTCTATTCTTGCGAGGTCCTCTTCAATCGCGGTCTTTGCTACATCTATCTGCAGCAAAAGGATGCGGGTGTGCAGGACTTGTCTTTCGCCGCCAAAGAGAAGGTGGTTCCCGACCACGACGTGATTGACGAGGCCATCCGAGAGGAGGCAGAAGGCTACACGGTGTTCTCTATTCCTGTCGGTATTGTATACCGCCCGAACGACGCAAAGGTCAAGAACTTGAAGACGAAGGACTACCTTGGAAAAGCCCGTCTCGTTGCTGCTTCCGATCGGCAAAACGCTTTTACTGGGTTTACTGGCTCGGAGATCAAGAAGATGGCCAACTTAGCCAAGGACGACCGGCCCGAAGAGAAGCTTTCTTTCGCTGCCACAAACCTAGTCAAGCCGGAGCTTCAGAGCAGAGCGCGACAGCAGTCTGAGCCGCCCATGAACCGCAACATGTTCCCTCCAACGCCACCACCAGAGTCGGACAACCGCCGGTCTGCTGAGAAAAAGGCAGATTCAAATGCGCCAATGTCCCGTGCACAGTCTGTTCGTGGTGGTGGCCCGAAGCCACAGCCTCTGAACCTCGGACGCGCTGCTTTCGACCGTAGGGATGACCGCAAGGACGACCGCAGAGATGACCCGCCACAGCGGAGGGGAACCCAACGATCTGCTTCAGAGCGTCCAGCACCCAGTCGACAAGAGTCCATGCGCAACCGTGATATGGATCGCCGCGACGACCGTGGTATGGGTGGCAGGCGTTCGCGTGAAGCGCCTCGTCGCCGAGGGTCAGAAGAGGAGGACGACTATGCTGATGATGTCTACGACATGTACCAATCACGTGGAAGCCGTTCGGGTTACGGTCGCGGCTCCAAAGGACAAAGACGTCCCGCTTACATCGATGAGGAAGAAGAGGACGATTACGATGGAAGCGACGTTGATGACGCTGACTTCGAGATGGTTTCACGTTCAAAGACTAGGAGACGATCACCTACTCGCTCTGCCACATCCTCCGGTCGTGGTGGCACTGGCGGTAAAATTAGGGTCAAAGTCCACGCGGGCGACACGCGTTATGTGTTCGTCACGCCAAATTCGTCCATGCGAGACTTCGTTCAGTCCATCCGCGAGAAGTTTGGCATTCGGCAAAACTTCAAGGTCGAGATCAAGGATGATGGCGATATGATCACCATGGCAGACGAGGATGATCTGGACATGGCTATTGAGAATGCCAAGAGCATGGCTCGCAAGGAGGGCTCTGATACACCAAAGATGGAGGTATGGCTCACCATTTTCCCCTCTCAAAACGCAGATCTAGCACCTCTCACTACTTCTATCTCGGTCTCCCAGTACTAGTTGATCGAGCAGAGGCTAATCAATATTGTCTATTTAGGTTTGGATACGAGAAGTATAGATCTGTGATACCCGCGCTTTAGCTCTCACGAGGACCGCACCTTTTTCCTTTTCACCTCCTACCGTCATTTATAAGGACATCTCACGATATCTTGCTTATCTACGTCTTTATACTCTTACTCACCCCCCCTTTGTGGTAATGTCGATATGTTGTTTATCAGCGAGCATCTGTTTCCGTCACATACATAGCGTTTGCCAGGATCGAGAGACTATTTCTTACTATTTACTTTCACAGCCGGACTGTTGAGTGTCCGCATTAGACATATACTTAGCCCTATCTTTCTACAAGAATGGAAAGACGTAATTACACGAATGAAGCATACTTATCACGCCCTCAGTTGCTTGACTTTGCTATGCCTACTGCTCACTACGCATTTACCCGTCCTTGGCCTACATCATCTCGAATGAACCTGCGGACCGTCCAGTTGTTCAAGCACACATCACATTTCAGCGCCCATCCTCCAACTTGGCGCGTTCCACCCGTCACACCCTCACACCCGGAAGGCGGCTCTTCTTGCGCCCGGCACAGCGTACATTGCAGGCGGTTGCATCCTTCCAGAACGGTTACAGCCGCCCTGCATGCGTACACACGCGAGTATCAGACCACTTTGTTTTCGGCATTCTCCCGCTGCTCAAACGCGCAAGATGCAGTTGCGGCACGGCACGGTTCCTCCCAGACGCGTCGAAACTGCCTCCTATGTCATACTGCATGCATAGAAGAAATCAAGATGCAATGAGTTTCAGACTGGCCGTAAAATTTGTAGTGTGGTAGGGTTGTGGTTTGGAAAAGTCTCCGAGGAGATGAGTTGTAGGATGGTAGAGCACAGGGCGGGTCCAGCACCTGTCAAGCTGGATACAGGGCTTGGTGAGCTTTGGGATGGTGTTTGAGAGCTGGGTGGACCCAGGCTTCGGGGAACGGTTCGCGTTTCAGGATGTGTGACGTGCGCAGGTGAACTCGACGTCACGAAGCCGGGACTGCCCGCTATCAAGCGAATACGTAAGAGAGGTAAAGAGGTTCGTTAGGTTTTTGTGTGGAGGGTCGAATAATGTTGGCATATCGAATCCCCACATACCATAGCGAGTAGAACTTCCCTTATCTTACGACACATTTCTTGCCTGCTGACACTTGATGCCACCAGTTGCTTGCTTACTGATGAGTAGACCATTGACCTGTCCATTGCTGATCGATAGAACGAACGGTCATTGACGTGCCAACAAACTAGCTCTGACATTGTAGTCGCGTCAAGTAAGTCGAGGTTGCGTCGTGGTTGCCAAGTCGACTGCAACATCCGAATGAAGGCGCTGATAGTGCGCTTGCCCGCCAAGCTTCGAACAAGTCACTGTGCATGTAAAGTCTTGAAGTGTGTGTATGTCGGGCTGCCTTCACAATGTTGGAATGGTTGCAATGACTATCGTACTTTTCGCAACCCTGGTATGCCTCCTAACCATATTACAACCACAAGACCCAATCCAGACTGAGATGAGCGATTCGAGGTTACTCCTCGTCGTCGTCCTCATCGGCGACTACGGGCACAGCGTCCTTGTCCTCTAGGTCTGTAGGCTTGACTTTGCGGTCTTTCTCAGCGCCAGCAGGCTTCTTGACATCGGCATCCTCATCGCCATCGTCATCATCGCCAGGTTCAACCGCAGCTTCCTCATCCTCGTCTTCCGGCTCAGGCTCTTCTTCATCATCTTCCTCTTCGTCGTCGTCCTTCTTGCGAGTCTGGCGCGCCTTCTTCTTCGGCGCTAACACGCTGCATCAGTAGGGAACGATCACAGCACACGGGTCACTTACGGGGAGCTTCTTCGTCAGAGGCATCCTCGTCGTCAAAGGCGGAGCCAGCTTCCGACTCTTCATATCTACGGACATTGGGGTCAGCCTTGCGCAAGATAGCTGCATATCAGATGGCGCGAACGGAGATGGGAGCAGATGCAATAAGATCAAACAGAATCCAGCATTTCAATGTCAGACCAGACGAAAGCACAAGAGAAGAGACACAGGTCGATCAAGGGTAGGTTAGGATCAGGCCAGCTGACCGCCGTGCGAGGACAAGCGGGCTGCGACAACGAAGCTCGATGGAAGAAAACAAAATCATCAATGCAAAAACACGACAACAGGCGACTGCAACGGGCGCTTTTCCAGGCGTCTGCGACAACGTGGTGCAATGGGATGACGTCAAGAAGGCGCTCACTTACTCCTCTTCCTCGTCAGACTCGTCGCTGGGCAGAGCCTGAAGCTCTTCCTCCTCCTCGGCCTCTTGCTTTCTCTTGCGGGTGGACATTGTGTATGATGGGATGAGTGTTTGATGGGATGGATGGGAGATGATGGAGTGAGGTTGGGCCGGAGGGTGAGCTTCGGGAGGAGGTGGGGACCGGTTGAACGACATCTGGGACCCAGCCACCTTCCAGGCCAGAGCAAGGGGACGCTCGCGAGCTAATTCGAGTACCTGTAACCAGCCAATGGGCGTCGCGGAGAGGCGACCGCGCTGCAGGAACAGGCGATGGCGACGGAATGCGAGCGCTGACGCTGGAGTTCGATGCGCCGACAGGAACTCTGATGGAGACAGGCTGGTAGGCAAAGCTGGAAGCTGTTGCGTCTCCAGCCGGCCCTCACACTTCGCGCCATAGCAAGAGCACTCGTCGGAGCGCAAGAGCCCGCTCACGTTTCTTTTGGGGCTTGTTGGAGAGCCCATCTCCCACGGTTAGCGTGCGTGCTTCCCCCCGGGTCCCGCACGCCCCGCCAAAGCGCGTCAATCGCTGGTACCCCAACCGACTTTCCGACGCCCGAGTCCAAAACTTCTAACACCAGACACGTTCCTTCTCCTGCACAACATACACCCGCGCATGCGACTGCATCTACCTCGACCATGCCAGGCCCCGTAGTGCCCGCGCGGCGCCAGCCCCGCGTGCGCCTTTCCAACTTTCAGCAAGCCAAAACGAGTGCGACACCGCCACCCGTGCAGCCGGCCCAACGTTCCAGATACACTTGTTGCGAATCCCCCGAGATTGGCGAAGATGATGGCAGGACCGTCTGCTTCAACTGCGCTACGGTCCACGACGAAAGCAATATCGTTTCCGAGATCACGTTCGGCGAAACCTCCGGCGGCCGCGCCATGGTTCACGGAGGCACAGTTGGAAACGATCAACGGCATGCGAATAGCATGGGCGGACAAGCTTCGGGGATCAGCGGTGGCGACAGCGGCCAGACCACTGCGGATAGGGGCAAGAGCGCCATCAACAGCATCTGCTCCAAAATCAACCTTCCGTCAGACGGCGTTATCGCCATCAATGCCAAGAAGTGGTATCAACTCGCACTCAACCACAGCTTCGTCCAGGGTCGCGGTATCTTCAAGGTCGCCGCTGCTGCCATCTACCTCGCTTCCCGAAGACACAAAGGGAGCACCGTGCTGCTCATGGACCTAGCCGAGAGCATACAGGTCAATGTCTGGAATCTCGGGACCGTGTACAGGTCATTCTGCCAGGTGCTTATGGCGGATGACTCGTCGGGAGTCAATGGGAATGACGTTCTCGAGATCGAGCCGCTCATGCTGAAGTTCTGCCAGAGGCTCGAGTTCGACCAAGATTCGCACAGAGTGGCTGCCGATGCTTGCCTGATCCTGAAGCGAATGTCAAGAGACTGGATGGTGCAAGGACGCAACCCTGCAGGCTTGTGTGGCGCATGCATTATCCTCGCTGCCCGCATGAACAACTTCCGCCGTACCGTTCGAGAAGTCGTTTACGTCGTCAAGGTCGCCGATACTACCATTAACCAACGTCTCTACGAGTACAGACGCACGCAAAGTTCCCAACTCACCGTAAAGCAATTCCGAGAATATGCACCGCTGTTGAAGACTAAGATTGCTCCTCCTGCAGTCTACTTGCGACATGAGAGGGAACAGAGGGCTGAAGCACGAAAACGAAAAGTATCCGAGCTTGAAACCGGCGAGCCTGAGAATTTTGACGAACTAGATGACACAGTGGAGGATATTCCTGAAGGCGCAACACCGCCGGTACCGAGTCAACCGACCAAGCGCCAGGCGGCTATGATGAAGAAACGTAAATCTAATAGCGGAGAGCCGTTGCCCACCCCAGCGCAAACCCAGAATTCAGATCAGGCGAACGGTGAGGGTACCGAAGACATGGTCGTAGACGTCGATGCTTTGGCCGCTTTGGCCGGAGATGACATTGATGCGGGCCTAGACGCTTTGGCGAGCGCCGAGAATGCGGCCGCGCCAGACGAGGAAGGTATCGTCGTTCCGAAGAAGCGTGGACGCCCGAGGAAGAAGCGCCCTCTAGTAATCGTCCCCGAAGAAGACCTAGAAGTAGAACACGAGCTTGAAGAGGAAATGCTAGAGGCCATGTCGAAGTGGGAAGACATCTTCAAGGAGTTCAAAGAGAACGACAATCACGCTACATTCATCGATAGTCTCGAGAGGGCACGCAAACTCGTCGAACTGCACAAGCCCGACCGCAACGTAAATAGCGAAGAAGAGATTGGCGAAGATGAATTCCAGGGCGACCCAGACGTGGACTTCTGCGAATTATCTTATGAGGAATCTCAAGCCAAGGAGAGGATTTGGCTCATTGAGAATGAGGACTGGCTTCGCCAGCAGCAAGAGAAGATCCTCTTGAAAGCCCTCGAGGAGGCAAGAGGCAACCCGAAGAAGCCCAAGCAGAAGCGGCGAAAGCAACAGATGGGCGATGGTAGCATACTCGATGGCCAACCCGCTGCCAGCGCGCAGGAGGCTGCGAAGAAGATGCTCCAGAAGCGTGCTAAGCACTTCAGTAGTCACATCAACTACGATGTTTTCAAAGATATCATGCCTGGTGCGAGCGATGCCTCATCGGGTACCGCAACGCCCGCGGAGCAAGCAGCGACGCCTGCACCCGAGCAGCCGCCAGAGTCTGCCTACCAGGCTGTGCCGGCTGGTGAGGGTGACGACGGGGCTGAAGAGGAAGAGTACGGGGAGCAGTATGCGGAGGAAGAGGAGGATCTTGAGCACCAGTACCTGAGTGACGAGGATCAAGGCTTTGACGAAAACGAGAACTACGATTACTGAGAGTCGCAAGTGGCCGCGCGCTCGCGTTTTCAGCATGTTTACGACATTTAAGATCGATACAATGGGACGGCGCAAGTGGATGATTTCGGTTCAGCATCACTCGGCGTTATGATCGATCAAATACCCCGGCATACAAAGTAGAATTGGACTTGCTTTGCGCCCGCTTTGCGCGATGTTTTTGACAGGTGCAACTTGTGGACGCATCTATAGTATGGTAGACTAGCATAGCTACGAATAACATCTCGGTCAATTATTCAGTCTCTCGCTAGATACTGCCTTGATTCTTCAAACACAATTTTGACCAACTCCTCATTCGGCTCAGAGTTCTCCACTAGCAAACTGCACCCCCATCTCCCTGACTTTATCTTCCAAGCTGTCCCACCCTTTGCCGCCCTCCTTGATCCACTTCAAAATCTCCTCCGCACGCTCAGATGGCGGCTCGCACTTGTCGTCTACCTGGCCTTGCAAACCAGCCGGAAAGGTCCTGTCGGGGTATTCTTTGCGAAAGACGGCAAGGAGCTTATTGAAGTCCCAGCGCTCGGCGAAGCCGAAGATGCGTTCCCCAGAGATGGAAGGGTTGAGGAGGGCAGCAACGTGTAATAAGGCGCAGTCCTGTGTGGAGATGAAAAACTGCGGTCCTATCACTTTGGAGACGTGCTCGAAGTTCTCGCCTGTCCAGGCACTCCTTGCCCACGCGACGGTGGAAGGCGCGCCTTGTTTCGAGGGGGCGAGGACGCGGCTGAAGTTGCAGTTAGGCAGCTGTGCACCCTTTAGCTTCTTAGTCATTCATCGCAGAGTAGCAAGCTTACAATACTGTTGAAGATGAAACCAGGCTTTTTCTCCTCCATGAACTTCCAGCACGCTTTCTCACTCTCGGCCTTTAGCGCTGCGTAGATGTACAACCCCTTAAGACTCTCGGGCTCGTCGGCGGGGTGGTTCCAGCCTTTGACGATACCTTCTTCATTCCAGGACGACTGGTCGAGGACCTTCTCTTTGTCGTAGGTCGGGAAGGTGGAGGCTATGGAGGACGATGTGTATACCACACGCGTAATGCTGGGCGTTTTTGCGGCGGCGGAGAGTGCGTTTAGGGCGGAGCGGATGCCAATCGGGATGGTGGATTGAGGGTCGGGGCCATTGAGCGGGGAGGCGACGTGGATGATACCGGATGTTCCTACCAACGTGACTAGTCAGACTATGGCGACAGGGGGTAGCTGGGCGAGGGGTAAGGGGTGAGTGGTGAGGTAAGTTGGAAGTTGAGTACCCTTAACAACGTCGTCATAGCATCCCTCGACTGTCATATCTGGCACGGATACGAGTTCAAGCTTCACGTCTTGCTTTCCGTTGAAGTAGTCGAGGAGCCACTTGCTCTTCTCCACGTCGCGCACTGCGCCACGGACGTTATATCCTTTTTTTAGAAGCACATCGACAATGTAGCTTCCGATAAGGCCGTTTACACCGGTCACAAAGATGGTAGAGCCGGGCTGGATGGTAACTTCTGACATGGTGAAAGGTGGTAAGAGGGGAAGCTGCTGAAGTAAGCAGGAAAGGGGTTAGGAAGGAGTCGTCGCGAATTTGTGCGAAAAATTGGTGGATGCCGTGGGATAATACTTGAAACTGAACAGTAGACGGGGGAAGCGGTTGAAGGTTGTGGGGCTGAGGTGGAAGGGTTGAAACAGAAGGGATGGAGGGGCTTTAAGGATGAGAGGAGCTCAGCTAGGCGGGTTTGGGATGGAGGGCTAATATTATTGGGCACCTACACTAGTGCAGGTATTCTAAGGCATGCTGCATGCACAAATCGCAGCTTACGACCCGTGTTCGGACTAATACCGATAGAAGTCGTCTTCTGTGGGCCGAGATGAATGTGCGCAGTAGATGAGCATGATAGTAGTTGTTGCGCTGGTGCTTAGCCGTTCCGTATTAGCATGTTCTTTGCGTCTAAAGTCGACCGAAAATTGGTATTGCGCAAAAACATTACACCATTTGTTATGTTCTAACAGTTAATCGAGTGTGTGCTTCCATTAAGGCGCGGCGTGGGCTGTACACTGTCGTCTACCTCAAGCCTCCACTACGTTAGATCCTTCTCGATTGACGAAGTCCCAAAAAGAGAAGACATTCAGTCGCTCCTTCCATACTTTGCAGGTACTCCTTAAGCTTCCCGCCGTGGGACCAGCGCACTTCAGCCGGCTCATTGGGCAAAAAAATGGGTTGTTCCCAGAGTCCGAATAGCTATGCCGAATCTCTTCCCGGGCGGCCTTGTTGCCCATTGCACCGATGTTGTAGACCACCTAATATGCCGGAAATCAACACAGAAAGCGAAGGCCTATTTGATAGATTGCAGAATACGGACGTGTCTCAAAGCAAGCGAACGTAACCATAGCCGAACTTACGCTAGCCTTCGGGGCCACATGCGCTTCTAAACTGAGTGCATTGAACAAATCACGAACAATAAAATCCTGCGACAAGACCCGTATGGGGCCAAGGTAATCAGCAAGAGCCTACACTTCAGCGCTGCAGCAGATTTTGTGGTGGTGGCCGAGATCATCCATGCTGCTATACTATTCGGTCTTCTCGTAGTTTACGAGTGTTTGGAACTTGTCTGAAGCGGTGCCCTGAATAAGTAGCTGGTCAATTATACCTTGACGGCCTTGGTGTCTGCTGCGAAACTATCTGAATTGGCGGAAGAATAACCATGACTTTTTCTTTCTCGAGCGTGCTTTTGCTTGGTTGTGGATATTGCTTTGATTTCCACATCATGAGCACGTATACTTTATGGACTTTAGTAGATTGCATTGTCTAGAATGACAATTTAAGAAGCGCGTGAGAGCGCCTTTCATAGTTCTCGTGATCTTATTCAGTCATTCTCTCAACAGCTAAATGTGGAACATCACATACCGTTGGGTTTATGGCAAGTTACCAGTGTTAAATTCAGCCATAGCGGATACTAGGCTTCTAAAAGTTGGGTTTAGATACTCGTTGGGGAATGCGGAGTTGTAGACTGCCACGGGCTGCTGGGCTTGGTAGAGGTTGCGGGACACAGTGAATTACCAACGGTAGGATTCGTAGTGATTGTGAAGCAATCGACATTTAGACTAGCCAAGTCGAACATGTCTCCTATTGAGACTGGCTTGATTTCCATAAGGTCGAGTTCGTTGTCCATCTTCGTAATGTCTGCCCAGGTGACTCTAAACCTGATACAGAGAGCATAGTCAATCATGTATTCGAGAGCTAAATCAGCGACTATATTTCGCTATGAGACATGTTGTCGCGCTAAGAACAAAAGGGACCAAAGAACATCGCACGAGGGATATTGGAATAGCAACTCCGCCAGGCATGTTCTTGTTTGTTTACGGTTGTTTCGCGAGGAGCTACCCAACATAGTTGTTGGGCAATTACCGTAGTGTGCCGACTGGATGCGAACTTTCGCCGACGAGGATCTTGGAATATTTGCGTCTTCTTATGCTGCTATTTATGGCGTTCTTATTGGTCATGAACCGTACATCCGCGCATCAGGTGTGCTGATACTAAGGGTCGTGCACATGTGAGAAGCGACAACCTGGAAGTCGTCGAAGCCCTCACGAGGCTTCGGCAACACGCCTCGCTTTGCAAACATACGTTCTTGAAGTGTGCTAATACCAGGATATGTTTTTCGAATAGCAAGGTAAGCTCGTGCATGCCATTAGCGGCGCACGAGCTGTATGCGTTCGTGGAGCCTTCTCATATTGACTCTTGGGGTGACGTATCATCTGGAAGATGGACTAAATCGAATTTATTCAGTATGAACGAGTCGCATGCATAACGAAGCATGGATTCTTGCGTCCCCAACGCAATCTATGGGAATGTGCACATTACATAATCATCACGCATGACATAAGCAACACCGTCCAAGCTCCGAAAGTTTCTCGACTATCACCAGCATCATCACGATCATTGCATCCAACTTTACCGTCCCCAACCTTGTTAAACAATTCACAACCAGGTCCGCATCGCCCCCTTCTCTCGCGCAATCTCCAACCGCTAACGCGCCCACCCAGCCTTAATCATGCCTCCCAAAGCCTCCAACGGTCGCAAGCTCGGCGCCTCAGAGCCCAACTTTGCAGTCGGCGCGTACCAGACGCTCATGAGCAGCGATAACAGGAGCGTTGTTACTGCTATTGGGATGTTCGCTGTAAGACCCCCCAACTTAAAGGAGGAGTCGAGGAAGAAGCGGCGAAGGCCAGAGATGGAGATGAGGAAGGATCAGCTAACGGGAGATATAGATCGGTGTGACATTCTTGCATAGCAGCTGGGCGGAGATTCTGTTGCCTGCGTAGATCAAGCAATGAGGGCAGTGGGTGGAAACGAACCGTAGCGATACAGTCGATAACCGGACTTTCGCACGCGATACGTGTAGATACGTCAGGGACAGAGTTTGAGGAGGCATGTGCATCGGATATGGCGTTTGGGAATGTGTGCAACCACCGCTGAAGGAATATACATAATGCTTCGATTCGGGGGGGCGATTCTGAACGACCGCTTGTACAATATATGTATCACAAGAATATGAGCCGTGTGAAGCTACACGGTTCAGAGCCATTGTTGAGTTTAGATGTTGCGCTACATTACCGGTCCACGGGTTTGATGCGGAGTCGTGGTGTCGCGAATTGTGCGTACTCAAATATGTTTCCCTCCAGGTTCGTGTCAAGTTGCAAATCACTCAGTCACCCAGGGCACACAGATTATATGGTAAACTACTCTCTCATATCATTCTAGATCTGCTAGATCTACCCCTGGGTATATAACGTTCACTACTCTCAGGTGATGCGCTGCCGACCCCTCCCCTCGCGCAATAAAACTGCCCTTAATATCAAAGTCAAATTCCGAAAAGATGCACAAGAAACGAAGCCAACAACTACAAGACGCATGGCATATGGTACAAGATCATAAAGTCATAAATAGAGCGGGTGAAGCTCTATAGCTTGGGACTTGGGCTTGCGGGCGACGGTGCAGAATATAAGGCCGTTGGGGTCGGATTGGGGCGCGAAGACGGTGGCATCTTTGCCGGTGTTCTTGAGGCCCTTGTACCAGCTGAGGTCTGTTGGGTTTCTTAGCAAGATGTTCATGCAGATGCAGGGTGATAGAACATACCAATCTCAAAATAGTGCTTGTTCGGCAGGACATAGTCGACCTCCTCAACCAACGGTACATCAGCGAGAATCTGCTCGCCCATCTTGTACATGGTCGCCTGCACGCTCGCGCTATCGTCCTCGGCGAAGATCTTCAGCGTGATGTCCCTGGCTCTCTGCCACGCGCCGTTGAAGTCCACGTCCTTGACCTCGTTCACATTCTGGAACGTTTTCCACTTCCACCCCGCTTCAATCTCGGTGCTGAGAATGCGGTCCCAAGTCTCCGGCAGCCTCGTGAATTCGTCACGATGGAAGCCATAGAAGGCAGACCCGGTGCTCTTGAGCACGAGCAGCTTCTCGATCTTCGACTTGATCTCTACGCCCTGGTTCTCACGCGTGACGGACTCGACGACGCGGATCTCCTCGCCATCACGGAAGAACGAGTGCGGGTGCGGCTTGCCGTCGATGGTCATGCGCGTCCAGCGGTGCTGGACGATCTTGACGTGGGCGGCGTGAATGTGCGGGTAGGTCTTGACGAAGTGATCGCCGAGAGTCGCAGCGAATTGCTCGGGCGGGTCAATGGCGTGCTGCTTTGCAAGGACGTAGATGGTTTGCTTCTGGGTGTCTGTGGCGACGACGGGGCCATTGTCTGCTTTGGTGTAGCTGTTGGGGTTAGTGATGTATGTCAGAGGAAGGAGAAAAGGTACATACGCGGTCTCAATTTCGCCCTCCAAGAGAGTGCAAACAGTCTGCTCAATGACGGTGTGGACGCCGGTCTTTTCGTTCTTATCTACCTTGTACAAACGGACGTTGTCCTTGCCATACTTCGCGTAGCTGAGTTGAGACATGCTGAATGGTTTTGATAGACACAGGTCGCGTCAAGATGTGAAGAGTTCTGAGAAGTAAAGGTTCCACGGGAGTTGTCACAGAGTCCAGAGGCAAAGAAAGTGAAGCTTGGTCGATGATGAGGGGAGCTATGTGAGAGCTATGCAATAGATATACTCTAAAAACAAACCCTTATCAGAACGACTTGCCGAGCGGAAATCGCCGAACCGGACGCGGCAGCGTGCGGTAGCGTGGCAGACTATGCAATGCACAATTAGATCGCGTGAGACGTTAGGGAGAGCAGAAAATGGCGGCCATTGCTCTCAAACGTTTCGAGGAGCCCGGCGAGGTCCGACGATGGAGCAGGGCTAGCTCCGCAGAGGAAGCTTCCCATTGGTCGGAGTCAATGCGCACGTGACACCGGCCTGGCCATCCGCGGGGTTCAGCGAAAGATGGATATGCGTGATGGATGGCGAGCGACTGAACGTACTTGACGCGCAGTGGAGCTGTAGTAGTAATAGCGTAGTAAGCTGTTGCTCCTGGGATGCTGCAAGTGCCTCCGCGGCGGCTTGGTGGCAGGAGGGTATTCTAGAGCCGAATATGCAGCACGGGCCGTTATTGTTGGCACTGGCGTTCCAGATGGATACTGCAACGTCCCTGAACGCTTGGGAATCCTGTGCAGGACGCGATTCACCACCACGATCATTCACTCTGCCGAACTGTCATTATCCGCTCTGACTACAACGCTCTACGCATCACGCGGCCGCGCCCATTCCGCTCTCTTACTCCGCCGCAACCCCGCTCGTCGTTTAGCCTGCCCCGTCCACTGCGTATGATATCTGCGCGCAACAGCTCATGAGGCAAGAGGAGGTGTCTGTTTGTATATCGACATGCGATGCGGTTGGGAGGCGTATGGTTAAGGCCCGCTCATGACGCCACCCGCGCGCTCCGCCAACGCCCAGGCCGACGGCGATCAGGGCCCTCTGCTTGCGCCCGCGCGAAGTAGAGATGGCCGTTCACTGCCCGCACCCGCCAGCAGCATGATGGCCGGGTCGCGAGCGCAAGCTTCTTACGCGACGGCTAGGGAGGCTCCTGGGAGCTTCAGTTCGCAGCTACGGCCAACTACATCGCACGATGGCCGGCTGAAGCCCGACTTTGACACTCACGCCATCATTGTGGGCGACATCAATGATACGACTACCGAGCAGCGGCAGGCCGAGTATCAGGATCAGATCGAGAAAGAAACCAAGATCAAGATAGGGTCTGAGAACCTCTTGGAGGCTCTGAATGCCAAAAATGCGAAGAACACCAGAGACCAGAGGTTGCAGGTGGAGGAGCAGCTGAACATATCGAACAGGAAGCTCGCGCAGCTAAAGTCTGGATTGGCGGCCGAAATACAAAGAGCCAAAGAGATTAAGTCCCCACCCGCCGAGGCCCAGAGCAGGCTCTCTTATTTATTCCGTCGTAATCTCTCCCGGTCACCGTCGCGACATATTACAAAAAAGGATAACGATGAGGATGACGAGACGGAGTCGCCAACATTTGTGCTTGCTGAGATACTGCGGGCTTTGGAGGTTGCTGGGATGCAGCCTGAGTACTACGTGGAAAGAGCGAACTCACTAGTGGACCTCTTCAAAAGACATTCTACGCTCAAATACGAACTGGCATGGTCGATCTTTGGCTTGAGAATGCAGACTATGTTGCTCAGCGACAGCCGTGAGGTGGTCGCTGCTGCGTACCGTATCATGCGCTATACGTTCACTGATCGCAAGTCTCTGCAGATCATCCGAGGCCTACACACCGACTATCTAGTCATCCTATCACTGGTCAAGGAAAGCAAGGCTAGTGTTGAAAGAGAGCAAGCACTCAAATTTGTCCGTGCCTTTCTGGACGTGAAAGGAGGAGTGGAAGAGATCTCACGTTCCGTCGTCCGAATATTGGTGGCTGTCGCTGAGCACACCGACGATCGGTTGAGGAACATCGCCATCCTTACCTTGGCCGAAATACTAGTGAAGAAGCCAGCCCTTCTGGTCGATTCTGGTGGAATGGGAACTTTGACGGACGCTCTTGGAGAAGGCAGTTACTACGCCGCGGAGAGTGTAGGGAGCGCTTTCGTGTATCTGCTGGATACCCCGCAGAGACGCCACTTCCTTCGCTCCGGACACGAGCTCGAGGCACCCTTTGCCATGTTCACGGATGCTGGGACTGCGCATAGCCACCTCCACGAAGAGAAGCTAAAGGCGAACGCCAAAGTCATTGCCTCCTTGCTACGGAGCTGGTCTGGCTTTCTATCCCTCTGCATGGATGATTTTCTCGCTATTCGATCGTTGCTCATATCGCTAGAAATTCCCACAGTCCATGTGCGCAATGTCTTATTGGAACTATTGTTCGATATACTAAGAATTAAACCTCCTTCATGGTCGACATCCTTCCTCGCTGGCCGTCGCTTGACCACCTACGGGCGTGTCACGAATCTGAGGAACCAAGCTATCCAGGACGATTCTGGCCCCAGCACGGACCCTACAAATAAGTGGAATCTTCTAGAGCATTATGTCGCCATGGTGTTGGCTGCATTTCTACATGCTGGTCTAATCCCAGCACTTCTCAAAGCTGAGGAAGATCCTTTGAGTCTTCCCCTGAAACGAAAGACAACACTCCTCCTTGGCGAGGTGCTGAAGATGGCCAACGAGCTCCTGCCACCATCATGGAGTTCGGAGCTGCAAGTGCTTCCGCAGCTCCTTCGGTCTGCTGCAAATTTTGACACCGAGGCCCGCTTTGTTGCAATCGGTACCATCTACCAAGTCGACAGTGTCAATAGAACTTTATATCGGTCAGGAACAGCATCAAATCAACCGACCAAAGGCATCAGCAAAGGTGACAGCGCCGCATCTGCAAGGCAGACCGATCAGTCCAAAGCTCAGGCCGCGATGCAGATGGACGAAACAACGTTCCGAGCCATGATGGTGGACACGCAAGTTCTAGGCACTGTCACATTTCAGAAGTGGAGATGGGACTTGATTCAGACCATCATCGACGGACCGCTACTCAACGCTAAGCGTTTAGATGAGGCCACGAAGGTGACGAAATTTGTTCATCGCTTGCTCGGTTTCTATCGTCCGTTCAAGTACCGATTCTCAGAAGTCAAGAACACAAAGCCGAACCAGCGATATGTTCGTGCCGGATGCGCCCTGATGCGAACACTATTGCAAAACCCCGAAGGCGTACGATATCTGAGCGACAGCAAGTTCATCCGGCAGCTTGCGGAATGCCTGTCTCATTTTGACAGGATGAGCGGGTTGACATCTGAATCTCCTATGTTCCAAGAGGACCGGATGAACGAAACCCTCACTGGTGGCTACTTCGCGCTTCTCGGTGCGCTAACCAAAGATTCCAAGGGTATCCAGATTCTCGAACGCTGGAGAGTCCTGAATATGTTCTACCACATCATAGAGCTGAACGACCGTGACGACCTGATCAAAACCTTGCTGAGCAACATGGACTACACCTTGGATGGACATCTACGCATCATCATCTCCAAAGCCATGACGTCCTGCTCCAAGGAAGTCCGCATCTTCGCGACTAGACTTTTACGAAAGTACGCCACAAGACCCATACAGCCGACGGATTCGTCAAGTGTTGCGGAATGGGCCATCAAATCGTTGGTGACGCAGCTGTACGACCCCGACGTTGAAGTGTGCGAGGTTGCCATCAAAATATTAGAAGAAGCATGCAACCAAACAGAGTCTTTAGAATACGTCGTGAAGTGTCGCCCAGCGTTGGATCACCTAGGTGAAATCGGCGCGCCCCTATTGCTCCGATTCCTCTCCACTTCGGTTGGCTACCACTATCTGGACGGATTGAACTACATCACCGGGGAAATGGATGACTGGTTCCTAGGGAGGAATGACACCTACGTGGCATTGATCGAAGCATCCATGGCTCGGGCGCTTGCTGACATTCCCGAGAAACCTCAGACTCAGCTGTCCTACGACGACACACCTGAACACCCGGAGTATGGCATCGTGCCACCCCACTTTTACCGTGAACTCACGCGGACTAAAGAAGGATGTAAGCTACTGAAGCAAAAAGGTCATTTCGACGAGTTCGTCGCCAACATCCGCGACTATGCGATGGAGAAGGACGATGCTGAACTGATACTCAAAGTCAAAGGCTGCTTATGGGCGGTCGGCAATGTTGGCTCCATGGAGCTCGGCGCGCCCTTTCTTGAGAGCTCAGACATTGTGAAATGGATTGTAAAGATTGCAGAAATGTCCGAGGTCATGTCTCTGAGAGGCACAGCCTTCTACGTGCTCGGACTAATCTCCAGGAGCCTTCACGGGCAGGAAATACTACTGGAGTACGGCTGGGATGGTGTCGTCAACGAAGCCGGTGAAGCCCTGGGGTTCTGTCTACCCCTGGATTTCAGGAAATTGTTCTTGGTATGTCTTCCCTCGTATGCTTCGTCCACAACAACCGCTTACATCAGTAGATGACGCCATGGAAAGCCAAGTCGGACTACATGAGCTGGAAGCGCAAGGCGGATGTAAAGGTTGCTGTGACCGACAGTGATCCTTTGAACGCGCGCATTCTAAAGCTTGCGACCGACCTAGGTAATACAGTGCTAGCCAAGAAAGCAGCAAATGACCTCCAGGCGTACGTAATCTTCCCAGCAGGTATCCGAGGGTCACGCACTAACATGATGACAGGATCAAAGCAAAGAAGGCGCCTGGCTTCACGAAGCCAGCCATCTTCCACAAGGTCATGCAAATCCTTGAAGCACACCATTTCCGACTCCCGGCATGCCGCTTTGTGCTAGATCTGTTCGACAAGTCTGTGCTGCCACAGATAGTTCTAGAGGAGGAGGAGGAGGAAGACGAGAGCGAAGGGAGCACGGACTCGGATTCGGGAGCAGAAGCCGCGGGCGCGAACGGCGTAGGCCAAATTCCATGAAGCTGTGATACCGGGAAAGGTACCACGAAAGCTTTGTTTACACAAACGAAGGGTGGATCCTTGGCGGCGTTCGGGACTGTAACAAGTGTGTTCTTTGTACACTATTTTGCTAGGGTTAAGGGTGGGGGGGCTGGTTTTGCAACGGTCTTTTGGTGCTCCGTTGTTAGTCTGGACGGCGGCGAAAGGCCAAACCTTTTGGGCATCATTTAGCGAGCAGTGATTTTGCGACAACCCGAATCGAACGTGTCCACGGCAAGCCTTCTTGTTCCGTATTGACACTACCTTGATCCTTGGTACGAGTTGGTCCTCTTCGAGGAGTGGCGAGACCACGGTGTACTAGTCGGCAGCGTTCCAGAGCAGGACACACGACTTGACCGCACCAAAGCAGTATGGTGGTTACCAGCGGGACCAGTGGTGGTGTCAGGGTCTTGCGGAAAGGGTGGGAGGCTCAAGTGCCACATGTGGGATGACAGAACAGTTGCTGGCAGAGGCTAGTGCCGAGCGCTGATTGGACAGGATCTCGTTTGACTCGACGGCATCGATGACGCCTGCACAGCTGCATGCGCATTTCAACGCGTACACGGCATCAGCGAAGCGCAGGAATGGTGGCGGTGTGGTCGCATAGTGAGCGACGACGGTTGACCTGCGCGGGCCTACGTGCTGCACTGGCTGCTCCGGCTGCTCGAGGGGATGCTCCGCAGAATGGGACTGGCTTGGCGCTCCCGGGGGTGCCTGTTCGTATGCAGGAAGCCCACGAGAAGGCCCTCGGCGCTGGAATTCGGCCAGCGCCACCAGCGCGGCGGCCCCCGGCATTCGGGCTGTCCGGCGGGGCGCAGAGTCCGCCAGAAGCACGCAGACGAGCACAAAGTTTTCCTGATGCTGTTCGAGGGCCGTGCAGATTTTGATAGACGAGCAGCCGGCAGCACGGGGCTAGCGGTGGCCGATGAAGGCCCACGCGTCGATAGGCGCGGATGGATAGAGGCGCTCTGATCGGGACCAGGGTCTGTCGCCCTCCAGGTCAACATGGCGCACGAACGACATCGCCGATCTCACCCCGGCGACGTATCATGCATTCTGCCTCGTGCGGAAACATGGCCAGTACACGCCTGCTGATGTTGATGACCTCGACGACTCGCCGACCGGAGAGCGGTCGTACATACGCTCCTTGACTCGCCTTCTATCCCAAGCAACGATACCTGTGGTCCTGCGCACTCCATATACGGCCGCACCTTCCAAGGTTGACTTCGTCCCTCGTGCTGCACCTATTAGGCCATCCTTGCGTCTGCTGCTGACGGAAGCTTGACCTGTGACCTTCACCACCACCACGGTTCCGCACCATCGCGCCGTTTCAGACAACCACCGCGGGTTGGGCTTTCAGGCTCCTCTGTTGCACGCCAAAACGTCCTCTCCATCCGCTCGGTGCGCTCCTACCTCGAAACCCCACCATCTACCCCGCGAAGCGTTCCTTTCTGCCCACGTACACGAATAGCAGGTGCAGCTGGGAACTGCACAGGCGAACGGGCAAAGGAGGAATCGAGCCGCGACACCTGCTGTATGAATTCGCAACGCCGGAAAGAATTCTGCCTCCCCCGCGACGGAGACAGGACCTCACACCCACAAATACCCCCACAAGCCTTGATGGTAGAGGATGTTGCCCCGCAGGAATACTCGGAGAAGGGTGCCCTAGCGGCACACGCCGACGCCCGGGAGCTCGTCCGCCTGGTCCAATGCCCGCAGTGCTCGAAGCCTTTCAACGCTCCCGTGACGCTGCCATGCGGTCACACCGCCTGCCGTAGCTGTCTCCCCAACCCCGTCGCCCGCACCAACATCTCCTATCCGAATACCCCAGACCGACTCCTCGGCATATCCTGTCCACTGGCATCATGCGGGGCCGAACATGCAGCGGCCGAATGCAGCGTGGATGTGACTTTGACGAAGCTCATGGAGCTCATAAAGAATGAGGTTGCCAAGCACTTGCCATTGGTGGCAGATATGCCTATACACCTGCAAGAGATTCTGAAGTGGGATGGCGACGTAGCAATGGAAGAGAATGAAAAGACGGAAGCGAAAGGAAATTCGAGAGTGTTGCAAGGTGGCCGACTGGTCTCCACTTTCGTCATGGCCGAGATGGGTGACCTGCGGTATAGTTCCGAGGTCGAATACAAGACGCTCTCTGATGCCCACGATGACCAAGACTTGAATAATGCATTGCTGGAGCGGCTGCGAGACGCTGCGCAGAAAGAGCTCGATTGTCACGTGTGTTATAACATGATGCTGGATCCGACGACGACATCGTGTGGTCACACGTTCTGCCGCCGCTGCCTTGTCCGTGTCATGGACCACAGCAGCATATGCCCTGTGTGCCGACGAGGATTGCACATCCCAGCCTCGCTGCAGAACAAACCTAGCAATACTCTGCTCAATGCACTCCTGAATGGCCTCTGCCCCGAGCTAGTCGAGGCCCGACACAGGGCCGTTGAGGCGGAAGAGCAAGGTGGTGATGATGACCTCAACACTCCGCTCTTCGTCTGCACGTTATCGCTCCCGACCATGCCTACGTTCCTCCACGTCTTCGAACCTCGATACCGTCTGATGATGCGTCGTTGCGTCGAAGGTAACAGACAATTTGGCATGGTCATGTACAACCGCAACTCTGCTCCACAGGGTGACATGGGTTCTACACAGTTTCTCGAATATGGCACTCTCCTCGAGATCGTCAATTTGGAGCTACTGCGTGACGGACGTAGCTTCGTGGAAACGCGAGGTATCGGCCGCTTCAAGATTCGCAGGCACGGTATGCTTGACGGATACCACGTGGCTCGGGTCGAGCGAGTAGAGGATCTTTCTCTGGCCGAAGAGGGACTTCTGGAGCAAAGTGAGACTACTGTCGCAAACGAGTTTGCGCAGCGATATCAGCAGGACAACCCGGATATGCCGCTTCCTTTGGATGTCGCTATCAACCGGTTCTCTACCCAGGAGCTGCTGGACAACTGCATGACTTTTATCCGCCAGATGCGAGACGCTAGTGCCCCCTGGCTGAGCGCGCGCATTGTCCAAGTGTACGGCGAGCCACCCGAAGACCCAGCTCTTTTCCCCTACTGGTTTGCATCCGTCGTTCCCATTGCCGAAGAAGAGAAGTACTCATTGCTGCGGACGACGCGTGTCCGCGAGCGCCTAAAGATTGTGTATTCGTGGATTAGGAGAATACGGGGTCAGAGATGGTAAGTACTTGCCCCCGAAATTCAACATCAGCTCGCTTTGAACATGCAAATTGCGTCATCAAGAGCTACAAGAGGAAAAGACGGGGCGGCTAGGTGATACAACATGTGTTGTACAATCTTGCAGCGCCGACATTCTGCAGATGAAGCACCGTTAAACACCTCGCATTAGCCGCCCAGGCTAGCCTCAACCGACCAGTCTATCCCGTATCTTTCCAATTGGACTCTCAAACTAACAATATCTTACCAGGCCCTCTGGCAGCGCATGCAATATTCTTTGACTAGCTGTATTCCCCGTTATCCTCGCCGTTGCAATCGCGCACCTCACGGGTTCGCGGTCCAGCAACGCATAGAATGCTGTAGCCAAACTAAGCATTCCGCTACCATTCTGTCGGCTGTAAAATCAGTTTAACCGCGTCAGCGAGCAGATGCATTTAGGGGAGTCTCTTTACACCTACCTTCTATTCGTCGACACCATCCGGTGTTTTAAGAGTTTTCGGCATTGCGATTTTACATTTCTAGTGTTTTTGGATTTCGGAAAGGAAAAGACCATATATGATTACCCCCTCTCAGGAGGACGAACGCTGCCAGGCGTGTCCCTGTTTTGTGCGCGATCCAGTTGCTAGACTGGCGCTTTTCCTTGATGAAGAATAGTGGTGGATGACAGGGTTGAAAAAGACCTTCGTTGGATTGGCATGGGTTCTGCATGAGTGGAGTTGTATCGGAGTTTGCATGCCGGGTTAGCTGCATCAAATGCATATAGCAAAGACCTAGAGAGCTTGCTCTAGTCCAGTTGAGAATCGAGGACATGATTGAAGTCAAAGCTGGCCGTACATGCTATATCGCCAACGTTCATGGCAGTATCTACACACAGGTTTGTATGGTTATGGTTATAGTTTTTGATTTTGTTAACTAGAGACTACTTGATCTCGTTGGTCATGAGTAGCCTGAGCAATCGCTTAAAGTAGTTGCACCGTTACCTTGATCCAGCAGGCCGACAAGACGCCCTCACTCCTTACACACCATTTCAAACTGTCAAGGACCCTGGCCTACGCAACTGACTTGGACCTTTAGCCATCATGCTACATACGCCCAACCCTGCTTAGCGGCCCCTACAGACCCTGGTGATGTCGCAATCGCGTAGTACGCACGCTACTGTCTTCGAAGATCAACATCACACATATCTACATGCCCTTTCCCCGCTTACCTGTTCTATCCCCCGTCAATTTTCTATAATCTTTAAACAGTAAAACCCCAACCCTTAGACATATCCATCTAGCATATACCTACCTGAAATGTCCCAAATCCACCCCCAAGCGACCCGCGGCTTCCACGCCGCCAACCTCTACGACGCTCATCGCCCGTCCTACCCCTCCCACGCCATCTCCTCCCTCCTCTCGCGCATCCGCGTCGCCGGCGTCCGCGGCGCACGGCTCGTCGAGCTAGGTGCTGGAACGGGGAAATTTACTTCCCTGCTTTCTGCACGGCCTGAAAGGTATGAGATCGTAGCTGGTGAGCCGCATGAGGAGATGCGTGGGGTGTTAGAGGGGAAGTCGTTGAGGGGTGTGAAGGTTATAGGTGATAGAGCAGAGAGCTTAGAGAGTGTAGACAGGGATTGGGCGGAGGGTATCGTGATTGCGCAGGTATGTTTTGATTATAAGTGAAGATTCAGAGAGGAGGGAGCTGATGGGTTTAGGCGTTTCATTGGTATATAAAATCGAATTGCTGGAGTGTCGGACGCAGTTGATGAGGGTAGGTTCGCGACAGTTGAGACGCTGGAAGAGATTCGAAGAGTGCTGCAGCCTAATGCTGGCGGGTTGGGTATGATTTGGAATTTGGATGATTGTGTGTTTGGACTTCCCTATAATTTACCATGGATGACTTGAGCTGAGAGTTGCACAGTCAACGCACCCATCGACCATACGCCTACAACGCCTTACGAAGCGCGGCTTAAAGCCATCATACGGAGTCTGCCTAACCCTATCAATCTGTACCGCGAGCTGAAGTGGAAAGATGTGCTTCGCCCAGAGCAACAGCAGCTCTTTGAATGGCCGCTGAAAGAGGAAGAGTTGTCCAACGAGACAGCGCTGTCGAGAGAAAGTATCTGGGAGAGGTTTGCTACGATGTCGCAGGTCTCGAGTTTGAAGGGGATAGAGACACAGGTATGGGATGTTTCTGGGAGATGAGGATGTACTGACCATGATAGGCGATGAAAAATCAGGTTTACGAAGCTTTGAGTGGGGACGATGTTGAGGAAGATGCGCAAGGGAACATCAAATGGCATGGTAGAGTACGTGCTTATCACCAACATATTTTCGGCCTCAATGCATGCACTGATTGTTGTAGACTGTCTGGTACTGGACATTTCCCATCGCCGAACGGTGAGACATTTGTTGGCGGTGTTGGCGGTCTTTGCGCAGTGTGACCTTCGGACATGTTAAGGTCTAGGTGATTGCGTCAAGAGATCGACGCCTGCATGATAAGCGAGAAAATGCGAAGTGCAGACCCTCCTTGGGCCATACCTTCCAAATCCGAGCTCTAATGTATGCAGTCAGCATTAAGGCGAAACTGGAAAGGCTACAGTCTTTCACTATCATGGTATTGAATCTTCGGGTACAGGTTTAAGCTGTGATAGAGCATTCTTATCACGATTGTTAGCAAATTGTTTATTGCATCTTCATGTAATTGCACAGTTCACATTGAGCTATGTAGGAAGCTGAAAGCAGAGCCTTGCAACCAGTCGCCAAATGATACCAACCAACCGCCACCAACAAGAGCTGTGACTCTCAGTATGTTATTCAAGCCGAGAAGGTCCGCTATGGGTTTGATGGAGCCCACTGGTGTGCCATTGCAAGCATATTTAATGGGTTCTCTTCATCTCTTACACTCTTTCAATATAGGACACACAAATACAACAGACCATGACATACGCAACAGCACAATTTTTCGCGGGCACTAAAGATCGTAAACCCGCTTTCCTAGACTACGCAACAGGCGAGTCGAATCTTCTCCCCGCCACGAAGCAAAAAATTCCACTCAATGATATCCGCACACTCAACCCACAACCCACCCTCCTATCCCAGGGTTTCCAACTTGCAGCCTTCCCTTCCACCATCACGGAACAAGCCTTTCTCCCCAATACCCAAGCAGGCCCCTCCACCCTGAACGAGATAACAACATACTACCACGAGTGTGAATCCCTCGTGGCCAACTTGACCGGTGCCACCACTGTCCACGCCTTCCACCACCGCTATCGCCAGCAGAAGAACCCTCCAGCACTCGACGCCGAGAAAATAAAAACATACCCCACGACCCCAGTCCCAGATATCCACATCGACAACGACTCCACCACCGCTCATGCGCACCTCACCCGTATCCTGCCCCCCTTGGAAGCCTCGCACTGGGAATCACGCCACTGGGCCATCATAAACGTCTGGAGCCCCCTCGCGCAAGTCCACCAAATGCCTCTCGCAGTTCTCGATCCCAGCTCTACACCGATCCATGCGACAAGTCTCGCGGAGCCGGTGTACACGAGGGGGAATTATAAAAGCCACATCAGGGGGGTGAGATGGCATCCTGAGTACAAGTTTTATTATGCGAGTGCGATGGGGAAGGGGGAGGCATTGTTGTTTGTTGATTATGACAGCGAGAGGAGATGGAGGTTGGGTGGGGTGGCGCATGGCGCAGTGCAAGAAGTAAAGACGGAGAGTAAAGTAGATGTGCCGCTGAGGAGGAGTTTGGAGGTTAGGTGTCTGGTGTTGTATGACTAAGACGGAGGATACACTGTGTAGACGGTGATGGGGGTGAATATGACAAGAACGAACGAACACCAGAGTAACACTGGGGAGATAAAACTGGGGTTTATAACAACGGGTCATCGAGCATTATTGGGTCAGGCTCGGCGTTGAGTGATGGGGGAGACGGTGGTTCGATCCCACCCGCGTTCGGATTTTTTTTGGTTTCTCACTGTATGTACAACAAAGTTTTTAGAGAAGCACTTTTTCTATGAGTATTTTCGAGCTGAAGCTATATGTAGGACGAGTATCTATAGTGGTATTAGTGTTGACGAAAAGTGATTCCGTGACCAGCCCTCTCTAAAAGTCAGTGATCTTGAGATACTTTTCTCCTCTAGCAATAACAAGCCCAACCATACACAGATGCAACCGAGCATTATTTTCCATATAGGTCTGAGACCGTAAGGCCAAAAGCCCTACCAGCCCTACCACAAATGCTAAACGCGGTCGGACTCGAACCAACGCTTTCTTCGTCACTTGACTTCAGAACCTCGCCCCCCCGACGCACGAATTGCTCCTGTTGAAGGTGCGTGAGGGTTGTGGTCACCACACCACGGACAGAGCGGGTTTTATGGTGACGGCGTCATATCACTAGACCACGCGTCCTGGAGGAATGTCTCTTGAGAAATAAAGGCGGAGGTGAATTATATTGGCATAGGGGGGCCTCTGCTATGATAACTCACTAGGCTGGTGAAGGAAAATGGTGCATTTTTGTTTGTTTATTTGTAATAAAGACAGACAGTTTGATGCTGGAAGGAAGAACAGTGAATTGACAAAACGGGTGATATATCAGTCCATTTACTTATCTAGGGTCTCAGTGACTCAATTGTCACGTTTCAAAGGGTTGTATCGGATGTCAATATTACATAGACGACAAGAAGAATTTGTACAAGAAGACCAATAAACGTTGCACGTAATAGAGCAGCTGCCTGCCTAGCATGAGATTACTTGGCTAGGCTAATTCATATCTAGGTGCATGGTATAGCGCGGAACGCATGCATACCACTATGCAGCTCCATCAGGCCATTTGTACTCAATACAGTATCATATGCAACCTCTGACCGCAAAACGCGGAAATAAAGTCAAAAACAGAGGATGAGCGTATGCACGACCATAGGCCGCGCCAAATGAGCAAAGACCAGGCCAGGATTAAATATCCAACCGGCCGCGCGCCAAAACAAACATCGAAGCTTCGAGTCGAGAAGCAGGGTCTAGAAGGATAAACGCCAGTTCGCGGGGTGTATAGTCGTTAATTACGCGCTTGATTTTGACTTTGAATCGTATAGCTCTTTCATTGTAGGTTGGGGTGCGCTAAGGTGTCTCTGTGGGTATTACTTGCGCTCGTCGTAACGGTGCCGAGCATAGAGATCATCCCAAAGCACTCTGCTGTCGCCATAGTCACAACTCGTCATCTTCTTCCATATTGGTTTCTACAATGCTGGGCGTTGGAACATTACCCTCGGAGTTGCCTCGCTCCTTCTGAGCTTCTGCCAAGGTGGCACCCAAGCTCTTACGAACGCTTTCATCGAAGCCGGGTAACGATGCACGCTGCTTCTTGAACGGCGAGCCGACACTGCTTTCCGAGACGAGATCTGGAACCGACGATTTGGGAGCCGATGTCGAGTCAAGATCGCTAGCTGACATGGGCGTGCCTGATATTGGGGATCCTGAAGCGCCACGGTTTGCAGACTCTGCTGTCCGGTTGAGCGGCTCGGCGGAATGCTGGCGTTTGAGCTGCACAATATGAGCAATGCTGTTTAGCAATATAATGTTCAACTGCACCGACCTTGATCTTCCGAACACCCTCCTCGAGCTCGCCCTCGCGCCGAGCATCTTCAGGGGACAATAGTCCTTTGCCACTTGGATCCTTGTCTTCTTCGTCTTCCGCCTTGATCTTGACATCGTCATCGTCGTCTTCGGCATCGCTGTCCATAGCATCTTCACTTCGCTTCCCTTTGGCACCCTTTTGTGAGGACTCCCGGTAGCCAGCGAAGTTCTTTGTGCCTGTCGTGGCATTTAGCGGTTTCAGAGCACTTAGGTCTAGACCGCCAGACTTCCTCCTTGGGGCTGCTTCCGCGGCCTTCTTCTTCTCCGTAGTGAGTATTCCCATCTTGCGAAGTTGACCTGTCATGTGTGAGTCTTGATATATGCGATGCCAGTATTGTCACTTACGTTCTCCGCGGTACAGGAAGGTGAACACAGCATATGGCTTATCAGGGGGATCAATGCCCGTCACTGTCTGGGTGCTGATCGACTTGGGATCCAGTGTCTTCGGCTTCGCAAAGCTCGTCGTGTGATCTACATCCTCGCCTTCGCCGTTCTGCACGTTTTCGTCGTCGTCATGCGCGTCAAATTGCGGCGAGTATTCACCGCGCTTGATCTCGCCACTAGCGAGGACGCGAAAGAGGGCGACCTTGATCTGGCCTGCGGCTTCAGGCTGCGGCGGTTCATCGTCTGAGTCCGAATCTGACGTGAAGAAGTCGTCGTTCCCTGAGAGTGATTCCACAGGCGCATCCTGGTTCTCGCCATATCGCAGCACACCGTTGCTCTCACGGCGTGACTTCTCCTCGATGGCCTTCTCTTCCCGTCGCTTCCTTCGCTTCTTCTCAAGGCGTTGTTTCCGTCGCTCGATCGTGGCGGCAACGTCCTTGCCTTCCAGATCCAGCCCATTAAGCCAGCGCTCCAGCCCGACTTCGCGGAATAGAAATTCCCGCTCCGCCAGTCCGCCCCCTTCTGCTGCCGGGACGCTGACCCATCGCGAGTTTACCCATGTCTCCTCCCCGCGGCGCAGAAGCGTCGCTACTTCCTCTTTTGCCCTACCATCGAAATATATGTATGCGGCGATGGTCTCGTTTGGCGACGAAGTGAGGGGCTTGTACGGCGCGATCTGCTTATTACCACCAAGACCGGGCGATCCACCGACAAGTTGCGCTCGTGGGTGCGGGTCGTCGGGCGTCGCCTTCGGAGTCGAGTAGGGTACGTGAAGACCCGGTGTGAGGAGCGTTATCGAGATAGCGAAGGTAGACTGCTCCGGTTTGGTGGCGCCGGTAGGGACTTTTGCAGGTGGCACGGGTATGTACGAGGTGATGCGTTGGGCTCTGGTTTGCTTTTGTATCGAGTACTCGGGGAGTGGACCATTCGGGGTGTCTAGGCTCATGTTAGGGAGTGAGGCGCAAATGTGGGCTGGGGCTCTTTACGTATAGAAACGGCCTATCAAGTGCACAGTCAGTCGAGTTGTTCAGCTGCATGCTAGGAGTACACATACCAAGCCCAAAAAGCAAGGCATCTTGGTTGTAAGGACACAACCAGGCTAGAGCGTGGTCGAGGGGTGGAAGCGACGAGACAGATTTTGACAGCAGCGTTCGGCACAGTAGCGCCAAGCACGGATTATGCGCCTCGCGGGTGCTGGGTTGTGAGTGATTGTGCAGCTATCGGACGGGCGCCTGGGCTGTATTATTGTATCGACGAGGGGATACGGTGAGCGGCAGACCGCAACGGGGACTCCCGCGGGGCTAAACCACAAGATCCGAGCCTTGGCACGTGGTGATTGTCGAAGGTCGGCGGGCTGCAGTCTCAGGGCATGTCTAGCTCGGGCAAACACTTTGTGTGCGGTCTGGTGAGGATTGCAAGTTGTTGTCGAAGACAGAAGCTCTGCAGGTGTGAGACGCTGCAGCCAATCACGCCCCGCGTCGCTAACCGCACCCCGCATTGCCGCCCGTGTCTTTGCTCCTGTCCTACAATTCCGCGTATGCTGCCCGTCGTACTTCGGGAGACTGCGCCTACCATCATTCCATTGGAAGGACACTTGTCTGACAGGCTTCATACGCGTGTCTGACTCCCATATCAATCTTCCGCAACCAACTCGTAGTGGTATAAGCACATCATAGCTGAGGCCAGGGTTCGCTGATCTCCGATTATACCACAACGTCATCGGGTGATTAGAAGGATCCAACCTGTTCTTACTGTTGAGCCCCCTATATGCGAGACGAGTCAATCATTGGACCCCATCGACATTGGTGGGTTGTTTCACTCACCTCGACGGCAAGTAGAGTTAGCAATGTTAATTACCTCGCATCAATGATCCTGCACGTCTCTGTCGTTGGAAATATCTATAGAACTTGTTCTGTTATAGTACATATGAATACATTTTCTATACACATCTCAAGGCCTGCCACAGTGCGAACCACCGCACCGTTCATGCAGAGGATCGATAACTTGGCATGCCTCCTGCCTCCGAAACGCAAATCAAGGCTCTTGACCAGACCTGGACCTGTCTCTCTGCGCTCTCCGCCCGGGACGCTCACCACTCCACTTGTTTTTCGGATGCCAATTCACTAGCTCGTCAAGACCGTTCACTACCACAATCTTCTTCCTCTTCCCATCTTCCCCTTCGACCCACTTTGTCTGAAGCGGAGTTTTGCGTTCAGTTTCTGCTCTCCATTCCTTTTCCGAACCGTGTCGATCGATTAACACAGCATGCCAGCCTGCCTTCTCCGCACCGATGTAGTCATGATTGAGAGAGTCCCCAACGTAAAGTCTCTTGTAATCATCGATTGATCCCAACGATGCAGAAGAGGCTGCTAAGATGTCTGTTGCGGCGTTGAAGATGCGGCTGTCGGGCTTTTCGTAGCCTACATCGTAGGAATGAACGACAAAGCTGATATCTTCTGATACGGCGACATGTTGAATAGTTGAGCCTACGCGCCGGGAGGCGACATTTAGGCCCAGTGATGATAGAACTGATGGGACGCGGTCATCGGAATTCGAGATGACTCCGACGACCGTCCTATCCCATTTCCAAGGGTTCTCAGATGACGCTTGGTTTTGAGCTTGTCTAAGTATATCGAATAAGGCTTTGGCGTCTGGGAACAGTTTATATCCTTCTGAGCTGGAGTAACGCTTCAGAAGCTCCGAAATGAGGGCATCCGGAACTTCCTGTTGGGGTTTCAGGAATGGCAGGAATGTCCCGCGGATGACCTTCACTTTGTTAGTGAAGAAGTTAGTGTAGATACCTAGAATGAACGTACATTTGCCCACCATCTCTCCGCTCCCAGGCCTGTTACTTTTCCATAATTCGGGTTCTCGGCTGACTGATGCTTGAATGCTTGTTTGAAAGACCTGTGCACTGGCTCATAGTCCTTTACATTCCATTTCTCAACAGGCTTTGAGCTTGTATCATCCGCAACACAGGAAATCCCGTGACGTTGCGCTGCAAAGGCATACGCTGCAGGTACCGCTAAGTTAGGTTTGTACAGAGTATCGAATGCATCGAAGCATAACAAGAGGTTCTTGCGTGCCAATGGCCGTGTAGCTTGCATGCTTGGGTATGGGTAAAGGTTGGTAGGCTCTATTTGCGGCGCCGAAAGGGGTAAGGGTGATGGCCCGAGCTCCAATTCATTGGTAGGGACACCTCAACCTCAACCTCAGCTGCGCGGAGAAGAACACAGCAGCACAACGACAGACATAATGCCGCCGAAACAGAACAAGAACAAGTACTCGGTGCTTCTACCGACGTACAATGAGCGCCGCAACCTTCCTATAATCACCTGGCTGCTCAACAAGACATTCACAGAAAAGTAAGTGGCATCCCCTCTCTTCACAAGCGAGCCATTGAAGATTCAATCCGAATCTAACATGCCTCTACAGTGATCTCGACTGGGAACTCATCATCGTCGACGACGGCTCCCCCGACGGTACCCAAGAAGTCGCCGCACAGCTCCAAAAAGTCTACTCCCCGCATATCCAAGTTCGCGCCCGCGCTGGCAAGCTCGGCCTCGGCACTGCCTACGTCCATGGCCTGCAGTTCGCGACCGGAAACTTCGTCATCATCATGGACGCCGACTTCAGCCACCATCCTAAATTCATCGCCGACATGATCCGCGTTCAGAAGGAGAAGAATTACGACATCGTGACCGGTACGCGATATGCGGGTAACGGAGGTGTCTACGGCTGGGATCTTAAGCGGAAGTTTGTCTCGAGGGGCGCGAATCTGTTTGCGGATACGGTGCTGCGGCCTGGTGTGAGTGACTTGACGGGCAGTTTTAGGCTGTATAAGAAGGAGATCCTGGAGAAGGTCATTAGGAAGACGGAGAGCAAGGGTTATACTTTCCAGATGGAGATGATGGTGCGTGCGAAAGCTATGGGCTGCACCGTCGCGGAGGTGCCCATCAGCTTCGTCGATCGGTTGTACGGCGAGTCGAAGCTTGGTGGTGACGAGATTGTGGAGTATGCGAAGGGCGTGCTGAATTTGTGGTTGAAGGTTTAAGAGAGGGCTTTGCACGGCGTTGGCGTTGGTTGGATACGGGCATCATTGGAGCTGGATGGCTGCTAAAAGATATCCACGAGGCAGGCAGGGGTCGGACTAGTTGCTTTGCCATGCTTCTTCCCAGGACGCACTTCAGATCCTTTGGTTCTTTAGGTTCCTCAATCTTATAACTGAAGCAACTGACTCTCGTTCCCTACTCGCCTCATTCGCAGCGTGGCGTACTACAACACAACATTCACTTTCACTTTCACTTGAGCTGCTAAGTAACCTCGTCACCACCCTATCGGGCGCCAAGACGCCCCCATCTGCTAGGCACAAGCTTGCACATCTACTCTCACCCCACAACATCCACCTCAAGCTGCTCGATCGCTAGCACGCGGTCCACGACGTTTCACACTCCTCAAAGTCTACCACATTCTCTCTGTGGCATACCTCACCAATGTTCCCTTGCGAACCGCGGCTTCTAACTCCTTCCCCTCATAGAACTTCCCAGGTTAATCTCCAACCGCGTGATGACTCGCGTCTCTTTTCTGTTCTTCCAATCAGTTTGCATCACTGCTCATTTTGTACCCAATACTTGCAGTGCCTATGTGCAGAATAGACTTATGTTCATCATATGGATCTTGATACTAGAGTGCCCCAGTCTCAGTCCCTTTCGAAGCTCTCCTTTAACGCCTCTATCGACAGCGCGTGCGCCTTCTCACGACTCTCCCACTCCTTCGTTCCAGGCTTAGCACCCACATCGTAGCCATGGTTCATGTCTTCTAACATACACCTCACAACCTTCCTCTTCCCATCATCTATTTTGTCCGCCAACCTCTTCGCTTCGACTGACAAAGTGTCACCTCCACAGGCAACAATCACCACAGTAGCGGGATAGTCGTCAATTTTGGCATACATGGGAGACACTCGAGGATCCTTCCGCATTGCAACATCCGTCCCCACGTAGTTGCTGTAAAACAGCTCCAGGATCGGCGGCGGCAGCGGATTGACCGGCTTCGGTATGATTCTGTCCTCAGCCTTGAGACTAAGATCTGTGACAGGGTAGTGCGCAATGACAGCTTTGACATCGACCTTTAGCGATTTGCGCAATGTAGAAGACGCAATGAGTGCGAGACTACCGCCAGCGCTCGCTCCCGAGACGGCAACGCGAGACGCGTCGAAGCGCTCTGGTTGCGAGGCTACCCAGTCCAGCACATCTTTGACGTCTTCCAGCGCCGCGGGAAATGGGTTCTCAGGCGCTTTTCTGTAGTCCGCATCAATCACGTAGGCATCCACCTCTTTTGCTATGCGTGCGCAGAAGGCGAGGTCGCTTCCGTGGAAGGGAATGGTCCATCCAGAGCCGTGCAGGTTGACTACTACCGGTTTTTGTGAACCTGGAGAAGCTGGTCCCGATGGTGGTGTGTAGAGATGCACTTTTATCTTTCTGTTTCGGTCTTTCTCATCGCTGGTCGGTATGTGCAATTCTTCCACAGAAGCACCATAGGTGCTGAGGGCGAGTTGTCGATCACGCCGGATTGCAAGTATGTGGACAAAGTTGAAGAAGTTGCGACCCAATAAGACAATCAGCGTGCGCCGAATGTATTCAAGAAGCTCCCAGGGAGAAGACATTGTGTAAAGTGTGCCGGTGAAAGTATCCGAGCGGTAACCTGAGACTTCGCAGGGTGAAAGCTCGATGAGGTGTTGGTCGTCGAACAGCAGTCGCGCTTTCCCAGGTCACCTTAAGAAGCCGTAATAATCGTCCGAGGTTGAATAAAGGGCAGTGGATATTAGAAGTCGTGTGCTTCATTAATACCTCTGTATTTATAAGTTCGAGCATGGAGAGATCGGTCCGCTACAAGGACGGAAGAGGTTTAGCCCCAACGAGCAATTCCCCGTAGCGGCTCTCCAATCCTCGTACTTCGTGCGCCTAAACGACCTCGGGAAGACTAACATCCCGTTATCATGACTTAAGTCCGCCATATCCGTGGTGCATGGTCGCGGATTGCGAAATACTTCAGAATTCCATGCTAATCTCGTAAAAATAGAGACACTTCGAAAGGATGTGAAAATCCCGGATTTCATTCAGCTACAATGGCGCTACGTGTCATTGTCCGGGTCCGTGTATCATACAAAACAACACAAGAGAGAGTGGAGATGAGAGAAACTACTCTCAGACATCAGATGAAAGCAATTAGAGGTCGTGCTTGTCCAAGTCGCTGTTTGATCCCGCAACGCCTACCGGTCCTCGCTTCTTCGCATCCTCAAGAGGAGCATTAAGCCCGAGGCGCTCGCGCGTAGAGTATGTAGCAATACCACCATTAGGATCAGCCTCAGTGACAAGCTCCTTGCGACGAGTATCTACTAGGAGGCGGATAAGGTCGGGGCGCATGTAGTGTCCCGCGAAATCAGCGAGCACCTTGGTGAGATGCGACTCATTGAGGTCGATCTGAGAAACCTGTTAGTACAATCCAATGTCTGGAGAGAGGAATACGCACATCGACAAACATCAACCCATCGAAGTCCTTGTCAGGCTTAGCCACGAGCGTGCCATCTGGCTTGTAGATACGCGCGTGGCCGTTGTAGGTCGAAGGATCCGTCTCAGGCTCCACCCCCTCCGGCGTATTCTTCATCAGGCCCTCTTTGCTCAACCTCTGAAACGGTGCCAGCGTCCAAGTCCCCGTCTCAATTGCATACGCGGGCGTCACTAGATCAGACGCGGGCTCCGCAACATTGGTCGCAGGGTCGGGATACTTCAGCGTCTCCTTGCCAGGGTAAACCGGCCATGCGGCGATGTGGATCTGCTCGCCGGCCGAGACGTTAAGAGACTTGAGGAACGGATTCATATTTTCCCAGCAGTTGAGTTGGCCAAGTCTACCGAGCTCCGTAGGGACGACGGAAAGGAAGGTGTCGCCGGCACCGTCGCCATAAACGAGCTTCTCGACGTGTGTGGGCTTGATCTTGCGGCGGTGGTTGATCACTTCGCCAGTGGGGTCGATGAGGGCTTGGGCGAGGTAGAGGGTTGCGTGATCGATCTCGGAGAAGCCGAGGGAGACGTATCTATTTTGTATCAGCCATACCTTTCATCGAACATAGAAGAGGAATTGGATGCGCAGGAAAATCAATTACATCTGATTGTCCCTCGCAGCCCTCCTAATGCGCCTGAACTCCTCAGAGTCCACGGCCATGGAGTTCTCACGGTACTTCTTAAGCATCGGAAGAGATTGCTGGTACGTAACCTTCCACATCCAGTACGGATACCCAGGAATCCATACTTCAGGGAAAGCTACAAGCTTGCAACCGGCCTGCCCGGCCTCGTTGATGAAGTCGATGGTTTTGCGGACGCCACCTTCGAGGTCAAACCATCCGGGCTCCGAAGTGACCTGTCCAGATATTGGATTGAGTGGCTGTAACGTAATGGAGGACGGGGAGAGCTTACAGCTGCAGCTTTGTACTTAGTGAGAACCATATTGGAAGACTGTGGTGCAGTTTTACGGTGCAGGGAGTTTGATGGGAAGGTTGTAGAGTTTGAAGTTGTGATTGATTGTCTATCGATGGTGACGAATCTGCCTTCGAGGTAGAACGCAGGTCTTTATACACGTCCAATGTCCCATAGCTCAAAGCACTGATGCTGCCTCTCGCGATTAAGGAACATACTTTCTCGGCGCCGAATCTATTCCATTGCTTCCGAATGCCGCTGAAGTGGCATGATGCATGCTCAGTAGATTGTCTGTGGACCTCAAAAGCGGAGAAGATGTTCTTTTGTGAGGCGCTTGACAGTTGTTGCGTGTCAAAGCAAGGGTGCAGTCGCAGGCGTACAGTGTACAGCGTGTCGGCATGCGAGCGGCGTGTTCGGCATTGCGTCGGCATCGACGTCGAGCCCGGCCTACATGCCGCACCACATAACTAAACCTTCCCTGTGCGTACGTTGATCGAGCCGAATTGTTTTCGAAGTATGCGTGACTAACAGTGTGCTTCTAGACAATATCGGCAGTACGGCAACTTGGGTACGCAGATAAGCATTACGAAGCTGGATCGTATCATGAGGGACGCTGTTGTATGTTATCTCATGCACCACAACAATCAGAGACACTGCAGTATGGCAGTACAGGAAGCGGGGAAGTAATGGTTGACTAGCCACGTCGTTTCGCGTAGAATGTTGTTTTTGGGGACTCGAGAGTTTGCGGCATGTCCAGTTAACCGCTCTTCACCATACACTGCACTATTCTGGGCTATATCCGAAGAAAGTAGCTCACATGAGCTCATACCTCATGGATGCCGTCGTTGCATCTATGTACGTCATCTCGGTCGGCCTCTTCACACACTGAGGCTTCAAAGATCGCCAATGGGCCTATCTCACGCCACTTCGGCTCCCTTAGATGCGACTCGGCTTGGTTGAAAGTGCTGATATGGCTGTGGGAACCTGGCACGCCCGGTTATCCAGTGGTGAATGTGGATGTTATCGCGCGATAGCAGTTTATGGACTGTTGAAGTCCGAGCACATCTCGTTTCGGGATGCTGTTCTTCACTCACTTGGATTGGAATGCCGTCAGAGCCGTCATGACCTTGGTTTCCATCTCGAGAAACTCCCCCTCATCAGTACTCTGGATAGTGACCGCGCCACCAGCCCCAATGCGCCATGTCTCTGTGCTTTCATGGGCAGAGCATTCTCCTTCTCGGACAGAAGCGGAGGGACTGGAACATCTTGGACTTGTGTTCGAGGGAGTATACCCAACGTGCGAGTGTGGAGTAGAATTGCCACTGTCGTCGACAGTGGTGTGCAATCTTGTCGATCTGTCGGCGGTAGTCGCATCGTGGAGCGCAGTGCGAATCACAACCGAAAAATCTCCTGCTCCGCCAACATCTAGATATCCTAAGACACCGGAATAGATGCCACGGGGGCGTTGTTCAATGTCCCTCAGAATCTCGCAAGACCTCTTCTTCGGTGCGCCGGTCATGGAACCTGGCGGTAGTGAGGCTTTCAACACATCCAGGCCTGTTGGTCCTTCGCCTGTTGCGGATTCTGGCAGCTGCCCTTCAATGACTGACACAAGTTGGTACACGTGCTCGTATTCTTCGACAGTCATGAGCTTGGGGACGCTGCAACGCTCAGCGCCAATCACACCACTAAGATCATGACGTATCAGGTCGACTATCATTAAATTTTCGGCCTGCTCTTTGGATGACTTGAGAATGTTGTGTGCTGCCTCACGCGTCATCGTGGGCGACTTCTTCACCGTGCCCTTGATGGGCCTGAACTGGCAGTTGCCTTCGCGATCCCACTTGAGGAATCGTTCCGGACTCGTGCCGACCACAGTAGCGTTTGAGAGGTGGAGGTAAGCACCATACGGTGCAGGATTCTTGAGTCGCAGCTTCTTGTACAGTGCCCAGGCATTCACGCCTTTACCATCGATCTTCGGCACTTTGATTAAGGTCTCGTCAGTCAGGCACAGCTCGTAGGAATCGCCTGCGGCCAGTGAGTCTTGGCATCGGAGAACTTTGTTGCGGTAGTATCGTTCCTGAGGGGTCCGAATCTGGGAGAGGCTAAGCCTCTTCTCCATTTCGAGGCCTTCGCGGAGTTCTCTGGTGATGCTTGTATTGCCTCTCGCTGTACGTGGTTCAGATGTGGGTTCTTGTTGCTGAGCCAGGACTTCGATGGTCCGCCCGACGTGGGCGGTCCAAGAAGAGTCATTTGGTAATAACGACTGCACATATGTATAGCCTTTGACATGGTCGATGACGATGCTGCGATGTATGAAAGCGAAGTTGATATCTGGAATTATGCTGTGGGCTAAAGACTCGTGAGGCGCAACGTCGATTGTTTCTAGACCAGCTTCGTATGAGATGTAGCCCATGAGACCACCCCAGAAAGGGCTGTCATGTGGCAGATCTTCGTTTCTCCGATCAAGGTTGCGTTCGTATCTTTGTTTATTTGGATCATGAATATCAAGCGCCTCCTGGAAGATTGGCCATGTCTGATCGATAGAACTAAGTTGAACTAGTTGTTCGTCGTCAGGGCCAGTACCGTAGCGTAAAGTGCGGTCCCAGGATCTGTACGTGATTTTCATCGTTTCTCCAGGTACGACAACGCCCAGCATACTGAATCGGCCCATGCTGTGATTTTGTGAGTCAAGAAGGATGGATTCCTCTCGATCGAGATCAAGTGCTTCTGCGAGTTTAATCGGACTGATCTGGTCCGTCGCATAAGACGCCCATTGTAGCTGAGTGGTCTGGGCCCCGGTGTTTAGTTGTATTGCCTTGGCTAGACTCAGGCCTGCGGAATGATGTTGATCTTTCAGCTTGTGCTTGATTCTATCCCTTACCGCTACGGTGATGGCTGCAGGAGATATATAGTCCAGTGCAGTCATACGATCATGTACCACGGTCCGTGATCGATATGTAAGCCACTCTTCGGCCTGCACCCACCATCGTCGCATCAATGTAATGCCTTCTCTTGAGGTGCAGATCGACTCAGGGTGAAATTGAACGCCCCAGAATGGTTTCTCAGTATGTCTTGCGGCCATCAAGATAATTCCATTGATCTCGTCTTCAACATCCCACGCTAGAGGTTGGATGTGGGGGCTTTGGTCATTGGTCTGCCATTGCGGCTCCGCGCAGTCGTTGCTGCTATTGTCCAGGACGGCATGTAGAGAGTGATACTGTGTGGCGCGTAGCTTCGCGATATTCCGGAAGATATCGGTCCGATTGTGAAGAATGTTCGATATGATGCCGTGTCTTGCTTGTTTCAGTCTTTTGATGTCAGCCCCATATGCCAGACACAGTGACTGAAATCCAAGGCAAATTCCAAAGACTGGAAGGAGGTCCTCTGAGCTAAGTTTCCACAGCTGGTCGATAAGGCCGACATCGCTCGGGTTGGCCGGGTGTCCAGGCCCAGGTCCTACTACCACAGCATCGAAGGCTTTGAGGATCGTAGTGAAGTTATCGAATGCAGACTCGTCATCGATACGGACCGTTGTTACGCTTGCTCCCAGACTCTGTTCAAGTAGGCCGACGATGCTATTCGAGAATGAGTCATATGCATCCACATAGAGGATATGGCGGCGTTCTTTGAGGGCAGCTTTCGTCGTATGTGACGATGTGACAGCTGCTGGCATTATCACTCTAAGTAGAGGACCGAAAGGGGGTATCTAAGCAATTGTGGGTCTACAAAAGCATGGAGAAGGTAATGTAGGAAGGGACAATAGAAGCGTGGAAAAATTTTCTTAGCCGAACCATCACGATTTTATTCCGGACAGACCCTCTAATACCGCATCTGAACAATCTTCACGACCCAAAGACTGGCTGCTAGTATAGCGAGCGGTTTTAAGTTCAAGTTGGCGACGGCGTTTTCGGAAACCGAAGCTCGATATAGTCAGAGAGCGTGAGCGGGTGAGATTGTTGGACACTCTCTAATAATCGAAGAGGTCACAAGACCCAGGCAAAACAAATACTAAAGGCTACACGTTTCGGTGATAACTTTTGAAGCTATCCGCACGGCTCTGTACGGCCTGTAACGGTATCTGGGGCAGCTGTCATAGAGTGACGTGCCGCTGCTGTCGGTTCAGAGTGTTCACGGTAGCCCCGGGGCCGAGCGCGGACGCTAGTCCATATATGGAAAGCACGATTCAGGGTGCCGTTTTGAAGTGTATTGGTTCTGGTTGGCGAGGTGCATTGCTGCGATTCAATCACACCTCCTGCTTGAGCCTTCTTAAACAGCACCAGGAGAGCAGGTTTCCATGTGCTGGGTAGACCCTTTTCAGGTGCCTGTCAGTGGTCGCGCAGCGCTCAAAATAGGTCCACAGCTGAAGAGAGCGCATGAAGACGTTAGCTATCAGCCTATTACTCAGAAACGGTTCGTGATTCAGATACAGAGAGACCAAGGCATGCTGCACACAAGGATGCGATACCCTCGGGCGGCCATGAAACTGGTCGAGCAAATGAAAGTAGATGAGCTCTATGCAAGCCCAAATCACGGTGCTCATGTCTGCCTATGGTATGCATACTGCAGAGAGCTATGATGGATGCTCGTGAAATATGTTTATCTGAAAACACAAAGCGTACACTAAGACGCTCTCATAAGCACAGAAGGACGTAGGAACGGGCGAGCCACCGGGATTATGTTGTTTAATGCAAACCAAGGTCCCCGAAAAGCATGTCTCGCGCTTACCTACATGAACGCCCTCCGCAAAGTGGAGTCGCTGAGGTCCGTCGGCGAACCGGCGAGCGAGGTCACGGGTCTAGAAGAGCAATCGAAGGGCAGCGAGGACATGTGGGTGTCCCCAGCGGCACACTTGACACCGCCACCTCCGTTGCTGTCTGAAGCTTGAACCTGGAGCATGCAGGACCGATGAGGTAACGCCCAGCACCGCGAACACTGTGAAGTCCGTCGAGTTGCAGTTCCGTCGCCGGCCTTAGACAGCGTCCTGTGGCTTTCCTAGCTGGGACGACACGGTGATTGCAGCTCGTGGAGGCCATCGTTCCGCGCGTGTAAACAACAGCAAGTCTGTGTGTCTATAGACTCGATACCCCTTTGCCGTCATGGGACAGCTCACGGCGGAAAAGGCGGCGGTAGGTCCACCTGTCGCATGACGATGCGAGCTGCAAGCGGAAGGTCTCGGATTCAATAGCGCTGAAGCTTTCCGTCTATTTTTTGTCGGCGTGAAAATGCTCGACGAGAACGGGCTCGAATGGGCGGACCTGTACTGGGTGTCGGGTCTGAAACACCCCCGTGCCTGGCCCAGCTCGTTAGCGCCACATGGCGGCCAAGCGACGGCCATGCAGCTAGCGGCGCGCGGGAAGCCAAAAGGTAAATTCCTCCTGGGGAAGCCGACGTCTACTCTGGGACCGTTCGCCTGCAGGGGCAGCACCGAACGTCTCACAGCTCGCTCCAACGGCGCCGCTTCTGGCGTGCGGCGGCGTGCCAGCACATGCACCCCCGGGCTGCCGTCTCGGGCGCTGAGGTCGCTGCTGGCCGTGAGAAGCGACGAGAGACAGGCAGCAAGACAGGACAGGCACAAGAGGTGGACGAACGGCGGCCAACGACGTAGAGCCTCCTGTTCGCCGGTGGGGCTCTGTAGACCCAAATCGGGCGCGCGTGGATCATTGGACCCGCTCATTGGGCCCGTACCTGCATATCCAATGGCGCTATGTATCTACACCCGTTTCAGAGCGCTTCGACCGGCTCGACCTCACTCCACACCCTGCCAGGTACCTGCGACGGACCTGCCATGGGGCCCGCTTCTGACGCCTGTGGGCACGGGAGCGCGCGACAAGGGCACCCCGTTACCACTCCGTGGCTGAGCACTACACTCGATTCCCCAATCACCGACCATGCCTCTGACTCCGTTTCGAGCACCCGTTTCAAGTCCGTGCCTGGGGAGAACAATCGCTACGTATATCTATCTCTGCTTTGTCCCGCCGTAACGTGCTTCCTCCTCCTCATCACAGCATTCACTCTCTTATTTGGTATTCCATTAAGCGTGTGGGAGACAAAGTCATTCGTTTTCTTTGTCTTTTCTTCAGTGTTTAATCTCAACATCACTCTCATTAAGCTGGTATACACCACTTAACAGTCTTGGTACTGTTGTCTTTCGCTTCTCGACTATACTTTACATCAATTCATAATGAGGGCTTCCATTGCTCTTCTCTTTTCTGGCCTTGCCGCCCAGCAAGTTGCCGCCCACTGGGACCGTCAAGCGTCCAACTACAACACTCCCGGATACAACAACAACGAGTGTACCGACAAGCAGAAGGGCGGATACGACTGGTCTGACCTGAACGATGGTGACAAGCCCGGCAAGTACGACGACTTCAACTTCGGAGGAGATTGGTCTTGCTCCACCAAGAAGTTCGGCAAGCGTGACCACCTCTCCAAGCGCACTTTCGGAGCCAAGGCTATCACCAACTCTTGCGGTAAGGAGAAGCCTGCTTCCTTCAGCTGCGACCAGAAGAAGGAGGGCTTCTCCTTGACCCACATCGACGTCTCCGTTGACCACGATGCCGACCTTGACTTCCACTACAAGATGAAGGATGGCAGCGTTTGCAAGCAGCGCGCTTCCTGCAAGAAGGAGGGTACTACCGTTCAGAACACCCAGTGCGGTGGTGCTGAGTCCGTCGATGTTTACCTTGGCAACTCCAGCGAAGGCCGTGACGACTGTGAGATTGGCTTCCACCAGATCGGCTTCGACTGCAACCCTGGAGAATCATACACTCCTCCTCCTGCTTACACCCCTCCGGTGACCTCTGAGGCCCCTTCTTCCAGCTCCGAAGTGCCGCCCACGGAGACCACGCCCCCTCCCCAGACTTCCGACTCGCCACCCTCCGGAGTCCAGCAGCGAGAGCGTCAGCATCAAGACTCCTATCTGCGGTTACGGATCATGCAACAGCGGTTACACAAACTCGACTGCTCCTCCCACTCCGCCTGAGACCCCGGTCAGCAGCACCCCGGTTGAGTCGACGCCCGCAGAATCTACTCCTGCTGAATCTACTCCCGCCGAGTCCACCCCGGCTGAGTCTAGCCCGGCTTCATCCACCCCGAGCGGCGAGTGTGGCGGATACGGCCAGCCTGCCTGCGAGGCTTCGTCTACTCCCGCCGAGTCTACCCCTGCCGAGTCTACCCCTGCCGAGTCTACGCCCGCCGAGTCTACTCCTGCCGAGTCAACTCCAGCTGAGTCTAGCCCGGCTTCATCAACCCCTCCCCCGTCCGAGACCACCCCCAGCGGCGAGTGCGGCGGATACGGTCAGCCTGCCTGCGAGGCTTCGTCTACTCCTGCCGAGTCTACACCCGCTGAGTCAACTCCCGCTGAGTCGAGCCCGGCTTCATCCACCCCGAGCGGCGAGTGCGGCGGATACGGCCAGCCTGCCTGCGAAGCTTCGTCTACCCCCGTGGAGAGCCAGCCCGCTGAGAGCACCCCCGTTTCTTCGGCACCTGCTGACAGCACCACGCCACCAACGGAGACCGCCCCAGCAACCTCCTACAACGGCACTGTCCCATCTTCCCCGGTCTCTTCCCAGCCTCCCACTGTTACGCCTCCTCCCGGTGGCTACACTCCTCCCGACTGTCTGCCCAAGTGCCTGAACACCTGGCTCAAGATCAAGTCTGAGTGCAAGGACAACACTGACTCTGCCTGCTACTGCAAGGTCCCCGATCTCACCGACAACGTCATCGACTGTGTCAAGGCTTACGGTACTGAGGAGGAAGTCCAGCAGGCTCTCTCCTACTTCGTCGGTATCTGCGCTCCTCAGATCCCCGAGAACCCTGGAATCATCGGCAAGTGCACTGACGTGCCGCTTGCGCCGCCCTCTGCTCCTGTCAGCTCTGCGCCTGCCAGCTCTGCGCCTGCCAGCTCAGCTCCTGAGGCTCCCGCTACTTCCGCAGCTGGTTATACTCCTGCTACCACCGCTGCTGGCGAGACTCCTGCTACTACCCCTGCTCCTGAGCAACCCACTACTCCTGCTCCTGGACAGCCTGAAACTCCCGCCACCACGCCTGCTCCCGCCCCCGAGCAGCCCAGCGACATCCCTTGCACCACCATCACCTACGGTGGCTCTTCGTACACCGTGCCCCAGGTCGGCTTCACGACCGAGACTCCTGGAGCTCCTGGTGCCAACCCAACCGAGCCCATCGCTCTCTATCCGGCTGCCCCTACGCCGGCTCCGGCTCCTGCCAACCCTACCGCTCCCTACCCGGTCGCTTCGGGCGCATCTGGCTTCACCTCCGTCTCCTACCCAACTGGCACTGGAGCGCCCAACACTCCTCCTCCTTCGGAGTTCACTGGCGCGGCCTCTGCTCTGAACGTCAAGGCTGGTATGGTCTTCGGTGCCGCCCTCGCTTTCTTTGCTCTGTAAATGTGTCCGACTGTCCGGGCGATAATGTTAATGGACGTGCATACCTTTTCTTCAAGCATGTTCAAGGCGCACTTTGGGAAAATCATTTGGATGGATGGATGTGAGAAAGAATCACAGCATCACTATTGGTAATGCTTATTTCCCAGTATTTCCTAGTGTTACCTACATAGACTGAAATCGTACATAACTATAAAGAACATTGATTCCTTCATTCGCGTGGGATATTACTTGGCTCGCAGTGAAATGTGCTCATGATTGAAAGCCGAAATGGCGTCTGCTTTCGTGAAGTTGTGACACGGGAGTGCCGCGTGCAGGGATCGCTTGTTGTTCGCCATGATTGGCCGAGGCTGTCGGCGGCAGATCGACGTCACTGAGCGCGCGGAACTCGCCATCCTGGTCCTTTCTTGTTGATCCTCTTCCACGAGCTTGGGAACCCCACGGCGGCAAGCAACCATGAGTCTCGTGGTCGAGTACGTTGCGCGTAACGCTGTCCAAGTACTGCTTCGCTAACAATAGGCAGTCAGATCCGGCGCATCGACAGCCAGCTCGACCGGTTGCAGCTGTCGACAGCCAACGACGACGGCGCATTTGCAATAGCCGCCGAAGACATCCACGACCCACACCGAGTAGCGCGCATTGAACAATTACAGCGGCTGATCAAGAGCTTGTCAACGACCGCCTCGTCGAAGCATTCCCTTGTGCCAGCGAGCAGGATCCGGTCAATACTGCAGGAAGCGGATATTTCCTCGCAGTGTGCGACGTGCGCGTATTTGTTTGAGCAGGATGATTCAGGCAGTCAACATAGGCAGTCGGCCTACGCCCACGTGTCTTCCTACGAACACGAGCTCGAATGGCTTCTGCTGAGCAAAGCTACCACGCAGGCCTATGGCTCCGTCCTTTCCACGATCCTCGAACAGACCATTCCGCTTGAGGATGATATATGGTATTGGGATGACATAATCTCGACTTACCGCTTCGCTGGTCTCTATTCGATCCAGACCTCTCCCATTCGGCTGTATAATTGGTCTAAAGATGTTTATCGCGATGTAAAGGACAAAGGAGGACGGCTGGCGGTAGACGGCTGGAGGGAATTCTACTCGCTCGTGAGGGACACAATCAAGGATCGTAATGTCAGAGAGATTCAACGGAGAGTTGTCAGCCCGCTCGGTGTGGCGCGGAATGAGGGCAGAAAGAAGAGCGCTGCTTTGAGGCGGATCAAGATGAAGAATGCCAATGCTCTAGGACTTCTGCTAGGCGAAGGTCTCGGCAGCGAGAGGTAGGCTTGATGCTCCATGTGCAAGCCAACAAAGCTAACTGTTTCTAGCATAAACGATGAAGGCTTGCAGTCGCCGGGCCAATATGGCACTTCAGAGAAGCGGCATCGATGGAAGAGCACAGTAGCGAAGAGCATCGCACTCATGGACGCCGTCATACACAATGTCAACGACGCTGATCTACATGTCGATAAGTTCGACGATTCTGTCGCGGCCACTACCCAAGACGATCATTACTATGAGTTACACGAACCCTCAGGAGAACGCACTGCGACATCGCTCAAGCCTGCTGACGTTGTCGTGAGACTGGACGGCCTCCTCAGCCACGCTCTACCCGCATACACCTCCAATTTCCAAGCCTCTGTCCGTGAGCAGGGTCGACCATCACGTCTCGTTCGCTACTGGTTGCCGGCTACGATAGCTCTCGTCTCATCCACCACCGTTCTACGTATCGTTATTAACCGCAAGGAAGAAATTTTAACATGGGTTCGCGAATTCGGTCAGACCGTCATTGACTTTTGGTCGAATTGGGTCATTGAGCCCACTAAGAAAGTCATTGGCACCATCCGGCATAATGAAGACAGCGAGGTTTCAATACTCAGCAAACGAAGCCTGCAATCCGACAGAGACAGCCTCGAGCGTATGGTTGTAGACTTTGCTGTGCAGCATCCCGAAGGACCTGCTCTCAACGAGACTCAAATCGCCGATATCCGCGCCAAAGTACGCGAAGGAGACTTGACGCCTGTCTTGAGAGCTTATGAAAAGGATATACAAAGTCCTGTGAAAGGGGCTATCATGGGTAACTTGGCCAGTGCGCTATTGATACAGGTACAAAAAACAAAGGTCGATGTGGAGGTGGCAATGAGTGGCATTGATTCGATCTTGAAGAGCCAGGAACTGCTGTTTGGGTAAGTTTTCGGTACGCTCACCAGGTTCGTTGACTGATGTTTCGCAGGTTTATTGGTTTGACACCCGGTGTGCTCGTGACTGTCGGTGTGTATAGGTGGTTGAGAGGCGTCTTCAGTGGCCGAAAGGGTGTCAAGCAGTGGGCGCGACAAGGCCAGCTTCTACTCATCTTGAGGTACGTCACTTTCACCACCGTTTTAGGATGCCAATAATACAGGCTGACGTTTTCCTAGAAACATCGACCGCATTCTCGTCGGAGCTACAACGAATGAGTTCGGGGAGATCTACTACCGCGATCATGGTCTGCTGCTGTGCGAAGTTCACCTACTGAGACAAGAAGCCAGCAGAGTGCTTCCACGCCGTATCTTTCACGAATTTTTGCAGGAGATTGATGAGCTAGTCAACATCCAATCTGGGCTGGAACGGCAGCAGAAGGTGGTTGAGCGGATACGATGGGCGTATTCGAGGTGGTTCACCTCTTAGAAGGTTGTAGGTAAACACAAAGGGTTGTACATTAACTGCGCCTTGCTTGGCAGGGTGTAGTGGCGGCATTATCTCAGATTAAGCATAACCATGTATCCAGTATGGAAGATCCGGCTATCAAGCCGTTGTATCTCGACTGTCAAGCTATGACGGCGGCCCTGCCCGTGTGAAGGTCGCGAGTCATCTGAGCCGGGACCCGTGCTCTCGTATCGAAACATAGTACAGGTCGGCTACAGGACATTTGGTCTCGAAGCGTTGAGAAGGGGGTCTTAGATGGTCTGTCCTGAGGTCACCCAAGCAGCGATGCATGACCAGACCTGTGATCTGACACCGCATAGCCTGCCTCCACGTGCCGTGGTACTGGTTCGGCAGGGACCTGAATGAGGTGTGGCGCATGTGTCTTGGCACTTGCGCTCGAGCAGCAGCAGACGACGTAGGTACCCACGCTTCACGATCACGACGCAGCGACGCAAACAGATTGCCCCCGAATCCTCGCGACGCACACACTTCCACGACCGCGCTCCGAGACTGCTGACTATACGCTTCTCACACCCCGGGCCTCACCGCGGCTATCTCCCTTTCGGCCATACGTACACTACACAGCCCGATTCAACCCCGAAACCAACGTGGGCGGGTGCAACACCGCAGCCTACTTGTAAAGACGACCCGCGCGACCTAGCGCACACATACCACCATGGCAGGCACACGCAACTATGACTTCCTCGTAAGAGCACCTCTGCGCTTCTGGCGACTCGCATACCCTTGGAACCACGCAGCTTGACCGCCCAACCCTCCGCCCCTCTTTACTCTGCTCCACCCTGCTAATCTGCCGATTATACAGATCAAACTGCTCTTAATCGGCGACTCAGGCGTAGGCAAGTCCTGCTGTCTGCTACGATTTAGCGAAGACTCCTTCACGCCGTCCTTCATCACGACCATTGGAATCGATTTCAAGATCCGGACCATCGAGCTCGATGGCAAGCGTGTGAAGCTGCAAATATGGGACACAGCGGGTCAGGAGCGGTTCCGCACCATCACCACCGCATATTACAGAGGTGCTATGGGCATCTTGCTGGTGTATGATGTGACGGACGAGAGAAGTTTCAACAGTATGTCGCTCCTAAGCTGGTGCCTACATTGCGCGTTGCCATACTATGGTGCAAAGAGCACACTTTGGAATTCCTATAGAGGATACAAGATGCTGACACACACTACCAGACATCCGCACCTGGTTCTCCAATGTCGAGCAACACGCCACCGAAGGCGTCAACAAGATCCTCATCGGTAACAAGTGCGACTGGGAAGAGAAGCGCGCCGTCTCCACCGAGCGCGGTCAAGCGCTCGCAGACGAACTCGGCATACCCTTCCTCGAGGTCTCGGCGAAGAGCAACATCAACGTCGATCAGGCCTTCTACAGCTTAGCCGCAGATATCAAGAAGAGGCTGATCGATAGCGCGCGGACAGAACCCAGCACGAGCAAGGTAGACGTAGGGGCTGACGCGAGCGGCTCGGGAGGCGGTATGGGTGGCAAATGCTGCTAAGAGAGGGAGCGGGTGGAGCACGCACGTTTTGGCTGCGTTCGATGGTGCTCCCGCGACAGTGACGGCAAGAGGCTTATTGCCAAACCCATTGCGTATTTCCGCGGAGAGGCAAGGCGGGTTCAGCACCGCGTCACTCAAGGCACGGCACTGTCGATCACGTTGTGTGACATTTTGTCGCATGTCAGGAGCGAGGCACGCGCACATTTCCTCATTCCCCTGTCTTCCAACTTTTCTTGAATGAACGTTTCTGCTTGTTTCTACACATTGGAGTTCTGGGGACCGGCGGGGATAGGCCTGGCTGTCGGTATGTTGGTTCAGACTATACTACCTTATGTTTGTTAATGGCATATTGTACATTCAATTCATCCTCCCCTTCGTCATGTGTGATGTCAACCCATCATGATCCAGGACTTCACCAATCATAACACGATCGCGATCCTACATCATCATAGCGCCAACCAAGACATTGACGCCACCCACACGCTGCGGACCGGCCGAATTGACTCGCTTGCCACGCTCGTGGCACACGACCCAGGGGTGCCGAGACGCATATAGGAAAGTCATATGCTGTTCTCACAATTGCATGGCAATGATGCGTGGTACGTCTGCTTGCGGTGCGTCTGGTAGGCAGTACAGTGAGACAGCCCGGAGTTTTCTCCCGGTCACTGATCACTGGACCAGGTAGTTTGGTCTGGAACAGGAACTGTTCGTCGGGTAGGGAGGCTTGAAATGACTTACGGGAGGGTGGAGTATGATTCAAGGATGACACGTGGGAATTGCGTAGGAGAGAACGGTATCGAAACATTCAACATACAGATTAGATTTGAGGCTCAAGCCGATGTGCACCGTTGTATTAGTGTCCTCTATTCTCCTCCTGTCTCAATTTTCCCTTTCTGCACTTCTCTCTATTGACGTTTCCTCTACAGACTCGCCTTCCCCCTGCTCTCAAATGGCAAAACCAACACCAATAGCCCGCTCGCAAGAAATAACGCCCCGCTCACATAGACGGGCGCACTCGTCTCCAGGTTCGCAAACATGGCCACGATGGGCGCCATGATGCCGAAGACGCGGTTCGCAGAGGCCGTGATGGCGTTGCCCGTGCCGCGGTCCTTGGTGGGGAAGATCTCGGGAGTGTACGAGTAGAGCACCGCGTACATGATGTTAGACATGAAGTTGTAGGCGCAGTTCCTTTCTTCATGTTAGTAGTGTATTGTGAGAGGGAGGAGGGAAAAGGAGACTCAAGAGAAGGCTAGGAAGGGAGAAAGGATGGGAAGACATACCAACCCAGCAGACTCGCCGAGTTCAGCGCCGTAGTCGAGCAGAAGAGAAACACGCCCGTTAATACCGTGCTCGCAGCAAGTGTCTTTTTCCGCCCGAGACTCGGCCGCTCGACGAGATATCCTCCAAGCAGACATCCTGGGATACCTAGCACGGCGATGATCAGGCTGTTGCGGTACGTCAGGTATGTGGAGCCGTCGCCGAAGTCTGCGCCTCGCGTGGCTTGGATGAAGGGGAGGAAGGCGTTGTACAAGGGAAAGCCGAGACCGATGAAGGCCCAGACGAGAGTTATGAGGGTGGTGCTGTAAGCCAATTTGGGTGTGGCGAAGAGCGCTTTTACGTGGGTTAGGTTGATTTTCTCCAGGTTGCGTTTTACGGCTGCGGTAGCGTGGGAGCGTTGCGGTATAGTGCCTGGGGCGGCGAGGGTGTTGCAGGCTTGTAGTTCGTCTAGGGTAAGCGTAGAGGTTTTGCCGTTACGGCGTGCGACTTCGTGCACGACTTTGACAGCTTCGGCGTCCTGTCCCTTGCCCATGAGGAACTTGGGGGACTCGTAAATTGTAAAGAAGATGAAGCGTCCGAAGAACATGGCCATTGCCACGCCGCCCAGCACGATCATGAAGTACCGCCATCCCATGTTCATGCTCTTCGTGCAAGTGTTTTCCGTCTCTTGACATGTCAGATCACCTAGTAACGGCCATGCAACCAGCGTAGCGAAGACCTGCGCGAGTGCCCAGTCGATAGACAGAACAGTCAAAAGCCATTGATGGCTCCCAGGTAAGAATTCCAGGAAGATTGCCGAATCAACAGGTAGATTCCCGCCTACACCAATACTCCACAGACAAGCGAAGATACCAATGGCCGCAAAATTCGGCGATCCAGCAGCAGCGAGGCCGAAAACGGCGGTGATACCTATCGTGAGATTAAAAGCCCAGCGGCGGCCGAAGATGTCGCAGCCAAAGCCCCAGAAGAGAGCGCCGACTAGGAGCCCAATGTTCTGTGCGAGAGTGAGGTAGGGAGCTCGGTCAGGCTTGAATTCGAGACGGATAGGCGGGAGGATGAGGGAGGTGGCGATGGGCCAGAGGTTGTCTTGCGCCCAGCCAAAGCCGACGACTATGAAAAGCTGGGGTTGCGTTAGCGCGTGTAGGTATATTGAAGTCGAATGGAACATAAGGCGAGACTACAAGGCAAATTTTGGCGTGTTCGGCTTTGATTCCAAGTTTGTGTATGCTTTGAAGGGTATCTTGCAAATGTTGGTGTAACTCGAAATCGGGTTGGACCCAGATATGCATCTTGATACTGCTGCGACCGGGACTATAAGTTCTCCCAAGGTACCGTCCAGGCAATAACGCGGTCCAAATTTTTCGAGCACGCGTCAAATGAAACCTTTCATCTTACCTGCCATTGATACCTCCCCATCCCAATATCCTGAATCGCTTTGTTCAACACCCTGGCCTTAGCCTCGTATACGGGATCCACAGCGCCATCCCCCAGCACCGCATCAGGCGCATCCTGCAGCGCATTCACTACTATCTCTTCGCCCTCCTCGGTATCCCTACCCATACCGAATGCACTCGAGCTCAGCAGGCCCTCCCTCTCTTCAAGTTCGTGAGCCACAATGCTGAACTTTCAACGTTCAGCTGCTCGCAGGTTGCGCGGCAGCTAAACGGAGCGTGGCAGGGTTTTATTATAGGTCCGATGTTGTGAGGTAGGGAGAGTTAGTCCATGAGTGATGTTGGAGCTGCCTGCTTTAGCTTAGTGTGGAGAATCCTGGCCGCAGGTTGGCGTTGAACACGCGATGTCGCAATTGGAGGCCGAGATTCGTTATCAGGTGTAACACGAAGTACGGAAAGAAAGCTTTGTTCGGACCGCGTGCAGCTCTGAGCTCCAGTTGAATTTGCGTCCTTGGTGATGAGATGACACGATGTGGAAGGTGACATCGCATTCCGTTGATTGATATTCGTACAGGGTTGAACGGGATTGATTATGTAAATGTTGGAGCATGCAGGAGCGTTCGACGTTCGAATGCAGATCGGCGCAAGGTGATGGTCAGCGGAACCCGGGATCGGCAGCGCTAGTGATAGGCTGGCGAACGAGTATCACGCCTATTCGAACTGGCATCTCTGTACGGCCTATCTGAGGACCACGCGCGTAGCCCGCAACAACCGTGGTGGAGAGCAGTCACCAACCTTGGAACTTCCTTGAGCACCAGTCTTGTGCATCAAGTTACGCCAGGATCGTCCATACGTGAGCCATCTATTCAAGTTCAAAATCAAAATGATCTCGTCACGGTGGTGGTCATCTCTGTGGCAGGCTAAGGACATTATAATTGTTTCAGGGCTTGTTCTCTAGCATGTCTACAGCGCTATGCTTGTTGATACATAGCTATGCGACAGCGCTCAATAAGCGTCGAAGCATAGCAGCCAGACAATTTCTTGCCAGATTCCCAAGAGCTTACTTCCAGAGCTTGCTGAGACTGGTCGCCTTGTCGTCGTGCTTATTGAGCACCTTTGCAGTCGCGAGATCAAAGTCCTCCTGCGTGACGTGTACTCTCCTCTCTCTCAACGCGTACATACCAGCCTCTGTGCATACACCCTTGAGCTCGGCTCCTGAGCAACCGTTCATCTTCTCCGCAATCTTGGTGAGGTTGATACCACGCGTCAAGTTCATGCTTCGGGAATGAATGCGCAGAATATCCGCACGGGCTTCGACTGATGGCGGCGGGAACTCGATCTTTCGATCAATTCGTCCAGGTCGTAGAAGAGCAGGGTCAAGAATGTCGAGTCGGTTGGTAGCCATGATGATCTTGATGTTCTTCGTGGGCTCGAAGCCGTCCAGCTGGTTGAGCAATTCCAACATGGTCCGCTGCACCTCCGAATCACCACCAGAACTACCCTCCACTCGGCTTGAGCCGATACTGTCGATTTCATCCATGAAGATGATGCTGGGTGCATGCTCTCGAGCCATAACGAACAGCTCTCGAACCATTCTGCTACCCTCACCGATGTATTTCTGCACCAGCTCGCTACCAGACACGCGAATGAATTTGCAGTCGGCGTGATGCGCTACGGCACGGGCTAGCAGCGTCTTTCCTGTTCCAGGCGGTCCGTAGAGCAGCACACCCTTCGGTTGTGCGATACCGAGAGACTCGAACAGTTCGGGATGTTGCAGACCAAGCTCAATAACCTCCTTGATTTCCTTGATCTGCTGGTCCAGGCCACCAATCATGTCGTAGGTACTGTCGGGGACCTTTTCTACCATCATCAGAGAGACGAGTGGGTCGACGGATGATGGGAGCATCTTCTCCAGCTTGTATGAGTCGCTCAGTAATGTGACGCGCTTTCCAACGGTGAGTTTGGCGATGTCCACGTTGTCAGATATGTCGACGACTATTACATGTTAGTCTTACCCAGATCCTACGATCATGGCCGGATCTCACCGTATTTGCCCTCGGGATGCACCTTTACAAGGACTTTCTTGGTGCCCATAACCTTCACGACCTCGCCGACATACGAGCCAGGCTGCTGCAGAAGACCAAGCTCTTCTCGCAGTAACCGCACTCTCGAGTTGTAGTCATTTCGCTGGGCTTCGAGACGGCGGAGAACTGCTTGGCCCTGTATTATCTCCAGCTTCATCGACTCGATCTTGTTATGGTAGAAGGTATCGAGCGCCATGACGGTGGCGGTCGCGGGGAGCTCGCCGGCGTTGTGCTGCTAGGTTTCGGAGATCTACGGAGTGGCTTCGATTGTACTGTGATGAGTGATCGCACACGGGCGACGGGAACGAGCGAGGCGAAGAGAGCGGGGTGATGGACAGGGCTGGTGTTTGGGTATTTGCTCGCGTCGATAGCTCTCTGTAATGACCGCCGTCACGGCGATTCTAAGCTCCCGGGCCGACTAAGGCTCCGGTATTGCGCTAAGCCCAAAGACGAAAGGGCTACCCGCAGGGCTCCTCCCATCCTGTTTCCCCACCAGCCCAACTTTCATGCGGTAGCTCGCAGATTGCATGTGTATGCTCGTTGAGGTGTCTTTTTGGTAATAGGGGAAGCTGCAGATGTAAGTTTTACCCTACCTCGAGCAGTGTTACATTTATCGGCTTTTTGAGAGGCTATCGCGGCTCTGCGTATTCTCGGAAAGGCCCCGGGAGCTTGCTGCATCTCGGTTCCTGGTATTGGTATGGATGGACAGCTGATCGGAATCCACACAGTGTCATCTGCTCTGTCGCGCCGCTAGACCCCTCCAACTCTCACTTCGCCTTGCTTTGTGACATGCAGACGCTGGCTTTGTGCTCTCCTCCTCGCCGTAAACGCCTTGTCGCAGGTGTCGCAGCGTTGTGAGCGGCCCAAGCACGAGAACAGTCAATCCAGTCCTACCACGCACCATCGACCTACAACATCGCGAGTCGCGTATATCACCATGGCCGAAGGCGACCAGCCCCCGACGGCGGGAAAAAGCAACCCTCCCTCCGGTAGCCTTTCGCGACGCACATCCGACTATGACGCCAGCTCTCCCTCTGCGAGTTACGCTGAGGCTGCGCGTAGAAGGCCGCAGATTCTTTCAGCACAGACAGCAGGATATGGTAACAAGGCTTCGTGGTTTCATAGTCAAGCGGAATGGGTACTAAGTCTACGCAGGGTCCATCACATCTCCCATTGACCGTCGACAATCACAATCGATCACCGACGCGTCCAACCCGCCGAAACCGAAAAAGCCCTCGATGAGTCGCCGCGCAACCTCGGCCAGGTTTCCTATCAAGGGACAAGAGTTCTCAGTTGATGACGCGCAAGATGAGGTCCACAAAGACCTTACCGAGCAGCAGATGCAGCAGCAACAGCAGAAACAAGCACGGCAAGCTCAGGGTCAGGGCCAGACGTTACGCCGCAAACCTTCTACCGTGCGACGTCGAACAGCAGCGCAGACGCCAAGTCTAGCAAGGGTGAACTCGCTCGAAGACGATAGTGTGGAACAGACAAATGCTGGAGCTCCCACCGACAATGAGGTGCAACCTGCTTCTTCGGGCGAAGACACGTTGAGAGCGGACGAGGAGGAGGACAGTGGTAATGGTGTTGATGAAGGCGACGGTGATGATGATGATGAGGATGAGGATGATGACGGGGATGCTAGCGACGCGGAGAGCTTCACGCTCAAGGACAGACAAGAGGCTATCAACGTCACGCATCCCTTCGGTATCAGGATCTGGAAGCCAGCTCTGTACAAGAAATCCCGGTCTGTCCAAAGGAACGCAGAGGGAGACATCCATTCGACACCAGGTTATCACGTCAGCAAGTGGCTGGTTCTGTTCAATATTGCTTGGACCGTAGTCTTCGGGTGGTGGCTTGCGCTCCTCGCGGCTGCGGGTGGTTTGCTCTGTGCCCTTTTTTGGTTCGTCGACAGTTGCCAGGAGTACTCCATGCTCCTGTTCCACCTCGCCGCATATGTCCTCTACCCATTTGGAAAGTACGTCAAGTTGCTTCAGGACGAGGCATATGCCGAAGAAGACGAAGGTGAAGGACGGAGCATCAGCGAATACGAGCAGTGGCAGAGTGGCGATATAGAAGAAGGTCGTTTGTTCTTCGGCCCCAGCGAAGGTGCAGGCTCCTCCCTAGTCGGAAGACGCAGGAACAGTATGGACTCCACAAACGAAACTACTAGCTTGCTAGGACGGGACGGTCGCGCCAATTTGTCTCACACCGACACTTCCAAGACCAAGAGGAGACTCTTTGGCCGTGGCAAGTGGAGCGTGGGACGAGTCATCTTCTTCGTCTTTTTCTACGGGGTCTTCTCACCAGCGCTGTTCCTCGTATCTGGTCTCTGTTGGTTCTTTGTCTTCACGATTCCCATGGGCAAAGTCACGCTTCTGCTATTCGACCATCTTCGCCGACACCCTCTCGCGCTCTCATTCCATTCCGACAGTGGCAACGTACGACGCCCAGGCGAGTCTTCTTCAATTCTTCTGTGCACGTACCGTGCTGTGGGCATCAAATACTGGAAGTATACCATCGACGGTACCAACATCTTCCTCATCAACCTCTTAGGTCTTGTGGCGTTCGTCATCTTTGACTACTTCGTTCTACATGAAACGCTCCACCTCAAGATCCCATTGACGGACACGTTCTTCCTCTTCGCCATGGCTTTGTTGTCAATCATCCCACTGGCCTACTTCATCGGGCAAGCTGTTGCATCCATTTCTGCCCAGTCTTCTATGGGGGTTGGTGCGACCATCAACGCTTTCTTCTCCACCGTTGTCGAAGTTTTCCTCTATTGCGTAGCGTTAAACCAGAACAAAGCGCAACTTGTCGAGGGAAGCATTATTGGCAGTATCTTTGCTGGTATTCTCTTCCTTCCCGGTCTGTCCATGTGCTTCGGTGCTCTAAAAAGGAAGACGCAGCGATTCAATGTCAAATCTGCCGGAGTCACGTCAACCATGCTATTATTTGCTGTCATTGGTGCATTCGGACCAACGCTCTTCTACCAGATTTACGGAAGCCATGAGCTGGTGTGTGCTTCATGTATCCGTCATCACAATGGTTTGGGTAAAGAGCAAGATTGCAGAAGGTGCTACTACTCTCAAACGCCGGCAGTGGACAACGAGTTCTATACACAGGCCGTCCAGCCGTACACCTGGTTTGCGGCTGCACTCCTCTTCCTTTCCTACGTTATTGGATTGCTATTCACGCTGAGGACCCACGCTGCCACAATATGGACCACGGAGGTTGACGAGAAGAAGGCGCAAGACCTTTCTATTAGCCAGCTCAGCCATAGCGGACACGCTGAGTTCCCAAGCACGCTTAGCAGACAAGCGACGAGCAACTCCGTGGCACGTGCTGATATTAGAAACAGCCAGCTGTACAAGCGCATCGTAGGTCAAACTCTCCAGCAGGTTGGCTACGGAGCTGAAGATGAGACATCCACTTCGACTGCGAAAAGGCCAATCTCGCGAGCCGACGGTCAAACAACACCGCACGTTGTGCCACCCAAGGATGGCGAACGAAGAACTCCATCTGCAAATTTCCATGTCGAGGGTTTATCGGAACACGACAACGAGTCTCTGGTGCGACAGATTACGGAGATTGCCGCACATACTACGGCGCTGGCAACGCGAGACGTCGTCAAGGCTCCTCGGAAAGCTGCCCATATGGCTACAACACCAGTAAAGGACAGACCACATCACCACCGGACTGCGACTTTTGAAGGAGTGGCCGAAGAACCTGCTGCAGTGCACGCAGCGGGTGGGCACGATGCTCCGAATTGGAGTCGTACGAAGAGTTCTGCAATTTTGCTTACTGCAACGATTGCGTATGCTATCATTGCTGAGATCCTTGTTAACACAGTTGACGTGGTTCTCGAGGGCTCCAACATCGATGAAAAGTTTCTGGGGATCACGCTGTTCGCGTTGGTACCTAACACTACCGAGTTTCTGGTGCGTATATCATTCTGCATCATATTACATTACTAACAATTCAACGCAGAACGCCATCTCATTCGCTATGAATGGCAACATTGCGCTTTCCATGGAGATCGGTTCGGCCTACGCTCTCCAAGTCCTTCTATTGCAAATTCCGGCACTCGTGTTCTACAGTGCGTGGCATAACCGCGCCTTCGATCCTGCGAAGGTCGTAGATCAAACTTTCTGTGAGTTGATTTGGGCCTTTGAATCCTCTCGAATGCTAATGTTACCTTCAGCTTTGATCTTTCCCCAGTGGGACATGGTTACTGTGATACTCTGCGTCTTTCTCCTCTCGTACATGTACGGTGAGGGTAAAAGTAATTACTTCAAAGGCTCGATTCTTATTCTCTCCTATTTTGTGGTCATCGTCGGTTTCTTCCTGTCTGGATTCAACGATTTCGACAGGATGGGCGTGGACCCTAACGATACTTTGGCCCTTGGTTCCCAATATCAGTCGATGAAGTTTACGACCTATGGGGGCGGCCTCGGAGGTGGACGAGGCGGACGAGCTTTTTAGAGAGCACGACCGTGGACGTTCTTGGACGGATTTGGGTTTTCAAGTACATTGCATTGATCATAATAGATATGGGCGGATCAAGTTGCGATCTGACGCGGTAGATAATTGCTTTTCTTGGGCACGTTCGGGGAAGGATGGGCGGGATTTGCATTTGGCAGCGCATAGCACAGGCGTCTTGGGAGGCGTTTTGGTGGTTCGATATCTTGGGCCTCACTCGATTGATCAAAGCATAATACTAAAGATTTCTCGATAGTTCGTATTGCCCGCCTGCATATTTAATGGGACTGGCTCCTTATTGTAGATGTTGACGAAGCCACGTCTGGGATGGACGGCATGTACGCATTAGCCGTATATAGGTATCCGCCTAGCATAAACAATTTTTCACTTCGTCCGACCGAAGATCCTATCGACATGCAGTGTATTGGGTCAACACGCAAATGCGAAGACCTACACAACCCACGAACATTGAGACTACTCGATCAGCTTCCGGGCATTTCACAGCCGGCAACAAGCATCAACACCTCATTGGTGTGCCTCACTCACCAGTCTGCCACGATTGGGTTTATGATCAAACAGGGCTTTATCTCGCACGCGCAGGTTTTACTTCGTACACCAGGCGTAGTAACACACAAGGAGAGTAGCGCGGTGTATGACGCCGTCAGACAAGGAATCCCTTTAAGCTCTCTGTCAATCCCACACGTGTCAGCGCGTCGACGTCTCGGCAGTCGCTTGTTCCGAGACAGAGGCCTGTTTGAGATTCGCGCCGTGTGCGGGAAGCGGTTGGCGTGGGATGTAAGGGTAGACGAAGCTCAGCCACGGCGATGTATAATCAAGGAACCGAAGTGTGTGCTAGAGGGGTCTAGCTACCGATGGGACCACCGGAAAGCATTGTAGGCGACCCGATCGAGCTAATAGGAAGCAGCGGAGTGCTATGGAATCATAGAGGATATCGCGGGGAGGCAGTGCTTGATCACAGCAAGCACGGGTTTCAGACACAGCGCAGGATTTCGTCCGCGCCGCAACGTTTCGCTGAGCGAAGAAGAATGCAAATCACCGAATCCGTGTATGCAAAGGTGGATTTGGAAGCGCAGGCTGATGGACGCATCATCGGCACATCAGCGGCGATCCTTGATGGACCGGGGCGTGCGCCGATTATCTTGCCGCGGTCGTCCGCGTCCATGTTGGAGTAGACCGGGGACTGCATAGACTAAGCATACCCGCCTGCTTCCTGGTTGTCTGGCATCCGTGATACCTACTTGACCTGGTGATTGCTGCTGAGGCGTGGAAACATCTGGAGAAGCGCTGGAACATCTGCACTGAGCTGAGCTGGACGGCGTGCACGCGAAGGCTGAGAGACGGACCGTACCCCGCGACTTCGAGCGGACGACGTCCTGTGTGGTGCTTCTCGGCGGCGACTTTGACTCGACTCGACAGCACGACGTATGACAACCGCCGACTGGACGACTGTCGACTAGCGAGCGCGCTCCTGTGCGTTGGGAGAAGCCATGATGGTGGGGCGACCGACACAGCGTCTCGCATGCGCCCTCTTCGCGATCGTGGCCGCCGCGACGACGATTGAGCCTACCAATTCCTCGGCGGGCGTGGATTACGGTAGCACCATAAATTTGCAGAACAAAGATGGGCAGAACACTACGACGTTGGTGCCTTTGACGCCGGAAGCGACTGAGAAAGATGTATGTACTCCACCCATTCCTCAGCGGGAATCGGATAGCTAATGTAAGGCACAGCTCGACGGCGCCCTCTTTTACACAACCGACTCCAACTCCAACAACATCTCGCAATCCGAAATAGCCTTCATATCTTGCGACCCGTCCTCCTACCCCGGCAACATCCACGCCGACACCGTCCTCTCCAACATCTACAACAGCGGCAAGCCCTCCGCCGCCATTCTCTACAGCACATCCACCGGTTATTGCAACTTCACCTCCGACGATGCGCAGCTGAACCAGTTCGCTATCTACAGCACGACCAATATGGCCGAGGCATCGAGCCAGAAAGACAATCTTACCGCCCTGACCGCGGGCGAGAAGCTCTTCGTGCGCATCGCCCGCAGTGAGCAGAACAATAGCGGCAATGATCCCAATTCGCAAACGCAGGGGCAGCAGAACCCGCTGGGTCCGAGCCCTTCTACCGCTGTGGCAATGATTATCCTGTACAGCATTACAGGTGTCATCACGGCGTTATTCCTGGTGATCATCGTCACGGGTGCGGTTCGCGCGCATAGACATCCTGATCGGTATGGACCAAGAGATGTGATGGGACGACCGAGGCAGAGTAGGGCGAGGGGTTTGGGCATGGCGATTCTGGATACGATACCTATCGTTAAGTTTGGGGAGAGGGAACAACCTAAGCCCACCGACGTAGAATTGGGCTCCACATCCGATGCCCGCGATGTCAATGCTGCCAATACGGATACCACCGCGCCGACGCCCACACCCGCCGCTACAGAAGAAACTCAAAGGGAAACGACGAGAGAAGCCGGCGTAGACCACGCAGAGGGCTTGGATTCCGGCATCGCTCCCGCTGCAGGCGCCGCTGTCGCTGCGGCAAATACGTCCGCGGAGGAGGGCCTCGGGTGCTCCATCTGCACCGACGACTTCGAGAAGGGCCAGGACATCCGCGTGCTGCCCTGCAACCACAAGTTCCACCCCGAGTGTGTGGATCCATGGTTGTTGAACGTGAGCGGCACGTGTCCATTGTGGTATGTCCATCTTCCTATCTTCCTTCCTCCGTGTCCCCCCTTCCGTTGCCCCTGCACAAGTAAGAAATGGATAAGAGGACGTATGCTAACGAGGGAATTAGTCGTGTTGATTTGCGCCCCACGACATCACACACTTCCACCGACGAAGAAGCCGCCGACTCCGATACCCTCGCCCCGCCTCTACAGTCCGATGAGCCCGCGAATCGTCGCCATTCCACGCTGCGCGACGTCCTCTCCTTCCGCAGCCGGCCTAACGCCTCGGCCGATGAGCGCATCTCGGCTTTACGGCGGCTACGCGAGCAGCGCCGCAACGCTAGCAGAGAGGGCGTAGGGAGCAGTGCGAACGCCAGCACAGACGATGTCGCGCAGGATCGAAGAAGGAGTAAGAGGATGAGCTTGTTTGGAAGGAGAAGGGGCGATAGCGTGAGGGAGGAGAGCCCCCGCTACAACAACAGGTGAGGCTTCCTCTAGTGCGCAGGCCGCCTCTGGTGCGCAACCCGCGAGGACGGAAGAGTCGCCAGCAAGAGAGGGCGATGACACCACTGCCGGAGCTGCGAACTCGAACGCGAGGAGCTAGGTGCTCCATCGCTCAGTACCTTTCGTGCACATATTGCTGTACCTTTTGATCTATTTGGCGTTCTACAGCTTGGATTGGGTCAGACCTACTTTCTTTCTTTGGATACCGACCGCATCTGGCTGCATGTTTTGGCGTTTTCGCTATGATTTAGGACACGATACGAACTTTGCTTACGTTGGCGATGAGCTGTACATGATTGGGGCAGGATATTTGTTGACGCGGAGTATATATTTGTGTTCTGCGTACGTACGATACACTAACAATTAGACATGTTCTCAGATTGAGTCTACACGCACTTGATGCCGCAAGTGACATACTTCTTCGCGGTTCAAGAAAAATAGCAAGTGATACTGGTCAATTGCATTGAAATTTGAATGCACATCTCTCTCGCGGATGCGTTCTACGCACAAAAGCTAACTACACTGAAGTACCGCTAGAAATCTATTTGCAATCCTTTCCCACACCACTTCACTACCGCAGTGGCATTCCCTTCTCAATCCCCTCCCCACCTTGCACGGGCTTACTTTCCGGACTGGCTGCAGGCGTCAACAACGAACCCGGCTCCGCATCTAACGCCTTCCCCTCCTTCTTTTTCTTCTGATTCACAAAACCTTTATCAGGACTATCCCACGAATGCCCAAACCACTCTCCCAAAATCTCCTCCACGCCCTCCGCCAATATTTGCACCGCCTTTTTCCTATTCCTGCTCCACTCCCAAGCGCGGTACCACCTTCCCGCCTGCACAGCCGTCTGCTCGCCGCCCTCGAGCCCGTCGAGGATACTCCGCCACACGAGCATCGTCTTGTCGAGCTCGTTGGGATGCGACACTCCTATCACGTTGACGCCGAGTTTCGTGCCGCCGACCTCGGAGTTAGACTCATGCTTCCAGGGGAGGCCGGAAGCGGGGTCGCCGCGGGGAGCCGCACAGTGCACCCTTTGAGACCCACGTCTCGAGCGCCCAGCGGATGGCGATGACTTCTATCTTCTCAGAGTGGGAGTCGCAGAATTTGGATGCTTCATGAACGGCGGTGCGGAGCTCGCGCGGCGCGGGGTGCCAGTCTCCCAGCCCGCCTATTGGAACGCCTTCGCGGCGAAGGAGGCCCATCCCCAAGCATGAGGCATTGGTCGTAACGTCTACACCGGCCTTGTGGAAGCGTTCGATGCCACGCGGGCCGCCGAGGGTTTGGTTCTGCAGGTTGAAATGCGCGTAGGATTGCACACAGTCTATGGGTTCGCCCGTCTCGCGCAGCAGCATCTCGGCCATGTCGCCCAGCACGTCGAGAGGGTAGCCGCAGATGCCGACGTAGCGGATCTTGCCCTCGTCTCTCAGCTTGCGCAGCTCGGTGACTGCTTCTAGGACTTCGGCGGCTGAGACGAATTCGATGTCATGGCAGTACACCAGGTCGAGATAATCTGTGTGCAGTCTCTCCAGACTGCGCTGTACGCTCTGGCGGACCCACCGTGCCGAGTAATCGAACTCGTCTCCTTTCACGCGCCCTACCTTTGTCAAAATCATGTAGGAGGCGCGAGGGAACGTCTCGCGGACGAAAGGTGTAGCGAGCGCATTGCCAAGTAGCTCTTCGGAGGGGCCGTAGTAGGGCGATGTGTCGAAGGCGCGGATGCCGTGTGTGAGGGCAGAAGTTACGAGACCGACGGTATCGAGGGCAAACGGATCGCTGTTAAACTGGTGGTTGAAGGTTGCGGTACCGAAGATGAGGGGCGGGAGGATGGATGAGAGGGGCGTCCGCTTGCCGTTCTCGGTCGAATAGGGAATAGGCTTCTGGCGCGAAGGGAAGGTAGAGGTAGAGGAGGGCTGTTCAGTGGGCGTGAACGCCATTGTCTGGGTATCTTCAAGAGGAAAGCGTTGGCGGGGAAGGAGGTTGTTGATAGCGGGGCAGGCCGTCCGGTATAGGGAGCGAAAGGTAGAGCCCGCTGCCTTTTCTTCTGCGATGGTCTATTTTGAGGGAGTACGGAGGCAAGCTCGCAGCGAGCGGCGCAGCTTGTTAATTATTCCGTCGGATGCATTGCGGTCTCAGGGTCTTGGTGTCAAAGTTTAGGTGGGCTATCCGCCTAGCTCCCACGCTGGTGCATCGCTGTCGCAGGCGCCGATGTCGTTTCCTGATGCACTAAAATGGCGCCATGGATTCTAGAAGAAAATGATTTGTCGAGAACGATGAGCTGCCGAAAACGGCGGGGGTGACCATAAACGTTTGGTCCCTGCAGAATCCATGTATGAAGATCGATCTTGGCTGCGGGTCAGGACTAAGATCTACAACACCACCTGATGGTGGATTATGGATATTTCGCATTTGATCCCCAGAGCGTGCATCTGATACGAGTTGAGTGTTATCAAGCACTTCCCCGTTCGACTGAGGCAGTGTATTCGATATCGCCTTGCACCTGACACTGCAGGTACGCGTCCCCTCTGGTGCGACTTTGACCCACAAACCCACGGCGCGTCTGCAGGCGCTTGGATCTTCTTCCTCTTGTTTGCAACTCTACCGCCCGTCTTGCGCGTCCGTCATCGAACACTGGCCGCGTCTACGTCGATCTTTGTAGATGATTAGTTTCCCCAATGCCACCAGTGTCGTCTTGCTCTTCCAACCACTTCACTCGAAGACCTGTCTCGACCCTCGAGAACATCGCCATGCACACGTCTCGCGCTCTCAGCAGCTCTAGGTCTCGACTCTTCTCAGCCAGGATCCGAAGAGTGTTCAAGATGCGAGAATATTCGCGCATGGTGTCCGTGTTCACTTTGCTGGAGGCTGCGTGAAGATGATGCGGCACTACCGTGGTAAATGCAGCGATAACAGGGCGCTTAATCATCCTGTTCACATCGTAAGCATATTCGGTCGTCTATCATAGTCGAAGACTTACCAACAAACCCCAATATCCCCATGCGGAATCAACCCCAAATGCTCCAACAACCTCTCCGCATCCCTAAAACAACCATGCACCTTCTGCGCCGCCAGTATCGCCAACACGTCCGCCGAAAATGGATTAACCAGCGGATTCTTCCCCAGCGAGAGAAACGCGTATATGCGGAACACAGTCGCGAAGTATGACGCTTCTACCGTAAGTACATGCATCAGATCCGAGCGGTAGAGAAGTTGCATTAGTTGCTCAGGCTTATAACGGAAGAGCTCGTTGTCACGCCACGTTTCGAGGCGTGTGAGGATTGACTGAGCTGCTTCGTCAATGTTAGACTCGCGAGCACTAATGGAGAGGACTTTCTCGATAGCCTCGGACTGAATGAGCGCGAGACGGATGCGTAAGGCGAATAGGTTGACTTTCCAGTCACCCTCCGCTGCGGCCACGGAGCCTAGCGAGTCCTGCGGGTTCTCGTCTGGGAAGGGAGAGCGGATGTCTTCTGTGCGGTGCGTGGTTGGCGCGTTGGAAAAGATGGATTCCTCCGTGTCCAGCATAAAGGCACACCAGAAAACACGGCGCTGCTGCTCAACGTCGACTACTTGAGTGGTGGCGGCGTTGGCGTCGCCCTGCTCGTATGCAAGGAATTGTGCTATCCGGAGAGCTGTTGATATGAAGATCCCGCTCGGTCGCGAATGCGACGAGGTTCTGATAAGCATGCCCAGTCCGAGAAGACATTGCACAAGACCCAAGGTTGGCGGCGCAATCAATAGGGCGGGAACAATCTGAAGTATCCTAGAGAGGTAATAGTCTGCTAGCTCGTTATCCATGGGCGTGGCCACGTTACTCTGTGCACGCGCGCGATGAGCGATACCTAGCACCACATACGCACTTGCCCACGCTAGTGCGGTGCCGTCTGAGTGCCCTTCGTAGCATATTCGGATGTGCTCCGCGATCTCGTTGGGCCGATAGAGTGCAAAGACAGTGTTGAAGTCGACCAGAAATTCCGCGAGCAACGAGGCTCCCAATTCCGGTTCGGGCAGGCTATCATTGCACATTGTTGTAGGTACAATATTGGTGTCGTCAATAGTGAGATTTTCCAGTCCAGCTGGCGGCTGATAGAGAGGATCTTGCAGCAGCGCCGCGTCTTGTTCGAAGTCTGCGGAAGGCTCGAAATCGTCCAGAGACTGGAGAGCAAGATCATCAGATGCTTCGTTGCTGAAAACGGGTTCCCCAGCTCCAGACATCGATGAAGCAGATCCTGTCATCTGGTACGTCCCTTGATAAGTCGTCGGATCTAGATCGGGAGAGGCCTCCATTGGGTATTGTTCGACTTCTGTGCGCAGATTGTCTACCCACATTGACAACGACATCGACTCATTTGGATCGTGTGGTGGCAGAGGTTGTAGCGGTTGACTTTGAATATGCGTCTGTATGTCGCTCCGCTCCCTAAGCAGATTCTCCAGGTTCTGAAGACGGCGTTCATATTCCTCGACTCGCTCCCTAGTAACCGTCAGTACAATTTCACAACATGATCCCAAGATATTGCGCTGGACGCATTGTCTGTTTCCCTGCGAAATGGCGTGACCATTCTTTTGACGCAGCGCTATCAAGACGCAGGGTACGTAAACTCCACTTCCAGCATACCTTCTCTGCGGCTTTGATCTCTGCTTCCGCACATAAGTAGTCGTGCACTCTTCCTTCAACTGCGTACAATGTCTACACTTTTTGGCGCCCTCATCCCATAAACACCTCCTCTTCCTCTTCCGACATGAGTCGCAAGCCTAACAATTCATTAGTAGCCCCACCAACACTATCACCACGAAAGAACACACCCGCACAGTTGCAGCAGAACCCCGCTTCTGGACGCCTGAAGACATTGTTACCAATAGACACAAAGACGCGAATCTCACATAAAGTTGAACGGGTTGATTGAGGCTGAGGGCGCGCCCAGAGAATTCGTAGGGCTGACGCTTAGTAATAGGCGAACAGAGGATTATCCTCGTACTTTGGCTGGCTGGGCCCATACACCAAGCTTAGCTACATGTGTATCTCCGGGAAACGTAAAGGCGGTGCGGCCGACCCCCTGTTACCGATCTCTGCTGACTTTGAAGATGTTTATGCCATGTAGGTAGGACCCGTGCTACAAACATCGTGATCATATGACCGGGTTCCAAAAGAGCCATTTTATGGTCCTATGCCTGGCCGACGTACACGGCTGTGTTTCTCCAAACGTCTACCTTACTTGAGCGTTTATCTAGGAGCAATGCCCCTGCAACACCTGCAATTTTAGTAAAGCAGGTATCGTCAGGCAGACAACTTTGGGAAGATCAGCAAAGGGACAAACCATCCTCATCTACACCAAGCGTGAGCCGCTATTCCTGCATGTCTTTCGGAAGACGAGCCGTCTCGGAAGACAATCCGTGTCGAAGCCAAGTCTTCTAATTCTAGAAGCACGTTTGATGCACGACGGGTAGACATATGGAGTCAACCGGATTGTCTTCGGAATGGACATCAACCAAGACGCCAACGCGGAATCAAATGCATGCAGGGATTGCGCGTAAGGCGAGTAGACGTAGTGAATATGTGCGTTGATAGTCAAGACCCAACCACACATTTGCTATTGACTAACCGTTGAAAGCGGCAACAATGATGCAAGCTAAGGCGCAGGGCAACCTTTGATCCTCTATTTAACTCATATGCGCAATATTCACATCGCTGCTGCCACAAGGGTTCTTCTCGATCGGACAACGCACTAAGAAGCCTGCACAAGATGTACAATTTATGCAACACCACAAGACCTCAATCGGTGAAAAGAGCCACTTGGCGCCGTGGAGGAAGCCACATGTCAAAGCGAAAGGGCGTATTCGCACTCCTATCGCAGTTAGTTGGCCAACAATTCCGAATGCGGGGTCAAACCATTCGGAGTGGGCTCCACATTTACCAGCACTTGCTGGTCGGGAAAATTTAACAGAATTTGGATGGCGAACAGTCATACTTGATGGAAGATAATAAATAGTTGGAAAGGCGGATTCTGTCGACACTGACCACACCGACCTGCGTGACGCACCAATCAACCCACGAACATTGTTGGCCTCTGAGTGAACCTGAGTCGTATCAAGCAAAATCAAGATGGATGCATTGGCAAACCCAGCGGTCCAGCTGCAGGACATGCCTCCCGGTGGAAGGGCGGAAATCATCGCGAGCGAGGGACCGAATGTGTTAGAGAAAACAATCTCTAGATTGTCCAGACGAGTGTCTACTCAGTCAGGGAAGAGCCGCCACGCGACAGCGGTGCCAGTACGCGAACAGACGTCATCGAGAACAGAACAAGCCGGAGGAGGCGCCGAAGCAGAGATTGCAGAAGAGGTCGACACCGAAGATGTATTCCCCGAGGGCGGTCTGCGAGCATGGCTTGTGGTGCTTGGCGCAACTTCTATGTTACTGCCATCGTTTGGCCTGATGGTCACTATTGGCACACTACAAGACTACTGGCACCAGAATCAGCTATCGAATTTCACTGCGCGAGACATTGGCTGGATACCGTCAGTCTTTGTGTATCTCACACTCAGTCTGAGTCTTTGGGTAGGACCCCTTTTTGATCGATACGGCCCTCAATGGATTGCTTTGATAGGAAGCTGTGGTTACGTGGTCATGGTGTTCCTTCTCGCCGAATGCACGGAGTTCTGGCAGATGATACTTTGTCTTGGGGTATTGGGAGGAGTAACAGCAGCTATGTTGACCTGTACTGCGCTCGCTGTGGTTGCACAATGGTTCAAAACTCGAAGAGCACTAGCGCAAGGTATCGCAATGGCTGGCACTTCTGTCGGAGGACTTTCGATGCCATTGATCCTGAAGTCGACCTTCCCGAGGTATGGTTATGCTTGGTCTTTGCGCATTTTAGGCTTCATGTTTGTGTTTTTTCTCGTGGTCAGTAACATCCTGCTTAAGGCTCGCTTCCGTCCATCAGCCGCAGCGAAGAAGAAAGCCATGATATCTTTGCACATCTTCGGAGATCTGCGATTCAGTCTCTTCGCCATTACCGTGTTCGGCTTCGAAATCGTCTTGTTTGGTACCTTGGGTATCCTATCTACCTATTCGTCAATATCCACGCATTTCCCACCCGACACCAGTTTCTACCTAATCGCGGTCCTAAACGGAGTCTCTTGCCTTGGACGGATCATACCAGGTTACCTTGGTGATAAGCTGGGACGATTTAACACCCTGCTCATCATGATCATCTTCACGCTGGTCTTCATGCTGGCTTTGTGGCTGCCACTCGGAACGAAATCACTGCCCGCACTGTACGCTTTCTCAGCGCTTTTCGGGTTTGGCACTGGCAGTTGGATGGCCTTGACTCCTGCTTGCATAGGACAGCTGTGTAGGGCGGATGAGTTTGGACGCTATTATGGCTCGATGTACTTTGTAGCATCGCTGGCCACGCTCGTGTGCGTTCCTATTAGTGGAGAACTGGTACAGACTGTTGGGCCTGACGCGATGGTTGGCTTCTTCTGCTGTATCCTTGCTTTGAGTCTGGTAAGCTTCATCTTCAGTCGGTGGGCATATTTAGGAAGACGGTGGACCCTTCTGGTGAAAGTCTGAGCAAGGCCAATGGGAGCTTTGGCGCAATTGACAGAGCATATCATGAGTGGAACAATAAAGTAATGTCTAAACTGTCGCTGTTTGAGAGGGAGGCGTAGGCAGCCGGCAGATTAGACGCAAGCGCCAAGACCCTCGCTTGTGAAGAACTTTCTGTGCCGGCGCTCACACCTTCCTTTCCTCAAGTGCACGCCACACCACACCACACCACACCACACTCGCAAGGCACCTGTGGTTTATGATAACGGAGCTCATGAAGATGATACCCAGAGCGCAATATTGGGCGCGCATCCTACGTTGAGCATAAGACCGGCGTTAGTAGCTATTGACGTAGAGGTACGTTTGTGCGCAGTCTTTCTTCCCACACCATTGTCATGATGATTCAACCAATTTCAAGTTTCAAGACGGATCGGAGAGGCCTCGCCTCCTTGAATGAGCATTTCCAAACTGACGAATCGCCCTATTCTTTCATACATTCAACATCTTCATCTGACGCAAGCTGACAGAGCATCACAGATAGTAAACCGATATAGTTCCCGCTTTTGCATTTGCGATCCGTAACTGTGAGAGCTTTTCCGAAAAAGTTAAGGAAAATGAATGCAGACAGCTAGTTTACAATTCAGAGTGGACCTCCGAAGAGATCTTCTCGAGGGAAAGACACTAAACCAGCCAAACATAATAGTAGTTGCATCCATATACGCCCACCTTTTCCGCCAAATATGCCCTTAGCGTTTTGACCACTACCTCCCGCATAAACTCGGAAAGCCACAAAAACAAACGTAATTAAGCATAGTTCATCGGGCACGACTCAAGACTCATGACTTGATAGGAAGGTTAGAGCTTCCTGTGTCCCACTTCGTCACTAATATGGGACCTGGGCTCAGGACCTGTTCCTGCCTGACCGCCTGGGTTGCCCATCCGCAGTAGCGGCCTTTTTGGGTTCCTTCGCAGACTCTTTCTTTTCCTTCTTAGCGCCACCCTTGGGACGGCCAGGCTTCTTCTTGTCCTCGGTCTTCCCCTCGTCAGCTTTAGCCTTCTTCGAGACAGGCTCTTCATCATCCTCCGCGCCGTTTGTCTCAGTAGCAGGCTCTTCAGCTTTGCGCTTGTCGCCAATCTTGGGATCTTCCTCAGCCTTGCCCTCTCCCTCAGGCTGCTTTTCTTTTTCAGCACCCTCCTTGGGCTGTTCGTTGTCTTGATCTGCCTTAGAGGCCTCGACTTTGTCAGAGACACCGTTTTGTTTGTCGGAGGCGTCCTTGTCGGCCACCTTCTCCGGCTCCGCGTCCTTCATCTCCTCATCCTTCTTTTCCGGCTCGGCCGGCTTCTCGTCAGCCTTATTGTTGGATTCAGTCTCCTTGTCGGCCTTTTCAGGCTCTGCTTGCTTCTCCTCAGACTTGGAGTCGCCGTTGGCTTGTTCGGAGTTGCCATTAGCCTTCTCCTCTACATGAAGCTCAGAAGCACGCTTGACGACGTCATTGCCGGACCGCTCGACATGAACCGCTGGATTTTCGGGGTCGGCATTCTTCTTGATGGTGTTGCCTCGCTTGGATTCGATGGCGATCTCGCCTTGCGATTTGACCTCGGCAACCTCACCACCGGGTTGTCCGCCACCCCAGTTCCAAGAAACTGCAGTATACGCATCAGCAATCTATATCAATGCTGGTGCGTACAGACGCTCGGAATGGTGGTGCATGTGCGCTCCTTCTGCGCGCATGCAGGCGCAAGAATGCTAGCGGAGCTGGGGGCGACGCGCGAGGTGGAGCTGCCACTATATGCCCGAGCCGGACGGGATGGATTCATGCATACCTTTGTCGCCCTCTTGAATCTTAGTGTCAGCCATTGCGCTCCCTGTTGCTTGATGAGCCGACAGTGATGGAATGACGTTCAATCTCCGTAGAACCGGACTTAACGGTCGCGAAGTGACTTGGAGCTCAATTGAGTCGCGTGAAGCTGGAGCTAGGGCGCGTCAGGATGAGAAGGATGCGCGTGTGGTAGGGGGATGTGCGCAACGGGTGAGAAGGTGGGTGTAAGAGTGAAAGGTCAGGAAACCTTGCGTGATGTGAGGTCAAGCTGTGGATCGGAGAACTGCGAGCGATGCACGATCTGCCGTCGTGATTGGCTCGCCTGGCAGTTATGGGGAAAGGTGGCTGGTCCACAAAGCCGGTCACAGCGTCAGCGTCATCGGCGGCCCGTGCAGGGGATCCGCTCTGGGGCTGTTTCCAGAAAGCTCGAGCGCGACGACGGCGGGCCGATGGAAAATGCTATCAACACCGATGAGATACTGTTGGAAACGATGATTGCGGTGGCACTGGCGTGGTAAGAGTGGAAGCTCATTTTGTTGAAGGCGTGGGCGAGTTGAGTGACGCTGTCAGCAGGCAGGGGCCACTCAGCCCTATCCGGAACGTTGCTTTGGCAAGAGCAAAACCTGACGCGTGAAGCCAACGCGACATTGGCTTGATCAAGACTGACACAGCGAGCTATAACCGTGCAACAATATCAGCGCCAAAGCTTCCCTTCAGCGTGAGCTTAAGCAAGTCACCTTTGATGATCTCCTCCTTCCTTGAAACCAAGTCCTCCATGTCCCAATTGGTTGAGATCCATCGCCCACTGAGAAACTTCGCTTTCTCATGGCACAACCAAACCGCCGTGCTTCCCACGAGCTCTGCACTCGTGTGCTCGAAAAGTGTGCCGAAGGGTTCGCGCAACATGTCTGTCGGAACAAGGCCCGGAAACAAAGACGTTGCGACCACGTTGGGATACTCGGCCGCTACGTAAGTTGACAGATTATCGAGAATGAACTTGGAAATGAAATAGCCGCTCATCTGGGGCGCGACGAAGAAGGGCTGCCATGAGCTCACGTTCACGATGGCCGCTGGCGTATCGGGGGTCGGCAGTTGGCGAAGGAAGGCGCGAATCAAGAGATAAGTGCCTTTGCCGTTGACCTCCTATGCACGTAGATCAGTCAATTTTGTATCAAGTTGCAGGCTGACTGTAAGCTTACAAAATTGTGCCACCACTTCTCAGGATCTGTCTCATGGAGCTTGGGGCCATCGCCACTGGCAGCGCCGGCAGCATGTGCGAGAATATCTGAATGTCCGAACTTGTCTTTGATGGCAGCGAAAGCATTCTCGACACTTCTGGCATCGGATATGTCCAAGGCACAGGTCAGAGTCTCAATGGCAGGATCGGTCGCATGAACCGTACGCTCGGTGTCAGCGAGCTTCTCAGCGTTGGTAGCTAGCAACGCAATACCCTTCACGCCAGACTTCACAAACGCTGGGACCATTCCCTATAGACGTCAGGTGTCCGAACCACTAGAGACTTGGACTCTGTTTATCCACTTACAACAGCGCCGATGCCGCGAGATGCTCCCGTGATGATCACAACTTTTTCCATCAGATTATTTGCTGATGTTGAAGGCTCAACTGCTGGATATACATCTAGGTGCGTGTTCTTCGTGAATTGAAGGGCTGTGGTAGGATAATTCCGAGGGAGGTTAAGCCAGTCGACCATCGTGAGTCGTATACTGAAGTCTCACTGTCAAACTTGGTTTTGCAAACTTCTCGTGTGTATTAAATGTGCCAAATAGAGAATGCAAGACGTCAGAATTGATTTTAGGTCAGGTTTGCAGCGTAGACAACAAGGCTTGGTGTAAAGTTAGCGCAAATGAGTGCTGACAGCCAAGATAGGCTGGCTATACGACGCAACATGGCATTACTCTCAAAACTATGCCCGAAAACCGTTCGGATGATATGCGGGGCATGCATTGTTCATGTGCTATGGGGATCTTGGCAATCGAACAATTGGCTTATGGAAGCTGCACGCATATAGCCAGTCCGGATAATCGACGAGCATGGGTCGACTGGTGAGCGATAAGATCTTTGCACAATCGCTTACAAATGCTTGTTTGTCACTCAGTTAGATTGATTATGGATTGTAGGTTCACAATTCCTGGTTCCACTTGGGGACTTTTGCACCTGGGGACTTGACAAACTCGACATACTTGTAGAGCTTTCACGGCCTCTGTATAGCTTAGCCTGGGATGGAAGGTTCCACGACTTCTGGCTTCTCCGTATTCTCACTGGCTCAACTCTCCTTACCCTCCGAGTCTGTATTGTTTCCTACTTCTCTGCTCACCGCCACGCTGACATATTCTTTCATTGTTGTCTCAAGCGACAGTACCCACGTTTCTTTGCATCCAATTCAACAGAATCTTTCACATGTGACCACAAAACACCGAAGGCAAAGCTACACGTCCGCTCAACCCATTTAAGCAGCTTGATCGGCAACAATAAGCGACTACGTTCTGTTGAATGTTCTTGTCGTTTTACATTGGACGACTGGTGTGTAGAGTTTCGTATTCCCGACTGCTTGTATCATCCCAAGTTGGCTTATACTTCCGGTTTGCTTGCGGTACTTGTCAACAAGGCAGTGTCCGGTTGCTGGTGTATCCGCGATAGTTGCGCTTCTTGCTCATGGGAGTCGACATGTTGACAAAGTGGTGTGCATTGGTGTTCCAAGGTTTTTGCACGTTGCGTGGCACCGCCTCTAACGGGATCAGGCTTCGCGCAAAAATAACCCCATACCCGGTATAGGTACCTCTCGAAGTATCACTGCTTACCACCAGCTTCTCTCAGAGTACAAGACCCGCTCTTGCTTTGCTTTTTCAAACTTTGAACTTCAGATTTCCCTCTGTCGTGCTTCACAGCAAATACCGCAACTAGCACTTCGACCTTGCTAAAGTCAAGAAGAGAAACAGGGGTATTCTATACCTAGGTAGCAGAGGCAAGATGAGAGGAGTGTGGGATCAGAGGCGATCCGCACCGACCATTATGCTTGTTTGTCACGATCGCGGCACAGCGATGCCTTCGTGCTAGCATAATGTCTGCGCATTCAGGCCGAGGTGGCAAGCTCGTCCTGGTACGTCTTCCCCACCTTGCTCCTTCTCCGCACGCGAGCTCCGCGCTAGACTACTACCTCGCGGCAACACACCTCTTCGGTGCATCAAGGCATTTGGCTTACTGTCTCATCCAGGATAAAGGGTGACGCTGCTCTGGACAATATAACCAATCACGATCGAATATGGTTCTAGAAATTGAAACGACGTAAATGACAGGTAACGAACATCAACTGATCGAGCCAGCTAGACATGGTTGAGAGGGTTCATGCTGTATAATACGCAGATCACTAGACCGAGGATGCCGCCGGCTCCACCAAGGTCTGACAGAATGTTGTCGAGTAAGTATAGATCTCCCGGAAACCTTCCGCTCATTCCATTGCGACTACTACTAATACTACTGTGAATGACAGTTGTTCCGGGTTTTAGCATCTTCATTCCTGCACATCTCATGAAATCTGCTTGTAACCATGGCTGGAGAACTGCCTTGGCCTGAAGTGCCGATGGGAAACAAAAATCATACGAACGCCGCAGTGGTCATTATCGGTGGTGGTATCAGCGGGATGTGCATGGCCATCGATCTGCTAAAGCGCAACAAATGCCGTAACTTCATCATCCTTGAAAAGTCAGCAGGTCTAGGAGGCACTTGGTGAGTCAGGATAGCTTATAGATCATAGCAATTGGTTGACTAGCCTCTAAAGGAACGACAACAAATACCCCGGATGCTGCTGCGACGTGTTTTCACAGTTATACAGCTACTCCTTTGCTCAAAACCCAGACTGGACACGCGAATACCCTGGTCAAGAAGAGATACTAGCTTACCTTCAGCGCGTTGCTCAAGAGTACCAGCTGCTGCAACATTTCCGGTTCAATACTGAGGTCGTTGACGCAAGTTGGGACAAAGGAGCCCAGAAATGGATGGTCCAAGTCAAGACTGCCCCGGGGAGCAAAGAGGCCGAATACCATCCTGACTATGAGATTAAGACAGATTTCCTGGTCAGCGCTGTTGGGCAGCTCAATGTGCCACACTGGCCTGAGATCCAGGGCATCGAGAACTTCAATGGCAAGAAGATGCACTCAGCAAGGTGGGACTGGTCATATGATGTAGCTGATAAGAAGATTGCGCTTGTGGGAAATGGTAGGCGTTGATCTGTGCAAGTCTACTGGGAGATGCTGACCTGGAACAAGGGTGCACGGCTGTGCAGATTCTGCCAGAAATCGCCAAAGTGGCCAAGCATGTCACTGTTTTCCAGAGGACCCCAAATTGGGTTGTTCCACGACTCGACGCGCCCGTTAGCGCAACCTGGCGCAACATCTATCGCTACGTACCCGGCGTGATGGCCAGGAAACGAGCTGCGATCATGGACTTCAGGGAGTCGACGTATGGATTCATTGAGAGCGCAGATTCAGATATGTCCAAATTGTACACGAGCAGGTCCAAGGAGATGCTGCACACTCAGCTGCCAGACCGGCCAGATCTACAAGAGAAGTTAATCCCAAAGTATCAGCTTGGCTGCAAGCGAATCATCATCAGTGACGACTATTTCCCAGCTCTGGGCCAGGATAATGTCACGCTAGAAACGCGACCTATCAAGAGCATAGACGGCAGCTCAGTCAAGGTTGCTGGTGACAATGATGAGGTAGTCTCAGCACGAGATGATTACGACCTGCTGGTCTGTGCAACTGGATTCAAAACCGTGGACTTCATGCACCCCATCCAGCTCTTTGGTAAGAACGGTCATCATATCGGAGATGTTTGGAAGGATGGAGCGAAGGCGTTCTACGGCATCACAGTGGAGGACATGCCTAACTTTGGCATGCTCTACGGTCCGAACACCAATCTTGGCCACAACAGCATTATCCTGATGATCGAAGCTCAATCACGCTACATCAACGGTTTGATAACCCCTGTGCTCGAGGCACGGAAGAAGGGCAAAGCGTTGAGCCTGACGCCAAAGAAGGAGCGGTTGGAAGAGTACAATGCCCAGCTTCAGAAGGAGTTGCGGAACAGCACGTTTAATGATCCGAATTGCCAGTCATGGTACAAAAACGAGAAGGGCATCATCACCAACAATTGGTCTAAGACCGTGGTGGAGTACCAGAAGATGGTTCAAGACGTCAACTTCGAAGATTATGTCGTAGATGGAAGTGGCATAGACGAGGCGGAAAGAAGAAAGACCATACATGTGGGAAGAGTGAAAGAAGAATCGACTGTAAGTGATAAAACATTGTTGATTGGAGTCGTCAGTACTGCGGCGCTCCTCGGAGGATGGTTCTTGCGGAACTCGAGATATCTGCGGAGCGTCGGGATAAGGTAGGGTCGTTGGAATGCACCCTAATAATATATCTGTGAACCGCGCCCTGAATATGCATAATGCAAACGGCAGGAATCTGAAAAGTCAATCATGTTGTCCTTGATTGGAGAAAAGTGATTGACCGTGAATGCAGGCCAGATCCAAATGATCATTCTAATTGTACCTTTGTTACTAGGAAGGCAAGAAAATGGTCATCGTGTTTCCTGGTGCACTACAAATGCCGTTGATGTTGGGGCGATCTGGCATTGGTAACCCTGACATCTTGAAGAAGGCTGGAATCGAACTTGTCTCCGATCTTCCTGCGGTTGGTGAAAACTATCGAGAACACCACCTCGTCATACGCGCGTACTAATCCAGCCTGAACGAAGGCCTGAGTATTCCGCTACTGAAAGTTGCTGCAAACGTAATGATCACGGTAGTGAGGATTGCCGAGAAGACTGCAGATATCTTTATCAAAGAGCTGGGTTTGCTTTGAGTTGCATTGAACTATTTCGCGACGCATACGCTCGCAGCTTCCGTAGTGAAATTTAGCCGCTGAATTTCCAGGTTTTCTGCGTTACCTGTTGAGCTTGCCGTAGGGTGTTGTACCATCTCCTAGAAGAGGGGTGGATATGACGTTGGTTGCCAGTACAAAATCCCCAGTCTGAGCGTGCGATGACTTGCACAGGAGAGATCATGTGGGGGAAGGTAAAAGAAATTCTCTTAAACGAGTGTCAAGGAGCCTCCCAGAAACGCCGCGCTATGCAATATGACACTGGATGAACTCAATATACCAGATTGTCCAGATGGCACTTCTACTCGTCCGTTTGCCATTGGTACTGCAGCTTCTCGATATTGGCCTTCCGGTTCCTGGAGCTGAACCATTCACTCTCAAATCCATTTCCTCTATCAACGCCATCCCACCGATGACCCGGGCGGATGCCGTAGCGATTTGGTTGGAAAGCCCCCTGGTAGAGCGGCTTGCCTGTGATGCTCCGACCGGCTTTCTTCTTGCGTAAGAAGCCAGCCGCCGGGTCGTTCCACCTTCCCTGCTCTTTCAACTCATCGTTAAGCTCGGCATCATCCGCATACCGTACTATCGTTAGGCCTTTGGCATCTTGCAATTGCTGTTTCCGTCGCGCCGCCTCCGCGTTTTGCACATCTCCTCTCGCCGCCCTCTCTTTTTCTAGCTTTTTTCTTTCTTCCTCTTCCGCCTTTTTCCTCGCTTCTGCGCGCTTCATAGCTACATTGATTATCCGTCCGCTGGCATCTCGGTAGATGGTCTCTCCAGCGCCACCCTCCTTCGCCACCTGTGCTGCCTTTTTCGTCTCCTCATCTTGCTTTTTCTTCATGACCGCGGCGAGTTGCTCTGCCGTCTGCAGACCAGCGCGAACTCCAGACTCCATGAATACGCCCTCCGTGTCTTCTACCGCTGGCGCTTCATCTTCGTTTTCAGCGTCCTGTTTGCGGTCAGAGGCAGCCGATGCTATGATGGCGTCTGCTGCGGCTTCATCTGCTGCGAGTTGTGTGGCGTGCGAGGGCGCTGCAACACCGACTGTTTTCCAGGCTGCGTCTTCGGCGTGTTTCGACTTTTTCTTGGATTTCTTGGATGAGAGTGTCATTCCAGCTATGTGACAATCAGCAACTTGAACGTCTGTGGCACTTGTATGGAGAAACGTACCAATGGTTGGCGCATCATCGTCGTCCTCGTCTGCGCCCTTGTTCCAGCCAGAAATATCGTCGTCGTCGATTTTGAGACCACCATCCTTGTGTTTTCTTTTGCGCTTTTTCGACTTTTTATCCGAGTCTGCTGTGAGATAGTTCTTTGCGAGATAGTCGGCGAGAGACATGTTGTGCCGCGTTGTTTGTGTAGTAACGGATGATTGACAGCTAGGTTCGATAATCATCTGTGCCAAGCTAAATCCCAGGCATTTTGCACGTGAGGACGCATCATTAGCGTGATTTGTTTCGCCCCACCAAAGATCTCCATCTCTATCAGTTGCTACAAGACTTGTCTATCTTTCGAGGAACCTTGAATATTGCGTTGACGCTTCAGATATTGCAAGATGCTATTCGGTAATCTTACGTCTGTGTACGCGCCGGAGAGCAAACAATCAGAACCCTTTCACTTGGGAAAGGTGCAATATGTATACGACGATGAAGCCGTGAATTATATCCGCGCTGCTAGGTGCTATTTCTGGTCGAATGGCTCACCGCGTGCTGAAGTAGCGCCTACAGACTGTACAGCTGATGTTGATTACCTTCTGCGTGAATCGCTTGCTACGGTAGGCAACACAAGAGGCTCACCTATCATAATGACGATGCATGGCGTCTGGGCCGTGCCCTCGTTCAAACCGGACGTTTCGTCCTGCATGGCTATCTCACTATGACAGTATTAATCACACCGAAGAAGGAATGTCAGTGGAGCCCTGCTGATGGGTGATTGTTCCCCGTCGCGCCAAGGCGCTATGTCGGCATCTAACGTGCCTTTCTATAGTTGACACTCGGAGCGAGTTCACAGTACCCCGCGATGGCGCCTGGCGAGCGCTCCGAAGAGGCCTATCTATGGTTTTCTACCGTGTGCGAGGCTATTCAAGAGATACCGCCCGGCAAGGTTACATCATACGCGCACATCGCAAGGCTGGTCGGAAAGCGTAAGCAGCCAGAGGGCGAACATGACTACACTCGCTGACAAGGCTGCGACATCAGCTCAATGTCCCAGGTAACACATGTTGTCCCGCACGCAGCATCAGGAATGTACTGAGGATGACGTCGTGTAGACAAGTAGGCGTCTGTCTTAAACACCTGCCAGCTGCATCTACCGATCCTGGCAAGAAGTCCCCTAAGTGGCACGATGGGAACGTTCCTTGGCAGCGCGTGATCAACGCCAAAGGAGGGATCAGTCCGAGGTCAGTCTAGGCTTTGTCTAATCTCCATGAACCACCACTATCTACTTGTTCGCTGACAGGACAAAGAGGGCCTGGCGGTGCTGCTCGCCAGGCCGCCGCCCTTCGGAATGAGGGCGTCGAAGTGACGCAGAACGCCATGGGCGAGTTCTCCGTCGACTTTGGGAGGTACGGCTGGTTTCCGTCGGTCTTGCCCAGCGAGGCTGAAGAAGTGGAGAGCAGCGATGAAGAAGACGAGGACGCAGCAGACGCGGCGGCATACCATAGCTGAGGCATCGAGATTGACGGAACGGGCGCGTGCTTCACGTAGGCATGGCATGGCGGCATGGCGTGTTACTATCGCGACAGGACGAATGATTGCAGGAACACAGGCGGCTGCGATAACACGTGCCGTGGGGATGGTTTCCCGCAGGCAGTCAACATTACGCCGCGCAGATACACGCCGCGGGGAGCGATGAGCGAATGCGCTGAGGGTCCGATTCGCAGGCAGATAGTCAGTTGCCGGACCCGAGACGGCGCGTTGAGAGGGTCCACCGAATAGAGAGGGGCACGGCAACGCGTGCGTGGAGAGGCCCATGGCAGATTATCAATAATGGAGGGCGTGTCGAGATGAAAGCATCCGTATTGCGACAGGCCAGTACATGCGCGACCGTAGGCGTCGAGCAAATGCGGGGAACGCCGGAGCGCAGCAGCAAGGCTGGCGGGCTCAAACCCGCTCAGCCTCCAACCACACGCCCACGTTCGGCGGTCCAAGGCGCATGATGAAGGCCATGTTGTCATGGGCGCCAATGTCATCATCCGCCTCAGCAGGCCGCCAGCTTCCAGCTCGCAGCTCAGCAGGTTCGCAGCTTCGTCCGCACCGGGCCTCGGCGAATCGGAACGTGTCTCACGTGGATGCTCCCTCACCAAGGTGCTCTTATCGCGAGCGACGCCAGGCACAACAAAGGAAGCGGGCATGGGCCTGCGCCGCTTCATAAAGCCGCCAGCAGCCACCCGCTCGTTCGTCTGCATCACAAGCGCTTCTATGTCCGTACAATAACTGCATCGCCACCTGGGCACATAGTTCCCATAGCACTCATCCTGAGTCACTCCTCAGAGTCATCCAAGACAGATCCGAGAACGAGTCACGCTTTCTCCTGCTAGCCGGCTCCTATTAGTACCTTCCTGTCATACCAACCTACCTTGCACTCGCTGCCTATCCCACTCTCTTCCTCATACCCCCTCCCTAATCTACTTAGCCACCTACACAACCCTCCTTCTCCACTTTCCTGTATAACCCGACACCCATATCCGCAACCACCTCTACCAGTCACCAAGCTCTCAACAGCACCATGGCATCGGAGCAGATCTTCACCAGCGACTTCCGCAGCGAGTCCAAGGAATTCAACCGCGACAAGACCTCCCGAGTGAAATGGGCGCATGGCGCGTCCTATGGACCTGGTCGTCGGGCTGAGGAGAACCGTCCTCGTCCAGCCCGGGTCGCTGCTGTGCCAAAGTGAGTTGACTCTGGACGCTCCTGCAACCCAAAACGTAATCTAACGTATGCAGAGCACCGAAGAGCTCCGTTGGTATCGACAAGGCTCGCTCTACCATCAAGAACGATATCGCCTACGCTAGTGGCGATTCTTCGGCCGATGAAGAGGTCGACCACCCCTCCGTTGCCCCCGTACCCGACGCTGGTGTTGCCTACTCCTTCGACGCCGAGCGTGGACCTAGTCATGGCAGCCAGGTCCTGGGTGTCGCCCTGGCAAAGGCTATCGAGACCTACGAGGTTCGCCAAACCGATAAGCTGATCAAGGAGGAATATGAGGTGCTCCGCCTGGATGACGACGCTCTGTCTCCAGGCCCAAAGACCGCTCGGAAGGGCGTTGCGCCTGAGGACGAGGATTACGAATTCATCGAGGGATGAAACATCGCCTCGCCCACCACACCCTTTCTTTCACGACTTGTATGTTTCCCACATGAGCGACTCGGCATCCTTGTTTATCGGCGTTTGAATGCGGACGGCATCCACATCGGTACGCCCGATAGGTAGTATTTTGCATTGTGACGGTTATGGCATCAACAGGCGAGCGTCCGGCGCTTTCTGAGGACTTGAGCGGTCATACCAGCCTCTGGTCTGCTGTGTGATATTGCGTTTGCTTTGGGTAAGCGGGGAGAACGGTACCATAGTACCTCCGACGGATCGGATAGTCTATTTTGTCGCGTTCGATCGACTCCTAATCCTACAATTAGTAGCAAGGGTCCGTGAATTCACGGTCCCCTCAACAACACAGCCTGCTCACCTTTGCCATTGTGCTTGAGTGACAAATGTGATGGCGCGTCATTCCCCGCAGTTTGCAAGCGGCAGCCATGGCATATTCTAGCCTGAAACACGACGGCGCCGCTGATGGAAAGGCAGGTGGAGGTCCAAGAGGCTGGTCGATGCCGATCGCAGCTACTAGCGCTACGTCATGGAACATTTGTCAATCGCGTGCTGCGACGTCTAAACCACATAATCTCACTCCACCGAGCGCCTGTCAAGAGCTTGGTTGACTTCATAATCCTAGGGGTCACCTAGCAGACGTCGCAGTACGCGCAAGTCACTCGCCACTCGGGTGTCTGTGACGCTCCGTTATCAGTATCCACCGAAGCTGAGCCCCCTTGCCCAGTTCCGTATCTACCATTTTATGGCCTGATCACAATCCACCGACCCTCCGAACAACACACCCAGCATCGCCAGCTCTGTCGCTATGACTGCTGATGCGCCTGCCGAACGGTTTGGTCGCCCTCGATGGCTGCTCCATGTGCAGGCGCAAATTTGGCGCTTCCTCATGGGCATCGGCATGATGCTGCACAAGCTCGCTAGACCGCTGCCGCCCTCACCCTCCTTCGTCCGAACCATCGAAGCGACCGTCTCGCCGCTCAAAGGCCAATTTAAATTGCATTTTTACGTTCCCAAGGACTACAACAAGATCAAAAAGTTAAAGGGTGCAAAGAGATATCCATGCCTCATAAATTTCCACGGAGGAGGATTTGTGCTGGGTAGCGCCCTGGACGACGCTCGATGGGCAGGAGTGGTCGTTGAACAAGTTGGCGCTATCGTCGTCAGCGTCGATTACCGCTGTGCGCCTGAGTTTCCGTTCCCTACGGCGGTTGAAGATGGTGCCGACGCGGTGCTGTACCTGGCCCAGCATGCCGACGAACTCTTGATCGATCCGAGTCGCTTTGCGATATCTGGCTTCTCATCTGGAGGAAACATGAGCTTCACAGTCCCCCTATGTCTGCAGGGTGAATTGCTAGATCGCTCACCGTCTGGAGAGAAGATAGAGAATCCCGCGCGTAGAGGAAGCGTCCCAGCTATCAATATTCTCGCTCCTCCACAACCAACAGTATTGAAAGTGCCGCCTCAGGCCAACGCCTCCGGATCGCGCGTCGCTCTCTCAAGAACTGTTACTGGAAACAGCCGGCTTGACCGAATCGCAATGCTCCGCACGACAGGACAATCGGCTCTATCACTCGTTTCCTCTTACAAAGAAGGCTCTGCCGTCGCCGTCGCAACGCATGGTTCCAAAGCCGAAGCCAAAATCCGCGGCATCGTCTCCTTCTACCCACCCACCGACTACACGCAAACCCGCGCCCAGCGGCGCGCCACCTGTTCCCGCGCAGACCAACTCCTCCCCGCCGTCTTCACCGAGCTTTTCGACGACTCCTACCTGCAGCCCCCCGCGCTCGATCTCGCGCACCCGTGGCTCAGCCCTGGCGTCGCACCTACAGACATGCTTGCCGCGCTCCCCGACGACATCGTTCTCTTCTGCTGCGAGTGGGACATGCTTCTCCACGAGGGCGAGAAGTTCCGCGATAGGCTGAAGACGGATCTCGGCAAGCGTGTCCATTATCACTGCGTACCTGGCGTGCCGCACGGATGGGACAAGGCGCCGAATCCGCTGCGCGAGAGCCCTGGTGCGAGGGACCAGTACAAGGTTGCGTGCAAGGAGTTGAAGCGCATGTTTGATATTGAGGATGATGTTGTGGAGGAGGGGTTGTGTGAATGTCCGCATGGAAGGGATGAGGAGGCGAGTATTGGCATGGAGAGCGTGAAGGAGGTGCAGACGAGGGGAAGTACGAGAGATGGGACCCAGTAGAGGAGGTGTCGTGGGTCTGGTTGGTGTATTAGGATGTTGCATGCAGCACGTCTTTTAGCATGGCGTTCGGCGCGGGTGTCTTTTGGCGCAGCATTTTGGGGAAGAGCTCCCTGGACAAAAAGGTCATTGTATTCTTGTACATCGTAGTTTATAGATTTAAATATATATATTTTCACTGTTAATCATCGTCTCATGCAATATTTGTGTTCCCAAGTGCTTCGTTCTAGGCGGTTGTTGCTTGGGCGTGCTTTCCTCCTTAGTGTTGAGGCCGGGCTACTGTTTAACGATAACAGATCTCGACGGCTGATGGACATGCACTCCGTGCCAACTGACTTGAGGAACAGTGAGTGGCAGAACACCCCCTGACAGCAAGCACAGATCCTACAACCATGGCATGTAGTGACACCAGCCTTGTTAGTTATTGTTCGCGCTCAGCCATGTTCACGTAAAGAATCAAAACCAATCAAAGAACCCAGCCAAGAGTGCTTTGTGAACGAGTTCGAAGGGTTGAACTTGAGAGATTCAACGTTGGAAGTTATTGAAGATCACCATCATTTGTTTACGAGCGAAATTCGTTCGAAAGCGAATGTAACCTTTGAGTTCTGTCTACAGCTAGTGAACAAAATGATTGCATGAGGTGAGCGAACCACGGATGGTCGCGCCATGAATGACTCAACTTACTAGAACCGGATCCGTGATATGGCGGATGACCTGCGAATCGTAAGGTATCGCTACTTCCTTGGTTGCGGATCTCATGCAGAACGCACCCTTGGCTGTGGTAGCAGAAAGATTGGGTCCTAGATAGAAAATGTGCGTCGTATGCTGTGTAATAGAACTGTACACTCGAATGCGCAAGTGTTAGTGGCAGATGACCTCGTTTAGGGCAACTACATACAGTACGAGCGCATTGATATATCCAAGCTTACGTGATGTCAATCCTGTAGGCTCTTTCAAGAAGGGTGCAGGGGTAAAGCCCAACCTTAGGGGGAGGCCTAGTTGTCGTTTGCTGAAAGAAGTAATGCTTGGTAGTTTCCAGCGCGTTGGAATATGCCAAGTTTGACGTACAGTGGGACTTCATGGGTGTCGATGAACTCTTCGCTGCGCACTGCAAGCCGACCGCTGCTGGTGCTAATGAGGAGTGGGCGAGACGCACTCTGCGTGCTATCTGATAGACAGCTCACTGTGTACATCGGGACCAGTTTCGAAGTCTCATTGCCAAGGATACCTACACTTTGTTTGGACTATACCTATGGTGTCGGCCCATCTGTCTTTTCACCATTCATCACCGTAGCCTTTGATATGCGTCCCTTGCCATCTGCCACCTTTCCACTCCTCAGTGTGCCATTATCGCCTCCTGACAAACACGCAACTAACCCGTCACCCTCGTTCCTCCACTTTACAGGCCCCACTGGGAACTCCTGCGCCTCACTCCATCCCAGCTTCTCTTTGACCTCCTTTCTCAAATCTGGCAGCATACCATGGCTCCACTCGAGTTCTCCGCCCCATCTTTTGGGTATGCTATCGATGTCAATATGCTCCTTCAATGTAGGCATAACCTCGTCAGCCGACAAGAAGACCAGTTTCTCCGCGGTACCAGCCTCGATCCAAGGCTTGATCCACTTCCACGCAGCGGGGAAGAAGGCAGGTGCATTGATGACCTGTGATACACATTAATATTTCAACCCTCGAGCAGAATCTTTGGGGTTCTCACAAACACACGACTCAACACCTCCGGATACGACCCTGCAAGTATCCCACTGGTCTCTTGCGCATACTTCTTCACGCCCCAGGCCTGCTTGATTCCCAGTGAGGAAGCATCTATAAGGTATAAGCAATTGATCACTGGGCCATCCTTCGTGTCGCCTTTGACTTCGTCGGCCAGAGGTAGTACGAAGCGCGTCAGAAAGTCGTGCACTGCTAGTGTGTGCTTGGTGCCTACGCCTTCTTCTCGGCCTTGGTTAGGCGCATTGTATTTGGCTAAAGTCTCACCGTTTAGATGTGCTATGTCGAAGAAGCAGATTGGTAGGCGACGCTTGGAGAATCGGCCCGTCCAGTGCGGGTATAATTTCCGGGCTTCATCGAAGTTGTGGATATCGATTTCATCGTAGCCTTTTATGATGTTTGTCGAGATGCGGAGGTTGATTGCTTCTTTGAATTGCGTGTATGCCCCTTCGACGTCGAATTGGCGGGCGCGGAGAAAACGTCTGTAGAGGACATAAGTACTGCATAAACAATAACGCCGCTTGAGCTAGAATTACACACAGAAGAGTAGACGCATCGTTGATTCCTGATCTGGTTTCGTTCTTGTCCAGGTCGGCAGGCCAACTCAATAGGTGCATGTGCACGCTTTCGCATCTTTCTACAAATTTCTTGAACGCTGCAGCTTCGTCGGTGGTCAGTGAGGCCATGACTTCTGCGCTGCCCGGCAAGATCTCCCCTTCCGCCTTTAACTCTGATCCCTGCACTTCCTCCATCGTCTTCTGTATACCCAACGTAGTGATGGGAGATAGAGATGTCAGGTGCTTCAACGGATCTGCCCAAATGCCCCAAAGAAGGTTCGTGGGCTCGCCGGAATGCTGGGGAAGATGGTGGAGATAGCGACATTATAAACGACGACAAAATTGAAGTCCGTGGCGTCGATGCGCGGATACGGCGTGTAGCCACCTGCCATAAGATCTGGACCCCCACTTCCAAGTGCGGGCTAGCCATTCTTCGTCTTCTCAACCTCCAACCCCTAATTCATACCGCAATGTATACATCCCTACCCAGCAACGGATGCGCTGCATGTAAATTTCATTGCAGAGTCGTTATGTGCGCCTTCTCTACCAGTTGCTCATTGGGCGGGATGATAAGCTCGTATTCGGCCTCGCGAGGCTGCAACCGCAACCTGAGAAGCGCTACAATATCCTTGCAGCCGAGCCGAACCTGATCCATCCCATCCGACAGCTCTTCTCTCTCCAAAACACTTCGTCGACGTTCAGAATCTGCCGGAGCCTCAGCAACAAATGGTCACCGCAGTCTTCGAGATCGTCCACCATGTTCGCTTCTTCGTACGCCACTCCAAGAACTTGCTATCATGCATCCTCTTCCTTGCTGGTGCCTGGACGGGTATCGCGTTCTTTCTGCGCTTCATCTTGACGCATCCCGGGGCGAAAAAGCAGGACAATTGGATCATGTTTGGCTTTACTGTAGCTTTGGTGCTCTTCTTCACTACATATTTCATGTTTATTCGGGCAGGTGAGCTATGGGACTGCATGATCCTCTTAGGATCAGCGACGCTTGCACTGCCCGTCGCAATCGTCTGGGACATTCTGAGCGTGACTTTCATCTTTACGCAATTTTGTTTGCTGTCAGCTTCCTCGATACTTCTGCACACATTTCTGATCTCTTACTTTCAGATTCATCCGGTTTTTCAAGGAATCGAACGTTGTGCACGCACTGGTCAACGAATTTTCCTTTTTCATGCAACTCAATTTGTCATTGTACGAAAGCAGCGATATCGATCGACCGTCTCTCCAGTGAAAGATCTTTGCTTGGAATGCGAAGCTATCATTGACGGCTCAGCACTCCTTTTAGGGACGCGCGCCGGCTTAACATGGACATCGGAGACGCATCAGCACCATGCCGTTGAGGACCTTTTTCGATCATCGGGTGGTTGTCACTTGTGCAGCTTGCTAGTCCGTTCCTGCAGCGATACGGAAAGCTTGCGAGACCTTCCTCGACACCACAGACTCTCGATCCGTATCTGGGAGGAACGTTCGTTGTCTGGTGAGGTCCTACTTCGAATGGTCTTGAAATCACAGGATTACCCTGTTTCGGCCCTCCCACTGGTAATTGAAGAGCGGCAGCGTGGTAAGCGAGATGACGCGAGAGATCAAGATCGCTTTGACTAAGATTGGTACACAGTCAACGAACTGCAACCGGGCCAAGATTATCATACGACCAATTCAGATGCAGTGATGTTGTGGGCTAGAGCTACTATAAGGGTGTGTGTAGAGCACCACGAAACATGCCGCAATTATTTTGTGCCGCAGGAACAGAGATTGTTTCGCCCGGCCCGGTTACTTGACGTTCTGACTAAGTACGACACAACCATTAAATTAGTCGAGACGAAGGATATACCGCAAGAAGTCATTATTCCGTACCTAGCTTTAAGTCACTGCTGGGGTCCGGATGGAATTGATTTCATATTGGTGTGCGACAAGCTTGACGACTTCAAGAGGGGAGTCCAAACAGGTCTCCTTACGAAGAACTTCCAAGACGCTGTGCATATTGCTCGTGGTCTTGGGTTGCAGTACCTATGGATCGATTCCCTGTGTATCTTACAAGACTCATTCGAAGACCTCCAACGAGAGATAGCATCCATGGGATTACTCTATGCGAGCGCTGACTGTACAATTGCAGCTACTGCTTCAATGGATTCCGCAGGCGGCTGCTTCCGGGCGTTGGACCCGTTCCTAGGTGACTGTGTCATCCGCCGAGGAACCGATCGATCCCTTGTTGCCATATATTCTGGAACTCGAGGGTCAGCAGTGGCCCGGTTGTTTAGCGACAAAGTGGAAACTGCATCACAAGCACCGTTGAGTACGAGAGGATGGACTTTTCAAGAAAGCATGCTCTCTAATAGGGTTCTTCATTTTTGCAACGGGGTCGTTCTATTCGAATGTAACACACTGCAGTCATCCAATTTCCATAAAGAAGGGAAAGCGTATCCAACCATGGAACACGTACGTACCGACGGGCGACTTGCAAGATCTGTAGGACCGCCCCCGCGGCCTCGACCACCGAAGCCTTCGTGGCCGAAAATAAATACCTGGCCCTCTTTCTCTCGTAATTATCTGTTCACACACAGCACAAGTCGAGTCTGGAGAGAAGGAACATCGACTCGGCCTGTGTCGCGTCCGGCGAAAGGACAATACGTGAACATAAACTCTTTCAAGTTCAATAGAGACTTCAAACCGCGCTCGTATAGCACAAAAAACCATCATGAGTTCGCCGATACGTACCGGAGTTACAGAAAACACGCTTTGTGGAAGCCCACCACGCCCAAAACAAACGACATGAGCGCTCGGTTGGGAATGCGAGGAGCTTTTGAGATGTTGATAAGATTTGAAGGGACTAGGTCGGACGAACTGCTTGAGTTTCACAACAGCTGGTACGACATTGTGGCGATCTACTCTCTTCGCAGGTTAACGAAACCTGACGATAAACTGAAGGCGCTGGCTGGTATCGCATACTTCATTGAAGCCGCGTCAAGGCTCCATTACGCATACGGACTGTGGGCGGGTGACGTGCTCAGATTCAATCTCTTGTGGATGTTACGAGACCAGCCAGAAGAACGACCTCTCAGGAGCGTTCCAAGCTGGTCATGGGCATCCGTCGATGGTTCCATCTCACATCGCTTGTTCTTACATAACTCAGGCAAAGGGGAAGTCAAGTTTCTTATCGATCAGCCAATAGTGAGAGAGGACGGCACACTGTTGCTAAGCGGAAGCTGCACCTTCGTGCCAAATACGTCAAATGGGGAGCGCGAGTCAAGCTACAAATTTTACCCCGACGCTACACTCCGCAATCCGTCTGACGAATTAGTGTGTGTGCCGATCCTTCAGCTGCGCCAACCTCATACGCTGCCCCAAAAGAGTATCAGTCGATTGCATGGCATTACGTTAATACGCAAGGATCGCATAGACCATCCTGATTTATATCAGCGTGTGGGATACTTCTACATCGGAAATGGTAGGGAAGCAGAGCTGCTGCTGCAGACAGCGGCACGGTCGCAAAATCTGCGCATATGTTGAGGTGTAGTAAGACGCTGCTCGTTGTTCCGTTCGTCTCGCCGTTCGTCTCATTCACTTTTGGATCTTCGGAGCTAGTTTAAAGATTTTCCGCTGACTGGGACATCCCGATCCTGTTCCCAATTGTTCCCGCAGCCCCTAATCTCATATGCCAGGCAGCTTTTGGGGGCTTGGCGTCGCAAATACAGTACATCCAGGATTCGCTTTCGAAGCGCATTCATGCGTACCGATTGGCGGCTTTTCTTGCGTCGCTTTTCCATCCCCATGGGGGCGGCAGGTGTACCTACAAGAACACCTTTTTCACACCAATAGGATTTCGCTATCTGTAACACAAGCATTTTCGACCACACGGGGAATTTGAAGATCTACTATGTTAATCTAACATTCAAGGGTACACGAATCTTCAAGTTCATGACCCAGCGCGTGCAGCGATTTACGAGGCATCATGGACGGTCTTTGGTGGACAATTGAGTGCGCATTGGATGTATGGTTACTTTTCTGGGCAAGTCAAGGTATGCCCTCCTATATGAGATCAATTAAAGATGCCGGACCACCAGGTCACGCAGATTTACTCTGGGATGTAGTGATCTATGGATATAAAAGAGATGGAATACTCAACCAAAGAAAACCACCTGGTTCTTGACCTTCACTACAAGACCTCCTCAGCTACTCGATAAGCCTCCCTTTGAAGACCGCCATGCGTTTCATTGACACCGCCACCTTGGCTCTGGCCGCCGGGTCAACCGCCTCAGCAAGCGTCTTGAAGCCCCGCGCTGCCGCCGTCGACCAGCTCGTTGGTTATGGAGCAGGAACCACCGGAGGGGGGTCTGGCTCTGGCACTACCGTCACCACTTGCGCTGCACTGACCGCAGCTGCAAAGAACGGTGGTGTCATCAAGGTCTCTGGAACCCTCGATGGCTGTGGCATCGTCAAATTGGTCGCCAATACCTCCCTTCTCGGGGTCGGATCCAGTGCTTCTATCACCAACGGCGGCTTGCAGATCCGTAAGGTTTCCAACGTCATTGTCAGGAACATCAAGTTCCATCTTGCTCCTGAAGGCAAGGACCAGATCGACATTGATGCAAGCACCAATATCTGGGTCGACCACAATGACTTCTCGAGTGCGGGTCTCACTGGAGACAAGGACACGTACGATGGATTGTTGGATGCTAAGCATGGCGCCGACTCTATCACCGTCTCCTGGAACAAGTTCCACGACCACGTCTATCTCCCTGTTCCCACATACATCTAACTGTAGCTGACAATTTCGCAGTGGAAGGGCTCGCTCGTTGGCCACTCCGACAGCAACGCCGCCGAAGACACCGGTAAGCTCCACGTCACCTACCACCACAACCTCTTCCAGCAAGTGAGCTCGCGCCTGCCGTCGATCCGCTTTGGAACCGGCCACATCTACAGCAGTTGCTACATCGATAACCCAACCTCCGGCGTGCACTCCCGCATGGGCGCTCAGGTCCTCGTCGAGCAGAGCTCTTTCACCGACACCAAGCGCGCTATCATCACCAACCTTGACTCTGACGAGGATGGCTACGCTGTTCAGAAGAACAACATCTTCACCAACAGTGACATCAGCATTACGCAGGCGGGTAGCTTGACAATTCCTTACTCTTACACTACGGATGCTGCGAGCGGTGTATGTGCGATTGTAAACCAGAGCGCTGGTGTTGGTGTTGTTACGTTCTAAGTAAATGATGACGCGAGAGATGTTTAGGGACAGTTTTCATTGTATATATTGATTAACATGAGAATGTATACGTTCTTCTGGATATTTACGTACTGAAGAAGAAAGGCCATAATATGAATTGATTGCAGCTTCAGTTGCAAGACTCAACTCATTAATAGCTAAGGGTCGAACATGTGGCGGTTGCGTTGTGGCACGCACCGGTCGAACCCCGGGTTGGAGTTGAAGCGAGATAAAGGCTGCCTTCCGCCTTTTCGCCGTCAGCTGTTGCGTCACCTTGTCGAGCGTCACCCCGGACCAGAGGTTCCAGGGGTAAAACATCCACATACAGTGAGTAGTATGCATAATCTAGTATTGATTCTTAAAGAGCTAGATAATCATACAGATGCCATCACAATGATGGAGCGATGCTTTCGGTCAAGGAAAGGAACCCTTGGTGCTCTTCATCCGGACATAGTCAAGTCACGCAACGTTTTGCACGAATGAACGGGCCAGGGGTATGACGACACGAACGGAGAGCCCACCGGAAAGGACCCAACTGCATATCCAACTTTCAATAGTCGACCGCATCGGGGTATGAGAACGCCTCCTTTATTTGCTCTTGCATTGCTAGGCGCTATAGGTAGCCTTCTTCTACTTTTCTTACTGCCTTCGACAAATTACCTGTACTAGAGATAGTCCTCGGAATCTCTCAGTGTTACTATCTATAATCAACCAGCGGCCATTATATCCAAAATGTAATTCATCAAGCGCGCGTAAGAGAAACATTAGTCTGCTTTGCGGCGCAAGTCAAAGTGAGCTTCTCCTGCCATGGCCCAGCATCGCGGCTGGCCAACTTTGAGAAGGTCTGTACCATTCGTGCGGTCACGTATCCAGCTTCGGTAAGCGCGTATTGTTGACCAATACATACACGTGGACCTCCGATAAATGGTAGGTAATCCCATGCACCAGGGCGTAATGTAGCCCAGCGATCGGGATTCCATACTGCTGCGTCGGGACCCCAGATGTCTTCGCGCAAGTGCATCACAGCCGTTTGACAGAACACCATCTGGCCTGCTTCCACCAAAATCGGGGATTTGCCGTCGTTGCCACCTCCTACTGGAAGTGTAGTGTCCTTGTTAGCATTCCTGATGATAGTAGGTACAATAGTGTTGACGCGAAGTGCTGCGATAGAGCATTAGCAATCACAATAAAAACAGGAGTCAAATACTTACTCTCTTTCATACACCACTGCAGCAACTTCAGGTTCTTCAACTCTTCAAAGCTGGGTTTGGCCCCACTTAACTCAGCAATCTCCGAGCGGAGCCGGTCCCAGATATCCGGCCGCTTCGCAAGTTGGAAAAACATGCTCCCGAGAAGACTAGCCGTAGTGTCTCGCCCGGCAAGCAAGAGGTTCAACACCTCACCCCTCAGTACTTCGGGATTGGTGGTTTCCTTGACTAACTCAAATAGAAATGTATATTGACCGGTCGGCAATGCTTTTGCTTCTCCGTCCCAGGTTCGTCGCCATCTAAGAGCCTCGTCAATGTATCGTTGGACAAAGTCATGAACTGTTCTACAATTCTGCAGGTCTTCCTTCGACTGGCCCATGATTCTTTCCCACGGAGGTTGTGTCGCCCTGATCGCGCATTGCTGCAGCGCCGTATCGTATGCGTGTGCGAATGCAACACCAGATGGTTTGCCTGGCTCATCACCGCGCAGAGAGTGCACCGATTCGCCGAAGAGAAATTCGGTCGATGTGTCAATCGTCAAGCCGAAGAACAGCGGCTGGAGATCTACCGGTGTACCATCGCTCGGAAGCAATTTGAACATATCTTGCAGATAAACCTCGATCGCATCGATGTTTGCGACCTGGGCTCTGGCAAAGTTGGGCCGAATCATCGCACGTGAATGTTTCCATTCTTCTCCGTCAGTCGTGAAGATACCCTTGCCGACGACCTGACCAATGAATTCCAGGCGGCCTGCCGTGTCGAAATCGTTGAAATTCGTTGCAAAAACTGCTTTGATGTTCGCTGGTTCGGCTGTGACGATGACCTTCTTGTGGAACAGGTTGAAACTTTGTGTGTAATTGCCTGCATCACGAAACTTTTGATGGGACCACTGGATTACTCGATGCTCTTTTCTCGCCTGCCGGCCCTCTCTTATTCTGTCCATTCCGAGATACGGGAATTTGTGACAATACTGCGCTGTGACGGGCTCGCAGCCATGGCGGCGAGCGAATTGGCGGCGTCTATGGTATCGTGTTAAGCTTTGCGTTATCTTCACCGCGACGAGGACGAGAGCAAAAAGCGCGATGGCTTGCGCTTTCGGAGTGCTGAGAATCTCGATTGACATATTTGTTGTTGTTGTTTCTCCGTCGCAACTATTTCATGGTCGAGGCAATGAAGAAAGTGCACATGGGATAATTAAGAGGCGCAGATGGGGGCGGGAAGGATTGGTTATCTCGGCATTTTCACTGGCCGTCAAAGCACGGCGCGTTTGTTGGTCTCACATTTACCAAAAAGCTATAATTAGGGAGGGAATCTTACGGCCGAAATACATCTTTCGGCACGACACATTCACCCGTATACGATGTTCACATGTAAAGCACATGTTAAGCGTCCTCGGACATTATGTCTGTTCGCATGTGAGTTGATGATATGGTCGACCTCGCAATGCTTGTTTGACGATGGATTGCCTAAATCGGAGAAGATTGCTCATGGCTTGATGTACGTAAGCACTACCTAGGTACGATTGCTGCGCCACCAAAGTGCTCCTTGCCCTTCAAAGCGGGTCATCTTGAACGGCCAGCAAACGAAACAAGGTTTACACCGATTCGCTGTATTAATCGGCGTTACCGCCAGGTGCGAATTTTACGCGATGGAAGTGCTGTATTTAGCGGCCACACGACCCTCACCGAACACAACATGCGATTATGTGAACACAACCATCTTACCGCGGCAAATAATTCCACGTGATTTCAGGTGATTCCTGGTAGTTCCGGATGACTGACTCAAATATCAAAGTTCTTGAGCTATTGTCGTAAAGGGTGTAAACTCATCATGAAACCACTATCCTCAGAGATATCTGCATAAGTCTTGAAGGTCCTCATGGTTCGGTGAGAACAATCTGCGATGCAATATCCCACAATGAGCTGCTGGAGATAATCGTGATATTACTAACTCAAATGCTTAGTTATAAATGAAGGGCCTTGATCGCATGTCCCCTTCTCAGTATTCGAGTGGGTGCGGCATAATAATGGGTGTCAACATTTCATATAATTACGCCTCAACTCAAAACCTGCTTTACATTTTTAAAATACTGCTTTATTAACTAATCTTCATACTATATGATCTCACTCACGCGCAAAACGATGCGCCTCTAGGGCGGCCGTTAGATCGAAGTCTGTTGGTTCTTAAACGTGCCATCTAAACGGGAGCAGCTTTACATTGTAAGCTATATCGTGCTATAGGTACTCATCATCGGTCAGCGTATGCGAAAATTGTAAGGCAAGTGCAAAGGGACAGCATAAGATGCCCTTCCCCCTAGGCCATTGTTCTCTCTCGTATACCTACCCTTCTCCCTTCACACCGTCCATCAATAACCACGCTGAGTTGCTATCAATTGAGGTTTAACAGGAGCCAACTATTTCTATAACTAGAAGACGTTTTTCAAGGGCAGAGGGGCCTTTCCAGTTTCCTGTATCTAGCCCGCAAAGTATCTCCAGTATTACAGCTAAAGTTGCCATGACGGCCCATACCAGCTCCGCGTATCTGAATAGTCTTGCTGGTGGAATGAGAGGATGACAATTATACACCCTATGACGAAACTATCTGCCGTTATTAATGGCCATCCTTCTCAAAGAAACCTGCATTACGCGCGTGTTAATCTTACAGTAGTACAACCTCATCACTTCGTCCACGAAGCTATTAGAATACGACATGTCGTCTGGACTCAAGCAATACTTCTCTTACGAGACCATTCCAGGGTCTCTGGAGGAAAAAGTGCGCAATGAATAAAAATGAAATGAGCGAAAATTAATCATTTCAAAAATTGATACCTATGATAAGAGACATCTTATGCTCTCTATGAGTAGTCAAAACGCCTCCCAATGCAAAACGAAATCGCACAAAACATACGCTTACAACCTCGCAACCTCAGCTTCCTTGTTAAAGATATCAGTGCCGCTGTCAGTCCTCGCTATCGACTTCTTGACAAGTTCGTCGGCTTCGACTTTCATGTCTAGATCCACAACCATCCTCCTCCAGCTATCCCCCGCCCTATTCGCCAACTCCTCTACAACACCATGGTCCTTCCTCTCCATCGCGCGATTAAAGAGCTCCATGCTCACCCAGCCGTTAAACCCAATCTCTTTGATGATGGCATGCGCCACATCCCTAACGGGCAGATACGCACCGTGGTCGGTCTCGCCGTAGAAAAGGCGACAGTTTCGTGACCAGGACATGCGCGCCGGCTGCGCGGCGTTGTAAAAAGCGTGGCCAGGCAGAAGTGGGGAGGAAAGGCGCTCGGCATCTACGATCTGGATGAAGAAGATCTTCTCCTTGTGTGGGCCGATTTGCTCTACGAGTCTGCGGATCGAGGCCTGGACTTCCTCTTCAGCGCCGGCGTTGCAGCCTGTAGACGAAGTGGGGTCGGCGTATATGCGGCCTAGGATGTTGAAGCTATCGAGGCAGATGCCGAAGTTGGGGCGGTCGACGCGCGTGACGATCTCCCAGCAGAGCTCCCACTTGTCGACATATGTGCCCCAACAGAGACTCTCATAAGCGAATCTGATGGGTGGTGACTGCGTGAGGCCAATATCTGCGAGTTCCCGCAGATCCGATACGATCAACTCGACGTCGTCTGAGATCTCCTCAGCAGCGAGAAACGACGAGGGGACTTGGATCAGGTCTGTGTCGAGGACCTTGGCGAGTTGGATCCAGAGGCGCATCTCTTCGATGCGTTTAGAATGGTTTGACCGGTCGAGGAGGCCCTCGTAGTGCATGAAGGGCTGCAGGCAGATGACCTCGAGACCGAGAGATGTACATAATGAGCGGACGTAGGCGGCTGATGAGAGCAGATTTGAGGGCGTCTGGGGTTGCGCAAGGTCGGCGAGGTCTTCGTAGAAGAGTTCGATGCCCTGGAGGCCGTGTTTGGCGGCCATGGAGAGCTTATGCTCGATGGAGTGGCCGGCATAGCACCGGCCGAGGGACATGGACGATATACCTGGACGGCAGACCATGTTGATGGTATTGAGCGTGAACTTCCTGTCGTAGACGTACGACGGTAGGTTACACCGATAGGGGTGATCAAAAAGAGTCTCTCAACAGCTTTGTCGAAGTCGTTCGAGTGACAAGAAGTTTGACGTACGAATAGCAGGAGACGAAAGTTGGGGTATCATACTCCGTATACGTCTTGGACATCCTTCTGGAACGGATGGTATGTGGGTCCTCTGCTGATACTGGAAAAACATTGTCGCTGCTCTCTCATCGCCATGGTGGACATCGACAGCTGTTCCACAAGCGGACTAGCACCATGACGTAGCACCGGAACAGTCTTTATCCCTCGCCTCCCACCCCGCGAAGAGCGCAAAAGTAGCACACGAGTCATGCAATCCCGCTCTATCCCGACTGTAGCCCTGGAAGAATGCTTCATAGGTTGCTGGAGGAAAGCCACGGGGGGTAAAGAGCCTTAGCTTGCCGCATGTTGCTTAGGCGTTCGACCCACACGGGAAGAATGCGTACAAGGAGAAGCTTAGAAGTCACGCGTTGGATATATACCGCGCTGTTCGGTTGTAGTGTTTCCCTTTTGATCTAGTGGTATGGGGTCGTTCCGGGGAATGTGAGCAATACTTAGATGGCTCCAGTGCCAACGCGATCAGCGCTACATCTCGTCCCAAAACAACACTACACATGTCTGCTTCAACTACAACGCCCATCAAGCTTGCCATTATCGGCAGAGGACTGATAGGTCCACGCCATGCTGAGGCTGTTGTCTGCGATGCTAATGCTGAGCTTGTTTGCATAGTGGACCCCAATGTAGCGGCAAAAGCTGTTGCAAAGAGATTCGGCTGCGCTTACTACGAGTCCATTCAAGACATGTTGGCCTCATCGCGACCGGATGGCGCGCTAGTGTGCACACCAAATCATACGCATGTCGCGTTATCGAAAGAACTGCTCAAAGGTGGTCTGCATGTATTGTGCGAAAAGCCGATCTCTGTCGATAGTGAAAGCGGTCAGAACCTCGTATGAAACATCCTGCTATACAATTCATTGATCTAATTGTACCCAGATTGACTGCGCTGGAAGAAGTGGGCTACGTCTCCTGATCGGTCACCATCGACGCTTCAACCGGTACGTTGTAGCGGCGAAGAACGCACTTCCATCGCTGGGCAAGATTGTTGCCGTCAGCGGACTCTGGACGATCTATAAACCACCAGAGTACTTCGAGCCACCCATGGAATGGCACCGTGCAGAAACTGCAGGTCCGGTTCTTATCAATCTCATCCATGATGTAGACATCCTGCAATATTGGTTTGGACCGATCACTCGTGTTTTTGCCGAGAAAGCAACCTCCCAAAGGGGCCATCCTGCGGAAGAAGGGGCTGCAGTTACTCTCAAGTTCGCCAACGGTATCGTGGGCACATTCGTGTTGTCGGATGCTGTAGTGTCACCACACAATTTTGAGGCCGGTACCGGCGAGAATCCCACCATTCCGAAAGAAGGACATGATTCGTACAGGATCTTCGGATCAAAGGGAAGTCTGAGCTTTCCGGATATGACGAAGTGGACGTATGCGGAGAAGCGTAGCTGGACTGAACCACTTGTGAATGAGCGCGTTGATGTGCCAGATACGAAGGTACCTTTCGAACTGCAAGTCGAACATTTCGTTCGCGTGATCAGAGGTGAGGAGGCGCCAAATTGCTCAGGTATTGATGGTCTTCGGGCAGTCAAGGTATGCGAAGCCATTAAGCGATCGATAGCCAACGGATGTCCGGTAGACATCCCGATGGAAGCATAAGTAGCCACTCAACGCCAGTTTCGAAGAACATGTGTTTCCAGAAGCACTTGGCCTGGAACTCTTCTTCGGACCTTACAGAGTCTTTCGAGCACCGATGTTCCTGTGTTACCATATAAAAGGGGAACCTTTCTTATTGAAAAGTTTTGGATTCCGCCACTAAATATCAAGTTCCATCGAAGAAAGCTGGATCAAGATGTGTCGGATCATTATTTTGCGGCATAAACGTGCTTGAGTTTGCTGGTATGTATTGTCCAAGTTCTAATGCGAGGAAATCGGCCATATTTGCATCTGGCGCGAAGCCTAGATTTTGCATGAACTGGGGTTGGTTGTCCACCATTTCTGCACCGTCCAACGATGCCAGCTCATCGAAGAATGTTTCGAGATCTCTAGATGCTGCCGAATTACGATGGCGTAATAAGGGCCGGCGAGGATCTTCCTCTGCTGATGGCATCCTGAATCCTTGCTTGGTAGGCGGACGGTGGGCTGCTGAGATAGCAGGGTTCATGTCCGGAAGTAGATCATCTAGGAGAGACGCGCTTGCTCTTGGACGGTCGACACGGGGAGGATTCTCGAGCGGCGTGTAAGATGGGTTGAAAGGCACCTGAATTGATTCCGGGGTGGGTATCTGGTAAGCAGCTCCGCTTGCTCTGGTCTGCGCAGGCACAACAGGTGTAGGCGCTGATCTTCGACCGCGAGTAGCTGCCCATGCTCGGACGACGTCGGCTTCATAGTTACGAATAGAAGACTGTAGCCTTGGATCCAGTGTACCGAACATGCGATTTGCCTGTACGTGCGCCAAGAGACAGAGCACAATTGGCGGCATAGCGGCGATTCCAAGCTGAGCCAGATATTGTGTGAGTAATTCCGTCATGCGTTGCATATGTGAGGGAGACGTGAGAAGCGACGATACGCAAGAAAGGTAGGTAAGCTGGAGCAGTATCGCTGGAGGATTGAGAGGTGTGGCTTTCAACTCGTCGCTAATGTAGTTGAATTTCGTTGACAGTGAAGCCTTCCAGGATTCAAGCTGGTGTAGTATTTGCTGGGGAGTTGACGGTGGATTTGTAGCCCCATCAAGGTTGCACATGTTAAGTATCTCGACGATTTCTGTGAGTTTGTTAAAGCTACTGAGACTCAGGGCAGGCGTTCTCGAGAATATGCTAGAGGAGCTATTAAGCGGGGCGTTCCACGGCTGCCATTCTTCGAGCCCGTCCTCTTCTACAGACCCAGATCTGATAACGTCGGATCTGAGAAGGTATGGACGCCGTTGCAAGTGTATAGACAGGAAGCTGTCTAGCATGAAGCAACCGGCAAGAAGGTGCTTCCATCTAGTTGGGATGATTTGTGAAGACCTTTCGATCATGATGACGATCCTTGACGCAGAACCGACCAGCAGCCATGCCACTTCCGTGTTCCCCGATGCTAGGTTGACCACTGCTAGGTTCAGGAGGGCTCTAACGTGGCCGACGGCGAAGGAATCAGACTCGGTAGGGATTAAGCTTCGTGCCACGCTATACAACCGCGCGGGGTCTTGCAGTATGTCCCGTTCTTGCTCCTGAGTTAGCATCCTTTCTTGATGGGCTGCTACAGCCAAGACACTCCAAAGCTCTGCATGGTCTCCGTGATTGGGAAGATCGCTCCCGGAGAGTACAAGGCCGGCTTCCGGGTAAGAGTATGAAACTCTTAACAGGTCGTGTTTCTCACAAATCGGAAGCCAAGATTGTGTATAAGCGAAGTAGATTTCCAACAACCGCCACGTGCTACCTGGCAAAGGCGTTGCTGCTACCGGTTGCTGGCGGATTGAAGCTGGAAGCTCAGTAGCTTTAGATGGGATCAATGTTCCTTGTTGGATAGAAAGAGGTACACGAGGAGAGGCGAAGTGTGCGCTGGGTGAGACCTCGTCCTCCTGGGGCAGGACGGAAATCTGGTCTTGTAGGCCAGGCTGCTCGGCTTCGGGTTCGCTGTCCTCGTCATCACTTCGTGGAGATGGGTCATCGCTGGGCCCTAATTGTTCGCCTGACAATAATTTGTCCACGTCTTTGCAAAATCTGCTTCTCCTCCAGCTCTTGTGTAATCTGTTTGACTCTTTGGTATCGCGACCGAAGAGCACCGAAGAGGTTCCTTCTTGTGCAAGCTTCTTGTTGAGCACAGCTTCACAATCTGTGTTTTGAAACAGCCATGTCAAGGCCAGCTCCAGGGTCCGGATATATCCTGCATAATTATGAGTATTGTTACGGCGCAAGTAGACGATGTATTGGCTGACCTGGCTGAATGCCTCTTTTCTTGGGTGGGGCCGTGTACGTGCATGCCCTGTTAGAGGCGGAGCAGGTCAAGCAGGACGGCTGAGTGCCATCGCACTTCTCTCGGGCTGTACGACATTGATCGCAAGCACGTGAGACTCGGGAACGTTTTGCAGGTCGCTCGTCGTTGGTAGGACGTTTACTTTGGCCTTGAGTCGGCATGGATGATTAGAGTAAGGTGTTCGGGATGGAGGCCTGGAGGCCAGCAGCCTCTGTTCCGCGGTCGTGGTGCTCGCAGTCTCTCATCAGTCGTTCACGAAGTCTGATATGGTAACGCGTAGTCCATCTAAACTGCCTTCGATGTCAATATCTCGTCGCAGCTTAGAGTCCTTTCAGGGTGAGATGCAACGGCGTAGCACGGTAGCAGGTCCGCCACTCGGTTTCGATAGATAGCCAACAGCAAATGCCATGCAATGCGTAATGTCGCGATGCTGAAAGGCGCGTCGAAGGTGGAGACGGAGCTCGGGCGTACTTCGTGTTTTGCTGCGGGGCCCCACAAATTGTCCGGTGGGTAAACACTCTTCCGGGAGGAGCGACCGCCGCCGCCCACCAACAAGTTGCGTTTGTCACGCTCTCACGAATCCTCCCAGCATCCCCCGAGTCCGCCGCTTCTGTCGCCTAGTCTCTATTGGCTTGCACCAAGGCCCGCTCGCTACTACACTCAAGCGTCGCGTGTCTCCATTACCCCACAGCCAGAGAATCGCGAACCAACAGCACCCGCAAACCTTCCTCTCTACCCGTCTGTCCTCGAGTATCCTGTTCCGAAAGCCCAAGCGCTCTTTTTTATAGATGCTCGTCGAGTTTGAGAGACCCCATAGCCATGGCGTCCGTTGCGGTGGGCACGAAGCGAACATTCTCCGCAATGGTCGGTGACGCGGCTCGAAACGGCGACTGGGCTTCCCCAGCGAGGCCATCCAGCTCCCTTGGACCTGACCGTCCGCGCGTCCTAGGTGTTGAAGGAACCTGTAAGCGATAGCATTTACTCCAAGAACTGTGCATGACTGATCGCGCAATGTTTGGTACATCTCGAGATTGGGGTTTCTAACAACTCTGCAGATTCAATGCAATCAAGTGCGCGATCCACACCACGAACCACACCTACCCCAATCCCTCTCGTAGAGTCTCGACGAGTATTCGACCCGAATGCGTCCATTGTATTGATGGGAATTCGCGGGACTGGAAAGTCTACTTTGGCGATTATGGCCTCGATAGCGTGTCGACGCCGCGTAGTAGATGTGGAAAATGTGTTCCAGGAAGCCACGGGTTTCTCTACCTCCAAGTATCGAAAGCAATTCGGGGCTTCGAACCATAACCTGCGACAAGAGGAACTCCTGCGCAACATACTCCAGTCGCATGCAAAAGGCGCAATCATCGTCTGCAATGGAAGCTCACTCGAGCGCAGCGGGCAGATGCTACTTCAAGATTTCTCCAGGTCGCATCCTGTCATACATATTCTACGAGATATGAAAAGTGTACACGACTATCTAGAGGTGCTCGAGTTATCCAAGCTAAAGGACATTGTAGCCTTTAGCGCCCCCATGTTTCGTCGATGCTCCAACTACGAGTTCTACAATATTTCCGAAACGAAAGCTGCATTCTCGGTAGTGCCTGCGAACCAGACTTCCGTGCCTGCGTTTCTAACGCTGAAACGAGCCGAACGGACTTTTCTAAAATTTCTCTCGCTAATTGTGCCCATCCAAAGCGAAAATGCGCCGCTGGAACAAGGACTTCGCCTCCCGTCTGCTGCGGAACGAGCTGGTTTCCCACTGTCGGGAGTACCAGTGGAACTGAGGAAATATACTTGTGCAGTACAAGTTCCATTGACCGATCTTTGTTCAGAAGATGTCGACATTGAGCACCTGGAATTTGGCTCTGACGCATTTGAGATAGTCATCGAGCCTGAAGACGTAGATCTCTACCATTTTGACGATCCTTCGAGAGCGACCATCATCAGTCGAGCCATATCTAGGGTTCGGAGAAGTACAGTCGTTCCGATTATATATCATGTAACACCCGCGGAACCTCAACAACGAACATCATACATCGAGCATGTCCAGCACGGCTTGCGCTTGGGCCCAGAGTTCGCTACCGTCGATCTGCGCCTGGACGAGGAGACTGTACTGAATATGATCGAGACAAGAGGGTCAACCAAGATCATTGGCCACCTTCATGCCCCGACCGACTGGTACGATGCTTTCTGGGTCGAAAACTACGACAGAGCGATGCGATTAGGATGCACTGCTGTCCGATTCACCCGGCCGGCTAATTTTATGGATGATAATCAGTCTGTCCAGAGTTTTCGGAATAAGATATACGATAAGACGGAGAGGATCCCGTTGATATGTTTCAATACTGGACGAGCGGGTCGTCGTTCAGCATGCTTCAACCAAGTTCTGACCAGCGTAATTCCAGAGTCAGTACGAGACGGTCCATCCTTTGCTGAAAGAGTCCGGCGAAATCCGGAGACTTCGTGGCTGTCTGTTCGAGAAGCAACACATATTCTGTACGCCTCTTTCACCTACGATCCTATGAAGTTCTACATTATGGGTGCCAGCGCTGGATACAGTTTATCACCGGCAATGCACAACGCAGCTTACAAGGCATGCGGTATGCCTCATCATTTCGAGAGGCTGCAGACTAATTCGTTGAACACACTGCAGGAGCTGGTGCAAGATGTTAGCTTCGGAGGCACAGCTGTGAGCCAGCCCTTCAAGCTAGAAGTCATATCGCTAGTGCACTCTATGAGTCGGCACGCACGGGCAATAGGTGCAGTCAATACGTTAATTCCTGTGCGACACCTAAACAAAAACGGTAGCATCCCGGGAGATCTTGAGTTGTTCATGGAGCGCAATCAATCTGGTCCGATCAAAGCCTTGTACGGGGACAATACAGATTGGATAGGCATAAGATCATGCATTCGAAGGGGGTTGTCGCCCGCCAACGCCGTGAGACCAACGACCTGTGGCCTTGTTATCGGTGCTGGAGGCATGGCCCGCGCGGCTGTATACGCCATGCTTCACATTGGTGTGCAGAACATCATCATCTACAATCGCTCCCATGCGAACGCAGAGAAGCTCGTGAATCATTACGAGCGTCTCATCTCATCTGCGTTAAGCACGGGTTTACTACCTACAAGTCATCAAGACGCAGAGCCAAAGTTCCGCATTCTGCGGTCTCTCGAGGATAAATGGCCGTCAGACCTCCGCCCTCCTACCATTATTTTGTCCTGCATTCCCACGCATCCTATCGGAGATGCCCCGGCACCAAGCTTTACGCTTCCGAAGCAGTGGCTGCACAGCCCATCTGGCGGCGTGGTGATTGAATTGGCTTATCGTACGCTCAATACGCCTCTGATGAAGCAGATCAGAGGGGAGACATCGGGCGCTTGGGTGTGCATGGACGGGCTGGACCTTTTTGCCTGAGCAGGGCTTCGCGCAGTTTGAGTTGTATACTGGAAAGAGGGCGCCAAGACGGGTGATGCGCGAGGAAGTCCTCAGGTCTTGGACGGATGAGCAGGGACAGAGTGACCCGGCGATGGTTCAAACAAGGCTAGAGGCAATTGATGATCAGGAACCGTGAGCAAGCAATATATACCCAGCGAAGATGATGACTTTAACGAAACTCGACTATTCAAGAAGCGTGATCTCCAATTCGTGCAAAGCGTGTTTGCGAGGACAGAACTCGTTCAACCGTCCTGACGGTCACATCCCTGCGCAGATCAAAGAACAATGCACGTGCCTTCGAAAATGCGCAACCCCGGCGACGCGTCTGCCGGCATAACAATCAACCAAACAGTCCACCATTTCACCCACCAAAATACCCCGCGCGATTACCGACCGTAAAGACCGTTGAATCTCCCCAACATGTATATATAGTGCGCGACTACACGCCAATGAGTACGCGCCGGCGGCTCCAGCCATTCTCCCCGCTTTTGCCCAAATTCCCGCACGACCACCCGCAACGCACCCATGAGCTTCCCGCCATGTCTCACGCGGCGCAGATTGGGATGCATAATACCGATGAAACTCTATCCTTGAACTCTCTCTCGAGCGGCGCCGACGATTTCGAACGGCGCATGATACAAACCCTCCGCGACGAACGACGCTTGGCCGATGCGCCAACACCAAAAGTTCACGCTTTCTCGAAGGCACGCGTACAGCCACGCGTCGGTGTGACTCTAGAGAACCTGGAAAGGCACAATGCTAAGAACAAAGCCGCGCTTGGGCCCAATGCGCACGTCAAGTTCCAGAGTCCGCCGAGCAGCAGCGGCTCGACCAGATCGGATCCGGCACTCAATGTACCGAGCGGCTGGGGGGAGGAAGGGACGGGTCAAGAGAAACTGGATGCGGGACATCGCCACGGAGGAGAAGCTGAGTTCGACCGCGCAAGAGGATACAGTCGACCGCCTTGCGCTCGACCCGGAACAGACGCCCCCTCACAATCCTGACGTACCACGCCAATCGGTCGAAGACAGTCCGCTCTCACACAAGAGCTCTCTACATGGGACCCCTGCCTCTCAGCGCCGGCGAAGCATCGAAGACTGGAGCTTTGATATGAACGAAGCTTCACTCATCGCGTCCACACCCTACCGCCCGCGAAACACAGTTTTGGATGACATACGGAATAGAGAAATAGAAGCCCTGAAAGAGCAGGGCGTCGCAACAAATAGGCTGGACACGATAAGAGGAAGTCCGCCGGAGGAATTACGGCGCCCGCGCTCTGCATCGACAAAATCTACCATGGGCCAGTTGGAAGGGGCAGCACCCGAGCAGACTAGCCCTGTACAAGATCTTACTGAACTGCATATTCAGAAACGAAACAAATCGTGGCAAGCTGTCGGCAAAGCACCGGCAATAACGGGGGAAGGCACAGAGGGTTCACCCATCGTAGTGTATAAGAAGAACACAGAGACGATCGGCATGGTAGACAGCCGGCTTCTTGCCGATGCTGCGAGTGTGAGGCGACCGTCTCATCGAAGAGACGTTTCACGGGATCTATTGCGTCGACTTGCTAGGGCATCGAGTACTCCAAGCCCTGGTAGACCGGAAGTTTCGCGACCCCAGACGGCACCGACAAAGCAATTAGACAGTTCTTCCCAAACTATAGCCACTGAGACGTCTCCATCAGGTCCTTCTTCGAGGGGAGTTTTAGGTGCGGTCACCTCCGCAGAGCGAACCACTGATGAGCCCACTAATCCAGACGAACATCCGCGACGGGAATCTGAAAAGCCCAGCGGACCTCGAGCGACCCAAGCCTCTTCAAACGAAAGCCTGCGAAATATCGCTGATGCGACACCCAAGCTAGCCGAACGCTCAATGCTCCATCCCAAAACGCCAGTAGTGACGGGCGCATGGGTAGACACAATTATAGGCAGTCCTGACATCTCCACCGTCCGAAAATCTACAAAATCTTCGCAGCCGTCAATTTCCCCTCTCAAACGCAGCCCTCGGAAACAGTCTTTACAAGATTTACAAGCTGCTCTACCCGCGGAAAACCAACAACTTACGCCAGAAGTATCGAAACCAGATTTGCCACGATCAGTACTGGGTGCGCTCGTGGAAGAGGCACGAGCGAGTGGAGAGCGACGGTCGACAGACTACGGCGAATCAACCATTAACTCACTAGAAGAGCTGATTGCGCCAATAGCTAATGCTGTTGAGTCTGGCGAGCCAGACGAAGACACATTGCCATTAGATGTTCTGACAAAAGCCCCGCGTACGGAAGCAGAGCGACGACGGCAAGAGGAACTCCTTCACATCCAAAACATGGACCGGAGACTACGCTCAACACGAACCAGCCTCCGCGACACCAGCCGTGGCATCCGGCGAGTAGAAGAGCAGATCGAGCGTAGCGGCGAGCGGACAACCATCGTCTCAGACAACAACTCCGGTGAAAAAATCATCTACCGCGAATATAAGTGCCCGTGCGCCGAAAGCGGCGGGCACCAGTTCTACCTTTGGAAAGCCATCAAGCTCATCTTCTACGATGAAACGTTGAAGCCGAAACGGCGGGGCTGGGGTTTGACCTGGCTCAGCATCTTCCTCATTTCTTTTCTTACGTGGTTCATTCTCGAAAACATCTGCTGCGAGATATGGGGCCACCATACCTACGCGTCGAGTTATAAGGGCTATGGTGTCATCTGGGGCGCGCCCGAATACCCGTATGTGCTACCTACTATGACTTATCGCGCTCTCATCAAGCCTTGGTGGCGGCCTTTGTACACGTTGTTCTCTTGGATGTGGGGAGCTGTTGGAGCTGGGACTGTAGAAGCGGCGCCTAAGGCTAAGACGACGGCTGCAAGGTTTGCGGAGAGGATTCTAGTTAGGGATCAGACGAGAGTGATGTTTGAGGAGGAGGCTGCGAGTGTTTTGGGCATGGCGGGAGATGAGGTTGTGAGATGAGACTTGTGAGAGGAGTATGTTGGCAACTCGTGAAGCATTTGGCATTTTTAGCGCGGCGTTTGGGTATTGGGTCGCGATTGCAGAGATCGCACATACTGCCAGCAAGACATTGGGCAGGGAAGGAACAGTTGAGTATGTACCATCCATCCACTAGGCGCAATGTCAAAAAGAGCGAGTCAACTCAAGTGTCTGTTGGCAGGAGCTCCCTGTTTGGCCTGCTTCCTCCTTCGCTCTTACAATGCACTTTGATCGCCTAATACTACATACTATTGCCTTCCACATTGTGCACTACCACCTCCCATTCAAAACTTCAGTCCCGAATCATTTCGGATAACGTACTAAACTCAACGCCAAGGCCCGATGTACCGGCCATGGATGCAGGCTGCCAAGCATCACCTCATGTCACAACACCCACCACGATCGCCACAGTATCGTCCACAGAAGCCTCAATCACCATGAAGCCCAAGCCGCGTACGCAAAAATACCCGATCCGCGCGCCGGTCCTTCCTCCGCACTACCTTTCTTGGATCGTAGACGTGTGCCAAGTATGTAACCCCACAGAAAGCTTACCACATATAGCGCTAGTCGGATCACTCGGGCGATGCTCGCGAACCTCACCTCCTCTGCTGAGTTGTTTGCTGCCTACGGGTCTTCACTCCTAAGTCGCTATGATTGTAGTGATAGACCATTGTAGGTAGCCGAAGCCACTCACTGTGATCTGGGGACGCTGGGGTGAAGGAAAAGGTAGATGAGTAGACTGTAAGTCGATCGATGCGTCTGGAATGTCATTTACACAGCCCTAATGACAACATCACTTCAAAAAGAAAAAGCTTCGCTTCGATGTTTGTCACCACTAGAACGCGGAAACTAGCCTCCTTGGATCCTTGGAGCTCAACTGTAGCTTGCGACTACATCCAGCCAAACAAGTTTCAGTTGCTGCTATTGTCCCACCATTCGCGCATTCGCGGGAGCTTAAATCTTGGCCAAATATTTCCTTCATGCCCATAGGATGTCCGGCAAGGTTTCGCCATCGCAAAGGCTCCGGCGTGCTTGGGAGTACGGGGTTACGACGACAGTGTGGCTTGGTTCTCTCTGGGGGGTGGCTGCTTTGTGCATGGCATTGTGTCATTAGCGTTGAGAAGAGCTAGATGCCGGCTTATAGTGGATAAGAAGGTACTAAAGTATGGCAGCAGCCTGTTTTATACTTCGCCGTATCCGCATGGAATCGTGGACGACCGCGCTGCCTCTTTCTTCGGTCTATCTTATAGTAATCACTCCTTTCTTTCCGTCATCATGCAGTTCAGAGATCTTGCTATTCTCGCTCTAGCGAGCCTCGTCGCTACTCAGGACAGCGACACCGACACTCAGTCGCTCAATGCCACGCTCTCTGGCAACGACCAGCTGTCTAACCTGACTTCGTTTCTTTCCCTCAACCCCGCTATTGTATCGACTCTCTCTCAAGCCAGCAACATCACCATCCTCGCTCCCTCCAACGATGCCTTCTCCGAGTTCGCTGAAACGGACGTTGGCCGGGATATTGCGAGCAACCCTGGCCTCCTAGCTGCACTGCTCCAGTACCATGTCCTCAACGGGACGTTCCAGGCCAGCCAGATTACGAATCAGAGCACTTTCGTTCCGACTTTCTTGAACAACGACACGTATGCGAACGTTACTGGCGGCCAGGTCGTCGAAGCCGTTAAAGTCGGAAATGAGACCGTATTCTACTCTGGGCTTCTGCAGAATGCCACAGTGACCACGGCTGTATGTCCCCTCGATTCCTCCCCACCTCTTATATAAACCTTTTAAACATCCACTAACAATGTTCAGGACCAAAACTTCACCGGCGGAACAGTCCACAGTACGCAATGTCGGGGTACAAAGCGGGTGTTCATGCTGGGCGACTGTCTAAGACTCCAGGCCTTACACCTCTCAGTCTGAAATCTCTAGACATTAGTAAATGGCTAGAACACCTACTTCACCAACCCACTTCCCTAGGTTATGAACATTATGCTGACTCTGTACCCCCACCTTTAGTCATCGACCGCGTCCTCGTGTTCCCTCCCAACGTCCTCGATACCGCCAACGCTTTGAATCTGACCTCCCTCCGCGGCGCCGTCAACGCAACCGACTCCATCGAGGCCGCCAACGCTCGCAACATCACTATCTTCGCGCCCAACAACGAGGCCTTCAACAACATCGGCTCAGCGCTAGCTAACCTCTCCAATGATGACCTGCAAAACATCCTCGAGTACCACATCGTCGAGGATGTGTACTACAGCACTTCTTTAGAGAACGGCACGACGCTGCAGACGGAGGACGATGATCGGGAGTTGACGATCACAACCAACGAGAACGGCACTGTTTTCGTGAACGCCGCGGAGGTCGTCGTCCCTAATGTGCTCATCGCGAATGGTGTCTTGCACATCATCGACAAGTAGGTTTCCCCCTCCTCCTTTCCTATTCCCATAGATTGAAACTTTTCAGTGTCCTCAATCCCGACAATACAGCCGTTCCCTCTGAGAGCGCTACAGCAGGCGCCCCCGGCTTCACAGGTAGCGCCGTCAGCGAGCAGCCCTTCACCAGTGGTCAGCCTACGCCTACTACCCAGGTCAACCCCACTTCGGAGGGTGCTGGCCCGGCGCAGAGCACTGCTGCTGGAAGTGGTAGCGAAACCAGTGGTGCGGCGATGCCGTTGATGACTAGTGGTGTGCAGTATGCCGCGCTGTTTGGTGCTGGTGCGGCTGCTTATCTTGGATTCTAAGAGTTAGTCGAGAGAAAGAGATGCAGATTCCATAAATGGACAAAAGGGTGCAAGAATGAGAGTGGAAGTCCGACGGTCGTGAGATTATAAATTGGGCCTTTAGGCTATGGTGAGCGTGTTTTGGGTTTATGTGTATATGGTTCGATCTTTCACAACATGCTTCGTTCTACCACGTTCTACTACCTATAGCTTGGATGCTTGAATCGATGATGTCTACACAACTAAAAAGATACAGCACTAACCTCGGACCACGCATACTCGTTGGAATTGTGATGATTCACACTTCGTTTGAAAGAACAGGCATGAAGGGAGTAAAGGCTTTTACAGATACTACTTTGGCCGGCTCGTATGCGCTGGCCCTCCAAGATCGAGCATGTACCTTTTCACGAAAATTAAGAGCCCTCTTGGTTTTCTGTCTACAACCTCAGATATTTATAATTATAACTATGCCTTAAAGTCAAGTCTCTCTATTACAAGTCCTGACGCTTAGTGTATATTCATGAAGTGTTAAATTGCAATCCTTTTTGCGTATGTAGTCATTAAGACAGTAAAGCTGGGTAGATAAAAGGTTACATATAATCTACCTTAACATGCACGAGCTGGCCAAACTAGTGTCTACAGAGGTCTGCGGTAAAATGAGATAGTCAAAGTCACTATTACAATTGGAAAGTGGCGTGGCCAGTCAGGGGCTGAGCAAACAAGGTCAGCAAACACTTTCCGCTTCTCAACGTCAGCTAACCCTTGTCTGTGCGTGTTGAGAGCAGAAGCGCCCATAGAAGGTCAAGTAAGTTATAGAGTTCGTTATCAAGTAACGGATTCATAGGTCAGGGACATGCACTTAAGCCCTTCACCGTTCATCCACTTCCATCGACCTGCATCACCGACATCCTCACCCTCGGAAGTATCGAACAGGGTGATTTATCTTATTGCCCTTTTTAGCATCAGCGTGATCTCATCTCTGCATCCAAGGCTGACGAATAACAGAGCGACACGTTCTGTTGACTCATCTCGAAGTCGAGATGTCCACTTACTTGAGGCACATAGCGCAACGAAGCAAATGAGGACGATAAGTGCTGTGTGATCTCCATTTCATAGGCTCTTTCCCAATCACAGTTGCTTGACTATGACGATTAACAACTCGACATTCTCATATTCGAGGTCCTAATGTGAAACTAGAAATTCATGCTAGGAAGACTAAATAGGTGTTTTTATCAACGGTACAGCCTGAACATCGCCCGCACAGCGATTGGAATAATTGCTCACAGGCCGGAAGTTTCGCGGTCAACGGAAAGGTTGTCGAGTTCGCAGCTGTATTTTATGAGTGGCATAATCTCAATTGAACCATCAAGCTCAATATTGGTGCAAAGACCTTTCAGGTAGGAACAAACCTCGCGTGCTTTCTTCGAGCGGTTTCAAACCATGTCTAACGCAAACGGGAACCGATGCTTTGATACTTCTGCATGTATTCTATCTGCATCGATCAGAAAGACCCAATGGAAAGTTTAGATCTGATTCCCTTGCCCAAGGAATTACCAGTCTAAAACATGGGGCGTTAGTTGGCTTTGGTCTACCCTTCACTATATGGCCATAGTACATCTGGTTACGCACTACATTGGGCGACGTGTAAAAGACCTCAAGGCTGATATTGAACATTGGGACGTAAAGAAATGGACTAGGGTACGGATGGTCTAAGAGGTAGTTCTCGCGCAACAATGATGGATCATGTGCGACGAGCAAATGATTAATGGCCGCGATCATCTCATCAGCAGCTTCAATTCAACCTACGGGAAGCCTAGATTCCTCGGGCATGAGTCCATTCCTACGTGGCAGTAAGGGCATTTCATTTGTTGAAGAGAGGGCGCTGTTATACGTACATTGAGCTGTTCCACTTTTGGTGCTACTGTGCCGATTCTTGAGTCTGAAGTCCACTTACGCAGTTGATAAAATCCATGCTCTTCTTGCACTATGTTCAGATAACACCAGCAAGCTCGACAAATTGCTGCGCCTGTTCGCGGACAGGATCCAAGAGTTTGGCAAACGCCCGAAGGACAAGATTAAATTCTGTGATGAAATGATACGGCTGGTAAGACTCTTGATTGTCCCAACAAACTATGGCCGCTCGTAGCATGCCGCGCTTTGCTAGCTAGAGTGCTTGGTGTCAATCTTGCATTACTTGGCATCACAGCTCGGTGTGCCTTTTGAGGAGGAAAGATACTGAAAAGTACCCATAGTACCCTTGAAACTCTGGTAATACACACAAAGATTCAAGTTTGTAGGCGCACCGAGTGAAGTAGGCTCGATTGCCACTCACGATGGACAGCTTTCTCCAACACGACCCTACAGCTCCATCTTAACTACCTTGAGAGGACCGTCACAAGAATGGCACGAAAAGGCCTACTCGCAGACGCGGAGGCTGTCGAGGTAGGGGCTCAAGTTTCAAATGACTCTTGATACAGAGGAGCCTTATATCAGTAGTAGTCCTCGAGGTATGCAGGAAAGGTGGTCATCAGATATCTTGAAGATATGCGGATATCTAAATAAGAAACTATGACACATTCTCTGCCTGATCTTCGTAAAGAATACATCCGCAACACTCTGACTAATGTTTAAGGTTTGGAGAAACTCTAAAATCATAGCACCTCCATTTCAAGGATCACAGTCTACGTCAATATCCTAGTGAACCTTTACACCAGTAGCAACCCTGCCATAGCTGCAGCACCCAAGTAAGGTCCTATGGTCTTCATCGTCGCTACGCCTTTGGTCGAGCTGGGATCCTCGGTCCCGGTCTCGGTCCCGCTCGCATTCCCAGCGTATTTGACACCCTCCTCGTCGAGAATTTCTTTGGCCGATCCTGGTACAGGGCTGCCTTCTTCGATTTCATCCGTGCGAAGGCACAGCAACTCGACGCGAACATCGTCACTTGATGCGCCAGTCGGTCCGGTAGTGTCAGTTCGGTTTGGCCAGAACATTAGGAAGTAAGGTTGCGGAAAGCGAACTGTCTGGTTGTAACCGGTGCCTGTGCCGCTGCCTCCGTGCATTGAACTATTGACTGCGACCGCGTCCTGAGGACACTTCTTTTCTTTGAGCGTCTGCTCGTCTAATGCGTAGTCCAGTCGAGGGCCTCCACATGTCAACCTTTCATCCAGGCACTTAGGAATAAATCAACTTACTAGTACTGAACATTCCTCCCCGCCACTTCGAGCCTCCACCAACAAGCGACGCACATTCCTGCGGGATAGTGGAGTTGAAAACATCACCACTGCAACTGCGTGTGGAGAGTGACCTCAGTGCAGATCTCTGAAAATGTCGTTTCAGGCCCGCGACGCACTCCTCTCCCAACATGGTCTTGCAATCCCCATTATCATTGATGCTCCTCTCAAGCACATCGCGGGAGAACGAGAACCCTTCTTGGACATACGTCCAAGTCGTTTGCAAACACGTGCCGATTGTCCCATTAGATCCTCCTGTGTTTAACCACACACGCGTCATTGCATCCTCCCCTGCTGCTGCCACACTGTATTGCGTGCGCGTAGAAAAGTACCAGGAGTTGTCTGGATCATCAATGACGCTGTTGCCATTGAGCCGGAGCGCTGGGATTGAGACGGTCTTGGAGCTGTTGAAGTTGAAAAAGTTTTCATTCGCATAGCATATTTGAGCTGCAGCTTTCAGAACGAGCAACGGAGTGAGAATGCCCAAGGCAAGCGTGTTGATCGTTCCACGAGCCATGTTGCGAGCGAGTGCAAAGGCCGCGGTTCTGCAGACAGGATGTGATAACGTACACCAAGCGTGCGCCGCAACAGCGATCAAGGCTAATTATGCATGTTGATGAGCGAGACGTGCAGAAATGGGCAAGGCGCAGCATTGCCTTAATTAAGTGCCAAGTTGCCCATCTAGTGAATCATCGTCGTTGGACTGTCATACTGTCTGCCTTAGCGTTTAGGCCTGCCCCGTATTACTAGCTAGCGCTCGGAGAGGTTAGTATGAGGTAGCCGACCATGAAAACTACGGGGCGTCTTACATGTTGCTCTGATCCTGTCATACGTGCCAGGACGGCTCGGTTGTGCTTTCTGCGAATTAGGAGGTTTAGAGCCGAAGCTGTTGTAGGTGCCCGCCCCCACTTGCACCGCGAAATCAGCGTGCATTAGATTGCGAACCGTGTGCAATAGATTGCGAATCGGACCTTGCATAGAACTCGCATCCTGCTGATCTTCTCAGTCGTACCTATCATCAACAACCTTCGACCGACCCCAAAGTTCCGCTTTGGCTCTTCCGATGGCATAACAATCGCTCAATATGTCCTACACACCGACTACAGATTTTTCTAAAGCCGATTTACATTTCTTCGGTACCAACGCCGATCAATCCGACTTTCTCCGAACATCGTAGTACTCCCATCGCACGATGTCGAGACGCAAGTGGCCGTGGAACTTCCGGTGCTCACCGGAAACTGAGAGCAACAAATGTGTCAAGCTTGAACATATTACAATAACGATCATGATGTAATTTATGGCATAGCAGTCTGCGGTCCTCTGAGGGTGTTTCTACGCTAAGCACAATAGGTGTGTACAGTGACAACATTGAGATGAAAAGTAGCCGGTCCTGCCCACCAGTCACAAACAGTCGTACAAGAGGAGTCTACAAGGCACATGCCTGTCTCTCCCCTATCATCCCCTGTCACCTGGGAACCGAGGCCTCCATAGGCCAAACCTCTGCCCTCCCCTTCGTCCACCACTACCACCTTTACCTCCAAGAGGCCTCATAGGTACGAAAGGTCCCATCACGTCTTCTGATTCAGTTCTACCACCCATACCGCGGGGCATCATCCACAGGGACCGCCCACCCATACCCATTCCATCTTCGGAGTCTGAGAAGCCGCCCATGCCTGGTGGCATAAACATATCGTCCTCTGGATCAGACAATCAGCACATCAACATCCACTACCCTTCCTCTTAGACGAAAGGCTTCCGGGACGCCCCCGAATTCCCTTTTCGAACTGCCCCCTTCCTCCTCAGACCCCCTTCACTTCTTATGCTGGGGGTGACGCTCTTCCCACTCCCATGCCTGCCCAAACCAGGCTCATCCTTGGGCAGCGTCTCCTTCACTACGCGCAGCAACCACTTCCCCAATTCCCCCGTCACCCATCCACCTGGCACGCCATGCTTTGCAACCAGATCCTTGACCGTCTCAGCACCCATGTTCCCGCATACGACACAGGCTTCAAAAACCTTCTCAAATTCGCCCTGCAATCCTCCTGGAACGGCAACACACCCTCTACACCGCACCTGCTGGGGGACATTCTTACGTGGCGGAACTGGTGCCCGCGCGGATGGTTGCGGGATGGGTGGCAATGGTTTGTCCGGCTGCAGCGCAGTTACCTTGTAATGCGTTGGCGGCGGACAGTGAAAGACGAAACGATGACAGTGCGAACAGATGTGGCTGAAATTGGTAGACGGATCGAGAGAGGTGGGAGTCTGGTTGCAGAGGGGACAGAGGGCGTTGTCCTGCGCTACTAACGGTGGTGGTGGCGGGACGTGTTTAGCGGTGGGACGGCCGTGGGCGGTGAAGACGCTAGAGGCAAGTTCGTGAGAGGTGTCATGTGAAACAGTGTATGCGTGCGAGGGGTCAACGGGTGATTTCTGAGAGGGGAGCTGGTCGCGATCTGAAAGCTTCGGTGGGATAAACGAAGAGTCGCTGGATAGGGGTGTTGAGGACCAGTGGCGGGAGAAGTTCCTAGCTGGGCTGGGTTCTGACTGAAGCACAGAGTTTGGCTTCTTGTTTGGGAGAGGGACTTGAGTAGTGCTTCCGCTTCTCATAGAATCTCCATGCGCCAGTTCTCGTCCGAAGTGGGAATTCAGCTGCGACACAGGCGCAAGACGCTTCCCAATTACACTGCGCTTGAAACGCGGCGAGTCCTTGTTGATGTTGTATTCCGGATTGCGTGATGTCCCCAGAATTGTCTTATGAGTGCGTGGAACCTGCTCTTCGACCAGCGAAGGGTACACTTTAGATGAAGTAGACGCCATGTTTGTAGTTACCAGAACCCTCTGCTCTCCGATTGCGAGCAATCTTATAAGACCGGGAAGACAATTGAAGAGGCGAGATTGTATATGTGATCGATCGAAACACTAACATGTTGTGCATCTAAAACAATGACGCACAATGGAAGAGGACGCCTGACATTGTGAACGATGACCGCGCAGAGTAGATTCGAAGAGTGTTGCGTGACGACCTCATTGTTCGTTTGCTGCTTTGCGGTATCTTGATTTAGTCATGCAGTTTGCCTGGGCAGCATCGATTCGAAGCTGTGCAATTGTTGGATCAAAGACGCGGGCACTGAATGGTCCAACGGCAGCTCCTCACTCACCACCGTCCCTTCTCCTCATCTCAGCCTCCAACTCTTCTACTGATATAGGTACCGTCCTCCCCTCCCACTTCGCCCGCTCTTCTTCAGCAAAGCTCTCCACACTCAACAATCCCACAACCAAAAACCCTAACTCCTCTCTCCCCGTATCAAAAACCTCCCACCATTCCACATCCGGCATCTTTATACCCGTCTCCTTCGCTGCAAGGTAAATCGCCGCAGTTGCTATGCTACTCGGCTGATGTGTCAGATATAGCAGCTGGGGACTCAGCAGCGCAGTGTTCAGGTACGCGACTGCGCGCTTTGCGAGCTCCGGCGCGCGTGGGTGCGAAAAGACGTCGAGGGCTTGGAGGTATGTTATGCACAGGGTGTAGGGGAGGGAGACGTGTACATTGAAGCCGAGGGTTTGGAGGATCCGTTGTTCGGTTGCGAAGAGCGTGGCGCGGCGTGTCTGGTAGGTGCCTTCGGAGACGTAGTACGTATCCGGTCCGGGTGGGTCAGTTGGTGGGTGGAGAGAGGTAAGGGTCGAGATATAGGCGTATACGTTTATAATGTTTCGCGGGGATTTCGGGTATGCGGAGAGCTTGGTCGTGAGGTAAAGTGAAGCGGCGGAAACTTGCTGTTGCGCGTCCAGATCAGCTTTTGATCGTGGGTTTGAATAGAAATGCGTCGTTGTAAATATACCTCACACCCGAACTCGGCCAGGCTACCACCCTCACTGCCTATCCAAAACCTCACAAACACTATCACAGCCTGCGCAATCACTTCCTGTGGCAATCGCAACAATATTCCCGCAGCTTGTGTGATCTGGGCGCCTGCAAAGCGAATCGAGTTCTCGAGATCTTGTGGAACGCCATCGAGCTGTGAGCTGGACGTTTCGAGCTGTGCGACCGTCGCGAGAGGATTTGCGAGAGGTGACGGCTGCATTTTGTTGTGATTTGAGGTCATGTAAGTTCCAGTGAAGGTTGGATGTCCAAGCTCAAGCTCAAATCCGAGAGTTCGGAACGGGCTTGGCGGGCTATTCTTGATGCGGTAGACTATCAGAGCATGGAGAGAGACCTCATATAGCAGATGTTATAATATGATGACACTATGGTTTTCGAAAACGAAAGAACGGTACTACAGAGAAGAATAGCGAGGCTTAGCTCTTGCGTCTAGGCACTTGCAGATTGTCATAATCGCGCAGTCCTATAGATGCACAAGGCTTGATTGAGTGACCATAATGTTACTCAGGCGTCTAAGAGTGGAGTTGTAGTTTCACACCTGGCATTGCCTTCATGCGAAAATTTTATCACCTGCAGGGGATCGAATGCGGTCATGACATTGCTCGAGAGTGAGCAGAAGAGCGCGGTAAGCGCAGGCTGCAAACAACGTGAGATTTTTGATATACTTTGATCATCGTATGTATAGACATTAGTATAGTCTGCCGTTGCAAATTGTATTGATCCACCTGAGACATATGCACACCATCCAATGACTACCAACGTCATGAGTGTCTTTGATTGTTTGTAATAAACCATAGGTAACTTCACCGCTGAGCAAAGTCGATAACCTGCGCTGTTTCTCTGCAACGTCCTCGCCTGGTGCCTAGCTCAGAATACATATCCCACAACACCTTTTTGGCAACAGGCGCTCTCCCTTCGAGTTGCATGTGCTCTTGTGGGTCCATCGACTGCCCAAGCTTCCACGTGAGTTGCTCGGGTATCGATGCTAACAGCTCACGGAAGAAAGCCCGGAAGATGAAGTGTGCTCTTTTCCAGTCTTCGAGCTCTAACCGTGCCCATTCGTAGTACCGTGGATGGAAACTCGGAACGATCCGTAGGTGAACCAGAGAGGGAAATTGTGCAAAAAGAGAAGTCCAATCGATGTAGCTGTTCATTCGTTGTGCATCTTTTAATTGAAGCTCGAGGTGCATCTTCTTTATTCTGCTGCAGTCCCATCCAGTCGGCATTTCCAGTGTCGTAGCGGGGAAGTTGTCTAGTGACATGGCAAAGTAGTTGCAATGGTAAAATTGATCTTTGGCTTCATAGTACAGTGATCTAGAGACGCGCATGGAATCCAAGCATACGATGGGCTCGGTAGGTGCATCCCGGTGAACAATTGGTGGTCTCCCAGTCTGCGCGCGTTTGATGTTTAGCTTTGCTCGATTCCTCAGAACATTAGCACGTTTCTTCTGATCTCGAATGATGTTTTTGGCCTCCAGGATAGGTATTTTTCGTCCGCGGCGAACGACAAGATACGAAAGCACATGATCCCTGACTTCCCTTGGAAGATCAAAGAAAGCGAATGGCCCGCCCCGAGCTGCCGGGAAAGATGACGTGCACGGCGGGTTGTTGCTTGTGGCGTCAGTATCTTGCAAAATTTTTGCACGAAAGTACTTACTGGGCCACTCGTTGGATCTTCGCAGCGGGTCGCATCGGTGGGACTTCAATTGTGCAGCTTCTCCTACTCTTCTTGCATTCTTGACCAGCAACGGGCGTTTCCACCACCTCTTCAATCTTGCACTTCCTGTACGGATTTCTGCGAAGCGCCATCATGGACATGTAAAATTGTTGAATCTGCCGTACGTAAGTATATGGTTGTGAGATTGCAAACCAGGAAAATATAATTTCCGTACCTTGACCAAATTGCAGTAGCAACAGGCCGCATCCCTAAACACGTAGCGCACAGAAGGCGGTCCCGGCACACTGCGGGTGCGCCGTGGGATGCGAACCATTTTGACTCGAGTGGAATGAGGCGTGTTTCGGGGAGGGTATTGAGGGTCTGACACCTCGTCTCCGCTTGGGGCCATGCACTCTACGCGAACGAAGACGACATCGCAAAAGGCCAGCGATGGTCAACCGACCACTTGAAGCAGGCTACGCACATCTTTATAAAGAGAGTGGATGTCTGAACAATTTGTAAAGATGTGCCGACAGTGCAGCGTAGTGCTAAAGTTGGATCAAGTGAGCAGGCGGAGAGTTTGTTTAGTTCACGGCTTAAGGGCTTAGCGTTTCAGAACCGAAATATTATCGACTATAAAAGACGTGTTAAGACCAGCAAGAGCAGTGCCAAAGGCCTGTCACTGCGACTTATGTGCCGCTATAGCGCTTTCGTGTGGTCGCTGTAATTAGCTAGCCGTCGTCGCTGACCATTTTTGAGTGTCTGAAATACTTCATGCCGACCCAGGCTACGACGACCCATACCCATGCCATAACCGCAGTGCATACCAACAATGCTGGATAATAGCCTGTAATGGGGAGTGTAGGGTCGTCTTCCAGCTCGGGCGGCGCATACGGCGTCTCTCCGACATCCCAAGCCCAGGTCCAGACACCGAGGCAGGAACCCATGCCTACGACGAAGACAATCCAAGTTCCTATGAGGATGATCCAGCCCCACCACTCCGTCTCGCTGTAGTCCCATTCTTCTTCTAGTGTCAAATCAGTCGGCGAGTGCACGGTGCTTAGTGACGTGTGCTGCATTACTCGGTTCGGCCGACGATGCAGTCCAGCATCCGCAGCTTGTAGCGAGCTGGTGCCATATGAGGATCCGCTCGAGGCTGAGGGGTTATCAAAGGAGACAGTCTCATCGTCGTCTGTAGTCGATGCATAGGGCGCCGCTGAATGGGCAATAGCTGATGCTAACACGTCCGGGTTTGGCTCGTCAATTTGGTAGAGTGGTTTCCTCGTGGTGGATGTAGAGAATGATAGCACAGCTGTCGGCGACCTTCCACGGTCACATGGCGAGTTGCGCGACGCATGGCCGTAGGACTCTTCCCCGGCTGTCGTCTCCACCATGTTGGTATTGTTGAGGTTGGTAGTTTGGCTCTCGTGTGGGCCCCGGCGCAGCATGTTCTCTCCCAAGAGGCCTTGTCTGAGCGACCCCTTCCTTTTCCTTCCCGAAGGTCGTAGCGCGTCCATTATCCTGGAGCCACGTGTGGTTCCTTCTTTCCTGCCAGCCTTGTCGTCTTCCCGAGTCAGTTTTGATGAACCATCCTCTTTCGCCGAGAGTCCCACAAATGGCACTTCTTCCAGGATTCCATCCGACCTCCTGCGCCTATGTGCATCCGCGGCTTTGCCCTGGCTCTTCTTCGACTCTATCCCAAATGGTCGCGCCGCATTCGGATGACCGTCCCTAGGCAGACTCGTCACATCCTCCATTCGTCACGACATGGAGACCAACCGACGGATACCTGGATATAGAAGGCTACGTTGGTAAGAGCTAGACGAGTTACCCCCGGATAATCAAGTGCAGGAAACGCGCCCTTCCCTGGGCCAAGGCGACGTGTTCCAGGTTACTGATTCACTTGACACACAGTGATCCTCGCATACGATTTTGACGGGTTGGCCTCAGATATGTACAAACTGTCAAAGACTGTATTCCATGCCTTCGGTGCCTCAGGAAAAGGGTGGACGCGTGGTGATAAGCTGCTAGGAACGGCTGTGGCGGCGGCTCTGCTTTGTGCAGCATGACCGCGGACTTTTCAACAGCGGTGATCCCGGCACGTCTCGTAAACGTCCATGCTACTTCTAGACGCGCATTTACCCCCTCCTCCGCTTTCACCAGCAGGAGCCTACGCGCAACAAACATCGCGCAATGTCTGCCGCTGATTGAACTTGCACTTTACGTCACTCTTTTTGACTTCATTCATATCAACATGGCGGCTAACATGCCGCTCCCTGTCCCACCGCGGACCCCCACGCCGCCTCCTGAAGACGACAATCCCCCCGTGGGACTAGGTCTGGAGGATCAGCCGTCCCCGACGAAATTGGGGTTCAATGTGAATGCGCTCTCGCCTATGTCTGTAACCTTTCCGTCTGAAAGATATGGGACACTCGCACCCAGCGACTCGCTCTCACAGAAGGCCTCTCCAAGCACCATCTACAGCCCCATGAGCGCAGCGTTTCCTTATACGCCCGCCAGCGCGATGAGCGGCGCGAGCGACACAGAAGCACCATCAGTGAGCAGTGTCGGAGATGCGCGCAACCCGTTCAACTTTCAGTCGGTCACCTATATGCCCAACAAGCCTCAAGGCGTCAAGAACGTACGTCTACCATGTCACATGAAGAGCTTTCACTGACCTGCATAGGATGTTGGCCGACGTCGCGGACACAAGTATAAGCACAGCAGTGTTTCCCACCAAATATTCCTCGAACCTCCACCACGTGCCCCGCTCCAGCTACCTGCGTCCCTCCCCGTGCCTACCTTCAAAGAATACCGGGCAAGCATATCCAAGGAGCAGAGACTCAGGTTGGCATGGTGCTTCTGTCACCTCTTCGTGGCTGGCTTGGTCGGGTGGGGCGCACACGAATCGCTCGCTCTCACCGTCTTATCCCGTCTGATTTTCTACGATGCTCTTGGGGCTTTCCTTTGCATTGCCGTGGACATCGGCTCAAATTTTGAGGTCTGGAAGCGGTCGACTATCCGACATCCTTTTGGCTTTGAGCGCTCCGAGGTCATTGCCGGACTCGGAATGTCAGTTGGACTACTCTTTATGGGCTTGGACCTGATTTCGCACGGCTTGACACACGCATTCGAAGACAAGGGCGGCCATACCCCACATCACGCACATGCACACGAACGTGTCTCCCCAGGAAGCATAGACCTCGCGGCTCTGAGTGGGATTATTTGCACTGTCGTATCGGCCACGTTGCTCAAGAATCATGCCCGCATCGGCAAGGTTATGAGGCTCGGAGCTATTGCTAACCTCCCTTCAGTGCTGAGCAACCCTTCGCATTTCTTGACCTTGTCCTGCTCGTCTCTCCTACTCATCCTGCCTCTGCTGAGTATCCAGATGTATGTCTGGATAGACCGCACTCTTTCATTCTCCGTCGCAATCGCCATGGTCGCACTCGGGTGGGTCCAAGGGTGGTCGCTGGGTAAGATGCTCATGATGTCTTACTCAGGGCCGGGGGTTTCAGCCGTCATGTACGACATAGAGACAGATCCGGCCGTCAGTGCTGTGGAGGAGGCCAAATTTTGGCAGGTGCACTATGGGCTGTGCCAGGCGAATCTACGGCTGCGCGTGCGCAATCTGGAGGAGATTGGTCGACTGCGAGACCGGGTTGCGAGCATGGTTCGGAATCGGCTGGCCGGGGGCTACGGTGGTGGCGGCGGGCAGAAGTGGGAGGTCTCTACACAAATCACGCTCGAGAAGGACTGAGCACAGATGGCCCCCGCTGGCGTTTGCATAGCTAAAGTAAATGTTGTGGATACGGCTGCGAGTGTTGGCGATCCCATTCAGAGTTCCCACCGGCCGAACGCGCCCAGAAGGTGTGAGATACACATTCAGTGACGCATTTCGAACAATCGGGACGCTTGCTACAGTGCGCAACACTGCATGCGGAACCCACATGCAGTGTTTGCTCCCAACGAAGACATCATCTGGCTGCAACCTGAGACAGCTGGCAGCCCTCTGTGTGCAGCGCCTGACATGGCGGCACGCTAGCGAAACCCTTGACGGCCCGTAGCATTGATCAACAGGCACTCCGGGCTGGGCACTCACCGCCCAACGCGTTCTGGTTGTTTCTGGGGAGCCAGGAGAGGCCTTGACTCGCTGAGGGCACGCTGGACTCCATGTCGTCTGCCTGCAGGCGCTTGCTGTCTTTTCCACCGCCTGTTGGCTTTCTCCACACGCACGCTCGCTTGACGCACGCCTCCTGCACCACTGCCTGAGTGTCTGCCAGCACCGGACCTGTGAGGCTGGCACCACTCGGGCATCCTGTATATACCCACCCTACCCCAGGATATGGCCCGGGATCGGGCTGCGCGTGACTCCAGATATCTTTACGAAGACAATTCTGACAAGCAACGGGAGCGTGACCGCGAGGAGCGCAGATACCGCCGAAGACACCGGCATCGCGACGATTTCGACTACGACTACGAAGACCACAGGCAGCGACGAGAGCGTCGAAGAGCGGAGGAGGCCAGACGACAAGCCGAGGTCGACATTGATGAATTAAGGGCACGCCGAGAGTCATATTACAGCAGGCCCGAGGCCGATCGACGTCGCGACTCGCAGCGCATGGCACAGGATATTCGCGTGGAACGGGAAAAGGATAGACCGCGGAGTAGTAAGAAGGAGGTCAGACGGGACGGTACGGTGCGGCGAAAGAAGAGGAGGGAAACAGTCGAGGATGACCGGAGCGACGACTACGTTTATGGCCGGCCCAAATCAAGGGCGGTGGTGGAGGAGGTCACCGTGAGGCGATCATCCGGAAAAAGAAGGAGCGATGAAGGAGGCTCGTCAAGCCGGACAGAACACACGCCTCTCTCTGGGTCAAGATCTGCCTCGCTGCGCAAAGAAGAAGTGCCGAAATTGAGCAGGAGCATGTCGGCACGAGAGTCACAGCGAGTGTACATGACCAGACCGTCCGCACGACGTACCAGCACTATCAAATTGCCGGCGGCGACCGCTGCGCCTCTAGCGAGGTCGCATACTGTATCCGCCAAAGACACCAGAAGAAGTAGTGGCCTGCTTGCTACGTTTTTCAGAGCCCCACCCCGCCCACAGACCGCTGTGCTTCCCAAAGAGGTCACCAGGTTCGTTTCGATGTGTGCACGTCAACGATGCCAGCTAATAGAACAGGGTGGATTGCATCATTTGCATGGACGATGACTTGCCCACGAACAAGACTGCGAAGCTTGGGTGCGGCCATCGCATGTGCCACTCGTGTCTCAAACGTCAGTTCACCCTGTCGGTCTCTGATCCCAAACACATGCCTCCCACGTGCTGCAACGCAGAGCACATACCCTTGCAAAAGGTCGAACGTCTATTTGATGACAAGTTCAAGAGACTTTGGAATAAGAAATACCAGGAGTACACAACCGCCAATCGACTGTACTGTCCAACAAGAGGCTGTGGGGAATGGATCAAACCTTCGAAAATCCGCATGGACTTGACATATGGCAGGAAGTACGCACGTTGTGGCCGATGCAATACCAAAGTTTGTGTTTTGTGCAGTGCAAAGTTTCACACAAGGCGGGAATGTCCGAGAGACGAAGAGACGAATCGACTAGTTGAGATGGCGAAAGAAAAAGGCTGGCAGCGTTGCTACAACTGTAGGGCGGTCGTCGAACTAAAAGAGGGCTGCAACCATATGACTTGGTGAGTTGACCTGCTCCACATGATGATATCACATTGACTTTTGAAAGCCGCTGCACAGCTCAATTCTGTATGGTGTGTGCAGCCCCTTGGAAAACCTGCAATTGCCCATGGTTCAATTACGCCCATCTCGACGAAGACGACCGCCTAAACGACATGCGCGTACCAAACAACGCCCACGATTATGTCGAAGTCATAGAAATGCCGTCTCAGCCTGAACCTGCACCCCTCCGCCGCGCCAGCACACGAACACGCCGCAGGCCAGAACGCGAACGGAACCTCGATCGAGCTGACGACATTCTCGCAGCCCACCTGCAGGCCCAGCTCCGGATGGAGAGCACGCCGACAGCATCAGAAGTCCACCGTGCTGACCCTGGCGTTGGTGTCTATGGCCTAGGGAATTCTGGAGGCCACCACATGAACGATTCGTACGCTGTACGACCACTCGCTACAGCGGCTGCTCGCACAGCTACCCGCTCCGCAGCGCCACGGTCTTTTTTCAGCAGTCGCCGCGCAGTACGCGAAGTGCCCCGAGAAGTGCCCCGGCCACAAATTGTACAAACCGTGAGGGCATCGGCCATGGCTGGCTTGTCAAGAGACGGGTCCAAGCGCGGAGCCAACAGAGTTGGTACCTGGCTTAGCCATGTATCAATAGACGAAGAAGCGATTCACACAGCACCGAGAGACGTCGAGGTTGACGATTGGAGAGTTGATGGGTCTGTCCGAGGGATCGATTGAACATACATTAACCCTCTTATACATTGTTTAGCATCTACGATTGGATATCTCAGCTTATACCATCTGATGATATAGCTTGGAGATGTAGATGGATAGGGCAAGGTCACGCATATTTGGACATATTCTGATAGCTTGTTTAGCAAGATACCCTCCCTGAGCGCCTAGGGCAGCTACGCTGCGATACCAGTAATGTATACTTACATGATAAAACGGCGAGACTTGTAGTGGCGTGCTGTGAGGCGCTCCTGATGTGCGGGCGATCAGTGCATCTCTTGGCACCATGTACACATAGTGATGTCATTCACAGCTCACTTGCTCCAAGCTCCGGCATAGCTCTAGAGCTACCACTACTCTCCAACCTACGCCATAGACAAAACTCGAGGTTCATCTTGCTCTCCCTATCTGCCTTCGAATTGCACACATACACACGCACGAAACGTCACAATGTCTTTCCTCCGATCCTCAGCAGTTGTACGCTCAGCGCTTATGAGGCCGGCCGCTTCTGTCGCTCCTTGCGCCCGATTCCATACCGTGCGCTCGCTCCGTGCACAGCAAGACTACGGCTCGGGCGAGGGCAATCCCGCAGGCGAGAACCCCCAGCAGCAAGGCAAGCGCGGCCGCGAAGACCTCGAACACCCCGGTCCACCAGCACCGAACGTCGGACAGGGTAACAAAACCTCTCCGGACTCGTCTTCCTCGCAATCCTCCAGCTCGAGCTCGAAGGGCTCTAATGGAGGCAGCGGCAGTGGAAAGCAGGCGGAGTCGACGGACAAGGACGTCAAGGGAGTCAAAGGTGCGCAGCCCAAGATTTTGAATGAGAATCCGCCCAAGGGAGACAATGCCCCTGAAGAGGTCAAGCAGCATAATCGGGAGTTGGATCAGAGGGCTGAGAAGGCACATGAGCAGGTTAGCAATGAGGACGCGAAGCAGGATAAGGTGCCGAAAAGCTTCTGGTCTGGTAAGTACATGTCTATCCTTATGGCGGCTGCGTCTCCCAAGACGAAGGCCGTACTTGAATAATTGCTCTAACGCAGTTCAGGACATGGAGGAGCGGATAAGGAGCCTTGATCGAAATGTTCGAGTACCCGTACACACGTCCAGAGGCGGAATTTGTATGATAGAGTTATGTGCATCTATGGTTTCTCTCGTATGACATTAGCATCAATGCGCACAGAAGCTGTGTAGCTACCGGATGATGGTGGACATTCTACCAGTTAAAGCGCTCTTACGATACATTCTCACTATGTGCAATCGTTGAATTGTGTAATCGCTGCACATTCCGTCTCATCTTCACAATTATGGCCCCAGCGTCGTGTGCTTGTTTTGGTGACGTCAGGGGCGTAGCCAAAGCGCGGTCCCCGCAAAATGCAATCGCGATGGCATTTTCGAAATGCCACATCGCATACTCGTGAGAACGCCATGAAGATCGACGCCCTTCAAGACAATCTGTCTTCCATTCACAGTGACCACCACGAGACAGCTTGAAACAGTAGGCTAGACTTCGCTGGCCCTGGCAGCCGCGGCGACGTAATTGACGCGACGTTCACAGGCGGCACACACCGCAAAGCTCGGTCCTCTGGTTGGTTGCGGGGCTGCAGGAGCGGATCTTGCTTGCCCTTTTCTCAAACGTGCATACTACGTCACTGCATTTGCTGCATAGAGCTTTGTCTCGTTCCCCTCATAAGCTTCCTGCTTTCTACATTCCTCTCATCTCCCGCTCAACCATCGCCCCTGTGTCGCCCAATCTATATTGATTAGCTCGACTACCTGATCTTCACCCTACGCAGATCACATAATGAGGTTCTCGACTGTATCCGCCGTCGTGGTGGCTCTTGCCGCTCAGGCCACAGCCAACAGCTGGTTCGGTAAACCCGGTGCGTATTGTAGGAACACCTTTCCTTTAATCTATTGCTCGGCGCGCTTTAATATCGGATATTGGACCCGTAACTGACTTCAAAAGTGTATAACAAGTGGCACGAGACTGAGCTCGAGCGATGGCTGTCTGACAATAACGTCCCCTATCCTACGCCCTCGGACCGCAAGGATCTCGAGAACTTGGTCAAGGACAACTGGAACGATAAGGTTGTCACGCCCTACAACAGCTGGGATACCCAGACGCTGCAGAACTACCTGACCCTTAAGGGCCAGCAGGCAAAGAAGGGCACCGAGAAGGACGCGAAGTCGCTCGCCGAGCAGGTCAAGGTTTACTGGACCGAGACAGAGGATTCGGCCAACCAGGCCTATGGTAGCGTCAAGGACTGGATTTTTGACACGTATGTGAAATCTGTCCAAATCATGGTCTTTACTAACAATGAATAGCTGGACCGACTCTCAGTTGAAGGCCTTTGCCGACAAGCATGGCATCCCCGTTCCCCAGCCCCGCCAGCGCGACTCCCTCCTCAAGGCTGTGCGCGAGAACTACCAGTCCACTGCCAACAAGGTCTCGGAGACCGTCAACTACCCCGGTGACTGGCTCTACGAATCTTGGTCCGATTCTGACTTGAAGTCCTGGTTCGATGAACGTGGCTACCCTGTTCCCCAGCCTTCTGCTCGTGACAGCCTCATTGCCAACATCCGTCGTCAATCTCGCATCGCTAGTCTAAACCTCCAGGGCGCCTACGCTCAAGCTTCTTCTTCCGCCGCGGCTGCTCAACAGAGCCTCAGCGATGCTCTCCTCGACTCCTGGTCCGACAGCCAGATCAAGGAATGGGCCGATAAGAATGGCATCAAGGTTCCCCAGGGCTCCAAGCGCAACGAACTCCTTGCCCTCGCCCGCAAGCACCGTGCCCGTCTCTATGGTGACAGCGCTTCTGCTACTGCTGAGAGCGCTTACGGTGCTGCTACTTCCAAGGCTGGCAACCAGTACGTGGCTGCTACTGATGGTTTTGCCGGATACACCAACTGGATCAAGGCTCAATTTGGTATCGCCACTGATGCTGCTGCTGCATCCGCCTCAAGCGCCACAGGTAGCGCTGCCAAGAGTGCTTCCAGCGTCTCCTCATCCATTTCCAAGTCTGCCGCCAGCGCCTCCTCTTCTGCTTCCAAATCCAACGCTTCTGCCTCCAAGTCTGCTCAGAGCGCGTACGACCAAGCTGCTTCTAGCGCGGCCTCCGCCACCGACCGCGTCAAGGAAGAGTTGTAAACTATACGGCACTTGGCTAGTAGACTGCTCAGCAATGAGATGGATACCCTTGCTTGAGTCTCGCTACAATCAAACAAACGTTTCACACACAACCTCATCTCACACGATCACGCACGTTCACGACCTCACGACACAATCAAAACGAACCAATAGGCGAAAATTGAAGTGAAAGGACTTGTAACTTTAGCTTTAGCTGTACTAATCAGGATATTCCCCTGCGAAGATGGATGGTTGGGTTTGCATTTCGGCGGCTCTCTTTCTGCGCGGAATGTGCGAGATGCCTGGTAGCTCTCGCCCCTTAGTTACTTTACGTAGTCGGCGTAGGAGTATCCGAATGGATGGTAATCTTCTTAACCATCTTCCTCTACTTCGTCTATGCTTTTGTTCCTCCCTCATATCAACTTCGTCCCCATATATCTTTGACTTTAGTCCAGTGTCCCGGTCCCTCCATCCCTATTCACACCCTTCTTCCCTTCCCTTCACAGTCTCGCCTTCGGTTTGATACTCCGACTCGCATACTCAATCGCAGCTTCGTACCCATAAACTCCGAGCCCGCATATCACGGCTTCCGCCTTGTCACTTAGATAACTATGGTGTCGGAAGGATTCGCGCGCGTGCACGTTACTTATATGAACTTCGACGAAGGGAAGTTCGCAGCCGAGAAGGGCATCGCGTATGGCGACGGATGTGTGTGTGAGGGCGCCGGGGTTGATGATGACGGCGTCGACTCGACCGCGCGCTTCGTGGATGCGGTCTATTAACACGCCCTCGTGATTCGATTGCAGGTGGGAGAAGGTTATGGATTTGGAAGCGCATTGGGATTCGGCAGAGGCGATTACGTCGGGGAGCGTGGTTGAGCCGTAGATGCTGGGTTCGCGCGTGCCGAGGAGGTTGAGATTAGGGCCGTTGAGGAGGAGGATTGATTTGGCGCCGGACATTGTAACTTCTGTGTAGTGCTTGAAGGTAGAATGCTTCGGATGTTGGGGGAGTGAAACCGATACAGCAAGAGTTCTTAAGACTGGAAAATGATATTAACTTTTGAGAGGAAACTGGTAGAATTGAATGCGGGGAATGACCCAGGTCAGCAGCTTTTCCGCAGTGCTCGCTGAATGATGCATGTGGTTTGGAGCGGAATGCAATTCCGATGCGGAATGGCGGATAAACCCTCTGCCGCCTGTTGAACGAACCATTCCATCTCCCCTCCCATTTGCTATTCGATAACTCCTGCAGTACCCATGCTTCTCCGAGCTCCGGATCATACCAGACGTCAGCATGCGGATCTCTCCAATCTTTTGGAGCTGTTACGGCTTGCTGCGGGTGTCAATCTGGTACCAACCCCCACCACACTACCATCTTATCTTAGTGGGGAACCAACAACGTTCGTTCCTGGCGTAACTCTGCGCTTCAAAATGACACACAACTATGGACGACATCTCGCGCGAAGAACTTGATGGGATATACGCTTTCGCAGTGCAGCTGGGCAAAGATGCAGGTCGTATGCTCATGGACGCGGCGAAAGCCAGGATGAGCCACGCAGACTCAAGCGCGCAGAAAGAGCATGTGCAAAAGATGAATGCAGTCGATCTAGTCACCGAGACAGATGAGGATGTCGAAGCGTACCTCAAGACCCAGATTACTTCCCGCTATCCAAGCCACAATTTCGTCGGCGAAGAATCTTACTCAAAAGGCGCGTCGAGGGACTACTTGATCAACGACGAACCGACATGGTGCGTGGATCCTCTGGATGGGACGGTTAATTACATCCATCTCTTCCCCATGTTCTGCGTCAGCATCGCCTTCATTCATAGATCGAAACCCCTGATCGGCGTTATCTACGCGCCCTTCCTCAACCAATTCTTCAAGTCCTGCGCCGGCCGCGGCGCCTGGCTCAACGACACGCAGCCCCTTCCCCTCCTGAGAAATCCCATCCCCCCGATGCCGGAGAAGGCGCCGAGCGGGTGCGTGTTCAGCTGTGAGTGGGGAAAGGATAGGAGGGATGGCCCAGATAGCAATATGCATAGAAAGGTGGAGAGCTTTGTGAATATGGCGAGTGAGGTTGGGGGAGGCAGGGGAGGGGAGGTATGGTGCACGGTGTGAGAAGTCTTGGGAGTGCAACGCTGGATTTAGCATATGTTGCTATGGGAAGTTTTGATATCTGGTGGGAGGGTGGGTGTTGGGAGTGGTAAGTTTGCATGAACTGATGGGCGACTGTGGCTAATGAGCATAGGGACGTTGCCGCGGGCTTTGCTATCCTCATAGAGGCAGGAGGGCTGGTTACCACTGCGAATCCACCATATCCGAACGAAGATACTGCGCCTGTTGAAGATGTAAAGATGGGAAGTCGGCTGTACCTCGCTATTCGACCGGCAGGTGGTTCGGCTACAGAAACGGGACGACAGAGCCAGGAAAGAACAGTGAGGGAAGTCTGGAAACGAGTCCGAAATCTAGATTACAATAGACCAGGAGCATGATATAGCAAGATAAATATTGCATGAACGCTACTTAGATGCTGATAATATATACATGAATTTTGGAAATCCCCTTCTCTATAACCTCGCCTCACTCAACTTGGCCGCAATAACCTCCATCACCTTCTTCACCGGCATCTGCTCCACCGTCTTCCCAGTCCAATACTTATCTTGCTCCAGCCCCTGGTATATCATCGCCTCGGTCCCCAGGATAACCTTCCAGTCCTCCTTCTGACTGATCTCTGCAATCTCCGTCCACGGCGAGGGATGGTAGCACATTTCGAGTATCGCGCCCTTGTGCGACTTTTGCAAAAAGCATTCTAGCACCGCACGCGCCTCTTTCTCTGTTTCTGTCTTGGGAGAGAAGTTGGGCACACATGCGACGATGGCGCCTACGCCTTCTAGCTCTTGGGCTTGGGAGACGGTAGATACATCGATGAGATCGTCTCCGTACCCGCGCGCTGTGCACTCCTCAATCACGGCCCTAACCTCGGCACGATCCCTATTGACCAAGTACACCTTACTCGCCTTCATCCACGTGCGTAGTGCATACACGGCGCTTCGTGCCGCACCTCCTCCGCCGACGACCAGCGCTGGGCGGCCGTGAAAGGAAGTATCTGGGTCGGACACATTCGCATAGAAGGAATCCCGGATGCCGATGACGTCGGTGTTTGTGCCCATGTAGAGGCGTTTCCCTGTCTCTGGGTCGGTCCTGATGAACAGGGTGTTTACGGCGCCGACGGCGGAGCCTTCGGGGGTGAGGCCATCGAGGTGGGGGAGGATGGCGACTTTGTGAGGCATGGTCACTGAGGCGCCTGGACCACAATCAGCTCATATTGATGGTGAGTATTAAATTTGGACAAACATACCGTAGAATCGGGGGTCTTCACGTAGTCTCAAGAAGAGAGCCATGTCTGTGGAGTCGAGAGGAAATTGCGACCATGGTAGACCGATGCCATCGTATATTGTTTGGTGGAGGAGAGGAGATAGAGAGTGTGCAATGGGGTGGCCGAAGAGATAACCGTGACGCTCGACGGCATCCAAGCGTGAGGACTCGTGGGATTCAGTCTGCTGTGCCATGACGGATGCGATGAAACGAAAAGGAAGGTTGTGTCTTCGGTCGTTCTTTGGGCGATCTGGGGGAAAAATGCACGGGCGATTAGGATCTATGCAATGCCTTTGAAATATGTCCGAGGTTCAATTGGCTACCCCGGGCGTTTTGTACAAGATTCATGCAACCCGTCGATGGGAGAGAACAACCCCGCAGATTCTCTGCGTGCTGAACGTTCATCCAGACGCACGAGTCAGGTCAACCCCACAAAAGCCTCTTCCGACGCACCATCGATCAAACCCTCCGAAGACGGCCCCATCAGCCAATCACCGTCACTCGATTGGGAGAACTCTCACCCGGCCCTGGTCGCGATCATTCACGCCGCCTAGATCCAATGCCAAACGTGGATGGTTGATTAGCCTCCAAGCGTTCGCGCCGCCTTGTCCCCGCCAATTACAGGGGTCGCGCCATGGCGAGTTGTAAGAGTTTTTCCAGACGACACAGGCGTGGATGAGATTATCTCCTTGCAAGGACAGTTCCATCCCCGTGGAGGCAGCTTCTCCGCGTGTTGAGCTGGGGTCTGGATCTGGGGTAAGACTCAAGTATATGAACCAGCCCTGCACCCTGGACTTCATCTTTCCATCGACCAGACTCTCGGATCCTGTCTCGTCACATTCCGTTCCCTCTCTTCCTCCTCTTTCATCCCTTTCACTTACCTTGCAAGAGTCGCCCAAGCTCGGGAACAATTTACAATATGGGCATCCTCGCCTTCGTTGAGGATAGGCCGACTCCCAAGGCGGTCTACAATTGGCGCGTGTACACTGCAGCAGCTGTCGCATCATGGGCATCATGCATGATCGGGTACGATTCTGCATTCATCGGCACGACGCTCGCGTTGCCATCCTTTGTGAGCGAGTTCAAGTTCAACGAGATGGACGCGGACAAGCTGGCGCTCACCAAGGCAAACATCGTCTCGGTGTACCAGGCTGGTGCTTTCTTCGGATCCTTTGGCGCTTACGCTTCCAGCTATTACCTTGGACGGAGGTTGTCGCTCCTCGTCTGGTGCACAGTCTTCATCCTTGGTGCCGGTCTGATGTTGGGTGCGAACTCGGAGCGCGGTCTTGGTCTTATCATCGGTGGTCGCGTGTTGGCTGGTCTGGGTGTGGGTGGTGCGTCCAACATGGTGCCTATCTACATCTCCGAGCTATCGCCACCTGCGGTACGAGGAAGACTTGTCGGTATCTACGAGCTCGGCTGGCAGATAGGAGGACTTGTCGGCTTCTGGATTAACTACGGCCTTCAAGAGACAATGGAGCCTTCGCGCAAGCAATGGCTCATTCCCTTCGCCGTACAGCTTATTCCCGCCGGCTGCCTCCTCATCGGAACCTTTTGGATGAAGGAATCCCCTCGCTGGCTCTTCACCAAGGGCAAGCGCGAACAAGCCTTGGCGAACCTGTGCTGGATCCGCAACCTGCCACCCACAGACCTCTACATCGTCGAAGAAGTTGCCGCCATCGACGCGCAGATCGAGCACGACCGCATCCACGTCGGTGCAGGTTTCTGGCGCCCCTTTGCCGCGCTCAAGCAGCGCAAGGTCCAATGGCGCTTCTTCCTCGGTGGCATGCTTTTCCTTTGGCAGAATGGTTCAGGTATGTTTTTTATCAGTCGTGAATGAGGTTGCTCCCGCTAACATGTTCCAGGTATCAATGCCATCAACTACTACTCCCCTACCGTCTTCAAATCTATCGGCATCACGGGAACTAGCACCGGCTTCCTGACCACAGGCATCTTCGGAGTAGTCAAGACTGTCGTCACTGTCATCTGGCTCCTCTGGCTTATCGACCGCCTCGGCCGCACCAAGCTCCTAATGATCGGTGCCGCAGGAGGTTCCATTTGCATGTGGATCATAGGCGCCTACATCTGCGTCAAGGGTGCCGATACCAGCAATCCTGATGCCAAGCTCTCTAGTGGCGGCATCGCAGCCATCTTTTTCTTCTACCTGTGGACAGCCTTCTACACGCCTTCCTGGAACGGCACCCCCTGGGTCATTAACTCCGAGATGTTCTCTCAGAACACGCGTTCGCTCGGACAGGCCTCCGCCGCCGCAAACAACTGGTTCTGGAACTTCATCATCTCGCGCTTCACCCCGCAGATGTTCAACACCATGGGCTACGGAGTGTACTTTTTCTTCGCCTCGCTCATGATACTGTCGATTCCGTTTGTGTACTTCTTGATTCCTGAGACCAAATCTATCCCGCTGGAGCACATGGATGAGCTATTCGAGATCAAGAACGTCAGGAAGGCGCACGGAGTCATGATGGAGAGGCTACTGAGGGAGGAGGAGGAGTTCAGGCATGATGCTGAGGGAGCAGGGCTCACTGTTGAGAAGACGAAGAACGAGCAGGTGGAGAGCGTTTAGATGAGGAATGCCCATGAGTAGAGAGACATGTGTATGCTGTGATGAGATAATTGAAGTTTAATAAGATTTATTCAACAATCTTCTGCGCTTGGTTTCATAGTCCTGTGATGTTACTTGTTGTAGAGGGGATTTCAAAGTTTGATGGCGCCGCAAAATTCCCCGTGTGCATCGTGGCTTGTACGTACCTGGGATACTCACCTGCCAATCATCTTCATGTGAACCAAGCTTTCTTGAAGAGGCTCTTCACTCGGCATGCTGGGATATATACTGGTGGCTCACACTACGCTGCGAGGTTGGTCTTCGATCAAACATTTCATCAAGCCGAGTGCCTGGTAACATCAGATCGGTAATTGGCGGCGAGCATGCTTTCGATCGCACTCAGCGGTATTCGGATTTTCGTGCTAAATCTCACAGAACGGACGGCAAGGACACCGTAACAGCGCCTGCTTCGAGACAGCAGATCAGTGCGAGTGTTTTGAGTGTCTACTCCAAGACGAGCTATTTGGCACGGTCGCCCTCGCCCTCGCCAACACGGTCGATATCGAATCCATCCCCGACCTCTAGCAATGAACCGGGTCCACTCAAAAACCCGAATGCCGAGGCTATAGCTGGCGATACTGTTGGAGGTGTTGTTACAGTGATAAGTATCGCTGTCATCGCCCTCTGTTTCCATCTACAAAACGGCAGAAGCAGAACCTATGAGCCAGCCAGAGTGCGCACATAGCGACGAAGCTTGGATAACCCGATCAAACAGCAGTACCGTAAAGAGGTATCCGGCTGCGCCAACAACAGTATCGTATATGAGCGTGCTACCATCTCCATCCGAACACCCCTAGCTACTCACCTAAAGCCTTCCTGCCACCGCCATCTTGGCCTAAGCAGAAACATCCGAGTACATAATACTAGGACTCCCACCAATGCCACAACGTGGCTGGACAGACTGGCAGCAAAGCCAACAGCCCTACTACCCACCACCGCAAAAGCCCATGCAGTCACCTGCCAAGCACGCGCACATCGCAGGCGCGAGTGAAGAACTGCCGGGCATGGTGAGCCAAGTGAGCGAGATGCCAGAGGTGAAGATTCCGGTGCCCCGACGTTGGTATTGATGATGCGTACGTGTATTGGAATATCTATCGTTTTTGACCAAGCTTCGACTCGAGTGCCAGTGCATTACTGTATGCTACTAAGTTACAAAGCGTTCATCCGAATTCTTTATGACGGAATGTCCGCCTCTCTTATAGAATAGTCCCTTCAGTCTGTCCCAAGATTATGCATTCGCTGACCAGTCAGCCGAAGAGATTGGGGAAAGACCTCCGCATGACTAGTAAGAAGTTGCCTAAGCATCAAGTAGCTTAGGATAGCCCGCACCTCCAAGCACTTCTACCGCTTGGCTTGGTAGGCTTAGTCGTTTTAAAGTGCTCTCGCCCGGCACCATGCCCAGGTGGCGCGAAGACTTGGCTTGTCGACGGCGCATGCGGCGTAGTTTTCCTCAGTACGCCATCCGGAGAATCTGCTTCACTTCAAAACGGCTTTTTGCAGTCGAATGTCTTGATTTCATCTTCTCGTTGGAAAGAAAATTGGATGAAAGATTCGGAAGCGAGGGGGCACGATCGACAGTTTCCGGCCGCTCAGGAGCAAAATCGAGATCGCGTGAGGTTGCCCCCGAGCTGGTTCGCTCTCCAAGGATCACATCGCTTCTACGGGATATATGTTGGGCTAACTATGCCAAAGGACCTGGCTGCGTCACTAGCGGATATCGACCCTGCACGTTACTCGGCAAATTGTTCCGGAAGTTGCGCAGGGAATTACGCAAACAGGTAGCTCACAGTTAGATTCGCCTGTGTTTGTCCTTCATCTGTACAATTTGACTACAACAAGGATCCGTGGTCATTGGACAGATGCAGTACAAAACGTGTATCCTTGGGAACATCTGATCGACCAGGTAGGATAAAGTGCCGCAAGTGACAAAAGATGCAGACCGATCCACAGTGATCATAGAGCCAATCGCACAGGACTCCCGTGGACGTGGAGGTTTAGAGAGACGAACATCGACATCAATGGTAGCGATGGCACGACAGCCCACACAGTGGACAATGCGATGAGTAGTCCTACATGAGGAGTATAACAGTTCAAGGGAGGTACATGTATGAGTACGTACAATGATACCTTTGTCTCGATCCATCGAGGTGGAAAGGCTGGACTGGGTTGTGGAGACGGGATGCTATTGCATGGCCAAGCACTAAGTATTCGTCGTGGGCCTCGGTGAGGGTCTCGTCATTGCTCCGTGGACTCTATGTGCATGATTTCCGATTCTACCCGTGAAGCTGGCATGTTTGACGCTTAACACAAGTATCGCAAGGGCCAAAACCAGCGCGGACGATACTGAAAGAGGTCTGGAGCGGGTGGCACACCGAGACCGGATTGGAGGCAATCCCATTCAGGGATGGTTCCCGCAGAGCCGCCGACCAATCTCCGATCTTGGTGGGGTTCTCGCAACCAGACACGCCTGGGTTTTGTGCATCGCCTGCATCGCAAACTTCATCACCGGCAGTTTCTCGTAAGCATTCACTACTTCGATGCCATAGCGTGCCGAGCTATGTTTCGTTGCGGCTTTCGTCGGGTGAGACTCGTTCGACAGCGTCGTCCTCGTGACCACGCGTCACGCGCGTTGCGCAACACACTATTCACGTCTCCAGAGGTTCGCTCTATGACGCCATCAGCCTACCCCATGGCACTCACCACTGATCGTCTCTTGGAGCAATAAAAATGCCGCAACCTCTGCGCTCATCCGCTGCCAGGGGGACGAGACAGCTCCCAATCAAATACAGCTCGGTGAGAATTTCGGGGAGAACTTGCTTCGCAGAGCCTCATGTGGGCCGCTAGAAGCTTCTTCGTTGGCAAGCTCTACACCGAACGCCTCAAGACTCGGCCCGAAGCTTAATCGACCCACCGATCTTTACTGCTTCTGTCCGCTAGAGCACGAGTCTGCGGCGTCCGGTGCAGCCGCAGATATCAGAATTTTTGCGATTCCTTGCTTTGGGGTCTCCGCGCGCTCGTCACGAGGGGTGGTATGAGGAGCACCATGGGGATCTGTCATTCCGATCGATCGAAGTGGGAAAGTGGGTCTCCCCTTGGGGTTGTATAAATGGGGATAGCCAGACCTACGGGAACCTGTGTCGCGCGTCCTCTCGCCAATCCCTCAATTTTAACGCCGCCTACTGCGAGTACTGCCCACCATGGACGAGAAAGAAGTAAAAGCCCCGGCTCTCGAGAGCACGGCTACGACTCCTCGCAATCTTTCCAAGAGTGAGATCGAGATCGCCCCCAAGGAAGGCTATGAAGCACCCAAGGCAAAGGCTGAGCAGCTCGAGAATGCTCGTGGCGATGAGTCCGACAACCTCATCCACGATCTCGAGAGGGAGCTCGAAGCGAGCGGTTACAAGAAGGGTTTCCTTGACATGGAGTTCAAGAACACGAAGCACTTCACCTGGATCCTGGTAGCCTTCGCCTCCATGGGAGGTCTGCTCTCCGGTCTGGATCAGAGTCTGATTTCCGGCGCGAATTTGACGCTGCCGCGAGATCTCGACTTCTCTGCCCAGCAGAACTCCATGGTCAACTCTGGCATGCCCCTAGGAGGTATGTCGATTCCCAGCAACATCAATACGCCCAGCTAATCTTTCTGCAGCTGTCGCCGGTGCTTTCCTTATCTCGCCGTGCAACGAATACTTCGGTCGACGATGGGCCATCATCATCTCCTGCATCTTGTACACAATTGGCGCTGCACTTGAAGCCGGTGCCGTCAGCTACGGTATGATGGTTGCCGGTCGTGTCATTCTCGGAGCCGGTGTCGGTCTCGAGGGTGGAACTGTCCCTGTCTACGTCGCCGAAACCGTCGAGGCCCGCATGCGAGGTAACCTCGTCTCCCTGTACCAGTTCATGATTGCCCTCGGCGAAGTTCTTGGCTATGCTGTTGCTGCCATGTTCATCACCGTCAACGGTAGCTGGCGCTACATCCTTGGTAGTTCGCTCATCTTCAGTACCATCATGGGTGTTGGAATTCTCTTCATGCCAGAGTCACCCAGATTCCTGATGCACAAGGGCAAGACTCTTGAGGCCTTCAAGGTCTGGAAGCGCATTCGAGGTATTGAGACCCGCGAAGCGCGAGAGGAATTCTTCATCATGAAGATCAGTACCGAAGAAGAGGAAGCTGAGGTCAATGCTGGCCGCACCAACAAATTTCCCTGGATGGATTTCTTCACCAAACCTCGCGCTCGCAGGGCGATTATCTACGCCAATATCATGATCTTCTTGGGTCAGTTCACCGGAATTAATGCGATCATGTACTACATGAGTGTTCTCATGAGCCAGGTTGGCTTCGACACTTATGACGCGACCTACATGTCCCTGGTAGGAGGTGGATCCCTTCTCATCGGTACGATTCCCGCCATCTTCCTCATGGAAACCTGCGGACGTCGCTTTTGGGCTATTGCTATGTTGCCGGGATTCTTCATCGGTCTCGTTCTGGTTGGTATCAGCTACCAACTCAACACTCTTTCCGCACAATTGGGCGTCTATCTTACTGGTCTTATCCTCTACGAGCTATTCTTCGGTTCGTACGCTGCGCTCACCTGGGTCGTTCCCTCTGAAGTGTACCCCACCTACCTCCGTTCGTACGGTATGACGACCTCTACCGGATGGCTCTTCCTCTCCTCTTTCATTGTCACGTATAACTTTACTGGCATGCAGAACGCCATGACTAAGACTGGTCTGTCGCTTGGATTCTACGGCGGTATCGCTGTGGTTGGATGGTTCTACCAGATCTTCTTCATGCCTGAGACTAAGGACAAGACCCTTGAGGAGATCGACCAGCTATTCCAGAAGCCGACCAGGCAGTTGGTCAGAGAGAACGCGAAGAGCGCGATGGAGGTCACTAATGACCTGCTTCACTTCCGCTTTCACAAGGTGTTCATTCAGAACAACCGACGTGGCGCCGAGTAGACAGTTGCGTGGGATTTACGAGTCAAAAGAGAAGAGACTTTTGACGATGTTGGATTGGTGGCTGTTTGCCTGTTGAAACGTAGCGAATACCCTTGAAATTTAGTACATGATGTAGACGAGAGACGGGAGACATAAGATGAGCAATTACATGATTTCAAGAGATGACCTTGTTTGTTTTAATCGCACTGTTTTCCCTATTGGTTCTTTCTCGTCGTTGCTGACCACGGATCAGATCTGTGTTTCAACCCCGAATTTGGAGCTTATTCTGAATGTACCTATGGTAAATGAAATGCGCAGATCTTGCAACATTGTGTGCTTGCCTCTGCCTGCTCATTCTGATTCTGAAAGACCTACTCTCGTTGCCTCAAATGTGTTGTTGAGTATCTATAGCGACTAGGCGGCCAAACCCGAACCAAACATTGAATGTGGTGTCCTCTCACACCCACGCACACAGTGAAAGCTTTTCTTCCCGCGAGTTTTCCGCCAATATGAGCACATGGTCTTATTGAGCGTTTCTTTTTCCACTGATCCCTGAAACCCATGCCCATTACAATTGGTGTGTGGCCTCACACACCCATACGCCTGGTTGTGGGGTAGCACAAAGTGCTAGCGCGTGCTTGGCGCAATCCGCTTCAATGAGGCACGGGCGCGCGCGTAAAGCAGCAGCGGGACCCGCACTGCAGCCCTCCACCATCCTTCACACGTTCGCTCATGCTAGCCATCACTACTTTGCCATCTTTCACTTCCGCCGCATTCGAGCGCTTGCGCGAATCTCCCTCGCGCATGGCATAAATGAACGGAACGCGACGCGCTAGGCATTAGCCGCTAGCTAATGTGGTAACTAACCCCCACACTCATTCATCTATGTACAGCGTTCATCGAGGATATGAACTCCAAAAATCTCCCTACTGGTGAATCGGCGCTACGTTTGCGTACTCAATTATCAAAGTCTCCTGGACCGACCTCAAAGCCGACCCCAAAACGCTTTAAATCTCTTGCGCGCCGATTCGGACCTAAAGATGATCCGTTCAGACGAGCACAGTTGGAATCTAATCCATTGGTTGCGCTATCTGACGATGACGAGGACACCTTCCAAGCTCCTCGTCCAAAGTCGAGACCCGGCCAACATAGACTTTGGGAATCAAGAGATAGAACAGAGGTGAATCGAAACGACGAAGACCTCGTGTATCTACTTGATAAGTGGCAAGCATTTTTTACACCCGAGAAACCGAGACGGCATACATGTCACAGTGAACCTCGCATGGAAAGTCCCGACCTTAAAGCCACAGACAGAAGTTCTCTGTTCTCCAGCCCGAAATGGCGCGCACAACATTCTCCACGTTCCTCTGCGTCGAGGTTAGGAAAGACCAGTCATGGGCCAAGATCTCCTCAGAAACCCAGTACTGAGAGAGGATCTCCCTTAAAACGGCCACGTCGAGCTACTGCAGGTTTGACCCTGAAGCGCTTGCGATCGGCGGACGAAGATGACTTTGAAGATGATAATGACGAGCTCTCGGCTCCTCCGCAAGCGAAGAGGGCAAGACTGTCCTGCCTTCTAAAAAGAACAGACCGTCAGGTACCACATGCGAGCATTATACGACCAGGCACACCTCCTTCGACCACGGAGGGTTCGCCAAGCCTGGTCACACCACGACGCGGTATCAGATCTATTTCATCACCAAAGAAGAGAGGCCGTCAGGAATCAACTGACCACCCACGGCCACGCACACCATCTGCTTCATTCACAAATGGTTCGTCGACGCTGACAACACCAAGAGGTGGCAACGAGCTGTGTCTCTCGCCGAAAATGACAGATCGTCAGCCACCATATACGAGTAATTTACGACTAGGTACACCTGGATCATCTACGAATGATTCGCCGAACCCACCCACACCAAAACGTAGTATCGGGTTGTTTCCTCCCCAAAAGAGAGCAGATCGTCAGGCATTGCACGCAAGCAATCCACAAATAGGTACGCCTGCTACGTCCGCAGATGAATCATCAAATCCGGCCACACCACGACATGGCATCATAGTAGTCTCTTCACCCAAGAAGACAAACCGTCAGGACCTACATGCGGGCAATTTACGAATGGGCACACCTGCTTCACTTACGAGCTCTCCAAGCCCGGCCACACCACACAGTATATTGCGTGTGAAGACTCTTAAGTCGACTGCCAACGTCCAATCGGACCGAAAACGAGGTGTGCATGAAGCTCGGCTTTCGCCACGTCGCGAAGAGGTGAAGCGCGCGAAGTTCGCGAGGCTTCCCACCGAAGCAGAGGAATCACGATGAAGGTTGCCTGCTGCATGAGGCCCGAACCAAATGGACACATCAAACAGAAGACTGACGGTCGTAGCTCGACTCCAGAAAGATAAAGCGACCAGCAATTAAACAAGTGATCTCAAAAGGGAACTGTATGTTGTGACACTTTTCAGAACGCAATCATCGTAAATTGACATAATCGTAGGAAGTCAGGGGTATCATATACATGCACTGTTCCATACGCCACAAATTTCATCTCGCATGCGCAGATGTCCTTCACTGCTACCCTGGCTTCAGCCTGATGCCAGATATGCCTGCGCTACCTTCTGTTGGCTCTCGCCTTGTTTGCTATCCTGGAAGTGCTTGCTTCGGAAGCCGGCCAAGATGCGGAGGAACATCGCACGACAGGGCGGCAGAGATGCCACGATGATGGCGATATTAAGTTCGGAGCGTCCACACGCTGGCATAAAGGAACGCGAAGGTTGTGTAGTCAAAAGTCTCCTTGAAGCCCTTAACAAGCGCAATGCGCACGATCGTGGCTGCCGCACTATTGTTTGCTTAGCTGAGTCCAGTTCAGTCACACTGTGCACGAAGGTGCGCGTCGCTGTCAAGTCTATAGCAGACATGGATTCCACTCGCGTCTTCGTACTCGGGTTCAACCGCCCGATGATTGGTAGCGGCGTGAGCGCACACACAGAATCTGTGAACATTGAGATCGCACTAAGCACAAACTTCGCGATCATAAACTTCTTTATATCCATGCACTTACGCTCAGGGATAGTCAACTCCCAATTACCCTGGACTGGTGTGCAGTGCGTCCAAATGACCGCACAGAAGGCGATGGTGGGAGAGATGATGAAGACCAGATTGCCTCGGAGGGCCCATGGAAGCCAACGGCTCGCTCCGCCGATCATAAGGAGGAAGAGCAGCACAGACACCTTGACGAATATGACACCAGATAGCGAGAAGAACTCGCTGAAAACGAGCCTTTGCACAGCTATGATATTGTCTGCGAGGCATAGGTTGTAGGCGTGGCGGCCGACGCCATGTTTGGACTAGACGATGGTAAACGGGAGGTTCGTGATATTGCATACCTTTGAAGTTCTAACATATGGAAAGTAGAGCACGGAGAGGGCGGCAGACCGTCGCAGCTACCATACAATTATTATCTAGCATGAACCCATTTCCCTTCTATCTCGCTGTTAACCGGAATTTAACGACCAGGAACTCAATAGCTATAGAGGCTATGACTATAACTATTATGGCAAGCCCTCTGAATCCTTCCACCAGCTCAGTAGCACTTCGAGCACGGGTTGGCTCCCTAAGTACAGCGCGCCTGCACCGGGTGGCTAGCTTCGAGGATTCTGGGTCCGGCTCTTGTAGGTGGTCGTTTGGGACGATGAAGCTTTCGCTGTTTAGTCCGACAGAGCCGGCGATCAATTTCGGTAAGACAAGCGTCTCTCATAGCCACTGGCGGTCTGGATGATACACGGCTCGACCGGTACGAAGAATCTCCCCTCAACATTGCTTGAGCCCGTGATAGGGTTCGATGTACTGCAGGAGGACTTCATCAGAAACAAAAATCGCGGTGAGAACGCGCTCTATTAGGAGTCCTTCGGCCGTGCGAGACTTGTGGGCTCGCGAGGGACATCCTGTTTCCTGCATCTCCCTTCATCGGCCTTCATGCCGCTGACAAGAGGTTGAGAAAGGGGAATGTTTGCACTGGGTTGCTGTGAATAAAAAACACGGTTCATTGACTATCCTATGATAGATTTTGATATGCGACTATAGCAGGCCTTCTACACCCTTACTTCAGCTCCCAACCAACTGCGGCCCCTCAAATACCTTCTTCGGATCCCAAATCGCCTTCAACGCGGCCAACTTCTCATAGTTCCCCAGCCAATAATGGCTATGCGCCTCGTCCTTGGTCAAGCTCGTATCGGCATAGTTTATATACATGCCATAATTCACATCCGGACTCGCATCAGTGATCGCCTTGATCCAGCCATTCAAAAACGGAAACCACGCCGTGTTATAACTCCCACTGCTCACACGATCATAGAACTGCATCTTGAACGTCGCGTTACGGTGCACATACGCCGTTGCATCCGCACTGACGTTCGAGATCGCGGAATTCTTGCCGCCGTGGCAGTCGAAAAGGAGGTACCATGACCGTGAATTCGAGCGCGCGTTTGCATTCCAGTAGTTGCTGAGTGCGGTGATGGCGGCGGGGCTCAGGTACTCGGGCATTAGCGATTTGGCAAAGAAGGTCTCGTGCGTGTCGTATGGTTTGGCTTGCTGGAGGGCGCCGTTGGAGAAAGATGTTAGTGTGTTCAGCCATGAGTTGGTGCTCACGCTGCCGCTTGAGATGCCCATTTTCTGGAGAAGCGGGTTCATGATCCTATCGTAATCTGCGCGACTGCCGTAATATACGCCGCTGAAGGTAGTGAAACCCGACAGGAATAGACGCATGTTGAGTTCCGGCGGCTGAGAATTGCGTGTGAAGTCTTGCAGTGCGGTGAGTGCGGTTGCGAGTTGCGTCGCGGACGACGGCGAGAAGAAGTAGTTGAAGACGATGTTGTTCTCCGGCGCGGTGAAGGTCTTGAATTTGAAGTTGGTGACAATGCCAAAGGCCGCACCTGCACCCCGAAGGGCCCAGAAAAGCTCAGCATTCTGGGTGGGCGAGGCGGTGACGAGCGTGCTGTTTGCGAGGACTACGTCGGCCGAGAGAATGTTGTCAAGCGTGAGACCCTTGGAGCGGGAGATGAGACCATAACCGCCGTGAAGCGAGAGGCCACCGACGCCGACACTGCAAACATGTGAGATCGGTGTGGATGTGCGTGTGACTTCATAAGTAATCTACGTACCCAGGGCATGTGCCATGGCTGATCGCCTGCTTTCCTTGGCTGTAAAGTGCGGTAGCAACGTCTCCAAGTCTACCTCCTGTCCCAATCACGGCCGTCTGAGCCGTTTGATCAACAGTGACGCTGGCGAAGTTCCGCATGTCAACAATTAGATGGCCATCTTCACCACCAAGACCGTGAGAGGCATAGCTATGACCGCCAGACTTGGCAGTTACCTGGACGCTAGTTGCAGCTCCGCAAGCAACGGCATCTTGAACATGTTTCACGGTAGTTGGTACAGCGTAAGCGGCAGGCTTGAAAGTTACCCTAAGGTTGAACGGTTTGAGCGATTGAGTGTAGTCAGAAGATCCGGAGGCGAGCGTTGGGACGGATGCAGTTTTCAGGCAGTCGTCGAGAGCGGCACGCTTCGAAATGCTATCTGCGCTGGCGGCGAGGAAGAGCCAGATGGCCAACGAGGCAAGAATAGTGTGACCCATGGTGGGATGCCCACTCTACGATTGATCGGCAAGTTTGCTGCTGGCTAGCATCAAAACGAGCTTATGGAGCGGCTATAAGTACATGACAGTAATCCTCCAAAGTTCGTGACTGTTCGTTGTTCGCGGGGATGCATAGAGCCGCAGTCTACCAAAAATTGCGCACAGGAGGTACCGTGACTTGCGAAGATAGAATTCGGTATTTGTATATTACAAAGCTCGCTTTGTGTAGATGAGCGGATGCGATAGGCGATGCCAAAACCGTGCGATAGCGGATAAAGCAGCTATGGTGAAAATAGTTTAACGGTAGATACATCACGCTCTCACATCAACTTCTAGAAGTCTGACGTTGCCCCCACAGTTGAGTGCAGCTTCTAATTGTGGCATCGTATAGTATCATTCTGGGATTGGTCATTGAATATCGGACGTGTGGCTGGATCCCGAAAGCCACATGCGCACCCTGGTATACGGTTATATCGGCACGGGTTTGCGGGAAGGCTGCGAGGCCCGGGAAAAGACGTTGAGCCGCATTATCATAGACCGATTGATAGAACGTTCGTTCCTGTGAGCCGAGACTCTTCCTTTTGGCATTTGCACCGCGTAACGTCAGAGATATCCTGAAGCATGAATGCCAGACTAGATCTGCTTAGACACGATCTATGTTAAAATGGCTTATTGCCAATCGCACAGCAAAGTTTGAGGCAGCTCAATGTATCGATGCCTCATGTTCACTTGCTGTCAGATTGCCCGATCATGCTTGCCGCATCAACAGTAAGACCGAGGTCCAGGCGCTCTTTAGCCGGTAGTGTGACGTCCATATAGCCAGACCAATAATAAGGATTCAGCTGTTACTAAGCAAGATCGTTCAGGTACAGCAACGAGAAACTTCCAGTGGTACCATGGGATATGCCACGACTCCAGGGATGAGTCGGCTCAGTGTGTGCCTCGCGGTTTGAGTCCAGTTACGTACCTGAGATAGTCGTTGAGGGTGGCTATGTCAGCCATGGCGGACTTCTGGACGATACCAGGCACTGTGAGAGCAAGACACAAAGTCGTACAAGGACTGCATGTCCCTGTCTCTCAAATCATGCAACGTTGGTGCATGATCAGGTGTGCTCTTGGCCAAAGATGGTCTACGTTCTGAGGTTTCTTATCGCGTCCATCTCTTATCAAAAGCACTTTGTCACTGATCCAACTCTTCACATTCCGCTTTCGTCACTGTGCGAAGCTTTGCTATATATCTAGGAATTTGTCGTGTGTCCACGCTCTTCGCGGGTCGACGATGTGGGAATGCTAGGAGTGATCTCAACCAACACCGATTTACGCCCCGAGCACGATGAACAAGCGTCGTAGGCATCTTGGCAGTGCCTTGAGGAAAGAGCAACGCGCAACGCGCTATGAATGACGAAGCGACGTTGAGCCTCCGCCAAGACGCTAATCAAACTTAGGACTGACTCAGTCACGCCCACGACATTCAACGACCCTTGTGCACCACACAAGGGACAGCGCTATCTAGTAGAACAACATACCGCCAGCATTGAAATTGCTTAAGACTGCCTCTGGCTACCTCATTCCCAACGTACATACCAGACCATTCTCGCCTATCAAGCCCGAATCAGATCCCACTGCCATCAACATGAAGACTGACAACTACCTCAATTTGTGCCTCGAGCAGGCTGCCAATTCTCCGCTTCGCTATCGCCACGGATGTATCATCGTGCGCGGCGGCAAGGTCATCGGGCAGGGTTTCAACGACCATCGTGCTGGCTTTGACGGTGGCGCCTTGAAGACCGGTCGCCTTCCTATCCGTTCCTTGGATTCGGTCGCCCTTGCTGAATTGAAGAAGAAGCATAAAATCAAGGGAAACACGAAGAATCGCAATAAGGAGGCTGTGACGACCTTCACGCCGTTCGAGGCTATGGGCGGTGGCAAGCTTGCTAACACGCCGCTTTCCATGCATTCGGAGATGATGGCCATCCACTCTGCACTCTCGGCCTCCACTACCCTGGTCTCCACGGCCGTGTCCTCTCAAAAACCGTACTTCAAACTATCGGGTGATTCTAAACGAAAAGCTCGACTACGGCGGGACGCCATCAAAACCTACGTCGAGACCATCTGCAAGGTCGCGTTCGCCCAACCCGCGGAGCAGCGTTCCGGCCAGCCACAGGTTCAAGAGTGGCGAGTTGAAGGCGCTGCATCTCGATCGGTCCTCGTTGAATCTGGCACTGGGTCTTATGAAAGATCACGCGTTTCAGGTGCCTACGGAGAACAGTATAGAGAAACACCGAACGAAGAATCAGAAGACACTTCATCACGAGAAATACCGTCAAGAGAACAATGGACAACACAAACAAGAGCGCCGACAGTATGGGCATAAGATGTTGGCGCAACAGACTGTCATGGTTCCTCGCCCTTCTCCGCTTTGCGAAGCCCCAGTGGGCTCTTCCGTATCCGATACTATCGCAATCGATACGGCCAAGCATAGAGCGGAAACGACACATAGCAAAGTGAGTCAGGTTTTCATCCAGCGCCTCGAACCTATTAACAGGTGCATAGAAACATGAGAAATCCGTTCTCGCCGCTCCTTCCCCAAAGGCAAACCCTGTATTGATACCAAAGGGCCGCACTGGCGAGAAGCGTCGATCCACTACTGAACGTAAGAAGCACCCGCGCCTCAACGGAGCGGATCTATACGTGGCGCGACTGGGATGGCAGACGTCTGCGAGCAGCCATCCAAAGCCTTGCTGCGATGCGATCGACCAGCCAAAATTGGCAACAACGAAGCGAGCGACTGGTTCATTGCATGAGGAGCTTCTTAACCCTGACCCTATACCTGTCTCAGCGGCAAAAAATGCATCGATGATACCTGGATCCGAGCCCTCGGTGCTTGCAAGTCGACCTTGCTATCGCTGTATCGCTTATATGCACTCGGTCGGTATCAAGCGAGTGTTTTGGACGACCAGTTCGGGCGAGTGGGAGTGTGCAAAGGTGCGAGATTTGGTTGACGCGCTGGACGACCTTGGATCGGGCGATACGGTGGACGCTCACGCGACACTCAACAATGTCTTCGTCACAAAGCATGAAGTACTGATGCTTCGACGAACGATGGGAGGGGATCTTATATAGTGCTTCGATCATATTGCGTACACATCTAGTTTATTATGGTCTGTGACGGCCCGGTGCACGCACGTGGCTTCCTTCCCGATCAAGCCCACCTGCAATGACGACATGAACCTGCCCGCCATCTGCTAATCTCTGTTGTGTATGCATTTTCTTTCAACTGCGATTCACTATGTTGCTCTTCTTGTCGACCACCGCTCTCGGCCGATAATCGCGCCGCCGAGATGCCCCAGATTTCTGACCCGAGGTGTAGCACGCACCTCCACCACGACGGTTACCGAGCTTTACATCGTCTCCACGCCGGACTAGCGGCCCCGGGGGGCATTATGCGGCTTGTAAAAGTCATGTATCCGAAGCCATGGCCTCTTTAAATCAGAAGAGCTCCCCCGGCCCTCAGAGGTGACGTTGCTCCTCTTTGTCGGTTCAGTTACAGGATCCATTCTGCGCAGAACGCTTCATCACGTTTCCCCCAGCAAGAAAGCTTCTGACAAAGCGGGCAAATGGAAGCAAGAGGAACGTCTCCTCCGCTATCCGCGACGTCGCTCAACCCCCCTTTCAAGCCCACAACCTATTTTACATCGCAAGCGCAACGAGTTCGGCGTCAATTGAGCGGCCTTCACCGTCGTGGGACAAAGAGGGCGAGGCTGCAGCCAAGCCCCCGCGCATCCATGTCGCCATCCAGCACTCACCCGGACCCCACGGCGGGCGAACCCGGAAGTGCTGGAGCGACGCCTGCTGCACATGTAGCATCTGCTGGCGTGCCTACGCGACCGCGACGCACGACGGCGCAATCGGACATCCACGAGACCATATTGCACCCCGGCAATGTGCGCATCAACGTGCAGGGCGCGTTCATCGTTAGCGACGAGCCCACAACTCCCCGCAGCGAGGATTACGAGCACGACCCGCGAGATATCCGGCTGCCAAACCACACAGCTGTAGTCAGCCATGTGGCCGTCGATGTAAGAGGTCCCCTGATTGTGCCTCCAACAACACCGCTAACGCGATGCCCAGATCGGAGGCTCCCTGGCCAAACTCGTTTACTTTTCCCGCGAACCCGAAGAGAGCTCCATAGGCGGCCGATTGAACTTCCTCAAGTTCGAGACCGACAGGATAGACTCGTGCATCGAGTTTATGCGCAAGCTGCAGGCTGACCACCGGCGGCAAAATGGCTCAGCACCGGAGGAGCTGTGCGTCATGGCGACGGGCGGAGGAGCTTTCAAGTTTTACGACAAGATAAGGGAAGCATTGGGAGTAGAAGTCATACGGGAGGATGAAATGGAATGTCTCATTATAGGTGCGCTGCGTGATCTAAACATGGTGCACGCAGCCGGCTGACGCCAATGTATCGCAGGTCTCGATTTCTTCATCACAGAAATCCCGGACGAGGTATTTACGTACCGCGAAGAGTCTCCGATGGAGTTCATACCGTACCCGCCTCAACCGCCCTCTATATACCCCTACCTCCTCGTCAACATCGGATCTGGTGTTTCTATGGTCAAGGTTTCGGGACCGCGGCAATACGAGCGCATCGGTGGTACATCATTAGGTGGTGGAACACTATGGGGATTGCTATCGCTGCTGACAGGCGCACGCAACTTCGAAGACATGCTTAAGCTCGCGGAGAAGGGAGACAATTCCACCGTAGATCTTCTGGTAGGCGACATCTACGGTGCCGGATACAACAAGATTGGTCTGAAGAGCACACACATTGCCAGTTCCTTCGGCAAAGTGTACAAGATGAAGCGCGCTGCTGAGCGCGAAGCGGAGGATGGTTGCAACGGCGACTCTTCTTCGCATTACTCGGAACACGACCACGTTGCAGGTTCTTCGGAGCTCCCGCACTCGCCCGCCAAATTCCGCTCCGAAGATATCTCGCGGTCTCTCTTGTATGCTGTATCCAACAATATAGGACAAATTGCATACCTTCACGCTGAAAAGCACAACCTCGAAAAGATATATTTTGGCGGCTCCTTCATTGGCGGCCACGCGCAGACCATGCATACGCTGTCTTACGCCATACGTTTCTGGTCCAAGGGTAGCAAGCAGGCGTACTTCCTCAGACATGAGGGCTACTTGGGAAGCGTAGGCGCATTTTTGAAGAGACAGCCGAGGAACTGGGGAAGGAGAAAGAGCTTTGAGGGGACGAAACGGACGAGCATGGAATGACACTCGCAGGAAATGATGCATGTAAGCGTAGATATCGAAGGTACGATACCAATGATTGTTGCACATTTCAAATCAATGTCGCACCGTTAGCTTGACACATTCAGGTTTGTTACTACAACTTCCTAGAAAGGCTTGGCGTAGGTCGGGAAGTGCGACCTCCAGGGCTCGCATTATGGCACGTGACAACCGCGCCTCCAGGACTTCAGGGCTTACCCTTCTGACTGACCACCCATTTCACACGCTCGCTCGCTCATTACTCAACCCGCCGCAGATGCCACCTACCTCGCCTTACTCCCTCCTTGCGCGGCGGTACCTTATCTTGTCACACTGTGTCGCCCCATGTTAGCAACCTAGACGCCAACTACTATGAGCAAAAGCAAGGCAAAGCAGCGTCGTAGCGCCACCATCGCCTTCACGGCTAAGCTCATTGCCGGCGCCCGAACCCGCGAAGACAAGATCAGTTTCACCAAGAAGCGCATCTCGCACCTCTGCGCAGACATTGACTTCTAGAAGTCAAGAAACAAGCATTTCAACAAGGGGCACCAAAGGTTCAAGGTGGCCTTGCGGAAAGGCGGTGGGACTGGAGAGGTCAAGATGATGCAGGCATCGGTGGATGGCATTGCCAGTGCGAAGGGAAAAATTCAGAAACACGAGAGCATAATCGTGGCACTTTGGAGAGACATCGAGAAGCTGGAATTAATGGAGGATGGAGAGTTTGAGAAGAGGCTAAGTAAGGCCGAAAATTCCGGGGTTAAACGGGAGAGGTAGAGGAGGGAGAGGTAGAGGAGGGGAGGTAGAGGAGGGGAGGTAGAGGAGGGGAGGTAGAGGAGGGAGGGGGAAAACAACAAAGAGAGGGCTCATAGAGCGCAACGGAGTTCCAGACCATATACAGATCTCATGTACAAATCTCATGGAAACGGCTACTTTGCATCCGGCCGGCACATCACGATGGAGGAGTCTTCTTCCAGCGATGACGGCACCGATGGCAACGACACGACAACACTCATTGCAACCTTTGCATCAGATGACGATGAAAGTGATGCTGCCTATATCCCCGAACCGGATATCAAGTTGGAGGGCATCTCGGAGGATGACGGGAGCGAGGTCGAAGACCTTGACAGTGATGCGGAAGTCAAGCTGGATCATACGTCAAAGAACGACGAAAGCGAGACCGAGAATGAGAGTGCTGAGGCGGAGGCCAAGCTGGAGAATGGCACGAGCGCGGACGAAGGCGGGTGCTCAGTTTACATCAAGCCAGAGCCTGAGTAACGGCATATCATGTTCGCAAGCGCGGTTCTGGAACAATAGCTTTTCTTATCAGTACTGGAGGACAGGCACACTAGCTTCTCTGAAGTGGCGACTGACTCCCCGCGGCTAGTCTTGCGGCAGTATTGGCTCTCATTGTTTCACAAGCCTAAGTAGGGGTCACAAGTATAGGTACATAGTCATAGTTCAGGTCGTGCAATACTGTGCTTCAGGGAGTCACACTAATCGGGTATATTGGCACACATGATGACATGCACTGTGGAACCATAAGCTACACAAGATCTGATAAGCCTAGATTCTCGTGTCAAAACGATATTAGTGTAGCGATTTTCATTCAGGCGACTGTGACTAGGTCTGTGAATCTGTACTTGAGCTCTGAAGGAACTTATTCGCAGATACTTCACCCTCTACGTGTTTGGGTAATGACAAACATACCGGAACCTGCAAGTCGCCCTACCCCAAAGGGGAGGAGGCCTACGCCGTATCTTTATCTTGTACGGGCAATTCTATGAGTTCCATCGATCCGTCGGGGGCTACGACTCAGAGGTAACTTACCCAGCTTCTGCTCATGCTTTGAACCAATGCGACTCACAGTATGAAAATTGATGTCCTATGACTATACCAGCGTCCAGTCATCGTATTTTCTTCTTCTATAACATGTTCTTGCACTTCCCTTCTTCTGTTGCAGCAACACTACTTACAATTCCACCTCAGAGCATCCAGATAAATTCTTCGACCATTTACCTTTTTCTGATCCCAGTCTTAACTCCATAATCACTTCTCCGGTTCTTTATAGTGTGGTACACATATACCCTGGATCGGCCACCTTCGCCATGTCAACAGAATCGAAAAACATCGTTCGCCTCCGAGCAGGCGTCGAGCACGAGCTTGTTTTCAGACACTCGGACTTGAAACCCACAGATTCCCCCTGCTCACAAGAGGATCTCAAAGCAAGGCAATGGATAGCAAAGAAGCTCCACGATGTTGATGGCATCTCCGTCGATCTAAACGTCGCCGACACAAAAGTTCGTGCGACATCAGCCGTGTACGAGTCAGACTGGACATTGCCGTACGAATCGGGACTCAACGTTTCGGAACATGCTACTACGAGCGGCTACTGTAATCATTCCTTTGAGTAACTGAAGTGAAGATTTAGGGAAAATGCTGATGAAAGACAGATGATCTCGAGTTAGCCTCGCCAGTAGCGGACATCAGCAGTATGGAGTGGATCAAACAGACTCAGGCTATCTTCGCAATGTTTCGCGACAAGAAAATCAACGTCCTAGTACCGGCTGATACCTGCGCCACTCACGTCCATATTTCACCCTTACATGTCGAGTGGGACTTAAACGCCCTCAAATCTGTTTCCAAGGCAATCATATACTACGAGCGATGTATTGATGCGCTTATTGACAAGAGGCACCTCAGCAGCAGCTGTTGCAAGGATTCAAACTTTGCGAGTGTGCTATACCAGAGCGATGTCCCTGAAGATCTTTACAATAAAACCTTCACAACAGAGTCGAATGATGGTACTGCCAGTCCGCAACAAGATTTGATGAGCATGCTTTGGAAGAAAATTGATCAGTGTAAGACGAGAAAAGATATTGTAGGGCTGATGTGTTCTCTTCCTAAAGGTTCTGAGAAGATAAGCTACACGGGTGACGCTGATATACTGACATCTTCTAAACGAGAAACTCCCGAAATCACTAGGAATCACCGCTGGAACTTCCGACCCCTTCTCGATGAGAGTGAGATGACGCATGTTGCTGTGGATGGTTCTCCGCATGTGCTAGGCACGATAGAATTCAAGCAACCTGAAGGATCTGATACAGCTGACAAAGCGATTGGGTGGAGATTGTTCGCAACGGGCTTTGTGCAGGCGGCTTTGTGTTGTAAATCTGGCGACATCATCGCAGCAGAAGTACCGACAGTCAAAGAGTTGCAGGGTTTCGTTGAGCAAGGCGTCGATGCGAATGGATGTGATACCAAGAGGGTGAAGGTTGTCTTTGAGCGAAATTCTGGGGCTGAGCCAACGAATATTGAATTCTACAAAGCTGGAAAGGAAAACTTCGAGGAGTATAGAATTACCCGTGGGGACGGAAGTCTATCGTCTGATTTGGAGGACTGGGAAGTTCCTGTGCCCCAGTAACAGAGAGAGGTTCAGTGGTCCAGCCACGATCGGCTCGGACCTGATGCTAGTGTAAATATTTTGCATTTGTCAAGCTTGTCGAGCCTGTGGTAGCCTACCTAACATGGTTATGATAGCATCTATGGAATGTTAGGTATCTAGAAAGATCTTCGCTCCAATGATTGTTTTGGGCAAGCTTTACGATAGTGACTACTTCTTCGGCCTAGTCTGCAACATGATCACACCAGCAAGTATAAAAATAAACAGACTCTGTCAGAGCCGTCCGATCCACACAGAGAACACTCATGCAATCAAATTACCTATAGCAAGCTAAGCGCTCACTCAGCTTTCTCGCCGAATGCAGTCCCTCTCAATTACCAGCAATGACCTGGCACCCAGCAGTCGCACCCAATTGTTAGACGGTCAAATCTGACGTGCAGAAGAGGTTTGAGAACCCGAGGTGCTTTGAGGCCGAGGTGTCCGTGCAATCATAGGTATCGGATGTGTCCACAACGCAATTACCCGCAACATTGCCATCCACATCCACCAAATCGCTATTGCGGTCATAACCCCCGTACCAAGCTAGCATATGATCAGTTACAGCCACTTAGAACGATTGCTAGGCGAAGGAAGCCGGACTTACTGTAATGGCCTAAGTCGGTGTTGAACTCTAGCTCAGTAGGAGCGATACTGTCTCCGTACGCGCTGCAACCGTCGCAACGGACGCCGGTCTTGTCGCCGCTCACATCGTCGCTGGAACTGTAAGGCGTATAGCCGATGTTAACATCGTTGCAATCAGGAGGGCCTGGAAAGAAATAGAATTCCGTCGTGGGGTCAAGACCGGTACTGTAGGTGGACCAGCCTTCGTAGATGTAGAAGTCCGCAAGAGTCGTCTGGCACAGAAGAGCAGCGACAACAGAAATTGTAAGACCGGCGTGTATGGTAATTTTTGAGTCGATGGTTGTTAAGTGGGAGATGGAGAGAAAACGGATGGCGTTTGAACTGGAATGTAGTGCAGTGGTGTTTGTGCTTGAGGACTCGAGCGTAGCCTCTTTATACCTCTCCACGAGTCCCTTTTGATAGCCCTTCACTATAGTGTCATCTTCCCTTCATCGCGATCTCAGGCACCCCGACGTCACCAGCTCTGACCTGTTTCCATGGTTGTGCGACCGTGATCTCGAGGTTTGGCCCCCAAAGCCTCATCACTATAGCGATGCCGATTCCCATAATTCCAAAACCTGATACTTTACTTCCCACCTTGCGTTTAGTTGTATGTTAAGCGTCGGAAAACACATAAGTTAGAACTAGTCGCGCCTAAGCCTCGCCTGCTAACCTAACTTCCAGCTGAGCCTCACCTACCAAGCCTTGGCAACGATCACGCAATGTAGGGATTGCATGCTGCCATTACTGGAGGCACTATGTTCAGTGGACTGAGTCCACTTTGCTCCAAGCTTGCGAGCACGCATATGGGGATTACTATCGCATGCGGTAAGTGCTGTCAGCTGCAAAGGTTTAGGCATAGAGATCTAGGGAAAATGGGAGGACCGGTTGGGACTATTGAAATACCTTGCGGGACTATCTCCTGAGAGAGCTCCTATGTGCTTATAGCTTTCCATAAGCTTCTCCCGAATCCCCACTTTCTCCTTGAGCGAGGTGACTAGATCCTGCGCATGTGCTGCCGCCTCCGCCTGCAGCGATGATTTCGCCTTGCTGAGCTTGAACACGCTCGTTCCGCGCGATAATGCCTTGGAGATGTGCGTTAAATTCAGCTTCGAGCCAGACGAGTGCGTGGAGTACGAACTCACGCCGAGTTAGGCGGGTGCGGCGAGGCTGGGCCTTGCGAATGCCGGACGGCATGCTGGATGATGGCGAGGTGTAGTGGGAATAGTGAAGGATGCGGAAGGTGATGAGCGGGTTGATGCGGGAGGATGGAGCATAAGGAGAGTGCCCAGCGCAAAATAGATTCAAAATGCGCTCCAGATACAACAGTGTCCTGTGCGGGGATGTGATTCATGGATCCATGGACCCAATGTTCCAAAGTCCAGTTGTTCTGGTTGCGAGTAAAGCACGGATCTGGCCACTAACTGAAAACAAGCTCCAGTATAGTTGGCCTGAAAGTAACTTCCTTGAAAGATCTCCTGGCAGTCTACACGGTCTTGTACACTAGCTTGGGTTTCTCTCTTTCTGGGAGACAATCCGCATCAGCTGAATCCAACCTCCTTTCCGATACTACAGTCTTATACAGGTAACTCCTTCTAACTTACATGTCTGTGTACGAATCCTATGACCTCAGGATACCCGCAGCCCACGTACCCGTTACGTCCGCCCAAAAACAAACACACCTTTGCCTTCCCGGTATCCCTCAAGCGTATCTTTGACTTTACTGATGAGCTCTTCGCCCTTCGTCTCCCACTCCCACGCGATCTTGTCGAAAGGAGTGTCTTTGAATGTGCCCTTCCTCGTCATATCCAGCACGTCCGCAACCGTCTTCTTCTTGTCCTCCGGGTGCCGCTGCGCCCACTTGCTAACCCAAAACCCATGAAAATGAATATCCTTAAATATAAGCATGCTCGCAGGTATCGTAAGCGGCTGCTTGCTCATCGCGCCGTACGTAACAAAGTGCGCTTCAGAAGCGAGGAGTTTTGCCATTGCAGTAGCGGCCTTGCCGTTCACGCAGTTGAGCGCGAGACGGATTGGTGCGCGACCGCCGTTTGTCCATTCCTTGGCCATGTCTTTTACACCCTGAGATTGAAGCTCGGCGTCTGTGATGACGACGTCGGCGCCGATATCCTTTAGTTCCTTCTTAAGCCTGTCTTCCGCGGTGGTGTCGTCTCGAGACCGGATGACATTTATACTCTTCAGTCCCCACTGCTTGCCAAGCTGAATAGCCGCCCTCCCCACCCCCGAATTTGCCCCGTTCTGGATGAAGAATTCGCCCTCTTTTAGATGCACAAAATCGCGCAGCATGCGATACGCAGTGCACGGATTTATGCTAACGGTACCGGCCTGCACAGCAGAAATGCCCTCGCGCATGGCGTCGTCGAGTCGCACGACGTCTTCCACGCGAGCACTCGCATGCGTCCTCCACGTCCCGAAACCAGGCCCATTCATAATCACCCAGTCTCCCTTCTTAAATCCCGCCTCTTTTGGCTTACTACCCAGAGCGATGACCTCGGCAACACCCTCATTCCCCGCCACGGCGATCGGCTTCGCAGTGCCTAGGGAGGTCGTGAATGTCGGTTTTGACGGGTACACGCCCTGGATTTGGTTGATGTCTGCGGGGTTTATGGGGGATGCGAGAAAGCGAAGCGTCATGAGGTCACCGTGGGGCGGGGAAATGGAGTGCCCGTGTAAAGAGAGGACGGCGGGCGGGTCGCCGTAGTCTTGAAAGGTGAGGGCTTTGGCTTGTTCGTAGCCGTAGGCGGAGATGGCGCGTCTCTGTGCGCAGGCGGGGGCTTTTCGCAGGCATTGGAGGGGGCGAATGGAAGCCCTCGCGAGCCTCGGAGCTGTGGAGAGGGTTTTGGAAGCCATCATCACGGGGAGGAGGAGGTAGATGCGCGTTGGTGATGCTTCGGAGAATTATTGCTCAGAAGATGTTTGCGCGACGTTGGAGCTATGACGTCGGACGGGCCGAGGTTGGTGGGGACGGAAGCTCAACACCAAGCCAAACTGCCAGCGCGTTAGCAGGTTCCACGCTGGCCGTTGCGCGGATCCTGCTGTTCTAGGAAATCTGGCATGATCGTATCACCATGAGAAACGATGATGTGCTTGATGACATTGGCAGTCAATTTTACGAGTCTAACCAGTAAATGCTCAATATTGAAGATGATTGCTGAACGATCCAGGGATCTCCATCCTGTGCAGAACAAACAGACCAATAACGAGTAAAGCGGAAGATGACGGCACGCGACATATCATGGGCATCAAAGAACCTCCATTCGTCAGATCCGGACCAAGACCTTTTTATATCTTAGACGTCCACATCGTCATCAGACCTACTATGGTAGTATCCGTCTATTACGCTTTGGAACTCCCCACGTGCTGATATTTGTTGCTTCTAGTCTGTGGTTGAGCTGAGATGGCTTGTAGCCATTACGGCCAACTACGCGCTACTTCCCTCTCCGCCTGCGAACTCCTACTTCGTTACAACATCAATGTCCCTTTGCACCCTAATTCCCATGATCCCCTTTGGCTGGACAATATGCTCTGTACTACTACTATCGTCGTCGTGCTTTTTCCCAGATGGGCTATAGATATGGGCCGAACTGCTTTTCTGGCTTTCCAACTCGATATGGCCTTTCTGACTTCCGGTTGGGTAGCCCGAAGAGCGCGGCTTGCTGCCGTTCCCGTATTCCCCACGCCACCACCGAGAGGATAGCAAGGGGCGAATGAGGGGTGCGTTGCTAACAAGCATGGCGACGAGGGTTTCGCGGCAAGCCCAGATTGCCGGAGTGGCGGCGTCGGCATTCTGTTTGGTATTAGAGCGGTTACATGTGTTTATCTTGGGATGAGAAGGATTTGTACCTTAAAGACGAAGACCACGCGGAGGATGGCAGCGATCATGACGAAAATTCCAGCACAGAGAAGCAGGAACAGCATGATCTTCCGCGAGAGAGGCAGCTGGGCCTGCAACAGCATCTGGATGAGATGTTAGCGATCCGACCCCAACATCTGAACAAAAGGTCTGGTCTCTCACTGGAATGGGTATTGCGACTATGCAGAAGTCAGTAACTAGATTGACGGCCAAGACAGTTATATAGAAGGCTGGGTTCTCTGGAGTGCAGTGCTCTGCTCTTTGTCAGTACAGACGAAGTAACTTTCTGTGTTGGTAGCAGCGAGAGTCGACTTACTTCCAGGATCAGGGTAGATTTGCCAATACCGATAGAACGGTCGACAAGCCGAAACAAAAAGAATGATGTTCACGAGCCAGCTGACGATAACGGCGTAGAATATTGGCTTGATGAACTTTGCAGATTTTAGGCCAGTAGTGACACGCTTGAAAAAGAACAACATGCATATCTTCAGCGTCCAAAGCATGCCAGTGTAGGTAAACCATCCTACTATAAAAGCCTTAGAGCCTCGAACCCTCATGGCCGCCTCTGCTGCGCTGATATTCTTGCGGTACTCGTCCGTCATGTTGGCGTTGTCGCCGCTCTGCGAAACGATGTGCGCCATGATGGACATTGCGGTGAAAAATATCTGCCACTCCATTAGCTACGGGCTTTCATTAGGGGTGGCGGTACATAATGCTTACCCAAGCTATCGGCATGAGATAGTCATCGTAGTCCAAATTTCCAATTCCCACCATCTTGATGCGGGTGTAGTACCTCAAGAGCACCACAACAGTGGCGATGCTGTACTCTACCCATGTTTCAACGACGAGTTGTTGAATGGAAGACATGGCCAACCTCTACTTCAGAATAGAAGTAGCTGCAACTTCCCCACGAATCTCAACAGATGCGCCAACGGGAGCTCAGGGGAGGGTTGGTCAAGCTAGTGTAAGAGACGGGAGCCCTTATGTCTACAAGTCAAAATTCCTCGTAACATAGGGAGCAGGAACTATGCCCAGGTCACAGGTCTACCTGAGGCTCTTACCCTGGGGCAAGGATACCAGATGCTTGTCACTCCACTGTTTCAAATTTTGGCATTGAGCTCCACAATCATAAGCTATCGTCGATGCCCGTTTGGGCGGCCAAGCTACTCCATCATGTTCCGGTTTATTTCCGGACAGACGTCGTCGAATGTCCAATTGTTGATGGTTGGTCTCCACTGCGGCACGGGGAATCGATCGGCCATCCGTTTCGTACGGTAGCTGCCGATCACTTCCCTGGCCATCAAGCTTTGACAGAACTGAGTAACGTGTCGGCAAGGCGTCCAACGGTTTTGCTGACGGGCGTTCATGAACTAGAGATGATGGACACTAGGGACAAGTGACATCCATCACAGACGGAATCGCGCACTGTTGGATAGGGGCACATGTGTACGTGTACCCTCCAAAGTTGTCCATTTGTCTGTTGCATTTGCATACTTTGTGAAGGTCGTTTACGACTTCGACACGATAAAGGAGCCGCTGGAGGTTTCGTTCGAGCGAAGCTAAAACGATAACGATCTGAGCTCGCGATACCTTGTGTCAAATGACCTGGATACCTATGACAACTGCTGAAAGGTGATAATGTCGACTCAATGCCCTATATGGTATCACGTTAACGAATGGGGTGTATCGCACACGTACTTATCATTGGATATTGAATCTCAGGGACAACCTTGGAAGTCATCATGTCTAAACCATCCGCCCACTCGGGCAGGGAAACTTTTTGAGAACCAATGCAGTAGGGCAGCCCTAGATGTTGACTCGCTGTCCGAATCAATATTGAGCCTGACTGCCATAGGTGCAGGAAGGAGGTAGGCACGTCCGTTTGGATCACTACTAGCTGCCAATATTCTTGTGAAGGGAATTTTCACTTAAGTCTACGAAACTGACTGACTCGGATCAAGCACATTTTTGCGTGATGGTTACTCCAGAAGGCTGGCGAAGCTGATCTGTGTCCTGAAGGGTACGACGACGCGCCCATCTCCGTGGGAACTCGGAAGCGGGTGTGCCGTCAAATGGCAGGGCCCGACGCTAAAAGCGCCAAGAGCATAGCCGAGGCAGGTACGCCCGTGCAAGTGTCTAGCGTGACAAGGGTATCGTCCAGGAGCTACGATACGCTCGCGTACTTGCTTGAAGTGTGTATGTACCCTCAGACTCAACGAAAGACTCTCGCTAACGATTGCTTGAGGATACCGTACAGGACTCATCCACGAACAGCACCTGGGAATCTGTATTGGCTCGCACCAAATGCATTCGCAGCTCCACAGGTTCATGATAGAGGCCCGAGAGAGGCTCACGATCCTGTCCGCCTCACGCGCCTTTGCGATGCATCCTGCAGCATGCCCAGGTGACCCTTTCCATGCTTGTAGATACCCACAAAATGGTCAGACCACGCCAGAACTGACTCGAGGACATGGCTAGACACCGTCTTCCCGTCTTCCCGCCCTACCGACCCCACTTTATCGATGTGATCCAATGGATGGCAATGCAAGTCGCCCCATCAACCCACAGACACTTTCATCCAATCGCTCGCTTTTGCGACGACCGCGCGATACTCCACAGCGGTGATGTCTAGGGGGATAGTAAAGGCAGCGCATCTGTCCAATTCCCTGGCGTGTTTGTCTTGATTGCTCACACATTGTTCCGCTGATTGCGACAGTATCATACATCTCAAGTCATGTCTTTCGTAACGATCAGGCCGGAGACGTTCAGCAATCTTGAGGACAAAGTCATAGTGATAACAGGAGGGGCCACAGGTATCGGTGCCGTGGCGGTGACGGAACTCTTGTGTATGTCAAATTTGATCCTTCGTCTTGGACCAAATATCAGGTATGCTGATCCACCTAACCTCTAGCTGCGGGTGCTAAGGTAGTGCTTGGAGATGTGAAGGCTCCGGATCCCGCACCCACTGACGATAGGTTCACCTTCATCCACACCGATGTCACCAAGTACGATGCAGTTGTCAATCTCTTCGCCACCGCCTCTGCTGCTCATGGTCGAATTGACCATGCAATCAGCAACGCGGGGCTCGTAGAGATAGGCCAACTGTTCGCAACCGGAGAGTCAGACGACGCAATACGAGAGCCTCCTACCACCGCCGTTCTAGATGTAAACCTTAAAGGGACCATTTTCGTCACGAGAGTTGCGGTGCACTACCTCCGCCGTAGTCTTGTACGAAATGCCTCAACGCAGAGTGATGCCAGTATCTTGTTGGTCAGCTCTGTCGCCGGCTTCGGTAACTGGCCTGGCCTCTTTCAATACTCAGCCAGCAAGCATGGGGTTATGGGCTTGTTTCACAGTACCAAAGACTTCCTATACGGTTCTGAGGGCATCAGGATTAATGTGGTGCTTCCGAACATGACCGGTACGTCGAATCCGAGATCGACCTTTACTCGATGAACTCCAGCCAAGCAAGTATTGACGATGCGCAGATACTCAAATGGTCACTGGTGTTATAACAGCCTACAAAGCCAATGGTGTTCCTATCAACGAACCCAAGCACGTTGCGAATACGTTTCTCCATAGTTTATCGAACGACGTCAACAGCGAGGCGTTCTATGTCTCGGGTGGAAAGACTTACGAGATAGAGAAACGACTGGACGAGGTGAAATCACAATGGTTAGGGCAACTCCTGTTTGATGAGTTGATGGCGGGACAGCAAGCGCTGGGAGCTGTAAGTATTATGAAACGGCATTCGGGATGGATGTTTACTGTTACTAGGGTAGCAACTGGACCAAACGTAAAGGTGGCCAATAAACAAGAGATGACTATGCAGGAAGGAAGAGGGCGACGCGACGATGGTGATAGTTTGGGAAAGTATTGGTCAGATGAAGTTTGCGCTGCGTTAGAACTATGACATCTGACCTGTGAACGGGCCGAGGTCGGTAGGGACGAAACTCAACACCACGCCGAGGATCCAAATGCCCGCGACTGCCCGCGGAAGATGCCTAATTCCCCGCAGGGTTAGCTCAGCATCTACAATAGGCTAAAGTCCCCAAAAGTATCTACTGTAGATACTTCCGGGGAGTCGCGGGCATTGGTGTATACATTCTACCCCTCACATAGTCACGACATCCGTACCCTATATAGAGTCTCTCTCATGCTGTGATGAAATGTATTACTTCCCCTTCCGCGCGTTGACCAGTCGCCATACCATCGACCCCGCTCTCCCGCTACACAGTTCCCCTTCCCATTGACCCCAGCCCCCTCCCACAACACCATGGCCCGCATAAAAGTCGGCGTAGTTGGCTACGGCTTCGCCGCCAAGTCTTTCCATCTGCCTTTCATCGTCGCCATTCCAGAATACGAAGTCGTTGCTATCCTTCAACGAGCAGAGGCACCCGCCGATCCCGCCTCTGCAGCCAAGGGCTCACACTGTACAGTGGATTTCCCACATGTCACGCACTACAGATATGCAGAGGACTTTTTCGACAACTCAGAAATAGAATTTGTCATTGTTGCAACGCATGCAGATACGCATGCGACGTTCGCAGAGCAGGCGTTGAGGGCGGGGAAACACGTGATCGTCGACAAACCCTTTGCGCGGTCCACACTAGAAGCAGACTCAGTGATAGAAATCGCCAAGCAGGAAGGACGTGTCGTCACCTGCTTCCAAAACCGAAGATGGGATGGAGATTTCCAAACTGTACGCGAGCTCGTTAAGAAAGACGCTTTTGGTGGTATCAACGAGGCCGAAATCCACTACGACTTTGACCGCGCCCCTTGGCTTCATGCTTTGAAGAAGGAGTATACGCCGGGTGATGGGCACATGTTTGGCTTGGGTACGCACACTGGCACAGCATAATGACTCCAGACGTGCCTAAAATATCTCTATAGGAACCCACAGCCTCGACCACGCCTATGTTCTTTTCGGACGTCCCGCCTTAGTCACCGCGTTCTTGCGCACACAACGCGGTGTCGAAAGCGAAGTCGAAGACTCTTTCACAGTGATACTGCAGTACGATGGTTCCCGGAAAGGTCTTTTGGTCACAGTACGTAACGCCTGTGTACGAAGTCGCTCTATCTTAGACATGATACCACATACCCGACCCCACTGTTGAGTTACACTGACTTCGTACCCATGCGTCTAGGTGAAGACCAGCGTCGTTTCGCCCATGGCACAACAGCTCAAATACTGGATCCGCGGCACCAAGTCCTCGTACATCAAGTACCAGGCCCGTAGTACATGTCCGCAGGAAGAGCAGATCGCGAAAGGGGCGGATCCTCTTGATCACGATTTTGCCGCCGAACCTCACGTGCTTCGGGGAACCCTTACCTCTTACGATAATGTCGACGGCGAGGTGCAAAAGTTCGACGAGGAAAGTAGGAGATACGTAGGGAACTATCCAACGGTTAGAGGATGTTGGATGGGAATCTATCAGAATGTTGCTGATCATCTTAACGGAAAAGCTGAGCTAGCCGTGAAAGCCAATGAGGTGCGAGATGTGCTAAGAATTATTGAGTTGGCACGGGAGTCGCATGAGAAGGGGGTTACTGTGGCGTGGAAATAGTCATGATCTCTGTGTAGGTTAAATAACGTTGCGTGTTACTGCCACGGTCCTTGGGTATCCTTCCCTTGAATGAGCCAATGTTTCTCAAAGAATGCCATTTGAGGAAAGTTTACTGAGTGGGGCTCTGACTGATGTTACCTTCTTCAGGAAATTGAACGAAGAAGACTTTCCGAGGGAGGAAATAGTCCAAAGGAAAGTGCCACTCCGTTAATGCCATATGATGTTATTGGTTTAACAAAGCCAACCTGGTCTCCAAAGTTGATTGGTGAACGGAAAACTCTACACCACAATTGATAAGACAAGACCTTTCAGAGCTCTTTCGTAAATGCAATCTCTTCGCACCCATGGCGCTTGTCGGACAACAATGCGCAGACGTGGACAGGTCCGACCTGCGATCAACTGACAGTCTTGACGCAATTCGTCGATGCATGAGATGGGCAGGGGCAAGCCAACTTTCGTTTCCTAGTCGACGAACCTTTCCACAGTTCAAAGTGTTTCTTAGCGAAATGGCTATGGTATTTATGAGCACGGATCCCCTTGTCTCCCCGGCTGTGGACCTTACCTCCCAGTGACGTGTCATTGCCCCCAGAGCTGCAAGAGCGCGGCCTTACGCTCGTTAGCGACATTTGATGTGCTCTCTCCGATACCGAGTGTCAACACCTCACCGGCAATGCTTTTCGATTTCTAGATACGTGATCAACTCTATAAGCTGACTGTTTCACAATGGTACCTGGAATCCAGCCGTGACCTCCGTACTAACTTGGGTCTCACCTTCCGTTAGCTATTGGCAGCCATATGTAGTGTGGAGCCACTGAGGGATGTAAAATATCTGACGGGCCCCAAGTGGTCAACATGGCTCCGTCGATCCTCTCGGAGGAAGCCTTACAAGCTCTTCACATTGGCAAGCTGTTGAACGACATGTAAGAAGCTTGGAGGACCTTAGTTTTTTCTTTCTTTTTTTGTCATACTCATCACAAAGGCAACCTAACACCTAGCTCCTCTCACTCATTGCACTCGCTCACCTGAGCTTGCGCTGCTGAATCTCCTCTAACTCCGCCATCTCGTCGAGCAATTGAACCGTCTCCGTTGGATTAGCTATCCAAGCTGTGGTGCATGCCAGTCGAGCCTTGAAGTCGTTTGCACCGGCTGACAGGAACTGGTCTCCTACATGCAGTGTTTTACTTCCTTCAATACCACCGAAGAACTGTTGGCATGCGAGCACGCCCCATGACTTGTCTCCGATATCAACGAACACGTCGTTGCCGCCATTGAAAGCGCAAAACGGGAGGCGATTACCAACTTCGGACATCTCCTATCTCGTGTTAAGTGTATCTGAGGGTGTACGTAGAGGGCTTATTGGCTTACCAATATCTTCTGCGCAATCAGGACAGTCTCTTCGAGCGTCTCCCGGCAGAATTTGTTACCAGGCTGAGGTATTATACCAACTGCTCGCTCCTTCCGCACAATGGTCGCATCCATGCGCATGTTCTTGACTGTGTCCCTCAGTGATGCTTCGGCGATGTCAAGCAACGCGGTGATGTCTGATTCTTCCCACAGCACCATCTCCTTCAGCAGCCATTCCTGTTTCGGCACTAGCTTCAACATATCCGGCACATTCCCGTCGAATCTAAAGCAGTAGTTGCTTTCTCCGCCCATGATGATGAGTCCCTGTTTTGCCGACTGTGGCAGATCCGAGGCGTAGATAGCGTCCAGAAGTCCATAGAGTCTTTCGTAGTATTTGTGTGCTTCGGTGTAGCCTGCTGCTGTAACGATGCCGATCTTGGAGCCGTTGCGCATCAATTTGAGAATGCGTGGAATCACGGGGTTCTCGGGTGTCAGACATTGGCCGTCGTTATACAAGGTTACATCACCATCGAAAGTGACAAGCTCCAAGGGCCCGTTGCGGATCAGGCTCATCACCTGGGCTGTGTTGAGAATGAGTCTGACATCGTTGAAGGAGGGAGGCACGAAGCGGCGCATGCTTATGAAGCGTCGTTGATCTTGCCAGATGAATGCATCGTGGAGGGCCAATGGGGTGAAGAAATTTGCAACCGAGGGCACCAGGAGCTTGAGTTTAGAGCGGTGCTGTGTTCCGGTCTGCTGGTGCGTGACTGTGCGTATTATGTTAGTAGATTAGACTAATTGCAATGTAGTCCGAGTCCAGCTCGAAGGAGCATCCTACTGTGATCGTTCACTATGTCTTCAACGTCTCGCATAATCTCGGCATATCGTCGCTGGGTCCGGGTGGCAGTGGCGTCAACGGATTCCCCTTCAGGCTCAAAGACAGCGGTAGGTTGGGAATGAAGCACAAATGGGACTGCTAGAAGGCCCTAAGAGAGCATTATTGTGCAGTCCTTTCCGGTGTATGTGAGGTGCAGTACCTTGATCCATTCAATCTAGTGTACATGTTAGATCCGGGCTCAATGATCCGAGGTCATGGCTCTTGCACGCACCAACTGATCTCGTCGATGTGTCTGGATAGTATGTCAGCGTCAGCAAACATCAAGCTAGGTGTGCAGCAAGCAAACCTTGAGAGCATCTAAGGGAACTAGTGTCAGCACGGGCAGCTGATGAAGCGGGGAGCCAAGGATGGAACTCCCCAGCATAAGACTGATGACCTACATTCTACGCGATATCTGGTCGTCATGGCGAATGAGGAAGGGAAAGGAGAGGAGCGGGATGAGCAATGAGGTCTGGGAGAGCCGCACGAAGGTGGGAGGCAAGGCGCCACTAAGCTGAAAGGGGGAAGGAGAGACCACGTGAATGCTTCAGTCTACGCCACACCAGATTCAATTGGACTACGGAGCGTTGGTCCGACTGTCGCAGAGGGGAGACAGTCAGATGCAGGGACAGGCTCCCTTTTGCATGCGCGTGGATGCGGTGAAAGAGCTCGTTGGCAGGGGTAGCTTCATAGATAGTCCCCGCTACCTCGCTAGCGCCGGCCGCGGCCGCCCGTTTGTCGTCCCTTGCAGCAAAGACAGGCCTTCTCCCACAGCACGCGCAACCACCACGCGTCGCCCGCTAATCCGCCCAAATGTCTGGCGCGGATTCGCTGTCGTCTGTCGCGCTGCGACCATGGCCCGCGCCTGCCAAGGAGGCCTTGAGCAAAGAGGACCTCTACGCCCAAGTTGCGCAACTAACGTCGGAGCGAAGACAATACCTGCGCGACATTACCGAGAAGACGCTCCTCGAAGACATCGCGGCCGGGCGGGATGGCATTGTGGACACAGTGGAAGGCGGGAAGCAAAATGATAAAGAGGACGTAACGTCACAGGCTGAGATGCTGGAGAAGTTGGGCAGGGCTAGACATGAGGTCTTCAACAAGCTTGACTGGGCCTCTTTTGCGGCTGGCAACGCGCTCAATGTCGTTTCCCTCATCCTTTCCCGCGACCTCGCGAAATATCCGAACAAGAAAGAGTCCGAGAACCTCTACACTCCCCCGTTCCAGGAGTTGAAGGTCCCACGCGGATCGCTGGGGCTGGTCAAAGAAGCACTCCCCGATGAAGACCCCTCGCAAATGAGGGCCGAGGAGAAGGCCCGGCTAGACTATGCCACGCGGAGGCAGGTGTTGGCCATGAAGGGCTCGCGCATGGAGGCTCTTGACTGGGCCACCGACACGCTACTCAAAGCTGCGACCGACCTTGAGAGCAACATCCGCAAAGAGACCAAATACTGGGATGAGATTTTATCGATATCGGACAAGGGTTGGCAGATGCAGCGCACGCGGAGGGGAGTGCGAAATGCTCCTTACGCCGTCAAATACGGGCCTCCGGAAGCCAGCAATCACTTCAAGGCACGCGGCTTAGCGCCGCTTCGCATGGACAAGAACGGTGATATCATTCTTGATCCGACTCTCACCCTCAAACCAAAGACACTTCGCGTGCGGATCAGCGAAAACGACAGGATCACAGGCATCTCCCAAGCGGCGACACGCGGCGTTCTGGACGACCTTGCGATCGAGAAATCAATCCAGCTTGCGCGGGCATCGCTTTTCGAGGAAGAGCTATTCTATGAGATGTCAATCGAAAGCCGTCAATTGCTCTCCTACGGGGTGGAACTGCGGGACACAGTCATCCATGTCACAGTGCCAGGCGAACATCCTACGCAACGTAAATTGTTAATTGATTGTATAGCCCAGGATGATAATGATCTTTCTCTTCATGGCGGCAGTCAGGACTGGCTTGCTCAGGATATTGCGGAGGGTTTGCGGATCTTGCTTGCACACGAACATCGCATGCGCCTATTCAGGCGTACCCGACTCCCACCACCAATGACACAACACAAGCGCCAACAGCCTACGCCGCCGCTTCTAAGGACTCTGCTCGCTATGTTCAGTCACCTGAACGCCGTGGACTCGCTCTATGCCTATCTTGGCGCAGTTGCAAACACACTGAAGAGCGCTGGACTTGGTTTGACCTTGGAAGCTACCAGGGAGCTGACGTGGGAGAAGCTGACCGCAGCAATCAAGACAGCCGAATCTAAAGATCTCACCGCAACCGATCAGCTACTGGCTACCCTCATCCGACCGTTCGAAGGGAAGGCTTCGATATCGCTTCCATCCTCAACCGAAAGCGCACCGGAGAACATCACCATCGGCACGAGAACCTACATTGGCCCGCCGCACTTCGGCACAGAGCACAAGATCACGTTACCGCCCTCTCTCCTTCAGCTATTGAACCTGGAGCACGACCCGCAGCGCCAGCTGAAATTCTCCTCCACCGAGGAGGTGAAATCATATCTTGACTTCATCCTTTCGCTAGACATCTCTCAGTCATTTCTCCTCAAAGAGTTCGGTGGGCGCTCGGTGATCAAGTCATCGGAGCCTCGTATATCGGTTGTTTCCAAAGGAAGCAGAAAGGGTCTGGTAAAGGAAGACGATGTCGAGATCGAGCTGGAAAAGGCAGCATTGAAAGCGACTGCTACCGCAATCGGACAGTTGGCCACGGGGGCCGCTATCGAGAGCTTTACATGGAATGGTACTCCAGGGCGACCGCCTCTAAAGGAGAAAGTGAGGAGCTGGCTATCGTGAGCACGTGCAGATGGCGCGACGCGATTGCGCGACACTTCATCTCACGACAACACGTCTGGCCGCTTGGCGTTCCTGGTCGATGATGTATGGATGGGTCATCGCCGCGCGAGGACGAGGCTAGCACGGGAGTCTCGGGCTAATGTGGGGTAGCTTCCCCATTCTCCGAGAGCTCTAACTCGAGAACGACGAAGAACGTGGACGATCCCCATGTTCACCAATACATTGAGAACGCTCATGATGACGCGAAGACCCGACCTTTCTATCTGCGCTTAGCTTCCGGTTCGTTGACGTACCTAGCAGCTTGACATAGGAACAATTGAAAAGCCAGGTACAACCACCTTCCAGCCTCTCTTCACGGTGCTTGTAAACATGTTGTCGTTACCAATATTGACAGCAGCATCGCTTCTCCTTCCCGCGCTCTCGAGTGCGCAGATCGCTCGCGACCCTGGCGTCTACGGGCCTCCACTCGAGATTGTACACCTCTATGATGATCAATGGCCGACAGGTACTCTCATTATCGCTCCCGATAACGCATTGCTAACGTTTCAATCCTACCAGGAATCACCGTCTCTCGCACCGGCCGCAAATTTTCCAACTACCCGCCCGGCCTCGATGCGAACAACACGAACAACGGCAGCAATGGAAAGTATACAGTCGCCGAACTGATTGGGAACAACACCGAGCGCCCCTACCCCTCCGCCGACATAAACAACCCCCCAGGCGGCAGCATAAATTACACGACCTACCCGCCCACCGGCGCAAACTACCAGAATTACCTTATCGGCGTGCAGTCCGTCGTCCTAGATGCAAAAGACAGATTGTGGATCCTAGACACCGGCCGCGCGCTTACATCCAACAGCACGCTCGTTCCTGCGAGTTATGGCGGGCCGAAACTTGTTTGCGTAGACCTATCCACTGATACCGTGACGAAGACCATTGTATTCCCAACCACCGTAGCGTACTCCGATTCCTATCTTAACGACGTGCGCTTCGACCTCCGCAAGTCCACAGCCGGCGTAGCATATATCACAGACTCCAGTACGGAAGGTCGCAACGGTATCATCGTGGTAGACCTGGGCAGCGGGGAGAGCTGGAGACACCTTGATGGCGCACGCGAAGTGCGACCCGACAGGGGCTTCGTCGCGAACGTGTGGGGCGAACCTACATACTACATCCCCGGGCCAGGCCAGCCGCTTACTTACCTTCCCTTTGGATCGGACGGAATTGCGCTTGGGGCTGATGGCGAAGATCTCTATTGGACCGCGGTAGGCAGCCGCACACTTTATAGTCTGTCCACAGAGAGGTTGCTAGATCGTAGTTCCAATAGCGAGCTGTTGGCGCAGAATGAGATACGCAACCGCGGGGAAAAAGGCGTCAGCGACGGTATGGAGACAGACACGAACGGATACATCTACGCTGGAAACATGGAGCAGGAAGCTATCTCTTTCTTCAACCCGAAGGACGCTTCCTCGACTATTTTCGTAAGAGATCCAAGGATTAATTGGGTGGATACTAGTAAGCTCTCCTTTCCGCCTCCCCCCTTTCACGTGTCCCCTTTACGTTTACAAATCAAAACGAAAAGAAAGGCGGCAGGCCTAGATGGGGAGCATGACATAAAACGTGCTGACAACAACAGTGGCCACTGGCGCAGACGGCTACCTCTATTTCACAGTTAACCAGCTTTCTTTCAGCTCGGCGTTCTATCCGGGGACGGATCGGAGGGTGAAGCCGTTTGTGCTGTTCAGGGCACAGTTACCCGGAAATGGGACGAGGGTGAGTCTGCTGTGAGTGAAAGGGGATGGTAGGGAATGATGTGGGGTGTAATAGAACCGGAGGGAACACCAGATATTTGACGTCGGAGTCTAGGCCAATTTCATTAAGAGATACATGAATACAGGGATTGGTCTTTAAATCTGAAGCAGCAAGGGGAATGCTCGGTTGCACGTGTGTTTAGGGAAGCTTAAGAGAGATAGTGTAGTCGTCGGCATAGGCGGAAACAAACACATATGATTCACCGGTCATCGTCTGCACCTTCGGGACGTTTACACGATTACCAGCTCTCCCGCCTTACAGCGATCGAACATTCCCGACCACTTCGTCTTGAAGAACCCTACTCTTCGTCAATTCTCGTCGACAACAGCGAGTGACACCAAAACCTCCACGTCGTTCTGATCGGGAGAGTGCTCGATCTACCTCGTAGCTAACATCTATGAGACATATTCTGCATATCACTTCCTACTACCGTTAGTCTCGGATAGAGGCCAGACGACCAGGTTCTGGCTATGCAAATGCCGCTTTCGCCCCTTGTGGGAGCACCTTGTGAACTCGGAATCGGCAAAGTGTAATTGCGCGGTAGCTGCCGCGTGCCCATGTGATGTAGACGAAGGTTCACAATGCAACAAGCACAGTGAAGTGGAAATAGGCTGAAATAAGCTAATGTAAATTGAGAGATAGCGTACGTTGCCTTGCACCTTCCGACCCTGCAGTCATTGATCGCCCACAGTTGGCTATATACACAATACTTCAAACCTTTGACTGCATGGATTGCAACATTGGATCCATGCAATGTCGTAGCCCAATAATTCTCTAGCCATTTGCGACTTCGTTTCTACAGTTGGCTATGATTGATCCTATCCGTCTACAATCAACGTACAAAGTTCCTATGTCCGGCATGCCACCATCTATCTCCGCCCCAACACGCTTGTTCACCCGCCCAGCCGTCCGCCTCGGACCAACCCGCCTGACTCAGCGCACCAGCCCGCTCGAATGATCAGCCTTGCGCCCGGAGAACGATCTTAACACCGCAAGCCCCTGGCAAGTCATTGCGATCGATAAGCATGTCAATAGGGTCGCAGGTGGTTCCACAGGAATACGCAGTATTAGCCTTTGGAAACCATAAGTTGATTGGCGAAATGGTTTCGTCAACGGAGAGGCCTTGAAAAAGATTTCTTCGTTGGAGCTGGACGGACCAAATGGCGGAGCGGTAGTCCAGATATGGTACACAGGGCTGTGATGCCTTGAGAGTGAGGACTAAAGGTACAAGAGGAGTCGAACGTCGAGGGGGAAATGGATACAAGAGCAGAGTCTTGCACAAAAACCCAGCTTTCAGACCATTACAGCCGTTCCACTCACCGGATTCCATCAGTAACTCCAATTCCGCATCTTCTGCACAACAACTCAAAAGCGCCTCAATGTCTTCGCTCAAAGATTATCTCGAATCCCAAGTGAGGGCCTCCCCCCCCAATCTCAAATGAAGTACACCCGGTTCGTCCAACTCGTATCACCTTGTACATACATCGTGCAGATTCTGAACCCCCTTCTCATAGTCTCGGCCGGTCGGGCCTGAAGGTCTCCTCCATCATCCTCGGCGCCATGGGCTTCGGCGATCCCGCCTCCTCCAACGGGCCGTGGGTCCTTGACGAAGCTGCCTCTCTCCCGCTCCTCAAGTACGCTTTCGACAAAGGCATAAACACCTGGGACACGGCCGATACCTACTCACAGGGAAAAAGCGAGGAGATTATCGGTCGGGCTATTAAACAGTACGGGATTCCGCGCGAGAAGCTCGTCCTACTGTCAAAGGTATTTTTCGGCGTGGATGAAGCCGAGGTTGTCAAGAAGGAGGGCGGATTCGATCTAGTGAAGGCGATGGTGAATGATGGCTCGATGGTCAACCGTGTGGGTTTGAGTCGGAAGCATATCCTCGATGCGGTAGATGCTTCAGTGAAGAGACTAGGGACGTACATCGATGTTCTTCAAATCCACCGTTACGATCCTGACGTTCCCGCTGAGGAGATCATGAAGGCGCTGAACGATGTGGTCGAAAGTGGAAAGGCGCGTTATATTGGGGCGAGTTCGATGGCGGCGTGGCAATTCCAACTACTCAACAACACGGCGGAGAAAAAACGGATGGTAAGTCGCTGTTTCCTATTCCCGTAGTCGGTTTTTGGTTGGTACGGCGAAAGGAGAGCTAACATGACGAAGGCACAAATTCATCTCCATGCAAAACTACCACAACCTGCTGTACCGTGAAGAAGAGCGCGAGATGCACCCATACTGCTTCCACGAGGGCATCGGCCTGATCCCTTGGTCTCCCCTCGCACAGGGCAAACTCGCTCGGCCATGGAGCGCTTCTTCTTTTCGGAGCGACAATAACCCCTTCGGCGACATGCTGACTGCGCCCTCTGATGAAGCCATCGTCAATAAAGTTGAGGAGGTAGCAAAGAAGTTGGGTGTGAGTATGGCGCAGGTAGCTACGGCGTGGAGCCTGAAGAAGAGCGTGAATCCCATCTTGGGACTGCAGAGCGAGAAGAGAATTGATGAGGCGTTGGGAGCTGTGGGTATCGTGCTAAGCGAGGAAGATGTTAAGGCATTGGAGAGCGTGTACACTGCGAAGCCAGTCGCGCCGCTATGGTAGTGACATGCGAGAAGATTCTTGAAGATTTAATGGGGCTTATTCTTCTGCAAAAATTCATATAATGAATCTAACCACTTTGCTAAGACACACTTGGGCTTTTCTTGAAGTCCCTAAATACTTCTGCAATGTCACATTTGTTTATTTTTGTGAGAGTACGAAATAGATACGAGGCCAGGAACATGAATTAGAGGCATGGACAAACGATGTATTACAATTCAAGTCAACAGTATCCAGGCGCGAAGCCAAAGCTGGGGTGGATTAAAGAACAGCGATAAAGGCAGGAAAGCGCGGCATCTAATAGTGGTACAAGGCAAGACGTTTCCAGACGTCTTCAAGCCCACCCAGTTCAAAGAAGCTATCAAGTTCAGACTCCCCAGCCAGAATACATCCCAAAAAAATGTGCAGCGAATCAAAAACCCTACAAGGCCGGGCTCTCAGGGGTGAAAAACTCGTCCGTAGGCGAGGGAATCTTATCTTTAAGCCACGTCAGCACAGCATCAGTGCCCTTCTTCAGCACCGCGTAGTTCGGTACGCGGAACTTGTTGCCTTCGATGTCGAAGCTCGTCAAAGTTCCAATGAGTAGACCGATCTGCGGCTCCAAGCGCACAATGTCGTTGTTGCTAAGGCTAACGATCTTTAAGCCTTCGAGCGACTCAGCTGAGACTTCATCAATGCCGTTATCGGACGCCAAAAGCGTCGTAAGCTCAGGATACGACTCGCGCAGAGTCGGCAGCGACCCTGCTATCCTGTTGTTCGAGACGTCGAGATGATGTAGCCTAGGCGCTGATAGCATCGAGGAAATATGCTTGAGCGACCTGAGCTTGTTGCTGCTGAGACGAAGTTCGCGAAGCTTGGGCAGCGCCAGGCTCTCCGTCAACGGATCAGCGATGTTATTTTTGGACATATCTAGCACGGTCAAGAACGAAAGCTGGGCTATGACCATTGGAATCTTGCTGAGCAAATTTTGCTGCAGATACAGCTGCTTGATGTCGTGCGACTCAGCAAAGCACGCTACGGCGTCTTCGTCGACTTCAGGCATAATCTGGGATGAGAGATCGAGTGTACCAGAGGGCGTCAACTTCCAGCCATTGCCTTCCACTTCGATGTCGGCGTCCTCTGAAATTTGTGACAATTCCGCATCTGGCACTGTTTCGGGACCCAATTTTGACATGAGATCGCGCTTTATGTCTTCTGCACCCATCGTCAAAAACTTCCGTTCACGAAGCGGGTTGGCCGCTAGTGTCAAATTCTCTAGGCCATCCATGAGAGCTATCCGCTCATCCAGCTTGTTAATGTTATTCGCGGTGAAGTCGGCATTCCGTAGCTGCTTCAACGAGCAGAAACCTTCCGGAAGTGTCGATAGACTGTTCTCGCCAACAAGCAGGGTGATCAGACTAGTCCAGGCGGCCACGTTCGGCATAATCGACAACCGATTTGTTGAGATATCGAGGTGTTTAATGGATGGAAGCAGGATCGTATCCGAGCCGTAAAGACTTGTGAGCGAATTGTTGGCTAAACAAAGATTCTGTAGATACGGCACGGTACCCACATCGAAAAAGCTGCCACTGAAAGAGTTCTTAGACGCGTTCAGGTCAATGACTGGCATGGACGTAAAGATCTCGCTCGGAAGGCTGGTAAGTCTGTTATCAGATACGTTCAGGGCCCGCAAATGTGTAAGGGCGCGTATCTCGGGCGGCAAGCTGGTAAGTCGATTTTCTTGTAGCTCCAAGGTTTCCAATGAGGTCAAGCTTTCGACTTTGGCAGGAAACGCGCCTTCAAGTTCATTCGCCGCGAGTTTCAGCTCGCGGAGAGTAGCAATCTGGAACACGACGCCTAATGTCTCCACGGTCAGTTTATTCCTCGACACATTGAGCTTGGAAAGTTGCGGTAATCGTCCTAGGCCCAACGGCAGCTCTCGGAACATGTTACCATGTAGATCAAGATTCTGAGTGCTGCCAAACTGTGGCACTACATCTTCGGATTCTACCACCGCTTCGTAGTCCACGTCAGGAAACATAGATTCCGGAAGGGTGTCGAGGTTGTTATCGGCCAGGATCATAGAGGTGAGGTCGACAACTTCACTCCACGCGGCATTACTCTCTGGATTGTATTCGTACATCTTTATTACTTCCTCGGGGATCTCTTTCAACTCCATTGCCGCAAGATTGAGCTTGCCATTCGCGCGGGCACCATCGACGCGCTTTCGCAAAAGAGAAAACCCTCCATTGGGCCGTTGATTGAAAGGATCATTCAAGCCAAAGTCGAAGCTCGCAATTTCGGCTGGATCTGGAATGATGGCATCACGCGGCGGAGTGTTAGTGCGAGGACGGGGTGGGCTCGCTACAGTAGCACGTTTTTCCGCTTTGGCCTTTGCGATCTGATCGCGCAATGCTTGAGATGAATTGGGCTTGGGTGAGGTCGCATCCGTACTATTCACGCTCTCTGACCGTTTCGCGGCCTTTGCTTTGGCAAGTTGTTCCCTCAACAAGGTGGAAGAGTTTGGGCCCTTTCGAGCCGTCTCTGGGGTCTTCCTTGCTGGCGAAGGTGTAGAAACCGGCGTGATCGCTGACGGTGATACAGCTTGACCGAAAGCACCTGCTACAGATGGTCGCGACACGGGCGTCCGCGCCACCATGGTCTTGCTGTTGGACAGAGGCCGGGTTCTCGGGTTTGATCCCGGGCTTTGCACCTGCGAGAGAGGCGGCTTCTTGATCGTAGAAGGAGGGACGATGGATGATCTTTTGCTGGGAGTTGCGGACGCACCGATCATGGCCGCACTGACACTCCGTGGAGCCGTCATTGAACCTAAATCGTTAGTCCTGTTCAATTGGCAGTTGTAAAGCCCAAGGGATTATGCATACCTCGCTGGGAAGCCAGAGGACCTCTCTTTGGTGTAGCCGGTATTGCTCGCGGCGTTCCATCACTCGTAGTTGGCCGTGTCCCATTCGACAACGCGGAAGCAGGTCTGGGCGGCGGACCCATTGAATCCCCATTGTTGAAGAAGCTCGATCTCCGGCGCCCCTTGCCGCCCGCAGGTGAGGAAGGGAGCTGTGACAGACTCTCTATCGTTCTGTCCGAAAGAGACGGGCGCGACCTCCTCACTGCCGGTGCCTGGGTAGGGGCTTCTGAATCGCTTTCCAGTACACAATTGGGCTCGTTGTCGTGGAACCCTGCCCGTGAGCTGGCTCTTGAAGACGCTCTTGAGGCGGAGCGGAAGGCATCCAAGTCTCCCAACACGTCGTCATTGCTTGCCCCCTTGGAGGATTTCGGGGGCTGCACGCTGGTTTTGGTTTGTCGCGATGGTGGGCGTCCAATTGGTTTCTTGAACACAGAAGCGTCGGCGACAGAGTTTCGCCCTGCAAGACTGGGAATGGAGCGTTTGGTCGAGAGCACGGATGCCCTGTTCGAGCTCGTATTGGCAGATGCCGGGGGAACAATGGATGGTCGGGCGAGGGACGTTCTCGAGGGTTTCTTCTGCAGCGATGACGGCGGGTGACTGGTCCTGATTGAAGATACTGACGGCTTCTTCTGCAGCGGCAGCGGCTGGCTGGCCCGTGAGACTGAAGATAGCGACGGCTTCTTGCGCAGCTGTTCGGTAGACGGGGTGGAGCGCAGTTGGCTCTGGCTGCCCGCCGGCCTGAGCACGGGGAGGCGCGAGGTCGGGCGTGGAATCCCTGAAGACGGGCGTGGAATCCCGGAAGGCTGCTCCATAGTGGTCGTTGAGGGACGAGTAACGTGTCGGCGCGTGTTGTTCACGCAAGCCCTGAACGATCCATGTCCAACCACGTGGAACTATCTGAGGGAGGCGCTTGCGATTGCGAGATAATTTGGTGCGAGGGCAGCAACTCGACAGCAGGGCTCGCATGCGTGCCTGAGCACGCGGGAGCAGCTGGTTACCCTTCGCAACGCAAGCTAGGATGCTGGGGGGGGTTTCAAAACGAGGCCATCCCAGAACGGCAAGGACGAACCACTTTGGTGCCTCGTTCCTGCCCGCGCCAACCTCGCACTCCCGCACCTGCCAACTCCGCCAAACCACTCTCCTCCACATCTCCTCCACACTTCACGCGTCTCTCCATACATCGCGCATTGCTACGTCTGGCTTGACATTGGTCGCATTGTGCGCGCGACTGCGGACCGAACCGACCGGACGCATACCCGCATATCCCTACAGCGCGCGCCCGACGCGACAGCCCCGCTCACCGCCACGGTCCTCGATTCCAACGCGCCTGTCTACCGTCGACCACATCCCTTAACGTGTCGCGCAAACCAGCAGACCACTGGACTTAGTTTCATCCCGCGCATTATTGAACGCGCGCGTCCGTCTGCAATTCTGACGTGTCGGTCGCGTCTTGGTCCCGTTTGCGCCTAGGCAGAATGGACTCCCAGGCACCATTGTCGCAGGCCTCCCAGGAGTCAGTACTTATGCCTTCCACGGAGTTCTCCACGCCGGTGACTCCTGAGAAGCCTTCTCCTTCGCGATCTGTGTCTCCGGTCGCCAAGATTGAGAAGTTCACCCCTCCAGCACCACCAACAACCGAGTCCATGACTCCACCTCCGTCGTCCCAGCTACCAAACACCCGTTCTGTGGTACGGACGCCGTCACCTCCAACTCCCGGACTGTCATCGCCACCACCAACCTCCAAGCTGCCTAACCAACCTTCAGCCCTGGCCGAGTCTGCAGCCGCCCTTTACACCCAGGAGCAGGTCAACAATGCATCCACCGAGGAGCTCCGCGCCATGGTCAACGATCTAACAGGCAAAATGCGCGATGTACGGCTATCTGCTGCACATCATAAACTGCAGTACAACATGGCTGTGATGGAAAGCCAGGAGTCGGCAAGCCGCATGGCTGTGGAGTTAGCCATGGCGCAGCGTGAGATTGATGTTCTGCAGAAAGCCGAGGAGAAGCGCCGGAACGAGGCAGTGATGCCCGAACAGACGTACCAGGAGTCGCCAACCGTGGCCGCCAATGCCATTGTGATGTCTGAGATGAATCGCCAAATTCAACTGCTACAGAATGAGAACGAAGAGTTGCGTGACCTGTATGACCAGCAAAAGCGAGTGACTGAACACAGGGAAGGGGAACTAGCTGGGTTGATGGAAGAGAATGACCGCCTGAAGTCGAGGATTCGTAAGAACCGCGACCATATTGCACCATACCTCCCGTATCTGGAGCAGATGAATGAGTCGCCACGTTCTACCTTTGGTACCCCGCATGCTACTCCGCGTCACAAGGTCAATCGCATATCTGCGCTACCTGATGAGAACAGTAGAGGGCAAAGCAACTTCGAAGCACTCCTATTGGCAGATAAAATGCTGAGCCAAGAGACTGCCACTGCACCTTCGACACCCGCAAGGTCGCATGGGCCACGGTCTCGATTCGGGCACACCCGAGGCGCTCAGTCGATGTCCTCGCTCCCTCAGACGCCAAGGGGACGCTCTGCTCAAGTCCCGACTGACATCCCAAGAACACCAACAACCTTCTCTGCCGTCAACATCCCACAGTCAGCACCCCCAGCTCGTTACCAGCAGGGGGTCGGAATGGTAAAGGCCGCTCACGCGCGACGCGAAAGCAGCAATTCCACCATCACCGCATCCAGCGTTGATGACGAGGAAGCATACACAGACAGAGAAGACGAGGAGGTTACCGAGTCTCAAGCAAGTCAACTCGCAACCAGCATGCTGCGCAGGGCGCCCTCGTCATCCAAGAGAATAGCCGCCCCATCATCACAATCAAACCTCATCCAAAGCAAAATCTTTGGCCAGGTCAAGAAAGGCCACGGGTTGACGCGTTCCGCCGAACTCGAAAAGAAGCGTCTGGCTTCCGAAACCCACGGCAGTCCGACCAAGCGAGGGCGGACAGATGGCGGCGTGGGCCTGGGCATCGGGCTTGGTCTGAGAGACTAGACTGAGCTATGAGCATCTAACGAGTGACGATCTGGTATGATGGCAGGGAGAATCTGGAGTTTGTATGGATTGGACTGGGCTGAAACTTCGACTTGTATTCTATGCTTTGGCATTTTGAAATGGCCTGCGTTGCCATGTTGTAATGCTAACAGAGACTAACTCGACTCTGTTCTCTAGGATTTGATGGATACCACTAAATGTTCGGTTGCGATGAGGCATGATGGGTAGATAGTAATCAATGTATGTATAGCCATCAGTAGCTTTCTTTTGAATCAAGTGCGAATGGTGCATTGATGGGATTGATGTCTTGGTAACGTATGCAAGGCCCACTTCTGATGCTACACCTAACCTCAATCCGATCTCGATACAGTGATGCAAGGCAGTAATGGACGAGACATTGATGAGATGCGACGCGTCCGTTGATGCATGAAGCTAGTGGACGACGCTAAAGCTGGCGTCCCGGCCAAACTCCCGGCCCGGCCTTAAGCGAGGAAATTTGCCCACCACCACCGAACCTTTCAAGCTCCGCTTTCGAACTCCAGCCGTACTAACCACAGGTCACGACCAAAATCTGCAAAAATGGCCATCAAGCACAACCAGCAGATCCAGAAGAACCACTTCCACAAGGACTGGTAAGCAACGCGATCAGGAAGCTCTATGGATGCAGTATCGCTGACATCTTCGCAGGCAGCGCTACGTCCGCGTGCACTTCGACCAGGTAATTCCCCTCTCAGCGACACGAGAGTAGTGGCGCCTGTGTCAGATGTTAATTGTTGGATTAGGCTGGGAAGAAGAAGAGCCGCCGCGATGCTCGCGCCGCCAAAATCTCCAAGGTCGCTCCTCGCCCCGTCGACAAGCTGCGACCTGTGGTCCGCTGCCCGACTGTCAAGTGTATGTTAGCTGGAGGTACGCAGGCAGCAATTGGCTAATTTCGATATAGACAACCGTCGCGTGCGCCCCGGTCGTGGTTTCTCTCTCGCTGAGTTGAAGGGTAGGCTTTGTTCTTGCCCGCCCACATGCGCGTCGCTAACAAAGTTCAGCCGCCGGCATTCCCCGCAAGCTCGCACCCACCATCGGTATCTCCGTCGACCCCCGCCGCCAGAATCTCTCCGAGGAGAGCCTCAAAGCCAACGTCGAGCGTCTCCAGGAGTACAGGAAGAAACTCATTCTCTTCCCCCGTCGCAACGGCAAGACCAAGAGCGGTGACGCCTCCGCTGAGGATGTCAAGGCCGCCAAGAAGGGCGACAACACCGTCACCTCCACCGCCTCCGTCCTTCCCATCGTCAACAAGCCCGTCTTTGAGGAGGCTTCCATCGGCAGCGTCGAGGCTACCGAGAACGCCTACAGGAAGCTCCGCGACCAACGCGCCGAGCAGCGCTACGCCGGTGCCCGCGAGAAGCGTGCCAAGGTCAAGGCTGAGGAGGCTGACGCCAAGAAGAAATAAGCGGTTACGAGTCTTAGGACGATGTAGCGGTATGCTTAACGATGGTTCAAAAATGGTGATCACGGTTCTGCGATGGATATTCCCAGCATGGGCGGCGTCAATGGTTTGGGGTAGCCTGCTACATAAGCAGTGAATGATATCTAGTCCTCAATGCAGCCACCGTTGCCGTGCATGTCAAATTTACGTATATTGTGGTCCAGCGTGCTATGCCCGGTTCTTTGCCCATTGCCTAAGGGATTGTTGATAGGTCTGTTATCCATGCTCGATTCTCTTTGAAACAAAAACGCGCATGAAGAACCACTTAGGAAAACTACTATTGCTCAAGACTACGATGCTCATATGAACTCCAAGTGCGGGGCCCCAAGCTTTACACTAGCTTCCTCAATCACAACACGACATTGATAAGAAAGGCTCCAAGCGCGCACCTTCTCCCACCTCACCTCACTCCAGCAACAACTACGCTAAATATTACACGGCAAAACTACCTCGATCTATAATATAACTAGCCATCAACTGATCGGCAAACACCCACAATGCCTACTCCGGAACCAAACCCTACGAACGCAAGTATATCCCACCGCACCTACTTCTACCCTTTACCGCACCCGTTGCCCCCGGGAACACCAATTCCCTACTCCCCAGGCCTGCCGAACCAGAACCCGCTCAATCTGCCGGAGACGCCCGTCGAACCTACATCCTCCCTTGTCTTGACCAGCACGACGAAACAATTCGTTGATATCCGCGTGTTCAAGCCGGTTATGAGAGAAGATCCTGAGTTGCCCAATGAAGGGGGACCGAGAGTGAGGTGAGTCCCCGTTGAGGCGGAAGCGCACGTGACATTGCACGATGAACTGGCATGGGGAAGGAAGAAATTGAGCTAAAGAGGCAGACTTGACTGGGCCTTCAGCGGCACATCCTCGAGCACCTCCATCCCAGACCCCTACCCGCATGGCATCACCGAAAACTCCGACACCGCCGCCCGCCACACAGAGCACCACCGCTCCTGGCCCAACCCGGTCAAGCACGCCTCATGGACGCATTGGCTTGACAGTCGGCATCCTGTTTCCACTTCGCCTGAGAACATGCCCAATGATGAGGGCACTATGTTTCCCATCAGCAGCACGGAGACTCTTGAATTCGGGCGGGGGGTCAATCCCGCAACGGGGAAGATGTGGGCATACGAGGAACTCTGGACGGATGGGGCGATTTTGTCTGCGCCAACGAAAGATGAGCCAGATCCGCCGGTTTTTTCAAGTGTTCTTCGGTTGGACGACCCGCAACACGACGTCCGCGGTGTGGTTGTCCGACTAGGCCGTTACTGTCAAGGAATCGTGATGAAGGGGAATTACGTGAGTGTTGAGCGGTGGGAGTGGGCGGCGAAGGAAAATGAATTTGGGGATAAGGAGGCGGTGGGGGACTGGAAGAGGACGGTTAGGATCGGTGATCAGTTTCTACCGTGTGCGATTACGTTTGAGCCGGGCGTCTTGAGTGAGGGTGGGAAGGTGAGGTATTGGGATTATGAGTGGGTTTGTGAGGAAATGGTTGCTTGGAAGGAGACGAGGAAAGAGAGTGCGAGCTGAAGCTTTGTGAATGGAGGAGAGGTTCGGAAGCGTGCACTTCGTTGGAAATGAGTATGAAGGTGTGTAATCCGCGTAGGGCTTGAGCCGTGATCCTGAGATGGATGAGTCAGTATACCCGAGACTAAGACAAGAAATGCCCAAGATTTCGGTATGTTGTACTGACCAGCTCTATCAAGAGACTGGACGAATGGAACTATCGCGCTTCTGCACGTATGTCAGACGCTATGGCAATCTCCCATGTTCAGGTCTTTTGTTCAATTCCAATTGGCGAACCCATACGCAAAAGCAGACGAAGAATCATCGCAACACAACTACGCATCCGGAGGCTCCTAAACTTCATTCAAACACTATGTGAGAAATCTTCTAGAGGGCCTTATCTGCCATCTGGAAATTCTATTCGACAATAAACTCAATGCTTTGTCGAGGCCATCGACCACCTTTAGACTGTATTCACGAAACTACTTGTTGATTACTACACTAGCCAATTTCCATTCCTGGCTTATCAAAACCGCCGCCCTGGACAATAGTGCGGCCGTCGTGGATGTATCCCCCACTTGGAGACTGAAGTGTCGTCAACGATAAGCCAAGTCGATCGGAAGAAGATGAGGCGTGGGCGCGATCAATGACCAAGCGCGAATCCTACATGTCCGAAATCAAGCCGAACCATAACCAGAACTGATATCCAATGCAGGACAGATGTCAGTGAGGTAGTGGAGGGAATGCTCTGATAGAGCAGACCACACGCCTACTCTACCATTAGATCTACCTCCATGCCACCTTCCGCCTCGTCCCCGCCATCAGCCCCCTCGTCGTCCTGCCCATCCTGCACGAAACTCTCGCAGGACCGCGCCGCACAAAGCGCGAGCTGGTATTTCATCTGCACCTTCGTGCCACCGTGCGGAATACCCCTCGCCTTCACCAACTCACGCAACTCCGCCACCCTAAGCCTCTCATCCGCATCCCTCAGCCGCTGCAGCAGGACCTTCTTCGTCTCGCCATCCTTCTTCATCACATGGTCGTTGATCTTGCGGGCGCGGCACAGGTTCCGTAGGTCGACCACGTCCAGCACCCTCCGCGGATCAGGAGTGTCTTCAGTCACATGCTTGAAGTGTTTCAGTGCGAACTCTTCGCGGAACTTACGCTCCGCCTCGGTAGCCGCCTTCTTCGCGAGCTTATCCGCGGCTGCGGCCTTCTTCTTCTTGAGATGGTCCTCCGCCTGCCGTTGGTTGAACGTCTGCTTCGTTGCACGTGTGGTAGCCCGCGCACTCGCCGCCCGCGTATCCTGCGCGCGCTTCTCCGCCTTCTCCTCCAAGATCTTCGCCTGGCGCACAGCAGCTTCATCCTTGATCCTCTCACGCTCCGCTTCTTCAGCTTCTTTCGCTTCACGCTCTGCCTCGCGCTCATCTTCCTTCTGCTGCCGGAGCACCTCCATGGCTGCGCGGCGCTGGGCGGGGTCATCGTCGACATCGCAGGGGATGGTTGCCGTACCGTCAAGCAGGGAAGAGTAGCGCGCGTGGCAGGCCTTGCCGCTGAAGACGGAGACCTTGTTCATGCGGCGCATCCACTCGGCTGTCTTTTTGAAGCGCCAGGCGCGTAGGCGCTCGATCTCGTAGGCAATTTCAATGGAGGCGAGGTCGTAGGCGCGGAGGAGGAGTTGGTCCTGGTCAAAATTAGGGATGGTTCGATTGCAGAGCAATCCCTATGGAGGGATGCCATTGAGCGGATTGAGGGTCATGTGGGGTGGAGCAACTCACATCTTCCAACTTCCACTCTCTCATACCATTCTCGAGCTCGAAGTCCACGTGCTGGGACTGGACTAGTTTGATGCGTTGGATGCGAGTGGAGATGCTCTTGGAGTCGTACTTCGTCCTACCTTGATTGGCGAAATTGAAGGCGATCTGCTTGTCGGTAAATCTGTACAAATGGTCAGAGTCTAGGATCAACGATGTTGTGTGGTATGGCATGTCATGACATCAAATGCGACTCACCCCTTCTCCCGCATATCCATCATAAGTTCATCGTCTGAGTCAAGCTCATGCGACACCTTCTTATGATACGCTGGCAACGTGCTGCCCTTTTCACGGTTGCGTCGGCCAAAGGTACCTGCCACACGTGACGAAGCCTGGTATGAAATGCCCGCATCATCGTCGATGTGGTAGCTACGGGACTCGTCTACAGTAACGCGCTTCGCAGACCGCTCAGCTGCATTGGTGCTCTGATGGAAGTGCGCAGGTTGGGTGACCTTTGAGCGTACAGCGAGGGTGGTCTTTGCACGCTTTGCGCCAGGAGCAGCGTCCTCATTGTAAACGTCGTTATGGGCTAAGCTGGTGGCATGGTCTGAATCGGGGTCGTTGACGCCGATGTAGTCAGAGTACCCTTGGAGAGGTGCTGGTGAGCTGCTGCGGGCGTATTCGTCGTATCTCAGGAGAGCGCCGTCCGCCTGTTATGTGTCTAAGACTTCTGGAAAATCAAGCAATATGCGGGACTACTTACATCAAATGTCATACTATCAGATGGAGGTAGCACATCGTCGCGCGTGAATGTGATGTCATCCTCGTCGTAGCTTGGAGCAGCCGGGAGGCTGTCCGATGCGAAGTCCTCATCCACAGGAGCACCATCGTCGCCAAAGGACGCGACGGAGTGGTTGTCTCCGCCAATGTCTTCGTCTTGATGGTGGGGTTAATAACGTATGGTGGTTATATTCGCGGTGTTGGAAGTTGACAAAAGCGCAAGGGTAAAAGTGATTGTGAACCTACCGGACAGCTCGAGCATGAGCGTGGTGCCCTTGGGCGCCATGGTGCTATGGTCTGACGGGCAATTTCCAGGTGATGTTTGTGTAGATTCAGAAAGTTTGGTGTGGTGGTCGGCGTTCTTTATGTACTGAGTGGTGACGGCGAGTTTTCGGTGCGCGGTTGCCGGGTCAATAAAAGTCAGTGAGTGGATTCAACCCAACGTGTAAGTGAAGGAGCTTTTTTCGAGGCCTTGACGTCAGCAAGGCTGACGGAAATAGCACAGCTCGGCAAAAGTAAGTGACTTGAGTTATACGACGCTGCGGGTTTACCGTGAGATACAGTAGCGGTTCCCCTGGATTTACACAAAAGTCCTGCGGCTCATCAGATTTCGGAAAGTGGCAGGAGGTGGATTTGACATCCATCAATGAGCTTGCTGAACCTTTTGAAGGTTTTTGGCTTGTCGCTTCATCGACAAAGCAAATACTACCACGTGTAGCCCAATGATGCTGACCTGTCCAACAGCGTGTGAACTTGCCCCTTCGTCGGTGCTCAAACGCCAAACGGCTATATGGAACAATGTTGCTCCTCGCAGCAATGCCGTCTATCAAGATCTGAAATAACGACCTGAGGTCCATGGGGTCGCGTAGTATTGGTCTGCACTGTTGCCCGTCATCCCACCTGCACGAGTATACTCTCAACATAACATGAGATGTTAACGTTTCGCTGGTCAAAAGAGATCAAAATTTCTCGCTTTGGCTTCTCGGACAATTCAACATTCGTTGTGACGTAAAACCTAGCGCTTACTGGATTTCTTGCATGTGTCGCTCGCTCTGCTGACCGGTCATAACAATCAGAAATGACCGCGTCCAGAAATGATCGCATCCAGTCGACTTAACTTTGAAGCTTTTGGGAGTGTGATGTAACCAATACTCAGGTTGTAATCATGCGAACGCCCCAAAGATAACTAGAGTAGAGCCACAATCAATCCTTCAGATTTTGCGAGGCTTTCAATCGTAGTGACAAGGTCCCCTAGCTCTTCCAAAATATTCTCGACCAAGCACCAATGTATCGGACGAATCGAACTCGTTTTCGCTTTGCATCTGAGGTAAACTCATCCACATCAATCAATGGTTTTGGTCGGGCGTCTAATGGGGAAGTGTGACAACTCAATTTGCGAACGTCAACCTCAATCTTCAATCTCCAATCTTCGTAATCATTAGCTTTTGCAGCGGCCCAATCGAATAGGTCAACAACGAGTTCTTCTCGACCTTATCCTCAGTCACCACAACGAGTGTAACCACTGATTTTACTTGAGCGTGCGTACCCGCGACGAGGGAGGCAACACAGTGAAACCTCAAAGAAAACGCAAAAACCTCCCTCATGCATCAGCAGATGTTAGAACGACGAATAGTCGCCAAGGAGCGAGACATGTGTGGTTGGCTAGCTGTGGCGGCGCTGTGGCGCTCGCTACTCGCGTCATCCTTGTCGTATGACGCAACATGCCAACCGCAATGGTCAACAATCTGGTTCGCATTCATACGACGCACAAGCGGTGGTGGCAGGTAATCTGACCAAGGGCGTGCCAAGAGGTGGCATGGCCTAACCAATAATAGTAATTATAGCAAGGATTAGAGAAGTTTTTATGCCACCCTAAGTAACTAGCGTAGAACTAGTGCGCACATAGTCTTCTCGAAATTAAATTAATTCTAAGTTGATTCTAAATAACTTTACATTATAATATTATTCCTAGTCCTAGATATCTAATAAACCCATATTAACTTAGATCTCTTTAAACCTAATATTCTATAGGATAAGGATATAAGTGTTTAGACCCCTATTATCTCTAGCGATTATATAGATAATAATACTAAATAGTACTATGTAAGTCTATTATATAGAATTAATTTATAATTAATTTAGAATTTATAGGAGCGCGCTATAATTACTAGTAGGAATAATAATAATAATACACTTAAGGCTAATATTATTAAATACGTAGCCGTAGTTCTATAATACCTAAGTACACATAAAGTAGGATATGCTTATATTATCTATATTAGGGCAACATAAGTAGAAGACCTTAAGCAGGAGAAGCTACTAAAATAGGCTAAGAGTGTAAGTAAATAAATTAATTTAGAATTAATTATAAATTAACTTTAATTAATATAATTATACTAGTTCTAATACTCTAAGGTAAGTAAGGTAGGTAAGAAGCTAACCTTCTACTCTTTTCTTAATATATATATATTATAATGGGTGTTTAGATGCTCTAGGATTAAGCATTATAAATTAATTTAGAATAAATTGCGTAATATATCTTATATAGAGGTTACACCAGAGCTATATAAATAGCTATAGACTATTAAGAGCTTATTATCGTAGATTAAGAATAATAAGGGGAAGTATAGGGCAAAGAGTTACTTTAATAGCCTTACTCGCCGTTTCTAATAGGGTTCTTATAAGCCACTACGGCCATTATATGGCCTAAGGCTATATTTATCAAGATAGTAAGTAAGTTATATATAGATTAATTATTAATTAATTCTAAATTAATTTAAGCCTCTTACTAGACCTCCACACTGGCTTATTAAGTGTAAGAGCTAGGTTTAGGGGACTACTAAAAAGCACTTTATTTAGTAGGTTCCTACTCTTATTAATATTAAATACCTACGCAGTCTACTTACTAGTCTATTAATAGCTCCTTAAGAATAGTATAATATTATTAAGCTATAGTGCTTAAGGCTAAAATATTATAGTAAGTAGAGATAATTTAATTTAAGATTAATTCTAAATTAATTTAGGTACTAATTATATCTAGGGATAGGGGAATCTTATTAAATAGAACTATAGTGTCGTTTTTAATATAATTATCCTAATATACCCCTCCTAGGTACTATTTATAATACTAGTATCTACTAGTATATATACACATATACCTCTACCACTATAGCTTATAGGCCAGGACTATATTAATGAGATTCTAGGTATTCTATAGCTAATTATATACCCTAGGTTTATAAGGAGTAAGTTAGAAAAGATAAATTAATTTAAGATTAATTCTAAATTAATTTAGCTAACTTCCTTAAGTCTAAGGCTCTCTCTATATACCTATAGGTACATAGATATAGCTCTATTAAGTAATTCTATATAGCATTTATAGATAAGGATTAAATTATAAGACTTATTTATTATAAGAGACTACTTAAGTACCTATATAGGGGTGGACTTAAGGGTGTTCTTTTTAAGTAGAAAATGCACCATAGTAACTAAGCTATAGTAGGTTTAAATTAATTCTAAATTAATTCTACACTAATTTCTATAAAATAGGCATATATCTAAAAGGTGCTTCCTATAACCTCTAGTAATATTATTATCTATCTTTTTTAGGACTAGGCTATTATACTATTAGAGTAGAATACGTTCTAAATAGATATATCCTTTAAGAGATTTAAAGATAGTTAGGCTAAAATTTTATTTATAGCATTTTTACTATAGTATAGGAAGCGTAAGGCTTTTATTAATTCTAAATTAATTCTATATTAATTCTAATGCTTACAGTCTTTACCTTTAGTTAGATTATTACTAATACCCAGACATCTACTATATATAAGAAGGCATTTATAGAGTTCTTTAATACCTATAAGGAGCTTACTAGTATACTATTTTAATAGATATATCTCTATAGGATAGGTATAATTAGTGTTACTATTAATATAGACACAAAATAGATAGTAGGTAGGTTAAATTAATTTAGAATTAATTTATTACTAATTCTTTAGGAAAACTAGGCTTTAGATAGTATCTAGCAGCCTAAGACCTATTCTATTAATCCTAGTAGTATTAGCTTAGCTATTACCTTCGCTTCTACTCTATCTACTTTTATTAGGGAATTAATAAGGCCTATCCACATTCTTTATATACTAAGGATTTAGACTAGGGTCGTATAAGGTTACTACTAATAGCAGAGACTAGAATAGAGTATATAGATCTCTATAATCTAATTATAGGTAAGTATTACAGTTAAATTAATTTAGACTTAATTTAAAATAAATCTAATAAGGTCTTTCTAGGTTCGATAAGCTCTTAAGTAATTAGGGATTAGGTCTAATATAAGAAGAATCCTATAATTATAGCTAGGCTTAATTACTACTATAGTAGTATGCTTAGGGCTACATAGAACTCTCTTAAGTTATATATAAATATAGTAGAGTAAGCTATATTAATAGGGTATTACACTAGAATAAGGCATAAGCTTCTATAAGGTATTAAGATGTATGTTTATTAAATTTATCTAGAATTAATTCTTATTTAATTCTAATCCTAGAAGGGCTATGTATATAGATACTTAGGATATTTAAATATATAAGGTCCGGAATAAGTATGGTATTAGATATAAGTCTAGGTAGAACCTAACTCTTAGTACTTAATTCTTCTAGAATATAGGTAGAGAAATTAGTAAGTTAATTCTCTATTAATTCTAAATTAATTCTTATAGTACTAGAGCGCCGGAAGTCCTCTAATGTTATTATTATATTAGATAATAATAAGGAGGTTCTAGAGAGTCTTAAGAACTTTAGCTTAAGTAGGATAAGACGTGGGTAGAGTATAAAATTATAAGTAAGAGGCTTAAGATAGGTAAGATTATATTAGTCTTCTCTATTAAGAAGCTCTATAATACCATTATCTCTACTAGCATTATTATTGTAAGTGAAAAGCTCGAATTAATTCTAAATTAATTATTTATTAATTTATAGGGCTAGCAGATTTTAGGATCTTACCTAGGAGCGTAAAGAGTTCTAGTAGGAAAAGGAAAGACTATTACTTAAATAAGAGAAGCATAAGTTCTATCTAGAGTAATAGGAGGCAGAGGTATAGCTAAGAGAATGTAAGGTTTAGCTATAGTAAGCCAGAGAATAGTTAGGAATTAATAAAGATTAATTCTAAATTAATTCTCTATTAATTTTAATAAAACCTAAAATAGTATAGCTAGCGTGAAAATTTTTTCTACGCTAGATATAAATTAACTATAATCCTCTTATTCTCTAATATCCTTTACTCTTAACTATCTAAGCGTTCTCTGCTACTATAAGTAGTAAGGTGCTATCCTTATATATAAGTTTAGCTAATTAATTTAGAATTAATTCTAAATTAATATAGCCTATTTATTAAGAGTACTTATCTCTAACCCAGCTCCTAGCTAGGTTAGAAGTATTCTCCTATAGAGATAATAAAGGGCAGTTTATAATCTACGCTAGGGAGTTATTTTATAGGGTAATAATTAGTAATAGTAGTATTCTCTATAGTATATATTATCCTCCCTAAGTATTTAAATCGCTTCTAAATTAATTTAGCGTAAATTCCTAGGTAGAGGAGCCCTATATTACTATATCTATTAGAATTATCTTTCTTATAAGCTCTAAAACACATCTTTAGGAACACTTAGTCTTAAAAGAGCCCACACTACCCTTAAATACTTTATAGAGGTAATAGAGCTCTATTATTAGTATAATAGCTTTATAATACCGCATTTATATTATATACTATTAGTTAGTAGTAAGGTAATTATAGAAGAAGATAATTTTAGTCTTCTAAGTATAAATTAATTTAGAATTAGTTCTAAATTAATACTACCTTTACAAGGAGACAGCCTAAGAATTAATAAAGAGTTAATTTAAGCTCCTTACTATAAGAATAATACTACTTCTATTCTAGTATTTAACCTTCCTCGCTTTAAGGTATTAAATAAGAGTAAGAGGTAGAAGAAAGGCTAAATTAATCTAAAGGAGACCTATAAGCTCCTATAAGATAATAATATTCCTATGCTATATAAGAACTGTAGGATAAAGATAATTAAGAGTAAGAATACTTTTTAATATAAATTAATTTAGAATTAACTAAGAAATATTTCTAGAATGTTAGTTAAAAGGTCTATATAGAAATAGGCAGTACTTTAAGGAGGTATTATAATAATATAATATATATAAGTATTAATAGCTAGGTTTATTACTAGAGTTTATAGCATAGACATATAGATATATAGTAGAATAAAAGAATTTATTTAGAAGTTATCTACCTAAAGGTAGGCATCTAGCTAGGCTAGGGAAATTAATCTAGAATTAATTTAGAATTAATTCTTAGAAAATATAGAGGGGTAAGGCGAGAAGAGGCTAGAGGAGGGTAAGGGGGGAGAGAAGGTATTATCCTTCTCCTCCTCCTCCTTTTCTACCTCCTCCTTCTCCTCCTCTCCGCCATTACCCTACTCTAGGGCGCACTTATCCTCCTCCCTTAACTCTACCTAGTAATCCTAATTCTTACACTTCTAGAAATCCAAGTCCTAAAAGAAATTACAGACTAAATTAATTTAGAATTAATTTAGAATTAATTCTTATTTAGGACTACTTATAAGTTAGCTGTTTAAGGTTATCCTCTACCTTATAGGTAGGATAGAGGGCGAGGCGCCTAATAAGTATATAGGCAGTGGATATACGGACACAATTGGCCTATAAAAGTTAGAATTAATTCTAAATTAATTCTAGATTAATTTAACTTATAAAGCTATTAGGGAGCTAGATAATAGGCTAGGGGGGAGGAACTAGTATTACTACCTACGCCTAGGCGAGAAGAGCTTACTAGCGCACTAGTAGAATAGCCTAAGTATAGTGTACATCTATAATATTACCCCACTAGACTAGAATTAATTAGGAATTAATTCTGTATTAATTCTTATTATATATACGCATTTCGTTTATTTAGTGCTAGCTAGAGGGCAGGCTAACTCTATAGCTAGAGGGCGAAATCTTCTCCTATCCATAGATACGGATAAGGTGGTTAATAAGATTACCTTACTTTAAAAATTTGCGCTGCATTTATTAGAATTAATTTAGAATTAATTCTAGATTAATTCTTACACTATAGAGACGTCTGTTGCTAATGTCCTCCCAGTAGTAAGCCTTACTAAGGTAGATAATAGGTAGGTTATCTTCATCCTTGCTCCATAAGCCAAGGCCTATAGGTAGGGTGGGGAGGGCGTAGTATGCCTTATAGTTAGCCTAAGAATTGATTTAGAATTAATTTACAAATAATTCTATTAATACTTATATTTCTATCAAGAGTTATAGACACTAGGTTGTTAGCTATAGTAGGCAATAAGGCTGTGGAATTTAGCTTACAGGATAAATTAATTCAGAATCGATTCTCTATTAATTCGTGCGTGCTAAGTCGCTTACCTTAGCGCCCGCACTGACGCTCTTGGCATGCCACCTCTGGGCGCGCGCATGGTCACATGGCCTGCCGCCTGGCACAAGCGAGAAAGAGCAGCCTGATCGTCATGGGAAGGCGATAACAGCGCAGATCTTCAGATCTCGTCCTCAAGACGTCACATCTATACATTTCTCTTCTCTTCCCTTCTTTCGGAACATATCTACCAAACACTCAAACTAAGCATACCCTGTACAGCAACCTACAGCCTACGTGCACAATGTCCCTCTCCTACTTCAACGTCAAAAAGTTTCGCCGGCAGTCCAAGCAAGAACCAACTGAGGACACAGTCGAAAAAGCCGTTGATGCCGCGGTCGGCAAGCCAATATCATCACCACCAGCGCCAGCGATGAGTACTCCTAGCGAAGAGCCCGCCGCCTCGCCGGTCCTCGACGAAGAAGATGAGAAGTTCCTTGCACGCCTAGCTGCCATCGCTCAGGAGCCTGAGGGCCCGCGACCACCGCTTCCTTCGCGACCTGCCGAAGTGGTCGAAAATGGCGAAAAGAAAACGGGAAGGGATGCGCAGCAGGCGTTGATGGACGGTGCGGACAAAGTGCCGCTACCTACGAGTCCCCCGGAGGTCACTGTGTCGGATGCGGATAAGGAAGGCCTTGGCCGGAAGAAGAGCGTAATGGGCTACTTCGCTCTCGCACAGGCACGCTTCAAAAAGGCGACAGACAAAAAGGATGCAGACGGCAAGGACAGTAAATCCAAGGAGAAGAGGAAATCCACCATCACACCTAAGGACAAGCAGAAAGCAGCCGATGACCTCCTCTCCGCTGCAGCAGCCGCAAAGACCGAAGAGCAAAAAGAAAAGGAAAAAGAGGAACAGGATCTGGCGGCTATCCTCGACGACCTCAACCTCTCCGCCGTGAACAACCGTGTCTTCTCCTTTAGCAAAGAGTCTGAGGAACTCTTCAACAAATTCACGCTTGTCCTCAAAGACATCATCGCCGGCGCGCCTACCGCGTACAACGACCTGGAAAAGCTGTTCAAAGATTACGACGAAAATCTCAAGAAGATGTACGGCAACCTCCCGCCGTTCCTGCAGAACATGGTCAAGAGCCTTCCAGCCAAAATGACGGCTGCGCTTGGGCCCGAGGTTCTCGCTGCGGCGTCCGAGAAGCCTGGCTTCGACGCAAAGCAGAAGCAAACCTGGCAGGAAGGCGCGAAAACCTACGCCAAGAAGAAGGCGAAGCAGAAAGCGAAGATTCCCAGCTTGAAGAGTCTGCTGTCCGCTGAAGGTGCGGTGGCTACTATGCTGCGCAGCATTCTAAACTTCTTGAAGCTGAGGTTCCCGGCTATCTTGACGGGCACGAACATCCTCATGAGTTTAGCTGTGTGTCGTAAGTCATCCTTCCTCCACCTATTTATACAGCAGGCATGAAGCTAATACGATCCAGTCCTCCTCTTCGTCTTCTGGTACTGCCACAAGCGCGGCCGTGAAACGCGTCTAGAGAGTCAAGAAAAGGACCGTCTCGCTGCTGAAGGTGGTGACTCTAATCTCGCTAGCAGCGCTTCCTCCCTCGCCTCGGCGGATGATTCAATCTTTGCTTCTAATTCGAATCTGAGGAACAACGGCGACTCGAGCCGGCAAGGTGCGGCGCAACAAGAGGAAACACCCCAACCACCGCTAGTAATCTCAGACGAACGTGGCCAGGATGCGCCGCGAGCAACAGTGGAGGATATGCCGAGTGTGAAGGATTTGCCGTCGCCGTCTACTAGGTAAGAAGTGATGAGGTTGAGGTGTTTTATCGGTTTGTTGGTTTGCTGGTTTGTTGGTCTGTTGGTTTGTTGGTTTCAGAATGATATCCCCTATAATTTAGGTAGATCTTTGTAATGCACGAGCAACGTAGGTAATGAGCACAACATAATGACAGTTCACATGATCGAGAAGGAACTGTATCGCTCACACGGCGGTACTCATGTGTTGATGTTTCGTTTGGAAATCGACATTGAAGATCGTACCAGAGCGATGATGGACACACACTCCTTCCTCCTCTCCCCCCATATGGCACTACAGGCGCGTGCACGACAGCGCCTTCCCCAGGTACAATCCTCGCGGTGTCCTCCCTTCCTCTCCATAGATCGAAGGCTCTTGGAGATGACAAAGCAAGATGGGGCTCGAGCAACAGCTTGAGTGTGCCGGTTCTGGCGCCTCATACATCAAGATACATGCGGAGCAATAAGCGAGACAGTAAGCCATGTTTTTAAATACAGAAAAGGGCCTGCTTTTAGTGCTAAATGCAGACTCAGCAGATACGAGCACTTCCTGTACTATTGGCCAGTGTTTGGAATCATTGGTATGGGCTGTTGGGGGATATCCCAATAATCAATGCAAGATGACGAACTTCATCCATCTGACAATAGATTCTCGCTCTAGGTGCCTGGAACTCACAATGCACTCGTCGGTACAAGGCAGAACAAACCAGCTTGAAGACATCTCCGAAAGCTCTGGTGGCATGCGGAGCACTGACAGTTTCGAAATTCTGACAGCTACAAATATCGAAAACACTGTACAGGTTTTCGATATGTGAAATAGATGATTGATTTTGAACAAGCAGCATCTTGGATCCAAAATACGAAGTAGATACCGCATTTTCGACCAACCCACGTCAAACAAAAGTACGTCAAGCAAAAGTTGTTTTTGTGGTCGATTTTTCACTTTGATTTGCTGCGCTGAATTACACCAGTCCGACTCATTAAAGCTTACCGGTGAAGATCCTCCCGGGCTCAGAGGGCCAAGTCTCCTGTGCCGTATACGCTGATGCGTTGGAAGGGCGTGCCATCATGCTTTGTCCAGGGTGATTGTCCCGGGGCAAATAGATCACCATCTGAGACGCCTTGGAATGCCCCGGTAAACGGCGGGAGCCACGAACTTAGCGAGATGTCGGCCTCTTTGCTGGTCCATGTCTGTGGAAGTACGTCAGGGTCCCAGCTTGCGCTGGTCCTTGGCTGCACACGTTTCAACAGCGAAAATGAAGGCTACGATCCAGTTATGGTAGGAGAATTCAACCATTACCTTGTGCAAAACGGTATGACTGGAGTTCAATCTCCTAGGGCGGCCTTGTAACTAGCAGAAGGGCACTGATGCCCCAGCTAGTGGACGTAAGTCCGTTATCTACCTACCTGCTCTTGTCAATGAACAGGCAACAATGGCTATATGGATGTCCTCAGACTAAGACGATTGTGTTGGGGTACTTCTATCCCTTTGTGTTTTACGATTGATTGCTCTAATTCGATCTGCGTGCAGGTTACCCTTAAAACAATGATCCCACATCGAGCTGCAACCCATATGGTGAACACGCCTCCAATAGGCCGCGACAATCCTCACTCTCCTCCGTCTCCTTGCAAGCGCTGTCACCTTCGCACTCTTCTACCTCCCTCGTGGGCCCTCAGGCTAGTATTGCGACGATTACGGCTTCGACCTCACGAAGTGCGACGTCCACATTGTACAACGGATTCCGCATATCTTGTCTCCCTGGGCGCGCCGCCGCTCCTGATTGGGTAAATTTTGTTTGTGGTAGGGCTCGGACCCACGACGTGCGCCGGTCCTCCATCAAGACGAAGGCGGCGTCTGCGTCGCATGTGGACGAGATGAGGAGTATATTCTCGGTCACCTCACTGTCCGGCCCCTACTTAATCGAAATGGTAAGGCCTCATGGGTGAGATGATCTTGCGCGGTCTTGAATATGGCCGTACTTCCGCCTCGCCACTCTGTTTCGGGTATTGCTAATATCCGCTCCTCTCTAACCCTTCTCCTCAAACACTAACAGCAGTATCCAGCCCACTACCTATCCAATTAGCTTCCACCTACCCAATTCAACGGGGCAGCAAGACTAACGTAGCAATCACTTCGATCCCAGCAATTCTCCTCCTTGCAGCAGTACCGCGAATGCAGCTCATTGTACGTCGCTCCCAATTCCTGCTCCGCGTACCCGGTAGTAGGTGGAATGGAACTTGCTGTGACGCTTACTGCGAGCATTACCAGAGTAGAGAGTAGAAAATTGGGGAGCTGCATTTCAAAGGCAGCAGGCGGCGTCGCGGGCGAAATTGAGTTGGACTCGGTCAGGGAATTACGAGGGCTACGAAGGCATGCTAATAGAAGTGCAACATGGCTTTGATAGTCGAGAGAAGGAGAGAAGGTGGTATACAAAGTTTGTGAGGGTGAAGAGTGTACGAAGTTGCACAAACGACATGCAAGAGCGGCGCGGAGTCGGGCCCCGAGTACAGCAGGCAACTTTTATATATTTCGGGCCTTTGAGGGAACTAATATGCGATCTGGATGTGCTAATTCTGCATATTCCTATGCGCGGAATAAAGAGGGATAGAACCGAAGAGGCATGGTACTTCACGAAGTAGGGCATGTGGGAACTGAATCACATAAGCACATCAGGCAGCAGCCTCTGGCATGTAGAAGGTTGCAGCGTGTTCCAAGACCACATTACTTGATCCCTATACCAAAGACCTAAGACCTAACTACCTTAATTCAAGTCAGGCCATCCCACGGCTGATTGAAATTGCAACAATTGCTAAAGGCCGACTCGCATGAGCAGCCAGACGCATGCCGTTCAGCCATTGGTAAGATCATAACTATCAGGACATCGCAACGTGTTACACCTAGGTAGGGGTTTAGGCTTACTGCAGCTATTCCTACTGCCCCGACGACCCACCCCGCTCATTATACAGCGCCATATTTGCGATTTCTAGTTGCACTCTCAGGGTCTCGTTCTCCTCGTTCTTCTTTTCGACCTCCTTGGTCCGCGAAGAAAGCACGTACCGCAAAGTGCTGATCTCTCTGCGTAACTGATCGAGCTCCGACTCTTCCCCTTCCGGTCGCTGCACGTTCTCTAGCGCGGAGTTACACTGCGCTATCAGGCCGGGATCGATCTGCGCGAAGCCGCCTCGCTCCTCATTGCCGTTATCTTGGGAAGTCGGGTACTGACGAAGACTGGACTGGGCGTGCAGAGACACTTCCGCATCCGACGGGTTATTTTCCTCATCGTCAGAAATCGCGAGATTCTCGCCTACTTGTTGACCGGCCGCCTTCCGCGTGCGCTTAATTTGTGCTCGGATGTTGTAGACGTCGCGCTTGAAAATTTGGATGCCGGGGAGCTTCCCTTCCAAAATCTTGACCGTGCGGCCGACGCCGCGGTCGGGGCCTTGACCCGCAACACCTTTGCGCAGCATCTCGTGCTCGATAATTTTCCATACAAGACCCCCACTTTCGAGGCTATGACTTGCGTTCCGGTCATCGCGACCTTGTAGCGTATTGTGGCTCTCCTCGGGCCGGACATCGTCGCCATGGCCTTGATCAACGCTGCGCATCCGCAGCTGTTCCCGCTCTTCCAGGGCTGTCACGCCGCCGGTGCCTACGCGGCCTCCCTGTACGCCCCACGTCCTCTTTCTCTGTACTGCCCACCCTTGAGTGTCCCTTCCCTCATGATTATGCGCACCTTCGCCAACCCTTAACACCCAAAGGCCATCCTCGCCCTTTCTCGCCTCGATCCACATCTTGCACCCCGTCTTGTAGCTCACTCTGTTCTTGCGCACCCTTGTCTCGGGCGTCAGTTTGTGCGTATTCTTAGGGGCGCCGTAGCACACACATGCGAGTTTTATGCGGGACCGGTTCTTTGCGGTGGTGTTGATGGAGAGGGCGTAGCCGTGAGCCGAGGCGTGCGTTTGCGCGTAGGTGTGGAGCGCTTGCCAGGTAGTATGTGTAGAAGGTAGAGGTGGAAGCATGTCGAAATGGCCTGGAGGTGCGGTATTGGGCGGTATGGGAGGTGGTGCAGCTATCGTTCTGAATTCGGAGGATGTGGAGGGTCCGGTGAAGTCATGGGACTCATGGTGTGCAGCTGTTGAGGCCGGGACATGAAATGGTCGGCTAGATTCGGGTGACAAGTTCAGATCGAGACGTATGCCGTCATGGTCTGTGTGTGCGTGCTGTGAAGGTAGTGTGTGATGTTCCGGCGGTGATGATACGCCAAAGTTGGAGGTGTTGTGGTCGCCGACGGGGTCGCCATGATGGAAAGCGGGATAAGAAGATGCAGCACCAGTAAGGTCATGCGGTAGAGAAGCGTATGCGTCTTCAGGGATCCTGTGTGAGGTGTGGGAGTGGAGAGCAGGCCGCATTGTGGTCAACATGGAAACCAGCCGCTCCGGATCAGATGTAGATTTGGAGCGACGTCGACTCGAGTGAAAAGCGCTAAATTTAAGGTTATTTTAGCGCGCATGTGCAACCGTCTCCACTCGCTCGTCCCGCACATCATCAGCGCAATAGCTGCCACCGCCAATTGTATCTAGCACTATTCTACACTGCGGTCATGTAACGGAATGAACGGAAAAAGTTCCAAGCGGAGTGTAGCTGGGACTCACTCTTGTTCAGCTGTAATGCTCACGACTGGGTAGTAACCGCCCTGGTTGATCCTTCATGCCAGAATACTATGTCGGCATTACTCGAAGGTATAACTGCCCGAACTAACCTGAGCATCTTTACAAAAACGCTCTGGGAACTTTGCAGCCACAATCAAGCTGCCAAGTCTCACATAATCCAACACTGGTTTAGGATCCGGTGCCTGGGAGTGAACTCGGGGCTGGAAAGCTGGTGGTGTGGGCTGGACAACAAAATTTAAGGGTAAATTGGAAGGGATGATGCGAATATAACGCGACGGACACGCTTGCAGGTATTTGTTCCGGCATTGCAGGACAGAAAGGACATGCATAGACACTCTCATTCTCTCCCTCCCTGTCTTCCCTTCTCCTTGGTCTTGTTCCCTTTCCATCCACAGATTATTCATTCTTCGCCATGCGTTCAAACTATCTGTTTTTGGAGCGCATAGGAGGGGAGCACCACATTCAGCTGAGGTTCTCGAACCTACTGAGTAGCAAGTGGAAGAAGAACAGAGAGCTGATTAAGGATCGTCCGCTTCACTAAGAAAGCTCCATGTTAGACATGGAATCCAGGAAAATGCTTTCTGACTTTTCGGAATGAAGAGGGCATATTGAAGGAAACTGTACAATTCGCTTTGGAAATTTATGTTGTGTATGAAAGGGACAGTAGACTAAATATGAAGTAAATAAGTCGTCTGTCTTGAGAGCGCGATCCCGCAAATGAATTATGGCGCACTACTTTGGAAAGAGGAGAGGCGAGCACCACATCGTCAACAGCACATGTGTTCCATCGCTAGTGTGGCCCGAGGAGACGGGGTCACGAAAAAAACATGACCTTTCCTAAGAGCTGAGTTTGGAGAAGAAGGGAGTTCGCTCCGCGCACATGGCATGAAGCCTTCTCCTTTTTTAGAAACTCCAAGGCGGACGTTTCATTGTCGATATCGGAATCACTTTCGATAGCTCTGAAAAGAGTTGAAGAAAGAGAGGCGGGTCCGGCACATATAGCGCTGATGCCTTTTAGTTTTGAAGCAGACTTGAAGCCGCAGATCATATAGCTGGTCCAGTATTTTGCAACCGCCGAAGGAAAGGTACCGTATGAGCTGGCATTAAACATCATTCTTCGAGAACGAAGCATAAGAACACGGCCAGTACCTGTGTATATGAGCAACTGATCAGTCCTCTTGAGTAGAGTCCTTTGAGCCCATGGCACAGGTCCTTCGTATCTTAGAAAGCACGCGATGATCGACAAATCGATTGTATCTTCGATTTAAGGCCTATCCGAATTTCCAGGAATGAAGAAGGCCACTATCAACGCATGAGTCTGGTATTCGCAACATTTCAAGCAGAGCTCGCTCAGACATGCGATCGTGGAGCGTTTCTTCTAGCACAGCGAACCAAGCACCACATGAAGGTACGCGTTCAGGTTCTTTTGTACCCTCTTCAGTGGATACAGAAAAGGAAAGCCACCACAAACGCTTGGCTTCCACGTTCATTAATTTCGGGCGAGTCCTGCTCTTAGCATTATCAGCAAACATCTGTAATCTAGAAGCACAATGAGGCAAACACCCCATCAATGCAACTGCTTTCTTACTTCTTTGCGCATTGCTCAGTGAGCATCAAGGAAGAACACTGCAACGAGCACGTGGAAGTCTACGATACCGACTTGAGCGGAGGCCACTCACACCTTCACATTCTGACGCTTTTTTTTTGTGAAGTTCAATGTTGATTGGAAGGCAGCACACATATGGTGCGGTTGATGTACCATTGATTGCTTTCGAACGCGGAGAGAAAGACGACCAGCACTTGCACCTTCTGATGGTTTGGAGCAGATATCGCCGGCCGGCGTCATGTGCACATCGAGAGGCTTTTGAAAGCGCCACAGCAGACAGCTGTCCAATTCTGATGGCGACATGGAAGGGAGAAAAAGAACCCATCTTGTCCTTCCAAGCTCTCTTTAAGAGATCGCTCACACATGGTATGTATTGCTTGCCTTTTTAAAGCACCACCAAAGACAGTCACCTCAGCGAACGTATGCCAGGCAACTTTAGTCTCCTCTAGATGCCAACGTAATTTCTTCTACTTCTCCTCTTCTTGAATCCTTGCTTCCTCCCCGCACGTGTAGTTACGCCGCATGTTTTTGAAGCGCCACAAGAGTTACCTGATTGTGCGTTGTACATAAGTTTTGATGCGCTAGAAGTAGGTTTGTATGTGGTATTAAGGCTCTACCGAGGTATGCTGCCTGAGCATAATGCTTGGGTGGCAAGAGGGTGGAGGAAGGCGAGCGGATCGTGATGATGACGTGTATGGGACTTTGGAGAAGACGACGTGTTTCGGACATGCGCCTGTTAGAGTGGATTTCGGGAAGACGGAAACGGCTTCCATATGTAGGTCTTCCAGAACGTTTGGTAGAAGGGCGAAGAAGGCAAAAATCACTTGAAGTGGTTCCGCTTCAAGTCTGGTAGCTCTACTGGGCTTGAGTCGTGTGGAGAGCAAGCACCGCGGGAAGAGGGCAGGTTATATATGTCGCCGACCTGTATCTGAAGTGCTTTTGGAGTCTCGAAACACAGTATATTCTGACCTGCGCTGGTAATCTAGATACAAGCATGTAACAACGCCAACGCCGCGATGCAATATGTACAAGTGGACCCTTGCCATGATTATTTCTACAGCTTAGATTCACTCTTCCTGAACTCCTCCTCTAAGATCATCCCCACCGGACCACCCCTCGACCCATCTCCTGCCCACAGTTCCTCCGGCACCCTCTCCTCCGGCCATCTCCACCTCTCTTTGAACTCTTCCGGCGTCCGTCCCTCCACACATTCCAGAATACTATCTCCAATGACAGGCAAGAACTTGAATCCGTGCCCGCTGCCTCCGGTCGCCACGAACAAGCCTTTGTATTTGGGGTGGTATGTGATGAGGAAGTCGCCGTCGCGGGTATCGGTGTACCAACATATCCGTGTAGTAGTGAATGGGCGCGATGGCACGGCGAGAGAAGGATGTATGGAGTGGAGGAAAGCGTTGCACGCGCGGCGGCCTTCAGCAGGGATGATCAGGTTGGGGTCGGTGACATGTGTATACGGCAATGACACAGTGATCGTCTCTTTGGGGTCTTGTGATTCGGGATGGGGGATAGTAGTCGGGTTTAGATATCCGTGACCGTGTCTGGCAATCTTCAGTTTCCCCCTGCTCGGCGGTATCATGAAGAGCGCGTTGGACAAGTTCAGGATTACGGGGCGGCTCGCGATTGCGGCTTCTTCTTCGGCGGATATGGGCTTGTAGCATACGACCTGCCCTGTGGATTTGCAGATGCCGCGCAGATCGATGAGGGAGGCAGACCAAGCACCCGCAGCGAGGATTGTAAGATCCGCGCGGAGTTCTGAGCCGTCGCTCAAAGTGGCGCCCGAAACGGTGTTCTTCTCAAAATCGAACAGTAGCTTTTTGACCGGTGCAACTACGAAGTCCACCCTGTTGAACTTGTCCACCTCGTTCCGCAGCCAGACCATCGCGCCTTCCGCATCTGCCCAGCCTGAACTCCGGTTCACGTATCCCGTGCTGCCACATGCATCGTCCTCACTGCGCCCTAATCCGCAAACTCTTCCAATATCTTGCGCCGAGTCCAAGACTTCTATCTTGTCGAGCCCAATATTTTGTACGTTGGCTAGGGAATCGCCTACATATCGCTGCTCTGGGCCGGATGCAGTTAAGCAGAGACCTGTCTCATGGTAGTGCTCGGGGGCGAAATCGGTGCGCCAGCGGTTCTGCGCAATGGTCGCAAGGCGTGCGTAGGGAGCGGCGGCGTAGTCAGGGCGGATGATGCGTGAAGAATCGACCTGCACGATATGAGCATACAATCAAGGGTCGGAAGCTGCGATCTGAGCCGCGATAAGATATCAAAGCTGTGGTCCAATGTACGGGGACTGAGCTCGAATCGTGAATTCATCTACTCACGCTTGAGCCATCCGTGGAAGGGAACGAATTCCTGTCTACTACAGTAATAGAAGTGTTTCTGTATTGGGGATTCCTGCAGAGTGCCCAGGCAGTGGACAGGCCAAAAGCACCACTTCCGACGATAAGCACGGACGATGGGACATCAAATGAGGTCGTGGACGCCATGATGCAGCATCAGGTACATATGGTAAGTGCTATGAATAAGTATATACAAGACGAAGGAAAGGTAAACACACAGTGGGTGTCCAGATGATTGAGACTTTTGGCAAGTGCTCAGGCCACCCAAGAAGTCTTATTTACTTTGACACCCACTGTGACACAAAATTCTAGACTTGCCCTCGTTGGTCTGATAGAAAATGCGGAGAAGCCGATATCGCGCAAAGGGCGCGTTCGCTCTCGCGGCGGCTCTTGCCGGTATAAAAATTCGAGCCCTGGAAGTTCGGACTTAAGCTTGAGCACGGACCGCCTCGGCAGACCCTGCGAGGAAGCATTCGATGCGAACAACAACTCTAATTGAACATCTACGTCGCTTGTCACAAAACTGTCTCGGCTTCAGTTGCGTCGAGATGGCCAAGCTACCCAAGGTACCGAGACGAATACCACCGAAGCCGCGCGGGGCGCCTACACCTCCCCCGCGATCACGACCGCAGTATCCAGGCCCCCGTGCCAGTCCACCTCATCCCACACCGAAAGAAGCGGCGAAGCGAGTATGGGAGGAGCGCCCGCGACTATCAGATATTCGCATGCTATCCGAGGAGCAAAAGCGCGCACCAACATATATAAACAGAGTCCAGCGATGGCGACAGATACCCATCTTCCTCGGAGGGCTGACAGCCTTTGGCTTGGGACTCTACGGCGTCCAACTCTACTATTCGATTTCCAATGCCGAAGCCCCTGAGAATCTACCCGAGGACTTCATCGACCGTTTCGACAAAGAGGCAGACGGCTACGATGAGAAGGTCAACATGGCGGAAACGCTGCTCCTGCTCAACAAGCGGCGGAAAGACATGACCAGGAAGGCGCGAGGCCATGTACTGGAAGTCGCTGTGGGTACGGGAAGGAATATTCCGTTTTACCCGACCAAGCAGTGCGCCACGGTGACGTTGCTGGATTACAGCGCGCCAATGCTGGCGGTCGCGAAGAGGAAGTGGAAAGATACGCATCCAGAGTACTTCAGTCGTGTCTTCTTCAAGCACCAGTCCGCACTTGAACCCATAACGCCGCCGTTCGACGCGCAAGAGGGATACGATACTGTGATCCAGACGATGGGCATATGCTCAACGCCGGATCCTGTGAGACTGTTGCATAACCTGGAAGCTGCGACCAAAGAGGACGGCGGGCAGATATTGCTTCTCGAGCACGGCAAGTCGCACTATCAATGGCTCAACGATCTACTTGATAAAACTGCACCGAGTCATGCCGATGCTCATGGGTGCTTTTGGAATAAGGACATTGGGGAGATTGTCAACGAAAGCGGTCTTGAGGTCGTCAACATGAAGCGATACAATCTCGGCACAACGTATTGGATAGAGCTTCGTCCAAGGAAAGGCAGGGGCTACAAACAAGCGCCGTCAGTTTCCCATGCGGGTGTCGATGGGAATGTGGAGGCAATTGTGTCACCTACATCCGAGCCAGTGGTTCCACAGCGGCCGTGGTGGTCACTCTGGAGCTGAGCTCTCGCTGCTTGCTAGCCGCGCAGCTGCAACCAGCAACAAAAGGAAGCCTGCATGCACCGGAAACAACACATTTCAATTGTACACTACGCGATACATACCTGCGGAGACAGCTCCATTGAGCTGTTTTCGACTTCGTGGGGAAGATGTGGATGAGGGGCAAAGCGCCCCGATGAGAACATTATTACAATCAAGCGAGAGAGATCTTAGATCTCCTCCACAACCCAACCAATAATGAAGCCACTAATTGGGCGGACTGCCCACCACTTGCTCAATACGACCCAGTACCGCCGTTTGCGCGGAGGCTGCTGATAGCTTCTGATTATGGCTCACACCACGGCAATGGAACACAGCTCAAGAGAAGACGGGAGACAGCGCATGCAGTGGCTTACCTCCTGGCGGAGGCCTCCCTGTAGCTGACATGCATGACTCGCCTTCTCTTTGTCTCTCGCTCTCAATGGATGCGTAGCAGACAAACGGCGCGCTGGTCCAGAGCTTCGTAAAATCCGAAGGTCGCCAGCGGAGCTGCACCCGCATCCGAAGCGTGCTGGTAGCTCCTGGTGCGCGCGACACGGTTGACCTTCCCACACGCACTTCCCAACCCCACAAATCTGACGATGCAAGCAGGCGCCTTGTGTGATGCAAGGCGCTCAATGGGGAATGGATGGGCGGCGATTCGCAAGGGGTAACGAGTGGGCTCGCGTGCGTTGTCATAAGCGATGGATGCACCGGCTCGTGAAACAAGGATCCTGGCAGCTTTCCAGAACAAGACGCAAGGAGCTGGCCGTTTCGGATGGCGTTAATCGCACCGCTGCTGTCCCTCGCCATGAAAGACGCGGACGGTGCGCTTCCGTGCGTTCATGCTCGGGAGTGCGCATGGCTTGTCGCCTTCCACAGCATGTGTTACGGAAGAAGTCGGCATATGCGGCGCCGTTTGCGGTGGGTAGAGCCGAGGAGCCAGCTGATTTTTAAAAATCTCTAGCAGAAAAAAGTTATAGCTCACCGCCCGTCGTCGACCCGGCACGGCGTTCAGGGCTAAATTATCCAAAGCCTGGCTGCTAGACAGGCCACCCCTGTGCAGCCCAAGATCGAGAGGATGCAACACCAATATCATCACAGCTGGCGCAAACCTGCCTGTCTGCATGTCCGAGGCGGTCAGCGTACCGATCTCCACGGCCTCCTCAATCTGGAGGATGGAAGTGACGCCATGCTCGGCAGGTTGGTGCTGCTGCCAGACGTCTCATTCAACTAGGGCCATGATGTGATAGAGGTCGCCGTGAAGTAATGACAATGCCCCTCAGCGGACGCCAGCAGCGACGGGCGCATACGTAGACATACTACTGTGCAGGTACTGCGTGCTAGCGCAGACGGGTGCAGCTTCGGAGACGACAGCTCGTGGGCGCCGTATCGATAGAGGCGCATGGGATAGAAAGTTTGGTGTCTTGGAGTGCTTTTGGGCCGTCTAGCCACACTCCGGTGAGCCCTGCCAATCACAGCTGGCCCGTTCAACGCCAACAGCCTCTAAAAAAGGATGCTGTCATATCTCGGTCCATCCAGTCAGGACATCCCTGAAATACATTCACTGCGCACGGCCTTCGTCCCTCTTCCTCTTGAAACCCTCCCGCTCCACTCCACTCCCTCATCTCTCACGACATCCCCTCCGAACCCATTCAGGGACCCAAAGTAATTCATCTGGGCTGCATACTCCTGTTGTCTGCCGTGATACGAAAACATCGCACGTGTAATCGTAGGCAGCACTCGGCGACTTTGTCGGCGTCGGCGCAATCCACTCAGGAGGCGACAGCAGGCTTCACCTGGACGTACTCATATACACACGACGGCTGGGCTGGTCGTGCGTCCCACCATCTTTATTTATTCGGCACACCAACTCTTGGGCTTGAGCAGGCAGAAGTCAGCGGTGGACGGTTCAGGCAAGGAAGGGCCACTGCAGCTGCATTCCGTGTCCAATCACAGCCACTGGTATTCCTAGCACAACAATTCGCATCCCTCGCCCACGAGATTCTTCCTCTCCCACAGCTGCCAGCAGTCTGTGTGCTCGCACACTTCGATAACTACATCACCATGGTGTCACAATACAACACCCGCAGGAAATCGCTGTCCTTGCCGTCGTTGGGCATCGCGCTCCCTGGACGATCCGCACGTTCTCCAACAACGACCGACAGCCAGCCCGTCGCAAAGAGGCAGAAGCGCTCACATTCCGGCTCGACATCCTCTTCACCGAACTCTCCGCCACGATTATCCACGTTACGCTTCGACGAGCGCCCCAAGACCAGCGCAGGCCGCGTGGCCAACACGCCGCCGCCGTCGCCTGGCGAGTCCAAGATCGATACCCAAGGCATCGATGATATTATCGTCGTCGGTGTGATCGAGCAGCTCGAGAAGACGGGTAATCGCCCCCATTTGCTCAAAGAACTCGCCACTGTCCTCTCCCCAATAATACCCATCGTTGAAAGGTACGTCAAAAGCTCATGCGCTAGCTTGCCTTTACGCACGCTGACGCGACACAGCTCCGCGAATCCTGCAGCCATCATCTCATCTCGCCTCGCGACGTACCTCAAGCGCAACTGGTCCGCGCTGTCACGGTGTCCGCTCGACAAGAAGCTCGTCGGCACCCACCCCAAGCGCGTGTACTACTTCCTCACCACCAGCCCGCACCAGCCCATACCGGAGGACGCAGGCAACATCCCCGCTGCTGCGCGCATCATCTCGCCGTCGCTTTCCTCGGCTGCATCTGACGACAACGATGCAGACTCGCATGCGCGCGATGTGAGGTCTCCCTCACCGGAGCTTGACCTCTCCGACTACGACGATGCAGCTAGCGATCCGTTCACTAATGCGACCCACCAACCTACGACCCACAACATCGCGCATAACCGACGTGCTCAGTCGCCGCCGTTGGAAAAGGACGAGCGCGAGTTCACACTGACGGCGTCATCATTGCAAGAGCGGAGGAGAAGTGCGCAGGCTGAGCGCGAGCGTTCAGCCAGCGCTACTGTTGAGAACATGCAGCCAGCCGACGTAACCATGGACGACATCCCCGAACTCGTAGAATCCGAGGAGAGTGCCGCGCGCAAGAACTCGGAGACTGCGGCTGCTTTATTTGGACAAATGCAGCATTCGACGTTCGACCCAGTGCTAGGCATCAGCAGTCCGCTTCTCAAGTCGTCGCTCAACATCGAGATGCCCCCGCCAGTCTTCAAGGCCGGCGAGTCGTGGTCTGGAAACGACGACGAGGAGTGGGCGCTGAAGAGCCCGGAGAACATCGAGCTCGATGAGCTTGACGACTTGTTTGGCAACTACTAGGTTGGACACAACATCACATCACACTAGAACGGAACACTTGCAGCACACGAAACCATTTGACGAATCTCTTTTTCACACTTTCCGAGGTGTTACTTTCAATTCCAATCCGTATTTCTACCTCTCTCAATCAACTAGTTTATTATTAATGGCGTCACTATCCTAGATGGAGCAGCGCGAGCAGGAGGATTGGATGGGCGAAGGTTGGCGTCTAGGTGCTGGATGGTTTATCTTGTCTGTACGATAGTGTGTTGGTTTATTGCTGACGCTATAGCGTCGACACTGGCTGTTTCTCTGGCGCAGATGAAGTTGGCATCACTCAGGTTGTACTCAGGTTGGCGCGAGTGCATTTTTCTGCGAAGACGGCATCAGAACAGAGAAAAGTGTTTAAATTGAAAAACAGTTTATATCCTCTACGTTCACTTTGCCCCACCCCTATTGCATCTTCCGGACTCTGAGCGAGGCTGCTAGGATCGCTCTCACCCGCGTCTTAGATGCGCCTGCCGTGCAGACGGCTGCACACAACGAGGCGGTCTGCACGAAAGCCAACATTCGAACACCGCTACTCTCACCCAATCACGACCAAGTCGCAAAGTAACCGCCCTCGAATGCTTCTTACGCTGTCTGACCTAGCGCGTACGTACAATCTAGTCCACAGCCAGCATTACTCCGTCGACTACTGCACTCGTTACAGGACGTACATGTTCCACACCGCAATGTACGGGCGACTTACAACCGCCTTTCTACCATGGCGCCCCACTATAGCCCGCATGTTAATCCAGACCAGCAAAGAGTCCATCGCTCCAGGTACATCTTTCTAATGCGATGCGCCCCACAACGCTGCTTCCGCAGATGCATCTCTACACCGGCCATCAAGCGCTCTTTGTGTCGCCAGCTCACCGGCGCCCAAAGGGTGATCCCGGTCTCTACGCTTCGCTGTCTTGGCGACGTCTCCAGAACCTGCTGCGCAATGCGCTCTATGTGCGATGACTTGTGTTTACAGCCAGACCGCCTCCATCGCCGCGACGACGCAGACAACGACGGGTCTGGAGACATTCGTCACGAGTGACCCTGTCCGAACTGTTTGTGGAGAGAGAAGGACCAGAGTGAGGCGTGGCTGGAGACTCCCAGCCACCAGCGAAGCACAAGCGAGGATCGCCGCGAACTTGACGCCCAGCGGCCCAACTCATGTGAGATTTCGTGCAGCGCGGTTGCGTCCGTACGATACACTCCTTTTGCTGTCTGCCCTTTTCGCTCCTTACATATGTTGTGGCAGCGCGTTGCTGGGTGTTCAATCGACTAGTGTGAGGCTTGCGCTGTGCCTCCGTTGGTTGACGCAGGGTCTTAGTGCGACGACTCCAATTGCCGAGGCTGGGAAAGAGCTGGAAACGAGGGTTGGGACGGTGAAGCAAAGCACTGGGAAGAGCCCGAAAGAGTTCGGGACTCTGGAAGAGCTGCGTGTGTGTCTGCTGCAGGGCGCGGGTGCAGGCGCTGTTGTGCATGTTGGCCGGCCCGTTCCGCACGTGGTTCTATTTGCGGAGTATCGACTTCATTCAACATCGCATGCAATCAACCTTCTGCAGTGTGGACATCTGGCGTCGAAGTAAGGTTGAACAGCGCTACCATCTAGTCGCACGTGGGTCTCCACAGAGAAGGAGCCAGCCAAAAGTCGACTACACACCCACCGCAGCATCCACATCTGGTAACGGCCTACCAAGTACGACTCCCCACGGATCTCCACGGTGGATTCCTCGGACAGCAGTGACTCGGGGTACTTCCCCTCGCCCGAATCAGACAAGGAGAAGAAGAGAAGGAACCGTGCCTCGATGTCACAAGCACCGTCAAGAGCAAGGAGCCGCAGCAGGGCGCCCAGCAATGCGCGAGGCTCCGCACCCATTGTCGTCCCCGTCCCGCCAAAGCCTCCGCTGGAAATCGTCCTTCCTGCCTCTCCAAGGCCACGCAGCAGAGGCCCCATGTTCGTCGATGCGCCGGGTCTCAGTGGGGGCAGAGGAATGTTCAAGCGCCTGATCGTTGCCTGTGACGGGACGTGGTTGAACAGCGATAACGGCATGATCAATGGAAAATTATCGATTCCCAGCAATGTGACCCGGATATCAAGAGCTATCAAAGCAGTAAGCCAAGACGGCATTCCTCAAATTGTAAACTACCACTTCGGGGTCGGATCTCAAGGCGGGCGACTGAATCGCATCATTTCCGGCGCCACGGGCGAGGGGCTTGGCGATAATGTACGAGAAGCATACTCCTTCCTCGCGAACAACTATCACCCGGGCGACGAAATTTTCCTGCTAGGGTTTTCAAGAGGATCATTCACTGCGCGGGCTATTGGAGGCTTGATAAGCGAGGTGGGCTTGTTGACGAAGAAGGGACTCAATGCGTTGCCGGAGGTATTTGAAGACGTACAACATAGACGAGATCCGAAATACGTGCCCAAAAATCCGGATATGCCGTTTCCGCACAAGCCGAGTGCAGACAGTCCGCGGTATGCGGATGAGCTTGAACGACGGGGGCTCACGAGGCTGGATATCAGGATCAAAGTAATCGCCGTTTGGGACACAGTCGGCAGTCTAGGCACCCCACGCTTCAACTTCCTGCAGAAGCTGGGCTTGCAGACCGCGGAATCGAAGGAGATGAGCTTCTACGACACAAAGCTGAGTAATTGCGTAGAAAACGCCTTTCAAGCGCTGGCTTTGGATGAGAAGCGGAGTGCGTTCAGCCCAGCCGTGTGGGAAAAACCGCCCGGGAATAAAACCACGTTGAGGCAGGTCTGGTTTCCGGGCGTGCATTCGAATGTAGGCGGTGGCTACGACGACCAGCAGCTTGCGAATATCACGCTTGCGTGGATGATGTCGCAATTAGCGCCATTTCTCGACATGCGCGATGAGTACCTCTTCGAGCTGGAAGAGGAAAATGAAAAGTATTACAGGCGAGAAGGCCAAGACATCCGCCCATGGTCATTTGGCGAAATCTACAACTCCTCAACGGGCATCTACGCGGTAGGTGGTAGCTCGGTACGTCACTTCCCACCCTTCACACCTGTCTTTCCACATTATTGACAATTCACAGCTCCGCACCCCAGGCCACTACATGGAGTGCGACCCTTTTACCGGCCGCCCCACCGACCGCCCTCTCCAATACACCAACGAATACATCCATGCCTCAGCCCGCACGCGCACCCGCCTCGGCGGCCCTGGTGTTTCCGACAAGTCCATCTACGAGTGTCCCGCGCTGACACAAAACTACCGCCTCGTCGTCGAGTACCCGCCCGGCCCAAACACTGACCCTGATATCCACTGGAAACTGAAGTGGAAAGATCCGTTAGCGGTCAAAATCCTGCCTGAGGCGCCGCTGTGGGGCATAGAGAAGGAGCTATGTAGGAGGGATCCCGAAACGTATGATTATGCGAAGAGGCCGCCGGCGACGAAGAAAGAGAAGAAAAAGTCGAGACCGATGTCGGCTAGCGTGGCTACCCCCAATGTCCGCTCTAGTAGAAGGAGTTTCACAGAACCCGGGGCGAGAGGTACGGCGGTGTTGGAGAAGAAGGAGAGGAGGAATAAGAGTAAGGTGCGTACTGCCGAGTATGAGAGGGGTGGTGTTGGGGGAAGGAGTAGAGCAGGCAGTTTCGACGAGAGAAGTACGGTTATCAGGGAGAACATGCCGCATCGGAGGGAGAAGGGTAAAGCGTGGTGGGAGGGACAAAGGAGTCCGGCGCCCCCTGAGGACTTCGGTGGGGGCAGGAGTCCGAGGAGGAGCAGTATGAGAATTTGAGCGCGGCGGTCGCGCTGGGCGTGTGTGAACCATGGGTGCATTGGCGAGCTGATGGACTCTCAATAAGCAAGAGAAGGGAGAAACAGGGAAGCAGGAACGGCTTTGGCCATTTTCGTGATGTAGGATAGATAGACTTTTCAGTGAGCGAGCGGATTGGATACCCTTTAGCAATGCATAGCGTGGCACTTCACCTAGGTTGACTTCCTCCGTACTGTTTAGTGCTCAAAAGCATGCGTATATGCTGTGAATTCTCAGATCGCGTGCGGGTAAGCGCGTCATGATGCTAAAGTAGGCTGCAGAGTTTAGTGTTGCCGGGTGCACAACGTACTTATAGCTACTTCTTCACACCCGACCTCGGGACCGATCTATTCGTTTTTGTCCACTGCCAGACTCATTCCTGCAACTGGAACGGATACTTCTCTAAGAATTGCTCAAAACCGAGCAAGTCCCCCCTTTCTCCAATTTCTCCGATCGCCCAGCTCAATTCGCTCTCCTCTTCCTCCCCAAAATATCCCCCAAACTCCTCCGCGTATCGAAACGCTTCCTCGAAAAGCTTTCCCGCAAATGGAAACATCCCTCTCCACTGCTCATACCCAATCTGCTTGTAAACCACTTTCTGCCCGGCGCTTTTCCCTAGCGCAGCGGCAATGTCATCCCAGCTATACCGCCCTTCCGCCGCGCAGAAACGCTTTCCGGCATACTTTTCCGGGTGGGCGAGTATCTTGCCGACAAATCTCCCAGAATCATCAACAGCCGCGATCAACGGAATCTTGGAAGTGGCAAGAGCTGGCCTGGCCAGAGTCCAAATCCCATCTATCTTACGCGGCGCAATCCAAAACTGCGCCTGGAAGTTCTCCATGAAGTTTCCAGGGCAGAAGAATGCGCTTTCCATCTTCGGGCTCAGACTGCGTATATAAGTCTCGGCCTTGGCTTTGGCGTCAAAGGGCGTAACGGCCGTATACTTGCCGCCCGAAACGTCGCGTACAGACGGCAGTGTGCTAAAGATGAGGTACTTGACGCCCATAGCTAGAGCCACGTCCGCGATGCGCTTTGCATTTTCGAACTCCCAATTGAGGGCCGCTTCGCCTTCAGGCACATCTGGCCCGATGAGAGGAGTCGTCATGGCGAAAACGGTGTGCACGCCTCGGAGGGCGTCCTGTAGCGAAGCGCGTTCGAGAACGTCGGCGGTGACAATATCAACACCTTTCGCCCTAAGCTGCTGTGACTTTTCGGAGCCCGTATCGCGGGTGAGCGCACGGATCGTATATTGCTGAGCGAGAGCTGGGTCTTGGAGAACGTGGTTCACAACCGAGCTACCCTGTTGCCCTGTCGCACCGAAGACGGCAAGAACTTTAGACATGTTGAATTTCGATGGTCGTCTGGTGCCAAAGTATTGGAGATGATAGGCAAAATGAAGATAAACCTCGATGTTTGGTATTCAGCGTACTTTTGCAAAACACTCCCTCTTTATACCGTAGGTTTTCCCCATCCTGAATCTTTCTATCTTCGCAGCCGTCACCGACGGATACATCTTCATCGACCCAACGGCTAAGTCAATGGCCCGTTTACCGTCGCATGTACTCTCTTGCCGTTACACCGGGTGGAAATTGCTCCGATGGCTTTATATCTCTATAACGGAGCTTACAAATTGTAGAAGCTAGTTCACGGATTGTTCAAATTGTCAATCCCGGAAAGGAGGGCGCAGTGGCTCCTCGAGATTGCCCCAAGGAAACTGACACTTACATACACAAACACCATCTCCACCCAATACTATCGGTGAATGCACCCCCGAGAGGAGGTCCGAAGCCCATGACTATACCGGATATGCTCATAATGATGCAAAGGTACATTGCCCGCTTGTCTAGAGGGACAGTGAAGCCTACTATGGTTAAAGCGCCCTGGCACAGAACAGCTGCATTACTCCTACTATCGCTCTTCCAACGATGAAGCTGGAAGAAGTCGGAGCTGGTGCACATACCATCGAGTCGACTTCGAAGACGATGATGGCAACTAGGTAGTAGAATGCGAGAAAGTGCCTTGTTCTGTTGTGACCTAAGATATGGGTTCAATCCAAAGCTCGAAGGTGGACAAACCTTTGTCCTGCCATTGTAGGTACCTATCCGGTGGATCGTAAGATGCGATCATTGAAAATGCTCGCAGAGATCCCACGAGTCGAATGTGAAGCGGGGTTCACAGTAGTCTAGGGCTAAACTGTGAGCCGAAAGCGATGCCATTGTTTCGTTCATCGACGCGGATGATGACAAACTATGTCTGTGCAGGCTTTGAGTCCATTTGACTTCTTTCTATCATTAGGGTTACTTCGGCATCATTCCTTTTCTTCCCCAATTCCTATATTCGAGTATTCATGCTCCGGTTCTTCTCCTGTCGGATTTTGCTTTCCCCCTTGGCAGCTCGTCCGATACAGTACCATGCCTGTAGTCCAACCTCACGAGCTGAGAAAATATCTCTACTGCGTACCAGGTCTTGACCATGTCTTCTGTACCTGCGAGGCTCAGTTTGCACTTTCAACAATGCGCTTAATTACTTCAAAGATGACCTCCTCGCAATGTCGTTCTATCAAACAATGCAGCCCGACATAAGCTTACTGGAGGCTCTTACCCGTCATCATTTGTCGTGTGAGTGTGAAGGAACTGTCTTGAATCAATCCTTTGCTTGGCAATGACTCGGCAGTCGTGTTCCAATGTGAAGAGACGGCGTTAGAGATCGTCCTGAGGAGCGATAGATTGACATGGTCAAGGGGTCGGCTAAGCCAGAAGACGCTAGCTAGCCGGCGCTTTCACCTGACAAGACAACGGCCCGGCCCCGTCCCTAATAGATGACGTGCACTGTGAGCTCGTCGCCCTTGGCAACTGCCTGCATGCTAACATGACTTGCAAGATTCAAGACAGCAAAGCCCACCTCTCGAAACGCTTGTGTTGATCCATTTGCTCTTTAGGCGAATCCTGCAGCGGCCCGGGGTTCTTCTGCCGGCAGGACGACACTTGCCGACCACTGCTGCCCGCCCCTGTCGCTCCCTGTCAACAGGCTGGAGATGGCGAAATCGAGAACACGGTCTCGGGACGAGTGGCTGTGAGAACGGAGCACTGTCTGACACTCGCGCGACGCCCACTGTTCGCAATCTGCAGTCGATGGGACTCGCCCATGGCCCTCTCGTGCCTCTTCGACATCAGCCTGTGCCGTGGACGCGTGCGCCAAAGAGCAGCGGAAAAAGAGAACCATGACCGAGATCCCTGGAAAGGGCAAGCATCGTGGATTTAGAGCGTTTGAAGCGCACTAATTGGTCAGGCGGCTTTTCACAATTCGGTGTGGCCGCGCAGGGCTCAGGGCGGGTATAATGGGTGGTCAGCGCAGAACTTTATCCAGCACTGTCCAATAGAGCAATGTCTGCATGCCGGCTTGCTCAATGCGCGTCCTTCAGCCTGGAAGCGAGCGCCATGAGGATGCGGGGAAGGAACCACATGGGACTTGGTTGACAGTTCTTGTTGTGCATGTTTAAAGCAACATGGTACTGGCGAAGACGTGCCATTTCATCCACTCTTCGAAACACCGTCTGCCGTCGCTTATCCACTGTGGATTTTGAACGCGCTCATCACCTCTGGGCAGGCGACTCCTGACTCGCGATCCGTGCGGACGCGTTCCGGCCTGGGTCTTGCTTGCGTCGCGAATCCTGGGGATATACGCCATCTGGAGCTAGCGTCCGAGGGAACGCTGCAATCGTATATGTGGGCTGGATTCTCTTCTACTTCTTCCGCTCTTGTTCGACAAGACCGGAACTCTGCTCGCACAACAACCTCTGCCTGTGAGCGACGCCGTCTGTTGCTTTGCAGCGCTGTCGTCGATCCTCTATGGCGATACATGGAACACTCGCGCTTGTGGTCGCGTTCACGCTCACCAGCCTTTCCACCGTTGTGGTAGCTCTGAGGTAGGGCCGACTGTACCTGCTTTGTAGCACGCGACACTAACCACGGCTAGATTTTACGCTCGCTACTTCCTCGTTGGTAAACTCGGATCCCCTGACTGGGTCATGCTTGCTGCTCTTGTGAGTCCAGTCCGCACATGAGAAGGCCAGCAATGCTAATTTCGCAGATTGCGAGCTGGGGAACGCCTATCGTGAATTACTATCAGCTGCTCTACATGGACTACAGCCATACTGTCACTCCTGATGGCAAATTAGTCAGTCGTAACCCAACCACTGCTTATGGCATACTAACACGTTCAGATCGTAGATGAATTCAAGCGTGTAGCGTCCGGCGGCCTACTCACCATGTGGATTTTTCGTCTGAACCTCATAATCGATCACATGCTGATCAAGACGTCCATCCTACTCTTCTACAACTACGTCACCGCCGCTCACCGCTCCTACTACTGGATCGTTCGCGGCATGCTAGGCCTCGTCATCGTTTCCAGCCTTGCCATGGCCTTCGTCAGTATCTTCATCTGCAATCCCCCGCAGATCTCTTGGGACGGCGAAGTCTTCTACAGGGAATTCTTTGGCGAGTTTCCAACGCAATGCATGAACCCGTCGACGTTATGGCTCATCCAAGCTGCATACAACCTCGCTACTGACGGAGTTGTCTGGATCCTCCCGATTCCCTTCTTCCTGAACCTACGATCCATGCCCGTGCGAAGACGGGTAGAGCTAGTCGCTATCTTTAGCATTGGTATCGTCGCCATAGCTGCATCTGCAGTTCGACTCTCCATCACTATGCGATGGTTGTCCGGATTTGAAGAGTCAGGATTGCAATGGGGCAATTTACTGATTTGGTCCCAAGTCGAGCAGCATTCGGGTATCATCGCGGCTTCTATACCCTTCCTGCGACCGATTATGCGAAAGATCGTTAAGAGAGTACGAGTCCGCAGCCCGAGCCCTGGGCCTAAGCTCATTCCGAATCTGAGTCCCCAAGACCAGCCGATACCCCCACGGGCGCCGATTATACCAAGTCCTGCACCTACGTCTGGCAGTGACGACGCCTTCCGACCGCCTTCTACGCCATTGTCGCCGATCAAGCCCGAGATGCAAACCTTCCATACCGTTTGAGTAGGGGAACAGAGGGAGCATCTACATGACTACACACACCTTTTCAATGGACACTACGGACATGCGACGCTGGACTGGAATTTAGACTAATGTGGAAGCTGAGCGCTCCTCATGCGACTATCAGAGCTTGGTAGACCTTCTGGTCCTGATGTCGCGCCGATGACGGTGGTGTCTTGGGGAAAGCGCATTTGCGATAGACCTCGCGGCACATCTTGGTAGCGCGTATACAAATACGAGAAGAAACTGGCCCAAACCCAGGTCACGAGGACCCGGAACGGGTCGCATGACGGAGATGCGCGGCGACTGCCATGCTAAAGGAAGACCATAGATCGGACGAATCCCCTACGTGAACACCAAGCAACCGATCAGCCTCCGGTAAGGTGATCCCACCCTACTGGGTCCAAAAGTAATTCCAGGCGCACAAACACCTACTCATTGTTTCTGGACGCTACGATGATGAATCCTGCACCCTTGGTAACATACTCCTCTGAGGCGTTGTTACCGCGGGCCGCGGCATCGTAGATTTGGAAACATCTCAATGAGAAAGAGGGTCACGACATTTCCGGCAAAGAAGCTACTGGGATAATTTATGAGAGATTGCAAAATTGCCTTCGGATATGGTACTAGGGCACGATAGGTCACAGTCCCTAAGTATAATCGATCCATTGGAGCAACGATAAATGCCGTTGATACAATCCTGCTACCCTCACAAGAATAAAGAGAAATTAGCAAAGCTTTCAGCGGTACTGATATTCTTATCAGCAACTTATGTCCTGGTCATCACCACGTTTGCTTAGCATCGCGACTTGTGTGTCCTCTTCCATCTGATCTACTCACGGCCATATGTACGCCAGTCAATACGCTCCACAATATTCTCGTGCTCAATCTACCATCCTCTCCGAAAGCCTAAAGGTATTCTTCTTCCCGTGCAGTGCGCAATCGCTTCACCATCACTCTACCCTTTCCATTGCTATGTGCGTTTCTGCTTTATGATGAACACCCTCTGTTTCACGACCAGTGCTCACAGATCACACTAACAACTATCTGTTTCCCGTTGCATCCACCACCCCGCCACGCCCGTGCTCTGAGACCCCAATATATTTACCCGTTGCCCCAGACCCCAAAACCAGTTTTCGTACGCACATGGCCAACGCGTCGCCCCGTCTTACGTACATGTTGTGCACGGACATCAACGGCACAGGTGGAAGTGGAAGTAGAGACCGTGCGACTTCGGCATGTGATGACTTATATGATATTTCTAGTGGTCAGGCCAATAGAGGTTGGCCTACGATCAAGCGTATACGGCAACACGTGTGCGCTGGTTTACCTTGCTACGTCTACTTGCTAGCGAACATTAATCCCGTTGCGGCATCCGACACATGTCGGTCGAACAGAGACATGCTATACGAAACTGGCTAGACCACTGCGCACACCCTGGATATCAATCAATCTTTCATGCTCCAGCTTTCTACCTTCACGCATTTCGCACACGGCGTATACCTACGATCCTACATAAGTCCTGCCATGACACTAGGTGCACACAAACTGCCAGGTGTACAGTGTGTGACATGCTGCGCTGTATTAACTCAGTAAGCCCACGAGCAAGCGTGCAGTCCAAATCGCCTAATGACTTGAAGCCGCGCATGCATCCCCATCCTTTGCTTACGCCTGTAAACCCACAGCCCTTACACAGACTCCTTCCCGCAGATTATTTTTCAAGGTCTACCTTCCGTAACCCTTTCCTCTAGAACATATAGAGCTTTCTCACAAACTCGCCCTTCATGGGCTTCATCGCAATACATCCCCCCACAATAAACCTCTGTCAAGACCGCTCACGCCCCCAAACAGAATCGGCCACTCGCTCCGCGACCAATTCAGCTTAGCCTTTGCCCCAGATGACCACAACCCAGGTGTAATTATAGGTATGCCAGCCCTATAACACACCTCGATGCCTAAATCAGCGCGTCTAAGAGGCACATGTCGCCTTAGAGAATTACCCGGCGGCTTGCAACCCGTACCCGGCTGCGCGTCGCGCTGCGTTGCGTTTGCGGGGTGCATTGCGCATCACGTTGTATTATCATAGCGCATAGTGTATATACAAGAGGAGTGCCGGGGAAGGTGTATGGTGAGGGCGTAGCTTTTATGGTGATGATAGAGGGAAGCGATGAGGGAGGGAAGACCTAATGTGCTGCCTGCAGCACATATTGGGAGAATAACACGTTGACAGTTTGACAATAGCAGAAAGACTCGGGTCATTCGTTCGACATGAACTATCCTACAGTATATGCACGTTGTCTGCCCACACTCCGACAAACCCATGACATCGTCATTCGTGCCCTTCTCTACCGCCACCATGGCACAAAAGACTGAGAAATGCTATTCTACACGAAGTCGCAAGAAGTGTGGCAAGACTGAAGAAAATTCCCCACCCGAACCCCACCGCATCCTCGTGATGTGTGATATAAATGAAAACACAAGAGTAAAGCAAGCCGTATAACGCCGTGCTTTTCTCTTTCCCACACCGTCGCAAAAAAGACCAAAAGTCCAGGTAGACACTTGGAAAGCGTGCTCTACACTTCGCAATGCAATAACTGAAAACCCGTGACCCCGTACGCACGCAAATGCAATGAGTAGACATTACTGGTCATTGTATAGTCTTGACCAATTACATGTATCCTGGGAGGCAGGGGGTGGTACGTGCCGCCGCTATGGCTTCTAAGCAAGCGGTCGGGGACTTTGTTGCGCATTCGTGAAAAGGGCGCTGAAGATGCGCTCAACCTGAGGAGGTTGTTAGACTTGCGTGGAGCAATTCGAGAAGTAGGGAACGTACCTCTGGTGCAGCCTTGACGAACGGTAGGTCCCAGAAAGCGTAAGTGCGGTTCTTCAAAATCTCAAGGAGCGTGATGATCAGGCCCCATGGGTGCGGGCGATGTACCAATAATCGCTCCATGAAGACGCGCGTGATGGTGTGCTTGACGTCTTCATCATCCGGTGAACCGAACAGGTGTAGAAGCGCGCAGCTGAAGTACTGCGTATGAGAGTTAGGCCAACGTAATTGGTTGGCAATAGCGCTGATGAAGTGGAATCTGGCCTCCGGACGCAGCTCCCGAGCGAGCCTCTCAATCAGCTTGGCTGCAGGCGCAGAGCCGTCAAAGATGGGACCTTTCGCGCCTTGAAGGGCGAGCGCGCTAGTTCCGATGTATAGAGTGATGGCGTGAATCAATGCTGGATCAGCAGTTGTCACATCTGCCTCAAAGCCGGCAGGCTTTGGCTCGTCGTAGTAGACGGCATTGCAGACTTGGTCTACGTCTTGAGCTCGTGGCTCGGAGGACCGCAGGATACCGTCAATGAGTTCTCCTACGCCAGCTTGACGAATCATATGATCAAGATCGGCGCGGATAGTGGGCGCCTGGCGACTGTCTTCTAGGCGATCGACTTTCACGCCTGTAGTAAAGGGATCGGGCATCTCGAGGATGTTCGAGGGATAAGCACTGACGATCAAATTGCGCAGCTGTGTGCAATGCATCGGGATGCTATTGCAGAAGCGGAAATGGTTCTCGGCCAGAAATTCAGGATAATCGTGGTGAATGACGAGCAAGACACGCAATACACCACGGTAAAAGGTCTGCGCCATGATAGTCTCTCCGGCAGGCCTAATCAGTTCACCCGTGAAGACCAAGAGTGTCTCCATAAGCTGTGCGAACACATCCCATCCCTGGGTATGCCTATCGTCCAACAACGCTGGGACGAAGATTCGATGCGATACCAGAGTCAACCACGAGAAGGCGAATCGCGGGAAATGTGTGGGCTGGAGGATGAGGAATGCCTTCGCAACGGCAAGGAAGATGTCGCTCTTGAAACCAGCGAATACATCTTCTTTGGCTGCCTCGTTAAGCTCGAACAGAATCGAGGAGAACAGGCGGAAAAAGACCTTTTGGCAGTACAGCTCGCTGTCTCCACGTGCCCCAGGGTTGTCTCCACGTCCAAGGTAACTGTTGAGGACAAGAATCACAACTAACAGGATCTGGTCGAGATACTTCGCCTTGCTTTCCTTGACTGCTCCTTCCTGCTCTCCTTGATACACAATCAAGTCTACGATGAGCTTGGCAAGGGCATCAACCTTGACAGTAGCAATGTCTGGGTTGCCGCTGCCATACGGAAGAGACTGTTCATGTCCGTACGCAGCGACGGAAGCATCAATACATGCTCGGAAGAATTCGATTGATTCGCGAGGACTCTTGATGACCTGCGATACGTGCAACTGGTAGATGAATGCAGCAATGGACTTCTTCGGAGTGTCAGGATGCTGGAGGTGTACCCACTCATCGAAAACATACTCCAACTGATCTTTCTGACCGGTTGAGGGAGGCGTCAGCTCTTGATCGGACGTATCGATTCGCAGCTTGTTGAGCAAGTTTTTCCCAATCTCCAAATTCGGGTCTTCGGCGAGCCAGTTGGTGAGGGCGTCAATCGAGAGGGCGAAGTCGGCACGAAGGGCGCTTGGGTGCTCATTAAGTAGAATTTCATCCATGAGTATAGAGAGCATTTCCACCGCGGCAACGCGACGATCCTGAATGGCCTTGGCGATGATTGTGTTGAGTCGATGCATGTCCATGAGGCCAACATCCATAAGAGCGACCATGACTGTAGCGTTGAAGATGCGGTCATCGTCGTTGAGGGTGGCAAGCCACATGAGCACCTGCCTAGATGTCGAAACCGACAGTTCGCAAAGACCACCCAGTAGATGAGCCAAAGTCTCGATCTCTAAGCGACTGAGGCTGTCAGAGAAGAGGTGGTTCGTGACTTGACCAGCGATGCGGAAAGCCCAAGCCTCCTTGTTGGGACCAGCGAATGAGATGCTCGAGACAAGTTGTTCAAACGTATGATGGATCGGGCTTGTTGACAGCAAATCACTTATGCGTTCTTCAGAGGCCTCCTTGACCAGACGCATCATCTCGCCGAGTAGGTCTTCAATTCCACGCCATCCACGTTCTAGTCCTGCAGGCTCCATGTAACCGTTGATCTGTTGCGGCGGAGGCGCATGGGCGGCCTGCAAACTTTGTAGTCGGGGTTGCTGAGTCGCCTGGCGTGGTTCGGCTGGAGCAGCAGCGGGTGTGGGCAGATTTGCGACAGTGGCGAATTGATCTTGGAGGACGTCGGGCAGTTGTCTTCCACTGTCCTGCGATACGTTGTTGGCGTGGGGTGCACCGCGGGATTGCCTACCAAACTCCTCATAGATGGCAAGCTGCTCACGGTTAAGACCTCCGGTAGTTTGCTTGTAAGGCTCCGGGATATAAAACGCCCATGGACTGATGGCGGCGTCTTTGAATGGTTCGTTTGTTCGCTGCTGGCGGTAATCCTGGCGAGCCTGGATGGCTTCTTGTATCTGCTGGTCAATTTCCGTCCGTGAGGATACCTCGGCTGCTTGCTCCACTGTGTTGCAAACGAGGTCCAGGTTGTCATTCACAAACATGACAACGTGCCCTTCTGGTATAGCTTGCTCAGGCAAATCTCGTGCCATGACTCGGATATTATTCTGGATGCTCATACGCAGAGGTTCCTTGCAAGTCACAAGAGCCAAAGCACCGGACAACGACTTGACGACCGTGTAAGCTGCATTGCGCAATTTTTCCTCATCAGGCTCCAAAGCAAAGTCTTTGCTGACAAGTTGAGACGTTGAGATTGCTGCAATAGTGACAGATCGTTCAACGACGGGTGCGATAATCTCCTGTATGGCTTGCTGCACCGCAGTCTCGAAGATTTTCTTGATCGTGCTATGTGGCACAACGTTTGTGCTTGAGGGGGGATATTGAAGCTGGGGACGGAAATCTGGTAAAGCGGCTGTAATGGCTGCAGAAGAGAACCGTTCGCTAGGACCACGAGCGCGCTGGAGACTCATCAAGCCCAAGTCGCCGAATGGCTCCAGCCCGTCTGGAGGCGGCATTTGGCCGATATACTCTTCTTCAACTTGCGGCCTCATGCGAATGCATGTGGAAGGCTCAATGTCCTTGGGGTCGATATTAAGCCCTTTGCAAAGGACCTCAATCTCGAACTTCTGATTGAGCTTCAATTCCGCATGCTCGTACAGCTCTTTCAGCACACTCAAGATCTCCATAAGCCAGGGATTTGGAGGTTGAAAGATGCGGGATTTGGCAGCTTGTGCAAGGACTTTGCAGGTAAACGGGATAACAAGTAGCAGTCGATCTGTGGCGAAACCTTCAATCAGTAGGTCTTTGAAAGAGATGTTACGGAACTTGATTGGCTGGTTTCGCGCGATGGTGAGAGACCCAAGCCAGCCTCCAAGGTTCTTGAGATGCCCGCGTTCTGTGGACCCCAAGGTCCCTTCGCTGTTCAGCAAGCTAACCACGACAACATATGTTTCCCGTAGTACTTCAGCCCAGAGGATTCTGTCGTTGAAGAGGTTCAGCATGTCGAGGTAGAGCTGCTGGAAATTGGGCTGCATCTTGGCACGCTCTTCCACGAGGTAGTTGGCAAACCACTGGTGATGTCTATGTTCAACAGCCTCAGTGAGATCCCTGATTTTTTCTAGCAAGTTGCGTTCGGATACGTTGTTGAGCACAAACAACACACGATCTTGAACCTCTTCGTCGGGGTCTTCGTACAAGTCCGGTCGGAGTGGAGGGTCTACATGAAGGCAGGTAAACTTTGGTACTGCAGGCTCGGCCTGGAGCTGTTCGCCTACGTGGTTGCCATTGGTCAAGCCCACTCCATTTTGGCCGTCACCATTCACCTCGCCAATCTGCGAGCGAACAACCTCTTCGGCTTTGGCATATATTTCCGTTCCTTGGAGACCCGGGATATTGAGCAGCTCTTCACAGTAGTTAGGCCACTCATGAAGACGAGGCGAATAATGGATCAGAGCCTGGAGACCAAACTTGTACATCGAGTCGTCGGGACGGTAATCTTGAACGGCTTCGAGCACCATGGACAAGCCCACCCTAAGAGCCAGTCGCGAGAGCAGATTGTAGTTGATTATCCCACCGAAGAGGACCGCGGTGGTCGCTAGAGCTTCTAGGGGATATTCACCGAAGCAGTTATACTCGTCGAAGAGCCCGTGAATCATGCAGGCGAAAAGGTCCTGTTCAGCTGGATCGCGAGATTCCTTGTATTTCTTGAGTACTGTTATGATCTCGCGGACATCGCTTTCGCTGCTGTACATATTCTTGAAGTGTTCTTGCATTTTCTTATCGGCCTCCTCTGGAAGTGCGTTCCCGTTCTGTCCATTCGCATCGATAATATCGTCTACACCCTCGCCATAGTTGATCAAGCGGGGGTATGCTTGAATGCAGCCTCGCTGTAGTGTCATCAGGTCTTCATCGGTGAGACCACAATCGGCCAGGAACCAGAGTATCGGGTAGACGGTCTTGACTGGGAGGGGCAGACTGTTTGACATGTGCCCATCGTCGCGTGAACGCTGCATCTCTTCGTTGGCTCGGGCGTTGAGGAAGTTCTGCAGAATCTGACGGAAGAGAACACCGGCTTGTTCGTAAGTCTGCTGCAGCCAAGGTTCGATCTGGAACAGCCCTTGCGCGTGCGCCTGTGCTGCTAAGTCTAGGCTGATGTCGGTGTTGCTGCGGATCAAGGCCTCCAGCCAGCCGTTTTGTTGCGCGTGCTGTAGAATGACATTGAGGGACATGTTTTCGCTATTATAAGCGTCGTTCAAACGCCCTATAAGCCACTGGGGATCTTGTTGCCAAAGCCCGTAAATCACGAACTCGTGCTTTGGTAGTTTTCTCCAGAAGTATGGTTCGAACAGCTGCTTGAGCGCCTGCTCCTGCAATGCGCCCCAAGGCTTGGGTACCGCGGCAGCGGCGACAAGGAATTCGGCTGTGTGAGGGTTGATTATAGCATCTGGGATGCCCAGAACTTGTGCGTCAGCATACGATTCTGCCGAGCGGAATATCATGCCGAACAGAGCTCGAGTGGCATCGAGTGAGACGTATGGGTGCTTGACCGCTTGCTCCGCAACCACTTTGACCTCTGCGGATCCATTCTCGAAAGTGGCCAGGGAGTAAGATTCTCGGAAGCGCGGGATTTGGGACACATCGAGCTCCTCTGGGGTACATTCGAGGAATCGGGAGAGGAAGCTCAGCTGTGTAAGCTCATTTTGCCAGGCGCCACCCCACAGTAACTGGATGTCGAAAGTCTCCGTTTCTTGTGCGACCGGCAGGAGTGCGTTGTAGATGGTCAAGAACTGCGCTTTGGACACACGCAGACTCTCGCGATCGAAGGCGTGCACGACTTCCTGCCATTCTATTCGCTGACCTGTTCGGTGTTCCCGTAATGCCGCTACGAAGTTGTTCGCATTGTAGCCCGAAGAGACAGCTAAGAACACTAGCACATTCGCGACTTGCTGATAGCTGATATCTCGCGTTTCGGCGGACGCTAGTGTCTCTTTGCACGCCTCGATCGACTCGGTACCGCGTGGGCCGGCGCGTTGTATCAGCTTCACGAGCGGGTTTTGCGAAGCATTCGATAATTCCACCAGCTGCAATGCGGCTTCAACCTCGACGGGCATTGCGAGGTGTAGGTTATTGTATCGATAAGTCAAGGCCGCGGTCAGCTTGGCGACGCTTTCTTCATTCCAGTCAGATGGCGGGTTTTGAAGAATGCGGTCGACCAACGCGGCGAGGTAGGTGGGCGAATCTGAGAGCTGCGACGGGTCGGGTCGCGCGATAGCCATTAGAAGATCGTCGGTTGTGGCGCCAAGAATGGCGTCCGCTATGTACAGTCAGCATTGACCACGAGCGCGTGTGAGTAGGAGCACTAGCCTCTTGCTTTCAACTCTGAATTGCTGCCCAACTTGCACGACGCAGCAAGCATGGCCTGGGAGTATATATCGAGCTGGAAGTGGGATATTAACGCAGAGAGATCAAAATCTCGAAAGAGGTCGCCCTCGGGTGAGTTGAGCGATTCAGCAATTTTGAGAGCTTGTTCAGGATCTACCCGCAGCTTCTGCATCTCCGTCACCAGTATCTGGTAGTTGCCGTTCGGATCTGTGCTGCGGCCGCCCGTTGAGAAGATGTGCGCGGCATTATTCTGCAACAGGCGGCGGAAGTACTTGGAGAATACCTCCATACCGTTTGAATCGATCAGCTGCAGGGTATTAGTATTGCTGCACATATGGAGGAAGGAGCGCATGCCACATACCTTCCGAATCTGCTCGGCCTGCGTCTCCCACTTTGCGCGGTCCTTCTCGTCCTTAACGGGTCCGAATTGACTCAGCAATAGAAAGACCTGTGCAATGACAATGCGTGAGAGGTTCTGGTTGTGCGCCGACGCGCTTGCGGGATTGGCTGACGTGCTCGGTGAGCCCACGGTACTCGATGTCGACAGTGAAGGCGAGGCGCGCACAAGCCTGGAGGGCCCTCCGCCGCTGCTCGATCCACCACCTCCTACAGCGGCGGCGGAGGCCAGTTGCGAAGGCTGCTGCGAAAGTATTGTCCTCGACCGGGAGGACAGCAGCTGGCCGACTGGGGGCTGCTGTCCAGCGTGTGAAGGCGAGAAAGGCGCTGAGGTCGACGAGGCCGCCGACGACTTGCGGCTTCCGATGTGACGCGCTGAGGACGGAGGCAGCGATGGGAAGCTGGACGTAGCTGGAGAGAAGCCCGGCCGCGAGCCGCTGGGGGAGGGTGTGTTGCGCTGTTCGTGGGTGATATTCGTAGAGATGGGGGTCAGACGTGTGCTGTGTCTCGGAGGGCCCCAGGGTGGTTGCTGGCTGCTCATCTAGGCGTTCCCATGAGCAGCGCGTGCGCAGGGAGATGGGCGGAGTTTGGGGATGGGGATGGGGATGTAGGAGGATATCTTGGGTCGCGAATGTCCCGCTCCCACCAAAGCGAATCGCGGCCAAATGCTTGGCATGCCTCAGGCCGCTTGGAGGAAGTACTATGTTCTTCGTCCTATACCATCAAGTCCGGAAGGCGAGAAGACTTCGCTCACATTGCGGCTTGATCTTATAACTTGAAGTTTACAGCAATGATTGTAGCGATGCCTCGCCCTGCATGAACGGTGAACACATGTGTTGTTGTGCCTCTTCGGCAGTAGCGACTGCTCCGAAGCGTGCCTACTCCGAACGAACAACCGCGGACGCTAACAACCACGGAAGAATGCAACTGCGAGCGCATGTTCGTGGTCCTTAACCGTCGAACTCGTCGTAGTCACCTGCATGGTGTGAATCATGTTATGATATCAATCCCGCCGATTTGCACATTATGAGAGACTGAAACCTTGGGAACATCGTTCATGTTGTTGCGTATCGCCACACAGCGAGCGACGAAGCCCCTCGTAATGAGCAATGCTCGCAGCCAAATCCACGCAAGTCACAACAGGAATACTCGAAAGTATGCAGGCATAAGAACGGAATGCTCCGCCTGGGATAGATAGCAGCCTTCGGGATAATCCGCCGGCCATCTCAGGGTAATTGAATACCACTGACAAACATTGGCGTGCACTCTTCGACCATGACACAATCATGATTGGAGACGAATGCCGACTATTTTTCACCTCGGACTTATACTGGATCACGAAAGTTCTTCCAGGCTAGTTATCAGATGCATGAGCAGCTGCTTCCTTCCCGCCAAGGCAGCACGCAAAGTACATGTACGATGGAGTGGTTATTTCAACCACGAGTCCATCAAAACATAGACTAGTCTACTCGAGAATCTAGCTGGCGGCGCGAAGCACGCAGACGATAACGTCGGCGGCGTTCAATGGCTGTGTGCTCGCGGCTCTGTATTCGTTAGCGACGCGCGCGTTGTCCCTCGCGACCACATGGACTCGCCTAGTAAACACGGCCCTCCGCAGCCCCATCCCGAATCCCTGCGCCCCGCGTCCTAGCGACCCAGCTCACAAGCTCACAACGCACTCCTAGCTTCAAGCAATATATCTTATTCTTGCATTGGTGCTGCCTCTCGCTGCTTCTACATTGCAGTCGTTCCCGCCGACACCGCTCGCTCTCCCTAGTACACATAGGCGCCATGGGTGCGCCAGCGGCGACAGAGCCGCCATCGGTCACGCTATCATGTACGCTCATACAGGCTTGGAGGAAGGGCGTAGCTAATGGATTGCAGTTGCCAACAACTTCTGGGGCAAAGATGACGCCGGCGTCTCTCCCATGCTCGAGCGCATGCATAATGCCAAAGTCACCTCGGATGAGCTCAAGTCGTTCTACGCTGCGCGGGCCGCCATCGAAGACGAATACTCTCGCAAGCTCTTAAACCTCGCGCGGAAGCCTCTCGGATCGTCAGAATCCGGCACATTGCGCATGTCGTTCGATGTGATCCGGGGCGAAGTAGAGTCAATGGGCAAGGCACACCAGAGCGTCGCACAGCAGATGAAGACTGAGCTGGAAGAACCACTCCAAGCATTCGCTGGTGGCATGAAAGAGCGAAGGAAGATTGTGCAGAATGGCATCGAAAAGCTGCTCAAAATGAAGATGCAGCAGACGGCCACAGTGAACAAGGCTCGCGACCGATACGAGAACGACTGCCTCAAGATCAAAGGTTTTCTCGCACAAGCACACATGGTCATGGGCCAAGAAGAGCGCAAGAATAAAGCAAAGCTGGAGAAGACTCAGATACAGCTCTCGGACACGGAGCGAGACTATGAGGCTGCTGTTAAGATCCTCGAGGAGACAACCGGCCGATGGAACAGGGATTGGAAAGGAGCCTGTGATGTGAGTGATGCGTACACATACAAATCAGCCAAGGCTAACGTGTACAGAAATTCCAAGATCTGGAAGAGGAGCGCATCGATTATACCAAGAGCAGCCTTTGGAACTTTGCTAACATTGCTTCCACCGTATGTGTGAGTGATGATGCCGCGTGCGAGAAGATAAGACTCTCGCTCGAGGATTGCGACGTTGAAAAGGACATTACAAACTTCATCTCAGGCAGTGGAACCGGCCAGGAAATACCTGATCCACCCAAATTCATCAACTTTGCCCGAGGTGATGCCGACACAGCTTCGCAAACCTCTGAAGACGAGAATTTTTCCGTAGCTCAGTTCGCTAGGACCATGAATCCTGCATACCGAGCATCGTCGCCAGCGCCGTCGAGTTTTGACTCGCATAATGACCCAAACAATCCACTTGCTCGCGAGTTGCTCGGAAACAACACCAAGCCGATACCACAGGACCAGATCAATGTCCTGCCACAGCAAGCGCAGCCCGCCCGGCCAGCTGCTACGTCAAGAGCCTCGCATCATTCTGAGAGATCGGCTCGAGCACCACAACCGGACCCTCGACTGATCCAAGCCCAGCAACAGGCGCACCAGCAATACCAGCAGAGCAAGATCCCTCATAATGACTTTCCACAAGACGGCATGACTCAATTTTGCCGTGTCGGAGCACCCTCAGACCAAAGTCCAATGCCGAGCCCCGTTCGCCCTTCGAGTAGAGATTCTCAGAGCGAATATTCCAACCCCACATCGTTTTCGAGCATTGAACCTCCAAGCGGATCCGCATCGCCAGGGAAACCTATGTTCGAGTCACCTCAGCCGCCAGAGGAAATGTCGGTGCAGCAGAAGAAGGGGTTCTTTTCAAAGAACCCGTTCGCTCGAAGACAGAGCAAGCCAGATGTTCAGCCTCCAGCTTCAATTACGCCCAGCAGTCGGAACACCTGGGGTCCCGCGTCTAGGTCAGCAAACAATGAGAACGCCAGTCCCACGCGACCGTATGCTAGCAAAGGACGAGGGACCATTCATAAGGACGTTCCAACACCGAGCCCGGAGCCAGTAGACCCCCCGAGCAAACTTCCAGCTCAACATTGGCAACAATGTTTTTGATGTAGCGTCTCCTGATGGAAAGAAGGAGCAGAAGCCGAGTGACCCACAAGAAGAGCTGGACCCCATTGCCCAGGCACTTGCTGAGCTCAAGGGTGTTACGAAGCAGACTTCTCTTCGCGTGTCTGCGGACCGCTATCACGGCCTCGCCACACCACAGCCACCAAGCACACCTGCGGTAGGAGCCAATCTCCCAGGAGGAGCACCTACGCCATTAGCAAATGCCAGTCTGAATGCCGCCAAACGAGGCACACCACCACCATCGTACGATGCCCCGCCAATGTCTCGCCTCGGTGCTCCAAAGCCAGCGCATACGGCAAGGCAGATGCAAAAGACGACAGAGATGTACGTCCAGCAGAAAGCCAGCGTCTTCAACACTGGCTCCTCATCTCGTCCGCCAACCCGCGGCACCGTCGCCCAGGAGGCACCCCGAGCAGCATCGCCGGCTCCTCGTGCTGCAAGTCCTCAACCAAGCATGTATCGTGGCCAGCAACAACCACCATCGTCTCCCGCTGCGTACCGCGCAGCCTCACCCAACCCTTACGCAGGCGGCCGACCTCGCGCCCAAACCGCCTCGCAAACCCAAGCGCCGAGCCCCTACGGCAACCCCACTGGACGAGGTTCCTATTCTCGACAAGGCGGTGGTTCTTCTGGAATGCCACGCGCGACATCCCCCCCAGCCACCCCAGCCGCAGTATGCACAGAGCCGTCCCGGCTCCCGCGCTGCACCCACACAATCCTCTCCCCAACCCGCCTACGCCAACGCTAGGCCCACCTCGCGAGCAGCACCTACTTCCAGAGCTGCAAGTCCGAACCCGCAGTTCCGCCAGAGCTACGATCGCCCTTCCAGCTCGCGCGGAAGCGATATGGCGTTGCAACTTGCGCCTAGTCCCGGGAGCGAGCGCGGCGACGGCAGCGTGTACGGCGGAAGTGTTCGAGGAAGAAGCGGAACGGGTGGTCAGAGACCGCAGAGTAGCTACTATAGCGGCGGTGGGGCGTCGGACCTACACCATAGCCCGAGCACAATGAGTAGTCGTGTCAGAAGTAAGAGTGTTGCGGAGCCGAGACAGTATACTAGAGACGGACGGATGATTCTGCATTACTGTGAGTAACTCCATTCACATCACCTAGCATGAGCACGAAACTGACCAACAACAGCGAGAGCGATGTACATGTATGCTGCGCAAATACCTGAGGAGCTTACCTTTGCGAAGGGAGACATCCTTGCTGTGCTGAGGCTACAGGATGACGGGTGGTGGGAGGCGGAGGTTGTTGGCAAGGATGGCAGGCGCGGTCTTGTTCCGAGTAATTATTTGCAGAACTGCTAGAGGTTGATGCGTTGAGTGTAACGAGGAGAGTAGGATACCCGGTTATTTTTTATTCTTCCGCTTAGTATGATATTGTGAACGGCATTTCTGGTGTTTGGAATCTGGAGTTTGGTCGATTGTCCGATTCTTGCACTCGTTATGGCGACATGGCATGTAGTGTAGGCAGCCAGTCTTGATGCTTTGGGTGAATGACAGGCCCTTACAACGTGTGAACCTCCATCATCCAAAAGTGATGCTACTATCGTTCATCATTAGTATACTTTGATGGTAGAACTCCAGCGGATTGTACCGCGCAGCCTCGAGATTGGAGTGTGGCAACGAAACGTTGAAGTAACGGTTCGGATGATAGTGCTGTGTTAAAAGACCTCCTTCCACTTCCTTAACTCCTCAAACATCTTACCCTGCAGATCCATAGGGACTAAGAAGCAACTGATACGCTTGTCAAAGGATCTTTGTCTGTCTAAAAGCTGTACAGGCTCTTGTTCTGGTCTGCACCCAAATCCTTGAGGCGTTCAAAATGCGGCTAACACAATTGCACGCGCCTTCTATCCCTATCGAAACGGAGCACATACAAACATATGTGGATAGATTTGCTAACCTGCGGCATAAAGCCCATCGTCGTCTTTGACTTTGTCCCTGGAAAGGTGCGCAGTCTGTGTCTTCGGACTTCTTGTTGGTCTAAAAACAAAATTTCAGATATCGAATGCTTGCTTGTTGGGGGCCGGGATCATAAGAGCTGGATGGCACTCCCTATAGGCCAAGAGACTCTCAAGTATAGAAATGCCGCTTTTCTGCCATAATAGTATAGATGTGAGATATCTATATTATAAAAGTGTGTCTATGAGCAGATCTATAATAGCTAGATAAGATATGTATACTAATTTGGTTACGGTGAAGGATCTCTGTCACATGACAAATTATGATGAGGGGTAGAAAATATTCTTGCACATGACTTGCTTGGCTATTTACTCGATACTACAGCACCTCTATAAGTATCAACACTACCAACTTAAGGAACTTAGATTTAAGCGAGTTATGAAATTTTTATACGCATAGGATTATTATAAGCCTCTAGGTGCTAGATGCTAAATAGTGGGTGATAAGTGAGATGACAGGGTTGATAATGATAAAGGGATAAATATCGGCACGCTATCCCTAAGCTTCAATCCACCTAGCTATTCACAGAGACCTCTCCATCAGCTATAGGACCCCTTAGCGAGCTAGTTATTATAGTAGGGATATAAAAAAAAAACGACTAAACGGTCATTTTCTACACTATTTTCTCCACACAATTTGTGTGGGAAAGAAAAGCAGAACATACCATGATAGTACAGTGAATTTGTACTATACTCGCTGTAATATCATAGTACATACGTTAGTCTATAGGGTTCATGCGCTCTCTTGTACTCGATTTCTAATTAACCGAGCTGCAGACCATGCGCTCGAATTCCACTGAGCATCTGGGATGTACGAGACTGCAAGAATATGTGCTTGCCGCGTCTGTACAGATCATGTAAAGGAGGGAGACCTGTCTGAATGTGTTTAGGGTACCTAGTGTATAAAGCATGCTTCTCCGTTACAAAACCGGCAACGCTTTGCCGTGCGGGGTGTGGTTATTGGCACGGATTGACACCCGAGAACCACAATCACTTTTTCCGTCGGCGTAAAAGCTACGTAGCTTGGAACATGTGGTTTAGACGTCTGCTGTGAGGATAAAGAGACTCATTCCTTGAGAGACAACTTTCCGCACTCTCACTCCCTATCACACTCTACAGGCTGCTTGATAGTCCTAAACGTCTCTTCGGAGTAAACCGTTCAGATATTCCCAGCATTCCCAACATCAGTATTATTCGTGCAATCCGGCCCGCAAACAAACGGATCCAAACCCTTTCGCGCCCCATCAACCCTCATCCTCCTCACCTCCCCCTTCAACACCTTTAATTCTTCATTACCCAGCCTTTCCACCGCCCTCAAAATCCTCGCCACAGTCCCTCTATCCGGACCCTCCGCAACTCTACTTAGGATATCCAAACAAGCCGGCGTATCATCCGCCAAAACAGCGATCTCGTAATTCAGCATCCACCCGTTACTATTACCATCAAAGCCCCACGCCAAGATCTGCCACCCGTTAACGAAATACGACAGTGCACCGTTGCCCACCGTGTCCCACGTATCGACCCAGCCTCGCCCGAGAGAAGCGTTGTTAATGCGGCGTGGGGTGTCGTATCCGAAAGCTGAGTACAATTTGTGCGTACCGTTCAAGGTCCATGTCGAGAGGTCGGCCAGCTGGCCGGGGTAGGTGCCGAGCGGGCATTCAGCGGGCGTTGAGTTCGACGCGAGACCGCAGGTGGGTAGAGTGGGCGAGAGGCTCCATATGAGGTTGTCCAGGGCCATGTACTTCTTGTTGGAGCTGTAGGATACGTACCAGTCGCCATAGTAGAAGCCTGGCGGCATTGGGCGGTACGGTGGCGGAGAGGTGTCGACGTTGGGGTCGAGAGCAGGTGGTAACCGTGCTTTGAAAAAGTGAGAGGACTGATAAGGGGTGCAATGAGCGTGAGTTAGGGAAGTCGAGAAGAGTAGAAGGAGAAGCTTGAGCTTGTATGCCATTGCAATTTTGTTTTGCTAGACCTGCGAGAACGTCTTAGCTTCTAGCTGAAATGTAGTATGAGCTATGCGATACTGTAACTGATGTGAATCGACGAAGCTTTTATCTTTTTCATACTACCAGGAATTGTGATCCGCTCGCAAGGCTTCGCATACGGCGGATCTAGGACATTCTCGGACAATGTGCATCCTTCGTACCAGACCCTCCATTTCGTTCACTCTGACGTTGTGTTGTCTTGAATTCCTTCTAGTCTGCGCCACGAAACACTGGGAAAAAGCTCCTGGGATAGTTAGCCACGAAGCTTGGCCGCGAGGTTGAGATAAGGGGTGGTCGTGACTCGTAGCAGGTGTATCCTAGCGCTGATACCTACCCTACTTCAGGCAAACCATAAGCTGATGCACAGCATACCATTTGTGATCATGCTATTGAAGGTCACGAGAGAAAACACAGACATGCTGCTAAATAGTTGAACACATGATTGATGTCTCAGTACTTGCATTGAGTGCGTCGGATAAGATGTCAAATTATGATTGATTAAGGGCGCCGAGGCGCACGACGACCGATGCACGAGTCGATAATTTAATTATTCCTCTATATGAGTGGGCTGCGCTGTAGTAACTTGTACTATGCTCTGCTTTTCGGAAACGAGCCCTCGTAGACGCATAGTCCACAATCAGGATTCCTCTCCGGCGCCTTCCGGGGCCCCAGCCGTCATCCTAGCCGTTTGAGACGTTGCACCGGACCCGTCAACCTTTTCTTCGACTCTCAAAATTGGATGACTCCTCAGCGCCGCATTGCGTCCTGGAGACTGTGGTGACTGCAGCAGTATCTCACGTGCAGTGTTCTGCCTCGTGCGCACAGGCGTCGTAAGCGGTGAAATGCTGACTGGTATACGACTCGGCGTAGACATATGTGGTGCTTGTCTGTGTCTGGACACAGGCTCCTGCGATTGCACATGACCAGGCGGTAAAACTTCCACAGGGTCATGCAAGGGCCACATTCCTTGCGTTGACACACGGAGTGGCGAAATGGGCGCTGAGATAGTCCGCCCATGAACCGCACTTGGTGAACTTGGAGAAGATGTGACGTTGGCCTTTAGCGCGCGAGACGATCTTCCAAAAGCGAAGGACGACCGCCGTGATAGAGTGGGCGGCGGGCTCGCTTCAGTTGCTCTAGGAGACAGCACACGGATAGGCGCCATCTTCTCTTCATCATCGCCATCTGGATCAATGTTCTCGTCAACTGTGGTCCGGATCTTACCACTGAGCTTGTACTTCATATTGCGAATCCTTCTTCTAACTCCTGTGCGTTCCTCGTCGGCTTGCTTGCTACTGCTCGCTCCATCGACTTGCACAATATCGGCAGGGTAGTCACTATCATCTTCGCATTCACCATCGTCAGACGATGCGGGGTAGCTGAGATCTTCTCCTGCGTCGGTCGCCCAAGATTCAACTCTCTTTAAGTCGCACTTTAGCTGCTTTACCGTCTGTGTCTTATTCCAGAGCTGGAAGTACTTCCCATGCTTCTCCAGAAGCTCATGGTGCGTGCCGCGCTCAGCCACGGACCCCTTGTCTAAGACAAAGATCTGGTCAGCGTGCTGCACCGTTGAAAGACGATGCGCGATTATGATGGTCGTGCGCCTCCTACATATCCTGGCGAACGACTCTTGTATCTCCGATTCGGCAACATTATCAACACTTGAAGTAGCCTCGTCGAGCACAACGATCTTTGGATTGCGAAGGAAGAGCTGGGCAATGGCCAGCCGCTGTCGTTCACCTCCGGATAGCTTCACACCTCGCTCTCCAACCACTGTGTTGTAGGCCATTGGAAACCTCATAATCTGGTCGTGGATGGCGGCATCCTTGCAAGCCGCTATGACCTCCATATCACTGGCTTCTAGCCGCGCATACCTCACGTTTTCCAATATGGTGTCGTTATTGAAGATTGGCTCCTGTCGGACGATACCAACGGTCTCTCGCAAGCTCCTTTGCGTCACGCAGCGAATGTCTTGATCGTCGATGAGGATGGCTCCTTCGGTAACGTCGTATGCGCGGAGGAGCAACTTGTCGCAAGTCGTGGTTTTTCCGCTACCGGACTGGCCGACAAAGGCGACTGTTGAACTGGGTTCGATGGTGAAAGCAAGATTGTTTATGACCGGATTATTCCCATCGTATGCGAAAGACACACCTCGGTACTCCACTTTACCTTCGCGGAAGTGGAGATCCTGGGCGCTTTCATCATCGAGCACTGTTGGCTCAGCTTGCATGAGCTGACGCAATCGCTCAACGTCGACAAGGACTTGAATCAAGGAGTGGTAAAAGTGTGCTAGCTTGAAGAGAGGATTGGTGAAAAGGTTCCAATAGAACAGGAGTGCAACAAAATTTCCCACGGCATCTTTGATGTGCGTGGTGAGATGCGCGGTGCGAAGGAGAATACCGAGGTATCCCAGAGTTACCACTAAGGTCTGACAAATTCGCATGACCATAGATAAATCGTAGTTGTAAGCCTGTTCAGCCAGTTCCTGCAGACTCAGAGTCTTGAGGCGATTGTGCTGGTAGTCTTGCCTGTTGAGATAGAAAGTCGACATCCAGTTCGCGATAGACTCATGGAGAACGTCCCATTCAACACGCGACGTCTCTCGGTACTTTCGACGAGCAGCTGCGCACAGAATCGTGCCTTTGTATGTCACTATCCCATAGAAGACGTACGTACATGAGAGTATCAATGCCACATACACGTCGAACAGATATGTGACATAAGCGAACGCGACCACAATGTCTAAGACAAGTGGAAGGGTGCTCTCGACGAAGTCGTCTACAAATTGGTTGACAACTTGACCTTGTCCGATCGCAGCTATCATTTCTCCGGTCTGCTTGTTCTCATGAAAAGCGTAGGACAAGCCGGCGACGTGTGAAGCAAGCGACAGCAGCAAGTCTAGATAGCTACCATAGAAGAGTCTGACGCTCAGCCACTTCCTTGCAGGTTCCAACACGATATCGTAAGGAACCTTGACCGCAAAGATATAGATCAGGATTTGTCGGGGGAGCGTGCTGTCATTATGGTTGTTGCTTATTGCCTGGACGATGTTGCCAAGAATCCGAGGGCCGAACAGTTGGGAGACTCTCCCGCCAACCGTGAGTATTAACATAGCTAGGGCGTAGAGTTGACGTCGTCGATCTCTGAAAGGGACAACGTATGGTAAGAGGAACCTGACCTCATGAAGGTAAGGCCACCAGCCACCGACCTTTTCGATGTGCTCCTCTTGCTCCGAAGGTCGAGTGTTGCCTTCGGCTCCGTCCTCATCACACTTGACGTCTTGGAAACCAATGATCGAGCTAGCGGAAAGGTTCGTTTGCGTTGAATGTAATAGAGGCTCCCGTTCAGCGTCTCTCGGAGGTGAGACCTCGGCTGATGCGGTCATGGAAACGCAGAGAACCACGAGCGACGCAATGCGCAGGAGGCCAATTGACAGTTTGACGAAATCAAAAGGGCAATGTCGAGCTGATTGAAATGATGAGAGCGTAATAGTGGTGTCCAGAAACATTGCGAGGATCCATGTGACCAGATTAGGGAGCCAGTATAGCCGTCTTGCGTCGGAGTGAATGAGCAAGCTGACCAGCCACAGCAAGAAGTTGAGCGTCGTATACACGACGGCATCCGGTTCAGCCGCCCAGTCAGCTTCAAAAGCCGCGCGCAAAGTTTGCAGAAGACCCTCGAGAAAGTGTAACGAGCATATTGCGACGGTGAAGTGCTTGGAAACAGCTCGTTGCGACGCGCTGAGGGTGGCTCGTTTTGACGGCGGAACAAAGCAAGCAGCAGCAATAGCAAGGAAACCGGCGCAGGTGACAATGATGAAAGGGGACGAGTAACGGAGAGTGCGGAGATAGGCGCTCGCGGAAGCCATGGTTTGCTCGTGCTATGGATTGTCCTGGGTGGGAGTTGTGGAGGGCCGGAAGGAAACAAAGGAAAGGATGAGGCTAGCTGTGGTGATCATCGCTGGCAGTTGGTGAGCGTCTGGAGAGTCCCTCTGGATAAATGAAGCGAGAAGGACGACGCGTCCGGCGCCTGTGGATGGCGGGAAGGCGTTGATCTGTTCCGGGGTGCTCTTTCTGTCGGGTCCAACGTGGAAGTCGCAGTCGATATCTCGACAATCCCGAAAGGACGGTGGGAGCTGGATGGCCGATTCGAGGAAGTACTGTACCCTCAGCCTTGTCCAAGAGAATGGTCGTGCAGGGCACCGAAGGATTGGACAATGGCTGTCCAGGCAAGGTGAGGTCAAGGCCAGTGCGAAGTCTCTAGACCGGCTAGCGACTCGGCCCGCTATCCGAGCCAATCTTCGCCGTGTTGCTGAGATGCGATCTATGCGTGCCCAAGTCTTTTGGCGGGCCTTCTTCGATGATGGCGCGTCCTTCTACATCTCGTTGCAAGGATTGGACGCACTGGGCCAATGACGCGACGGCCGGTCGATAATGCGGGTGAGCGTGGGCTGATGGGTCGGCGGCATGCTGGACGTTGGCGTGGCTGTGGATGAATCAATGAGGCGGAAACCTACGTTACACCCGCATTGCGCTCACCTCCGAAAGCGCCTCGTATTCAGTCAGCGCCCCGGGCCCGGCTTCTGCTTCTGGCGTGGCAGGGCGTGCAATCATCACAGCAGAGCGCCCAAGAGCCAACCTGCTTTTACTGCATACGATAAATATCCACGCGCTCTACAGTATACAGCATTCTCGCCTCGGACCGACCCTTGGGTACCGAGACCGGGTTTTCACATAATTGGAGCAATGTTGCAGGTTGGCGTGGGATATGTGTGTGAGCTGCAGCTGGCTTGCAGAGAGACTGGCCAACAAATCTCCGTCGTACCAACGTCCCTTGGATTACGTCTCGCGAACACGTGCTGGCCGACTGACCTCGGGACCGCAATTGGAGCCAAGCATATAAGAGAACTGCATCGAAAGGACGAAAAGTAAGACGGAGGGCTCACAGCAATTGGTCGATTCGCCAGCTTGTAGCTACTCAGTGTTGATTACATCATCAAGACTCATCATCCAATCAAAGTTCGAGTCATGTCCGCGCTCCTCACCTCTTAGTCTTCGCAGTTTCACCCGGACGTCAACAGTATTAGATGCCAGCTCCAGATCAATTCATCTGACTCAGTATACCGAGCATAGTGCCTCCGTGCGACCAGTGGCCCTAGGATCCAGATGGTAGCACATTGGCCGAATGTGCACGAGACAGGAGATGATTACTAGCACATGGCAGACAGGAGCTGTCTTAAAATCAAACCATGCCATACACATATCAACAAACGTAGCGCGAGCTATGTGCACGTCAGAGACACGTTCATGAGAAGTTCGCAATTGTATTATCTAAACGCGAGGGCTCGCAAAATAAGTGACCTTACCTTCTATGCCTACGATGGGTAAGAAAGACCAGTTTCCTGCACATTTCATCAGCCACGACTCTCGTCACTTACAGCTTTTTAACCAAGAAGCCCACATAAGCAATCATCGCACTCTAGCGCATGCTTCGCAAAAGCCTCTGCCACGGCCTCCTCCATGCCGAAAGCCACCAAGTGCCTATTTTTGCGGCACTCGTCATCCAGATGACGCGCAGCAGTGTTCCACAAGTCCTTCCACAGTGCAGCCTCAGCCTCACGCTCCTGATACGTCCCAGATTGTGCCTCCATCGAGGAGTACGACACTGCAGTCAGAAGGATTTCAGGGATGAATGACCCATGTGACACCGTCATAGGAGTCAAAGACTACACCTCAAGATAACCCCCAAGCTCACTGCCAGGGCTAACCCGCTCGAGCACATCGAAACCGTAGCCGATATCGATTGCCAGCCCAAGGACACGAGCCTGAGTCTTCGCCTTGCCCACGCTGCGAGGCGGGCAGCACAAACAGCGGACGTCGATGTCAAACTCGCTATAAGTGACATCGATGTCCATACCAAGCTCCCAAGCCCGAGTCCTGGCCTGAGTCGGCTCGATCTTCTCGAAGGACACTCCATCCAGCCATGTACCAACCTTATCTCCCTTCTCAGCAAGCAGAGAAGGGTGAATCGCCCCAATTTGCACATTCTGCTTCTTACCTGTGTTGAAAGCAGCATCGACAATCTCTTTCGCCCAACGCACCCTCAGCGCCAGCGCTTCCAGATCAGCCTCCTCATCTGTCTGCGCCTGGTGGACCAGTCGCTGTGTAGACTGCACAGCGCGCCAGGCGCGGAGGACGATGGGTTTCATTTTGCTGGGGTGGATGGTGAGAATGTTGACGAGGGCGGCAAGGTTGGTGGCCATGAGGGAAGTGAGGTCAGTGGTCATCTGAGCAGTGAGCTCTGCTTCGGTGAACATCTTTGTATTGGGGGAGATGTGCTTGGAGGGATGCTGTGGCATTGGATGGTGTATGGGAAGGATGAAACTTTGAGGGGGCTTGTGTTGCGAACTTCTGGCCTGCTGGAGGGGTCAGGCTCAAGGCTTATAATCAGTTCGATTAACAATGTATGCCAGGATTAGTGTCGACGATAGAAACATTGTGTATTTCACAAGTACGTTTGTAACATTGTGCACAACTATCTTCTATGAAGAAGTGGTATCGTTGCGCCACCCTTTTATTCTTCCTCTTTGTGTCCTTGCTTTTTCTACTGCGTGCCACTCAAACAATGCTCTCTCCAACAATCTTCAGCACCATACTACCACTACCCGGCTTACTAACAACAACGGCCTCCTCTAGCTTCTCGTTCGTGATGTCTGGGAACTTCTTCTTGTAGTACTTCTCCTCCCACGCTTGCTTAACAGCCTCGACCTTGTCCTTGGGGACCAAATGCACGCTACATCCTCCCCAACCAGCACCGGTCAGCCTGCTACCAGCAGCGCCGGCACTGCGCGCGAGATTGCACAGCTCATCTAGCTCGGGACAGCTACAGTCGTAGATGTCGCGGCATGAGGTTTGTGTCTCGTTCATAAGGTCACCCAATCCTTTTATGAACTCTTTACCATCCGGAGGTGGCGCGGACAGTAGCTGTCTGAACTTGATGACGCGGAGTGCTTCGGTGAACACGTGGAGCGCACGCTGTCGCAGCTTGAACCTGTCCGCCCGAACAGGGAACTTTGACATGTAGCGCTGGTTGAGCTCGTCTTCTGATACACCAAGCAGCGCGCAGATGTCACTTCGTGTGTAGCCCTCTTCTTGCGGCAAGTAGTCGCCTGCCAATTGGACGAGCTTGTTGAGTTGGTCTTCGAAGTCCGCGACAGAGGTCTTGGTGTTGTCTGATACGCCTTGCTTCTCTTCAAAGTATGTGTCGTGGAAGCCGCGCAGGCTGACGCCAAGCGGAGAGGAGTCTTGAGGTAGTTCTTGCTTGAGCCCGAATACTTTTGCCAGGAAAACCGCGGCGAGGGTACATTCTACTACGCGCAGGTTGTAGCATACGGGTGCGGTGACATGCTTGTCGGCAGCCACGAAGCTCTGGGCGGTGACAAACGTGAGTTCGGGGTCTGTGTGTGGGAATTCGAGAGTCGTGTAGTTGAGGGACGGCTTGAAAGAGACGTATAGCGCGGAGCCACGGAGCGAAAAGACAGATGCTGCTTGGTCCATGCTGTTCAATCGTTAGCATGTTCTAGTCATGAGCGTAAATTGCGTACCCTCCAGAGTTGACACCGACTTCTCTCTCCGAGACAATGGCCAATTCACAAAGCTCCTTCTTATCCACCTTTGTCTCTCCATTCGCTGTCAGCACAGCCAGTGCGGTTGTGCATGTGAACGATGCTGAGCTTGACAGTCCACCACCGCTCGGCACTGTACCATCGCACATGACGTCCATTCCAACGGAGACAAATTGCTTCCCTTGCTTCTTGCAAAGCATTTCTGTGACACCTTTGAGACCAGACCTGAAATAATTGGTCCATTCATGCTCAGAAGCATCTATGTCAATGGTGCCCTCGGACGGTATTTCAAATTCGCGGGAGGGGAACTTTTCGGATTGAACGTTTGCAATGCGCACTCTGTGCTTTTCTTCAGACGGCCGAACGGCTACGGCCATGACAAAGTCAGCGGTGATAGCCATGGGTAACACTTCGTATAGAGAGTAGTCGATGTGCTACGAATAGTCAGTTGAGTAATTGCTGATAGGCATGCGTCGTACACACCTCGCCGATGATATTGACCCGTCCCGGGCTTCGTGCTACAAACCCTGCAGGTCTTCCGTATGTCTCCTTGAACTTAGCCAGTATCCGTTCCCATCGCTTCGCCTGTACTGGAACCGCATCCTCGGGGTAGATGTCGTGCAATGACGTCGCCGTAGGGACCTCCATGACGGCGTCTAGAAGCGTACAGGATTCAAGAAGTTCCGGTGCACGTGTCGTTGTTTTTCAATTGAGTCTATACGGGTGGGATTAAGCTAGATCGCGAGCAAGGTATGGTTACGCTCTGTAGTCGCGATTTTGCGGTAGAGAAGAGTAGGAAGCAACGGGTATCTCCAGTCAAACAGGCCAAAAGAAGGAACGAAAAGGACGAGAGGGCAGGGCAGGTCAACGAGAATTAATATAGGTGGATAAACTATGCAAAGCGTGTGTCGTCGCGCGGCTCGGTGGTGTGCAAAATAGCGGGGGAGCTAAGGTGGGGTTGGGAGCTTTCCCGTTGAGGAATTGGATCCGGCACATCGGGCGGAAGATACAGGCGGGCTTGAGTACAACAACGAACAGGCCCCCGGAAAATTGAGCGTGATTGTGACCTTTGTAACAGTTGCAACTGCGGCTGTTCGGAATTCATAACGGGTCTACTTCCCTAAGGACACCGGTACGTCACGTGAAGTACGAACTTCCAAGTCTCTCAGATAGGTTCACACTGTATCCGTGTCTCATCCTAGGAGCCACCTAGGGCAACGTTTTCTCATCGTGGACGTTTCGATCGAAGAATGAGTTTTGGGAGGGGCATCACTTTACCAGCGCACCGCACCCACGCACCTCAACCGAGATTTACTACTATACATGTCTTGTTGTTGGCTGGATGTATCGGGACTGTGGCATCTGTTCACGAGTTGCTGTGATTGATGGAGGACATTGCGAGACGTGAGCAAGAGGGGATCCTTGTTTGGGGGTAAAGACAACGCCCCAAATCTTTGCTTTGGGTATCACCATCCATATGTTCTTTAGCTCTATCTCTGCTCGTACCCTCCCCGTCAACCCAAGCCTCTGCCCCTTCCTCGCAGACCCCGCCCAATGCCACTTCCGGCTCGATTGCTCGTTGAAATGCTGCGATTCAGCCCGCCTCTGCCGGTCTGTCCGCCAACGCCAACGTGACCCGTACTTGATGTAGATGCGCCGCGTGACCTCACACCTCCCCGTCCTCTCCCGCGCGCGCCGGGTTTCACTGTTGCTTCTGCTTTTCTGCGATCATCCTCCGATTTTCGCGCAGCTGCTTCCCGTCGCGCGTGATCTTCGGCTGCTCTTCGCTCTGCTGCCTGTTGCTTCTGCACTGCTTCCTCTTGTATATCGACGAGATCCTGGGTCGCGCCTTGCCACTGTGGATTCAGGATGAGGCGCTGGTTGTGTTCGGTCTGGGAGAGGATGCGCGTCCATGTCTGCAGGAGGGTTGTCGCGTTGTTCACGGTTTTTGAAACAGTCTGCTCTAGATCAGCGTCCACATCCCTATTGTTGTCCGAACAATACATACATCCATGTTGTTCCTGGCCTTCTGTAAACTCTCCACTACCCCCTCAATAACTTTATTGACATTGCGCACGCTTTCGAGCTCCTTGCGCAGGGCCGCCTCGCGGTCTTCCTTGGTTGAGTAGTGCGACTCCTTTGTACGCGCCTTGCCGGCGGCAGCACCTTCTTCGGCGTCAATTGCATCGTCTGGAGCGTTGGTCTTGTTCTTGCGCGCCGCGGGAGTGTCGAACAGCGCGTCCGAGTCAGAGTCAGAGAAGCTGGGACGGTGTGATTTGAGATCATTCATTGTGCGGGTATTCTGCGTCAATGGCAGGTATTGTCCCCCTCTGTGTTCAATGTTTTGGTTGGCGTGTTTGTCGTGTTTGAATGGCGGGGCTGCAGTGCTTGGCGTGTTTGTTGTTGGTGATGGCCCTTGCGCTTGCCATGCCAAGTGACGAGATGGCTGGGCCCAACCTCCTCCCTTCACCGATGCACCACCGCTCTCCACTACCCGCCGCCCGCCCCGTCGCCAGCGCTGCATCTACACTTCGCTAGACACGGTCCCTCTCCGCTATCTTCATATACCCCCATTGGTCCCGTTCGCCCACTTCAGAAAACACCACATCACCCCAGCGACCTCGACCTTGTTTTGGTGTTGGATCCAGTATTCTTGACATCCTTCCACCGCCCACAACCCCGCAAGCTCTATAGAGAGAGACTTGACCACAATGGACCGCACACCCTCACCTCCGCGCAGAGTGCGCACACCGCCAGCGCCTCTGCACGGTCCCAAGTACGACAACTACGAGCCCTTTTCACCGCGCCGGTCGAGTCGGGTGGCCGCCCAGCACAGCGATCACCTTCACCCTCACCACGAGCAAACAAGCTCGTCCCCTCGCAATCGAACTATCCGCGACGTCACACCGACCAGCTCCAGGCCGAAATCGATCAACCGCACTGCGCACTTCGCTCTTTCACCGCCCTCGTCACCTTCTTCTCCCGCCAAAACTCGCTCTCCACGCTCAACACGTCGCGTACAACACGAGACTGCTACACACGACTCTGACTCAGAACCTTTTGCACCGACGCCCGCGCGCCGCCATTTGTCCACAATGGCGCCTCACGGTATGCTCCCGACGCCCGCTAAGACGCCCCGGAAGCGCGCCCTCCATACCGAGGACTCTCTGCGCCCCACTGCGCGTGTTCTGTTTGCGAACCGCCCGTCGACCGTTGAAGACGCCATGCCCACTCCGCGTAGAGCCCACAAGAGCATGAGGAATGTGCTCGACTTGGACAGCTTCGAAGAGCAGATGAGCACCTCTACCTCCAAGATTGGCGTATACGTAGATTCGAAGGAGCGAGTTCCGGATGAGCAGGACGGGGAAAACAACCCGTTCTTGACGCGTCGTGGCAAGGGCAAGGCAAAGGCGGCTCCGAAGAAGGATCGCAAGGCGGACGAGAAGACGCGACAGATCTTCGAGGCCGCTGCTCGTGACGAGGGCATTGTCTACACACAGTATGTACTTGCTGACCTTTCAATGAACTAGACTAACTTTGTGCAGTCGCGGCAAGACTATCTTCCGCCAGTTCGACGATGTCACTCGCTCCGGTGACACAGAGGCGGGTCCATCATCTGAAGATGAGACGCGTCGCAAGGCGGATCGCAACGGTGATCGTCGTATCACGCGCTCTGCCATCAAGCCTAAGCTTCTCTTCAAGGAAGAGATTGAGCGTCTCAAGCGGGAGAATGGCGAAGAAGACGACGAGGAAGCACCCACCGATATTGAGCTTCCGATTGCCACCCCGAGCCGCAAGACGCGTCATGTCGACCCCTCAGCTTCCTCCCCCAAGGATACTGCGCCCGTGACCAAGACCGTCAAGCGACGTAAGTACTGTCGACGCACACGTAACGTATGAGCTAAACATGTCTAGAAATGTCCTTCGAATCGTGGAGCCGCGTCAAGTCCTCTTCCCGCGGTCCTAGCTCCGCTCGCGCAGGTACAAAGCGCAGTGGACCACCGCTTGAGCAGACCGCTGAGAAGCGGGCGCGGAGTGAGCATTCTTCAACCTCCTCTTTTGCTAGCGTCTAACGCGGCTCAGACCGCTGATGCAGAGCTACCAATCAATCACAACGCCACGACTTTTCCACTGCATGCCTCACCAGGTTCTTGCATACTCACTTTCTGGCGTTATCTCGGCATTCATGTTTACGAAAGCATCAACCCACTGTCTCTCTGAGCGACTATTTGTGTAATGGCACGACCAAGCGAGCGTTAGCTTGCTTGCTTATAGCTTGCTAGATACCTTTTCGCGACGGATGAACTGCGTAAGTCTTCTTCTTTTCGACTGTTTAATTTATGGTTTGGGCCCTGTCTTGCGACTGAAAGGCCGCACCTGCTCGATGATCATTCTGTATTGCATTAGACTCTACCACGGGCTGTGTGGTTTTAATTGTTGGGCTGTACGGTACATCTCGTGCCTTTTTGTAGTTAGGTCGAGCTGGGCCCTCGTTGTTCTCGGATACCCTTGCAAGGCGTTTGTGGTTTGGATGGTGGCAATCCTTGTCTGTATCCGGGCTGCGTACAGTATTCGCTATGCTGAGTGGGTTCTGAGACGCTCATTGTGTGATGAAAGCTATGAGCGCGAGGACCTGGTGAATACTTTGGGCTCGAGGTAAGGTGCACTATGCACAAGTGGTATAGCTCGCGAATCATGAATGAAGGCATCAATCACGAAAACACCACTTCTCTTGCGACGGGCAACACTCATACTCACCTGTAGGGCCGTTCTCCATGAGCGTCGCTGAAACTTTTGAAGGACAAGGTCCACGCTCCCTGAAAGCTTGGTCATGCAGGTTCTAGTCAGGAGTAAAAGGGAGGACGTGAAAGAATACATAACATGAACGGAGGGCTGGTATTTATACGTATAATCATTGGCTCGTGCGCTCAATATCGCATCACACGCATGCATCCTTCCCGTATCACCGAGATCCACTGGCGCATCGTTCTCCCTCAACGCCCCACGTGGAGTTGTGTTCTGCATCTCGTGGCATGCATCGAACGTCCGCTCTTCGCACCATTAGAACTACCGCCGGCCCAGATCGATATCCAATACTTTGACCAACCCCTTGCCGTTTCTATGACTAGCCCCGTCAGGCCCATCTGCCTCTCCACTCGTCTCGCCAAAGAAAGGTTTGATCCCCACTCTAACAACCTCAACCATCAGTCCCTCAACAACACCCTTACATTCCTCGCCAGTTTGTCGGAAGTCCGGAAACGCATTGACTTCCAACAACCACGTCCTCAGCTCCCCGTTCTTTTCGATACTGATCATAAAATCCAACCCAAAAATCTCGAATGCATTCGGCAGCGCCTGAAAGTGAATCGACATGCCGCGCGCTGCAGCTTCAAAAACTTCTCCCGTGATTGCACAAATCTGCTTGTATACTTCTTCCTTCCAATTGGCATTGGGTGGTAGCGGAGTCGAAGCTTCCTTGGCTCCGTCGGAAGACGGATTGAGGGGTTGCTCTGGTATTCTGTCGGGTAGGTTCCAGAACGAACCCACACTGCCTTCCCGATCGCCCGTCTCCTGCAAACATGTATTCGTCAAATGCGCTCTCAGTGCGTCTTCCGCGTGTCCCTCTAAGGTTGTAGATGAAGGCGGAGTGTAGGGTCTCGCGGCAAAGAGCGCAAGCATGGGGTGGTAGACGTGGATTTGAAGGGCGCCGGTTGCGAGAACGTAGGTCCGGATGTGGAATTTGTGGGTAGCGGATGGAGAGGAAGAGGAAGAGGAGGGTGGGGCGAGGAGTAGAGGCGGGTGGATGTAGGGCTGCGCGATGAAATGGCGGAGTTGGGATGTTATAATGCCGCCTCCGTCTTTCCCATCACCGCCAACCTCCTCTTTTCCAGAAGCTTCAGAAACAAATCCCGCGTCACTCCGTGTATCGTCGTCCTCTCCCTCTTCTTCCTCATCATCAGACTCAGGATCCCACCCCTCAAAAATGCGCGTCAACTCCTCCTCCGAGCTAAACAGCCTAATACCCTGTCCCCTCTCACTCATTCCCGGTTTCAATATCCACCAATCCTTTCCCCCATTTCCTTTACTGCGCCTCCAGCTCTCATGCAGCTCCCATGCCTCCACAAGCGCATCATCCAAAAACTCCGCATAATCAACTTCGAACTCCACACTCGGCTTCACATGCTTCGCGAGCACGGACTCAGGGTGCTTTACAATCCAATTCGCCACCGTGGTAGCAAGATAATGCTTCCGTATCAGCGCCTTCCTAATAACGTACGCGTTGGCTAGGCTAGTCGTCGAGTGTTGGAATACGTGCTCGAAATTGATGGATTCGTATTGCACCCACTGGAGGACGCGCGAAGATTTAGACGGAGTAGCGTTCAATTCGGAGATCAATTCTATTGTCTCTGGGGGGAAATGTTTTTGGATCGCGGCGACGATGAGGGGTTGTACATACGGATCCTCATAATTGATTAGTGCGTATATCTTGTTGTCTTCTAGTGGAGGTGCTGCAGCCATGATGAGAAGTGAAGTCGGTAGCCGTGGGTATACAGTTCCTGGTGTTATGTCTTTCTAATTTGTGTGGGGATATTCGATCTGCACGCTCGTATAAGAGGCAACACGTAGGGTAACAAGGTAAATCGAAGATGCACGAAATTGGCTAAACGTTCCTGAAGTTTTTCGGCTTTGTGTTTTGTGGGTATTAAGAAATAAAAAGGTCGTTGTCGGGCAGCTCTTGCTCGCCCAAAAAGCTGCACTTTCACTTGCTCAGTGGCCCGAGCTTCATCCAGCCAATCAGGGCAAGCCTACCTAAGCACGCCAGAACACCCCATGCGCAGCTCATCTGGGCATAAACAAAAGAAACCCTACTCGTGGATATCAGAAGCCCAGTAATCAAGCAATCCCCGGGAATCAAACAACCTCCAGATCATCATCATCATCATCCATGGCCGCAATCAGCCCAACGTCCATTGTGCCCAAGCTGTCCCTTCCTGGCTCCCTAATTCCCTTCTCCGGTAACAGTAACCTTGCTTTCTTCTTCGCGGGACTTGGTTCTCTGGTGCCGCGCATTGAAGAAGCGGGTTCCTTTTTGGGGGGAGAGAGCAGGAGGCCGCGCTTGCCGGCGCCGCCCCAACCTACAGGTTCGTTCGAAGCGGTGGATTTACCAGAGATGGCGCGCTTACGCTTCGCAGCGCCGCGATCCAGTGAAACATCTTCTGCTTTCTTGTTAAGGAGGCCGAGGACGTCGCTTGGATATGAGGTTTGTGATGGCTTGGTGACGAAGGGGTCGTCGAGCGCGGTGGCCGACCGGGTGGACTGTGATTGCATAGCTGGAGCAGAAGTCAACGCAGCGCGCTTCATATAGTCACCACCAGCACCACTACCTAGATCCCCGAGCCTTCGTGCCAGCTCGCGCTCCTTCTCTTTTTCAGCGAGCTGTTTGCGATGCTTTTCAGCGCGGTCTGTGACATGGTATGGCTGCTCGTCTCGATCTAGTAATCTCGCGGCACTACCAGCGCCAGGTGTGATATACATAGTCTCATGGAGAAAGGCGTCATGATATCTGCCTTCTCGCCTCAGCTCATCGCCTCTCCCTCTCCCTCGACCAGCACCACTGAACATCCCGCCTCGACTGGTTCCAGGTCCCTTGCCAAAGCCGGTCATAGTGTTGACTTCCATCCGGCCACGCTTGCTCTTCTCCACTTGAAGTTCAATGTGGAAGTCGCAAAACTCGGTTTTACGTCCGTCGATCCACTGCGCGCATTCTTTGCCATCTTTACGCATCGCATGGCAAAAGTCTAGATCTCGCGCTGAGCCGATCTCAAGCACAGTATCATCGGAGCTGGACAGCTTGAGAGAGAATTTCGTCGAACCGCGATCGCGCGGTGGCAGAATGTCGGGGTTCAAGATAGCGATCAGTGTCCCAGGCGTCAGTTTCCAGTATTTCGAAAACCCAGTATCGAAGAGAAACAGCTGGAGCTCCCACTTGAGATCCGTCAATGTAATGATCATGAACTTGTTCGTCGCATGCGCGTCCTCATCTTGATCGCCTGCGGATCTCTGTTTGACTGCATTCTTGGTAGCCATCGGCGATGACTTCGCTGCTATGACGCCCATGACTACATAGTCATTTTCCATGTCTGGCGGATCATACTCGGGCGCTTTGACGGTTTTCAGGAGCTGCGGTATTGTGACGACAGTCTTGCCATCTAGGGTCCGAGTCACTACATTGTGTTGCATCTCTCGAGACTTCAAGTGCAGGCCAGAGAATGATTCGAAACTGGGGGCATCCGCACTGTCTTCGCGTTGAGATATCTCCGCATACTTGGCTGCTGTAGCTGTAGAGCCGAACCCTCTTGACGATGGTCTTGAAACCGCAGATGGCGTTCGTGAAGCATCCAATTTTCCAGATGAGGTCGATCCTGGCCTGGGCGTCATGGTGTTTCGTAGCTTACTGGTATGCCGGCTTTGTGCTAGGCTTTTACCTGCAGATATAGCATTTTCTGAGCTTTTCGTTCCTGAGCTTAACGAAGAGGCTGCTCTGGAAGCCGGCCTGTCTTTAACACCCTCAATGCTCTGCAGCCCAAAACCAACACTCCTGCTCTTCTCGATCCTCGCCTGCTTCTCTTCGCGCTCTCTTTCCTTATTTCTGCTGTCCGCGATCCTCTCGCTAAAACTCTTGATCTTTGGTGCCTCTACGGCCGGAGCTGATCCTGTCCGCGAATGTCTTCCTGCCGCAGTTCTGCTCGATAGACTCGACGCTCGCTTGAGACTGACATCCCGTGCCCTCAGCCCTTTATCGATACCAAGCAACACCCTCGCAGGGCTTCTCTGTTCCTCGGGCTCCCGTCTATTCCGCGCAGGCGACACCGGAACCTGCACTTCGGATTGTGGCCTGTGAATCTCTACTCTTCTCGCACTGGCCGCCGTACCTGGTCGCGAGATTATGCGCGTGCTTTCCGTCTCTCCATCGTCGGCCGTTTTCTTCACTTTCTGCAGCCTCTTGAGCTTTAATCGCGCCTCGATGGCTTGGAGTTTGAGCTGCAGCGTCTCCTCGTCCTCCTCTTCCTCGTTGTCTGAAACTGCGGATTGAATGCGCGACATGGGGCGGCGCTTGCTGGGCGAGGGCGATGTAGAATTACGTTGACGTTGGTCTTCATACTTCCTGCGCGCAGAGGGCGACAATAGCACGGCGTGATGTGGGGATTTTGGGGGCCAATTCGGTGCCTCCTTCGGTGCTAAATCTCATCAGCTTCGAGGCCATAGCAATGCGCCAGAGTCGAATACGAACCTCTCGACTTTGGGCTCTCCCTCACGATCATAATTGTAGAGTAGGCACGCGATGCGCTCGGGGCAGCTCGCCCATATCCTTTGCCAGGACCCCACGCATGCGCTGCGATACAAAATACGGAGGCGGAAAAGGACAATAACAGAGGAGAAACGGGTGGACGGCGTGTGTCTGGTTCAGCGATTTGCTGTCCGACGTGCGGCTAGGTGTTGTTTGGCGTTCGATTAAGGTTGACTTGAAACAGACCGGGGTGACGCGGGACAACGCGTCAGGATTGGCTTCACAGACGCGACGCGTCCCCCATTCTATAACTCCGAAATCTTACAACTGCACACCACGTATTTTGGCGGTAGACATAATCGAGCTGTATACTATCAAGCATTTTACGGCCAGTCACATACTCGAGCAATGGCACGCACACGCTCCAAACCCAAGCCCAAACCAACAACCGCGAAAGAAACCACGCCCGAACCTCCGCAATCCACAACGAAGCCGCTACCACCATCTACCACCAACCCGCCGAAGCTCTTCGTGCTTCCGAAGGACACGTCGCTTAAGTCGCGCATAGTAACGCTTGAAAACCCCGCCAATGGCGCGCCCTCACGGTACTACTTCTGTCCGAGCATGGGCTTCTACGAGTTCACCCGCATCGCGGCGCCAAAGAAGGACTGCAAGAGCTGGTTAATAACACCCAACAAGACAACAGACAATGAATTAAAGGACCAACATGCGAAAGAGGAGACTACCACACAAGAAATGGACACAGGAGCAGGACTAGGTGGTGGCTATGTCACCAACAAGGCGGACATATTCCTTGCTACACCCATCGACCTCCTTTTCGTTGTCTTACCTGCGTTGGCACCGAAAGCCGGTGCTAAACAAGGCGAGAAACAGCATTTCCTCTCGTTTGAAGACCACCTCGACACCCTCGCCTCTATATCACGGCAATGGAAAGTCCTCTTATCGCAACACCAAGATCTGAAAGACATGATCGAGCGTCGAATGGCTACAGTAAGCGATACCGTGACTGCCGGAGGCGAAACCATGTACCGGCTGTCACACGAGAAGCTCATCAAGGTGTTAACGAAGAAGGCGGAGCGCATGTGCGCAAAGGGACTGCCGCCGTCTATGGAAGAAAAGTTTATCAAAACAGTACTCGAAGTTCCCGTCATGAACGTCCTACGGTCAGACACCTTCACCACCACCTCAACCCCAGCCCCCTCAGATACGCAAACCACTACTGTCTCAACCCTTAGCCGAACAGAGAGCGATATCTCAACAACCACAACCGTAGACTCCAAATCCACCTCCTTCACCTCCGCTACCTCTGTCACCCCCACCCCTGAAGACCTCGTCGCAAAACCCGCCCTCGAGACCCCACCTGAAATCCCCACCTCCTCCGCCTCCGCACATCCCTCACCTACCTCACCACCTCCTACCTCCCGCCCTCCCTTCATCCACTCATTAAGTCTTCCCCCATCCCCGATTTCTCATCCCTGGACACGCACCTCGCCTCCCTCGCGAAGCTCCGCGCAGAAGCGCTCGCTTTACGCTCGATATCAGACAACATCTCTCGCAAGCGCGGGCACGATGAGGACGAGGGCGCGATCATGGAGCGCGAGGAGAAAAAGAGGAAAAAGGAGGAGGAAGAGAAGAAGAAGAAGGGGGAGAGTAGGGCGGTCAAGCAGTTGAAAAAGGTAGATACGAGTGGGATGAAGAAGTTAAGTAGCTTTTTCACAAAGGCGGGGAAGAAGTCTTGATTGTGACGGCAGTTAAGTAAATACCTTTTGCGGAGTATTTGGGAGTGGGATGGCAGCTCGGGCGTCATGCGTTGGGCTTCAATATCCCTGGAAGAGCGAGGAGGGGAGCATTGGCATGAAGTTGTATACCACCAACCCCCTTATAAACCTGCCTGGATGGGACAATTTCTTATGCACCGACCGCAACCAAGGTCCTCATGCCCTGCAGATCCTACATAGATGGCAAGCTGCTGCAAACATCATCTTCCACCTCCATACCATCCATCAAAGCCATTCCACGTTCACAAGGTTTCTCAGTCTTGACACTCCCACACTCCCACCCCAGCCTAGCACGCAATCTGCCCTCCGCCTAACACACACTCCTCCAGCCAAAACCACCCAGCTCCTCACACGCCTCCTCTCTCTCCCCCTCACTGTCGTAGCCCCAAGCGCATCCCCAGTCTTAATCATGCAAATGGAACAATATCGCACACAGCTGCTCGACACCTCACATGTAGCTCACCCCATTAAGCCAATAGTGTGCATCGACGGCGCAGTCGTTGTCATCGATGAGCATGCCATTGATTATATTGCACAGCTTGACTGGACTCAGCACGGTACTGAGCATCGTCCAGGAAACCTGGAAACCGCATGTCGTCAGAGATGAAGTGAAAGGCGAGTTACCGGCGCTTATAGCGATGTGTGGGGACGTACGTCCGGATGTCCTTAGCGAGGGGAGAGAAGCGGTGGCGGTACCGCAGAGTATGCCAGTGCACACTTTTCGGTCCATCTCACCCAAATAATCAAATATGGGATGATCTCACGAGCAGGGCTCACGAGAAAAAATTGGTGTTCAATCGACCTCTTGGTCATTTGTGCACGGGCACCAAGTTGGTGTGTACGACATGCAGATGGAACAACTGGATCACTTAATCTAGATGCGTGTCTGATTTCTGATCCTTGGAGAATAGCTACACATTCAAGAAGATCAGTCGTGCAGGCATCGTCAGGAAACTCGAAGAAAGCCAAGATAGAAAGAGATTCAAAAGGAGCTGGTTCTTTATTGAGATTAAATGTCAGTTGTGGCAAGGAAAATATCAAAGGCTTGTCGGGGCTATGCATTTGAGACATCGATGTGAGACATGGCGCAGGAAGTGGCACAACGTCTGATATCAGTTAGGATAGCTCATGGTGCATGCATGAGCTTGCCGAGGGCATGTGTGAATTAAGTCAGAGTGTCCGCAACGCGAAGGCGTACACTATAATCAGGTGTAGCTTACATGCGCCGATCTCTATCCAATGCCACTTGTTCCGTCTAGTTTAAAGTGGCACACCGTTGACTACCCTGGGCGATCTCCACAATGTGTTCCCATACTTGACCTAGGTACCAGAGAAATCATCAAGAAAGGTGCTTGTTTTGCAAATGCTTTTCACGCATACACACTAACCTTCGCTGATAGGCACGTGTATTTCGCAGTGTGCGTAACTGAAGGCAGCAAACCGCGAGTCAAGGAGGGCAATACGTCGATCCAGTTCGTGAGGAAGAGGTCACTGACCAATCATAACTCTTCGTCAACCTTGTGATGATCCTACCAGTTTCGCTGCCTCCTTCAGCCCTCCGCGGCGCCACTACTAACACAGCCGCCTAACCGATGCCTACCGTTCACGGAAAGTACACCTGGATATCACTCTGCCCAAGCCTCGCTGGCTGGGCGCAGCGCGATTATCAGTTCTTGGCTTGTCGATTGCAGATGTCTTGACGTTATGAGTGCGGACGCCGATAGACGAAGGATGGCTGGCTGGCGTATACATGTAAGACGGTGCCTGGAGGCAGCTGAATTCAAAGTGCGAGGTATCTTGTGATCTCAATCGTAGCCAAAAACAAATCAAACGATTATAACGACAAGCCGGCACCGATCCAGCACCATGGATATCAAGCAGCAGCAGAATGGTCGGGAATACCACGGCTATGATGACACGGGTGAGTTGCGCCTCGTGCGCCCTGATTGTCAAGCTCAACCGTGGACAGCACAACCGCAATACGTGCGAGACGTGCGCGGCTCTGCTTCCTCTATACGAAATCGCTCAATGTCCAACTCCACAACACATCTCCACACGGCGTCATCTAGTTCCACGTCATCGCACTGGAACGGTCGATCATCGGATTGGCAGCCTGAGATTCGCAGAGTGAGTGGTCAATTCAACGCGCCGACACATGTGGAGATCCAGAGACACCAGAAAGATAAGAAATCGAGGGACACTATTATGGGGTCCCGGAGGGCTGGGAAGGAGATATGGGAGCAGAGAAGTCTCGCGAGCAGAGTGAAAGGGTGGATGTCGTTTTGAGAGCAGAAAGGCAAGAAAACAACACCATGCCCCTGACGCCGAGAGCATCTGTTGTGCAAATCACCCTGGCTTCGAGGCGGGTGCATTGTTACCACAGCGATCTTAAGAATCCCATCATTGACAGAATCCCATTCGTTTCACATACCATCCTCATCAAGCCAATGACATCATCACTACGCAAGCCCACGTGACCTTATCCCGCCTTTCGCGCACCCCAGACCCCACAACGTTTACGCTGGACCCACACCTCAGCCGCTCGCGCGTCCACGGAACACCCTATTCCTGCTTTTCCATGCCACGCCTGAAACACAATCGTCGCAAGAGGCAATTCCGTCGCTGTTCCTGCATCTCCAAAGCGGCGATCACTGATTAGCCGGTCATCCTTACTGCTTCCGGTTGTGATGGATAAAGCTCGGACATGACGTCGCGAACTGGTATGCAATGTATATGTTCGTGAATGATGGCTGCGAGGATGACAGCAAAACTGAAATACTTGGCTTTATCACAAATCTTTCTGACTGGAGGATACTGAGAAACGCACGTATCTGCGCGGGAATACAAAGCGATCAAACACGAATAGAGTCATCGCAATATAATTCAACAACATGGACGACTTCCCAAGATCAACAGTCGCAGTCCGCGAACTCTCGCACGCCTCATCTACCAATGTCGCAAATCCTCACGCTGCCCCCTCTTCGCCCTCTCTCTCCAAAATTTCATCCGAGTCTTCACGCCATTCTTGCGAAGCGCCACGCTCTCCTTCCACCACGCATAGACGCGAGTCCGAGAGCCTCACATCGTTCCCACCACCAAGCGACTGCAAACGCACGACAGCATTTGATCCCGATGCGCCGCCACCCTATCGCGAAGAAGACTTCCAGGGAAAGAGCAAAGACGAGGTGCGACGGATGCGCAAGAGAGACTATGCGGTCGAGATATCGAGATTGATGGGGAAGCAGTTGGTCAGAGGGATGAATGGGAAGGGTGGAGATAAATGAGTTGCTGACCAACTTCGACGAACGGGTTGATATCCTGCTGTTGAACGAAATTTTCTTTCTATACTGTATTAACATTCTTCCCTTCTCAATCATGTTTATTGAGCGACGGCGTTGGCTTTACTGCTTTGATGCGGCATATGTACATTTGTCTCGACTAGGGTCTGCGAAAGTCGAAGTGATGGAACCCATCCACTTTACTTTTGCTGAGTGTTGTATGATAACAATTGAGGAGCTACCATCATTTTCTTCAGTCTGATCATGAAGCATTTACCATATACACAATGAGATCATCATGAACAGCACGTCTCCACGTCCGTAAAATTGGTTGAGTCAACAACGCCCCACTTAGACAGGCCGACACCACAATTGCTCCCACTCTGACAAGCAGTGTTCAGTCCATAAATTATTTCCCTACCCATCTCTACCACAGGTACCGGTCAAATATTGACTCAGTAGAAAATATCACTTGAACCCACCTATCCTGTCACGCTCTAATATCCATGACTTTCGCTCTGTGACGAGCACCTCGGTGTTTCAAACTTCGACTGCCTCGTTGTTTTGTCATTGATTCTCCCTTCACGATCTCGCGCATATGTTATAAGAAGCCCTTCGCACAGTAGTCGGGCACAATATGAAGGGCCGTATTGGAGCGGCTATGACATGTAGGATCAAGAACGTCTCATGCAGGCAGCTGCCTGCACTATGCGCTCGACAGCCTTGACTGTAAAATTCTTCAGATTCATTCGTTCTCATGCACGCCGGCAGCTAGACTCTGTATTGTGACGCTAAGGTATGATTCTGTAATGATTCCATGGCTATGTACCAATTTGGTGGGTCATACATTCAATCTAAGACGTTTGACATTCGTTGCTGTCCTACATTCCACTTTATATCATGATGGAAAGTAGCCGAGTCTTCTTTTCAAGATCATTCGAAGTGATAATATGCCAATGACTCGTTCAAGGCAGATCTCACGCTTACACGATCAGTATTCGCACCTTTTAGGTTCAGGTACCTAGTTAGATCAGGGAGGTACTATGATATCACAAGACGGCAGTTATGCTAACCTATATTATTTAGCGTTATGGCATGCAGCTACAGCAATCTGTAGGGCTCATTTGTCAGAATGATGTAGGCATCACGGTCCAGTTCAAGTTAGGAGCTTGATGGTACACGTCGAATCTGTGACCGTTGAGGCATGGATACAAGAAAGAAATAGGATACATAAAGTAAGATTTAGCGTAGACCTTTTCTGGACTCACTTGTTATTCTTGCTTTCTTCTTCCGTTGGACCAAATGCTTTCTCTTCTGCCTCACCTACTCGTCTCTCTTTCCGCTCCTGCAACCCCATCAACCATCTCCCCCTCCCAACAGCCCAACACCCCTCCAGCTCCTCACTCCTCAATCAATCTCCCGTGCTCATCGTACCGATCGAGCATCAGGCCCCTGCCTTTCCATGTCGTTCTGCCCCCACTTGACTTCACCGCGCTAGTGAAAGATGAAGTGGAAGAGGAGGATGGGCACTTGGGGCAGGTGACGGAGTACGTGTGTGAGTGCGTGCTGAGCAGGTGGTGTATCCCAGTGTCACAAAGTGCTTTTGCGATGCGCTTACGCAACGACACCTTCTTTGTCGCCTTGGACTGTCCTGGACTTGGGGGCATTTGCAGCACCGGAAGTTGATTCGAGGTGGCGTCACGAGTGCGCGATGTAGTCGGGGAGGCGGCAGAGTGTTGGCGTAGTGTGGGTGGGCTGGATGGCTTCAAGGGAGCTCGCAGGGTTCCGAGTGAGAAGTGAGGCTTGATACCCATATTGGCACTGGAGTAAGATTTCGAAGTTTGGGCTCAGACGGATGTGATGCTGACAGATAGTCGCGCTGTGGAGTGTGCTTCGAGCGTTACGGTAGTGTGGATGAACTTAGTAGTATGGGAGCGTAGCTATGGAAATGTAGCTTTGTAGGTGTGAGTGTATCCTTGCGTGTATCAAGAGAGGAATGCACATGAATAGGAACATATATACTGGGCAAGAAAACTCCATTTCGCAATCTTGGTACTTCCAGCATCACCGGTCGTGTCTCATCTCCACTAGAGTTGGACTGGAAGACGAGGCGCATGCTGTGTACCTGAGTTCGCGACGGAGTGCTGTATGGTTGGGAAAGGTGAACTATGGGTCGGTACGCAACACAGCCTCGCCGCACCTCCAAACCTAGATCTGGGGAAACTCGATGCCTAATTGGTCAATATAGCTATTCTCTATGAGTAAAAGCACCGCGTCAAAATTGCCATTCAGCCCGGTCGTACAGCGAAGAAGGACGTATCATATTGATAATTTACTCCTCAGATGCAAAGGTATCGCCAGACATACATACTTTCAACCCCTAAGTCCCCGCTTTTGAACTTTTGTCTCCGTCTCAGTCAAAATAGTGGAAGATCATCATACTAATTGCAGCGCACAAACGCCCGAAATCGTCAATAATGTACATGCGAAATGAAGGTATCAAGCTGAAAGACACGAAGCGGAAGCAGTACGCTTAGCGCCCGCTCCTCTCCTTAGTCTTCGCTCTCCGTTCTTTTGCGACTTCTGTGGCGTAGTTAGCGAGCGTGATCTAGCTGACTTAGATGAGCGTGAATACGTACTCTCATCATACACCAAGAACTCGTGTAAGCCATTTCCCGCAGGCACCATAGGCAGCACCGGCACCTTCTGATCAACTACAACCTCGAGTAGGGCAGGGCCCTCCGTGTTGAGGAGCCACTTGATCTTGTCCTCGAGCTCCTCGAGCTTGGACACGCGATCCGCCTGGACGTACATTGCCTCGGCGAGCTTCACAAAGTCGGCGTTCCGCTGGTGAGTATGGGAAAAGCGATCGTCGTAGAAGAGCGTCTGCCACTGCGTTACCATACCCTGCTCCTCGTTGTTCAGCACGATGACCTTGACGCCGATTTTGAACTCCGCCGCGGTGGAGAGCTCGGTCAGAGTCATGGAGAAGGAGGAATCGCCGTCGATGTCGACGACCAGGGCGTCGGGCCTCGCGACCTTCGCGCCGATGGCGGCGGGCAGACCGTAACCCATAGTGCCTAGTCCGCCGGAGGTAATCATGGTACGCGGGTGCGTCCAGCGGAAGTGCTGCGCCGCCCACATCTGGTGCTGGCCTACACCAGTGGTGATAACCGTCTTGTCCTTGATCGGCTCCGTAAGCTTGCTCAGCTTCTCAATGACGGTCTGGGGCTTGATGAAACCGTTTGGGCCCTCCTTCTCGTATGCCCACGGGAATCGTGCTTTCCAGTCCTTGATCTGGGCGAACCATTCCGGGCGCTCCTTGACATCTTTCACGAACGGTACCAGCTGTTGCAGGTTTTGGACTACATCACCCTCGACGGCCTCAGTGGCCTGTACAACCTTGTTAATGTTCTTGGGCATGATCTCGAAATGGACAATTCCACCTCTTCCCTCGGCCGCCGCCGCTTTCGCCTCAGGCGCAAACTTGGCCAGAGAAAGGGTCACACGGTCATCGAAGCGCGCACCAAGAGCGAGAATCAGATCAGCCTCCTGCATAGCCATGTTCGCGTACGCAGAGCCGTGCATGCCCAGCATGTGCAACGACTTTTCATCATGCTCGTCGAACGCGCCAAGACCTTGGAGAGTGGTCGTGACAGGAATTTTCGCCTTTTCGGACAGCTCGCGGAGGATCTTGGGGCCATCAGGGACAGAGACCATTCCCTGACCAGCGTAGATAACGGGCTTCTTCGCAATGTTGATGAGGTCTGCGGCGCGCTTGAGAGAGGCCTGTAGCTGTTTTTTGCTCATCTCGCGCGCGGCGAGCGTCGCAGCGCTGGGGTGTGTGGGGAGGCTGGAAGTCATAGGAATCGGCCTAGTAAGAGTACCACCCGTGACATCCTTTGGCAGGTCAACAAGAACCGGACCTGGTCGTCCACTTGTCGCAATCTCGAAGGCCTCGTTGATTCTCCGTGGGAGCTCGGCGATGTTCTTGACAAGGACGTTCCACTTGGTGCACGGACGGGTAATGCCCACGGTATCGGCTTCTTGGAACGCATCCGAGCCAATGGCGGAGGTAACCACCTGTCCAGAGAAGACGACCATGGGTGTGCCGTCCATGAGAGCGTCTTGCATGGCTGTGACGACGTTGGTGGCGCCAGGGCCGGAGGTAACAAGGACGACACCGGGCTTGCCTGAGGCACGGGCGTAGCCTTCGGCCATGTGGCCAGCTCCTTGCTCGTGTCGGGGAAGGATGAACTCGAAATGTGGTGAATTGTAGATGGCATCGAAAACAGGGAGAATGGCACCGCCAGGGTAGCCAACTAGTCACACCATATGTTAGCACGATTTGTAACTCAATCGCAGGCATTGAAGCAATCTGGAGGGAGTTGGCATACAGATGTGCTTAACACCATGCCTCAGCATCATCTCGTGGAAGATCTCGCCGCCCTTGAGTCCGACCAGCGAGTGGTCCATCTCGGGCTGCTGTCTCCGCAGCGGCTGCACATTGTAGTCTTCTCTGTTGAACGCGGGCGCTGGTCTCGCTCTGGGCTCTGCTTTTGCGGCGGCAGCGGTGCTCTGGGTCCTCTTCGCCTCTCCAACCTTGGGACTTGCGGTCGCGGCCTGGGCAGCTCTGTAGGGTGACGCGGCGGTCCGGGGAGCGGACGTGGAAAAACAACGTGAGCTCCGCAGAGCCTGGATGGCCTTTGTGCGCGACTGCTGCATGGCGCGGGGGTGCCTCAAAGGCAATGTGAGTGGAGAGGGGAGGAAAAAGAAACGAATTGGGCGTGTCTCGTGTGTGGGAAGCAAGCTTTGGAGTCACTGGTCTGGCTAAAAAGTCTCTCGATGGGTGTCAAGCCACCACCGGACCGAAAACCGGGCGTCCGACGATTGGCTGTGACTACCCCACACACGACATCTTGGCGGGCATTCGCGTCGACAGGGTTCGCGAGACCACGAGCATGTGTCGGTGGGTTCTGTGTCGATGTCTGATATGGCTGTCTCGATTGCCGTGTGCCCAATGCATCACGTCTGCTCCCCCCCAGCAACTTCGCTCGCAATTGCGCCGTGCTCGTGTATTTACATCGACTCGTGCCTTCCGTCTCGCCTCTCGCTCCACCAGCCAATCAGCGAGCGCCCCATGAAGATGGACAGTCATCTGCAGCTCCCATTCGCACACGGACCGACGCTTGTCGCCTCGCCGATCTCGGCCTTCACACACACGCTGCAGCCACGCTACTCCACACCAAGCTCTCCGACGTCAGTCCACTATGTCGTCCCACGACGAGCGGAGACGCGGTACGCGAATAACCCGCCCTCTTCAAATATCAACCGCTCGTATATGCATGCAGATTACTATATACTAACACGGACTCGTGTGCGCAGTCGCTATCCCCCGCCGCTCCACCAAGGGCCCGCTCGACGTAGACGATGAGTACGTGGCGCCCCTTCAAGTGAAACATTGTGAAGATACGCTGACACAAACTCCAAAGTCCCCTCGCCGCCCTCACCCCCTCCCAACATGGCTTTCCTGTCGACCGCGTACGCTCCCCCTCGCGCCCCTCGGCCTCTCCCACACCACGGTCGCCCCGCCTGAAAAGCCCCATCTCTCCATCACCCCCGAACCACCCGTCCTGAAAGACTTCTCCTTCCTCCAAGATCCCACCGCATACCACGTTCTTCCCGCTTCTACCGTCCCACCACCCTTCCTCAACGCCCCAATATCCCCTCCGTCGCAACCCCCATCGACACTCTCCTGCTGTCCGGCCATTACCGGCTCGCCGCCATAGCCGCCGCTCGAAATCTCGTTACATCCACGCCGCCAACGGACTATACTACCTTGTTCCATTTGTTGCATATACGGCTCGCGTGTTTGTGCTTGATAAACGAGCATGCGCTCGCAGCACAGGAAGCAAAGGTCTTCGGCGACCTGAACTCGTCATTCTACTACTCCGACGATGGGCGCGGTACGCATCTCGTGCCATGGGAACTACGTGTACTTGTGGTGCGCCTCGCGGCGCTGGGCTATGGCGAGTGGAGGAAGGGGGTCATGGGGTATTACGAGCTGGCGCGGGAATGTCGTGAGCACTTCACAAAAACAGAGGACGAGGGGGAGAAAGGCGTGTGGAGTGCCAGGCTGAGAGATTGTGGGATCCGCGTTGCGAATGTGCTAGTTGAGATGGGGGATCTGGAGGGCGCGGGGAGGCATCTAGCCGGGTTGGGTGCCACCGGGGACGAAGGCAGGGATGTGAAGTTGATGGAGACGCTGGTTTGGCTGAGGTTGGGAGATGTGACTGCTGCAAGACGATGTCTCGCTGATGTTTCCGAGTCACACGTAGAGGACCTGCTCGACGGCACACTGCAAGCTCTCATCCACCTCGCGGACTCGGATTACACTTCCGCTGTCTTAGCGTTCGAGGCGCTGCGCGACAAATACCCGTCCGATGCAATGGTCTCTCAGAATCTCGCTGTCTGTCTGCTTTATATGGGACGCATTGCCGAAGCGAAGACCCTGCTGCAGGAATTGGTCGGCGAAAGCCAACCATTCCACTCGTTGGTGTTCAATTTGAGCACCATCTTCGAGCTGTGCACCGAGAGGAATAGGGACAGTAAGATGGGCCTAGCGAGCAGAATAGCAACACGGAAGGCGGATGGGAGCGTGGGGTGGGAGATGAGCAATGTGGACTTTAAGCTGTAGTGGGTATGTAGCATGCATGATACCAGTTGATATCCGTCTATGGCTATACTGTGTTTGATGTACCCAGGGTGGTCAATTGACTGGATGCGACGTTCATTCTTCGTCTGAAGCGAACATATCCGCGGTCGGCCGCAGTCTCCTAGCCCGCTGAGCCGCAGTCTCTCCTGGGATTTCAGGCGGCGAAGCTGCCTTCTCCACTTCCTTTGTCGCCGATGCCTCGGCTGCATCAGCTGTGGTCGCGGCCTCAGCAGGCGTCTCACTCTCGATCTCCATTGGCGTGCCCTCTTTAACTCCTGCACCAGGCGTACCCTCGTCCGCAGCCCCGTCAACATCCATCCTCCCCTCATTACCATCCGGACTCTCTGGCTTCTCTCTCTTCGGAACCACCCCTTTTCTTGCCTTCCTCCTCTCCACCGCCCGACGCTCGATCTCCTCCTGTTCCCTCTCCCTCTTTCTTCCATTGAAAGCGTGCTCAATGTGCTCCAACGACTCCTTTTCGAAGAGGTGCTCGTCCATCCAAACCTTCAATATCGCATTTATATCATCTCTATACTGGTTCTCGGCGAGCCTGCCCATCTCCAACTGCGCGGGAAGCCGCTCCAGGTACTCAAAAACCTTCCTGTCAACAAGTTGACCGCCAATGACACCACGGTATTTGTACGCCATGCCTGGTTCTTTCTGCGTTGTGAGCGCGACGTCCGATATGATGCGCAAAGCATTGGTAGTGAGTTGGGGAATCTGGCCGCGGCGGCGTCCCTCTTCTTCTTCTGTGACGTCGCCACGGGATAGTTTAGGGTTCGCTTTCGAGAGGAAGAAGGGCTGAAAAACGTTTGTGACGAGGAGGGAGACGACTTCGTCCATGCCTTTGCTTACGTGGTCGACAGCAAACGTAGATATGGCAGCTATCTCGTCGTAGAGCGCGCTGGAGGGTGGGAGCGTGGCGAGCAGCCAGATGAGCTGGGCGCGGTCACGCGGGGGCATGATCCCGTACCCGGTGTGTGCTCGCCCCGGATAGTCATCACCAACGGGAAGAGTAGTGCGAGCATGCGCGGGTAGGTCATCTTCATCTTCAGAGTCTTCCTCCTCGTAGGGATGATTTAGGTCCCATAGGCCGCTGGCATACTCATCTATCAGCACTTCTTTGGGACCGCGCCATTCGGGGTGCCGCTGAAAGACGTCTGGGCGCGAGGTCGAGCTGAGTATCTCGTGGAGGCGCCAGCGGTAGTAGCGGTTCAGCGGGTGCTTTTGGTTGAAGAGCCAGGCGAAGCGCTCGGAGGACTGGACTTGAGCGTCCTGCATCAGAGCGGCTTCGAATTCCATCCCCCCCTCAATGACACCTTCGATCGTTTGGTGTATCAGCCTCAAGGTAGGAAGATCTGGCGGTGCGTTGGCGGTGATCAGCATGCGCTTGTTCATCATCTCTTCCCGCACACGTTCGCGATTGTTGCCTCCAAGATCCGGTGGTGGTGCATAGCCCTTGGCGACTTCTACGTCGTGCAATGTCGCGCCGAAAGGCTCTTCGTGCTGCTTTGTGCTCACGCTTCTGCCACCCAAGTAGCGGTCCAGATGCAGATAGTATCCCTTTCCCAAATATCTCTTGTCGTTCATCTTGTTCATCGCATCATCAAGGTCGCGCGCATTGGCATCTCTGTCGAAGATGACCTTCATCGAAGCAGACGGGCGTGTTCGCTGCGAAGGGCTTGAGGGCCTTGACGGCGGTATCCTTTCTACTTTGACCACCTTGAGCGACGGAAACTCAGCAAAGAGCTCTTCCACGCGGCTAGGGCTTATCGCAGGTGGCAGATTCGACGCCTTCGCAACCACGGTGGTGTAAATGTTCTCGTTGACCCTCTCCTCGTCCTGTCCCGCAGCAGGCCCACCAAATCTTGAATGCGGCGCTCCAGTATATCCGCCCGGTGCACCTGGCCTCGCAAATGCAGGCACGGGCTCTGCATCGAGTGTGCCCGGCCCGCTCTTCATCGACCGCGGCCTGCCTGTGAAATGTCGCTTCGAGCCCGTGGGGACGAATACGTCTTTCTCTGCCTCGTGATCCTTCTCCGTCTCGCCTAGAACGCCCTTTTCGTCGCTGTGCTCTTCCATGAAATCGGCCATAACTTTGTCAAGCGCATTCTTCTCCTCGCGCGCTTTCGCGTCTTCTTCTGCTTTAATCTTGGAGCCAAGTTGCGCGGCTTTGCCTGCTTTGTTAAGGGAGATTCGGAAAGCCATACCAGTCGATCACAACTGAGGAATATGCGCAGAGGGCAAGGGAGTGTGCCCCAAGGGTGGGGTGAGTTGGTGATGAAGGTTACGTTAAGCTTTGTAACCGTCAATCGACTAGCGCAGGTAGGAGTACCACGACCTCACGACCCCACGACATCCACGCCTCTCAATGTCCACCACAATCCTCACTTTACTGCAAGATGGCAAGCCAGCAAGATCTCCAGACACTGCTCCGCTTTCTCTCGCAAGATGCCAAGATTCCCCTCGCTTCCGCAATGGGTAAGATCAAGGACCTACAAGCCGCGAAGATGATCACGTGAGTACGCGACACACGCATTTATGCATCACTAACCCACGCAGAACGGACAACATTGCCAAGGCCGATATAGACAGCCTTCGAAAAATACTCGGAGATGAGAAGCTCGCGCGACAGGTTCTCAATGCCGCAAAACGCGTGTCCAAGAAGCGCACAAACGGCGATCTCTCAACAGCATCAACATCTGCAATACCTCCTCCAGTGAAGAGAGCAAAGACGAGCTTCGGAGCACCAATGGACCCCGCAACTTTCGAAGCTTCCCTCACGCTTCCATCCTCCAACCTCACTGCGTCCGAATTGGAGCACGTAGTCCTATTCACTAATCGTGCGCCACTTGTCCTAGCTGTTGCTGTGACGGTGTTAAAATACACTATGCCCACGCAACCTCTCTCCAGCAGATTGAGTCTCGCGCAAGCCGTATGTAGCGCAAACAGCCAGTCCAAAGCAAAGTACATTGGTATCCAGAAAGGCGCGTCTGCAGAGGAGGAAGGCTGGGGTGAAGGTCAACCGCTCATTACCGTCTTGAATCGACAGATTCGAGTCATGAAACGATGGGGATACACGTGGAAGGAAGAACCGGAGGTACAAGAAGGGGACTTGGCGTCATCGCAGGCTACCGTACAAGGTGACGATGTGCAAGATACGCAAGAGACCGTCTCCCCTGATGAGCCGGCCCTGTGGGGTGTAGATCTAGAGGCGCTAAAGAAGTCGAATGGGCCGGTGACGATTGGGGCGAGACACGGCTCGACGAGCGACCTACCGATCTACAGACCTGAGTCTACAAGAGTGTATCTTCTGAAGTCGTTCGGCATCAAACCAGGCCAGGAGGCGAAGCCCACCAAAGCACTGACGGGTAAGAAAGTCCTTGAGGAGAAGGAGCACAACCTTGGAATGCTTCTGACGTCACTGGACTTATTATGCCAATCCTGGGCGTCCGTACTCAGCAATGAGGATCTTGATAAACGGGCTTGGGGCTGGTATTGTAGCGTGAGGCCGGAGGTAAAGAATGGTGTTGCGGGCTGGGGAGGTAAGGGCGATGTGAAGCTTGCGGATATTCTGCAATTGCGACGGAAAGGAGGAATCGACAGTTTCTTTAGAGGCAGCAATTAGGTGCGATTCTTGTTCAAAAAACAACTTCTTCACACTTGCTCTACGACTGCGAAACGGGACCATGTACTCGGGTGCTCCATCGAAAGTGAGGTAAAATCCGATTCGCACTTGTTAGCTTGACCTGGTTGAATATAGGGAGATCGCACGGCGCTGGGTTGCGGTACGGTAACCGTGCGCCTCTTGAGACACTGCTTTTTGGGCCTACTTGACTTTTTGACAGCGTAGTGCCCTATTTTAACGTATAACAGGCCCAGAAATATAGATTTAACAGGATCTAGCCAATCATCAGCCTGTTATGATACACAACGTGGCTGAAATGCTGTGAGAAAGTTAAGTAACCCAGAGCCATGATAAGGTGGGGGATCAACTTCTATAAAGCAACGCTATCACATTCGCGCAGGTGTCTGGCGAGATCGGAGGTCATTACTATTGATGCGATATCCTCTCCCACAAGTGAAATTCTGGCAAATAGAGCAGTGGTACGATTGGCGGGACCTGATGCTCATTGCCGGAAGCAGTCTACATAGGGATTTTATCCAGCAGCAAAGACAGAGATACGCAAGAAATGCAGAAGGGCTTGAGGTAAGACACTAGACTGGGACGGAAAGTGTAGATCTTTTTGCTCATAGTGCGGTCGAGAGGCAGCGTCGAGCTTTTCTATAGCTGTACGTTGTGGTCGAACATTAGTGTTCTGCGACTACTGATAGAGTATGCCTTCGCACGCACTTAATTCTGCACCCAAGAAAACGTAGGACTTGACTTGTATCGTCCATCGTGAGCACATCTACAGATATAGGACATACATTTACTGTACACAAGTAGCATGGTTTGTGAGACGAATTCAGTAAAAATTGAGCGTAGTTGCAACTTGAAGAGCTGCACGGATATTGATCGTCGGTGAGGGCTGTATAGCCTCATTCAGAGCCCGTCAGTGGTAAATACAAGCTTAGTTTCATGGTCCGTATTGATGGTCTTAATTCCCTTCTGAAGCGGACGAATTGGACGAGTTCGTGCGGCTGCTGTACAGTAGTCGCGCACTTATTGCGTTGATCGGAGCCAGTGTGAGTTTGAAGGGTGGGACGGTAGCTTCGGCATGGTTTAGGCGATGTACAACGAATTGGGAGAAGTGGGTATGAGCGTGGTCATTAGTGCGGCATGTCATGGCAAAGAGAAGAGGAGGAGTGTTAGGTCAAGAATGTACAGTGGAGTGATGTCAGTGGCGATTTGAGGGAGGGCGAGGTCAGGCATTGTGCATTTACGAGTGGAGTCGCTGTCCGAATGGTCTTGGGACAAGTGTATCAGTTGTGTCTAAAGGTATATAAGAAAATTTCCATGTATCCGAAACAGGAGAGGATTATTCTACAACCTATGCACTCTACCGAGTTCGCTACTCTAAATTTAACGGCGACGTTGATTGGAAGATGACTACTAAAGCTACCATCACCCTTCTCTTCGACTGCACGCCAACAGTATCGAATGGTCTGATGAGTAAAGTTCCTACGTCATTGTGCGTACATGAGAGGCTTTCGTTGGGCTGGGAGAAACGTGAATCGACTGATCATGTCTCAAGTCCCACCCTGAATCTGTCGATCTTCCAGAGAACTACTAAGATTGACTGCTGTGGTAGCAAGAGATGATCAATGGGATGTTCGTAGCCAAATAAGATAGCTGCTGAGTTGTTTACTATTCAGAGCAGGTGCAGCTACGAGTGAGGCGAAAATCAAGGCTAGCGGTCTATTGAAGACTAGCCTGTTGATGCACTCTATGGTAATCAGCATGCGAAGACCGTACGACTAAGCTTTTTAATAATGCTGAGATGTGAGGGGGAAACCCCTTGATGACGTGTGGCGAATCAATGGAACACCATAATTTCCTAGTACGAGCTCGGGTTGTCCTTTGTTGCAACTCCTTTTTGCGCGTAAACACCGCCAACCGAACTTGTGGACGGCCACCATACAATGCGATACGGCATTCATAGACCCGAGGAATTGGTAATCATACCGCAAATCATGGATGTGCTCGGATAGGATTCATCACGCACCGGCACAAGCGGGGCCGCGGAGAATGACGCGGCACGTAACCGTGTTTAGAGGATGCTTACTAGTCCGCGGAGAGAGCTTCATGAACTTTATATTGACATCACACCTACTCGTCCGTCCCCAGTCTCCACGGGGTGTAATTCTGTGACCGCCTATAGCTATATGACCAAAGCAGTGCTATTCGTGAACAAAGCCTGGAGGACGCTTCTGCAAGAACGCTGCAATACCTTCCTTACAGTCCTCAAGCGAGAAACTGCTGTAGTACAATGCGCGCTCGATTTCCAGGCCTGCTTCCAATGTTGTTTTCTCAGCTACGTGTTCTCAGCAAACATCCGTCAATATGGAACGAGCGTATTGCTCACCAGCTTTGATCGCCTGTTTCGCTAATCCTATAGCAGGAGCTGAGCAGGTCGCAATTCGCGTCGCGATTCTCATTGCCTCGTCGACGACATCTTGCCCAATAGGAACGACTCTGTTCACAATCCCATATCGCTCCATTTCTTGGGCTGTTAGAGGTTCTCCCGTAAGAATAAATTCCATGGCCTGACTATTTGTCAGTGATATGGGATCAAGCGCAAAAAGGAAACCTCAACGCGCATCGCCGGACTTAGATGTGCATCGAGATCAGATGTGCATCGAGATCAGATATGCATCAAGACCTTACCTTCTGCTTCCCAACAGCTTTCGTTAGTCTTTGGGTTCCTCCGGCCCCGGGTATTGTCCCAAGCTTTATCTCTGGGAACCCAAATCGGGAATCCGCGGAAGCGTACAGCATATCGCACTGTTCCATGGCTGTCAGATCTGGTCTTCAAAGCAGAGACCAGAGTTTCTCTTACCATCAGCGCGACTTCGAAGCCTCCACCGAACTGCACATAATCCGTGTTCAGTTGGTTCCGCGAAGACTCAGGCCACACTATGACTTACAGCGTATCCTCGCACGGCTGCGATGACGGGTGTCCGCAGCGTCGAAAACCCAGTTTCAAGGTCTTTCAGCCATCCCACGCGATACGCCTCCGCGGTGGAGATCTTTGCCAGCTCTTGAATATCTGCTCCGGCTGCTCGCCACGTTATTCGGCTGTAGCTATAGAATCGGAAGGAGAGCATACCACAGAATGGCGACTGACCGGTGCTCGTAAGCACAATCGCTCGTACTTCCACATCTCGATCCAGCTTGCGCAGCACATGCAGCAACTCGTCAATCAGATTTTGCGACAGCGCATTGCGTTTGATCGGGCGATTCAGCTCCACCACAGTAACACCTGCCTCTTGCTTGGAAACCACCACAACTTCAGTATCCTTGTTGGCCGGATGCATAACGACCTACCTGAGTTTGAAGAGAGCGTGAAGATTGAGGAAGATAGATGACATGTCCTGGAAGATATGCAGATTCGTCAAGGCTCCCCCACGGTCAAAAGCGGCCCGCATGCGTACATCACTGTCGGAGCTACATTCGAATACGGCCGTTAGCCCAAAGGTTCTCTATAATCTGGTGGCGACCTACCTCCGAAACGACAGCGGAACTTCCGCTTCTGTCATTTGCGACGAAACTTTGCAGCATCTCGACATCAGACCTTGAGCTGGAAACTTGCGTGCTAGGGTATCGATTTTGGCAATATGTGTTGGGACCGGCGTACCATCTACAGACGGCAGGTACCTGCCTCGGTATGTTTACAGCTTCCCAAAGCGAGTGTGGCCACAGAACCTGGAATTGCAGGGTTTTCTCCACACAAACAGCCCGATTGCTCGTTAGCTACCGCCTTGGCCCTGCACAATTGACGTGGGGCGGCTCCTTTCTGGCACGTTTGACAGCCACGAACATTAACCGGCCTTCTCCGCGCTTGCCCAATGCAGGCATAGCAGCCCCCACTCCATAGTGCTGCGCATAACAACTTCACAGAAGGACCGAATGTTTCGCTCACAACTAGACACGAGTGAAACTTCGGCAACTAGCCCAGGGGCATTCACATGTGTGCGCACGGATACTCGGTGACCTGCATGCTCGGCTCTGCTCGCAGTATGACGCCCAGGACCGCAACAACACACCCTTTCAAATGCCCAAGTCTACTTACCTGAAGAGGTCACCAAGCCATGTTGATCCCTCCAGGACCCGGCACAACAATTGGAATTCGAACCTGTCTGAACAGATGTATTTTCGTGGGATGATCCTGTCCTGCAATTGATCAGTTAAAGACTTCCCTGTGTATACCACTGTGACGGGCAGGATTTCTCCGAGATCCCACAGCTTTGTTGACATGATTGGCCCAATTTCCTATTCCTGGAGCACATCAGGCCTTCATAGACGGAAAAGACTATTAAAGCTAGCCATGCGGGAATTTGCGCCGAGTACCGAGATGCTTACAATCGATTCTTTGAATGGCTTGCCCTTCACTTGCAATCGTCTCCGAGTGAGTGGAGAAGAGATTAAACAGCTCATGAACCGACATTCAGACGGAGTGCCTCTGACGACACAAACATGCCGAGGGCAAGCAACCTGCATCGTCATTCTCCAGTCGCCTTTAGAGCTCTTATCTTCGCGCTAAAGTGCGGCTCGCCAAGTCACTGGTTCTTACCATTGCCTAACATGAATTGATATTAATCTACTGCAATAAAGGACACAATACAACCACCCCATGTGTAGCTCAGCCCGGTCGGATGCGTCTAAGCTGGGTCGTTCGGACCAACATAGATATCCTTGTTAACTGGAACGTGCACTACAGCAACTTCCGCAAACGTACCACGTCCGCACTAAGTGGAGTACAGGGCGATCTTGAACCAGCACAGTGGACCATAAAGAGGCTGATCAAGAAGTTGATAATCACGGCCAAGACGGCGCGCGGGCGTAGGGGTGCACTGAACCGAGGACGGGGCCTTGTCGTGGCGCGGGATCAATAAGGTATGCTCTCAATGACGTGCAGTGGGTTGTTATAAAAGGCATTGCCATTACCCTCGTAGTTCACAAGATCTTTTCTAGCAATTTGATATTGACCAAGATGGGTTCCTCCAGCGAGTTTCAGGGCATCTCTACCCTGTCTACTAAAGACCAGATCCTCTTCACGCGGTTCGCGTCTGGTCCTACTGCCATTGTTCCGCACAATGTTGTACACAAAGCCTTCGAACACCAGGTGGATGAACATCCTTCTTTGATTGCAGCAAGACATAACGGAACCAACATCACATACGCCGATCTTGACGTGGAGGCCAATCGATTGGCCAACTACCTGATCGGATGCGGCTTAAAGCCCAGGCAACGAGTGTGTTTGGTGGTGCAACGTTCATTTGAGATGCTTGTGGGCATTTTTGCCATCTTGAAATGTGGATGCCAATACGTGCCCATGGATGGAGGGGTCGTATCAGAAGAAGCACTGCAGCACACTTTGCGCGATACGAGCGCATCTTTCGTTCTTGCTTTGCCGAAGTTCGAAGACAAGGTCAACCGCTGCGTACCACAAGAAGCTCGGATTGTATGTCTGGGAACCAACGAGGAAGTATCGGCTGCACGCCATCGACCTGCGGTGTCGATTTCAGCCGCCGATGGGGCTTACGCCATCTACACGTCAGGTAATATCACATACACATATGTGGTTTGGCTGCTGACATAAAATAGGTAGCACTGGCAAACCCAAAGGTGTTGATGTATCTCATGGAAATGTCACCAATGCGCTGCTGCTCGACCCAGGGAAGCTAGGGATTGCGCCTGGAACTAAGGTTGGCCAGGTCCTCAATGTATCTTTCGACATGGGTAAGCCTCTAGACTCGGCATAATCTGCTCGAGTGTGATGCTGACGATACATCACAGGCGCTTGGGAAACGTTGGGCTGCCTTATGAATGGCGGCACGTTATGTCTCAGGACCTCTAGTTGGGAGGAAACACTCAATGAGGTTTGAAAATACCTAACTTGTAACAAAATATGATTCTAATCGTCATGAAGATCGATGTTTTGATATCAACACCATCCATTCTATCGAAATGGAGCCGCAGTCGTTTCCCAAATATCAAGACCGTTGTTACTGGCGGTGAGCCTTGTCCGCAAAGGTGGGTTTTTGAGAATGATCCGCTATGATCGATTCACTAAAGGAAATGCAGTCTTGCCGACGAGTGGGCAGTCGGGACCAGCTACTACAATATTTGCGGCCCCACGGAGATTACCATCCTCAATTCCGCGCACCTACATGTTCCCGGCCAATTTCTGACGATTGGTACCCCTCTACCAAATACTACGGTGTATATACTTGATGAAGACGAAAACCCGGTCGCCATGGGAGAAATGGGTTCAATGTGGGTGGGTGGTGCTGGCGTTACGCGAGGATACATCAACCTACCTATGCTCACTGCGAAGCGATACAAACGAGACAAATTTCGCAATGATGGGTACGTTACTAATTTGACAACTTGATGATTGAGAAACAGACTGAGTTTTATTAGGTCCAGTATGTTCAATACTGGAGACCTAGTACGCTGGCGGGAGGACGGCTCGCTCGAGACATTTGGTAGATCAGATGACCAGGTCAAGATCAAGGTATGGCAAACGACCACTAATTAGTTGGAACTTGACTGACAGATTCAGGGGTTCAGAGTTGAGCTGGATGGTGTTACTTCAGTCATTGAGGTAAGCTGCGTCTACGTTGTCTCGTTGAAATAGTTCTCATTCGCTTTCGCGGCGTATTGCCTCGAGATTTGGTTCGCATGCGTAGGCCATACGAAGGTTGGCCAGCATAATCCAATCAGGCTCATTGAGTTAGAAGTGCGATTTGAGACACGGAGCACTGTCACATAGGAGGGCTGCGAAGTCGTTCTTACATCCGCACTGCACGCTGTTTTCTCGAAATTCTGTAGCTAATGCGTGTAGGCATTTCCTGGCATATCGCGAGCTTGTGCAAAAGTGGTCGACCAGAAGCTTCACGGTTTCTACGTGGCCGAGACCGACGTCGACGAGCAAGTCCTGGATGTTTTCGTGCGGCAGCACTTGCCGTTCTACTCCGTGCCGGAGAGGTGGATTTACATTCCCGAGATACCGCTCACTCCCAACGGGAAGGTTGATAAGAAGATGCTCGTCGAATTGGCTCTCAGCGCTGCCACAACAAAGGCTAATGTTGGTCTAATCCCACTCATTGCTGCACCAATCCCTGTCGCTGCCGCACCAATTTCAATCGTTGCTGCGCCAGTACAGGAAGTGGAGTCAAACGCGGACCTGGAAAAAGCGATAAGATGCGATAGCGCCGTTGTCAGAAGCAGTCTCTCGATCACCAAGGGAGGCACAGGCAGTGTTTCCGAATCGCTCGAGTCGGAGCTCGATAAGCTTCCTGCTAAGAATGGTTTCCACGGACAGAGATGGCTTCGCCATCGCGCTTTCATCCTGTATCGGCGCTTCTTCTCGGTCATCATGCTTGCGAACATTGCTACAGCCTGCTTCATCCTATACAGGAATGTGAAGCAAGATCGCTACATTCTCGCGGATGTATCCACCGCATTTGCGGCGAATCTGTGCATGGCCATCTTGATGCGATCAGAGCCTGTCGTCAATCTACTGTTCACGGTGGCATGCTCTGTTCCAGTGTCTTGGCCTCTTGCGATCCGTCGCCATTGTGCTAGGGTATTCCATATTGGTAAGCAAACTGTAGGATACACTCTTCTATGATGACGCTAACCGTGCATACTTCCAGGTGGAATACACAGCAGTTGCGCGATCGCGTCTGTTGGTTGGTTCACTATTTTCACGGTCGGTGCCAGCTTGGAGCTTGCAAAGGAGCCAGCCATTCGCTGTCTCACGCTCGCGCCGATCATCCTCACGTATCTTGCCTGGCCTATTCTCATCGCCATGGCAGGGACATCGCATCCTACCTTCCGAGCCAAGCACCACGATATTTGGGAAATGACGCACCGCTTTGGGGGCTGGACAGCGCTCATCCTTCTTTGGGTACAATCATTCCTTGCAGCAAAAGACCTCGCATCTGGTGTAGCTCCATCTCGTGCGTACCTTACTTCTCCTGGCATCTGGCTTCTTACTGTTGCCACTTGTGCTATTATCTTCCCGTGGCTCTTCCTCCGCAAAGTACCGGTTCGGTCGGAAGTGCTCTCCAATCACGCTGTCCGTCTTTGGTTTGACTACACTGATCCTGTAGTCGGTACAGGCGTTCGTCTAGGTGAGTTCCTCGAGAACAATGCGTCGCAATTCAGCACTGAAGTCTTTCTAGCGGAAAAGCCTCTACGCGACTGGCACGGCTTCGCGACCATCACCAATGCCAACGGCCGCGGGTTCTCCCTTGTAGTCAGCAACGCTGGCGACTTCACTAAGCGCACTATCAACCGTGCACCGACGCACATTTGGGTTCGAGGCATACCGACCTGTGGTGTGCTGCGGATTGCAACGCTCTTCCGGTCCGTTGTGCTAGTCGCCACTGGTTCTGGAATCGGACCGTGCCTCGCAGTTATCCTTGCGAAGAAAGTTCCGTGTCGTATTTTATGGACAGCACCAAATCACGAGCAAACTTTCGGGAAAGATTTAGTGAACACCGTGTTACAAAGGGATCCTAAGGCGGTCATCCACAATACGCGCACCATGGGCAAGCCGGACATGCCGCTTATGGCGTGGAAATTGTATAAAGAGAGTGGGGCGGAGGCGGTATGCGTGATCAGTAACAAAGTCTTCACGCAACGAATTGTTTACGCACTGGAGAGCAGGGGTGTGCCAGCGTATGGCGCAATATTCGATTCCTAAGAGGGGGCATAGATTGGCAGGCGGAAGATGGTGTCCAAATTGAAATCGATATATAGGGCTCGGCTGTTATAGGTCAACTCAGGCACACAAGTCAAATAACCAACATTCGTTCTCGTCTCTTTCGAGTTGAGCTTACTATATCTTGTCACTGGGATTGACAATACTGGCCTGTGTATGTATATGTTATCATGTAAGAGCAAAAGAACGTGATGTACCACTAGGCACAGTGAATATGCCTAGGCCAATGACCGATCTTTCTCCGCTCGTAGAGGCGTCACACGCCCATACTTTGCGTGAGTAATTAGAATGAGTGACGCTGTCAAGTCCGACCTCAAAGGTTACGAGATCTATCAGACAGCGACTATTTCTCATGCATTGTACCCCAAACCACCTTTCAACACCGAGAAAGTTCTTATTGCCTTTTGGCTTATCCATAGAGCGAGCGATAGAGGAGGCAGCTGACTATGCGCAAAACCACATCAACAGCCTGACTGGTCAAAGACTCTTTATAACACGAAAGCTGCTCGCAGAGAGAAGGAGTTGCAGAATCTCATCTGTCAGAGGCTGCTGCATTGAACTTTGGTGAATCATCGCCAACAAGTAGACTATGAATAATCATTCTTCTGGCGGAATGCGGTAGTCTATCAGAAGCATATATCGAGGTCGATGTACTGAGCGGATTGAAGGGAAAGGCGGTGGGTGGCACTGCTCGCTGGTATCTCATCACGGACACCGTGGTTAGGATCGGGGACTTTTCAAACAACGACAAGTCGGCCTCAGAAGAAATTGCAAGCGTCTTGATTGCTCTAGTAGTACGGCGTTGATGCGTATACATGGGGCTTAGTGAATCAGTTGATTTTTATTCCAAGAGATCCGCGCCATGACTTGATCGCCGTGAATGCGGATCGGATACGATGATCGATCAGATGCAGCTGTTTCGACCGAGGCATTTCAGTAGCAAATGCGCTTTCTCAAATTCTTGCAATCTGCGGGTCAATACACTAATATTGGCTGTACTCGGCTCCTGCCGTTGATACCCAATTGTTGTTCAAGGGATGGAACCGCGCTAACGCTCACGCAGCAAAACGTCCGCGAGAAGGTTGAATACCACAGTTTGGAAGCGCGCAGCGGCAGCGATACATCAAGCCGCTTTCGTTTACCTTTTACCCTTTGAGGGTAAGGGAGCGTTTGATCAAATTTGTACTGGTAGAAACATGAAATCACTCTAAAAGCGAAGTGACGCCTGAGTGATCACTCAACAGAACTTGGCTTGGGCTATTTACATCCACATCTCGAGTGGAAAGTGTTGATTCTAGAACTTGCAAGGCACTTCCCACGACTGCGATCAGAACTTGGCGAGCGCGATTGGCATCCAAATGCAAGCAATTACACCAAAGGCCACGATACAAAATTGAGCCAAATCAGTACGAGAAGAAAAGAGATGTGTTGATGTCAATCCAATCGCCTCTTTGTAGCCATATCTTTTTATACATTATGCTGTCATTTCTTCAAGATTTTCCCAATGAGCTCTATTGTCTTTATGCCACAGCAGTCGTAACCTCGATCTTTCCCTCGGCAGTCCCACTTCTCCCAGATCCCGACGAAAAGTCCCAGTCAAACTCCTTCACACCAATGACCGTAACATTCTCGCCCCAAAGTCCCACAGTTTGCTGGAGCGTAACATTGGCAACCGTATCGGCCATGCCTGCATCGAAACAATCAGCGACATGAGCCCTATGTTCCAAGCACATGGATAGATTGAACTTACGAACGTCTCCAAAGTCGTAGGAGAAGCTTGGGTCAGAGCAGCTAGCCTCGGTCGTTTGCGTCGGTGGGCTGTACAAGTAATTGCACGTCACGTCGATGGGGTCGGCGAGCTCGCTATTGTGGTATGTTGCTTCAACGCTGTAGGATGTGTAGCCGCTGGCAGGAAAGCTAACGCTACCCTTGAAATCCCAGTAGCCGTATTCGGCGCGAGGAGTGACGGCCGCAGATGACGCTACAGCGGAAAGAGAAAGAAGAGCAGCGGTGAGATGCATCGTGAATTAATTAGTATCAGGTATTCAGGCAAAGCGTTTGATTGAGACCGACTATAGGTGGTGTCTCCTTGCGAATGGCAGAACGTGCCGTTATATGCATCGACCCCTTCTTCAGACATTCTAGGAAAGATCAGCATCCAATAGTATGCGATAATTGGCTTCAGGGATACAGTCGGAAAATTGCTAAATTAATCTAAAACGATGCAACCGCGTCCACTGAATGAGGTAATGTAAAGCCGAAAGCAGGCACTAGCATATGTTTCGTTTCATTGCGCTTTTCCAAATAAGTCTGTCGGCCCCGGCTGGCTTGGAACAACCCACGATATTCTAAAATAACTTTGCGCAAAATATATCGCGCACGAGCTTCATGCTGCAGAAGCGCATTACTATGCTCATGATACGTGTTGCATCACAGCCTCTTGGATGTGCTCGACTCATCGTGTGATCTTTCAGTCGCATCTGTTCAATCTTGCTCCGAGTTCTGTGCCCACCGACTCGAAAGATCGCGTCGATGAGGATGCTTCGCATAAATGCAATCTCGAAACAACACTCCAAGGCAATAATAGCAAGAGGGATAGTGTTCATATGCTCTCAAGAGAGCAACATAATTTCACCTCCCAAATACAGCAAGACGGTTGCAATAGGACTGGTCACCTGCCTGGAAGATCACAAGCCTAGGGATCTGAAGCTCATAATAGTATCATTGTCGGAAAAGTCGTATGTATTGATACTGTAAGTGATATGGCTTTGCAAATCCCACGTGAGTTCCTTTTAGGGGCTGCTTGATACTTCCTACTCTTTGCGAGTTCTGATATGGGGGAGAGCCTACTCGTTACGTTTCGGTACCTTCGGTATCAGCGCCCACGAGACCCCCATAGCAACAATCAGGCCAACCAAAATCGGTTGCATGACCTTGACACCGGATCGACTCGCAATGACACCAGTGAGCGAAGGGAACAACGACCCTCCCGCCTGGGCAAGTACGAAAATCAGCCCCATGGCAGTTGCATGTATCCGCTTCTCGAATGTTTTCGAGGCGATGGACATGCCCTATTATCTAGTAAGCGCTGTGCAAAATTCCCAGATAGTGCAACTTACAGAAGCGAACAACGGCCCATAGAAGAACCCTAAGAGCGAGACTGATACAGCACTGCTGACAAGATTGGGCACCAGCCAGAAAATGAGGTGGAACGCCAGGATCATGCAACAATACCCCATACCCATCCTGCGCTCCCCGAAACGGTGCGTGGGCTCAGCAAGGAGAACTCTTCCCAAAAAGATGCCACCCCAGAAGCCAGCGGGGACATATCCGACGTCGGGGAGTTTTCCGTCTCGGGCGGATACAAGGTATTCAACGATCCAGCCACCAGCGGTTATTCCTACACCCAACATGAAGAAGTAGAACATTGAGAGGAGATAGACAGGCGGAGATTTGAGGGTGTCAAGGATATCGCGGGATGCTAAGTTGCTGCGACTGTGGACTACCTCTTGGTTTTGCTCCGGTGGAGGTGCATTGTCTCGAACCTTCAGGCTATCGCGGAAGACGGTTAGTACGGCTACAACGTTGATGGATCCAACGCCGACAAGGAAGAGATAGAAGAGAGGCCATCGTCCGCCGACCCTAGCAGCAAGTGCAGTGGCGACGAATGGAGCGATGAGGCAACCGAGCGCATACATGGCATGGATGAAGCCCAGCCACCGATGGCCACCTTTGACGGATGCAACAAAGGTATTTGAATGGCTGTCTTGGTAGCCCATGCCTGCAGCTTGTAGGAAGAAGGTAACCACGTAGAGCCCGAAGGGTGGTGTCCAAAAGCGAAGGAGATGGGCGGCAAGTTGCAGGACTGCTCCGATACAGAGAATGGCTCCTAGTTGGAACTGGTGGACCAAGTGGCTGTTGGTCGCTGCAGCCAGCAACCAGCCGAAAAAGCTGGCAGCGTAGCTAAAGACATCAATCAAAGCGGATCATTTCCAGGACCAATTGTGAACGTACATCAAAGCCACATACTCAGTACCTACGTGATAGGTACGGAGAATGTAGGGAGTCAAAGCTCCCAAGCTGCCATCGTTCAGCCCGGCGAAAACAAACGAAAAGCCAACTGTCAAGATCTTTATGAGGTTCTTCTTGTTCAACAAAAGGTCATGACTAGGTACGCTTGCTACGCTTGCCTGTAATGCGGGGCTTGGGCTTCGTGGATCCGACTGCAGCTCGATGTGTTCTGGATCGCTCACCCCGTGGACGGTTTGAACGACTGTTGTCGTAGACATTGCTGCGAGGGAATGGACGACATGAGAGTGATGCGGAGGAGCGATGTCTCAATATGCAAAGTCACGACGCTGCCAGCTCAAGCTCGCAAGCAGTACCAAGCATGGGCAGGTGCTTTCCTGTTGCGGGGCTGCGGACGGAAGGCGCAGCCGACGTCCCGCCTGCAAACCACCCTTCTTCTTCAACACCGCAACGACTGCGATGACAACTCCTCACATTCCCAGCATGTAGTTGCAAGTCGGGCACTATTAGTTCGGGAGGCGATGCCACACTGTGGTAGATGGAGCGCAACTGCTCGCTAAGCACCAATGGCGGATGATTGGCCGGCCGTGGTGCCGCTTTCCTGCTCCGCCACTCTGACGGCCCAGACTATCCGCCTTCTGGTTCTTCGTGAGCGCTGAGGGAGGCTGAGCCAATACAGGAAAAACACCTCACATTCAAGGTTCCCCCCCTTACGTTCCCATTCTCACACTCTATACTTTCCGCCGATCTCGAGTTCGGAAACGCGACCCACAGTGCGCGCGCGTTCGAGGTGGCAATACCGGTGCCTGAACACCCTGACATCATGGTCATCCTTGGTGGACTCGAGATCATCGCCGGAGGCTATATTGTCCACCGCTACCAGAAGAACAAGAACGAGAAGAAGAGACTCGAACAAGAGGCTCAGCAGAGGCGACACAACACCTTCCCCGGCGCAAAATCGCAGCCCTTTAATCAATCACATCCACAACACGCGATACCCCCGCAGAAGCATGGCTATGTAGCACACGCTCCACCTAATCGTTCCCAATCATCTTATCCTCCTCCGCATCGTCCTTATACTGAGCCACCACCGCATCGGCTGCACAATGCTCCACATGCATCCCAGCCGCAAACCTTCATGATTCCGCGACGCCCGCTTCCCAAGCAGCATCATGCACCGCCGCCCCCGCAGATAATACAACCACTTCAGCGAGCCGACTCCATGGCAACGATATCGCGCATGCCTATCGCGAATGGTTACCGACCCAGCAATCTGCTAGACGATCCTCAACTCCCCCCGCGTCGACAGAATTCACAGCTGTCGCCAATCCCTCAGTCGCCCATGGCTCCGCCGTACGGGCACCCTGGTTTTGCCGTTTCATCGCCTGCCCTTGTCAACTACCCTACAACGACTACCCATAGCCCGATTCAGTATGGTGGTAGACAGACCGTTGACGATAACTGGGAAACTTTCAACCAGGCGCCTGGTCACGGACACTATGCCTCCACGGTGTCGACGGCTCTTGGAGAGGCCAGGGACGATGATCCTCCGCCGCCGTACCGCCCTTAAAGGGCAGCGTAGTCGCCTTTCTCAGGACGAGGTTTTTTACTTATCCCAGGCTTTGCGATACACGCGTGTAGGGCTGGCTTATCGCGGGGCTGGTTTGGTTGGACTTAGATGCAGGCATACGACAGTCTTTCTTTCCGCTATTTCTGTTCCACAGTACCGATATAATAGCACGGCTAACGATTTTCTTTGACTCCAACCAGCGCAGAAATCTGGTACATGAGAGCGAGAGTGTCTCTTTGGCTATCAGTGGGCCTCAAACGGCGTTATCTTTATACAGCGTAGGGCAATGACATAATACTACGCATCTCCTTCTTGAGCCTTCGTCTTTCGGTCTGTCGTGCACCAACTACCATTCTGCTACCGGGCGTAAATGTGAGACAATCCATCAACAGGACCTTGAGAATAACGCCTTTCTGATAAAGGACCCTGAAGTTGTCACTCGTAAAGAATAGCAGCCACTTTCACCCTCGGATCTGCCCTCAGCCGGGAAGCCTCGCCAAGACCGCTTATCGTACCTCCAAGGCTTTTACGTTGATACCACCACAAACCGTTCATCCACTGCACATAATCCGACCTCCGATATCTGCCAAGAGAAAACGGCTATCACTACCTTGTATGCATGTCCCGCTCACGCCAAGAAGATACCCCGCTGTGATACCCGTTGCCAATGGTGTACATTGACGGAACATGTCATACGCTTCTATTCGTTCTTTAATCAAGGAAAGAGTTGCAACCATTCGACCGAATCATTGTGCGACAATACGCTTACCTCACGTAGGTTACTGCTATGTACCGGTAGACGCGCTGCTGTATGAGGAAGCTGCGAAGCATCACGACATCGGACTACACCGACAGGGACATTGTTTGACTGTGATATCTGCCGATGACGCACCTCTTCTAGTGTCTGCCAACACTGCACCTGGAAAACGTTATGCATGTCGGATCGTAGTATTCGTCATGCCGCTGCACGCATACTCTAGGGTGGTTTCCAAGGCATAATGGTGCAATAAGAAGCAACAGCAGCGCTGCATGCCCGTGCTTTGTCTTGTACCTCTCCTGATACGACAGCTTGAGCGGTTGCCATCCAGACGGAAAACCACAATGTACCGAGCGCTGAGTGCAATCGTCTTCTTTGCCGGTCTTGCAAATGCCTGCCAGAAGGACTGGGATGCGCTTGCACGCCGCTCGCATCACCATCAAGAGCATAATCGCCATGCCAAACGTACTGAAGTCGAGTATCCACCCTCACTGAGCGAGACAGAGTCTATCTTGGTGAACTCCTTCGACAACACGTCTATCTCGGAGTGGAGCTACTACTACACACATGGTGATCATTTAGGTTCGCACAATAAGAGCATGGCTGAGTGGACTGCACAAAAGTGGAGAGATGCAGGTCTCGATGCCTGGCTTGAGGAGTTTCCGATCTGGGTGACGTACCCTGAGGCATGTAGCAGCGTTCAGACTTATGTAACCTACTCTGACTAAATCGACACAGCACAGTAGCTTGACTTTGATCAGGCCGGACAACACGACTCACGAGGCAAACCTTGTGGAAGACGTGCTTGCGGAAGATGACACAAGCTCATATCCCAACCTCATCCCTGCTTATCACGGCATGAGTGCTTCAGGAACTGTTACCGCAGAATATGTATATGTTGGGTACGTGTGGCGCTTGCCTCCTGCCATACAATGCTGTTAACATGTACACAGACGAGGTACGCGCGAAGACTTTCAGGTCTTGATGGATGCGGGCATCGAGTTGAAAGGCAAGATTGCCCTGGCAAACTATGGCGGCATCTATCGTGGCACCAAGGTCAAGAACGCTCAGGACAATAATATGGCAGGTTGTGTTATCTTCACGGACCCTCTCGACGACGGTGAAGTGACCGAAGAGAATGGCTATGAAGTGTACCCTAGTAAGCGTGACCAGGCGGCGAAATGTGTTCTGATGCCGCGGCGGCTCACAAACTGTAGACGGTCCAGCGCGCAATCCGTCATCGATACAACGAGGCAGCGTCAGGTTCTCTTCACTCTATTCTGGAGATCCAACTAGTGAGTGCACTGTAGAACAACCATGCAGTACCAACTGATTTGTACAGCTGTTGGGTGGGCTTCTTCATGGAACTCGTCACGAGGAGATACCAAACCATATAACCCTTCAATCCCATCGATTCCCTTGAGTATGAAAGATGCTCTCCCACTGCTTACAGCTCTAGAGGGTAATGGCGTTTCCGCTGAAAAGGCGAATCGCAGCGGCTGGCAAGGCGGTTTCAGCAATATCACGTACGACTCTGGTCCAACTCCGGGTGCCTTGGTCAACATTGATCACCTGATGCAAGGCTACATTGCACCTGTTTGGGATGTCATTGGTGTGATCAACGGTACGAGTCCGGATGAAGTAGTGGTCGTGGGAAATCACCGTGATGCGTGGGTCATCGGCGGAGCAGCCGACCCCAACTCCGGCAGTGCTATCCTCGTTGAGCTTGCGAATGCCTTCGGGAAGCTCCTCGCAAAGGGGTGGAAGCCAAAACGGACGATGTGAGTGATCGATTGTAGTATTACAGCTACATTACTGATTCGCCGGTCAGTATTCTAGGCTCCTGGGATGCTGAAGAGTTCGGTCTCCAAGGCTCTACCGAGTGGGTCGAAACTCACCTCCCATGGCTTCAAACCACCACGGTCGCCTACCTGAACATCGATGTGGGAGTTTCAGGTCCACGCACAAACTTCGACGGATCTGGCGAGATACAGACCTTCGTGGTGGAGCAAATGAAGAAGATACTTTATCCCGAAGGATATGGGGACTTTGCGACACTCTACGATATGTGGTTCAATAGCACCAAAGGTACCATTTCGCCGCTAGGAAGTGGCAGCGATTACGCGAGTTTCTACCAGAATGGTATCGCAGCTATCGATATTGGTAGCAGCAACGGGAAGAAGGATCCGGTGTACCACTACCACTCCAATTACGATTCCTATCACTGGATGTCTACCTTCGGTGATCCCGGCTTCAAGATTCATACCACAATGGGGCAATTCCTGACCCTGATTGTCTATCACATTGCTGACGATCCACTCATCCCATGGGACCTTCCCCATGCTGCTACAGTGCTCTCGTCTTACTTGTCCGAGCTAAACGAAACGGTCATTACCTCGAATTCTCCCGATCTAGACCTCACACCCCTCGCAGAAGCCATCGCAGAATTCACCACACAAGCTGAGCGTATCAGTAAGATTGGCCAGCAGGCGCTTGCGTTCAATGATACAAATATGCTGGGCGTGGTAAACAGCAAATATCGCGATTTCCCGAGAGGCTTTGCGAGTGCGGGAGGCCTGCCAGGCCGAGAAACCTTCAAGAATATCATAAGTGCGCCTGGAATTGATAATGGATATGGTGCGGATGTTTTCCCCGCGGTAACGGACAACATAAATGGAGGCAATCAGACGGCTGCGGAGGAATGGATTGAGAAAAGCGCGGAGGCGGTGTTGAGAGCTGCGGAGATACTGAGGATCACAGACTGAAGAGGGCAAGTTACACGAAACACTGCTTAACTACGAATCACGAGAGTTCTGATTTAGCTTCTACTGCGGGACGGATGGCTACCTAACCTCATGTAGATGATGCTGACACCGGCATCGTTATCAGAACCGCAGTTATGACTCTTACGTTCACCGCGTCTATGCCAACAATGCTGCGCGCATAGACCGAAAGACATAGCAGGTGTTGAAGGCGTTGACTGTGTCGCGCCTTTGCTGCAACGATGACTCCCAATTGTGCGCTAGGGTCCCGCCTTCCTCTCTAGGCTGCTGGCTCGTCTGACTGCCCCACGTTGAGGACTCAGGCACTACCGAGCTCCGCCTTATGCGGGATCGCAACAGAAACACCCAGGATTGAGATCGAGTGTGACTCTTCAGGAGGCGATAGTCGGCTCCCGGTAGTAACGAACTGTTCTTGGACCGTTCATTGCTACTGCCGCGTCAAGCCTGCACCAGGACCTACTTAAGAGTGTGCAAAGGCACGATAACTCTGCACCACCACCACCATCACCATCCATCAGTACAATACCAATTTCCATTCTCTCTAATCCCAACATGTCTCAATCAGCTTCCTCCTCCGCTCCGCGCCAGCGCGTCCGCGACCTTCTCCCTACTGTCCATCTCGGACGCTACCAAACCGGTCCAAAGAACAGTCTCACAGACATACCCGGTGTGCTCGTTTCTACGCAATCGATACACTCCTCGCCAGCCTACCCAAATGCACCCCAAAATTCTATCAATACGGGCGTGACTACGATTCTTCCGCGCAAAGACTGGTTCCACCAAGCCTGTTTCGCGGGCATCTTCCGCTTCAATGGCTCCGGGGAGATGACCGGAAGCCACTGGATAGAAGAAACAGGGCTCTTGCACTCACCCATCGTCATTACTGGAAGCTTTGGGGTCGGCGCTGCGTATAATGGCATCTACGAGTACGCAATCCGCGAATATTCCGACGCGGAAGGCAAGGTAGACTGGTTCCTCACCCCTGTGGTGGCAGAGACATTCGATGGCTTCCTTCACGACGTCACTAAGTTCGCTGTTACGCCACAACACATTGTCAAAGGCATCGACGAGGCGAGCAGTGACGCCGTAAAAGAGGGCAATACGGGTGGAGGAACAGGCATGCTGGCGCACTGGTTCAAAGGCGGGACTGGATCGAGTAGTCGTATCGTTCCTGGGGAAGGCGAGAAGAAGTATACTATCGGCGCGCTTGTGCAAGCAAATTATGGCGCTATGCGAGACTTCCGCATTTCTGGTGCGCCGATTGGTCGTCTCATCTTCGAGGAGCAGGAACGTATGGCCCGTGAAGATCCCTTGAATCCGAAGCTCATGTCGCAAGCATCCCTCCTCTTCAAACACATCCAAGAGCACAAGGACAAGAAAGACGGATCCATTATCATCATCTTGGCCACAGACGCGCCGCTTCACCCCCTACAACTTCAGCGGCTAGCGAAACGCGCAACAGTGGGTCTCTCGAGAGTTGGCGGGTGGGGTGCCAATCCGTCGGGAGATATTTTCCTGGCATTTTCGACCGCGACCGAGGCCGAGGTGCAGAACGACGCTGATCGGTGGACGCCGAAGGAGAGGAAAATCGACATGACCGAAGATGCGACCATCAACGCGCTCTTTGAGGCGGGTTCTGATGCGGTAGAAGAGGCTATTCTGAATGCTTTGTGTATGGCGGAAACAACAGTAGGATTCAACGCCACGGTGGATGGGCTTGACCTAGACCGGGTCAAAGAACTGATGGAGAAGTATCTGTGATAGGGAGACAGTGGACATGGAAAGCGAAAGACCCACCCTAAGATGGCTCCATGATGATCGTTCTGTGTTCACGTGCGATCGTGATTGTGTTGATCTCGAGCTTCCGTACTCTTTCAAGCAATATCAAGGGTACAATTGGGGTAATCTCCATGCTTTGACGTTGCAGCGAACAGACTCTAAGAGAGGAAAAATGGCAAGAACGTTGCACAAATGAGGACTCATTATGAGTCAAGGGCGGTATATGTCAGACCAAGGGCGTTGCTAACCGGGCTCTATTGAGGTTTTCCTGATCTAGTAATTAGATTGTGCGACATCTTAGCGTCGTGCGTTCTTACGGAGATATTTTGGTTCTAGATGGGACACTCAGGTGGATCACATTGCATAGGGTCAATAGGTACAGCTACATAGGTGTAGTCGGGTAGAATCGGGTCCACTGATCGCGTGTTGGCAAGTCGTTCTACCGTCAATGCAGTCGAGCGTCGTCACCAAACTCGAGAACTGCAGGCTAAATGCAGGAGACGAACCAACTCCAGTGGATGTTATGCTGATGCGGTGCGAAGCCATTGTGCGGATTTAAATTTCGGTGACGGGAATCCTGTTCAATCGGCCCGGAGCGAAATTCCGCGCCGATCCTCCGACCGTCCGTTGCAGGGGAACTTGTTTGATTGGTTGTTTGGCCTGACGTCCCGCATTCGGTCGCCCCGTATTCGTCGTATCGTGCAAGAAGGCTGACCCGGGTGCCGCCGACGGACCGTCCGCGTAGTCCTTTTGTGGGTTCCTTCGTAACCGATGTCAGGCAGCCATCAATCGGATCTTACACGCAAACCTCCTTATACATCCACCGTGTACGCCATTCGCTCATAAGATCTGGTGTTTGCCCTTCATGCTTTCGGTCTTGTACGACGCACAATTTGAGGGTTTGGAACATCGTACAACACCGCAGCGGCATTTCTCCAGTCGGAATAAAAGCTGCACGCAGTCCTTGTTTCATCAGTCGCACGCCCAAGCGCCGCATTCCTGAAGTCGAAGATTCAGTGAACGGGCGTATTCCTAGCCAAGCTCGGTTGCGTATTCTCGCCCTACGCACTGCTATAGGCTTAGCTGCATCCATCCGAGCTTCTCGAACGCACTACCTTCTCTTTGCGGTATAGCGCTCGCTCGAGAAGTGCATCACCCCCCGGCAGCTCTCCTCCCCGTCGCGTGGGTGGGACCTGGGGTTTCACGACAGCTTGCAGCCGCTCACCCTCTTTCACGACATACACAGGGCCTACCTTCGTGTCCATCTAGTCAAGCTCACCATGGCACCGCGACCAGAGGAGATGGAGAAGGCGCCCATGCCCTTGCCTGGGACGGTTCCAGTGCCGGCACCGGTGCCCATCGAAGACAATCCCGAGGTCCTCGACGAGAAAACCTTGGAGGATGGCGATGGAAGTTCGGCCGCAGGATTGACCGAAGATGAGAAAAGGATCATCCAGAGACAGTTGGATGCGCCAAACGAGAAAGTCGGCTACTTCACGCTGTTTCGGTATGCCAACAAGAAAGACATGCTTATCATGATGGTGTCGTTCGTGGCCTCCATTGTAGCAGGAGCTTGCCTTCCTCTCATGACACTCGTATACGGCAACTTTGCGGGCAGTTTCACCAGTTTTTCCGTCGACGCGCTTGCAGCAGAGCGTTTCCAGCATCAGATCAATACCTTTACATTGTATTTCGTCTATCTCGGTAGGTCTCGTATTGCAGACTCTTCAAGACAAGTACTGACTTGGAACGCAGGCATTGGTTCATTCGTCTGTGTCTACGTTGGCATGATGGGGTTCTCATACACGGGGGAGCGTATTACTCAGTGCGTTCGCGAACTGTACTTGCGAGCTATCTTTCGACAAAACATCGGCTTCTTTGACCATTTGGGTTCTGGTGAAATCACCACCCGCATCAGTTCCGGTAAATCAGTTCATCCTTCTCACTTGACTTGTGATCGCTAAAACAATCAGACATGGTGTTGGTTCAAGACGGTGTTGGCCAAAAGATCTCCCTGTTCGTCTCCGGCACTTCTATGTTTTTCGCAGCTCTTGTTGTCGGATTCATCCGAAGCTGGAAACTCACGCTCATTATGCTTTCCGCAACCGTGGCTTTGGTTATCATGATGGGTTTCAACGGCGGTCGTATGAAGGCGAATCAGACTAAAGCTGTCGATGAGTACGCGACTGCCGGTACTCTTGCTGAAGAAGTCATCTCGTCTGCACGCAACGTGACAGCTTATGGAACCCAGAAAAGACTTGAAGCCAAATACAAAGCTTACCTGGACCGTGCTGCGCAGTGGGACTACAATTCCAAGTTCTGGCTCGCTTCGATGATCGCCGGTATGTATGCGTCGTCTCGATTGTTGTCTTGTCTTACACTGCCACAGGAATGATGGGTGTGCTCAATTTGCAATATTCATTAGCGTTCTGGCAAGGAAACCGCTTCCTACAATCGGGAGAGCTGGGTGTTGCGAACATCCTGACAGTTGTGATGGCTAGCATGGTAGCTGGTATCTCGATCGGCCACAACTTACCGCACCTGCAAGCATTCGGTCAGGCTGTAGCCGCAGCTACCAAGGTGTTCAACACCATTGAGCGCAGGTCTCCTATTGATCCTGAGACGGATGAGGGCGACAAGCCGGAAGAGTTCGCAGGCAACATCGAGTTCAAAGGTGTAAAACACATCTATCCCTCGAGGCAAGATACCACCGTCCTCGAAAACTTCAATCTAAAGATTGACGCGGGCCAAATGGTGGCAATGGTTGGTGCTTCAGGGTCTGGCAAGAGTACCATCTTCGGTCTTCTTGAACGATTCTATCTGCCAATGAGCGGTCAAGTCTTCCTAGATGGTAGGGATATTAGCACACTTAACCTTAGGTGGCTACGGCGGCACATAGCTATTGTGAGCCAAGAGCCTGTGCTTTTCAGCATCACCATCTACGAAAGCATTGCGCACGGTCTTGTCGGTACGGAGTTCGAGCATGTAAGTAATCTGTTCTGCTATCGCGTCCAAGACTGAGGCTTTCCAGGCTAGCGAAGAAAAGAAAACGGAGCTTATCGAGGAAGCTGCCAAGACCGCCAACGCCTACAGTTTCATCATGGACTTGCCAGACAAGTTTCAAACCAAGGTCGGAGAACGTGGAAATCTCCTGTCGGGTGGACAGAAACAGCGTATCGCTATCGCTCGCGCCGTCGTTTCCGACCCCAAGATTCTACTTCTCGATGAGGCCACGGCAGCTCTTGATACCAAATCCGAGAAGGTTGTGCAGGAAGCTCTCGACAAAGCGACCGAAGGCCGCACCACCATTGCCATTGCCCATCGTCTCTCCACGATTCGTAACGCGGATAAAATTGTGGTTATGGCCAAGGGAAGGATTGTCGAGCAGGGTACTCACGATGACTTGATCAGAAAGCAGGGTGTTTATCAGAGTTTGGTTCAAGCACAAGAATTAAGTTCCAAAATACAGCCAAGCAACCGCCTCTCTGAAATGTCCATGGGCGGAAAGGACGCCGAGGTCACGGTTGAGGGTGAGAAGCTCAACCTCATACACACTACTACCACGAAGGCTACTTCGCTACACGCCAAGACAGGGGAGAAGAAAGAAAATTACAACAATTGGCATCTCGTCAAATTCGGTTGGTTCATGAACAGAAAAGAGCACGGACTGATGTATACGGGCTTCCTCTTCTGTGTCTGTGCCGGTGCGACACCCGCGATCCAGGCTATCTTCTTGGGCAATTCGATCAACGCATTTTTTTCACCTGAGACATCAACTGGTGGCCATGGAATCTCCTTTTGGTGTTGGATGTTCTTCATGCTCGGTATCCTTACATGGGGCGCCTACTTCCTCCAAGGCCTGACCCTGTCAAAGTCTTCAGCGTAAGTCAATCTAAGGATCGACGTGTAGCATAATGACTAATATGCACTAGTTTGCTCATCTCACGTGTTCGTGAAGATGCGTTCAGTGCCATCCTGCGTCAGGTAAGTTCCGATCGATCTCGCTGGCGCGCAAAACCTGACCCGTTGTAGGATATCGAGTTCTTTGACAGTGACGCCGTAACTTCGGGATCTCTCGCTGCCTTCCTCTCCACTGAAGCCAACCGTCTTGCTGGTATGAGCGGCACCACACTTGGTGCCATCATCACCGCATGTGCCAGTGTCATCATTGCCATTATTGTCGGACTGTGCTTCGGCTGGAAGCTCGCTCTTGTGTGTACCTCAACGATCCCGCTCGTCATCGGTTGCGGCTATTTCAGATTCTATGCGCTCTTGCGCATGGAGAAGCGTACAAAGGAATCAACAGATTCCGCCTCGTTTGCCTGCGAGGCCGCGTCTTCGATTCGCACCGTGGCCACACTGTCTCTGGAAAGCCACTTGCTAGAGCAATATCACGAAAAGCTTGTTGCGCAAGGCAGGGGGAATCTGAAGTTCATGAACATATCTTCACTGTTGTACGCCATGAGCCAGGGCTTGGCTATGTTCATTTTTGCTCTTGTCTTCTGGTATGGTGGTAGGTTGATGCTGAGTATGGAATATACCGTGCTGCAGTTCTTCATCGTCTACGCGGCTATCATCAACGGTGCGCAGTCTGCTGGCGCTATCTTCTCTTTTGCTCCAGACATGGGCGAGGCGCGGGATGCTGCAATGCTGCTTAAGTCTTTCCTGAACCGCGTACCCAAAATCGACAATTGGTCTACCGAAGGCAAGAAGATCGAACGTCTTGCAGGAAAAGTCGAGCTTCAATCCGTGCGCTTCAGTTATCCCGGTCGTGCTGACCATCGCGTTCTGCGGGGCGTCAGCTTGACAGCGGAGCCGGGACAATTCATCGCCCTTGTGGGTGCGAGTGGCAGCGGCAAATCTACCATCATGCAACTCTTAGAACGCTTCTATGACCCCACCGCCGGCGCTGTTTTGGTCGACAACGTGGAGCTAAAGGACTATAACATCCAAGACTACAGAGCGCAGTTGGCGATCGTGAGTCAAGAAACAACGCTGTATACGGGTACGATCAAAGAGAACCTCCTAGCGGACAAAGACGACATTCCCGAGGAATTGGTGGTTCGTGCCTGTAAGGATGCCAACATCTACGAGTTCATCGTGAGTCAAAAATACTACCTTTGTGCAACGCTCAAGTTGACAATACGCAGACGTCCCTTCCTGATGGTTTCAACACCCTTGTCGGTGCGAAAGGTGCTCTCCTTTCCGGTGGCCAGCGTCAACGCATGGCCATCGCCCGCGCTCTGCTGCGGGACCCCAAGATTCTGTAAGTTCTTTCGATCGTCTGTCGTCTCGAACGCCGTTTGGCTGACACCACGCCCAGTCTCCTCGACGAAGCCACTTCAGCTCTCGACTCAGCCTCGGAACGAGTCGTCCAGGACGCGCTCGATGCTGCCGCGCAAGGCCGCACCACTATTGCTATTGCGCACCGCTTGTCGACGATCCAAGACGCCGACGTGATCTATGTTTTTGATCAAGGGAAGATTGTGGAAAAAGGACGGCATGATGAGCTGATGGGAAAGAGGGGTGTGTATTGGGAGTTGGCGCGGTTGCAGGACATGGGCGCATCCCAGTTTTAAAACGACGGAGCAAAGACGTGATTGTGGTGAGTCAATTTTTAGAGGTTGAGCGTTCAGTCGAAGATACCCCACTCCGGTGCACATATTCGAGAGCACAGAGGAATTCATGTAGACGCCTATGTTAGATATTGTAATTGGAAGTCAAGATGTCAAAGAGGCGAGACGACGGATGTCCTGATCAATGTGCCTACATATGCAGGAAGCTTGGATATTGTGTTGTAGCAAAGCCCAAGAACCGCCACCATTGACCTCGGGATGTTGTGACACGCTTTCGCGAAGTCCACTTTGTGGTCACGATGCTACAGAACCTGCAGATGGAGATTGCGTACCGACATGTGACATTAGGGCTGCAAGAAGACAATCGCTGCCAGAAGATCGAGATCGCAGATGCTACGGATCTTCACCGAAACTTCTTGCGCGGCCCAGCTTCCTTCTGTGGCGCACAAAGTGGAACGTAGGGTCATTTTTCAATGTCACAGACTCGCCGCCGTTGTGTCAGGGGTACGTTTGTCGTGGTGATCAGAAGGGTCACAACGCACTGGACCGAGGAATGCCAGCGTAAGCCGACAGATGCCCGATGCCGAAAGCAAGAGGACAGCCCAGAACAAGTGCAAGTCCGGACTAGATCCAGGGGAGCGAGATAGGCGAGCCATTCGTACGCCAGTTTGCACGAGTCCAGTATGGGTTGTAGGCTGGAAGGCTAGAGAAGTCAGATGACAAGGGCGCCATGACGTCAGGCGCGTCTAGACTGCGCGATTTCGCGGCGATTTCGTGATGCGCAATCGATCATCTTGCAGCGAATGCGGATTCGGGCGTTGTGAATGGGAATGTGGCCTTTTGCGCCACGATCGTTGGCATTTGCCCCACGCACATGATGGGTGACGTCGATCCAACGTCATGGCGCCGCGTCCGAGCTTCCAGAGCTGTTGACAGAACTACAAGTAGCCCCTCACCAGGCACTCTTCCTTCCTTCATCCTCACAAACACTCGAGCTTCTCTCCAAACTCTCAACTACGACAATCTCTACAAATCACCGTTCACCCGAACAAACAACCTAAACACCATGTCTTCTTCCAACACCAACGCTCAGGGCGAGTACGTGCTAGCTACCCCTCCATACCCCGCCTTCCCAACAGTCACTTACTTTTCTTCACAGGGGCATCGTCGAGTCCACCGTCAACACCGTCAAGGACAACGTCAACTGGGCCGCCAACAAGCTCACGGGTAACACCGAGGAGGCTCAGCGCCGCGCCAACCAGGAGCAGGCCAAGCACGGCAACACCATGGGCGACAAGCTCGACGGTGCCGTCGGCACCATCAAGCACGGCACCAACGAGGCCACCGACAAGACCAAGGCCGACTACTACGACGGCAAGAGCCAGACCCACTAGATACCCCCTGGAGGAGAGCTGTTATGGCGCATGACTTGGTATGATTCACGAACGCTTGATGGGAATTCCTGATACCCTGATACCGATACCTTTATCAATATCTAAGACGTCAATAATGAAATCAATGTAAAGAACCGAAATGTGTTTTAAATTCATTGTGATGTTGGTCTGCTGTTCTCGATGCTAAACCTTTCACAACCTGTCGCTGTCCGACTTGCATAATGTTTATTATAGCAACACCAGCAGAATACGCCCAGAACATGTGCCTCAAGGACCTTTGTCGACTGGGTGCTCCCACTACGCGTTAACGAAAACCTTGATGGTTGAGCGACTACGCGTTCTTAATTGCAGCCCGTACATATTCGACTACGCATGTTGATGCGATTATCTGGAAGATGATCTGTTGTTTGTGATACCGATCCTCGACCCTCAAGATAAGAGGTATCTGAAGTACACTTGCCCTTCTAGCCAGTACGAAAGTCTTCCTTATGAATTGGTCGACAACACCTGTGACATACAGGTCAAGGATATTAGCCTAACACTGAGGCATTGAGTTGTATATATGATCCACCAAATATACGCACAAATAATGCGACGCTACTAGTGGGCTTGGGTTGGTAGGGGCTCCCTACGCTTCCAGGCTGTACAGGATCTCGAGCGACCTCGGGAGCACACATCCAATCAACGGCCTCGCCACATATGGAAACACCTCTCCAGCCGCTTTTACAAAGAGAAAATCTTTCACGGGCTGGTGCACAAAGTAGATGGTGGTTTCTCGTACGGTAGGGCACGATCCACGGAGCCGGATAATCTCCCGTACTTCTGGTTCGCCGGCTATATAGATTCCTAGTACGATTGCTACAAGAGGATAAGGCTGTCTACCGAAAGGGTTCGCTGACCTGGAGACTTGTAGACTAGCGCACTTATCGACCTACGATGTTGAAGCGGAAGCGTCCTAGTACCACCTAGGCAGTCTATGAGGTTCTCGATTTGTTAAATCAAGGATCCAGTAGATGTACTACGGCCTAGCAAAGGCCAAGCACGGGTGCTTTCCTTGACGGTCACTTGCCCGGCTCATGGATCTTGTCCGTAGCAGCAAAGTACGAGATTGATATCAAGTTCTTCGACTGACACATTCATCTCTGGTGGCATTCTGAAGGAGCGGTAGTGCATGCGTCTTTTCAATTATCGTGGGTAACTTCGGGACGAGGTTTGATACTCCGCATCAGTGATGATTGTTTCAACGCGTTCTTTAGTGCATCGCACGCTCCTCTCGCGCGGCAAAAGTTTGCCAGGGAAGTTTGAAACGAATCCTACGACCTTGTAGGCAGCCCTATTACGTTATTCTAGTTTATGCCTCGCAGCTAAGCTTTCATTCGCGAAGCCTTCCATCGATTAACAACACTTCGCCCCTATATATGAAGGATTTGTGACATCAACACCTCCTATAAGGGACCCGAAGGATCCGCGACACCAAGACGTCGCACGAGAGACATTGTGGCTGCAATCCTATGCACTACCGGGAAGCATTCGTGACATCACCGCGCCGTACGACGGGCCTTCGGATCGATATATGCTTTAGAGGCAAGTTGATCAACACCTCACTTGGAGAATAGTTCCCCAATAGCAGGATCTGTTAACGCCCGTATAGGATTGTTCAAGGCTAAGCGAACGGATAAACACCTAGAGCCGCTATACCAAGAATCATGAGACACTAGGATAAACTCTTGTGTATTGCTTAGCTTTAATACCATTTTCGACTTCAAAATGGTCAGATCAAATGTATAAAAGGCCACTGGATCTGCTCTTTACATCTCATCATCCAACAGGCAACACAAATACAATCTACTCAGCCTTCTACACATCTTTTAGATCTCAGGTCTCAAAAGTCGAACCACGGACACAACAACAACCGTCAATATGAAGTTCAGCATCATCGCCAGCATCTTTGCTCTCGCCAGCATTGGCATGGCCGCCCCGTCTCCAGGTACGTGATATTTGAGGATGCATCACCTCACGATCCTCTGGCTAACCGCTACTCTCTATAGATGATGCGGTCAAGATCAACCAAGCTTTGGCAAATTATGAGAAGATCACCTCGCTTAAGGCGCGTGCCGCTGCACCCGGTGCGACTCTGAACAAGAGAGGTCCCTGCCCCGAACCGGGATCCGGCAACATTGACCCGTGCTGCTTTGACGGAGGCCCAGACGAGAACTGCCAGTCTCGCTCCAACTGCTACACCCGTTGCGGTCCTAGCGGACCCAATGACATTGGAGGTCCTTTGGGATGTCTTGCTGGTAAGTTGTCCTTGCTAGCAGAAGTGTACAAGATCCTTTACGCTTACAATTTCTATCTAGGCTGCGCCTCGGTCTGCCCTAGTGACCCAGTGTGTTAAGTAAAAAGGTGTTCCTCTACCCTCCAAGAGCCGCTACGGTGGAGGGCACTGTAATCCTAAGGGAACGACGAGCAAATCAAGATAGTATTAGTCCCGTTGGTTTCCATCGCAGCTGCTAGGATGGGGGTTGTAGAGCTGTGTTGGTTCCCTCTCGCACATAGCCCTGATCATTATAGATTAGTCACAGTTGGTCTCTTTTGTCCATTTATGTGAGACTAGCTCTACTACTTAGCACAATACAGTAGCTTATAGAAAAAAAAGTCTGAACCTACGAATCTACCCTATAATACGTTTCCTGACCCAAGTCACTAGGATCATCAAGTAATGCTGGAAAATGATATTGGCCCTACAGCTTAATGTGCTTCGTCTCGCTCAGATAGACAGACCTTTGTAAAGAATGGTAGAAGACATCTTAATGGTCGTAACTTTGTGACAGCTAGGATCAGATGAGGAGAGCAGATGCCAAAGTACGTGATGAGAGATTTTGGCCTTTTTTATCCGGTCCTAATGTCTCAGTACCCATGTTTGGTCCGGTACAATGTGTGTTCCGTCACGAGTTGATGTACGCTATATGTGACGGTTCCTTGTTATGGGGGTCCTTCAGTCACCCATGGTACCCGCAAATCCCCAAATGGTGATTGTGTTGCACTCAGTTACTATCCCGATCCTCCTCTCCTCTCTCCCTATCTCTCGCCTCCTTCCTCTGTCTCTCTTTAACCCTTCTTGGCTTCTTCGCACTAACCGGTCCCTCTGCACTCCTATCTTTCCACTATCATCGAAATTTTGTTAGCGCGTGCTCTTTTCTTGCCTGTGGACGTCAGGTCGACTTACCATACCGCCGTATCGATAGTTTGGGTGTGCATCTTTCAAGCCCCGAGAGTCTTCTACTCCACCGGAAACTGATTTCCAGCATGCACCAGGGCACACAAAATGCCATTGATTCGTTTCGTCGATCTGACAGCGGACAAGGATGGAGCGCGGGGTGGAGCACAGGGTGCAGGCTTTCGTCATGCTGATAAGTGCGGGTGCACTTTGGCCAAAGCGTGCAACGAGGATTGACTAGTCGTACACAGAAGAGCTCTCTCCCTGTTAATATCTGGGGATCATGGGAAATGTCGATGTTGTTGTATGAAGCTTCCTCCACCAGATGTAGACTCGAGACTGATGATGTCATGGCTAGCGCACGAAGCTACTACTTGTGTAATAAGGTAAGAATCATGAAGATAGATATATGCACCTCAAGTACCCCCTCACGCATTACAAAGCCCTTGAGCCTTTATTCTGGTCCTGATATGACTATATGGTTATGAGCTCATATTGCTGTTCTCTTAAGGTAACAGCCCACCCAAAGGCAACTCCCGCCTTTTGACCACAACCCAGCCACCATCTAAACCTTCCCTTTGACCGGCACGCTCCTTCTAATGTCCCCTGCCCTCATGCTCCAATGGGTCATCCGGATATTTCCTCGAATGTGTGACCGCCCACATCAACCCCTCACTCAACACGGGCAGCACCAAACCTTCGCCTCTAATCCTTCCTAACCCGGCGATTCTAGACAGCTTTTCTAGCCACTCTATTGTATGTGCCTCCTCCCATGGGATATCTTGGAACTGCTTGCCTTTTGATCTCGTCTGTCGCGCCCTCTCGGTCTCCCATTTTTCCTGTTCTTTGAAAACAGCGGCGGAAGCGGCACTAGTGTGTTTTCCAAGGTGCATATAACACTCACGTCATAGAATTGTAGATTGCCGTCTTGGTCCATCGTTCTTGTTGGATGGGTGGCGTGAACCGAGGCAGCGCTTCCGGAACCTCTAAAGGGGGATCGGTATCTGGAGGGGAGTTGTCCGGGATATAGAGGGATGGGATTCGGTTCAGCATCATCTATCCTTTCCACGTGTAGATAAAAGGTATTGTACCAATCAAGGTTGGTCGGATCCCTACCTTGCTCCACCTGCCGTTTCTCTTCGTCCGAAAAGTTGGATGCGATCCAAATAGTTCTCCGCCTTAAGAGCAGCAGCTGTCACCGCTCGTAAGAGCTACGGCCAAACACCAGGGCGGGCCAAGCGAGTCATGTTGGGGCGTACCTGCTGCACCGGCACCAACAACCGCCAGGGATTTGATCTGGCTTTTGGTGGTCATAGCGCTTTGATGGTGTCAGTCCTGCCATATAATGTTCATAACAGTGGTTTGGAAGGTATCATCTGATAATAGGTGAGTGTTCTCGTCTGACAAAATGCGTCGAGTCATTATTCCAGCACATAACGCAATATTAGTCACGTGTTGGGATCTACCCATGCATATACAGCTTAGCCGAAGCATGCGGATGTATAATTTCGCATCAACATGGATCACTGCTCGATTATTGCTGCTGATGTTGATTGTCCTGTCGCCTTGTGCGATGTATGCATCAGCACCGTCCCCACTCTATTTCCGCCAGAACAAAAACCAGATCAGAAATGCTGCAAATAAGAGCGCCGGATACGGATTCCTACCGATATTAGTCACCTCTTCTTCAAGTGTCCCAGCTTCAGAAAGGCTCACCCTGATCCGCCCCCTCCAAACTCAACCTGACTAAACTCCTCTTCTTCCTCATCCGTGGTCGTCTCCCCATTCCCCCTCTTTCGCGCATAGGTCACCAACTTCTTAATCGCATTCGCATCCGCACCCCTCACAGCCTTACACACGACTCCATTTCTCAGGAGCAGAAACGTGGGCATGGCGGAGATCTTGTACTGCTGCGCAACTTCTTTCGTCGCATCCACATCCACTTTGGCAAAGGCTAGCTTCTTATCTATGGCATTTTCTGCTGCGATCTTTTCAAAGAAAGGGGCGATAGTCTTGCAGGGAGGACACCTGGAAAAATTGAGATTGAATACAGCTTGTCAGAAAGAAAGTGGAAAAGGAAGCTTACCAAGTGGCCCAGAAGTCGATAAGGGTGTACTCGTTCTCGTGGATGAGATCTTCTAGCTGAGGGCTGCTCGATATAGACGTGTATCTCGCCATATTACCAGGTTCCAGTCTCACTATGTCGGAGTGCGGTGCGTGTCGAGGAGAGATGGATCTGCTCAGCCTTTGGGAGCACGACGAATACAGTGGGGCTGCCAGCCACGCACCGCCACATCGGCTTTCCACAGTAGGCCTAGTGTTTACCCCGCGCTTGTCTTGATCCGGGAACTACCTAGGTTCACTTTTATTTCTGGCACGACTTTCTACGAAGTGGCATCAACCGCGTCAAGGCAATCATCACCAGGCTCTCTGCTGATAATAAATGTCTCGCTCGAGCGTTTGGCCTTTTGAGTCCGGCATTGGTCCATCTCAAATTTTAGGTTGACATTAGCTGGAAATGAAGCAAAGAGCACAATCAGGGTAGGCAATGCTGCGAGATATTCTTGTAACCAAGCATGTGGGCTACTTCTTGAACATGACATGATAAGATAGCTCCCAGCATTATGTAGCGTGTAGTCAAATCATGCCTTCCATTGCTCTGCTCGCTATGTGCGGCCGGAGCACACATTCCAAGGTTGTCAGCAACTTGTCTGTACTATGGGCGTCAGTCAGAAGTGAAATACAAGCCTTCCACTTCGCACTTAAGTAGTTACCTTGATGATGATCTTGAAGTGAGCTACACATGGTTCATCGGTACAAGACAATTGAATCGTGTTTGACACACACGACTGTTGACGTATGAAGTTGAGGCAGCGGTATATACCAAGTCTAATTTGGCTAGTCTATTGGCATCCGTCCCTAACTACCTGGCCGATGGTAACATTGCAGCGTGGAACTCCCTTCCTACCAATGCCGTACATTACCAAGAAGTACGCCCGTAGGAGAGAACGGATGTCGGGTCAGTGAGGTTACACTTTACGGCCAGGGGCGCCGCACGCCTGTACATGGGGTAATGATCAGCATCCGCAGAACAGGATTAGCCTAGCGTATGACGGAATGCAATTCTGCGGGATTCCATCTAGACCAGGCGGTCAGCTCGTGTTAAGGGGAATTGAGAGTATAAAGAAGTTGAGCGCAAGCACTTCAAGAGTATTAGATTAGTGGTGTTTCTGTTTCCTTGTTCCCCTTTCGCTAGCCTATATTTTCCTGCCCAACGCCATGCCATGCTATGCGAGAACGGGTATTAATCATGCATCGCTTCCGAAACGCCTTGCTCTCATAGCGGCTGTTCGCTCATGTCGTCCGAAATGTCGTATATGATGACTGCGAGGTCATGCCCATTGCCTTGGACCCTATGTTTCATCGGAAAATCATCCTCATACTGCCTCACAACGTCTTTATCCTTGCAGGATGGTTCTTCGAATAATGAAGACACCCACTTCAACGCCTCTCGACTCCAATCGGATATCGTCGGCTTTCCGATTCGCAACGCCGTCCAATACCTCTTGGATCAGATGCGAGCCTGTCATCTCCGACGAGGGCAGCTTCTTAACCTGCCGGAAGTACTTGTTGACCGTCTCACGAATGCGAGGTTTTTCTTGTTTGATCCACCAGTCGTTCGCCCATGCCGATCTCTCCAGAACCGCTTCTTCCTTTGATGCTTGTACCACCGTAAAGACCGAGTTCTTTTCGCCAGACCCGCCTTCGCTCAGCATACTACAATAGCGCGTTACCTGGTCCTGCAGCCTCTCGTACTCATCGAGGTAGTTCACCGAGCTCATCTGACCCAGGCTTTTGCCTAGTTCGGAGGACAGGTCATGTACAACTGTAATCGCGCGCAACAATGGGTCGAGGATCGGGCCGAGATAATGTTGCATGAAAGAGCGAGCTCCGGTTTTGGTGGGGTAGATGAAGAGCAACATGCCGTTGTGAGGTGACAGCTCGGCCAATCGGTCATGGAGCAACGAACGACCCTTCAGTTGAAACATTTCCGCATACTCGTTGGTGTTCGTTGGCGGGATGTAGCGCTCGACTATGGAGATGTTGACGCTACCGGGGGGTACGACGGGCCGTGGAGAAGGGGGCAGGAGCTTGGAATCAAGCTGATAGTCTGGGATTGCTACCGCACTATCGAAGACTTTGCTGGTGAAGTATTCATCCCCACCAACCGCGGGACCGGGAGTAGAGGGAGGCGATTTAGGAAGATCGGAAAGTGTGAAGCGGCCGGGGAGGGCATGAAAAACATTTATCCAGGCCGTGTTGGTAGGCGATTGATCATGAATGGCGGCGATGATCTGTGGGAAAAGATGGCCGGTGGTAGATGGGCATGGCAGGGCGTGAGACAGGATCTTGACGGAGCTCACAGCTTCAGAGGTCGACTCGGTTACTGCGACTAGTCAGCACGCCTTTCCGGTGCGCTCTAGAGCTGCACTTACTGAGCGTCTCTTTTACGCTTTGCGTCCAGGCTTCCATGCCTAGCATACCACTCACCTCTGCAACCGTGGGGACGACGATGGGAGCCGACCCTAGTGACGGGGCGCTGGCTACGGTAGCAAGATTTGGCGACTCTCCTGGGTCGGAATTGGGTGGTGAGCCAAGCGCGATAGTCTTGACATTCACAAAGGCTCCCCAGTTGAAGGTGCCTGGCTCTGTTGGTGGTGTTACGATGGGTACGATGCGATCAAGGTCGGCCTTGGCGGGCCTCGGACTGGTGCTGTGAAGATCGTCGGCGCCGTCGAGCTGGCAGATGCGCGGGCTGAGGACATGAAGAGGGTCCTCGGGCTTCGACAGTGGACCGGCGCCTACGGAAAATGAAGGATTGGCGTGCAAACGAGGTCGATCCGGATGAGGAGCGGCAATGCCTAAGACGTCGAAGGATGGGAGGCGTAGGTTGTGCGCGGTTCTCGCTATGGGTGGGGTAGGCAGCGAGACATGGGACGCTGGGACGACGGTGGGTGCGAAGTCAAGGCTGAGATCCGGCTGTGTGTCGTGGAGCGGGCTTGGAACGTCTAAGGGTGAGGGTGCTGGCAATGGGAAGGGAGAGATCAGAGATGATTCGAGAAGAGCAGGGCTGTCGTTCGCGTGTGCCGAGCTCAATCGACCACGAGCCACGGGTTTGGGACAGAAGGCGCCCACGTCCCCGTCCGGCGTCGGCAGGCTGGAAGACGAGCCGATGTCGCGGTGCTGCTGGTTCACCAGGGCAGAGATGTTGCTGTCGATCATTGCAGCGATAGACTTGCTGGCGGGCACGCACGGGGGTGCTATATCATCAAGACGAGGCCGGTCACGCTACTCGCAATAGCGATAAGGGCCCGTGCAGAACCGATATTTGAGCAGCCTTCCCGCTTGGGGCCGCCTCAGAAGCAGATGCAGAGGGCGGGATGCGGAGGCCAAGCCCAGCCTTCACTGTGGCGGGGCGGACCAGGGCAGAGGGGTGAAGGCAGCGTACGACAAGCGAGTGGACGGCGTAATGCCAGCAAAGAAGGGCTTGGACGTCGACCAATGCGGCACGCTGGGCAGCAGGGGACGCAGCGCGAACGACGAGAAGCACTGGGCGTGGTGATGGAGAGGGAGAGGTCGAGCGAGGGGAGTGTATGGGTGCAGCGGAACCAGGGCCGTCCAATCAGCGCGCGGTGCCGGGGCGTTCCTGCCTTTGCGCCACAGGGTCGGGGTCTAGATCGCGACCGACCCTCGCAGCGACTGCTCCTCTCAACCTCGAGAGCAACATGGCCTGATTCTTCATTGCCGTCTGCGCCGTCAGCCTGTCCGACATGCAACTCGAGGCGTCCGTCGCTGCTCGGCCGCCCGTCTACACCGCTGATCGGCTGCGCTTCGCCTCCCTACGCGGTTCTTCCCTGCTCCACGCTGGCAGATTTTGCGGCTTTTTGACGGATGAAACATGGCCCGCAGCTGCGCCAGCCCGCAACGGGACACCCACCGTTGTTCGCGAATCTCTGCTGTGCCGTAGCCATCGCGCTGCTGGAAATCTCTGACCGCGAACTAGGTCACGGCCTGCCTGTCTTTCGCTGTGCGGGGCGACAGCGCCCTCTGGACGCGAGACGCTGTCGAAACGTGCTGATGGCGAGCATTGTCTTGCTCGTGCGTGCGCTGCTCTTGGACGAGCATTCTACTGCATTCCAGATTACAGAGCTTGCGAATCATTGGCGATATATCCGCCTGGCCGGGACCACGTTGCAGCCATGCTGGTCTGGACTGCGCAAACATGACCAATATCCGCGGCTCCAGCGCACCCATCCATCGTGGATTCAATATGGAGTTTTCCAAGTTCAAGGGAACTTCTGCATTGGCATCCTTCGCGTGGGTTGCTCCATCAATCCGTCTGTCTTTGACCGCCATAAACGAAGGCATTCAGTGAATCTTACACTCAGTCCTGCGCAGAGCCACGGGAAGGCCGAAACTCATGCAACATGCTTTGCTACTCCGTTTTGTTGCGACATTACAGATGAGTACTCGCCCTGGTTCCCTTGCTGGCATCATCCCTTCTCACAAAGGTTTCTCGCTGCATTGGAAGAGATGTAGCCCCGCCTCGACAAGGTCGTCGCGGCCTGACACCTGATTGACTGGTCCGGTTGCACCGGTATCCCCACTCCATAGCTGTACAACACTCCAAGACGACTCCAATAGATGTGTCATGATTCCAACATTCAGCTCTGCTCCATATGCGTTGACAACATTGAAGCTTCTGAGAGACTTTGAACCGAGTTCCTTACGAACCATGTAGTCGCTCGATGGAAGGCTTGGTCTTGCACGAATAGGTCAACGTCGAGTCCCTACGTTTCAACGATATTTTGATAGATCATCAATATTGCTCCGTTTTCCTGATGCGTACTGACCGTGCAAATGCTCGCTCTGCACAACTCACCTATACGTGCCAAGACCTTTAGCGCTAAAAGCTGTCCGCACCAATGGAAACATTTTGTCGAAGTTGCGCATTTTCCAAACGATACACTCACGCTCTACAATCGGACCAATATATACACGCCACACCAGGAGGCTCATTTGTAAGTGAGATGTGATTGGTCTTGGCACGCAGCAAAATACCTCGTCATGACCCGCCTGCGATTGTGGTGCGCTCGTTTTTGCACGTTTAGTTATTCATCATGCATTCCTGTTTAGACGATCAGCATCGCTGTACGGAAGATACGCTGGCACATCGTCCAGTGACTTTTACTTCATCGCTCTTGATTCGGTCTTATCATGAAGAAGAAGTAGCACTAATACCTTACTAGCTATATACCAGCGTTGCGTCAACCGACAACTGACTTCTCCTATTCGTCTGCCTACCATTGTCTACCTGAAATCTACGCGTGACAGTCACGGGATCATTAACCACAACTTTCGCTGGCCACAGCCATGCATGTACGGCTTATCCCACGCACTTCGCCACACCCTTCCTTCACCCTTTCACGCGTAGCACGTGCCCAAACTTACAGCTCACAGATCAAGAACCCTCAATCTGCACTTCTCTCCAACCACGAAGTATACCAACACATCCGCTCAGAATCCGACTACTATCTCTCCAGAGAGCACAACCGCGACAAGACCCTCTCCAACGTCCGAGAGATACTACAAGATGTACATCGTCGCTCTCACCAACTCATATGGCTTCCATGCTAATCGTTGACTGTGTCGCAGGGTCTGCGATATTTCGAGGGCGACCCCAATGCCGCCGGCGACGTCGCGCAGTGGACTAACCCCGCGAAAGAAATATCCGATTGCCACGCTGAGCGCCCAATGACGCTGTACAAAGGGCCGCACTCGTTGCTCCGCGCGTTGGCTCCGAAGTATCGGCTGAACAAGGCGGAGTATCTGCAGCTCTACAATGTGCGGCCGACGTCGCGGATCACGCTTGAATTGATCATTGAAGAGGTATGTCGCTCGCGTAGTAGGGATGGATCGCCGTTGACAGATTGGATAGGCAACGACGCGGTTCAGTGAAGAGGAGCTAGATGACATGCTGCAGCAGGTGCTGAATGTCTTCTATGAGGAGGAAGCGAATATTCCCGCGGGCGTGGAGGACCAAGAGATGGAGAAGTTGCCCGATGAGATGCTTGGTGATTCGAGGAGGAAGCATAAAAAGAAGCTGAAGCGGAGGGCATGAGGCTTGCAGACCAAGGGGATCACGATCTGGTCCGATGGAATGGAGCTGCGCATTGAAAGGACAGATGATGAGTACCAGTTGCATGACAGGCACAAGGCTTTGAACGTGTTGGTAGATTCACACTTGATGCGGCGGGTATTCTCAAACAACCACTCATCACACATCATCCCTCCCACCCTTCATCCAAAGCTACATGCACATCCACAGAAGTGAACAGAAAAGATACAAGTATGCCCAACCCGAATCACACAGATGCGCCACTCGCCGTATATAGCAAGTCAGATAAACATCCCATACGAACGCCGTCGCCCATTTTGACATGCACACTCAACGTTTTCGAGTAAAAGTTTTTCGAAACGAAGGTACTTGAGGCAGAGACACCTAGTCCTTGCTCTTCTTCTTCTTCTTCTCTGTCTTATCCTCGTCGTCATCGTGTTTTCGCTTCTTGTCCGACGTGGCTTTCTCTGCCTTCTTCGCCTCCTTAGCGGCCTGCTTTGCAATCTTGGCTTCACGCTTCGCTGCGCGCTCAGCTTTCCGTGCCTTTTTAGCTTCCTTCTCGGCTTTCTTTGCGGCCTTCTTGTCCTTGGGAGTGGACCCAGTGACCTGCTCCTCTGCGTCTGAGTCTGAGTCCTCAGCACCGGCATCGCCCATGGTGACATCCTCGTCCTCATCTTCGCTCTCAACTTCCTGTACGAGCTTCTTCGGTGTCGTTCCATTAATCTGGCCCTTGGCCTTCTTCGCAGCAGGCTCGTCACCCGTCAGGCCATCAGCGTCAGGGTTGTACTTCCGTGCCTCCTTGACTTCCCATTTCTGCGCAACCGGTACCTGGTTAGCATTCGCCAAGCTCTTCAGAGGCTTGCCTTCGAGCGCCCTCAAACGTCTCTCTATGGTGGACCGCGCATCACGACCGAGCTGAGCCTTCTCCTCTTCGGTCGGTTCCTTGGAAGTATCTTCAGAGCCGACACCCCAGGTGCTGAGAGCATCTACGCGCAGACCGAGGGCAGACTTGGCAGCCAGCATACGCGCAATCTTGCCCTTGTTCTTGCCAGTGGCCTGGCCAATAAGCGAAGCGTGATAGATAAGACCGTACTTAGGTGTGTCATGCTTGGTCTTGAGAGCTCGGAACAGTGCCTTTTCAGCTCCAAGAATCTGGATGGTGGAACCTGGGGACTTGGCTAGGTTGGTCAAAGAACCGGCGTGCGCGATCAAGCGAGCTCCAACGAGGTCACCAACCAACTGGGTTAGGTTGGGTGCAAGCGCCTGCATGCGACTGCTCAGGTAGTTGGAAAGGCTCTGGCGGTGCTCGGTAAGATCGACCACTTGCTCGGCCAACGCACTCGTTGCCTCCAGATCTTCTTCACTGATTTCGGTTCCCATGGAGATCTCGGCAGCAGCCTTGACAGCCGTCTCAATCTCTTCTGGCAAAATGGACTTTTCAATTATCAGCATTGTGCATCTTGTGTTGTGTCTGGCCAACTTACAGAAAGATCGGCTTCGCGAGCGTTGGAGCGGAATCCCATCTTGAGCACGACTCGACTGTAGGCGAGGTTGTCGTTGAGAATCTTGGCAAGTTCCGGGAAGTGCCACCCGTACCACTCCTTAACTCTCATGGCATACGTGTTCAGCTGCTTGTCTAGGACGTCCAGACTGCCGATGCTTTGAATGATCACTGGAGAGAGGTCAGCCAAGCTTCATAAGAGACAAGATGGGTTGCGGATGGCGTTGCCGAAGCATTATGCCCAATGCGAAGGATGCACGTACTAGTATCAACCTTATCCGGAGAGAACTTCAACTTGTGCCGCGAGAGCGAGTGGGCCAAGCCCAGCCTCGTCGCATTGACTTCGTTGGGGACCATGTCAGGAATCAGGGATGGCAGATGTTCGCGAATAGCCCTGTAGACGTCGCTGGTGGATGACTGGTCGCTGACGATCTTGAGGGAAAGGCCGGGCAGCTGTGCGATGGCGTTACCAAGCTTAGCATCGGCAACAGCGAGGGACGCCTTGGTCTCATCCTTGAGCTCCTCGAGCAGTTTCGACAGCAGAGGCGTCACCTTGCTGTCCGAAAGTGCAGCGGCTTCGTTGAGAGCGGTGACGGCATTCTCGAATTTCTGCATAACATAAGTTTCGATCTCGGCTTTGCAAAGCTGGTCTTACGGTAAATTTCTTGAGCTTCAAAGCGCCGGCTGCGTCTTCAACCTTGGTCAGGTCCTCGCCGCCCTTCAGTAGCTTCTTGTCCTTCGCCTTGAAGAGCGCATAGCCGGCGCTGGTTTCGCTCAGAATGAAGACACCCATTTCTGTGCTGGTTCTAGTGTAGAGCTGCGGGAGCTCCTTCCTCCTACGACGGCTGGTTCGCGTGGCCTGAATGCAATTGCGCAGCTAGTGTTGTAGCTTCTCCTTCTTCAGACGGTACTTGTGCAGCAGTCGTCGCTGCTTGTTTGGGTGCGGGCGGGCGCGTGCGTGTCTCTTGCTGGACGGTGCGAGCTTCCAAAAATTTGGTCGACTTCGAAAAAAGTTCGCCGTGCATGCCAAGGCGCTAGAGATGGCCCACCCAAGCTCTCCAGCGGACTGCCATTGGTACGTTGAATAGCTTCGCGACGGAGTGCATCAAGCAGCGCTCGCGCGCTCAAATACCATGAATTGACGACTTCGTTCACTACCCTTCGCTCCAAGCAATGTCCTCATCCGGAGAGCGCAAGGTATCTGCTTCTCTCGGCAGGTCGGTTCGAGGCACTACCCCACGCCTTGCCGACCTCGCATCTACGCCCGAAGCTCCTCGCACACCGACACTCGGGCGCTCAGTGTCCTCCCTCTTCGGCTCCCCCGGCGGCAGCTTCCGCACCGAAGATGAGTACGTTGTGATCGAACTTGGATCGCGGTATGTGCGCGGTGGCTTCCCGGGCGAGAGCACCCCACGGTGTACCTTATCCTACGACCCGGACAATCAGCGGCGGGTGGGAGACTATCGCCAATGGGATCCTGAGTACGGACAAAAGAGGCGGAAGCCGAAGAGGGGGCAAGATTGGGGACAGGAATTCGAGCTGTATCGCATGGATTTGAGCCAAGTTGACTTGGGAGTCGTCGAGGACAAGTTCGAGAGGATCATGCGGGAGGTGTACAACACGTACTTCGTGCTCGACACGAAACCGCGCCGGATTCTCCTCGCACTGCCGCCCAAGATGCCTCATGCTTTGATGTCGACGTTACTGGACGTCCTCTTCGGAGGCTTCCTAGCACCGAGCATCACCCTCATGTCTTCGCCAGTCCTCTCAACTGTTGCCGCAGGGTTGCGATCAGCATTGGTGGTGGACATTGGTTGGGCTGAGACCCTTGTCACTGCTGTTTGTGAGTATCGCGAGGTGCACGAACAGCGAACGGTACGAGCGGGAAAGCTGTTAAGTGAAGAGATGGCAAAAGTGCTCAATGCGGCACTGGATGAACATGCTGGTTATCAGGAGTTTGACGACATCTCTTTCAAGGAAGCTGAAGAGGTACTTTCGCGCGTCGGTTGGTGCAAGTCAAAGCCTAGGTCAAATCGCCGAACACTATATTTCCCTGCACGCACATCGCCCATTCTTGAGGAATTCGAAGATGCGGTCGAGACGCCTGAGCCGACGGTGACCATACCGCTTTCGAAAGTCTCGCCCCCATCAGAGATCGCCATACCTTTTGCAACGCTTGCCAAACCTGCTGATAATGCACTTTTCGCTACTGAGACCGCCCTGAATGAATTTGATGATCACGAACTGCCGTTGCATCATCTCATCTATCGGGCGTTACTGTCCCTACCTATGGATGTTCGTCGCCTATGCATGTCACGTATTATCATCACGGGTGGTGTCGCTGCCCTACCGGGACTAAAGAGTCGCATCCTTGCCGAGCTCGAGGCGCTCGTCCACACGAAAGGCTGGGACCCCGTTCGCAACTATGGCACCGCCAGTGCACGACATGATCACATCTTGCGGCAGCAAAAAGAAGCTGTCGAGCTAAGGCGGCAAGAAGGGGACGACAAGATTTCGGAGTCGTTGGATCCAGACAACCCTCTTCCGGCAGGTTTACGTGGTCACGAAGAAGACACCATTGATGCAAAGCTTGCGCACGTCGCCTTGAGAAATGGTCCGCCGCCGGCCAGTGTCGTTGGTGGAATAGTGCGTGGCGTCGAAACATTGGGTGCTTGGGCAGGCGCGAGTTTGGTCGCCCAGCAGCGCATTAGAGGTATCGTCGAGATTGACCGGGAGCGGTACCTACAACATGGGCTGCAAGGTGCGAGCAAGGAAAAAGAAGTATCAGTCGTACCACAGCGGCAGAGTATGGGACCTGGTGTAGCCAGAGGTGCTGGTGAGCGAGCGAGCTGGACGTTGGGCGTGTGGGCGTGAGCCTGATTGTGCTTTTTCAAGCGACAATATTCCGTGATACCCCTTGCACAAGGTGCACCTTCTGCTTATACATTGCTATCTTGCTAAGCCGCGAATGTGTCCGCACCGCTATGGTATCCTTCTCGAAAAATAAGACATCTGTGCTCACCGTCCTCATCTACCCACGCTCTAAACATACCACCACAGTTGAAATCAAAAACTACGGTGCTTTTGTTACCCACAAGCTCGATGCCAATGATACCACCAGTACCTTCATGTGTTCGCTGCCACCGGTCCCCTGCCGATTTTTGCAGCTCACCACTTGGTCCTGCCATCCAACTCAAGGCATTGGGGAGTGGTACCTTGGCGAAGCGTGACTTAGCAGCTGTCGTACGGCATGCATCCATGCGAAGAAAGCTATCTCCGTTCCCGGTGCCAGACATGCCAACCGCATGACGGATAGGTGAGGGTTGATCGAATAGCGGGGTACGAGATTTGGAGGCGCTTGGACTAGACACCAGCAAAGACAGCGCAGGAAGGCAATCTGCGAGAACGGTGCCAATGTCGCCTCGAGAGATCTTGTCAAGAGATGTCGAAGGACCTCGGATCTGTGATTTTTGTGCAACAGCCTCCCCGTACCATTCTTCGGCCCAGAAACCAGCGCCAATGGTCGGTGTATCGCCCACACGTCCAGATACCTTATTTGTGAGACCCCCCGTGGATGTCGCGACACAAATCGTGCCGAATTTATCAAGCACCACAGCACCGCAAGTGCCAAGAGGAATGTAGTTCGCTTTCTCCCAGTCACTCATCTCATTGATCGAGAGGCCTGCTTCTTCCTTCTTTGCTTCCTCTTCCAATCCTCTCTTGTGCTCGTCCCATCTTTGCTGAGTAAAGAAGTAGCTTGGCTCAACAATGTCTAAACCCCATTTCTCGGCCAGCCCTTCGATGAACGCACCGGAATATTGGCAGTGGTCTTGCGAGCCATCGCCTCCATCTTTCTCCCCTCGTATCAGCAGTTCTCGCGCAAGCTTGATAGGATTTTTGACATGCTGCAGCATCATGCATCCTACACCTCTCTTCCGGTATCCGTTCGACACCATGATGCTGCATTCGAGTTCATTTTTCCCTTCCCGTGAGAAAACAGCACCTCTGCCGGAATTGTAGAGTGGATCGTCTTCTAACGATGACACAGCAAATGTAGCAACATCGAGAGCTGTAGATCCTGGCTTTGAGAGAACCTCTACTGAGGAGGCTAAGATGCGCCGAAGTGAGGTTTGATACGCATCGTACTTCTCCCGTGGTAGCGAACGTTTGCTGAGATTGCCGGCTCCACCGTGGATAATGATCCGAGAGACAATCTCCTGCTGTGAGGGGCCACTCCGTTTCTCATTCATTGTCATGAAGGTTGTTGATGTTGGAAGATAAGCCGACACCAGACGTGGTTACCGTGAAACCCCGCGCGAAAGCCTGATGTGGCTAGCGCGATAGTCTTGCAGCTTCCCTCCTCCACCCCGAGCCACAACAACGCCAGGATGACCCTTGTTTCCCCTACTGAAGTGAACGGAGTCTTATTTTTCGGTTCAACCGTAGGTCTGCAGTACCAATATTCGCGACGGGACGAGTGCATATCTTGATCGCCTCCCGACCTAGCCTTACTCCGTGCGATATCCATCAGTCCACACAAAGACGAGCTATGAAGCTGACCCAATTGATCGTGAACTGAACAGCTTGAGTTCATCCTCACCTTACTCTTCGTCAGCCTCGGCCTTTGCGTTGAAGATGAGATCACTGAATACCACAACTTGCAAGCTTAGGGAGTTTCTTAGGGTCGAAATTTCGGACAACGTAATCTTGAGCCACAGATGGGGTGATGGAGAGTCACTTTGCGAGCATATTGGGCTGCACAACGAGAAGATACTATGCAAAGTTATTCCTGCAACAAGGGAGGCGCTGCTGGATAGATCAAAACAGCGGAAATAGAGTCAAGGCGCCTGGGAGGCAATCCTATTGATAGGCCGCACTGGAATTATATTGGCACCTCCATCCTCACAGGGACCAGGGACTGAGCTCCCATCGTTCGAGCTCGCCATAAGGATTTCGGCGTGTAATCACATCATCTCTCGGCATCAAGAGATATGTCCTGTCTATCTCAGACGCCGACCTTGGAGGTTCGTGATCATCGGCGTGGCAATGGAGAGGTGGCGGCAGGTTGCAGTAAGATCACCAGCATAGAGAATTGAGCATCTTGTAGGTATTTGCATTCGGCATATGCTCTTTGTATGAGATGGGGGGCCATCGGTGCTGTTTACCAATGAAATCCATATTCAGCCTTGCTTACGCTACCCCACCCTTCTTGGCCCCCGTCCATTCTCCTTTCTAGCTTTGCACTAGCAACACCAAAAGGGCCACTAAAACAACACATATAGACGCGCTTCCACCCAGCCTGGTCGACCGACGTCTCTTCTTGCCCTTCCTCCTACCTCAATTCGATCCGAAGCTATGACTTTCACGCTCACTGACACGACCACTCGAGCTTCTACTGACAGCGTGGCTCTCAGCTACAATGGCGACGCAAACACCCAAATTAGCCAAGATGTCACGATGTTCTATCCTACCGCTGAGACGGGATATCGCATCACTCGCGCCATTGTCCCTCAAGGAAGTAAGTTCCAGGTCGGCGCGCACTGGCATGAAGAATATGATGAGTACATGCGCGTGATCCAGGGTCGCTTGAAACTCAGACTGGGAAAAACGTGGAAAGTGTACACACCAGAAGATGGGGAAATCTTGATTGCGAAGGATGTCATACATGATCTTTGCAGAGCGGACAAAGATGCAAAACCGGGCGAGGACGATGAGGGTGATATGATCATAGAGGAACGGAGCGATCCTGGTATGCATTCCCAATCCAAGATCACATCATGGTGAATTCTAAGGATTGGTCACTCACTGACACCTTAGATCCGCAGTCGACGGCTCGAAGGAGCTCTTCTTCCGGCACGCGTTCTCTACTGTCACCGACAAAGCAGTCTTTGGATGGAAGTTGCCACTTCAGCAACTGCTTGTGCTCATGTACTCGGATACATACATTGAAACACTTCCGGGTCCAGCTGGATGGTATGCTACCCATGGTCTTTATGCGGTACTCAATCCACTGGCCAGATTGCTGGGGTTGAAACCATTCTACGACGAATATACACCAAGCAGGCTCGTGAATATTAGGATGGATATGGAGGGTGGAACAAAGAAGAAAAAGACTTGAGTTGTCTCAGGAACGGAAGCTGTTACACTGAATCGAACACGAATGCGTCGCGCATCGTAATGTCGACGGCGATATGTATGTGAGAGAAGGTGAACACGTCGTTGTGGGAATATGATCTCTTCTACTATTTGTCTTAGTGAAAGTTTGTTGCCGGCAGTCATGCGTCCCTTATATGGGTCTTCGCGATCTACTTCCCATGCATCTGCTTCGGAGGTGAGAGCATCATTACATAATTTAAGAAGTCCGAGGATGAACTGAGGAAGCATATATGGTCCCTATCCGCTGAAGTACCATTGAAAAAACACCACCAGTAGTGAAGGTCATCTGTAATGCTTGAAACCGGCGGATAGCTCTGTGCGCGTTTGGAGGTGCTGCTGCGGATGATCAGCCATTGCGACATGCGGCTTTCTGACGTGGGAGTGCTTGTAACAGGAACATGCCGCTTCGTTGGGAAATTATACTAAGTAGAATATGTTTAGCTCTGGCTCTAAGAAGGATAATAGCTTGTTTCTAGCTAAGGGTGCGGAATAAGCTTGACTTTCAGTAGTGGACAACGTATAGCTCAAGAGGCTCTGCAGTCTTGCAGCGAGACTCCTTTCATGCCGAAGTCCTGTTGTGGTTTAGCGTCCAGCTAAGCGAACAGTCACCCAGGCAAACACGACAATTCCTCAGCCGCACTTGAGTTCCGAACGCGTGAACTACTCACCAGTCTGCATATACAAGTCCGAAGCACCGGTCAGCATGGCAGATAACGACATACCGCAATCCCGCTTGCTGCAGCTGCCTGGAGGTAAGGAAACCCATCCGTACCGGGTAGCTGCCTAGAAGCTCACCATACCAACTAGAACTGCGTAACGGCATCTATGAGTACGCGCGTGAGGATGATACTGTTGGTGTCCATGTCGCACGAAGCCTTAATTCCACCGGAACAACACCCATGACTCGCACCCAGCCTTGGTTTCTCGGTCTGACGCAAACATGCCGCGCGATCCGCAAAGAGTTTCGACCAGTCTACATGGAGCACACCGTCTTCTCTATGCGCCTTCTTGGCGCCTATACTTTCATCGCAGCTTATGTGCCGTCGCACGTTGAAGTATTCTGTGGCAACGTGCTGATCAACTTCGATTACGGCTTAAGTCTTTTAGAGACAAATATCCTTCCCCTCTTACAGATTATGCGCAGGTTCTCCAGGCTCAGCGTCCGGGCAAATTGTTCCAACACTGGTTTCCGGGAAGATCTCGACAATCTGCTCAATGCGCGCGCCGGAGGATGGTTTGACGAAGACGTCCTTACCAAAGTCGTCCGTATCACAGTGAAGAAACGTGCACCATGCATTGCCATCACCTGGGATATCAAGTGCGCAGACACCAAGTCTGAGCTGTACTTGCCGAGGGACGCGACACTCTCCACCCGCCGGATGTGGCACGCAGCCTGTTTCGAGTGGCTGTCGGAAAAGGGCTTGGTGATGAACGAGCTGGCGGTGCTTTTCCGTCCCGTATGGTCTTCTGAAGGACGAGATCCCTGAGATAGCTGGTACACCCTCCCCAACTTGTAAGTGGACGAACGTTGCCAAAGTCCTTGTGCGCGGGATTGTTCTCACATTGGGTCAGTCTTGTTGAACATACCAATTCGTCTACAGGGTCAGACTGCTTTTGAGTAGCTCGCAGATTAGATTATGATAGTTCATGGATACAGGGCTGCAGGACTGACCGAGTTGCTTCGACTACCGGTGCCGAATTCCAAGACGCAAGCCTCTTCCATGTAGCTCGCGGCACGAAGGGGGAAGCACGACTCTGCGATCTCCCGTTGTAGCGGTGTCTGCTGATTGTGCATAGTGGAAATGAAATGGTATTAATGAGAGTATAGTGCTCAACCAAACCTGTTCCGACTTGAATTCCTCCTCTCCATGCTCGGCAGCGCTGTCAGTGGAGCTTGGCTCCCGCTTCTAACTCTCATTCCCATATCCTCGCTCTCCCTTGGTGGGCTAGAGCTGAACTGGTCTGGGGTAACCTCAACCGTGACACTATAGTCTTTCCGTACAGTGATGACCTGAGGTAAAGGTGGACTGAAGTTCCTTCCGTTATTTTGATATGTTGCTCTAGGCGGAGAAAGACCGTGCGTGCTTTGGATGGGCAGCAGTACCGCGCCGTCGTCAGTGTGTATCGATCCTCGTTCGACTTGTGTAGCATTCAAGCCAGCGGGATTGTAAGCATCCCCTTTCTCGAACGAACCTGGTTTTTCGCCAGGATGGAACTCATACTCCTCTAGCTGGATGAATTCTCTCTCGCTTTTCGAGCGATCACGACTGCGCAACATGCTCGCTTGGGAAGCCGCAGTCATAACATCTACGTGTCCGCCTTTGGACTTGGATATTGAAGGGAACGGACTGCCGCCTTTGGAGTTATATCCGTATCCGCCAGATGGTCCAGGATAGTAGCTGTTGGGCGATCGGGAGCTCGGGAATATGCGACGCTGAAGCGAGCGCACTGCCGGAAGGCAAGCGATGATGATACCAACGTGGACCTCCAACGTGGACCAATAACCGATGGGTGTGTAATCCCATGTAACATTATGCGAGTTGGCGAACTGGATCATGTACTTCAATCTGAGCATGCTGACGATGGTTACACTAGAACAGCGGTCAGTAAACCGATTAACGGATTTGCAATGCCGATGCCTACAAGCCTCCGCCTAAGAACATCAGCATGATGCCCGCCTTCTTTCGCCGTCCCATGGCCAGCCTGCTGAGCTCCTGCAGCGGCAAACATATGACCATAACGTCACCGACGATGTTGAGCGCTGCCGTCAACCATCCTAGAAGGTTTAGATTGAAGCATTTGCCGGGGTGCTCGTTGTCCCAACGTGTCCAGGCCAAATTGAGCGGCTTGCATTGGAAAAGCAGGGCTAGAACGGTACCCAAAATGTATCCGATGCAATATGCAATAGCCACCCATACTAGTTTTCGGAACCTGGGGTTTGGAAAGATGCGCAGGTAGAACAGGAGTATCGAGATCTTTGTCAGAGCGATTGAAGATAGGTATAGTGCTTCATCGAAGTAGTATATCTGCGAAAGCACATATAAGGATGACTTCTACGGTGAGCATCTCATGGACTTACATGTAAAATCTTCGTGATGTTATCGAAAGGCACCGTCCACATGTCTCTGCCGAGACCATCATTTGCAACTGCAGCGGTCAGCTTACCGGGTCTCATCGCATTATCCGGGAGCTGGACTTACGGACAACCGACAGGGCGGTAAGAGGTAGCACAGGTATCTGTTTTCGTCAGTCAAGTTCCGACTACGGAACGGAACTGAATCACCATTGTAGCCAAGATGCCCCAGTCATCCCAGCCCCATGTTCCACCGCAGCAGGGCATGCGCGCGAATGTCCTCAGTATGACGGCTAGAAGTGCAAATCCGCCTCCGATCATTCCGGCGTAGGAGACGAGTTTAGTATGATCACGCACCGGCAAGCCGTAAGCAGTGACGGTGAAATTCTTGGTAGCTTCGCAGGTCAGTAGGTGCGTGGAAGCAGCCGGATGAACGTACTCAATGACTCGCGTATGGTGCAATTGGATTGCACACACACCTCCATCTGCGCGTTCAATTGTGCATCATGCGCGATGCAGTAGAAGTCGGTCAATTCGCAAGTCGATTTTGATACCGAGCCGATAAGACATTTGATCTAAGAGCGTAAGCATTGGAATCTGTCTGTCAACGTCAATACTTACAGCGCAATCTGGTAAGGTTGTTAAAGCGGCCTGGAGAAGAGCACTGCTGTTTTGTGCGTAGACATGGATCGCAAGCATGCAGAGCAAAGCGAACAAACTGTTGAAACACTTCATGACGCCGATAGCGGTGGCCCTCCGCCGCCCACCTCACTCCACAGGCCTCAGTTGCTAGGCGACTCTTGTAGGTTACTGAGCTTTATACTTGTGTTCGTGTCGAAGGTTTCGAGAGCCTTCCAAGAGTGCTCGTATAGGAGTAATGGTGGTCTGCCCGCGTCGAGCCAGTACTGCTGTCACTTCTCACAGTGATAATGGTATCGTGTACAACAAAGACGGGGCTTGGTCACTGTGATATCAGAACGAACGGACGCCACGAGGTGGGCAATGTAAACTGGCAGCAATCAATGCTGTACGAGAAAGAAATCACAATAGTCAACGCACATATAAGCTTATGTGGGAGTAGAGTTTGTTCCTGCAGCACGCGGCTGGAGCTCGGGAGGCACGACCAACCGCAAGGGTACGAAGACATGGGGTTGTCTGTACATCCGCTTCGAATACCCCAGCCTGCCGTCTATGCAGGAGCCCACGGCCAATGAGTATGTAAGGAAAAGTGGACTTCCTTCGCTGGGACCATACCGTCAGGCGTCAGCAAGCTACGAAACGGTGGGGCACGGTCAAACGAGCTAGAGAATCGCTTCCCAATAGCGTGACGACGACACGACGATAAGCTCAATAGTGTGAATGCCTTCAGGATCCCAAGAGTTTCAATGGAAGCTTTTTCACACATATGGAGTGCTCATGAATCTAGGAGAAGTACGAATTAGGCAATTACCATGAAGTTTCGAGGGCGACTGGGGTAGAGACCCATCAAGCTCGCAAGCGACCCTGAAGCAGTTTGGGTAAATGACGATCTATCGGGGTAACTTCCCAAAGTTCTCTGAGCTGACCGGAGGTGCGGCAATGCATCGCGTCTGCGGTAGTTGTGCAGAACGGAACCGACGTGACGGTATCTTGATACCACAGAAAGGGGCCAGACTGAAGGCGACTTTGATTTCTAGATGGCCTTGCTTCCGAAGGATGCTTCCGAAGGAACACAGATTGCTGGGCCAAGCTTCCTGCCGCACTGCTTGTTCTGCGCAGTCCTTCACCTTGGCGTCGCAGTCGTCCACCATGTGTGGAATGTTGGCGAAAATTAGCGTTTCGATGTCCAGTTCACGCTGGTGACGAAGATCGTCTCCGCCTAAATTCTGGCTACTGCAGGGGGGGACTGTTTCCAGAAGCGATCCAGCTCAACAATGTTCAATGACGACCTTCGCGCATCTCCATGGTCTGACGAGCTCCAGAGAGTGAGCTCCAAAGAGTCAAATCCAAAGGGAAGATGTGTCAAGAGCTCGCATGTGCCATGCTCTGTGATATCCTCCAGGTTCGTCTGAATGCTCCAAGCAGGTCCGTTGCGGCACACGTGACGTCGCTTGTCGCTTGCAATGCGCACGGGGCAGCCAACTAATGCCTCAAGCAGTGACTCCCTGTCAGCTTGACACACACAGTGGAATGACTTTCGTCGCAAGGTTTCGGCCGTCTCCAAGAAGAAAAAAACGGGAGCATCGGGAACCGAACGTTCGGACCTCTGCAGATGGGGGTGCGGCGCGGCGAGGAACTTCCTCTTCATCAGCATACGACTTTGTGTTGAGGCGAGCTGGAAAAGGACGAGATGGTGATTTATCCGACAACAACCGGTAATGACCTCCTCTAAACTCTCTTTATAGCGCCTTCCACCTCTACAGGTTGTTTCCAACGCCAAGTCGTTATTTCCCTGCAACTCGTGGAGGGCCTTGCATATCTGCCGGTTGGCTTTGATCGTGTTGGGCTACCTTGAGCATCCAGGTTTGTCCTCGCGTCCTCGAAGAAAGATCATCTTCCCTTCGCGGATAGACGTATTCACGCGCCCCAAGCCTCCGACGCGTACTGTTGGTAAATGTCATGACACCTTCCTGATTTGAACAGCTCGTGTTCTGCATCGGGAGTCGGATCATGAGCCGCGAGCGCTAGACCCTAGGCAGTATTCATCCACACGATGAAGTTATTTCAGCCACTTCAGCGCCGCTACGCCGCATGTTTCGATTTCGATGCCGCAGTGGTGAACCCGCGAGCGCGACGCAGGCTCCACATAGCGGTATACATGGTGCCAGGCTTCCTTTACCCACCGCCGAGTCAATCACTCTTCGCTCGGACGAGAAGCAGGCCAGGCCTCCATCCCTATGCTTCAATGTTTGGAAATTTTGCTGCAGGAGTCCCAGTTATACATATTAGATTGATCCCTGCTATGGGCGTTCGTTTAGGTCGCAATACGGACAACTCCCCTAGCTCACGGGCTGTGCAGTACCTCATTGCTCTCCGGCTGTAATCGGGCAGAATGGTCGTTGTTGATAGAACAGGCTATACATACTCGCAACCGCTCGGTCGGCCGTCAATGGGGAAATGAGTCAGCAAAATCTGGACTCAAGCGATACATGTGTTCTTGTGGCGAGGAGAATCGGCCTTAAACACGGAAAGATAGCGGAGGGGGGCACTCCGACTCAAATGACTCAAACAGTGTGAAGATTGTACCCATGATCAATCTGCCAGACACATGCCTCAAATTCAACCAAGAATCTCTGATCAAAAAGTAGTTATGCGGTTAACAGAAACTATAATATACCGTTCATTACGAGTCCAGCAATCGCCTCTATCCTGAGCGTGTGGTATGTCTCAGTGTCGTGGCTACATTTCGTATTTGCATCCTTACATTCGAAGCCAGAAGCACATTTGATGGCGATGAAGGGTTGCCTAAGGTTCTCGGCTCATTTGCCGTCATGCTGTGGGGGTACATCTGTTGCTTCAAATTCAAGGTCATGGTATGACCAGTTGAAGCAAATTTAGGTATCGTATTCGTTTACCTGAAAATCAACGAGAGGAGACGCCGAAGGCTTGTTGAGTGTAAAGGACAGGTGAAAGCAATGACTGTAGGAACACGTAGATGACGCTCATTTAAGCGCCTAGGTTTCTGGAGCGCCATGCATACAGGCCTCTCACTGAATTCGAAGTCGGGTTATCAACACGAGGTCGGAAGAGAGACATGAAGAATCGGTCCTACTTGTATATATAAGCACGACACCAGAATGCAGTACTCTGACGTGAGAGCGACTAGCTCCCGCCCCTTGACGCATCCCCGCACGCCTCCTTCTATCCTTATTTAAACACCAATGACGCCCCCTAGCGGGGTTCCGCTGCGCCCATGCATCATCGCGCAGCAACCATACTCCAACCTCGCAATGGTAAAAGTCCTCGAGAATCGCATTGTAGACCTTGATCTACTACCCGGCACAAAGGAACAGCGGGAAGCGGTGAGGCGCACGAAGTAAGTATTACATATGGCATTTGTTTGTGCGGGGCACAAGTGCTGATGTAACCAGGCAGAAAGAAGAGGAGGACGAGGACGCGTGGTCGTCTTCCGATGAGTACGATCAGGGTGCACTTGCACATGCCCAACACGCCGCGACGGCACTCTCGAGCTCAGTAGGAGGCGCTGTAAAAGGTGTTGTTGACACTGCAGGCAATACTGTGCACGCTTTGGGCGCCGGCGTCTTCGGGACCGTGACCGGCTTGGGTAAAGGACTGGGTAACGCAGCAGCGTACAGTGGGAGCGCGATTGGGAAGACCTTCCAGTTCGGAGACCAGCATAGAGGCAACAATGAGGAATATGAGGGATTGTCGAGCGAGGAGACAAAGAAAGCGAAGCACGAGGCGAAGAGACGGGGAAAGTTGAGTGAGAAAGAGAGGTGGAAGTTGGAGGAAGAGGAGTTGGTAGAAGAGCAGAGGCGGTATGAGAAGCACCGGGTGATAAAGATGGAGTCGAAACATAATTGAACTGTATTGCTCAATCGTTTGGAGGAAACAAGAGTTACTGTGTTTGATTTAATGCGAGACGGATTTGGATGAGTAACTCTGCACTACGGAATGAAATGCTCACATCGATCTTAATCTGCCAGCGGTTTTTACTATTTTACTTAACCGGATATGATGTATTCAACGGATGAAATGTCCACGTCAATTGAGCGAAGACACGAAACAGAAAACAGAAAACAGAAAACAGAAAACAGAAAACAGAAAACAGAAAACAGAAAACAGAAAACAGAAAACAAATCGGAATTTGGGTATCAGGAACTTTGATTTAAAGCTGTGAGCATTTGTGGGCCCTAAGATCTCGGCACAGCGGAGGTTTCGGTGTTCGCGTCACGCCTCGATAATGTAACATCCCCCAGCGTCGGTTAGGTTGATTCAAGACCAACTTTGCCATGTCGGTCTCTTTCCTTGAGACGTGTGAGGGCTTTTTGGAAGCGGTAGCAGAGCTGCAGGATATGGTGACGGCATTCGAGGCAACGCTTGTATATTCTCTTGGCTGGGTGAGATCGAGCCCGGTTGCTCTTTTGGTGGCGATTGCGTTCGGAACGCACTCAGCTCAATGTTTTCTAGGTTGGGATATATCGTGGCGATTGAGCTTCGCTTGGAAGCAGGAGGCTTGGCCACGTAGGTTTCTTGCTGATGTAGGGCGTCGTCATTACTACGCACTGACTCAGGATAGGGCTCGGAAATATGACCATACTGGCGATACTGCTGACTAGATCTCCACATTGACACTTTTGAATACGTCGATGCTGAAAATGATGACTGTTCCGGTTTTTTTGCCGAGAATTTGGTGCTAGAGTTCTTCGTGTTGGATCTGGATCCTGAACTCGATGTCTTTATCCGGAGGACTTGCTTGAAGAACACCTTCAGAGCTGGGGCGTTGGCACAAATTGCGCCGATGTGAACCTCGAGCAACGCCCAAGTCCAAACATGCCATGCAGTCCAGGTAACATCATACGTCTCGAAGAATATTTGCCAGGAGTAGTATGAACGTAAAGCCCCAATCGCGACTACTCCATAGCCTATTGCAAAAATGCCGAACAAGGCGACCTTTTGCCGAACCGGGATCTGTAAACGCCAATATAGAAAAGTTGGCAGGATAGCAGTGAGCAAGTCCTGAGCGCAAGAGATGACGGCAGCGGAGAAAACGTCTGCGCCTTCATTGAAGCACTTGTACTTGTACCCCTGCGCAACCTTTATGATGTCGGATTGTTCCCAGAACGCGGAGATGGGTTGGCAGCCAAATATCGGCACGAGAGTGAATGCGATAGAGTTAGCCGTTATGAAGACTATGGTAAGTCTGGTTGCCCAGCGGAAGGTATTCGAAACAGCACGTGAACCCAGACGCTTGTAAAATAGAAGGATGGAGACCTTGATCAGACCTGAAGCAAGACAGAAAGTGGATTCAATCGCCATGACGTATTTGCGTTGTATTATGTAGAAGTGCGGCTGCACATCCCAGACGTGCTTGTTGAAGTGGTAAACATCCGCCGCTTTTCAAGGTCAGTATGACACTGTTTTCGTCCAAGAGAAAAGAAGCATACCTAGAGGAATGAGGACTGTCAGAGCAACCAGCGGTACCTAAACACATCAGCGAGGCGCAAGATACGCATTGACATCATTGCACATACACTCGCTGCTATCATCAACCAATCGTCCAAGCCGGCATGTTGTTGTATGCGGATTCTCACCCACAGTCTGGCGAATAGAAGGAGCATGGTGAGAGGGCCAAGAACGCATGCTAGTATAGTCGCGACCTTCGGGCGCGTGACGGGGCCGACGTAGTTCGGTGTTGGCCATGATAGAACTACAGACAAAGGAGGGTGTATACCGCCGGGCATGATGGTAGTTGCCGGTTTGCGGCTCTCGAGTACTAGTCAGACTTCAACAAGCAAGTAGGTTGACTGCCGGTTGCGAAGTAGGGGCATGCCTGCCACAAGTGCATATTGTCTGGTATGGCCAGATCCGGATCCTTGGATCGATATTAGAGCGGAGCTGTCATTGTAGAAGAGGTCGACTTTTGTTCCTTAAAAGTAAGCAACGAACCAAGCCAACCATCAGATCCTAAGTTTTTGCCAGGTTCAAAACCGGAACTGTAGCGACGGCAAAGGTAGCACTTCGGACAGGATCTGTGGTACGACTTGAACGACCAGGTGCAGCAGAATACCAGCGATATCGAACGCCACAGCTATGCACCTGTGTCCCCGTTTGATGCTGGGCCTGACGGAATAGCATCGAACGGAACACCCGCAATGTAAGACCTAACAACGATTGGACACTGAGGCATATTCTCGGTGTCCAATCTAGTCATCTGGGTTGCTTTTTCGCGACGAGTTTCGAGACCTGTAGCTGCTGCAGATGATGTTGTTTTTGGTTTAGCTTGACTTACACAAGTATCCTCTTACAGTTAACCTTTGGCGCCGGGTGGTGCGGTTTGCCGGGAGTTTACGACGCGCTGTCCTGCACGTTGTTGCTATATGCGCAATTTGCAGAGGTGGATGCATACGTATGCGTGCGATGCAAGGAATCTTCCGAGATTCCGTTAAACCAAAATTCGATCACTTGCTGTCCGATTCGAAAGCAGCAAGCCACAGGCCGTTCACAGATGGACTTTACGGTGCAACCAGACAACAATTCAACGAGCAAGGAACGCCGGTCCCATTTTCGAGTAAAAGGCTGCAAGCGAGTAGGGGTGTATTTCATGGCTGATTTGGCCGCATCCCAGCATTGTGGTCTTGCCGAGAAGACGCATACAAGTCGCCGAGCTGTACTCCCTACGCGAGAACGAGGAAGTCTTCCACGCACTTCTTGCAAGCGTGTCGTATGACATTGCGAGTTATTTGATATCTTGATTTCTGTCGACTTCCGGATAAGATGAGTTAAGGTAAATGTGAGACATGGCTCAAGAGGCTCTTCTGGAGCTGGGAATTAGGTGGCGATTGGCAGTTGGCTCGCCTGAACGGTGACAAGTCGTAACAACAAGAGAGTCTGAGCCAATGGCATGGCAGGAGTTTGCTGGGAGAGCAAGTCATCGTTGGCAACAAGCAGCTGTTCATGCGTGGTGTCATTGCGATTTGCGTGCCCGCCCCACGACGCACGGCTTTCGCAACGGATACCGCGTTAAGGCCGACCATAGGCGCCCTATTTCACTGCACTGCCTCCGACGGCGCAATCTACAACGGCTGGGTGTAGTAAGACATCACTGTGTCAGCCACAAACACTTCGACATTGTACGCATCCCAAGAACCAACAGTGCTATTATGTCTTCTGTCTTAGACAAAGCGTGCAAGCGAGCTGTCAGCCCCGGGTCTGAACGTTTACTCGCGGGCATGGCGCTAGCTGCTGTTGGCGGTATCAACGGTAGGACATCGATTCATTCCTTTTCCTGACACGTTCGCGCTGCACAAACACCCCATCTCCACAATTCCCATGTCGCGCAAAAACAGAAATAGGATTGGCGAGACGGCAATTGTCTATGGGTTAACGAGCTGATGCAAGTAGGGCAGTCACTTGGCTGGCAGGAGAGCTGCCAATCCTCTATGTCCTGACCCTGCGGCTGTCACAACAAACAACCCCTAGCATACATCTGAAAACATACTGAGCAGTGCGCAGATGGAGAAGTGGAAAAAGAAGACTTCCTCGCTGCATACGGCACCTTCGAGCTCGATCCTTCGTCGCAGGCATTCACGACCAAGACACCAATGTGGTTCGCCTCTATGACCAAATTCGTCACCTCTGTAGCAGTCCTGCAGTGCATCGATCGTGGTTTGTTTGGGCTTGAATCATCCGATGACGTAGATCGACTTCTACCCGAATGGAGTCAGCCCCAGATCCTAGCGGGCTTCGAAGATGGACAGCCTGAGTTGCAAAATGCAAAAGAGAAAATCACTGCAGGCAGGCTCATATCGCACACCTCCGGTCTAGCGTACGATTTCCATCCGGGACTGCTCCTGAAATGGCGTCAGTCGCGTGGAGAAGGACCCAGAGCAATGCGCGGCACGATTCCCGATGTCTTCACAACTCCGCTCTTGTTTGAACCAGGCACTGGATGGGACTACGGGCCAGGCCATGATGTTGCCGGGCTTATGGTCGCTAGAGCCAACAACTGCACGCTGGAGGAATATATGCGTGAAAACATTTTCGACGTACTCGGAATGGACGACACAACGTTCGAGCCCCGCGCTCACCATGATGTTGCTGCACGGCTGCCACCCATGGTCGGTCGACCTTTGCCTGATGAGCCGTTAAGTGACGAGATCGCATCCTTGAACAGCACAAGGAACCTTATGCTCGACCATAAGGATCAGTACGGTAGTGGCGGCTTGTTCAGCACAGCGGAAGACTACCTCAAGTTGCTGAAGTCCATCCTGCGCAACGACGGCCAGATCCTGAAACCGGAAACTGTAGACACCTTGTTTGTGTCTACAATGTCGCCCTCATCTGATGCCGCGCTCAATATCACCCTCGCAAATCCCGCCATGGCTGCCGCCATGATTCCAGGCGAACCCATCGTCGGAAGCCCGGGGGCTGGAGAATGGACGCATGGTCTCTTAGGCTTGATCGGGTTGATAAGCAAAGAAGGAGGGTTGCAAGCTGGATGGACACAATGGGGTGGTGCACCCAACCTGAAATGGTGGATCGACAGGAAGGGGAATTCCTGCGGTATTTTCGCGACACAGTTGAGCCCGCCAGGTGAAAAAAGACATCAGCCTATGACACATCTCTTCCAGCAAGAGATGGCAAAGCGATATCGAAGACCTTGAGAAGGCGGTGCCTGTTAGTACAGTCGTAGCTGCCAGCTTGAGCGCCACCCAATCCGAAAGCCAACCTGCCGCTGCCCTAGATGCGCCAGCCCGATGCAGTGCACGCCTTCCTCTCTCGTCTTGGCCATCACGGCGTCGTCATAGTTCACTCGCAGATGGAAGGCAGCAGCGAACAGCCTGCTACTGACATCTCTTCCCACCCAGTAGTCCTCTGTTCTCCCTTCACACCCGCACCCGAGCATTTTTTTGCACGTCTATTTCTCAGTATAACTCAAATCGGACAGCAATAGACGCTCCAAGATGCGTTCGACGATGATGCTGGCCCATGTCGGCGCGGCAGCAGCATCTGCCATTCTGCCACAGGCCTTTCCCTTTCGTAAGCAGCCTCAGACATTGCCATGCCTCACACGCAGATCAGCCGCTGATCAGTATCCATAGTTCCCCGCGATTCTTTGGTGCCCTACAACTTCACGCTTTGGGCCAGGACCCACAGTCACCAACGTGGTAGCGTGCATCAGCTTGCGGATGGCCAAAACAGACTTGGCGACGGCAACATCCCTATGGGTTGGTTTACCTTATGGCCTGGCAGCGGAATTATCGACAGTCATGGACGTGGCTGTATTGCAACGCCAGGCCCAACGAACCAGTTCCAGTGCGACGAGGGAGTTGAGCGTGAGTACTCATTCGCGCCCTATCGGCCGACGTTTTCTGCGCCAGGACTTTAGACATACGCTAACAATGCCTGAAGCAATGCCTGAATTCGACATTAGTTGCGAAGGGAACCTGATGTTCAACGGATCCCGCGACTTTTGGGCTTGTGCAGTGGACGACTACGGCATCCAAAACTTATACACTGAACCGGTGCCTAACCAGCTCAAGTGCATCTACGTAACCGTAATGGCAAGGATCGAGGATGGCGATGTTCCGACATATACTGGCTGCAAGAAGAGCCCTCTCGAACCATACTGGATCTGGCCGTGGGACAAGTTTTACAACAACTCCCTTCCTGCTCAGCCCAGCACCCCCGAGGGCATATCTCAAATGGCCAGTTATCTCAAGGACAATCAGCACGCTGCTTCCAATGCAACCACGGAGAGACCCAAGGGGAAGCTCGGTGTTCAGTCTTCAGACGGACGCTGCGGCGCACCGACTGGATTCCACTGCTTCGGAAAAACCGACGGGCCATGCTGCAGCCCTCACGGGTGGTGCGGTTTCTCTCCTCTTCATTGCGGCGCTGGATGTCAAGGCGATTTTGGCATCTGCGACGGCTCATCTTCTGGAAAGGCACCAAATGGCACATCGACTTCTAGCAAGGTAGCCAGCACAGCTTCTCCCATCGGCAACGCTCTCAATGGCACTTCTAGCAAGGCACTCAGCAAGACTTCCTCTCCTGGAAAAGCGCCCAGCAGCACTTCTAGCAAGGCATCCAGCAAGACTTCCTCTGCCGGCAAAGCGCCAAGCAGCAGCGTTTTGGCTTCTCTTAAGGCATCTGCGACATCTGCACTTAAGCAAGGCGCGCTTTCTCCTGACGGACAGTGTGGTGGTCATGGTGGTTACGATTGCAATGGTTTTGGTGCAGGTTCCTGTTGCAGCTCGGCCGGGTGGTGTGGTTCTTCGCCCATTCATTGCGGCTCTGGGTGCCAGCCTCGTTTCGGCTCGTGCGGAAACTCGTCGTCCAGCGCGGCCGCCCCGGCCAAGTCCAAGGCAAGTGAAGTCCCGTAGGAAGCGAGCTAGAGGCTCATTTTGCCCCCCAATACATGGCACAATCTTCGTGATGCGGCTCTTTGCTGATCTCCTACTCAAGCCTTCCGAAACCGCCATTTCTCCGACGTACATGCCAAAGCCCCTGCCTTCTCGACCAGAATTCAACAACGGCACGTATCCTTCTCCGCTGGATTGCAGCGATCCTGCCAATGCGCAGAAGTGTGGGGACAAGTTTGTTGCCTACGGCTGCCCGCACGATTTGGAGGGTACCTTCGAGTCGCCTCAACTCATGGTTACGGTGGATAAAGCGCATCCCGACAAAGCGCTTGACAACAGGTTCGATGGCACTATTGGCGATGAGTACTGTACCTTGTACAACTTCGATGTCCGCGCCAGCAATGCAGGCAAGAAGTGCTCGTTGGTCTGGCTCTTCCCTGAGACAGAAGAGGAGGACCTGGAGCCGCCGGTCTTCGATGCCCACGGTGGATCGAATTCACCCGTACTGATGGAGTTCTGGCATGTTGGTCAACCTGCAAGCCATGGCTTGACTTGGTAAGTGGCTACAAGTTCCACGTTGATCTACAGTCGTGTCCTAATCCATTCATAGGAACCGCGTTGGCCCGAGAAAGATTGTTGCGGCGGGCCCAGTCCGCCCCGGGTTCAGCTGCAGCGCAAAGACGGTGCCGTGCACCGCTGATTTTGAGCATACCTTCATGGTCTGCGGACAGAACTTCTCCCTCAAGTACGCCCAAGACCCCAAATCGTCGAAACCTATGGGGCTGTACATCCGTACCTGTTAGGCTTTGGTGGTTGCCTATGCCGTGGAGGGTGCGGTCAGTGAGAGCACTTGTATCCGCCGGCAATCATGCTTTTCCATTACGCGGTAGGCCAGTGTCCTGTTCTTATTGTTCCTGTATCGCAGATCGTGTGTAGATATTGTTTTGTTGTTTGTTTGATTCTGTCCCATTCTCAGCCGTGTTATTTTCCACGTTGTCTGTGACCATGCCGTACCGTCTTCAGTTTCATCATCTTCGGTGTTGCTGGCACGTACCTTCTGACGTATGGGCTGCCCAGGTGCTGTGGGTTGGTTGGTAGCGTCGACCGGCTCGTATGCTTGGGCTGACGGATCACCCCAGTTGGCAGTAGCGTCCGCTCTCTGCCTGACGTAATCGCTCAACTGCCCACCATCTGCGCCGGATCCAGCGGCGCGTTTCCACCAAGGTGGATTTTGCATCCCAATGACCCGCACCGGACTCTTGAACAGCCCGCGTCGTTCATTGATCTTGCGGCGGCGCCGGCTTTAACACTACCAAACATGGCTTACTCACCAAAGGTCACCGCCCAATTGCCGTTCTGTGACCGACGTGTACCAAGTAACATTGCTTACCTGCACATTGAGCAGCACACGTTGCTTTGTCACTGCCCGAATCTGCTATCGCCACTGTTCGCACGAGCATCATCCTTTGCTCGAGCAGTGGTGAGGTAGCTGGCTTCCTATATTTCTTTACCCTCTGTATTCTAATTCTCCATTTCCCTTTGCATATCGTGCGGTGAACACGCGGGAATTGGCCGGCAAGCTCAAGATTGCGTCGACTGTTTTCCTATACTACGCTACCTCCTCGATTCGTAGAACGCATCGAGAGGGCTGCCCACTATGAATGAGGAGGACCTGAAGATGTTGCGGAGTGAGGAGGATGCGGAGCCGATAAGATTCTCACCATGGGTTAATTCGCAGGGACAGTTCCAGCGCCTTGTACAAGATGAGCGTGAACGCGACACCGACGCCGTTTTAGAATCCTCTCCTTCAGGCAGACCGCTGCCAACAGCCCGAGCAGACGCGCCACCGCGCGCGAAAGAGGCTGAGGAAATTGCACCTATGCGCAACAGCTCAGTCTCTTCTGCCTCTTCGACCTCGTCCTCATCCACCACGCGAACGCCTCAATTAGAAGAGATTAGGACACAGAATGCGTCTTCTGCACGGGGGAGGAGAGACACCATGTCGAGCGCGGGAGGAGCATCTGGTATACTTTATCGGCACCCAACCGAGAGGCATCCCGAGGCCATCAGCCGTATCGAAACGCACCGGTCGCAGCATGCCGGCACGGTTGGTGCCAGGCCGACACCATCGCGTTTAACGAAGACACTCAGCCGTCGCAAGACTGAAAAGCCGCTTTCAGAAATGGGAGCGAACAAGCCGTATCCCCCTCCGCTACCTAACCGTGAAGAATACGTTGTGGAATTTATGGGTGTGGACGACCCATTACATGCTCAGAATTGGCCCATGAAGAAAAAGCTCGGTATAGCTTCGCTGATGGCGTATCTGTCTTTGGCCGTGACCATGGGGAGTAGTATCTTTAGTCCGTCGACGGAGCCTGTCGCGGAAGAGTTCGGCGTTATTGCTGAGGTCACAACATTGGGAACGAGTTTGTTTGTGTTCGGGTACGCGTTTGGTCCACTGGTAAGCAAAAGGTTGGGCAGCTGTTGTGGTCCAATTCGCGGCTAATCGACATGCGATCAGATATGGGCCCCGATGTCTGAATTGTACGGTCGCAAACTTCCATTGCTAGTCGCCTCATTCGGCTTCTCCGTGTTCAGTATCGCGGTTGCCGTGGGTAAAGATCTCCAGACCGTCCTCATCTGCCGCTTTTTCGCCGGGTTATTCGGAGCATGCCCGTTGAGCGTTGTCGCTGCTGTGTACGCCGACATGTTCAATAATATACAGCGTGGTCTTGCTATCGGTGCCTTTAGTGCAACCGTGTTCATGGGGCCGATGGTAAGCTCAATCGCCTTCATCGTTTTTGACACAGAATGGCTCGCTTACTTCATATAACAGCTCGCACCATTCATCGGCGGCTTCATCGTGACAAGCCATCTTGGGTGGAGGTGGACCATGTACATTTCTTCGATAATGGGCTGGCTTGCGTTCGCTCTGATAGTCTTATTCATGGAAGAGACGTATCCTCCGCAGATCCTTGTTGGTAAAGCTGCAGAGCTACGAAGACGAACCATGAACTGGGGCATCCACGCCAAACAAGAGGAAATCGAGGTCGACGTCAAGGAGCTCATCGTCCGCAACGTGAGTAGGCCGTTGCGCATTCTATTCACTGAACCCATCGTTTTGCTGATCACGATCTACATGTCTTTTGTTTGTGAGTGGACTCTTTCTTGATCGTACAATGGACGTGCTAATCAGGGTACAGACGGCATCTTATACTGTTTCCTCACTGCATATGCACTCGTCTTTGAAGGGAAATACCACTTCAGCCCGGGTGTGTCTGGCCTGACATATTTCGGTCTGGTTGTTGGGGTAATGCTCGGATTCGCTGCCATGGCCGCCATGAACCCGTCTTACGCGCGGAAGCTCCAGGCGAATAACAACATTCCCGTTCCGGAGTGGCGACTGCCTCTTGCGATGATGGGTGCACCCGTATTTGCTGGTAAGACCTCCTTTCCATTCGGTGCACAATAATTGCAAGTACACCCGCTAATAGTTTGATTTACAGGCGGCCTTTTCTGGTTCGGCTGGACAGGCTACACCGGCCGCGTCCTCTGGGTTGCGCCTGTCTTCTCTGGCATCTTCACCGGATTCGGCATATGGACCATCTTCCTCGCGCTGCTGAACTACATCATCGATGCGTATCTTATGTTTGCTGCTTCTGCGGTTGCAGGGAATACGTTCATGCGATCGCTCTTTGCGGGTGCGTTTCCTCTCTTCGCAACATACATGTTTAATAACATGGGAATCGAATGGGCCTCTACGGTACGGTGCCCCTTTCAACCTGCTACCGCATGGTATGGAATCTGACTGTTTTTTAGCTCCTCGGCTGCGTAGCCCTGCTTATGGTCCCCATGCCCTTCCTCTTCTACATGTATGGCAAGAAAATTCGCGCCAAATCCACCTTCTCTCCTGCGCCGGACATCGCGCAGGATAAGCGGAGGGATGAGGAGGCAAGGTTGGGAGCAGATGGTGAGATCGGGAGCATCACACAGGGTAGTGATGTAGAGCATATGCAGAAGAAGAAGGAAGAGGAGGAAAAAGGAGAGATGCCGAATGGGGATTTGAATACAAATGAGCAGAGGAAAGAGAGGGGTAATAAGAGACACGACAAGACGGTTGGGAAGACGAGGAAAGAGGCTTGAGAAGGATGAAGGGCTCTGCCGGCAGCCTTGAGGGTGATACACGCAAGAAGCCTGAGAGACGGATGGCGAACGACATGAGGCTTTGGGGAGTAGCGCGCCGCGGCGTTCGCTTGACGGGTAGTCACAGTGACGAACGCAATGATCTGATAAGCGTTGTGTTTGAATTATGATGCCGAACAGTAGCCGCTTCGCATTCTTGCCTCTGCCATCCATATTCAGCTTAGCATGAACACTTCATTTGCGATCTATATCATGAAGTCATCGGTATGTCTTATACGTTAGATTCTACGTGTAACCCCCCTGACCGATATCCACGACAGTATGCCCTGGCGACGGCGGCACATCTCCCGTCTCCCAGACCTTCCGCTCGCTCCCTAACTGAAACAAAATCTCACCACCGTTCGTCATAATCCCACCAACATCCTCATGCTCAAACCAATTCTTATTCCAATGCTGTCCATTGATAGACACGCCCTGCACATAATATCCCTCTCTTCCATTGCCATCATCCAAACCCTCGGCCCGGATACGCAGTGTATGATTGTGGTTCACTGTAATGTTGACGTCCTCAAACCACGGACTCTCCAACAAATACACCGGCGTCGTAACCACCGGATACAGTCCCAACATCTGCCAAATTAACCAGCAGTTCAGCGCACCGGCATCAGAGTTCCCCGGTATACCATTGCTCGTGTTGAAGTAAAAGTCGTTGGACAACTGACGACTTCGCTGAACGGATTTCCACTGCTTATTGAGGTAGTTATAGAGGTAAGGAGTCTGGAAGTCGGGCTCGTTTGCGATGTTGTTGATGGTGGTGATGCCGAGGCCGTTAACACCGAGATCGACGCCTGAGGTGTTGGGTTGGAAGACGTAGTCCAGGCGCGATTCGAAGTGGGAGGGGCCGCCCATCAGGGTGATCATGCGTTCAACATCGTGGGGAACAACAAAGGAGTATTCTATGTCAACGTTAGCAGCGATCCCGTCTGGATAGTGCTAGTAGGAGTTCTCACCAAAAGCTGTTCCCTCATAGCTCTCGTCAGACCAGTTGCAGTCTCCGCAGTTAGTGATGTTGTAGGTCTTGTGGAAGGTTCCATTGGCATATCGCGGCATCACAAACCCTGTGAAGCCACGGCTCTCAGCCTCCGGATCCCAGCTCAGCTGCCATCCCGCTGAGCGGCGCAGGTATAGGTCGCGGTCTCCCGGTTTCTCTCCCGCTGCGATTTGAGATACCGCAAAATCGTTAAGTGAGTACTCCACTGTTTTCGAAACCGCACGGGTGCTACCGTCAGCCGACACATAGCCGAGTGGGATCCAGTCATGGAGCGCTGAGCGCCCGTCTTTTAGCGAGCCCAACGGGTCGACTGGGTTCTGATCAAAGTACGGTTGAACTTCAGCATCTTTCTTGACCGCGGCGTAACCCTCGGTCCAGTTGATGTGACCACGAAGACCCTTAACATATGCGTCTGCTAGCACGTTATCCGCATTCGACCCGCCCTGTACCAGCCCATTGTAGTTTCCAGAGCGCCCATCAGGTAGATAGCCTTCGTGCTTGAACATATCAATGAGCGACCGGATCATCGATTCATAGTATGCCGGCTGTATCAGGTGCCATAATGACACCTGATTTCGAAAGAGATCCCACATGGTGTAGAAATCGTCCCAGTAGGGCTCGTCCGACTCCCAGAGTGGGTTCTCATGCGTCCGCTCGCTGGGAATAAGGTGCGTGAAGTACAAGCTGGAATACAGCAAGGCAAGTCTCGTTTTGTTCGCCTTGTCAGAGGTGTCGACGCGGATCTTAGAAAAGACATCGCGGTTCCATTCGTCGCGTGCGACTTGCGCTGTGTGCTCGATGGACCATGTGGAAAGCTCCTCGTCTTTGTATGCACAAGCTTGTTCTACTGACATGAACGAGATGCCTACACGTGACTTCACCGTCGCCGTTCCATTTGTTGTGTTGTTCCATGAGAAGATCGCACCAACTCGATTGTTCAGCGGGCCTGCTGTTGCCTTGGAGCCAGTATACGTTGGTTCTGGAATTGTTTCGTTATCGAAGCTGCGGAAGTGGCGGCTGACTGGAAACGTGTTCTTGCCCTTGAATGTTTGTGCGCGGTCGGGTTTTGTATCGAACTCTCCGCACACATACACAGTGACCGGTGCACCAATATTCCATCCTCCTGCGATCGATGTATATCCCGTGTACGTGGAGGAGTTCGGCTGGATTCCAATCTCGCCACCAGTGTAGAATTGAGAATCCCAAGAGCGCGTTGGATGCGGGAGGTAGTGAGAAAAATCCACGAGGACATGTTTGCCGTCTGTCGAAGGATACTCATACTGATAAAGCCCTGCATGTCGCGATGCTGAGAGCTTCACGGCAACCCCAGATTCAAGGTGTGTGCGGAAGTATCCCACGCTCGCGAAATCATCGCCAATCTGCCCACAAGTCAGCGTAACCTTATGACCCATTGCTCATCACACACCCGATCCTGCCAATATGTCACATTATCTAGCAAGTTTACCGGCGCCTCAATCGTAGTGAGTGGCAGCTGGGCCGGAAAGCCATACTTGGCTCCTCCTCCTGTGCCTGACTCGTGCATGAGACTGATCCCCGTGACTTTTCCCTTCGGCGTCCATCCGCCATTGAGCGCGCTCTGGTTCACGGGTGTTTCGAATGTGTCGATTCCGAGCTTTACCATGCCAAAGGGAACTGCGGCGCCCACGAAAATATCGCCCCCGCCATCTACAAAACGTCAATCGTCTTTTGTGTGCGAAATCGATGGAGGATAAGACTTACAAGCGTACCCCGGGATCCCGCCTTCAGAGCCAATGAAAGGATTCACAAACTGTGAATAATCCACATCGTGCGCAGCTACCCCCAACACAAACCCAATGGCCCAGGTACGAGGAATCCACATAGCGAATGTGTAGAGCGGGTTCAAGCTCCCATGGCAGGCCCGACCTTCTTTTCAATGGTGACATCGCACTTGTGCGCTTGAGCGAGTAAGCTGCACCCCGCATCTTACCCGTTCTTGCAAAAGAGTTGCGCTATCCAAGCTTTCGAGGTTACATCTTACAGGAAGCTGTTGCTGGATAAGCCCGGGTTATCTGCTAAATGACGTGGTGAGCACCCCGCCTTCTCCAAGTGGTGCCTGCCAAGGCGGCTGGGATGCGGAGGAGCGCGCGGCACAGCAACAATCGACCTCATAGCTTGGTGGAGTGATCCTTCTCTCACGGCGATGACATGCTCTTTTCATCGGTATTGCGGCGAATAACGCGAAGCCATCGCGTTTACATTGCACTGAAACATTTGAGCTTTTCTCGATGAAAGCGGACACGGCTGTAGACATGGCCCTGTTCAATAAAACACCCTGTTGGCCCTTGCTCTCAGCTCAAAGAGTAGCCTTCATTGCCATTCCCCAACCTGAGTCCGCAATAAGTGTCTAATATGCCATCGAAACTTCGATGCGAAGCCCGTAAGCTTGACACACTCAGTTCAGCTCACGAGGATACATCCCAAGCAAGTAGCCTTTGTTTATCGGTCCGATGCCTTCCATCTTCTGCCTTGTGAAGTAGTGCTGGAGATGTGTTGCCTCTGAACTTGACATCTGGTTCGCGTCACGCATGTAACGGATGAGCGCATTCACGTATCGCCTCTCCGCGCAGCCTCGACGATATGTGATGGCCGCGACATCTTCGGCTGGTCGTGTGGTTGAAAGGAAAGCGTCCTCTTCCATCGTGTACAGCCTGTGGAGGTTGTTCCTTGCCCGGCGCAACTCCGAAATCTGCGGCGCGACAAATCTGGTTCTGGTTGCCATATTCCTTGACATGTGAATCCTGATACCCCCGCCAGCTGATGTCCAAATATTATATCTCCTCGACCTGGGTGCGGCTCGCCGTGTAAAGCTCCTGCTGGGTACGTCCTGCATGACCAGATCGACGATGTCAATGCCTGATTTGCGTCAGTACAGGTAGATCGGCCTGTGCATTGTGCATGCAGGAGTACCCACCAGTTGGAGACTCACGTTCTGCATCGAGACGATCCTTAGCGTGCGTACAAGATTCATCGATTTCGTTTCGCCTCATGCCCCTCTTGACGAGCGCTTCCCGGTATTCGCTGAGGAGCACGTCAAGAACGTCTGGTCATCTTCAGTCACAAGTTTGGGTACTGTATTACCCAGCCTGGGATAACACAGGGTACCGAAACATGGAACTTACCAACTCCTTCGTCATTGGCGCGCGCCATACGGTATCGCACGTGCATGTGTGTGCGTGACACACTGAGACCAGACGGGTTCGGCATGGTGTAGTCCTGCGGCTTTGGGATATCGCCAAGGACGACATGCTCCGGGAGGTACCTGTGGGGCATGTATTCTTCCTGATAATTATACTCGAACCATTTGTATGCGTCGACCGGGTTTCCCCAAGCCGCATAGCACACCAGACGCCGGAGTCCAGAAGGAACGGTACGCCCAGAAATTATCTCGACGCAGGCGAAACAGACTTCACGGTCGATCTTGTCGAGAATATCCCACCGGTACTCGAAGCCTTCGAAGAAGTCATCCAACTCAGAGTCATGCCTATTCCTTAGAGAGACAGGCGAGAAGCCGACTGGGAGTGTTAAGTTCCCTGCTACAATTATGCCATCGTTGTACCTGTAAATCCGTCAGCACCGTCAGGCTTTTCGTACCGTGTGTTAACCCAGGATGGGCAATAGAGCGTCTGATGTCATAGCTTACCTTGCTGGACGGGTATATCCCTTGATGAAATACCGGTAGGCTTGGAGGGGTGACAGGCTGTTCATCATTTGTATCATTGCCTGACCAGTGGCACATGTTACAATCTCGGGATGGCTGCGCAAGAACTGATCAATCTCGAAGAGGAAGCCGATGGAAATATTCCTCGCGTTCAGGTATGCAGAGAGCTCTCGATCGTGGCAACCGGCGAACTTCCGAACCTGCGGATATCAGCTAGATGAATATGCCCGAGTTGGTGTGAACTCACCTGGAGTTCGGTCTGACGAGGTGGCCCGGACCCGGGCTGCGGCTCGTAATGATCATTCCGTCGAGCCTCTTCACGCCATGGCAGAGGCTGAGTAGAATTGAAGTCAAAGGCGTTGCCTGCCATACCCACTGCAGCGCCTCTCAGCGTCCCGGACGACGATGTGGTACGAGTCGAATCGCAAGCGTTTACGCCAATCGACAAGCCGTCAGCAATGGGTTGCCAGGTGCCCTTAAAGCCACCACTTGGGTTGTGAGAGTCGTCGCCGCCACGAAGCCTGGCCATCTTGTCGTTCTTACTCGCGGTGTGGTAAGTGCTGTCACGATGGCCTGTCACCCTCCCATGCAACGCACCCATTGACAAGTGTAGGAAGAGAACGATGTGTCAGGTGAGAGTGAACAACGGGTTGAGGGGTGGCAAGATGTACGTTTGTTGGATGTGTCGAGCCTTGGCGCGAGTAGCAGGAAGGAGCGACCACGCACACAGTCAACATTGTGTGCTCAAACCGGTGTCCTGGCGCTGCATGGATGGATACCAGGATGCGAGGCCGCGTAATTGTAGATGCTACTGGACTACTTGAGGCGACATCAACAGGTCTTGGATGTTGGATGATTAGAATGTGTCGAATATAATGCCCAGGTCACTGATGGATATGTAACTAGAAGAGGTCATATGTGAGTGGGTGAGCGCTGGACAAAATAAACAGCCTTCTCTTACAACACACTGATACCGCGTCTGCTTTGAAGATGAGGACATTTCCCCCTAGGGCTGAGTGAGATCCATGGAAAGGGACAGGGGAGTTGCAAGGCAGACACGGGTGGTGGATAATGGACATCAAAAGGGAGTGACTAGAACTCATAACATTGAAGCAAAGTAGTGTATACAACCCACCGTCTACGCCGCCCAAGATTCGCCATGCACAGATAATCGTCGAAGGTCCCTGCAGCCGATGCCTAGAATACACTTATATAGTTTCCGATCCGCTCTTTCTGGTTCTGAGCAATGCACTCGGCTATCCAGGTGATGTTGCGGATCTCCTATGTCTGTGTTAGTACTGTAATAGCACTTCGATACAAGGAGCACATACCTGTTCTCGCAGCTTGACCCAGGCGTATACGATGGAGTGTGTAAATTGTCGGGTAAATGCCAACTTGGAAATCTCCATCTCCTTTTGATAGAACAGATCCTCCAGGCTGCGCGACTCGCCGCCAACGCCGCCTGCCATGTTACCAACACCTCCGCCACCGTTGAGACCCGTCTGCTCGAAGAAGGTCTTGTATTCGAACACCCCCTCGACGGCAATGCGTACCCCCTCGACGTCATCGGCCTTTGAAAGTAACAGCGTGCCTTCAGGGTGAAGCCTACCAAAGTTCGGGTACAATTTCCTCCGATCTGCCTTCGATAGCTCGGTGCCGAATGAGTTGAGGGTGATGTTGATGCTCCTCCGATCAGCCTCGAATTCTAGAACCTCGGACATGACCTCAGCTGTTGGCGTTCCAGCAATCTCATCCGTTGAGTTGACCCAGTTGTAGAAGTCTTCGAGGTAGTTCTTGTACAGTGTGTTGCGGATGATCTCAATGTTGAGCTCGTCAAGGTCCTGGTGGCTAAGCGAACCTTTGAAGTAAGGCGCGAGCGGGGTCTCGATCAGCACGGAGTTGTAGAGCTCCTCAATGTTTGTCGCGACACAAAGCACGGGCATGGTCTCGAACCAGCCAAGAGGATGACATCGCTCGAGCAGTTCCCGGGTATCTCGCTCGTGCAGGGTACCGGTAATGAGCAGCGCAACATTGTCGATCATGTATCCGTACGTCAAGTACTCCATGAATTTGGCGAGCGAGCCAGTGGCGTTGGCCTGGACATAACGGAACTCAGCGACGAGCTTATCGGTCGTCTTACTGGCGAGCGCAGAGGTAGAGGGGTTTGGAGGGAGCGATGAGAGGAAGTCGCCATATGCGGGCGACAACTGCAGCTTCACATCATCGATGGTCTCGCACTGGGTAAGGTTGCTGTAGCTCTGGCTAGTGAGCAGGGCATTGCGGTAGCCGCGCACGATGCCTTCGATGTAGCTGGGTTGGAGTCAGTCGCAATAACAAAAGTCAGGTAGGAAAATGGCGGTGACGCATACCCGTACTTGACGTTGTAAAAAAGGCCCTCCATGTCGCGATGTCGTGATGCTGCCGCGTTGCTAAACGATGCCTGTAGCTCGACGTCAAGCTGGCTGGGAAGCTGCGTATTAGGTCAGCTGCAGCCTCGGCGGAACGCACGGGCCCTTCCCGAGAACTTCAAGGTCGACGCATCGCGACTTCCCCATTTACTCTCCACCCACAGAACATCCCGCACGTCGCAGGCACCACCCGCGCTCGCACATAAGGTTCTGCTTGTGCGTGCAGCTCGTTGCAACTGCTAGCTCACATAATCAGCCGTAAGTCCAATTACCTTCGGCCATGTGCGCTTTCGCGCAAGCCGTCAGCTGCGGCATTAACATGTCATAGTCTAACAATGGCGCCTTCAACGCGTCGGCGCACGCGCGCCACAGCAAACTCTTCCCCGCTTGTGGAATTGAAGACCGAGCCCAAGCGCAGAGTTACCAAGACCACGAAGGTGAAACGCCCCGTGAAAGCACCCGAGCCTGCGCCAGAGCCAGAGCCGGAGCACGTCGTGAGATCTGAAGAGATCTCAGACAGTAAGCCACCTGTTTCTTTCATTCAGGCACCACTCTCGGTGGCCTCTTTCCTCAAGAATCCGCCTTCCGTCCTTCGAGACATCTACGACCTGGTCAAGAAGCTCCAAGCAGAAGTCCAGGAGCTCAAGAAAGCAAAGGCGCCTCAAACTGACATTGCGCACCAAGCCGACACCGCGCCCCAAGACGATGCAGCTCCCTCCGAAGCGCCTCTCGAAGCTCCTGCCGTCATTGAAGAAGACCGCCGCGAAGCTATGGATCTCCTTCGGCTCGCCGACCAGAAGCGTGAACAGAACATGGCACTCAGCCAGATAGATATGCGCCCGTTTCAGCTCTCAACTACAGCTGTATCGCCTGTCCATGCAACGGCGCAGCCTGCCTCAACACCGCGCGCCAATGGAACTACTCCACCTGCCGCTACCCCGCAGAGTTCAACAAGCTTCTTTGGCAGTGTGTGGTCAACTCTCAAGTCCTCTGTCTGGTCTACCCCGAAAACGAAGCCCTCGCGCCCCTCCAGCAACGCCAATTCTCTTGCCGCTTCCTCCGCTAGCACTCCTATCGCACCGCCGGTCATCGGAGATTTCACCATGAGCCTCACACCTACACCAACGCCCGTGGGCGACAACCGCGGAAGCTCAAAGGTCAAGCGGTCATCAGGCAGGCGCCAACGCGCAGCGATTATCAAGAATGTTGCGTCAAGCGTGCCAGACCCGGCCGAGGAAGAGCAGGCTACAAAGTGGGCCGAGAACGTCCTGATGCAGCTGCTCCAGGACTCCTCCGCTTCTGCTGGGGAAAAGCGCAAGCGACTCGAAGACGGAATGACATACGGCGACCTCAACCACTTCAACTCCAAGCCATGGAAGCCCGCAGCTAGTAGCTTTGGGCTTGACGATGAGCTCATGGATCACGTCGATAACACTCCGGATGAGCCCGCCCCGATGTGGGCGATCCTCGAGCACTTGCGCATTGAACAGCAGTGGAAGGGCGCACAGCCCGAACAGGAAGACGAAGCCAATCAGCCCGCCTCCAAGAAGCGGAAGACCTCAAATGGTGCCAATGACTCTATCACGTCACCTAAGCAGTCTGTCGTCTCTCTCGACTACGCCAACAGCCCGTTCTATAATAGCGGTGGCAAATCAACTTCTCTTCGCGACCTGCACCCTCGTTCCTGCTTGGACCGGCCAAGTGTTCAGCAGGACAGCAACATCTTCAAGAAATCTCAGCAGAGCGCAGCTCAGCAGAATGACTCATCTACAGCGTTCCCGACCTCGTTTAGCGTTCCAGACGATTCAGATGACGAGGAGGATTTCGAAGACGAGCCAAATACCAACGGAACAACTGCTACGCCCGGCGCCTTTTCGACTTGGACTCAGCCACCACCGCCTGCTCCTGTCATGCCACATGCTGAACTTCCAGGCTCGGTTGGTCCAGCTCCATCTGTTCCTTCCGTCGAGGGTCACCTCGTTGCCAGTCCTACCGTGGATCGGGTTGAAGCCCAGCGTGCCAAGGCCTTGAAGTTCACTCCAGCCAAGCCGAGCAACCTGTCACATATGAGCAAACCTTCTCCCAGTCTCCGCTCTGACGCTGGTAATGAATCGATGCTCGCAAACTCCCCTGCACCCATCTTCGGATTCAAAGCTTCCGGCGCCGCCGCTCCTAGCATCTTCCAAAGCGCGAGCGCGACCAACGGGGCTTCTCTTTCCAAGAACGAGGCCCTTACAAATGGCGCTACTCCTTCCCAGGAGAAGGGCCTAAGCAACGGAACATCCCCCTTCCAGAACACGGGCTTTACCAATGGCAATTCCCTCTTCCAGACCAAGGGCATGACGGACGGTGGCTCTCCCTTCCAGACTAAGGGCATGACGAACGGTGGCTCTCCCTTCCAGACTAAGGGCATGACGAACGGTGGCTCCCCCTTCCAGGCCAAGAGCGCCAGCAACGATGAATTCGCAGTCAAGAGCGCAGGCGCTAGCCTTGCTTTGCCGGACTACGAGTTCATACCTCCAGACGCTGAGCCGCTCGACCTGCCCTTAGAAATCGAGGCCGACCTTGATACCTATGTACCGTCCGCCGAGTTACAAGCCAAGATCGAGGCTATGACCGGTTGGGACGATCCCATTCTCGAATACGATGACGAGCTATCTAATGTTTAAGTCTGTTTCCTCTCATGTTTCGGCGTTCGGAGGGATGTTGGCTTTGAAGATACCCTTTTGATCTCTCTTTTCTTCCTCGGGATGCATAACACAGCGCCCGACCTTCTTTTCTATTAGCATATTCCGGTGTTTTCGTGTTTTGCATTTTGACGATATGGGGTCTATGTTTCCAACGAGGCACGCTGCAGCGTCCCAACCTTTCTGCTTCTGTCAGTTTGTGTGGTTCTGTTTTACTGGCATTCTCATTGGCAAAATTGCAACGAGGCGCGGAAAAAAGTCTTCAAGTCTTGATTCCCCCCCTTTTTTTTTTCCTGGAACGGCATTTCGCTGGTATTCTCATTGGCAAATTTGCAACGAGGCGCAGAAAAAGGTCTTCGACTTTTGTGTTCCATTTTTTTCTGTTTCCTTTTCTTTTTCTGGAACGGCATTTCGCGGGTATTCTCGACGGCAGATGAGGTCTACATGAACTCATGAGGCACAACAAGTGCTGGACATGTCGTCCGAGAAGCTTTTTGCGGTTTCGTCTTGTTTTGTCTCGTATGCACTTGCATAGCAGTGGTGCCCGAGCGGGCTAGGCGCGATGCGCATGTACTGATAGATTTGTCTTTGGTGCCAATGGAAAAGTTCGATCATATGTGCCCTGTGCTGTGTGCTGTACCTATGTGACGCAGCTTGAGAAGTATATATGTGCAAAAGACCAACTGTTCGCTGTCTCTGAATCGTTGATCAAGCATCTATTCTGGCGAGTGATCCTCCGGACCTCAGTCGTCTCTTCCGTTCATTGGCTAGCTCTTTGACACATTTGTAGATTGTCCGGTTTCCTGGAGGCCGAGGACATGGTACATACGAGACTACAGGTGTAGACCAGTCTGGTGATAGAAGGTGCGCCTGACAGCAAATTTGCGGGGTCGGGAGCAACTGCAACCCATCGAAGATGTGTACCCATGCGTGTCGATCAGTACACGGGAGGAACTCGATGTAGTGTTCCTCAGTCAATAAGATTAGACGTCCGCCCATCCACTCGTCCTATTACTCGTCTCAGGATCTCAGGACATGGCCCCCATCCGGCGCCCCAAGTCCACGAAGCACAGCCCTCGCCCGGACATTATCACACAGCAATTCCACCCGCGGAGCCACAGGACCTGAAACAAAAGGTCTTAAAGAGCGAAAGCCAGCCAATCACATTACCTCCGAGGTACGAAACCTTATAGAAGGGTGTACAGGGAATGCTCCGATCTGGTTAAGCTTCCGGCCGCCGGATTCTGCGACAGAGCCATGATCTGCATGCGCCACTACCTCAGAAGGTAACTTCGCAAAGTGCTGCTTTGCGCGGGCAGCACACTCACTTGTGTAACTATATGTAGAGGAGGGGAAGGGTCTGTCGTGCACGTCTTTCTTGGGCACCTACCTTTTTCCGGTCATACTGGTACTTTCGCATTAGTTATCATGCATTTTTCTACCGTCTTGAAAACGACTTCAATACTGGTCGCGAGCGCTTCTGCACAAGTACCTGTTAAAGATGGCACCGCTGTTGTTTTCGGAGAAGGGGGAACGTATCCCAGAGCCGTGAGACTCGCTGACAACTCTCTCTTGGGCGTTTACACCGCGAGTGGTGGTGGGAATCGGACGATTACTACTGTGAAGTCGACAGACGATGGCGCGTCGTGGAGTCCGCTTGGTGAAGTCGTAAGTAAATCACCGGATACAAAGTGGATGTATGTCTCTGGGAGAAAGAAACCCTCTTTTCTCGTCATCTTCAGACTTCCATGATATATTCATGACCCCGATCTGAACTTGCACTGACTTGGCATCCTAGGAGACAGCACCGCAAGCCACCCGCGACCTCGACAACCCCTACGTCCACCAAATGCCCAATAACCACATCCTCTGCGCCTTCCGAAACCACGACCTAGGCAACGGACCAAAGGAAGACCCAACCTGGTACCGCATCACCATAACCACGTCATCCGACCTAGGGGCCACGTGGAACTTCCTCACCCAGGCCATCGAAATGCCCGGCGGCGCCGACGGCCCCTGGGAGCCCTTCATGCAGACCGGTATCGACGGTAATACGCAGCTGTACTACTCGAAAGAGACGGGTGCAGGCGGCCAGGACAGCATCATTCGCGAGACGACGGACAACGGGGCGATCTGGACCCCCGAGCGCGTGTTCACCGGCTTGGATACGAATGCGCGTGACGGTATGCTAGGTGTTGCGAGGGTGGCGAAAGATAGTCCTACGAAGGTCGCTATCTTCGAGTCTGGCACGGACGGGCACTTCATTGTGCAGACGGTACGCAGCACGGATGATGGAAAGACGTGGGAGCCTACGCGATATACGGTATCGAGCAACCCGGGGTGGAACGCGGGGGCGCCGCAGATTATTCGCGTGGGGTCTACGCTTGTTGGGAGCTTCGGGACTAATGAGAAGGGTGGGGAGTGGCCGGAGAGTGCGATGGCGCTGAAGATCAGTAAGGATGGAGGAGAGACGTGGACGGATGAGACTGTTGTGCATGAGTTGCCGGCCATGTGGGCGGGGCTGATAGGGCTTGACGATACTACATTTTTGGCGCTGTATGAGACGGGTGGGACGAGCTATGCGCAGAAGATGAGATTAGGGTAGTGAGAGCTGAACCTGTTTCGGATGTACATAGTGGTACTCAGATGGCTTTTGTATGTATGCTTCTTTGATTCGTTCTTGTCTTCGGTCTTTAACCTGTACAAAAAGCCTCCGACAACACCGAATTTAAAGCAGAACTCCACTAGCATACCACGGACACGCAACGAAACCCCAAATCAATGATATATCTGCTCAAAGAACCACCTTTGTCTGATCTCCCGGAGAATGGTGATGGCTTCGGTTCATTCGATCGTCGCGGCGCATTAGGTGCAGAGCTGATTCCCCTATCTAATGTATCTATATGTGTATCGTTAATTGATTGAAACAAGCTATTGCTGGATTTAGATCCATTGGAGCAATTTTGGCATTCTTAACGCATCCTGGCAATGACGGGTGAGCCTGGCTAGAGAGGTCTGGAATGACGAATTACTATGACACGGTCAGCAAGCAAGCAAGCAGATGTAATAGCTCGCGAGATTGTCGAACGCTGGCTTCAAGGGACTGAAAGTATTCGAGCTTCGTTCAAATCACTGATTAACGAAAACCGTTTCTTATGGAGCCAATCTTGGACACAGGAAATACTCAACCCTTCTCAACATTACTGATCAATGGAATTCAGGTCACACGTACGTTGGCCGACATCGTGAGACGGTTTTGTAGCAATTACGTCCAGAAGCATTTCACACCATCAAGCACGATGTTGCTTCTTGAGAAGTCCCAGTGTTTTCCGATGCCTTGCATCTCCCAACGCATCTCCAAGACACTGCGATGCCCAACACTCGACAACCACATCCTTATCCCAAATAGTACAGCGCTGGAAACCACAGTCCGTCACCCAATCACATCCCACGGCCCCACGTGCATACGCCCTGCCAGCCCAGACGCAAGCCACACCTAATCTCACCGCATCGCCCGGGGCTCCGAGGTACGTGGGACTTTACCTTTGCTGCGGCACCGTGCAACACCCTGGTCGGCTGAAAAGCTTGCCCTGCCTGCCGTCCCCGCAATCGCGCAGCATGCATAAGTCCGACTCGGTTAGCCCGGGTGGGAATTCGGCTTGCTCCGTTTCTAATGGGTTCACGACCTCGTGTTGCATGATCGCGGGCGCAGTATCTAGAAGCAGAGACAGTAGAAGGAGGAGCGGTGTGATCGCTACCGCGGGCTACAGCCGATGCATGAGGATGCGACAGCGGTTGGACGTGGACTCCATGGTAGAGAAAACGGCCCCCAAAATGACCACATCGAAGGCACGCTCGAGATCCTGCTCGAGGTCGCGTGTATGCCGCCTCGCATGCTTGCAGCCTCGCGCGAGATTTTAGGGCACGCGTAAGCGGATTGCATACACAGGCTATATAGTAGGGCTGAAGGTGTGCTATACTACGGAACTATTTCTGCTTGTGGAACCGGTGAAAGCACCGGTATTCGATAACGCACGCAAATGACGACTGCTTCAATGGCTGGTCTACTCTTTCCAAACTTTTAAAGGCTGGTGACCTTCATGCAAGGAAGGAAGATTGCGCGTTCGTATACCGGTTTGTTTTCGCCGCTTGTAGATCTGGAATAGCTACCTGGGGGCTGAATGGTAGGCATATAGGATTGCGTACACTCCGCTTCCGCTCTGTCCTTGGCGGAGACTTGAATCGCATGAACCACGCGGACTGATATTGAAGAGATTTGTTCGATGCTTATATGATGCTATTGCTACAATACGTCAAGTTTCAGCCCGACCAAAGAAATCCTTCCGACTCCTGTCATTTCCATGGTTTTCTGTTGTGTTGCGTCGACATCCGTGTTTAAAATGCGTCTATAGTGAGATCAAGTGATGCAGAACTAAGTAAGAGAAGAGTGAAGTACAGGCAGCGAAGGTCCTGAGTGCGCGAAGCCATTGTAATTAATACAAGGTGAAGCTGCGAGGCGGAAATGAAACATCGGCCCTGTCCAGAGGGCTTAGTAGAAATTGAACAGTCACATTGTTGTGAGTTTTATCGGTGCCCGTGGGGAACCCTAGTATTGCGAGGAGGATTTGATCCGTCATCGTGTCCAGGAAGTGCTCGTGAAGGCTTTTTTGTCGTAAGGTGACTCCATATATATCTCGCATCGTATCGCGCGTTACGACAGGGCTGACACGGCCGTAACGAAACAACTTTTTAATGCGGAACTCCTCTTCTAAGACTGATCATGTGCTGAACCTGCAGCATCGTCCTTTGAGACTCCACAATGGCATCGGCGTGATCAAAATTTATTGACAACGACGTGCGAACCGCATGCAGCGCAAACCACTTCCTTGTCCACGCTGTCGATGACTGAGAGTCCGCAAGGTCTCCGTAGAGAGGCTGAAAAGAAGGCCAGGATGCGGCTCCGCCGACAAGGTAAACCCACAGTAACACGCCACTTAATTCGCCCCAGTGACTACTTCTGTCGGTCTGTTCAACTGCGCGGTGGAGAGCTGACATCAGGGTTGTCCCTGTACCCGAGCCAGAACTCTGTGCATGCACGATGTTTGCTGACTGTGCAAGCGGCATGCCCTGGACTATGGAGCGGCAGTAGATCAAGGCTGCAATACGACAAGTCTCATAGATCCAGTCAGGTATAACATTATCTTCAGTGGAAGGCCGGTATAGGAGGCGGGTATATATCTGCTCCAGATTTGAATCGGCCATTGGATCCTCTGACGCTGAGTAACTCCAACAATCGATGAACATGCGTGTAAGATCATGCATGTCACGGAGGATCTCGAATGTTTCGACCGAACAGCGTCCGTATAGTCTCGATATGTCTCCTCCAGGTGCATATAATGGCGACATAGGACGAGGTGATCCGATGCCGCTTTTCAAAGGTTCCGGTGTAAAGCCTTGCAGCATCGCAGGTTCAGGACGACCTCTCAACACTGTGAAGCTGAGCAGAACCCTATTGAACTCAGTCATGGCTCCAAATCTTTAGGACGAAACATACACGATAAGGAACGTAGCGATGGGGTAGTCAACACCTAAGTTTGCAATACCTCCTCTTTGTTGTACGATACGGACCAAGCCTTCCTGGTGTACATCGAAAACGTCTTCATTCTGGCCTCCAATCTCGCTGACAAGGAGGTGCACTATGCTGAGTATGGTGAAGTCGTCCGTGTGCGTGTTAAGGTTATCGGTCAACAACTTCATAAGCTTGGTTTTAGCGTATATCGTGAGGGCCGTATCGTCCAAGTAGCCATCAGAAACATCTTGATACACACAAACAACACTTATTTGACTGAGGAACGACATCCTGTTGCTGCACAACATTCCCATCCACCTGCATGCTGATAAGTCGTCTGCGTCGAAAAAATTCGAGTTTTTGAGATACAGCTCTCGAAGGTCGTCTAGGTTTTCAGCACCTGGTATACTGGCAGCTGATGGGAATGGGTACTCAGAATTGTCCTCGAACGATGGAGGCGCGCTCCTGGCTGGCTCGGCTGTGGTAGCCGCGATAATGCGAGCGGCGAGGTTGCGTAAGGGGTCGATTGATGGTGACTGAGACATGTACTGATAGAACGCGCTATCCCAAACAGTGCTGCGTCGTCGAGCAGCTGTCGGAATGTTGAAAAAGTCTTCCAAGGCTCCGTCCGAGCTTGCGGTCATTGGGCTAGGGGTCCGAGTCAATGCCGCTGAGCCCTGCCTGCTTCTCGATCTTTCTGATGGAGAGCCTCCTTGTTGTCCGCCGCGATGCTTGTACATGACATGCGAACGTACATGTCTCATTGTGTTCTCATCCTTAAAATGACTTGGGTGGCTAGCAACCACGAACTGTAGAGCAGGACCAGGGGCTAGGGGTGGTTGTCGCTTCCTGCCGATCCTCTTCTTTGCCAACCCCGAGTTTGACGACATACTGATATACAGAGAGTAATTTCTTCAAGTGAGAATACAATATCAAAGGACTAGTTCTCGATTCTGAAGTGGAGTGCCGGATGCCGGTGGCCCCCAGGAAGAGGCTCAGGAGACTATATGAGGATATCTGCCAACCAGATAACGTAAGCGGTTAGGGTTCTGTACCGACGAGCGAACGCTTAATGAGTCTAATCGGACAAGTAAGCCACACGTACCGAAGAGAAATTGCCGGCAACAAGATGCACGGTCATGAGGGTAGATCTTCAGGAACCTTGTGAAACTCACAGGGTTAGTCTATCCGGTATACTAGAGTGGGCGAATGCGTACCTCCAACTATGCGTAGTTGGGCATCACAATAGCAACTACAATGCCATCCCCCCTTTTCTGGAGGAATGTAATCGGCCTCAACGGTCACTGAAAGGGTGGGAGTGTGAGTACCATTGACTCCGCAGCGGAGACCATGGGAGCCTACGGCCGTGACAGCATTCTCGAAGCTGAAGGCATCCGCCTTAGTTTGAACAGCAGTGCCCTGCCCTCGGGTTGGTCCGATGGGACGGTAGCCGACAAAGCTTGGTTCCGCAAGCTTGGTGCCTTAGGTGGCTGATGTGCTAACACGAGTACATGTCATCGTCGACTTCGATTGCAGACAAAGAGGGTGGCGCTGGGGTGGGGTCCGTTTCGCTTCATAGAGTAATTATGCCTCATGTCTAGCTAAGGACGAGCCACAGGTCGATAGTAGGAGACCAGACGGTCTAGCAAGGATCCTCAGCCTAGGTCCATCGCGATACTCCGCAACTAACTCGATGGAATCATAGTAAACTTGCGTGACAGCCACACTTCAGCTGTGGTCGTCAATTCGATTCTGACTGCAAGAATAGTCGAGCATTCGTACCTTGATGATGCCCATTGTCTTGTTCTAGTACTAGCGCCCGTTCTACCCCTGCATCTGCATATAAGCGCAGCTTGTGACGACCGTTCACGCCATGGAAGTGCTCGAAAACGAAATTATCGCTTCCACTCCATTGGTTTCCCAAACATACGACGCCATTTCGGAAACGCCTCCACGCTTTTCTTTCCAGCTGAGACGGCTTGGAGATCTTGACGTCTCCACATGTACGTCATGCATGTAGGCGCAAGGCAGACACATGGAGATGTATCAACGGCCGCTACGTAAGTTTCTCCGAGCTATAATCTGCTGGCACGTCTGCGACCGCCGTTACCGCCATCCCAAGCAGGGCAATGGACGATAGCGAAGGATGCACACGTATACGACTCACCAGAGGGGGTGCAGCGACCCATTGCCTTTCCTGCGACGCTTGAAACATTGAAAGGTCTGGTGAGGTGTAATCGTCGCACGGTAGGATGGTTCCGAGGCGTCACCTGAAGGAGGTCTGGCCGAGGTGTTGCACGTAATGCCCTTCAACACCATGATCTCAGCAACGTCCTCGAGTATGCGACGGCATCCTGGGGTGACCAATATCCGTCAAGACGTTGGGCGGGATCAGCACCACGTTGGTGCATCTATCTTCGAATGCCCGACCGCCAGCTGAAAGGCGAGGAACATCAAAGTCCGATGGAATGTGTTCCAGATTGTTAGGGCATGAAGGCAACAAAATCATAGGGAGGAGTGTCAATGCCGCGATGTTCAGGTGAGGCTTTCTCGTGGGACGGGAAGCTGGCGAGAATGTCGCATAGGCATCCATGCTACGGAAAAGTTAGCAAAGAGAATTGATTTCGAGAGAAAGGAATATATTTTTCATTGGGACACCCACCATCGGATATCCAACGACTACCGTCTACAGGATGCGTTGCCAGTAAGTTTGTTGGTTCATAGCGAATGGTCGGCGATCATGGTGGCGCTCAAGCATCATCCTGGTCGATGAGTAAATCTCGCCGTCTGGCCTCAAAGCCAGCCGGGCATAAATGCATCTCGCGCGGTCAGACTTCACGTAGATAGGGGCAGACTGGTCAAAGAGTAGTTGTAAGAGTTACGCATTAAAGCTGTCGTGGAAGCTGCGAAGGGTGGCAAGCAAGTCAAGTAGTTGTTGCCTAACGGGCGAACTACTAGTCATGATTGTGATGACCCCAAACATGAGGCGGGATACGAATCATAAGACGCAACCCCGCCGTTCGCTTGTTTCGACTGTTGTGCAGAGTTGATGGGCAATCTGTAGCCTCGCGGTGCTGTAAACAGAGAGAACGTACCCCGCGTTGGCAACATTTGAACGGTGACCCATGCGTGCATGACTAACGTCTACAAATTCGATGGGGACTTCACGGTGCATTGCACAGGGCACCTAGGCACAGCTGGAACCATACGAAGTCTATAGTCTTGAATATCATGCGACATTGGAGTATAGTTGACAGAGAACCCAGCAGACCCGTTCTCCTATCCTTGGCCCAAAGACCCACTCACACCTCGAACAAACACTTAGTGATAGTAGGGAAGAGTAAGAGTACATGCGACAACGCCACGCAGAGTAAACGACAACTTGGGATTAGCAGCAGCCGACACTCCCGTACACTCAGGATCGAACCCGTTCTCAGTCCATGCGCCACCAGACCGTCTGGCGCGCTTCTTGTCTAATCTGCTCAGTACCGCTGGACGCGTTCTCTGTTCCGACAAGATGCGCCCTATGATGATTTCGTGAACGGATCTACGCCGTCCGAGTCCTGGAGTTTGCTCGGGTCATTGCGCCTCATGATGCCCTCAACTGGACCCAGCAGCCGCTGGAAGCCGTTCTTGCCGAGGGTTGCAACCTTGACCTCGGTGGTGCTGACGACGGAGGCAGCGCGCGGGGCATCGTTGAGCAGGGCCAGTTCACCGAAGTAGTCGCCCTTTCCGTACCTGTGGACGGGTTTCTCGTTGCCGCGTTTATAGACCTCAGCCTCGCCAGTTTCAAGAATGTAGAAGGACTCGCCCACGTCGCCCTCCTTGATGATGTGGGTACCGGGAGGGAACTTCTTTGTCTCGAGGGCGTCGGCAATCTTTGAGCGCTCATAAGGCGTCAAAGAGGCTAGCAGGGGAACCTCTTCGAGGAAGCCTTCGTACATGCGGCGTCGCTGAAAGGCACTGTCCATGAGGATGCGACGGAAGGTGACGCGATCTAGAGCCCACAGATTGGACTGCTCGGCTGACACCACCGTGGCGGCGCGAGGGGCGTTGTACATCAAAGCCAGCTCACCAAAGGAGCCTCCTGGGCCGACAGACCCCACCTTATTGCCTTGACCATCAGGTCCCGCCTCTAGCTTGCCAGACGGGTTGACATAGATGTCGAAGCTGCCCTTCTCAACGACGTAGAAGTAGTCGCCCACATCGCCCTGCTGGATGACCTTGATGCCCTTTGTTGGTATCGGCTTCTCCTGCAATGCGCCGAGCACCTGGGCAGACTGGTCGTCGTCGAGGTGGGAGAAGAGGAAGTTGCCGGCGACAGCCTCCCTGAGGCGCGCCTGCTGCTCTTGCGACTTTGGGTGCTTTGGCGGGGTCCAGTCGCTGTGGTCGGACGATGCGGGGTTGAGTGACTCGGCGGAGACGGAGGTGCGTCTATTGAGGTTGTAGTTGTTGGGAAGGTTCTGCGCATCTGGAGCACCGATGCCCCCGGCGGGCTGGGGTCTGCTCTTGACTGAGTCGCCAAAGCCGCCAAAGCCAGCGAAGTTGCCAAAGGTGTCCTCGCTCGCGGGGTTGCTCTGGGCCTTGTCCATGGCGTTGGGTGGGAAGGAGGCTGCGGTCGGAGAGGCTACGGCGTCGTTCTCGTCTTCCTCGTCAAGGCGCTGCATGTAAGAGCCTGTATGGCTGGGAGAAGTGCCAAAGGGGTTGCCTCCAGGAAAGCTACTCTCGGCCATGCCACGGCCCTTTGGGCTGGAATGCTGCTGTGAAAGCAGAAACTCGGCGCGTTGCGACTCGAGGCGACGCAGAAAGAAGTTTGCACAGAATTGAAGGACGTCCTGCGGCTGGTGCTTGAGGATTTCGCGGTTGAGGGCGGAGATTTCGTTGGAGTAGTCGGGAGGGAGCGACATGAGAGGTGCGGTGCGGGGGTCGAGCGCCCGCAGCTCTTTGACGACAGGCGCAGGGATGATGCAGTTGTGCAACAAGCGAGCTCACCAGCGCGGCGGCGGGTCACGGTGGGGTAGTGAAGCAGGGCGTCGTGATGCGTGGGCGTAGGGGATTGAAAGAATTCGGGGGGTATCAGAGCGGAGGAGGAGTACGGGGTGCGGTGCAGGTGTAGATGCAGGTAGGTGCAAGTGCGGAGGGCTGCTTGGTGTAGGGCTGCGGCAGGCGGGGTGACGGCCACCACGATGCAGTGCAAGAGGGCGCGCTGCCGTCTGGCGATCCGGGGGCTTCTATAAGAGCATTCCAGAAGACATCTAGAGCTCCCATCGAAGACACAGCACAGGCAGGCACTCATGATGCGCAGGCTGCGCGCGAGACAGGACGGAGGCGACGGCAGCCACGCGGCGACGATTGGCTGCGGGCGCCCGCGTCCCTTCTGTTCTTCTTCTGGCGGCTGCGCGAGGAGCATCCCTCACCACCGCAATGCGTCTGCCATTCGAGGCGACAGTTGCCAGCCCATGTGCCCGATGCCCGATGCCCGATGCCAGATGCCAGATGCCAGAATGCAATGCGCTCTTAGCTCCCGCCATGGAACCAAGAGCTATGGCATCGCACGGCTCAAAGCTCCTTGTTAGCCTCGAGTGCGCGAACGCATTGCTCGGCTGCAGCATCGCAACAGGCCCTGTGTGCTGTGTACAACGGACCCCGGATCGACGTCTGGCGGAGGGAGGCAGAGCGGTGCGCCCGGCATGTGGAAGGGATGCTGGCTCCCAGGAACCGCGCACGCTGCGTGTCCAGGACGCTGAGGGCAGCACAAGCACGCGAGCAGTGCGGCGTCAAAGTCTGGGCAGGGGCAGCTCCTCAGCCGCCGGGGTGCATTGCATAGTGGGTGGTGAATCAACGACACGGCTTCACCTGCTCCTGTGCACGGCAGCCACCCACGGCCGCACGCCGTCGAGCAGCGCCAGAGCGGCGCGTGGATATGGCCGCACAGGGAGCGTCCTGGTCTTTGGATGCGCTAGCATTGGCGGTGAAGCCGACAGCGCAGCGTGTCTTGCTGGACAGGTTGGGCGAGGTGGAACGGAGTCAGAAGACATGCGGTTTCTGGCAGCGGCCGGTGAGGTCTGATTTGCCAATGCGATGACGCCATGCGAACGCTGCCCGCCAACACCGCCCGTCGTCTCCAGACCCTCCGAGACGCAGAGGCGCAGAGACGCGGTTGCTGGACGCTCGCTGACGTCAATGGGTGAATGGCCAGTGGCACGCGCTCCGCAAAGCTTGCCAGCCACAGTCCAGGGCACGTCGCCAGGCGTATTGCGATGGCTGGTGCCCGTTCCCCGCTGTTCCGTAGCTGTCGCCAAGCTAGCCGAGCTTGACGCTTGACGCTTGACGCTAGACTCGCGCAGAACACTCTTCTGAGCTCGACCGCGCCGGTGCCTCAGTCCTGCTGCCCTCCCTATATCAAGCATCCATACCCGCCTCCGCCAAAGCTTCGAGCGCATCGTGCCTTCAGCTACCCGCAAACGCACACCGCCGTCCTTATCGCCTATCCGATAGTGTCCGCGGCGCCGCTCTGACGCTTGCAACCTCCGCCTGCAGCTCCGCACGCTCCTGATCCTCTCCAACCACCTGCAATTCGCACCCGAGACAAAACGTCTCACCCCCTGTGCACCATTCCCCCCGCCCACCCACAATTTCATACATTGCTACGAGAGACATGGGCAAGTACACTTTTACGTGGTACGTACTGATGCGCCTGGTGGATATGGACGTGCGCTCACCGACTCGCCCAGGGAACACGAAGCCCATGAAGTTTTCGTGACCGGCTCCTTCGATGACTGGAGAAAGACTGTTCAATTAGAGAAGGAGGGCGGCATCTTCCAGAAGACCATTGAGCTGCCCAAGAGCAAACAAACATACAAGGTTCGTCGTCCACTGCTGCCTGTGGATGCAGCCTCCCGCGCCAACCCCAGTATCTTGCCCTAACGCTCCCGCTATAGTTCGTTGTCGACGGCAACTGGGTTACCAACGAATCCGCTCCCAAAGAAGCCGACGATTCGGGCATCTTCAATAATGTCTTGACCCCCGATAGCATCAAGGATGACGAGCCCGTGAACACTCTCTCCTCTACTGCGCCCGAATCCTCCACCGCTGCTCTCGCCGGCGCTGTACCCCTCCAGAACAAGCACCTCCAGACCCCCGCAAATGAAGACCTTCCGGGAGCCTTCCCTCTCACGCCCCCCGCTGAGACTCCGTCCTCAGAACCCCGGGCCTTCTCCGTGAACCCTATCCCTGCTACACAGGGCCTGGGCAACCCTGTCCAACTTGCACCCGGCGACAAGGTTCCCAATGCGTCTACCCTTACGACCAACACCCTTGAGTCTACCGTGAAGCATGATAAGGAGCCCGAAGCCGAAGACGCAACTGTCAGCGTAGCGCCTATCCCCGCCACGGCAGGTGCTGGCAACCCAATCCATCTTGCGCCCGGTGAGAAGGTGCCTGACGCAAGCACACTGACGGGCAACACCGTTTCTAGCACCGTCACGACCGATGCTGCTTCTTACGAGAAGTCGGATGCGCAGCCTCCCCAACTTGCGGCTCCAGTATTCACGCCCGAAGCCGAGAGGGAAGCTCAAGGCGGTATGTTTAGCCTACCACCACTTGCCGGCAGCGTCATTCCAGAGTCAAGCCTCCCCATGGGCGTGGATGCTAAGGTTGAGCAAGACACTGGCATTCACATCCAGTCTGCTGCTCCCACGAGCACAACTGCTGCGCTCGCCGGCGCGGTCCCCATTGAGCCTCGCGGTGTTCCCGAGACGGTTTCGGAGAGCCAAAAGGAGGCCGGCTTCGCGCCCGAGGCTTCGGCCAACGCTGAGGCTGTCGAGGAGAAGAAAGAGGTTGAGCAGGAACTAAAGGAGAAGGTCCCTGAAGAGCCGGCTACCTCTACCAACGAGCAGACCGCTACACAGCAGGCGACTGAGGCCGCATCTTCTGGAGCTGAGACTGCCAAGCACGTCGGCGAGGTCGCAGCTGCCGGAGTTGTTGGTGCTACCGGCGCATTCGCTGCCGCTACCTACGCTGCGAAGGACAAGGCTGCCGAGACGATTGGACTGAACGGTCAGGCTACTACGGCTGCTAGCGGCGTCCCTGAAGTCGTTGCCGAGAGCCAGAAGGAGGCGCATGTCAGCCCTGAAGCTGCTGCGAACCCTGAGGCGGTGCAGGAAAAGAAGCAGGTGGAATCAGAACTGCTTTCGGGTGTCAGCACTCATAGCCAAACGGCTACTGCTGCAGATGCAGTACCCGCAGTTGTCGCTGAGAGCCAAAAGGAAGCCCACGTCAACCCAGAAGCTGCGGCCAACCCTGAGGCAGTAGCGGAAAAGAAGCAAGTAGAGTCCGAGCTTCTTCGGGGCGGCCACGCAACCGGAGGACAAACCGCTGCCAGCGATGTACCTGCTGTTGTCGCTGAGAGTCTGAAGTCGGCGCATACCAGCCCCGAAGCTGCTGCCAACCCGGAGGCTGTGGAGGAGAAGAAGGAGGTCGAGTCCGAATTGCTCAAGGAGGTCAAGCAGGCGACTGAATCTGGCGAGCCTGCACCCACCGTCACGGCTGCAACAAGCGCTGCCGCTCCTGGTCTCTCTGAAGAAGCCCTGGTCGACTCGAAGCCCCTCAAGTCATCTAGCGAGCCTAACGCGCTGGAGGCCGATGGATTGAATGCCCCCGCCAGCGCACCTGCCCAGCCAGCTACCGCTAAGAAGGTTGTGGACTCTCGCGATGTGTCCCCTATGTCGAAGCAGCCCACGACCAACACGCAAACAGAACCTGTCGTCACCACTGGCGTTCAGTCGAGCACTGCTGCGGAGAAGTCGGCTCCCGAGACGCCCAAGAAGGACAATGCCCCGTCCAACGCTAATACACCCGAAAGTGTTGCATCTGGTGCTACCGACAAAAAGAAGAAGAGGCGTTCCATCTTCGGCAAGCTTAAGGAGAAATTCTCGTCGAGCAAATAAACGAAGCTACCCGCATCTGCAGCACATCCGGGCGTTCTTCTGAATGGCCTCCTCGATTGTTCATGTCTCGGAGTTGGTCTTCTGGTATATACCACTGCTTGTTTCATGTGTTTTTCTTGGCTGCACTGCGTTTCCGCATATCTCTTGCGATCTGTCCGTTCTGCAAGCATATACCACTGTGGCGCGAGGTTTGTCTGGTGATGAATATACCTCGGCATGTTGCTTGGCATATGCTGGTGTCCTTTATACAGGGCGCGCATGCGGTAGAGTAGGTAGTTATATAATTTGGTAATCGAGATGTTGAAGTTGTTAGTTCTCATCCTTCGACTCCACTCTCTTCACCGTTCAAATTGAGTTATCTTCTGTGTCAATGAGAATGGTCAAGCATCGGTGACTGTTTGCGCTACCTTTACAAGACTTGGTAGCGCACCTTAACCACCACGCAGGTGTGAGGCACCTTCTACCGCCACTACGTACAATGTTAATCCACAATGCCCTTCACAATGCAGACATACCGTTTACACACAAACTGCTCTCTCCCCTACCCTACTTTCACATCTACCTATTCTATGTATAATGCTACTATATTCTCCCCTTTTTCTTCTCGTAAATCCAACAAAGGTACCACTGCTGTGACAACTCACACATGAGCAACGACACAGCTTACCCATACAGCAATACCCGCCCGCGTGCGACTGCAGGCCAGCGTGCGCGGGCAGGTTCGCCAATGCAGAAGGAGGGGAAGCACAGCCTAGAGTCGCTGATCGATGATATCGACGACTTTATCGCGGAGCAGGAAGCCTACAACCGTCCCGCACGTGCGCGTAGTGACTCACGTGGCACTATGTTCGTAGACATCAATGAGGAGGGCGAGATTGTTGTGAGCTATCGCCATCCGCCGCCCACACTTTCCAAGTCCACGCATGGTCGTGGAAACGATCTTCCGGAGGGCGACCTTTACATCGTTGGTGGCGGACAGGATGGTGGGTATGCGCCGAGGTATCTTACCGCGGGGGATGGAGGTGAGTTCGTCCGCGTAGCGATTAATGCTGCTGGGCGCGGGATCTATGTTCAGAAAATGGATGGGCATCGGTATGATTTTGAGGGGGAGGAGCAGCGTATGCTTCAGTCACAATCACACTCGAACCGCCGTGCTCCCGGCAGGCCCAAAAAGCAGGCACGGACGAACCGTCGTCCGCCCATCTCAAGCCTGCCGTCAGACTGTTATGCTGGGGGAAAGAAGGGTGAGTACCCCCGCCCGATGCGTCGTGTCGAGAACAAGACGCTACCACGTCTCCCACGCACACGTCGCCGTCGTAGCTTTTTTGAGGCAGTGAAGGAGATGGTACAAAAGTTCAGTAGGGATCAGAAGAAGGGGCGCATGCCGCGTCGTGCGCACCAGGCTTCCTGGGTACGGGAGGGATATGTTGTCTAGGCTCTCTACCAGTCCGGATGTACATGGTTCCTGGATTATACAATATGATAATGGAGAGATGTAAGTGGGGCGGCCGATCTCGCTGTCCATCAAGACGGCTAGAGATCCTGCTGTACTTCTTCCTTTCGTTTGAGGTCAGATAGATAAATTTTGTGCGTATGCTAGGGCCTGAGACTGGTAGATCGAGGCTATGGAGACTCTCTGTGGGTCGAGACAGCCGGGTATCGTCACGAACCAGGGCTTGAGACTTGATGGAAGAGGCTTTGCAGCCTCCCCTGGAGTTGAAACAGCCGGCTGTATAGGGCGTGCACTAGACTATCTCTTCCCGTTCCATAGCTACCTTGAATAAAGACGTTGCTTGTTTAAGATCTCTTCTTCCTGTAAGTTGTTTGGCCCCTCATTTCCTAAGCAAGCGTTCTCTTCGCTGCTAAAAAAAAAATGAACCTGTTTCTTCGATCCTATGTTTCCGCGGCCAGTGAGCAAATCGTCTGATCGACTGCGCATCTTCCTATCCTCATCCTTCCGTCACCGCAACTCCCACATCTACCCGCCCCAATCCGCCACCGGCATCCTAGCTCTAGGACTCAGTTTGCTTTCCACTTCCGCTCCCACCTACCAAACCCTCTTCGACACATTCTTTTCACGTGCACTTCCCCAATTCAGCAGGTCCAACCCTACAGCAATGCTAGAGGGATCCAAATCTCACCTCATCCCACCCAATAACTCATTTAAGCTTTACCGCAGGCGACCACACTTTCCTCCTCACCGGGCTCACCGGGCTCACCGGGCTCACCGGGCTCACTGGGCTCACTGCATGATGCGCGCATCCCAGAAGCGACTGTAGGGCTGCGTGTCGGGTTGAAGGGTTGATGCACGTACGTTGGGGTCCAAAACAAGCGTAGGCGAGTGCGAGGCTGCGTGCATATGCCGCGTTGGGTAAGCCGTTCGCACATGAAGACCCATAGGATGTACGATCCCGTCCGGTGAATTCTCTGGTCAGGCTTTGCTCAGCCAGCCTAGTTTCGTTGTGGTCGTGCATGCTTCTCCTGACTGCTCGAATAGTCTCCCTTTCTGGGATGTTGAGGTGATTCTGTTCGCCGATGGGGTTCTACGTTGCTGCAGATGGGGTGGAAAGAATCGACGATGTGTGTTCAGGTACAAGTAGCAGTGAATGATGGTGCTATGGGGTCTTGTAGATGAATTATCTCGTCACAGGGAATGCTATTATGTACTGCTGTGCCACAGGTCGTGATCGTACGTATTCGAGGTCTGTATGGGGAGAAGTGTCCTTGGAGTCCGTACAACGCCGAGCGGGCGGCTCTTCCGTTGGTGTAAGTTATGACGGCTCAAGATCATGCAGGAAGATAATGTGGTGTCTCACTTTCGAACTTCAGGTTCACCTGTGTTGGCCGCGTTGTTTCACAACCCACTGGCATTTTCAATGAGGGATTGTGTTTTACTTTTCATAAATCGTCTCTGGCAAAGGTTTCCCTGATCTGTTCCCAAGAGCGTGCATTATGCAGCCTTTGAGCATAAGAGAGGCGCAGGATCGTCGTCCAAATCAGCGTTGGGTTAGGTGGATCCCGGTGGGTCGGCTCCACAAGGGAACTGCCGCACGCTGCTCCGGAACGTTCTGCTGTTACTGAGCCGTCATATTTTATGTCGCGCTGTTCGTCTTATTTCGGAAAACAAATCAGATCGATTGTAAGTATTATTTTGTATAGAAGTGTTGACACTGCTCGGTTGGCAGAAACCTACCTGTGTAACGAAGGAAAGAACAGCCGAAGGCTTGCCCCTCCATCCCCGGGCTATCAGTACTTCAACTGATCTGTACTCTACCACTCTGTTTGTTATCCTTCCTAGACTGCAAGAATTATCCGGTCTTGTACGAATAAGAGTAGGACTCATCTCGCTCATTCTGCGCTCTCATCCAGACTGCCGCGCAAACAGCAAGCAAGGCTTAACTTGCTACGTTCTGGACGCCTTCAAAGGCCGTGCCAAAACCTAATCAGCTCGTCTGGCGACCACCAGAGACCGACTGTATCATGGCTGTCTCGATTGTCGATCCTTTCCAGGCAGGTGCAGGCTATAACACCACGCATAGGACGGTCAAAAACTTCTATGACGCAGTTGGTACTTCTGGATGCTTGCTCGCCTGCAACACCAGAAGGAAGCACCAGGAGCTTCTCACACGGGAAGCTCAGCCTGGAAGCTCTAATGGCGTCCGATTCCAGCGAAGGAAGCAAGTGCTTAAAACGCTAAAGGACGACATGGAGCATGCATTCACTCTCGCCGATCTACAGGAATCGATCAAGAGTGGCTGCAAATCATGCGAAGTGCTAAAATCGATTTTTGAGCATGTTTCTCTCATTGAATCAAATGACAACCGACATGACGCGCACACCTCCTTCATCATTACCATGACCTTTGTCCTGAAGAGGCGAAGACTGATCAACGACTTGTTGGATATTCAGCAGATCGCATTATTCAGTCCTTCAGGTATGCAGAGCCAAACATGTGCTTTCATCGCTCTTCCAACCTACTCTAGGCTACTCCGTACAGTTTCGCGCCATGCCCGAGTCATCATTTCTATGTGGCGACACAGATTCGGAATTATCCATCGCACGAGCATCACAGTGGCTAGAAAGTTGCGTTCAACGTCACAAAAGTTGTCGACTCAACACAACCTCACCCCTACCATCGCGTATCATAGATGTTACCAATACCCATAGACAGGGCTCGGAAGGCGTGAAGCTCGTAGAGACCCGACCCGGTGAGGTGGGAAAGTATGCATGCTTAAGCCACTGCTGGGGAAAGGTCCCAATCAATTGCTGCACAACCAGGGACACACTCGAAAAGGCACTAGAATTCATTGACTGGAATTCAATGCCACGGAATTTCCAAGATGCCATCAGAATCACGCGAAGACTCCGAATACAGTACATTTGGATTGATTCGATGTGCATCATACAGAATGACCGCGACGACTGGGCGACTGAATCTAAAAATATGGCACAGATATATCGGAATTCACACATCACCATTGCCGCAACTGCTTCTTCAGACTCAACAGGAGGCTGTTTTTCGAAGGCGAACCCGGACATTTGTTTGCGTATTCAAACAGATGATAGTAAATCTTTATTCGTTGGTGCCCGTATGTGCGATACACTAGGGTTTCTGGAGCAAGACGAAGATATCAAAAGGCGTCGCCCGTTGGAACAAAGAGCTTGGGCCTACCAGGAAAGACTGTTGTCACCACGGTTTCTTTACTGCAATTACGGAGAGCTCGCTTTCAGATGTCTGGAGGGAAATTCATGCGAATGTGGGCGCGTTTCGATGGCTCCACATACGCTCAACACAAAACTACCCATGGGAAGAATCAACACCAATCTCTTATTGGCTAAGGCTATCTCGACCAAGAGCGCCGCCATCCATAATTATTGGTGCGAACTAGTGTCAAAGTACATGCTCCTGAACGTAACAAAGTCGAGCGACATACTGCCGGCTATCTCTGGATGCGCCCGTGTGGTAGCAGAAATGACAGGAGACAGATATCTTGCGGGGGCTTGGAAGCGCTGCTTTGCGCGGTACCTAATTTGGTATAAGAAAGACGCAATAAGAAAACCGAGGAGCGAATGGACAGCACCCACGTGGTCATGGGCTTCGATGCCTCCTGGCCAGGAAATAGTGTTTTACGGTAAAATGGACGTCAGCCATCTCAATCAGCTCCTCAACAAACACACTGATAATGTTCGCTGCGAGCCGAAAAGCGCCAACAATGACATGGGAGAACTAGCTCCAGGGACTGGCTCCTTGAAGTGCAAAGTGGAGCTGTTCCCGTGCTATATTCGCCGCTTCTGCTACTACAATCTCAGGTCAATGCAAGACGCTGGAGCCTCTGGCTCTCACCGCTGGAACTATCGTCTGCACCAACGGGCCTACAGAAAGATTACACATGGGGTTTCGATGACGTTATGTGATGTGCCTGTAGCAGGAATAGATACGCATGGCGGTAACTTCCTGTTGCAACTCGATGTTCCTATTAGAGACCATGTAGACTGGCAACAAGTTGGCGGTTGCGTGCGGTGCGCGCTCGCCAAGGTCTGGCTTTTGCGAGCCGGGAAGATCGTTGAGGGTAACAAGCGTCAAGATTACTTCTTATTGCTCAAAGAAATCGACTTGAAGACGAATACTTACGAAAGGATTGGGATGACGGTCTTAGAGAGGCAAACTGTTGATGAGAGAAAGAGATGGTTCGAAGATGTCTGGGTGAAGGGCGTGTTGCCTGAAGACGACATCACTATAAATTGAGCAATCTAAATTTCGGTTTCTTCATCTGAACTAAATAGTAGACACAAGAGTGTGTGGTATGTCCAGCAAAGTCAGCAGTACTTACTATACATTCGTGACTGCGTCGCATTGCGATAATTATTCGCAACTAGTAGCCCCGAGCTTAACGAAGACTGAGTACCATTGTTAGGCTTACAGCTGTTTATTCTAAGGCTGTCTAAACGTGTCACACCAAAAGTGTATTTAGGCTGCTTGGTCCACTCGTACGCTAGCCTTAAGTGCGTGCTATTATCGAGCTGATTAGTATCGTTGAGAAGACAAGTCGGTCACAAAGATACATTGTCCGGTCATTGTTTCGTGTCCACTATTACTGGTTCGTACATTCACCGTTGATGTTGCAATCGTGCTAAAAGTCACCGTCAGCCAAATTCGGCACTCCACCATTCACTGCTCGTACCTATGGTTGAAATTGAGCACGCTTCTTCAATGTTCGTTTGTTGGAGCGTGCTTGATTGAACGAGTTGGTGCAGCCTTTGCCCCATCGCTTGGGCCGCTCTCTCCTCCTGAGAGTATATAAGGATACCCAATGTGATTGCTACGCTTCCACTTTCAATTTGACTCAAATTTGATCACTCTCCGATATCATCGTTTGCACAAAGAATGTGCCACCTCCCACGGCGTTGGAATAAGAGATCAAAAATATTCAACCAATGTATTTACTATAGGGAGTGAAGTGTTAGTCTATCTACTCTAGTACACTAATTTTAACAGTTTAATACCCTATTTTAGGCTCAACTATGCCTTAAAAGACGAGTTCAACAAGATCTAGCCAATACTTCGCTGCCTATAGTACATATATTAGTTGAACATTCTTAATCTCTTATTCCAGCGCCATAGGTGGCAAATTCTTTGCGCAAAGCACCGATAATCGCTTCTCAATTACCACAACTAGAACACGATGTCTGAACAGACGACACGGGTCAATAGTGACTAAAAATACTTAGAAGACCCTGAGCGTTTCGACGACAATCGAGAACCCAATATAGTATCCACAACCTCTCTCGTTGAATTCGAGCGAGAATCCTCTGGCAAGTGTATCTTCACGCGCGAACTACTGGAGACAGCCGCAAAGACCGTCGCGCTGGCTCGAAAACATACACCTATGGATGATACTGAGCACGTTGAGAACATATTGATGCCTGTACGTTGTCAAAGCGCTTCGTCCCAGCCAGAAAGAATTTGAGTGGAAGCCGCGGCCTCTCCACTCAAAAGCAGTCACTCTAGCAAGGCGAATGTTTTCCAAAATGGTCGAAGCTACGGAAGTGGCCAGACCATTTAGCTTCTCATGTGGTCCACGCTTCTCCGTGTATACCAGTATAATCTGCACAAACACGTTCTCGTTAGAGGACTCAGACTTGCACAGATGGACACGTGGGAACCCGATATTAGACTCCCGGTTTGCCTCGCTCTCGAAGACTCAAGAAGCACGGGAAACGAGAAGCCTGTAGGTCGAGCTCACGGCACTTGCAGGCCAGCATCGCATTAAAAACATCTGATGCGTTGCGCTGGGAATACTGTATCCTCGAAACGGTCTAGAACCTGACCCAGACCCTCGTTGCGAAATGTGGTTTTAATGTCATTGTGACCACTTCTACTAGCGCCTTCTGGCCTGTTATATCGCAATATCTGGGCGAAACCTTCCCTCACCCCAACGACTCAACCGGGGCTCTGCACATTGTGTCACATGATCCAGCATACACCAAAGCAGATCTTCAATTCCTTTCTCAACTTCCTCAACCAATTACTATTGTTCCGGATCCCTATCGTTATCTCGCCATCACCCCGGAGACTTTTCATGTACATCGCTCACCCTGTCGGTGTTCCTCTTCACCCAATTGTGGCCGATGTGGTGTACCCAGGTGGCCCAGCTGCCTGGCTTTGTGGGGAAATTCGAGGTGACAAGGGTTGGCAGAAAGAGGGCCGAGTGTCTGGGTACGATAGATGGATACCCGAGTGGCGAGATGCTCGCCCTGTACAACAAGAAAAACCTACGGGATCTAGGTTGGAAAAAGTCACAGCTATGCCCAGGAAGCATACTGAGATGGAGATGTCCGTTCAAAGTTGGACAAGAATGTCGATTGAGAATCAAGCAGTAATCAGGTCGTCCACGAAGACTACTCCCTTCGCCATGTGCAGGTAGTCATTGATCGCTTGACAATCCTACAAGAATTTGTCCGTCTACTATGTCCTCTCAGAAGGACGATGTGTCGAAGTATGGATAAAATCATGGGAGAATCCCTTGAGGCGAGTGAGGATGAACATGTGCGCCCGGATACGGCACGACGTGATCGTACATGTAATACCTAGGTAGCTTACGAAACTCCTCTCCAATACCTTAGACAAGCTCAAAGCAAGTCGCAGAAAACCTGTCCATGGTGAAATCATTGACTCATCTCGCAACCACATATCGAAATGTTCGTCGTTCGCTCGCAAGGCTTCCGCGTCCGCGTCCGCTGCGCCTCACCACCTCGCCTCAAACATCCTCCTTCGTAGGTGAGGCCATGCAACCCGGAGCTGAACTCCTGTTTGCACCAATTTTCGCTCACACTGCGGCTGACTGAGCGTGGCGGCTTATCGAAATGGCGATCTGCGGAACGTCCTCCTCAGCTGGCTTTTTGTGGCCCGCGTTCGCTGCTGGCTTGCTCGCAGTTGTGTTTAGGTGCGCGCCGTTTGCGGGTCTGTTGGCCTTTGTGTGATTGCGCATTCCGACTTTCCGTGATCGCCGGCGCCGACAGCACGGAGGACGTCACTAGGCACAACCTGCGGGTTGGAGGCCTGACAAGAGCTTGGACAATTGATTTGGCATTGGGGAGCGCGCTGCGGAGGCTGGTGACTGTGTTGCGCGCGTGACACGAGCGTCGAGGGGCTGTGCACTACTGAGGAAGAGCATATCAACTTAGTGTCAGCCCGTTTCGCTGCATATAATATCGACACTCAATTAATCTACCTGCAAGATGAAAGATATATTGGATTCTCGGATTGCGGCGGATCTTACAGTGGCAATGAATGCCACGGACGAAACCGAAGCTACACGACGACCTGAGGATTCACCATCAACACCACCCGCCACGCCACCAAAAACCCCTTACGACGGAGTCCCAGGCTCTCCGCCCCCAATACGAAGAACCCTCTACAATGAAATCAACATCCCGCTCCCACCCTCCCTAAGCCGAAATTGCCCGGGAAACGGCCCAAGTCGCACTCGATCTCTTCTTTCCGGCCTTTCCACCGCAGAGGGTCGTCTAGTGACTCAACGCGCAAGTCGGGAGAGGAGTGGCCAAGAATCAAGAAAGAGGTGAAGAGTCGGGAGGTGGCGGCTGCGATGAATTTGGCGGGGAGGCACCGCAGGAGTGGGACGATTGATGCGTTGGCAGTGGTGCCGGCGGTGTTGGTGTTGCGTGCGGAGCTGTTTACGCCGGGGATGGAAAAAGGGAAAGGGGGAAAGTGGGAGGACGGAATGATCTGATGGATATCCCGACAGACCTCACTTGAAGATTGTTCGAGGAGTGTATGGCCGGAGAACATTACCTTTCGCTTCCATGTCAACGTTTGGCGATGTCATTGCATACGTCTGCACGAAAAACCTCTGGGTCCAGTACGGCAAGCGGACGACTCTTTCGCTGCAAGGCCCTGAAGGCCCCGATCGCATCTGAGAGAATCCGAGGATCCAAGTGTAGCTGCGTGTTGCAGCGGGGTGATTCCTGGGTGCGGTAACCGGTCACACGACATGAGCATCGAGCACAGGCAGAGCAGGAGCTGAGGGCGTGGAAGGAAACCATGACTGGTTGTCTTGGCGTAGGACAGTGAATGGGCATGGTTTGCTCATGGGCGGTCTTGCAGTGTTCCGTAAGAGCTCAATGCGCTCTGCACCGATTACTTCTCTTGTACCCACTTGCGTACGTCGGTAAGCTGACAGTCGCTGTATCTGCGAAACAAAGATAGTTTGGTTCTGTTGAACAGTGAGCGCCCTTACCGCCTCCCCGTCGCAGCGCCTTCACGTGATGCTCCGACTTCGGAAGGTGGCATCCGTGAAGTTGCCATCCGGCCGACCATTCACGCAGGCCGCAGTTCAGACGGCAGCTCGACTTGTTGTAATCAGTGAAAGGCTACTGCATGCGAGATTCGCGAACATGGGTGGGTAGTGCACATTGCTGGCCGCAGCGGGTGCGTATGCCGTATGCCGTGCTTGGAAGCTTGTTTTGGCGCGTGGGTCGGCAGAATTAAGGAAGCAAGCCGAGGCGGGCCTGGCAGAAAACTTCGGTGCGCCCATGGACGCTGCAAGCTTCATTCATTCACCATGCCACCCCATCGTTGAAGCTCCCCCACAACACGCCCCGAAAAGGCGAAGGATTATTCTTCTTACCTCTCACGCAGCGCCTGAGACGGTGATCCGCTACCCGTGCAGCACGCCATATCTGCGTCTGAAAGGCGAGAAACCCCACCACTTTCGTCATGGTGCGCAACATCGTGGTCCTGGGCGGCAGCAGTAAGTCGGCTCGCAGCGTCCTCATGGTCCGCATTCTTCACGAGTGCCCAGAGGCTCAAGCTGCAATTTCGTAAAGAACGCTTGCTAACGTGCTTTCCCGCAGGCCACCCGCAGCTCACCCGTAAAGTTCTTCCGCCCTACACGCACCAGCCTTCCTAACTGTTGCACAGAGCAGATATGCGACCATCTCGGCATCCCCCCAGCAAAGCGGCTGGTAAGACCCCGCCCACGGCGGATATGGCGCGTAGCTGACTTTTCCCAAGCTGTCCAAGTTTGCGGTCGGTGAGACAAGAGTCGAGGTCGAAGAGTCGGTCCGCGGGAAGGATGTTTTCATTGTGCAGAGCGGCGGAGGAGCGGTCAATGATAACCTCATGGAACTTGTGCGTTTGGGTGCCTGCCATCTCCCGCGCTTCTAATCCCGCTACAGTTGATCTGCATCTCTGCCTGCAGAACAGCCTCCGCGAAGCGCATCACCGCCGTACTCCCGCTCTTTCCGTACTCCCGCCAAAGTGACATTCCATACAACAAGACGGGTGCGCCGCTTGCAAAGGCGCCCAATGCTGGCAACCGCAGCCGAACCGGCACCTACTCCTTCGACAGCGTACCGCAAACTCCACATCCAGGAAACCCCGGCGTGACCCTCACAAATGGCACGGCCTCTCTTGACAAGTCACTGGAGCGCCTGAAGATGTCCGAGGAGCGGCACAGCACACAAGTTATCACTCCAGGTGCTGGATTGAAGCGCACCGATACCCTCGAAACAAAGAAGTCAGATGGCTCTGAAAAAAGCTACTTCCAGACCAATGGAGTGAACGGTACACACGGAGCCAACGGTCTTGCAAGAGTTTCCACAATGCCTCCCCAATTCCAGCCGCAGCCGGGCTACAAGCAATGGGTCGCACAAGCCGGCACACTTATTGCAGACCTCCTTACCTGCGCTGGCGCAGACCACGTCATTACTATGGATCTCCACGATCCGCAGTACCAGGGCTTCTTCGACATTCCGGTGGACAACCTTTACGGTCGCCATCTTCTCCGAAAATACATACAGTTCTCTATCCCGAACTACCAGCAAGCTGTCATTGTCAGCCCTGATGCTGGAGGAGCAAAGCGAGCGACGGCGATTGCGGATGCGCTAGGCATGCCATTCGCGCTTATCCACAAGGTGCGTGAGCCAACATAAGACCCGGGTTGTTGGCTAATGAGTTGATCAGGAGCGCCGCCCTACGCAGATCAGCGATCGTCAGAATGCGACCATGATGCTGGTCGGTGAGGTTCGTGACCGCACCGCCATCCTCATCGATGACTTAGCAGACACCTCGAATACTATCACGCGAGCTGCGAAGCTGCTTAAGAAGGAAGGCGCGACGACGGTGTATGCGTTAATCACTCACGGCATCTTGAGCGGCGACGCCATTGACCGTATCAACGCGAGTGCACTGGACAAGGTTGTTGTGACAAACACTGTAGACCAAACCGAACACAAGGCGCGGTGCCCGAAGCTGGAAGTGCTGGAGGTCGGCAACGTCTTTGCTGAGGTAAGTCAATGCCGTACTGCAGATAAAGGTCAAAGCTGATATCATTCTACAGGCAATACGACGAGTGCATCATGGCGAGAGCATAAGTGTTTTGTTTGACTACCACTGATCGATCTCCTTCATCATCACCTCTTGGACGGTATCTGCGATTTGGATAGTGGAGTGCCTGACTGTCATTCGGTCCCTACCGAGACTCTGCGTTCTCCATCCCTCCTTTTGGAATGGCCCTCGGCGGCCTTTAGAAGTGCATACAAACATCTAGAAAAGACGTTGGAGAGGGGAAGTGTTTGCGAACGAACAAAGTGGCGTGGCCTTTTCTTTCTATTGTGCACTATCAAGCAATGCGACAGGTTTTGTCTTGCATGCACTGCTGAGGAGCAGTATAACAAGTACCTGGCTATGTGCTACCTGCATATCTGCATCTGGTCGCTAGGCCATGGGCATTGGTTCGGCGTAGGGATACATGGTCTATTACCATCCATCACATGTGCGTGTATGCGTATGTGTATCGAGCAAACCCATGTCAAATTTTTTCACTGTCATTTAGGGTCGGTCCGCGTATGATGCGCGTGAGCTATTGTATATAGTCTCGAGAAAGACAGGAGAATCCAAAGATTGCATGCTCACATATTGCTTGTGAAATGATGTTCGAATTGGTGGAGTCGATGGGCAGATCATTACATTCGTAATGTGGGTTAAATCCGCAAGCGTGGAACCAAAGGAACGCTATTACACTATCGAAATGCTGTGGGCGCATAGATGAAATGAACCAAATGAACCAGCATGTGTGCGCTTTTGTCATTCGTGCATTGCAGCTGCGCACATCGATACATTACAGTATCAACAATCTCGAACTCAGGCTCACTCACCCGGTTCCCAAATTTACTTAAACTGATCCTCCGTGACCCCCTTCCCCATAGCCGCCGTCGAGCTCACACCCCCACTCACCATCTTCAGCAGTCCATCCACATAATTCGCGCCGCTCCACTTCTGGTGCGTCAGCACATCGACCTTGTTCTCCGCCTCAGGTTCCTGAATGATCTCGCCGTAGGCCCGCATGCCCTGCTTCGCGTATGCTTTGCTAAACGTGTCGGCCATGAGCGCGGTCTGGTGCAGGCCGGCCAAAGTGATGAATTGCCAGCAGTAACCGAGTTGAGCAAGACGTTGGATGTAGGTTTCCTGCTCTTCGCGAGGCATAGCGGCTTTCCAGTTGAAGGAGGGGGAGAGGTTGTATGCGAGTCTGATAAACCACATGGTTAGCCACTGCTGATTCGCAATGAAACAGGCAAATGGAATAAGGGGGAAAACGTACTTCTGCTCCGGCCACACCGCATGCACCCCATCCGCAAACTCTTTCGCCTGGGCAAAATCCGGCAGTTTACTCTCCATCCAGATCAGATCTGCATACGGCGCATACGCGATCGCGCGATTCACAGCGCACTGGCACCCGCCCTGATACCTGTAATACCCCTCTCTTGTCCGCGCAGCATCCCAGTCGAAGTACACATCCACGCCCGTCAACCCCTTCGCTATCGCGCGCGCCTCCGTGTTACTCTTGCCCTTGCTCTTTTCTAGGAACTCAGCGATGAGGGACTCCTTGTTCACGTGCACGCCCGCAGTTATTGTATCGATGACAGCTTCGTGGTAGAGTTTCAGGTGCGCTTCTTTGGTCCACGCATCTTCGATAGCTTGGAGTTCGGTGCCGGACTTTCCGGCTTGCTCCGCGGCGTACATGAGGTCGCTGAGGGATTGGAGCGCGGGGTTTGTAGAGCCCAGGATGTAGTGGTGATCGCGGGGGTCGATGGTAGAGGTGATCAGGGTGGCGGCTTCGGAGTCGGTGCGGGCGACGGCGAGGAGGTCGACGCCTGTTCGGCTTCATATTAGCTTCTGCTGAAATGGCAAGGAGGAAAAGGAGGGACGAACCCATAATATCTGCCTGAGCACGGATGGCGACAAGCCGGTTGATGTGCTCGCTGATGGGGACGAGCACTTTGCCGGCCATGTGGCCGCACTTCTTCGTTCCGGGCGCTTGATCCTCGATGTGGATGCCCGCTGCGCCTTTCTCGACGAACAGCTTTGTGAGCTTCATGATTGCGGTGAGACCGCCGTGGCCGGTATCTGCGTCAGCAATGATGGGTCGAAGGTAGTCGACGTGGGGAGCGTTCCCTCGATTTGCCTTGGGTGTGGATAGGCGCTCTTCTCGCTGCTTCCTGTCATGGAAGAGTTGTGCCATGAAGAGGTGGCCGACTTTGTTTGGGACGGTGGTATATGCATAGTCTGCTAGGTCGGGGCCGGGCTCGTCGGTTGACGATGCAGTTGACGAGCATTGCCAACCGGAGACATAGACGGTGTCGAGGTACTTTGCCATCTGGGTGACCATGACTGGATCAAGACAACCATATGTGAAGCTCACATCGTTATTCTGGTTCCATTAGCCATTGTATAGAAACAAGTCACAGCAATACTTACCTTGAACCTTCCTTCTACGATGCTCCAGAGCTTCTGCGACTGTGTATTGCTGGGATACTGCAGCCTCAGCGTGCCTCGCTTCTGTACGATCTGTTCAGCCGTGAACGGTCTCCTGGTGTGCCGCCATCGTGAGTCTGACCACCACTTCTTGACCTCTTCCACCTCCTGCTGATACTGCTGCTCCTCTGCATCAATATTTGCCATCTTGACTGATCTTCCTCTCTATCACAAGTAAAAGTTTGTACACAACACCCTTGAAGAATGGTCAAAGAAAGAAAGTGAGGCACACTCCGTCTTTCCTTTATGACTGATGAGATGACGAGACTCTTCCGTAGCCTCGGTAATTCTACACGTTTCGCGCAAGCAGCTCCACGGGCGAGCCAAGCTCTTATGTATGCATGAGCATCATGGTGCCGGGCGCCAACCCCAGACGCTCAGACAGGAAAGGCCTACATGCCAGTAACTGTGGTCGGGAACAGTCGGGTAACGCACACTGCACCATTGGGCCGAGTAGCTGCGCCGAGGGTCACCGCAAGTCAGTACTTTCTTTGCCCCTCGGCCCAAAGGACGCGTCTGAGGGCAATGTCTGGGGTTGGGGGAGCGGATCCGGCATCGTGGCGGGATGACGTTTGGCGCTCTGGTTGGCTTGTGATTGCTCCATTGGTCTCTGGCTCATTCGTTTTTGCCCTTCTAGCAACATTCTGCAGCGTAGCAAGTTCGGCGAGAGATTGCGACGGCGGCACGCGTCCTGGCTGACTTCACATGTCTTCCATTGAGTGCATGTTGAGGGCGGGAAAGGGCAGCATGTGAATGCACACGCGCGTGGAGGCAGATCGTGGTAAAGGCTTAGCCGACGATCCGCTATTCCGTTTGGGGTACCTCGGCTATCAGACGCTTTGGTACGGGCTAGAACGCCTGGGGTTGGGTCACCATCACGGTCGACGTCCGAGCGAATAATTACGCATTCTTGATGTGAAGGCGTATGAGTCAAATGGGTAGTCTCTTCGAGTCCGTGTCGGAATTCATCTACAAAGGCGACTACCTGTATCCCTTCGCGAAACCATACACATGGCATGATCCCAATGTTGTTGCTGTTGTCCACAAATTGTAGACGCCGTCATACACGCTTGATGCGTAATGTTGATCGCCAGCTTGAACATACGAGCAGAGCATGCTGGCACCTAGCCAACAGAATATGGCCCGCAGGCAGAAATCCAACAAATCGATCACTTCTGTAAATCCTAACGCGCATCGTTGAGCCAGGAAGAGTTTAGTTGCCGCTCTCCTGTATGGTCCTGCATAAGACTTGCCAGCAGGGCCCCGCACAAATCGGTCAAGTTCCGAGAAAGCATGCTCACGAATGTCGTCGATCTCGAATTCGGCAGACTTGGGGGAAATGGGATACGCCGGGTCAGCGGGCGGGCACCTCAGCTTTCTCAGCACGGTCCACCGCAGCTCATCAATGTAGCTTCTCTTTACGAGCTGTTCCTGCTGCTTCAAATCTTTCAAGGGTGTCTTTCGTAGTAGCTCAGGCAAAAGACCAGGCTGTGAGATCCACAAAGTGCGGTTCTTCTCGTCCGTAAACAGGCATTCGCGGTCAAACGCCTCTGAGGTATGGGCGTAGTGCACAAAACGAGAGTAAAAAGCACCAGTAGAGACACGTATGTCCAGATTCTTTACGTCCACTTCGCGGCCTCGTCGCTGCGTGGTTGCAACAACATCTCTGGGTTTGTCCGGAATAGAGGTCTCGAGATTGATCCTGAAAGGGTCCTCGGAAAGATGCACGAGAGAAAAGAGATAGTCTCGGAAAACCGTGTGTAAGAGACTATATGGTTCTGTTAGTGAAACCTGGAGAAGGTGGTCCTGGGCGCTAGTACCTCTCTGTTTGCGACGGTAACCGACCGATACTAGAGGCAAGTACTTCCGGTCTGAACCATACACGAAGGCCTTTCCGGAAATACAACACCAAGGCTTCCTTCAAGATACGTGGGAACGTCAAAAAGCCTACGGTCCACCATACAGCGGTAAACTTGAAAGCTCTGAACCAGCTTAGTTCATCGAGCTTGAGCGCTGCAGCGACCGAGAATAATCGCGCAACTATCTTCGCATGGTCTTTGGTTGATTTCAAAGTGATCGTAATTTCAATAGCAGGCGAGGAGGTGGGTGATGGAAAGGGGTTGAGAGCCTTCTGCGCGTAGCCGCCGCCTTTCCTCGAATTGAAAGGCGAGACGTGGAACTCCTTGGTCCAATAGTCGGCAAATGTTGCCTTCGGGGGCGTAGGAACTAGCTCTTCTTCGCCTGGAGTAGTCGCTGGGCTTGTTGGGCTTGACCCGTCCAGTAAGTATAGGTGCCTTTCTCCGAATGTATTGTTTACTTCGGTGATCATCCTCGTCAGTTGGTGGTCACGGTTGTATATGTACCAGAAGGAGGCAGGATTGAACGAGTAGCCCAAAAATCGTGGAGCCGTTACAAGGTATGCATACGACCAGTCTGAATCTTTGACACCCTTCTCTCTAAGGAAGACTTTGAGCTTTCCGTAGAAGCCTAAGCCGGCTTGGCCCCGCGTAAGGTAGTCTTCCGCTCTAATTTGAAGCCACCATTTGCCCAGGATCCGGTCGCTACCATCGGAAAAATCAGTCCCTTCAGGAGTCGTGCCAGCTGGCACGATAGGAAATCCGCACAACAGATAGTTGTACACAAAAGCATGCCTTTTCGGGAAGATGCGGGCATGCGTTGTTCGACAAGGAAATATGAACGATCCAGGATGCTCCACGGACCACGGTTGCGTTCTTGGGGGCAGTTGCTCCGGAAGGCCCTTCCGAGAGTCCTCGTTTCTAGTTCGGAAGATGTAAAAGAATGCCGCTACTGCAAGGATCGTGACTGCACTTGTAACTGCAAATGTCTCTGTGTCCCATCCCGACACAGTCCATCTCTTCATCAAGGCGTCGATGATTCTTCGTTGTGATAGCAAAAAATTAAACCCCCCAAATAACAGACTGTCTTGTGACGCCTTACGATCTCCATATCGGATTCTCGCCCCACACGCCGCGACCCAGATCGCGTACAACGGCCACAAAGACCACCCGAAAGCGAACGCGCAAGGAACGAGCGGAAGAAATGACAGGACGAGCTTTCGAAGTAGGCCACCACGGCCTTTCGCAATCGTCTTCATGAGAGCAGGTTGAGTTGAGGAGCCTTCAACGGCAAAGACGAATGCCAGAGGTGCTAAATGCACACTCAAAAACGCGCTAAACCTTTTTCATGATGTCGTGTCAGGGTCTCCAGACATAGTGCGAATCCAATCGTTTCGACATCGAAAACCATGGTACGATGACCAATGTTTGTCTTATCTTTTCTTTTTACTTTTAGCAAATCCGACTCGTTGTTATTTGGAATGCAAACGCGAAACCCGCGCGTCTCTAGAAGGCCCGATAGCACAGGCGGTGGTACTACCAGAAGTACATAATCCAGGGTCTCGAGCATCTCCCGATCCTCCGCGGCACACAGCTACAGCTGAAACATAAAGGACATAGTGCTTCGAATACGCCATCGTTGTCCCGGGGGCCTTCATCCCGGACGTCCTGTGAAGGTCAGATCTCGGATGCAGTAGCGATTACATCGAGTGGACGAACAGATCGAGCATTGGAAGAACACTACCTGTTATGCAAAAATCTCGCAAAATTAGAAGCGGCTCTGACAAGGACACAAGGAACTGTTTCGGCGTCGCCGTCCAGATCTCAGATTGTTGGCGGCAGTCGGCACAGCGACCTCCAAGCAACGGTAAATCAGCATCTCGGCTCGACACTTCGAGGAACGAGTATGCATCACAGAGAGAGCAATTGCTCTACACATCACGCGGTATCTCCAAGTTCGAGATCAGATAAGCGATGGCGGGGCTTGTGGACGGCTTGACGGGCCGACAAACCGAATGGTACCACAACTAACATGCACCCCAACGACATGAGCAGTTGTATGTGTGATCGCAAAGAACGTTCATGGCATTAATTCATGGCATTTGCTCGATGAGCCATTCAATGTTATTTGCAGATTCTTGCTCGGCCTCTTGCTCCGTTCTGTCGCTCCAATAGACCATTGTTGCATGGCGAAACGGAGATAGTGCTTGGTCGCGACAACGTGCACGTGTATTATAGCTACAACGAGCTAATCAATTACAGGTAATGCCGTGTGATCGACCGGGATCTTGCAATTCGTCTTGTATGGCGAATCCGGCGGCATATGCCTTTAGATATGGTTTATCCACTTCGTGATTCAGCACAAGAGTTCTTATTGGTGGCTAGAAGGTGATGTGCCTTCGCGAAGTGGCACAGTCTATGCTAATGGTGGAACTTTAAGCCGCCTTTGCATTGCGTAGATCAGAGTGGGGTGGACGTAGAGGTATAAGTTCAGATGGCTCGAGAGTCACTATCTGCTGCTATCCTTCGGTCCCCCGTGTACGCATTAGAACAATTGTCAAACTATGTTCGAATCCAACGAAATCAGGGCAGATATATCGACCAAGTCTGTTCTCGACACTCTAGACACTGTTAGAGAGCTTCCGCTACCGCCAAACTTCCTCTGGGGCGCGGCAACCGCTGCATACCAAGTCGAAGGCGGGGCCCAACAGGACGGGAAAGGCCCTTCGATATGGGACGAATTTTCTCATCGTGAGCCTAGTGTTACAAGCGGCGAAGATGGCGATATTGCCTGCGACCACTACAACCGTCTAGCGGAAGATATCGCCCTGCTATCCTCATATGGTGTTGACGTCTACCGATTCTCAATCTGTTGGTCACGTTTGATTCCACTTGGAGGCCGCAACGACCCGATCAATGAGAAGGGAATCGCATTTTACAATACCCTTATTGATGGCTTGATAGCTCATGGTATCAAACCTGCCGTGACACTATACCATTGGGTAGGCAGATTCCTCTCAATGAACCTGGTTTTCTGCTTATATGTCGTAGGATCTTCCGTTGGAACTACACACGCGTTATGGTGGCATGCTGAATTCTGCCGATTTTCAGGCCGACTTTGAGCACTATGCACGACTCTGCTTCTCTCGGTTCGGCGACCGGGTCAAGCAGTGGATCACCTTCAATGAGCCCTACATTGTCGCTCTTTTTGGCTACCACAGTGGTATCCTAGCACCTGGACACAGTACAAAGACTGGGCACGACTCTACGACCGAGCCGTGGCGAGTGGGGCACAGTCTCATACTCGCTCACGCTGCTGCGGTTCAAACGTATGCAACCGACTTTCTGCCCTCGCAGAAAGGCAACATCTCCATTGTCTTGAACTCCGACTTCTACGAGCCCTACGATGCTACAAGTGAGGCTGATAAGGCGGCAGCACGCCGCAGGCTAGAGTTCTATGTCGGTTGGTTCGGCGATCCAATCTATCTCGGAGGAGACTATCCTGAGTCTATGCGGCAACAGCTGGGTTCTCGGTTACCACAATTCACAGAAGCTGAACAGGGACTGCTCAAAAAGACTGCACCGCACAATACTTTCTACGGAATGAACCACTACACATCGCAATATGCACGAGCACGCACAACACCACCGCATGAGGAAGACCACACTGGGAATGTGGAAGAACTTACCACCAACAGCAAAGGTGTCGAGATTGGCCCATTGTCTGGCGTTTCCTGGCTCCGAGTGACCCACAAGCAATTCCGAAAGCTGTTGAACTGGGCTTGGGATCGATACCAGCGACCTATGTAAGCTACCGCTAAGTTCGTTTTATTCTTTGCACAGCTACTGATCCCATTTCACGCAGATACATTACCGAGAATGGATGTCCATGTCCAGGAGAAAACTCGATGGCACTGGGTCAGGCGGTTGATGATCAATTCCGCGTCCGGTATTTCGGATTGTACATTGACGCCATCTCTCAGGCCATCAACGAAGACGGAGTTGAGGTTGCGGGTTACTACGCATGGAGTCTCATGGATAATTTTGGTAGGTGCCTAAAGCTGAGCACAGTGCATTGATGCTAACATAAGACAGAATGGGCTGCTGGATATAGTATTCGCTTTGGCATTACCCATGTAGACTTCGCAACAGGAACCCGTACGCCGAAGAAATCTGCGGCATATCTGGAAGAGACTTTCGGAAAGAGGCGTGCAATACCGCGGAATGGTAACATTGCCAACGGAATCCCATAAGCGTACACATTGTAATGACACGTTTGCGTAGCGCGGGGTTTTGCCCTTGGGTTATCCAGTGATGTGGTGCAGAGTCAGAGTAGAGAGATCTACGCCTTATCATTTTGTTCAATATTCAAGGGCTTCCAAAAGTGCATTTGCGCTTGCTGGTGTCATTGAGTAGCACAAGTTTGAACTGGTGCAGAGTATGTGAGCGAACATCCCAATACACGGCTCCCTGAAATATCTCGGTCATTACCTGCCCGCTTCCTCAGCGAACTACGCGAGATAGGTTGGCTTCATGGGGAATTGTAGTAAAGCGGCACGGGCGCTAGGGCTATAGACGCGGCTAATAGGATCGAGGGTTCTGAACGCTTAGGAGTCCCCACTCTGGGTAGCTACTCGTAAGGAAAAATACAGCGAATACCTCCGTGTATGCAACAATCGTCGCCAAACGCGACTCAAGCGTTCGTCTCTTCCCCCTTATACTCGCCACTCATCCCAACCTTCTCCCACGGCGCGAAAGCTAGCACATCGTCAACACATCATTTCACACTTCTAAAAACTTTCAGGGCACACTTACGGTTCTTACTACCCTTCAGGCTCTCACCCAACACGGGGAAATGCCTCGTCAAAACTTCTTTCATCCCATTATACTGCACCCAATGCATACCAGCCTTACTATACGTCCCCTGATTCCAGTCTGTCGCAATAAACCTATCACTCTTCAACCTCCGGCTCGCCATTAGAATAAACACTCTAAAAGCCGTGTCACTGAATCCGAATCCTTTTGGCAACGGCTCGCATAGGCAGCCAACCAGTAGATCGACTTTGTCGACGTCGCCTTCGTAGACAGTCGAAAGCTTCTCGGCTACGTCTGCGTTGCCACCGGTGAGCTCGAGGAAGGACGAAGCAGGCTTCATGTGGAAGAGGGTGCGGAATTTATTATACCGCGGGACGCCGCGCTCGCGGTCGCGCAGGATATCGATGGTGCCCATGTCGACGTGGCGGCCTTCGGGCGTGTGCAGGTCGCGGAGGAAGTCGGGGGTGTTGTTCAGCGTCACGGCGCCGGGGTAGTTGATGCCGAAGCTGTAGAGAATGTCTTCAAAACCGAGGTTCTGCTCTGTGAGTGGCGCTCGTGCTTCGGCGAATGCAATGCCTTTGATGGGATAGGTTTTCTTGTGCTTGCCGGTCGCGGCGGAGAAGAAGGCGACATTGTCCGGGATCAGAGGGTGGAGACGGTACACCGAGACGAATTCTTCTGTCAGCGAGTACGGGGCGCCGTGCTGCTCGGCGCCTGAGCCTGGGATCCCAGAGATGGATTCTCCTGGTGCGACACGGCCGAGGAGTTTGTACAATCTTTCTCCTAGGACGCCCCACCAGTTACCGGACATGGCGACTTGGAGGGCGGGGTGTGCGAGGACTAAAGGTGGGAGTACAAAGTCAGTGTAATGTTCAAAAATCAGAGAAGTGGGTGAAGTAGGTGTTCTAGCTGGCTACCGATGTCAGAAGATTTTAGACTTAGAGGTGTAAGGCCTGGAGTCTTAGACAATCGCCCCGCGTGAACATCCACTTTGTACCCCGACTTTGCTTACTGGCAGGCGTCCACTCAGTTGTATGTATCTTCGCCATAAGCGCACAGTTGACCAGTCTTGCGGTGTCGAAGATCTTTTCAGACGACCAGTTGGGATACTCCTTCGCAAGCTCATCACAAATGGCATTATGCTCCAGCACAAACAGCGTATGCAGCATCTCTAGCCCAAGCCACCAGTTCGAGTAAAACCCTGTTTTCGGTATACTATTATCATCCCGCGGCAGAAACGTGACAATGCCTTGCTCATCGACCTCGAGCTTGCCATTCTTCGCGAGACCGCGTAGTTCCTTTGTACGGGCTTCACTGCTCCCATAGATCTGGGAGCCGTCCCACCAATGCGTGTTCTCATTCTTGTAAGCAGGGGATGTCTTGTCGAGTTCGACGAATGGCTCATCTTCTTGCGTGGCTTCCACGACCATTTGCGAATCACTCCATGTATCATCGGGTGGGAGCTTGATATCATGTTTCTCAGTCGTGGAGTTAGTGTGCATGAACCTACACGACTCACATCAGCACATTCCTCTTCTCGCCCACATCCGCAATGTCTGAAAAGAAAACAGGCGAGGACTGACCAATCATGCACCTGGAACTGAATCCAGGCCGCCGCCAACAAATTCAGAATAGTAGCCGGCTTAAAACCCTCCCTCTTTAACAGCACCTCACTCACAACCCTCGGATTCGGGTCCATTAAGTCCTCCTTAGTGGGCTTCTTCGTATGCTCCCTAGCTACATTTCGGCCGAACCGCATACCAACACAGCCCATCCTAGGCTGATTAGTGTCGTTGTAAAGCCCATCCGAGTTCCGCGTGTGTGCAAATTCTTCGGGTATAGGATCCGAGGCGGAGGTGCCCTGATATGAGGGCGAGGGGTACGTGTCGCGCAGGTTGTGCTCGCGGAGCTCGTAGCGGTAGGCTGCGAGGTTGAGGACGCCGATGTACCTGTCCTCCATCAATCTCGACTAATAATTATGAAGGTTTGAGGCTTACGTTGGGAGTTTGTGCCATGCAACAAGCTTGTTCACGCCTTTGAAGAAAAGAATGAGGGCTTTCTTCGGGAGAGATGGTGTGTACGGAACTGCGGAATCAGGCTGCGAAGCCATATCGAAAACAATGCTCTATGCGATACTCGAGATAGGTGGGCAATGCGCGACGCCTTGAGAAACAATCCCAAGTGCTAGAAATGCGGGACTGTAACTACTATATATAAAAAAAGTAAAAGATAACAACACGTAGAATGACAGACAGATTTGCTATCGCAATACCAAGTGTCTCAGCAGCCCATGCAACAATGTACCTCGTGCCCGTTGTCGACCTACCCAATGCTACACAGTCAGCAGCTCAACCTCCGCTTACGCCATAACATCCTTGCAGCTGAACACCGTAGCGCCAGCCACCACCACAGTTTACTGCTCAGCTCTTGGATTTTGCCGCAGGCAGCAAAAAAGTGCTAATCCATGTCTTCATTGCGTATGCTGCACCTCTTGACGACCTAAATGAGGGGCCGTACTACATTATCGAGCAAGGTATTGGTGCATGTCCAGCCTGATTTTCCCTTTTGAGATGTCGAGATAAGCAGGCGCGACAGGGGGGTTCACGTGGCGCCCAAAGGCGACCAGAGAGCATATTGAATATACTTGAGCACGGCATGCCCGACCTTGCCCGCGAAACGAGCAGTTCCGGGGACGGTATGCCGTTCTTGTCATGCGAGTCGCTGTGGCTATGGCGACAGGTACAGTAAGAGGCTCACGGTGATCGCCTCAGTCAAAAGCCAGTATATCTCGCGGTCGCGCAGGTGACTTCGGTGCGTGCGATTCGGAATGCGTACTTTTTGGTCTGGTAGAGTATGTCTGTACCCTGGTTATGACGTCTTCCTCGTTCTCCATCTCCCTGATGCTTTCTAGGTCTTCATTGCTTCGTTTCGGCACTTCTCGAGACGCGGGTCGTCGCTGTAAGGGAACATCCTGGTCTAGCCTCCTACTTCTTCTTCTTCCGATCGTGGTTTGGGTCGTCATGGTACCCTCCCTATCATCGCCGTAGTAGTAATACGCCGACCGACCCCGTGAAAGGGTGCGCAGCTCGCCGAAAACGCGCCTAAAGAGGGGCTGGAGAGAAGGAGCCGATGCGCATATAATAGCAGTGTTGAGTTCGACGGCGTCCCAGAACAGGATGTAGCCTCCGTAATAACGAGAGAGATCTGGAGGCGCATCGTGCCAGAGATAGATAATCCAGAGGCGGAACGATGCTGCAATAGGAACCAGAAGACCAACCGAGAATACAATCAACAAGCTAATACGTTTCACCATTGGCATATGCAGCTTGATAAGAATTGGCAAAGGTAGAACGAGGATGAATAAGTCGGAAAAGATGTTGAGTGCAGATTGGCTGAAGTAGAGTGCTGTAAGGTTGAAGCAATGCCATTGCTCTCTCATGACGAAGATGTTCGGGTCGAAAACGAGGGATGGCTTGCGAGGGCATTCGAAGGCGTTGATGACGATCATAATGAAGCTGTAGGCCGTCACGAATGCTATGGTCGCGTAGACAATAGTGCGGAACGGACGGTGCGTTGCGATGGTAAGATAGAACTAAAGGCAACTCTGTGGTCAGCCTATATTCATCAGCATCCATGTTTTAGGCTTCCTTACCACGAGAATAGAGAGCTTCACGAGTGCTGGAATAAGCAGATAGACGATCTGATAGCCGTACCATGCTTTTGCTGCACCCAGAACGCCATTCAGTGTGAATTCTGCGGAAGGCTGCCACTGGTCAACAAGATACAAGACGTGCGTACCCAAGAAAACTGACTGGTGGTAGGTCGGCTGGCCATGCGCCTACAATAAGATTCAATCAGTAAATCGTTTCGAAGCACTGAGGAGTTGAGCACTTACCAGAGCCAGTACCGTAAAGGACTTGGTAGTGATTAATGACGCACAGTCCCCATGTGCAGACCTGATCTTTTGTCAGTCATTGCCTTGTTGGCTTGCGGAGGTGCTGGTATGAGCGTGAAGAAGGAGCGTTGATAGGTTTAGAGGAGCATTCTGAACTTACCAGTGCCCCTGCAATCAAATAGTCGTACAATTTCAGCTTCTTTACGATCCATACACGACAGTAGAACCTTCGGTGAACCGTCAATTGGCGAACTGATACCGATAGGCGTGATGGCGCTCACCTCAAGAGGACTACCACCGTCGATAAGCTTGCCAAACCAAATGCAGTTGTTTCTACTGTAGGTCCCAGATTGGCGGGCGTAAAAAGTCCCTTTGCAACCATCTAAGCAGTGTCCACAGCGGTTCATGAACGGAACGATCAAAAGCTTGTCCGAAGAATTCGACGCGCGCTTAGACTCCAGGTGAATTTAGGTGCATCTGGATGGAAGGCGGCGCGTGACTTGAAGGCTAGCTGCAGGGTATATAAAGTCAGTTGATCGGCGTGGTGGATCTCGCGGAGTGTGGAGATGCCGGGTGAATGCCTCTCGTTTGGACGCGCGTGTGCCCTGCATCTTGCATGCTTGGAGCCGTACTCTGTAGTAATTCTGAAATACGGCGAAGAAGGGTCCACTTGAGCCTATGTTTTGACGACACGAATCCCAAGATCGCAAGTCAAGACTACCGAGTCTCCTTGACAGCACGAATGTCAGTTTGCAAGAAGTCATCAGTAGTGAGATACAATGTTGCCGGTGGAAGCAGACGAGCTGGTAGGAGAGAGTTACGAAGACGATCCGAGCAAGATCCAGCTCACTCAGTGTAACGGTTTGGCATACTTACAAAACCTAGCTGAACAGGAGACGTCGACATTAGCCTGCCTGGCTCCGGTATTGAGGCGTCTGTATCTTCTGATTGTCAGTCACAATGTACGATGCCGATATTCTGTGGCGGCAGTTGATGAACGTTATGCGTTCTCCGTCTCGATTGGTAGGCCGGCAAATATTTTATGGTACGGCAACTTGGACTTCGGGCTTATAGATATTAAAAGACGGGGTAATATGACCTGGGGTGCCCCAACGAAACGGTAGGTGACATGCTGTTTCGTAAACCATGAGAACAATTTGTCTTCTGGACGTGGTCCATTAGTGGTGTGCAGGATATGCGATTTTTCCAGTGACACCAGTCGCTTCACGAGAATGATCTGGGAAGCGCGAGCGTAGCAAGAGCGTTCGCATAGGCTGCATGTCGCCAAGTTCGTATCTGAGGACATGTTGCGAGGCACTGCTGACCACACTTTGATGTTTCTGACTCTTGACGCGTGAAGTTCGCATGCCCACGTGCCCAGGTGCATTCCAAGGTTCCAAGTCGAGGTTACAGCCCCGGCCGAACCAGCCACTATACATGAGGTGCTTTCGGGGAATTGCCGCCTCAATGGGAGTCAATCGTGTCCTTGATCAGGTCTGTGTGTGCTTGCATCTGAGAAAAACGACGAGATATTGGCGCGCTATAATTAGCAAACACCCTTCCATCTCGTTTCTTGCAGCAGGTTGAGGCCAAATTGAGGCGTAACAGTGAGCAGTCGCAACTAACAGCTATGCAGGGAGCTTCCAAGCAGACAGACGGGCAGCAGCTCGACCAACTGAGAGCCTGATGAAAGCCATCAGGTTGCAATGGAACAGAAGGATGTGCAAGGGGCTGGTTGTATCGCGCTGGCGAAGGTTAGGATCGTCGGGCTGCGTCATCGGGCTTGCGGCCCACGTGATGGTTTCAGACCAGCAGCACACTGCGTCCCTGATTGCTGCTGCTCGATGACCAACCTCGTTAGTTGCAACACACGATAGCACTTAGATCACGTCTGTTCCGACGTCCTTCGCGTTGTCAAGGATCCTGTGCGGCGCGGCGACTCTTTTGAAGCGGGCAACCCAGGCTCGACCCCTCGATTCAACGTCTCAGCAACAAATTGGTCACCGTTCGCCGCCAGAGCCGTCAGCGCAAGACTTTGCACCACCAAGGCACAGTTGACTGTGTCCGGCATTGTATTACCAAGAGAAAGTACATCAAAGGACACAATTTGTCGCTAAGAAGCAGATCCCGCAGTAGAAGAGCGCCTTCCAGTCGCTGCAATGAGTGCCGCCGAAGCTTTGCCCGCGAACACCGCGTCGACGGTCGAGAGCAAAGAGGCTGGAGATGATCAATCTGGTCTTTTGGCCAAGGGCAAGCGCAAGCTGCTGGCGCTCGGAAAGAAGACGGACGGGGAGTTGCAAGACAAGCCTACAGCTACAACTACTACTGCACGCTCTCCCACATCAGCACCCACGTTGCTGCCCTCGCCGCCCCTGACCACGTCGCCACCTCCAGACCACCGATCTCCCCGTGGGAGCCCCCGCATTTATCCTGCAGGCATCGGTGCTTCCCCCAATCGCCGCCTCAATCGCTCGTCTTCGCCCGGCTTGCACTCTCCAGCATCCTCGCAGATCTTTGAGCGCAATGTGCAGGAACCCGAGCCTTCGCCTGCAATCCCAGCACACATCAAAACGGAGGACCACATACCGGCAGCGTTGGATGCTTCGTCGCTAGCCATCACAGATGACCATCTGAACCCAGACGAGGTGGAGATTGTCATGCACGCGGCCCACCAGCCTGCTGCTGCGGTGAGCTGAAGGACAGATCCTGGACATAGTGGAGCTAATGCATTATCTATAGGCTGTAGCAGGAAGCATCGCAGACTCGATACATTCGCCGTCGCTCGCCCACGAGGAAGCCTCCATCTTCAGCCACCCTGACCCCTCCGAATCTGCGCCCAACGCAAACTACGGCTCTGTGGACACGACTGATCCTAGGCGTTTGTCTTTCATCTCTTTTGCAGATGTGGTACAGGCCGAGCACGCTGAGACAGATCGGGATGCCACGCAGTTCATCAGTTTATCTGCGACGGCCAATCGCTCACCGTCTCCTGTGCGCTCGCCCGTGTCTTCGCATGGATTTAGCGCATCCCCACCGAGAAGTGGTGCCACGTCGGAGAAGATTCCAGGCAGCCCTACAGCGCCTGGCACGCACAGTCCTCCTCTGGGCAGCGGTGGAGAACTGCAGATCGAAACCATGCGCCAGGCTCTGCGAAGGACTGGCTCGGGCGATCTCAGCGGAGCACGATCGCAGCCACTGAGTGCTGTCAGTCTGGAGGAGACGGCTGCTGACCGCCCACCGTTCAGATGAGAGCATGTCCATGTCGACGCGAGTGGGGCTATGTGTTGGGACGTCGGGTGTGTGTCGACGGCGTGGCCGAGCAAGGCAGGAGAGAATTTGTTCATTTCACGATCTAGTCAATAGCGGAGCGTTCTTGGGGAGGAGAAGGGGTTTGCTTGCGATATCCCAGGAGTTCTCAGCTGGGCTTCCTTTTTCCATTTCAAGGGCTGCGGTTTACGGGCGACCATGTACAGGCTGGACGACAAGTGCATGGGCTGAGGCATGCGTATGGGCACACTAGTTGGATAGCGCTCTGCAGCCGGTTATGATGATTTTCCTCGACGGCGGCTGTCCCTTGCATTCTGGGTGCGTGAAGTGATAGACTAGGCGGCCGGCTGAGCGTGATTCGCCCATGCCCTCGGCTTGACATGCCACACGCCAGCGAGAGGGTGTGCGGCCACGAAGCGTGCTTGGCTGCCACCTGGACGGCGGGAGATGGTCAGTCAGGGCAGCAGCAACGTCTGCGTGCCATCAAACAGATGTCAGCACTGCTCTACGAGACGGAGGATAAGCTGCATAGTGCACGCTGCTCAGGCCGAAGTCGTCGTGGCACCCTGGCTAGCATGCAGGCGAACCCGCCAAGTCTGATCCTGGGGGCACTTTGGCGTGGTGCATGGTCGCCTGGCATGGCGAGAGCACCTCGAAGCCTCCCAACATCCCCAGACCGCCCATCCTCGCCATCTATCGCCACCACCGCTGTGGTGATGCCTCAGGCTGCTACCAGACTGCGTTGACGACGCCTCTGCCGCGCGCTCGCCCACCGTTCCGCGGACCTTCGACGAGCATGCGATGCGCCACGCGAATTGGAACACCATCCTCGTCTCCCATCGCACGCCGTCCAGCCCTCCTCCGGGCACAGCCGGCCGGGTACCTGCTGCGCGGTCGGTCATCTGTCAATGCCAGCACGACGCAGGCAGCGGTTGCTATAGGTCACGGCGACGGATACGTGCGCTGTTGCATCTGCCCGCTGCCGCGACTGGACATCTGGGACGGCCAGCAGCACGCTCGTGGGTTTCACCGTGCCCGTAGACTGCATTGCGCAGGGTAGTAGGCTTTTTAAACGTGCGCTGCGCATCCCATATCCCGCGGCCGACCGCCCGCCATGGACCCTCCGCCCAGACACAGCAGACGGAGCCGGAGAGAGGAAGACGCCCCAGAGCCTGCCGACCGCCAGCGAGACGAGCGAGGCGCCTACACGATCCGCGCCGTGACGCCCGAGCTGATACCCGAGGACACAATTGCGCAGCCGCAGTACCAGTCCCCGCCGGTATCGCCGCGCTCCAACAGCATCTCCTCCCGCACCAGCACCAGCAACCCCCGCAACCTCGTCGCTCGCGCAAACTCAAACGATACCGACTACGCTCTGCGCAATGTCAAAGACCCGCAGACCCGCCCGCGCACGCGAACCATGGAAGAGCGCTCCACGCGAGACAAGTCTCCGCCGAACCTCTTTGTGGCCAGCCGCCATCGCATTGGCTCCGTCCACAGCACCGCATCTTCCAACTTTCAGAGCATTGAGGAGTCGGTCGTGACTTCCATCGGCCACCCCTCTACCATTTCCCCCACCGCCCACCAGCCGCCACCGCGGACAACAAGCTCCACGAGCCGGAGCCGCCTTCTCAAGCAGCCCGCCCGCGCAGCCTCGCCTGTCTCTGGCAATCTCTCCCCCAATGCACAGCAGCCGGATTCGTGGGTGTCGCCGGTGCCGGCGTCGGATGCTAGGAAGATCCTCAAGCTGATGCGTGCCACCAAAGGGAAGATGCAAGGCATGCTAGCATTTCGACGGGGCGAGTCGAGTCCTTGGTCGCTTTCCTACTGCTACATCAACGACGAAGCCGGAAGTCTGGTGTACGAGCCCAAAAGTGACAACTCGTACCACCGGACCCTCATTCCAGATCTGCGGGGCTGTCGCGTGAAGAGCGCATACGATGCCGAAGCCTACACCGCCTACATCCATGTTGTGGGCCACAACTCGAAGTTGGAAGTGTACCTGCGTCCGCCTACACAAGAAGAGTTTGACTCGTGGTTTGCGGCGTTGATGTGTTGGCAGCCGATCCGTCCCAAGGGCATCCACAACAAAATGGCCAAGCCGCAGACGCCTTTAGTAGCCGAACGACGCTTGGCGGACAGCAGACGACACTCGGAGGTATCACTGTTGAAAGAGGCGCCAATCATCAAAGTAGGCAAAATGATTTATTGGGACACCAGTGTGACGTACAGCAACACCGGCACGCCAAAATCTGGACACTCGCGGCCACAGGCGTACCGTATACAGAGTCACGGGTCGCGACGCTGGCGGCGAGTGTCCTGTACCCTCAGAGAGAACGGCGAGCTCAAACTGTATTCCGATACAGATGTCACACTGGTGTCCGTTGTACAACTATCCCAGCTTTCGCGTTGCGCCGTTCAGCGTTTGGATCCGTCTGTTTTGGATAATGAGTTTTGCATCGCCATTTACCCGCAATATACGTCAACGTCAACGTCGCTCTCATTATTACGACCAATCTTTTTATCGCTCGAATCGCGCGTACTCTACGAAGTCTGGATAGTGCTGCTGCGCGCCTTCACCATTCCGCAGCTCTACGGACCGAAGCAGCCTGCTTTGAGTGAACTGAACGAGGAGGGTGTACTGTCGCCGACATTCGGAACGAAAGACATGTTTCGCATGGAGAGGTCGCTCTTCGTGCGTGTCATCGAAGCAAGGCTGATGCCACCCATCAGCCCTAAAGTTGCCGACATGCATAACACTTCCCACAGACCCGGGTCGTCGAACGCTAACAATGCAGGAGGCTACTATGTCGAGGTACTCCTGGACGGCGAAACCAGGGCGCGGACCATGGTAAAGATGGAGGGTAACACGCCATTCTGGCGAGAGGAATTCGAGTTCCTCGACCTTCCTGCTGTTCTGTCCACAGCCTCGCTGCTCTTGAAAAAGCGGCCTCCCAGTTCGCGTGGCGATAAACATGGCCACGAACCACCGACAGCTTCAGACTCGTTTGCTTCCGATGCAGGGGGTGGGTTCACAGGCATATCGTTCGATCAGACGTGTGGCAAGACTGACATATACCTGGATGACCTGGGGCCAAATCAGGAAATGGAAAAGTGGTGGCCCCTTGTCAACATGTATGGAAATAGTGTTGGTGAAGTGCTCGTGAAGGTCAGCACGGAGGAGGGTGTGATTCTTATGGCTCGCGATTATCAACCAATGTCGGAGCTCTTGCATCGCTTCTCGAACGGACTTACCCTTCAGCTAGCTCAGATGGTTCCGAACGAGCTCAAGAAACTATCCGAGTACCTCTTAAACATTTTTCAGGTATCGGGGCAAGCTGGTGATTGGATAATGGCGTTGGTGGAAGAAGAGATCGACGGCACTCTCAAGGAATCTCCAGCTACACGATTGCGATTCAGCAAACGACTCGGGTCTAGCGAATCAAGTGAAACGCACTTCGGATCAAACAGCGATCGAGAGCTGTTCGTCAGAGACATGAACAATAACGCCAAGTTGGAGGCGAATCTGTTGTTCCGCGGGAACACGTTATTGACCAAATCCCTCGATTTCCACATGAAACGCCTGGGCAAAGAGTACCTCGAAGAGACATTGAGCGATAAGCTGAGAGAAATCAATGAGAAGGATCCAGAGTGCGAGGTCGACCCCAACAAAGTCTCATCTCAGCATGAATTGGACCGCAACTGGCGACGGTTGATCAACCTCACGGAGGATTTGTGGCGAGCGATATACAATTCGGTGTCTCGGTGCCCTCAAGAGCTGAGACTAATCTTCCGACACATTCGCGCTTGCGCTGAGGACCGCTTTGGGGATTTTTTGAGGACGGTTAAGTACAGCAGTGTATCTGGATTCCTGTTTTTACGATTCTTTGTGCCCGCCGTCCTCAACCCGAAGCTCTTTGGCTTACTGAAAGGTATGATTGCAAGGTCCTCACCTGGAAAATGTTGAAACTCTAATGCCGTTTTAGATCATCCTAAGCCACGAGCTAGAAGAGCCTTGACACTCATCGCGAAGTCTCTCCAAGGTCTAGCAAACATGACCTCCTTCGGGACCAAAGAGGCATGGATGGAGCCCATGAACTCATTCCTTAATACGCATCGACAGGAGTTCAAGACGTACCTCGACAACATATGTTCTATATCTTCGATGACGTCACCTTCGCCTCCAATTCCTCCATCATACAGCACACCGCTAGCTATACTCCAACGACTTCCCCCAACATCTCGCGAGGGCTTCCCGTCGCTGCCTTACCTTGTTGATCACGCGCGTAACTTTGCTGCCCTTGTGGATCTCTGGCTCGAAAATACTAAGAGCACTGCGCCGAACATTGAAACCACGGATGGCGACTTGCTCAAATTTCACCAGATCTGCGTTGCACTCAAAGAACGCACGTCGGACTGTCTAAACCGCGCTGAACGTGCAGAGCGGCCGTCGTCTTCTCTCAGCGTCAAATGGGAGGAGTTGGTAGAGCAGCTGCAAGGGTCCGCGAGTTTCGACTCGGGCAGGGGCGCAGCAACCAAGAATAGAGTAGCGATCAAAGATGATGGCAGAGAGAGCTTACCGACGTCGCCAGGCACTGGTGACGAGCAGACGTCCTCATCCTCGACCAGCACACCAGTAACGATGAAGCCGGTACGAATGCCACGGACGCGTCATCAGCAGCATCCAAGCATCTCAGCGTCCGCAAGCTCTTTGACAAGCACCACCTCGAATAACGTCAACAACCCGTTCACTGCACCGAAAGTACCTCGGCATGCTGGCTACGCGCCCTCGTTGCCCGACTCAGTCTCACAATCGGCATCGACCAACGCATCCGCCTCGGCCTCCGCTACCGAAGAAACACCCCCAGGATCAAGCGATGGCCTACACATGGCGCCACCCCCTTCCTACCCACAGACCCGGACCCACCCCTCCGCATCAGCAGGCTCGTTTGGCTACGCAAACCCGAACGCTCAAATCAACACTTCCGCCCTCGCCAGCTCAGGCGCCTTCTCCCAACCTCCCCGCAGCGCCGGTGCTGGCGCCCACAGTGTCGAAGGCTCAGATGCAGGCAGCATGCTCGAGGAAGAATACACGACGGCGCTGCCAGCCTTCTCCAAAGACAAAGACGCCAAGGAGAAGAAAGACCGCTCCGGTTTCCGGGGCGTGCTGCCCTTCCAGCGCAAGCGCAAAGACAAGGAAAAAGGCAAAGAAAAAGATAAGGAACATAACAGGGACAGGAGTACAGATCGGAACGAGGGTGCGGGAAGGGGTGGAGGTAGTGCGCTGGGGGAGTATGCTAGTCACGGGAGTTTGAGGGGCAGAGCTGGAGCCGAGGCTGCGGACTTCTGACTAGATGGTTGGTTCACCGGAAGGTACACTAATAAAGGGGAGAAAGAGAGGGCGAAAAGTTTGACGGAGAAGGAGCTGAGGCGCAGGAAGAGCGCGAGTGAGCTGTAGAGCTTGTCTTGGAAATGAACAGGGGGGATCCGATGAATATCGCCGCACTGAAGCACCGATTGCGCAGAGAAGAAGGCCATACAAGTGGCACGTCTCGCATTTGCACGATTACCTACTATCACATATACGCTGCCAACGCGTTTACGCGCCTACATACACTACACACTACAAGGATTGTTTTGTTGAGCGAGCATCGCACTGCACCATTTCTTGGACGTTGTCCCCAAAGCTAAAAGCTACATTCACATGGGACGGCGTTATACGAGCTTTTCATGAACAAGAGACGGAGGGAGGGAGGTCGGTTCTGAGCTTACGAGATAAGACCTCGATGATGAATTTCTGATTACGCATTTGCAAGGGGAGGATTCGCTGTATCTGTTTGTGCTTTTGCGTAGAGCGACGCGATGGTGCCTGAGTTTGCGGCCATATACTACATAACATACTTATGCATACGATTTACTTCATGACGGGTCATTCTAGTGTTAGCCTGGTTGCTTGAGAGCCAACCATCTAGTCACCACAACTTCCCGAGCATACACGACGCATGAGTACTGTTCAATCACAGTGTGGAACTATTTCAATCACCACTATCATCAAGAATGATGGCGCGTATCTCGTACCCCGTAGAAGAAGTTGTGAGCTTCTAGCCCTTCGCGCTAAACCGGGGGGCAGCGAGGTCCTCGGTACTGCCCCGCGATGCCCCTCATTGTCGAGAGAAACGTAGGGCACGACGAAACCAGGCAGCTCGATCGGGTATGTAGTTTTGGGTTGGAGTATTGAAGAGCGCTTCAGCGTAGCAAATGAGTTTCACAAGTGTTGTCTGTTCGTATCGCCAAGCGTCTAGATCACCGAAAGGGGAGCTGCGCGGGGTGGCTTCGCAAACGCACAGACGCAGGGTGCAGTAGCTGTGGAAACTTCTGGTAGCTCCCGTAGCTTTTACTTCAGCCTCACGCGTCCCACTGTGGCCCTCGAGCTTCAATCGCTCGCTCACTTAATTTGTTGCGCAGACAACTCGTATAGGCACCTCATACAGCGCCTCCTTTCCTGCCGTTACCCCACCATAAGCTTCACAAGTCCAGCGAAGATGGCCGAAGGCAACAGTGAGTCTGATCCGCACGTTGCGATTGAATGCCTGGCATTGTGGATGCTAAGGAATCAGAGCGCCAGAGAGTCTTCTTCGACATTGCCATTGGCGGCGTCAAGAAGGGCAGAATCGCCTTTGAGCTGGTAAGTTGACAGCATCTGCACAACGAAGAGCCCGAGCTGACCTGCCTCGCAGTACAATGACAGTACGTCCCCCCACCGCCTTCGCCGCGCTAATCTCTTCTTCTACCTCGATGCGACACGTCCAATCCACCACGGTTTACACGATGCTGACCCACCCCAGTCGTACCTAAGACGGCCGAGAACTTCCGTGCTCTCTGCACCGGCGAGAAGGGTGAGACTAAATCCGGGAAGCCATTGCACTACAAGGGCTCGAGCTTCCACCGTGTCATCAAGCAGTTTATGATCCAGGGTGGAGACTTCACAGCGGGTAATGGTACAGGTGGTGAGAGCATATACGGGGAGAAGTTCGATGACGAGAACTTTGAGAAGATTCACGACAAGCCGTTCTTGCTGAGTATGGCGAACGCGGGACCTGGTAAGTTTTGGGTGCTCAGAGGAAGGGAAGGTCGAGAAAACAACCACCAGAACAGAAACGCGCAATACATCCGTGGGATGGGAGTGAAGCACGATGAGGCAAGAATCAGAATCGGATATTCGGGCATCGATGACTCTACAAGCCGTGCTTTACGAACACAGGCAGGGGAGTGATGCAATATTACGACCGAAATTGCAAAGAGACCTCCCGAAGCTGATGTTGGCAAAAGCGCTCCAACTCCCATCTCTACGGGTTTGCTTTGATTCTGCAAGATCATTCATTGTGGGATGGAGGCTAATCATGGGTCAGGCACCAATGGCTCCCAATTCTTCGTCACGACGGTACCCACACCACATCTCGACAACAAGCACGTAGTCTTCGGCGAGGTCATCAACGGCAAGAGCATTGTCCGAGAAATCGAAAACCTCAAGACACAGAGCGGCGACAAGCCCTTCCACGACGCCACCATCATCGGTACGCTCCATCCCATATATCCCAGTCTATAAAGATCTAACCACACATCCAGACTGCGGTGAGCTCACCGGCGAGGACTACACCAAAGCCACAGAAAAGGTCCCCGATCAAACCGGTGACCCCTACGAAGACTTCCCCGAAGACCAGAAGCCCGCAGATGAAGAGTGGAAAGGCAACGACATCCTCGCCATCGCGACAGCCCTCAAAGATCTCGGCAATAAAGCCTTCAAAGCCGGAGCGCTCCAGCTCGGCATCGCAAAGTACCAAAAGGGCCTTCGCTACCTGCACGAATACCCCACCCTCCTTGACTCAGACCCCAAGGAACTCGGCACGCAGCTCAACGCTCTCAAAATCTCGCTCTACCTCAACTCCGCGCTGCTGCAGAACAAGGTCGGGCAATTTGCTGAGGCGGCCGAGAACGCAGGCAAGGCGCTGGAGATTGAGGGGATCAACGAAAAGGATCAGGCCAAGGCGTATTTCCGGCGAGGCCAGGCGAGAGTAGGACGCAAGAATGAGGAAGAGGCGTTAGAGGATTTGGAGACGGCGGGGAAGTTGGCGCCAGGGGATGCGGCGATTACGAAGGAGTTGGAGGGGGTGAAAAGGAGGGTTAAGGAGAGGAAGGAGAAGGAGAAGAAGGCGTATAAGAATGCGTTCAACTTCTAGATGGGCTATGCATAGGTGCAGGCGGTATACGGGAGATGGGCAGTTCGGGTTGTGGAATCTGCTGAGCAGTTTTTGCTTGAGTGGTCTGGGAGTGTGAAGGAGAAGGCGCGAAAAATTGGTGAGATGCCATACGTGCAGTACGAAACCTGAACATTTGATGAAACTGGAGCATGACGACACGGAAATACCAACAAATGCAATTGCTTGAGGGGAGTACATGACCTAACCCAGTCAGCCATTGTCTACCTTGTGTACCCTTGTTCCGTCCAAATGCTAAGAATGCTGGGTATTAGATGCTACAAAAAAGGACACAAGAGCAGACCGGACCGTGCCTGAACTTGCTACACTAAGAAAGAGACTCTATGCTCCGCCTCCATGCTTAGATGAATTCCAGAGGGAGGTTCTAGGGATATGCTTCCTCGGTCGCGGAGTTTAACTACCGCTCACTCATCGAGAACGGCAAACACCTCGACACAGCCTCGTTCTCATCAAAGTGATGCGTAAACCCCGCCTGCAGCACCCTCCTCAACGCATTCAACCGCTGCAGCTTCCACCACTTGTCAATCCTGACCTCACAGCTACGGTTAATCTTTACCTTCATTCTGCCGCCGCCATACACTCGCCCCGTCTCCTGATCTATTGCGGTAGAGTACTTTGGCCCGCGCGTGGGCTTTTCAACACTGTTGCGGATGTCGGCGAAGTTGGAGTGCAACGTCTTGCGGTCTTTTTTTGATATGCGGCGAGAGGAGGCGTTGGCGAGCGCGTCAAGCGTGTGTAGAAGCTGGTCCTGGCGACGGTACACATTGTACCGCTTTACCATCTTCTCCGTGCCGCGGGGCTCGTCAGAGTCGGAGTCGTGGTCAGAGGAGGCTTCCTCGTCGTTTTCGAGGGGTGTGTACGACTTCTCGTATAGCAGGGCGATGGCTTCGCCGGAGGCCGTCTGGACGCCTGCGTCAGCGGATTCGAGCTGCTCGACGAAGGCTTCCATTGCGGCTTCGGTGACTTCTTCAAGGTCGTCGAGGGCGGTGGCGAGGAGGCCCCATTCTTCGAGGGCAGCAATGACGACGGAGCCTTCGTCGTGCGCGTCGATGGAGAGGCCGTCCGACTCTACGATTTCGAGGAAAAAGACCATAGTGTCTTCTAGTTCCTCCTCGGAGGTCCCGCCGAAGAAGGCTGCCGTACCCAGCGCATGGATGGCACTGATCTTGACCTGTATCGACTCGGAGTTGGATACTGTGCGGCGGAGGAGATCAGCGACCGAGTCGTAGATGTCCTCTGAGTCAAGCGTGACCATGGTGACGGAGAGCGCTATTTTCGCATTAACTGTGCCGCACGCAGCGGAGGTTGCTCGCGATGCTTACCTCTTAGAGCGGTGACTGTCTCGCGCTCAGATGTCTCAGACTTGATGCTGCGCAGGATCGAGGGTAGGAGCTCGCCTATGCGGCCCTCGATGTCGTCTTTGGCGAACCGCGCCTTGAGGATGTGGGCGTAGGCATTTAGGCTTTCGGCGCGGCCCTCTGTGCTGCTGCGCTTGCGCTCGACAATCTGCTCGACGCGGTTGTGCAACTCGGCCTTCCAGGCGTCGGCGGGAACGTCGGCATCGTCGCTGTTGAGGATATCGTCGATGGAGTTTGTGCTGGAGAAGAGCGGAGTTAGCGCACCTATCGCAACGGAGTGGTAGACGAGTATCATGATGTCACAGACAGTGAACCCACAGAAAAGTTGTCAGAGTAAGAAAATACCAAAACGTACCTCCAGGCGGTGCCGTCGCTGAGATAGTCTTCGTCGTCGGACCCGTGGCGACTGGGATTGCGGGATGCTGCCCGCGACTGTGCTGGGGAGTTCAGCGCCGAATTGGATTTGGAGTTTGCTCCAGAGGCAACACGGGAGCGGGCCTTGCGCGACACAGTCTTGCTGCTCTCGAGAGCCTGTCGCCGCAGATCGTGCATATTGTATACGGAGTTGTCGAGGCCAGAAGGCGCCTTCTGGAAAAATTACGGTTGTAGATGCAGGGCAAGTCTGCACGAGGATGTGTTGGCGGGGCTTCACCAAGTCGTGTAGATGCGGGGCCCGGGGTAATGCGCAGGTCGAGGTGAGTTATTGCAGAGGGTAGGAGTCGCGGTAGGCGGTTGTATTTGAGTGCAGGTAGAGTGGCAGAGACATGGGTTGATGGGCCGGTGGCAGCGGAGTTAGCAGGAGACAGTGAACAGCGCACAATAGGATGTGATGAGGAAGAGAAAGAGAGCACGTCGGGCGCGGACGGGTGGCCAACTCTGCGTGGTGCCAGAGGCGCTTGGCGGTCGCACATGTGATTGTCCACGGGTCCTCTGCATCGTGCGGTACGTCGCGCAGTTCAAGCATGATCAAAGAGTCCTGGAGTGTCTACGATCACGTTACTACCAGAGGACCTCGGGACGTTCTGGTCCGAATGTGGTCTTGGACATGTCGCGCCCATCGTTCTGTGGTAGTGCTCCAGAGCCACGGTAGCATACGTCATATCCTACACAGCCCCACACATAAGAGGTGTACCTCTAATTACCTCCGCTTCACGGCTGCATCTGCGCTCTCGCGCGAGCTTCGCACACGCCTATTCCACTCTGCCTCACCAATTATATACCCATAGGCCCTTAGGACGCTAACAAGCCCCCTTTGGCCCGAAGCCAGACCTGTCACCTCGATCGTTCAGCCGCTGATTGACCAACGCCTCATCGCTGTCAAATCATCCAAGTCGAGCCTTAACGCCCAGGGCGAGCGTAGAATGTCGTGCAGCACGGATGCTGAGCACACGTAGTATTGCGGCGCGCTTTCACACGGCGGGCCTGGAAATGGCCCGCCGAACCTTATGCTGACGTCCAGGTCACTCGGGTCGACCCAGGACACAGCATCCGTATCCGTGTCCTGCGGCACCGTTTACCAGGCTCGGGACTCGTCTTGGCCCGTCCGCGGCCAAACTCGCCGTCGCCACGACCCTGTAAGACATGATTGCCTCGTTTGTTTCAAGAGCTGGAAGTGCGAACGTGCGAAGTCGTCCTGTAAGAGTCTATGTATAATCTAAATGCCCAGTCTACCATGCTTGTCCCCAGCGCTATGCAGTTGAAAATAGGAAAGGTTCTGGTGTACAAAAGTGAAAACAACCAAGACGGTTGCAAGGGGATTCCCCGCACTGCACCATCCTCCTATCCGCCTCGCCCAGCGATTCGCCCTGACCTCGAGTCCGGCCCAGCCCAGACGTGTAAGCAACACGCGAACAGCGGCCGTGCATCAAACACCAACGATGCTGGCTCAGATCGAGACGCCCAATCCGCTCAAGCGTGGCGCACAGATCTCCGTCCGCGACCCGCCAAAATGCCTTACCGCACACTAAGCTCCAAGGCACATTCTTGCGAGCACAACCAGTATCGCGTAGCAACAATACCATCTCGCTCGGATGCCTGCCTGTCACGCTTCCGTCTGATACACCGACGAATCTGCCTTTCCAGCTCTTTCTGCTCTCCAACCAACTCCACCATCCGCATATCATACTATGTTCTCCTAACTTTGGCCAATCGATCCGTCATCTTAGCCAGTTCCTCGGCGCCGTGCCCCACCTCCACCTCTCGTCTGCTTCGTGACCCGGTTTCCGGTCCTGTATCGTTTCAGGAAGCTGTTGTGCGGAACCAGACGAGGGAATCAAAGGTGGAGTTACTGGTTGTGGTAGTTTGGCAGGCCTAGCGGGTAGGCGCTGCGCTCGCCGGGCCTGCGCTTCGGGATGTCGATGTGGTGGAAGTTGCGCAGGTGCTCGACGAGATGGTCACGCCGTGTGAAGCCCTTGTCGCCCACCCGCGTGCAGTCTTTGACTGTACATGGGAAATCGGGAGTACCCATGCCATGGACCGTAGCTTGGTGCCGTTGCAGATCGGCGAGCCGAGTGAAATTGGCTGTCGATGTGCAGTGCGGGACCTCGCATTTCCAGGTTCTGTCTACATGTTAGCCTTGCCATCAAGCATCCGAACTAGTCGTGAAATTAGGGTTTATTGCAAGGCGGAAACCGGCCTCGTGGTAACAAGGATCACATACCGTGGACTCCTAGGTCTAGAAGAGGTTAGCCACGTGGATCAAACTCAACGTCTTCATCAAACAACCATCGACTTACCGTGCGGCATTCGGGGCGGTAGGCAGGGGCATATAGCCGTACTCGTGCGAAGAACCGGGCGGGTGCCCGTAGGTGGTGCCCTGTGGGTATCCGTACGAGGAGGTGGCTGCTTGCGGCGTTTGTTGCGGTGGTTGGTAGCCTGCAGGGTAACAGCCATACTGTTGGTAGTAGGCATGTATTTGAGCTGGGGTATATTGTGGCATTGAATAGCTAGAGCCAGCGTAGTAGCCAGACTGGTCTATAGGATACTGTAACAGAAAGATGCATCAGAAACTGCGAGTGACCATGATAAGCTTGCAAATCGGCAAGTACTTACGCCGTATCCGCTCATGATGACAGCGAACCCGAACCCGAGTAGGTGCACTTTTGAGGCACGGTAGAGCTTGGTTATGCAGGAGAAGGCGAGGGAGAGGGCGTTGGAGTGGTGCGGGAAGGCGGGATGGTGTGCTGTGTTCGTGCGAGTGCCGTGTGTAGGGTTATATCTTGTAACCGCAGCGTAGATTACCGACGTTGGACCGTAGTGTCTTAGTTGTGCCTAGCTGACTACCTTCTCGTACGGACGATATACGCTGCTTAAGTATCAGACTCTTCGACAAGATCCTTCACTGGCCCCAACGTCTCGGTCACATCATGACGCCGACTGACCTTCGAATCATTTTACCAAAAGGATGATTGTTCCGTAGTGTTGGAGAGCAAATGGACCAAGGCGCTCCCTTCTTAGTAACGTGGTTTGAAACGTAGTTTCATTATAGGTTGAAAGGCGACTTACTAACCAGAAATCACCAGGCACCTTGACTGTGCCGTACTCGTGTTGACTGGAAGGATGCGAGTGGCTATGTTGGCATTACCAGGTGGATTATCTCCGGACGCCTGGATACCGATAAGGCTGAAAGCCACAAACAGAAGATGTTACTAGGCGTGGTGCGGTCGTGGGAATGCAAAGCTTAAGACGAGGCGACCGAAGCTTCAACTATGAGGCTGAGGCTCCAGTGGGCGGGGACGTTCAGGAACGGTAAGCGAATACCTTGTTGCATAGATCATCTCATGTTCTGCATAGTGAGCTTTGCCTTTGGTGCTCCAGCGATCGCGGGTAGGTGCCAAGACATCTATCTTCGTCTTGACTTCGCTACCAGTCCCCAAATGCTGGATGTTGGCGAGATCATCGGTCGGTTATGATCACACTTCACCGCTAGGTAGGCACCCAAATCTCCTCTTTGGGCTTGCAGGGCACTTACCGCTCGTCGAAAGAATGCTGCCTTGCATCTTTGCCCTGTGGCATGGCATGGCCAAGGCTTCAGAGATTGAGGGTTCCAGAAGGCCCAGAGAAACCACCAAGAGGCCCTGGCTTCCGCGGGCCGTTGCGTGTGTGCGTCCCTAGCCAGCTCAGTGGATTACCGTCCGGTTTGGAGTTGAGACCGGCTTGTGGGACAGGGGCTGTGAAAAACGCCGGCACAGCTGGAAAACATCAACAGGCACCTACTGGCTACGGAATGTTCAGTTGATAATGCAGAGTGACATTAGAGTCATCAAACGCCCGGTGGTGTCGGCTTCGCTTGCTCGCACTCACTAGGTACTTCTGCCGGGACCGTGCGTTACACCAAAAGCGGCAGTCAATTCGCCCTGCTGGGGCCCAACTAGTCAGGGGAAACCTCATTTGGACCCGTGGACAGTCCGTGACCGTTTCGCTTGTGATGGCGCAAGCCGCTCATGACGGATAACCGTTCGCACGAGTGGGGTTAGGGTACGCTACTATGCTGTTCCGTGCCCGTAGGCACCTTTACGGTCCTAACGTCGAAGGCTGTGAGTAGTCTCGTGGGGGCCAAAGCCAAGATATCAATCTGGACGCTGTCAGCCAATAAGATGGGACACGTCAATAGCGTCATTATGTCAGAACTCGCCCGACGAGCGCGATGAATCGCGACAAACGCAGATGAGGTGGCGATGCGGCCAATTTGAGATATGGAGGTGATCCATGAGTTGTAGGCCGACGATCTCGTGGCCTGAACAAAGGGACACAACTGCCTCTGCATGCGTCTCCGCTGACTCACCGCATTCATTTGCCTGTTTTTCACTGTTTACTGAAGTCTGGGTACATAATAAGTCGGTGAGTGTTGCGTTTGGTCTGGTTCGAAAATTGCCCTTTTGGTACCATTGACTACTACCTAATAATTCATACAACCGCACTACCGTTGGAGGCACTAGGAGGTGTTGAGAAGTGAACAATGCGTTCACAATTCGTCTTCGAGGAACTTGTAGGCGAAGCGAAAATCGGCTTTCCTTCGGTTCATCCTGTTACATGTTAGTCGGGAGCAAGTTTGGGGTTTGATGACGGGCAAACGTGGCGCAGTTCTGGGTCCGGGGAGAGTAATATGTGGCAGGGTAAGGGATGAAGTAAGTGCTTACCACGTGCTCTCATAATCGAAGAACCTGTACGTCCCCTGTTCATAATCCTCGGTTATAGCCTTTGGCTCCTCGTGACGCTGGAACCAAGTCTGGTACTGCTTGTGGAAGCGCCAGCTCTGGGACTTTAAAGCCTTCGCAGCAAGATATTGCTGATAGGTACCTTGACGATAATAGAAAGCATAGAACAGAGCGTCCGTCTCTATGCGTGAGTAGAGACGAGGATCGTCGAATATTGCCAAAGGTTCTTGTGGATAATGCGCAGGCGTGTAGGGATACGGATTCTGTGGACGGTAGTGACGTGGCGCTTCTGTGTCTGCTGAGTTCGGGGCCGTTGCCATGCTCGCAGCGAGCATTCGCTCATCCGGAGGTTTTGATGACGAGGCGTTGATGTCGTTCTTCGTTGCCTCTAACGACTCGAAGAGATCCTGCAAGGTTGACGGGAGGTGGAATATAGACTCTTCTTCTTCTTCATCATCGGCGTGCGACTCTCCATTCGTCAAGGGCGGTGTCGCTGACTGTGTCTCCTCTTCTTGTTCTGCAGATGATGTCTTCCTGCTGTCGGATGATGGCGCACGTGACAGAGCTGCTTTTTCTCGAACAGCCGTCGGAGGCGTACCCGTCGGAGATTTTGATGGCTGGGCTGGCGGAGCAGTCTCCGGTGTACCAGCTTGAGGTTGTGATGCCAACTGAGGGTGCGAAGGAGCAGGCGATGTTGTAGCGCTTGTCCGTGCGTCACCAGGAGCGAGACCAGTCTGTGCCGCAGCTATACCCGGCGGTGGTGGCAGCGGTGCAATGCCGACCCCATTCTTGTCACTCGCAGCTGCAGCCGCGGCCGCCGAGGCATATTTGAGAGGCTCTCCCGGTGTTCGGGTGGGAAGCGGAGCAGGTTTCATAGAACTGGACGCTGCGTTCGAGACACCAGGCAAAGGCGTATGTAGCGTTGCCAAAGCAGGAAGCGGTGACTTGAGCTGTGTTGAAGACCTTCTCGCCCCACTCTGCGCTGTTTCAGCAGGTTTCCCTTTCGCACCAATGCTCGTTGATCGAGGTTCAGGCTCCGGAAGTTCGTCCTGTATTGACTGGGTGTCTTGTGACGATACGCGATCAACTTCCTGGGCCAGACCGTACGCAGCTTCTTCCTCGTCGAGATTGAAGTCGTCGTACATTGTGTCATCTTCCATGAAATCCGGCTCTTGATTGCTGTCGACATAGTACCGTATGCCCTCCTCAACCTCTTTCACCTGCTCCGTTTCGACATTGCCGTTCTGCAGCGCCCGTTGTAACAATTCCAGCTTGCCCATGTGCCATTTATGTCGCTCGACCATCTCTTCAAGCTCTGCTATCCGCTCCGCATTTGTCGCCCCCTTTTTGCCCTTCTTCGTCGTGGCTTGCATCACCTCCACCTCAGCCTCTATCCGCTCCACCTGCTGGTCCAGCTCTTCATTCATGTGCTGCAGGAATTCGACTGCTTCTGCCTTCTCTTTGTCTTTTGGATCGAGTTTTGATGCTAATTGGAGGCCTTCTTTGGAGTATGCCTTCGTCTTCATTTCCTTCTCTACAGCCTTGAACTTCTCCATTTGCTGCGAAGCGTCAGTGAGGGCACCAGAGGGAGGACCAGGGTGCGCGTACGGTCTCTATCAGCTTCCGCTGGTCGAGCAGAGGCTTCTTGTCCTTGATATCGCTCATAGTGGCCCATGTCTTGATCTGGTCTCGCGACCGCTGGAGCTTCTTGATTTCCTTCTTGAGCGAGTCTTCTAGCTTCTCCTTCTGTGACTGGTTCGTGCACACTTGGATCTTCTCGTGGATGCTCTCGAAGGTGGCGACGCCTTCGGCGACCTTCTTGAAGCATTTGTCGATCTCCTGCTGGAGCTTGCGCTGTGCCATTGTGTCGGCGTGGCCTCGTGCGCAAGGTGCGGTGGCGGCCTATCGGGGCGCTGGTATCGCTCGTCGTGAGCTTAACGGGTTCGTAGGATGTCGGGCGCGCGATCGTGTACCGGCGAGACGCGGTTTGAGCTGTTTGTCGTCGGTTTTGACGTGCACGGAGTGGTCTGCGGTATCAGAGGTCGCCCTCTTTCCGGCTAGCGTTTGTGGATCGCTGCCGCCAAGACTGCACCCAGCGTGGCTTCCCCGCGCGTCACGTCAACAGGACGCGGTGAGCTATCGCGTCGTGTGGTCACACCAACATGGACGCACACGGAAGCCTGTGAGGCTGCTAGCATTCACTCGAGTTTTGTCTCTCACTACATTAACTCAAACGTCCCGTTCGCCGATAGGGCAGTCACAGCCAGCCGGCCGCCATCCTCAACACTCCTTCCAGAAAGAACTACCCCGCCATCATGAGGAGTATGTCGACTTCATGAATGCCAAATGATGTCTCTGACCATTGCATGCAGCTGTCCTCCAGCGTGTAAAATCTGCCTCCGTTACCGTAGACGGCCAGCTCATCTCCTCCATCGGTAGAGGCCTCCTTGTCCTGGCCGCAATTTCGAAAGATGACACCGATAAAGATATAGAGTCAATGCCAGGCAAGATTCTGAAAGCAAAACTTTGGGACGATGAAGGCACAGATCCGCCCGGCAAGGTGGGTAGCGAATGACAGCAGAAGGTACATAAAGGCTGATCTGGGCGACAGTGGAAAAAGAACGTTGTGGAAATCGAGGGTGAAGTTCTCTGCGGTGTGACACACCCAGCACCCTGGGACGATACAAGACTGACAAGATTCATCAGTCTCCCAGTTCACGCTTTTTGCTTCTATAAAGAAAGGCAACAAGCCCAGTTTCCACCAATCCGCAAGCGGACAAAAGGCCAAAGAACTATATCAGGCTTTCTTCAAGAAAGTGCAAGATGCTTATCAGCCAGACAAAGTCAAGGACGGCTTGTTCGCAGCCATGATGGACGTTGCGCTTGTGAACGACGGGCCGGTAGGTATAGACTACAGCTGTCTGGACAATGAGGTACATCCTCAGCAGCCTACACTCCTATTACATCTCAAAATTGCGTGCTAACCATTCTCAGGTCACAATTCTGATCGATACCGACCCTCCGAAAATGGAGGACCCGACATCTCTTGGCCCAAGTGGCTTCAGCACCCCAAGCGACAGCACTGGAACAACTGCCGTTGACGTGAATGATTTGGTTAACAACATGACCAGAATTACAAAGGAATTTAAGATTCCGGCCGAACTATTAGACTAAAATGACGTATAGTAGCGCGCTTTTACCACAACTCGATACTTGTGAGCCTACGATGAGCGACATAATGTCTGAGATTGTAGGAATTGTGTCCAGTATCACACTGCTGGTACATCAGCACAGTTCTCTGGTTATTCTGGAATGCCGCAGCCGCTCGATTAGAAACCATTGCATGAGCTGTGGGAGATGAGTGCCGCGAACGAGACAAGGCACGACGTACCTAACCGTCAAGTCCGGTCAGGAGGTAGCATTCCCGCATCGGTGCAGCGCGGGGACATCATAATCTTTTACGCGTTGAGCGTCATGTACTCCACAATGCACGACGAGGACGCTCGTCCACAGGTCGATTGAGATCGCATTAGCTTGACTAGGTAGTACGTGAGTAAGCAGCGCGAAAGCAAATCAACGTCCTCCATACACGCGCAACATCCTAGAAAAGACCACCAATTTGCCCGCAGCATTTTCCTGAATTAGCCAATTCCAGTTGCCGGATGCCATCCGGAATTCGCTGACGAGTGCTTTGCAATGAATACGATAACGATCATTTCGATGGCCACGCGACATTGCAGCTTTGTGGCACTTTTAGTCATGCACATCCTGACTGTACCCCACACTTCTGGATTCTGAACCATGTTTCTCCGTGGAGATCGATGCTCTTAATGGTCCTACGGTGCACTACAAGGCTTGTCGTCGGAATTGATTCTACACTCACGCGGAGAGCCATACGGGAGATCGTCGCGAGGTTTTGAAGTGTACAAGAGATCGCGGGTCTCGTCGGATCCACGACTAACATACAGTTACGTGTCCTAATCTAGAGTCACAATCGTGAACATGAACACGGTGAACGCGGTGACATCTTGTAGTGCTCAGCACATCAATCGTCTGTAAATCGATTCACTTCAAAGCTTGCATGTCGAAAGTGTGTGTGATCAGCAGAGGACTTCCACCTGTTCGCCGTTGCACATCTGGAGATGCATCCCCGTTATGTTCCCGACCATAGCATGTTGCAGCTTGTGTCACTGAGACGTGGAGCCTTGTATGGCCAAGGATTTCATTGTTCTGGTCGACCTGACGCAGCAGCCACATCGTATGTATTTCTCTCGAAATCGCTGCATAGGATGGCCGATTGCCCGATGGTTCTATATACTAACGAGGCAGTATCACGGACTGTTCGTTACACAAGTCAATGACACTCGCCGATTCGTTCCCCTTTCAATTGCTCTACGTCCTTGGATTTTCCCTTCCAGACTCATCAAGCCAACTCCTGTTCGCTTCTATCATTCATCTGTCGCCATATCTTCACCACCAAGCTTTTCCTCATCATGAACATGATTAACCTGGTAATATTCACCTTAGCCTCTAATGATGATACAACTTATCTAAGTCACCACATTCTAAGGCGCAGTAAGCCTCCTCCAGCATCCTTCTCAGCTCGCCAAACTCGTAGCCTACCCCTCTGTCTCCTCAGCCCTTGTTTCCGAGCTTTGCCGCTTCAGCGCAGGCTCTGCAATGGCTACTCCATGAAAGAGGATACCACGCTCGCAGGCTAGACGACCAGAGCTGGTGAAGGCATCATCGCGGCGACACAGTCTGGAGCCGAGATGAAGGCATTTCCTCTGAACCAGAAAGTTTCGACATCTCGGGTTTTGTAAGCAGAGAATAGGACGGTAGAGGAGACCGGCATGCTGTGATGGGGTATGGGTGCGGACAGCATCGCTTTTGTTGCGGCGCCACAGGGATGAATTGGAGAATGTGTTTGATAAGTGCATCTTGGTTTTCAATGTGGACACTGGTATTGCGGGGGTTGGACCACTGACAAGAGAGCTGCTGCGCTTTTCCAAAGACTACCTGGCCTGAGGCTTGCAATCCCCCTAAGAGATCAAGTGGACGCCGCCGAAGAAGTGACGTTGGCATAACGGAGCATTCTGTCGTATGTTAGCGTCAGGGATGCTGTTATATCGCTCTGAAATATACTCGCCTCCAACAGTCGATTACTGTACCATCAAAGCCAATCAAGTAGCATCGTTCTTCGTTTTCAGTCCTGATTCGGAATGGGTTGCAAGGGTCAATCCCAACGGCTTAGATCAAAGCTAGAGAGAGCCCAATCCATTCACTCCATCCACCACCACGTCCATCACAATAACACCCTCCACTAGTCAATGCATCTTTTCCTGCGTAAATGTGTCTCGCCTTCCCATATTGTCATCTTAAGGATCCATGCCACCTCTCTATGCCCCACCAGAGCATCAATGCAAAGATTCTGTCCATCAAGGAGGCATATCAGTTCTTTGACCGGAATAATGCCCTTGTTCTCTTAGATACCCGCTGCAGGCCTTACTAAAGTTTATCCCGCCTGGAATGGCTTGCTCCGACATCTTAAGTGCGCCGCCTCCTCCTGATTGTAGCCTTCATCCGTGGATGTGTTTCTTGATGAGCTCTATAACTTCAGGTATCTCGGTTTTGATATCCTAGTCTAGGATACCTTACCAATCATTTGTTTACAAAACCAAAGGAAAGAACTACTCTTACTCTCAAGGAACAGCGCCCGCAACATCATTTGCGAAGCATCCGCACTTCAAAATCAACTTCAGCATACCCAAGAACCCCGCCTTTTTGCTTCCTCGGTTCCGTTCGTGAAATTTGCCATGATTGCGCGCATGATAGGATCCTAACTGTTTCTGCTGCTGTTGTCGGACTGGTTGGTCGGGATGAGGCAGCGGGTACGAGGCAGGAGGCTGAAGCCGCGGATAGCGGCTGTCTTGGAATCCCGCGATGCTCTGGTCGATCGCAAGGCCTTGGTGTCGAGGTGGGGGCATTGTTGCGTAGCTAGCTAGAGTGCATATCTGTGGGATTTGCGGCAGGACGGCAGAGGAGCGGGAAATGCTTTGCATCGAGGATCCCGAGCTAACCAATTCGCAAGGCCTTGCCGTGAGACGGGGAAAAATTGCGTGGGGGCCGCAAGGCATCCCGCGGGTGTGGCTGTAACCGTTTCAAGTTTCCGAAATTTGACGTGCGGCATCGACATGATTGGTTTGGAGATGCTGCGCATCGCATCCTGAACCCAAGCCTGAAAGCTTAATGTGTAAGCTTTGATGGGAATCTGCGTTGAGCTTCGCAATTGCATAGAAAAGGCATACCTGAGGTTACCAACGGATGAGGAAACAGGTATTTGACAAATCACAAGAAGGCAATTGCTTCGAAATTGTGGAATCGTGCCTCACGCACATCGCCTTCGCGCTCCGTCCGGATGAGGAGAGCAGTGACAGAACCAAACGCCTGCGTAAGGCCACCTGATGTAGTCACTCCGCCTTAGGACGGGCTCGTACATCCATAAAGCTATGGCTCCGGTAGTACTTTGGGCGATCCTCCGTCTCAAAATCCTTCCAGGCTTCCGTCTACCTCTACGTGTGTCATCACCGTCACTCATCGTCACCCACGCTCATAAACATGCTCTTGCTCTCTCCTCTAACAACAGCTACGCCAAAATCATGCTCAGTTGGGATTCAAAGTTCACACCACATACTATCGCCATCGGCCTCTCATCTTTGACCCTACTCGCGTTGTCGATTGCGATAATTGTCCTGGAGGCTCGCGTGCAAGATGCGTTCCGCGACCAGAGACTTCAGTACCCGGGGTCCAGCATCGCAGAGTTCATATTCATCCCCCTGAACCCGTCGAACATAGATGCGGGGCCCACGGTCGTGAAGTTTGCCACCGGGGCGTGCAGTCTCATTGTCTCGCTATTGGGTATCGCATGCCCGGTACTACATTGGTGTAGAGCGAGCGGGAGGGCGAGCATAGTGCAAGTACGTTTTCCCTTCCTCATATCTCTCATCACAAGGGATGGAACGAAGACCAACCAGCGTAAAGATTAGGATGATTGGCAGCGCAGCTTGTATCGCGGCCGTCACCAACACCGCGGCCGCCATCGGCTTCACCGTAAGCACACCACCAGGTACCAAGTGGATGTGTCTTTGTGTTGGAAGAAAGATTTCTTTCTCGCTATGCTGAGACATGCACAAGGTATTGGCCCATGCCGTCTTAGCTCATACTGACTTTGTACCCGCGCATTAGGCATACCTCTTCACCAGCGAGGCGCAGGGCCGTCTCCCGGAGTACTTCAAACAGTGGCATGATACCATTTTCACGCAGGAATTTTATCTTTGCGAGGCAGTGCCGAGCATCTTTCCTGATTCGCAGGCTGTGTACGGGTTCCCTGCTTGCGAGAACTCTGTAAGTGTGCATATCCTGGCAGGAGAGCATGGGCTAATGCAGATCAGAGAGCCGGTCGATATCTACTGCTGGCGATATGTTGTGTATCGGCGCTGCTGGCAGGCCTCAGCGTACTACAAGCGCACCGAGACGGGATCTTCGCAATTTTCGTAAAAGCTAAGGAGAGGGGAGGTCCGGACGTGGAACGGGGACGGTGGAGAAGAGCAAATAAGGACGATCTTCCACATCAGCCGGGAATGGTGCATATGCCTTCCAAATCGCCTCTAACAAAGCCTGGGACGCTTGACAAGATGTCAGCATGGGCGTCACAGTCTCACACATCTCTGCACGGGTACTATGCGAAGCTGTGAGGATAGAAGGAAAGATGTAATGAGAATGTGGTATTTAATTCATAGATATCGTGCATTATATACGGCCACACAACCATCTTGAGGGCTTACTTCGCAGCCGGCTGCACGAGGGTGTTGCCTGCACTTATCAGTAAAACGTCGAGCCAAGGGGAAAGACAAGACGTACCTCCATCTGGGAACAGTATTTGTTCGTTGTAGAATACACCGCCTGGGCCAGCCAGGAATAGAATCGACGCAGCCATGTCGGCGTCGGCACCGGGTCGGCCTGCGGGATTCGACATTTCCATATCGAGCTTTGACTTGTTGTCCTCACCGGAGTCGCCAGCAGTCATCTGACCAGGTTAGTGCGTCACAATCACAGCTAGTCGTTGAATTCCTCACCTCACTAGGGAATACTCCCGGCGCAATGCAGTTCACCCGAACTTTGGTCTGCGCAAATGTCGTAGCGAGCATGCGAGTCAAGTGCGTAGCAGCAGCCTTTGAAGAAGCATACGCAAACTGGCCAGAGCTGCTACCCTTCATGAAGCCCGAGATGGAAGTAATGTTTACAACACTAGAGGTGTAGCCAGGTGTGACCTCACGGCCCTTCGCGAGCAAAGGGAGGAATGTCATGGACATGTAATAGATGCCAGTCACATTGGTCTTGAAGGTGTCGGCCCAGGATTCGTCGGGCGTCTTAAGGAAGTGATCGGCGATGGCTTGCGGATCGCTCAGGTCGGGCTGGCCGTTTGAGGAGAACTTGGTGGCATCGTCACGAGCGATACCGGCATTGTTAACAAGCAACTGAATCCCCTTCGGCTCCTTCTGCTGTACCTCGTCGTAAAGGCGCAGAATATCCTCCTTCTGGCTCACGTCGGCCACAAGGGGAATGATCTTGCCAGGTCCCGTGTTGTACAGCTCCTCGGTTTTCTTGAGGACCTCATCTCGCCTAGACGTGATGTACACCTTTGCGCCGTTGGCGACGAGCGCTTGTGTGATCATCAAGCCGATGCCAGTTCCGCCGCCGGTAACGACTGCCGTGACGTGAGACACGTCGAAGAGCTTGGAGCCCTTGAGCTGCTCGTTGTCTGCTTTGCCGCTGTGACCGCTCATATTTGCAATTTGAAAATAGGAAGGTTTGGGAATTCTATTGAAGAGGGGTTTAACAGCTGTGGATAGATCGTGTGCGAAGAGGCGCAGCATGCTGGGGTTTTACGTGGAAGAGGAAAGTTAGCTACGCAGTGAAGGCCGTACATGCATGTCAACATCATGACGTCGTGGTATAATGGGGACTAGCGAAAGGGTCCACGGTGACGATGGAGGTTTGAACCGAGATATCCGTGTTTCGTGTGGTTCTTACAGGAAGTTGTCTCATGGTCTGATGTCTCTTTGCGCGAGACAGCGCGTAGTAGAATCCTAATGTGAAGGTAGTGCTTCCATCAGGATGTTGTACGCTCTAGACCGCGGCAGGCGAATAGTACAGCATCGAAACGCGATCTGTGCTGAGTTTGGTCATGCACTGAGAGCTTGTAAATGTATGCGTTATTATCGCTTGTCATCGACAGTATAATTGTAGATGCTGCGAAGGTGTAGTATCTGGAAAGAGCGCGTGCCAAGCCCCGAATCATCGCCGAGATCTACCGGGCAACATCCCATATACGTCCCCGCTCTTTCGCCGCGACACTGCCAACATGTTGCTTTGAAACCTCCCAAATGCCATATACCAATTTTGTAACATCTTACCAGCTCACGTACTCGCTAATAATCACGCAATGGAGGCGTTTGTCAGCCGATGTTGCACTGATTGGTGAATGGCTCTTACTAACCTCGGGAATAGGGCGATGATGCCATCTCCCCGCCCTATGGGATGCTGCACGAAGTACATAGGATTTCCAATCTTCCGACTATATACACGCGAAGCCCTAGCAGATCCATAACTTCTTCATTCGAGTCAACTTACTTCTTGCTACGTTAACAACAGCTAGCTCGACTACTGCTGTTACAGCAGCATCCGCCACTGCACCGCAACCACAACAGCCTCAATACAGCCTTGAAAGCGACGAGTACCAGAGCTTGAATCGCCACATAGCCCACAATGACGACCGCTGCGCCGCGACCGACACCTGCACACGAGCTCTCGGGCACCGCTCCCACAGCGTCTGCATCGACTGACGTGAACTTCCAAGGCCTCCCTATCCCTCGCGGCCCCGTTAAGGCCGTGCTCTCTTTCTACAAGGCGCCCGAGGACGGTTCCAAACCGCACAACTACGTTGAGCCGCTGCCGGGCGTACCACAACGTAACTTTGGGGAATCGTTGCATGACGTAACCCTCGGGGATTTGCGAGGGCAGGAGCAGAAGTTCTCTCTGGATAACAATGCATTTGATACCGTCCAGAATGTACCTTCAGAGGAATACGAGTTTCAGGACGATGATCAGATCAAGAGGGTGTACTACCCCGAGGTCGAAAAGCTACTGTTAGAGAGTGTACCCGGCGCGAACAGAGTCCTGCTCTTCGACCATACCATCAGAAGGTCACACACGGGGGCGAACAGGGCGCCTGTGACACGAGTTCACGTCGATCAGACGCCATCTTCTGCCGCCCAGCGAGTTAAGTTCCATCTGCCTGAAGAGGCAGACAAGCTACTGCAAGGCCGGTACCGCATCATCAACGTATGGCGTCCATTAAATGGGCCCGTCATGGCGCATCCTCTCGCTGTTGCAGACAGTTCGACCGTGAGAGATGAGGATCTAATACCAGTGGAGCATCGATACCCAGACCGCACTGGCGAGACGGCACAGGTGAATTATAATCCGGCGCAGAAGTGGTTTTATTTTTCTGGGATGAAGAACGAGGATCGCTTGCTGCTCAAATGCTTCGATAGCGATGAGGCGTTGGGTCTGTGGGGTCGCGCGCCACACACTGCTTTTGTCGATCCTAGGACACCTGAGGGCGCCGTTGGACGCGAAAGCATTGAAGTGAGGGCACTTGTTTTCGGCTAGAGCCATCACTAAGGTGTTGATTATTCCTCCACTTGTACTTCTAGCATGACCTTAATGGCGTTATCACATCAGCCTAAGATCAGCTGGGGTTCGATTTATCCGCTTTCATACATATGAACTGCTTTCCGCAATGCACGATCTTGTATATTGCCTAGTGGTCTCGGTTTAGTGATGCTAGATTGCAATCCCTGTATATCTCATGATTACAGCGCTTGAACCTGGCCAGGCCATATCAGTCATTAGATACCCAAAACTACAGGGGATTAAAATCTGCTAGTAGAGGGCGTTGAACTATGCTACAAGGGCGGCATATGCGTGGTCAGCAAACCCATCGAGGCTAGTGTCGATGTTCACCAATAGCTAAAGTGCAGCTTATCCTTTCATAACTTCCAAAGGTGAGCGGAGACTGTCCTCCTATCAGTGACCCTAATAATTTGACACTGCCAGCGCTCCAAGCTCTTGAGCCAAACGTTGTCACAAACATGGCCCCTGACCACCCCATCCAAATAACTATCCGACCCCTACAATACGCCGACACAGAGGCTTGTGCTCGCATTACTGCATCAGCTTTTTCAACCGATCGACACACCATCGTAAAACAGATCGGTGGGAAGCCATTCGACATGTATGAAGTCTCTCGGACTAGGTTTCTCGCCACGCTGCACAGGAAGAACTACATCTACGTTAAAGCGGTCGATGACGCGAGAAATATTGTTGGGCATGCGGGGTGGGGATTCAGAGGGGTGGATGAGGAGAAGATTCCGTGGAAAGGACCAGATGATGAGTTGGTGACTGGAGAGGGGAGAGCTTCACAGAAAGATGAAAGAAAGTGTAAGGATAATATTAGTGTAGCAAAAGTGGAAAAGGATTCGCTTGGAGACGAAGAGAAGGAAGGCATCGACCGTCTTCATGCCCTGGAAGACGCAGACATGCAGCACACCATGGCCTCACTGATGCCGCCTGGCATCTCATGCATGTACATCTCTGGCCTCATCATCTCTCCAGAACACCAATCTCACGGTGTAGGCAGCGCGCTCATTAAGTATGGTAACGCGATAGCAGACCGCCTTGGTGTCTTCACTTGGGTGCATTCGTCCGATCAGGCTTGGAAGGCTTATGCAAAGTTTGGGTACGAGGTTGTGAAGGAGCTTGAGATTGATCTGGATGAGTATGCGCCTTCGCCGCCGGAGAAAGCATGGGCGGAGAAGTTGAAAGGGACGGGTGAGGGGGTGACGGCGGAGAGATGGGGGACGTATGTTATTAGGTATATGAAGAGGCTGCCTGAGATAAAAGGTTTGTGAATTGAAGGCTGGGGGGCTTATGGAAAGGCTCACTGCCTGCTTACAGAGCGGCAATCTTGTATCCGAGCAACCGGATGTTAAGCAATTTGACGCTGTTCCGTGAACCCACTTCCCACAACCAAATCACTACCAAGAGTCAAGCATCCGACACTCTTCGAAGTCTAAGCTCTGCGCCGAATTAGTTACTTTCCCATAATTATCCTCGCATCACGAACCCTTGAACTCAGCTACCTTCTTCTCGTCCCGTGGAACCTGGACTCCCCTAGCAGCAGATTTCTCCTCGTCATTCCGCCACTGTACGAGCACTGGAATAAAAGCGACGAGTTTTGTGAAGACAACGACCATGGCTAGGACTGGAGCTGCTGCCAGAGCGAGTGCAGTACCGATGTAGTGCAGAATCTTCATCCCACAATAGTATGGGAGCCTTGAAGTCAGACGGAATGTAGCGATAGAGAGGGTGATGTCCACACAAGAACGCATAGGAAAGAAAGGTCGAAGGAATATTGCTTGCTGATTCAAGAAAGAAGTGAAACGTTAAGGATCGGAGCAGTCGTGCGGACAGCAACGTGCGCAGATATACTTCAGGTTTTAAACAGATTATGAGATCAAATGTTTCTCAGCTTGAGTGGCGTAGCTCTGCTGACAAGTTGCCGCCAATGACATGCTGCCAATGACCGAGTTCCCGCGCCGCAATGTAGAAGTCTGTGCCGCCAATCTCTTCTAAATATACATCGCGGCGTTTTATCGTTCTGCAAGGCTTCGTTGGCCATTGCAGTATACCCGCATCAACCTTGTGCAAGAGGAGTCACATCTGGACAGTGCTTTCCAGTGCGAATACCAGTAAAGCAGCACAGGAGTACCTCAATTGATTTAAAGAGTCGAATTGACCAAGCGAACCACGAGCCAACGCCTTGAGAAACCGCCAGTTAGCTCGATGAGCAGCTCAGGACGTGACTGAGCAATAAACCGTGCCCTGACTTAAACTCGAACTGACTGCGCGCATAATAGTGCGAACCCCGATTGAAGAGACCTCCGCACAAGGAATTGGAATGTTGACCAACAAAGGAGCAGTAGAGACAAAATCAACGCGCAACTTGTCGCAGCTGGATTTTAACTTCATTTAACAGTGCTGATTGATCGCCCACAATGACACCTCTGGCAACCCCGGAGATACAGAGCTTGGAGCGTGAGCACGCTTGAACGCTGAGGCATTGCATGGTGTGTGTGACCTCGATCTCATGCTTCGTCACTGCCTCGAGAACCGGTCCAAAATGTTCTTCTGTATACGATAACATGAAGCGGAACCAGTTCATCTCTACTGGGGGATAAAATGGATCGCATTGGTCCAATATGAAGCTTGGTGCTCCGTATCTTATACTTCGTGCCAGCGGCGGAGTCTGTCCACACTGAAGCCCAAGGCGAATGCTAGAATGGAGGGATTAGTCACGATTCAATTAGCAGGATAGATCACCACACGGAAACTTACTATGTCCCCCGTAGGGTGAAGAGTTTGGTCAACAACAGGAAAAAAAAAAAGAAACAGCAGCCAACATTAAACTGGGTACGGGCAGTCGCGAGGCTGTTCGAATCCGAAAGTCGTGGCCCTACAGATGAAATGCTTGTGGAACGTCCGACTTACAAGATGTGGTCCAAAGACAGGGGCTGGGTGCTGTCAACCAGGCCGGAGTGTTCCAACATCACTTACCTTCAACGGGCTTTCGAGGCAGCCTCAAAAGGCGTTTGAATCCTTCCGATATCCATAATAAGGCGACAGACTTGTAGGCGAGACTGGAGACGTTGCAGAACATGCGTTGGTGGCGTGGCGTCTTGAATTACTGCTCGTCAACTCACTACCTCAACACTTACCTATGCAGGGTCGCTTTGTTACCGGACTTAGTTCAAGGCGTTATGGAAGGCATCGGAACTGCTATGTTCATATAACTGGATTGGGGTATATATATGCGATTATCGGTGCCATCCAAAAGTTCCTCCACCACCTTTCCATGGCTCTGATCACGCTGTTTAAGTTTCTACGAATCAATATAATATCTTCACCCTATTATTAGTTGATATTCGATAAGAAGCTTACTTTAGTCTTGGTAGAAGGTAGATTGGGGTACTAAGCTATTCAAATAAGCGTTAAAATGGAGTAGACCAATAAAAGGGCGAATAAATAAATGTATTTCGTTGAAAACTCTTTAAAACTTAAGATGAGTGAATAAAAGCCGTGGAATGGTGGCGGAGGAATTGTTGTATAGCACAATATCACCTTCCTCAGACTTCCTTCTCCTCTAACACACCAGCTTCCCTCGCTTTCTGTCTCTCTTCCCTTTCTGCAGCCTTCTTCAGCTTGTTATCGAGCTTCTCCCTGTCTTCACGCATCTGACGGATAAGAGTAGACCTCTCACGGATCTTGTGGCCGTATCGGTAGAAGATAAGCGGAATAGGTATCATAGCGAATTCAATAAGGGAGAGCATAGTCGCGGACCAGTGAGGGCCGAGTGATCGGTACCTAGAGGTGTATATCAGTACAGCCATTATTTGAGAGTTTTGTCGGGACTTACATCTGGGGTCCAGCAAGCGGGAGGGTCCCACCCAAGGCACTTCTCAAGACGGCATTGCCTGCTAAAGCTGACGCAGCGTAGATACCGTACGAGTGAACAAGATAATTCGACGCGTAAATGAATACTCCACAGTTTCCTGCACCGAATGGAATCCCAGCTATTATGGGTGCTGCCCAATGTACGTCGGGTGTGCAAGTCCATGCGAAGATCATCTCGCCTACAGGGACACAAACAGCAGCAATGCAGACCACACTGACCATAGCTTCTGGAGGAGGCTTCCCGGTCGCAGGATCTGTTGTGTGCGAATTGATGAGGCGTCGTAGCAGAGGCTCGGAGCAAATCGTCAGCATACCCCCGATGCCAATCCCAATGTACCCGAGACCGGTGAGCCCAGGACTCCAACCGCGAAGCTCGCTGAAGACGATGGGGTAAGAAACGAAGCAAAGATAAAGCACGCCGTATACCAATGCTATGTACACATTCCAAAATATGCTGAAAGCTTGATTAGCGGTGCCATTAACATGGAAATTGGTGAACACACCAAATGGGCTCCTTGACACTCATGATGAGCGGACGGTACAGGTTCTCCTTCAACATTGGCCAGAACTTCTTCTTGTCATCGTAGCGTGAATACCAGCGCTCTTCGCCTGTTTCCTTTCGCTTCTTCGCTGACTTGGCGCGCAAAAGCGCAGGCGCGTACGTTTCGCCGATTACTGCAAGCTGTCAGTCCAGTGTATCCACCCAGTCATTGAGCGACCCACAGAATACCATGAACCACGACACTCCAGACCCGATCACCACGACCCAATTTGTCCACCGCCACCCCTTGTATTGGAACACAAAGCCACCTACAAGGGGCCCTACGACAGGCCCATTCATCGGCCCAATGCTCCAAACAGAAAATGCAAGAGCGCGATAATCATCGCTCACAATGTCGGACACCGTCCCGGGTGCGTTTGAGATCATTGCTGCACCGGCGAAAGCACCAAAGAAACGCACCGCGAGAACGGTAGCGAGGTTCTGAGCCAAGGCGCATGGGATGATCAAGACAATAAACATGGCAACCGCGACTAAATACACTGGTCTTCGTCCGTACATTTCGCTCAAGGGCGCAAGTATAACTGATCCGAGGGCAAGCCCAGCTAGGTAGGTAGTCAGACCGAGTACGAGGTTGATCTTAGATTTGACGTCAAAAGTAACCATCATTCCGGGAATACCAGCGGTGTACGAGGTAGAATACATAACAACAACCAGCGTAGAGAAACTCATGAAGAAGATAATCATGCATTTTTTGACCATGCTCCAATCTTGCGGATTCTCACCATCCTCAAAGTCGATCTCGAAGCGTGGATCCGTTGTCATGTTTGTCGTCACGGTTGTGATTTGCGCTAGCGATTTGTCATGCTCATCCAGACCAGCATTGCGACTCAAAGTCTGGTGTATTGATTGTAATTCTTCAGAGCTGACCGAGTCGGTCGAGATTGAAGATACCGAGGACCGATCATCTTCAACATCCAAAGCGGCCACATCCTTCTTCCTCTCTTTCTCGGGGGCAGTTGCCCCATCCTTCTCGTGCGTCGACATGATTGCACCCCGCACTTGGCTCCGGCTGATGGTATTTGTCCAGCGATTGCTCAGACGCGAGCAACGCAGTTGCAGCACACAAAGAGCGACGAACGAAAGGAGGAGGGGAGGCTGGAGCAAGATATTCGACGGACGCGGGAGGCATTTCCAGGAGGCCCAGTCACGTTTGCTAGCCTAAATCCGATACCCCATCTCCTCTCCGGGTGCGGGATTCGCTCTTTGCTCTTTTTTGGGGAGTTCGGCCGAGCCTTGTGGGCCCTCGGTTGGTGTCGTGGGTCATGGGGGTACAGGGTCTCTGCCGATAGCCGCGGCTCGAGAGATGGGGAATGGGGAAGGCTGAAGATCCCCAAGAGTCGCCATCGATCTGGGATGGGAGAAATCAGCGTGATGTTGTCCGCCGACGATTAAAGACCTCCCAAATAGCGATAAGCTGTGGTGGAGTCGTGAGACGCCCAAGCTTCTCGCTTCGGCAGTCGCGACGGCGAACCCTTTCTGTTGGGTGTCAACCTCCGATGTCATCTTTCCCAAGCACCTGCACACCAACGCGCGCTTCCGCCGCTTCGTGCGCAGAGGCGTCGAAACAAGTATAGAATGAATGTAGTCTCAACTGATGATGCAGATGAAGGCCCCTGATACTCGTTTCGCCCTCCGAATTGTGTCCGCGGAGCGGTCGTCGTACCAGGGGGCAAGTGTCTATCGACGATTGTGACAGCTATAGTGTTGTGAAGCCATGGTCCCAAGTCTTTCAAACCAGGAACAATGGTGCAACTCTATTCGAGGCCGGGAAGATGCACTTCGAAGTCGCTTCACAACCGATGCAGGACCTTTGTGAAGCCCATGACGTGTTGGTAGTAAGAGGTTATGCAAGGTTCAAACCGACCACGAAAACCTTGTTGGGCTCTTTCTACAGCCATGCCCTTGGTGGTTGCACTCTCATGGTCTCAGAGAATCTGAAGTGAACTGTTACGTTTGGTCTGTTGAGTAAGTGATATTCCTCTTGCTGTCTCTCACGATCTGTCCTACAAGGAAAGGAGATAGGCGGAAGCTGACTACGAATCCTCGCCTATCATTACTTTCCTTCGCTTCTTCTCTTACCATCTGTATTTACGTCGAGCACCTAGCGTGCGTCTTCTCATCTACGATCCGCCCTCACGTAATTGTGGGAGCTTCCAAGGCGCCGCATCAACAGTGAAGACCGGATTCGACTTTTCCGTTGGTTTCATTGCACGAATATGTGAGTACATTCTATTCACAGCTCTATTTGCCTACTTGTACGCCTGTTGACGCTGATAGCGCGTAAAATCATGCGTTCTACGATTACTTTCCATCGCTCGGAGAACACATCTTGCCATATGCTTCGCAGTTGCTGGCGGAACTACTCGGCCACTATTCGCGGAATCGAAATGCCAGTTACCAGAGCATTTACAGCACACGGGTACGCTGTACGGAGCAGCTCCACGATAATGTACTTGAATCCTGGGAGAATGAGTTGGAAATGCAAGGCCTTTTTTCCTCACAACATTGTATGCTCTATCCTTGGAACTGCAACTTTGAGTACCATACAATGCGCCGTAAGATCAGGGTATACCCTTTCAGCATATTAGTGCAAGCCTCATACGCAGACTTCAACGTCACCGTCACCATCACCATCACTTGCACACTCAACGACTGCATTTGATCGCTCCTTCCTCTCATCGGGCGATGCTTGGCGCGTCGTTGGCGGAACAACAACACTTGACCGCGCTCTTGCCCAGCGGACTTCACAAACGTCGCCTTCCTCGCTCGCTCGCAGAATCTTCGAAGTGTCAGTTGGAGAGCGTACCTCTTTCCTGACTTTCGTCTGGCACCTCCCATCATCTCGCAGCTATGGCTGCTACGCGGGAGTTCTTGCTCCAGTTGTACAATCATGTCGCTCTACCTCGCGACGTACCCGGCAAGGAAGACAGCAACCTTGGTGCAATCGAAGCTGCGCTACTCGACCGAATTCTCCGAGCTGTCGAGGAAATCGCACCTCTGGTCCCTCAGGATCACACGCAAATTGTTGACGCCATCAAAGGGACTCTCACCAGTTCAAGGGCGGTCAATGTTGGCGGCACGCTGGACAAGGACATCCTGGTCCAGGAGATAGATCAGCTGAGTGATCGACGCGCACTCCTTCTCTATGTGAAAGAACAGAATGCAGCTGTGCTTGTCTACAAGGACACTGGGTACGTGTAGCGACGAGTTCAGCATCACATAGTAAAGCTAACTGAGCGAGCAGGTTCAACGACGAAGACCTGGTGTTCGAAGCTTTCGAGACCTCGGCAGACTGTGCAGCCGTCCTCGCCTCAGAAAATGCCCTACAGTGGGAATTCCCTGCGTATGCAGCATCTCTACCGCCGTCAGTCTATCGCACCCGGTCCTTCCTGGAGTGCCTTGCCGCCTTCGTCGAGCGAGCCAGCATCGAATCGTTGAAGCAATTCGCAGCAGTCACCTACAAAGCAGGAGCACCTCTGCCAGAAATACGCGGCACAACGGATTCATCACTTATCACAGACTTCCTTATGACGGTACTTGAGGGCAACGGCATGAGACGCGACGTTCCCCTGCTCCAGAAACGCGTCCGCGATACCGTTTGTTTCAAAGAAGCCCACATACCATGGCGGCGATCTCCATTCTACCTTGCTCTCCGCGTGGTCATACAGCGCCACTTGTATAAGATCATAGGTCAAGACATCGGGCGCTTGTACTACAAGCTCATCATGGCTCTTTTTCTGTCTCGCCTGCTAGAAGAATCCCATAAAATGATCCCCCACGACGCAACTTTCTATCTGATGCAGAAGCTGGGGCGAAGGCTCGCTAAGATTGAGCAGCATAAGCCGAGCATTTCGGGGTGCGACGGGAGATACCAGAGCAAATTGTTCGACAATCTGCGAGGTGCCTTCAAGACACGTCTGGAGAACACTAAAGGATTTCTTGAAAACCAATGGAACGCATACCGCGCGAGAACGCGAAGGGTTATTCATTATTTGCCCAGATATGCAATGCAGTCTGACCTTGCCCTGCAGTTACCTTCAAGCGGGCCAAAACTCCGTCTAGTCGCTTTCGGAGGGTCCTGGGCGTCTCCACCACAACTCCTTTCGCCTAGTCAACTTCTCGAGCAATACGAAGCATCCCGAGGTAGCACAAATCCCTTCGCAGCTGTCGCAGATCGTTATCTGAAGCTGGCCAATACAGTGGAGGAGCATGTTGTACCCGTACTAACCGGACGTGTGACACCAAGTGGATGGGGGACCCGTTGCTGTGCTCTAGCTCGCACGATTAAGCTGTACGTTTCCAGCAGCGGGGACCTTCTTGAGGGTTATCCGGAGATGAAGAGTAGGCTTCTTCTCGATGTTATGGAGCTTTGGGTCGAGCTGGATCGGTCTGCCGTCATTGGCTTTCCTCTTTTGAAATCGTACCATCCTGGTTTCGACGCTGAACTCTTGGATACTCTGGAATTTCTACATGCAGTCGATCTGAAGCGTGTAGAAGATGTTCAGACGTACATCAATCGCCGATGTAACAGCTGGACAGGACACGGGAGCAGGACGATCTTCGACACTCCTGCTAAAGATTCCTTTGCCGCAGTGTATTACGATGAGCTTGGTGAGTCCTCAGGCATGAAACAGTTGCGGGATGAGATACAAGCCGACGCCGAGCAGTCACGGTCGCTCAAAGAGGCAGAATGGGAACAGAAATTGGAGGAGTACAAGCAACTCCTTCAAAAGATCGAAGAATCACCGTCATGCCCTGGCTTCGAGGAGGTCATCAGGAAAGGTGTGCACAAGTCTGTTCACAAGAGCTTCTGTTATAAACACCATTACGGGTTCGAAATGCGTAATATCAAGATCAAAATCTTCGAGAATCCTTTACAAAACCACGAACCTGCCGCGAAGGCTGCTGTCTTCGAATTACGATGCCCGAAGCCTTTCGCTGAGTATCGAGACGCAACCTGGATCTTACTCACGAGATTTGCGCATTCGCAGGTCGAACCGCATGAAAACGTACCGACACTGCGTAGCTATAGTGGCCTCTCTCATCATGCCAATTCCGAAAATTCTCGAGTGACCCTAGGTTCTAGCACTAAATCACACCTAGACTGTCATTATGCAGAAACGGGGTTCCCTGCTGAATTGCATCAGATCTGTCGACCCTGTGGTTTGACTCTCACTTATTATGACACCGACAGCCGATCCTGGACTAAACGGGACGACAAGATGTCTTTTTCCAGACATGTTCCACTCAAGCTACCCAGCAGCTCACCATATAATTGTGTCGGTATCAGCAGAGACCATTGGCCTTCCTCGAACGAAATACTTGCTAGTCAAACGAAGTGTCCTTCCGACTTGAACATTCACGAATTTATGGCATGGCAAGAACTACTTAGTGGGACAAATCGCCGATGGCTGTCTTTATTGCGGGAGTTGGGCGCCACTAATCTCAATTTCTCAACTGAGTCAACCTGGGCTATCATCTCAAAGCTCGTCCTCCAAGTGGGTCCATCATCACTTGGTCATTCTTTGCGAGATATACATATGGTCTTCGAGGACGCTACATTTTGCGAAAAGCTCCTCGAGCAAGTGAGCAATCGCCTGGACGTAATACGACGCAACTGGCGGGAGCCGGTCCAGATGGATATGGTCATAACTCTGCTACTCAAGATCATATCGCTTTCTTCGTCTAGCGGGGTTCGGGCAAAGGCTCTCGAGCTTCTAGATGGAGTCCGCATCGCTACTTGGGACTGGTGTCTTACTTTGCAATCACTACCTCCGAACACCGCACAAGATTTCACAATCTTCGCATTGTGGGCTTCGGTGCTATGTAAGCGAACTGTGCAGGGCCCAATGACATCCACATTGCACCTGGATACTGCAGCTTTGCAGAGTTTCATCGGTGCTTCTATCATGCTCCAGGAGAGTTTCGTTGGTCCCTTCGACGACATGCCTTACACCTTGCGCAAATTGCTACTGGAAGATCTTCTTCACGCATTCAAGGATCGTACCGCGTTGGCCAATCTCGTCATTTCAAATCCCAAAGCCTTGCTTGCTGCTATCGATCATATCTGGCCATTGCCGCTAGGAGCTCTTGACGATGTTCCTCACATCCGTCTCGTACCGCAGACATGGTGGGTGGAAGTCTCTATTCGATCGCGTCACCAACAAGCTATGCACCTAGTCCATTATCACTTGTTCCGTGGGGATTTCCTCATTGACGGCAAGCAATCTGGCATTCTTCCAGCGGTGTATCACATGCCGGTGATCCAAGAGCTCTTCGGGACATATGCGCTACGGGTTCTACCCTCATGTATGTCCGGAATGTCTCACTTCGTTGCGCATACGATGCCGTTCAATCACGAGATTCATCTGGGTTTCCGTCAAGGTCAGCTGGTCGTTCGCGCCGTGCAAGGACATGCGACGCTGGAGCTCATCGATGGTTCTATCTTCAAAAGCATTGTTGGAGATAGCACTCAGCACGACCTACCTTTGCCTTTGATAACTGATTGTTTCCACTGGCTCGACATTGATACCAAGGTCATGGAAATTCGGCAAGGGGACAAATGGAAGTCGAAGAACAGCAATTGGAAGCTCAACATCATAACCTTCCGGGCAACTAGGAAGGCCTCAAGCCTTGTGGATCCCTTCAGTGCGGTAGCCCGGAAGGTTGCCCAGAATTTTCAGTACTTTGAGACTGCTGAGCATCTTCTAGTGACTCAACCGGAGAAAGGACGGCTTTCCGTCGAGTTGAGACGCCTGGAACTGAACTTCTTTGTCAATCAGTCCAATTTATTACAATGTCGCGAGCTGAGTGCAGAGGTCGTCTACACCGATCTGCAAGATATGGGCACGTGGTACGGATGTCTTAGCAAGATTGTGCTTCGCTCAACGAAGAACGAACGCCAGCGCCTGGTACTCGTCCCAGAAGGTCGACTTCTTTACCGTAGACTTGCAGGACATGTCGTCGTTACTGTTGATTCTGAAGGCTCATATTTGAGGTTCGACGTCGACGATGTACTCGGACGGATACAGTGTCCAGCTGAGCATCGGTTACTGTACACGAAAGCGATGTGGCACGCCTATACATCTTATGTCTTGCCGGATCCTTTGACCGGTCGCACTGGATTGGAGGAGGCTTTGTATCTGTTACGGACTGGCCTATACAAACCATGGGCACCAATACGTGACGGCATGGTACCTCGTATACTCTCGACCATCGCGACTCTGTCCCCAGAGCGAGCGTATTATCCGGAAGATTTAAAATGTATGGAGGTTGTGACTTGGAATCAATACCTTACTACAACCATCCAGGACGACCGGTATCGCGCGCTTGTGGAAGATATATACGAACGAGCTTCTCAGCTGCAACTATTTGAGATTGATCCAGCTAAGAAGATCTTTCACGAAGCAACTCTGACTGATCCGCACTTAGTATCTCGCTCGGTCTCGATATTTAATAGCAACGTATCAACGTCTGACATGGTTTACACGTCACAGGACTTCTCCATCCGAAGCGATGTGCGGAATAATATAGCGCTCATCACACGGTTTTTGTCTGGATGGTCCATTACAGCTGCGAGTACAGACCAGTTGGCACAAATCCTGCAGAAATATCCGGCCATTGGGGGTCTGAGCGAGCCCTATGATCACAGTTCACTTTTTGATCTGATCTCCGTGAACTTGGTAGAGCACTGGGGCGCTCTTGCGCAAACAGCTATGCAGGCTAGTTGCGATGATCGGTACCGCTTGATGTTCCTCTTCGTACCAATGGCATTGTCTCAACACGCACCCATCGAACTCCTTCAGGTCTTGGTAACCTATGCTATTCTCCCTGAGCTCAGGAACATCGTTATTCCCGGCTGGCCTTCATATGTTCGTTTCAAGCCTGACGAAGCCCCTGCTGCAGAAGATCTTGCCGAGTCGATGAAAAAGGCGCATCAACCTCACGAAGAAGTTCCCAGGAAACAAGGCGAGCTACCTGGCCTGATGGCCTTGGCGCGCATTCATCATGAAAAGGCTTGTCAACACAACTGCTTGCAGCTCGCAAAGTCTATCCTCCTTCAATGGCCACAAGTTGACATCGACCTGAGCAAGCTGCCCACCATCGAACCCAAGTTTCTCGATATGGATGCGGCTCTGAGACTTGCATTCAACGATTGGATGCGGTTGGCGCAAAACTTTCAATTTTCAAAATATCTCGAACAAGTTCAACTTATACTGGACGAACATGCTGCTTCAGTTGACCCGCTTACAAACGACAGGATTCTTGAAGATGCGTTTAATCTCGCTGAGCCCAAACGATATCTTTCTCACCGGACTAGAGCCGCCCCAACACTTCAGGAGTTGTTACTGAATGAAGACTTGGTCGGAGTCATCTCGAAACAGCTAGTCTTAGGTGCACAAGCGAACACCAATATGAGGGCTATGGGGCTATTACAGCAGCTTCCAAATGGTCATTTGACAATGCTGCATGAGAAGCGGAAACGTGGAGAAGGGGAAGCACCTTACAAGCTCCCTAGCCAATTTCCTCATCGACGGCTGTGGACAATAGTCGAAGGTCTTCAACGAGAAAAGTCTGGCAGGCCCGCTTCATCCGTCCAGCGTGCGTATGGGCGCGAACTTATGGATAGTATTGAAGCGCTCGGGAAGCGTAACTCGGTGTCTGTCCTTCCTTTGCCTCCGTTCAACAGTGTCCTCTTGAAACAGCAGATCCAAGAGAAGAAGCGGGCCTGTGATGAAGCTCTCCGCGCTATCAGTCAAGCACTTGAGGCAAACGACAAGCGTGCACTATGGTTGAAACTATCCGGTCAATGGCCGAAGCTGAACAAGATTGCACTTCTCTCAGAACTTCGATCGACATCCGGATCTGCGTTTGGCCTCGGCATCAAAGAAGCCATCGTCGACTTAGGCCTCCTAGTAACATCTTGGCAGCGTTTGCTTAGGATTGAGGATGCGTCTCTCAGACATAAGGGGCAACAGTTGCAAGAAGAGCGCTCCAACGAGGGGCATGCCAACTGGGACCCTCTTTTGCGAACAGATTGGCTATTATTGGAGATTGACGGCAATATCATGCTCCGTGCGGAGCAGATTGAAGTGGCCAACGCTACGATAGCACCTGTAAGCGGTTCCAACTCGGTTGTTCAGCTCTTAATGGGCAAAGGCAAGACTTCTTGTATCCTGCGTAAGTTCTTCTTTCCTCCAATCCGGGCATTACTCATGACTAACATCACTAGCTATGGTTGCGGCAATCCTGGCCGACAGTGATCAACTATTGCGTGTCGTGGTACCACGAGCACTACTCCTGCAATCTGCACAGGTCATGCACATCAAGCTTGGAGCCTTATTAGACCGCGAGATCATGCACATTCCGTTTTCGCGAAGGACAAAAGCGAATAATCATCTGCTAGAGACGCTCGCTCAATTACACTCGGACCTCAAAAAATCCAGCGGTGTCATGCTCTCTTTACCTGAGAACACCCTATCTTTCAAGCTTAGTGGACTTCAGCGATTGTGCGACGAGAATCTTGAGCAGGCCAACATCATGATCAAAATGCAGCAGTGGCTTGACCACAATGCTCGAGACGTACTCGATGAATGCGATGTCTCGTTGGCGATACGGACTCAGCTGATCTACCCATCTGGATCTCAAATGGCAGTAGATGGTCATCCTCTGAGATGGCAAACTGTCCAAGCGGTACTGCGGCTTGTGCTGTTGTTCGTCCCGACGCTAGTGCACCGCTTCCCGCACAGCATCGAAGTCGTGAACAGGCTAATTGGAGGCTTCCCATTGATCTATCTCCTGCGACGTGACGTTGAGGACTACCTTATCTGCCTACTCGTCGATGCCATCTGCAAGGGCCAAATCGCCGCGTTACCTTGTGCAGAAATCCCAGCGTCCGCCCAGGAAGACATACGAACTTTTATCTCCAGCTCAACGGTCTCCTCGTATGTGGTAACCCAGGTCAACAACTTGTTTAAAGAGAAGCAGCATCTAATGAAGATGCTTTGCCTTCTACGTGGATTTTTCGTTCATCGCATCCTTCTGTCAACGCTAAAAAAAGCGATGGAACGTTCAGTATGGCCTTCATCCTGCTCGTGATCCTATCGCGGTACCATACCATGTAAGTTTGAAGGCAGCTTATGGATACATCCTCCAGCCATTAGCATATATTTTGCATTGCGTCGCATGTTACATGCTATCCTGGCTTATGTGCATGCATCTTAAAATGTTCTTTAGATCTACGATACTAACTTTGAATCCAGGCAAAAGGCGTGCCCTCACCGACTTCGGAATGGGGTCATCCGGACGTGGCTATCATCTTGACATGCCTTTCATTACTACCAAGGGTTGAACCTGCCACAATTCAAGCAGGCATTCGAGCAATTGCTGAAACTAGACGAGCCAAGCGTTGAATACGAGAAATGGGCGACGCGTAACCTACCAGAATGTCTGCGTGATTACACCGCTATCAATGTTGAAGATAGCCTGCAATTACGTGAGCTCTATCAATATGTCTGGTATGCACAAGTATAACTTGTCAAGACTTCACTGCTGATTCTGTGTATAGCTTCAATATCTACTTGCTAGACTTCTACCTCAATAATTTTGTGTTTCCAAGGCATGCTAAACAGTTTGACACTAAGCTCCAGGCTTCAGGATGGGATCTGGTGCTCTTTGACCCGACTTCCACCTCGAATTGCAGGACTACTGGCTTCTCTGGCACGAACGACTCACGACATCAGCTTCCAATGATGATTACACAGAATGATCTACCTAATCTTGCCCACACGAACGCCGAGGTTCTCTCGTATCTGCTGGAGGATCGAAATCGGGAATATGTCCGGATGCTGGACAAGTCAGGTAGACGGTGGAGTGAAGAGAATCTGCTGTCCGAGCTGTCGAAGCCAAACAGACCCGGTGCAAAGCAACAGATCAGGATCCTAATAGATGCGGGTGCCCAGATTCTGGAGCATGACAACCTCGGTTTGGCTAAGGCATGGCTCAAGATTGATGGGGAGGCTACTGCAGCAGTCTATTTCGATGATGAACATCGCCCATGGGTCCTCTACCGCACAGGAAAGCGCGTTCCATTACTTGCGACCCCATTTGCAGAGAGCTTGGAAGATTGCGTGGTATACCTGGATGAGAGTCATTGTCGTGGAACGGATCTCAAACTTCCACCCAGTGCGAGAGCCGCATTGACACTGGGACCTCATGTCACGAAAGATGCTATCGCGCAGGCCGCCATGCGCCTGCGCCTGCTTGGTATGTTTTCTTAAGAACTGCATCGATGCCATTGATTGACTAAGTATCTTGTGCAGGTCAAACTCAAGCTGTGACATTCTTTTCGCCGCCAGAAGTTCACCAAAGTATCATCGATCTCAAGAACAAACGCGAGTGTGACTATATAGGCTCTTATGATGTCGTGTCATGGCTTCTGAAGCAATCGTGTCAAGGCATTGAGCAACTGGAGCCGCTGTATTACAACCAGGGCATCACGCACATTCAGCACGAACAAGCTAAGATCAAAAACTTGGGGTTTCTTAGCAACATACATCAGCGGTCGGAGTACTTATCCATCATAAGTACCAAAGAGTCTCAGACTTTGAAGCAGATGTATGAACCGAAACCGTTGAAACGAAGTAGGTTATGCAGAACATCGAATACCATATGTCACAAGCTAACCACAATATCAATCTACAGATGGCGCTCGAATACAGTCACATAGGGGATCACTTGGTACTTTTACTATCGAACTCGAACGAAGGAAGAAGGACTTCCAAGACAGCGGAATTGCGACCCACTCTTCAGCGCTCGAGGAGGTTGAGCAGGAGCGCGAAGTTGAGCATGAAGTCGAGAACGTGCGAGAGCCCGAGAAGCCGTTCCACTTCACGGCGTTGAAGATTCCTCGGCTACATGAAGATATTCAAGAGTTTGCCAGGTCTGGGAAAATCATCACGAGCAGTGAGGCATACCAGCCGATGTTGTCAGCCTTGCAGCACACTGCTTCTGGAAGGAAATACGGGGCTTTTACCCATGGCAGATCCTCAGGACTGTTTGTCTCGAAGCAATACAGCCGAACTGTCAAAATGGTAGAGCCAAACGATAACTTCATACGGCCTTGCCAGTGGATCTTTTGGAGCCATGCCACGAACAAGGCGTTGATCATTAGTCCCGAGGAGGCTGATGCGCTTCTCCCATCTCTCCGTCAACGCTGTCACTCTGGAGGTCCAAGTCGGGCCCACCTCGTCGTCTACTCAGCTCCGGTGACTCGTCGCATGCTTCACTTCAACAATCTCAATTACCATGTTACTCCGCCGCTACCGCCGAATGCGAAGGTCCCACAGTGGTTAAAAATCGAGCTTGGCATATTCGCGGGGCGACTGTACTTCGAATGGCCTGAGTACAAAGACCTCATTTCGTACCTCGGTGTGAAGACGGACATAGGGGAGGATGACTGTTTGGGCGAATTCTCACAAAATACATTTGTGCAGAAGCCGCTGACGTTCCGTAAGACCTGCATCCAACTGCAACATATGCACACACTAACGTTGGTACACAGTTCACGACTGGCTTGCTGCGCTTCGCAAGGGCCAAGATTTCGAGCACACCCCGATGGGCTTCATCACCACTGGCAAGCCTCTATCGGCTGATCACCCGTTCTTCTTGACTAGCGCCGCGGAAGAGCTGAACCGGGAAGCAAATGCTAGAGTACCTCTGGGCGGTGAGATGCAGCAACAAGATGGGGACGAAGAAGAGGACGAGGATGACGAGGACGTCGAAGATGAGTTCCACGACGGTGAGGATCATGACTATGGTGACGAGGGAGACAACCAGGCTCGTTTTGAAGAGGGTGACAGCGCCTTTTTTGATGCTGCAGAGCAATTCGAGGTTGACGAAGAAGAGAGTGACGGAACAGACAGTGGCGTGTACCCGGAGGAGTAGCTTGGAAACGAGAGGAGCGTTGACACGTGCCTGGCTTTCTGATGCCTCTATGTTTGTGCCCAAGGCATCGCTGTCTTGGGCATGGACGATAGTGTGGCATGCAGAAGAAGCGGCGAATGCCAGTATGGTTAAGCAAGCTCTGCGCAATGCGAAGAGCCACGAGAAAATGCAAATGAGCCTTGGTTCTTCAGCACCTCATTCTTCAACACATGTACAGCCCTGCATGTCTGACTCCAACTCAGTGCAGGCTGCAAAGCTAGACGAGCCCAGCCCATCGCTCCCCTACACCTCGAAAGCCCACCCTCAGCTGTCGCTCTCTAAACCACTCCATCTTCCAGCCTCATGTATCCTGCGCTTAACGCCCGATTCCATAACAAAAACGCGCCCTCGCCTACCCCGGCCTCGCCGGCCCTAACCCCGGAAGCAAGGACCCGTCCAACAGCGAGCCAGCAGCGGAAGCGGAGCGGGGACATCGCATCTCGGCACCTCCGAACTTTGTTTCGTCCCACGACCTCCCCGCGCATAAATCCGTCTGACATCATCGGAGATACCGACGCCGGCGGAGAGCTTGAGCATGGTGGAAATTGAGCGTGGTACTTGCCGTGGGGATCTTCGTGTACACACTGAGGGTACGGGGTCCCCGTCTCTCACACTAGAGCAGCGAGCGTAGCGCTTGAAGAGCGGAGCGCATAGCGGTGTACTGAGCAAGACCTCTAAGCGGTAAGGCTGGGACTAAGCTGAGAGATGGGGACGGGGAGATGGGCGATGACAAAGTCGGCGAAGATAGTCTGTCCCACGGGGACAAAGCACCGAAACACCGCCGCCGCGTTGAACGAACGGAAGGGCGTAGGATTCACCGCTTTACAAAGCAGCATCGAGTGGTCACGACTCGCGCATGCAGCGGGAGGAATGTACATGTGCGGTATACGTTCAATGTGCACATCATGTCATGTTGTGTTATGTTCAGTGGCTGTACAGCCGCTTGACATGGCGCCTCATAGCGCGTATATTTTAAGCTCTTGCGCAGGCACAGTGCGCAGTGCCTTTGATGTATGTATGTGTGTCGCAGGAAAGAGGCGGAGCGCGCCACGCTCGACGCCCCCACTGGAAACAAGATTCCACCCAATGCAAGCGGAGTATCACAGACGAAACGACGTGGCCATCCATAGTGGTACAAAGTTTTGGGCCGAAACAGAGAGAACCTCGCAAAGATGCAGAGGTCTCACAAGATAAGTTTTTGAAAGCGTAACGTAATGAAGATGTGAACATCGAACTGCCGTGAATGAAATGCAAAATGAGATGCGAAAGGCTTCAGTAGTAGTACAGGGTAGTGGAAAGGAAGAAAAGCGAAAGAGCAAGAACAGGGTATCCGTAAAAATCCATCATCCGTCGTTTCCGTCATGCCATATCATGCCTTATGCCGTTTTGAGACCCACGCTATGCCGATGCACTATCCAACAGTAGCGGTAAAGCGAAAGTGAGAAAGAAAATTCCGAAAAACGATGCAGAAGCGCAAAGAAGCGAAGGACGAAAATGCAAAGACAAAAGTAAGCATGCCAGAATGCGATGCTCCATAAAGAAAAGTCGACTGTGACTGTCGCCGTGAAGTAAGATGGTCGGTGGGCTGGCAGACCTAAAAGCCCCAGCCGTCCCATCCTCGACTCAAGATCTTCTCCAAGACACCAATGACACCGTCGAGGAGTTCGCCGAAGCCGTCGCCACCTCGGCCGTGTCCAGAAATACCGACATTGAGAGTAGAGGAAACAACGCTGTCTCTTCCCTCCGTGGCTCCACTCCTTAGGCGTGTCTTTACCCAGCGCATCAAGGCGGCGCAGCCTTGCTGCCACTGTGCTACATCACGCGGCCACTGTGGCACTACGCCCAGCAAGTCGAGTTCCACTAGCGCAGTGTTGAGGAAGTTTATAGAGAGCATGGTAAGCTCAGAGTACTGCATGCTCTTTGTGGAAGGCGAGGGTGGAATCGGAGAGGTTACGGGATGAGAAGTCAAGCCCAAAGCTGCAGGATGGTTGGGGTTGGGCGTACCGCCTGGGGTGCTCATGGAGAAGTGAGTTGGCGTGGAAGGGTAGTTGGTGCGGACCGTTGGTAGAGGGGAATGGCTTGGGAAGCGATGGGGCTGAATCACCTGAGGTGCGTTGATGCGGGTGTTTGCCGCAACAGTAGCAGCCCATATAGTGAGTGCTGCAAAGTAAAGACCCATGTCGGCGCCCAGTTCGAGTCGGAGGGTGAGTGTGTGGGCGGTCATAGCATGCTGGGCAATCTCAATAGCGAGCTTGAGGGCATCCTTTGCAGACTGGCCCTGATGATCAGTGCCGTCAGTCCACAGTCCGTTGATCCACGTCCTGAGGGTCGTTTTGTAGCTTCCGAAAGATTGCGGTGAAGGCACCTTCTCCGACAGGATCCAGCTTTCTCCGGAAATCGCAAGCAACGCACGAATTGGAACAACTTGGAGAAGCTTCGCAGTAAGAAGTTGGTGTTTGGTCACTGATGAGTTGTCGAGGAGATGGTCGATGTGTTGGAAGTTCGCCGGAGCAAGATATGGGGTAGGGTTGTTGAAGTGATTGTAGTAAGCCGCGATGATGAGGGAGGATTGGAATGTATCAAAGGTTTGCATGACGTCCGATGTCACTTGGAACACGTACGTCAGCTGATGAGGGTTTTGTTGGGCGGCCATGGCCCAATCGAAAGATGTGGTAGCGTCCCAGAGCTCTGAATGAGCTGGCAATGGTAAATTGAATCCCGAACAGTTGATTGAAGACTGCAGCGAGTCCCGAGCCAACAAAGTAGCTTGTTGGTATTCGAGGATGTAGCAGCAGAGAAGGAGGCGCTGTTGGGTTGACAGCTCGATCCACTGGGCCCAGCGCTCGTAAGTAGCATTCTCTGGCTGAACCAGGGCAGAGACATTGTCTACGATATTCGAGGTCACTTCCCGAAAGCTTTCGCAAAGCTGCATATGGTCAGATCATGATGGAAAGCCCATTGTTTGACATATCACCTTTTGGTAGAGCGTCTCGAACCGCGAAGACAGTGTCTTCGCCGCACGACGCGCACGGTACTGCGACAGAACCTCAATGAGGAACAAAGCTTGCCAATCGCACACACGCTCGGCTTCGGTCATAACATCCAAGTCTCTCTATGCAGTGTTAGTGGGCTTCAGCTGAATATACCTAGAGATCTTACCTTGTCGAGCAACTTCATGCATCGATCATGAAGTATGCGTGACTTTCGCTTCACGCTGGCATCGTCGGAATATTGTCCGCCAATGGCGATCATGGCAGCGTGAAGCATCGGTGGTTGGCTTATGCTCTCAAAGGTAGTTCGATGAATGATAGGGTAGGCGGCGTGAAAGAATCTCCAGTAATTGTTCAGATATTGTTCAAATGGATATGTGTGTGCGAGTTGGCCCATACCGTAGGACTGTTCAGGGAAGAGGAACGCCTGTTCTTCTTCATCTCTCTGTACCATCGTCTTGGGCCCGAAATGCCCAAAGCCCGTCATCGGGTCCACACCCGCAGACATCGGCATGCTCGTCATCGGATAGGAGGTGTGCATGTAAGCTAGGCTGGACGGAGCGGGGCTCTTCTCATTTGAGTTCCATGTGTATGCCATGGTTGACGTTGCCGAAGTTGGTGACCGCGAAGGATAGCCCCACGCAGGCTCAACGTAAGATGCGTTGGATGAGTTGCGCGTGCGGTTGGACCCAGGTCCATACGGGGGGTTGGCGAACATGTTGGTCGAGTAGTCCTGTACAGTGGGGATAGGTGAGGCATACTCGCTCGAAGACGAGTTGTATTGAGGTGAGTGGCCAAAAGGGTCGTTCCAGGCGATGCCGTTTTGCATGCCTGCTTCTACAGGCACAGAAACGGGTCCATTGTTCTGACGAGAAGCCGTGTATGCCCTCTTGGAATGGCTGGATAAAATCAATCAGCAATCTTGTTACAAAGCTTTACAGCTCATAACGAAGAAGGAAAGGAAAGCAATGATAATCAATGTTTTGTCAAACTCACTGGAAACGGGGACTAGAAGAAGTAGGAGAAGAATGAAGAGATTTACGGATCGCGGAAGAAGGAAGACGAGGGGTACGAAACGGGTTGGATGTATACCTTGCGTCTGCAGCGGATACTGGGATTGGAGACACCGGCTGCGGGTAGTACGGCTCAGTTTGAGGAATCGCAGTTACGATTGGGGGAGGCAAGGTCACAGCCGCAGAGACCGGTGGTTCTGGTTCTGCGGTGCTTGCTGGGCTGAACATCTGAGGAGACTCTCCTCTCCCGGGCTCATTGCTAGGACAGGTTAAATCTGACAGCCCACGAAGGTTTGTGGGGTGCATACTGTCGCTCTTGGTGGCGTTGTAAAAGATCCAGTCTGTAGAATGGCTTTCCACATTCCGGCCAGTCACATCGAAGTGCGTCCTGTGCATGGTTCCTCTGGTGTCGCCTGTCATGGGTTAGCGGGCTCACTGTGAGAAGAACAGCTATCGACATACCTCAAATGCTCAGCTCTGGTATATGACTGGGCAAAACGTTAGTGGATCTCGTCTTGGGCAAAGAGGGGTGCAGTTGATGTGGAATGCGAGTGGGTTGTGCCGGTGCGGGAGGGGCGTCGTATACGATAGGGCTACGCGGGAACGCGGCGTGGTGGCATATAGTGTTGAAAAAACCCAAGCGGGCCGGTATCGAACGGCGGAAAACAGTACTTACCCGTCCACAATCGCAGTGGTGAACCTTCAAACCCTTCTTCGCTTTACTGATACGCCCCGTCCGGGTGTAGTGCACTGAGTTGCTGTCAGGCGACATCTGTGTTGGGCTGGTAGACCGTTGCATGGTGGGACTGTCCCCGCGGGAGGATGGGTTGTTTGGGCCAAGCGTCGTCTCTTTCGTGATTCCTGGACGACGACGATATGCTGTAGATTTAGTGCCACCGATACGTTCATCCGACGAGTGCGAGGATCTTCGACGACGTTGAGGTACTGTTGAAGGCGGGATGGTGCTTTCAGGTTGTTGGATAGAGGGAACCGAGGGGCGGCCGCTTGTCTCACTAGGGTCTGACATAGCTGACAGAGGCGGAGGGGGTATATATCTATACTGTGAGGGGAAGGGGCGGGAAGGATCAGAGCCTCAAGTGGGGACTCGGAAACGGTAGGGCTCAGAGGTGGTAGCGGCGATGGGTCCAGATCCGGTGGTACAACAGATGGCTATGGGCCAGTGATCATGTCTTGAAATGGCGCGGCGGATTAGACATGGAAGACCAGGCGGACTCGGAGGACGAAGCAAAGATTAAAGGCGATAGTGGACCGGGGCAGTCACAAGAGGTATGGTTGTCTATCTGGATTTGGAACCACTGCCGTTCCAAATCGGGGTTCAGAGACGAAGATACAGAAAGGGCGGGCGCAGCGTTGTGGAGGGGGACTGTAAATACCTGCGGGCTGTGCCTGGGAGCCAAGCACAACGGTGGAAACGCACGAGGTAGAGCACGGAGGCAGCGCTCTCAAGGAAAGGCAGAAGATGAGATGCAGGTCCCAGTCGCCCTAACGCTTGTCGCTGGGAGATGTGGCAAGGGTGGGATGGCAAGGATCACCAAGTGCACCGCGGCGGAGCCCTCATGACATTGCTAGACGATCGAGGATAGCCCTGGAAAGCTTGAGCCCACGGGCATGGCTTGAGGCGTGCAACCGAACCGTTCCAGCAGCCGCAGAGGACAAGGAGGCATCCGCGCACCAAAATTGGGGTGAGATACCCCTGTACTGGTGGGCGCTCTAACTGGGCGGTGCCAGCGCCAGGCGGCGGACCGTTCCACGCATCATACCAGCTCGAGCCATTGCTCGATGTTACTAAGAGAGGCGTGGCTTGGGAGCGCGTGGGCGATGGAGGAAAGGTGCAAATCCGAAAATAGAGGACGCTGGATGGCCGACGGACTCAGCCTTCCTGTGCACCACCCGTCTACCGCTTACCGCTGAAGGATGACAACATTTCCCAAAGCATCGTGCAAGGACACCGATGACCGCATCGCAGATGCTGGTAATGCGTAGAAGACGTCGAAGCAGGACATGCAGCTGGCGACACAAAGACCTACGTCGCGATGCGTCGGGGTACCGCTTGTCTGGTGTGGGCTGCTGCCCCTGCATACCCTGGGCTCATACCGCGTGGATGCTTGACATGCCACAGTCCATTGGCGGACGCGTTGATTAGCAAGGTGCAAGAAGCGGCAGATGTGTAGCTGCGGGGATAATGGAGACACGGCAGCAAACCGTCGCCGTCGCCGTCTTCAGTGTCGCCGTCTTGATGAGCCGGCGAATGTATGGAGCAAGACATGCATCGCGAGATGAGAATTACATACTCCGACTGTGCTGAGAAGGCCGTTATGCGCGCTCATTCGTCCGCTGGAGAATATCATGAGTGCTGTGATGGGCTCTCTGTCCGTAAGCACCGGCATGCAGTCTCTCCGCACGTAGGATGCGGCTATTAATGGCCCTGTGCTACATCCTTCGTCGCCAAAAGCAAGCAAATCTCCACACGGACAACCAGAGAGCTCAGCTAAGGCCACGGAGTTGTCTGTGGTGGGGGGCCTGACAGCATTAGCGCCGTCGAGACTTGGGAAGCTTGGGGAACACGTCAACCAAGCTCCCGCTCCAGCGCGTTTTAGCGTACGCTACCAGCCCTCCAAGGCGCAGTGAAGCCCTGGGACCGAAAGCCAACGGCGTCGTGTTTGCGGACTACTTCAACGGCACCGGGAAATAGAAGGACCTGGCTAGTCAGGAGAGCTTGAAGATGGTGAGAAAGACGGCTTTTGCTTCCAGCGCGCGTCACAGAAGTCGACCTCACCGGTTTTGGAGGCTCGAGCGTAGTGCATACAGACAGATGAGCGAATACAGTAGTGGCAGCGTAGCGGCACACGTGACATTGCACGATCGGCTCGCGAGCTGGGATTCCAAACGGAATGGCGGGCACGTGAAGCTCGCAATCCCTTCCAGCCCTCGTCGCCTCCGCTGCCCAAAGCGGTTGTAGGCCCATGCCTGGCCACACCGTCGGGATTCCGACAAGCAACCTTGACTTATCGGCCATGTTTTTGCGCAACCGAGAGCGCGGGCTGCCGTGTCGAAGCCAAGGGCAGAATCGAAACTGCCGCTGCTTGTGTTTGCCTGCCCGATGCCCAGCTTCTGCATGCTCCGGAGCACAATGGTGGCGCGTAGAGCAGCAGCAGCGCCGCAGCGCGGCACAAGGGCAGCCTGGGAAGAGGCCAAACCCGACAGCATCTGTCGATTGTCGACATCCGCAGAACACGCCATTCAGTGGTGCTAGTTCGATCGACGGTCGCACATGGATAGTGGCTCTAGCGAACTCTTCATGTCAAGTCACGGACCAATTCAAGATCGTTTGCTGTATGTGCACAAGCGTGTTTTCGAGCCCAGGTCTGGGTACATTCTAAGGAGCTAAAGACTTGTGGGGACGACGATCGTTGTGACGACAGACCCTGGACGCATAGGGAGGCGTGAATGGCCGGGTTTCGGGGTTCGCTGAAAGTGCTTGCAGGGTCTCTTTTCTCGAACGTCTGATGGCTGACGTTGTGAGAACCCAAACCACAGTGCGGGCAAGGCGGCGGCCGGGATGTAGATTGCTCCTGAACTTTCTGGCTGAGAGAGTGCAGCGAGACTGGGGAGCGCGATATTGACGGGCATCTAACACTTGGATGCTTGAGGTTGCATGCTGTGGCCCGCATTCGCGTTGAGGCATAACTGAGACAGGCACTCAACACGTCAATTATCCAGCGCAATCAACATGATGCATGGAGAATCCTTCAGCAATCGGCACGTGGAGCGGGCCATCAGCCGGCGTTGATTGGAGAGAAGGACATATCCCAGCGTCCCAAACCCAGAGATGTGGTGGGCGCTCGAGGGTCCGGGTCCATGCCAATGCCTGGCGTATGCGTGGGACAATCACACATTCTTCATCCCGCGGACAGTCGCAGCTTGTCCGACGTGTTCCAGCCAGCGGCAGCGTAGCGAACAATGGCAGATGCCGATAGCTACAGCAGCAAAGACGGCGCGCCAGAGAGCACCCGAGAAACACCCGTGCTCTGAGACGTGGCCAATTGCTGGTCTCTAGCCTGTGATGAAACGGAATTGGCGACGAGACGGGCTACCGTCCATGGAGCCGAAGTCGCTCTGGACAGCGAGCCGGGCCCGTCTCACGGTGCAGGACGACTGATGAGGGTAGAGGGCAGGAAAAGGACAGGTGGGCGGCGAAGTGGGAAGGCAAGCGTGTGCTCGGAGCGGGTGCAGTCGCGTCTGGCGGCATCGTGCCCGTTGGACCGCCAGATGCGACGTGTAGTGCAGTCCGGGTGGGCGTGGTGTGGGCAGCGCTGGGGAGGTTCAGGGTTAGAGGCAGATGGTCTGACGAGATAGAAGGTGGTCGGTGAGGAGCAGGGGCGGGAGGCGTGGGGACGCGACTGAGGGCTAGCGACTCGTAGCTTCCGCTCTAACGTTGCTCTTGCCGGGATGGGCATGCTGGCGGGAATTGTGCAGGGCAGGCGCGATGGACAGCACCTCGACCGACAAGGTGCAGCACTGGCGCTTGGCGCCCGAGTCGCAGTCCAGCACCGCACCAGACTGCAGCTGCTGCGACGATGCCACCCGGCGTCCAGGAGCAGACGTCACCACCCTGTGTCGCGACGGGACGACGCCGGCGGCTGGACGGCGTCGAGGCGGCTGTCGGCAGGCACATCAGGGCCAGTGGACAAGCGGACGAGTCTGTTCATCCTCCACCCGCCGTCATGCGCCATCGGAGAAATGAGCAGCCCTGAGTCGCAGCCCTACCGTACACAGTACGCGATGCTGCTGCTGCCAACGCTCGAGAAGCCCGTGCCGTGCGCGCCATGCAGCAGCAGACTCGCTGGCAACACCCGCTCCGCCTGCTCCTGTGTGCTCTACGCGCCCGCGTCCGCAGCCTCGCGGTGCGTGGTGCAGTGCGGCAGAAGGCTACGCCGGGAAGGCACACGCGCGCCGAGCTCCTTCCGCGTCTATTCATAGACACGCGGCCAATCACATGGACCCTGCGCTGCCCGGGGTGCGCGTGCCGTTGCGAGGTGCGTGAGCCGCTGAGTGAGAAGGCTGACTTCGCAGCCCTCCGCATCCAGAGTCCGCCTCGCCAAACATACCTGAGGAATGCCGTCACACCACCATTGGCCGCGCCCGCTCGCTTTCCGTAGCAGCGCCAGGGACAAGGCAACGAGGCAAACATGCCCCCCTCCCGCCAGCCCTGCTCAACCCTCGACACGCGCCTTGCGACAAGCTTTTCGGCGCTCTACTGTGACCCTGCGAGCCGCTACCATGCGCTAGCCCACTTGTGGCATCTCGGTCGTTCGATGCCGTCCGCAGTCCCATCACCTCCCCATCTAGACTCCCAGCGCTCTTGTCGCAAGGCTCATAGCTGCCAGATGCCGTCACCCGAGAGCAGCCCACACGACTCCATTACTGGGTCGACCGTCGCCCACCATGCCAGGGGCGTGCCAGCTTCGGCGGCCCGACACTTGCCAACGTGCAGCGCTTGCGGGGCTCATCTCACCTCAGCACTCTCTTCATCCTGCCTGAGGCGCTCACGTCCCAAGATCTGGCTCATCCCCAAACATCGCCTTCTCCTTTGGGTCCCGATGCTGGCTGCTCTCCTCCCACGCCCAACGCTTCTGCAGCAGCCACCAGCACCCTGCGCTAATGCAGATACTCGCCAACACCAAGCTCACCTCATCCCCATATCTCTTGCTTCTCGCCAGTGGGTGACGTGACCCTATCGTCACTGCACGACTAATAAGCTGCATGTCTCTCGTCGTACCTCAGCACTACGTTTGACAATCCGCAAGTCCTTAGCCTTGCATAGTGGCCGCTGTCAACGCCGCGTGGTGACTCGTCCTGGAGCAACACCGAGTATGCCTCCAGCCCCTGCATTCTACAGAAAAACCGTTTCGGACTTGCAGCGTTGGTGGCGTCGGGGCGCCCTCAACACTACCTAGGAGGCCCGACGGATGCACGTGACGGTAGTCTGAACCGTCGTCTCAGTCCGAGACATGGTAACGTTGCCATTGAGACGACTTCTCCCGGTGGTAGCGTTTCTTCTATGCAAGATGAGGTCTACACTGAGCCTGCGCAGGTCTCGACTGCTTGACATCCAGATCTGATAACGGTTGCAGTCAGGTGATTCGTCTTTCTTGTCTGCTTCCCCTCAACTGGGCCACAGGGAACGCAGATTCTTCGCGCAGAAAGACATTCCATGGCTCTATAGTCCGTCGAGGCGTCCCTTGTTGCGAAATCCTTCCATCTTCTTCTTAGTATTTGCTTGCTTCAACCATTCACGACCATGCAACGTCTGGTCAAGGCACATCTTGAAACCCAGGGCATCACGCGAAAGACCATGATGTTCGAGGAAGAAGCTCCTTCAGCTCAGACACAGCATAGCAGAAGGTCCAGATATACGTCGTGCTAACTACGGGAGATCACCTTTTGCGGCTCCTTGAGGATCCTGTTCTTGGATTGTGGGATTTTGGGCCCCAAGACGACTCGCCTTGGATGCCTTTACCGGCCGTTACGCGCACAGACTCAATGTTCGCTCGTAAATAACAACCTCGCATGTTCCCTTGTGCGATGAGCTCTTTTTCTGGAGTCTCTCTGGTTGCGAAGCTACACTGATATACAATCGAGACTGTGCTTCCAACAATGTGCGACATGTAGTACAAGCATTTGCCTCACTCCTGGGCGTATCTTACACTGAAGTTGTAATTAAGTTATCACCGGCACCGTCAGCATCTACCACGGCCAGGTGTATATGCACATAATCATTCCGTGTCGGCTGCCATGGTACCCACTGCAGTGGCTTCCCTGACCATTTCGCCCGGCAGTGATCATCCTACTGCATGTATCCGTCGCGGTGGGTCATTGTAGAAGGCCACCCCATTGCACGATTCGCAATGGAAGCCCGGTACCCGCAGCAGTTGCCATGAGTGCACCTTTTTGGGTGGATCTTCCCTAGCGCATCTTCCTTTAATGCTTGACCTTTCTCTCAATCGGGCAACTGCGCGTTCGCACTTTCTCTAACGGTCACGCGAGATTACCCCGTTCTCGCTCGAGATATCCGCTTCTCTGGTTTCCATGCATGCCACGGCTACGCTAAACACGCTTTGAAGCACAACTCGCAATTCGCACTTCGCATGCTAGAGCCTCATCCTCGAGGCCTGAACCTGCACGAGCCGGAAAAGCACTCGTGTCGTGCATTCCCTGGGCTTTCCAACATCGGTGTCCACGGGCTCAGCCTCGTTTTAAGGAGGCAGGGGTTTGCGGCGGCCCCCCTTGAGCCTCTATAAAGGTAGATACCCCCTGTCTCCCGTGATATGTATTCAGAGCGCTCTTGGCTTTTTGAAGTGGTGTTGCTTCCTAGAGTGAAGAGGAGGAGCGTTAGAAGGTGAATGGATGTTACGAGGAACAGCATCATGCCGCCCACTTCACGGATACGATATGCAACACCGACCGAGCGATATGGGGGTCTCAAATACGATAATGCATAGGATCACGAACAACAATACGACTTCGGGCAACGGGCTGTCCGTGACGACATGGACTGACGGACATGACATCTGGATTCACCTCGACTCAACATACCCACACCGGACATGCTCAGCTTGGTGACAATCAGCATAGCATACAGGCTACGGATGATTGAGGCATTGTACGACTACAGAGGGTATGATTGCAGAACTCTCATAGTCACTGAGTTTTTCCACCATCAACAAGGACGCAATCGCAACCAAACTGTTGATGACTTACCGCTCTCACCAAAACGCCGCGTACCGATGCACATTCCCATTGTTAACCCACACGAACATTGGCAACGTCCTGCCGCCCTGCTTTAGACCACCAACACACCGCTCGAGCGAATCATTTCTTCCATCCTCATACAACCGAGAAACGTATGGAGTACGAGCCAACAGTGGGAAACTTTCCACGAGGAACAATTGGCCTTTCCATGAGACCAATCATGGGCTGCTCAGAGCGTCGTTGTTCTTTGCCAGCGAAAGTTCGACTTGTCCATCAAACCTTCCGCCTCTCGAATGCAAAGATGCTGCCGCTCAGTCAGCATTACTCTGCAAAGGTAGGGCTTTGCGAATCCGCCCTTCACCAATCATTCGACAGACCCCACACACAGCCCCGCATACTGTACTTGACTCACTAGCCCTCTACATGTGCCTCTAACATGCCAAAGCAGAAAGACTCAGTCCCTCCCCGCTCTCGCATCTACGACTTCCAACGCAATGGACGCCCTCCCCGAAGAGTTACTCGTCCACATACTCAACCATCTGGTCCCCACCCCATCCCTACTCACACGACCCCTGACACCGACAGTGCATGCCCTTTGCCTCACCTCGAGGAGATTATACCGCCTCGCAAAATCTCACCTATACGCGCATATACAAAGCACATCTGGCTCAATGGGGATCAGCCTCCTACGGACGCTGGAAAAGAATCCCGACCTGGCACAACGCGTCGAGCAGTTTGTGGTCCAGCACACCAACGAGCAAAACGACGAAGCCACGAGCCAGAACAAAGACATCGCCGTGCGGACGATCCGGTTGCTGTCGAACTTGAAGTCTTTGGATGTGTCGAGATGTGAAGCAAGCTTCATATGGTGGGACCTAGCCGTTGATCCCCACTCCCTCTCGCCCGACGACGAAATCCCTATGCGCGGCTACTCCAAAGAGCGCTCCGTCCTCATTCCCTCGCTCCCGCATCTTCGCACCCTCTCCCTTCGTCTCCAAGACAGTCCAGCCCGCTGTATCCTCCCCTACCTCAAGCTGCCTTCTCTCCGCGTGCTAGCAATAGATGTGCGAGGGACAGTTCGTGATCGCCACAGCTACACGTCTAGCTACCACACCAACACACCCGTGCAGCACCTCCGCATCGTCGGCAACGGGACCTCTCGGCAGCCCGACATACGCTGGCTCGGCGAGGAGCCTGTCAACCTACGCACCCTCTTCCTAGCTGTGGCCGAGCTGGACGGCTGGATCCCCTGTGTGGTGTGGTTGTTCGGTCATCATTTCTGGCGGGGACGCGTCACGAGCCTGCAGATTGCGGTTGCGGGGCTGCGGCATTACGATGTCGACTTTGAAGCGATGATCGAGGATTCGGAGATGTGCCTTGGATCGGACGCGCACAGAACGTGGCAAGAGATGTCAGAGAGAGCGAAGATGTACAGGAGGGGCGAGAAGTATGCGCAATCCTGTCTTGGGGCCTTGCGGTACGTAGCTAAGCGGGCGGGCGGGGAGGAAGTTGTGAATATAGGAGAGGCGCACCCAGGCGTGAGGCGAGTGACGATGAGGAACTTGACGGACGAGGAGAAGAGGGTGTATGACGTCGGTGCTGGCTTGAATCGAAAACCCTGATTTGGATACTGTAGCATGGGAGATCATACTTGACATTCGTGCGCCAAGAGCCCAGGTTGGGGTGTCTTACAATGCCGCTGGGTGCGTTGCGTGAGAAGCCTAGGGGACTGAGATGGCAGTCTGTAAGTCCCGCAGCTCGCCAAGATTTCTGATCTCGGGCATGACGTTGCGACGAAAGGGGCGGCGTCTCGATTTCGCTATCGGAATTCGGCCGTGTGCATGGTTATCAGTGTTTCTCGTGCAAATATAAGAAGAGGTAGCGAGCAAGGTGAGAGATAGCCTGAATGCAAAGACAAAGAGACCATCACAACAGCACAAGCAGTCTGAACTACACCTAAAAGGCTTCCTAGGTTTCCGTGCGCGCTGTTGTCCATCCTCATCCTAATTTTTCAAGACCCTCTCATAAATAAGCCTTCAAATACTCCCTGCGACCTACAAGTACAGCTTATGCATGAACTCCGATTGCACATTTTCTTGGCCCATGCAATTCACCGCCTGGGCCTTGCCCTTCCATCCACGTTTTATTTTCTTCGAAAGCTTCTCCTTTGCATGCATTGACTCGGACCTGCATGTAGACATCATCAAGTTCTACTTTTCCCTCACCCTCACACCATGCCTCCCCTCATACACCAGCTCAAACCCGGTCCTAGCATCATTCGTACATTGCGCCCCAATCGTACTCCCACTCTTCAAACTTCTCAAGGATTTCGCAAAGCATACCTTCTACTCCTCCAACCTCTCCCTCATCGCCTCCAAGTTTCTCTCATCAGGAAGCCTCGAGGCCAGCAGATCCAAGAACGCAATCATTCCGACCCTGCGCGACATGCTAGGCACCTCCGCATTTCGCTCTACAGCTCGACGAGTGCCTGTCGCTTGGGTATGTTGTACAGCTTTGAGTTCTCTCGGCGGGCACCGGTGGTGTTGGACGGGGTGGCGTCGAAGATGGGCATGAAGCGGGCGTGCTTCAGGCGTGCGTAGGTGTGCATAGGCGTGCGTGTGTGTATTTGTGCTTGAAGGAAGGGATGGGCGCGAAAGCAGTGAAGGAGTCGTTGTGGATGGGCTACTTGCCTAGGTATCATGCGTGAGTTGGGGGAGGTGCATATGATTTGGGCGGGAGATGATGTGGCGAAGTAGTTGGCATGGAGATGGTATGGCGAGAGTAGGAAGGTATACCTTCGATCTCAGGAGTGGGCGCTGTGTGCTAGGTTTCGTGGATAGGGAGCGAAGTATCATGCTGCTGGGGCTTTTTCACATACATTAAGAGGCCGAGAGTCTCTTGCTACCTTCCAGATCGGAACCCGATGCAGAGAACTCCGGCTCTCGCACTTTCGGTGGCTCGGCCTCATGGTCATTCATCTTGTGGATGTCCTGCACAGAAAGACGGCTCTCCATTCTCGCATGTGGCTGCTGCGGCGCTTCGAATATTCAACTCGTGTAGGCGCTGGGTAAGGTCCGAAAATCGAACCCGGTTGGGGAAACGCAGAGCTAGAACAGGAGCCCTGAGCAAGTTTCTCTAGAGAAAAGACCCGATGAATATCCGGCCGTGGAGGAAACTTTGGAGATAGACGCAAATCCAACGGCAGAAGAGAAATTAGACGAGGCAGGCTCTCAAACCTCACTTGCCGTTCGTTGACTGATCCAATGCAGGATCGACTACGCCAGGAGGGGAAAGATTTCTGTGATCGTGTTTGGGGAGATGGCCCTTTAGTTTCAACTGAACTGATGCGGATCGATGATAGCTGCTTCGAGTGCTATAAGGTCAGTCTCGTCGATATGGGAGAGACACATTGACAGCGATCAGAAAGTGATCCATCGACCTCATTCGTTTTTCGAGCACCCTTGATCGCTTGGCTATCCCTGGGCAGCTTCTTCTCTCAGGGCGAAGGTCTCCCTTTCGTCTAACTCTGACCCGCAACCAATTGTGACTTGAGAACAAGTACTTTCGCTACCGATCGCTTGGACGACCACAAACATGCTGCCAGTTTCTTGGAGAAGCCCATTGTGCTGTAACGAAAGATGATACAAGACGGGTCAGACGATCAATGCAAGTACAGTTAATGCATACGGGTACGAATAATTGCTGCAGGTCCGAGATCTGCTCGGGGAGAGCCTGCTCTCCTGATCAACCTCTCAGCGCTAAAAGGCCTGTTGAGCCATTCGATAGCATACTCGACCATTCTGAAAGGCCAGCTATATTACCGCGATCCGTCTCCACCGCCCGACGGGGCAGCCTCTGGATTTTGTTTGAGATAGAAGCGATAATTGCTCTTGATCCCATGTTGAACCTTGCAGCCTTGCCTACAGTGGGTAATCATTCCTAATATGTCTACCGGCCTTCAAGATGTTGTATTCCCACTCTGCTTTTACCAAAGCATGCATCAGAACAGTTGCAGTGCTCTCCTGAGCTTCGCCTTGAAGCGGTACGTTGGTGGAGTCGTCTAATGCTAACCACTGTTTACAACACCCTTGTCGTGACAGCCAAAACGTCAACCAAATGTCTTCCTATCTCAAGGTTCCATTGGTCGATTTGGTCGGAATGTATAGGAGGCGAAGTATCATGCTGGTTTCACATTCTGCTCTTGGGGCATGTTGCGTGCTCTAGCCGATTCTGTTGTTGTATGGTCGGGTTATGAGATGGTTGTCAACAATAGCAGCTCTGGCTCAGCACATGCCAAAGAAACGGCAGCTTTAGAGCTACCATGATTCGGCGATAGTAGAATATGCGTGTGCGTTAGGCTGAGCAAGGTGTGGAAGTGGAATGGCACTAAAGTCCTCACTTTCGCTGGGAGTGGCGTGTGACGCGGATTAGCACATACTAGTCGGGTACTTGCTGAACATCTCCTTTATTTCCGTGGTGTAGCTGCTCTCATCGCCTCCCCCAGTACTCAGCCTACGTATCATAAACCTCAAGGTCAGACGAATGAGGATGGGCTGACAGGGGCCACCAGGATCTCTGTACGCCGATTGTGCACGCTTCATCGAGTCTCTGTGCGCTTCGAGGCTGTACCTTCCGATAACGCAGGCATCGCGTCACAGAAACCTAGTAGAGTTTTTACAAAATGCTACCCGTCCGAAAGATCTCCCCGAGTTTCCGCTTCTCCATATGTGACGAAATTTGTGGCTGGATTGATCTGTAGATGAGGCTGCAGCACAAGCATGCTTCCTGGAAGCCTCGACCGGGAGTCACGGTCACCGTAAGATTGGGTATCTAATTATGTCTGTAACAAGGATTGATCGCTGCGAGCCGTTCCCTTGTATGCACACGGCTTGTGCGGCGTAGCTAGAGGCCGTCGTACCACGGTATTGGAAAATCCTTATGTGTGTATCATCTCTGTCCACGTGGCAGGGGCTTCGAACGAAAAACGAATGCGAGCATATGAAGGTACCTGAAAGTGATAAAGCTGTAGTGCGCGTAGAATAGCCGGCGAATCGGAAGTGCGGAGTAAATGCTGGGTTATGTCTCGGGCGCCAACCTGACAGCTGGAGATACGAGGAGTTCGCGCCACCAAACGGCCAGAGCCGGACACGCCGGGTCACATGGTCGGTATTGTGCCGTCCATGACAATGGTACTTTGTCTCTTTGGGGCCAAGGGCAGCAAAGAACAGGCTGCAAGCGGGAAGGAAACTGTGCATTAGCTATCATGGCCACGTCTTCGCCGAACAACGAACGTCCCTGCTCTTGAACAGCGCCCTAGCTGCATTGGAGGATATCTATCTGTGCGTGGTATCAGCAATGAGTACAAGGCGAGCCACTACATCCCGCGGCCTAGAGCTGAACGAACCCCAGCTTTGTTTTGGGCGGCAACACAGATCCGCTGCCCACGTTCACCACCCCGGGCCCAATGGAGTGGTTGTTGGGCACGAATCGTGCAGGAACCGCAACACCGGAAAAGCCAAGGATGCGGCTCAAATCTGAGTGTTTCTTTTTGAGAGGGGTTGCATAAGCCAAAACATTTCGATAACGGGAAAGACGAGCAATACCCGTCCATACCGTTCAAATTCGTGGAGGGGATTGTGCACACATTCTTGGCTATGGAGACGGTACGCTAAGACGACGAACAGCTCGTTCATTGAGGGAGCGCGTGGGGTGACACTGGTAAACTTCACAATGTGGACTGTGCACAGGTCTCCTAGGGCCGGAAAAAGGCACTGCTGGCACCGCAACGGGAAGTCGATCAATGATGTCCTGGCGTTCAGGCCGCATTGTGCGCTGTCCCTAAAGCTGATCGCCGAAGCCTGGTTATTTTCGGTCACCCTTGTCGCGCGTGTGGCAGGCCACAAACGGAAATACTGGGCTAGCTTTGCGATGTTCCCGTCAGAAGGTCGATCGAAGGATGCATGCATCCTATTGATGGCCAAAACATCCTGTTGATGGCCTAAATCGCTTGACTGTGAGATAGTATTGAGCAGTTGCATTCTCAATGACAGCTTCAATTCTATAATCTGCCAACGAAAAGAGATCCCTTGGGTGAGATGATGACAACGCATGTCGAACAGCTGTGCGTTTCAGATCCTTGTCGGGAAAATAAAGCTCGCCGTCGTTATTGGCGTCGGATTCGTGGGTCTTGCTTTTGCCAGCCAGCCCCAGGCGTGTGCACTGACCTTGAGGTGAGCCCGGAGCATATCTCTGAGATGAGATGCGGGGCTGTCACTCTTTCACAGTGCTCTCAAGCAGGGCGAAGGCGCATCGTCCCTATCACGATCATGCACGTCTTGTGGCGCTGCATGGCAAGTGCGTTCCGCATAGGGTTTGAAGACTGGCGGTCGATCTCCTCGCATTCGTGTTGCGCACAGAGAACGCCATGAGGAGATTGACAAACAGGGATATATGAGGCTGGCTCTGTATATATCTGTAGTCGCACGCCTCAGTGAATGCAAACTGATTCTGCAACGCTGTCAGTAGATATCTTCCAGAGACACACACTAGCGACCGTACAAATTACGAGCATCAAATCCTGTTCCAAACAGTGCATCATCATTGCTGCCAGGTAGAATGCAACGACCTTGTACTGAGACAAGTGCTAATGACTGGAAAGTAGATCCTACTTTATCATGGAGTTGGCCAGAAGAGAGCAACAGCATCCCGAAATGCTTAGCATGCGACGAAGCAGGTTGTCCGCGCACAATCTTCGGATACACACAGCTGCTTTCTCAAAGGTTAGTCTTCAGCCTATTCTTGTAGAGACGACGCTGACGACGTGTGTACAGCAATCGTACTTTCCAATTAACCGACTCCGGGAGGAGCGACCAGAGGAAGCCAACGATGATCAAACGCCCATCGACGCCTTGGGGTTCTCGTACGACGGGCTATCGCCGCAAGACATCAACATGGAGGTTCGACGGCAGGCATCGCTGGATGCGCTGGGATTGTACTCGGGCAATGTCGCGTCGCTCTCCACGCCCATGGATCGACTGATTGCTCGACAGGACCGAAGACAAGCAGGAGAGATGTGTGGCAGAACAAGAGATGTCGAAACGCTTGACGCGGGTGAGCTGGCATCAGAACTGAGTGAGGATGTTCAGCAGGACGACGTGAGGAGCGTGGGATCAGGAAGTCTGCAGGCGTCCTCGGACACGCTGTCGGTCACGAGGGAGAACCTGATGGAGACGACGAAAGAGAAGGATGAGCAAGCGGCGCGCAACTGGAGAAGACTGAAGATGAGACGGCGCAACACGATAGGTAAGACGAAGAGGACACACAAGGCTGCGCCGGCGGTGCAACCCATCAGAGGGTGACGGGCCGCGACTTCCTGCTCTCCTCACTGCGATGCGGGCGTCGCGCTTTCCTCCCGTCTCTCTCCGCGGGGTCTTCCTACTTAATGATTGTACTAATCGCCCTCCTTTCGGTTTCCTATGTAGCGTACCGTAGCGAATAACATGCACGATGGCAGTTTCCACCAGGCCACACGACCAGTTGCAGTGGAACGAGCAGCGAGGGGTGGGTGGACGTGGGGTGGGTGGGGGCTTTCGTGAGCGACAAGTGGAGGAAGGTGCGCCTGCAGGGAGGCTGGCCAGTCACGGCTCGACGAGCGACAGGCACGCACACTGCGATGCGGGTTGCGGCTCGAGGAAGACGGACGAAGTTGCGAGACAGGTGCGCTGGTCTCGCTGGAGGGTTCCTATGACGCAATCGCCAGAAGAGATTGAGCTCTTGTGGGTCTCTTCACAATGCTCCGACCCTAGCGATCGGGTGCTGGCAAGGTTGATCGAGCCGCCCACGAACCCTGAATCCATGCAGCCACTCCCACGCATTTGCGTCCATCGCAGACGCAAACGGGACCACAGCTCCTTACCGCCTTCTCTGACGCCGCCTGCACTTTCATGACCCACACGTTGACGCTGCCGGCCGGACCTGTCACTCTGCAATGGCTCGTCACCCGTGCATTGCCCTCGCCCTTTGCTCATACTCGCCGCGCGTGACCTCCGGCGTACCTCCACGTACTCTGCTCTTCTCCGTCCCCGCTGTTACCTAGCAATTCGACTGCTGCCTCGCCTTGTTGTTGTCGTCGTCCGTGACCTCTTGTCGTATGTCCTATTGTCGTCTCTGAATACCTGAGGTCATTCTAGGCACGTCTGCCCCGCCCCCGCCGACGTTGGTGCCGGTCCTGTACCTGAGCGTTGCGCTGACTTGTCGTCACCAGTAACCTCGCAGCAATTACCTCCCACCTATATCACTACCCTCGGCCCTGTTACACCACCACCTAGTCGACCCGCGCTTGCAACCCAACAATCCTCCTCCGTAGCATGAGCTCGCAATCTTTGAAGCCCCGACGTTCATCCACTGTTCACGACCCGTACGCGGCACCCGGCGTCTACTACGGCCAACCCCACGAAAGGAAACATGCTCGAGCCAACACTTACTCTGCAGTGAGTCATGCAGCCGCCTGAACGTACGGTATTCGGCTGATAGCCTACAGGTCGTAGACACCAAAGGCTCCGGTGGCCGCAATGCACCAGTCGCCGACAGCTTCAAAGGCCGGCGCATCAGTCACGGTATGTACCTGTCCTACAAGTACCTTGTATCTTGCTAACAATCTTCAGACGAACAGTCAGCACAGCCGCGTCGCTTTCTTGTCCAGGTCGAGCCCACCCTCAAAACACTTCTCGCCCGTGAGGACAGCGACGGCAACTATCAAATTACCATAGATGACAAGGGTCCCAAGGCATGAAAATCCATCCATCGCACCTTGCCCTAGCTAACTAGATGTAGGTTTTGTCTCTCGGAACGCTTGCCTCCAATGCCCACAACAAATTCGACGTGCGAGGCACCTACATGCTGTCCAACCTTCTACAAGAGCTTACCCTTGCTCAAGACTACGGCCGCAAAACCATTGTGCTTGACGAAGCCCGCCTGAACGAGAACCCTGTAAACCGCCTTACACGTCTGATTGAGCACTCGTTCTGGGATGGACTGACACGGCGCATTGATGGTTCGAACATCGAGAAGGTGGGCCGCGACCCGAAGGATTGGACCGACGACCCGCGTCCGCGTATTTACGTTCCGCACGGCGCCCCCGAGCAGCTGGAATACTATCAACGTATCCGTGACCAACACCCCCATATGCTCTTAGACGTCATAGAGCTTCCAGAGACCTGGAACGATGAATATGTCAGAGATCTGAACGAAAAGCCCGGTCTGCTTGCTATTGCCATGGAGGAGTGGATAGATCCTGAGACCAAGAAGAAGGACTTACGTGGCCTTCCCTTTGTGGTCCCCGGTGGCAGATTCAACGAGCTCTATGGCTGGGATAGTTACATGGAGTCGCTCGGTCTGCTGGAGAACAACCGCCCTGAGCTTGTCAAAGCTATGGTCACGCATTTCTGCTTCTGCATCAAGCACTATGGCAAGATTCTTAACGCCAACCGGTCCTATTATCTTTGCCGATCTCAGCCGCCCTTCCTTACGGACATGGCTTTGCGAGTTTACGAACGCATTAAGCATGAGGACGACTCCAAGGAGTTCCTTCGCCAAGCCATACTGGCCGCCATCAAGGAATATTACACGGTGTGGATGGCTGAACCTCGATTGGATAAGAAAACTGGTCTATCTCGTTATCGTCCAGGAGGTATTGGCGTCCCTCCAGAAACTGAGGCTAGCCATTTCGAGCATGTCCTGCAGCCGTATGCGGACAAGCACAACATGACGTTCAAGGAGTTTGTCAGGGCTTACAACTACCAAGAGGTCGAGGAGCCGGAGCTGGACACCTATTTCCTGCACGATCGTGCCGTGCGCGAGTCCGGTCACGACACTTCATATCGTTTGGAGAAGGTTGCTGCTGATCTTTGCTGTGTCGATGTCAACGCACTTCTTTACAAGTATGAGGTGGATATCGGTCGTACCATCCGCAATTACTTTGGGGACAAGTTGCCGCTTCCCAAGGAGTTCTGCGGTGAAGGCATGACGGAAGGCCATGTGGAGACATCAGCAGTCTGGGAGCGCCGTGCTAGAGATCGTCGCAAGCGAGTCGACAAGTATCTTTGGGACGAGGAAGCCGGCATGTACTTCGATTATCACTCAGTGTTGGGGCAACGAACCGGCTATGAAAGCGCAACGACCTTCTGGCCCATGTGGTCTGGTCTGGCCACTCCCCGACAGGCCAACGAATTGGTCACACGAGCGTTGCCGAAATTTGAGGTCTTCGGGGGGCTTGTCTCCGGAACTGAGAAATCTCGCGGCAAAATTGGCCTCGACCGGCCCAACCGACAATGGGACTATCCCTTCGGATGGGCGCCGCAACAAATTCTGGCCTGGGTCGGTCTGCAGCGTTACGGTTACGATGCCGAGGCACAGCGATTAGCATACCGTTGGTGCTACATGGTCACCAAAGCTTTCGTCGACTTCAACGGCGTCGTTGTGGAGAAGTACGATGTTACGCGCCCAATAGATCCTCACAAGGTCGAGGCGGAATATGGAAACCAAGGCAGCGATTTCAAGGGTGTTCCTCGCGAAGGGTGAGTGATTTTTCCTAATCTATGTTGTCACGTCTAACAGTGTGCAGATTCGGTTGGGTTAACGCGAGTTACATCTACGGCATGACGCTCATCAGCGCACACATGAAACGAGCTCTCGGTGCCCTCACAACATGGGACACCTTTGAGCAGGCCATGTCCGACCTTGGGATGATCTAAGCATGCCCATTGCAAATTCACGATTTACGATGCATGACCAATGTTCGATGCTAGACAGTACATCGAGCAGTCAGTTGATACCATTTCCTCTGATAGCGTCTGGGGTTGATAAGGCTTGTCTTGGATGAGAGTCTCTAGGCGGATTCTTGTCTGTTAGATGGTCACGATGAGACAACGAGCAGGGTGTGATATTGTGCGTTCTTGGAATGCATGGAGGACACGGCGTTGTGACGTATGATAGTACCTCGAATCGACCATAGTATTAACTGTGACATCGTGGAAATTTGGTAGTTGTGAAAGCTTCAAGTGATGTTGCGAATGAGTAATGGTGATTTCGACACGGACTTTAGTTGCGGCGAAAGGGCGCTGAGAGATGGTTCTGGAAACGCTCGCACCTGTTCGGGACTAGCCCCATCCCGCCGCCTCTTCGACTCACAGCCTGCCGCTGCATGCCTTTCTTTCTACATAAGCCACCTTCAGTGTGCAGGCATTCTCAATTCCACTCTCGATCCACCCGTCATCATACGCACCGGCCGATCGCAAGTGACACGCACGGCACAATTAACAAACGTACCGCCTACAGCACACAAACCCCAAAACCCCACCGCCTCACCTCTCGCAATCACCCTCGCGAGGCTCGATTCACGATAAACTTAAGCTTCACCTCAATCAAGCAACTCACATCACCGGCAAGATGAGCGACGACTGGAGCAGCGTCACGAAGATCGGCTCCCGCACTCGCGGCGGCGCGGCTGGACCCCGCGAGACGGTCGTCAAGGGCAAGAGCGCGCTGAACGCAGCACAGCGAAGCGGCGGTATCGTAGCAACAGAGAAGAAGTTTGCCACTGCTAATGCTGTACGTATCACCACTCATCCCCTCACATCTTCACAAACCATATCGCAAGCCCCAGGCGACGTCATGGACCCACCGGCACACGACATCATCACCAGCAAGCACTAACACTTTTGCAGGGCGCCTCATCCGAAGGCCAGCGCCTCACCAAAGTGGACCGCTCCGACGACATCATCAAGCCCAAGACGGTGGGCATCGCTGTCGGCCAGGCCATCTCCAAGGCGCGCTCCGAAGCCAAGAACGACAAGGGCACCACCATGACGCAGAAGGACCTCGCGACAAAGTGCAACAGCACGCCGACTATTATTGCTGACTTTGAGCGCGGCTCTGCGACGCCCGACCAGAAGCTGTTGGGTACCATGGAGCGTGTGCTCAATGTCGTCCTACGGGGTGACAAGATTGGTCAGCCCAAGTTTCCGAACAAGAAGAAATAGACAGTATCTGGCGTAGGAGGCAGGCAGACGAAAAGCACGTTTGGGATACCAGACTGGGCATGACGGGATTTGATTAGCGGGCGTTTGAAGGATGGAACTGCAGAATGAATTGCGTTTCAGGCCGACATCGGACTCTGGCTTTGGTAGCCATCACGATACTCCTCATAGAGCTGTTAGGAAATGACATCATGACGGATCAAATTCCCAAATTGAGTGTTACCTTCCGTTTGGAGCAGTCGGAAAGTGTCATTGCTAATCGATTGGAGTTGGTAGCAGAAAAAGGAGAAAACGCATAAGGAGACCAAGAACGGGGGGGGGGGACCAAACTGGTGGCAGAGTTGGCTTAAACCACACTTCAACACAATCATCGACACCTCCGATCATCACAAATGGGACCCCCTACGACCGGAAAGCTCCTTCCTCTATCTCCTCTTCAGGCTCCTCGTCGATAACATACAGCCCCGCATCCTCCTCGTCCATGCCGCACCGACACCGACAACACACGTTCCCCTCCCGCTCCCTCTCTCTAATAGCCCGAGGACTCAGCGCTACGCCCGCAGCACCGTAAACTACATTCCCGGAGGAGGAGGAGCAGCCCCAGTCCCAGTCCATCTCATCGAGATCAAGGATTGGAATCGAAGATTGTTTTGGGGGCGGGGGGGAAGTACTGTTGCGCTGGCGGAGATGACGGAGGAGAGGGATATGAAGATGTGGAGGAAGATGGGAATGAAAAAGCTGATGTGCGGCACGACCTGTCGTCCGTATCGTGACTTTCGCCGTCGCAATCATCCATGTCGACATCCATGTAGGGTTTTCCTCGCGCTCTGTCTGCTTCCCGAAGCATTTCCTCCAGCGTGTCCGCGTCGAGGTGGTGTCTGCGGCGCAAGGGCGGCGGCTTGGGGATGTGGATGACGGTTTTGTATGTCATGTGTGGGAGAGGAGGGGTTTTTGCGAGCTCCGGATGGTACGTGGGGCGCTTCTCCGTCGGAGCAGGGGAGGTCGACATGATAGTCTCAATGGTGGGGAGGGGTGTGAGGCTTAGCGGCGTGGGTCGCCTCGCTCTCTGTCTCTCCTTCTCTTTACCTTCGGAATAGGAGAAGGCTGACGATCCTTGTCGGTGATTACGCCTTGTGCCTACACTCTCTGTCAGACCCTCTCTTTCTAACTGGATCCTGTCGACTCACCATGTTCGCTCCCCTCTCTTATCGAAGATGTAGCTACGTCTTCTTGTACGGCCTCCTCTTTGGCTTGACCTTCCACGGAACTTTGTCCAGCAACCGCGAGGATGGGGTTAGTGGGCAGTTGTTGAGCGCTTTGCATGCTTCGTGGCGGTGGTGGAGGGAGGAGGTTAGGTAGGTGGGGGTCGTGGGGGATGTTGCGCATGCGAGCGTGCTGAGCACGAGGAGGACAAACAGGAAGGGACAGATGCTTGTGGAGGGGCAAATCATGGAAGGCTGGGTTGAGCTTATGTTTGCAAGTTGGAAGAGATTGTAAAGCTGCCCCGTCGATCTGGTGTTCGTTGGTCTATGGGGTTTTACAGACCTACTTATACACCTTGTCTGACATACTACTGTCTGCCTTCTTTCTCCCCCATGTTTCATCTATTACGATAATGTCGTCACTGCTTCCCCTCATACATGACATTGTGGTGGCACTGCTAGGGATGTTAATTGGGCGGCGCAGTGCGCTTGGAAGTGATTCGTTCAAGGAGGATTGCTGGAGTGGGAGGCGCTGCTGAAGTATCAATCTGATTGAGAGCGAATTCGGTCCTATGAGCTCACGGGTGGCGCGGTGTCTCATACGGACGCATTGTATATCGAGGGTGGTGTTGCGATCGAGAGAGAAGTCCTACGGGGCGAAGTAGAAGCTTGAGATAGAAATACACGTGATATGCTTGATGGTGGAGAAGTGTACTGTGTGCTTGCACGTACATCGTCTTGGTATGTTGCAAGTATATGCATGCGAGACGTCGTTTGATGGGGAGCACTACATGGACCGGCGAGGCATAATCGTTTCTCTTGTCTATGGTAGATCCTTACCTTTGGCACCGTGCGGCCAGGCTAGCGTTGAAGAACACCTCAGCACTAGATACTGTTCCTGGCGTCCTACCAAGCCTGCTCAATGGTACGGAATCGAGGGAGGTACCGGCTGCTTACCGCGACTACTGTAGCGTTGGTAAGATACCACAGCCAGCCTCTTGCTATTCTTACAGGTACGCCGCCGGCAGCTTTTCTTCCCGTCATTCCAGTTCGCTCTCACTGACTTGAAGATGCTCTTCGAAGTGAAGTCACCCGTCGTATACTGATGATGCTTGACCAAAATGGCAAGCAAAAAGTTACCCCTCTGCAGCAAGAACGTGGATGTCACGGTTCCGCATGTACCCACCTGCGCCGTACCGCCCCGTCCCTTCCGCACATGTGTGATCCTCCCTTCCACACCGGTCGCTACGCCATGGTGTCGATCATTCACATCTTAATTGCTAAACGGTCTAACCGCCGGGGCGGTACTTTTTAGGGCTAGGCTGGTCTGTGGGTGGTTCACGTCCACGCCTCCGTGCGTGAGCACGTTGAAACGTGCTTGTAAGGATTATGGTAGTTCGTAAAGGCGTCCAATGGGGCAACTCTTTAGGATGGAGGATTATCGCTCTTGGCCAGCTATTCGCAGTAGGAAGGATCAAGAGTGCTCAGACGTGAGCGTAAGATTCTTCGGATCGCGCTGTGCCTCTTTGTGTATATCTGTGACCGCGAGTTTTCCTGTATATTAGGTTGGCGCGAGGCTGCCGGATGCCACCCTTAAAGGAGCTAATGCGTCATTTTGCACGATCGTCTTTGCTCACTCGACAGACACGCCTATTTCGTGGCTCGCTGTGCATCCGCGAGATCGACAGAACCGTGCCGCGTCCTAGCCCTCCAAGCGCGACGTCGAATTAGCGAACATGACAATCCTAGGAGCTGTGCCGCCGAACCTCAGTCCAAGACATGGACCACTGACCAAGCGAAAACTTCGGTCCGCCGGTGGAACCTCCTCATATGTGGGTCCCCGAAGCAACGCTGCTGGTCTGCAACCTGCGCTTGTGGCGCGGAGAATGATTAAAAACCCTCAGGACCCTTGCCGTAAGAATTCCGTCGTCCGGAGAACATTCCGAGCGAGTCGATAGTTTTCGCATAAGTTACACTCTCGAGAAGTAAGACATGTTCGGTTCCGACAATGTCGACTGATATTAGGAAGAGGGGAACATGGATACTAATATGGATTTTTGCGTCGCACAGATCTAGCCATATCCCATCGCCGAACCACATATATGCATGCTGAGTGTTGAAGAACTCTATCGTACCAATCCTTTCGGCTTCGTCTAGTTGTGAAGCGCCAAAAAGCTCTACTGAATGTTGAAAGACCGCGCTTTTCCTAACGCCATGATCGCTATTAAAGTATGAATCTAGAAGAGGCCGTCGATCTCGCCCGTCTCGACATCAACATCAACATTCAGATATCCAGGCGCAGTCGGCAGTCCAGGGATTGTCTGAATATCTGCAGCCAGCGCGTACAGGTAGCCCGCACCAGCCGCCATTCTGACGTCGCGGATAGGAACCGTGAAGCCAGTCGGTGCGCCCTTGAGCTCAGGGTCGTGACTGAGCGAGTACTGTGTCTTTGCCACGCAGATGGGGAGGTTGCCAAGGCCTTGCTTGACATAGGTGTCCACCTTCTTCTGAGCAAGTTCTGAGAACTCAACTTTGTCTGCGCCGTACATCTTCTGGGCAATCATGTCCATGCGCTCCTGCACTGATCCTTCTAGGTCGTACAAAAGCTTGAAGTCTGACTTGGCGTTGCTCGCCGCAATGATGCCTTTGGCAAGGTCGACCGCGCCCTTTCCACCCTCAGCCCAGTGGTTGGCCGCGATGGCATCTTCTGCGCCAGCGGCAAGGGCCTCCTCCTTGATGACGTCAATTTCAGCTTGGGTGTCGGTCGAGAACTTGTTGATGCAGACTACGACCGGAACGCCGTACTCCTTGGCATTCTCGATGTGCTTCTTCAGGTTGACACATCCTTTGCGAAGGATCTCGACGTTCTCAGTACGGTAGACTTCTGGGAGCTGAGCGCCTGCGGTGACTGGGGGACCACCACCGTGGACCTTCAGAGCACGGACGGTAGCAACGATGACGACGGTGTCAGGTTGAAGACCTGACGAACGGCACTTGATGTTGAAGAAACGCTCACCGCCCATGGTGAAGTCGAAACCAGACTCGGTAACGACGAAGCCAGCCTTTTCGGCCGGGTCCTCATCCGGCTCCGTACCCGCGAGCTTGAGAGCAAGCTTGTCAGCGAGCACTGAGGAGGCTCCGATACTGATGTTGGCGAAAGGTCCAGCATGAACGAAGACGGGTGTGCCCTCGAGTGTCTGCATCATGTTGGGTTTGATAGCATCCTTGAGCAGGGCAGCCAGAGCACCGCCAGCACCAATATCGTCGCACGTGACAGGGTCTCCTTGGCGGGAGGTGGCAACGACCATACGACCAAGGCGCTCCCTCAGGTCGGCAAGGTCGTTGCTGAGCGCGAGAATGGCCATACACTCGCTAGCAACGGTGATGTCGAAGCCAGTCTCACGAGTCTGGCCCTTCTCGGTTGGCGCCTGGCCAACGGTGATGCCTCGCAGATGCCTGTCATTGACATCCAAGACGCGGCGCCAGGTGATGGTCTCAGGGTCAATGTCAAGTCGTGCGAAACGACGGATCTCTTCCTCCGTCAGTTCATCAGGATTGGTCTTGGTGATTCCGAGCTTCTTGAGACGGCGGTACATGATGGGTAAGAACTCGCGCTTGCCCTTCTTGGTCGGTACAAGCCGCTTGTAGAGAGGTCCATCCTTTTGTGTATTCTCATGGAAGATGCGCGTCTCAATGGCCGCAGCGAGCAGGTTGTTTGCGGCAGTGATGGCGTGGATATCTCCAGTAAGATGAAGATTGAACTCATCCATAGGAATAACCTGGCTGTAGCCACCTCCTGCAGCTCCACCCTTGATACCAAAGGTAGGTCCCATAGAGGGTTGTCGTACGTTGGCAAAGCATATTTTGCCGAGGTGTGCTCCAAGTGCCTGTGCGAGACCAACAGTAGTGGTCGACTTGCCCTCGCCCAAAGGTGTGGGCGTAATACCGGCGACCAAGATGTACTTGCCGTTCTTGCGGTGCTCGAGGCGTTTCAACAGAGAAAGGTCCACCTTGGCCTTGGTAGAGCCGTACGGCTCCAGCTCGTTCGGCAAGATACCAACTTCTGCTGCAACGGACGTGATCGGCTTCGGGTGTTGTTTCCTTGACACCTCGATGTCTGAGGGTACTGGGTCCTGGAGCTTCAAGGGGAGCGGGTTGATCTTTCGCTTCTTCTGCCTATCGAACGTAGCGTCTGCGGAGTCTACCACGTTCTGAAGAAGCATAGCCACGGTCATGGGTCCGACGCCTCCAGGCACAGGTGTGATGTGAGAGGCGACGTCTACGGCAGAGTCGTAGTCGACATCACCAACGAGCCTCTGGCCGGACTTCTTCGAGTCATCTGGGATGAAATTGGTGCCCACGTCAACGACGACGGCTCCTGGTTTCAGCCAATCGCCCTTGACGAAGTGTGCGACACCAATGGCGGCCACGACGATGTCCGCCTGCTTGACAATTTCAGGCAGATTGGCCGTCTTGGAGTGGCAAACGGTGACGGTCGCGTCAGCGTTCTTCAGCAGGTTGCTTACGGGGGCTGCCCACAATGTCGCTCCTGCCCAAGACGACGGCGTTCTTGCCCTTTGGGTCAACGCCCGCCTCCTTCAGCAGCACCATGACACCCTTGGGCGTGCATGGCGTGAACAGGGGCTTGCCGCCGCGCTTGGCCAGCTCGCCGATGCTCGCAACGCCGAAGCCGTCGACATCCTTCTCGTCGGCAACGGCCGACGTAATCGTGTGCTCGGAGATGTGCTTGGGGAGGGGTAGCTGGACGAGGATACCGTGGATGCTGGGGTCGTTGTTGTAGGTATTGAGCGTGTACAGAAGCTCGGCCTCGGAGATGTCCTCGTCGAATTTGACAAGCTCGGCGTCGATGTTGGCCTGTCGTCGCGGTCAATAGCGGTTCGAATCAGAGGGAGGGGCGCACCTGCCTCTTCGGCGGCCTTGAGCTTCATGCGCACATAGGTACCTGCCCCGCGTCAATTGCTGCTCGTGTGCTTCCATCCCGCAACAGATCCGGTACGTACTCGAGTCCGATCTGTCTCCGACTGTGAAGAATAGATTAGCCTGTGCTGTTGCTCTCACGCAGCGCTGCACTTACCCTGGACGATCTTCAGCGACGGGCGGTACCGTGGGTTGGTCTCCTGCTTCTGCTTGACCTCTGCGCCAAGGCGTTCGCGGATGCTGCGCGCAATGGCATTGCCATCGATCTTGGAGGCCGTCATGAGGGGCGAAGTGTGAGAGAAGAGACGCCGGGAAGCGGGTGGTGGGTAGACATGGCTCCGAATGTACGGAGAGCGAGATAATATTGTGGTCAGCGGGGTAGCTTGCGGCGGAAAACTACGGCCCTGCGCGCTGATCGATATCGGACGCAGCCTCATCGTCGGGCCAAACGCAACCAAATGCGTCTATCAAATCCAGTGCGAGAAGCCACTGATTTTATCGACCATGACACTGAGCGTCGGTTAAGATGACTCAGGCCCGCGCGCGTCCCAGACCCTAACCACGGTCGAAGAAGGCCAACCCCGGGCACGCCAGAGTTTCGCACCGGCACCGAAGCCTTCGAATCACCTCCTTTCCTCTATGTCCGCTGCGTCTCGATTACGTACAGGAAAATAAAAGGGGACGAGGGTTGCGAGTGCTGGAAAGCTTGTCAAGCTTCGAGTACCTCAATGGATGCAATTGACCTTTCAAGTGTACTTTGACTGGCCGCACATCGTGCATGTCTGGCCAAAAAAATCCATAATCTTCCAGATGCAGTTTAGTGCTTCCGATGCAAATCAGTCCCCGACTTCGCGGGAACACCCTTCACCCCGACTCCACTCAATCGCTATCACGAACATGACATCTGACCGTATAGTCGCTATGCATGGTGTTCAGTCAGGAAATCGATTGGTTCACAAAAGCAAGAGCCGTGTGAAAGCATCCCGACACTGTTCGACTCCCTTAGGCAGCTGGCTCGGGCGCCCGAGGGTTCTCCAGTATGTCCATCAGTACACCGAACAGCACGAAGACAGCCTGCGCTTTCTCCCTGAGGGTGTCGCGGTGGTCTGGATGGCAATATCGAGCGAACTTGTCCGGGTGCCACTTGTGGCGCTCCATCTTCAGCCTATCCAAATCGTATTCGCCAGAACCGCACATCAGTTCGTGTAGATCGTGGATACAGATGCCGAGACAGTGTGTGTCTTTCTTCAGAGGGCTGCATGCATCCTTGGTACATGCACTCATATAGCGGGAAAGGTCCGGGAAGGAGCAAATGTTACCCGCCTTGAGCATCTTCTCAACATCGACTGTGAATTGCGTGTAGGCCTCTTGTGGGTCGACGTGCGGTATCATCTGCTGGAAGTCCAGCCAAGCCTTGTGCACCCATCCATTCTCCCCGCGCCGATTCTCGACGAAGAACCAGTCATTTCCGAAATACTTTAAGATCTTGACTCGCTCGCCCTTCTTCAGGTCAAGCTCCCATGAATCTTTTGCGTGCGACCGTCCAGTATGTTTGCTAATTGCCCATTGGAATACTTGCAAACCTTCAAGATTCTTTGGAACACTGACGACTTGGCCAGATGCACGTGAAGTTTCCTCCCTCATCTCTGGGAGAGCATCTTGCTTCTCGTGCAGCCTGGAAACGACGTCTTCCGGTTCGAATCGAAGTATGAATTCTGCTTCGTGGCCGTCTCTAATTTTCTTGAAGAATGCAAACGTTCCGCCCGTGGGGGAGTGCGCGTTGATTGCAACATACTGGGATCGTCAGCTCACCGTGCACCTCAATAACCGGTGTGGCAGTCTTACGGCTAATTCCGCATAGCAATGAGGTAGGAGCAACCCTTGCGATGACTCGTTGCCCCATAGATCCTTCCAAGCACCCTGGAGAACTCTTGCGCCTCTGCCTACGAGGTTGTTTAGATGGTCGTATCGATTCTTGACATACCAGTTGCCACTGTCGTGCCAAGCTATGTTGTCGAGAGTGCCTGACTGCAGCACTCCTGGTGCGCCATTGGCTTCAACAAAGTCGGTAGAGCTGATGTTGAACAATGCGGTGCGCAGTCCTTTTGGAATTCTCTTCGAGACCCAGAGCAAGCCCGACCAGGCAACGTAGGATCTATTTGCACCCAATTGAACGCGGAGAGACGATGCGCTCTCTTTTGACGATGCAGACACGCGATCGACGAACGATCTCAGGGCTTTCGGAAGATTTCGTCCAGCCCGATGGGCGACGCCACCATCTTTCATCTGGTAGGTGAAGAAGAACGAGTTGACGTCGCTGCCGAAAGACGCATAAAGCACCTTCTTGATCTGGCCGCCCAACAGGTCCTTGACAACTTTGCGCGGCAACAAGGTGCTGTTGCAATTATGCACATCAACAAGACGAATCACGCTTTCTCAAACCTGATGTACTCACGTTGAGTAGCCATTAGGCGTGGCGCAGAACTGCGTGGCACCGGGGCCGAACGCGATGCAATACTGATCGAGACCGAGCGGCTCGAGAGCGGTGAGCGCAGCTGAGACATCGATCTGCATTACCGGGTTCGCGAGATCCATCGTACCAAAGGTGCTGGCGTTGCGACGATGGAGTGTAGTTGGATATTGAAGTGAGCGGTGCTTGTATGGGAAGGCGCACCTGCCGCCGAACCCAGTGACCAGCAAACGGAAAGCGCCGCCCGTTCTGCGGTGAAAGGCACAGCGGCTGGTTTCGAGTGCTTTGATTCACCCTATAAAAGTAATACAGAACTTGATAGTCCTCACTCGTGGTCAGTACTATATTGTTGCCATTCCGAGTAGCATGTGCACTTCAAGCACAGAACAATGAAACTTGCAGACCATAAGATGTTGCTGTGTACCGGCTCCTGCAGCGGGCTGTACCTCGAAGTATGGAGGATGAAATCCAATCTCTTGCTGTAGGGGCGTTGGCTGCAACGAGTGAGTTGAGAGAAGACGTGACACTTATGATCAAGAGGTAGAAAGACTGGTAGCTGTCTAAACGAGCTTGATGAACGCGTTAGTCGGACACACAGCATGGATCTTCTGTAAGCACCTAAATTCCAGAGTGCACCAGAGCGCTGGCTGCAAGATGGTTTGATTCGAGCTGAGAAACTCGAACTGTAAACTTTGTGTCACTCTTACATTCGATAGCCTCTCTAACGTAATCTTATCAATTTCAAGCTTGATTAGTAGAAAATTTTCTGGATAGCAGGCTGTTTGTGCATGCTGCTTCAGCAGATGACGGTGGGTGGCATGACTGCCATGACTGACTCCCAAACGAGACACATTGTAGTTGTGACTCACACATTCAGGTCTGCAACATCAACATCATGAAATGTCTCGACGAATGAGGAATGTAGATGATGAGTCGATGTGATTCTACCTGGCGCTGGATCATGGGTTGATGCGGGACAGCCATGGACTAGGCCTTATTCGGCTGGCGCAAACCAGCCCACTTCCACGAACACCTGCCGCATAATGAGAAGACTCATTCGCGAAATTTCACAAAACCGCCTGCCCGCCGCCACGTCGACCCGACTCTTCCTCCTCCAGATACACAGGCAATATGAGACCCATATTGCTCTCCGGGCATGAGCGCGCGCTCACCCAGGTCAAATACAACCCCGATGGCGACATCATCTTCTCAGTATCCAAGGACCACGTCGTGTGCGCATGGTGTCAGTGACCCCAGCTGCGACAGTATTATATCCATGTACTTACAGGATCAGACTCCCACAACGGTGAACGTTTAGGAACATACCACGGCCACCAGGGTGCGCTCTGGACCGTTGACGTCGACCCCACTTCCACTCTTCTCGCGACCGGCGGCGCCGACAACACGATGCGGTTATGGGAGGTCCAGACGGGCAAGCTGCTCAAGACTTGGGATTTCCCAACTTCGATAAAGCGAGTGGAGTTCTCCGCAGACGGCAGGCAGTTGCTTGGTGTTACCGAGAAGCGTTCCGGTCATCTCGGTACGATCTGCGTCTACGAGATCAACCCCGACCCCGAGGCGAAACAGTCAGATGAGCATGTTTTAAGGATAGTCTGCGAGGACAGCAAGCCCACCGTTGCAGGCTTCAGCTACCTAGCGCATTACATCATCTCTGGGCACGAGGACGGTAGCGTCTCGCAATTCGACGCGAAGAGTGGAGAGCTGCTCTACAACACCCAGGTCCATGAGCCAGACGCACTGAGTACGTATTCAGAGCCTGGGTAACTGAACATTGCTAATGTGGGATAGTCACCGATCTCCAATGGTCCCAGGACCGCACATACTTCATTACTGCTTCAAAGGACAAGACCGCGAAGATCTCCGCCGCCGACAGCATCGAAGTGCTCAAGACCTACGTCGCCGATACGCCCCTCAACAGCGCCGCTATCACTCCTGTCAAGGACTACGTGATTCTTGGTGGTGGTCAAGCCGCCATGGATGTCACCACAACCAGCGCCCGTCAAGGAAAGTTCGAAGCCCGCTTCTACCACAAGATCTTTTGTGAGGAGATCGGCCGTGTGAGGGGTCACTTTGGTCCGCTCAACTACGTCGCAGTCCACCCACAAGGTACCGGATACTGCAGTGGTGGAGAAGACGGTTACGTCCGTGTGCACCACTTCGACAAGGGCTACTTCGATTTCATGTACGAGGTGGAGAGAGAAAAGGCGCAGGAGCAGGCGAACCTGTAGACGGAACGTGTGATGGCTGATGGATGCATGGGACGGCGTTCGGTGCCTAGGGTTATTTGCCCACATCTTGGGATGGCTGGTCATTGTGAAAAGGTCACTCGGTAGAGTTTGTGTGTAGACGAAAAGCTTAATCGCAGTCTATCTGAGTAATGCTTTATTTGGCTCGAAGGTTCCGAGAATCCGCAATGATTCGGTTGAATGTCCAGGTCACGCCTAATCAGAATTGGCGCACGCAGAAGAAGCGATACCACTGGCGCTTGCTTGGAGCGGTCTGGCAGGCTTTGAGTTAAAGAGGCAGAAGTAGTGGCAATAGTAATGCATGCGAACGCCATGGTCGTCCTTTCGACAACGAAAAACGATTTAGCGATTCAATTTGTGGCAGGACGCATAGCCATCATTGTCGAATTTCGTGAGAGCTCATGAAGCACTGACGCTTCTCATTGGCCATCCGCGTTTGGTGGGGCGTAGCTTCCAACTTCCTGTCAAGTTTCAACAACGCTGCCCTTGAACGTGGCTTCCCTGTCTACGCGGACCAGCCGAAGCCTTACAACTCAGTCATCAACGTTAATGTAACATATGCTCATCCAGTATCGTAACCCGCAGCATCCCTACCTCAGCTTCACGATCACGACACCCATGTAAGCACCGCTAACAGTCAGTTACACAATATCAATCTAATATGATATGCAAAGAGCTTGCTTACTCATTTTGACGTTAACTTTCTTGTTCTTTTGGGTCCACGACAAGATGGCTGCAGCCGCGCCAGTTCCACCGAGGAGCTTTTATTACGAGTTCGAGACGCTGAAGGGTTACTTCGCGCAAAGCGAGGACTCCACAGATGAAGCTAAGTTTGATTTTGTATGTGCTTCGTCCTCTCTAGAAGAACGAAAACTCATAATGACCAGATTAGGGAGGAGTTCGGACTTATAGAGCGCAAGTACGACACAGATACGGATGCTGAGAAAGATCAAGGTCAATGGAGCAGGTTCGAAAGGTTCGTGAGAGACTTAGACGAGAAGAGTGGGGAGAGGGACGCTATCAAGGTCCTGTTCCTGGGAAGACATGGGCAAGGGTGGCACAACGTTGCGGAAAGCAAGTATGGGACTAAAAACTGGGATGTACGGCACCCTCCTTCTGGCCGACTATCTTCCTGTTACTGATTTTTAAGTGCTATTTCTCCATGCTCGACGGTGCAGACGGTATGATCTGGTCTGACGCAGTCCTCACTGAGGTGGGTCAGGGCCAGGCCAAAGACGTGCATAGTCTATGGCAACAGTTACTCCCACGGGGCATCCCGCCGCCAGAGACGTACTACGTCAGCCCGTTGACAAGAACCATCGAGACGGCGGATCTGAGCTTCAAAGGGCTTGGTTTGCCGCATGACAAGCCATATCGGCCCTACATCAAGGAGGTTGGTCTTTACCCACCATAGACCACAGAGAAGTACTAATTGTTGAAATAGCTTCTGAGGGAAGCCTTGGGAGTACACACATGCGACCGTCGAAGCACCGCCTCCCACATCCTCAAGACATTCCCACATATCACGCTCGAGCCGAATTTCTCCGAACCGGATGTCCTCTGGGAAGCAGACTACCGCGAACCTCGGGCAGCTCGCCAGTATCGCCTATCCCAATTGCTTGACGACATCTTTGCAAACGACGACGGCGTCTTCCTCTCACTTACAAGCCACTCGGGTGCTATAGGGAGCATCTTGGCAGCAATTGGACACAGGACATTCGCGTTGCAAACAGGTGGAGTAATTCCTGTGCTTGTGCGGGCTCGAAGAGTAGAAGGTCAGAGGCAAAAGCCGCCCAAGGAACCGAGCGAGGCTCCGCCGAAGTGCAAGGAACCTCCTGTGGAGGTATAGTCTTGGTGTTAACAGCCGGCTCAATGGCTATACTCGGTTGTTACATGCTTGGAGTTGGAGACGACCGGGTGCACCTTGGCGTAAGCATCGAGCTTCAGAATCTCTAGACTATCTGAGACGAACCACGTTCAAGCCATACGGCCATGCTAGCCAGCGACGATGATTCTACGTTGCACTGCTGCGCCGTGTCTCCGTCTGCCCGCCAGGTGGATGCGCCGACGAGCGGAACGCGGTTCCGAGACAGCATGCAGGGTGGCGTGCTGTGATTGCCTTAAGAGACCCCCAGATCCATCTCGGGTGCCCTGAAGCGACCACAACCTGAATTCTTGTACAGCTACTGCCAACGTCGTTGCCATGGCCGTCGCCGATACCGTTCACGCTCGGATCGAAGTGCGCCCTGCCTACAACGGGGCCCCACGTCCCTCACGTCCGTCACCAGCCGTCGCGTGACGAATTTGCAGCTCGTTCGGAGCTGCACAACAGGCCCCGAAGCCGCAATAAAGCTTCAATCAAAGCTCGTCCGCCTGCGACCTGCCTGTCCTGTCGTTCCCGCCTGTCTTGACTGTGGGGTATTAGCCGAGCCCGTACCTCCTCCCTCAGAGAAACCTGGGTGACGTGACTTGCACTGATCTTGCTCGTACCAGCCGTCGCATTAAAGGCAGCTCTTCCTCTTGCCTCGGATCTCTTTACCCCGCGACGCCCTCCGATACCCACACCGCGCAGCTTTCACACGGACCCTGACCGAGCACCTAATCCTTGCGCGGCCGGGAGCTCTTCTGTGTTCCCTTGGTACGAAGTGCGGAATTCAGACCTCGGTGGACTTCCGAGGTTATCCAACAGCGCATCTGCTTGAAAATGGCCGCCTTGAGAGCCTCCACGCCAGCTTTCCGCGCTGCAGGACCTCTTCCGCGACTTTCCCGTGGCTTTGTGACTACGAGTCTAGCCTTCCAACACGCTGCGAGACCAGCCTCTGCCCTCCGAAACAGCCCTTCGAGCCCGAGGCTTGCTCTACACACGCCCATTGCCGCTACACGCAGCGTCGATATTGCACAGCAGCGCAGGATGGCTTCCACCGGCGTCAAGAAGATCAAGGTCAAGAACCCGGTCGTCGAGCTCGACGGCGACGAGATGACGCGCATCATCTGGCAGGAGATCAAGGACCGCTTCATCCACCCCTACCTCGACATCGACCTGAAGTACTACGACTTGGGCCTGCCCTACCGTGACGAGACCGACGACAAGGTCACACTCGATGCCGCAGACGCCATCAAGAAGTACTCGGTTGGTGTCAAGTGCGCTACCATCACACCCGATGAGCAGCGTGTGGAGGAATTCAAGCTCAAGAAGAGTATGTACATGTTTGGTATTTGACTGCGAGAGAACTACTCATCATGTAACAGTGTGGCTCTCGCCCAATGGCACCATCCGAAACCACCTGTAAGACATCCGCTCGCATATGAGACGGAACGAACTTACTGACTGCTTCCAGAGGAGGCACCGTCTTCCGCGCACCCATCGTTATCCCCGCGATCCCTCGACTGGTACCCGGCTGGAAGCAGCCCATTATCATTGGTCGTCACGCCTTCGGCGATCAGTACCGCGCAAAGGACCGCGTTATTCCCGGCGAGGGCACCCTCGAGATGGTATACACTCCCAAGGGCGGCAAGCCCGAGGTGATCAAGGTCTACGACTTCCCTGAGGGCGGAGGTGTCGCTCAGACCCAGTACAACACCACTGAATCCATCTCTGGCTTCGCACACGCTTCGTTCAAGCTTGCGCTTGACAAGAAGCTGCCGCTGTACATGAGCACCAAGAACACTATTTTGAAAGCGTACGACGGCAAGTTCAAGGATGTCTTCCAGGAGATCTACGACAAGCAGTACAAGCAGGAGTTCGAGGCGAAGGGCATCTGGTATGAGCACCGTCTCATTGACGATATGGTCGCCCAAATGATCAAGAGCGAGGGCGGTTACATTATCGCCATGAAGAGTAAGTCACCACCAGCCGCAACAAGCAAGACCTCTCACTGACCATCTTAGACTACGACGGAGACGTCCAGTCTGACATTGTCGCCCAAGGCTTCGGTTCCCTCGGCCTCATGACCTCCGTTCTCATCACCCCCGACGGCAAGACCTTTGAGGCTGAAGCTGCCCACGGCACCGTCACCCGCCACTACCGCGAACATCAGAAGGGCAAGGAGACGTCCACCAACCCCATTGCTTCCATCTACGCTTGGACACAAGGTCTTGCCAAGCGCGGTGAGCTTGATGGTACGCCTGAGCTCGTCACTTTTGCGGAGCAGCTCGAGAAAGCATGCGTCGACACTGTCAACATTGACAGCATCATGACCAAGGATTTGGCACTTGCGTGCGGCAAGAAAGACAGGAGTGCATATGTGACGACGAACGAGTACCTCGATGCCGTTGAGCGGAGGTTGAAGTCGAGCTTGAAAGAGAAGCTATAGATCTGGGGAGCCTGTGTCTTGATGTGTATATGTGATGGGACGTAGATACCGGTCATTTGCTGGATGTCGACCTGATTTGATTGATTTTTGAACATCTTGCTTACGATATACCTGGGCATAGATATTGAGACGATTCTAGCGTCGCTTGCGTTGCGAAATAGGTAGCAATCTACACAGCATTGGAAACGCAAAATCTTGCATCCGTCCAATTTTGGTACCACGTTGATGTCACCGAACGAGGAGTGATTCTGCATGCGGTCGCTGTCTCACGGCATTGTTTGTAACACAAGCTTGTCGCGCGTCCTCGCTATGTGTACTCCTCGGACCTCAACGGTTGAAAAGTAGGTCTCTTCGCAGGCTCATTGACAGCTGTGACATTTTTTTTTGGTAGGGTGCTTTGGTTGGGCCGCTTGTTAATGGTTCTTTATCACATGACGCCGTTCATTCACTAACGCTTAGGTCCCGCTCTACGCATAACGCCATGGAAGGTGCGCGCTTCCGCGCACTCGATATCAATAGTGCGGGGCAGCCTGCATCGCCCGCGCTCTCAACGCTGGTTCTTCCAACGCCTGCTGTTGTGAGGCCGCTTACACTTCAGGCGTCCGTTGTGGGAGACGCGAAAATGGACGGCTACGACAAAGAAAATGCAACACGCGAGATTGTTAGAAGCGACACGCCCGTAGTACTGGAGACAGAAGGCAAACACCAATCCCGCTCTCCGGCGAAGTCATCAACACAGATCGAGACTCGACAGTCGACTCCCACGAGAATGTTTCCCCTCGGTCCGGCCGCTGCTCCCAAGAACCCGAGGAAGAACTCACAGAGCCACAATGGTTTTCATGCTACCAATCGCCCATCCATCAATTCTCCAAGAAGCCGTCCTTCAAAGCGTCCTTCGAGTCCACTCAAGCGAACACCTGCCCCAGGAAAGAACGAACGTTTCGAGACAACACCAACAGGTTTTCGATATACTATCGAGCTACCTGAGAGCAAAATCGTGCCGAAGAAAGATAGCGGCACCACTCCAAGCAAGTCTAAAACTTCTACGCCGGTGAAAGGCTTCGCGCGTATGGATAGTACTTCCAAGACAAACAGCCCCGAACGAGCGATCAGCCCATCGAAATCGAGGTCCATAAGCCCGCGGAAGGAGCTGTTGCAGACGCGTGCTGCGAGTCCGGAGAAGAAGAGCGTTGGGACTGGTGTGGATCAAGCGGAGCCGACTCCGAAGGCCCACAAGAAGCGCGATTCGGTGAAGTTGACGAAGACGAATTGTGTGCATGCCGGCACGCCGACTGTTGAAGTTACGAAGGGTGACATGTGGACGGGTGTGCAATTCCGCTCGCCTTTTACGTCTGAGACTAGTAGTAGTGTCGAAATGCAGGTGAAGGAAACCGAGGCGAGTGAAGGTGAACGCAGATTAGGTATGAACGGTGTGTCCTCTTCACCAGTATCTATGGAGTCTCAAGAAAAATCTACTCCGATTAAAGAGAAGGCGAGCGTACCATCGAGGAAGCAGTCGATACCAACCAACTTTGGCGAAATGCTTAGGAACTCGAGCCAAAATTTGCTACACACCCGTTCAAGTTTGTTTGACGAAGTCCCTGATAAGAAGCAGTCCACCAGTCCCACAATCCTGGAAAAGGCTAGACGGAAATCCGAAATCGTGACTGAATCTCTGCTTGGAGTCATTGCGAAGCCGAACTTCCACGGCGACTCTCTGACGGAAGATGTGGTCGCACCAGTAGTCAAAGACTTCGCCAATGAAGCGAATGATCGAACGAACAAGGTCGTTATGGAAGAGGCCAGAACAAGAGTACATAAGAGTCAGACAGACAGAAGGGTGTCGTTCGCCAATACCCCCCGAACGCCGACTGGCACTCCACCGGCCCTCATCGCAGCAATGGAAGCAGACATGGACGGCATACGCAACAGCCTTCGACGATCACTAGGCGACGGGGACGCAGCCGCACCTCGAGGTCCTGACCTCACGCGTTGGCTAGGCTCCAGCACAAACGATAAAAGTAAAAGTCTTCCAGACTTATCTCTCAGTACAGACGCAACGAACGTTGGTAACACGCCTCGTCGCAGCCTGCACGAGCGTATGGCAGCCGCAAAGCAGAACATCTTGTCGAGAAGTTCATCACGCTCGAAGAAGACGGCTCCATCACCGCTTCCACTGCGAACAGTTAGCAAGACTGAAAGGAAGGAGCACTTCCACTCACGTCTGCCTCGCCTATCACCTACGAAACCTAAAACGCAGCTCAGGGTGCCTGGAACCATCCCACAAGCGCCTCGAACCTCGCCCTTTGAAGTTGCAAAAGCTGCACCGCTGACACCCAGCCGCGTCCCAGCGATGGCCTCGCACCGTGCTCGCTATACACGCGAGACCCAGGACAGAGGGGAGAACGTGGGTTTTGCGAGCTCAGAGGATATCGCAAAGCAAGTCGAGGAGTGGAACAGCATCTCGCAGCAGCCAGAGACGAAGCCCGCCGTTCGAGCACCGCAGCCAAAATCAGTAGCAAAAACGCCCATCAAAACGACGGCCAGGGTGACGACGACTCCACGCTCAAACCCCACCTTCATGAGTCCAACAGCTACCAGCAATGCAAAGTTGGAAAAGCGGAAAGAGACGAAGAGCTACACGCCTCCAGGCTCACCCGCCACACCAGGCATGCTTCCGCGGTCTCCGAGACAGGCACATCTCTTTGCTTCCAAACCTACCCCTTCACCTGCCAAGAAGAAACTTTCACCGCTGAAGAATCCTAAAATCCGCGCCCTCACAGCCGCCGCCCCGCGGACGCCTCTGCCCCGCAACAAGGGTGACGTGAGAGGGATGAATAGGGGAGCTCTGCGCACGCCTAGCAAGGAGATGGGAAACAAGTTGGACGCAGAAATTGATGCGCATCTGGAGCGCGAGGCGCTGGCTGGACGCGTCTTTACGCCGAGCGGGCAGCGGATTAGTGATTTGCTAGCTAGGAGGCGGAAGAGCGGGGAGTTGAGAAGTGGAGAGGATGCGAATAAGGTAGTTAATCCTAAGGGGACGGGGTGAGAGGGGGAGTGACTTCTGCAGGGATCCGTGGGAAGGATGGCTCCACCTCGTGTATTCAACGATGTATGGCACGTGTGCAAGATATGAGCGATGCGATGAGTGGCTACGATAGCGCAGAACAAGATCTGCTGTTTCTGTCGGATTTGCATGAGTAAAACTGGAACTGGTTGCGGTACACAAGGCGATCAGCTTATTGGAACAAAATGTGTACGTTGTTGATGTAGGTGCTCACTTTTACTTCACTGCTGTCCTGCCGTGTGACTTCTGGTCTCGAGCAACCCTTTCAGAGCGCTGTGCATGCGAATTCAGTAACGGCCTCAAGAAATTAGACTTCTGACTCTTTTCGATGCGTCCGGGGTGCAAGTATTATGGTAACTTTGTCGGATAATGCATTGGGCCGGTACCCTTTTCCTTTCCACCGCCGCTTCGGCAACACAGCATCGCAATGACTCTAGAACACGCACTCGCCCACCTTAGCGTGACAAGTTATCTCGCAGAGCATGACTCTACGTCCTCTTGACTTTCTTGGACCTCGAGGTGATGCAGTGGTAGAATATGACGGAGAGCTGCACAGCCCGTAGTACGGACCCACGCACATCTTGAACCACGAGGGAAAGAGAGAACCTTGGAAAACCACGCACTCGGACCAAGGGTTCTCGGTATCTGTGATCGTCGTTCTACTCCACATTTGCGAGTTTGAGTGCACTGCCCGTGCCAAGACCCCGATGTATCTTCCAAGGGAAAAGAAAGATACACTGGAGCCAAATGTTGAGGAGATGTCTCCGTTTTGATTCGCGTCTCCACACAATTTTGTTCGCCATGGTCAGTTCGAGCTGTAGTTTGCACAGCCTGTACCAAGATACCAAGAGGGACACACTACGCATACCTGCTAGGGAAAAAGAGGTTCGACGCCGCGCTCGCATGATGAGTGTCTCCACTCTGAAGTCCGTCTTCGCCAAGGGCGTCAATGTACATAGCATGCACAGGCTTGCCGTGCAGAGGGACCACGCTTGCCCAGTCTCTTGTTCTGGTACTTTATGGAGTCGCGTGGTGGCAGTGCAAATCCACACACCCCACCACGTCCCCGTTGTCTGTCACCGGTGGGCACGCTACCTGTCATACGCTACATCAAATCACACCACTGAGGTCCACGCATCGCATCACTCAGCTCCACCGTCCCAGCTCAACAATACTGATACTCCGAAAACGGGACGACGAACGCGGTATGTGCATGCGTGCGGCGGTGCGCGAGGGTGTTGCGGTTAGTGCATCCTTAGACTAAGCGCTGCCGCTGCGTGTTGTAAGGTGCGAATCAGCGCTAGGTGCGTTTGCGGTGTACACGTCAAGTTGAAGGGGGATTGCCGAGGGCAGGGAAAAGGGGTGTGATGTTGCAGAAGTGACAGGTGCACGCGGAAGATGTTGGCACAGTACGCCGGATATCATGATGTGTATGTGTGTGATTGTGATGCAAGGTTGATCTCAAAGATGTGTACATTGCATATATACGCCTGCGTTGTAGCTGTCCAAGCTACCCAGAGTAAAGCATGCCTGCAGAAGTAGAGAAGATTCGTAACGTGTCGTAAAGTCGTGGATGCGCTCAATCGCGCGGCCAGATGCGTCGCTATAGTACAATACAGTCGCCGAAAGCTAGAGTACATTTTAATGCCATAACGTGATGAGACCAAATCCAAAGCGATCGGGGTGATCGCTTTTACGCCCTCATGGTACCTAACCGCGTAGGCAAGCGCGGCGCCTTGGAACGAACGCCGTAGATGGAAGACTTTCGGAGCCACATTTCTGCCTGATCCGCGCTCGACGAGCGTCGACGAGGAGGCGGCGGCCTATCCGAGTCTTCCCCTTTGGAATCCTTTCGCGAGGCCTGGGATCCTCTGCGAGATCCGTACGACGACTTGCGCGACTCGCGCCAATCCTGGGAGTCTTTGGGTGAGCCCTGCGAGTCCTTGCGTGAATCGGTGGAATCTCGCTTCTCGTGCCGATGGGCATGTGACGAGCCGTCGATGTCAATCTTGCCGAAGCGGTTGTCGATAGCTTCGACGTCTTCGAGCGAATCGTTCCGCGAGTGGCGTGGCGAGTCGTCAGAGTCGTCGATGACCTCTTCGTCGTCGTCGTCATCGTCGTCTTCCACGTCAGACTCGGGTGGAGATGGTGGGTGCACAATGACGTTCATGGACTTGTCGAAGGTGTCGTCGCGCGGGCTTGCATGGCGTGCGGACAGGCTCGTTGGACTGACATGTCGCGGGCTTGCGTCGTCGGGACTCAAGGCTCGGGAACTTGCGTTGCGCGATACTTTTGCTTGGGGAATGGGCAGGGCATTCTTCTTGGCCTGGCGGCCTCGGGGTAGCCGCTTGAGATTCTTCTCCCACAAAGGACTGATGTGGACCTTTTGTTCGTTGCCATGCTCGTCCTGCTTCAGTTGTGCGTCGGAAGCGTCCGACTTGAAGGCGCTGAACTCCTTCAAGATGGACGGCCCAGGCGATAGGCTCCTCGATCTTGCGGCGACAGGGTCGCGCACTTTTGGATCGCGCAGAAGAAAAACGCTGCTCCAGGACGGGCGCTGGTTTACAGACGATTGGCGTCGTTTCGAGGGCTGTGGGATGATTTCTGGCTGTTCCTTGGTGAAGGTAACACGTTTCTGTTGGCCAGGCAGTGACGCGGGTTGGGTGGGTGGAGGAGGGGCCAGTGACGTAGCCATGTCGACGGGGGTGTTTGCGTGTCGGGCGTGTTTCTGGTGTTTCTGGGGATGTTTATGGTGAGTCGGGGCACGGTGGGCGATTTTGCGTGGCGGCCAGCAACTTTATGAGAAACGTCGGTGGTAGCGTGCAGGGTGGACCTTCTGCTGGTGCGAAAGGCGGGGTTTTAGCGCGATCTGCATTGGGCCAGGTGATGGCGGTAGAGTCGTAGGGTCTGGGCATGGGCATGGGCCGGCGAACCGCGCTCCACGGACGACTCGCAGCACGTCGTCGGGGCTGTGCCAACAGCAACATGTACCGCCCAAGGCTTGCCAATGGCTGCACGCGCCGCCTCCGAGTCGCATGTCGTGTTCCCCGCGGGCACCGTCGGTTGCATCCACGGGCGTCGGAGGGCTGTGGCGCAGCCTGCCACTCGCCAGATGTTGTCGCGGTGCTCTGGGCTTCGTGCTGAACACAGTGAAGAGTCCAATGACACGGCGAAAGGGCTCGGCATGACCCGCCCTTTCGCCTGCCAATGCATGCACCGAGTTTAGCCTGCCACGGGAGCTCTTGGGACCCGGCGGGAGTCCTTGGCAGCGTCAGGTGCACGTAACATGCGTCGTCCCGTGGTACTGCATGCGCCGTGTTGGGGGCATGACAAAGAGACGGCAAAGAGCAGTCATGGACAGGAGACACAGGGGACCGAGGAGATCGCGGGCGTCCATCGCAATAAAGTTGGCTGGTGCCGTCGCCATCGGCGTCCTGGGAGCCCTGGCCACAGAGCTCTCACATGCCATTCCTGGACTGCTTGCCAACACCGACAACTGATGCCTGCCAGCCCCCAAAGCCACTCGTGCAGCCCTCCCAAGCCGCTAGTCTTCTGCAAGCTCAGACAAGCTCCGTCGTCGTCCATTGACTTGTTGGTCACCGCTCATCATTACTCACCACCCTTCACAGCAACTTTGATTGCCAACGGGCCGAGTCTCTCTCGTAAGCGACCAGGAAGCTTCACCCGACTGTGATCCGCTCGCGCTCGAAACACGCCATCGCACATCCAATTCGCTTCGGACGCCCAACGTTTGGAAACCTTCTCCGGACTTTGCACCGCAGCTAAGGGCTTATCACACGTGGGCTCTGTGAGAGAGCCAGAATAAGCGATGCACCAAGCCAAAGCGGCTAAGTGCTGCCAGATCTGATCTGAAGCTGATCCATCTACAGCATGCTTTATCCTAGGTAAGAGGGGGCTACTCAGCGGTCCAGATACCGGTGCCCTTCTGCGCCCACGCTTCCCTCTCTTCATCGCCTGCCGTGGCTGATCCCTCCCCACTCTTCGCGCCCATGACCTGTTCCTTGATTGTACTGACCACAGCCGCATACTCTCCCTTCCTAGTAGAGGCCTTAGGATCCTCTGCCCGATTTTCCCACCACGACCGTTCCACAGCGCTCTCTCGTTCGGATTGTGTATCCGGCAAAGGCGCCACGCTCCTGTCCCAGTACCTAACCTTGCCATCCCCATCAATGCTGAGATACGTCGTCCTCTCCTCGTCCTTGGCTAACGCATAGAAGCCCGTCCTCACATAGGCAGCGTCTGCGCCTTTCGGCCGCTTGAAGACTTCCTTCGCGTTCGTCAATGTGTCGTAGACTAGAACCGTCCTATCAGAGGTTGTCAGAGACAGAAGCCTTCCATCACCCAACCACGAAACATTCTGTATTTGAGCCATGCGGGGAAATTGACCGTCGTCGTCCATGACCCAACGCTGCACCACGACGCCCCCAGGACCGTCAAATGGCTGCCAGACATATACCGTCTTGTCTGCGCATAGAGCCATCTGTTGTTTAGTGGGATGCCACGAGAAGCAACGGCACCATCGGGTGACGCTCTCGGGAAAGGTGGACAAGACTTCTCCATCGGCAACTTTGTGGACTCCGATCTCTTTTCCGCTATGCGAACTCCAAACGATGTGCTTGGAGTCTGGTGAGAAGGCACCAGCCCAGCTCTGACCACCCGAGTCTGCCGTCGCCCATTCCAGTTCTCCCTTCTCGGTCGAGTACATGCGCAGTGTTCCATCCCAGGACACAGATGCTACATGTTGGTCGTCGGGGCTGGAGCCAAGCCACGTCACTTGGTCGCTATGTCCCCTGAGGCGATGGACCTCGCGCCCCACATCGACATCGTAGACGACCACCTGGGGAAGAGCATTTGGCTCGCGCATGCCGTGTTGCGTGGATTTGTTGTTGATAGCATACAACAGCAGAGCTCCGTCGCTACTGAATGGCGTGCTTACAAAACTGGATATCACGGCATTCTGGACCACTGTGTTGTTTCTTCGGCGATGATCAGCTGACGCATTCTCCAAAGCCCTGACGAAATCGGCGTGTAGGTTGGAAGCGTCCACAAAAGCTCGTGTCCACTCGTGTTCAGCCTCTAGCTCAGGCAGGATGGCGTCGATGGCCTTGATGGCGATGGCCGCAGGGTCTATAGGCTCTTCTTCGACGAATAATCGTCCATTGCTATCAAGCTCCCACAGGATAAGTCCAGTGTGTGGCTGGAAGCGTGGCTCGCCCGACGAGAAGCTGCTAACGAGAGTGTATGCTGGTATTTCCCCACTAATGTCAGTTGCACGTTTCCCCTCAGCGTCTTGTTGGTGTTGCCTCGCTAGAGGTCTGAAGGCTAATGTACCACAGCCTTCAAGAGCTTGGCGTAGTTCTTTGGTCGCGACATCGTAGATCAAGATGCCAACTCTGGGATGACTTGAGCTGATAGCCAGCAGCTTGCTGTCGGGGCTCAGTGCGGTGTCAAGACTTGTAAGAATGAAGTCCTGTGCAGTGATCAGCAGGCAAAACTCCCGAGAACATGTCGTTCAAATAGGGGAAGAAACTGACCCTCTCACCATCGCGCTTGGGGGATCTGGCCCCGACGTTTCGTTCGATATCTCCCCAGTAATCGAAACCGTCCTTCTCTTGGCCCCATTCTTGTGGATGTTCAGGCGCGTGAGATGCTGGGATGCCGTTCACGGTGAAATCCTGCGAAGGGTGCAATGGGAACTCATAGCTCTGGAGAAAGTCCTTGCGTGAATACGTACGAGTAGTCATGTTTAGTTCCGGGACAGAAAGCTGATCACACTGTAAGGCGGACAGCATTCGACTTTCAGGATGGTTGTTGCCTGATGTCCCAGTTAGGAAAAGAGCACCGATGACGTACAGAAATGATCGACAACCTAACGGCGATCTTTTGTACCTACCCATCGCCACCTGTTGATGCCTGCCATGCCCAACATCGTGATCAAACTGGATTGCTGCGCGATTGCTGTAGGCCAATCGTTGGTAAACCAAAGGCAGGGCTGATTTGCAGCTAGTGTGCTTGCCGATCTCTTTCATCGGTCGTGAACCATCAGAGTTGCATCTTCTTTGCTTTGTTCCACTCTGTCTACTTGCAATCAAGCTCCTGTGCGCTGGGCTTGACGACTTCCCGCATCGTGCAATCGGCGGCCCGACATTTCTCCCGGGCCCATCAATGTGAACGATGACCACGGTAGTTTTCAGTGATGTGTTTTGGCCGGGCACATTCGCGCTTCCACATCCTGGACGAATGTTGAAGGCTGTGCGTAAGATAATCTTATCCATTTTGATATCGGCATGCGCGATCACAGTCATAGGCAGCAGAAAACAACTTCGTAGGCTATATTGGCCAACAGCTTTGGAGTAAAGAATGATTTTATTTGGTCCCAGTCTATCTGTTGTGTTCGAAAATCGGGGGATTTCTTGGCGGAAACCTCCAGGGCTTAATTTTTATCACGCGTCACACACTTTCATCTCAACTTTAACCAGCTGCATCTCAACAACACTACAAGATAGTCAAAAAATTCCAAAAAATCTAGAATCTATATACAAAAAAGCACCTTTCTAGGAATTTATAGACTATCTTATAGTGTTCTTAAGATGTTGACTTTCAACGTGGCTAGCTTCTATCCGAAGTAGCACATACTTCCATCTCAAGTCTGTTCAAAAGGAACCCACGTAGAACCCTATAAAAGTCAACATTCTCCCCACGCTACTATATAGTCTATAAATTCCTAGAAAGGTGCTTTTTTGTACGTAGATTCTAGATCTTTTGGAATTTTTTGACTATCTTATAGCGTTGTTGAGATGCAGCTGGTCAAAGATGAGATGAAAGTGTGTGACGCGTGATAAAAATTAAGGTTTCCGCCAAGAAATCCCCCGATTTTCGAACACAACAGATACCGAAAACAACGACGCTGCTTTTTTCTGTCATGCATGGCAGGTGCAAAACAATCATCACCTATCTTGTCCATAATTCGCTTCATTACTGCGGTCATCAAGTCATCTAAGCATCCTCCTGAGTCTGCTGGACATCGTAGGGGAGGTTTTGCAAGTTCCAACTGCACACTCCGCTTCCACCGCACTGTCCACCCATGTTGTCGCCGACCTCGAAGTGGTCGCCAGCAGTGAATGTTTTCGTAACCTCCTGTCCCGGAATTTGGACATGGTCAACGAGCTGTACCAAATCAGCTCAATGCCCCACCATTTAGCGTGGGTGCGCAGAAACATACCTTGAACTCCAAGTCGAAGTTTGTCGAGGCCTCACCATTTGAACCATTGGGGTGGTTCAAGGTGAAAGTCCAAGTGGAGTATGCGTTGGTACTGTTGTCGGTGGTACACGGCTGCTCTACGCCCCACGGGGCGTCTGCGCTGGTCAGGTACCGCAGCGAGCAGATGGCAGTCGTCGGAGGGAAGACAGCTTGTCCGGTGGGAGTCTGGCCAGCGGGGATGGTGTTGGGATCCGAAATGGTAAAATTGAGGACAGAATGGGGATCGTTCCCTGGGTTGCCACTCGGAGTGTGCGTATATAGTCGGGTGATTTGCCAAGGCTGGAGGTCATCTCTTGCGACCTTGATTGCAGGTGCCGCAGAGACGGCAGCGGCCGCGAAGAGGGCAACAACGGACTTAATGAACATGCTGGCGATTATTAATTGAAGGTATCAACGTTCTATGACCTGTGACTCCGAAATCTGAAGGTAGCTGATTTAATGTATCGTACCTAGATACCCTGACAGCGATCATCAAGCTTCTTTATATTCTCGCGCAGACCGAAGTCCGAGTACCTGAGTTAGTCCCATTGCCTCGCTGACGTACGAGCAGTTTATTTCCCCACATCGTGTACTACCTTACGCAGTTAAGCGTGGCGGTGGCCCACTGAGGCTGAAGGCTAAGCCGCGCCGTTTCGATCGTTGCCGTCCTCCCGAAGCTTGAAAACGCCCTGCTTAGCAACGTGTTGGTGGAAAAAAATCTGAAAGGCAGCAGTGACATCCTGGCACCATGCACTGCTCTGAGATCAGTTAGAATCAATGAATTACTGAGCCGTCAGTTTCAGGAGGCAACTGGGGGCCGTACAGCCGTACCGCCACACTAGCCATTTACGGACCTCTAGTGCTGCCGAACGTGTTTTGACGGATCTAGAACAACCTTCACCTGGTCGGAACGTCCCGTAAATGGTGCTTCACGGAGCGAAGTAACGCGATGAGTCGAATTGTATGCAAGTGAACGGGTATCGGAGATACGCGAGAACGGGAATTGTGACATTTTCGACGGTGAGAAGCAAAGGACAGAAGTGGAACCACAAGAAGGGATACGAAGTATTGCATATGCATGGATACCGCACTACATGGGACCCACACCCACGAACAGCTTGTCCAGCCTTAGTTCGTTGATGTTGGGCCTCCAGTCCCTCGCATTTGGTAAGACAATCCTCCAGCCTCTACTCTCTGTCTCTGCGAACAGAATAGCCGCCTTCTTTTCGGCATCGTCTATGTCGGTAGCACATATCACGAAAGTCGTGAGGTAGAACATGACGAAGGGATACTTGGAGTTGATGTAGTGTTGAGCGTAGTATTGCCATGCGTGAGCTGACCACGGACGATCGAAAGCTGGGACCCGAGTTAGTTTCTTCGCAACATGCTGACATCTGACATTTGCAAACAGGCAGATCCATACAATCCGACGTAGAATTGTCGGACCGTATGTTGAGGCAATCCAGCCTACAACAATCCTCTGTTCACTTTATCCAGCACGATGGAATGGGTAGTCAAACAGAAAACGGAGCAAAAGCACTCACGCATGGCGTTCCAATGGTACACATGGCCTTCCCAGGTACCAAAATTAAGTCGGCTTTTACCCATCCGTTTCAGCGCAGGCATTGGCCAGGCGCAATAATGCGTTAAGAGGCTACCTTTTGCCATGATGCTTGTCGGATGTTGGTCCTTGAATTGCTTGACGAAGTCGACGAGACAAGTCTTCCGTGGTAATGATAGATTCGGCGTGAGCTCGACGTCTGGGGAAAGGCCGCCAAACTCGTATGGGAAATACAGGTCGAGGGCGCCATCAGAGCCCTGAACAATTACTGGGCGCGTTTGAGGTGACTCATATTCTTTGACCAGGCTAATAATCCCACAGCGCTCCATGTCATCGACAACACGTCGGATGAAGCGATTCGCCTCCCTTGACCTTCCATCTTGCACCATTTTTGTTTGGTGCGCTAACAAGATCTGACGATCTGGTTCGTGGCTCCTATGTCGGTTGCCCTCATATTGTACTTCTGGTGGAGCAGGAAAGCTCAGGCCGGCGATTTTGTCGATGTCTATCTTTTCCAGGAAGGAATCTTGCGCGGCGGGAGGTATCACTTCTTCAATGACTCGTTTCATGATCTCTCTAGGCGAGGGATCGTCGAGAAGCATCGAGAGAATATCTTCGATGATGTCGAACAGCTCAAATGGCAGATTAGGGCCTCGATCGATAATGATGAACTGCCATGAGTCAACCACGATCGGATCGTACATAGAGCTTTTTCGGAACCGTAAGTCGTTCTTGATGTCTTCCAAAGTTGTGTCAGTGGTCCATTCAGTGAGATCTAGGGCTTGACGTGACTTCGCTGACCGATGGCGTTTGATAATCAATTCTCCTTCAGTGGGGTGCACCGTCGCGTCTGCGTTTGTCCCTTCGTAGACTACAAGTAGAAGCCTCTCCGTCCGCTTTTCAAGCTCGTCAAGGAAATGCTGCGTAAGTGGATCTCCCATCGCCATTTGGCCGCATACGTAGTTCCGGGACTCCGTTTGCACGATTGTGTTATTGAATTGGCTTAGACCACTGGTGTTTTGTAATGCTTTGCTTGACGGTATGAAGCCGAGGTAGCCGCCAGTAACACATTCTACAAGGATGCTTGATGGATCAAACCAGTAATCTCGGTACAGCCCGAGCATCAATAGCTTGCAGATGAGGGTATAGTCCTCGAAGTTCAAACAGATGCTTGCCAGCGTCCATGGAGTCAACAACATGGGAAACCAGCGATAGCTCACGTTCGTCAGTATCGGGGGCAATGAATTTGTGTGGAAAGACTTACAGGATATCCCAGGATGCTTTGGTCATCTTCAGGCCTGCTGTCGTGCTCGGAATCATGCCCCCGAGTAGACCGATCGTTTTGATTTCGCTCCCAGGCAAGGTTTGAGCGCAGATAGCGACGCGCAGAAACTGAAGAGCGTGCGGCCGCCAGGCTTTTTCGAAGAAGTCACAGTAGGTCTCCAGCTGACTGGCGTGGCATCCCGACAGAAATTCGCTTATCGTTCGGGATCGAACCGCGTGCTCTAGGGTTTCTGCGTTACTAGTATTCAGTATCATTATCCGAAACCAAGATCGGATTATGTTAGTTCCACTGTCATTTCTGGGCTCTAGGACTGGGGATCCTAAGTGCTTGCCCGAGTCATTCAAGTCTGGAACAATGCTGTACAAACGCTGGACTCCCTCCACGCATAGATCGCTGTAGAAGTGTTTCAATATTAGTATGGTTCCATCGTCGGGCATGTTGTGAAGTGAAGTGATCGGAATGCGGGGAGAAAGAGGTGACTGTAGGATCATGATCTTCTCGGAACCTTGCTGGGTGGGATGCGGTGATCTACCTGTAGGTAAGCGTCGGTGGAGTCCATCGATATATAGCATCCCAGTACACCTCTGATGGGATCCCGCCTCACATACCTCCTGGCGTTTCCGGAGTCGGCCCACGGTTCAGGTTCAACACTGATGAAGGTCAATGCAATGATCCAAGTGCGAACTGTGTAGATCACATACTCAAAATTGAGTCGGCGAGCGTGCTCATGTCTTTTTCTACGCTTGACATCCAGTTGATAAAGTCCGACGTATCTCCGCCGCGAGAATAGAACCTCTCGCGTATTTGGCGTCTGAGATCCATCGCTTGCCGAAGCTTCAGAATCTTTTGCCTAGCAGTATCTGGCGTATCCGCGTCGACTCTTTCAGCGTCCCTGAAGGCCCGATCCCATTGTGTTTGGAAGTTTTTCAGCTCGTTAGCATGTCTTCTGCACCACGAATCCTCTTCCCGAGACGGTCGTTGCTGACACGGGCGTCCATCGCCCTCAAAAGCTTCGCATTCATTGGAGGTGACTAGCGGCGACCTAGGCGGCTGAGAAGAGCGTAAGATCACTCGTGGGGAGCCTTTAGATCGGTTTCGTGGTTCTTGTAGAGTACTAATACAGAGCCCGGAGCTCATTGTGAGGAGGAGTTAGGCAAAGGTCAGAATGCCTCAGTATTCTGCGAGATACGCGAGAGTTTTGAAGCACGATAATGACTATCGGCATGGTGGATTGGCGGCCCGCGAGAACGCCTTGTGATAAGTAAAAGCTCGAAATGCATGCTCGCGGCACAGTCGATTTCGCGACCTCGGGGTCTGGGCACGCGTTAATCCACCTACTTCACACACTTTCGCGCCCATTAGGCTCTCCCGTGGCTGTGTACTTCAATACGGAGGTTTAATAAGACCGAATAACGCTCTATGAGCAATTGACGGGGACGATTCGCAGAAAATTCGCCTATCGTGCGAGTAAGCATGCCTTGCATTGTTGCGATTGTTGCGAACGAGGCCACGGCAGATATCAATCAGGAAGCAGTCTATGAAATCATGAGCGGTTGATGATGTATAAAGAATAGGAAGACCGCGATACTCGCTGATATGCTATCTCGTTGCGTAGGCAGACTGGGATCAGTCGCGTCTCCGCTGAAGGGCTGCCAGGTTTACTGACAGAGCAAGAATACCACACGACAATGTGATAATATGTGACAGATGCAGCGCTGGCTACAGTCATGCAAATGATTGGCACGGAATGTCCGCTCAAGCGCTAATCTTGCCGCGGAGTGTGAAGGATCGCAACGGTTGGGGAACACGTCGCGCTGACGCGCGACTCAGTAGTCAGCCATGGTTCCACCAATCACGACCGACTGATCATAAGAGCGCCATCTCAAGATGAATAGGCGATTTCACCAGAAACTTACCCTAGTATGAATGGCACCTTGTGCATCCTTCGGATGTAGGTGGGTACAAAGTGGTAGCAGCCCTCCAGCATCAGCGGCACCCCCATCTCAAATTAAAAGTCGGACATAATCAGTCAGATCTCCGATGATTAGTCGCTGGGAGCCGCGGTCTCGCTCGACTTTACGTGGCTCTGGCTTAATGCGGTGTCGCTGAGGTTTTACCTTTCCGCAAGAGGGCGCCGTAATAACATGCTAGTACAGCCGGGATGTTTCAACTTTCCCATAGTTCTCCCAAATGTCCCATTTCCAATCATGAACCTCATTCGCATATGGCGAATTCTCTTCTTCTGATGTATCACTATCTGACCAGCTTTCGTACTTAGCCAGCTGCCTAGCGCTTGCGATGCCCTTCGTCTGATAATTCCTAACACCAGTCTCTTCAGTATTGAAATCCTCACAAGCTCCAATAAACACCAGCCCTTCGGGTGCATTCGGGGCCGAAGATGTAACCAGCAGAAAGTATCCGTCAGTTGTAAATGATAAACCGGGTATCAGAAGTGGTTCATCCTGGTTTGATACATCTGCGAATACAACGAGGCGATAAGAAAGGGTGCCGAGGAATTGTCGTGGTGTGATAACGCGCCCATCGAAACTCACAGGGATGATCATACCTCGCATGAGGATATATGACCCAATGGCACAGTTGCCGTAGAGTCCAGTACTAGAGGCGAGACGCGAAACCTCGAGGATCTCGAATTGTTTGCTAGGCTTATCATCTTTACGATAAGATACGGCACTCCCAACGAAGCCCAAGACCAAGTTGGTGCGATATGAACGCGCTGTGATATGGTAACAGGACGCCACAGCAACTGCTACTGTAAGTCATGTGACCACATACCGGCGATGTAATCATTGGAGCTCTCGGCAGCCCTGTCTGCGAGTCTAGGCGATCTTGGAGCTGATGCTTTTTCTGGAAGCGATAGATTTTGCTGCCGATACTCAGCAAGGCCAGACAAAGATATAAGGTGATCAGTCTCAAAAGTCAGACTCATCCGAGTGTACTCCTCCACCACGTCAGTCCAACTCATCCCAGCAATCGCTTCCTTGAGCAGACTGGAGCCACGATGATGTCTCTTACTCGTGGCGCTACATTCACAGGTGATGATAGAGCGACATTCCCATCCCAGCTCAACCCCACCGAAATGGAGCGTTCAGGGCGAAAGAACCCTTTCTTGTAAAACCCAACCACGTGTTGAAAGTCTGCCCAAAGGGGGCGAATGTTTGCGATGGAGATGCGTTGAGCCGTCATGAATGTGAAGATCACTGTACTCGCCAGATTCGAATGCTGCTGGATTGGGCGGAGCCCAGTCATGGTAGGGAAGTTGATAAGCCAAAGCACCGCGTTCTCTTGCGAAGATGACATGAGTTTTCCCCTCGTGTTTGGCAAGGATTGAATTTGCTGGGTATAGCGTGCGGCGAGGGTTCTCTAGAAACCCATGAGAGCTGTTCTGGGCAGCATCTGCGGAGATCGTGACGTACGCGTTGCCATACACGGTCGCCATCTTAGGAGCATGAGTTGCCTAGTCCTCAGATGAATCTTGAATGATGCATAGGGAGTCGATCCACAGATACTGTAGCCCGAGTGCTCTAGTAGCAAAGATAGCGTCAAGAAAAGTGCGTGGCATACGTGAAATGCCGTTTTCGATGTGCTGTGTGATATTTACAGTCGTAGTCTTTGCTGGCATGCTTTCGCCCCAACAGTGCGATAGCGCCACGTAACGACCAGTTTCATGATTAGAAGGTATGTGTAGCTTGATTTTAGAATCCGGACCGTGACCTACGTCGAGTACTCGGGCGGGTAAACGCGTGTGTTGCTTGTTGAAAGGTTTGCACTCGGTATGCTTACCCTCACCATGACTACAGACCTCAATCAATCGTTTGGCGAGGCTAATAGTACTCTTAGAGAGTCCGTTGGGGCCGAGATGCTCCGAGATGCCAATCTCTGACCATGGAAGGTTCGCGCCTTTGGTGGAGCTCGTTAGTCATACCTTTTCCTTCAAAAGTGAGCACTTCTTCGCTTACTAGTTTCGCAGTAATATTGAAGCTTGACAATTCGAACATGTCCACCGTATTCGAGATCTTTAGACGGCTCTAGATTAGCCCGTAGCGGCCCTTCGTCTTCCGGTGCTCTCTCTGAGAATACAAAACGGGCATACCGCTTGTGGAGCTCGACATTATTTGTCTTGCTGGGATACGGATGATAAGAATCTGCAATTGCCACGGCGCCTTGCCAGATAACGCGACATATGGTACACTGGTGGCTTTATCGCTCCATATGTATCTCGGGTAGTGACATAGCGCGAGACCGTGCAGCCGCCTGTGTGACTAGCAGCGAAAGACAGATTCGGCTCTGCAGGAGATTCGTTCATGAAGTCATCATCGTCGAAATCCTGAATACCCCTTTTTGGCGGCATACCTACAGCCCTTGGTCGAGGCAATGTGACGAGTCGGTTGGAAGATTGGTGCCGTCGGCGGCCCTGAAATCCTTGGTGGAACCTTGGAATGCCGTCGCGCACGTGACGAGGTCTGGACCAATCAATCAGTGGCGGGTTTGCAGTGCCCTCACATCTCAAGGTCAAGATGAAGGTCAACCACAAAGCTCGGTGACTAAAAAGAATCCTAAGCTAGATGTCGTATGGTTACTCGTAGGGTAAATCGTCACAGAACGCGCATCTCCAGTTGAGACCTAAGACTATATGGACGACTTTCACGGTGATGTGAGAAGAGCCAATCACGGGCGGGCTATGTAGCACCTTGAGCGATTATCGATACTACTTTGCGGTACTGAAGGTTAGCATGACATCCAGGCGTGTTTTGTTGGATGTAGCATAGCCCGATTTTATGGGGGCTAAAACACGTTGCGTGCGAGATGCAGATGAGTCAGACGAAGCCACCTACTTCCAGCCATACAAACGAATAACGATCATACTCCCGGCTCTGAGATTTTTGTTCAGCCTTGTGATACGCCCTCACTTATTACTGTCAGTACCCTCTGTACTCAATGCGTGCATCGCACAGTAGGTACCTCATCACATCTTGTTTGGATAGAAGTTAGCATACAGCTATCGAAAACATCAACGCAAAGCACATTCCCCTTTACGATGACATCTCCGACCAGACCCGACACTATCAGAGTCCTTGTCACCGGTTTCGGCGTACGTCGCCCGCCCCACGCTCTGCCATCCAAGCTGATTATCCCAGCCCTTCCTCGACATCAGTGCAAACCCCTCCTGGTCCATCGCGTCCTCCCTTCCGAGAACCCTTTCCTCAACAACCGGCACTCCCATCCAATTAATAATCCCCGACACGCCTGTACCAGCAGCCTACCATAAGCTCCTCAAAGAATCCGCCACTCTAATCTCGCAGCACTCCCCGCACATAGTCCTGCACATAGGCCTTGCGTTCGACAGAGATTACTTCGCCGTCGAGCAGAGCGCGTTGAGAGAAGGATACCACGAATTTCCCGATATTGACCGTAAAGTCATTACGCGTGTGGAGAATAAGAAACTCTTCGGGAAAGGGCCGGCATCGTTGGCGACTTCGCTTGATCTAGAATCGGCGGTCGATGCATGGCAGACGGCGTGCGCGCGGCTGTGGCTGCCGAGGAAAGGAGAGGGTGCGGCGCAGGGCAAGGGCAAGGGCGGCGGGAAGGGGAAGCAGGAGGGGAAGAAGGTGGATGTGAGGTTGAGCGATGATGTGGGGACGTATGTGTGTGGTCTGATCTATTATTCGAGTTTGGCGGAGATGCAGAAGAGGATCGGGACGAGGGATGTTGTCTTTATGCACATCCCGCTATTGAAAGGGGAAGGAGAAGAGGGTATTGGAGCGGAGGTTACGAAGGAGCTTGTGGTTGCTTTGGTGGATGTTTGGGAGGCGAGGTCGTAGCATCGTTCCCACATAATTCTGTGATCTTTGACGGGTATCTTCACACGCGGCTTTCTCAATGACCCAGCACCTCATCCATAACATCCCACATCTCCCTCTGTCTCTCCTTCTGCCGCTCTTCGTCACTGACGTCCTCCACACTCTCGCTCTCACCCTTGCCTTCTACAATCCCCTTCTTAAACCCCTCCAGCACTTCCTTCACCCTTTCTGCCATCCTTTCGACACCCTCTACTTCAGCCCTCTTTCGCTCTACCTGCCTCTCCATCTCCCTAATCAGCGTCTCCCTCGCCTGATGTGGCCTATACTCATTGACCAACGCATGCATATTTAGCGCCAGCGTCAGAACATCCTTCAGTTTCTCATCCCTCGCGTTACTCATGGGATCCTGCGCCACAGTGCCTAGCAGCTCGATATACGACAATATGATCGACCTCAGGAAGCGGAAGAGGTAGGCTTGTCGGTCAAGGCTGGACCAGTTAGACGAGGAGGGGTAGAGCTGCTCGTACGTCCAATCGAGCACGACGTCGCCGGTTATTGGATGTGTTTGGAGGCGTGTGCGTATGGCTTGCATCACTTCGGGGTAGTCGTCGAGGGCGTTCATGGTGGTCTTTTTGCCGAAAACGGAGTATTCGGTGGTAGGGGAAGGAGGAGCGGGTGGGACGAGGTAGCGGAGCTCAGTGGGGAGCTGGAGAAGTTGCGCCGTTGTGATGGCCGTGTCGTTTTCGATGTTTTGGTCGGATTTGAACTGTGCGAGGGCATCGATGTTCTTAGGTGTGAAGTGCTTGTAGAAGGGCGGCGGGTTGGGGAAGTACGAAGTTAAGGCGTCTTCGTCTTCGGGAGATAGTTGCGCCATGGTTGGCGACTCCGCAATGCGATGGCGAATTAATCTGAGTTCGTGGGTGGCGCGGTACGAAAGTGGTCGTGTGTGTAGTGCATTGAATCGCCAATGCGTTGTGAAAGCTAGTGAAGCTGCGAACAAGGATCAAGGCTTGGCATTTACCCCACCCCCAATTAGGAGTAGCGCGCCCCCACGTCCATTCGAACTCACAGCTCACAGGTGCTGTGAGGAGCTCGTTTTTCACGAGGAATAGCCCTGACTTGACAATGCAGCACTACAACCACAATAGTTAATATTAATATTTCTTAGTAGCAAGAGCTAAGAGTAGAGCTCTTGTTCTATCCTCTCCTCTATCAAAAAAATAAAATTAATATTGTGGTTTAGGGTTGTTGCGTTGCGTCAGGCCAAATTGTCAGCGTGTATTCCTCATGAGAACCGAGCTCCTCGTATGGTGCTTACACGCGTCTACTCTTACCGCACCATCTGCTCGGAGATATCTCGCTGCAGAGCTCTAGGGAGACTGAGTTTCATAATAGCGTGCATGAGTCCCAATGACAGCACTTGTTTATATACTGTTTATCCTGAACATCACGCATTTGTGAGGAATCTAATTAGCCATTGCTTCGGGGACCTCGTATGCGAAGTTTCGTAGCACTTCAGACTACAGGAGGGAGTATGCTCCGTTTGAACCCATGCCTTACGACTCATTACCCATGCAGATGAATCACTGCTTTCGTCGAAGGTCAATGAGGGACGGCGAAGGAACACGCGCAACGCACTTTCTCTAGGGCTATAGCGCAATTTCTTTTCAACAAACAACTGCGATAATGCATTACCATAGGTATGGAACATTGCTACGCATCTTTGTCATTCCAATTCTAATGGATTTCCCTCAGATGTCTACACTACTCGTGCACTTCAATACTTGATAAACATCTGGTCGAAGTGCGTCACATTCCATGCCCCAGTTTCGGTATTCCGCGTTAGATTCGTCTGCTTGACGCTTCCCCTCTGCAATGCACCGTTCTCTACGGTACCGTTTGCCACGCTGCGCTGCAGATGATTGGCACCAGCCAATACTGTAAAGTTCGCCAGGCTGATCTCGAGCGGGTTACGGAAAGCTACAGTGGGGCAGCCTATCGCACTGTTAGCTTTCCAGAGCTAATAGGACGCCTCTGTCCGCGGTATCAGAAAAGTGACGTACCAAAATAGTTCGCGGAAATCTCGCTTGGAGAGATCTGAAGCTCATAGTAACCACGGTAGTAGCCCTCGGCCCACTGCAGCTCTTTATTGTCTCGCACCAGACCAGCAGCCGCAACATTTCCATAGGTAATGTTCGGCGCATAGCCAGAGGACGAGACTGCGGTTCCAGCAAACTCGACACCAACGGAACCGGCGCCTGTGACCTGGTCGTATGGCATCTCATCCCTGTGAAGACTTAGAACACTATCCAGGTGGGGATCACACAATTAATGCCAAAACTTACAACCAGACAAGGTCTGAAACCCAATTGGCATGCGAGTCTCCTGCTAGAAAGACAGTGTTGGAAATTTGGTTATCGTAAAGGTGTTGCAGCGTGCGGTTACGATTAGCGGTGTAACCCTGAAGAGGTCAATTTTGAATAATCTCTGCAGAGGCGTGAACTTACATCCCACTGATCAGCGTTCAACCAGTCGCTCGATCTCGCGGTGTTGTTGAGTCTCGAAAAGACTATTTGGTTTCCAATGATCCTCCACGTAGCACCTCTCTGCGCGGACTTCGATAGCTGTCCGTAAAACCAGTTCTCTTGATGACTGCCCATTAGCGTACGACCAGCGTCGTCGATAAGCTCCGCGACGTAGTCATCATTCCAGTTCAGGGTCGTAATGGAGCGGTCGTAGTTACGAGTGTCGAGCATAACAAGGTCAAAGAGCTTGCCGATTTGGAAAGTGCGCCATATGCGAAGGTTATCGTCCATGTCTACTTGACGGATACTGGTGTGCGGGTCAGACAATCATGGTCTATAGAAAGCAGATGAAGGCTTACGGCATCCATTCAAAGTACGCTCGAACAGCGTTCATCTTACGCTGGTCAACGCTCACGCCTCCATCCTTGCGGAACGATTCTTCAGTATTGTTGAGGCCGCTAGAGCCATCTCGATAACCATTGTTGGATACCTCTTCTCGCTGTTAGTATTTGATATTGGAATTCAGTGCTCAACGTACCGTGGTCGTCCCAAACAGGTATCCACGCAAATTGACGGTGCGAAAGAAGCAGGTCCAAATCAGTACGATCTACACCAGTCAACATCGATCATAATTTTCAAGCAGGCCACTTACACTGGGCAATACGTGTGCGATAGTCTGGTCGTTAGGTTAGCCGGGGCATCGTAGAGGGATAAAGCATTACGAACCATAGAGCGTGAAAATCTCATCGCTAGGGTTTGTGGCCCTCGGATCCTTGCCCAGCGTACCCTTCCCAGTCTCGTAGATGTAGTCCCCAAGATGGATCTTTGACAGCAGTCAGCGTGTCGTAAAAGTAAAGGTCTCATCCTTGGAGGGCCACGTACGACATAATCCACGTTGTCCTTCCGAGCGGCATTGCCGTAGGCATTAAAATACCCGTTAGGGTAATTGCTGCATGAGTACACCGCCAAACCAACTTTGGTTACATAATCGTCTGGTCCAGGGCTCGTCTTTGTGCGACCCAGAGGGCTCTTGTTGCCCGAGCCGCAGACGGTGAACTGGTAGTAGTATTGCGTGAAAGGGTGAAGGTTATTTGCCTCTACCTGAATGCAGTCAATAAACAACTATCCCCGAGGAACCTGTACAGAGACCATACCTTGACAGTGTAATCAATGTCCGAGGTCGTATACGCGATGCCTTTATCAATAATTGCAGAAAAGTTCTTATCAGCACCAACTTGGTACTCCACACACACGGGGTTAGGGCTCGCTTTGATGTATGTCTCAGTGTCGTGGTTGTACAGTGGTACATTGCCTTCCACTGTCACATTACTCGCATCATTTTCAAGTGTTGGCGAGACACGGGTCCAGAGGATGACCGAATTGGGCAAAGGGTCGCCAGAGGCAACTCCATGCGTAAAATTCAGAACTGCTGGGTCCCACGAACGAGCTCTCAAGGCAGAACTGCGCTTTGCTACCTTCGGAAGGTCGATGCCAAGGGAGATATGACGGCGAGAAGGCGACGCGTAGTTAAGGTTCGTGTGAAAAGCTGCTGTCGCCGCCGAAGCGAAAGACAGCACTGTGAGCCAGTAAGAAGCCATGTTGATAGACTGAACCGCGACCACAACTATTCAACCAAACACTCGTACTTGCAACATTTATACCTAGACTCGGATAATACACCCATGTGCATTTCGTACTACACGAGAGCGGGGCAATGATCTTCCCTCGCATTCACCATCGGTGCCGCTACTGCTCAACGAAAAGGAGAAGAGACGGGCCAATCGCAGCTTGCGTGATTGAAACATGTCAAACGTATTCCTTAGCTTCGAATGCGAGGAACGGCCCGTGGCGAGGGTTTTGCGTGGGATTGGCCAAGCTGATGTTCACACGGGACGAAGCGCGGGTCGCTGAACGCTCTTGGCTGCATACACTAATGCGGGATGCTTCGACTATGGGGATTGTAATCTGCATACTGCCACCAAGGGCTGCAGGGCTGACGTAGGGACGTACACATTAATGATTTGGGATTGACCGGAGGTATCGGGGCGGATGCGCATTCTCTAGCCACGGCATCGTCGTGGAAGATGCAGTTGAGCCGACTTGCAGGATATACTGGAGAATCGTCGGAACATGGCAACTACTACTCACAGGGTTTCTTCACAATTTCGCCTGCATGACCGGTGAAGTTTGAAGACCCATCGAACGTCTGTACTACACCTTCCCCACAATCACTCATGTCCGCATAAACCCTACTCCAGCGTAAATGTAGGTAAGCCTGTTTTCATCCGAAGATCATAATGCACAATGCACTCACGAGATATTTGGTAATTGAAGGAGGACAGCTTTTTAATAAACACTTTATGGTGTAACCCGGAATTACTCAGCTCACAAAGCACCCCCAAATTTGCCCTCACTCAGTCAGCATAATCTTCGTTCCCATCCCCATCCATATCGTCATCCTCGTCTGTGAACCCGTCCTCTGCATCTGCACTCTCGCCATCGCTGGTAGAATCAGAGTCTCCTGCAGGGCGTTGCGGCCATGAGACTACTAATTGATCGATAACCTGCGGTATATAGGCTTTCACGTCGCCGAAGTACTCGTGCGATATCTTTCCGTCTTTGAACTTGACGCGTATCGGGTCGCCATGTTCCGAGTGTTGACCAAGGCATCCCAGGGTCAGCCTAGTGAGATGTGAAGTCGTCGAAATATCCCGGAGCAGGCGAGGCCATGGATTATAGCGGTCCTCGGAGACTTTCCAGCGAATAGAACTATCGCATCCTAATTCTGTCTTCCACAGACTTACATGCTGGAGAGTTACAGAAAACTTCGACATAATTTGGAGCAGCATGTCTGGTAATGTGGACATCATGCCTAAGTCGAGACGTTGCAGGCTCGGGAGAAGATTCGGCGTTGTGGCCAAGTGCTGTAGAATAGTGCAAGTCGTACTCGTTTGGCTTTTCTGGAAGTTCAAGCGAAGGTGCTTGAGCGAAGGCGTCCGAAGAAGGAAGGATCCCAGATGCATGAGATCCAGATTCAAGGACCCACGCAGGCTACTCGTAAAATGAAGTGTCAGAAGCAGTTGTTCTAGCCCACCCAGTACAGCATCTATCTTGCGATCCGGTGATCGAAGATAGAAAGCTAAGTCGGTCAGCCCCGCTAATTGTCCGCGCAAGATGCTTTCGATTGAAGGGATAGCTCGGTCTGCATCGGCAAGTGCTTGCATCACAAGCTGGAAGACGCAGGATGCAAATTCGTTCGAGTATATCCGGAGATCATATCCAAGCTGGCGCGATATTGTTGGCGCTCCGTAGCTGCTCCAGCGGCCATCGTCACGCACACGTCCATGAGCACTGTAATCGCGTATACCTACTGTGTCCAGATTGGGCAAATTGCGGAAAGCCTCCTCGAGCAACGTTCGATCATGTCCCGAGCTCATCAGAGAGAACTGGTCTGCAAAACCGACATGAAATACCCGACGTTGGGAATCGTTTAGGTTCCAGAACCCGGGGTCGGCGTCTTGGAACGATTGGAAGGATTCCATGCCGATAATAACATGTTTGAGGGTCTTGTTGAGGGCACCATGTCTGGAAATATCGACGAGCGTCTGTAAGCTTGACGTGCTCAGCTTGAATTGCCTCTTCGTAAAGAACTCTCTTGCGAACGTGTCGAACAACACCTTCTCAAGATATTTGTTGGTAAGTCGAAGGGCGCCAAGATCCTCGGTAGGGAGGTATGTAGCGATGCTGGAGGCCAATCAGTGATATATGTCTAGAAGTGGCCTTGGGTGCGGCACTAGGCCGAAGACTCAACTACTGCGTTGTTCATGTTGGGGCAACACAGTATATCTAAAGTTTCGGCCAGGCTCTTTATCAGGGTCCAACTCACAGATGCACAAGCAGCTCAAGTGGCAGTCCCGTAAGACTTGCGGTCGCCATCTTCCTCCCGCACTAGTGATCGTTGCTCTTTGTTCACGCTTGCTGTACGAATATGTAAGTCGTAGTATGGGAATTGCTTGAGTTGTCAAAAGGGCGAGTCGTACGGAACGCGGGGCCAGGCAGCGAGCGCGCTAAGACGCGCTATCACCTGATGCCTAGCCAATCACAACGCGCCGACCTGGGAGACGTCATTTTCGTACTTCCCTTCACCTTTGAGCGTCTCTCATCTCGCAATTGACAATCCAGCGCTTTCAGTTGTTGTCAATTGCTTGAGTCGACTCACGATGCGTCCAAAATTGCCGCTTACTGGCTACACCCTCGCTCTCAGCGGCACTTTTCCCGGCAACACACATCCGACAGTCCAGAACAACATCACCACTCTCGGCGGGAACGTCGCGAAAAGTGTGACTGCAGACACAGACATCCTCATTTCAACCCCGGCCGATGTTAATAGAAACTCGAAGAAAGTCCAAGACGCGCAATCTAGCGGCATTCCCATTGTCTCCATCGATTGGCTGAACGAGGTCGCTCTCAGCGAAGATGCGGTATCATCTGACGATTTCTCACTCGTCGCCGGATCAACGCCCACGACTAATGTAAAAGGCAAGGGCAAAAAGCGTGCGGCATCCCCTGACGACTCTAATACCCTGACATCGAAAGCTGCAAAGGTCGGCCCGCTAGATACCGCACCAAAGCTCGAGCCCAAGGTCGGAGACGGATCCGTATTGAAGTCCAACAACGTAAACATTCCACTCGATGAAGGCTGTCCGCTACAGACGTACCATGTCTACGTTGATGAAGAGGGTGTCGTGTACGATGCGGCTCTAAACAAAACCGATGCTTCTGCGAACAACAACAAGTTCTATCGTGTGCAGGTCAGTTGTTCACGCTCGTAGCCACGCGCCACTCACTGATATCTGCAGCTGCTATGGAATTCGAGCACAAATGACTTTAAGACATGGACGCGATGGGGAAGGGTCGGCGACAGGGGCCAAAGCAAGACTCTGGGCACCGGAAGCTACAATGATGCCTTTTCGAACTTCAACAAGAAATTCAAGGAAAAGAGCAAGCTTTCGTGGGACGATCGGGGTGCGGAGCCAAAGAAAGGTATGTGCCATGTCTCACAATCATGTACCGGTTGTGTATGTTCGGCTGACTTATGCGATTTGAGGTGCCTATGCCTACGTTGAACGCAGCTACGAGCCCGACACCGAAGATGAGGAAGTCGAGGAAGTCACCACCAATGGATACGGTCGTCACTCTCGAAGTGTGTCACCCGCCAAGTCAAATCTCGCTGTCCCTGTGCAGTCTCTCATGCAGCTCATCTTCAATCAGCAATATATGTACGAGGCTATGAGCGACCTCAACTATGATGCAGAGAAGATGCCCCTCGGCAAGCTGAGCAAGGCAACCATCAACCGTGGTTTCCAGACACTCACTGCGTTAGCGACATTGCTCAAGGATGGCCTGTCGTCGCGGTTGGAAGTCGAAGATCTGTCGAACAGGTATTACTCCTTCATACCGCACAACTTTGGTCGATCACGTCCTCCAGTCATAGGTGATTCTGGCACGCTGAAACGCGAGATCGACTTGCTAGACTGTACGTTCATAACCCCTCTACTCATATCAAATGCCTAACAACTCCTTAGCGCTGGGCGATATGAAGGCGGCCGCCGACTTAATGAAGAAAGACCTTGACAGTGCAGAGAAGGTTCACACTCTAGATCGCCAGTTCCAGAGCCTGGGTCTCGAGGAGATGTCCGTCATTGATCCATACAGCAACGAATACCAGGAACTGGCCAACTATCTGGTCAACACTAGGGGTGCAACTCATGGCATTGCCTATCAGGTTGAGAACATCTTCCGCATTGAACGTCAGGGTGAATTGGATCGCTTCCAACAGAGCGAATTTGCCAAAATCAAGAGCGATAGGCGACTACTCTGGCATGGCTCTCGTGGTACGTAATAGCTCTACAGTGCCCTTAGCCCAGGCACATGCATTGGCACTAACGTAATTCCAGCGACAAACTTTGGCGGTATCCTTAGTCAGGGTCTTCGAATAGCACCGCCCGAAGCGCCAGTCTCAGGATACATGTTTGGCAAGGGTATATACCTTGCCGACATGTCATCCAAGTCGGCGAACTACTGCTGTTCACACAATAGTGGTGGCCATGCTCTTCTTCTACTCTGCGAAGCTGAGCTCGGACAACCCATGTATGTGCTGACACAAGCTTCATATACCGCTGGAGAAGATGCCTATGCGATGGGCAACTGGTCAACTTGGGGCAAGGGTATGACAGGACCGCAGGCATGGAAAGATGCGGAATGCGTGCATCCGTCTCTTCGTGGGGTGAAGATGGTAAGCCACCTGTACAACTGTCTGCTATACTGTCTTATATCGCTTGATTGGAACTGCGAGCTCAGATGGAGGCTTTGCTAACGTAATATTCTCCAGCCTGACACCACTATACTTCCAGCCAACACCCATGTTCTTGGCGCCTACCTACAGTACAACGAGTACATCGCTTACGATATCGCCCAAGTGCGCCTCCGCTACCTGTTCCGTGTCCGCGTGTGAGTTATGCGCTACACCGACTATGTCTTGAACTGCAACCAAAACGCCATGCTGCCTGCACCGGTCATTATCGCGCGCTCATACCGGCATAAGGTAGAGCTAAATTTCTCTGATATGTCTCCGGATCTCATTATACAAAGATATACACTCTAGCTGGAAAAGGCGTTTAATTCGGTGGCACCATACGAAGCATTACACGGAGTCTAAATTAATCATAAATTCGCTTGCGGCTATCCAAGTACTATAACATCTGTCGTGGTTTTCTCACGTAGCTAACTTAATTCATCTTGCGATCGTTTGGACGCTGCATAGCTCTCCATCGCCGACGCACCTGTCTGAACCAAAATGACTATGGTGATCGAAAATTTACCGCATCTCTTACATTAAGGAAGGACTCAATCTACGATGTGAGATAAGCTCTTCCTCCCGATATTGTACGTGGACTCTCTGTGATCGCATTGGCATGTCTCTCTATCAACAGGCTCCATACCTTCCAATAGGCCTCGCACAATGATCGTGATCCTTCGCCCTCGCTATATCTAGTGTTATTTACAACGGTGGCCCTAGCCTCTGGAAGCATCTCTACAACCTCCTTGTTACCATGTTGACCCGCCTCTAGCAGACTCGTCCACCCCATTTGTTCTTCGCATCGAGATTAGCCCGGTGCTTGATTAAAAACTGCACGCAGTCTTTCTCCTTGCTCGCAAGCATCAGCGCTGTGTTTTCACCTTCAGCCATGGAGTTCCAGACTCTCAGGAGCAGCTCAAAATTCCCAGTGTAGCTTCGCATATCAGCATCCTGCAAGGGCGTCCAGTCCTAGAGATTGTGCCTATTTGGATCCGCTCCATGGGCTGTGAGTCAACTTTCACCGGATGATCTAGAAGGCATCAGACACACAGCGAACCGACTAGACTAGCTACTTGGACGTGCCGAGGGCATTGAAATGTGTCTTTCGAACTTTCGAGGTTCGTTATCCTGAGAGTCCTCACATTTCAAGGTTGATATGCGCACGTTGGATGTATTGTCAAATTGTGTGGGTTGAGAGGTCTATTCGCCTTTGTAAGGTTAGAGAGGCTTCTTCTCGGGGCGATAATATACTATGTTTGAGGATGTAATGTACCATGTATGTAGTCTACCGCCCGAAGTTGTTCCTGACTATGTATTTCGAATGATCTGATTCGTTACTTCGGCCTTAGTGCGGGCCCACCATACCCACTTTTGTCGTGGACGAGACCGCTATGACACAAGCTGCAGATAAGCGCAGAGTTCTCACTTAACCTTCCGAATTCGGCACCGTTTTGCGAGCTCACTCTCATCTTCTCGAGGGTGCTCATAAACTTTACTTGGTCAGTTTGGGTATTGCCGCGTGCCCAGCATGCTTCCAATGAATACTGTTAGATCGAGGTCACAGCGGATACGGAAGATATGATAAACAAAAAGCAGAAGAAGAAACGGCCCACTCAGCCAAAGGTCAAGGGTTGGTCACACTAGTCAATCTTCATATTAGCATCCCTAACATCAGCCTTCTCTAGGATGTTATGAGTGCTCGCAACGACGCATTAGCTGCGACCGGGGACAACCAGAATGCGCCAAATGTGTTTCCCGGAATCTGCGATGCAGCGGCTTGGGTATTCGCTATCGCTTTGAAAACGGCGTTGCTTCCAGGGGCAAATTTGTTGGTAAGACAGCGCGCGACATCTGCGACGTTGATCCGAACCAACAGAATGGGGACGGTGGAGCACACATAATGAACGTTGTTGTCGTTGATGATCTGTGCCCAAACCCTGGTTCACGAAGAAATAGTAGGGACAAATCAGTGGGACTAGTGTCGCAATTATCCTCTACTGAAGAATCCGAACCACTTGGAGAAGATGCATGGCATCTCACGAACAGTGAATCTCCTGAGCAGACTGCCGAGGTCTCCGATAGACTGGCATTCGGCACAGCCACTCGCTCGTATAATGGAACCTGCTTAAGTTTTGACCGATTCGAGACTTTCCCTCAATGGAAACGATCTCTCATCACGTATTGTAAGCTAGTTCTCGCAGCAGCGCAATAATCCGTAAAGCTCAGCTAATCATCACGCAGTCTCCAGGCGTATTGCCCCGTACATGCTGTCTATTGATGACGAATCCAACGGGTGGAGGGAATTGATACTACCTATTGCACTTGATGATGAGGTGGTCATGGACGCTGTGATTACCGCGTCAGCCTACCATATTTCTGCAAACTCCGACGCAAACCTGGTGCTCGGGCCATTATCATACACGAAAGCCATCGATGGCCTCATGAAGAGGCAGGATTTCAGGAGTCTCAAACCCTTGGTCAATGGCTTTAGCGTAATCGCTATCCTTGTACTACTCTGTTCGGTGCTTGTCACCGGCTGCGACGATTTCCCGATCATGTTCAAGATGCTCAAGTCTGCCTACGAGGTTATGATGGAGGATGGTGGTTCCGGCGACCATACACTGAATATCTTCTTACGAAGACAAGTCAACAAGTGGGTATATTTGTAATTCTTCTCGAATGGTAAGCAGCTAAACTAGTTGCAGAATACGTACTTATGGCGAGCCCATGGTCAGTGAATCAAGCGGCATAGAAGCTATGACTACAAGAGCTTTCGAGAGCTTCGACTGTCTGCGGCATTGTATGCTGAGACATCCCGAGCATGTTTCAAGTCTTCGAAACGTTAAAACCCAGATTGAACAAGCTTACCACATCTACCTCCGTCGAGCACTTGGAGATCTTGACCAGGAGTCCTCCATACAGCTGGTTGAGCATTTTAAAATTACAGCGGAAGCATACCCAGGTACTGCCCCAGGCCATCACGTCCTTATTTGGGCGACGTTCATGGTCGCATGCGAAAGCTCGACCAAAGAACATCGACACTTCCTAGTGGAACAGTTGAAATTGTTCCATCGTATATCGAAGTTTGAGAACAACCTCAAAGCAATAGCGCTCCTGAAGTCGGTCTGGAGCAATGCACCGGATTCGAGATGGACAACAACTCTTCCTGAAATGCGAATCTTGATCATGTAGATAACCATAGGAATGAAGACTTGTAAACATTGTGTCCGCCTTCGATATTGCAACTTTTCAGATGTTTCTCCTGACCAAGTCTAGAGGTCGCTAGGTGCTTCCGCACAGATATTTTCCGGATATCTAACAAATCCAATAAAATCGAAAGAGAATCAACGCAGAGTCATAAAAAGGGGAGAGAGGCAGTTCTGCGCTCGATCATATCCATTCCACCCAACGGAACGCTTTCAAAATAAAATATCTGGTGCGATGAATCTTTGTTCCACTAATGGTTTCAGCGAGATCCACTGATGAGAACGCAGTCAAGATGCAGGCAAAGATGGACTAAGAATTGTAGCAGGTTGGTGGGATATGGTCGTAAGTGGCAATACCGACTTCACACTCTCCCCTCCAGAATCTCATACACGCGTTAGGGGTTGCTCGACCCGAGCACTCCGTGCGCCTCATTAGAGCAGACTCGCGCAGGAGATGACGCTCATTGAGAGGCAAACGTCATCTGTGCAGATCGTCAGAGAATCCCGGATAGGCGAAGGCTCCTTCTAAACTCTTCCGTATGGTCCATCTGGGGTAGTCGCGGACCTGTGTGGTCTTTACGAGAATGGTGCGCTCGGGCCATTTAGCTGGATCGGGCAAGTCGAATGAGCGTGGCTTTTTATGCACCCTAGCGTGACCCTACCTACCCGACAGAAACAAGCCTTACTGCTTTCAGTAGCTTAAATGAGAACACCACATCCCACCAGCATACCCACTAACGTGTGATAAGGCCCTCGGCGTGAATTCCAGCTTTTGGTGGGGCTCGAAGTTAGAGGATATATCGACGCGTTCTCCAATTATACTACCGTTGACTGTATCATATTCTTGCCATCCTTTTTCTTATAATGGCTCAGTCACCAGACGGTATCTACGAGAAGGGCATCATCGACCCTGGCACACCTGTCGCGAACTCAACCCAACCATACTGGCTGACCGAGCCATCTCCGATTGCCAAACTTCAGTCACCATGGGCCAATGAGGCGGATGTGGTGGTTATTGGGTCGGGAATGACAGCCGCGAGCTTGTGCCGTAGTCTCTACGCAGAGCAGCCTGGCATCAAGATCGTTGTGGTAGAGGCTCGGGATCTGTGCGCCGGCGCAACTGGTCGCAATGGAGGCCATATCAAGGCTATGAGCCCCGGAGCTTGGCAGGATCGCGTGAAAGCCTACGGGCTCAAAGAGGCACTAAAGGTTATGGAGTTCGAGCACGTTCACGTGGAAGAGATACTTGCTTGCATCAACGAGAATGGCCTTCAAGCTGACCACCGAAGAGTCGAAGGTCTGGATGTATACCACGATGAAAAGACATGGACCCGAGCGGTGGATGCTGTGGAGGACCTTCGTAAGCACGATCCTAAACTCGGCAAACGATACACCATCTACGATACGAGGAGGCAGCTACGAGACCTCAAGATTTCGGATGTCGCAGTAGGAGCGATTGGAATGCCTGCTGCTACCATGTGGCCGTACAAGATGGTTGCTGGTCTCCTGGAGAAATTCGTCCAGGAGTATGGCCTCTCTATCCAAACCAATACTGTAGCCAAGTCTGTCGATGATAGCCCCAAAGATGACTTCGCGACTGTCAATACCTCCCGAGGCGACATCCGGGCGAAGTACGTCATCCACGCAACCAACGCCTTTCTTGGACACCTAGTTCCTGAGTTGCGGCCTTATGTCTCCCCGGTGCGCGCCAACGTGCAGCGGCAGTTGCCACGGCCAATCACACACCAACTCACACGCTCATACTGGCTTAGGTATGGCGAGAAAGACTACGACTACATGATGCAGCGACCGGACGGTGCTACCATCATTGGCCGAGGCAGCACAGGACGAAGGGCAACGGCTGATGATAGCCAGACAGATTTGGTGGCTCATGTCCACTTGAGAGGAGCCACGCCATATGTATTTGATTGGGGAACGGACAAGATCGAGGTGACGCACCAGTGGAGTGGTGCCGTTGCTTTCACATCAGATGGTAATCCTTTTGTCGGTAGAATACCGTTCTCCGAATCCAAGCACCAATGGGTCTGCGCGGCGTATCAAGGCATCGGGATGGTGAGGGCGTTCAAGTCAGCACAGATGGCTGCATACTTGATCCTGGGGAAGGAGATTCCTGAAGAGTATCCTCGCTCGTTTTTGACGACCAAGGAGCGTTTCGATGGCTTGCAGGCGGTTTTCAAGGGAGCCAAGCTGTAAATTGTTCTATTAACTGCTCTGCAAGGCGTCGAATGATGTAAAAATACATTGATTTGATGCCAGCAAAAAGCGTACAACGAGTATTGCTCTATTGACAACCCAGTCACCGCTTCCTGACGCTCACCAGCGCCGAGCAGAGAATGCGCGGATCCCTGCCATTGCTCTTATACACTCTTCGTAGGTGAAATTCTAATTGAGCGCTGTGGGCGGGTGTTGATGAAGAAGTGACAACCCTGCAAACGCGAACGCGACACGCCAAACGTTCGGGCCGACAAAATCGCGCTACCCGTCCTTCCCTCTTCCTCTCTCTGAATGTCCATCAAGCTTCAGTGCGTCACTTCGGTCAATCTGCTTTCCGAGCTTTTGCCACTTACCACAAAGATCGCAAACAAACAAGAGCAATTGTGAAGCCTAGCGCCAGCAGTGGCGGTGACGTCACCCAGGACATGAGTTTGTCGAAGTCCCAATCGCGCTTCAAACCCATATACCTAGGTAGCCATCAACATCTGCGATATGCCAGTCTGACCAGTCAGGTGACCGAAAGTATGCAGGTGTCTGTGTGAGACGTGGAATCACGTTATCCGCATGGTCAGAGACGCGGCTGAGGAACGATTCGACTATCGAGTCTTCTCCTGCTATCGCTGAGACTATTGAGTCTATCCGACGCAAGTTTTGGATCTAGTAGGCAACTATTTCGTCTACACACCAAGCCCAACACGCGAGCTTGCGCCGTCTTCGAGTAACCTCTGGCGCAGATGAAGTCGACTTGTGCTGTGCATCATCTTCCAACCTCACACAGGCAGCCTGCTTCGCATAGGATAGAGTATCTCACACTTCTTTTAGACCTGGCTCTTTGAACGCACTCGGTGTTTTCACGCGCGACGATTCGACAGATGGTCTCAGGGCTCCAGATTCAGACGCTAGATACCTGTGGGACGTTAAAGATCCATCGCAAGAGCGAGGGGTACTACAGGCTCGCTTCCTCGAGCAGTCTATGGGCCTGCGTCGCTCCAGGACGATACATCCAGACAGTTCGGGATGTCATTGGTACGATTTTACCAATCAATGCTCTACATCAAGGCATGGTGTCTCACACAGCTCACTCACCGTTGCTGACACGTATCTTTAGACGGAATGCGAAAGGCAAGGGAGTTATACGCGATTATAAGGCAAAAGCGACAGAATTGGACCGTACGTTGAAGAGCCTTCACTTCTCTACAGGAGATAGAAGTGCACTCATAATCTGTCAAGGTATACCCAATCCTTTTCTTCCCGCGGCAGAATCCAAATGAGTGACATGTCGACACCAGCGCAGATCATCTACCAGCCAGCTTCACCCATCTTCCCTTCGGTCGTCCAACTCACTTCTTTTGGCCCTGATTGTCCGTGGCGGCGTTGGCGGCGTTCGCATTGTTGGCAGCCGCAGCATTGGCACGGGCGGGGAAAGTGCCCTTTCCGACGTCTCCGCCACTCGTCGCCTTGCAAAGTTCAGCACAATGCAGATACGTCTAGCAGTCTAAACCATTTTACTTACGTTAGCAGAGTTAATTGCAGAGGCCCTTTCCTGGGTCATCGGCGTCTTGTTGTTTCCCGACATTTCTGTGACTTATCGAGGTTGTGAGTCTTGTATAGAGTGGTGAAATAGTTCGAAGCAGATGGAGTAGCTTGATAGTGCTGGGAAAATCTTGATTGCTCTGCAACAGAAGCTCTGAAAGACGGAAAGTCGTACCCCTTATACCGAAGTCGATCGGAGCTAAGTCAGAAGAGGACGGCTGCAGCCGTTTCGGTACTTGCCTCCATCTATAACTCTTAAGAAGTCATCGGAGCTACGTTCATGCTGTAGCGCTTGGAGTTTGCCTATCACATGGGATGTCAGGATCACTTGCGGCTAGAAGTGTGTGCGTGTACGATGTCACTGGCCGTTGTAAGGCAAGTTCAAGATGTAAAGATGCATGCGGGTACGACTCACTGTAACAGGAACGTACACCTGTGCGAGCCTTTTGCTGCAAGTTGCATGCTTCTTGCGCTGAGCAAGGGGCGCATTGCAGCGGAACTCGACCCAAACAGCTATTTGGTGAGTCATATTCCCCAGACCGCGAAGTAACATCCGGAAAACAGTTAGCCCCTGCGGGATCTCCCGATCCGATTTACCACGCGTGTGGTAGCCCCCCGCTTCACGCATATCGAATACTCTAGGTGCGGTCAGCACCGTCACAAGTCTTGCTTCTTTATTGGATCTTCTTGGGCAGCAGAATTTCTATTGTAGCTATGAACATGCCTACACATGCACCTTCCTCACCGGATAATATGGACCCATTATCAACGTTAACTGAAAATTGGTAGGCACTATCGACCATCTCCAGGTGACGTATAGTGGTTATCCTCAGAGTCGCAAGGGATGCTGTCCCCGTGGGGGTCGCGCTTCGCCTGATTGATCGAATCAAAACATCTGAAACCCAAGTTCAAATACGACGACCAGATACGCCTCCTGTACAAGCTGATATCGTCCAAACAAGAAGACGACTTTCGAATGCACGGGATTCCCTTGCATTGTCACATCTGGCCTATCAGTTTTGCCTTGCGCAGCGTAGGTCCAGTCGATCTCATCCACATACTGATCAACACCCCGGGAAATGTTCGCCAAATCAGCGCTGCGCGAGGCCGTGGTAACAGATGAGCCTTGTTTATTACTTCGAAGCGTTGAGACACTGCAGGGCCAGCAGAGGCACCAAACCTGTGAGAGATGAGTGCGCGGTGCCGAGCGCTTGCGAAGCCGCGCTCGTGAGTCCAGCAGTACCTGAAGTAGACTGCGATTGAATTTCGCACATGTTGTTCCATCTTGCTGGTCGGTAGACCCAGATTTGTCAATATGTACACTCAGGCGATACAAAGATAGGTGGCTGCAAGCTCCGCCAGATAAGCCTTCTGGGATTCTCCAGATCCATATCTCGGCTCTTCTGGAAAGCATTCCCTAGAATCTGCGTTGTTACGAGCCAAGACTTCGGCATAGTCAGGGCCCCCAGGATTTGTAGGATCTATCTCTGAATAAATTTTCGTGCAATAGCGCAGTTGGTGTCTATACTACGCAGTACCCTTCACTGTCTTTCGCAGATCATCATCAAGTTGTGTGACATATCGTCCCGCCTCAACAATTTTGGCACAGTAAGCGCGAAAGCTCTCGTTCAAAATTTCACTGTGTTCTTTGATAAGGGCCAAACGTCCGACTATTGGTCTTGCCGTTTATTCTGGATGCGTGAGGAGCCTAGTGGTGACGTAAGTAAGGGAATGATTGGGTGTGAGGCTACATGAGCAATCAGCATGAGGCTTTGCTAGTTTAACTTGGATATCGATCTTCCACGCGGTTGTAGGCAGCGGTAAAGCTCGGAGCTCTTGCGGGGACTAGTAATCGTTGTTCTTATCGTCAAGGACACCGAGACGCGGGATCCATGTAGGAACTTTAACATCAAACTATAGGTACTGTAGAGGCGCTGAGAACCTATCATGTCAAAGCATGCCGGACGATGACCTAGGTTTGTTTCGTGCATGAAATGCTATCGTAAAAGACGTTCTGGGATGGTTAACAGTATCGGGATATCTTCCCATGAGTCAGCAGTCAGGTTGATAAGTTTCTGTTGGCTTGCACACAGCTGATCAAAACAAAGGGTCCCCAATCCAAGTTTCTCATCCGGATCAAGACTTCTTTTCGTAATTACGCAGATTTGGGCTCGTTAGATTAAGCTGGTTCACAATATTTGTGTGAGATGTGGAATGAGTTCAATGTTTTTGAAGGTTCTTGATAGCAGTACCGACGAATGGTGCAAAAGCGCGGAAAGGTCCCATAATACGAGATGATACACGCAACGATCATATTACTTTATCGTACGACCTCGGTAAGATTCACCAAACCAAATTCATAAGATCAGCCTTTCTGTATGTGAAATAATATTTTATTAATAAAGAGCTTTCAGAGATGTCTAGGCAACCATCCATTCTGTGCATTGGTCGCTCATCCTCGAAATCTCACTCGCACAGTTCTTCAAAGGATCTGAGTCCACGTACATACCGTATTATATCGCCGATCAATCCAATCATCACTACACCATCGGCCTCAATGCACTGTTTGTCACAGATTATGTGCTAGGTAACCAATTGTGTACATGCTCCTAAGTAGCAGTAGAGCGCAGTACGTTCCCATGTAAATTTCGAACCGTGGATTAGAGCAAGTCGCTTCCCGAGTCGTCCGAAGCTGAACGCGAAGATGAGGGGACTATGTCGCTGTCGTCCGAACTTGCGGAAACGTCCTTCGTGTGAGTGCCGCTCGCGGTGCGCGAGATAGCAGGACGTGAGCCGGTGGCTTTGATGGTGCCAGCGGCGTTACGCTTGCGACTCTCAGGCTGATGCCGCTTCTGCTCAGGTTGGCCCTGCGCACGCTCCTGGAACTTTAGTATAGCCTCGGTCACCGCATCTTGATGAGATGACAGCAAGCCTTCCAGATCCTCCCGTTCGACACTAGACTGCTTGAGCTCTGCCGCTTCGCGGACCTTGTGACTTTGTAGTCCCTGCCTATTTGTTAGTACCAGAGATCAATGGTGCTGCTAGGAAAAGTACCTACCCGTATCTTCGCGTTTGCCTCATCGATGGAGGCGCAATCAACCTCGTGGTCTGCTGCATCACCGAGATGATCTGCGAGACGCCGAATAAGCGCCTGCTCCGTCTGCATCTTATCCTCGATTGATTTCAGCTCCTTGCGATGAGCTAGCTCGGTTTGTTGTATGGCGGTGAGGATGTTATGAAATTTATTGAGGGATCCATTCATGGAAAGCATCATTCGCTTTGCCTCGGGGGCCCTTTCTGCGAGCGGCTTCTTGTATTGAGCTGATAGCTCACCCGTTGCGTCTTCACTCGCGCCATTCGTGTTTTTTCGTGCCGGCAACGTCGTGCTCTGGAGCTTCTGTCACTGACGGTCCATCAGGCATTGGCTGAGCGTGACCTGGCATGTTGTAGGATTTCTGTTCTGCGCCACGAGTAGTGTCCGTGCTCGAGTTTCGAGTTTTGTGCGATTTGGCTACGAAAGGATTGGCGAACTGGTCCTGGATTAGAAACAATTACGATTCATATGAGCCATAGCAGGCACATACCATATTTCTTGGTGACCAAGTCTTCTGAATTGGTTTTTGACAGCGGTTGAAGACTTAAACCTGGCCGAGGTTGGATGGGAATGATTTGAGGTGGTGAGGTTTCACGTCTAACCGGGTGCAGAGTGCGAGTTTATATACAGAGGTGGAAGTTTGCTTGAGTGATCACGGGTATATGCACCGCGAAAACGCTCTTTTCGCAGCGTCCCGTGCGTTTCCCAAACAGTCAACGCGTTTAGACTGCTTGCATAGATTCATCGGGTGCCCAAACTTCATGGTAACATCTGCAAACTGCGAAAACGCCATTGCCATTCACAAACGAGAAGCAACTGAGAGCTGGACTTACTAAGACCCTGTCGACTAACTGTGGTAAATTAGATCTCACGAATTGAACCATTCTCACACATCGAGTAAAAGTTTTAGTCAGAATGTGGAAACAGAATGGCTTAGACACAGACGTCTCTGAATATGGAGACTCAGTTGCTTTCATCTAGGACATGCTATAATACGGTTGACGTCGAGCTCATACTGCGTTTCATAGGAAGGCATATCATCCTTAATGCTCATCTAATGCTACCAAAAGCACACATTATCAAGTATACCCTAATGCTTATTTCTTCCAGCAAGGTAATGATAAGGCCGAATGGTATTGTATGATTTAGCATCAGGTCAAGATTTGCAGAATGATCTACTGAAAGCGTTAGTGTTCGTATTATTTGCTATAAGGGGATCTTCGGTCCAAATGCCAACGTGCCATACGTTCCCTGCCGATTTTAGATTCACTCAAGTGCTCATCGTTGATACAAATAAGAGCCCTCTCTAACCACTACATATGCGCCGAGTCTTTTCAACGGCTATATGTTGCATAAGGAACATGTGCCGACTCAGGGGGGCTGCTTTGCTCTGCCCCGCCACCTGCTGCCCCTTCATCTGCATCTTTGTTCTTGTTCTTCGGCTCTTTGGCGAGCCTTGAAGACTTGGCGATTTCTAGGACAGGAGCGCCTGAACTTTCGAAAGAGCGACCGGTGCCTCCTTGGTAACCTTTTGGCAAATATTAGGCGCCTGGCTGCGTGCCCCCCTGCCCGGTCAGATCCGTCTTTGCGTCCCTGAGCGATCTCTAGGACAGGAGCGCCTGGACTATCGAGAAAGCGACGGGTGCCTCTATGGAAACACCATTTTCCTTTTCATTGAAGGAGAGCTCGATGAGTTCTCGTCGAGGAAGGAGTTATAGTGGCGGCTTGTGCGATCACTGCGTATCGCCCACATACTCAGTCTGGTCATGGTTGTCATTTGACGCGCAGTGGAAGTAGTGTAGAGTAGAACAGGACCACTCAATTCTTTAGACTCCCTGAAGCAAACCTCTCGCGCACGCATACTGCTTCTCTGAATCACTGATATAACCGTGACGATGGTTGTATCACAATAAGCCGACACCTACGACTAGTTGTACATAACCCGCTTTCGCGGATCACATTGAGAGGCTACGCAAAATAAGATACTAGGCTTGCATAGCTGATCACACCGGACACGTTATTGTTTTTGCGCAATGAGACAACATCCTCTATTTTCTGCATTTTACCATTCTATTCCGATGGATTTCCGCAATTATTAGAGGAACCTATTCCGACAATAGCGCGGCATTGATATTAGATGGATGGGTATCTTTACTGACTCGTCCGGTCTCTACGTAGTATTGTGGTGATGACGGGAGAGGCTTGACATGTCTGTTCGCTCATATGAAGGCAGTGCGCATCATGCTCTGCACCGCAATGCGGGCTGCTACAACCCCCAGCATGTCGTAAAATGTCACACTGGTCCTTTCTTGTTTCTTTCGCTGTCCCATGTTCCTGCAGCTTCAATTGCAACAGGTGGCTCTCTCTCCAGCGGAACGCAGCCTTAGTGTTCCTCAGCTGTCCAGCCCCGGGCAGTTCTCCGACTCCTGCGCTGTGACGCCATCATCGTAAGGATACGGATCGATCCAAATGATGTTGAAGCTGCAGCTCTCGTCAGCATTGCCCCTGAAAACGCTTTCCCTTTCACTTACGCATCATCGGGATAACTAGGTGGGTTGTCATCTTTGCCCAATTCGTCCACAATGTCACTCAGCGCATCATGCTCCCAGCAAATCAAGATATTGCCCGAGCCTGTGTAGCCCTTGACCACATCCTCTACGCACTTCGCATCGTCCCGGTCACAGGAGGTATCGACGCTAAGGCCGAGGTCGGCGGCGAGAGGGGCGACGGTGTCGTAGGGGCGTTTGCGTTTGCCATCTTGCCCAACATTTAGCAAGTCGGTGGGCATAGGGAAGGGGAAGTTGTGCTACCAGACTTGGGGGTCTGCGCCATGATATGGCCGATTTGGTATTTGGAGGTTGCGCCAAAGACGGAGCGCAGACATTGTGCGCGCTGCTGACCTGCTGCACTGAGGCCATTTCCGCTGTCGGGCTTTTCGCCGTGGCGGATGAGGTAGACTGTAGGCTCTGCGGCGGCGAGGGTGAGGAGCGCGATGGCGCCGAGGAGGCTTGAGAGCTGCATCGTGGATGTGGATAGGAGAGGAGGATATTGAGGTACCTAGGCACGGCGGACATGATTGCTTTATACCATGTGCAACGAGTACATTACTTGAGAGCGGGTGTCAACAGGTGCCATGTACTTGCCATTCGGGGTGTCGCGTGGGCAGTGCTCGTGTTTGCGTGACGGCGCTGGGCAGGAGCAGACCAATCGACACAGGCATGCGTACGCACATGGGGCCGAGTGAGAGACTGTCCAAATGCGAAGCTTCCTAAAGGCGACAAGCTTCCCGAAGCATTCTGCGGGCCGCGCCGATCGTTGATATGACGCGGCGAATCGATTGCGCACGTTGGCATGTTGGCTGGGATGCAATCTTCCAGGCGTGCTGTCCTCTGCGGAACAGGTATTCTCACCATGCTCCTGCTCACTGCTCCCTGCTCACTGCTCACCATCCGCATAGCTATGTCATGACTGGAGTACAGTCCCATCCATGCATACTACCCCCAATGCTTGGACCCCTACCCGCATCCCTACAACGTTCCCGGCCAAAACCTTTCCCCATTCCTCTCCCTCCACCCCCATCATGCGCAACCACAACCTCGACCTCCGCATCCTGACCCCCTCCTCTTTCACCCTCCCTCCCAAGCAACATCCTCACCCTTTCCACCGTCCTCGTTGCCCCGTCCGTGTCCATATGCACGCTCCTAAGCCCGCCCTTCCCATCATCATACAGCGCAATCTCCCTTTCTCTGCTTAAAATCCGTGGGTCGTGGCAGCAGTCGCCCCCGAGGTATACCCATTTTCCCGGCGCGGTGCGCGCGAGAAGGTTTACGTGCCCATGTAGGTGGCCCGGCGCGTCGATGATGTAGAGGGAGCCGTCGGCGAAGAAGTCGATGGCTGAGGGGAAGCCGGCCATGGGCTGCCAACGGTGTTCGCTGACACGGTCATGTGATTCGAACTCTGCGCTATTTTGCACCGCTGGTAGTTCCTTCGTTCTATCTCTTGGGAGCTCGTCCGCGTTGAATAGGGAAGCCGGATACAAAGGACCGCCGCCGTGCGCGAGGAGATGCAAAGTCCCGTTTCCTACCACAAATTCTGCGTTGGGGAAGTCCGAGGGCGTGCCGACGTGGTCCCAGTGGACGTGGCTCAGGACCACTTTATTGATGTCTTCGGGCGAAAGACCACCTTTCTGCAGGCTCTCGGCGACGTCGGGGGAGACGGTTGTGGGTTGACGCTGTGCGATGTGCTGTTGTTGCGCTTCGCGGTAGCCGGAGAAGTCGCGCTTGAGGCCGAGATCGAAAATGAGTTTGGTCGTCTCCGACCTGGCATCTTGACTGAGTGTCTGGATGGAGGGTGGGTGTTGAATGAGGAAAGAGAGGGATGGGACGGTGCTGCGTTTTTCTGGGTCGGCCGGTGTTACGAAGAGGCTCTCCGGGAGGGTTAGGTGGCCGCCTTCGAGGGCAGAAATCGTTACGTAGACTTGGTCTGGCGAAGGCGATGGCAGGGTGACGACCTCTCCGTTGGTAGACGCTAAGGCCATGGCTACAATGCAAGTAAAACTGTTCGACGTGGATTGCGTGTAATATCGGTAGTCTCGAAAGTCATAGTCATCGGTCACATTGCGGTATGACTGGTATGCAACAGCGACTTGGAGACAACATGCCTTTGGGAGAGCTTAGCCCCACCCCATAGATACCCCGCTGCGGGGTTTGATCCATGATCCATGGCACGCGATCCAGATGACATATCCTCGCCGAACCGCTAATTGTTTGTCTAGCAGCCCCGGAGTCTGTGGAATCCAACATCACAATATTCATCATGGCGACCGAGCTCCCCGAGACAATGCAGGGCCAGTTCCTCGAAAACTACAATCAACCCTATCAATTACGCACCGTCCCTCTACCGAAACCCTCACACCCAGACGACGTATTGATCAAAGTCGATGCCGCATCGTACTGTCATACTGACTACGTTCTGGCCCAAGGGCAGATGCCAGGATTTCCCAAGTCCTTCCCTCACGTTGGTTGCCACGAATTCGCTGGAACGGTAGTCTCACTTTCCGACCGCCCAAGCACAGAAGCAGCTTGCTTTAACGCAGGGGCTAGAGTTGGGGTTACCGGACGAGCATATCACGCTTGTCGGGAGTGCTTCGAATGTCAGGGTTCGAAAGACCCAATAGCAGAAGACGAGAAAGGCTACTCGGTGCACTGCACACGCGCAGAGAACAACGGAATCAGCAAAGACGGCGGGTTTGCGGAGTATGCAGTGGTTGATGCCCGTCAGCTGGCGCCCATACCGGATGAACTGTCGGCAACGGAGACCGCCCCGCTGATGTGCGCCGGTATTACAATCTACGCTGCACTCAAACGGTGTCAATTGCAACGTGGTGATCGTGTCGCAATTATGGGGGCTGGTGGGGGTCTCGGTCATCTTGGCTTGCAGTACGCGACGAAGATGGGTTTCAAAGTCTTGGGAGTAGATGCAGCTGACGAACCGCTCAAATTGGCCAAATCGCTCGAAACTGGCGCCCATATTGTGGATGCCAGATCAGAGAAAGCAGCCAAAATCGTGCAGCAAATTGGTGCGGAAGATGGGAAACGCGATCTTGAAGAAAAGGGCGTCGATGCCGTTATAATCCTACCAGAGAGTCAAGCAGCATTCGATTATGGCATGACACTGCTAAAGTCCCATAGGAAGTGCGTAATCGTGTCTTTTCCTGAGGCCGGGTTTCACATATCGTCTCGGGATATTGTGTTTCGAGACATCTCAATTATCGGCAGCCTCGTTGGAAGTAATAGAATGCTGCGAGAAATGTTAAATTTCTCTGCTGAGCATGGTGTACGGGCGGTGGCCAAGTCATTCCCGTTGTCGAGCTTGAACGGACTGGTTGAGGACTACCACAAGGGTGGCGGTGGAAAATTGGTCATTGACATGGCGCTGGATAAGTAGTGAGACAGAATCACTGTTTTTTGTCGAGCGAAATCATTGAAACAACAAATTAACTTCAGCCAGACTCCAACATGTCCGCGTACAGGTTCAGAGCACTGCCGATGACATCGACAATTGCCCAAGTCTGTGCGCCTCTGAAGATGGTTGCCCACACCCTTAGTACACCAGCACTCAGACCCTTGGTGTATGCAGGCGAGTCGATAGATACGTCTGCCGGGAGGGCGAACTCCGTCTCGTCTAGCATGCTTTTGACAATCGAAGTGATTCGGCGCTCATCTTCCGTAACAGCCGGCTCAGGATCAAGCACCGAGAGCGCCTCTAACCATTTGCTCATTAAATAGGCGCATTCTAGCGTGCACAGCGAATGTTGTATGGACCAAATAAAAGATTGCGTCTTAGCCACCAGCCGATACCCAATTTTGACGGGAATGCTTAGAGCATGTGCCGAGTGCAGAACGGCTCGAGTAATCTTAGGAGAGCGGCGAATGGCAGGCCCCGCTCGGAATGCGTTAGCGATAAGCACGGGGTCTCGCGTGTCTAGGGCTCTGCCAGCAGTATCCACATAGAGACGGATGTATGCTAACCGCAGCAGTGCGGTGGAGTTGAACGCAACCGGTCCATTAGGGCTCATGGGATCCAAAGATGACTCAGGGTTGTTCTTCCACCCAGTCTGCCAGTTTCTCAGGGCATTCTCAAGTGATGACACGTCGTCTTGGCTGAGCTCTCCCGGTCCGTCAAAGCGACAACGAACCACTTGCCGGACGAAAAATATGTGCTGAATCAGGGCATGTATCAGGGCGTAGTTTCCAGCGCTTGAATTCCATTGGGTGATGTCGCGACCGTTCTTCGAAAAGAGCTTTTGCAGAGCATCTTGGAACAAGATTTCTGGTGCACTACTCTTCTTCGCTTCCCGCCAGGCGGTTTCAGTTGGAGCCCTGAACACTGTGGCACTGCATGGAAGAGTCAACTTGACTTCGGAAGTGAGGAGGAATGGCGGTATATTGTAGACGATGCAGTGAAGATTCGAGAAACCGTAAACGATAAACTTTGTTCGTTTGATCGTTTCGCGGCGTATCCAGTCTTCCCAGGATAAGTCGTGTCGTAGAGGTTCATTCTCCAGTCCATCATCTCGAATCAAGGTGGCCAGAACGCTTTGGATGGCAAGAGCTTCTCGCAGGATTTCTTTATGTTTTGCCCAGGTGCAGAGCGCCATTAGTAGCAACAGAGATTGGGCAGTTTGCATGAGGTCTTCACCCGCAGGAGCAACATCAGAGCCAGACGGGAGACCAAGAGGGCCAACAGTCGACGGAGCATGCACTGGGCTTCGTGGCCGCGATGTAACCCCGGGGTCGTGTGAGGAAGAGCGGTCTGATTCGGCTCGACGATGTAGATCGACTAAGCGCGCGTCTCTCCTCCGAATGCGATGTGTTGCTATTGTACGGCTCACGTTAAACAACTCTACTCCTTTCTCGCCTTCGAAGGTATATTGGGCGCCCACCGCAGCAAGCGCAAGAAGTAGCTCGATCGAACAGCCATCGACCGACATGGTTGGAATGTGTAGGAACGGCATGTGCTCGTGAAAACCGTTAACGTACGCTGCTAGATATCTACAGAGCGCTAGACGTGTAGGCAACCTGAAGTCGACAGGCAGTACAGACGAAAACTCGTCCAATTTCTCCACGATCTTCTGTCGATCGTCCAGAGATATATCCGAGAAAGATCGTTGCCTATCATGGTGGCCTAGGTCCTCAGGTTGTAGTGACGGTAGTCTCGAACCGAAGCGCGAAAAGGTATGATTTTCCTCACCTTGAGCTTGAGGTGCAAGTGTTGGGGCGAAGGGTGTACTTGCATTTGGAAGAAACTCGTTCCCATAGCCAAGCGACTCTGGCGAGAAAAACGGCATGGGCTGTTCGGTATTGATGATGCTTGAAAAGCGGTATGAAGCCAACGGCTCAGTATCCCAGAAAGCTGCTAGATTGTCTAACGATTCACCAAGGCTGGGGCCGCTGATCTGCGAACCATTTATTTGAACAGTACTCGAGGGTATCATAGGTTGTTCGATTGTTTGTGAGACGGTGTGTTGTAGTGGCAGCGTGGTCGGGTGAAGAGAGTCGCCGTTCGCCATAGTTCCTTGTGTCCCCTGCAGTGACTGATACTCTGCGGCCATTGATAGGGCAGCCAGAGAGAACTCGTCATTCTGGGTGTACTGTATGGGTCCAACAGGGGCCGGGTGAGGATGAAGGGGTGGTTGCATATCCATGTTAGCAGCTGCTGGGGTAGACATCATACTGGGAATCTCGGGAACCGGACGACCAGCATCGAAGCTTGTGCGTATGCGTTTTGATGGCCTCGGATCTGGTATGACATATTCGTCGACATGCTGTTGCTGGTCTTTGTTGTTGAGGTTGTGTTTGTGGTGGGTCAATCGTTCATGTCGCACGAGTAGGTCACTTGGGAGATCAGCATGCGATCTGCCTTGGCCCTGGGATATCTTACCTGCGCGTGAAGGAGTAATTGCAGGCACTGCAACTGAAGGGCTTGACGCCGCTGTCTTGGTCGCACATTAGCATTGTTCACGGTGCCCATGGGCCTCACTTACGAATGCGCTCATGGCGTTGCAGATGCTCCAGGCGTGCAAAGCTACGACCGCAATGGTCACAGTGGAAACGTTTCTCCTTCTTCCCCGCCGGCGCTTGTTCGCCCGAGCTTGCTTCCATGCGAGCTACCTTAGGTAGATAAGATGACCGGCTAGAGCTTCATTGGTCGATGTGACGGCGTCAGCATCTCAAACAGACATCAGAGAGCTCGTTTCCCGTTGGAGATACAAACGGCGCGCGAGAGGTTGGAGGTCGGGGAGGAGGGAGTTGGTAGCAGAATGCGGAGAGTGCGAGTTGAGAATGCGGAGAAATCACATGTGGGGGCGCCACCAACCAACCATCCGAGGCCTAGCGGGACGACACTCGGAAACTGCGTCATCACGGCGGCACACACAGGGCTGGAAAGCTTCATGTTTTGCAAAAAAGGTATTTTGAGCGGTGAACGGACGTCCTGGGCAGGCAAATACGTTGCGGGGCTTGCAGGCCCGGCAGCCAGGTCGCGCCTTGCTGCAAACTCATCTATGCGCTGACCTGCCTGTACCGCCCACCCGACCTTCATCCGAACTACGCCCGCTCACTCTTGTCTCCCAGCTCCCGCGGCATCTCGCCCTTCTCTGCCATGTCATTGAGCACCTTCTCGGCTGTCTTCATCGCGTCGACGCCAGCCGGCACACCGCAATACGTCGTCGCGTGAATGATGGCTTCGCGTATCTCGAGTTCCGACAAGCCATTATTGCGGGCCCCACGAACGTGGACCGCCAGCTCTGGTGCGCGGTTCAGCGCCATGAGCATGCCAATGTTAAGCAGACTTCTCTGCTGCTTGCTAAGACCTGGTCGGGTCCAAGCGTAGCCCCAGCACCACTCGGTCACTATCTCTTGCCCTGCTCTCGAGAAGTCGGTGGAGCCGTTGGCAAGAGCGCGGTCGACGTATTCCTCTCCTACGACGCTGCGGCGCATCTTTAAGCCCTCGTCAAAAAGCTGCTTGTGGAGCTCATCGTACTTCGGATCGGACGACATGGCGGCAAGGACTGGTGGAAAGTTTTCGCGTGGGGCGTAATATCGGCTGGGGACACTTGAGATGGCTGAAGTTGAATAGAGTTGTGAGTACGAGAATGAGTGCTCGGTCTCGAGTATTTGGAATTCCAGATCAGCCCTCGCGAAATAGCCCAGGAGAAGACAACTTCACGTGGGCCGGCGTCGGTGTTCCATCGTTGGGGATGCCCCTCATCTCCACCCCTCTTCTCCAACGGATGCAGCGTTGCGTCACCAGTCAGCGATTGTGAGAGACTCGTCTGCCATTATTGTTCATACGTCCAATTCGAGCTACTCTACGACCCATTCTGCTTTGGCAACCAGTCTTCGTTGCCACCGAGATATCTGTACACCACGCGAGAATCCAGATCACGACAGTTAATGTCTTTGCTGGCCCCGTCGTATGTCTTCAGGCCAACCTCCCCCAGCACATTCTTAGATCCCACCCGCTTCGCCATGTCTACTGCCAGGCCGAAATCCTTGCGCATCAGTTGCACCTTGAAACCCTGCTTGTAACCGCCTGAAGACGGCGCCTCAGGGTACACCTGAGGAACCGGGCAGAATCGGTCACAAATGGCATTCTGTGCGGTCCCTGCAGCGTAAACTTTGGCCAATGTGCGCGGGTCAAGGCCGGATCGCATGCCCATGTCGAACGCCTCGGAGCAAGCGATCGCAATCACACCCGAGAGGTAATTGTTCGACAACTTTGCCGCAAGTCCCAAAGAAGGACCACCGCATGGGATGACCTCCTTTCCCATCATTTCCATCAGCGGTGTCAACTTCTTGATATTCGGATCCGACTCTGCGCAACCTAGGAAGAATGCGATTGAGCCCTTAACAGCGCCCACAACACCTCCGCTGACTGGCGAGTCATAGAATGATGCGGTTGGGAAATGTTTCTCGATGTGTTCCTTGACTTCCAGACTAGTCGCCGTATCTATCGTCGAGCAATCAATGAGCAGCTTGTTTGAGATATCTGCGCTGCAAACGCCGTTCAAAGGATCGAGGTAGACCGAGCGAACGTGCGAGCCTTCGGGCACCATGGTGATAATCGTATCCTAACCCGTCAGTCTGTTCCTGTCCCACATAGATTGCCACCTACGGTTTGTTGGGCGACATTTTTGGCACTTGAGGCTTTCAAGACTCTGTTTGGGTATTGCGAGCACACTTGGTTCATTGCTTCCTCCACAACATCAAAAACGTATATCCGCGAATCCGCTGGGAGCTTATTTGCTAAATGTACCAGCATTGGCTTTCCCATTGCCCCCAGGCCGACGAAGCCTAAACTCTTGAACTCAGATCCGCTCATATTGATGGCCAAATAACTGATGGGCACTATCGCCGTGTGTGAACGACAGTGTTTGCGCTCTGCTAAAAGCTTTCGAAACCCTATGAGACAACCTTGACCCCAAATCGCTCTTCTCCGCCCCACACTAAATGATAGTGTCTAGTGGTCCATGGTGGGGTAATCCACCATTTCACCCCTTGGGGTAAGTTCATGAATAAGCCTTGGCATGGCGTTGCCCAATGCAGCACGGTTATGCATGGTCTAGATTCCCATCTTATGGGCGACTCGTGCCTTGTTGTGCAGTTGAAGGTCCATGACAGTGCGGATCATTCAAGATGACTTCTTCTGTTCTTGTTGCACAAAGAGGGCCCCCATCTCCGCCGCCCGACAAAGCAACTGTCTCAGTTCATGCACTTTCAGCAGGCCATTTCACACTTCCAGAATATCAGTTCGTATATCCAGTATCAAAGGACGCGCGCAAAACAGTGCCATCGCTAGCATTTCTGATCCAGCATCAAGATGTGCAGACGTGCAAGCGTACGCGCATCGTGTTCGACTTGGGCTTAAGAAGGGATATCAACAGATATGCCCCTGCAATACAAAAACACACGGCAACTCGTCAGCCTATGACCACAGATCCGGATGTAGTGAAAAGCCTCGCTCGAGGGGGACTGACGCCGAACGATATTGACTTCGTTCTCTACTCCCATGTAAGCACACAATAACGTCTGAGCCACCAATCTTACTAAAGTCTCTCTCTAGATCCACTGGGACCACATCGGCGAACCGCGAGACTTCCCATCTTCTACATTCCTAGTAGGACATGGTGCATCCGCTCTACTCAACGGCACGTCTTCAGCGTTGCGCGGTGGACACTCGTTCTTCGAAAGCGATCTCCTCCCGAAGGGTAGGACAATCGAGCTACCACAGCCATCCATTGACCCAGGTCCTCCACACAAGCCAGATACAGACCAACCCGTTGGGAAGCCAAATTTATCACAATGGGAGTCATACAAGCATATCCCCCACACACTCGATATTTTTAGAGACGGCTCTCTGCTCGTCGTAGATGCACCTGGTCATTTACCTGGACATATAAACATCCTCGCTCGAATTTCCGAGACGCAGCAGGTCTACCTGGGAGGCGATGCCTGTCACGACAGACGCCTGCTGACTGGCGAAAAACAGATTGGGGAGTGGAACGATGCAGAGGGTCACGTATGCTGCATTCACGCTGATCGAAAGGACGCCGAAGAGACCATAGAGCGGATCAGACAACTAGAAAAGGAAGATGTCGAAATCATCTTCGCGCACGACGTAGAATGGGAGAACAACATTGCGAACAGGAGCCGATTTTTTGGTGCGGGCGCCAACGAGCTTTGAGAACGTTCAGGTTCTTAGTCTATCGACATACCTATTCTCAATCATGTTCCCTGTGCTGTTCCACGAATGTTACACGACTTACATGTCTACAAAGTACAATGAACAACCACAGCCCTTCGGGCTGGAGGAGTTTTGCTGGAGGACATTAGGATGTCGGAAATCGCCGCAGCTGTACTTCCGGCTTCCCCGCCCTAAAGTTGGAGAATGTGGGGCTCCGTCCCACGAGTCAGCCGGACACCGTCCCCGCTTTTCGCACCTGCCAAGCTCTTCCCCTCCGTGCTACCATCCTACACCTACCTCGTCTACACACTCTCAAGCTAGGCCTAATTCAGACGAACAGCTCCTCTCCACATACCCTTTAGCAACTTCACAATGTCGCACTCCCAGCGTCCCCCCGCCTACTCCATCCTCTCCACGCCCCCAGACATGTCCCTCAGCCCCGAACAGCAATCGCTGAAAGAGCGTTTCGACGCCGAACTCGGCCCCGATGCCTTCGACGCGCCGTGGTCGCGGCTCCTCAAGCACAGTCCAGAGATGTTTGCCGCGTCACTACGTCTAACCGCCGTGCCGAAGCGGAAAGGCCATCTCAGTCCCAAGATCCAGTCGTTGATATCTCTCGCTGTGGCCGCGGCGTCTACACATTTACATGTTCCTGATATCCAGCGGTACACAAAAGCAGCGCTTGCGAATGGCGCAAGCAAGGCGGAGATCGTGGAGGTACTGTATTTGACGAGCACGCTAGGAATTCATGCTTGCAACATTGGGGTTCCACTTTTAGTAGAAGTGTTGAAAGAGGAGGGTAGGGAAGTAAAGAGCGGGATGGACGGCATGAATAAAGAGCAGTGGGAGTTGAAGGAGGAATTCGAGAAGAAGAGGGGTTATTGGCATGCGTTTTGGGAGGACTTTCTGAGGCTGAGTCCGGAGTTCTTTGGGGCGTATGTCGAGTTTTCGAGTGTGCCGTGGGTGAATGAGGGTGGCAAGGGGGTGTTGGAACCGAAGGTATGTATGGTATAAAATCGTTGATGAATGATGGAAATTGATGCAAGAGTAGGTCAAGGAATTAGTGTATTGCGCATTTGATTGCGCAGCGACGCATCTCTATCAGCCTGGATTGAAGCTACATATGAAGAATGTGCTCAAGTATGGGGGAACACCGGAGGAGATTATGGAAGTGTTGGAGCTAGCATCTCTGCTGAGTATAGGCACTATGGATGTCGCTTTACCTATATTAGAGAAGGAGCTAGGAAGTCAATGAATACAAATGCAAACACTTCGACATCAAAGGTGATAGCTCGACTATGCATAGGATACTTATGTCATACTGCAGGTATAAGCCCTTATTTCTTTTCACTTTCGTTCAGCCACTTATAAACCACCCTCGCATCCTTCCCCTCATACCTCTCATCCCCCATCGCCTCCCCAAACGCCTCCAACGTAGGCTTGTCCAGGATCGTCCGCGCGCCCACCATATCCGCAAGCTCGCTCCCCATCTTCAGCACTTTCGCACATAGCTCTATTCTGAACCCGCCCTCGTAGTCTCTTGAACTCGGCACATTCGCCTGGATCCCTGGCACCGGGTTGCTCTTTGATGTTACCCAGCACTGCCCTCCGCTGACATTGATGACATCTGTTAAAAGTGCGAGATCGAGATTCATCTTCGCGCCAATGTTGAGTGCTTCCGAGGCTGCGAGCGATGTGATGGCAGAGAGGTAGTTATTGATGACCTTGAATGCGGTTCCAGCGCCTACATCTCCGCACAAGAACACCGCATTGGCTTTGCCCATGTGCGAGAGATACGATTTTACGGTGGGAAAAACGTCCTTGTTGACTGTGCCCACCATGAACGTCAACGTCCCGTCTTGCGCGCCCATTGGCCCTCCTGAGACAGGCGCATCTACGAATGTTAGTTTGTCGGCTACACTGGACTCTTTCGCGCGCCTTGCGACCTCCAGTATCGTTGCTATTTCGATGGTACCGCACTCCATTATGGTTTTCTCAGATCCGCCTTCTTGAACTGCTTTTTCTGCACCGGCAATAACGCCCGTAGACGGATTCAGATAGACGTCTTTAACGGCTGCGGAGCCGGGGAGCATTGTGATTACTGTATTTGCGTGTTGTACGGCGTCGAAGCCGTTTTGAATTGTCTTCACGGGACCTTGGTTTAATGTTTCGGAGTGAAACTTCTCGAGGGCTGAGGGAACAACGTCGCATACGAGGAGTGTGTAGTGCGAAGGCAAACCTTTGCGAAGATTTATGGCCATAGGGTAGCCCATCACACCCAAGCCTGTGACGAATTCTTAGTATGAGCATGACGACGGACGTGAATTGTGGTGACTTGCCTATGAAGGCTACTGTCTTGTCTGGAGAAGACATGGCTGTGTATACAATGGAAGTCAAATACGGTCTATTCCAAGGTAGCTTGCAACGAATGCTCCCGTACAGGATGAATCGTTATGGTAGGCAGTAGTGATGCCTTACACTAAAGCAGTGTGTACGAGTCAGTCGTCGTTGGGAAGACAGAACAATTCAATCTTACGCGACTTCGTGTTATTTGGGGAAAGCTTTGCGCAGCTCTGGTTCTTGTCCTCCAGCGATACCGATCAGCCTTCGGAATTCCTCATCGGGCGACCCCGCATCTTCTCCCCAAACTCCTCCACATTCTCCAACGCGGAGATCTCTCGCGTCAACCAATCAGCTTCAGTCGTGAATTAACGCTTCCTGGGTCGTTTCAATAAACGCGAGTCTTGTAGTGCGATGACAGCGTAGGATGAAGGCATACTCGCTTCCATCTCCCTATCGCTTGGAGAAGCGGAGATATGCGCAAGGACGCCATACCCTCTCAATGACGCTGCGAGATGACGGAGGAAGACGCTAAACCCGGATCTCTCCCCGCTTCTCACTGGCAGGAAATGGGCGTTGTAGCCGAGTCCTGGAGTCGGGGCGTTCTGATAGCGTGAGCGGCGCATCAAAAGTCAGCCTTCACCGCAAAGTATAATATCATCGCGACACATGCAGCGCCCTGTACCCTTCATCCATTGTGCTTCGTCGAATTCTTGATCTGGACGCAGCCTTCTTGCTGGAATCGAGATGGCCGACCCCGAGCCCAAAGACCGTCGTGACGTTCAGTCTTTCACTGACGAGAAGGAGAATCAGGTACACCGCGAGTACCTGCAGCAAGATGAGACCCCGGCGGAAATCGAAGCTCGTCAGCAAGAGGCTGCCTTGGTGCGGAAGCTGGATAGATTTATCGCACCAGTTATGATGCTACTTATGCTGATTTCGTATCTGGATCGAGGGAATATTGGGTTCGCTGCGACGCAGGGGATGACGGAAGATATCCATCTGAAAGGTACAGAGTTGAATGTGAGTTAGGCTGGAAAATTTGGGCATGATGAAACAGGCTGATGGACTGCAGACTGCGGTGTCCGTATTTTACATTTTCTACATCTTGGCTGAGGTACGTCTTTCCCTCACAGAAAATGCAGACGTTGCATTCCCTGTCATAACTCACCACTGAATAATTACTTCTAACACAACAAACAGTTCCCAACCTCCATCGTCGTCAAACGCCTCCAATTCAACCGCGTCATTCCCACTATTACCTTCTGCTGGGGAATCGTATGCATGTGCACGGGATTCGTCCAATCCTTTGGCGGTCTTGTCACCACACGCATCTTCCTTGGGTTCTTCGAGGGTTGCTTGTTCCCATCCATGACGTTGTTCCTGTGCAATTGGTGAGTAGCCTTTCTGTTCCCCAGCTAGAGAGCCCTCTACTGATGCGAGTTGAACAGGTACACGCGAGAAGAGCTCGGCATCCGCGTTGCCTACCTCTTCATTGCCTCAGCCCTGAGCGGCGCATTTGGCGGCCTCATCGCGCTTGGAGTGTTGTACATGGACGGTGTAAATGAATGGTCAGGATGGCGATGGTACGTCTCCCCTCCGTATCCCCTTGTCTTCCTTTGAAGAATACAGCTCAACTTCACCAGGCTCTACGTAATCGAAGGCCTGATCACCATAGTCTGGGCCTTCTGCTGCATCTTCCTCGTCCCCAAGTCCTATGAGACCGCGTACTTTCTCAACGCCGAGGAGAAAGCAATCATGCGCCAGCGCGCCGAGCGCGCAGAAGCGTACTCCGGCGGCTCTGGTAAGTGGATCACATCTCACGACAACACTTTTACGCGACGATTGGAACAGGCTTTACATCGCTTATTTGAACCTTTTTTATAATACCAACCTGGCTTGTGTGACTTGCACTGACTGATCTGAACATCAGGCCACGTCTCAAAAGCCGACATCAAAGAAGCCGCAAAAGACATCAAATCCTGGCTCCACGGCTGCATCCAAATCGCCGTCGTTACAATCCTCTACGGCTTCGGTACCTTCCTACCCATCATCATCAGGTACGGGTTCAAGTATTCTACGCAGCAGGCACAATACCTCGTCGTCCCCGTCAACCTCTGGGGCGCCCTCGTCTACGCCGTGGGCGCCTACCTCTCCGACCGCTACCAGGCGCGCTTTTGGCCCATGATAATCTGCGCACCCATCGGCATAGCCGGCTACGCAATCCTCATCGCGCCCGTGTCCGCCGGCGTCCTTTACTTCGCGACCTACCTCGTCGCGACAGCGTGTTTCCTCTGCACCGGAAGCAACATCACGTGGCTCTCCGTCAACAACGCGCCCGACGGAAAGCGCGCTGCTTCTATGGGTATCTTGCTTACGTTGACGAATATTGGGGGCGTGGTTAGTGGGCAGATATATTACACGGGGGCGGCGCCGAGGTATGTGCTAGGCCATGCGTGGAGTCTGGGGTGTTTGTTGTTTGCATGGTGTGGGTGGTGGGTTGTAAGGGCGATCTACAAGAGGAGGAACGCGGAGAAGGATAGAGCGATGAGGGAAGGTTATGTTAGGCCTGAAGGGAGGATGTATACCGATCGCGAGCCAGATTTTAGGTACCAGATTTGATAGTGGTTGTAAGGTTGGAATGATATCATCGCCATTGTTTGTTCCAGGAAATCACCCTAAGCGCAGTTGTTTCTGAAGACCCAGTCATGTTAGCCCCAGACCATGCGTTCGTCGACAATGTATGCTTGCCTACTTGGTGATCTCGGATTCGCATCTCTCACGTTGAGTACGTGACTGTGTACCCTTGTGCTATAGAAGTTACTGTATAGGTAAGGTACATAGCAAATGATTTACAGTCAGCTTGGCATGAACCGTACTAGGACAGTTCGGCGACCACTAGACCATGTTGGTAGCGTGGTGCATGCTCATGGTGGATATATCGGTGCCTGTTCGACAATTAGAAAGGTAAAGCATTCTGACAGGGCAGGTGATGGCGGTTATTGTGGTCATCCTTGCAGGTCAGGAATTGTAAGAAGCAGTTCCTTGCGATTTTCCGGGCAGATCCGAATGAGATTGTGACACCTGCAACACCCTGCAGCGGATGGCCCACGTGCGCGGAAATACCGACAGCTCACCAATCACAGCTCGCTAGACGTGGCTGACACCCTGTCGATAACTTATACCAGACAATGGAGGGTAGACCTGCATCTCAGGAACACTAGGGTCAAAACTGTGTTTGTACATGCTGTTGTTGAGCTTGTCCGGTTAAAACTGCCGGGTGATACCCCGCTGCCTGCGGTAGAAGAACGGTATATCCAGAGTCGCTCTCACACATGAAAGCAGTTGAGGGCATACTGAACTGCGAGTACTTGTGTGGTAGATCATGTCAATGTGGCAACTTTAGCTCGAAGGCAGACGGCCTCGGGCCATCGGTAAAACCAGATGAGGGACATCGTCACTGTTATTGCTGTAGCTTGTACGCGCGAGTCCTGGCTACAGGTAGTCTATGTATAAGGTTTGCGGGAAGCTCAAAGAGTAGAAGACGAGACTGAGGGGTAGAAGGTACCACAAAAGTGATTGTCCTCTGCCTCTACTTCCTAAATATCGTCGCTCTGTTGATCAGAGATAGCTGGTGCTTAGTACTCGTTCGTGACCAGGTAAGAAGACCGCGCAATTGCGAGAACAATTTGTTCATGCTCGCTGTTAGTGCCAGCGCAAAGTATCGTACAGTCTATCCTGTGGTTCGGCGTACGCTCGTAAATCGCCGCGCCTCTCCGCTTCGCAGATTTCTCCGTTCGCGAGATTGTCCAAGTCGAGGACGCGTATACACTTGAAATGCTGCATTTGGTAGATCTTCCTTTGGTACTTGGCATGCTTACTGCACGTGATGGATGCTCTTTTCTCACAGTCAATTAGGCGCGCGCAGAGTCCAGCAAAGTTTCAGGAGGAAGCAGAGACTGGACGCCTGTTAAAGCACATGTCCTTCAGAACGAACCCGAGCGTGGCAGTGGTGTGATCTTTCGGATCTCTCGCCGAATGTGTGGGTCTTCCCGAAGTTAGCGTGCGAGTAACGATCTACGAAGCCTCCGCTCACTATTGACCTGGGGAATCCTTGGAAAATTAAGGGATGATTACTGACGAGGCATGCCGGCACGCGACAGCCAGGGAAGTTTCCATTGAGCAAAATTTGAGAGATTCGATGCCCATAGTATGTACCTCACATTGCGCTTCGCGATCAAGGTGCGCGAAGCGAGAATCTTATTGCACGTTCTAAGAGACAGACCGAGAGACGATCACCGTAAGGAGTAACAATGGCGACGAGCTCCCGTGCGAGGCCTTCTGGGGTTTCTTGATATCTCAGAGAGCACCTTATATGAAGGACAAGGTTTCGAAAGGTGTGGGCAGAGCCGGTTCGTCAAATCAGGGACCCGCAGCCCGGGCTTGTGGATGTGTCTTGCGTTTACGATATAAGATGCACGCTCGTTGGATTGCAACCGGGATTGTCACAGATCAATGGATTCGAAAGTCCAGCTTCCTGGATATATTCGAACGTATTGCAAATATCAGGTCAGACATCCTGATGCTCTTGCGGAGATGATGCGCACATCACTTGGCGAATTCATGGGGTCAGGCGTGCGACTCTATTTCGTACACTCCTGCACCCCGCGGTGACGCCACCGGCTGTTCTGCCCTGACCGGTACTTGCCAGGAACAATGCGATGCAGGGTACATATGCAAGCAGCAGGTTCGTACCGACATACTGAAGTGGAATTTGCCCCGACGTTACGTTAATTGCGGGGTCGAAACCTGCATGGTGCTGTGTATGGGGTCATGCGGAACAATTGCAAGCAGGAGAACATTAGAGTCGAACCGAAATGCTGACTTTTGGCATTGTTCCATCTTCAGGGGTGAGGACGATGCAGTTCGCGACGATACAAACGTAAGGTGGCGGTCACGACGAAACGCAACTGACTGAGAGCCAAAGTCCTGCGCTCACTCAAGTGTAGAGGTAGGAAGTATTGTCGACCTATGCTGTCAAGCCTGCACGTCAACAGAGAATGAGATCGAACTTACATCGCAATGGTTTGTATCCCAATCGGTTAATCAGCCGCGATACGTCGAGGGAGTTTGGTCTCCCTGGAAGCTGCACTGGCGTGCTGCAGGAGGCAGTGCCCCACCGTGGAGGCAAAGAAAGATGGAGACTTCTCACCAATCATTGTTGAGAGGTATGCAGCCAGTCACCTCACCTGAAGTGAAAGCGGAACGGTGTAGTACCTTCCGGATTTTCCGACACGGGCTGTCCAAACCTTATGGTCTTTGCGACTCTTTAGAGCGGAGACCCTGTGCAAGCGATGCGGTGGAGATATAGACCGATACACTGGGACATGGCAAGACCCAACCCTATATCAGAAGAGCGTTCGCGCGCACTGTGGAGCCACGGTGGAGGATCGGCCTGCTCTTGGAAGTATCTCGATCATCGCCTGTGCGAACCCTCTGCTTGGATCGACTCAGCGCAATGGTATGTTGTGAAGACATGTGTATCTTTCAGTTTCCTTCTCACTGACCGACAATAGAGCGGTGTCGTCGACACTACGGGTCAAGTATGCTAGCACCCTGCCCTTGAGGAAATGGACGGTACTAATAGCTGCGAGTTCCCACCCGGATTTCTGGAAGAGAGTCGTGTTCCCCAGATCGTTGCAGGCAACGCAGCAGTGCAGACTCTTGGGTGCCTTGTGTTCTTCGCCCGTGTATACTCTCGTGCGTTCCTGATCGGCACTTGGAAAAGCGAAGATTGGGCTCTGTCGGCAGCATGGGTAAGCGCTGTGATGCTGCCGTTGTTGCTTCGTCGTTGCTAACCATTGACCGTAGCTGCTGGCCACGGGGTACTCAATATGTCAGTATGGCCAGGTCAGCCATGGTTCCGGACGTCACCTTGCTGCGACTCCTAGCATGAAGGATGCCATGACGGGCCAGAAGTACGCTTACGCGGCGCAAATCTTCCTCATCCTTGGGATTCCTATGCCCAAAGTCAGCATGTGTCTCTCCTACCTGCGAATCTTCTACTCGGACATAGTCGGGCGGCGCCTCATCTACGGCCTGCTGGTTACACTGGCACTAACGATGATATCGTTCCTGATGGAAGCTTTCTTTACCTGCTCACCATTGAGTCTGTATTGGAACGAGCTGCGACCTACAGACAAATGTCTCAAAGACATATCGACGCTTTACATCCACGGGAGCTTGAACCTGGCGATTGATGTTGCATTGATGGGCATTCTCATTCCACGAATCCTCAACTTGAAACTCAACAAGCGACAGAAGGGGGTGCTAATCGTCATCGTTTTGTTGGGGTCACTGTCTGTTGCTGCAGGAATCGTTCGGCTGGTGCGCGTCGGCACGACATTGGCCAAAGCCAACAGTGCGACGAAGCAATTTGACCCGCCGTGGGATATGTACGATGTTTCTATCTGGACTTCGACCGAGATCTATGTTGCACTCATATGCGCGGCGGCGCCAGGAATCAAGCCGCTCGTCAGCATGTTGCTGCCCAAGTTGCTGGGAACAAGCCTTCGCAGTCGGTCCAAAACCACTGGAGGATCTCATGCATACGAACTGCATTGCAAGATGAAGCGGTCGACTCTCGGGACGACGACGCTGACCTCGGCGCATGGGCCGTACTCGAAGATGTCGAAAGTGTACAGCGCAGCGAAGCACGACGAGGAGAGCTTGGACGGCAAAAGCGACGTGGACGAGAGATGCAACCGCGTCAGAGCAGACGGCATCATGCGAAATACGAGCGTGGTGATAACGTCTGAGCAGCGGGCGTAGTGGATGAAGACGTGTAAGACGGGCACGTGTACCTCATGCTCCAGAGTGGGCATGTACCATGATGGGAGGGACCCGGTTGCTGGTATCGTTGGGTCAAGGTACGCGAGGTGTTCGGGCGAGGGCGCTTGCCGCTTGGGGCAGGAATGACGTCATGGACGCGTTGTTGCATCCTACCACGACCGGCAGTCGCGATGCAGGCAGTTGCTTCCGACCAAGCCTCGTCTTTCCCAACGCGTCCTCTTCGACAACGCCTCTTCTACTCTCTACCTCGTTGCCATCCGATGCGAGGTGTTGCGAGGTGTCGCGGCGTCGCCCGAGACTCCCGGTTGCGGTTGCGGTGCGGTCGACCACTTCGTACAACCGATCAATCGATATTCGTCCCGCCCTGCCGCGCTCGTAGCGCGTCATCCTCCGCCTCTTTCGCAATGGGCCTGCCGATTGCCCCGACAGTGTCTCTCTGCTAATTGCACGAGGCTGCTCCTGGTTGCCTGATAGGCCGTTGCCCTCCTCGAGCACTTCCTCAACGCCTCTCTGGCCAGATGCTTGCCATGTATAAAGCTTGGCTGCTCCTCGGCGAAAGCTTGCACCTGTCGCTTCAGGAACACAAGCATTGACTGACCAACATGTCTCCCGCTGCTGTCGCGCGCCTCGTTGCCGTATCCGCCCTCGCTCTGAGTGCCGCCGCCGCTCCGACGACAACAATCTCAGCCGCACCCGACGCCGGCTCCGAGACCGCTGACGCTTTCCCCCCGACCGGCAGTACGTCGCTCTTACTTACTTCTCCATGCCGGATGCTAACATTGGCCGTGCAGCCGCTGTCAATTCATCCTTGTTTCCCCCGGAGAGCGAAGTGGGCTTTCCTGGCCCCACTCCCACTGGTCTCGAACCTGCCGCAGCACAGACGGCACCAGCCTACCCATACAACGAAGGCGACGCCAACCAATTCCCACTCATCAATCCTCAGCCGCATGGAAGCGATGCCGAGTCTAACTTTGACATCAGCAAATACTGGGGCAACCTCTCACCGTGGTACAGTCTGCGTTCCGCCGACTACGGCTTGCCCGATGCAGATCCATTGATTCCTCATGGTTGCGACATCACCCAGTTGCACCTGCTCTACCGTCATGGCGCCAGGTACCCCACCAGCGACGCAGCTCCCCAAACGTTTGCTCAAAAAGTTGCGAATGCCACCGAGACCGGCTTCGCTGTGTCTGGCGAGCTCGCGTTCCTCGGAAACTGGACCTACAAGCTAGGCGCCGAGCTCCTCACCCCTTTCGGACGCAGTCAAAACTTCCTCTTGGGCGTCGCCTACAGACAATTGTACGGGCAACTGCTCAACAACTTCACAGAAGCAGGCACTCTGCCTGTCTTCCGTACACAGTCGCAAGACCGCATGGTGAAGACGGCTGAGAACTTTGCTGCCGGCTTTTTCGGTGTGCCTGAATATCTTGATCAGGTCAACATCGAAATTCTGGTCGAGAACTCTACCGTGAATAACTCTGGCGCTCCATACGAGGTTTGCCCCAATTCCAACATCAAGGCTCGAGGCAGCATCGGTAGCACCGTCGCTGCACAGTTCGCCAACAATGCCTTCAACGCTACCATCGCTCGGCTCCAGCCGCAGGTAAGTTGTTATCGTGCCCATAGCTTAGGTGGAATTTTGCATGCTCACGCTACCAGGTCTCGGGTATCAATTTCACGTCTACCGATGCCATTGCTATGCTTCAACTCTGCTCGTATGAGACCCACGCTCTCGGATATTCTGCCTTCTGCGACCTGTTCAGCCAAGAAGACTTCCTGAACTATGAGTACTACTACGATCTGGTATGATGCCCGCTGCCCGTGCCCATTGTGCATATGATAAGCCGACTGACCGCTTCCCTAGTCTTTCTACTATAATAACGGTCCTGGTTCTCCGGTGGCTGCGGCTCAAGGCAAGGGCTTCCTAGATGAGTTCCTTGCGCGTTTCACGGGAAAATATCCCCAAGCGAACTCGGCACTGAACGAGACCTTCGACAACACATCGACGTACTTCCCGCTCAACCAGTCCATCTATGCGGATGCTACGCATGAGGTTGTCGTCCTCGATACGCTGACCGCATTTAACCTGACCGCTTTGTTCGACGGCCCGCCACTCAGTGCCAAGGGTAACCGCGGCCAGAACAGCTTTGTAGCGAGCAAGATCGTGCCCTTCGCCACGCATTTCACCACTCAAATCCTGTCTTGTCCTGCCTACCAGCCAACCAAGCAGATCCGTTTCATCGTGTAAGTAACCTTCTTTGCACTGCTTCGTTAGATTTGCACCGTCTAACATGTATAATAGCAACGACGCCGTCATCCCCATCAGCCACTACCCCGGCTGTCCCGAGGATCCAAACGGTCTCTGCTCCTTTGACAACGTCGTTTCAGTCCTCCAAAACCGAAGCAGTGAGATCGACTTCAACTACGACTGCTTCGCCAATTACACCGCTGCTCCGGGTATGGACTACAACGGCCGTGCACCAAGGTCTTAGAGAAGCTTTTGCACTGGCCTTTGTAGTGATGCAATATCCATCTCAGTCACTAGAGATCTAATAACATCGAATGATAATGTATATACCGAAGTTACGATATCGAAGTTCCACATGTATAGAATAACAGCCCTTCCAGATGGCTATATATAAACATAGACCAGCTGCATTGGACTAGTTGAAGTAGTTGAACATGTGCCTGTCGTGCTTCAAGGTTGATTGCCCATATCAGGATATACCAAATTCACAGGTACGTACTTTCGCATTGTAGCGAACCTGGCAGACGGCAACTCGAAGCTACCACTCGTCGAGTCCATCGACCTCGTAACACGACCGCAAGAGTTTAACCACATCCCTTAACGATACTCTACTAATGTAGCCCTGGGTCTAATGGCCGTCTGCCAGAACGTATAAACCTACTGTGCCACTCCAGTGCTCTACTGGATCGGCATGAACGGAATGAAACACGTGCTCGACATCTTCCTTGTCCTGTCCACAAGAGCCAAACAACAAGATGTCATGGTTAGGGAAAGGAGCGGTGGTACTCTTTTACAAAGCATCCGTCACTGGTGCACCGGATTTGATGTAGTGGGTCTTGTCTTAGTCTGCGTTAGCTTCTCGATCTTCCCCCTACCTTTCAGTCTCGCCGCGTATCAGAAAGATGGATGGAAAGCGTCTATGATCATTTGCATGATGGTATTCGGATTCCTCCTGTTAGTGCTCTTCACGGGCTGGGGCAAATTTTGGGTTCCGAAGACGTGCTTCCCTTCCCAACTTCTGAGAGTCCGATCTGTCGTAGCCGCTTGTATGCTGAGCGGAGCTGTAACGCGTGGATTGCTTTTAAGTGAGTCGCGTCATTTGAAGGTGTATCAAAGATCAACTCACCCCGTCAGCTCGTACAAGATGTACTTCGGCTACTATCTGCAATTCGTCTTTCAGCTCTCCGTCGCTTAAGTCGGCTACATCACCAACACTTTCAACATCGTCAGCTGCGATCTGGACGCAAATCGTTCCCACGAAGCTCATGCTATATCTGGGAGCAGTCGAAGAACCAGACCGCTTCTATCTACGCCTCGCTTTTGGTGCAGCTTGCTCTGCCGTGGGAAAGCCCGGAGAGACAAGCGCCTGTGCATGCATACGGTGATGCGCAAGCATTGATGGTGATTGTTGGCACTTGTGCTTGGGTACCTTATTTTCTTTGGGTTTTCATGCTCAAGCATTACCGGCTTTCTGAGCATAAAGGCAGAAAGGGGCTGATACATTAGGCGTCTAGAACGCTCTGAAGATCAATTGCGCCACAGGTAATCTCCCGATGCAAGAGCTTGGAAGGAGGCACGCTCTGTTTCTATTTGGAGACGTGCACCCCGGCATGATACATGATGTACAAGTGCAATGGGCGCCGCGGGGAATTCAAACGTGACTGTGCATTCTACCTACATGTTCCTATAATGTTGCTTCTAAGTGTTCGGCGGCGCTTGACTGAATAGATAATCGGCTCGCTGACCGAAGCCGTTGGCATTGCTTACACGAAAAACTAGGTGGCGAACATCACGACACTTGAGGAGCTACTTTGGTCGGAAATGGCTTCGAAATAAAGATATGACCACGTGTACAGCCAATCTGTGAGGACTGGAAACAACGATTCTGTCTAATAAACCGTTCAAAGATCATTCTAGGGCAATTCAGCCTCTTTGTGCATTCCTGATCGCCACTGATCAACTCCACATCACCAACAACATGGACCTGCCTAAAGCGGCCGATATGCTGACTCGGCCATGGATGCAAGACTGAACAGAAGTGGTCGAGTAGGGCATTGGCACGGCCTTGCGGCCTTCTCCGTACGGTGTGTCTGTTCTAAGCACACTTCGTTCACATGCCTCTGTCGTGGAACAAGGTATCCCGGACCCATTGAACTTATTTCCCCCACATTTCGAGCCCTACCATCGCCTCGGTGCGCGCAGGCCAAAGCTTTTTTGACACTTCTTGGCCCAGTTGGTTGGACCCTCTCGTGGCATTTGCACTTCGGATGCAGTTGCCAGTGTCGGGGTTTTGATATGATCCACTCCATTTTCGTATACCGACGCTACGGCTGCCGCACTTGAGCGCTAAGTCTTTATTAGCGCACACTACGAACGAGCCCTGGACCCATTTCTTACACCGAGTGGAGCAAACGGAATGACTAGATGTGGAGGGCTGGACCGAAGAAGGGGCCATTAGCAGGACATCATGGATTTCGAGAGTGCAAGCGATACTGTCAAGATTGAGAGAAATTTGGATTATGATGGCTCGTTCTAACATCATCATACCAATACAGTGCACACCTTCTCCGCCCCATCCATTTCCCACGCCGCAAACTACCATGTCAGTCCATCACCAGCATGATAGTTGTCCAAGTGCATGATGCCCTTCTCTGGCTCCACATCGAAATAGTTGGCCGACTTCGACTCCGCATAGTCCCGAAGTGCATCCCAGTCATTGCACTTCTTCTCCTGCCCATGGCCAGTCTCTCTATGGCCATTCGTCCAAAGAATAGTGTCATCAACGTTGCACATGATGTATTGTCGCAGCGCATCGAAGCAATGCATGTCATGCGGACGGGACCAGTTCCAGGCACGACCTTGCTCCATCAATATGTAGTGCTCGCGAATTACTTTCTGAAGTTGCGTCAGTGAAAGTTTGGTCTGCCCTGCAAGACGTGACTTACGGTGCAATGCATAGCATGGTACGCTTCAATCACGTACATGAAGTTTCCACTGTCGTCCAGGAGAGCCACACTCGGTGGGAGATTCTTCTCCGCAACATATTCGGCATCGAGGGCAATCACTCCGTGACCCGCAAGGATCTCGTCCCATGCCCTGGATGCCACGTCCTCATCGTTGGACATGTATTTTGAATGCGCATAGATTGTCCGGGGAACCGTCCGCTCACGGCTCAAACCCGCTGGAGTCCGTCAGTGAACACGAAATACGGAGGTTGTGGTTGTTGGCAGTGACATACTCGGCCCAAGGAAGCGTATGTTCGCTCTCCGTTGGATTTCAACAATATAAATGCTCTCGAACGCAATGACGACCAAAGCGAAGGTCAACAGGATCTTCACAGTGTTGTGTTTGATCCAAGTTTTCGGAGACTTGGATCCTCTGTTTGAGACGCAAGGTGAGCTCGATGCCCCCAACAGCGCCTCGGACACATCGTACTGCACTGATGAGCCCTGATCGTCGTCGTAGGATTTTTCCATCGAAATTTTAACAAAAGAATGTTTTCCTGGGGTGAACTCCATTGTGACGATAGTGGATCAAGTAAGTGAGAGAAGTCTGACGAAGACTATGAGTTTCAAGACGACTTTGACAACACAACTCTATACCAAATGCTCACCACCATTGTTAGTTTCCGGAAGGTAGTATCCACTTCTTCTTCAGAGTCCGTCGCTTCAGCTCGTCAAATGTTTCTATAATCCTCCGGGGCATTGCCAGACACGCACGGCCAACTCTCCGTATCCGCATTTAGGGAAGTTCGATGTTGAAAATGGAGACATGCAACGCCTTGGGTAACGCATAAAGTGTAGGTTGGTTCGTTTCGGTAAGGCCCGACCTGCCGGATCTTGTTCGAACTACGTTTTGTGCCTGACTTGCAGGGTTAGCTCTAGGATGGCTTCCTGCCGCGGTTACCAAGCCTTATAACGATAGATGTAGTCTCCATTCATAGATACGCCCGACGACGCGATGATGGTCATTCAAGTGGCTTGCCGAATACTCGCTATACACTAACGTTCCTTCTAGATTTGCCGACCGTTTTCCTACGTTATTGTTCCTTTCGGAAATCTGCCGCCAGCGCCTACGAGAAGCGCGCGGTCTCTGCCTGTAGGAACGGGTCCATAGTGTAAGGATTGGGGCGTGCGTACTGTAGGGATCTCTCATGCGGGGCAACGGTTCGCCGTTATTGAAGGGAAGGGATTGCGAGGAGGACCGTGACACGTGCAGTTGCGGTGCGACTACGACTCAACACGAGACATCTACGCGGCTGCACGGCGAAGCTGAAGATCAGATGATCGATCGCCGATCGACCCAACACGAGCCAAGGTAGAACAAGGAAGCACGACAGACCAGCAACATCCAAAGGATCAATGACGTTGATTCTGCCGTGCGCACGAAAGGATGTCGTGCATATCGAACAACAGCCTAAAACCGTTAGCCTGTCCTTCGGAGACCGAATTTTAAACCGTGCATCCGCGCTCAGCGCACACCCTGACCGACAATCACTCACATCCCGGTGCCCATCATCCAGGATAGTGCCACAGCATCACGGGGATTCCGACGAAAGTCGTGAAGCCACACTAAGGCTTCTCAAGTGGTAGTCTGACCGATGCATGCTAAGCTTCGCGACAACGATGATGGTACCCGTGGAAAATAATCGAGGTTCATGGAGCCCGTACGGCCACCGTCATAGGGAACCGGTCGCTGAGACGAGCTTCAATGTGGAGCAGGCAATGTGTCTGAGGGCCGATATTGTGTATACATATACACTGACTTGTTCGGCCGAAAACGAGCATCACGAACTACCACAAGATCAGCATCTTCACAGCAGTAAGGGTCTATACAAAGCCTCCACCAACGCACCAAGGCTGCCACATAAGTCTCCACGCAACGGACTCTTACACCACTGAGCATCGGTACCTCAAGTTTGCCATCTGCACCTCTTCCACCTGACGGCCTTATCTACCATCCTGGTCAATATGCGTTCCGTATTCGCTATCGCCACCGTTGCCCTGAGCATGGCGCTCCAGGTTACTGCTGCTCCTATCGCATGGGGTAGCGAATTCGCAGCCTCGCAGATAGAAAGGGACCTCTCAGGACTCAAGCGCAGCGCTGATCCGGCTGCTGCCGATTTGAGCGGATTGAAGCGCTCGAGCACCGATTTGTCCGGGTTGAAGCGTTCGAGTACAGACTTATCAGGTCTGAAGGAACGGTCAAGCACAGACCTATCTGGCCTCAAGCGGTGGATCGTCGAGCTCGTTCAGCGAGCATCCACTGACCTCAGCGGATTGAAAAGATCCAGCGCCGACCTCAGTGGGTTGAAGCGCTCGACCACCGACCTTTCTGGACTCAAGCGATCAACTGTCGACCTCAGTGGATTGAAGAGAGCAGCCACCGACCTCTCCGGGCTAAAGCGTTCGACCGCCGACCTTTCAGGACTCAAGAGAGACGCTGCCGACCTGTCAGGCCTGAAGCGATCCACCACTGATCTTTCCGGCCTCAAACGTTCCACGACAGACCTTTCGGGTTTGAAACGTTCCAGCACTGATCTCTCCGGCTTGTAAAATTGGCTTGGAGAAGCGGTAAACTGTCACGAAGTGCCGCAATACGACAACACGGAGGACTGTACATATACATGGGCGCCACCGGCTCCAACCTCCGAGATTCTCATCCATTGATTCATTACATATAGATAGAGTTCTTACGTCAGCATTTCCAGCGCCTGGATTAGGGATATAGACGAGTCGACGGGGTTTTCTGATAGACGCATTTCTTGGTTCTGGGGGTTTGGGAGATGCTTGGTTCGGCGCTTCTAATATGTTGAGCAGCGTTTGCATAGCGTGGGCACCACCGGAGGCGGCTTTGGGCGGATTCGTGGGAATACATTTTGTTGTTCAGCATTGTTCATATAATCAGCTTAGACAAATAGACGAGACGAATAGACGGCACGTGCCTTATCACTAGCTCTACGTCAGCTCAGCCGCGTGTATGTATGGGGGACTACTCGAGTAGCTGGAAGTTCTTCCAGCTCACAAAGACTGATTTCTAAACCATTTTCTCTCGATGCATGGTCGCTTGAGGTGGATGTGAAGTTGATCTACTAGACGCTGAAGACGCTGAAGACCCTGAACATCTTCTGAAAGATGTGGATGTGTACATGCGTCCATTGCCGATCGTATGCGGCGCCCAGCCCTATGGCATTCTCAATGCCTGAAGTTCAAGTCCTGAACCAAGCCCTCGGTGCCATCTCGGCCGCCTACCTCCACCTCTACCTACCAAACGCAGAGCGTACGGTACAGGGTCATTGTAGGGGACTTGACAATTGCGGCCAAGCGCAGCGACTACACATGTGTGTAGACGATCGAGAACGCGACGCCACCATCGTCGTTCGGTGGCTTGCCTTATTACTCCATCGTGCGTTAGGCAGCGGTTGGTTTTCGCTGCGGGCGCCCCGCAAAGGGCCAAGGGTCAACATCCCACCGCGTGTTGGATGCCGTCGTATTCCAACACGCTACAGCGAAGGATTCTCCTCTCGTTGCGTGCGCGATGCTGGCATCCGATTCTATGCTAGATAAACTCCTCGGACACCGCAGGTGCCCGCGCGACAACGGCACAGTTGAGTTGTACCCCTCCAGCCGGCTACCTACAAATTGCAAGCTGCTGAACCATGTCGACCAATGCTGCGGGGCTTTTCGTACTGTGCAGCGTTTTGCCGGCGCTGTCGACCCTCGCCGTCGGCGCTCGCCTCTATGTGCGAAATCTCAAGAAGCAGAAATTCGGTGTTGACGACTGGACTGCGCTGGCCGGCCTGGTAAGGGTCCTGCAATACTTCTCAAAGTAGTGCTGATAGTGAGGTCAAGATTGGGCTGTGGGGTGTAGCGGGAGTCATTCTCGATGGTGAGTCGGGTCTCTTATATTGCCTTATTGTACCCTAGCTAAAGTATGGAAAGGCACGAGGAGAGGTCTCTTCGGAGGAAATTCCAATCTCGACCCGGTAACCGGTGCTCTGCTCCGCTCGTGGAGGGAAGGCCCCAACGTCAAGGTGCGACTACCGTCCTCGGTGTCCCACGAACCAGGTTTGCTAATACCAATACCAGTATTCGTGGATCGTTCCCATTATAACGGTCGTAGCGCTGGCGCCAATCAAACTCAGTGTCATATTTCTCTACCGCCGAGTCTTCCACATCAGCCGCTTCTTCCATTACTATTCCATCTTCCTTTGCGTCCTACTGGTCGTGTGGGCGTTTGCCTTCATCTTTGCGAGTATCTTCCAATGCGGTACGAGACCTTGGGCGTACTGGACGACCGTGCAAACCATCCAGCAGTTTTGCGGCGACACAGGCGGCGCGAACGTAGCGCTGTGCTTTTCTGATCTGTTTATCGATGTTCTGATCCTCGTTGCACCTCTCGTCATGATCTGGAAGATGAACTTCACCCTCTGGAGAAAGATGCAGATTGTTGCCGTGTTCGCGCTGGGCTTCGTGTCTACCGCCGCAGCTGCCGCGCGCGTGTACATTATGTGGGAAGACGCTTATGGTAGCTTGGCCTCCATTAATCTCAATAAGACTTTACTGACCAATCGCCAGACACAAGACGCGGCCACACGAACTTGATAAGGGAGAATACCAAAGTCGTTATGTGGTGCCTCATCGAGATCAGCTCTGCCCTCATCGCATGCTGCCTGCCGGTCCTCCGGCCCATCTTCGCAGACACATGGGTGTCGCACCTCATCTGCCAACTCCAGAACCGAATCTGTCCAAACGACCCCAGTAGGCGTCCGTCAGATCGCGAGGTCGAGGAAGGTATGGCTTTCCAGAGCATCGGTGGGACCGACTTTCAAGTCGTGACCAAGCGGGAGTCGATGTCGAGGAAGGACTCGAAGTTGAGCACGAATGTTGAATCACGAGAGGTCGATTCGGCAAGGTATACGTACGAGACAACTGGAGAGATGGATTGCACGCTCAAGGAGATAGGGATCTCGAAAGAGATACAAGTGGAACAGCCATGAGCGGTTCAACCACGATCACGACATGTTACGATAATTATTGTACGAGATATGAGTATACGAAAGGTTAATGCCAAAAGAGTAGATAGAGAGAACTCCTTCTTCAATGAATACAAACAGAGTCTCCCGCGGTACCCCTGCTGCGCACCATTGTTCGACTCTAGAGCGTAGCGAAATGCTGAAGTGTCACGCATCCGGTCCTACGGTGCTTCAATATCGGCTATTCATGACCTACATGGTAGCAACTGTAGTGACTCTAACCACAACGTATGCCTCATCTTGACGGAAATGCAGAGCCAACATTTTACTCAATTTCCCACTCTTTTACTATCTTACGACATTCAGTCGCTCAATCTCACCGGGCAGGCCCTCCATGCTCTCCAAGAGCCCGTCGAATTCGTGTCTTAGCGCATCCATATCCTCTTCAACATCGTCCGTCCACCGCCTAACGTACACCGTCTTGATTCCCAACTCCTTCGCACCACGCAAATCCCACGCATGTGCCGCCACCTTGACTACCTCATGAGGCTGAGCATCGATCAGCCGGAGGGCCTTGTGGTATGCTTCCGGAGCAGGCATGTACAGTCCAAGCAGTTCGGACGAGAAGAGCATATTAAACTCTGGGTTCAAACCAGAAGAAGCGACAATATCAAGTTGCAGACGTGTGCTCCCATTTGCGTGAACGAAGGTCTCTAGTCCAGCAGAGCGGAGAGCTTGCAACGCGGCAGCGACATCAGGCCACGCTTTCTGATTGTGGAACGCACGGATTGCCTTACTCAAGGCTTCAGTATCGAAGTGTGATGCTAGATGCGAAAATTTGTGGCTGAGCACATGGTCCAAAGCCCGGCCTAGTGTAGTGTCGAAAGGCTCAACGCCCTGGTTGGCTTCAACACGGGTAGCGTTGAGGTTGAAGTACTGTTGGCGCCATTGGAGTGCCAGCGATGATGCCTCGTCAGATTGTATGGTGGGAGGGAGCATACTAAGTACACTGGAGTGCCAATCGAGGCAGGTGCCCATGAAATCAAAGAAGACGGCTTTGAACGGCATTGTAAGATCCAGGTTTCCCAGGTAAGTAGAGCATTAGGTGACGGGGTTCACAATCTGGAGTGCAACCTTGGTGAGGATTGAGAAACTAATTTCTACATCGTTCAGATCCAACGCGTAGAAGTGTATCTTCGAAGTTGATGTGCTTGGTAATCGTTGACATTACTCATCCAGATTGATCGCTAACTACTGCCAGAAACGCGGAGCAGATCTGCAAGTGCGACCACACATCCTCATTCACGCTAAGAACGGCACCATCGCAATGCTTCATACCATGGCCTTACCTTTTGTTCTACGTTGAACTGATGGAACTTCATTTTAGGTTCCTTCGACGGCGCTGTCCTCCACGAGCACATATACCACCTGGGCACTGCAGATGCTCACGGAAAGGCCTCATTTTTGCACGGTAATCCACCTTAATGCTTCTCCCTTTTGATAATTCTGATGGAAAATCTCGAAATAGACCCATCAGGCCTGCCTTGACATACAAGCTCCAACGTCGCATCAGAGCGCACTCAACAACTTCAGCTGGCTGGACACGTGCATCTGCGCCCCAGGTTTAATCCCAGCTGCACATCACTCTCCAAGACCTCTTTTAGGACCTGAAACCGCCATATTGCCTACGCTCACGAAAGTATGATTTCTGACAGCTGGCCAAGCGTCAGCGGGCCTACAAATAGCCCCCAGCGAGGCAAATGTCTCACTTGTCGACTAATCACGCGAGATCTTGGAAATAAGATACAACAATGTCAGCAACGTATCTCCAGTCTCGCAAGCTAGACTTGGGGCAGAGAGAGAGAGAAGGCGTGCACGTGGACAGCGCGACTGCGGCTGAGTCGTTCGGGCGTAAGACGCTGAAGGGCTGCCACCAACACGACTAAGTCGGATGAGAGAAGAGGGCGAATTAGCATCGTGCAGATTACACATCGATTGAAGATGGATTAGAACAGACGATGGCGGAGTTCTCACGCAGGTCTTGGATGTCTCCAGCTTGATTGACAATGTCACTTTGGAGAGGGCGAAGCCAGAGGCATGATCGAAAAGAGTGTAGAGGGGTGAACTTCCTGCTCGGTCTAATAATGGCGACGATAGACCTGAAGGCGATGAGAAGTGTATAAAGCAGGCTTGCGTCTTCGCGCTTTCATCCATCATCACAACAGCTCATCGCATCTTCACTACCATCGACAAAACCTTAACCACTTACCAGCCTCTCACCTACACACCATTCAATCACCATCACCAATCTTCAACATGTACACCTTCATCACCCTCACCGCCCTCTTCGCCGCCTCTCTGGCCGCCCCCGCCAAGCACGCCCGCCAAACCCTCCCCACCCTCAATTTCGCCGTCTCCAACGACGCCTCGGGCGCCAACGTCGGCAGCTCCATCCTCGCTGACGGCAATGCCGTGACTTTCCTCCACGACTTCGCCGGCACGGCTCTCGACCGCAACGGCCGCATCATCGCCACCAGCATCCAGTCTACCTCTAACGGCGCGGGCATTTTCTGCATCATCCGTGATGGCGAAGGCAAGCAGGTTGGGCTTCTGAATGAGCAGAAGACGTTCGCAGATTTGGATGGACAGGAGAGCGCTGTGGAGACAGATGTCAGTGACTTTACGCTTCTGTGCGAGGCGTAAACGGACAATGTCGGTAACTGCGGAGAAGACGGGGTGGAGATGAGAAGCGTAGGAAGTGGTAATCGAACGGTCCTTTTTGGTACAGCATAGCGTTGGGGTTGTGGGCATCTTCTTCGGATTTTAGCAGTTCTTTGTACATGTGCTCGGAACGCAGAGCACCTTCTTTCTCTAATCATTATATACTGTCACGTCATAACAGGAACTTTTCTACTTAGTGATCTGATGATGCCAACCGATGCAGAAACCTCAGTCGTGTAAGCCCCCCGATTTTGGTACGAAGCATTTTATGAAATGCGAGACTCTTACGCCCTGTTCATCGTACACATCTTCAACAGGACTAGTCAGCAGGTAAGCTGGGGGAGGCTGGCACGCTCACGGAAAGCTCCGCTAATTGCTAGCATCTGGCATGTGCACTCATACCATGTCTTGCCAATGGCGTGCACGAGCTCACTTGTGCAGTCAATGTCATGCGTAGCGTTAAAGAACACGCGACAAGAAGATGTGCTCAACATGTACGATGAGTGAACATTAACAGGATGAGTTTCGTAAAACTATTACAAGAACGCTGCACAGCATCATCGGCTAGACGACCTTGAAACCAGAGAGCTCGGAGCAGTACCAGCTTACACTGGAGGATGCGTACTGTACCCGCTTTGTTGCGCATTGTACGCACCCGCACTGTATCCGCCCTCACTCACGACGACGCCACCCTCAGCATGTAGAGGAAAACTCTGGGCCCGCTGCATGCCCCACTGCTGCTCCCTCAGCAGCCTCATCGGACCCCTGACAAAACAGCTCATCAGATCGGTAATGTTGAAAGCCTGTGCCATGGCCGTGATTGGCCCCGCGGCCGGGCCACAGCCCTCAGCCTTGTACACGCTCACCGGGAACGCGAAGAACAACAGAGTCGCAAAGAGAGGCATCTCGCACGCCAGAAGCAGACTCGGCAGCGCAGTCTTGATGTCGTGGTACGTCATGTGCTCGTTGGGCTTGATCGTGCCGTTGCCCACAAGGATGCCGATAATGAACACCTGGAGGGCGTTGAGACCGATGATGCCCTTGAAGGCGAGGAACTTCAGCATGACCTTATGCGGCGTGAGCTGGGTTTTCTGCATCTTGTAGAAGCGCAGACAAGCGAGGACGGCGAAGGTGGTGGATGCCATCTTGATGACTGAAAGCCAGATGTGTGCGAATTTGGGCTTGTTAGAGGCGCCGCAGTAAGTACCGACGGCGAGGGAGATGGCGGTCGCCATCCAGACGATGATGGAGACGGGCAAGTATTGGAGGACCATGTACCATGTTCGCTGAAAGATGTGTTAGACGAATTGACGATCAGGTGTGCGTGTGATGGGCTTACCTTGAGCCATTTAGGGCTGTCCACGCCTTCTCTTGCGACCTTGGATGCGCCCTGGCCAAAGAGTTGGTCGAAGCCTCCGGGATTCGAAAGGATGTAGTCGCAGAGCAACAGCAAGAATGCCGAGATGGCGATGGAACATCCGAAGTCCAGCGACTCAACTAGATACTCTCCAACGTCCTCTTGCCAGACGATCAGGAATGAGAACAAGGCAACCCATGGCACGAGCATCAAGATACGGATGACTTGTCGCTGCTGGATGGGATTCGAAAAGTTGGTGGCATGTCGAATGACGGCTACCGAGACGATCAGAAGCGCTGCAAGACTGCATGCGCCGGATAAGATAGTTGCGAAGTCGTGGAACATTAACGAGCCGACGACAGGCTTCATCTGATCCGCTGGGACGTTGATGGGATCTGTAGGGCAGGCATCATCGGTGCCATTGTTGTTGTCGTTGTGATCTCTTAATTTGCGTGCAACCAGGTAGGCGACATGCATACTTGATGAGGAAGCCATGCAATGGTACGAGGAAATGACGTGCGTGGGGATGAAGGTCGGCTTGACCGCGAGACGAAGCTTTGCAGAAGGGTTGTTGCTGTGTAGATGGGACAATGACACTCTGGTGCAAGCTCTTTCCTATATACTGTATGCCTCGGATCGGCGTCCGGGACCACGGACCTGAGCGATGGACATGTGTGGGCTGTAAGCCCCAACCAGAGTCATGGCTGTTGGGGGCAGCAAGGCTGAGCAGGCCGTCGCCATACGAACCGAAGTAGGTATAGTCAACGAGACCCCAAGGGGTCCAAAAGCTTGCTAAAGCTTGACTTGGAAAACGATTGGCAAGCGAACGTAATCCTTTTGTGCAGAAACCAACTTGGTAGAGAGCTTACCCAAACGAGCTAGATGCAAGAGATTAAGCGAGAAGCTTGATCCCCAAGGAGATGGTGTCTCGTGGCTCCGAGTTGCGGCCATTGGACAGCACAGCCTACGCCAGACTAGGCCTATTTGATACTCAGTTGCGCCCGACCAATGGTGCGAACCGTACAATGTCCAGCGTCCTCCAGGGCCCGACGATGCATGGCTGTAACGCATGGCTTACGATGAGTGCGGCTGAGCGGTCTGCGGTGGGGTTCGAACCAGACATGCGGTGAACAGCCAAGGTGCCGTACGTGGGCACAAATGCACTGCAGGGATTGTTATCATTGGAACATCGCAACTTGTCCCGGTGGAGAAAGCGATTACACCACCCAAATGAGAAAAAGGTCGTTCGAGGTAGCTTTTCGGAGTGTCTAGGCGTCCGATACCCGACACCAAGGTCGGATTGTGTTGTTCGGAGGAAGTCTTCGATGCAAGTATGCGACTCCACGTCATCGCTCACGAACAGGCATCGCTGCAGTAGTAGTCCGCCCAGCATACGTTTGTCCAACCTTCGGCATCTCTACCTCTCTTGTCGAGAATGTGCAATGCCCCACGCCCTCTGCGTTTACACCGACCACGCCCCACTGCAGCTTGCTCCGCGCAGCCTCAAATCCGTCTACTTCGTCTACTTCGTGGCATGCCGCACTCATCGCTGCGCTACAGCTCCCCGCCAGATTCATGCCCTTGTTGAACGGCATGAAACCAATTCCGATCGCTGCCAGAGTCATTACCGTGCCGAGCATAACTGTAGTAAAGATAGCGATGGGTGAATAGCCCGTCGATTTCCAGTCTCCAGGGCCAACATCGGAATTTATCTGGCCATACGGACTAAGCATGCTATGCGACCCGTCGTAATTGTATACATCCACCGCAACCAGGAAGATGCTTTGCGACACAAGCCAGTGAAGCACGCCACCCAACACCATAAGTGGTAATGCAAATCGATACGGCAACTGTAAGAAGTACGTCGAGCGTTGCGCTCCCTCTGCGGGACGCGACACGCGCAAGCCCTTGCGGCCATGTGCGTAAGACACCCATTCATAGCCGAGAAGCATTGCAGTAAAGAGGCCGTTATAAGAGAAGTAAAGAAAGGAAAGGATGGGCTGTGCAACGTTGGCAATGAGGATGTAACCGATGGTACCTATTGCAGCCGAAGAGTAAGTCATAATAGTTCGATAGTCGATGGCGCCGTAGCCCAGAGAGGCAAGGCCGGCAACTGAGCGTGGGGTGCCTGCTGGGAGTTGTTGCACACCGTATCCAAGCAGTGCTGCAACCGAACCGAGTGTGACGAATAGACTGATGACTGGTTAATGGTGAACTGTTGAGTTATCGGCCGCGTGGCTGTATTGTACTGTAGGTTGAGACTGCAAGCACCGTCGACCTGACAGGTTCTTGAAGAGCGACTTGCTACTCAATACTGACAACCGCCAGGGGCAAAGGTAGACTTACGCAATGAAAGTTACACTTCTCCGCCTACGGCTCGTTACATCCTTGAATCGTCGTTGTTCACCTTTCCATGTTATTGGCCCGGCTGGGAAATATCGATCGTTGGTTTTCACGTCACGAATAGATAAGAGGCACATTTCCTTGGTGGTCCCATCCCTCCGCTCCAGGAAAGAAGCCACGGCATCTCCCATAGTCATCAGAGGATTCTCCTTCGTCCCCAATGCTGTGTAGAAGATGAAAACAGCCTTGAAGATGTTGAGAACCGTGACTAGTATCGCAATGGTCAGCATAACCTGCACTTTGCAGCGTGGCTCCGATGTCTCGCTGAGACAATAGTCGACGGGATAGGTGGGGTTATAGCTGTCACTGAAAACCCCATCCGTGTGGCCTACTTTCCAATCATCTGGTTTGCTTTTGATAGCATCAATGAGGGTAGAGCATGGTGATGTCCATCTCCATGTGGGATCGTCAGAGCAGATCCATCCGTACGAGTTCATCGCTGACGATACGATACTCGCAGCTGAAGCATCAAAATCGTTCCAAGCATATATATTGGCCGTCCCGTTTGCGGTGACATTAGGCGCAGGCATCCTATCATCAGCTGTGACGAGCAGCACATTCCTCCTCTTCGTCTGGATGGGTTCCGCGTATTCGCGAATACAGTCGAGATTCGAAAGCCGATCCAGTTTGTTGTTACGCGCCTTCTTAAGCATCATGCGGGCGACGTCTGGACTGTAGCGAACATTAGCGGTCTGAGCTGCCGAACATTATGCAGTCGTACATAGCGGTATTGTAATTCCCGACTGCTACAGTCGTATTTGAAAATATTGCGCCACATTCGCCGCAATCTGGACTGTTGATGAACGACTCCCGCACGCTCAACGCGAAGTAATTGTTCGAGGATATCGAAAGGAACACAGCTGAGTTGTAGCTGAACAGTTAGCAAGCTGTAAAGCAACAGATGTGGCAACTCACAATAGGTGTAAAGGCAGCGATGACAGCCCGAGAAGAAGCCACACTACTGCTCGGCGACGATCAATGTTCCTGCGAATGTCAGTAACTACTATATTGACTCTACTTTGCAAGACCTACCTTAGGTTGTGGACACTCTGGACTCCGATATCCAACCACTTGCCCTTGGAATGCGCGTCATCTATCTCTTTCCTAGTTGGCGCTGAGAGACATTGCATGCAATAGTTGCTTGAGCTAAGCAGAATGGTGCTCAATATATTGATTAGCAAATGCAGCCCAGTGTTCAGTTTGCTGGCACGATCGCAATCGCCATCGAAAAATACTCCGTCTTTGCGCGCGGAAACTAGGATGGTGACGACGAGATTTATGAAAAAGACGACACAAACAGAGATAGCACCATTGATGGCACCGAATCTCCAGCCAGAAGTAAACCTTGTGTTGCTGGTGTAGGTCTCGTGATCTGTGCTTGCATGGGCGAAATCGGCCTCTTCAACGCGCATTGAGTGTGAATAGCTCGTATCTGCTGTGTACCCCGACGAGGAACGCGCAATCTTCCGCAGTTCCGTCTCGCTCGCATCGCTCCATTGTCGTTTCTGTATCTGCCGGGTGCGCAGCTGCTGAGTCCACCGCTTCGGCAGAGCGTATATATCCCTGAGGTCGAACATCTGGAGGCATACCAGAGACCTGGCACGGCGTACGAACTCTCGTAGACGTCAAACGGGCCAACTTCCAAGCTTGTTCAGGGCTTGGTGATGTCTGGTGCCTAACGGTTATTCTTAGACGTGCTCGCGATCTATTGCCGGCCCATGAATCGTTAGTGTCAAACGAAACCGCCCCCAACTCATTTCGCTAAAGTGGATACCTTTGCCCCGGAGGCATGACATGATCAAGCGATTGACGCTCATTCATCGCGATTACTGGTAGCGAAGTTACTACTTTTCGTAGGACGGTGGACGTTCAACAACGAGGTAAAAAGAACTCAAATCAGGATCCTGTGTCGAGCCGGATGTCCAGTTAGGTAGACTAGCTCAACCTCCGAAGGAGAGCACAATCACGACAAGTCATCTGTAACGCGCCTTCAACTCTAAGAACGCATGTACGCATCACCCTAAGCGCACAGTGGGAGTCCTTGTACGGGAGATATCGCACACGCTTGCAGTGTGATAAGTACACGGTCACCAGAAGATTAGCTGCTACTTTGCTATCCTCGACGCCAGTGCTTGTGGTGTACCGCAAGCTTGAACACTCCTCTAATCGTCACCACCTCCGATGGGTCCAGATACCTGTTTCGCTGCCTTCGCTGCAACAATGTCATCCACCCTCAACAACAGACACGCGCTCTCTACGGCTGTCTTGACGCTCTGCTCCTTGACGGCCAGGGGCTCCCATACGCCAAATTGTCGCATATCCACGACCTTTCCGGCGTCACCGTCGATACCCCACGAGCTCCCCTTTTGCTCACCATCCTCGTAGCCTTCAGCGTGCTTTGCACGGAGCTGCGTCAGCACCTTGATGGGGCTGTTTCCAGAGTTTTGGATGAGTGTGCGGGGAATGACTTCCATTGCTTCAGCGACGGCCTTGTACGGCCATTGTGCAACACCCTCAATCTGCTTTGCTCTCCGCTCCAGACCTACTGCGACGGCCATCTCTGTTGCTCCACCTCCTGGGCAGAGCTTGGGATTCCAGATGACGTTTCGCGCTACACCCATCGCATCGTGCAGGTTGCGCTCGATCTCGTTGAGAATATCCTTGGAGGGACCGCGTAGCAATACTGTGCATGCCTTCGGGTCTTTGCACTTGGTGAGGAAGGTAAAGTATTCGTCGCCGATCTTTGAAATTTCGAAGAGGCCACAATGGGTGCCAACGTCGGAGGCAGCTGCGGAGAAGACCGAGTTTACAATCGTAGCGCCGGTGGCTCGTGCGACACGGTTGTTGTCAGTCTTGCGAACTCGTCGGATGGCGGTGATATCGTTCTTAACAAGGTAGTGCTGGGCGAGGTCTGATGGCAGGGTTAATTTCGATCAATATGCGGGATAGTTTCATACGTACCACTGACGCCCTTCTCGGTGATGACAAGATCAGGCTTGAGCGCAATGATGGCGTCGCACATCGCCTTCACTTGTTCCTCCTCAATTTGCAATATGCGGTTCCAGTCTTCCTCCTTACTGATCTCGATGTTAGTCTGACTCTCGCCCTTCTTGTATTCTAGCGGGCAATCGAGAAGCAGGACTTTGGGGTTCTCTATCCTTCGCCTCATCTTGGGATGTGTGATATCCTTGTTGAGCATGACTCCGTCCAGCACCTGACTATCCTCGATCTCGCCTCCTGGAATTTTTTCGATACGCGCATAACGCTTGATATCCACCTCCTTCTTGCCGCCTCCTGCGTCCAGTGACACTGTTCGTACAGCCTTCAATGCCAAGCTGCACATCAGCTCCGACCACCGCGAAACAAATTTTGTGCCGATCGACGCGTTGATGAGTTGGTACATGGCTTGGTCATCGTCAATGTCGACATCCACCGAGACCTCGTCGATGATCTCGAGGGCATCTGCCAGAGCGCGCTTGTAGGCCTGAATGATAACAACTGGGTGGATGTTGCGCTCGAGCTGGGGCAAAGCCTGGGCGAGCATTTCGCCAGCTGTCTTGGATTAGATAAATCCAAGTTACACCCTCAGTCCTAGATCGCGTACCTAATATAATGACGGTAGTGGTACCATCGCCGACCTCCTCATCTTGTGTTCGACTCAGCTCGATCATGCTCTTTGCTGCGGGGTGCGCGACTTCGATCTCTCGCAGAATGGCGTGGCCGTCGTTAGTCAGGACGATGCCGCCCATGGGATCGAGCAGCATCTTGAGCATGGCCTTGGGACCCAGACATGATCGGATGATGTCTGCAACGGTCTTTGCGGCTGTGATGTTGGAAAGTTGCGCTTTGCGGCCAAACTGGCGCTCCCCGCCGGGGGTTTGGGTGTCTGTTTTGCTGTGAGCGGCCTGCCAACCAACGGTTCTAGCTGTCCACACTCACTCATAACCACCACGGGTGCCTGCATTTTGACGGTGTTCTGGAAGCTTCAACGAAGTTGCTGGAAGGGAAAGCAGCAACGTGAGGCGGGGTATCTAGCTGCGCAGGTGCCTTACAGCTCTGCTATTGCTCCACCAAAAAACGCGTCGATTCGGGGGCACACTTTCTCCGGTTCCGGCATCGTCTGGAAAAGGCAAGAGCGATTGGAGGTATGAGTAAGCGCGCACGTGATGCACGGCGTGCTCGGATAATCGCCAAGAACGACCGGCCATAAGAACTTGGAACCTTGGGAGTCCTGGAGCGAATGCGCACGTGATTCGGCCCGTCCGGGTGATTGTCGGGAAGGACGGCTAGAGAAAGTCTGGGCTGCGTTTTGCGTTTGTTCGCATTCAGCGTCGCTTGGAAGCCAAACCACGCTAAGCCGACCCTGGGCGACGCACGGCCGTTCCCAATCGGCGAGTTCTGCCTTTCCTTACCGCCTTAGCCCCAGCCTCTCACGGGACTTCAATCGCGGAGCTTACAAGAGTCCCGCGCGCCCTCCATCCATCTCTCTTCTCCCACACTTCACTTGCCCTCACGTCTCAGCGCGTAGCCCTTGTGCCCCCTCACTCACCGGGACTTTCTCCTACCTCGATCTGCCATCAATTATCTTCCCTTTCATCTTTTCTACCATCCACACCATCCTCGCGCGCATTCACTTTGCCGCCACCGCCATCTTCAATCACCATCCTGTCGCGCCAGTGCTCGTGACACCATAGTCGCACGCCTTGTAGTCTGCTCGTAGTCCAGCAGACCCTTGTATCCTTACACTCTTACTCTCATTGATCTACTAAACATACAGTGACCATCATGGGTCTCAACTACTTCGCCTCGTCGCCCACCGTGGTGCTCCCACCTCGGCAAGCACACGGCTACTACGCTCCCCACCAGCGCTCACTTTCACCGGGTACCTACCGTCCCAAGTATCCTACCCCGCCATCGCTCAATTATCAGGCTTCGCCTGTATCCAATGCCAAAGTTGGGCGAAAACGATCCATCACCGACGTCGACGACCCCGAGGAGAACCGCCCAGTCGGCGCAGCCGTCACGCAAGAACCCGTAAAGCCCAAACCAGAACCCATCTACGGTCCGGGTATGACGCTCATCTACCCTGGCGAGCCTGGCTACACAATGGCTGCCGAATCCCAGTCCGGTACCTGGTACGAAGAGAAGATCGAGAAGGAAGAGAAGGCGGAACCCGTCCGTTCCATCGCTGTCTCGCGCAAGTCGCAGCGCATGGACTCTGCGATTAGCATCGTCGTCCCGTCACTCAATGTGATGGTCATGGACGCGCAAAGGACCGACGCCATCATCGACGAGAACGGTACCACCCTCAACACGCTCATGTCATCGCTTGGCGTAGGCTGGAAGAACGTCATGACCAACCCGATGCTACGCGATGCTGCACGCGCCTACTCACGCGTCATTGAGAACCACTTCGACCTCACTGATGCAGTCATCCTGCTGGAGAAGGAATCGCTCTCAGCCTATCTTGTGCGCGCAAAGCAACACGGCGTGCAAGGCTTCTGGCTCTTCTCCGACAGTCTCCAGTGGGGCCAGCTCGTCGGATGGTCACTCCAACGTACAGTGCAGAACCTCATGGCCGGTCCTGTGCCACAAGTTGAAGGCTCTCGCCTAAATGCTCGCCAACGGACCCCTTCGGAGCCCTCAACCCCTCCGTCACAGGACAATATCATGATGGCTGAAGCCGACGCGATGGAGATGTGATTCTCATCTACGATCTACAAAAGTTTCACCGCTATCTACTTCCATCTTTCTCTTGATCTTACTTCATTTACGACAGCTACAACAACTCACGGTTTTTCGATTATGTCTCTGCGCAACATGCTGCCTCGGTCTGGGTATGGTCTTCAAAGGAAACTCGGCGTTCGGTTATGGAATGGATTCGCTCGACTCACTGGGATGGTGATGCTCATGTACTATAGTCCAGCTTTTTGCTCTCTGCGGCTGCTTGATCGCCCGTCTTCGATCGCATCCCGCACGTGCTCACATACTAAAACGAATAAGCACTAAACAATCAAAAGAATATCATTATACCTTTAATCTAGACGAGCATGCGATGTTCTGGTGTCAATGATAAGTTCACTGAACTTGTGCCGCACACGCAAGGCTGAGACGGGCCTTCGCGCTGTCGCCCGTTCGGCGACATGTCCTGCCTCACTAAAACTCCATCCTAGACCAGCGCCGCGATTTGCATTGCGTACGCCGTACGGCAAACCGGCCTCGTTGCCGTGCCACAGGAGTTGCCGTAGCATTTATCACGTCGCGTCGTCCGCATTGAGCAGCTGTGTTGGAGCGCCTATGTGGCCTCAGCTCAGCTGAGCGCCCCGGCGCTTCGAGATTCCGCGGGAGGCGCGGCGCGGGACATGGCACCGCGAAGACGAAAAGGAAATCTCGCGCCCTGTCGGCCTTTGCCTACGATTATCTAGCGCGTCGCCTCACTATAATTCGCGTCGTACATGCATCGGAGGAACTGCCCATTATCAGATGGGCCGAACGGGATGCGGCCTCCGGCTGTGTGGTGGGTGCCCGTGTTGGAAGGAGCGGGGTCAGAGAGGGCAACTGTACCACACGCGCATATTTGTACGGTAGGAGGCGAGAAGTCACACACTGCAAAACCGCTGTCTAAGGGAGCGCGCATGTTGGTCGCGCAAAGTGCGCTGCGCTGCGCTGGACAGCCGTTTCCCGGGCGCCCGGGGGCACGCGCTCACGTCACCTCGTAAACTCGTGAGAAGGTGAGAACTGAACAATCGGACGGTGACAGCATGGACAGCAAACGAATTGCATCAATACTTGCGACGTTATACACGACTGAACTACACTAAAACGATTGTTTACATGCTTGCAGTCCTTCACCTGAGGTATCTAAATGCTACCATGCTAACTCCACGCGATGCAAAACCATGCAGACCCAGAATCCCTACGCCTCGCCCTTCGACCTCAGTTCTTCCAGCTTCTCCACCTGCCTCTTAAGCATGACTGTAGCACCAAGGCTGATTCGCCTCAAACCGTCGCGCTCCTCGTTGTCATCCTGTGCACTGCGCGCTAACACCGCTTTCGACGCTTCGATGGCTTTGTCGAGAAGCCTCGGTGCACCTTCGCTCTCATTCCGATACAAGTATCTCAGTTCCTCGGCGAAAGGCGCGACGTCCTTGGTGAGTGCATGCACGATGAATGCTCGTGTCCGAAAATAGGAGCGCTCGGTATACAGCGCACTGCTCGGCCTCGTTTCCTGCGCCTGGCGATGGACATCGTATCCCGCCTCATTGTAGTACGGATCCTTGACCAGCACCAAACCCATAATACTCACCAGCACCTGGAGCAATGTGCTCTTTCCTGGTGTCCAACTCTCGTTGCGCTCATCTGCGTGCCACGTGCCCAACAAACTCAGACAGATCTTGCCGTCTTCGTATAGATTAGGGTTCACGGGGCCATTGCCGTTGGTCCAACTGTGGAAGAAGGCTTCAGGGGCGTATTGCGGGTAGTCGGACGAGAGGTGGAAGTCGATGATGAAAGGAGCGTACTCATATGGAGTGTCTTCCGGGCCGATCATTAACACGCGGAGCAGGTCCATACGAGATTCCCAGGTGCGGACGAAGATTCCCGGTGGCAGCGAGTTGCGGAGAATTTTGTGTTCCTTGGCAATGCGGCGCATAGATGCTGAAGAGGACGTTGGACTTTTGTTGATATAGTTATGGCCGGATGGTGGTGGGGTATCTAGAATTAAGAAAGACTCGAGCCCGGTGAAGGACGAATCTTCAGTAGGGGGATGCGTTGCTGCATTCATGGCTTCGACTACTGGCGGAGGCACATTCTTCTGTTGTTCTGGGATCGGAGGTGATTTCTGATCAGCGTCGGAATGTGTTTCTGGGGTGGTGTTCGAGGTTGGGACGTCGTCTAAACGAAGAACATCGGGCATTGAAGTGTCACCATCGGAATCCTCATCTTCTGTAGACCAATCCTCTTCATTACCCTCCATGGGCTCCCCATCCATGCCCTCATATTCGATCCACATCTCATTGAAAGATGCAGAATCGAAGTCAGAGACGCTCTCTTCCTCATCCGAGTCCTCTTCGTCATCGTCTTCTGAGCCCTCCATACCAAGATTATCCATGTCACTGCTGTATGCCAGTGTGACTCGTTCAGCCGGTACGCGAACATCCACAATCGGCTCTGCAGCACCCAATCTGACCGTGATCTTGCCATCTAATCCCAGGTCTATTACTTCTCCGAACCATGAAGGTCCTTTTAGATTGTTGAGCACTTCAGGGTCGACAGAGTCGGGATGCACAAGCACAAAGTCACCACGTCGGCGCGTCAAGCTTGGCGTTGACCGTATGTCATAAAGACTAACATCTTCTGTGGCTTCTGAAAGCTTCCCGGTCTCGGATGGAGGTATTATGTCATCGTCTAGAAATTGGATGGTAGGGTTCTCGAACCATCGAACAGTTGCTATCCGGTCGTGTGACTTGACAGCTTGTACGATGCCAACCTTCGCAGGCCTAAATGTCCAGGGTACATCGGGACCGGGACCTTCGGCCTGCTCCTTCGTGCATATTACTTCTCCTGGCCAAACCTCATCGTCATCTTCCACGTTAGGATCAGGTATCAATGAGGGGCTCAAATCTTCGGTAATGGAGAGATCCTGCCATTGCACGGTAACCTTGGTATGCGTCTGCATTACATGGAACACGTTCATATCGTAGCCCAACGTCTCAGTGCGCATCTGGCGTGTTACCCTTCCCTGAGGATAGCCGTTTGGTAAGGTTACTGAGCCATCGTATTTGACTGCCGCACCTGCGATGTCCTTGAAGCGTACGCGATCTCCGACAGCTACCTCTGCGACCTGATAGGATCGGTCGCTGCCGTTGGCTGCAAAAGGGAGCGAAACGTCGGCAGAACGTGCTGCGTCGTAGATGCGGAAGCTGGGGTCTTCCATCTCATCAGTATAGAGGCGTGGAGGGGGTTCCTCATGTTCTTCCTGGGAGCCGGGGCCGATCCTTCTTGTGAGCCATCGCACGTCAATCCAGATCGTTCGTGTCTCAACGACGATTCCTTCGGGGCGCACATTGGGGTCAAAGGCGCCGTATCTCCAGCGACCTCTCCGCAAGTTGCCCTTCTTTGTCTTGACAGTGTCCCCAACACTCAACCGTTCGAGCATGAAGTCCTCGTACTCCAAGTCGTCCGGATCTTCCACCACGACCACTGAATTGTTCGACAGCTTGATGGCCACCTCATCGAAGACCTGGTCTACACGACCCACCCAGTCACCGTAGACGACTAGCGCTCCTTCGACGTATTCGTGCACGTTGATGAGCTCTTCTGCCGGCACAACACGTATCGAGTGGTCCTCGCTGATATTCAGCATGAGGGTGGTGGGGCTGAACATGGTTGCTGGAAAGAGGGTGCACACAGCCTTGGTCCCGATGACCGTGCCGCTCATGGGATCTTTGAAGGTGCGCTTGACGACATCGCCGACATACAAGGCCCTGTCGAGTAGCTCAAGCTTCGCCTCGGGTATCAATTCTGTCTTGTATTTGGTCTGCCAGGAGACGAGGACGGTGCCTTTCGGAGGAATGCCGCTCCACATGAACTTGTCGAAGTCGTCGGCCGAGACATCCTCGTGGCGCTCTATATCCTCGCCATAATCACGCTGCGGGCGCGGAGAATGGCTGTCGACATCGCCGAAGCAGCGGTCAACAACACCGACACTGAGCTTATCGCCTTTCAAGCCCACCGTGTCTTCGACGCAAAAGACGACTTCGGTCGGGCGGCTGCCCATATGGCCTTGCGGGGTTCCTATACCGGGAGCAGAGCGTGTACGAATATCGCTGGGGTCGTCGTTTGGGGAGAGGTCAGCCTCGGCGGATAGAAAGGCAACCTGGGGTCTGGCGGATGGTGAAGGCGCAGAGTCACTTGGAGTGGTGGGGCTGTCGGAGAGGAAGCGGTCGGCGAAGAGGTTGGCGAGAAATCGCTCGACGGTGCTGCGGTGGTCGGCGGGCGCTTTTGTGTTGGGTGTGTCGTTTTGCGGCGAAGTACCGTCGGCCATGTATCCGGAGGGCAAATTGTGTACCTAGGGCACTTTCGCGGCGGGCGGCGGTGCCATGTGAAGGTTAGCCCGCTTTAGCCATTCCGCACTAGCCCTCCGGCGGCGTTGTTCAACACCTCCGCTCCGCTGGTTACGTACCCATGGACAGCATGTCCTAAGGCTCAAAGTACGACCAAACATCTGGAACATGGCCGATCCGCTGTACGAGCTGCTGGTCCCATACTTCGACGCGCAGGACGCCCACGCGCGACCCCCGCCAAACGATGCCACGACGAACGCCTACCTGACCCGCTTAACCACGCTCCCGCTTGCAGCACTCACCTCGTCCGAGCCGCAATCGCTCTCGCAGAGCACCCAATCCGTCCTTCGCTCTCTACAAGCTCTCTCCAAACGCTCGCACAAGCCGATCATATCCTCCACCGACCACCTCGCCCACCTGCGCCATGTCCTTCCCACAATCGGGCACGATGCAGGTACGTTGCAGCAAGAGCTTCCGAAACTGGAAAGCGCAGCCCAGAGCTTCTCGCAGAAGTATAGCAAGAGCGCGGAGAACGCCATTCTAAACCGGCGGAGAAAGGCTATGTTGCTAGCCAGGAATGTCGACAGGGTGTCTGATGTGCTGGATCTGCCGACGCTGTTGTCCTCAGCGATAACATCGTCAACTGCTCCAACACATGCTGCCACGGCGACGGCTGCTACCAATGCTAACTATGCCTCTGCTCTGGACCTACATGCTCATATCAAGCGCTTGTCGACGCTGTATCCGAACTCGTCTTTGGTATCATCCTTGTCGTCTCAAGCCGAGCAGGAGATGAAGACTATGACAACGAACCTCATTGTGTCACTGCAATCGCAAGGCATCAAGCTCGCAGGCGCCATGCGCACCATTGGTTGGCTCCGACGAGTGGCCCCTGAGCTCGACGAGTCCTGGTCCGCACGGCAGACCCGCATCGGCAGCGGCGAGGGCAGTCTTGGTGCTTTGTTCCTCGTCTGCCGTCTTGCCTGCCTGGAGTCCATGCTCTCAGCGCTCGATCCTCTCCGAGACCTCGCTGACCAAGAGACCGAGAAGCGAGTCAGTGGAAAAGGGAAATCAGACATGGTGTGGGCAGTTGGTCAACAAACCGAAAAATATTTGAAGAAATACCTGGAAGTCTTCCGTGAGCAAAGTTTCGCTATCATCTCCATGTATAGATCTATCTTTCCGTCAGCACTGCCAACGCCAGGGCCCGACGAACATCCAGCACCTGCCGTCCAGCAAGCGTCAGCATCTGCAAATCCACTGCAGCCTATCCCCTCCGCGCTTGCGACATTTCCCCGCCACCTTGTCGAGATGCTATTTGAAACGCTACGCACATACCTACCAAACGTGCAAGACCGATCATCTCGAGACTCCTTGCTCACACAGGTCTTGTACTGTGCGGGATCGTTGGGTAGATTAGGAGGCGACTTCAGCATTATGATAGCGTTGCTGGAAGAAGATCTAAGAGCAGCTGCGGCATCAGAACACGAGGCCACCGAAGAAGAGCTGGAAGAGGAATGGGTCGAGGTCATGAAGAAGCATCGTGTGCAGGCCAGCAGACTAGAGTTGTTGGCTTCTGGTGTGGGTGCTGGGCGGACGACGAGCCCAGTCGAACGCGTCATCAGTCCGAGTCACTGAACAGGCCATGCTCCATCAAGATTGATACTGCGAAAACACTGTTACACCGAACTCCACAATCAAAGCCAGTGGACCTCTCAGCATTCCGCCTGATTGAACCTCGATATCAGCGCCGCGTCTGATCCCAATGCTACAGCGCGCTCGATCCAAGCCTACACCAGACGTCAGATTAATCGTGTTCTAGTCTTACCAACTTACATCCACAAGCACCGGCGCAGGCTCCCTCTCTCGGCTCAAAATATACAGTGTCGTCCAGTTCTGCGTCTGGACGACAGCATAGTCAGTGCAATACTCTGTCCCATCTCACATTAGCTTCCCTTCGTCTTTCCTCCTTTACCACCCTCACGCTCAATCATCACCGGGCACGTACCTTGCACGATATAATTTGGGCCCGGACATCCTCCCTCCGGTGTCGACGGAAACTTCACCTTAAACGCTCCGGTCGCCGCGTACTCTTCATCCGCCGGCGTCGCCGTTCCCTCAATGCTGATGCGTTGCGGACCGACGATTGCGGTATTTACAACTTTGACGGTGCCGTTAAAATTGAGGGAATATTGCGCTGTTACGCAGCGCGCTCCGGCAGTGGGACCGAAGGGCGTGCCCGCAACTTGGTACCAGGTGCCGAGGTAGGATGTGAGGTTGAAGTGGGGGTTGGTCTTGGGGTAGAAGCAGTGGCTGTTGAGGGGTTAGCTGACGACGAAGAGGGAGAGGGAGGAAAAAACGGGCCCATCGTAGAGAGCGTCCTGGACTAATGTTGTTTGCGAGCTCGATGATTCTGCGCGTGGGAGGTAGAGGGCCGATGCTAAGCTGCTCGCAGCAGTAAGCAATTCGGTGAAGCGCATGGTGTAGCTGTTAGGTTGTTTACAGGACAGTCAACGCAATGTTAGGCATCATACAGGATTGCTTTACTATTAGCGAACTAGAAGACATGGTCATGCCGGTTGACTTTCGCCTTTATGATTATTTTTCCTGATTACGTCACTAGGAAACTCCAGCATGCGGCACTGTGCGACACGCTGTATCCGGAAAATGTGTAGGACAAGCCCGCGATACCCCACAAAGTCTATACACCAGTAGAGTTTCTGCGATGAACAATGGTTGTGGACCCTTGCCAAGCCTGCTGAGAGTCTTGACTTACATCATCAACGATGGAAAGTCGCCTGGACCGAAGCAGGGTTTTACCAACGTTCTACATCGCGAACATTTCCTCCTATACCTTAGGTATGCCGCTCGACATGAACATGTGATGTGAGTTGGTCAGCATTGTGTATTCACCTAGTTGATACGATGAGAGGAAGAGTCATGATCCTTGTTCCAGGGATTGGGTAGGCAGATCTGTTCTAGGACCTGCCATACGTCGGTACCACAGGTATGTGTGAAGCTCCCTACAAATGCATCAATCGATCATCAAGCCAAAGCCAAAAGTTTCTGCCTTGCTAAGGTACATCAATTGACAGCCTTGCTAACGAGGCGTCGCAGATATAACGCAAATATTGCATCCGTAGACCTGGGCAGAGCATCCAACGTGTTGGCCGGCCTTCGTCCTGCGTGCCACTGTCCTGACTCAAGTTCGCGTGCCCTCGTGTGGGTGATGCAGAGAAGCTTTGCAAGACTGCCATAGGTACCGACAAACCGACAACGGCCGAAAGATGAGTAACAGAATATAGCTGTCAGACGTCTCCGGAAAGTATATGTACCCATGAGCGATGGTCAGTCAAGGCCTGCCTCTCGTCGACAGTTGCCTCAACAAGTTGTTGGACCCCCTATGAGAGTTGGACGTACCCCCACTGTCTACCACGGACAGTAAAATCTGACCCGAGGAATTGGAAGTTGGAGAAGCTGATAGCAGACTTACGACACACAAGAAGAACTATATTCTGGGATAATCTGCACTGCATGACGCCGGAATTAGCTTATGAGCTAGTGCAGCAATATCCAGAATACGGATCGCTACTGCCAGCGCGAGCATCCTCGCAAGCCCTGGGCGCAAGCCACTTCAACGCAGCAGCAATTCGTAGCTTCAGCCTTGAGGCTTCCTTATCAGTCTCCGGACTTTCATGCTACAAGGAAAAGATGGCATGACTGTACAACTCGCGATGTCGATACGGTTGTCTCTTCAGAGATACTAGACAGTTCCGACCGAGTCTACGATCGTCGACTTGATTGAAAAGTTCTCGATGCGAAAACGCCTGCACAATTGCGGCGGAGAAGTCAAGCATTATATTCCAGCTGTTGCGATATGCGTACATTTTCTCAATTCGATTCCTGTCGAAACGCGCGTCCAGTTGCGCAATATCACCCTTCTCGAGAGCCTACGCGCCATCGGAAGCGCAGAATGCCATGCGCAAGGTCTCATATAATTTTGACAGATAAATCCTCGTCTACGGATAGAGAGGAGAATTGACCCCTGGGATACCCTTTCAGTCATGGACCCTCGTTGTCTTCCTCGACATTTGAGCCGTGCCTGCATTTTCGACGACCCCAGAACACGCATCAACACAGTCACTTCTACCATCAAGTCTTGTATTGGCGAAGCATTGATCCTGCCGTCGCTCGGCATGCCTGCTGCTTGCTTCCAACTCGTCATTGGCGGAGGCTAACACCATGAAGAAGCAATCATATTCCGAGAACTCTCCCACAACGCAGCTATACAAAATGCAGTGGAGCAGTGTTTCTCACGCGGACTTGTCCCGCGACTATATGCTGTGCAGTGGAGGAGAAATGCTCTCTATCAGTTCGATGGGTTCCCCGAGGCGCTGGCGGACGTCATCCATGGACAGTCAATTGTCCGCTTTGGCTTCGGCTTCGGGAAGAGATTTGATGTAGACAATATGATTTGGGCGCGGAGAGGATGGTCACTGGAACTGTGAGAAGATGAGGCACAATACCGGGAGCATGCACCTACTACGTGTATGAGCGCATATTCGAGTATCCGGTGTCGCTCCCATCATGGCCTGAAATACTGCGGTCATCCGAGCTTGACGAAGAACAATTTGCGTACGCAGAGAACGTATTACGCGATCTCGATGAGTCCCGGGTAGTTCATCGGTAGCTAGAAAAGCGGAGATTAATGTAGACTGCAGGATGTCGCCAAGAATAGCACAGCCTCTTCAAATCCTACTCGTGCCTATTGTACACTGCTACCTCGCCTCGCCTCACCACCATGCTGTCTCTAGCTCCCTAGCAAATCTCACTATGCGCATACAAAGTGCGCCCAGTTTCCTTCTTTAACGCGCCTTCGCGCTTTATCACGATCGCTACCGCCATAACAACAATGCCCTCTCACAACCTCCGCGTCTTCCTCTGCCTCACGCCCTCCCTCCTCGTCCTCGCCTTCTCCGGCCTCATAATAGTCCTCGAGCGCATAACCCAATCCCTCCTCCGCTCCCACACCACACGCAACTTCCGCGACGGTTCAGCCGGCATAACATCCCCGGGCACCGACCTCACCGTCAATGAAGACTACGCGCCGACATGGGCCTTGCTCGGCGTCGGCGTGCTCGGCGCGCTATTCGCGTGTATGAGCGCAGCGGGGATGTGGGAGTTGAGGCGCGTAGATGGCAGGAGAGGCGCAGGGCAGCGAATATGGTGTTGGGGCGTGCTATGCATGAACGCTGTGATGCTGGGTGTTAGCGTGGGCGTACTTGCTTGGGCGAGTAGCCTGCAGGCTGCGCAGAGCGGGGTGAATATGAAGGAGGACAAGGCATATTCGAGAGAGACGTGGTTGTGTCGGATTGATGCTTTGTACACAGATCAGGATTGGGCGGCGAGTGCGTGTGGGACTGCGGTGCGTATTGCTTCACACACTTCCAGGTTGGGCTTGACTAATGCCGACTATAGAAATCAACGCGATTCATGCTCATTCCTGTGGCTATCGGATCTATTCTCGCGATCATCGCTGTCTGGTTTGCTGCAAAGCCGAGAGGTGGCACCAGTTGGCTTGTCGGTGGCAAAGGACGCTATGGAGGCTTCCAGAGCGTGTACGAGATGGGCCCTCAAGGACCACCGCCGCAGTATCAACATGCGCCTCCACAATTCTACCCCATGTCTCAGGCTCATCCGCAGCAGCAAGGTAATCCGCAACCTGGTTATGCGATGCCACCGCAAGGTTTCCGGCCTGAACCATATCAACCTCCTCCAGGCTCGTATGCACCTGCGCCGCAGATGCAGAAGGGCGGTGCGGTGGTTGGGGATCCGGCCTTGTTTCGAACATGAAGATTATGACTACAATACTCACGTAATATATTAGCACATGCCTATAAGTATGTCTGGCCATAGGACCCCTAAAGAACTTAAGGGCCTTCAAGCACTTCACGTTGTTCTAAATTTACTCGTCTTTCATATTACATTCGATTGTTGACCCTAACCACGCCCTCACAGCCCCACAGCCTTCAATAACTTATCGAACCGCGGAGTCCCAAATCCGGTCACTGGATCCCAGCCTTCAGCAGCAGAAAATCCCGTCATGTTACATCCAAGCGCACTTCCACTAGTAACATCCACAAATGCAGCCTTGCCTTTCTTGTACAACCACGGGTTCAAGAATCCCAAGCTAGGCTTCCCTCGCGCAATGAGCGCATCGTTCAGCAGCGCAAAGATTCCCGCAGCCGTAGGCGTCGCGGCACTTGTACCATCCACGCGTCTCAAAGTCCCGTTCCAGATGATGGTATAGTTAACGCCATACACGGACAAATCAGGGTACGCTCTCCCACTCTTGTTGTACAAGCCCGAAAACTCATCGCCGAGGGTGTGCAGGTAGGAAGCCACGGCTTTGGACTGCCACGCTGGCTGGGGAAAGTAATTCGAGAAGCCGCCGCCAGTGGAGAATTGGTTCCTCGGATCGTAGGCCGCGACTTCCGGGTTGAAGCCTACGGTTGCTCCGATCGAAGTTACGTACGGACAGCTTGATGGGAAGAGAGGGATGAAGCGAGTGCTGTTGTCGACGTTGGACTTGCAGGATCCTCCAGGCTGAACACCGCCTACACCGCCGTCGCCGCTGCCGAAAAGGATGGAAACGCCACGAGCGCTGAGTTGCGCAAATTGTGAACAGACGACTTTAGCGTAGGAGAATGGAACTGTTTGTTCGTTGTCTTCGTAGGAGTTGGAGATGACTTGGGGCACGAAGGGCTGGCGCAGGACGTAGTTCACCCACGTGAGGTACGGTTCGTTGTCCACTTCTGGATTATCTGCGTCAGGGGTGAAGGGAGGCGGGTTGCCGCCGGTGGACCATGCGAGGAGTGGAGTCGGCCATGACACGCCTAGGATGGTCTGAACATCGAGAGCGCCTTCGACACCGGTGCGGGCTGCAAGCTGCTCGGGTGTATTGGGTGTTTGCTGTATGGTTCCATTGGCAATAGAGATCTGCTTGAAGGTGTAGGCGCCGGAGATAGCTTCGGGGCGGTAGTTCTTCAGGTAGATGGCGGCATCTGAACGGTTGTTCAGTTCGCCGAGGTAGTTCGCCAGTCCGATTTGGTTGCGGCCAGCTGCTTTAGGCTTGTAGTCTACTGTGCCGTAGAGAGTTCTCAGACAAAGTGGTGTCACACCGGCCGTATCGCACACTTTCTCTACGGTGGGCTTGTCGCCATACGATGCCTGTACTGTGGGAACTTCTGCTTTTCCAGGGACAGACAAGTATGTCTTTGCCTGCGGCACAGTGCGGATGAAAGCCGTAGTCGGCTGTACAGCCGAGATATGCTCGTGCAAATGCAGCGGGAGGCTCCACTCGGGTGTTCTCACCAATTTCGAACCATCCTCGTGCTGATAGACGGAGTAGTTGGTCTGGAGCATCTCTTCAATTTGGGCAATTGACAGCGTGAAAGACAAGAAGTCGCCAGCTGGACTGGCCTCAATGTGTTCCGGTGAAACATGTTCGTGCAGCCATTCGCGAACAAGATCGGTCGACTCATCCGTCGGCTTGACCAGCTCGTTGACTTCAGCAAGGCTCAGGTGTTTACCGTAGCGAGCATTATCAGGATCAGAGACTGGGGTTGTCAGCTCTGCTTCGTTGTTGATGAGAACCTGAACTCACTTTCCCACAGATGCTCCTCCAATACCTCGAATTGACCTTGCTTTACGGCAACTTGCAGACGCATCATATGATGGCCTGGTGCGTCTCCAACACGAGAGAACTCCGAGGGAACAGCATGGCTCTCCTTGACCACATAACGGCGACTCAGGGTAGGCTTTGCAGATGACAAGCCCAGCAGAATCGCCGAAAAGATGATTGAGCCTCGCATCTTGTCTCGTCTCGGAAAGTTGGCAGACAAGCGACGTGGTCTGTCGAACGAGCTGAGAAGACGTGAACCAACGAAGCAATACCAAGCACCGGGGTCAGATCTTATATGCTGCAAGCAATTACAAGCGGGGATGTTATTGATCGCTACCGTGCACGTACCTGGCAAACGGTGCATCTTAGCCTTGTTAGGAAGCTCTGTTAATCTATCGTCCTGACGCTAGGCTGAGAAAGTTAGGTGCGCAACATCGACCGGCAGGCGATCCTGCATGGGGCCGTCGTTGCATGCGATATCACGGCCATGATGGCGTCAGTAACCATTTCGTGTACAGGATTTGGATAGCATTCATGAGTGCAGGGTCTATGTAGTTCTCGAGGCGTGGCGGGACTTATGCCTGCGGCTGGAGTGTCTGAACACCGTGAATTCCAGATGGTCTTCTTATTATCGCCTCGCTATAATTGGAAAGCGCTTCGTAATGAAGCCTCTCTGTGACTGCTCAGGCTAGAATAGGACGCTATACCCGAAATCTCCAACTACGAGGGGCAAATGGAGCGTGGTCAGAATGGAAATATATGTACACTTCTTCCTTTGGGGTTAGAAAAATATGAGCGTTGGGTCAGCGGCACACCAAGGCAAAAGGTCTACATCATGATCATACATAAGGTATTTCCAGTTCTTCGGACGGATTAATGAAACAGCTGTATTTGAAAGAGTATTTACAATGTCTTGATGCCTGATAACTTCAATATATACAAAGAACTACTTACAACAATCTCTGCACTCAAGACATCCAAGGATTCTCTGCCAGCAACCGATCACTGATCCTTCTCAATTCAACACAACATTCTGGCTCAGCGCTCCCTTCCCATTCACACCCGACATGACCAGGAGATGGCTCTGATCCAGCAGCGACATACCCGACCAGTTCGACTGATCCGCAAATACAGTGAACTTATTGCCCCATGTATTCCCTCCATCCGTGCTCGTCATGATCTTCGTAGCACAATTTGCGTACCCAGTCGTTGATTCGCGATCCTCATCCGTCAAAAAGCTCACCACCAACGTGCCCCAAACATTCCACACCTGCGGCGCGCCAGCAGCCTTACCACTCGGCGGCGTGAACACGCGCTGCCTGTTTCCCCACGTCTTACCATCATCGTTCGAAGTCACGCTGGACACGACAAAGCGATTTTCTTCACCTTCGGTGGTCTCGAATACAGCGATGAGCGCGCCGTCGTTGTCGATGGGCGCAACGCCCAACATGCCATCTCGCGCGTTGATGTCCGCGCCTGAAATCGTCTTTGGGCCACTCCACGTTTTGCCACCATCGGTGCTCGTCCGCATGATACTATCCTGATCACCGGCGCTGTTCTCCGCAGAGTAGAAAATCTGCAACGTCGTTCCGTCGTGCGCGTATCGGATGAATGGTTCCCAGAGGCCATTGACGCCCGACGGCGTGCGCTCGTCCACGGTGGTCAGATACTCGAAATTCACGCCCTCATCGTCAGAGTAGGATATGCTGATGCGGAAGAACGTGTAGGTTCCGTCTGTTTTGCGATCGTGGTTGCGGTACGCATAGAGCACGCGTCCATTGTTGAGCACGAAGGGGAACCCGTTGTTCATATCGTGAGTGGCACGAGGGCCGCGGAAGACTTCACCCAAAGAAGACCATGAACTACCGGCGTCCGTGGATTTCACTGTCTTCAAAACGAGCTCGGGATTGTCACCGGGGGTCGTCAAGGTGAATGCGCCGATCATGGTGCCGTTCGGGAACTTGTTTGTTGCGCGCGGGTACTCAGAGCTCCCGGAGTCCATGACGGCGGGTGCGCCATTGTTTGCTGGTACGCTGCCAGTGCGTGCAGACAGATGCAGTGGTGTTGCGAGCGCCGTTGAGGCGAAGGCAACAAGATGTCGTAGAAGCATGTTGTTTCGTGTACGCGATGTTCAAGATCCACTTGCTGATGTGTTTTGGAGATGGAAATGGCAATAAATAATGGGGACGATGAAACCGAACATCCTGCCTCGCTCTTGCTATATACTATGCCATCGGACAACCAATTCCACTCTGATTTTGCCAACGTTGTTCGCCTGGTGTAGATCCTACAAGTCCCTCCCTAAATAGACAGTGGGCGCTCGCTTCTCGCATATTTGCCGGCCTGGTGCCGGTGCTCATGCTATGAAACAGAACAACGGGCACCCAAAGAGAGGTAGTCATGCGACGAAACCCAGTAGCACTGAGGCGGAGTTGGCGTTGGGGGCTAGGAGCATTGTGGCGGAGATGCGCACCGTTTCACGATCGGCGGCGCCATGGGGAATACCTTGTTTTTAGCGCAGACTTTAAGTCAATCAGGTCGGGTTCAGCTCGAAAGCCGTGGAGTCTTCTCCTTGCAGAAAATTGTCGAGGTTCGTAGATGTGGCGAGGAAACTCGCGAAGAAGTCGTGATGTTTAGTTATCGTCTCGCACGACACTTGAGTGTGACGCTCAATAGGATCAGAGTCGCGCTTTTTGCGCTAACGCTGGTTTAGGAACACCCCACACCGCCCTTATTCGCGACGCCCTAAGAAGACGAAAAACTCCGCCAAGTCTACAAAGGAAGATAATACTCTAATTTACACTTGGTCACAAATGATAGCAAAGTTACAAAAACGTAGACAACATCGTCATCTCCAGAGTTCATCGTTGTGGCTTCAGAATGGCTACCCACAAAGACCCTTTCCGTAGCGCTCGTCTCTTCTGTACGTGACCTCCACTCCTCGAATTCCACTATGGTAGATGAGAAAAAGGTCTTCAGTAGACGAAGAGGTCAATGTTACGTTGACATGCATTTGCGACCACTCCATTTCGCTCACCAGCACTAACGTAATTATTCGTCGTTATAGATCGCGCCGTCCGCGGCGCCGAGGACGATGCCTTCTTCGCTCAGATAAATGACGATCGTATCGGATACATGAACAGCAATGCCAGCAACAACCGCCTCCCTGGACCTAGCGATGCAGAACGTTTCCGAAAATCCATGGATGATAACCTGCTTGCAGCTGTATATGCCCCTAAGTCTCCCAATCTATGGAAGTGTCCTACCAAGCTCATCGTTGCTCTTTCTTTTCCTCATTCACCCCGCGTCTTCTTTGCTCCTGATTCGTATATGAAGGCCCCCATGTTATCCTTTCGCTGCTTTCCCTACTCAAAAGCTACAGTGCCGTTATTTCATGTACTCCACACCTACAATGCCATCATTTCATACACTCCACTTTGCATTCCACAAGGCTAACACCCAAACAGATAATCTGCCTCCCAGAAACCAAACGTAAGCCAAACCACCACAACACCACGTGTCTTGCCACTGACAAACCCCCAGCCGACGGCACACCTCTACCTCCCCAAAGCCGGCACCCCCATCGGCCAAGTCCACCTCAACGGTTGCCCCCGCGCTTCATGCACCACCGCAACACCGAAATCGGCATCGACATCCTCCTCGTATCAAGGCCTTGGCTACGGCTCCGAAGCCATCCGGTGGGTCCTCGACTACGCGTTCAAGCGGGCAGGCTTGCACAAGGTGCGGATACGCGCTTTCGAGTGGAACGAGGGCGCGTGCAAGCTGCTACGCCAGGCTGGGGTTTGTGGAGGAGGGCAGAGAGAGGGAGGCGTTGTGGCATGAGGGGCGGTTTTGGGATAGTGTAGAGTTTGGGATGGTGGATCGGGAGTGGTGGGCGCTGGTGGAGGGGAGAGGGGGGAGAGAGAGAGGAGGCGGAGGTGGAGAGTAGGAAGATGATATAGAATAGAATGTAAGTAGGAGGATGGAGCCACCGTCCTCCGCTTAGTGGAAGTAGTCGGATATTCAAGAGTCTACTGTGTCTTTGGAAACGGATCGCCGTCCGTCCCTACAGATGCCGCCTCTTGACGTTTGACCCGTCTGTAGTGCAGAGGAAAACCAAATTGGAGGCTTGTGGCTCAGACACCAACCTCCTCCCTCGCCGCCAGCTTCATCGTAGAATTCGAAGTCCCCCTCTTCGCAGCTGTGTCGTACAGCGCCTGGATATCTGCCTTCCACTGCTCCTTATCCATACGGTTCACTCGTCGATCATACGTCAACATGCCGTTGACTTCGCCCTCAACATCCGTCGTCTGCGTCCACACCGCGCCCGAGCACGCATACTCTTGGATCTGGAACTTCAGCTCCTGGAAGATCATGTGCGCGCGAAGGTTCCAGATTTCTTGGGTGGCATCGAGTTCGTAGGTGTTGTTTACGTGATTGATGGAGTTTTCAACTTTCCAGGCGCTGGGACGGGGATCAGTGATATGGACGAATAGTTTGGAGAAGGACTTACTGTTCCTCGGAGATGTTTTGACCGATGCCACCAAACTCGCCCTGAATGGCGATGCGATCATCCGTCTCTGGGTTGTAAGGTGAAGAATCAAGCGAGTACCAGGGTGTTCCGCACTGTGGAGATGAGTAGTGGTGGTTGTCCTGCCATATGTTAGTATTTATTACGAAACATAATCATGATTTGACCCACATGGAAGTCACCCGCACCATGATCGTGCCAGCCAGTCACAGAATCAATAAGACGAGTGGGATCGATTTTGCGGACAACATCAGTGAGTATGGCGTCGATGCTCGTGTTGCGCACGCCATCATAGCCCTCCCATGGCTGGCCCCAACCTTCATTATAGATGATCTAGACATATGTTAGTTACGCAATCCAATGACCACTATCAATGAAGGCGCCTTACCCATATCACGATGCTTGGATAGCTCTTGAGTTGATTGACCAAAACTTCGAGCTGCCTATTGAACTCTTTCTGGACATGGTCTGGATCAAGAGAAGGCGTGAGAGATACCACCGGACACTTCTTTGGGGTGTCGTCGAGGTAAACCAAGGATGTGGCAAGGGCTGGCATGTCCTGAATGAGCAAGAGACCAAGCTGATCGGCTGCCTGGTAGAAGAGCGCAGGTTCAACCTTGATCTATACATAGAGTCAGTTGTTGCCCTGAATGATATCGAGAGTTGACTTACATGCTTCCGCACCATGTTGTAGCCTACTTCCTTCAAGGCCTTCAAATCGTATACCATCGCTTCAAGACTTGGTGGCGAGTGCAGACCGTCCGGCCAATACCTGATATACGTTAGTTGGTGAAGGTCGCTTAGATTCGAATTTAGCATACCCTTGGTCAAGAGTGCCAAACATGAAGACGAACTCGCCGTTGAGCAGAGGCCTCTGGACACCATTGACAACGCCTTTTGAAATGGTCCTGAACCCAGTATAACTTTGGACACTGTCGCTTCCCAGCTTGACTGTAATATTATACAGTGTAGGACTATCAGGTGACCAAAGCTCAGGCGAGTCCACAACAAAGGAGTGAGCCTGATTGACAGGTACCTTGGTCTGGAACTTGACGCTGTTCGAGTTGGGCTCATAAATAATGAAGTCGGCAGTTCCAGTCGCATTGGATTTAGTATGAACCGTTACGTCGACTAATTAGAATTAGTAGGTCCTGTCCAGAGGATGGAGGTAATATTACCTTTGCTGTCAGCGCCAGCGTTGATATCGAGTTTGTCGATGCTAATAGCTGGGGCAGACTCGAGCCATACGGTTTGCCAGATACCACTGCACGGAGTGTAGAAAATATGCTCTGGAATCAATTTCTGTTTACCGAGCGGAATGTTGTTGGGGGCAAGGTTGGTGGGGTCGAATACGAAAACAACACTGGAAATTGTTAGTAGAGCGCAAATGAAGAATTTAGGTATAACGTACAGCTCGTTGGTACTGTTCTTGTTGAGATGATCTGTGATATCCGTGTTAAAAGACCAGTAACCACCAACATTGTGTGCGACCTGCTGCTCGTTGACAAAAACAGTTGCCTCATAATCAACCGCTCCGAAGTTGAGCAAGACCCGGTCCGTCCAAGATGATGGCACATCGAAGGTTGTTCGGTACCAGCTATGGATGGTGAAATTGCCCATGACACCTATATGGGCGTTAGTGATGATTTGACTTAAAGGAAACTTTACTCACCCGACAATGCGGACTCGAGGCAAAATGGAACCAGGACAGGGTTTTCGAGGTCCTGTCGGAAGGGAGGGTTTTCCAACTCAGTAGCACCGCCAGTGGCGTTACGGTATTGCCATACGCCGTTAAGATTCTGCCAGTCGGAACGCGCCATCTGCGGCCTTGGATACTCAGGCCAAGGATTTGTGCCCACCTTCTCGGTCCACGGTGTATCCAGCGGACCCTGCTTTAGGACATAACCGTTCGTCGAGATTGTCGGATGACCTTGTCCGAGGACAGTCGACACGAACAAAGCAATGACTCCTTTTGAAGGAAGCATCTTGTCCAGACACTGGCAAACTAGGTCCTCGAAGAAGCCGATGAATTGAGATAGGGGATAGGAAATGATCAATGGGCGCATGGGAATGGCCTTATATCTTAAGACAAGCCGCTAGTAGGGGCTTAGCATACAGTCAAGGTGAATTGGAAAGGTTCAGAAAGCGTTTGACAGGGTCAGCTGCAGGAGGGGCGCTGTGTATGCTGCACGTTTTTAGGCCGGGGCTAGTCCCGGTGACTGCATGCGTTTGTCGATCACATTAGCAGGCCGACTCTTGAACTGGAATAAGGCGGCCTTAGAGAGAGATATCGATCCAAAGGACTAAACGAAGTCGAGTCTATTCTCGAAGTGGTCATCCAAAACGTGACCCTTCAATGGTACAGCAAACAGTCATTGTGAAGAAAGGTGGTGGCACAGTTCAAGGAAGAGGTTCAAATCACAGCTCCGCGGCTCGGTAGCGCAGCAGCGGCGTGGCTGCAGGTTTATTCTAGCAGCGACCAGCCATGGGCCGGGATTACCGAATCCATAACGGAATCATGAAGGGTGGATCATTGCCGCGACGCGAGTGCATAGCGTCTTGGCGAGGCGGGCTTCTCCAGTTTTTGAGGACTTCCCCGCACCATTTATTGGGGTGGTTAATTCCCCGAGCTGGAAGTCTGGTCCGATACTTTGATGGCTCCTCCTGTCAGCACTTGACAAGATGCAGAAATGTGGTGCGATGTCGGATTCATGTAAGGAAGTGTTATACCCTGGACACCCCACTGAGCATATATGTCGTGGCGCGCGCACCTCACTCCGAGGGACAACCTTTTTGTCATTGCTTAACACAAGCAAACGGCACAGTAAAGGCAGGATTATGTGCCGATTAGATCAGCGATTTTCCCCCGGCAGCAGTCAGTGGCTCTGCCGTGTCTCCAAGAGCTTCGAGCTGATTGAATGCGCCCCTGCAATGGCACGCTGTACATTGGTGACGTGTGCGCTGGCAAGATCAGGCGCGCCGAAAGATGCAGGAACTCGCGAGCGGACCAGCCAGGAACGACAGGCGGGCGGATGGCTGGGGATGACGCTGCGTGGAAGCAGGAACGTGAGGGCTTGAGTAGACATCCGGATGCAGCCATGGAGACCCCGCAGAACTCTAGGACAGAACGAGGCTCGCTTCAGTCACGTGCGTCAGCTCTTCACCCCGGCACCTTCTACATCAGGAAAGAAGCTTAGGCCATGGTCTGTAGATCAGAAGGTACATTAATTATCGTACGTCATTCCATATTCCCTCCAGCTACAACCGCAATCGTGAAGTTGGCAATGCTGTAGTACGCCCTTGAGGAGTACAGCACAAAAATGCGCGAGCTTGTGCGTCGTGCTACAGAACTCTTCGAAACTTCTCCGCATAGGTGTCTTAACCCTGTGCCTGTCGTTTGACCTCTCCCGCGGTGTTACTCGTTCGCATGCCGTAGAGCTTGAACAACGAAGCTCTGCGCATTGAATGGAACCTTGCTCTTCTAGTTGATCGCAAGTTTCGGAACAAACAGCCTTTAGACTTCCGCGAGTCATTCTGCGCCCTCTTCCGTCCGGGTTTCGATGTCTAGCTCCGCTGACGGGCCGCTCGTCGGATCCAGGTAGCGGATGGCATACCCTTTGGAGTATAACCTAGACTACACCGCCCACCAGGATTCAAATGTAAGCTACCCCATATACCAACAGCACGACGCTAAGGAAGCAGCAAACGCGGCTTCCATCGACTTGGCTGCACCACTGCACTTGATGGGCTCGGAGATCGGTCTGAGTCCGGTGTGATTGGTGTTTTGAAAGATCGAGGCGAGACGGGTGAAAGAGGCGAAAGGGGCGGTGATGTCTCATATCTCGTATCGACGGGTGATGGCAGCGGTGATGCCTCGAATCTTGCACTGACAGGTGATGCTGTGTTGACTGGCGATGGTACCGGCTTCTTGGAAAACGATGTCCACGTCTCGTCGTCATCAACCTCTGAAATTCCCGAAAGCGTTGACCGTTCGGAGTAAGAGTTGAGTATAGAAGACATGCGTGAAGAGGACGTCGACTCTCGAATGGTATCAGCGTCCGAAGACGCTGATGAGATAGAGGAGCCAGAGATCGACGAAGCGCGATTAGAATTTGTCCACCCTCCATCTGAGACCGACCTTGAGGATGCCGCAGGACGGGTTTCATGCTTATGCGCACCACAGTGTATGTCGGGCATGGTAGTGTACTCAAGCAGGATGTCCGTAAGTTGTGAGTGGACCGCTCTCGCGCTTGGGCGCATGTGCGCATTCCTGCTCAGCATGGTCCGGACAAGTATTAGAATGTGCGGTATTGCTACAAACTCCTCGTGTTCATTTGCTGACGCTGAGTCTTCTAGGATCCTCATCCACGACTCGATCTTGTCCATATTGGCATGATACGATGAATCTGTCCGCGAATTCTTGCCCCCGTTGTTCACCTTCTCTTTCTGCTTGGTTGACCTGTGTTTGACAAAGTCATTAGGCTTCTTTTTGAGCATGAACGTTACCATCTCAACGAAAACGCAACCAAGCGAAAACACGTCTGCCTGCTCAGTTTCATGGACGCGCGACCTCTGACGCTGTTGTACAGGTTGCTTGGACATCCTTCTGAAGCCAAAGTTGAAACCGGAGAACTCATTCGTTGGGGACTTTGTCAACTTCTGGCGCGAACCGCTACTATTTGATGAGCCCGATGAGCTCTTGCTTGCAATGGAGGGTTTTCGCCGCGTACCAACGATAGGCGGAGGGGCTACGGCATCGGGTTCGATCGAAGCGGCCGCATTCTGTGTCTCTGCTGCCCCATATATGTACGCGTCCATTGGATCCGGCTTCTTGTCTCTTGTGAAGGTGGATAAACTTGCGATATCGCTAAATGCTATCTTGTTGTGCTCGTCTATGATGATATTCGAGGGGCGAATAGCAGAATGGCAATAGCCATTGCGGTGTAGCGTTGCGACGGCATCCGAAAGACAAAGCATCCAATTGAGAACCAGCTGTCTTCGCTCCGGTTTGGCAAGCCTTTTATATTGTGGGGGTTCTCGGTGGTCGATGAAAGTCTTGAGTGTATGTTGACCTACGAAGTTGGTCAAAGTATAACCGAACCCTTTTGAGGTGTAGGATGCCCAAACCGGGGCAATATGTTCATGCTCAACCATCTGCGCGCTTTCGACGTCCATGATGTAGTCTTCTTCGAATGCAAATGTAGACTCTGCGTTACCCAATGCAAATTTTCTCCTGACGTACACTTCGTGGGGCTTCTTGGGTAAATGCACTCGCGACCATGGCTGGAGGGCAACGGCGGGGGGCAGTCCCATGACGAACTCCAAGGGTATCTGCTCGTTGGACGCATAATCGACGTGTACGCCTGGACCGAGCACTCGCAGTAAGAAGGAGAACTGGGTCTGATAGAAGCGAACATTGGCTTGATCGTCGCGTCTGTTGGTCAAGGCGAGCTGTTCGATATCTTCCATGGACAGGGGGAGGTCGTCGTCATCCCAGCTCTTTTCGACGACAGCGAATATGCGATCCGCCTCGCCGATCTCGACTAGTATAAGGAACAACCGGCGGGCCTTTTCCAGGATCCATTCTAGGTAGGTGTCGTCTGTGAGATCGCCAAAGCCCACAGGTCTGCTGAGCCATTCTCTTTCCTTGGGCTGCAATCTTGAATTCACATAGTCCTCATCCACCTTCTCGTCGATTCTTTCCTCGGTCCACCATATCTGTTGCAGGGCATACTGCGGGGTAACGAGCGAATGGCCACCGTAGCCGTAGATCAAAGCATTGAGTGCAACAGTCTGATCATTGACCACATTGTTCAGCGTTCGCGCTGTCATGGTCACGTCTCGATGTTTCGGCGCGCGCTATCCGCGATGGGGCGAGCTGGTGTTCCTCGTCGCTGGCGTGAAGTGGTGCTCATGTCGGGTTGTGGGGTGAAGGTGGAATGACAGCACGAGGGACAGCAGTAGTGTTAAGGGTCAGTGCTGGCCATGTGAGCCGTACAAGGCACCCTGTAGCACCGTCCGCCCCGGAGGCGTTGGTAGTGGCGAGCGGCATGGCAGTGAAAGAGGGCATGCTCCGGCTTCGCGGTATCTTAGCGCCAAGTGACCAATTAGCGGCGGCAGTCGCGAAGGGTTCCAGCATGCCTGTGCCCGAGGACACACGGGAGCCGCTCATGTGAATTGAACCGGGGCTCCAGGACGGTCCAGGGGGTGGTCGTCAGCCCACAACCGCGACTTTTCGAATTGGCGCTGCAGATGCACGCCTAGGGCGATGCGGAAAGGCGGTTCCCCGCCTCTCGGTCCAGTGCATGTCAGCAAGCGGCCTGAGGTAGGTATGTCTGCCTGAAGCGTGGCGGCTACAGTGTGATATCAAGACGTCTTATGTGCGTCCAGACTCCCGAATGCCCTCGCCGTGTTACACAGCAGCAGCGCGCCGTCCCACGGGCGAACATCAGCAGAGGGCACACACTCGACGTCGCCGCCGGAGGATTTGGGCACTTGGGCTGGGGCTGAAGCTGCAGAGCAACGCGTCAGGCATCTGCTATCGCGCAATCACGCCCGCATTTCTCCTCGTGGTGAGGGCGGGTCCTTGTCGTGTGCGCTAAAGCCTGCAACCGTGTAGCGACGAGATAGGGAGGCGACGCGCTTTTTGCCGCACTTTTGTACAATCACGGTAATCGGCCTCAGCCCAGACCTGAGGCTACACTATCACGAACCCAACGTACGGCACGTCTAATCTCGCACAACGTCTGCGCATCGTGGCACGCTTCGGACGGCGTCTGGACGTCTCGATCCGCCAGCGCGCTGGTCCCGTTGTGCGTGTCGTCGCCGCCATGGTGCCCTCCACGACGCCGAGGACGAGGGGGAACGTGAAGGTCGCATGGCAGCAACGGGTCGTGTGCTGTGCTGTGCTGAAAGTGGGCGGGCACGGACCCCGTCTTCTGGCGAAATGCCCCGGCCCGTCTCAACGCGCTCGGCCTAACGCGCAACGGCCCAGCGTGGTCGCTACCGTGAGTGCCCTCGCGACCTGGCTCCGCAAGAGGCAGGTGTCCACACTCGGATCGTCTGGAGCGAGACACGACGGTTCATGCACCCTATGACGACGGAAGATGCATGTCCAGAATGTTCGAGATGCAGAGCTGCTGCGGGTGGATTCTGGGGTCGTTCACGGGGTCCCAGAGTGAATGGGCCTCCTCAGGGTCCTACCTGTACCCATGGCGCTGGGCATCGGTAGCGATGGATCTGCGACTCGTCGTTTGCAAGGATCATGGACAACTTCACCGTCTCGACGCGCTTCACGATAAGAGAAAAGTGGTCCTCTGCTATCCACGTTGAAGGGTCCTTTTGGATATTCTCGGCGCTCCGATACAACCCCTCCACGCCATCGGCATCCGACATGCGTTCCTCCCACGCACCACCTTGCTCCGACATCCCTACTACCGACCCTTCCGCCCTGTCTGCAGCACTGACGAGATGCATCGTTGGCGGAGAACACCACAGACAGACCTTCCTCCGACACCCGCAGCCTTGTACAAGGTCCACCACATGCAATCCTACCTCTTGCTCCCACACCCCACGCAGCTCCTCTATCGTGTCCACGCCACTAACGCACCATGCTCGAGCCACGTTGCTCGTGCATCCGCGCTGCCGTCCAGGTTTCTTCACACCTTCCCTGAGACAACGAGCACTATATCCTTATCTGCAGCGTTATCCCTCGTCACATCCCCAACATCCTCCCCATTCGGCCACTCGATAGTCCCCGCACCCTGACTCGTCACCTTGACATCCTGGCCCTTGAATGGCGCGCCGTTGACAGCATCGAGATTGTACCTATCGCCCGTCAACACCCACAAATACCCATACCTTGCCATGCATTGCCATAGACAACCAAAGAGGAAGCTCAAGAGCCGGGAATAACCGAGAGGTCAAGGGGAGACGTACCACACCCTGTCTCCCGCGAGAGTGTAGCCTAGGATCTGCAGAGGCGCGCTGTTGTACAGGCCTTCGATGTCTGTGGAGATTTTGATCGCGACCCCCGTCGTGCTGCTGCTGTTGCCGAAGCGCCCGACGTGGAGAGGCTCGGCCCAGGCACCACCTGTGAACCATCAGCAAGACTTCATGCATGTGCCTTCATCGTCTGAAATCGAGGTACGTACCTGCTACCACTGTGATGCGGTTCCCAATCGGAGCACCCGTCGCATCAGGAACGACCCAGAGGTAGAACAGGTCTGGACTCGTGTTGACGACGATGCTGGAACCTGTTGCGGCGACGGCCGAGATCATGGCCAAGATGGGCGTTAGAAGGCGCATGGTAACAAGACTGTGCTTGAGCGAAAGACTACAGTCGGTGATGGGTAGCCCGTGTTGAGAAATCGGGTAGGTTTTATGTTGTGAACTACCGTACCGTCATCTCCTTGCACGTTTCGAAACAACGATACACAAGTGTTCAAGTCTCCCTAGAGGGCAACTTCGTCTTGCTCCTTGCCGGGTGAATGCACCATGTTGCGCAGGGAGGCTGATGGTGCCACAGTACCTGGCGTGGGAGTAACAATGGCAACCCGCAGAGAGGGCCATTCGTCAAAGGCAGGCTTAGCCGTAATTCGATGGCGTTTCAGATACTATTTGCTGATATACGGACTGGCTTGCGATTTACGTTTGATGCTCGGCTCAAGAAACATTTAGCCAGTTTGAGTAACCTCATCTATCGACTCCCAACACCATGTATAACACAACGTTAGCCTGGGTTGACACTGAATTTGGGACACCACAGAAAGCCCTTTGGAAGTTGTCAGACACAGGCCTACCCGAAAATATCTGTTTGTGCGCCGTTCTTCCACCCGCACTTCTCATTGTACCCGGGGCTAACACCGTCCGCCGTCTCGATGTTGTTTCCATCCTGCTGGTGCCAGGCAATCATCTGCTTAGCACCCTTCACACACTTCGATATGTCGTCGGCGCAGTACACAGGCGCCTGGGCTTTCGCAACAGGTGTTGTGGATTTTGCGTTCGTGACCTTGCACTTGTACGGCTGCATGTACCTATTTGATATCAGCATGTGCCACATCATGACCATAGGTCAAAGGAGAATTGGAAAGCAAGGGCTCCTTACATGTTGGGTTGTCCGCAGCCGTCAGGTACCCAGAGCCACGCGCAGTGGCAACCCTCCTCAGGACACGCCGGTAGATCCGGAACCTGATACGTTGCCAGCCTCTTCCACGGTGTATGCTGAAGCGTGCTGAACACCACCAAATTGTCCATCGTCACTTTCGTCATGTCACTCTCATAGCTGATTGCCCACGCCGTCCCTGCCGCATTCGTCTCGTTGTACGTATGCATCGCGCCATCCTCGAGGCACGCACTTCCCGGTCCCTCCCAGGAGTTCCAGTCATCGGGATGGTCCTGGCCATCCGGCCAGTTAGAAGCACCGTTGCCGTTGTCGGTAAGCGTGGTCTGGCCGCGGTTGTGGGCCAGCTCGACGGTGAATTCGCCGTTGGCCGGGAGCTCGAGAAACTCGCCTGCGGGAGGAGCTGCGAGATCACAGCCGCGGTCGTGTTGGAACCACCACTGATCTTTGGGGAGGTCCCAGAGGGGGTTGACGGCCGTGTTGGTATTTGGGTCATCATGGTTCGGGTCAGGTCCGCCTTTACAGTACATGCCCTTGGCCCATGCGGCTGTGTGCGCGGAGACAAGGCTCGTGAAGGTTGCGGTGAAGAGGGTTGCGCGAAGCATTGTGAGTATGTTCCGGAAAGCCTATGAAGATGCGATAAGGGGAAGTGACTAGACGAGGGAGGGAAAAGCAAAGAAAGAGGTTCGAGGGTCAAGGTGTACGACTGATAACTAAGGGGCAGCATGAAGATACCTTGTTGTTCATATACTAACTTTTCGTGATCTGCATCAGCAATTTTGTGCAGTCAAGCCCCTGCTTCAACAGCGAAGCCTTAAGCACTATTGATCAGCCATAATGAAACGCCAGAGCTATTGCATTTCAGACGATTGCTAAGTCGGATATACTCATGAGTGGTGTTGCTGGACGGAGTTGGTAAAGAAGTGGATGTAAAAGGCCGGGACTAAGCTACATAAGGCGATGAATAAGCTGGAACACCGAAGCCAGTGTAGTCGACGTCTCGGGGAGATGAAATGCTGATGGTCCTGGTGATCGGAGCCGGTTCATGGCTGCAGTCAGTAGCTGAAGCAGGCGTGCACTGGTCGCGAGGAGGTAAGTTGATGGCGGCTCGTTTGTAGTACCACATTTAGGATCTTGACCATACTCAGTCAATGCAAAGCGCTGTTTACTGTTCGTATTCTAAGTCTTGCGGAAGTTACGAGGTTGCAGTACGAGTAGCTATCAGGTAAGTTGTGTGAATCTTTCGCTAATGGCATGAGGTGCTGGCCGATCACGCTGAAACTGAAGCTTAGGACCTCCTGCGCCAGCATCTCACATCATCAAGGTCCAGTCGTGGCGAAACTCTTTGATGAGCACCATCAAAGTGCGAGAAATGAAAGAGTCGTTCAACCATCAGGGTCGAAGGAACAATGTGCAGGCACGGCCAAGGGCTGGCTAAGAATAGCGCGTTGCGGGGACGGCTGTCATTCCGTCCGCGGGAGGCGGCGGCGACCCACGAATGGCAACGCCTAGATCGGCGACCCTCACCAACAGTCTTCAATCCACAATGTCAATGCCCAAACGCACCCGTCTCGCGTTTGGCACATAGCTCCTTTTTTCAGAACATTACCGAAGCGCCTTCATCCCTTGGCCCACTACAGTATAGGAGGGCACAGCGAACATGGCGTCCCCCATGGTCGAGGGCCGTGTCGATCCTCACAGGAAAGCCCACTTTACACTGCATATCAGCGACGCGATCGCAGACGGCGAGGTGGGAGATTACACCAGCGTGAAATGTAACACTTGTCCCATGTCCTTGCCTTCCTCTCGTCTGATATCCCTTGCGACGGATGCCTTGCTGACCCAACCATCTCCAGACAATCACAAGCCCGCCCAGACGACGTCCAAGCGAAGAACCACTCTGATCTCCACGTCTGCGAGCAACTATAGGCTTGCAATCGAAGACGACAAAGCGGGCGATAACAAGGATGTCTTCGTGTTTACTGGACAGAAGACGGTGCCGAAGAAGTCATACATCCTGCTGTTCGACTCGAATACGCAGAAGGCAACCCTAGAGCCACTCGCCTCGACGTACACGTTCAACATAGCCTCCAAGAACGGCTCAGACATCTCATCCACGCACTCCAAGATATACCCCCGCAAGCAAAAAGACGATGCGCCGGACGAGGCGGCGGCAGACGACCTCTTCGGCGGAGACAACGACGATAACGGCGACGGCGACCCAGACTTCAACAACCCGTTCGACTTCCGCCATTTCATGAACGCAGATAACAAGACCGGCAATGATTCAGAATACGCGTTTGCGTCTTCGCCAGACTCTCGCACAGGCACAGGCTCCGCGATGAATACACCCCAAGTCACAGCGCGCAAGCCCGCAGCTGCCTCTTCGAAACCTAAAGCAACACCACAAGTGGCGCCCAAGCTCAAAAAGCGGAAGTCACCAGAGCCAGAGAGCAGAGCACAGAAGAAGGTTCCGCCAAAGAAGTCAGCACCTCCGCCAGCGGTACGCTTGGAGCGCCGTGCAACCGATAACAAGCCTACGCGAAAAACGGCTGCGCCATCATCATCAAAGATCAAATCCGCGGAGATCGTTCATTCATCAGACGAGTCCGACGCCGACGCAGAAGGCGAACCGGACAACGCCTCTTCCCCTCCAGCACATCCTTCCCCTTCCCCTCCTCACCGTCATGCCTCGCCCGAATCAGACGAAGACGAAGAAATGGAAGATGTGGGTATCGAAGAGTCACAGTCATCGCAATCCCGCACCGGTGCGTTGGCTTCGCTTGGCCTAGGCCAGAGCATCGGCCAAGGCTATATCAATTCACCTGCAGGCGGCCCGATATCGCTCGCCAGCGCTGCGAGCAGTGTTCAAGGCTCGCCGGACCCGCCTACTTTTACGCCGCATAAGTCGCGTACAAGACATCAAGTGGACGATGGGGTCATCGACTTCGGGGATCTTGGGGGTGGGGCAAGGAGTGATGATGAAGAGGAAGATGCTGAGGATGATGTCATGCAGGGCGTGGAGGAGGATAGGGACGTAGAGTCGATAAATCTAGGAAGCCCGGTGCAGCAGCAGACCGCTCCTGGCGGTGGCGTTCCGCTGGGAGCGGACGCGGACGCGGAAGAGGAAGAAGAGGATCCACTGCTGAAAGAGATGATGGAGGGACTTGCTGGTGGAGATAGCAGTGAGGAGAGCGAAGAGGAGTAGTAGCAACAGCTTCCTTGTACTGATTGGTGACGCGGAACCATGTTTAGAATACCCCATCGTAGAGTTGCCCTTGTATACAAATAGTCTTGTTCACGTCTTCACAGTCACGCGCGCATGTACAAACAAGACAGCATAATGGGCACGACATGGATGAAAAGACATGGTATTCCAGGAAGGGGCGCCAGCTCAAGAACAACCCGATCTACCAGCACAGGGCTTTCCCTCGTTCCCCAAAGCGTAGAGTCCGAGTATCTTTCCCTCATAAGTGCAAGGCAACGATGTACTTCCGGCAATCCTCGCTCGTCTCCATATATTTGTGATGTTTTTGATTGAAAACTTCTTGGTGTTGTTAGATCCATGACATCCGTTACATTTTCCCACCCGTGCTCCTACTCCGAAACGACAATATCGAGGTATCTATTAAGATAGAAGGGGGTATGGGAGGAGAGACGGTAGGAGGTGCACAGAAGTGCAGCTACCAGTTGGTGGTGGCGCCCTCCGCGGCGGGAGCCTCAGCACCCCAACCCTCGTTGCCAGTCTGAGCAGCGCCGGTGGTGGCAGCCCAGTCAGAGGCATCAGCATCCCAGCTAGCGCCAGCCGGGGCAGCAGCCTGCGAGGTGAAAGCAGCGCCGGCGGTGGCACCGGAGACCTCCCACTCGCTGGTGAAGCCAGCCTCGACAGGGCCAGTGCCGACCTCGTCAGCGCCGGGGACCTTGGCCTCCTCAACGCCGGCGGAGTCCTTGTTCTCCTCGGCCTCAGGGTCGCGGTAGAAGTACAAGTCGGTCATGATATCCCACTCAGTCTCGCGGTTGGCGAGGGTGCCGCGGAGGCGGAGGACCTCACGGGCGAGCATCCACCAGACGAGACCGATGGAGTGACGGCCCTTGTTGTTGGTGGGGATGGCAACATCGACGTACTCGGTGGGGGGAGTCAGTGTCGCAGAGGGCCTGCGAAAGTTAGCATCCATGTTGAGCGCTTCTTGGAGCGGTCCGAACGTACAATGACGGGAATGTTGACGTAGGAAGCCTCCTTGATAGCCTGAGCATCAGTACGGGGGTCGGTGACAATGATCAAGCGCGGCTCGCGGAAAGAGCGGGTGATGTAGTTGGTGAAGTTACCGGGGGTGAAACGACCGGCAATGGCGACAGCACCAGTGTGGGCAGCGAACTTAAGGACGGCACGCTGGCCGTAGGGACGGGCAGATATAACGCAGACTGGTCGTAGTTAGGTATCAGTCCTCAATTCGCACTTTGAGAATTTCTGCTACTCGAGCGGGGCATTGCGAAGTTCTCAAAAGGTCGAGCTACGTACCATCGGCAGGGTTGTCAATGGCGACGATGATGCGAGCAGCGAGCACGATCTTCTCCCAAGTCTTGCCAATGTTGATGACATTGATACCGTCAGGGCGCGTCTTCCATAGGTATGGCTCCATGTGCACCTGGAGGTTCTTGGAACCGAGATGCGCCTGGGCGGCAAGCAGCTGCTCGATATCCTGCGACGTCGGGTTGAAGATGGCGGGAAGGTTGGAGGGGAGCCATCTTGAAGGTTTGGCGGTCGAAGCGGCTGCTGTCGATGTGTTGTTCTGAGATTTAGACGTGACTGAAGAAATTCGTAAGTTCGCGATGTGGTGGAGGATATTCGAGTGGGCGGCCTAGCCTAGTCAGGCAAGGTGAGCGGCGCCGGAGGATCTTCGCTTCCGGGCAAGTTTTGGCAGGAGCAACGATCGAACGGCAGCGGAGAGCATGCGATCAACATAATGCCGCCGCGAATACCCATCGCGACGTGCCTCCGGGCATCAAAGGGTAATGCTCTCTTTTGCATTGCCAAAAGCTCCACTGATTTTCATGTAGCACCCGTCAGTGCGACACAATTCAGGCTTCCTCTCCGCCCCTTCTCCGCAACCGCCGCGCCGAACAAGAAGCATCAGAGCCATGATCCATACATTGTCGCGCAAAAGAACAGAAAGAAAGCTGCCAACCTTTCACGCCGTGCAGATCTAGACGCTGCCCGGGTAGCATCACTAGGTGATCCGGTCCGCGGAAATAGCACGCCTTTTGTCGAGTCCTTCGCCTCAGCCTTGCCCCTCCAAACGGAGGACGGAACGAACATGCCTCAAGGCAAGAGGCATCTCAACTATGCGTTTGATCCGGAGTCTGTGGAAGCCCAGTTGGAGAGCAGCAGGAAGATTGCGGTGCCATTGGACGAGATGAGACCTCAGGCGACAACAAGTCCTGCAGGCCCGCTTGGAATCATTTATGGCAGACAGTCCCCGGAAGCAGTGCCTGTGCTATCTAAGGAACAAATTGAAACCCAGCGCATCAACGATCACGAACGTGCTACCGAGGCCATCAAGCGTATCACTGCCCTCGAGAACTCCAGCTCAAAGGACAGGATGCGTGTCAATATTGCGCGATGCGTCAGCACCTTTGGCCGTCATAACACCGATGTGATCCTCCCGCCCCGCGCGCCGCCGCTACACGCTGTCAACGACAAGGGACCGCACCCTGTCCGCCCGGACACGAACGAAAAGGAAATGGCGAAGCGTATCGGTGCTGATACCGGGTCGTCCGAGGTTCAGATCGCTATCTTAACGGCGAAGATCAAGACCTTGGCAGACTTCCTCCAGACAAGAGGCAAGGGCGACAAGCACAACAAGAGGAATCTGAGGTTGTTGGTGCACAGGCGACAGAAGCTGTTGCAGTATTTGAGGAGAAAAGAGCGGGGAGGACCAAGGTGGCAACACTGCATTGAGACATTAGGATTGACTGAGGGCACCTGGAGGGGCGAGATCAGTCTGTAAGATACCACGTAGGAAGAGGAGGGCCTGTAAATCCTATATATTGTACGAAATACAACAAGAGCATCGAGCATTGCTTTCTACCGCGGTTGCGCTCCTTCACAATGGAATTGTAATTAGAAGGGTTGTTATCAAGACAGTGGTGACACAAAGAGGACTTGCATGAGAGTATGCGCTGCCGCCCTCTAGACCTTTTTGTTGAGTAGAAGCAGCCTCTGACGGTGGATAAGATGTTGTTCCATATGTTGACGTACTTACCAACAACTACACCATACCCTAGTCACCAATCAAACCCTCCTCGTAGTTGAAGCGGCGAGTCATGCCCCTATACTAAGGAACGTAGTATAACGTATGTCAGAAGACAGAATCCAGGATCGTCTTTGACAACGATTTTCGGCCAGCACGTATTCGCCTCCAACCCATCGTTTCTAAGTGGATTCGACGCGTGTCCCCACGATCCAATCGTAAATTCACGTCACCAATTGAAGTCAATAGTGGCAAACGTCCGTTTCACACCGTCTCCATCGACGTGCGTTCGTTTCTTGTTTGCAGGCCCGCCGTTCACACTCTTCACAAAGGCTGCATCGGAGAGGTTTCTAGATTGAAGCATGTTCCCTTCCACATTTGTCCGGCTTTGCGGTTCTCTGTTCTCGGAAGCTAACATACCAGCTGGCCTTGCGCATCCAGCCCGCTGTGCAATAGAGCTGAAAGATTGTGAACCAACGACTCAATCAATGGTTTCAGCAAGATCGAGTCCCTTCCAATCCTCGCGACGCCGGTGCTTGGTATCTGGAGCCATATAGCTGATGTAATCGCCCTCATAGAGCACGATATCAGAGTCTAAACCAATGTTATACATCTGCTGACCATCGCCGTTCTTCATGAGCTGCATCAGCTCTGCATACTCCAGATAACCGCCTTCCTTTGTACAACGCCATGGCGCTGCGTCCGAGTTGGTTATAAAGCCAGTGAACTCACACAGTGGTCCCCAACAACCATCTTTGGTCATATGGAAGGACCCACCGTAACTTGCTTCGCCTACGAAAATTCCGTTGCTAGGAACACCAGGCTTGGTGATCATAAAAAGCGCATTGCGTGTTTCGGTTAAGTCAACATGACTACGGATGCACTACGAATCCCACATTTCGAAACCATTTGGTTTTCCATAGTCCCACTGTCCATAAAGGTCGTGAGTCATGTCATATACATGATATAATCGATCACTTTGGCGATCGGGTCGATCGGAAAAGCTTTCGGGTACCAGTATGGCGCCGGTGCTGCAATAGACACAGACTTGTTGGGGCCCAATTTGCTCTTCACACCGGTAAAGAACTTGAGATAGTTGAGGCCATCGGACTTCTGGTCGATCGGTTGATCACCCACGAAATTATCCGGCGCTCCAGGATACTCCCAATCGATGTCGATCCCATCAAGCCCTTCATCGTTCACAAATTGCGCAGATCGGCCGCGAATGTTTCTCAGTTGTTGACGATTGCAGATCAGATTAATTTACATGCCGCTGCCTCGGTAGAGTATGTCCAACCTCCGAATGACACAATTCTCTTGCCACTCTTCAATGTTCTGAAGTCAGCACACTGATCATGTTCGTCCTTGATGGAAATTTTCCAAGTGCTCGAGTATATCCCCGCGAATGTCCAATCAACGTGAGTGTAACTCCCATCCGTGTTTGACTCATTTGCATTCAACCATAAGCATTGGCGGTCAAGATAGAAAGACACACCGTATCCTATCCGCTGGAAGACTGCCGGAGCTCCACCTGTCTTGTTGATATCGTTGCCATGATTAGAAACACAAGTGTTATTGTAACCTTTCTCTTTCTTTGTGTTCTGTCTGCGCCCATGTCTTCTCTTTGTTCCACTTATCCAAATCGACTTCCCCCACGCCGTACTTCTTTGCCCGCTTATTACAATCGTCACGTGCGACGGTAAGATGCGTTGCACAAGTGCCGTCAAGCCCGGCCTTGGGCACGTCGGGCTATGGATCGTTGTGTGCATTGCCTGCCAAGCAACACACATAGTCCTCTCCTCTGAAGGTGGAGCAGAGGTCTTTTTGGGGTTGTCTTTGTGAAATCCGCACCTAATATGCCGCACCTTTTGGCGAGTTCCGGGCATCCCTCTTCAACGGCGACAGTAATATATCGACATTCTGCACGCTTGTGCAGCAGTACAGCAGCAGAGAAGATCCGCAGAGTTCAACAGAGCTTGACTGTCCTGGAACAGTTAAGGCATGTAGCTGTGACACGTACTGGAGTTGTTGTACGAAGATCTAGTGGCCGTGCCGTTGCTTCCGGCAATCTGCCACAGTCTGGCAGTTTTCCACACGACCCACATAGTCCAATCTCCTAGCCTCATTCCACCTTCCTTAGCTTACGGCAGAAGCAGCTCTCTGAGTACTCACTGGGTCTTCTGCGCTACCGATGAAAATACTGGGGAGGGGGGGTTTGGTGAACGCCCGCTTCCGCACAACAGCGCAACTCTCCTACTAGAAGCGTCAAAAGACCTGATGGTGTCGAGCAATGACGACGCGGTTGCCTTCCCGAAAACATCACTAACGTGAATGCTCGCCGCTGTTTCCTCATGATATGCGAAGACGATATTCTCGTCGCAGACAGTTGTCTTTAGTGCCAAAGAACTTTTGCAGACTCTATAGAGCAAAGGATGTCTGTTATGGTATATGATCTAGCTCAATTCGGTGTTTTTGTATGGAAGCAACCCCATTCATTCCCGTTAGACCACTGGATTTTGACTTTCGCACGCCGACAGTTTCTTGCTAATACGACAAAATGCCGATGCTCGATAAAGTAAATAATTCTTACGAAGCGTGCATCAACGCCGTCCAGAAATACTACCGCTTCCTTAGGAAGGTGTCTCTAAACATTTATTTGAGTTTCTCTCGATTTAATTTGATAAATTTACTATGTTATCACCTTGCTCTCTTTAGAACCCTTGATTTATTAGTTTATTACTGTTTTGTCTTCTACTATAACTATAGTAAGCTATTTAATAACAATCAACTAATTATATGGAAAATATGATAGTATTCAACAAATAATTTCAATGTGTAAATTAAAACCATAGAAGGGTTGCAGAGGAACTCTTACATAACACAATATACAGCCCCCTGGAGGAGGCTGGCCCGACATCACGTTAGGCGCTTTATAGGAACTCGTAAAGACCGAAGAAGTAGTAGCCTTAATGCGCAGTCTGCCCTACCTCATTACCGAATGGGGAGACCAAGACGCCCAAGCCACTCCCTTGGGCCTTTTTGCCAATTGGAATGCCGAAGTCAGTTCTGTCAACGAAGGCAAAGGTAGTATGGAGGACATCAAAGTAGCTAGCTATGGAAGAAGTTCCATATCCTAATAATAGACCAGCCCGCGTAGTTCGTCTCACTTCGACTCAGGATGACTTTGGCAGATTCCTGCTTAACACGGAATTGGGTGTCATCTACCGAATAGAATGCGAAGGCGAGGTTGCTGACAGATCTTTCAGAAGGATGACCAGGGACGACCCGTATGATTACTTTGAAGAAGATGAAGCAGAATGGCGGGCCGAGGGAAAGGCCTGGGAGATCACTGACTTCTTTTAGGTGGTGAAAGAGCAATTTCGGAAGCTGAAGTTTATTCTAATTAACGAGAAGGAAGTCAAGGATGTATACGAGATGTCCGATGAGGGCACGGAGGTGGGGCTGCGTGAGGTCCAGGGCATCGATCGAGAGCACGGATAGCTGGATCTATCTCGTTACTTTAAGCAGGGGTATATGGTCGCCGTGCGCGAGGCAGTTGCGAGGTCAGATCTGAATTTGGGTACGGGCCTTACCGCTCCCCAACGGAAGATTCCCGGTGTAGGACGAAACGCCTATTGGGTGCAGATATAACGTTCTTATTGACATGCAGACTACGCCGTAATATACTCGCCTGGGGAGGTTAACGAGCTGGTGCATGCCTGCCAGGTGCTAGCTATCAAGTCGGATCCCTACTAGATAAACCGCTCATGTGGGGAAACGATGAAGAACAGGTCTCCTACCAAGACATGATAACGCAAAAAGACTTTAGCTTGAAGAAATGGTATATTAAGATCAGAGATTTCTGCAACATAGCCCTACGGTCGGGGTATCGCTATGGGTGGTGCGACACCTGCTGCGTCGACAAGTGTAGTTCGAGTGAGCTAGCCGATCCTATCAACAGTATATACATGTGGTATAGGATGAGCTCGTTGTGCGTCGTGTATCTTGCAGACGCTCCCACCGTTCCACTGGAGTACAGCGAATGGAAAACCACGATCGTTGCTGGACCCTCCAGCAATTAATCGCTCCCGCGGCCGTACCTAGGTATCAATCTGCAACCAAAATTGGGAGTTTGTGGGGGCAAAGCTCGAGTTGCTCAATAGTCTGCCAGAGAAGATTGGGGTGCCCTTAGATGTACTTGGTAACAGAGCTGAACCGTGGGCCTGCCCCGTTGCGCAATGAATGTCACGGGCAGCGCATAGAGTCTCAAAAGGGTGGATGATCGAGCTTGTAGTCTTCTCGGGCTATTTGCAGTTAACATGCAGTTGATATACGGTGAGAGGGAGAAAGCCTTCTTGCGTCTTCAGCAAATTCTTGCCCTAAAGAGCAAAGACGAGCCACTTTTTGCGTGGAGCTTGATCCCCTCTGCACAAAATTCTACTGTGCATCTGAAAGAATTCTTCAGCACATTCGCTTGGTCTCTTTCAGCCTTCAGAAACTACAAGAATACGATTCAAACCCAGGATCCACAGGCTTCACTCAGAATAAAGGAGAGTTAACTATAAATAACGAGTATGTCGATGGACTCCGGGAATATTCGATGCTCTGCTCCATTTTACATATGAAGGCAGACCGGACAGAAAATTCGCGATATCGATTTCGAAGACCTTCGCGCAAAAACCATACATGCGTGTTCGAGTTCTCAAGGATGTGAACCAGGGCTTTAGGAGGGAGGATCCCGGTGATGAGAGGCTGCTTCTATTCGTTATCTAATCGGAAACACCGCCTGTAAACATCGTTCACGGATTTTGGCTTCGCACGCTACAACCGCTAGGGCATAACGTTAGCGACATCTCTATCGTGTCCAACAATACACCTCTTAAGCCTGGATACATCCAACAGATCAGCTTCAACGGTGATCCTGTTATAGTTCGACTACGGCCGAAAGCCACTTCATTACCCTTGCACTGGTCGAGATTTCGCTGGATGAGATCCTGCTTCAAAGCAATCAGCGACCAAGTGGAATGGATTGGGAACGACACCCATACAGAGAAGCTGCAGACATTTTACGATGAAGTACTAAGAAATAGAGCTGTTTGACCACACAGTTCGAGGGAAGGGATTTACATCGTTGTACAAGTCATTTTGGGAGACTTCAGATGGGGAGATAACCAAAGAGTTAGACGCCCGGGACGTCGGGCACGACTGGCCCCATGGGAACGCCGTTGCTTTTTTTATCCCTGATGCAAGGGCAAGTGGCTCCAAGACAAAGAGGCAAAGGCGACGATAGAATTTGCCAGAGAAGGAAGGTCCAAGATATTGAGGTTGAAACCTGGTGGAAGCACAGCTTGTGCTGTAAAGACGATCGGACCAACGTACGACTGTCAAAAGGATTGCTAGACATGGTCGGGATACTCGAGTGCAGACTGGGAGAGGGGGGCAAACCGCGGATAACCCTTCAAGTCACTAGTTAGCGGATTTTTCGGAGCCTGTAGTACAATATGAGCGTAGTTTACGTATTTAAATTGAATTTTCGTAATCATGTACCTAATTGAACATTTCTTTATGGTATAATCAATTTAATTCACCTATTTAAGTATATTAATCCGATGAATAGATGCTAGAAATACCTATCATCACTTAAAAATATGTATTTGTTAACTACTTTAGGCACATGCATACCCCGGTGTGAGCACATTCTATTCCTGTGGACGATTACCTGCTTTCCCACACGAGTTCACCATAGACGCATTTCACGAAAGCATACCTATGGCATTCGTCCAGGATCAACATCCTACTAAAACCTGAATTACCTCGCCTTGGAAGTTACTACGGACCATGCTCTGTCGCACATCTCTGACTCGCCTCGACGCTGGGCTAAGGTGCAGTCAATGGACTCGCATTTTCAACACACCCGCCATACAGTCTACTTCGTAACCTAACCCTAGCACACGAATCACCCGCACACTTCGTCCGCCATACTCGCGGAGCGTATCTTACTTTAAGCTTCTAAAGCCAGTGAGTTACTAGGCACTGGTCAAACACCAATCAACCCCTTAATTCACATATTCGACTCAAGCCCTGCGTAGCTCGAGGCTTCGCAGAAGGAAAGAAATGGCCTAGAAGGTATACATCACCAAGCGACGCGTAACATCTCTTGCTTATGATATCGCCGGCGCAGGCAGCACCAGCCATAGTGAGCAAAGGACAAGGACGATGTTGCACGTGTTATTGCAAGACAATATCCACTTCAAAACTACTTCAGATTCTCCGCGATGCTACGCTACGCTGCAATAAGGGTATATATTTCTCCTTCGCCCCAATACATCCAGATCCAACCTACGCATCCATCGCTCATTCAAAGAAATACTCAGTATTAAATCAATCGTCATCATGGTATATAACTCCCACTTCCACCCCTCCTCACTCCGGCAAACCGCCCCACTTCCTCACCCTCCAGACTTTCTTCTTCAATTTTCCCAATCCGCCTCTAGAAAGTTCGAAAGGATCATCTATGGACTAATAGATGATACGTTCCTCCCAAACCGGCGCCTCCCTCGCCTTCCCCTCGTCCCGGCCTCTCCACTCAACCTTATTCTTCTCATTGAAGTAGGCTTGATCATCCGTGATTTCCAGCCCGGAAACCTCTTTCTTCGTATCCCTCACCTCGCGCGCCGAGATACCCATGTCGTCGTGCACGATCCACAGAATAGGTGTGGGCGAGGTCACGGCCGGGTTGAAGTATGCGCGCTTGGCGATCTCAACGGGTAGGGGCTCCTGTGGCTGGTGGTAGAATTGGTCGAGCTTGGAGGAAAGCACGGGGGTAGAGTTGCGCTCAGGGTTGATGATCTTCTGGAGGAAGCCAGGGATTTTGGTCGGCTTGGGAGCGACGTTGGGGGATGAAGAGTCTGCAGCTGCGGTGTTCTTCTCGGGGGTGGCGGTGTGAGCGAGGCCGTGCTCGAGCTCGGTGGTCGCGGGCGTGGGGTCGGTGTAGGCGACGCGGGCTTCGTGGTGGACAAGCGCGGTGCGGAGGCAGAGATGGCCGATGATGGTGAGGGCAAGGAGGAGGCATTCGATTGCGAGGGGACCCGCGGCGGCCTTGTTGTTTCCTGTTGCAATGGCGAAGAGGCCGATCAGGCAGCCTTCGGAGAGATATACGCCAGTGATGAGCTGGCGGAGGGCACGCTGGTAGGCACCACCTTGGGTGTCAATGTTGGTCTCGTAGCAATAGAGGAAGTTGTAACGGAAGGCAATGTAGATGAGGGAGAAGCCAACGGTCGCGAAGCCTAGGACGAGAGGAGCAATGCCACTATATGTAAGTGCGATGACGCCCAAATTAGTCCATTTGGGAAATTCGGAACCCCACGCGGGCGCAGAGAGGTTGACGAGCTTCTGCCAGATCTTGCGGGGAGTCTTGCCGGGAAGGATGCGGCCAAGGAGTACCACGCCGATGAAACCGCCAATATTGAGCAGCGTACCGGCTGCAGACGACAGACCGAACAGAATGAAATAGCTAATGTAAAAGTTGGACGCCTTAGGCAGATTTTCGGACAACAATGTGAGGACTTTGCCAGGGTCGTCGCGAACTTGTTGGATGACGGCAGTGGCGGCACTGGCACATGTGGTAACCAAGAAGACCTGAATGACCTGGAAGGCAAAGTACCAGGACTGGGTCTGCAATTCGACTTGGCTAAGAGTAACCCAGCCAGCAAGTTTGGCCATGACTACACACATTAGCTTGGAGCAATACAAGTGGAATACTTTCACGCAACTTACGTCGGCAAATGATAGGCACAAGTGCCATCAAGACTGCAAGCATAACGACGGGGAGTAGACCGGTCACAACACCAAGGATGACAGTTGGGATACTGTTGATCCATTCCAGCCAGGTGAAGGTTTGGGTTAGGTAATTGATGTTAGAGATAATACCGACGACAGCGACGGGTATGGCAAAGAATATGATGCCAACGGAGACAAAGGCTGTTGCAGCGATCCATCTGATCCAGTGCTCGGCAGTGCCGATGCGCAAGTTGTTCCAAACGACTTCCTGGGGGAGAACACCGAGTTGGCGGGCAGACATCTTCGAGTTGGGCTTGGTCTTCCGCTTCTGCATCAACAGCCAGGCATCCTGAGCCGACCGCTGGGTGTCGAATTCCAAGAAGACAGCACCAACCAGATCAGCCTTACCTTGCCAGTGCTTGTCCTGCTCGGCCTCGATCTTAGGAATGAGCTCGGCCAAGTGCTGACGTCCGTAGGTGATGGTATCGACCTTCTTTCCGACGAGGAACTTGAGGCGGTGGGTAGGGCGGTCCTTGGGGTTGCAGAAGTGGTCGATGCCTTCTCCGGCCTTGTACGCCTTCTTTCCCTTGTCCGTCTTGATGCGGTTCTGGTTGGCATCGCGGGAGAGCTGGATTTCGCCAGCCTCGAGCTTCAAGGCAGTCTTATCTCGGTCATCGATCAGCTCCTGCAGCTCCTTGCAGTTGGAAGCGACCCATGCATGCTTGACGCCGGGGAAGAGCTCGAACAAGGTGGCCTGAGTGATGTTCTTGGGGACGTTTGTGAAGAGGATGGTCTTGGAGGACAAGCGACTGGCGCCCCAGGGAGAACGTCGGTAGGCCTGGCGCAAGTTGACGACGAAGAAGGACTCGCGGGCGATGATAAGCATGACCAGGCCCAGGAAGACAAAGGACACCAGGGCATGAGCATAGTAGCGGTTCACGTTGGCAACATTGCTCATGGAGAGCAGGTTGAGCTGCTTCTTCCCCGCACCGCCCGTCGCGTTGATGGGAAACAAAATAGGCCACGTGACGACGCACCCCAGGAAGCACAGGACGATGAGCACCTTGAAGAAGCGTACGAACAGGTAGCCGTCGATGGATTGGTGGTCGAGGATGTATTCGTCCTTGATGCGGCGGAAGTCGGCGATCCAGGCAAACAGGCCATTGCCCGGGGCGGGCGTCTTGCGCTGGTCGCCCAGGCTGTCGATGTAGGTGCGCGGGGCATAGAGCCTGCGGAAATGGCGGCGGAAGATCAAGAAGAGGGTGACGAAGACGAGAGCGGATATGGCCGTCGGCACGAGGGTCGACACCAAGCCGGACAGCGAGTTGTCCTGTGGTTCATCGCGGTTGGACCCTGCGACGCCTTCGTCCTAAGCGGGCCGTCAGCGTGTCTGGCCGCAGCGGGTCCGTTGTTGTTTACTCACACGCGAAAAGAGGTGCACGAAAGCCATGTTGCTTCCGCAAGGCTGGCCCGTCGAGACGTGGGCGAAGGAGAGGGAATGTGGGTGTGTATGGAGGAGCAGGGTCGCGATCTGAGGCCCCGGGCGCAATTAAACAGGGCTGCAATGGCACAAGTAGTCCTCCTTTCTGGGCTGCCCCACGTCATTGCCAGCCCACGGCCAAGCGCCCAAAGAGCAAAGCGCGCTTGACAATGCGGCCGCTAAAGACGCCGTCGCTGGTCACTGGCGCGTCCGCCTTTCAGCTCTGCTTCACCGTGCTCTGGGCCCTCGAAGCGCTGCACAGGGCCTCATTGCCTCCCTCGGCGCCCCGGCCGTGTACCGACGCAGTCCCTGTGTCTGTCCGGCCGCCCCGTCGCCTGCGCAGGCCTCGCTGTCCCGAGACGCGTCCTGCAGAGGGTCCGCCGGAGTGGCCTCCGCGAGTGGTACGTGTGCACACGCGAGAGATTGCACGACTGATTCGAGCACCCCAGCCCCTGACCGATATCCCTGCGCCCATCGCGAGATGCTGCATCTGCGTCCGATCTTGTCACGTTCCAGGACTTTCGTGCGCCGATCAGAGACAAGGGGAAGCGCTGCCGAGCGAGCATGATGTCAAGCCTGTTGTCTGTCCGACCCTTGTGTGTTCACGCGACATCCATGGATCCAACTGGAAAACCTGGAAACACTGCATTGTTTTGTTTTGTCGACCTGCACAGGAGTACCGCCGACGCATCTGCAAGGTGTGCAGACGTACACGGTGTCAGTCGATGCTATCGCATTGTCGCGGTTGACGCCCCCGGCCTGCTCGACCAAGACGATCTAGACCTCACCAGCCACAGCCTCTTCCTTCGAAACATGATCCCATCTTCTCCGCTTTCCCTCTTCATCCTCCCGCCGTCTGGCCTACCGGTAGCCTTTCGTGGTCATGCATTAGGCTTGTCTTTCAGCTCCATCCCCCTGTACAAATCTAGATTTTCATCTCGAAGCCCCCACCATGGTCCACGAGCTTGTTTGCACAGCCACCCATTTCCCTACACAATGAACACGCTCGTATCCACAGTGCTAACCTCTAGATCTCATCTCTACGTTGGCGATACCTTGTGATGAGGTTCGTAAGCACTGTTTCGATCGTGCTCGCTCTACGCGCCAACCTCAGCCTTTGCCAACCTACCGCCAAATTAATCCATCTGCAGAGCCCTAACTTCATGGTTGGCACATTAGTAGCGTGCCTAGAAGCCGTTTTCGCTTAATTTGTTACTGCGTTCTTTGGTGGTAAGTGTAAGAGGCCTATGGCCTTGGTATACCTTCGGCCCACAGGAGCCCTGGAGGTTTTTCAGTCACGTGTTGGCTAAGCCAGTTAGGATGTGTTGAAGTAAAAGCCTCAGAGATGACTAAGCCTAGCTTAAGTGATTACGGGATGAAGGCTAGTTAAAGCAGCATATATATAATTAATTAAATTAATTATATAAGAATACTTAGTATAAGTGTTATAAACCAGATAATAGTAGGGAAGTTCGGGCGCTTATAAAGGTAGAAGATGCAATAACTAGGGTTATAATAAGATAAAGATACGCTAAGTTACTTAGATAGTAGTTACGTAACTTACTTAGCTACTTAGGGTTCCTAAATAGCTAAGTAGCTAAGAGCTATTACGTAACCTACTTAGTTATTTAGGGCTCCTAAGTAACTAAGTAAGATTCCTATATAGGAATATAAGGATAAACCTTTATACTTATATTTAACCTAAGTTTTAATCTATTATTTAGATTTACTTAGGCCTTCCTTATTAACTTATTATACTTTATAAAATACTTCTATATTAGTAAGAACCCCTTCTTCCTTCCCTTAGTAAGTCTTACCTAAGAACTAACCCTAACCTATTTAGAACTAGCTACCCTTTCTAGATTTAATATCTTAAACACCCTTAATATAACTATAAGAACTCCTACTTCTTCTATAGCTTTAGATAATGTTACTATTACCCTAATAGGTAACTCTAAGAGTAAAGTATATAAACCTAATTTATATTATAGTAATAGAAAGTATACTAATATCTAGCTTCTTTAGTTAGACCTCTATTTCTTTAAACTTAACAAATAACCTAAAGATAAATAAAAGGTTATCTTTATAGCTACATATATATAAGGTAATACTAGAGAATAGATTTAACCCTATATAACTAAGTATCTAGAAATAGACTACGATAATAAAGATAAAGAATATATAGATAACTATATAGACGTAGTTAATATTATTAAAGATTATACTAACTTTAAGAAATATCTTAAATAGATATTTAGAATTACTAATAAGGTACCTATTATAGTACAAAATATTTAAACTATAATATAATAATAATTAGCAGCTAAGTATATAGCAGAATTCTATAAAAACGCTATATAACTTAACTAGGATAATAAGTTACTAATAATAATATATAAATAAGGTCTTAAGAAACCTCTATAAGAAAAACTTCTACGTAGTAGAGGAATTATTAGAACCCTTAATAAGTTATATAATAAATTAATTAGGATTAATAGAGAATAGTTTACACTATAATAGGAATTTTAATATAACCTAAGAAATATTAGTTTTAGATAACTAGCACCTATAGTCTATAGGGTGCCACTAAAAGGACCTTAATATATATTATAAGACTCCTATAGATACTAGCTAATAGAAGATATCTAGTTTAACTACTTAGGTAAAGGAAAAGGAAAAGGACTAGGCTTTTATAAGCCTAATATACGTATCTTAGATAGAACCTAACACTAGGGGACTAAGACTTATATATATTTTATATATAGTAAACTAGGCTATATTACTAGGAACTATAGATCTAAGAATAAGGTTATTAGATAGTTAAATATACTTACCACCCTAATAAAGGAGATTAAGGATAAAGAATAGACTATTATAAATGCTATTAGTAACCTTATACTTAATAATAAATCTAGATTAGAATTATTAACTAATTCACAACTCTATAAGGACACAGAGGAAGAGCAATCTAAAAAAGTAAATAAGGAAGTTAAATAAACACTAATACCTTACCTATAGTTTAAAGGTAAAGAAGTAATCTTTACTAATAAGGTAGATATATAGGAATACTTAGATAAACTACTAATCTAACTATAAAATAGAAATATATTATTATTACCTATAATAATCTTACTATTATTCTCTATACCACTAGAAGCTTATAATAAACGCTAATAAGAAATTGTTATAAAAGAAGACAGATAATAGGTAGATTATAGATATATATAATAAGACCCTAGTAAAAACTTCTATAATAAGAACCTAGATTATTTATAAAAGTACTACCTAGACCACTAAAACCTATAGCACTTAAATATCTAATAGATTAAATATAAATATAACTAGTGCCTAACCTACTATAGAGCTAAGGAGCTATATAAAGGTAAATAGCTACTATATAAGTAATAATACTACTAGGAATGGTATAATTACCTAATTAACAAATGCGACAAATATTTATAGGATAAGTAAGAAAAATTATACTTTCTAAGCATAAATAATATGTAAAATATAGTAACTAGTACGCTTTATAATAGAATATGTACCTAAGATAGATAGTAAACTTACTTAAATATTAATTATAGTAGACACTAGGATAATAAGTGTATTTATAGATTTAGTAAAAACCCTAACTAACTAAGAATAGTTATTAATATTTAGACAAAAATAAGTATAGTATAGAAAGGTAAAGCTTCTAAAGAGAAACTATAGTAGAAGAATAACTATAGTAGAAGAAAAGAAGGGTAGAAGTAAAAGAAATAATAAAAAGGGAATATAGACTACCTAGCTCCTAAGAAAAATAGTTCTTTTTTAGACTAAATCCTAGCCCTTAAGGCCTAAGAAAACCTTAAAGACTAATAGATAGGCAAAGAGATGCTATTAGAGAACTAAATACTATTAATAATAAGGTACTAATTAAGCTACTAGTTTAGCTTAATAAAATATAGATTAAGGCACTACTAGATTTAGGTATATTAGAAAACTTTATATCCTAAGAAGTAGCACTATAAGTAGGACTCTAACTAATACTTAAGGATAAAGTATATCCTATCTATATTATAAATAGAAGTTAAATACTAAATATACTATATATTACTTATAAAGTTACTACTATACTTTAAATCTATAGATATAGGGAGACAATTATACTTAATATACTAGATAGATCTAGGCATAATATTATATTAGAATTACCCTAGTTAAGGAAGTATAACCTATATATTAATTAGGGTTTAAGAATGCTATCCTTAGAACGCTATAAATATATACTATAAGCTAAGCCCATATAATAATAGAGATTAACAGCAAATAAAAGTATTATTAATAATATAGACTTATAATAGAAAGTTAAAAAATAGAAATAACCCTTAGTAGACGCTAGTAGGAACTACTAAGTTATAAAGTATAAGAAGAAGGAAGAAAGCATACCCTTAGAAGTACTAAAAGAGTATAAAGCATAGATATATATATTTATAGAAAAGAAAGAAAAAGTAAACCTACTAGAATATTAACCCTAGAATTATATAATTAACCTAGAAGAAGGGAAGACGCCACCCTTTAGACTACTATATAGTAAGATAGGAGAAGAGCTCTATAAAGAATATAAATTTATTAAAATAAACCTAGTAAAAGGATATATTAGACTATTAAAGTTACTAGTAGTAAGTCCTTTTATATTTATTAAAAAGAAAGATAGATTAGATAGACTATATGTTAACTACTAAGTAATTAATAATATAATAATTAAGAATAGATACCTATTACCTAACATCTTAGAGCTTAGAGATAGACTCTTATAAGTAAAAGTCTTTATAATAATAGACTTAAGAGATAGATACTACCTAATTAGAATAAAGAAAGGTAAAGAATAGAAAATAGTATTTTAATTATACTATAGACTCTTTAAGTACCTAGTAATACCTTTTAGACTTACTAACGCACTAGTAACCTTTTAGGCACTTCTTAATAAT